AAATGAGCCGTTATCTAGACTATTATGGTTATTAATAGACATTTCCTTAATAACGTTGCTTTGTTTAGAATTCTATATCGAATGAATCAAATGATTAAGGCTCATTTTCCGGTAACAAACATGTAATACAAGCTCTCTTTCTTTTTTTTATTATAATTGTTTTGATATACGTAATAATCTTTGTCAAATTAATATACGATGAAGAGCTCCCTCTCTGACTTTCTTTTCCAAATCCGTTCCGGAGTCACTTTGCTATTGGTTTCCTATTTTCAATTCAGCATTAAACATTCGAAAAATCTATAAATGAGGAAAAACATCTTGGTTGAGGTTCATAAGCAAAATAAATTTGTTTATCAGATCATAAAGCAAGTGGAACTGCAATGATAATGTTTTCGGTAAGCAAGTATCTTTCAGTCATTACCACATCTTCGAGGAGTACACTTATATTATCAGCAAATTGTTGTTTTTATGTTTCAAATTAATGAATTAACTTTTTTAGTATCAAACCTTTTCTCTCTTATACATTTGTCTCAAAGCTTGGAATTGGTAGTGAAAATGAACCGGGAAAACCGATTTAAATATTATTGCAAACTCATTCGGGAACACGTTTCTGACTAAACAAGGAATGCTATGATTAACGAGTACGATTTTTTGCTATTAGTTAATGCAAGTCTTACGTAGCTGAATTTAGTGTGATTTTTTCTGATTTCTTACAAATTTTAAGTCTTTATACAGTAGTATATTATTTTTAATGCTGCTGGGTCAGCTTCATTCAATAAATTTTTAATACGTATACGCACTTCAAAACTCTTTAAAGAAGGTCTAATTATGGGAATTCAACGAAGGTGGTCAACTAGACTCTAAGTATGACTACATAGCCTTTAAAGTTACCATCAACCGAATAATATTAGCATAAAGACACCTAACTTATATTCTATGTTATAGGTTTATCCCAGAAATTATATATATTGAATATATTTAGAGATAAACAAAAAAGTTAGCCAAGCAATTTATTATGGCCCTGTCCTTATGACTGAGATATGTCATATATTACATCATAATATTTATTTGCTAGCTTGTTAAAGTAAGCCGTGCGAGCGTATTTGACTATTGCAGGCCACATGGAGCACTATCCTTCCAAACTGAGATCTGCAATATTTGCAAACCAATTGTTATATGAGAAAGAAACTTGCCTTTTGATATCTAGAGATTTAAATGATGATGATAAGTTACTGACAAAAATCTTTAGTTGAATCTTAAAAGTTCCAATGGTGCAATGTAGTATGAGACGTGGATTTCTGAAAAAGGAATTTGTTGTAAGATTTAATAAATTTGTAATTAGGTAGCTATAATAATTGTATATGTGACTTTAAAAAGGCAAGCAGTGATCAATAGCAGATAACTACTGATATCTCTCATTAATGGTACCTATCTTCGTGAAACCATATTTCTCTAAGCTTTTACAAAAACTAAGCTTCATTCGTGATATATTGTTAATAAAACACTATTAATATTTAGAATAAGAATTTGAATTATTAAGAATATTTGATATAACAATGCTTGATCACCGCGATTTAGCAAAGCTAACTATGCAACATTGATTTATTGTTTATGATGTAATTTCTTTTTTAGATCTTAATTGAAAGAACGTTTGGCGGTTGGTAGCTGGATTAGTGACGTTTTGGTTTCGAGTTTCTTTTATTGTCTATCACAACCCAGTAACTAAAATCATAAGCCAGAATCTTAACTACTTACAAAAATTATTGCATGAATTTAATTTATCCTAAACCTCTTTTTTTATTGAAGCGGCAGATCTCGCTTTGTTTGAACAATCATAAATTTTTCTCAAAACGTATTTTGATTTCAGTATGGATAACCCAGAGATAGTATTTTTGTCTTAATCTATCTTATATAAAAAATAAGATTAGTTATGCTTTCAGTATGTTTTATCAGTATAGAACTTAATTTAATGAAGTACTCAGAATTGGTTACAGAAGGTGTTTGAACTAGATGAATACAAAATGTAAAAACTTCAACAGAAATTGTTGTTGTTATTCTGTATAAAGGGCTTTGTTGTTTTGCATAAATAGAAGCTTTTCGTATATAAACTTTAATTCCTATAAAGAAGCAAGCAGATGATGCAGCTTGAATAAATACTATTAATCTTATTAAGTCGTTTTTAAATATAAAAGATAAAAATAATGAATGGTACTCTATTTAGAAATAAGCAATTAAAAAGAAAAGCAAACCCTTTTATGCTAGTAACAAATTTGGCTTTCTAGCTAAAGCACTTAAATTTTACTACACTGCTTAGGCATACGCTTTTTGTCCAATAGGTACGATATTATACGATTTTCTAATTGAGCTTGCATTTTTATATATCAACTGTCATACTTGTTTATTGCACTTTATATCTGCTTAATTAGATTCGATCAGAAAAGCTTTAGGTTAGCGACAGCTTATAGCCAACGTTGGTAATTGCTACATCATAGGGCTATCATTGCGGATTAACGTGTAATAGCAAGCTTCCTTTTAAAGAAGTCATCTTATATAATGCAAATTATATTTGTGCATAGCCGTATTCTGTATTTACATTATTTGTACCTGTTAAGGCATCATTGTAATTTTACAAGTACTTCTAAGTTTAATATTTCCTAAAATATAAAATTTACTATTCTGTTCGGTCCACTAGAGTACGTTTCATGGGAATTTTCTCGCGGAAAGTGGAAATTTTTTAGAATCCAATAAAGTATCCCATGCAAAGTATAATTCAGTTGCAAGAGGGGGTAGTTTCCATAGATAAATAACAAAAGTCAGTTAATTCAAAAAATTTGTGATTATAGAATTGTAGCATATTAGTGATATATCTCAGCGGGATAATTGTTTGAGATTATGTGAAAAAATGATCTGCTTCCTTGTAGTAATTGCAGTATCCTCGCCAGCAAAAAGCAATTAATAAGATAAGTTTTCTGTCCATATATATTCTTAAAATTATTTATACCTTTCAAAAATGTTCTCAAAAATCCAATGCCCAGATACGTTATTTAGTTTTAGCAGACATTACACTTAGCTGAATCAACCGACAACTAGTACCTGGTATGTTTATGTGAGATAAGAAGTAAACTTTGTTGCATTTAGAAAGATAAGGTGGAACCATTTGATTGGTGACTTTAAAGACCTTCAACGCCTTTTAAACATATGCATAATCGGTAATACCTGACTTAGCATAACTTCTGCTAATTTTATACTAGGTTTATTTTTTTTGTTGTATCCGACCGAGCAGATTTATTAGGAAAAAGTCGTGGATATTTTATGTCGGTTTGTTATTTTCAGTGAGGAGGAAGGACTAATATATTTTACATAGTCGTAAATATACTTATTTTTTGGGTGAGTAGATTAACCTGTTATTAAACTGAGGTTTTGCGAACTAATCAAAATCATATATTTCGTTGTTGGCCAGCTTACAAAATTAAGAAGCTATGAACAAACACTGGATGTACTAAGTAAATAGATGCATATGACACACAAAGAATTATGTGACAATTTAGATTAATTTTGAAGTATATTTAGAAAATTCCATACTTGTAAGGCGTAAGCCCTTTGTTGCATCTTAGAAAAATCAAAACCGAATACAAATGGAGAGAATTATTTAAGTTATCCAGAAGATTTTATAGGTCGGAAAAAAATTACGATTGTTATTATTTTCTTAAAGATAAATAATGAATGAATGATATACGATCTCACAAGTCTTTTCAAAGCTAAATGCAAATGTATGTCTTTGGACCTCTCACATTATAACTCCAAAGTATTTATGTGCGGTATGTATTTGGATACTGTGTGGTAAGCTGTGTTCCTATATTATCCAGAACTAATTGCCTTATGATCGCTTATTTTATAGCAGTGATTTACTTGATATTGCTAGAAATATATCTCTTAAAATATGTTTGCTATAACTTCAATTTATCTCATAAAAGATTAACGAAGTAAATTTGTTACACGAAACAGTTCAACTATTTTAGGCAGCAAAGATGTTTTTTTTTTTCGTTTAGCAGTTAATTTTGCTAGTAATTGAAAGACAGCGGTTCACGAGAAATTTGTTCAGCTAGGTTCCGTTCATTTGCTAAAAGGTTGATGGATTAAATAGTATGAAGTGATTATACGTACACCTTAGTTCTAGGTTATGTTTTTGATAATGTATGAGTGAATTCGTTGGTGGAAAGAACTACAGCCCTCTAAGAGGGAGGATGTAAAATTTGTTGTGAAACGTTGCTTTGATTAAAACTTTTGCGGTCACAGGACTCTTTACGATCAATTAAATCTGTATTGATGTGTTTAAATAAACAGCTTGTCAAACGCCTTCGTATTATTTAAGCGTAATATATTGTACTAAGTGATAGAGAAAACATATTAAAATATGTATCACTTTATGTATGATATTATAGAAGACGATAATAGAAAGTACATCTTCCGAAATGCAACGCAATGATGTGCAAAATGCTATTCGTTATAATGTTAGTAATTAGAGAAGTTAGATTACTATAATAAAGAGGTATAGATCGTGTTTGACAAACTTTTCTTTTGCTATATGAGTGAATGTTGCTTTCATTTTTTTAGTATTTTTTTTTTAACGTCGTGTTTTGCTTACAATTGGGTTAAAGAATCGTAGAGTGGAAGATATACTTAAATTTCCTTCCATGCAATGTTGATTTTCACTTTAGTAGAAAGTTATATGTCATATAATATAATTTGAGGTTCTCTTATTAGGAAGAACCAAAAGTATGAGCTTGCACTAAATCGAAAGTGTTTTTTATCTAATTTATTTTAGTTTTTTATTTAACATAACAAATACCATGGATAAAATTTGAGCACCACATAAACATTGATTTTTCTAAAAATATGTTGTTTATTAACGTTGTCAAGCTTTTAGACAATTATAGAAGTACACTAAACGTTTGTAAAGTAGTTAATGAATTGTATTCACAGCTCACTATATCGGTATAAATAAAAGTATCGTTCCCGATAACTTATTTTACCCTAAATAAGAATAGGGTAGGGTTTGACTTGTCAAAAATTTTCATATATATATGCAACTGAAACCTCATTGTCAGACCTGGAGACAATTTCTGCAAAGATAGCCTGCTTTGCTTAAAGTGATTTTGTTCCGATAAATAAATATGAAATACCTTGCTGCCTACTTACTTCTTACTGTTGGCGGAAAGCAGTCGCCATCAGCTAGCGATGTCGAATCTGTCTTGTCCACTGTGGGCATTGAAGCTGAAAAAGAGCGTGTTGAGTCTTTGCTCCGTGAGCTTGACGGCAAGAACTTGGAAGAGTTGATTTCTGCTGGTAATGAAAAACTCGCCACCGTTCCCTCAGGGGGAGCTGCTTCTGCTGCTCCTGCTGCCGTTGGTGATGCCGCTCCTGCTGCTGAAGAAGCCAAGAAAGAGGAAGCTAAACAAGAGGAAGAATCTGACGAAGATGTAAGTATAATATAATATTTAAAGTCACTAACAAAAATAGATGGGTTTCGGTCTCTTCGATTAGGCAGTTATTTCACATAAATAAATGCAGATTTAAATATTTTTAAGTAAGTAGTAGATGTTTTGTTTATGATGGACTAGATAAAATTTTTAGGTAATTTTCATGTTATGTTGCTTTGGATTTATAGTAGTACTCGAAAATCTGATTTTAGAATTATATTGGAAGTGAATGAGTTAAATCACAATTGAAGACACTGTTTTTATTATTCATTCACTTGCTATCATAAGTCATTTCCTCGATTCATTTAGAAATAGTATTATATAAATAGTTAATTATTCATCGTTTGCAAGACCAATGTAGCATAATCAAAGGCTGATAGATCTTGCTTTATCAATTTTTGGTTTAATAAACCAAGATCATCCTGCTTTTTTCGTAACTTCGCGGAGATGCGAGATTTTAGCATTTCGGTAGAAAAGCTTTCCAGTTTCTTCTGAAGATTATTAGCTTCAATTTCATATTCTCCATACTCTAATTGTAGATGAGCTTCTTGCGATTTTAAGTGTTTTCTGGTTTCATCCAACTCAGATCTCAAGGAACAGATTTCTTTCGTTAGTGATTTATTATAAGCGTAATGTTTCTGTACTTCTAAGATCTGTTGCTCAAGACCATTTGAATTCTCAATGTTCCAAAAATATGAATCTAAAAGATTTCCTTCAAGTTCTGCAGGGAATTCCATTTCACTAATCAACAAGTGTAATTGACATTAGCCGAAAGCGTAGTTGAGTAATTATTAGTTTGTCAATCTTTACTGTTTAGTTGCGGAAATTCGGGTTGTCATAATCCACTGCGTAGACTATTATTTGTCTTCACTTTCGCAATATTTAGTATTGGTGGATGTGAAGTGTATTTACTGAATAAAGTAGTATCCACCACGGTTTCACGAAGTTTATTAAAAAGATTCATGAAAATTCGTTCGTATATAGAACCACCTACGAAGAATAAAATAAAATTTTATTTTTATTGGAAAAGTATTTGGAGATAGTGCCCGAGATGAATATTGAATATTATTGATCAAGCGCTATCTCGGAAAGTCTTATCTTGTTTCTAGAGTCTTAATTTATAATGGTATATTCTTACATTAAACAAGTCATTCTCTACTAGGTTGTTATTGAAACTACGAGTATTTTGCGAAGGTTTATAATGGTACAACCAGCTATTTCCGTAGGTGTCGGATACGGCGTAGTTGTTGGTCTTGGTTTAGGATTTGCCGTTTTGATGATATGTATTTCGTATATTCTCAAGAAGTACAACAGTGAGAAACAGACATCAGAGCACTTCAATACAGCCTCACATAGCGTAAGAACAGGACTAGTGGCCAGTGCTGTTGTGAGCAGTTGGACTTGGGCATCAACATTGCTGACCAGTGCTCAAAAAACTTACCAGTATGGCGTTTCTGGAGCATTCTGGTATGCCTCTGGAGCTTGCGTACAAATTTTGTTGTTTACCGTTTTGGCAATTGAACTGAAAAGGAAAGCGCCTAATGCGCATACATTTCTCGAAGTTGTCCGAGCCCGATGTGGGCCTCTAGCTCACACTGTTTTTATTTTTTTTGCATACGTTACCAATATCCTTGTGATGGCTATGCTGTTATGCGGCGGATCCGCTACAATTGCTTCTGTTACTGGTGTGAATACTGTTGCTGCTTGCTTCCTGCTTCCAGTAGGAGTAATTATATATACTATTTTTGGCGGTATTAAGGCGACCTTTCTCACAGATTACATTCATACAATCATCATTCTGGTGATCTTAATTATGTTTAGTTTATCTGCCTATTCCGCTAGTGACAAAATTGGATCACCAAGTAAGCTTTATGACATGTTAAAGGCTGCCGGAGAGTCACATCCCGTCGAAGGAAACGCGGAGGGAAGTTATCTTACGATGAGAAGTCGAGAAGGTGCTATTTTCTTTATTATTAATCTTGCGGGAAACTTTGGAACAGTGTTTGTAGACAATGGGTACTGGCAAAAAGCTATCGCAGCGAACCCAGCTTCAGCATTACCTGGTTACATCTTGGGAGGTGTTTCTTGGTTTGCAATTCCATGGTTAGCAGCAACTACCACTGGCCTTGTATGTCTAGCTCTTGAAGCTATGCCTTATTTCCCTACGTATCCAAATCGTATGACTGATCTAGAAGTTAGTCAAGGTTTAGCTTTACCTTATGGAGCGATAGCGTTAATGGGTAAAACAGGTGCTAATGCTACCGTGGTACTTGTATTTATGGCCGTTACTTCTGCTGCTTCGTCCGAATTGATTGCTGTTTCGTCAATTTTTACTTATGATATTTACAAACAGTATGTTAGAAGAAATGCCGGCAATAAAGAGTTGCTGTATACTGGCCATATTGTATTGATAGTTTTTGGGTTTGTAATGTCGGCTTTTGCAACAGGGTTATACTATGGCAATGTCTCAATGGGATACCTGTACCTTCTTATGGGAGTATTGGTTTGCCCTGCAGTCATTCCAGCAACGTGTGTGATGCTTTCTACACGGACGTCTAAGTTAGCTATTACCGTTTCTCCGGTGTTGGGATTGATTTCTAGTATCATAAGTTGGCTTGTCGTTGCGGCCTCGCAGGGTTCAGGTAAATTGACGATTGAAACGACGGGAGCGAATAACCCCATGTTGGCTGGCAATGTTGTGGGACTATTGAGTCCAATACTCTATTTATTTATTTTTTCCATTGTGAAACCCGAAAAATACGACTTTAACGATTTGCTGAGTAAGTTTAGGATGCACTATGAGTCGGAAGAAGAAGAGATTTTACAGAGAAAGAAGCTTAATCGTGCCAGCATAATATCAAAAATAGCAGCGACCGGAGTTGCCGCCGTATTTATTATATTGTGGCCATGGCCGATGTATGGATCGAAGTATATTTTTTCAAAACGATTTTTTACTGGCTGGGTCGTGGTTGGATTAATATGGATTTTCTTTACTGTATTTTCGGTAGGAATATTTCCATTATGGGAAGGAAGAAGAGATATCTATCTTGTTGTGAAAAGAATGTTTGAATCAGCCTTCGGTGCCAAAGTCATTGAGAGTGAAGATTTTGGAGTAGTCGAAGGTATGAACGTTGAGAAAGGTGAGGAAAAAGGAATTGAAAAAACCAATGAGAAGGAAAATGGTTATCTATATGTCTAAGTATATCATATTGTAAAGTTGTATATTGATGAATGAATGCATTTAAATGGAATTATGACAGGGTTTCTTGGTTCTGGTAGTATTAGTTTCTAATCTAAATATTGCAGAGTATACAGTCTAGTTTGTAAACAACAATGATTTTTAATAGAACTTTTAGTAATATCAAACTCGTTAAGTAATAATTTTACATTCTCGAAGGGGAAGCAAATAGCGTAATATAACGTACTGGTAAACTAGTATGGAAGATTCTATAAACGTAGGTGTTCACCTATTCTCTACACACCACAACAACTAAGTGGCTTTTAGAAAAATGACGGAAGTTCTGACTTCCAATGTCCTGGAAAGCAATGAAAACATAGTTCAGGTAAGTTTTTGAACTGCGGATAGTTTCTTACATTCGTTGCAGTACTATACACAAAAAATCCAAAATGCCGAATTGAATATCCTTAATAAAACCCAAAATCTGCGACGATTAGAAGCTCAAAGAAATGGACTGAATGCTAGAGTTCGTTTGTTGAGAGAAGAAATCCAGCTTTTACAAGAACCTGGAAGTTATGTTGGAGAAGTAATTAAAACGATGGGCAAAAACAAAGTATTAGTCAAGGTGAATCCTGAGGGAAAATATGTTGTTGATGTTAGCCCTGATGTCGATATCAAAGACATAAAGCCTAATATTCGCGTTGCTTTGAGAAATGATTCCTATCAATTGATTAAAATTCTTCCAAATAAAGTTGATCCTTTGGTTTCTTTGATGATGGTGGAGAAAATTCCCGACTCTACGTATGAAATGGTTGGTGGATTAGAAACACAAATCAAGGAAATTAAGGAAGTCATTGAGTTGCCTGTAAAGCATCCAGAGGTATGTTGAACGTTATGCGGCGAATTATATATTAACCTTTTTAGTTATTTGAAAGTTTGGGTATTCCACAACCTAAAGGTATTCTTTTGTATGGTCCTCCTGGTACAGGAAAGACTTTACTCGCTAGAGCTGTTGCACACCATACTGATTGTAGATTTATTCGTGTGAGTGGATCTGAGTTAGTACAAAAGTATATTGGTGAAGGTAGTCGTATGGTTCGTGAGCTTTTCGTTATGGCTCGTGAGCATGCTCCCTCTATTATTTTCATGGATGAAATTGATTCCATTGGTTCTTCTCGGTCAGACAGTGGCGGCGGTAGTGGAGATAGTGAGGTTCAAAGAACTATGCTTGAATTGTTGAACCAACTTGATGGGTTTGAAGCGACGAAGAATATCAAAGTAATCATGGCTACAAATCGGATTGATATTTTGGATCCTGCTCTTTTGAGACCTGGTCGTATTGATCGCAAAATCGAATTTCCTCCTCCGTCTAACGATGCTAGAGCCGAGATTTTACGAATCCATTCTCGTTCTATGAACCTTACTCGTGGTATTAACCTATTAAGCATTGCAGAGAAGATGAGCGGAGCAAGTGGTGCTGAATTGAAAGGTGTTTGTACTGAAGCGGGTATGTTCGCCTTACGTGAGCGACGTGTGCATGTTACTCAAGAAGACTTTGAGCTCGCTGTCGTGAAGGTTCTGAACAAGGGAGAATCTGGAGAGATGAGTTTGCAAAAACTATTCAAGTAATTAGTGGTAGAATTGATGAATGAATATGATGATACTTATTTTTCAATTAAGTGATGTTGTTTGTAACAAAGGAAAGTATGTGTGAAGTTTAGTTAACAATGAATAATATAGGAGACCTTTCGTTTCGCATTACGCGACTTGACTAGTTATTAGTATATATCGAAGGCTGTACGAGTTCTGTCGGTAGTGTATGATAGGGTTTATTGTCATCATTACTTGCCTATTGTATTGTTAATTGAGTCAATATATTTACGCGGGGGGGGGTGAGTATGTACGGAGTGAAGTTAGTTTTGTAGAATATTTGTAGAATTATCGACAATAAAAATTTATTAAAAAATTTAAAAATCATATATAGCTAATTATAAGAAGTTATTTTAGTCGTTGATTTAGTCCTGGAAATTCATAAAAAGAGAAAAACCAGGGTGGAGTCGACTATTGTTCTTCCAAGTATATAGTAGACCGTCGTCTGTTGCTTATTTTTGGCAGAAAACAGTAGGCAATACTTGGTTTAATGAAGAAAAACAATTGTTAGTTGGACGCTTATATATTAATAAAAAAAGCAGTCCTGTTTGATAATTGTGAATGTAATGTAACGAGGTACGTTATTCATTGGGATAATTGGGACTAGTGGTGTACTAGAGGGGTGAGTATAAGAATGAGTGAGTATTAACTGAATTATGAATACGTGTATAGTTTCTCAATTGTATGTAGTCTGAAGAATTGTTGTACGTCAGTGAATAAGTTCGTGAAGGAATCAATTAATAAATAAATAAATAAATAGAAAAATAAAGGACGAATAAATAGAAGAATAGATACGTGTGATGTTAAGGAATTATGTTTGAACGGTTGAAGGGATTAGTACTTACTGCAAACGTCTCTTATAAAGAGCAGTTAGTGTTTTGGATAGTGCCATAAATACCAAGCAGCTATAGTTTGATATGGAGCAGTAGGAGAAGTTACCTTTTCTAGCTCTTCAATGGACGGTTTGCCCTCTAAATGGAAAATGTGCGTAATTTGAGAGCGTAGGGTAGCATCGTCGGCTGGCATAACATCGAGGCGTCCTAGAGTGAAAATCATGTACATTTCAATTGTCCAACGTTTAACGCTTTTATGTTTGCTTAAGGCTTCCAAAAGGTCCTCTTTTGACATTTTGTTAATTTCGTCGTTAGAGGGGAGATCTTTGTTAAGTGCAGCATTGGCAATGTTGTGAACAGCGTCGGCTTTTAATTTAGAGAACCCACAGGAGTGAAGAGATTCCACGTCAGTTTGAACGATTTCCTTTGGAGAGGGAAAGTCATCTTTTTGGTATAGTTGTCATAGTCTGTGTACAATGGCTTCAGTAGCGGCTGCTGATAACTTTTGAGAGGTGATTGCACGGATGAGGCCTTCGTACGGTTGGCGTTCGGGGTGTGGGTGTAATGTACATGGGCCTACGGTGTTAACGATTTTGGACCAAGTGGAATTTATGTTTCGTAAGTGGGATTCGGCATTTTTGTAAGTAGGAGACATAATGTGGAGTTTGGGATGTTATGAGCCTAGTGAGAGGGTAGTGTGATGGTGGGCGTGGCGGTGAATAGGTAGGTGGGTAGAGAGAAATAAGAATGAATGGGACCTGGTAGGGAAAATTGTAGTTGAATGGATAGACAATGAAAAAAGACGTAGTAGTAGTAAGACAGGTGGATGGGTAGTGAATAGTAGAGGGCGGGTTTGGGATAAGTGAGAATGTGAGAGAAGTGGTAGAAGTTATGGTAAAGATGGCTATTGAGGGGGAGTGATGTAGGAATGTAGTAGATAGTTTCGTTTCATGTGGGTGAGGGTAGTGGTGGGGGTAAGAGGGAGAAGCAGTAGGTGTGTTGGTGAGGGTGATGAGTGAGGCAGGTTTAGTGAGAGGGAGGGTAGGGTAGAGGGAATGTGTTGGAAGGCTAGAGTGGAGGGAGAAGGAAGTGGTGGACGGAGGGAATTAGGGAGGTGGAAGGAGAAGGTGGTGGTGAATGTGAAGGGAGGAAAGAGTGTTAGGTAGGAGGAGAAAAGGTGGAATAGGTAGGTGGTAGTAAAGGAATGAAGGAGAAAATAAAAGTCCGTATTGAAAGGAAGGTGAGGAAAGTGTGTAGGGGAGTTTGGGAGGAAGGTGTTTGTAGTGTAGAAGGGAAATGTAGAAGTTGAGGAAGAAAACAAAGTAAAAAGAGTGAAGGGTGTGTTAGGAATTGTGAGTATGGGAAGGAGGTAACATGGGTGAAGGGCGTGCGTAGCGTAGCGGAGCATAGTATCGTTGAAGGGATCGGGCTTGGAAACTAAGAACAAAGGAAAGGGAAAGAGAGTGGAAGAAGTAAAAGAATGCGATAGACAATTAAATACATGGAAACGAACGACATAAAACAATAGAGAAAGCCTATACATTTGTTTTCCGAAAAAAAATTTTTGAATCTCAGAGAAGCAAAAAATTGGTCGGCACCTACTGATAGAATTGGCTTAATGAAGCTACTGTATAATCATATGTACAAAGAATTTTAAAAAATTTAGCATAGTATTGTCTATTTCTGCATTATCGCTGGTAGTTAGCGTCGTCTGTTGGAAAACCAATTACGCAATTGATTTCTCGTTAAACCAGTTTCAAGACACAATTGGTAGTACTCGGACGGTGTAGGATATGGATTATCAACATGAAGTAATAGCCAACGCATCAAATGAGCCTTGACACACTCTGCACAGGTATCTTTAGATGTCACTAAGGGACGTCCACTCGCGTTACTTCTGTGGATGCAGTTCAATACGTTTGGTTTGAAAAGTTGAGAATGTAGACTGAAGTTTAGAGCTTTTCGCGTAACATTTTCGTGTATTTTAACATTGCAGACGTGTTTAATTGATTCCAATATTTTAAAGCTCTCAAGAATATACTTTGCAGGGACGTGTTTAACATCAATTAGTAGTTCATACGCGTGTTTTAATTGTTCTAAAATAAATCCAAATCTTTCATGATTAATTGTAACAAATTTTCGTAGTAAATTATTTAAAAAAGAGATCAATTCTTTCATAATGACTGTTGTAGTAATGTTAACTTTCAGAAGCACACTTCGGTAACCTAAGTTACAGAGAGAACAAAGAAAAGGTCCACCGTACAACTATAAAGGGAGCGCAGAACCCACCTACTTTCTCTATATTAAAAATGAATCCAACATTAAAAAATCCAGTGTTCTTACCGGTTCTAACACCTTCTACTTTATTTAAAACAAGAAAAAATCGGACATCTAATCACAACTACAAGAACGGCTTCATCTTATTTCGGAGTAGGATTCATAAGCTTTTAAAATCTTCAGGAGACTGGGGCGGTGTTTCTGCCAAATGCTCAAATATATGGCGTTCTTTGCCTCAGAATGTTAAATCAGCATGGTCACAAACAGCAGAATTAAGTCAGTATCAGGATGTACGGAAACAAATTGCAACATTAGAAAAAATTATCCTTACCCTCTGGCATAAAGAACACAACAACTATAAACTACATATAAGCACGGTTCAGTAAATTTGGAAGGCGTTTCTGGCTATTAGGTTGGATGCTGTGCATACAGAAAAATTATGTTATTCCAGTCCCTACAATCTAAACTATAAAAGACTTCTAATTGTATATTTATCAAGTTCTATGAATTGTTATCCGACTTTATTTGGTCCATCTACTTGATGACAAGTTGACAGTCATAGCAGCATACTGTCAGCTCAGATTTTATCCCATTTGTCATAATCAATTGAATGCACTATTTATATCTCTCTATATCTTTTTATATATCTTTTTCTACCTTTTGAGCTTCTTTCTCATTCTTGAACTTTGTCTTCCTAGTGAATTATAACCTGTAATGTTTCATCCTCAAATAAACAGAGATTTCACCGTACACTACGCGTCAAACTTCAATAGTTATTATATACATGTAAATATCTGTCAATAAAACACTCTTCATTCCCATTCAACGCGTCTCTCTCCTAAATTTCCAACTCCACTCTCTCTTCCCTCCATCGGACGCGTTCCTCATACACGCCAGCGCAAAATGCCATGTTCATCCCACTAAGAACCTTACCCCACTCATCGCGGGTATGGCACTTTACTTGGAAATGCCAGCGAGCTTCGTTTTTTTCTCCTTACCGCATTCCAATTATTCCATCCTATACTATTATTCAGTATTGTACGCAACATTTCACAAACATCCTACACACCACCTGCACGGCCCCAAGCCCTGCCTTTCATACACATACTACAACTTACCACCCTCCACTCCACGTCCTGACCATATACCTACCTTCTTCTAAACCCAACACTCTACAACTCTCAACATCCATCTGCATAATCAAACAACCATGGATGCTGAAACAAAATCGGATATTTTAAAGGACCCTAAAATTGAAACTATTCTTCACAGTGAACTCGGTTTATCCATTCTTAATGACAGAATCAAATCCCACTTAAACATTTCCAAAGAATTCGCAAACTTTTTGAAAAAACGTGCCATCCTCGAAGAACAATCCGCAAAAGACCTCCAAAAAACAACGAAAAGCTTTCTCGAAACATTCCAAGAAACTAATGCCCCTTCTACCTCCTTTCCGGCAGTACTTGTCAAATCCCTACAGATTCACGAACAACTTGCTGCTAACTCTTTTACACAATATAAAGCTTTCTCTACTTGCTCAGACGAACTTCTAGACTTCTACAAAAACAGTGATCGCAAACGAAAGTCCATCAAAGAATATGCTAAACGCCAAGAAAACTCTTACCTTGAAGCAGTCGTTCAAATGGATAAATCCAAGGCTCGATTCAAGAGTGCTGAGTCCGACTATAATCATACTTTGGACCAAAAAAACGCGAGTGATAACCAGAAAAAAGTTGGTTTTTTTAAACCGAAATCCAATGCCCAACTCTCAAGACTCGAAGAGGAAGCAAGATCGAAAGCTGAATCCGCCGAATCTGACATGAAGTCTAAAATTCAAAGCGCTCAAACAGCTCAACAAGAACTTCTCCTCATCCATCGTCCCAACTACATAAAGCAATTCTTCAGCTTACAAAGGGAAATCGAATCCTCTCTTAATTGTAATTATCTCCGTTATACAAAACTTTGCGAAACACATACCGCCATGAATGGTATGCTAATCCGTCCTCAGACGGTCTCAGCTCAAAACTGTGGATTTGAACATGCCCTCGACGCGTTCGATTCCAATGCAGACTTCCGCCAATATGTTCTTGATTCCGCTACACGACGCAAAAACGATCAAAACCCTTCAGATGCTTCGAAAACAAAAATCGTCCAACCTCCAAGTTCCTACGGTAACTCCAACCACCCACCTACTCCCCCATCCGTGAACATATCGACGCCGACAAACCCTACTCATATATCTAATCCCTCTACAAATAATTTTAACCGCCCTATACCTTCCACCAACCAACAAGCACCCAATAATCAAAAACAACCCTCTCATCAGCTACCTCCTTCACCTACCAAATCTCAAAAAGCTTCCCCATCTCCATCCGCAATGAAAGGTCCTACCGTTCCCACAACAACCTCTCCTTCACCAACTAAATCTGATACCGTGCGTCCACTACCAGAACTACAAAGACCTAGCACACCAAAATCTTCAAAAGCCGCCGCAAGTCCTCCACCTATGTCAATACACACAAAGCCAAATGCTGCTGATCTTACCACTCCGCCTTCTCCCAACTTCTTCCCAACTCAGAGCTCTGTTGACCCTCCTTCTAAACCTCAAACTCCTATTACTGATTCAACAATCCTCTTTGGTGCTCATTTGGAAGCCATTCTCTTACGCGAACACTCCAACGTTCCCAATATCGTTGCCCAGTGTACCACCCAAATAGAAACATTCGGTCTCAACATACAGGGTATTTACCGAATCCCCAGCGCCGCCCCCAAAGTGTTAGCTCTTCGCCAGCAGTTTACGAATGACCCCCTCACCGTCCTCAATTCCCCAAAAGACTACGGAAACGACGTTCACTGCTTGGCCGACCTCTTGAAATCCTTCTTTCGTGAATTGTCCGAACCTCTTATTCCAGACCAACACTACAATGACTTTATAGACGCTGGCAATGTTGAGGACGAAGCTCGTCGGAGAGACGCCGTGCATCGTGCTATCAATGATTTACCCGATGCTAATTATTCAACTATCCGCCATCTAACAATTCACTTGACTAAAATCAAGGATAATAGTGACGTTAACAAGATGTCTACGAATAATCTCGCCATTATTTGGGGCCCTACTTTATTAAAACAAGCTACCATTCCAGAAATCAGTAGCTTTTCTCGCACTATCGAAATCCTCATAGACTACTGCTTCACTATTTTTGACTATGACTAGAATACTCAACATACATTCAACATTTTGCTACAATTTTTTAACTTACTACTTTTAATTCTTCATGTTACCTTGTTCATAAAAACACGATAATCTCACTTGGGGTATTTCCTTATAATTTTGTTCTATTTTCAATCTTTAGTTCTCAAGAATAATATACGTATTTCTTTTTTTTTTCTCATAATATCATATCTTCATCCTACTTCATTTCTTTCTACTAACTTAGAAAACTTGTAATTTCCACTAGTGCTATTCTCCAACGACCTTTGCCTAACCAAACCACTACATCCTTGCTCTAAACAGTTTTGCAAAAAAAAATACCTGTGTTATACAATGAGTTACACAGAAACGAATGCAGACGCTCTAGACGACGATTTAGAATATCAAGTTGACACTTCTTCAGTAGAATCAGAAAATGAAGACCAAGCAATTGCCTCGTCTCATCACAACGAAGTAAACCAACTTCCTTCAGAGACTTCTGAAGCTAAAAAGAACAAGCGAAAACGCCAACGTCAAAAACTGAAAGAGAAGAAAAAGCAAAAATTTGGCACTACCGAAAGCAAAACCAATGCTCTTGCTCACTCTCCAGAAATATTGTCAGACTTTATAAACAACCAAATACGCAACAACTTCAAGGACCTTTCTGCTGTTGAATTACAAGAGAGATTCATCAAATGTAAGTTTTCAATAATCAGTAATCTTAACTAACTATAACGACCAGCTTCCTATATTCAAGATACAATTGACTTTCCCCTTGAACGTGAGACCGTTAACTATCCAGAATACGTATCGTACGCTTTCAAAAAATTAAATCAAGAAAACCAGTTCAACAAGGTCAACTCAAACGGTAGTCCGACAACCCTTATTTTTTGCCTATCCGCATTACGGGCTCTCGACATCGTCAAGGCCCTTAGGAAACTACAAACAAAAGATTTTAAGATTTCAAAACTTTTTGGAAAGCATATTAAGCTTGACGAACACAACGAATACTGCAAGAACAACAAAATTGGTATAGCTGTTGGAACACCTCAACGTATACTACAATTATCAAATGGTATTTACTAAACAACTTGCGTTTCTTTTAAAAACTAACGTCAAACCAGGTAGTCTCAACTTTGATCACTTAAAATACGTTGTTTTGGATTATACTTTCACTGATAAAAAGTCCTACAATATCATCACCAACAACGACTGCAAGAAACCTATCATGGAGTTTTTAACTCACCCATCTTTACTTCAACGTCTAACAGATAAGACGACCAAAATATGTTTTTACTAGCTTTCCTTCGTCGTTTTCTTTACTATGGGTTTTTGGATATATATTTAGACATATACAATATTATAACACAATTGCATAAATCATTGTTTAGTCTTATGTTCTATTAATGTTACTGAACATTCGTAGCTCTGTTTATATTCATGTTGCCAATCGCCTCTAATTATGTTGCACTTTACCAAATACGTAACACTCACCGGCACACTACGAACACGAATTGCTAAGAAATGATATTCTGACTAACCACAATAATTGTTCTTAGTTCCTTTATCAAGCAACTCTTCTTATACTAATTCTAACGTATTCAATACAAACTTCAGAAGAATACTTTAGTATTCTTTAACTTCCTTCATTCGACTGTATCCTTAGCAGCAGATGATTATATAAATATGTTTTTGTCATTCCTTTTTGTATATTTATTAGGTGGATTAACCTTTCTTCCTCTATTGGCTTTGATTTACCTATACTTAACGTTTCAAAGCAAAACTGATGATGACCGAAAAGAAATCTCTATTGACGACTACAAAGCGACTGTCTCTGATTCCCAACAAAACATTGTAATCCAAGACTGGATTAGACTTTCTCCCACTTTCTTAAATGGTAATAGTGGTTCCGTTAAGATACAAGAAATTGTTGATGAGACTTCTGACGGAAAAATCGATTCAAATACGATACTCTCAGACTTAAAGCTTACAACTAAAGAAGGGAAAACAACCCGTTACGCTTTAAAAAACCCAAAAAATGTCTATTTCGTAAAACTAATCGATGGAAAACTATTACTACACGATCCACTAAACACACATTGTTTACTAAGTACTCTGGTTTTAGAGGATTACCACGTAAGCATACATCCGTCTGAGGTTTCTGAAAATGAGGCATTCAGCAACAGAAATGCGATTTTGTTGGAGCCTACTCCAAAAAAGTCCTCTTCTCAATCTGAGGAGATTTCTGTAGAAACCCAAAATTTGTACTTTTACGCAAGGACCCCGTCTAAAAAAGAAGACTGGTATTTTAATATTCTATCCTTCTCAAAATCGTGTCCTCCTCTCAGACCTATTGACGGTCCTGTGAATTTTGACTATGACACCGTCAAAAACAATCTCGACAACATCTCTTCTCCTGAATTAACTTGGCTTAATGGGTTTATTGGAAGGATTTATTTGGGAATATACAAGTCTGAGGGTTTCAAGAATATTGTTAAGCACAAATTATCTCGTAAACTATCTAAAATAAGTACTCCCGAAATGATGTCTGAAATTCAAGTCACAAATGTTGATGTTGGAGAATCCGTTCCTGTTGTGAACAACCTAGATCTAATTTCCTTTTCAGAAGCAGGTGAACTAAATGTAGCAGCAGATATTCTTTATCAGGGTGACTGTAGCTTTAAGGCGGAGACGAGTGCAAAATTATCTCTTGGATCAAGGATTCCCTCTAAGAAGGTTACATTCTCTCTGGTAATCCACTTGCGCCATTTGTCAGGAAGAGTTCGTCTTCTCGTCAAGCCTCCCCCTTCAAACAGAATATGGTATGGCTTCTACAACGAGCCGAAGGTGGATCTTCATGTTGAGCCCATCGTATTTCAAAAGCAACTTAATAACAGCTATTTACTAAACTTCTTACGCAACAAGTTACTAGATTTAATCTTCGATACAATGGTGCTTCCACATATGAACGACATTGCATTTTTCTCGGATGAACCTTTTCCAGTAAAAGGAGGCTTGTACAACTCTAAGGACTCAAAGTATTACGATGTAGAAAAACAAGAAGAGATCAAAAAAAGTAAAAAATACGCCGACTCTCAGGCACCACAAGTGGATGAGACGGACTGGAAATCCATGAAATCAAGCGAATCTCTTTTAAAAGACGCTGGCTCACATAAATCTTTTAATAGAGACCTTAATGATTCAGACAACTCTCCGTCTGACGGAGAGACAAAAAGCCTTCACTTACCAACTCTTACTCCGTCCAATCCTAATCAGGATTCTGTATCGACAGATAATCAATCCGTGAACTCGACCCCTTTGGATAGAAAGAGCACAAAGTCTCGGAAATCGAAAACTAAATTCTGGAACGACAATTCTCAGTCTACCATATCCGATACGACTAAAAAATATGGAATTGTCGCAAAAAAGTCGTTCTATCAGGGAATATCAGAAGCGAAATCAATAGTGAAGAAACTCCAAGCCAACTACTTGGATTCTTCTGAAGATGAGAATGACAACACGGATGCAAGACGCGATACAACTAATACTACAGAAGAAAAGACGGTTGCCGAACCCAAGAATGAAGAAAACTCCACGGAAAGCCCAAATTTAGTCGATAATGGGAAAAAAAATGCTACCTCAGAGACTGACCAATTGAGAAATTATGATATGAGCTTTGGAAACGAAAACTTACAGAGCAACTCTGTTTCCGACGTTACGCCAGTACAAGAAACGAAAACGAACACTGAAGGACAAGACAATACGAGTAGCTACAAAGAAAAACGATCAACAGAAGACAAGGCACAGGCGAACCAAGAAGATTCTAACACAAACGGAACTTTGAAAGCTAGCAGGCATAAGCTACCTCGTCGACCATTACCTTATGATGTTCTTAATCAGAATGATAAATAACTTATGAGCTCATGTAAATAAATAATAATGCAATATACTACATACAATATGAATATACTTTAGACAGAGCTAACGACATGTAATTTATTAGATGCTAAATATTTTCCATAGCTAATGAAGCATTTGTACAAGGCACACGCCACTCATTACATACATCCTTAACTAAACAACTAATAAAGAGAGACGACTTGTCAATAAAAGAAAAAACATCTAGAAACCGTGAATCTTGATGTTCTTTTTTTGCATGCCCAATTGTTGGGTCAAGAATTGCATAACATTGACACGTTGGTCACCTTGAAGTTGAATGACTTCACCCAAGTCGTCGTCCTTCACAATAGTACCATTACAAGCAAAGTCCTTTTTCAAAACACGCAAGATACGCTTCAAGTCAAATTCACGAGGAAGACCTTGGACAGTAGTTAAAGTTTTACGACCATTTCTCTGCTGGATACGAATATGAATGTTATTCAGAGGCTGAGCATCATCATCACCAGTGTCAGCAAAAGGATCTATATGTGTTAGTATTGTTCTGAGAGTGAAAAAAATTTCCGTTCTAAAGAAGGTTCACTCGAAAAGACAAAGATCAATCAACTTTTCGAAAGGAGAAAAAGCAATACTTTTTTAAAAAATAAAATCGCAAAAAAGGATTCTGCTAGTGTTCATTCGTCGAGAACGCGTCAACACATAGCGTAGATCTTCTTTTTCGAATTCTCTTTCAAATATGACAACTTACCAATTGTATTGAAGTTTTGAATAGCAGACATAAAACGTAAACGCAGTTCCTGAATGAAAAAAGAATAAAAGTTCTTTTTCTTTACCAAATAGGTTAAGGTGTTAGTTAGAGGTTCTGTATGCAGGAGAGGTCCTACTTATAAAGAAAAAAAAAGTGTTAACAAATTGAATTAAATAGGATTAAATTTATTCAATTTCTTATTATAATTGGCAAATCTGCGATGGCAAATTTTGCTTTGTATCGTTAAGTATTCTTTAGTGACCTGCAGCGTATTTATCTCTTACTGGGGGTACAACTTTCAAGTCATTTGGGTATTTGGTGGGGGCGTTTGTGAAATTGGCTTTACTATAGGTTTCAATTGTAAACAAAAGGAATAAATTCTGTAGATATCGAAATGGTATCCAGTAATTAAAAAGGTCGTTCTTATTCTTTTCGTATTTCGTTTTTTAATAAAATAAATGTTTAAGGAATTTCTTCAAGGTTCGTTTCTCCAAACAATATTTTGTAATTTCGCATTTTGGCAAGAGATATTAATAAAGCAATTTACTTGAATGTCGAAAAAAAAAAGAAAATACAAATTTGTAGTATCTACAAGTACCATTTCATTTTCTAAAATTTTTATATTAATTATTTTAATAATTTCATAAAAAAAAACACAAAAAGCTCCCTGATTTAACTACGACGTTACTGCTATTTGTATAATTGTCGGTTTATTTACATGCAGTATGTTTACTCATAATATTTTTTCCTCTGTTGATATAATAAGGAATTTAGGAATTTACAATGAATTGAAAGTAGATCTGTCGTTCGTCATAGTATTTGTTTGTTTATTTTCAGTCTTGTTTCCTATTTCTTTTCGGGTCTGCTCTTTATGTTTGTTTGTTTATTTAGTTACTAAGAAATTATGCATGATGATGCCTCAAAACAAAACACTGACTGCTTAAATGATCTATACATAGGGAACTGTTTGACTTGAAATTTGTTTGAAGTTAACATAAGAACAACTGTTGACTATTGCTATGGTAAATCGCATTCTTTTCAGTCATAATTGGGATGATTCCTCTTATTGTTTTTTTATTTTTTTTTAATGAGATTGTAGCAAAATAAGCCGGTCAAAAGTTGTAATAAATTATCAAATAAAATTTGTTATACAGTAAACGCGTTTACGTTCGAGCTAAATTATTGCCAAAGCTGACACTGTAAAGAAAGTTAGCCTAATGCGTTAGCCCAAGTGCAACTCATCCACCACCTAATCCCAACTCCATAATTCAACAATTTGCTTTTTCTATATTTGAGAAGAAGGAGTTATTAAATTTATCTTCTTCTTATTGATTCTATGTTTTAAATCCTTTTAACAAGGTAATTCTCTGTCAAACCGCCGCATTAGTTTTCCTACATTTTTTATTCAGTGATAGAATTCTGCGTCGATTTCTATATTGTCTTATTTACTTTGCGTTTTATATTTCTTATTCTTTCATTTTAACGCCATATCACTCTCGTTTTGATTTTATTTTTATATTTTGCGGTTTGTTCTATTTCTAGCAAAAATCTTTAGTTTTTTTAACCTTTTGTCGTTCGTTTTTGGTTATTTTTCTACATCTTACATTAACTTTCTTCTTTCTTCTTTTTATTTTTCATTTTTATTCCTATTCTTCTTTCTTTAAGTGCCTTTTTAGCTATCCTCTTTACGACTTATTATCATTTTACCTTTCATTCAGGGGTATTTTCTTTTCTTTACTTTTCTTTTGTTGTTTTTGTTTTTGTTTTTTTGAAAATGTCTGAAGTGCAACATCAACTATCAAGTGGAGGGCTAAGTAAAATCCAAAGTAGTCCTTTGTCTGTCGATACAAGTCTGGATGGAGAGAGCTTGGACGGTTCTCGTCGTAGTGGTTATCACGGACTTTCTCCGTTGGATGCCCTAGCTCGAAAACACCGCGATTTAACTCGTCAACTTAACTTTCATAGTTATGCGAATTCTCCGATTTCTAAATCTGAAGACTCTCTTGTTTTACCCAAAGACAAAGCTCCTCGAACTTCTGTGTATCGAACAAGCTCTCCTCTGACTCCTTCTGAATCACATTCCTCCACGACAATGCAAGGTCCCAGTGTTTATGATGAGGATCATTATTATGTCGCTCAACAACTGAGCAGCGTTTTTGGCACTCCCGATAATGACGAAGATGACGATTTTGAATACTCCGAAAAACTTTACGCCGAATCCCGCTTGTCTTCAAACTCTGAAGATAATGATACTGTCGCCAATCACTTTGACGACGATGAATACTTTAAATCTCTGCATCCACCCAACGCTCCTTACCGTCAACAGCTTGATTTCCTAAAACCGAATGATTTGACGTTGCCTGCTTCATCTCCTCAACGTGAATATAAACCCAGCCCTTCCTCCACCGGTCGTCCTCCCGTACTCAGGGCTTCTACCTCTCCTACTATTCTTGGAAACTCATCTCCAGCTGTGAGATCCTTGGAAAGCACTCTGACCGTCTCGCATTCAAGTGAAGCTTTAAACTCCCCGGAAACTGCTGCAGAATTTTACAATATCAGCAACATTTCCAATTCCTCTAACGTAGGTGATTTTTCTGCTATCATAAGAGACCAACAGAACGAAACAACTACCACTAATCAATCATCATCATCCCTTGATTCACCGCTGGGCAGTCAAAGCCGTCAGTCCGCATTACATGGAACACTTCACTTTACAAGATCTGCACCCAAACATCAAACGGTTTCTATTTTCAGAACCCAATCTCCGTTTTTGAAGAGAGCTGATAAAGAAAGGGCTAACCTCAACAAAACAATGGTCTCCATTAATAAATCCATCAACATTTATCAAAGTTTTGCCGAAAATAAATTACCCAGCGCTGACTTGAACAATTCATTCAGATTACTTCCTCTTTCTATTCGGTTAGAATATCCAATCCTTCGACATTTGGAGTTTTCATTACAAGCTTTAACAATGAGCGCCATTCAATATATAGATGAAAACCACGTTGATATCCCCTATACCGACCTGAAAACTGACCTTAGCCCATTTCAAAATAACTTATTCGAATATGAAAACCTATCTAAAGAAAACCACTTGCATCAAGCAATTCGGTATCATCTTTCTAATGATTTTAACAAAGGCTTCTTACACTCCAGCTTTGCTGCTAGGCGTGATGATCACACGGCTTCTTTTATTTATGGATTATACCTTCGACATGGACTAGCCTGTTCTCCAAAGACACATGTTTCTTTTCTTTTCCTTCTTAAAACGGCTACTTTCCTTCTACGTGATCTGTCAGTTGCCTTGCAAGAAGCTACCGTCAATTCTGATAGTACATACACGTCAGGATTAGAAACAAAACGATACACTACATACCGATTATTACTCGCCCTAGTCTTGTACGAGTTAGCCGTTTGCTTTATGCATGGTTGGGGCATCACAAGAGACCGGCCTTTAGGAATACATCTCATCAAGCTCAGTGGAGCTTGGGGAGATGTTGATGCTCAGTTTGAGGCAGGGATTCAATTTTCATTAGGAACAGTTGCGGATAAAGATTCTCAAATGGCTGCAAATTACTTCTTGTTGGCTGAATCACAGGGATTGTCACCTCCACAAAAATGCAAATGGATTTACAAATCCAAGTACAGTCTTCCACTGAATTACAATGTCCCTGCAGCAAAAGAAGTGACCCTTGTTATAAACATATTGGAAAATATTGAAGTTAATACCGTGAAATTGAACGGGAAGACAAAGGCGAAGTTTCGAAACTTCATTTCGGCTGTTCGTTACCTTTAGAAATGGACTCTTGCATAGTTCAAAAGGTAAGACGAATTGTCCTCAGTGTTTGTTTTGCTCTTTTATTATTTATGTTCTTTGGTTCTCTCAGTTATAATAAGTATCAGTAAAAGGATGCATTAACAATTGTACAATATACCGAATAAGAAATAATCATCCATAAAGCAACTACAGCTAATTAAATATCTAAATCGTGTATTCATGATATACCCGCAAAGACTAGCATTGTTTTCATTAACATATATTATATCATAGTCCAAGTAAAATTAAGAATCCATAAGGCATTAAAAGATACGTAAACCATTGCTGCATTAAGCATAAAAAGTTATACTTAAAACCTGGAAAGGCATGAAGAAAAGGAGAGTCAGTAGAAACAACCAGAGCTAATGGCAAAGACCAACGTTCTGAAGACTATCAGAACGTGAATGGCGGTAACCCCAGGCGGCACCGATGGCAATTGCAGCAATTACATATGCATTGTAGGTCATAGCAACGAGCATTAGGAAATAAGAGAATATGAGCTGAACAGCATACAAAGCACAAAGGCGTAATGGACGACTGACCTTACCCGATCGTTTTGAAGCAGTAAGTAATCCATCCGTCTGTTCTCCATAAGCGCGTTGAAAGTCACATTCTTTGATAGAATTATAGCTACGTAGCTTTTCAAATGCAAATCCTAGAAAAATAATGGCCAGCAAGGAAATAGCAAATTGCAACCCAGAACTAATATGCCATTGCTTGAAAACAATACAAAGATTATTATAATCAGTATTAAATGTCATCTTCATAGAACAGTGTTTAATTATTGAATTTCCGTCATCGTGACCGTGATCCATGGTTTCGACTTTTGAATATAGTTTTTCTTAACAATTCGATTCTAGTTTCACTTAAATAAGAATAGCTTTTAATGATAAAAACTTACTCTAGAATTGAGGAAGTTGGTTGTTTCTCAATTCCCATGGGGTGAACTTTCAGATATATGTTAGCGAGTTTTTAGCTATTGTAGGTAAGTAAGTCTACATAGATGCATTCTATAGTACCTGTTTGATCAGATGATTTGAAAAAGGTGTTACAAATGTTTGGTTCATATCAAAGAGAGAATAAAATAAAGTATTAATGTAATAAAAAAAGTTGGTGACGAAGAACTACGTTTGATGAATGACTTCCAACGATAAGAAAATCTAAGTAGAAGCTTCACCTCTTCCATGAAGCCTGTTAAACAGCAGCTGAAACAAGACTAGATTCTTCTTTGAAGAGAAAATAATTTTAAATATCCGGACTATGCATCAAAAAAAGGGGATTATAAAAGGATAGTGTGTAGAATCTAGTTTTCGCTACCTTGATAATAAAAAGTTGCAGAGTTCTTGGAAATACTAGGAGGTGTCGATTCCTTGGCAATACGATTTAATTGAGATATCGCATCCAAAACCTCTTTCTTTTGTTCAGAAGACGCTGGAGGAGTATTTTTCTTACCTTCAATGTGGATTTCTACCGAAATACCAGATTGAAGAAATTTTTCGGCTCCCTTCAATTTTCTCTTTAAATCATTGTTATCAATTCTCCATGACAAAAGTATATATCGTAGGCGAGTTTTACTCTTATGTTTCGATCGACGGATTTTGTCTTCCTGTACAGCTTTCTCGTTTTGTTTACTCGTTAGCAATTGAATAGGAGCATAAACACAAATAGGATGTTCTACATTTTCTGAACGGTCTGCGACTTTCAGCACTGCATGATCCCCCATGTCCCTGGCATTCGAAATTGCTTGATGAAGACTACACCATATAAGCTTATTTGGTCGTCCTTCATCCTTCATCCGCATAAATACATAGTCAGATGCAATACTTTCGTTTATTCTCCCCTTGAAATACTCTTGCAAAGACTCGCTAACATCCGTACGTGACACGAACGAACAATGAAAGTATCGCACAGAGTAGATCCGCTGCCAGGGACTATTAAATGTTACATATGATGGACGAATAATCGTACGCCTAAATAGAAGATTTCGCAACATAATCATGATTTCCAATAATCAACGCTTATATGCTCATCTATAATTGAGCTATCCGAGTGCTTGTATTCCAAAAAAGCGTGTTATTTAAACAATAATAGTAAATAAATACTTCGTTTCCTTAATACTGGAATCCTAGATCACTCCGAAGACAAGACTGACCGAGAGTGTGTGATTATATCCATTTTTGGTGTTCCTACTAACGTCACCGTTTACAGTAGTAACTGAGGTGGTACGTTAATAAACAAGATGTTAATGAAAGAATACATGAGTATAAAGTCTTATTGAAAGCCGGCAAATCTGTATTGAATAGCTCGTCTTGTGAAAATTTCACTGAAGAAATCCTATTTCCCTTTATAATGACTCATTAAGACGAAGGAGAATGGTAAAAGTGACTTCGAAAATTCGCCAAAATAGTACCAGATATGAGGTTATAGAGATCCTACTTGGGAAGAAATGTCTCATAAAAACCTTCATATGATGGCAAGAAAAGGAAGAATGATCGTCCAGGAGGAACCGAACAGAGGTACTTTTTCAACGCTCAGTTCCGAAATAAATCAAGAACATAAGTACGGACTAACCAACAAAAGGATTATTCACAAGTAGAGATTGAAGATACAAATAATTTCACCGAAATTCGCTTCCTAACCAAGCGTATTCATGGTCGGTGTACTGACACTCTCTCAACTGAACACCTCAATTAGCACCACCACGAAGTGTGCAAGTAATGAAGCTTCCACTCAATCTAGGCTCAAATGCTAGAGCTTTACCTTCATTTAGTCATGAACTAAAGTCATACTTAAGATCAAAAAAGTTTTTCTCAACGAATGGAGTTGAAGAAAGTCCCATTCGTTCACAAGAACTAGACAATGGAATTACCTACGTTACAGACCCGCGACCGGGTCATTTTACAGGCCTTGGCGTATATGTTAATGCAGGATCTCGTTATGAAACAAAAGAATTGACAGGAATTAGTCACTTTATGGATCGACTTGCTTTTCAGGGAACAAAATACACATCGGTAGAAGATATGAAAACCAAACTTGAAATTCTTGGCGGTAACTATATGTGTGCTACTAGCCGAGAGTCTATGATTTATCAAACGGCTGTATTCAATGAAGATTTCAAAAAAATGGCAAAACTTTTATCAGAAACCGTCCTTTATCCTGACATAACAGAAGACAGTCTTATGCATTATCGTGACAGCATTAACTACGAGAATTCAGAACTTTGGACGAAGCCTGATGCTCTTTTGGGTGAGTTGGCTCATGTCACTGCCTTTAAAAACAACACTCTTGGTAACTCCTTGCTTTGTCCACCTGAAAGAGCGTCCTCTGTGACGGCAGATAGCATCCAACGTTATTTACAACACTTTTATCACCCAAAAAATATGACACTTGCTTACTCTGGTATTTCGGAGGAAGTCGCTCGAGACATAACTCAGGAATTATATGGTCATCTACCAAAGTCAACTCAACCCCAAGTTTTCACGGAATACTCCCATTACACTGGTGGAAGCATGTCTATCAATAAGAAGGAAGCCCCTTTAGTTCCCTACCAACAGGAGTTTTCCCATGTATTGATAGCAATGGAGGGACTATCAGTCACTGATCCCGATATTTATGCATTAGCTTGTCTTCAATTCTTGTTAGGAGGTGGAGGATCATTTAGTGCTGGAGGTCCTGGAAAAGGTATGTATTCTCGTTTGTATTTAGACGTTTTGAACCAATATCCCTGGGTTGAGACTTGTATGGCTTTTAATCACAGCTATACCGATAGTGGTCTTTTTGGTATCTTTATCACAATTTTAGACGACGCTTCTCATTTGGCAGCTCCAATTATCATTCGCGAACTTTGCAGCATTGCTATGTCTATTAGCAAAGAAGAAGCAGAAAGGGCTAAAAATCAACTTCGTAGTTCTTTGCTTATGAACTTGGAAAGCAGAATGATTTCCCTTGAAGATTTGGGACGTCAAGTCCAAACCCAGAACGGCGTTTATATTTCTCCCAAAGAAATGTGTGAACGGATAGAAAGTTTAACTCCTGCCGACTTGACGAGAGTTGCTCGAAGAGTTTTGACCGGCAATGTAAACAACCTTGGCAAAGGAACTGGAAAACCCACTATTTTGACTCATGGCAACGAAAACCAAGTTGATGATATATTATCACTTTGCAAGAAGGCAGGGCTTGGTAAATAAACCCGAAGTACTATGGAATTACACTTCTATTAATGTTTCATCATTCTTGGTCCATTTTTGGTGGTTTTGTTTTTCGAATTCAAAATGTTAAATCAAATATAATCTTTCTAAAAAACTACTTCAAATTGACTCAGGCATGTTCTGCTGAGGTTGGGTTCCCAACTGTGTTAGAAAGAACACTGAAAAATTGTATTACATAGCATCGCATCTCATATCTTTTGATTACTTGGTAATGAAAAAACAAAGAGTTTTTGTATATTTCCGCTTTAACAAAAGACTGTTCCTTATGATTATGTTTTTGTTTATACTAAAGAAATAAACTTTGATGTATGCTTCAGTTCGTTATTTAGATTAGCATACTACTGCGATGGTATCAGTTGTCTGCATGAACCTATAACACATACGTTACTGACCTACCAATTCATTGAAGTTCAGCAAGTTCTATCAATTCTTTAATTCAAACAACTCTCGTTTGCGGAGAGATTGTGAAATAATTATCAGATATGTCTGTTGCTGATTTTTATGGCTCCAACGTAGAGGTATACCTCAACAATGACAATGTTGTACAAGGTGCTATTACAAACTTTGATGCAGCAAATGCGGCGCTTCAATTGAGACTCTCGGACAATACTACAAGAAGCATACTCACCTCGGACATAAAAAATTTAAGAATTATACCAGATGTATCCGGATCACCCTCACCATCATCAAAAAAGAATAGCTCAAAGTCGGCTTCCAATACCAATTCAGGAAGCACGCCTAACAAAACAAAAGCAAAAAATGATTCTTTTAAAAACCAATGGGCCATGGATTGTGATGGCGAATTTGACTTTGCAGCAAACTTGGAGAAATTTGACAAAAAGCAGATATTTGCAGAATTTCGGGTATGTTAAATACTTAAAGATCTTTTTCATGAAAGAGGAAGACTCCTATATGGATTGACAACAAATTGTACAACAGCTGATGAAACATTGTACTAACATGCATTCTGTATAGGAAAAAGATAAGAAAGACCCTACAAAACTACTTGTGGCTCACAATAAAAGCCACCATCCTACAAATTATCATCCTAATGAAAATGTTTTGGATTCTAACGAAAAAGATATTTCCTCAGACTCAAAAAACCCAAGCCCTTCCTTTACCAAGAAATTCAAAAACAATATTGATGCTTCCTTGGCTTCCTTGATGATTAATGATTCTTCTTCCAAAGGTTCAAATTCTAAAGTTGAGGCAAATCATGAAACTCAACAACAGAAAAAGGAGTGTCATAGTCACTTAGCTCCCACCTTTCTACAGACGCTATCTGGTGAAAAATTAACCACAGTAAAGCCAGATGTTCTTTCTCATGCTATAGCGTTGGCTATTGCGAAAACGAGTACAGACATCGTTATTGAAAATGCTGCTCAGATTATTTCCCAATTCATATATTCTGTCTTGGGTGGACATAAACGATTCACAGCTTCCAACCATAACTCACAGCCTTTAGTATGTATTGTAGTTGGTCAGCATGACCACGCATCAGCGGCCGTTGCTGCTGGACGAAGGTTATGTGCTATTGGCGTAAATGTGGTTCTTCGTTTATTGACGCCTTATAACGTTGATAACAAACAGTTACTCATGTTTTTAGCCGCAGGAGGACATATACCAAATGAAAAATTTGACGAATTCGTGGATAGATTTTCTTCACCTATTGAGCTGATTGTTGATACTGTAAGCGGTTTCCACCCCGCTAATGACAAAAAAACAACTTCTTTGATCAATTGGATAAATAATCAGAATGTCCTTGTACTTTCCATTGATATACCTTCTGGTTACACCTGCGAACAATCTGATGCTGTTGTTCAACCAAAGTGGACTTTAGCTTTAGGAGCTGTAAACACTACTTTAGCAAAAGCGGCTTTTGTCGATCAGGGTGCAGGTGTTTCTGTGTTTGTTGGAAATCTAGGTACCGGTGTACACACTTGGAATGAATTGGGGGTCGCCGATTCTCAAGTGAACGGTCAGTATCTTACTCAAGTTATTTGCGAGGATTCTGAGTGAAAATTAAATATCTAAAATCATTAATTTATTATTCTGAACAGAAATAAATGTATGTAATCATCGTGTTCGTCGGACTAGATCATGCTGAAAATTGTTTACATAAGTCTGAAATGGGCGTCGAAAGTTATCAGCAAAACCACACACTATACCTTCTTGTGGTGGTTGTTGAAAACGTGAAAGTATATTTTGTATTTCATTGAAATTGGCCGTTCCATGCTGTAAGTCAATCAATACATCCTCAACGTCTTCTATTCCTGGACGACAAACAGGGCATATATGACAACTTTCTTTCGAGTAAAACTTATAAAAGTTGAGAAGACTATTAACAACATCGTTGTGATCATTGAGCACAATAAGTGATCCGTTTTTAAGACAGCATCCAAGTGCTTCTAAAGTCTGATAGTCCATAGTCGTTCGTTCACATTGCTCCTTGTTTAATATTCCTGAAGCTGGCCCCCCAGCATATACGCCAACCAGTGAATCCCATCCATTCTTTACACCTCCTGCGTGTGTTTCGATGAGTTCTTTCAACCTAGTAGATAACTTTCCCTCTACTATTCCTGGGTTATTCACGTCTCCTGTGATACAAAACAGTTTAGTTTGATGATTGTTTTCAACTTCGTTACTTGACAGTTCTTGTTTCATGATACTAGATAAACTTGCCGCTGTCTCCAAATTCAGCATAAGTGTCGGTAATCCAAATAAACCCTTTGTAGTTATTGGTTGAGGCATTTGCATTGCAATAGGGAAATGACCTTCAAGAGATCTTAATAAAGCTGACTCTTCAGAGGTGATATAAGTACCCGCACCCGGATGAATAAGAATATCCAGTTTCGTATTAGTCCCAAGAATGTCTCTTCCTAAGAGTTTGCTTCCATATGATTGTACTACTGCTTTTTGTAAGTTGATCATTTCTGCGTAGTAATCTTTTCGAGTATATATGTAGCAAAGAGTTGAGTCTACAGCATTAGAAGCAATCAATGCGCCTTCGATGATCTTCAACGGTTCATAAGTCATAAGCATTCTATCTTTGAAAGTCCCAGGTTCGTTTTCGGCTGCATTTATTACGACAATGCTTGGCTTGCGTTTGTTTTCGCTGCTATGACCCTTGGCCATTTCGTCTCTTACATTTAGCATTTTCAGAAACGTGGGAATTCCCGAGCTTTTTCCTTTAAGACCCGATTTTTCTATGGTTTTAATCTGAGATTAAACATTAGTAAACCTTGTGGCATTGAGAATTGTGGGCTCGATTCCCAGGAAAGATACATACAATGTCAATTGGATCCTTTTTTAGGATTTTTGTAATTCCAAGTCTTGTTCGTTCATCTATGGCATCTTTAATCGGCTGTTTCTCCTTTTTGTGTAAATTTGGAAACAGTCGCTCTTCATGGCTATACTGTGACAACCTTTTAACAAAGTAATTTTGTGAATATATTAAAGAGTTCCTAAATGGTTTTCTTAGCAACAAAACCATAGCATTTGTTTACACTACAGGTAAATCCAGGATTTATGGTTGGATATCTCTAGTCAAGCAGCTCCAGTGCAATGAAACAACATTATGCATAATGGAGCATTATAGATAAAATAGATTTCTATAATATATGATTCGTTTCCCAAAAACTTTTATTAATAGTAAATTAATAGTAATAATTTCTTGATTGCAATCTGCTATCGTGGTTGATATGAAAATGCGTACAAATTGCTAGAAACAACCCTTGTAGCCTTCGAAAATGAAATTTAAGTAATCGTGAGCTTCAAGAAAAACTTTATAGTCGTGTCCAATGTAAGTGGTCTCTTATTTATTGAATTTCTCTGCCGCTTTTGGCTTTGGGAATACATAGACATGCTTCAAGGAGCCCGTATAAGCAGGAACAGAGCGACCAGTATCATGGAACCCAAGTTTAGTAAGAACCTTTTTACTGGCTTCATTTCCATGTATAGGATCTGCCACAATCCTTTTTATACCTTGTTCAAAGGCAAATTCTTTAACTTTGGATATACACTCTGTAGCAACACCAAGGCCCCAATAATTAGGACTTACCTCAAAAAAAAGATGAGCTGTTTCAGAAGAAAGGCTGTTCTTTGATATTCCAACGTTCCCTATATACTTTTGTTTTGGAAACTCAGAAGATGTTTCGATTGGATAAATACCGAAAACCCATCGTTTTCGACGTACCGGAGAGATCTTGGCATCTGTAATATAGTGCTGAAACATGAACCTGCAATACTCCCGGCTGGTGATTTTTCCATATAGCTGGGTGAGATAGACCTTCGGGTCCGATTTTATTTCTGTAATTTCATCAAAATCATCCTCTTCAACTGGAGACTTCAGCAAAAACCTACCTGTTTTTAATTTGGTTTCGTGCATTTAATTAGGATAGCACTTGCGATACGAAATCAAGTGTTCAGTATGAGTACTTCACAAAAAGTCCTCAAACGACCAAGAAAATCTAGGTAGAATTTTTACCCCCAAATCTACTTACATATTAAAATTTTAAAAAGAAAGCGTAATACGATTGTAATTCTTCAACATCAGCTTGCCGAATATTAAAATTTTTTTCACCGTTAAGGCATATATATGTACAACTATACATAAATTCGAGAACATATGTCTTTCTAGGCTAGAGCAGTACAGTGCTTTCGTTGTATTTTATTTTATTATATAATAAAAACAGAAAACTCATAGAACCAAAACATATCCTGTCATTACCATCTTTTAGATCAAAAGGGGGGAATTCTAAAATCAACAACAAATGATTCCTATGTCTCGTAGAAGTAATTTGCTTTCCTTTATCCTATCAATTGGCTGAATACGTTTTCCTTGCATTACTTAATTGTTCCTAAGCTAAAAGATTTTGTATTTTACAAATAGTTATTGCCAAACAATAATAAAGTCTCATTAGTGCAGTTATATATTCAACGAATCATTATGATAATTAAATAATTCATTTCTTTATTCATTAAAGTAACGTAACTTCAAAAAGGAGGATCAGACTTCTTAAACAATTCAAAAATATCATTCGGCCCTTATAAGCTGTACAAGAAACCACCGAAACAAAAAGGACGGCTTAACATATATTTGAGCTGTGAATATTCATAGCTGACATTACGGGAATCTAACAACCGCTTCTCTACGCTAGTAATTTACCAAAATAAATTAAGGGCAATCATTGAAGAACCATTATGTAGAAACTTGACAGTGGGTTGCAACGCAAAGTTTATATAGTACTTACGTAGAACAGTTCAGCAGTTCGATGGAGGGAACTCCAGAAACACGTCCATGCCACTTATAGTAAGAGTTGACTTCGTGCTCGAAATAGTAGGAGGTCGGCGAGCGGGTCCACGAGCACGGGTTTTGCGGGCATCCGGAAGTGAAGCTGAAGGAACAGAAGAAGCCTCATTATTATCTTTGTTTGATGCATCAGTGTTAATTTCACTTGGATTGTTTGCTACAGAAGTCTCGGATTCCGAACGGGATGGTGTCTTAGGCTTAGGAGCATATGCCTGCATCAAAGGACCCTTTTGAAGACGTGATTCCAATGCTGCAACGAACCCAGCTCGAGATCCGGTAAATTTATTTGGACGCGCATTAAGACGACGAGCAGTGTCATTCACGACTGACGCTTCGGAACCATCCGACGAAGGCGCGGACTCGGTTTTATTTTCCGAAGTGACCTTCTGTTTTTCGGCCTCTGATTTACTTTTAATTTCTTCTTTTTCTTTTGTGGTATCATAAGTAAGAGACTCGGTCATGTCAAGCTGTTCATTATTTGGCTTCTCGGACACGGGTTGTTCTTTCGTAATTTCTTCCTTGGGCTCTTCTTTAGGCTCTTCTTTAGGCTCTTCTTTAGGCTCTTCCTTGGACTCTTCCTTGGACTCTTCCTTGGACTCTTCCTTGGACTCTTCCTTGGGCTCTTCCTTGGGCTCTTCCTTAGGCTCTTCCTTAGGCTCTTCCTTAGGCTCTTCCTTTGCTTCCTCCTGAGAACTCAAGTGAGCCATGTGATCAGAAATGCTTGGGTTTTGGGAAATAGTAGGAGTATTTGATGCAGTGGTAGAAGGAGATTGAAGCTGAAATGATGCATTCTTAAACTCCATGTTAGATGGTTTCCTCTTGTCCCAAGAACTATGGTGAGCGTTTTCATTTGGAATGGGTAAATTACTGACAACATCAAAAGGCATGCCAGCGGTACCTTCACCGTCTTTTGTGTAAAATCCCTGTTGAGGCTCGATAGAGCTGTTTTCATCAATTGTAGTTGATGGATCGATATCGGGCATCGGTTCACTTTTACCAGCTGTTAAACCACATATATTGTCAGATTCAGTAAGATTACAATGAGAACGTTGACGCTCCTCAGCCAAAGGCTTGGAGGTGTACGGAAGAGAAGAAGTACCCTCAGCAGCACGTTCCACGTCATCCAACACTTCGTTGTATTCATTTTCCCAAGGTTCTGGAGGTGCACAATCGCTATGATTACCGTTTTCATCGACGTGCTTAGATGGAGAGCGAGACAACTCATCCAGTGATATGTTTCTGGGCAACTTGCGAGAACCGGAGTTAACAAACTTCTCATCAGGTGCGTAAGGAAGGCCACGATCAGTTTGTTCAGGATGAATAATTGGTACAGAACCGGTGTCAGGATTTAGAGGCACGCAGATTTCGGGCGTATCATGTTCCCAATGAGCCTTTTGTGCCATGGCAGGTAAAGAGAGAGTAGAAGATACTTGGGGATCGTTCTTGCCATGACGAAGGGCAGCAGATAACCCAGAAGATGAGGCAGAAGTGCGTAGCCGACGAATCCCGTCTGCATTAGGGGCAACATCATCTAGTCTGGATGTACCAAAATTTCGAGCATTCTCATTTCGATGATTTTGATGAGTACCCTGGAGGTCGACAAAACTAGGTGTATGGGACAAGGACGGCTTTTCGTTACTTCCACCATGATTCATAATTCCTTCGACAGCCATAATGTCATCTTCATTTACCAAAGCACGAGGTACGTTTTTTTGGGATTGTTGACTCGAATCTCGTCGGTCTAAAGGCACCGGACGACCATCCGGTCCCAAAAACAATTCATTCGGAATATTGGACGTAGAAGCAGCTAAAGAAGAGGGAACCTGCTTCTCGGATGATTGGGACTGTAATGACTCAGACATTGTTTGCCGATATTCTAACGTAGTCGAAAGTCGTTCAACAATTTTAGTATTATAACTACTTAGAAAATGGGAATTCTTTCAATCCGATATGTGATTTTATTCGAAACTGGATAAAACCATCAAACTTTCCTATGATTAACGGTGTTTGCAACTACTACAAGTGTTTGTTGTAGGGATCACATATATCACAAACCCTTCGTTTATACAATATCAATGGAGCATACCACTCCGAGGTTTCATACATGGCTTTATTTTTGATAATGAGAAAACCAAACAATTACAGTATTTCAATAAAAATTTATCGGAAAACACCGTTTTATGAGAGTATATTACCAAGAAACCTTTTCAGTAGAAAAGCAATGGACGACATTTCAACAGAAAGAGCATCAAATCAGTTTCGCTATATGCCATTCAGTTTAACATTTTACAATGAAACTTCATGACCTACCGCTGAAACTGCACTTGTTACATGAATCTACACTTTAATTACTTTCATTTAATCCACGATTACTACAAGCCCCCAAAAACAAAAAATTTGGCTTAAATTCCAAGCATCAATTTTGAACCTTTTTCTAGGTAAGAAGCATTATACAGCTCTTAACGTTGGTAAGACCAGACACCTTCCAAAAGACCGTCTTGAGTGGTGAGACGGTTAATGCAGTCGTCGGACTCGCCCTTGGAACGAACGAAACCGGAGATGGCGTAGGTGGTCTTCTCGCCAGGGATTTGGCGACCTTCAGCGTCAACAGCGCAAACGTTAAGTTGAACGGAAGCGTGATCCTTAGCTTGAATGATACGGTTAGTGGCAGAGCTAATTATACTGTTAGTACTTCTATATCTTATTTTATGTCTCCTTCAAGAGTATTTCTTACCACTTGCGGGGGACGTAAAGGTCAACCAATTGTCCAGCGTCGTTTTCCATGTTTGAAAAAGTTGGGTTGACCTTTACTCTCCTTCTCCTAGTATTTTGATGCAGTTTGGTTTAACAGTCACAGACCTACCCTATACATGTCTAAATGTCTCAAATAACGAAGTTTAGGCATTCATTGAACTGTACTATTACGCGCTCGTAAAGACTCATTATTATTTGAGACTTGGACCTAGTGTTCTAAAAAGATAATAGGTGAAGAACACCAAGTACTGGAAAGCTATATAGGTACATCGAAAGCATATATATCATTTCTTTTCATTCTATTTATTCGGTTAACTTCCTGCTTTTTTTGGGATTTTGGATTGATACTTGCTCCTGGTGAATAACAGTTAAAAGATGTCAAAATTCTTGCTCGATCGGTGTTTACGGGAATTATCTCCATTGACAGTTCTTAAGGATGATATTCAACAAACTGGAAAACCTCTCCTTTATTATATGATTAAATCAGCAGCTTCTAGGTACAAAAGACTGATGTTTTAAAGTGTACAAAATTACTAACAATGGATTTTCGGCAGAAATATCAAAGTGTTATTTATATCTTATGAAACTTTAGAAGCTAATTGTCCTTCTGAAGTCGACCAATTCATCTATGCTACAAGCTGGAACAAAATGAAAAGTCTAAAAGAGTTGTATGACCAGATTGTGCAATGGTGGAAACGAGATCATCAGCATTTAATTGTCATTGACGCCATTAATCCGATTTTAAACAATTCTGTATCTAGTTTCTCCATGTTTTTTGGATCTATCTTGGCTTTGGGATCTACAGCTTTCCTTACGGCCTATCACAAAGATGTGTTGTTGGAAAATTATCCATCTTACCTCCCAACTTGTGAAACGTTTTTGGATTATACAAGTACGTGCACTATTTCTTTTACTGGAATGCAACATCTCATGGTGGAACACGATGCAATAATGCGAAGTCGGCCAAACCCCTTGATGGAAGAATTAAATGATTGCACCATTGTCAATCTGCTAGGATCAAATTGCCCAAATGGTATTGTTTGTTATGTGGATTTCCGAAAGAAAAGCGGACGTCTTATTAAAGAAACTTGTACGTTAAAGAATGGAGCACTGGAAGCCTTTACGACATTTGTTCGCTCTCAGAAGCAGCCAGAACCGGAGGCTCCTACGGATCTCGACGTTCCTTTCAATCTTACTCTATCAGAAAAAGAACGAAAAGAAAGAGAAGGCGTGTTTCTGCCTCACTTTGGCGCACAAGACATTGCAAAACCAGCTGAATTTGGTTTCGTGGATGGGGGTGCTATAATTTACCATGCGGATAAGGCCGACGATTTTGATGAGGAAGAGGATGCTGATGAAGATTTGCTAATTTAATTTAGCTTAGTCCAGTATGCTTTCAGGAAGTCCTAAAGTAGCATCCAGGATGTCAATGGTTTATCGATTTTAAATTTTATGTACACTAGAATGAAAAACTTACAAATACGGTTTTCGTTACACGTCTAAATTATCTTATGCTATTGAACCGCTTATACTACTTCATGTTGAATGTAAAATCTAACCATAGTTCAATAGTGGGGAGGGAATAAACAGAAGAGCTAAAAATTATACATATAATCTACTGAATGTATATATATATTTATATATATAATCCTGGATAAACCAAATTTTATACAAGCTGTAGAACGTTGTACGCTATGCTAACTTTAAGCAAGGTTGAAGGAAGCATCAGGGAAAACCTCGAACTTTTCGTTAAGGCTACCACGCTTGTTCAAGAACTTGGCATAGCATCCATCAGGAATGACCTCACCGCGGCTACGCTTCTCAATGAATTCATCACGGTTGTATTGAGAGAAACCCCACTTCTTGGAGACAATGATTCTCTGTTGGCCAGGGAACTTGTATTGGCAACGACGGAGGGCTTCAATAGCAGTGGCACGGTTGGAGTCCTTGGTACGGATGGACATCAAGACTTGACCGATCTTGACACGGGCAACCAAACCGTTGGGCTTACCGAAAGCGTGACGCATACCTTGTTGCAATCTATCGGCACCGGCACAAGAAAGCATCTTGTTGATACGGACAACGTGGTAAGGGTGGGCACGAACACGGAGGTGGAAAGCATCCTTACCAGCAATCTTCACCAAGTACTTGTTGGAGCTAATACGAGCAGCTTCAAGAGCTTCGGAAGTAATTTGTTCCAACTCGTTTGAAACCAAGTGAACGCACAAGGGGAATTCGTCAACAGTGGCACGCTTACGGCCCAAGTCAAAGATTCTGATCTTGGGGTCAGGAACGGCACGGTTGTAACGAGACTTGGGGTAAGGCTTGTTCTTAATGTAACGGTAGCAACGAGCGGGTCTACGTGCCATTTTGTTGAGTTTAGTTTCAAAAGAGGTTGGTGGACGAACAATGCTTTTAAGTAAGAAATGCTTGTTCGTAAACCACCAAAAAACAGTCACGGCTTAGTGATCAACGGCGGCAACATTATTAACGTATTCAAACGAGAAACGTCTCAATGTGTTGTATTACACAATTCATTTACTGCGTTGTAACGTAGTAAATGTTTATGTCTGTTGTAGAGTGTTTTTGCTGCTGTTGAAGAAAAAGTAGAAGAACAATTATCCCAATAAGTCAGTTTCAAAAATAATGAATTATAAAATCCACAATATGAAATATTCGAAAAGTCGGGTTGGAGAGCTGAATCGTAAGAATTGATGATGTAGGAGCAACTTCTCTGACATTGGCGATAGGTACATTGGTCACTACTCCTTTATTTTCTATAATTTAGCAAATTGTAAAACACGATGCATTTCTTATTAATACAGTAAATACATAAAAAATTAAAAAAGTCTAGCTGTCGAGTAATCCATTGGCAAAACAGGGGACATATAAACGGAAAGAATGATTTCATTGTTTACGACTTTCTAAACAATAAGAGTGCCTTAATAAGAAATGTATCCAAATCCTCGTATATCAGTCATTTTTATAATCCTTGACTTTTTGCAATAATTATAATCATTTTATGGGCTTTTTTCAAAACAAACGCAATTAGTAGTTGGCAACGATGCACTTGGTCTTGAGTCGATTGGGATGTCTCAAAAGTTGTGAGTCGTCTCTTATTATATCATAAACAATCATACATTTGAGTGAAGTATACGCAAAATGAACAATAGAAGCTGCAAAACTTGTATCATGCAATGGTACAACTTTCAATACATGCATTTAACCAGTTCCCCCGATCATTGCAGGAAATTGTTTGAGAATCTCCTTAGATGATTACCGCCGTTGGAAAGAACATAGGAATCCAGAAGGGTGTAGGCTTTTCCTTTTTCTTGTATTTACTCAAACACTATGATGTATCGTGGTTCGTTTAAAAGCCATATTCCTTTGATTTATACTATGGAAAGCAGAGATGTCAAAAAAGCAGTGGTCCCCAATCAAGAGCGTAGTCATGTATAATAAGGAAAAAAGGATGAAATATAGCTCATGCTAGAGGAAAATAAAAAGATTAAATAGTATAATTATGATTTGTTTTCGTCTAAACTAACTTCCACTGCGTCAACGATATAGTGTCCAAGTTTTATTGCTTGGTTTCCTCTCAAGTACAATACTCCAAGTCAATTGACCTTCCAAAAAGTAAATAAAATTCCATATTTGTGTATAGAACTAGCTAAGTGCAGTTTTTTTTTTATGCAATGGTCTTTGTTTACTTTTTGTAATAAACTACTACTTTGTATTATGCTACTAGAATCTATCGTTCAAAAAGTTACCGCCAAATAATCTTAACGAGGATGTGACAAGTCAGTGACATAATGTCGCTGCTTTATGAAATTGAGACATGCGAAAGGCCACTACCAAGATTTTTTTTTTTATTCCTATCTTTGGTTTTAGACAGATTTACTCAAGGTATTGATTTTCTTTAGAAATAAGGAACAATTCCTTTTTTTAAAGATCTCTGAAAGGTGGAACCGATTTCTAAGACTTTTCTCGGTAATTCTAGTTAATTTCGAACTAGCTATAGATATTGGTGTTCTTTGGTTTTGGTTTGCCATTGCAAAAATGAAGAATAAATACAGCCCTGTTTCAGATTCTGATGACTCTTTCAAAGTGCTCAATGATGAAAAGTCAGACGCTAGATCTTTAGATGGTACTGGTACGCCTCCTCCGTACTCAGGTAAGGTTTGTTGAAATAGAAAGGAACAAACGAATGTCGATTGCTTCAATATCCATAAATGTCTGCAATTCCTTGTAAACAAACCCGACAAACGCTCCATCCTTTCTCAAACAATAAGAGCATTTATCACTAATACATTCATTAGCTCCGAACAAATTTATTGATTTAGAAATGGCTGATGGATCCACTCAGCATTCTGCCCAAGAGTCCACTAACATTACTGGGTCGAATTCGACATATTCAAAGTGGGTTTCAGCGAATATCTTCTTTTTTTTTGCGTCTCTTGGGTACATTGGGGCTTATTGTATCCTTCTCGTAATGTTCTTTTATTTCAAGGTTCCTGTGAGGGCGCAAGACCTTTGGGGACTTTTTGGCGGATTTATTGGAGCGATATCATTATTTCTCTATTGTAAGTTAGTGCTATCTTTTATTTTTACTAACTATTAGCAATGTCTCAATTTCCTAAAGAATGGTTCACGCAAGCTGGTAGAGTGCTGCCCAACATGTGTGCCGCAGTATTATGTACGGCTTCTCTGAATGTCGTTGGTTTCGTCGTCTATCGTAATGTAAAGAAAATAATAGGATTTGAAAAGATGAACGATATTGCTTTCTATGGTGTCTGCATTGTTAACGTTGCCGTGTTTGTTTTATTTTGGAGTATGTCTTACACCCTGCGAAATATTCTAACTGTTCTAGGTACGACGGATACGCGACAACTTCGAATATTCATTGCTGATTTAGGAAACGGCATAACAAATGCTGCGAATTATGTTCGTATGTACTCTTTATTATAACTTTTTTCTTTTCTTAGCATCTGACTAACCTAATTAGGACCGACAGATCCAGAAAATGAAGCACCTCATAACGAGGAAATCGAGCTTCAACCTTTTGCTGGGCAAAGCGCTGAAGTTTGAGTTTTAACGAATCTTTTCCATCCCTCCTATAAATCACATTTTCCTTGGAAGCATTCATATCAATTGCAATCCCTCGAGTTTCTGCATTCTTGTCCACAAAAGTAAGCACAGCTTCATTCGGCAGGTTGGATTGCTTTTCACGTTCACTCTTTTATGAATCTAAGAATTCGTCTCGCAATAGTGTTATTTATGAATCGTTCGTTTTCTTTCTGACGAACATCCTTGTTAAAGCAACCTTTTTAATGATTATTTAATTGTTATGGCGATAATCTTGCAAAATAGTCAACCGATTTCTAATTCAAAGCTGGACATATTCAGATTGGCCGTTTCAACTAATGTAGTCTAATAATTTACTTCTCAAACTACAGCTTCGTCAACTGCTATAAATTCAGACATTTGGTCTCACACCTCAACGACAATTTAGCACAATGTGAATAGCTAGAAAAGAGAACAACAGAGTGCTTTAATCTTGTAAGTATCAAAACCATCCTCTATCAACTTTGTTGCATCTTGAAGTAGGATATCCAGCAAAATTACCTTCATTTACACATTGTAAATGTCTACGGCCACACCTAGGCGAAAACACCAGTTCCCGTCCGATCACTGCAGTTAAGCGTCTGAGGGTCTCGTTAGTACTATGGTTGGAGACAACATGGGAATCCGGGATGCTGTAGGCTTTTTCTTCTTGATTTTTGTTTCTTTTATTTACTTAATGGCTAAGTTACACTTTCAATAATTGTTCCTGTAATGGTGTCACAATCGTTCTATGAAAGTTTCACGATAATCAAAGTTCACTGGCACTGCAATTCTTTGCACACATTAATACTATAATTTCCACTGCGAAGGAAGCCTGTATATCAATTTTATCAACCCACTCCACAGACACGTCTAATTACGGCCAATATTGGATTTTTATAGCATAATGGACATAAACGAGGATGAGAATTCTTCAAACCTGCAATCTCTAAAACGACTAGATTTCCATGAGGAAGCCAGCTTTGACTTCTTACAGTCAGACAGCGATGTAGAATCAGAGTTGCGAAAAGTAATTTATAAATGTCTGAAAAAGATTGGTGAATTACATCAAAGCAATGGCATATCTTCTAATGAAGTTCAGAAAGCACAAAAAGATTGCGTACTTGAATACCTTCACTTGAAGAAACATCCGGCTTTAGCATCTATATTACGAAGAAGGACTTTAGAATATAATGTGAATGATTTAAAAACAAGGTTGGAGTCGTCTAAGAAGGTAAAGAATTTACTGAACGAAGAATATCATCAAATAAGGCAGTATCGAATGGATATGGAAATATTAAATACAGAGTTATCCGAAAGACTGAAACAACAAGATACGATTAGCAGAAAAGGGAAGAAAAGCTATATAAACAAAAAGGTTCTTCAGGAAAAAGAAGACGTTTCTGGATCCTCTGTGAAGCTATTCACTTTCCTCAACGAATTTCTTGACAATCATTACAGGGAACTCTTAGAAGGTCCCTGGTCTGTTAGTAAATTAAGCGCTAATGAACGAAAACAGACTGCTACTATTGATAAGTTTGCTAATATTAATCAGTCTGAGGAAGTTAACGAGTTAAAACACGTTTTAGAAGTAAGTGTCTCATACAGATTCTTCTTTTTTATTGTCCATCAGAGTTTATTAACCATAACAATGTTAGGAATTAATGAACCAAGCTACCTCTTCTAGCCCTTCCTTTACCAAAGTTACAAATGAAAAAATCCTAAACTTCTTACTTCGGTCTTCGCTATGTATCTTTGATCCTCGTGATCCTTCACTACTGAAATTTGTACCATTTGCCGATGAGTTTTAACCCGAGAAGTCCCTTTTCCATCAGTATGCTCTTTGCCGCTTTCTGGATGCATTTCTCTTTATTGCATGCACGTTCGTCTATACCATTAATTGCTGAAACTTACGGTAATAGGCCTCTTTTATTTATACAATAATCATCTTGCCAGTCGTACAAAATGCCAATAGTTATTTACTGCGAAAAGCCAATATAAAAAAATTTAATTGTTCTTTGGATAAATTTCGTTTCTAATAGTACTAAGTATCTAAAACTTGCTTGAAAGCAAACAATATATTGTATATTTATAACGGGTAGTCACCTGGCCTGCACATACCAAACACCTCGGACAGCACAAACAACTAAGAGTAGTGAATTTGAAGGTGCAAAGTTGCGATTCTTATAAATTTAGAAAGTTTTCTTCATAGAAAAGGCCTCCTGGAATGAGTTACTCAACCTATCCCTTTGTGGATGATGTGTATGCTTACTACAATCAAACCGTAACGTTTTTAGGAAAAATACTTGATATTTTACCTGGATCAAACGTTTTAAAGACATACATTAAGTCTTCATATCAAAATGATCCTCTGAGAACTTTTATTGAATTCCTTTTGTTCGTCTTTGCCGCTTACTATGTCTTGAGAAAACCGAAGACTTCACCCGACAATAACTATGTAGAACTCACTGAAAAAGAGATAAATGAACTGGTAGATGATTGGAAACCTGAACCACTTGTGTCTCCTTTAGATGATATGGAAAAATTGGAATTAAATTCTCTTACTGTTCTCGAATCAACCCATTTGTCTACAAAGTTGACCGATGGTCGACCCATCATTAACTTTAGTTCTTTTAACTTTCTTGGTTTGGCTGAAAATAAATACATTAACGATGCTGCAGTGAAAACTTTACGTGAATCTGGTTTAGGAGCTTGCGGACCACCAAATTTCTATGGTTCTCAGGACAAACACATTCGTTTAGAGAAGGACATTGCTTCTTTTATTGGTGTTGAAGCAGCTATTGTATATGCTCAATCTTTTCAAACCATTTCATCGGTTATTCCGGCCTTTTCCAAGCGTGGTGACATATTGGTTGTAGATGAAGCTTGTAATTTTGCTATTCAGAAGGGAATACAGATTTCTCGCTCAACTATACGTTATTTTAAGCACAATGATATGAAAGATTTGGAACGTATTTTGCAGGAACTTCAAAATGACTTTCAGCGACACAATCGTCCTTTAACCCGCCGATTCATTATTACAGAAGGCATATCTGAAAACTTCGGAGATATGGTTGATCTTGCAAAAGTGGTTGCTTTGAAAAAGAAGTACAAATACCGCTTAATTCTTGACGAATCTTGGTCGTTTGGTACTTGTGGTCGTACCGGTAAAGGGTTAACCGAACATTTTTCTGTTCCTCCTAACGATGTAGAGATGATTATTGGTTCTTTGAATACCAGTTTGGCTGGCGGTGGTGGATTTTGTGCCGGATCTACCCTTATGGTCGAGCATCAACGTCTTTCTGGTATGGCATTTATATTTAGTGCAGCTCTCCCTCCTGTGTTGGCAACTGCTGCTTATGAGGCCATTGCTATTTTAAACCGCGATGGTGGGTCTATGCTGAATGATCTGCGTAGCAAGTGTGCTCTGTTCCATGCCGCACTTACTAGAAACGAGTTCTTCGATACTACTAGTGACCTTGAATCCCCCGTAATATTCCTTCATTTGACGAAGAAGTCTATACCTTACGCGAAGCAAGTTGCGATTCTGCAAGATCTAGTGGATTTTTGTAAGGATCAAGGCTTTTTAATTTCTCGTGCTAAACGCGTTGAGAAAATGGAACGTCTCAAGCTTCAACCTTCTTTACGAATTTGCATATCCACTGGTCATACTAATCAACAAATTGAGAGCCTTTCTTCCCTACTCAAAGAAAATACGGATTCTATGTTGAAGAAGCATATAGAGTCTAAAGCTTAGGCTCATTGCTTCTTATATATCTGGTCTTCATGCTATACCGGTTTGAACTATATCTAAACTGCAAAAAATATAATTGTCAATGACCTTGATTCATGACGCATAATTTTCCATATTCGTGACTTGTATACTTAATTACAGTTTATGTTGTGATACTTTCTTTTTCTCGAGCTTCTTGATCCATATAGTAGTGGAATAATCAATAAATTTTTTTATTTACTAAAAATTCATTTTAAGTGATTTATTTATGTTATCGTCACAGATGGGTTAGGTTCTAAGAGTTGTATTCATTGAACCTGTAGTGTCTTTGAGTTATAAACCTTGAACATGATGCGTTACACAGTCTTTCAAAGTTCATTTTACTCAGGTTATTACTTTGCTTGAAGAGCTTCGTCTTCAATGAACACAGCGCAAGTAGGCTTAGGCGTGGGGATAGTGAATAAAAGATCTAACTTCATGGTTTTGGGTTCTCTTTTATAGACCTTAACTAAATCTTCATCCTGCATTGCAACTGCCAGTAAAGTAGCACCTTCATTGAACATAAAGTGTCTTGGGCATCTTCCTTGCAAGTCTGTGTGCGAATCAGTACCTTCAATTATACGACCGGTATGAGGATCCAGGGATGATGCCCACAAAGTATCGGTATCATAATTTCCAAGGTAGCGTGTAGAAGCCACAAGGAAAGGTCCGTCATAAACCACCGCAATTTCAGCAGCACTGGGAGGCTGCGGAAATTGGGGGTCATGCTCCAAAGTCACATTTGCGGGAAGGATGGATATATCTTGAATGCATTCAAATGTATTCGTATCAAAAACACAAACGCGATTTGACAATTCACAGATGACATATAAAACAGGAAATTCTTTGTGCACAACTGCATGTCTGGGACCATATCCTGATGGAACCTTCAATTCCGCTATTGGGTCTGTTGAGGTAGTTTCAGCGTCAAAAATAGCAATTCGGTCAAGACCTAAATCGACAGAAAAAACCAAATGCTCGTGCTTCAGAACCTGATGAGGATGAGACTTTCTTTGGCGCTCTGGATGTGCAGACTTTCCCTCATGATACCACACATGAGGCTTTTCGTGACCTTCAGCTGGTATTTCTTTATTCTTCTTATGCTTCTTGCTAATGGAGGAACTTCCATAGTTGGCTGTGATCACGGCTCCATTTTCCAGAACACATAGACTGGTAGGGCTATGACCTTGGACAGAAAATTCATCGACTTTTGTAAACTTGTTGGAATCCCACTCAAACACGCTAACGAAGCCATTCTCAACTTCATTAGCTACGTAAAGGTGCTTGCTCTTACTTTCCCATTCGATCCATGTTGGACTAGACACTCCGGCTAATCGTTCTGTGATTTCTTTCTTTTGAAAGTCATACACAGGAACTGGAGCATCAGCAGCTGTTCCAATTACAAGTTTCATTTTCGTATTCGATTATGCGTTATATTTTAGTACTCTGCAAATTCGTTAATTCCTTAGTGGTCAAAGCTCTACTGAACAAGCGCACTTGATTGAATGAGAAGCTTTGAAAATTGAGTTTAATGGTTTACTAGTTTGCTATTTTCGTAATTCTTCACAAACCTGTAATCCTTTGAACGTTGGTGAAAGGAAAGTTCCTACATAACAGTTTGCGTAAGTCTAACCCCAACTATGAAAGACCTATGATTTAGGAAAGACTACATACACACGGTAAATTCATTGGGCTTATTATGGACGTTATACAAATTGCTACGGATGCTACAAATAGAAAGTTTAAGAGGAGTACACAACAGCTTCCATGAGTAAGTCTCCGATTTAGCAAATTGTTTTGTTCGAATAAAAAAAGGATTTCAATTATGCATGAGCTGACTACGCTATACGTTCGGGATAAGCGAGTTTTATGAGTTTTATTAAGGTCTCGACAACGAACAACTAAAACCCACTGAAAAAATCTTACACAGTCAAAGTATAAAATATAATTCAATATGTGATAACAAGGATTGGCATTTTAAGTCCGTCGTGACATAAATTGTAAAAAGAAAGGAGATTATACGAGCTTTTCACACTTAGGAAAACTAAGTTAAATGCTTAAGTTCTTCCGTAAGACAAAGGAGCTTTTAACTCTCTCTCTTTTTCTCTCTCTTTCTCTTCCAATCAAAAGAAAGAGATAAAGAAACTGAAAGAAAAGGGGGGAGGAGAATATTAGTCAAATAAGGAAGATATCCAGAAACGAATATGTAGCAAGGTCGGAAAATTCAAAAAAAGTAGAACAGAAATATTCTCTGTTGCTTCTTTCATTTTCAAAAGGAGGTAGATTTAAAAAAAAAAGAAAAGAAAGCTAGAGAAAAGAAAAAATCGAGCTTTAAGACTTGAATGACCCTTAAGGCTCAAGGACTGTAAAACTAGGATTTGACTTACTTGCTGACAGGGCGTTGGTATACGATCTTTCTATTCTTAATGGGTGCCCATTTAAATCTCTTGTACCACATGCTAAGGGCGGTCAGAATGGTCAAAACGGTCATGACTTGGAATCCCATCTTTTTACGTTGATCCAATTCTGGCTCGTTAGCCCAGTGAAGGAAATTGACGACATCTTTAGCAGCTTGTGAAGTTGTAGCAGTAGTTCCATCTTCAAATTCGACAGCTTCGTCGAACAAGGGACGAGCCATAGCAATTTGAGTACCAGGGAAAAAGGGATTGAAGTTCATGCCATCAGGAACCTCGACACCAGCAGGAGGATCCACATAACCGGTCAAAAGGGAATAAATGTAATCGGGGCCACCATGACGACCACGTACAACTAAGGAAAGGTCGGGAGGAGCAGCACCATTGTTGGCACCACGAGCAGATTCAACATTGGGGTAAGGAGCAGGCATGAAGTCAGAAAGTTTACCTGGGCGCTTGAACATTTTGCCCTCATCGTCAGGACCGTCTTCATATTCGTATTCACTGGCCATTTCTTTCACTTCGTCAGCAGTATGGGTGACACCAACCAAGTGACGCCAAGCGATGTAATCAAGTGCATGACAAGCAGAACAAACCTCACGGTAAACTTGGAAACCACGGCGCAAACTGGCATGGTCATAACCCTTGAGCAACTTTTCTTGAGGCCAGTCATGCTTAATAAAGTGTAATCCTTCTTCCTTCGGAGAAGCAGCTGAAAGCTTGGGTCCGTATACGTTGTAGTACAAGGCGAGCATACCAACGGAAAGCAAGGTACTACTGGCAACGGCGATATTAGTGCGTCTGTTGCTGGTCTGTTCAGCTTGCTGAGTAAAGCTCTGTATTTGTTAGTCGTTTATTCAAATGTAACCCTTTCGGAATCCCATTCTAATCTTGTAGACCCGCGGACCCGGAGACGGCCCAAAAAAAACGTACTCTAACGCCGGACCGAGCGAATTTAAGCATTTCGCTTTTCTTTTTGAATAAATGAAACATCCTAATCGTTCTTTCCTTTTATTAAGAAAAAACTACACTTTGAAACAATTCCCTGTTAGTTTATTGGGTGAGTGGAGGTAGGTGTGGTTGGTAAGTTAAGAACACCAATTCCCGGTTTTGTGTAGACCAACAAGAAGAATGGAAATTATATATTCAGGATTGGAAAGGAAAAGTAAATAAATAATATTTTTAATGAAAAACGATATTTAAAAGGAAAAAAATAAGAAATTTTATATTTGTAAGATTTCTTTCAACCTGTTAAGATGCTGCTCGATTTTGTTTGCGATACAGAAAGACACTCAGAAAAATAATGAATACTGTTTAAGTATTTAAAGAGTATTTTCAGCGAAAAACTTTTTACATAGTGTAGGATTGAAAGATTCAGGTGGTGAACGAATGGCACAGTTGAATATGAATGCTCACGCGCTGTAACTGTAAGAATAATTAAGGAGTTGTCATATTTCTCTCCTATAGATTGTTCTATTGCTGCAGGATTCTAAAATAGAAAGGAGTCGACATATTATTAGACTATCACAAAGCCAATTATTGGAATAAATACAAAAGAAAAGAGACGAGTAATAATAAGTTAGGTGAAGTATGAATTTTCCAGACGAATGCTTTAGATCAGAACTAAAGGTCATCTATTATATGCATAGGAACTCAATATGTTCGAAAGGAATCGATTCTTGACCCCCCCCCCGTTCTTAATCAATTAACGACTAGCATTACACAACAAAAGGACATGGGAGAAGCATCTGAAAACAAACAAAAGTGTAAAAAAAATGTTATACATAATATGAGAGGGATCTCAATACATAAAGAGAACGGAAACTGAAACGGTAAAAAAGGGAAGGAAAGAATGACAGAGGTTCTAAGGAATGCTTATACCGATTTTGTTGAATTATTGACAGTCTGATCCATTAAGTTTTCAATTGCCTTCAGATTGCTGAAGTTTACAGTCGAAAAGCTAGATACAAAGGGTGTCAGGTTTTTCGTCACAGTAGCATAGAAGGTCGCTTGTGATTTTGAAAAAGCTACGATGCATTCATCGGTTGTTGAGCGAGTCAAGCTAAGCAGTATTGGTAGCTCTTCTAGTAAACAATTGCTTAGTAGTGGAAATGATTCCAGATCGGTTTCTATGGTCAAGCCAGAATGCCGCCGTTTTGAAAATGCTGAAGCACGTCGAATCCAAACATCGGCAATGTAAAGGGGGTTACGACAATAATGAATAGCCTTTGACATGGGCTTAAGTACATCCTTTTGACATTGCTCAATCAAGCACAAGATAGCACCTTTCGCAATGTTTTGCAACTCTAAGGAAACTGGAATCCACTTCTGCATGGAGGGTGTTTCTTTACAAAAATGTACGTAAGAATCGACAAATGTATGCATATGGGTGTAATGCATTCTAGAATACTTAATCCATTCGCAAATTGATGTCCGAAGCGCGACCAAGTCACTGTAGGAAGAAAACAAATCTTGGATTAAGGAAACTATCTGTTCATGTTCAGGAATATAGAAGACATTAATAGAAGTTTTAAGCTAAAACAAATCATTAGTCAAATGTAAACAGAAAAAAAAAATAGTTACCTTGGAAAGTTTTTTGGATACTGTGTCTGTAGAGAGTACCAAAATTTCTTGAGTATCTGTTACAGCCTTCAAAGCATCGACTACTATGTCCCTCCGACGTTTCATTTCATTTGCTCTTTGACTGGCTAATTCCGATTGATGACAAGCTTCTCCTAGTAATACATAGTCCTGAATCATTCCTAGACTGGCTGACTTGTATAACTGGTTTAGCAAAAGGGGATATTTCAAAAAGCGCTGCATAGGCTTCACTAGAAAGCTATCTAGATTCCATGATTTACTCTCTATTTTTGCCATGCTATCACATTCCTGTAAGTAATCTGACATAGACGGACTATTCGACCATTTCTCCACGATCTTGACAATATCATCTTGATCAAGACAGTATCTGCTATATACTGAAGAAAGCTTAGGAAGCCACTTGAGAAATATTTTGGCAACTGATGGCTTTAATCGTACAGAAACTTGAATTTCTTCAGTCATGTTTGCGATTTCCTCATCAAATGCTTTGGAAATTTCGCTTTTGAACAATGTTGCCTGCTGGCATAATTCTAAAAAAACCTGAAACACTTTCTTCCATTCACTTTTCTTTACGTGTCCATTTAACCGTTCAGCATAGTAACGTCTTGCAACATGTAAGTCATGAACATATGCAGCTTCAGAATCACGGAACTCCAAAAGAACAGCCAGAACAGTCTTTTGTTTGTCTTTAGATCGTAAAATAGGTTCGGTCTTAACACTTATACTTGCCAATGATTGAGTCTCGCTATCTTCTGGTCCAAAAGGGTAAGAGTCCCGCCGAGCAGCAAATGTTTCGTCCAAGCTACAAGAGAAACTGGTAACTGGAAAAGTATCTGACACAATTCGCTTTCCACGACTCTGGAACATTTTCGGGATGCTCATGGTAAATTCAAGCAATACCACAATAGAATATATTTTCGATGCCCGAAGAGTTATGGAAATAAGTTACAATGCATTAGTCGTGTGAATTTTTCGGTGTGGAATGATCTTTTTCTTTTTACACAAGAGAAACCAAAATAAACGTTATTTAACTCTAGTATCTACGAAATGAATGCAATGTACGTGGAATAAAGGAGATTGGATATTAACGACGGATTGTTTCGTATAGGTGGTATAGGGAAAAAGTGGTAGATGAAGTCGCAGCATGAGTGCTGTTGCTTTGACTCCGTATACATTTAATAAATAAGATTCAGTAAGAATTTGATAAATGAAACAAAAATAAATAGAAAAATCATCCCTATTGACGCATATTGAGTATACAGGATTTGGATGTAGCATGCCGATTAGGAGGATATATACATGTTTCAGAATCAATTAAATAAAAATACTCAAAGGTTTTGTATTCTTTATTCTGTCTTTCAGAATAATTGAAGCACAACAAAGTAGTGAAGAGAATGTCAGTTAGAAGAAATAAACAAAAATTAGTAGAAGCAAAACAATCATATCAAGAAAATATTGACATAATAAACCAATTAAGCAATAAAAGTCATCAAAATAAGCGCCTGAAAGACTTTAGAAAAATAATATTAAACGTCCCGGAATATTTATTTACTACCGAGATACAATGAGGTTAACCGCGTTTGTATGAAAAAAATAAAATTGCATCAGCCGGGAGTCGAACCCGGAGCGAATGCTTGGGGAGCATTCATGTTACCGCTACACCACTGATGCTAACCACTAACCTTCAATGTTAAAAGATATATGTACATGAAAATATTACATTTTTGAAATTAAACAAGGTGTTATCGTTGCAAGAAAAATAATTTGTACATACATCCAGCTATTTCTCGTGCAGAGAAAGAGAACTCCCCAGACACGGTTGCTTCCATTTGGGTTCGTTTTATAATTAAGTGACCTTCATTGACAGACATGCACAGCTTTTACACATATATACAAACCTACATTGTTAATCACGAATCACCAAATCTATATTACAAATTAACCGACGAAACAATTATAAATAGAAATCTGAAAATGCAAAACCTAGGGGTGTTCATAACCAAAGTTGATTTTCTTCACCGACGAGTGCGTTTAGCATTTCTGGAACTATGTCTGACTTGCTTTGATGTCAGTTTCTTTTCCTTTTCTCCTTCTTCAACAATCCATTGTGTATCCAATTCCTTGTTTTTGCCTTTATAGCCCCATTTAGGTACCCATTCTCCCGAAGCTTCATCGAACACCAGTTTTCCTTCGCGCTTCTTGGGTGCTATACCCTTAAGGCGAGCAAAGCGTGCCCATTTCGTTTCTGGTTTAGGCTTAGGCAAATGTTTGGCTCTAGGAAGAGGAGTAGTACTTTCGGGCAAAGCAAGCAATACACCGTCTGCAGTTCGTTCTTTGGGTAAAGCCAATAATTTATTGACGAGCAACTGAGCATTATCACGGGAGATAGATGTCAAGTAATCTTCTTTTTCCTGACTCCTCTGAGAGTTCAATTTTGTCTCGTCTAAGGGGGTCACATCTGAGGCAGACATGTTGCCTAAATCGTATTCCAAGGGAATTGCTTTCTCAACACTTGTAGACATCTTAAGTTTCAACCAGTAGTATTAATTTCAAACTTCTTTTTACACCCTTCCAAAATTCTAAGATATCCACTAGACCTTCAAAAATTTTCACAGTTCAATTATTTGGTTCAAAAGCTCAAAAGGAGTAACTTTGCTTTTCAAAAATTGAGGTCTTCTTGCTTAAAAAAGCTCTTTCCTATTCGGTTAACCTCTTTTGTAGTTGTAGAAAAGGATTTAAACAATTTCTTGTACAAAGCTTCTCGTTCTTCTGTAATCCTTTTAACCCTACCCTATATAAAATAACGATGACCTTGTACGTCGGTAACCGGCTATCTTAGGGTCAGGTTCAAAAGTCTTTTACCGCGTAATGCCCATTTCAAGGTAAATCGTTCGAAAAAAGACACATAAAATGCTTCCAAAGGTGAGAAGCACTTCGAATGCGCTGAATCTTCGAACAGGATTATTAGGAAAATCGAAATTTTCCTGGAAACAACGTGTTAGTCAATGTACGTACAGGATTGAACAAACAAATTCCGGCAACGCCTGCAGAGTCAAAGGATTTTCTACTTTTCTTCCTTTGAATAGAATTGAAAGCAAGAGCAACATAGAACATAACAATGAATCTGATAACCTGCGTGGCAATGGAAAAAAAGAGTCCCGATCGATACAATACGACCGGAGCAATAAGACAAATAAAAAGCCTCCTCTCCAAGGTCAAGAGACATCCAATGGAAGTATTGTTTTAGATGAGCTTATTAATCAGGATGGCCAGCGTGTAAAAGAAGTCCACAAAACCATGCATTGGTCACCGAAAGCGGAAGGGAAAATGTACGAAATTCCCAGCCCTCTTCTAAGAAAGTTAGATTCTCTTGGTGCTATTGAAAAGCAAAAGAAAAGTTTTTCCTTTTTTTCTAACCCTGTACTTTTACACCGGCAAGTTACCACTAAGCTATACAACATTTTGCAACGTTCTAAAGATGTCAGTTCAGCAAAAGGACGATATATATTAGACGGCTCCAATGGCTCTGGAAGGAGCATTTCTCTTCTTCAAGCTGAAATGTTTGCTTTCTCTCATCCAAACTATGTCGTATTAGGAGTGCATAATTGTGAACGCTGGGTCGATTCTTCCAGCGCTTATGCATATGACCCGTCTTTAAAGTCTTGGGTACAACCAGATCTCATAAAAGAGTTTCTCACTTCTGTTATGAACGTCAATTCCAAAGTTTTGGGGACCTTATCCACATCAAAAAATTATGAATTGGCTCCTGGAAAATCGATTGCCGCTGGTACAGATTTGCATACTTTCCTGCGTAAAATAACAAGTAATTCTGAGCTCTCAGTGAAGTTTTATCAACCCTTCATGCAGGAACTCAATGCGGCCACTGAAAAACCTGGTTCATCAGTCAACGTTCTCTTCGTCATTGACAACTTGTCAGTTTTATCTGTTCCTACGAAGTACAAAAATCCAGAGAACCAGAATATTTCGCCATGCGATTTCTTTTTCATAAGCTCTCTCTATGAATATTTGTTTGGAGCACGCTCCTTCCATCGCGGAACAATTTTTGCTGCAACTTCCAGTCAACCACGTATTAAAACTCCGTCATTAGATGTTGCTTTTGGCAAGACTAGTTTTGATCCCTATGTTCCCATCAACAACTCAGTCTACGAGTCAGCCAAATCGGCAGAGGTCATTCCTTTGGAGCCCTATTCAGTTAAGGAATCTCTTTCGGTTATGGAACATCTAATAAACTCTAACGTCTGCCTTGAGCCTGTTCAATCACATTTCCAAAATCACGTTTTGAGTGGAGGCAATCCCCGACTTTTCTTTGACACCTGTACTCGCTTAACATAATTTATCTTTTCTTTTGAAGTGGTTGATATATACTAATTGTTATCGACTAAAGCTCTACTTTGACTTGTTCGTCCCATAAATTTCGCCTTTGATTTTTCATGTCTTTAGCTTACATGACCAAATCCCCAACCCGCGTTTCCCCTTTTTACACTTTAAACATTCTTTCAAAATTTTGTAGTCATTCCATTCCGCCTGTTCCTTTCGGTACATATAATACATTATATTTTTAATGAAACGGGAGTTAGAAAATAACTTTTCAATTGGTTAGGAAATTTAAGTTGTAAAAGTCATTTTTATTTAAATGTATTGTAGTTGCCTAATACTTAGTGCACCGTGATTTCAAAGCCAGCCTTCAAGTAGGCATAACACTCCAGACTACTGAAGTTCTACGTATTATATGGGTTTTCACGGTCCTTCCAATAAAAAAGTGGACATTGTAGTATATTTAGAACAGCATTTCACGAAATTATTAACTTTGGAACAATATGTGGATTATGTATGTGTGAAATCTTCAAGGAATTTTGTACTAGACAGTCTGGCACAAGACTCCTCACCAGAAGCTGAAGAGTTCAAAAAGTTTCTTCAATCCACATGGGTCGGATTTTATGACTTTTCCTTTCCTAAGTTCGATAGTTTCAATCCTCAGTATACTCAGGCAGAGGTAAACATAGCCAGACGTCTCTACTCCCAGACTGATTTACAGTTTTAGTTGATTTTACATGTCACCCAACATATGTTAAAAAATGACTCCAAATTTAATAATAATCTATTGACGAAGGGATTTACCACGGTATGATTAACCTGATTTCAGTTCTGTCTCTCCTTGGTTTGACTACTGTAAATCCGAGACAAGAAAGTTAGAAGAGTTACTAATTAGAATTCTAGAACAATGAAAACTTCCAAGCTACTCATGTTAATGGCGAGAGATTGGGCTTAGTCTCAACATTTCCAAACAATTCAATACATACTTTGATGTCGAAGAATTGGAAGTTACTACTTAAAGTGTAAGCATTTTATTTACTGTTTTGTGATAAAATTAACTTTCTAGAATTGGATGTGATGCTATGTATCACTTATTGTACAACGGGAGCATATTTACATATTTGGTAAACAATAATTATTTACAAGTAACTGGGGTCCCAATCTTTTCTTTCAACCTAAAGTCTAGTACTTATGAAAGAAAAAGAAAAAATGAAAGCGTAACATATGAGAAGGGCCGTCAAAAAAAACCCCGTATCGAGAATTCTTGGAACAAAATCTCTATAAAACGGTTTCGAATATTTTATAAATACTTTAGCAAACATTTAAAAAAGGGTTCGTAACAAGATTTTGAATGTAATTACTAATTAGGCAGATCGATTCTTTCATCGTGGACAGATCACAGAAAAAACAACGGTTTATTGGCTACAATGGATTTTTCCTCAACAATTTGGAATTCCAAGTGTCTTTTCTGATGAAGATTTTGAAAATAGGGCTTCCTCCATTCTGCCCGAGAAACATGATATCCCAAAACGTTTGTTGAAGGCCGCTCCTTTAATTTATAGTATAGCTAAAAGCCTTAATCGGATATCGCTATCACTCATATTTAATTATTATTGTCCAAGGTGTACTGTAGGGTATATAATGATGTTTTTGTCAACTAACAATACTAGAATATGCGTTTTAAGGATCCGGAAACATCATCAGTGCTTGCCTACTCCCTAAATGTAAATCAAGTTTATGCTTTTTTGCGGTCAATTATCATTAATGTTTTCCCAAAGTCCGTATGGGGTACAATTCATGTTTTTAACATTGTTATGCAAAGTAAGGGAATAAGACAATGGCTATACTAACGTTAGAATTATACACTTTTCTTCGGTTGACAAGATTCGAGACAATTACTCTTCATTATATAATGCATAACATTCCAGTAAGTGCTAATGATTATACACTGTACTAAATTATTTAGATCAGGAGCATTCCGTGGATACGCTTAGCAGAGAATGACTCAAGAAATATTTGTCTTACTGATTTTGAAAAAAGAAAGCAGATATTCTCGGAGTTTATGTATTGGTTTTTTAACACATTTGTGATATCTTTGCTGCAGTCATTTTTCTATTGCACGGAATCGGTTGAACGTAAAAATGCAACTTGTTATTTTAGGAAAGACGTCTGGAAGTGTTTATCTAACCCTTTTCTAAGGAGGGTTAAAGACAGCATCTACGTTCCTATCGAAACGGTAAACGAATGTACGAAAAATAATTACTAACTTAGGTACAGCATGAATTACTAGAAGACCCAGTCTTGCCTCCAGCAACAATTCGTTTAATTCCTAAGAAAGATTCGTTTCGAATAATAACAAATTTGCGTCGTAAACATTTAATGAAGGTATACATCATTTTACCTCTTTATTTTGCTAACAACTTTAGAAATCTTTTAATAATGGACAAATTCATTTAATTAGTACAAATCAGCTATTACAACCGTTAGCTTCTGTGCTTAAGTTGACAATGGTAAGAATTTTGAGAAACTTATATACTAACGGTTGTAGTTAGATTACGAGTCTAGGAATGATGAATCATTTTCATATAGAAACTTGTTTTCTAAGATCATTTCCTACAAGGAAGACCTTCGAAGACACCACTGGTATAAGTAAGCGGACAATGCCTATATAATTAGCACTAACAGCAGTCGAAAAAAATATTTCGTTCGTATCGACATAAAAAGTTGCTACAATAATATAAAACAGGATTTGATGTGTCGTATAACGAAGATTCATTTGAAAGACCCAGAGTATATCATACGAAAATACTGTATGATTCAAAAAGCACAGGGTCAATTGATTAAGCAGCATGTGAACGAAGCCCATACTTACTGTAAGATTTATTTCTTAATACAAGAAGACTAATAAGTTATAGTTGACCTTAAGCCTTTTGAACGATTAGCGTCTTCATTAGCAACACGTATGAAAGACACGATTTTCGTCGACAACGTTGAGTACTGGACAAAATCCTTTGACGAGCTTTTTTTAATGCTTGAAAAACATGTAAAGCAGAATATTGTGAAGGTACGGTTGTTCTCGTCCATATTTTTACTTACATAAAAGATTGGTCAAAAATATTACCGTCAGACACAGGGTATCTCTCAAGGGTCGGTTATATCTTCTTATTTATGTTATTTCTATATGCAAGAATTGATTGAAGACTATTTATTGTTTACGAAGGAAAAAGGATCGGCCCTCATACGTGTCGTTGACGATTTTTTGTTCATTACTGTTCACAAGAAAGCAGCTATTAGGTTTCTGAGCTTGTCTTCAAAAGGTAAATTTATTCTAGCTTCTTATACTAATGCTTAGGTTTCACTAAGTATAACTTCAGTACGAGCAATGGAAAGACACTAATTAATTTCAAACCTCCGGATTCATTTAAAGAGCCATATATTAAAGCAAGTAACTTAATCCCATTCAGTGGGTTCTACTTGCATGCAAGGTCATTGCATACAGTATATTGCTGTTCTACAAGTTTTAGGATTCTTTACGATGCGTCTACTGTAGAGCTATGCAAAGGCACTGGAAATTCATTGATTAATAAATTACTCAGGTAAACTGCAACTATTGAATTTTCGTTAACCGATCTAGAACTGGATTTGCTTTATTTTCAAGCGCCTTTGTTGACAGCCACCATAATTCTTGTTCTATCATTTTCTCTAATATTTACAATTTAGCCTATGTGCTCTCTATGAGGCTGCAAGTTTACCTGAAGCGAGTAGTTTCTGTGTTTGTTATCCAACCATTGCTTCTTTCTCGTATGTGCGATACCTCATAGTATCCTGTATTAACAGCTTAAGGAATGATGAATATGATAATCAGAAAATTGTTCAGAAGAGTCTGTTCATTAACCCATCAGGTCAACAACCGTCCTTTTTTGCTGAAAGAAATGAAATGGTGAGTTAATAAAATGAATATGCTTGCTGACATCCTAGGGCTTTACTGCATGGCTTTTTAACTGCTATCAGACCAAACTTTAGGTCATCAATGGTATATACGAAACTGATGACTGATTGTGAAGAGCTGCGTTCACAAATTGATTTCTCTAAAAGCTATTTAAAACAACCTCTGTTTTCTTCTACTTATAATTCTAGAATAAGCAATATGTAAAACAATATCATGAAGCTCTCAAGTTCTAAATGCTTGTAAATTGATTCAAAAGAACCAACAGACTAGCTATAATGTATTAGAAAAGCATTTGTATTTTAACAATAAGAAGACACTCATTTCATCAATGACCCCATTTAGCGATGGTTTATTTTGATAAACTGTCCTGCTGGTGACCACAACACGAACTGAATCCTTTCAGTTGATTCAGAGAGTAGTGTGTATTTCATATGACCCATAAAAAACTTTTTGGCTTATTTATGTAACTTTTGTTTGAAAATTATGGATAATGGGAATAACCCGGCCGTGGATAGGAAACATACTGCATTAAAGGTGGAAAAAAAGGGCAAGTCAGAAACAAAAGCATACACACTACACAATGATGGAATTAAAAGTACCTCGACAAATTTAATGACACCGTCAATCTACGAAAATGTCGAGGACGGTACCCAGCTGTTTCATAGAGGGGATAGAGTATTGGCAAAAGTATCTGGATATCCATGGTACGTTAAATTTCGCGACAGACACTTCAATATTAACTCGTGTTACAGGTGGCCTGCTCAGATTATTCGTTATAAGCTGATGAACCGGGAAGGTGTAACTATTGAAAAATCTCCAGAGCATTTCTATAAAGTTCAGTTCTTCCCAAACTTAGAGTTGTACGTCTATTTGAGACATTGGTTTGTTTCTAAAAACACGCTTAGTAGAATTAAAAAAGACCTTGCTAACGAAAGCAGCTCTTGGGTAAAACAAACCGGGTTAAAACCTTTGGCAAATGAGGATATTGATTATTTTTTAAGTTCAGTGAAAAGAAAATCAAAAGTTTTACAAGAAGCTTATAAAGCAGCGTGTGAGCCACCTTATATTGAAAGTGAGGAATCGACCGAAGAGGAAGGAGACCTGGACGAAAATAACCGCTCAGAAAGGGATACCTATTTATTAAATAAACGTAAAAGGAACGAATTTGAGGACCTTTCTACGAAAACGGATGCAGATCGTTTCAATCCATTAAGTACAATATCGTCAATATCAGAAATGTACGGAAACCTATCGTCGTCTAAACTTAACTCTACAGATTTGAAATGGGCTACAAATAATAGTAAGACAGGCTACAAAAACAATTGCTCCCGTTGGGATCTCAATCAAAGAAAGCGATTGTCACCCTTAAACACTGCGACCAGCGAAATTAAAACTTTGGTACAGCGTCTACTATACTTTCGTTTTAAACTGCAAAAACTCTTTCTATCATCGAATAGTAATTTTGAAGAAGAAAATTTGTATCGCGCGAAAGAATACTTGAAGGAAATTGAAGAGTTTCCATATCTTAACTATGAGATGATTATTACAACGAAGATAGCCAAGGTCTTGAAACGAATAGCATTAAGGGATGAATTACAAAAAGAAGAACTACTTTCTATTCGAGGACAATGTAAAGACATTCTTTTTAGTTGGAAACACAATCTTTCCAATACAGCTTGAAATGAATAGTTTATGAAAACTAGGAAATTGATCCAAACTAAAATATGCACATTACGAATAAGCACTTGTATAAATAACCTGTATCAGGTAATAAGCACTATTCATTTTATAATAGTGATAACAATTATTCGTTAGATCTGAGCCTAAGATGAGGAAGAATAAGAAACGATACATGAAACATTGGGTCTGAGCTCCTCTTCGTATACAATCACTCGAAAGACCGGTTCTTCAAAACATTATTAACAATTACTCTTACTTCTACATAAGCAAATTAAGCACGCAAGGAATCAACTTGTTACCTATATTAGTTCACTTGATCATTTTATTTCTTGAGATGTTTACTCTTCTTCAGCTTCTTCAGCGCCTTCACCACCCTCTTGTTGAGCGCGGAGGTGCTTTCTCTTGCAGCGACCAGGGCGGCCACCACCGTAAGGAGAGGTAAGGGCAAAGTCAATGTGCTTTTGAGAGTCCAAACGGACAACGAAAGAGGGGACATTGACAATTTGCTTACCAACACGGATGTGACGTTGGTAGATCAAGACACGAGCGTGGTGGATAGACTTAGCCAAACCAAGCTTGAAAACTTGAGTTTGCAAACGACGCTCCAAAAAGTCTTCAAGACGAAGAGCCAAGACATAATCAAGCTTCATACGGGTCTCGTCCAAGATACCCAAACGAACAAGACGACGAATGATGGCATTACCCTCAAAGAGACGCTTAGGGTCCTTCTCGTCAAGAGTCAAAAGCTCACGAGCAGCACGACGGATCTTAGAGAGAGTAAGGGCGACACGCCAGATTTCGTGCTTGTTTCTCAAACCATATTCACCAGCAAGCTTGAGTTCAGCATCAAGACGAGCTGACTCGAAGGGACGGCTAGGCACCTTGTAGGTCTTGGATTGCTTACGAGGAGCAGAAGGCATACTTGGTTTGGTGATTTGCGCAGAGGCGATTTTCTGAGTTTCTGTTTAGGCCCGTGACAGTGACGGCTTTTTTGTCTTACAGAAAGAGGTAGGGTAGGGTTGGGTTTATTGTTTAGGTAACATCCCAAGTATCAAAGTCAAGCTTTTCCAAAATTTTACAGCAGGAAGCGAAACTTCAGGTAGAGAAACAAATTTATAAAGTGTCGTTGTTGAGGCCTCTTCTTGTGGAATTACTAGTATTAATGGAAGTATGATCCAATTTATAATAATCAAAATAACTGAGTAGAATTTATCTGTATGGATTGAATGGTTTCGAACTTCTAAAATAAAGGCTACATTACTTTAGTTTTCTTTTCTATAGAGACAGTTTGATTTGATATATGGAACACCATATTTTTGGATACTCTAAGGTATAAAACTAAAACTATACGAATCAAAAAGACAAGAATAATAGTGATAGAGTAAACTTTTGCATTCAGATAGAAGGTCGTCAGAGTTTGCTTTTAGCAGTGTTGCAACACTTTGACAGTATTGTGAATTTCCCGTGCTAAATTTTCTTATTGCGTTACTATTCCCCAACGATTTTGGAAAGTGCTAAAGGATGGGACATATGGATAATAAATCCTCCATCCAAACTCGCTCCCCAAGCAGTACGTTTTCTGCAGCCGTACTTTCATCTGCAATTAGCAACGTTGTCGGTTTCCCTCTGGACTCTATAAAAGTTCGCCAACAGACGTACCAATTTCCAACAATACGATCTTGTTTTCAGAATGCTATTCAGCACGAAGGTTTCCGTGGCCTATATAGGGGGTTTACACTTCCTCTAATTTCAGCAACCTTGTCACGTTCAGTTTCATTTACCTTGTATGAGTCGTTTAAGTATTCCTTTGAAAATACACCACCATCTGCACGTTACTTTTTGTCTGGTTTGGGTACGGGATCTGTTATTTCATTGTTTGCATGCCCCTTTGAATATTCAAAGCTATATTCCCAACTACATGCTCTAATACGGAAACAAGAATTACAGAAGAACATAAGTAAGGACTACAAATCCTCTCAGCGGCCGCTCTCTTCATTTCATAGTGCTAGCGATATTGTACGCCGGTACGGGTTTTCTTCTTTATGGAACGGTTATAGGTATCACTTAGCACGGGATGCATTTGGTTCTGCTTGTTATTTCACCATCTATGAGACGATTAAAGGATTTTTGATTTCGAATCAAATTACTCCTAGTTTTGCATATGCGTTTTCAGGCGCTTTTTGTGGTGCTTTATCTTGGATATTAGTTTTCCCAATTGATACCGCTAAATCTATAATACAGAAAAACACACTTCTTTCCGTGAAAACACCTCTCTCTTCTATACCTTGGCTCTCATTTTCTATATATCGTGGAATTGGTATCTCGCTCGTGCGAAGCGCTTTAATCAACTCTTGCAATTTTACCCTTTTTGAGGCACTGCGAGATGCCTCGTTCTTTCAATAGAAACGCTATTTATGAGTAAAAACACTAAGGTTTTAAATTTAAAAACCTAGACAACTTTTGAAAGTTCTGGTGAATGAAAACTCATTAGAATTTGAAGATGGTTCCTTCCCTCTTTGCAAAAAAATGAATAAAGGAATCTGTCAAGGCCCTTTGAAACGCGATATTCAGTTCTCCTTTAGCCTTTTGGTTATTTTGTTTATTTCAGCAGTCTCTCTTTTCTGTCGTGCAAATTTCAGCTGTGATATCGTTCTTGATTTTGCTTATGATCTATTCGTCTCCATTGTTGAGTATTATGAAGAGATGAATTTTTACTATTTTGTTTTATAGCTTTTGATAATTTCAGGAAAATGATTTCTGATTCTTCAATATGTATATATACTTTTTTTGGATTCAAAGAATTGGCTAAAGAAACTTGTAGATAATTTGAAGATGCGAGTATTTCTATAAATATTTAATAAATTCATTATTGTTAATGCTAATTATATGCAACCCATGAGTTGAATATCCACTTCTGATCGACCTTGCCTTGACACCTAAACTGAAGTACTTCATTGTGAAACCTACCAACTACAACATCTTTCGAAAATGACTATGAACACAGTTCTTGTAAGTTTATAACTTTATGATGAAACAATTTTATTAATTTTTTAAAGAAATGTTTTTCTCGTGGTTACGCTACGACCGCTCCCCGCGCTACGGGTAAGAAACATTGATTCGGATACCATTTTTATGTCTAACACATTGTTGGAAACAGATTCTCTTCAAAACCTTTACATTTCTGCTTTGAGTAAGACTTTTTGATATTTCTTTTGGCAATTTTTTTTAACTGTAATGTGTTTTTACAGAATCTTACAAACCCAAGGCTACTCCCCCTGCTGCTGCTGTTGAAGCAAAGGAATGGGCAATGCCTGCCGCTCCTACCGCTCCCAACTATGATCTCGATGTTTCCTCTGCTTTAGATTCCTACAAGTACGAGGGTGAAACTATTGCTGCCAAGTCATCCCAACAAGGTGAAAGCTTGGACTTTATGGAAATGGTATGTCTTTTTAAATTGGTTTTTTGCGTTGCAAGCTAATTACTTGTCAGTATACAAAGGATGAAGTAGCTCCCGCCGCTGAGCATTAAGATGCTTGATTTGCTAATAACCGTTTTGATGCAATTTTCTTCTTTCATAAGGCGATAATTGATTGTTTAACCTACAACGTCGGAAGCCTAATCCTTCTCTTGACTTCTTCTCGACTAAATACTTTCCCCTTCTCATTCTACTTTGATTCAGGTTTTGTTGAATTTTGAGAAGTTTATATGCCGATGTTCCACAATTGGCCAATTCTATCTAGCAAACATAAATGGTACTGTTCTTGTACTCGTTCTTCTAACCATGTTACAAACCTTGAGTGTCTCTATAATCAGAGATCGCATGGAGACGAAGATGGTCAGTTCAGTTTCGTTTCAACCAGTTCAAAGTACTTTGAACAGAATTTATGCTAGGATCCAACTTTCTCAAATACAACTTTTAACGATAATTTCATTACTTTGGTAGAACATCGTTGGTAAAAAAAAAAAGTAGAGGCTGAGGCAAATTCAAGTATTCCCTCAGCATGAGTAGAAAATTGCTTTTATTACCTTAAAATTACTCAAAATTTACAAAAGACAGTGTATAATAAATCAAAAACCTATTTGAGTAGACATTCATAAACGTTCAACTTTCTAATCGTGCCCTCGGTGGTGGAACTTCACTACAACCAATATCATAATGGAACAAGTTATTCAGAAAAACTGTTCCGATATTGATTCTCACGTTTTGAATTATTGTTCTGGATATGCAAATGATGCATTGAAAGACGTAGACGAGGTGTCTGAGCGTGTAATTACCTTGATTCACGATTTATTGCTTGACGCTGGCGCTAAACAAGATGCCGTTGAAGCGATCCAGAGCGAGCTTTCCAAGCGATTTGAAGAGCGTGAAAATCACCTTGATAAACTGCAGTCGAACAAATTGGTTCGTTTGAAAGAGACGATCCGTATGGATAAACAATCGGAAATTTCGTCCACAATGGGTTTAGTTGGTGAAAAGGTTGATTTGGATTCGGTTAAAGGACGCAAGGTAGAGTCCCGTGTTGATAAAAGAAAATTAGAAAAGGCCGAAAGAAAGATTCGTGCTAAATGGGAAAAACGTACTATTAAGGCTGAATACGAATCATCTAGATTAATTCAACCCGAACAAAAATCTTACGAAGAGTTTTACATGGCAGTTAATCCTCTTGACATGTCATCATCTAGTCAAGGCAAGACTAGAGACATTAAGGTTGATGGAATTGATCTTGCTTTTGCCGGTTTGCGTATCTTGACTGGCGCCTCGCTGACCCTGGCTCAAGGAAGACGTTACGGTCTTACTGGTCGTAACGGTATTGGTAAATCTACCTTGCTACGTGCCCTTTCACGTCGTGAGGTTGCAATTCCCACTCACATTACAATTCTTCATGTCGAACAAGAAATGACTGGTGACGATACTCCTGCTTTACAATCTGTCCTAGACGCTGACGTTTGGCGAAAATATCTATTGAAGGATCAGGAAGGCATTACTGGAAGACTGTCGGTCATTGAACGTGAATTAGAAGAATTAAGCAAAGATCAAGAGGCTGATCAAGCCATCCCTCGTCGGTTGGAACGTGAACGCGATGATTTAGATATTCATTTAATGGATATTCAAAATAAATTGGCAGAAATGGATGCCGATGGTGCAGAAGCTCGCGCTGCTACTATCTTGGCTGGTCTTGGTTTTACAACAGAAATGCAAACATATGCCACTAAAACGTTTTCTGGTGGTTGGCGTATGCGTTTATCGCTTGCTCGTGCTTTGTTTTGTCAACCTGATCTCTTGCTTTTGGATGAACCTTCCAACATGCTTGACGTCCCTTCAATTGCATTTTTGTCTGAATATCTGCAAAGCTACAAAAATATTGTACTTGTTGTATCTCACGATCGTTCATTTTTGAACGAAGTTGCTACTGATATCATTCATCAACATTCTGAGCGTTTAGACTATTACAGAGGTAATTTTAGTCAATTCTATGCTACCAGTGAAGAACGTTCTAAGAATTTGATGCGTGAGTATGAAAAACAAATGGAATACCGTAAACACTTGCAAAGCTTCATTGATAAGTTCCGTTACAATGCTGCCAAGTCTTCGGAAGCCCAGAGTCGTATTAAGAAACTTGAAAAGCTTCCTATTATTGAAAAACCTCAAACAGAAGCCGATGTTGAGTTTGAATTTCCTCTTGTCGAAAAAATTACACCTCCTATTCTTCAAATGTCGGATGTATTCTTTGAATATGTTCCTGGTCGGCCTGTACTTAGAAACGTTGACATTGACGTACAGATGGATTCCAGAATTGGTATTGTTGGACCCAACGGTTCAGGTAAATCCACTATGTTAAAGTTACTTATTGAAGAAATACAGCCCACATCAGGTCTAGTAAGTCGTAATTCTCGTCTTCGAGTTGCTTACTTCGCCCAACATCATGTCGATACTTTGGAGTTGAACTTGAACGCCTTGAGTTTCTTAGCAAAACACTATCCAGGAAAAGGAGAAGAAGAATACCGTCGTCATTTGGGTGCTTTTGGCGTTACCGGACCTTTGGCATTGCGTAAAATGGTTACCCTTTCCGGTGGTCAAAAATCTCGTGTTGCTTTCGCTTGTTTGGGTCTTCAAAATCCTCATATCTTAATTCTTGATGAACCTACTAACCATTTGGATATGGAATCAATGGATGCTCTAATTAGAGCTATTGATCGATTCCAGGGTGGTGTAATTCTCGTCTCTCACGATGTTGACTTCTTGGATAAGACTTGTAAGAGCATTTGGCAATGTGATAATCATGTGGTTTCTAAATTTGATGGCACTATTGCACAGTACAAGAAGTATTGTTTATCTCAACAACCCACTATGACAGCAAAGGTTCAGTAGGCTAAGATGGAAAACAAACACAAAATGTTGGAACGGGGTTTTGGAAAACTATTAAAATATAAACCTAAATTTTTTGTGATCAGAATAGTTTATTGAATTATATTACGGGAGTTAATGAACAGATATTTATAAGAAATAAAGTGTCGTCGATAGCCAAAGAAATTCATAACCAAAGGCATCTATAAAATAATTAGAAATGAGATAAATAATAACCGGCCAAACAAGAGATCATGGCAGAGACTGAACTGGATAACTTCTCAGAAATTAAACGTTGTATGGTGGGTGGATTAAGCGGAAATTTAACTGGAAAAAAACAAAATAACACCAAGTAAAAGAGCGAAGAAATTAATTAAATAAGCACCAAAAAGCAGGAAACATTGTACAAACATAGGAGAGTCTATCCAATACACATTTTAAGAGCGTTTAGGTAGATGATTCGACATTCGAGATGAATTAGGGAAACGTGATGAAATTGGAATAGAAGAATTTGACTGTAAAGTCGAAGGACATTGCCATAGGGACTTATTGGAATTAAAACTGGGCTTTAGGGAATTAGACGCAGCAGACGGTTTGACTGTAGACGACATTGGATAAGGATTCGTTTTAGGCTGCCTATCCATATGGAAAGAGCCTAAAGGACGTAAAGCAGGATTCGAATTGCGGGAGTTTGAAGCTCCCGATACCGGTGGTCTCGAAAAAGATGCTTTCTTTAGAAAATCGTTCCTTGCTTTTGTCATTAGTGAGCTTTTAGGTGCATAATTGCTTTTAGGGGCATAATTATTCATTGGACGTAGTCGTTTTTGTGGTCTGGCAGAACGTGGTTCCCTTTCCAGAGGCACAATTCGTTTATTTTGTTTTGTTTGTTCAAGCTTCGTGTAAGCATTTCGAAGCTTTTCGGATGCTTCGTTGTATTGAGTATGTCTCCGTTTCTTCAGCCTCTCGTATAAAGAACGCCAGTCAGTAGTCGATGGAACAGGAACCTTGAATTGTTGCAGTTCAAGCGCGAAATCACGCAAGACATGTTGTTTCCATAGGGATTGAGATTCTCGCCGGACATGGGGAGATCGCTCTTCAAGCAACGACAAACGATCGGGGGGAGCTCGTTCCAAAATGGGTTCAAGTAGAGCATAAGGGTAGTCTCCTATATCCTCAATGTCGTTTACGTATTTTTGAGCCACTTGTATACATATATCTTTCAAAGAAAGCATGATACATGGAAAGAAATTGCCACAAAAAGGGTAAAAAGGTAGTTATTTAAGAAACTCTATAGGAAGTGTAAAAAAACCTTCCCGAAAAGTAAGAAACAATGCAAATGCTGAGAATGATAAAAGTAGCTTTTATCAAAATTCTTTTCTTTTAACAATTTTAAAATGTCTTGAAAGTTGACTATTAAGTCGAAAATTCGATAAGTTGTTGGTTCAGTTGAAGATGAATTTTCCTTGTAAACAAGTGGTTTTGTCGGAGTTTATAAATCAACTAAATTAATTAATATTTTACCTGTTTTGCTAAGGTATGTTGCAGGATGTATCATCGCCCGATGTTGATACGGTGCGTTATATATATTATTTCTATGCGTTACTTTTTGCTAGTAAATAAACATTCTTTCTTCGGTAGCAATTACAAAGCATAGCTTCTAAATTCATCTTGATTGTTTATGCCTTTGTATTTTTTTTTTTTTTTTTTACTTATATTATTTTCATAGTTGGATAGTCAGGAAAAAGCACTAGGCAGTAATGATACACAAATATGCGTAGTAGCTTTCAAATTTACTATTAGACTCAAAATCCGTACATCTAATTTCAAAGGAAATTAATTTTCACTGAGCCTTTTCTGTAAAGAAAGAAGCTTGCTTTGAAACAAAGGATTTTCACTCGACAGGTTCTCGAGAAGACTGAGCTCCAATTTGTACGTCTAACCAAATAAGTATCGTTTGAACTGCAACATGCTAAGTCTTCATTAATCTTATTAATTATGCTAAACTATAAGCTACTAAGCTCATTGATCCAAACGTCTTGTAAAAACTCTGTAAGCAAAAGACTTTGGAAGTATTCTTCAATACATAATATCCTTAACTGCTTTTTGCTCCTTCACTGTAAGATTCCGAGGAAGAAATAAAACAAAAAAAAAAGAACTTGTAATAATGTACGAGGCCTCCAGCGAAAGTCCTACGATGAAAAGACACAACTTGATCGCTTTTGTTTTCTGCCCATTGCAGAAAATAGAAAAAACTTAATCTAAGTCTAATATTAGATTTTAAAAAATAGGAATAATTTGTATATCATCCTGTTAGCTATAAATCCCAACGTTTTTTAAATTTATATGAGAAATTCCTAGCAATTGCCATTCTTCTTCGTTTCATAGGTATTGCTAGTACCTAAACTTCTCAAAGCCCTTCAACAAAGTCCGCATCCACAATGTCCCACAGAACAGCTAACACTGAGGTTAGCTCCATTCTTTTTGTGAAAAATTTGTCATTTAAAATCACATCTGAAGAGATGTATGATTTGTTTGGCAGACATGGACCTATACGACAAATTCGATTAGGAAATACTGTAGAGACTAGGGGAACCGCTTTCGTAGTGTACGAAAACGTTCAAGATGCCCTTCGTGCTTGCAATAAGTTATCTGGATATAACTTTATGGATAGATATTTGGTTGGTATGAAAACTGACGACACTTCTTTTTTTTTCTGTGACATTTCATTAACGATACATTTCAGTTCATTATTACAATCCAGAAAAGGCGAAGACGGACGGTGAAAACGTAAATGCTCGATATACCGCCCTGGAAGAAGTTAAAAAACGCTATGGCATTCAATAAGCCATAGCATTTGTATTTATGATGTACTCTAGTTACTCGTGTTTTTTAATATAGATACGGTTCGTCTCGGTTTATGATTGGAATCGCAGTATTCATTCCATTGAATGCTAAAATACCTTAATTACTAACTAAATATCCAAAAACCCTTAATATTTTTCACGTTACATACAAGTTTCTATGTTGTACATTCTCTTTTACCTTAATCGTAATGGGCAAGTTTCCACAAACCAACTCTTCCAGCTTCATTACCCACGCAGAATTCACCATTACGACCAAAGCCTAAACAGCTTACTCGTCCAAGAGGTGTAGAGGCAGTGGGCCAGTTTCTGAATGCACTGAAACTAGGGACGTGGAATAGACGTAAAGTATCCTTCTTACCTCTTGAGCTAATAGCCAAAACTTGACTATCCTTGGAAAATGCCATTGAATTAATGCTGAAAGTGACGTTTTCAAGCGATGTTATTTGCTTGAATCCCTCATCGTCGCTCGGCGATTTTAAATCGTATACACTGACAATACCACTCTTACTACCGACTGCAAGATATTTGTCATTTCCATCCAAACAAAATCGAGTAGTAGCAACGCCATCCTGAATGTGCCAACGCTTTGAAACAGACCTATTTTCCAAATTGAAGTGCCAAATTTCAGCACCATAGCTTAATACAAGCATTTCCTTTCCATCCGAAGTAAATGTGACATCCGAAATTGTTCCCTCAATCTTAAAACTTGTAACGAACTGTCCGGTATTTGAATTCAATAGATTAATATAGCCGTTCTTTCCTTCTAGAGCAATGTATTTTCCTGTAGGATCCATATGGAACCTTTCCATACTTGGTTGTAAATCCTCTTGTCCGTACATTCTGCTCACTTTTTCGACCCGCGTAGACTCCAAATTCCAGATATACATGTATTTTCTTCTACCACCAGCAATAACATGCTTTCCATCAGGATGGAAGAGAGCTGTCTGCAAAGCGGAAGAACGCAAGTGCAGAGAGGTAACAAATGGATTCACCTTTCCATCTAATTGATAAATACGAATAGTTCGGTCAAAACCACAAGTCAATAGAAGAGGAAAGAAGGGATGAAACGAAATACAGCGGATGCCGCTGTGGGAAGGAGCCTGGAAATTAGCATCCTTCAGTCTTCTAATATCAATTGTACCAGGTAGCAAGACTCGTGAGTTCTTATTCACATAAGAAACTGAGGAGTTAAATATTTGACGCAGAGATGTTGGGAGCACATTATCTTCGCTAAGAGAACTTTCCTCCTCATCTTCATCTCCAACTGTTTCAGTAGGTTTGGCCCACTGAGGAACTGCGTGAATTCTTTCAAACTGTTGCCTAAGTCTTTGGGTATACTGAACACCATTAACTTCGGCTTCACCTTCGTATCTTCGAAGCTTCCTCAGTCTAGTATTATCATGTAAAGACACTGTAATACGCTCATCGTCACTGTCTTCCCAAACTGCCACTGGCGGTTCATTCGCTTCTTGTTCCTCTGATTCCAGTTCCATTTCCATTTCCGTTTGCTTTTTATTCCCTTCTTTTTGGGATAAATTTTCTCCAGTGTCGAACATGAAAAGATCTGCATCCTCAATTTTTTCTAAATCATTTTCACCAACCTGGGCTTCGTGACCCAATCCAGGTGCTTCGTCCATTTCCTGATCGGCTACATCTTCTACACTCCCTAAATGGCTTTCAAAATCATCCGTTTTACCAAAAACAGCTTCTTCTAGCCGCAATTCCTCCGAGTCCTTCTGATGAGTTTTCAGGTTTCCATTTTTCGTCGATTTCTTCTCTATTGAGCCCAAATCAAAAAAATCATCTTTATAAGGTGAGGCTTTAGCACTACTTTTACTAGGTTTCGGCATGAAGAATGCTAATTTTTTGAACTCTTCCTCTTGTTGTTGGTTTTTGGCAGTTTTCTCTACTCTTGATATGTACCACCAATGCGAAGGTGATGGGTTCAATGTCGAAGGAACTGAGTAGCAGATTTCGTTCGTTTTTTATTTTTTTAAACTATGATCTTAATCTTATTTTTTATTACAAAAGCAAGCTAGGAATAAGTTGCTTGTACATAGCACAAGTGAGCTAATGTCTGGCTTTGCTTGTTATATAGATGATACGAAGCATATGGTCTGAATAGCTGGTAATTTTTTTTTTTTTTGCTATCAAAAATTTTATTCTTGTTTATTTATTTATCCTTTTTCCATGAAGACAAACATACATTTAGGCTACATTATTAAAAATCATCCAAGTCAAGTCGTAATCTTTTGCAAAGTAGGATTGCAATGGAATACGATCATAAGTAAAATACCAAACTAATATACATTAAGGAACAAAATTTCCTTTCTAACGGGTCTCCCAGATTCAATATGGGGAGTACTGTCTTTGATTTTCGTAGACAAATAGCTTAGGCATAAACCTTCATGCACCGAGTTTCACTATGAATCGTTTCACAGTCTTTTGAACAATAACATGTACCACAATTTTGACATGCGTACAGGCCCCAATATCCACACACGTTGCAGAACCTGCGAGCTGGCTTGGGAGAAGGTTGAGCAACACACGTCGAATACTTGGAGTTTGGCTATTATGATTAGTGTAATTTCTAGTATATTTAACTTACAGTTTCGTCGAGGTAGTTGGCAAACGTTTTCCTTGAAGACAGGATGCGACGAATGCTAATGGGCATAAATCTGCGTTGCACTGATTCAAATGTTAGCAACTACAGAATTCAAAAAAACTTGAATATAGATATCTTACACAATTCTCTCGGCACTTCAAATCGAATATCCGAATAGTTATCTTTATCCAATTCAGCCAAGTTTCGTCTTAATTGTCTTTCACGAGTAGCTGGATCAACGATGGACTAGCAGCTATTAGAATCCGTTCCCAATACGTTAATAATATCATACCCTTTGTTTTTGCTTTTTCTTTTTCTGCACTTGGTGCTCTACTATAGATACGAACATAATTTCTTGATGACTTTAAAAAAAGTTCACCAAACGGTAAAATATACCAAGCAAACTTGAATATACAGAGTAAGCAATGCTTTAGATAAACCGTTTCACGAACTGTTTAAATTTTCCCTCAATCTCTCACCACGCTCCAAGTTTTAGGTCGAACTCAGAGGATAACTTTTCCTTCCTTGAAAACTAACTTTCAAACTTATAAAAGTTTACGTAAACAGAAAAAGAGAAAAACAACAATAACAATTTACTTCGAATAAAAGTACAAAACAAGATAATCACAATTGTAGTAAAGCCTAACCGGTAACAAAGTAAAAGGCTGAAGTAGGTGATGGCAAATAAAACTACCTTTCTTAAGAGTTTTTAAAATCTATGAAATTACTTCCTATCGTAATAATTTTAAAGCACCACAGTTACCACAGTTTCCCTAAGGTTAAGACATCCTCATCATCCAGGTATTGAAAAATTTTTGCAGCAATACACTACTCTTCCTAACCATCAAAAAACATCACTACTTCAACTTAAGATACATTTACGTTCAACAAAATAACTACATTCAATGCTTTTAATAATTAAGAATTGCTACATTACCAGACAACTCGTAGCTACTACTCACAGAAGACATTTAAATACTCCCAAAAGAACTCAAAGTTTTGCATTTAGTATCCGTAAGCACGAACTTAAAGACGAACAGTGGCAGCAGCAGCCTTGGCACGCTTAGAAAGCTTAGCTTGGGTCTTGCCACCCAAAATACCACCACCCCATTTACGGCGAAGTTCGTCATACTTAGCGTTGAAGTTGACTTCGACGGCAGAGACAACAGAGGCGAGCTCGTTCTTGTCTTCCTCACGGACATCAGTGACAGCCAAGACAGCAGCAGTCTTTTGGTGAACAACAGTACCGAGACGGGCCTTGTTCTTGACAATGGCGTAGGGGATGCCCATCTTCTTGCACAAAGCGGGCAAGAAGACGACAAGCTCAATAGGGTCGACATCGCTAGCGATGAGAACCAACTTGGCCTTCTTGTTTTCGATGAGACCAACAACGTGGTTCAAACCATACTTGACGTTGTAAGGCTTCTTGGAAACGTCATGAGCAGACTTTCCGTTGGCGACAGCCTCAGCTTCAGTAAGCAAACGTTGCTTCTTCTCGCCAGCAGTTTCAGGGCGGTACTTGTTAAGCAACTTGAAGACCTGGGTAGCGGTGTTCTTGTCCAAGGTCTTTTGGAACTGAGCGAGAGTGGGAGGAACCTTCAAACGCAAGCCCAAAATCTTACGGCGACGTTGAAGGCGGATGTACTCAGGCCACTTCACAAAACGGCTCAAGTCACGTTTAGGCTGGATGTCTTGTCCAATGCCAAAGGAACGAGGACGACTCACAAACAAAGGGTTCTTGGTGGTCTTTGCAGCCTTAGGCTGAGCAAAAGGTGAGGGTGCGACCTTTTTAGACTTGGGTGCCTATCAATTGTTAGTTATTCGTTCTTCATTTACTGTTTTCCCCTCCGTCGGGCAAACGTTACTTACCATTTTTGGTGGTTGTTCGTGTTAGAAGAATCTTTCCACGAAGGTTTTTTGGGTATGGTGTGACTGCTTCGAAAAACCTACCCTAACACTATGACTTTTCTTTCGCCTTCGTTTAGCGAATCTTAAAGAGGAATTGCGTATAGAATATTCAACACGTAAGTAAACAAAAAAGCCCTCAATTTTTTGCGATTCTTCACTGAGCGTAGAAAATACGTGTAGGGGCAGTAGTCGTTGTCGAGTATGTAGCATCGTAGGATTGGTACGCAAATTAGTAGTATGGCTCATAATGGGGTTTCTGAAAATTTTTTCACTTGGATACTCATGCGCACCAATTGAATAGCCATACATGAACAATGATTTCATTTCTAATATTCCTTATGCTTCCTGCTTGTTTTTGTATATAGGGAGGATAAGAGTACAAACCTGATGACTTTAAAAATGGGTTTTTATAGAAGCAAACAATTGATTCTGAGAGCCCTATGGAAAGTCACCAAAGGAATTCAAAGCAATTTTTGAAGGTCCATCCGTTGTAAAACGTAAGCACTCGATTACTGTATGGTTTTTCCACACAGGTGCTCACCTGAAGAAGTAGAGATGCGCTAGTCGCGTTCCAAATACTCCGTTTACTCTTTGATAACAAAAGATATCGAAATGATATACGGAAATTTCAAAGTTTTGACGATGTACTCGCAATGAGCTCAAACTCAAGAATAGTCAAAAAGGTTTTAACAAATACAGGAAATGCCCTGATGTCCACCATGGTTGACGAGATTCAATAATAAGTCTGCAAATATAGGTTTACAATTGTTTTCAATACAACACTTTGAAACTAGCTTTTTTTTTGTTACTGCTGTCATAAGCTTCTTAGGACCCACGCGCCTTTATACCAGCACGGCTAATCAAGTATTTTCTTCCATTGAAAAGTCGCACTTATTTCTTTTCAATTTTTCTAGCATCTCTTCGATAGTTTGGAGGCCCTACTCATCAATTGCTGCATAGCTTTGAAAGACAAGTAGCTCTGTCATCTTCACGAAAATAAATTTAAAAAATAAAAAATAAATAAACATAATAAAACGAAAAGAATAGTTGAGATTATTCGTTCATGTTTTCCATGGAGAGTATGCCATTAAAAGGTTTTGTCAATGAATATTTACCAAACAATTATATCGTACCTCTTCTTCCTGCCAGAACGAATAATTGGGTAATTTCTGATCCTACCGAAACGTCTTTTGTCTTTTTTATAAACTCTTTAGTTAAGCTATTAGAACATATAGACTTTTGCAAGGTTTGTTTCCTTTTTGGTTGGTTTTTCGTCAACTTGGGTCCTGTCTTGGTAAACCGATTTTTGTCTCATCTTTAAATTAGACAGAGTTGTCGCTTTTTTTCTTATTTATGCAGTAAATTATTCTAGTTTTATTTCCAAGAATAAAGTAGACAAGGAAAATGGATTACTATGATATTGACGGTATTCTGTCTGAAAACCAAAAGGTCCCTTGTACCTGCAACGTTTCGATCCCAGGGCTAGGACACGAGGGACGTGAGGTATTCTAAAAGAGAATAGAAACAAGTAATAAGCCAGCTAATATGATAGGTGCCGGCCGGCTCAAAAGTGGAGTTGCCTTTCTGGCTTGCTGAAGTCCTCGCTGTAAAGTATGTCACTTTTGAATAAATGGAATTTTTTCATACCTTGTTCAAAATATTGAATTTCAACTTTGATCCTAACTAACGTGATTCATTCAGTTCGTTCGTCAGTATTCATATGCCGATTCCCTTTTCTTCAGTTGTGCGCAATGCCTTGAAAGCAAATCCTACAAGTGTGCCTTTACGAGACATTTGTAGTAATTATTATCACTTTTCTGAAAATATGCTTCACGTGTATGTCATTCCTTTCGGCGTAAGAGTCGTACTTTAGTTACTGTTTCTTAAATCAACCAGATCGTTTCATTGCCTTACCGTTGAAAGTCTCATTTCAGATTATTAACGTGAGTTTTTAGAATTTCCGATGAACAGCTTGCCCAGCTATCTCTGGATACTCTGCGAAAACGAGCTTTGCTCATCGCTGACGGGGCTCTAAATCCTCAAGGAGCATTGCAACAGAATTCAGACTTTATCAATGGGCTTGATGACTTTGAGAAATACCGTAAGCAATCAACTTATTTTTCTTTGTCTAAAAATGATTCTTGCTAATTCAAAACTTATTTAGTTTTAAGAACTGCACACTCTACTCACCGGAGTCTTACACATTGGCAAAACTCCACAAACAACTGACCACTATATTAGAATGACAAGAGACCTTGTTTTAATAGAACTATTGTATATAAAATCATTACCTACATGTTTTGTTTTTGCCTGTTTTCTTATATATACGATGACCCAGTATGTATCTACAATAGTATAATAACAAATTGCTTCAATTCATATTATTGTCTTCTATTTCCATACTAAAAAGGTCTCTGTTAGTGAATGAAAGCCTAAAGGCAATGACAGAGATGAAACAAAGTACCACTTTAAAAGAAATATTCAGTAATAGCGCCTTGTCACAGGCAATATCGTCACTGAAGGACTACGCAGACCGTCGTGATTAATAAAGTAAGCATCATGGTATTCCTCAAAGTTGTACACCTTGCCTCTCTCTGTTTTTTGTTTACAAGACATACCAATTACGAATTGGAAACAAATAAACATGTTTTTGAACAACCCATCGAACAAAATTTCATCGTTCGACTAGTAAAGGTTAGAGAAGAACATAGGGTATTGAAAGAGAATGGAAATCAGTTATTTTTCACTTCAGACGTATAGGTATATCTTCAAAACCAAAGGCATCAGACATATGCTTGTCTTTTGTCTATAAAATTCATCCCAATCATAAATAACTGGTTACTTCTCCCAATAGATGAATACCTTTTCGAAGCTATATACAATGTTAGTTGTTGAAACAATTGTATGAAAAAAGCATTGTAATGCAGGGTTCCTCAGTAAGCATGAATGGAATTAAAGAGTCTGTTTCATCAAGAAATATTCAGACTCGTCATCTATAGTTCCTCCTTGGAAATATAAACCCTGCTTTACGGTGTACAGCAAACTTACCTTATATGAAACGATCGTATCCGGGATTTCTCCTTTTACAATCTTAGGAACCATTTCTGAAACCATACTAATAATGTATTAGTGACTTGTTCAAAATGGTATCACAAAAGTGAAGATAAATTCGACAAAAGGAAGGATCAGTTAAAAAATGCAGCACAAATTTTTCTTCAGCGAGGTAGGTTGCAAGCTACCACTAGGCCGGTAATTCCAATGTTGTTTTCCTCATATCCAACAAAAGTCGAAAAAAATTCTCATTACATACATTTTAGGTGCATTTCTGCAACCAGTTGCGAGTTCTTTGCTTGAGTTTTTCTGGTACAGTTAGTAAAAAAGAAGCTAAAAATAGAGAAAAGATTGCTATTCAGCTCACATAGTACAGATACTCAGTTAAAGAATTTTAGATCACGTAAACAATCAGAAACTCTAGTTTGTAATAAAAATGAGTCATCAAAGCACTGTCTTGGTTTTGCTAATGCAGATAAATTATAAAACATACATTTATTCATTTGCAAAGAAATTTCTTTCTTAAAAGGAATACCGTGTTCCCCAAAATGTAGTTGGGAAAAGACACATTTCTACCGTAAATCTTTCGCGCTTATATAGCAAAAAAAAAGTCCCATACTGCATCTTATTTTTGACAGTCATACCTCGTTAAACAACACAAACCGGCTTACCGTAGCTTTCTGTGCTTCTCTAAACGAGTATAAACATAATGGTGTAAACAAAAGAGAAAAATGGAACTTGAATTAGATTGAAAATAAATAAAAAAAAATAAAACCGTTCCAACTCCAAGTACTTTAGATGTAGTTTTATCCATATATGGATCTAGTTTTTCCAGAGAAATAGCGGTGTGAATTATTGTGTTTTGGCAGTCGCATGAATTTTGGTCGAGGTATAAATGTTTCTTTGAATCATGCATCCATGGTATATCAGACTATGAGATACATTCTAAAGTATAATGCGTTTTTATTATAAACTTCATTTCAACGAATATCTTTTTGTGTTTCCTTTCGTTGTCCACATAATGAATGGTCTTTATATGACGACGATAGGATGTAAACAAACATGAAAATTACAGAGTATGCATTAGGTAACTACGGATTCCACTGGTTTCATATAATTTCTCATTCATCATGACAAGTTCATATAAAGTTTGGGCTCTTAGGTGTATTTTTATACCCTGGATGCTGAGATGAGTACATGAAGAAACATTTCATACGAAAGAATTCAGTGTACAGCTTTTGTTGAAATTGCAATAACTATAACAAAGCTTTCTGGTTTACAGTAATTTGAAAAAGAAAACCTTCATACAAACACATCGCTTCCTTGATATCGCCAATACCTACATGATTATTCACGCACATTTATACATGTCATGTTCTTTTTTTTACGAGATGCCTCAAAATCATTTATTTATTAATCATGAATATTAGTTTTCTTAAATTAAGATTTATACTCCAAAATAGATTAAAATTACATAAATATCATAAGTGGACCGCCGTACAGAAAGAAAGAAAATTCGTTAATACATACACAATCACAAAAGATCGTGATGCATACATAGTCTGTCCGACAACCAGGAAAACTCAACTTCCAACAGACTTAATATATCTCCACATGAGAAAATAAAGTAAAAAAAAAAAAGAAATAAAAGAATCGTGAAATAATCAATGCTCTAGTCGGTATATTATAAGATTTTAAATACTTCATTATAAACGCAAACGTTCAGTTCAGCGAAACTAGTTTACAGTAAGAGAAATTCGCAATCCACATGTAATATAATTGCTCTCAGTTTTGTTTTCTTTCTTTTCCGCTCGAAAAACAGTAATTCGTTTCATCAATGAACACAAAATTCAAAAAATTAAACTTCCGCAATCTATTCGTTCCACGACTTCAATTTATTTTGCAACATGCCGACCAACCTATTCGAGGGATCCGTATTCAGGCTTGATCCCTTCTGCTGTTCTTTGCTTCTGTTTGTTGGTTGGTCCGTTGAACGCACCTGCGTATTGTCAACTTGGGTACTACGTACTTTAGGAGAATTCGCTCCATCAACCAAATTTATACCTTTTACTTCAGATTCCATGGAAGATGGACCAAGTGAAACGGTTTGCAAGTTTTCAGCAATCGTAGGTGTGGCAGGGCTAATTTGCTTTGAAAAGGAAACCGACGAAGAGGAACCCGTCTTCGGTTCAGTTAATTTACGAGTAGATTTATTATTGTTTGATACCATATCGTTCATGTCAATGTAATGCTCATCGCCCGTTCTTTCATCCACAGAACGTGAAACGTTCGATTCATTGGGGGAATGCAGGTACGGAGAATAAATACTTCTGTTTCCCATTGAGCCCGCATCGGATGGCGTACGAGAGAAAACAGAATAAGGACTTGACGGCATAGAATCATGGTCAGGAGGACTTTCACTTAATTCGTCTTCGTCAGAACCATTCCTATCGTTGGCATACTCCAAGAACTGAGACTCATCATTGCTAGAATCATCACTTTGCTCACCACGATAGTTGCTGATATCTTCAACAGCGAAAGCATCGTCGTCGGAATAGTACCCATCACCCTCGCCATCGACAAGGATGTTGTGATCGTAATCTTCAAAGCCTCCATAATGGCGATCTTCGCGATATATTTCATCTTCCTCAAAATCATTTTCACCATAATACTCTGGGATTCTGGGAAAGCGGCTTCTACCGTCACGACCAAAATGGTCCTTATTCTCCTGGTTGTAAATTTGATCTTCGATTGATACTTTAAGTGTTGAGTCAGGTAACTCGGCTATGCTACGCGAATTGTTTGGTTGTGATGCACGAGGACCGTCCAAAAAAACTTCATTTGAGTCTTCGTCTGATTTCTTTGTCTCTTCAGAACCGGCATAGTCGTCTAAATCAGTTGCGCTAGAATTTTTAGAACTCTGGACAAAATCGACAGCAATGCACTGTTGGACTTTGTCATTAAAATGAATTCGTCGAGATGGCTGAGCAGAATGGGATGGACGGAACACGGGACCCCGAAGACCATGGACGTTTGAATTTGAAGCTGCCTCATTGGAGGGATAACGCAACAAGGTGTCCAAACGAGAAGCCTGGGGACGAGGCGTAACATCACGACCAGAAAGTAAGACCTCTTGCGGAGAACGTCGCTTTAAGATTGGCTTTTTGTTTATAGACGTTTGAGAGCTGCGTTCGCTACCGGAATCGTGCTGTTCGTTCCCATCCTGATTTTGATTGGAGCCATCTGCATGAGTTTGCTGTTGTTTCAATATTTGTGAATTATGAATAGAAGGCATTGAAGCATGGAGTAACGGGCCATAAAGCCATGTAACATCGCATTCTTTTAGCCAATTCAAAGTTTCAGGAGAGATGGTGGGAAGATGATATTTATATTTAATCCAAGAACGCCAAGAAGCATTTTCTAAACGCAAGCCATTCTCGTAGCTATTTTTTGATTTTGTGATTTCACGCCAACTAGCCCAGATGTCGGTCTCACTCCACTCGTGAGAGAGATAATCAACTTGAGTAAGGGCGTTTTTCTTTATTTCACTGTCGTCGGCTCCAAGAAGCATGAGCTGGATTCTGGGTAAGGATGCTAAATCAGAATTGGGCTGGATGTCCTTAAAGGAGTCTTGAGGATGGGAAGGGAATCCATGCTGAGTAGGGCAACTGGATGATAGGAAGATTTGATCGTTGTCAATGTCAGGTTGGGTTTTGTGGTCAAAAGTGATGGGCAACGAAGGATTGGACTCCTGAGGATGATGATGATGAAGATGGTGATGATGAGGTTTAGGTTGTTGTTGTTGTTGTTGTTGCTGTTCCTGACGGGCATGAGGAAGGTGATGCTGTATGGGGAAAGAAGGATGACGGGGCTCGTTAGAAGGGGAAGCCTCGTTCAAAACATCCTCGTACTCTATTTCATCGGAAAGAAGAGCTGAATGGGATGCAGGGGCATCAGAGCGTGAATCTGAATTAACAAAAGGATGTAATTTTTTACGCGAAGAAGAAGAAAAGATCGATTGATCCTGTTTGGTTGCCATAGCATGAGAAGAATCCCGTGGGTAAGCGATGAAAGAATCTTGATGCAAATTTGGATCAGTTTCGGGAGGAGGAGGAGCCACCGACAATTGAGGAACCGCGTGATTGGAAGTGTTCAAAACGACCGACAGGTCTTGAATGTGACCAGGCGGATGTACCTGCGTTTTCTCGTTGAACGGACTGCTGGGTGAGGAAACGAGGGATTGGCTTCGCGCTTTCCTTTGTGGCTTTCTATACGCAGCGGAAGACGAGGAAGGGGAAGGCGAAGGAGAAGACGAGGTCGGTGATGACGGAGACAAAGAAGTAGGACCATGTGTTTCGAGCATTATAGTTGGGGGATGGGATTGATGAGAAGGAAGTGAATTGAAGTGAGAATGGTTGCTTTTGGCAAATTCTTCATCTGAAAATCGACCGATAGTAACATCTGGTTTCACTGCCATATCAAACCAACGACTACCAGTGAATTCTAGTTGCGTAAAGCAATTTTTCGGTAGACAAATGGTTTGAACAGATCAATATGATCGAACAGGCTTCACCTCAATTTCTCGTCTTCAATCGTGTGTGTTGTTGGTGGAGAAACGGCATGCAAATTGCAAGTCGATCCTCTGTTTGCGTTCGCTAATCGAGGAAGGGTATGACATTCAATTCTTGAACCACCGTATCGTAATACTAACTTGTTATTATATTAAAGACTGTCAGATATTACGAAATGCCTTTCGTAAATCCTATGTGAATAAAGATATACATATATATATAAGTAAAGCTGAGTGGGGAAGGGAAAGGAAGGAATGGGAACCGATGACTCTAACTAAATCCACTTCTTTGCTCATCGTAAACGAGTCAAACAGGACTTTACGGGAGGCAGATCCATGGGGGGGGGGATGCTATCACTATGTGAAAACAAGACAAGCCACACTTGGGAATGAAAGAGCATGAGAAGAATGAGAGTCAAAGAAAGAATTAGTTTTGTATGGAGAGAAAGAGAGAGTGTGTTTGTGTGTCTCTCTGTGCGTCGGTGAGTCTCTTGTCAAAATGAGAATGGACGAGTTTTGTAAAAGTAGCAACTGTAAACAAACAAGCAGCAAGAATGGGATTCGCTCGGGTTAGCTGGAAACGACAACCGATACAAAGAAGAAGCCTTGGACTCTCTGCAAGTGAATCATCGAAACCGAGTAAATTCTGCTACATAGTATGTAAGAGATGAGCCCCGGAGCGAGGTGATGAAAGGATATTGGTAGACACATAACATAACGATGGCGAATTGAGCCAAAAGAGAAATTGGATAGATTCAGATAGCGACCATTGCAAAAATGGAAAGCTTGAAGCCGCGTAGATGATCTCTTCTGGGGCTTCGTCGTAGATCCTTGTTTTATGGATTCCAAGAGCGGTATTATTTTTGAAAAAGTCGCAGAGTTTGTTTTCGTGGATCATGATGTAAAGTGAGGAATTGCCTTACCGAAGTGTTGTAACAAAACCCATGATGGAGAGAGAAAGAGAGAGACAGAATGGGATGAAAAGTGGAGTTGTTTTTCGTAAAGACCAGTTGATGAAAGGTTTAGGTGGTGTCTGACTAGAAGCAAGCTTTGCTGGAAGAGTTGGTATAGTCGTAGTAGGGAACAGCATTGTCTTTTTTGTTTTGTTTTTTTTTTTTTTTTTTATAGTTGGTTTGTTGTAAACAGACATTTGAATGGAGTTTAGGTTTCAAGACAATTTGCAATTCAAAAATGAAATGGAAAAGAGAAAGAAAAAGACAAGAGTTCAAGTGAATCGTTAACCAAGGTCACGAGACGATGAAGAAAAAGGAGAAACGAAAGCTTGATGATGATTGTTTGAATGCATAGAATCCACTAGAAAAGTCATTGATGAAAAGAGTTTGTTTCATTAGAAGGGGAGAGAGAGAGAAAGAGAGAGGAAAAAGAATAAAAGAAAAAAAAAAAAAACAATATCAAATCTAGGACATGTCTGTTTGATCAAAAGTCGGGTTTATTGTTTTATCATCCGTGTTTATGGTTTCAATTAGGGCTGCCAGGAGAAAATGCATGTTTTAAAAGAAAAAGAAGGAAAGGAAAAAGAGAATGGAATGTGTGTCGTTTCAATTAGCGTGTCAATCATCCAAAGAAAATAGAATCAAAGCAAGCCAAGCCAAGTCAAAAGGAAAAGAAAAAAATAGAGAAAAAAAAAAAAAAATTCATAAACAAAACAACTAAAAAATAGACAAACTAAAGATCTACTTGATGGAGAAGAAAATCAGGTTCCAAAAGATTATTTTGAACAAAGTCCAGATTCACCATGTCGTTGGCATCGGTACGTGCAGCGGATTCGGATTCCGTTTGACAAATCCCAGCTTGCAAGTGGCGTTGGACTACGCGGTTTCGCGCTGTTAAAGCATCAACGGCTAGAAATGCCTTGATATCGTAGAGATTGGCGGCTAGGGACCATGGATGCTTGTTGAGAAGCAAGTAATTTCCTTCGAAAATGATAATCCGATGCTCCGGACGAATGTGAATGTCGTTTGGAATCGGTGCTCCAACGGAATGGTCAAAGGAAGGTGCATACAATTCAGAGTCCGTCACTTTCTTTACCAAGGCGACGAGAGACGCGTAAAGTCGTGCATCAAACGTCCATTCAGCACCACGTCGCGCCTTTGCCTCTACTGGGTTATCCATTTTTTCGAGTTCTTCCAAAGTGTAATGAAATCCATCCTACAAGGCTTGTTAACACGCATGTACAAACAAATTCTGACACCAAAACATAGAGAAACAAACTGCTTCCTTACCATAGGGATCATTTTCACGGTATCACTTCCGAGTCGTTGATTCCATTCGGTTACTAATTTAGAAGCCAGTGTCGTTTTTCCAGAGCCGGGTCCGCCAGCCAACCCGACCAAGACCCGAGGTTGTTGCTGAAGCAGCTCTCTAGCATGTTCAAAGAGAGCGTCCGTAGAATCTACTCCTTGAGCCAAATCCATATTTTCTACCCTTATTAGCAAAGCCCTCCATGCTAAAAAGAACCCATACCGTGCAATTCGTTTTCTTATTGTTTTCTATGAAAAGTGAATGGTTCAATCCAGGTTTTCCGTAGAATCCTAGTTGCAAAGCACAGTCAAAAGCGAACGTCCAGTACACTTTACGAAAAAAATACAAAAAAAAAAGAACAACAAAAAGACAACCCGATTTATGCTGACCTTTTTTTACTTTCAACTTTATTGTTTTGATACAAAAGACAGTGGGAGTGACCTAGCACTGACGAAAAAACTATAGGTAACATTGTGCTCTTGGAGGAATCAAGAGCCATAAACAAATAGTACGAAAAAAAATCACCAGAATAATTCTGACGAGGATTTCTTTTTCTATACAAAAAACAAAATTAATGAAAGCGAAAGCACAGAAACATCCACGTACAAGACGACGGCGTGTACCAAAGGATTTCCCTAACTCTGTCTCTATACGCAGTTCAGACTACAAAAACTTTTTCTCTGTGCGCGTGCGTAAGCAAACAAATTCCTTCACCATTCGACAATCTCTCTATTTTACTTTACTTGTTACTGAATACTGGTGGGTTTTTTCTTGTTTGCAATCATTTCATTCGTCATTAAACTCATTCCAAGCGAGACACAACCATCCATCTTACAATTCCATTACAAGGAATTCAAAGCATGTTGATTTTCTTTTTACCTACCTAATCATTCACCTATCTATCTATCTATCAAACACACATTCTCTCTCTCTCTCTTTCTCTCTCTTTCTTTTTGTCATGTTCATTCAGATACCTTCTCCAAGCAAAACAATCAACAACGCTCTCATCTCACAATCATCCTTTCCTGTCCTACCAAAACTGCATTTCCGATTCCAATTCGGCTCCAGAGTACCAAAGTATCAATCTTTGGAAAAACACACAAAAGTCTAGAGCCTTTTTCACTCGTATTTTTCGCGACCCTTTGTTTCTGCCGCTTTGTCAATTTCAGGTCAGCCTAAAAATGCAGTCACAGTTTCGTCGTTGTCAAATTCGTACCTATCAGATCGAATGGTCCCGAGTGAAAAAATTTAGCGAATCTTTCTAAAGGCTTACGAAAGCAAATTACAAAGCTAGGAAACCTGTTTCTTACACATTTGGTCTGTACATCTGCTTCGGTTGAGTTTCATCAACCTCTGCGTTTCTTTACATAGCGCAAACGGCCGCAATTCTTCTTTGGCTTGCTATCATCAGTGGCAATATAAAGCCGTTGACTCTTTCGGCGCTGATTTGCCCTTTGCTTTTCTTTGGGCTTCTGGTCCTTCCTGCCACCTATTTGATTGAGCGAGAGTTTGATTCACATGACGTGGCAATCGATGGAATAGTGAGCTGGAACACCATCGGTAATTACCCATCTGATAAATATTCCCAAGGAGGAAATTGTCTTGTCGTTTGCCAAACAGAGACATATACATTGATTTCTACTAGTCCCCTACTCTTGATAAATTAAAGGATTCTATAAAGAGAAACTATCTTATTTATATTATTCTTTTTACATCTCGTTTCTCGTTTCTACTCTTAATTTTACAAATTCCCTTTTTTTTTCCCTTTTTACTTTGGATTTTCGTTTGAAAACATAACCACTTTTTCGTAAATATGTTTTCTCGTAGTGTACAAGCTATTGGCCGTGTTACCCCTATGGTTTCTCAGCGCTTTGCTGGCATCGGCGCCGCTAGCTCTTCCTTGTCTAGTCTTCGTCTTGCCAGTATGAATGGCCGTGCTTCCAACGTCCTTGTCGCTGCCCCCCGTCGTATGTATCACAAGAATGTTTTGGACCACTACAACAACCCCAGAAATGTCGGTAATCTTCCCAAAGGTGACGCCGATGTCGGTGTTGGTTTGGTAGGTGCTCCTGCTTGCGGTGATGTGATGCGTCTTGCAATCCGTGTCAACAAGGATGGTGTCATTGAGGATGTCAAGTTCAAAACTTTTGGTTGTGGTAGTGCCATTGCTTCTTCCTCATACGTTACCACTATGGTCAAAGGTTTGACCTTGGAGGAAGCCACCAAAATCAAAAACACTCAAATCGCCAAAGAATTGAGCTTGCCCCCCGTTAAGTTGCACTGTTCTATGTTGGCTGAAGATGCCATCAAGAGCGCTGTCAAGAACTACCGCTCCAAGAGCTTGCAAGATGTTGCTGCTGAAAATGCCGCCGCCGCCAAACCTGCTCAAGCCGCTGGAGCCGCTTAAATGAAATCGAATGAAGCAAACCACTAATTGATCCTTCGTTGGTCTTTAGTTGGTTTGTTGTTCGGTTAAACAATTGAATCCTTTTATCAACCGTTGGTTTGATTTTAAGGCAAAACCCTTGCTCGTGTTGGACCTCTTTTTCCCCCAATTTCTGTGGTCATCTTTGGTCCGCAATATAGCAATTGCAGTATCTTTGACTCAAGTTTCCATTATGTTTCTTGTGCGTCCCGATTTTGCATTCATATCTCCCCTCTTGTGTTTAATGTTTTTCTTTTTCATTGCTGGTTCTTTTGTTTCCTTTATGATGTTTGATTGTATTTCGTTATTTGTTTGCTTCGTTTACAAAATTGAAAAAAAACGTCAGCGCTTCCTTCTTTTGTGAGTTTTGAATTCCTTTTTCAAGGAGAAAGGAAGAGCTCTCTTCAATAAATAAAATGTAGCTCTGAACAAGTTGAATCCGTCAAGGTAACTACTGTTTTACAATTTTTCAAACACTATTGTTTTATTGCGTTGTGAAAGCAGCTTTTTTTAAGAGTGCCTTTACTTTTTCTTTTTGTTGCTCTTTTCACGCCTTGAAGTCAAGTTTACTAGTATAAATAATAATTGTTAATGAATTTTTTAAAAGAATTACTGTCGCCAAGTAGATTCCGTCTCAAAAAAGTATGGGACATTTGTAGCAAAAAGTAGTAAGCATGTTTCATTTACTATTGTACATTACAATTCATAACATTATTCTATTCTATTCTAATCCATTTCAATCCAATCCAAAGAATAACAAAAAAAGTCAACTGCAAATGCCACAATACAGTTCCCACAAAAGAGCGATCTGACTAGCTCGTACGTATAGCTTTCGACGGACGTGATATACAAGGAGGAAATGTATTATGGATGCCAGAGTTTAATGGTTCGATCAAATCCAGACGATAACAATCGGTCTCCATGACCATCAACACTCATCACCTTTTCTTCGTGGCCGACTAAATTTTTAACCAAAGCTCCGGTGGTTGGATTCCAGATTTTGACACATCCATCATATCCACTAGACAGCAAAAGTACGGCATTCTCCGATTGCAAATAACGAACTTCCGATACAAGAGATGTATGTGCTGGAATCGTTTGACTAATCGAAACATTACGGAGATCCCATAATTTGATAGTATCATCCGCTGACGCTGTTGCTAGCTGGTATCCATTCGGTGCCCAATCCATAGAAACAATGTGACGAATGTGGTCATCCAAAACCATTATGGACTTTCCAGATCGAACATCCCACACCCGTCCGATGGCATCCATTCCGCCAGAACTAAGAAGGGATCCATCAGGTTGCCAGGCAACACTGAAAATACCTTCTGCATGACCCTCCTGCATGAGCAATTCGGTTTCTGTTGCGACATCCCATAACCTCCATGTTGTATCAAAAGACCCAGAAGCCAAATAATCACCACTCGGATGAAACGCTACTCGTAGGACACGAGCCAAATGCCCATCCAATCTCGAAATTGGAGTGGATTGCTTTCCGTTCCATAGACATACTGAATTGTCTGCTGCTCCTGTCGCAAAACAGACATTTTCTGACATCTCATCCCATGTCACACAACCAGGATGCCAGTCTAATCCCGAAACTTTGTCTGTATGGCCTCGATATAACCTTACTTGAGATAGGTCCTTAGTGTCCCAAACCTTTACCTGTCCGCTCCAACTGCCAGTAGCGAATTTGTTACCATCTTGACAGAAACGAATGATAGACATAGGTCGCTCTCCACCCACCTGCGAACCCTGCGCATCTACTTTGCGATAATGATCGGCAGCAAAACGAGCCGAGATAATCTTCTCTGGAACAGGGATTTCAAACTCTTTTCTTTCAATTTCCAAACGCAACTTGGCCTTTTCCAAAGAGTATAAAGCGATTCTTCGTCGTGCCTCTAACAATTCTTGGCTGCCTTCCGAATACGTTTCGTGATCCTCATCTTCATCTGCTTCATCTCCTTGAACGGCATCCATGATGATGTCTTGCTGGCCCTCGTAGGAACGCTCTAGCATCCAATTCAGCAGTCTTTCTCGTCGCGATCCTGCATCTTCCGCAAAGTACGTTACTGGTTCACCAAATCCACGTAAAAGTTCTCGAACACGTCCATCTTCATAGGGGACTCTCAGAGCTCGAATACGCTCTTCACGTTCCTTTTCGGCGTAATACGCGGCTTGCTCTTTAGAGGATCGTGTAATTCCTTCCGGCACCTGCCTTGTCTCTTTACATACAGTTAGCAACAATTAAAATAACTCAATAATTTCCTTCAAACCATACCCAAATCCTGCAAATATATGCCTCCACTGTTTGTGCTCATGCTACATCGCTTCGTTCTATTAGTTCTTGGCACAAAAGCATGAATATTGCTACGGTAAAGCTCGGTAGTTATGTTGATATACCGTTACTTAAACCAGTACGTCCTACTACGGAATATTACCTAAAGCAATAGAACGCAGATCCCTATATCTTATGGGTTTCTAATGACAATACTGTACCGATGTAGCAAATTTGTAGACAATTGAAAAGGAGAGCGAGGGTCGAAAGAATGGGAAAATTGGCTATTTATACATTTCTTTTATACTTTGCTTCCTTAAGTTATGCTTCAGTTTTCAATTGGAAAGATGTGAGTTGCCGTAAACAAATATATATCATTATGTTCTAACTAGGTGCTCTCAATAGGCATTTAATTATCCAAAGTTTTCCTTTGAATGGAGTCCTGAAGCAGTTACTTTGACGAGAATGGAAGAATTGAAAAGTGAATTGCCGAATGACAAACTTTGGACGCGACTTCGCACGGGAAACGAAGATTATTTCTGTGTTTATCCAAATATCACAGCTATAAAGTCCAAATCCGTATCCAAACAGCCCAAGCCTGATACAAACTCAATAAGGACCCAAGGATTCAAAGCACTAGAGACTCTCTCGAATATTTTCATAATGGAGGTAAGTATTCCTGCACATACTTGTTAACCTTACTTGTATTTGCTTTGACGATGTTATTTCTAACATTGGAGAACTACTACTCCATGTGTTGGAAAAATACTTACTTCCTTGTTATACTTACATCAAACATTTAGAGACGTGGATACTGGGCATATGACTATCTTCACAATCAATTTGTACGTCAGTATCATTTGGATTTATCTCCCGACCTCCAGAAGCCTGTTATGGAGCCCTTATATTTTTTGGGAATGGCTTCTTCTCAAGAAAAGAATGTAGAGCCTCAGGAACAGCAATTGCTGGTTATGTTTGACGAAGGGAAAGCATATTTACAAACGACCTATCGCAATGGTACGATCTGTGATGTTACAAATAAACCGCGTACTGTTGTTTTAAAATATGAATGTGAAGACGACGATCCAACTCCGAGATTTACTCAATACCAAGAAGTTTCTAGCTGCTCTTATTCAATTACCATCCATGTTCCTGCTTTGTGTAAGCATAGAGCTTTCCAATCCTTAGATGATAGCCCTTCGGAAAACATTATTTGCTACCCTATTTCCACAGAATCAGACGTTCATAGTCGTGTCACTGGCCACAAATCCCAGTTACCTACAGGGACTAGTACTAATCGCTCTACAGCACTGAGCAATAATGCAGAAGACGATGTAGGTGGATCCACACAGCCTACAAGCAGCTCTTCGGACCCGATGGAAGAACTTTAAAGCTACATATCTGGTCTTTTTTTTTTTTTTTACTGTAACAAAAAACCTTGCATAATCATGTCATGTTCTCCTTAATCTATCACATCTATATACAAAACTCTGAGTTTAACCGACAAGCCCGAAAAGAGATCTCATGCAGCAAGTATGAGTTCTTCTATTGTCGAACAACCTGAATTTTGTTGTCTTTTTGAAACTTTGTGAATTGTGTTTCAAGTTCCTTATATTGTTCGAGCAAGGCATCCATTGCTTTTCGAATCTTCCGTAAGTTAGTATCCTAATTAAATGCCATCAAAAATACAGATCCCAATTGACTTACTCCTTCTTGGTTCGTCTGTAATGCAGGCATAACGGTTTCTACAGTCTGTTCAACCAAAACACCATGAATCATACGAAAGCAACGGCGATCTTTATCCAAAGGCTTCAAGGTCTCATTCACCAGTCTAAATAACAAAAAGTTAGGTTTTCGTATTTATAGTTGACGTCCTCATACTTATGTTCATCAGCGTCTGTTTCCAAATCGACAATCTTTTGTGCGATCTGCTGCAATTGCGATTTGTATGCGTTATACTGGTTTTGCAAATCTATTTGTTAAATTAACTTTCTTCGCTTTCAACGTACATTGCTGTCGACTAATCTGCTCAGTCATTCTTCTGTAAAATGGATTTTTTGCAAATGTTCGTTGTATTCAGTACACGCACATTCATATGCAATTAACGCGGTTTCATGGTCTCGTTAAACGTTTTGCGTGATATGGTACCATACCTTCGTTTTCATTACCAGATTAAGTTCATTTAGTTCGTTAGTAAACAAAGTGTCGTATTGGAATGTTTATGAAGAAATGCTTGTGTTGGTGTAGAAGCTAAATCGTCTTAAGTAATTCAAAATTTATAAATTACGTGAATGTGATCCTCTCTAGAATGATTTATATGAAAACGAGGGAATTAGAAATACTCATAAAAGTTATTTATGAAATGTAACATACTTTGTTTATTTTCACTGATGATTATAACCTTGGTAGAAAAGTAAGTGGGATTAGCTTTAAGATTAAATTTGATTCATAACTAGCATGCTCTTGAAGTTCTGTATAGTTGTTCACTCTAAATGAAGAGTTTTGTACATGTCACCGAGCAAATATAGACTTCCACAAACAACCGTCAATGGATTTTCAGTACCAGCAGATATCAAAGCGTTTCTTCTGTTTCTCTCATTGACAAGTACAGTTTGAACTTGTCTTTTGGAGAGATATTCTTGTATCACTTTAGAATCCATCGACTGGATCCAAGGCATCCCTTCTACTGGGGAAAACTGAGTGATATACACCGTATCTCCCGGTTGAACCAAAGACTCTAAAATTCCATTCGCATCTTTGCTTCCAGTAAAAGCTACCATCCAAGAGACAGACTTGTTGGCATTTTTTTCTCGTTGAAGATTTACGAACTTAGCCAGTTCTAAAGCAGCATCCTGATTATGGGCTCCATCAAACAATACCTTTCCGATTCCAGAAATATCTCGAAAATCCAATCTTCCAGGCCATATGGTGTTTTTGATACCATTTTGGGCATGAGGAATCATCAACGGGAATGAAGATGTTAGCACATCCAAAGCATATACACCACAAGCCACATTTCCACCTTGATATGATCCATTCAAAGAAGTTTGATAATCATTTGTTCCCCAAGAGGGGCTCGTAACACTCCAAGTTTGAGCCTGATTTGTCTCTTTTGCTGACGCTAAATAAACAGGTCCGGCATGAACTTCTTGAGCAACTTCTTTCAGTGTTTGAATTACCTTCGGTTTGTTTGTTGAATCAATTATACATGGGACATTCTTGTGGAAAATTCCTCCTTTTTCACGAGCTATGGCTTCCAACGTATTCCCAAGAAAAGCTTCATGATCCTTTCCGATTCGACAAATAACAGATAATAAAGGGGAATCAAACACATTTGTGGCATCCAATCTACCACCTAAACCCGTTTCAATTACAGCAACCCGTACACCCGCTTCGCAAAAACATTCAAACGCGGTAGCTGTCAATAGCTCAAATTCGGTTGCGTTCGTACCAAACCGTTTATCGATATCCATGACCCGCTTCCGACAAGTTTCGAACATTTCCTTGCTTGCAGCTTGACCGTTCATGTGAATGGTGTCCCTAGGCTCGATAAAGTGTGGGCTAGTATATCGACCAGTTTTTATGGCCGCTTGTAACAGAGTAGTATATATGTAACTGCAGACACTTCCTTTCCCATTGGTTCCAGCAACTTGAATGGCACAAAAAGTCTCTTGAGGATTTCCCAAGTGTTGTAAGAGCAGACGCATACGCTGCAATCCGAGTTGAATTGGCATAGTTAAATTAAACCGAAATGTTTAATTATCGGATAACTGAAACAAAGCAATAATAGCGAATACAAGAAAATGCAGTTAGTATTCTGTCTGGGCTTGACGCAGTATAAAGTTGCAATCTAATAAAATAAAAGTAAAATTATATATAAATAATCAAAACTTCTAGTAAGAATTAGTGAATCGACGTCAGTCTCGAGCGTTTCTCTTTTATCTCAGTTCTTTCTTGAGGTTAAAAGACTGAACAGAATATTAAGTGAAATTACGCATAAATAGGAGCGTAAAAAATGAGTCTTTATAAAAACTTTAAATGAAAACTAACTTTTAAACGTAAGCATAGATACTCGTTGCAAGGGCTTGGTCCAAGTCCTAGATCAGTAAGGACATACTTACGATTCATTATAGTAAGATGTGATTGTGATTCCTCAAAAGGTTCTATAAGATGCCCATAATTTATAATGTCTTGAAGAGAAATGTTCGCTTTGAGTTGAATCTAGTAGCAAGTTAATTATGTAAGAGAAGTTATAGAAATTTAGGAAAAGGAGCAACTATTGTTCTACATCAAAATTAATCGTTTCATACGAAGGTTTATATGTATTCTGTTTTTACTTAATATGAATTCAGGTGGTGGACCTATGAGCATAAAAAACCTGACCTTTCTTTAGCAACTTTCTCCAATCGCCCAAAATGACAGATTACATCAAGGAAAAGGCGATTGCAGCTGATTTTTCATCAGTAACGTTTCGATTTGATGACTATTTAGCCCGAAATTTCGAGTTCGGCGAGGCAGGGAAGCTTCATTCCTTGCATGGACGCGAATCGGGTTCCAAGATGGGTAGTGTGGTCTGCAAGCATTGGTAAGGACTTGTTTTTTTTAAAGATTTGAATATACTAATAAAAGATCAGGCTCCGTGGTCTCTGTAAAAAGGGTGAGCAATGTGACTTTTTACATGAATATAATTTAAAAAAAATGCCGCCCTGTCATTTTTTTGCAGAGAGAGGATGGTGTTCAAATGGCGAAGAATGCTTATATCTTCACTTGGATCCCAGTAAACAGGTCGGTGTTTGTGCTTGGTACAACATGGGTTTTTGCCCATTGGGACCCGTCTGTCGTGGAAAACACGTACGAAAACCGAGCATTTGTGAACGATATTTATCTGGCTTCTGTCCATCAGGTCCAAATTGCCCGGATCCTCAGTAAGTGTTACGAAAACCGTGAAAATCCTAGTGAATACGATACTAACACAATTCAGTCCGAAACATGTGGATCCACCGCATCCTCCTCAAAGAAGAAAAGATTTTTGATGAGAAATAAAGAGTTTAGTGTTTTCTTGTGTATATTAGCCCTTAACGATAATACAATTCGATTCCCATTCGTTCACCAGCTTTATGTGTTGACCACTCGAGTTTGCATATTACATTTCAAGTGATAAAATTAATACATAAAAAAATTCAAGAATTTGTATCTGATCCTATTTGATCTGACCTTGAAATGATTGTGAAGCTAATACTTCGAAAGAAGAATCCGTAACGGAAGTGAAACTCGAAGAAATTATGGATTAAGGAAAAAATCATTGCTTTATATCTCTAATATCTTTATTTCAAAACTTTCCTTTATGAAACTGGTTCTGTTTACATTGTAAGGTAAAAATACAACATTGGCAATCAATTCACCGATACCACCCAAAGAAGGGACAAATGACCCTTTAATAAATTTGTTGAAAAATTCTGAATATTAATAAATAAAAATAAATAACAAAACCAACAAGAGACTTACTCGTCGTTTCAGACTTCCCGTGAGGGGGGGATGAGATTTTTACCTTAGTACGTACCACCAAGAAATATCGAACCAAGGTGAAGAATCGCCATTGGAAGTCAAGATTCTTTCATAAATAGTCTGATTTAAAAAAAAGAGAGACGGTATTAAGATACCCTTTGAATTTTGAAGTCATAATTCTCAAGAACGACGAACATTGGTACAAGATACAATTTAGAACGAAAAAGTAGAAAAACGAACTAGTTAAGACGATGGACGAATCTGGAGATTTAACGGGTCAATGGAGATTTGCCCAGTATGTATAAAATGAAAACAGATGATGGATTATTAACTTAGTTAGATGTTTTGGCGACAAGGGTGATGTTGAAGACATTACAGAGGGTATGAGTTTAATAAGCACTATCAAAAAGAAGATTTTATATGTGGACTAACTTATTTGTGAAGCTGATATTATTTCGGCGGTAGAATTTGATCATACAGGCGACTATCTTGCGACTGGTGATAAAGGAGGACGAGTAGTGCTATTCGAACGGAACCATTCCAAAAAAGGGTGCGAGTACAAGTTTTTTACCGAATTCCAAAGTCATGAACCAGAATTCGACTACTTAAAGTCGCTAGAGATTGAAGAAAAAATTAACAAGATTCGTTGGTGTCGTCGAACAAATCGAGCGCACTTCTTGTTATCTACAAATGACAAGACAATCAAATTATGGAAGCTTTATGAAAAAAATCTAAAGGTTGTTGCTGAAAACAACCTTTCTGACGAATTTCGTCACCCTCGACCTGTGTTAAAACCCTTCACCTTACCCATGCAGTTAAAGCTTCCTCGCCTTAGTCATCACGATACGATTGTTGCTGCGTATCCTCGTCGAGTTTATTCCAATGCCCATGCTTACCACATCAACTCAATTAGTGTGAATTCTGATGCTGAGACTTACATTTCAGCAGATGATCTTCGCATTAATTTATGGAACTTGGGCATATCAGATCATTCTTTCAATATTGTGGACATTAAGCCTGATAACATGGAGGAACTAACAGAAGTTATTACCAGCGCTGATTTTCACCCAATCAATTGTAACCATCTAATGTACAGTAGTAGCAAAGGTAATATTAAACTTTTAGACCTTCGTCAATCCGCTCTTTGTGATAATCATACGAAGCTTTTCGAGGATCAAGGCGACCAGGATTCAAAGAGTTTTTTCTCAGAAATTATATCCAGCATTTCAGACATTAAGTTCTCTCAAGATGGCCGTTACATTTTATCTAGGGATTATCTATCGTTAAAGATTTGGGATATAAATATGGAAAAGATGCCGGTTAAAACAATACCTCTTCACGATGTATTGAGATCCAAACTTTGTGATCTTTATGAAAATGACTGTATCTTTGATAAATTCGAATGCACCTTTTCCGGAGATGGAAAACATGCTTTATCAGGAAGTTATAGTAACAATTTTGGTATCTATCCTACGGATAGCTCTAAACTTGGTGATGAAGGTCAAGTTGTGTTACAAGCTGATAAGGCCGCTTTTCGTGCTAGAAAATCAGCCGCAAGTTCTACAGTCAAATTAAATTCTATGAAGAGTAACGATTGGGATTCCAGGTCACCTGCTCCCATGGGCTCGGCTTCCATTGGACTTGATCCTGACCAACTTGATTACAATAAGAAGATTTTGCATGCCAGCTGGCATCCCTTCGAAGACTCTGTTGCTATTGCCGCAACAAATAATGTATGCTTTTTTTTATTTTAAAACTATAAACCGCTAACAATTGTTTTAGTTGTTTGTGTTTAGCAAGCTCTAAGATGTCAATGTGTAACTCTTGTCTTATTTCTTTTGATATTTACAATATCGATGAGCACGTTTTGTTATTAGACGGACATAAAAGTCAACTTCAGCCTGTTTGCTTTTTTGTCTAGTAACTAATTTTTAACGGATTTGTATTTTGTTACATGTGTTTGGTCAATGATTAATGACGGGAAGTAAAACTTCAAGGACTAATGATTATATCTTCGTTTGTATATTCCCTTTTGCTCTCCCCTTTCCCCTGTTTGTCAAAAATATTGTTCTTTGCTATATTTTTAGCTTAATTTTTCCTTTTTTTAAAGAAGATCAATATGGTAAGGATAAGAGTTACAAGCAATTACGTTTGTTAATACAATTTCAGGCGAAAATACTGTTTCAATGAAGAATTATCCTCGAAGTTTAATATTAAAAGGATGCTACTCTTTCTAAAGTTCTTAATATGATAATAAGAATAAGAAGTTTGGTGTTCTAATAGCTATTGGAATGTACCCGTGAAGGGGAAAGAAAGAAGGGGAGTGCTCAATGAATGAGCATGATTCGAGCTATCATTTTTTATTCATACTGGTGATGGAACTCCCCTAGAAATGACTGTTCAGGGAGGTTGTTGGTGCATCGTGCTCAGAGAATAATGTTTACATCTTTAAAGCTAATTTTTATGGATGAATAAAAGTCAGTACAACAAATAGTTCTAAAAAGTCTTTGTTATAACATTATCAACATTAACATTAAAGTAAGATTTAAATTATGAGAAAGGCAAAGAATGCATCCAGTTACTTAAAAAAGACCAGTTGCAAAGTGATTGCAAGTAATACGTGAAGGACGATAACCCCAGCTATGGAAAGCTTACACAAATATGTTCCTGCTTGTTGACAAACAGGATACAAGTTACGGATAAGAAAGACAAGTGAGATGCCCAGTCCAACAGATGTTAATATCCATTTGACGATATGGGAAATGAAAGAAGACAATAGACTGAAAGGAGGAGTCATTAACGAAACGGGGAGCCAGCTAATGTTAGCATAACCGTATATGCATACGCAATCGAGCAACTTTGGGTTGCACTTGTTCCAAACCAAGAATCCCCAAAGTATGACTGAAGCAATGGCCGTGTAACCATAAATGATAGAAGTGGCAGAAACCAGCTTACCAATGGAATAAGGATTGTCTATAGACCCTGTGAGATGTCGCACATAGTCAGTGATGGAATTCGAAAAGAACAATGCTTGAACTACCGTAGTTGTTATCCAAAAGGGCCCATATAAATCAGGCCTATCATCGATAACATCAAAAAAATTTGCTGTAGGAATTAATGTATGTATACACCGTTGCACTACGTCTTTTGTGGTTACGCGGAAGGAGTCTTTGATTGTCCAAGTGGGTTCTTGCATGGAAGCACGACGAGCATGTAATCTAGGGCTTATAGGTTTTGATATAGGTGTATGCTGCTTAAGAAGATTGTCATCTTCAAATGTAGTTCTTCCCAATTCAGCATCTGGCTCTATGTTGTAATTCTCATTCATTTTGGTAGTTGATGGACAAGGGCTAGCCAATAATTGAGGGTAACAGGAAAACAATTAAAATGAAGGTTTTTTTAAATTGATTCATATTTGTACAGTAAAATTTAAAAAAAAAACAAAATTGTGTCATGCAGTTTACAGAAGGCTTCACAAATTTAGTAGACTTCCTCAGCAGAATCTAGTCAAGATTAATTTGGTCATGGAACTTTGCGTAGAGAAGGTTTTTTAGTTCTTGAATACGTGAATGATCAGTTTCCATATGAGACTCTAATTGTTCACTTTGCTTTTCCAATCTGGATTCTGATTCTTCGAGTTCTTCATTCAGTGTATCCAAAGGGACTTGAAAGAAGGCGTCACCAATCTTGATCAAAGGAATTTGATCTCCATCATCTTCATCTAAAAGTTCACATTCATTTTTGGCATCAACGATGTCTTCTACCTGACTTTTGATGTCTTTGAGCTCTAATTCCTGAACAGCTCTTCTAGAATGCAAAACGGAGAACTCATTTAAATTGTGCTGATCTTGAGCTAACACAGGTATTTGTTCCATTATACTTTACGAAATTTGTGTCAGTTTCCTGCCGCGAACCGTGAATGAAAGAAGCGGTCGTTTGGATGAGGATAGAATGCTCAGTGAAAAACTTGTTCATTCCACAAAATACGCTAGAGAGGAATAAAACAACATAGGTAGTTAGGCTGAAGAAAATATTCTAATTTAGTTTTGTTTGTAATATCTTTTCGCACAACCGAGAATGTAAACCATTTGAACGGTCGAAAGAGTATTTATTCATGACGCATAAACTGTAAACTTTTAGCATTGGCAGGTATAAGCATTAGAAACTAGATTTAAATTATATATATGTACATATATTGAATGAAATGAAATTGTGATGATTTCTTGAAGAAACTTTGCGGTATCCAGCAATTTCTTCGTGTTTTATGAACAATTCAAGAAAGGATATATCCATTCCAAGGAACTAGATTCCGTTTACAAGATAAAAGCAAGTAGTCAAGAGGGGTTACCGTCAAGCGCTTCTATCATAGGCATGGTAATCGGAGAGAGCAATTGGTGGATATACAGGATCCATATTGGCAGGTAAGAAGCATCCTGTTTTGAGATTTCTGCTGTATAGAAAAATTTCTGGGTACAGCATGGATGGACGTACCAGGAAATACCATTTGAAGCAGGACAATCACCTATTGCCAAAGCTTCTGAAGCCAGGCCTCGATTTTCTGGGAGGATCAGAGCTTCTATGTCTTCAAGTTTAGTGAAAGGGACGCAGCCATCAAAATATAACTGGAAGAAAAATTGAGGAACTTGGTAGGAAGGCGAAAAGCGAATCCAAGCTTCAACCGATAAATCAGGCGACACATAAATCATCTCACTTTCCTCTTCGACAAGGGAATTCTTTTCATCATTGTATGGTTTTATTTGCCATTGTAGTCGTAATATAGGTTCAAAAAGCTCTACCAATTCACAAGAGATACCTCGATTCTCCAATGTAGGGATCAATTGGAGAAGATGCTGCCGAAAGTTCATTAATGAGTTAATTCATTTACTTTATTTTAGAAATGAAAGAAAAATCCAAATTAAAACTTCTTTTCCTAGACGGATGATCCAATGTCCCAAAAAATAAAAGGAACGAGAAAGAGTCAGTTCATGGATGGAAGAAATAAACAATTGCGAAGAAAAGTTCTGTTTCGCAGATTAGAAGTTTTCAATCATCTTTATATATATTTCAGCGAATGGTAAAATGAATCCACGTACATGAGAAAGGTGTGCTTTTTTTGGCTATCCATTCCTTCGAGACTAGCAATCATCTGTATGTATAGCATAAGATTGGAGGACCAGATTACTTTAAGATTATACATACCATTTATTTCTTGTACGTTTCGTTTCTTGTACGGCTCTTAAACGTAAAGGAATTTGCCTACTTTTCTCGCTTTACACAATCAGCCATAACACGACCAAACTAGAGTCGGTTGTGTTTTTTTTGAACAAGCTACGGTCTCATAGAATTATTAAGAACTTACATGATTCAATAATGACTAGAAAGCAGCTTAAACACTGTGGATAGGGATTTATCAGGAGTGATTTCTGAAATACTTCTCAATAAGTAAATTTTTTGTTCGCTACTTTCAAAGCCTTTCAAACATATATAACTTTATTTTTACATCTCTCGAGCTCAAATATGGCAATTTCTAGTACATCATGATTGTTTATTTACTAGCAAAGTGAATGAATGAATTCGTTAAGTATGGATATCACAGAACAAACTGTTAGTTATTGGTTCGCTAAATGGAAGTCTTTTATGAGTCAATATCTTCAATACAAAAACCAGCTTCCTGGTAAAGACATACGGATTGGGAAGAGTCAGTTGTATCTCACCTAAAGTCACAAAAAAGGAGATTTTCACGAGAAAAAACTGAACGTGTTGGCTTTCTTCCATATATGAGTGGCTAAGGATCTGATTCGTCTTTATGCTGGATGATTCTTTGAAGGATGCTATAGCAGGAGGAGCTGCTGGGTTTGCGTCGTCTCTTGTTGTCGCACCTTTGGATGTAGTGAAGACTCGGAAGCAAGCTCAAAAAGCTCGAATGTCCGTGCGCGGGGCGTCAGCTTTAGGAGCAATGGAAGGCACGCTACGCTCGATCCAAAGGATTTTCATTCACGAAGGAATTCCTGGCTTGTATCGAGGCGTAGGACCTATGATGTTAGGGTACCTGCCTAGCTGGTCAATCTACTTTGCTGTCTATGAAAAATCTAAAGAACTTTTGGGCGTAAACAAACGATCTTCACAACAAAACCAGGGTTCCAAAAAGAACGCGGAAGAGATAATTGAGGACGCAGATCCTGAACTCTACAAATTTTGGTTTCGCCAGACTGCTTCTGCCATCTTCGCTGGCGCTGCAAGTGTAACCTTTACGAATCCAATTTGGGTTGTTAAGACGAGAATTGTAACTCAATCGCATCCGAAAGCAAACCCTCTAACTGATAATGCAGCCGCTGTTACAAATCTTCAGTTTCGTAATCTTCAGACGGATGCCCAATCTTGTAAAAAACGTCTTCCTCTCTTTTGGTTAAAACGACGAATTAATATTAATGACGATTGTAATCCCCTCCGCCTAGAACAACCCACTGGACCGGCTTGTTCTCCTACTTATAGAAATACGCTTGATGCATTTCGAAAGATATACAAATATGAGGGTATCAAAGCGTTTTATAGGGGCTTAACGCCTTCTTTATTTGGTACCTTGCATGTTGGTATACAATTCCCATTATACGAGTTTTTTAAAAAGTCTTTTGATGATCTGTTTGAAACCCAAAGAAACGTTCACATTATTCTTGCTGCTACCCTGTCGAAGGTAACTGCCTCCGCAATAACCTATCCCCATGAAGTTTTACGGACACGATTACAGAGCCTAGATGCTCCAACTCATAATTCGATGGCTTTACTCATTCGAGATATATGGAGATTGGAGGGCTGGCGTAAATACTACGCTGGCATGGGTACTAACTTCCTCCGTACTATTCCCGCAAGCTCCGTGACAATTCTGAGTTTTGAACTCGTTCGTGATTACCTTAATTAATATATTTTCCCCCCATTCTCCCAATGACATTTTTATAGATCCTATTCTATGACTATATGATTTATCAAGTTTTAATTTTGAAAAACTCCCTCCACGTCATCTTTTAAAAGAATCCTATAATGATTTTGAAAGTCTGTTTTTATGAAAGTTGACACCGTTTCAATTGGTTTGGTCTGCAAGAATCCACTAGTCAGATTTCTTTTTTCCTCTTTTACTCAAAACATCGCGCTTTTTTCTATCATATTTTTTTTTCCTTAAAATAATAGACCAGTCTTGTAAATTCTTCTATGATATAGTAAACTGAAAAACAAGAAACGTTTTCATCATTAAGAATCTCTTGCGCATGGAAGGAAACTGAGAAGTCGTACTTTTTAGTTAGATGAATATGAAAAATAGCACAAACGTAGAAAATAAGCATCTAAAGTAAAATAATTATTGGAGCATTTACTACCTGGCGATATGCATTTAGGGAGAGAAAATTCGTAAAATTTACCAACACCACGAAAATGGCAAAACCAGGCAAACAGGGAAAAAATAATGCAGAAATTGAGTTTGTTCCAGAAGAAGAGCAACAACAAAAACAATTTGTAAAAGATAATGCCAATAACGCTGACTCTGAAGAAGAATTAGAGGATTTGGATAGCGAAGATGAAATTGATCAATCCGAAGACTCTGATGTTGAAAGTGCAGATGAGGAGGCATCAGGTCATGGAGAAGAAAAGGATAAAACAAGCTCAATGGCCGATGATATTGCAAAACTTTTAAATGAAGAGCCCGCTGCTCCCGAGACAACTGATACTCCTGTTTTGAGTTTGTCGAAGAAGTCGAAAAAAGCAATTCGCAAGAGTAGCGCCGACAAAAAGGCTGCAAAGTTACGCACCGCTCATCGCCGCGAGCGCTTGAAAAAGGAAAACGTGGGTCGTGTTACCGACATTGTTGCTACTGATGGTGACACAGTCAAAACATACTTTACACATGAAAGAGAGCTTCGTCGTGTTGCACGAAGAGGTGTGGTTCAATTGTTCAATGCCGTTCGTACTTCTCAAATGAGAGGAGCTATGATGAGCTCTTCTGTTACCGGTGGCAGAACGACTCGTGAACAAAAGGTACAAGAGCTTTCCAAGTCGAGCTTCCTTGACCTCATTAAATCCCAATAAAGTCCGATATCTTTCATATACAGATTTTAAGGGTTTTTTAATATTAACTTATTACTGAATGCTTTAAAAAGTTAAAAATTTTTATTCTATTTGTTTTTTAGACGCTGTCTTGGCTTTGGTTTATGGGATATCTGGTGAATCATTTTTCTTTGTATACAACACAGAAGGAACACGCCAATTCTTTCTATTGGTTCTTTGTAAATCAATATCAAATAATACTATATCTTTTTCTTGCTTTACTTTCGTGAAGAAGTACCGTGGTTAAAAACTTCCAAATGGCAAAACTGAAGCTTTTTTCAATGGATTCGACCGTTTTGAATGGTTATGTGCTATTATTTTGCTCTTGGGCCTTATTTGTGTTTGGTCTCATGAGTGTGTTTGGGTTTATTGATATTCCTATATTGGTAGACGGAGATGTAAGTAAATAGTCTAAAGAGTATTGAAAAGCAGTTGTTGAGGATTCAAAACGCTCCATTAGTGTTTCTTTTAAGAAGATTCCCGTATTCGGTGTACTAACAGGTCATAGAGTTCTCCTATTCATGCATATTATCCTTGTTTAATAATTTTGACGGTTACAGTTGCCTTCTTTATATGGCTTTTTTTCAACTGGCTTGGCCTAAAATACTTTCGACATTCACCTAGCGCCATGCGTAGGTAGGCTGGTAATTTAATGGTTAATTGATGTATGGTTAAGGTGGATGAAGTGCCCATACCCTTTTAATCTGGCTATGTCTTAATGAATATGAGATATTCGAAGAAGCTGTCTCAGTCACTTTTGCATATCTATAAGTGTCTCCTGGATATTGATCTGTAGCTGGAGGATTTCTACTTTTTCTAAATAAAGTGATATTGATTTTATTTATATTATTATATTTTCATATCTTCCTTATGATAAGATGAGTGAGTCTTATGTAAATTGTGTATAGTCATTGTATGTTCCCTATGCTATGGGTTGGTAATTCTTTTTTCTTTCTTTTATCAAACGACTTGTTTTCTTACTGCTTCACTGAAAACAGAATGTTCATTCATATGCTTTTGGTTGATCATAAATCTTATGACCGTATGTAACAACTTACCCTCATCCTCAGACCTCGTCTTTCAAGCGAGCTATTTTAATAGACAGAGCTTGTTAAATGTCGTATTTCACTTTTAATACACTAAGAATAAAACATTTTTAAAAGGTCTATTTATATTGAATAGGTAATTTATTCACTGCGTACCTTGGTACCATTTGAACCTTCATACTCTGATATCGACCCCTTCAGATTCTTGACAGAGTTTTAGAGTTTTGAAGGGAAATCGTTTATTAATTCTCTCAATTCGGTTTTTGTTTTAATCTCGCATATATTTACTTTCCTTCATTAGTGTGGGAATAATTCATTTGGCATACTAATACAATGGTCGATTTAAATAACTTAATGGACTACATGCCCTTGATTTTGAGGCTTTACTTCCTAGTTTTGTTTGGATTGTATAGCTTTACGTTTGCATTATGGCTCTTGTATGCTTATCGTGTGGATGTTTTTGCTTTGCTAAACAATCCTCTTCCAGTCAATCGTCTAAATCAACATCAGGCTCCTCTGTATAGACTTACTTACAAACTTTCAGTAATTGGGACTTTTCTATTCATTGCTGCTGAAATTATCTACATGTTGACCGAATCATCTGAGATGTCTTACATCCCTGTTGTTATATTTTGTGTCATTATCTTCATGCCTTTGCGTAAATTGCAATATTTCCAGCGAAAGGTGTTTATGCGGCAATGTTTACGAATCTCTACTGGAAATTACGCCGTGGAATATAAATTCCCGGATATCATTTTTTCCGACTTGCTCACTTCGTATTCTCGAGTAATTGCCGACTTATGGCTCGCCGGTGCTATTCTTATTTACACTGTTAGTGAGCCTTCAAGGTCACGAAGAAAAGAGCTAGAAAATGAGGCGATCATGTCCTTGATTGCAGCTTATCCTTATGCTATACGTTTTCGTCAATGTCTCATCGAACGTGCTCATGCTGATAATGAAACAGCCAGATTCTGGAGTACAATGAATGCCATCAAGTATTTGACTGCGTTCCCAGCAATTTTCTTAGGTATTGTTGGAAATAAGCGGATGACTTTTATGTGGTTCCTTTGGAACGCTTCCTCTGCTATTAACTCAACCTACTCTTTTTGGTGGGATGTTTCTCAGGATTGGAACTTGGATTTTTTGAAAGATCCATTGAACAACAAGAGCTGGAAGTTTCAGACTCGTCGTCCCTTCCCTGTCGCTGTATACATCTTTTTTAGTGCCCTTGATTTCGTCTTACGTATGTCTTGGGTTGTAAGAGTTCTTTCCGAAAAACACACCAGCCTTTTTGCGACTGATTTTGGTATTTTTTTGATGCAGTTTCTAGAAGTATTTCGAAGGTGTATCTGGGTTTTCTTTCGGATTGAAGCTGAAGCTTCAAAGACCATGGCTTATTTGACTGTACAGGGTGCTAATGACGACGTTCTTTCTCATCCCGAGTAACGCTTATGGTTTGAATCATTCTTCACAAATAATGTTTCACATGTTGGTGAATGACGGTTGCGGTTGTGGTTGTGGTTAAAAAATATTTTTTTCGTTCACTTTTGGACATTCTTAGGAATATGCTTTCACATTCTTTTATTTTCCTTGTGTTTACATGTAAATATTCCTCTAACGGAAATTTATACAATTTCCACTCTAATGAACTTAAATATTATTAATTTATTTTACTAAATGAAGGGCAAATAGCTTATTTTCTTTTGTATTAACATCCGTGTATATCCAAAGTTCACCAGTGTACCTACGCATTTCAATATCTGACAATACAACTTCTCAGAAATAAACAAATATAAAAACCACCAAATTTTTATTTTCCTATTTGTAAATTTGAGTATCCCAAGAACTCAACCCTTTAGTTCCGTATTCATTTCTATTAGCATCGATGAAAGCTTACTCCAGTTTACCTAGGTGATAAGTTATTCCCGTTTTGGTAACGAATTGTTTAAATGTTCTTGAACGGTTTTTAATGGATTCGACATGAACGAGGGATGCCGTAAAATAGACTGAAATCTGTCAATTTCATTTACTGTATCGTTCCTCATGGATGCCTTCGTACGCTTTGTAACTGAAGCGTCCTTTATAGCTGAATTCTGTTTCTTTTCGCTTTCCTCAACTTCCGTCTCAAGCTCAGGTAAAACATTTTCGAACGACGACATGTTAACTTGCAAATTCTCTCGTTGCTTACGATTGCGCCGTCTACGGGCTGAAGCGGATATTGTCTTTGAATTAAATTTTTGTTGCCAAGCATCATGTCTTTCTTTCCTCTTATCGTGCTTACTTTCTCTAGGCATCTCAAAGCGATTCACCACTCCTCCTTCACGGGCTTCTTGGCTAGTAGATCCTGTAGTTTCATTTTTAGGCCCAGGGACTCCCTTGCTTAATTTATTAGCTGCTTTGGTAGCGAGGGACGTTCTCTTCTTTGCTTTAGGCTTACATAGTTAGTTACTCTTCTGTTCATTTTTTTATCATGTTTATACCATTGTAAACTGCCTGTTTTGAATGGATCCTGATCAAAACTTCAAAAATTTTACTGCTTTTATTCACTGGTATAAATTAACGAGCTTTTCAATAGAAAATATTCTTTGTTGGGATATTCTTCAAAGTTGCTATTTGCAAAGGCTGCTAAACCAAGAGAAGCATTTAGCGTGAGCTTTCGAGATCCGTAAACTGAAGTCCTCGAAGCAAGTGAGTATGCTGGGTAAATAAAATAAAATTTAGTAAACAAAAAAGGGACTAAATTAGAAAAACTTTTAAAAAAAGAAAGCATTACTTATAGTAGGAAGTAATTATAAAGTAACGCTTCATAAACTATGTGAACTCCGTAGTAGGTGCCAACGAAGACCTAGACATAGGATAGGAAGCAGATGTATTTATTGGAATGGAAAACCTTTGAAGTACTTCTTTATAAATCGATTCTTCAAACCAGTAAGGATCTACCACACTTAAAGAGTAGCTCTCTTCATGGACATCTATTGGTATTGCATTCAGAAATTGTCGTAATTGTCCGTCTGTTGGGAACGCTGAAAGAGAAGGAGCCCTTGAAGTGATGGATGAAGAAGGAGCTTTTGATGTCGCCGAAGAACGTTCTGAGCTTTCGATACTGCTCCTATCAAAAACTTCCGACGAAGTACTTTTCAAACGCTCTGCTACCAAATGTACCAAAGGTTTGGGAGATGTTTTCGTACTCCAATAAACTGCATCAAGCGGACTCATCATCAAAACCCACTCATGCAGTGAAAATTCCTCTGGTTTTAATGCCGCTAAGAAATCCAATAGCTTGCAGGCATCTACTAACGTTTCCTTGGAGACAGTAGCATCACCCATACAGTACTTTTGAAAAATGATTTGCAGTTCACTAACTACAACCGGCCAAAGACTTAGTAAATGATTTGATGTTGTTCTTAGCGCAAGAGCACGGATCATCAAGAAAAGCTCCTTCTTCAAAACTCCCTCGGGATCAGAGCCTAGAAGTCGTTTTATTAAATCAATTATTGGAGGAAGGCTCGGCAAAAAGAAATCTTTCTGGCAAGATAATATGAATATTGTAATTCGACATAAATTCCCTTGACGAACACCCAATTGTGCATCCCGCGATGTGAACAGTGCTGTCATACCAAGGTCGGATTTCGTAATTAAATCGCCTAGACGAGAAAGATCTTGGTACAACGCAACCTGGATCACCGGAGCTAGCTTTCGAAGTTGACTTGTATTAAACCGAAATAAATTATTATCGTTATATATATCCCAAAAGTCCTTCTTCCATGATTTGCAAAGAGAAGAGTATCGACTAAAGGCAACTAGCAAATCCAAGTGCATTTCAGTAAATGCTTCAGGGAATGTCCTTGCTTTGACGATTGGAGAGATAAAACTGTTTACAATCATTACGGACCATCCTATTAGCTTCTCTTCATCTTTCGCAAGATCTGATATATTGGGGATAAGCTCTGCACAGAAAAATTCGAGAAGAGCAGGCTCCAAGTATCTTGAAAATAAATACATCGGCGTTACAGGTCCTTTGTTCTCAGTATGGCTTATCACATCCTGTCGCAATTCCTTGTAAGCAAAAAAGTCAGCAATTACTTGACTTTCAGGTGTTTTCCCGACGTGAAACAGAGTAGCTGTCAAGCACCGATTCCAAAGATCAAAGAACTCTTTTTGTTGGCGTGTATCCGAACTATTACTTATGTGCTTTGAAATCAGGAATAAAATACGAAGAGAAGCAAGTAAGTAATTTTTGAAAGTGTTAGAAGAAACGATGATTTCTCGTAAAAATTTAGCTATTTCTGGAAACACGCCAGGGATTTCGTTTTCTTTTAGTTGAGCAACATATGAACAGATGCAATCTAAAATATCCATCTGCGAAACTTTAATAGTCAAACTGGAAGGACCACTGTATGTGGAAATTGTCTCCCTCGCAAAGAAAGAAGATGTCAAATGCTTGATTATGTATTCAGGATATCCATCACTTAAATATGAGAACAGCTCCCACACATATCGGGAATATGAGGTATCTTGGTTTACTTCTATGTAAACAAGTGTTTCTATACACTCCATTGGTTCGTGCTTATAAAGTCGTAAAATACCTTTAGCTGCAGCCTCTTTAAGTGAGGATGTGTCATTTATAAAAACTTTAGATCTCTTCTCATAATATCCGTGCTTCAAATCCCAAGAATAGCAAGCAAATAATGTGCGGACAGCATCCTGTATAACGAGCAACATAGAAAGACGCTTGCTTATATCAACAGAAGACGTTGAGGTATCATTAGAAAAGACACCGGAAATTACATTTCCAATGAGTCCACTATTTTCCATTGACCTTTTGGAGTTTTGCATGTATGGGAACATTTTTATGACGCGTACAATCATGTCACTTAGGGTCTCTAGTTTAAGTATGAACACGTCCATGAACGTGCGATCAGGAAGAGAACTTGGAAAATCCCTATACATAGCATCGTGTTGTTTCAAAAATTCATCAATAAAAGAAGACAAAAAGTGAATGGGGGGTATAACTAATAGAGGGATGTCCTCCAACATATTGGGTAAAAAACCATTGATTACTTTAAGCCACCTTGAACAAATCGTAGGATCGTTGTTAGATAGGCCTGTCATAATGAAATTTCGAATAAACTCACGATTCTCTGCTGTATGGATATCTGACAATTCAATTCTTGGTTGGAGGAATTCCAATAAACTCAATAAGTTCATAAGGAAGTCTTTATAGCTAGACCCGACATCTGGTTTTACAGTCTTTACGAGGGCAAGAAGACTATTAACTACATGCTGTTCGCAGTCCGAAGGTTTAGTCCAAACTTTGATGATTTGTCGAAACAATTTGAATGCCCAAGAATATAATTTATACAAATCCTCCTTCATCATTACTATATGATTCTCGTTAAAGATATCTAGTAATGACTTCATAAGGATAGCAAGGAATGTTGTATAATTCAAAGATTTTTCTTTCACCAGTAAAACGTCGGCCCAACTTATAAGACATATTTTCTCCACTTCTTTTAGACTCTCCGAAAGGTCTTCCTCATTTATAAACAAGTCTGAATACAAAATTAACTGATAACTCATTCGATAAAAATAGATGCACCTTGACGCTTGGCTATTTCTTTGTGTTTCAATTATCTTGTATTTTGTTGTATCGTTTCCTAACGAACGTATATCAGATAGATTCGGGGATTGGAGTAAGAGGTTTCCAGTTATAAGCTCCAAAACTCGTAATTGGAGTGCACTAGAGGAGCTAATCCAGCTTATTAATCCAGTTAAGTCTTTTTCAGGAGTGTCACCAAACAATGCACTGAGTAAGAGTAATAACGGCCTATCGAAAACATCGTGAAACAGGGAATGTTGAACTATCAGGTTAGCGAAGTTTTACATCTGTTTCACATACCACCTCTTCTTAATGTATCATAGAAAGGAATGTCGTAAATTGCAGAGGTTTTATTTATCATTTGCTGCTTAACAACACATGAAGAGAAGTAAGACTCTATTTTTTTATTTTGCAATTTCTCTTGAAGAATCCAAATAATCTCTAAAGATTTCTCTTCTCGTAAATAGGAACTTACGGATATCTCATCCCAAACCTACATAGGTTAGTCAGCAAAAATTGAGTTATCAAGAACTTACAGTTTCAAGTAGTAAATGTACTAAACGATTTGAGCTTAAAAGCATTCTAGAGGGAAGCATTGACACGAGACTTTCTACTTCTTGAAAATTCCAAGACTTTTGTTCAAGTCCTTCAATGGTTATTCCCAAAAAATCATATTCAATTTTAGGGTCAATTGCTTCTTTCAGAAGCTTCAAAAGGAATACAAGAATATTTTGATGAAAATTCTCTATATTGGCAAATTTCTTCAAAAAATTGAGCAAGCTCGACACAGATTTTGAGTATAAAGAACTTCCGTCACGAGAGCCATTCATATCAAGTATGCGATGTTCGAGAGAATATATAACTTTATGCTGATGCTCTGTCGATGAGGAACCAATTTTGTGATCTTTTAGAGAACTCCATTTGAAATTATCCACTAAAAGTGAGCAAGTAGAAACAAACAAATCCAAAGAAGGATTCCGAGTAATCAATGAAGGGTTCCTTTCCAAGTAAAGAATCATATAGCAAAAAAACAAGAAAAAATACTGTTCATCAATTCTATTAAAGAAGTATTGCTGGTTTCGCAAGATAAAATGAAACATTTCTAGCGAAGGTAGATACTTCTCATTATTAGAAATATAATCTTTTATACACTTAAACAAATATTCATAAATAGTTAAATCATTAAACCGCATAATGAGACGACGACCATAATCTATCGAGGAGTCATGCAAATGCTTGGAATCCTGTTTGTTCGAAGAAACACTAATAGCATGGTAAGCTTGAAAAACAAAAGATAGAATTTGACTTTCCATAACAGAAAAGACTGATTTTCGGTCCGAGAGTGTATACAGAATCCGAAAAGCTTTATATATAGACATTGTACTGGTTTTTAAAGAAAGTAGATCACGTACACCGTCGATAAAAACTGACATGTTTTCCAAAAGCAAAGAGGGGTCCATCTCATTAGCTGGATCAGGGCCTGACAACTCTGAATCCTTAGGTAAACCCATAAGCCACGCATAGAACCTTCGGTTTAAAGACAGATCGTTTCGCAAAATAATAGATACCACAGACATGTGTAGAAGTTTCAAATCAAAAGATTTGACTTTTTGTAAGAAAGGAGATCGAATAGGAAAATGGTGCAATAATGCATCCATGTAACCTCTTTGAACTAGGACATCGTTATCGCTAATTGCAGCTGCCAGGGCGCGTGTAACAAGACTTGGATCTGGCTGGATTACTTTGGGTTGAACTTCTTCTTTTGGAAGGGCATTGCAAATTCGAAGTAAGTATATCAGGGCACCTGGCCTTTGGCTAGGAAAACTTAGAATTGTAGACCAAATGCTTCCCCAAGCAAATTTATCATCGTTTAGACCTTTTATTAGATCATCTACCAAGAAGAGGGTTTCCTGAGAATACTCATCACTTTCTTCTTCTAGTCCGGAAAGTAGCGATATAAATACAGCTTGAAAACATGGACGAATTGACTCTCCAAGTGAGACAAAATGTTTCCGTATAATACTTATATAATCATGTTTTGTTTTAATTGATGAAATAGAAAAGAATGGTGTAAGCCCATACGTCCAAACAACCAGTTCCTCCGCAAGAACATCCTTTTCCAAAATAGTGAATACATAATCATAAACCTCCAGCGCCTTTTTATGAACGCCAGATGGAAGTCCTGGAGATAAGCATTCAGCCAAAGATCTAGATACCAACAAATTGCAGGGAATTGTTTTGAATGACGAGTACGATTGTAAAACCTTGTTTAAGTGTTAACGGGATGTTAAATATCACGATCTTACCTTATGAAGTTTCGTCAAATACGATATATAGTCAGGCCATTGCTCTACTGTTTGAAAAAGCGCAATACATTTGCGAATCGCGTCTTGATACTTCCTATATTTGGCATCATTTGTGGTGTCTAAATGGTTACTATTACTAGTACAACAGCAAAAATCAATCTTACCAATCATAGTATTCATAACTTTAGAAATTCATCAATAAAAGCTCATCTACAGCCAACTAATGTACAAGTCTCTCGGTGGTTATTGATAGCTGCGTAGTATTATTATTTACAATGCTTATACCAAGCCTTATAGTGAGATGTAACGTATAATGGCAGTTGGTTGCTATTAGAAAAACAAATCAATATTGCATTGGTAAACGTAAACACGAAACTGAAGATTATTTAAAACATTAAACTACAGATGAAAAGAGAAAGAAGAATTCCTTCTTCTCCTAAGAAACTAATAACATAATACATCTAAATGCACTGAAGGTAGTAATTTTTAAAATCCTCAATTTCAGGAAGAAAGAAAAAGGAGAGATCTAGATATTAAACTAATTAAGTATGCGAATAAGAAAATTAGTAAAGAGATTAACTATAGGGACCTAACAACGTAAATCAATTCCATTCGCTTCCTCGTCTGCTCGGATTTCAAACATCATCTGTACGGCAGCAAAAAACATTAGCATTGTAGCAATGCTAAAGTACATTCCTAAAAATGTTAGATAAGAATTAAGAAAAGACAAAAAATCATAACTGTACCTTCAAATGTACCAAATAATCTGGCTAAAACATCCTTGATTCCATGCACATCCATGGCGAATCCTATCAAATTACAGACGATCATGAAGTAAATATTTAGGGCAGCACCAAACCCAGCAATGATTCTATACTGAGAAAGATGCACCCAACCAAATTTGCGTGCGGCATAAGAACATAACCGTTCTGGCAAAATGAAAAGTACAACAAGCCAACCCCAGAAAAATAGCTCCCAACTAACGTCATGCCACAAAGCGACGAAAGTAAAAATGATAAAAGAATTTAAGATTGGATACCTGTTTCCTCCTATAGGAATGTATAAATAACGGAGCAGCCACTTGTTGTAGCTTCGATGCCAAGCTCTCCAAAATCCCACAGCAGAATAGTTATTACACATACAGCGAATTATGTTTTCAGGAGGTTCGATGTTGTCCATTAATGACCACCATCGAAATAATCTCCACGGAATAAGAAGCTTCAGCCAAGTCAGGAATAATACGAGAAAACTGATCAATGCTGTCTCTAAAGTCGTATAAGCGTGTAGACTTCTTTCCTTTGTAATAGCACTAACGTAACAGAAATGAAGCACAAATTCCATTAAGGAAACGCACACAAGGAAACGAACACCGTAAAGAACATTCCTGTATTTTATTGATGATTTGATTGGGTATTTTGTCTGTAGTAAATAAACGTTAGCAAAAGTAGGGCTCACGAAAAATAGTAAGATATACCTGAGACACAAAGTTATTAAATGTTATTATTGGGCCTGCCAAGTATAATGGAGCATATAAAACATAAGTAAGAAAGTTCTTGGTGTTGTAATCTTCTGGATTGCAATTCAGTCGGATACGATCAGAATACGACACATTATCAGGATTCCGTTCTTTCTCAATTACAGTTGCCTACGCGAATGTTAGTTTGTTGAAAGCAAATTCATTCGGATCCATACGGAAAATATTTTAAAAGAATACTTTATCGACCAGTAGTAATCAAGGTTATACGAGATTAGACGTAGAATGGTAATGTTGAACAGGACATACCACCTTTCTAAAATACCGGTATGATCGTCCTATAGAAAACTTTGTTAGTCAAAATCTAGTAAATAGACATACAAAAAAAGAGAAAAGGGGGTGGATATTTCCAAACTTATAGTGACCGAAGTGTTCTTTGGAAAGAAGCAAGAAAATACTCAAAACCCAAGAAAGAAGAGGATTTAGACTGTGATCTCGAAAGACTTTCGCAATTAAATAGTAAATAAAAATTATTGAAAAGACATAGATCATTCCGAAACCGTAGACGACGAAAGAAAATAATAATGAGAACCATAGACGGAACGTGTTTTTTAACGCCAACTTGTTCTGGACTCTATGAGAGAAAACTAACTGAACGACGTTCCAAAGAAAAAAATAGCTAGCAATCACCCCAAGCAAAATAGGAATATTCTCTCGAAAACTAGCATATTGATGGTCGGATACGTCAACAGGTTTGCCAAATATCCATCCTGGTTTCAAGTGCTTTTTTAAATTAGGATAATTTTGGTGTTTTTCTGTGAATTTATTAGTTATCCAGACACACCGCAATCATAGCTTCAAGATTTATTAGACTTACCAACGCTAATCATAGAAAGTCGATAAAAGCCCAAGACAATAATTGACCCGATAAAAACGTAGTAGAGGAAAAACTCAAGAGTAAACCAAGCATTTCGTCTTTTTTCTACCTCCTTCGTGAAGGATCCTGCAGTGGGCGAAGAAGATTGAGATTTCGTGTTTGGCTGTGCTTTACTTGCTGAACTTACAGACGTCCTCCGATCTGCAGAAGAGGTCTCTAATACATTATATTGAAAGATTCGACACATGCCTCAAACATTAGTCAAAAATGAGATTGGAGAAAATCAGGAAGCCCAACATCGATAAATAAACAAACTGTTTAACGCACTGCACTTAACCACGGCCAACGTAAGAGACAGGCATTTCGCTAATTAAGTTAAAACACTTAAGTTCCTACTTATGCGAGTGAGCATGTAAACATTTAATAGTAAGAGTCGTTTATACTAAAAAAATTAAAAAAATAAAAAGCAATTAAAAATGGAGCTCCAGTATTCTAAATAATTTCAAATAACAATTATATTATTCATTCCCTAATTATCTTTTTGTACTTGAATAACCTTGTAGTGAATAATATGTTCCAAAAAGCAGATTCGAAAGTACATGTTTCGTCAATTCACAAGTACTCCAAAAAAGACACTAGATATCAGTTCAGAGCTAATTAGTTGTTTTTAGTAGAAGCAGATTTATCAGAAGAAGGGGCCTTGAAATCTGCTTTGATTCTCAAATTATCAGGTTCAATTTCAACAACGTTTCCGTCAACTATTTGGCCAAATCCTTTTCTCAAAATCTCGCCTTTATTTGAAAGGATATCCTCAATCGTGATTCGTTTATCACTGAAAATTTTGAGATGGTCTGCCATGAGATGTCGATTTTTGCAATGGGGGCATTGAACAAAAACTGTGCCATTGTGATATGCCTGCTTCGACATTTTATGACCAGAACGATGATTACAACTGTTTTGTTAGTTTTCATCATTGATTGATGGAGAAGCTTGCTGTATAAACTTACACAGTGCACGTAAAAGTGATATGATATGCAGGCTTTGGTTGCTCTACATTTTCCGTAGACTTAGAAATTGGTACTCTGGAATCGTTGCGTAAATTAGTACTGCAGTGGAAATAGCATTTGGTCAAAGAGTCCGCCTGTCTTTGTAAAGGGGATAATTTGTTGGCATGGAAGAATAATAACCGGTTTGGTAAACAAATTACTGAAAATTTACTAGAAACCCTTTGGAAAATCCTCAAATTTCTCATCATTCTTCGACGGTGTTCAGATTTTGCTAGCTGTATGTAAAGGATTGTACGCACCAGAAAAACCAACATCTTTACACTACCCAATCCTATTCAGGAGACTACTTGAGTTGCGTCTCTTCTTTGAAATAAACAAAAAAAGGACAACATTATTATAATAAATTAAAACTTCAATGCAGCGCTCATCAAAAGTAAAAATTCGGGCGCCACGAAAAGTAAGGACAAAAACTTGATCTCAACATTCAAGAAGCAAGAGTCGTCTAACCGTTTAGTTTACCTCAAATCAAGTAGATTATCAAGCTCATTGGGGCGTTTTGCATAATGCTGTGAAAGATATTTTCAACAAAAGTACGTCCCAACTTTCCTTCGAAGAGCTGTATAGAAATGCGTACACGCTTGTGCTTCACAAGCATGGAGAAAGACTCTATAGGAATGTTAAGGAAGTATTGAAGACGAGGCTAGAAAATGAAGTAGCTCCTTGGATAGCTGGAAGCTTTGAATCTCTGTTAGAAGCTGAAAACTGGAGCTATGTTAAAAACAAAGATGATATATCTGCATTAATGAAAAAGAGTGAAGCTGCAACATTATTTTTGTCTAATCTCGTGAATGCCTGGAAAGAGCATTTAGTGTCTATGCAAATGATTTCCAGCGTCTTGAAGTACTTAGACAAAGTTTACTCCAAATCTTCAGGTGTTATGCCTATATATGATGCTGGCTTATTGATTTTTCGAGATTCCGTACTTTTTAGTTCCCTTGAGATTGGTCGAAAAAGCGGAATTTGTATTCTTACTTTGGTTTATTTGGAGCGAATCGGTGATTCAATAAACCGCCCCTTAATTAATTCTTGTCTAGATATGCTTAACTCTCTTCCATTTGAATCTACGAACGAGTCTTTGTACGATGTTATATTTACTCCAAAGTTCTTAGACGTGACTCGCACATTCTATCAAGGAGAAGCTCAACATAATTTCAGAGCTTATGATGTTCTTGAGTATCTTGAAAAGACCAACCATAGGTTGAAAGAAGAAAAAGAAAGAGCACAAAAGTATCTATTCACCAAAGTTTCGTTTGCATTACTTTCTGTAGTTGAGAGAGAACTTTTGACAGAACAATTAGATAACCTGTTGGCCAAGCCTGTTTCCGGATTTTTCGCTATGCTTGATTCATATAACTTGGCGGGGTTATCTTCTCTATACGACACGTTTTCCATAGTGGAATTGGGTATTCCTTCGATAAAAAGATTCTTTGCCGCTTATATTTCTGAAAAGGGAAGACTTATAAATGGATCGTTGGCTTTAAACAAAGAAGATCCTCAAGGAAATTCGCAAGCTTCAAAAGTTTCAACCGCTTCATCATGGGTAGTGAAAGTGTTGGAATTATGGGAGAAGCTTCGTGAAATCGTGCTTAAAAGTATGAAAGAGGACAGATATGTAATGAACTCTCTGTCTGATTCTTTTTCTAACTTTGTAAATGCGTATTCACGAGCTCCTGAATTTACTTCGCTGTTCATTGATGATAATTTGAAGCGGGATTTGAAAGGAAGATCTGAAGAATCAGTGGAGAAGACATTACAAAATTCAGTTGTATTGTTCCGATTTTTATCTGAAAAGGACGTTTTTGAAAAATACTATAAAACCCATTTGGCAAAGAGGTATGATTTTGAGTTACTTGAAATTAATCTTAACAATTCTAGGCTTCTGAATAACAGATCGATATCGGATGATGCTGAATTAAGTATGATCGGCCGTTTAAAGCAAGAAGCTGGCAACGTGTTTACTCAAAAATTGGAGGGAATGTTCACAGGTAAGTAATCGATATGCTTTGCGTTCACGCTAACTAGTAAAGATATGCGGTTGTCTAAAGAGCTACTAAATGAATATAAAGGGACATATGATCAAGAAGACTCTGGAAAGGTAAGAACTATAAATTCCAGTATTTGTCTAACAGATTTAGCCTCCGTTTGACCTGAATGTGTCTGTATTGGCTTCGTCTTTCTGGCCAATTGACCTTGTTCCTGAGAAGATTTCATGCGAGTTTCCCGAGTATTTGAAACCTTCCATTGATCATTTTTCGAACTTCTACTTTTCAAAGCATACTGGAAGAAAACTCATTTGGTATCCCTCAATGGTATGTAAAGAGGCCAAGTCAAAATGCAAAGAGCTAATGTTTGCTTGATAGGGAAGTGCCGATGTTCGAGTACAGTTTAAAAAACGTAAACACGATCTTAATGTGTCGACAATAGCTCTTATAATCCTTTTACAGTTTCAAAATTTGCAAGAATCTGAAAGTTTATCTTACGAAGAGCTACTTCAAAAAACAAAGCTTGAGCCAGGCGATTTAAAACGTAATCTTCAGAGTCTTGCTTGCGCCAAATACAAGGTCCTACTGAAGGATCCAAAGGGTCGAGATATAAATGCTGGTGATCGGTTCTTGTTTAATGAGAACTTTACTTCAAATATGGCGAGACTAAAGATATCTACAATTGCACAGGTTCGTGTTGAAGACGACAGTGAACGAAAGCGAACAATGGAGAAGGTGGATGAATCCAGAAAGCACCAAGCGGATGCTTGTCTAGTTCGCGTAATGAAGTATGTCCAATGATTCTTTTCTTTTAAAGAGATTATGAGCCAAAATTACTAACGAGTACAGGGATAGGAAAACGCTTGAACACAATCAATTAGTAGCTGAAGTTACTCGTCAGTTGAGTTCCCGATTTCAGCCAAATCCTTTAATGATTAAACGACGGATTGAAGCTTTGATTGAACGAGAATACTTGCAACGATCCGCAGATAATGGTCGAGTCTATGAATACCTTGCGTAATGGAATGTTTATTTAAAGAAGGTTTAAAATTGAAAATAAAAATTGAACGATTTACTCAATTAATCAAGTTCATGTGACTGATGAAAACGTTTTGGATAAAGCTAACAGGGTAGGATGTCTGTCGTCAATGACAAAAATTTCTTTGGTTTGTTATAAGAAATGAAATGTCTGTTCAGCCCGATTACTACTGAAATATAATGAATGAATTGTGAAGTAGATGCTGTATTAAAAAAATTATTTATTCAAAGGGTATATCTTATGGAAGCATCGATATTCGTATGATGAATTTGTGTTCAATTTTAATATTGGTGTTGATTTGTTTTGGATTCTCTACACAATGTTTTCATTTCCAAAGTAATAACAGATTCTTATAGTCGGTAGAAGTACCGAAAGTGAAGTCATTGAGGCCGATGCTTCAAATTTGGTATCGGCCATTCCAAGATATAAAAATCCGGATTTTTACGGCAAATGGGTCTACAGAACCGGAGTGTTTTCCTCGTAGCTATGTTGGTGTCATACCCTTCCTTTGGATACGCGGTTAAATTAATCGGCTGAATTCTTCACTTAACTAAACCACATATATATATAATCCTTTTTTTAATAGACGTGCGTACACAAAACGCGAATTGCTTTTTTTGTGTACTGTATACTCTATACTTGGTTTGATTGATTGTTATTGGGTTTCATCGAGCTTTAATAATAGTTTAGTATTCACGGTCGTTTACTTATTCTGTTGTTCTTTCTTTTAGCTTTTGTTTACTACTTAGAAATACCGTAAGATTACAATGTCTTTGCATGATGCTTACCACTGGCCTTCTCGTACTCCCTCTCGTAAGGGATCTGCGATTAAGCTCAACAAGACATTGCTAGACCACTTGAATGAGTTGGAGTCTCAATTCACCGTCTCAACCGATCTTTTGAAGCGCGTCACTGAACGCTTCGTTTCTGAGTTGAAGCGTGGTTTGACTAATCAACCAGGTGATATTCCCATGGTACCTACCTGGGTTACTAGCTGTCCTGATGGCTCAGAAACTGGTTCTTACTTGGCCCTCGATATGGGAGGTACAAACTTACGTGTTTGCGAGGTTGAAGTTCAAGGGAACGGCAAATTCGACATCATCCAAAACAAGTACCGTTTGCCCCAAGCATTGAAGACTGGTACTCGTGAAGAGCTCTTTGACTATATTGCTACCTGTGTCAAAAAGTTTGTCGACGAAAATCACCCTGGAGGCGACAAAAAATTGGAAATTGGCTTCACTTTTTCCTACCCTTGCAAGCAAACATCAATTGACGATGCAATATTGATTGCTTGGACCAAGGGATTTGATATTGACGGTGTTGAGGGTGAAAAAATTGTCCCTTTGTTTAACGAAGCTTTAAAGCGTGTTGGATGCAACAATGTAACTTTGAACGCCGTCTTGAATGATACCACTGGTACTCTCGTTGCTTCTAATTACACAAAACCAGGTACCGAAATTGGTGTCATTTTTGGTACCGGCTGCAATGCTTGTTATATTGAACGCTTCGATGAAATTCCCAAGCTTCACGACTATCGTTTGCCTGCTGACATGTCCATGATTATCAACTGCGAATGGTGCGACTTTGACAACCAGCATGTTGTCCTACCTCGTACCAAGTACGATTTGGCTATTGACGCCGACCACCCACGTCCTGGTTTGCAAACATACGAAAAGATGATTGCAGGATGTTACATGGGGGATATCTTGCGCCGTATTCTTTTGGATTTGTACGAGAACGGCGTTTTATTTATTGGTCAAGATGTGAGCAAGCTTCGTGACCCACTGGCCATGGATACCTCAGTATTGAGTATGATTGAAGTGGATCCTTTTGAAAACTTGGATGAAACTCAACAGTTGCTTGAGAACTCCTACGGATTAGCGACCACTGAAGAAGAGCGTCATTTGATCCGACGTGTCTGTGAATTAATCGGCACGCGCGCTGCTCGTTTATCTGCCTGTGGTGTCTGTGCCCTTGTTCTCAAGACCAAGAAGCAATCCATGATGGTTGGTACCGATGGCAGTGTTTATAACAAATACCCTCACTTTAAGGAGCGTTTAGAAGCCGCCTTTAAGGAAGTTCTTGGCGAGGATATTGGCAGCAAGGTTATTACGGCTCCTGCTGAAGACGGTAGTGGCGTTGGTGCAGCTTTGGTGAGTGCTCTTCAAGCTAAGGGGAAAGCTTTAACTAAGGAGGCATTGGACAAGGTTAGAAAGTAAAGAGCAGAGAAAGCATGCAAGTCCCTAGGATACCTAATATCGTCATACTTGAAGGCTATCTTCTGTCATTTGGTTTGCAACGTCCATTAATAGGTAGACGGAAGATGAGAAATTCAAATGCCTAAGGGTTCGCTTGCGAGTTTTTTTATTTATTGAAAGAAAAAATAAAATAAAAAAAGAAAAAAAAGGTGATAGACTTACTCTTCGCTTTAGGAATCTATTTTTATATAATGGCCGACTAAGATTTTGCGGGAGAATTGAGCATAAATGCTTTTAGAAATTATAGACGTCTTTAATTTTCTTTTGAAGGGACCCTTTTCGTTTTTTTTTATCGTCGATATTCTTTGTATTCGTCCATAACCTAGAATGATTGCCTTTTATTAATATATTCCCAAGTGATTTTGTAATTGTTTGGATCTTTCTATGGAGCCATATCTTCGATGAATAAAGGAGATGACGATTTAGCCTAGAGATTTTTTTTTAGAAGAAATACCACTTAAAAAGTCGGTTTAACCTTTTTTAAAAGGGTAATGAAACAACAATCAAAACTGGATGGAAATCGGAGGACCTGGGTTAGCCTGGAGAAGGGAGTAAACTAGGAAAATTAAAAGGTATTGTACTGACTGGTATTAAGTGTAGAGACAAAAGGCAGTGGAAATAGGATAAGATGGTATAAATAAGAACACAATCAAATTCTTCATTTTATTTCATTCGATCTTCTCTGGAAACAAAGAAGTTTGACGTTTCCATGATTCACGAATCGGGAATATCGGGTCTTCGAGGGAACTTGTTTACTTATTCAACCCAATGGTTACCACAGCAACGTGTGGTAAACATAGCTTAAGACCATAAATAGGTTATATACTTAATAAACAGACTAGTTGTTTTTCACAGCATTGTTTAACTTGGACTTGTTTGTTTGAATTAACTAGATCTTTTTGCGTTTGTTGTTTTTGTGACGCCGGCGGTAACGATGTTACTTGTTTATATATGACGTCGTCAACTGGGAAAATGTCATCTTCAATGATTAACAGGTTTGGATGCGCGGAACAAAGATATTTCTATAGAAATATAACCTTTAGCTTTTTAATGTATTTGCCTATGGTAGTTTTGAAAGCCGATATGCCTGTCACATGACAGGATGTACAGGTGTCATGCAAAACATTGAAGGTCACATGTTACTCTTGTTTGTTTTTGTTCCTCCTAGGTAGTCTCAATCAGGAAGAGGGGAAAGATAGTAACTTTCCTTTTACAACTACTTCAAACCGCCAAACCTCCATCCCTTTCAGATCCTTTAATACCGATTTTTCTTTCATTTACTTATTATTTGAGTAAGATTCCTTCTGCTCGATTGTTGTGGCTTATTGCCCGATATATTATTGGCGTTTGAACTGGTTTGTAGATTGTCTCCGAGCGCTCGCTTTTGAACAACAAAACGGTGTTTAGTGAGCAAAGTACAAGACTAATTTTACTATTGGTCAACAGTTTTGACGATTCAGTTTCTGATTATCGTCCTCCTGTTTTCACTGCTTTGGAGAAATTAGATTTCTTCCAAAGGTGTTCAAAGGAAGTTCTCGTTGCTTCTGTGTTTTTATGAAAAAACAAGTGTCTATTCTTCACAGAAGTTGTTCGTTTAGGATTGGCTTCTTGTGGTTTTTTCTAAAGACAATTTAAAGTTCTTACAACAACAATCTTGTAATAGCTAATTAAAACCCTGCTTTTTCTTTTTTTTAAAAAAAATCTACTTTGGTTATTCAACTTTGTCTGGTTACTTGGTAAATAAGGTCTCGTTGGTGGGTTTGTTGTCTCTTTTTTTTTCACCTCTTGTTCCTTCACCCTCTTCCCCTTTTCCCCGGTCACTTGGCACGGTTTTTTCACTCTTTAAATCCTTTTATTTTATAGAAGAAAGGTTCCTTACTTTTTTTTCTTTTCTGGTTGCTCCTTCTCCTTTCTTCCTTTCACCAAACCTTCGGTCTCATTTCCCTTTTCCTTGGCACGGAAACACTAAAACTTGGCTTGCGTCTTCTATCTATTCTTTCGTTTGTTATCCTTTGTTGCACGGAATCATTCGTTCTCCTCCAGTCTTTTCTGTTCACCAGCTTCTTTTAATCCTACCTTTTATAATTTTTTATATTAAACAACCCCGGCGCTTGTAATTCTTTTCGTACAAAGCCATGGATTCTCCTTTGTCTTCACTTTCCTTGTCCCAGTCACTGTCTAATAGACAACACCTTATCCGTCCAGCTGCTCGACGCTTACGTCTGGAGCCAGAAAATATCCACCCTAATTCTGATTTGGATTCATTCTTTCAGAAGTCGAAGCCTCATTCCTCATTAATGGATCCTTTCTGTAAAGGCCGTTCCTCTACCTCCCCAGCATCTTCCCTTGCCGCGGACCTTTCAATGAACATGCACATAGACAGGAGCCCAGCGCTTCCAACTCCCCGACGTACATTATTTCGCTCTTTTTCTTGTACAGTTGAAACACCTCCAACGGATGCTCCTATCACATCTCCTTTGGATGAGTCCCCCTCCAACACTGCCTTGTCTCCTTCTGGGTTTCTCCAGCATCCTCCTAGAAGGTTTACAGACATAGTAACGCCTAACCTAGTTTCTCCTAGACCTCTATCCATTGCCTCTAAGTTTAAACCAAAATCCTCAATGTCGTTTCATTCTAAATTGAATGATTCTTCTCGCAGTTCAAGCAGCAATGGCTCCGTTGATTTGTATCTTCGTCCAACTGTAAGTCGATCCCGTTCTTCAAATAATGCCGCCCCTCCTTTTCTTCGATCCCGTTCTAGTTCGTCCTACTCTATTAATAAACGTAAGCCTCCAACTGCGCAGATAAATAAACAACTATCCTATGCTGTCTCACGTACATGCAATCGCTCCGGTAATTCCAATGGTATATTTTCTAGTTGTTTGAGCGACGATGTAGATGAACTTGATAGTATGTCGGATAATGACCAGACTTTCATGAATGAAAATTTGGACGACGTTACGGTGAATCATGTTGATATTGATGATGATAAAGGTGATTTTGATGTCGACCTGCATGATGCCAGTCACGAGGATGAACATTCTCTGGACGATTTGTTTCAAGCATCTCCAGTTAAAGGACGATCTGGCATCGTTTCCATGCCTTTTAACAATTTTGAAAATATTCCTCCAACTCCTTTGGCCCCCCCTGTGAGTGAGGAAAACGAATTTGATGAGCAGGATACTCCAGTACTTCGTCGTACCCGCAGTATGTTTCTTAAGTCGACCAGATTAGGATTATGGGGATATCAAGATACCGTTTCTCCTGCAGCTAAGCAATCGACCAAAGATTCTGATGAATATATATCATCTCAAGTGGAAAATCTCTCTTTACCATGTTTTGGAGTAAAAGAGGATTCTTTAAAGCGAATCAGTCAGGATACATTGTTAAAACTATTGGATGGATATTATAGAGATATGTTTGATGATTGTATAATAGTGGATTGTCGCTTTGAGTATGAGTATTTGGGAGGCCATATCGCTAATGCCATAAACCTAAACTCTAAACAAGCGGTAGTTGAAACATTTTTTAATAAGCCTCTAGTTCGTCGAACAGCACTCATTTTCCATTGTGAACATAGTGCACACAGAGCTCCTCATATGGCATTGCACTTTCGAAATACGGATCGCGAAATGAATAGTCATCGTTACCCGTTTCTTTATTATCCGGAAGTATATATTTTACATGGAGGATATAAATCGTTCTATGAAAATCATAGAAATCGTTGCAATCCCGTTAATTATGTTCCGATGAATGATGCATCTCATGTAATGACTTGTACCAAAGCTATGAATAATTTTAAGCGCAATACTACTTTTACTCGTACTAAAAGTTACACTTTTGGCCAGAGCCTGTTGGCTTCTCCCGGTATTAATGACTCCCCTACGGCAACGCATTCGTTATCAAATTTGAGAAGGTTTTGATGTGTGCTTTTTTTTGTTGCAATTATATTTGTATAACTTTTTACTTACCTTGATATATTGAAATGGTTCCTTTGTTACTAAAATTGGCAATCCTGACAGATTTCATTTCTCGTGCTTTTCGGCGACAGTTTTTGTTCTGACTATGATTTTAGACGAGGTTTCTTTGCAAAAATGGTTGGTGATTGTTAAACTTTCGTTGGTATTTTATTTATCTTTTAAATGCCAAAACACAGTAATGTATGAACGAAGAAGTCCCTTTAATGCAGTCTAATTCTTATTCGACACAACAGTTGAGATACTTTCGTACTGCTAAATATCCCTTAATAAGCTGTCGAGAACATAGAATTTATAAATTATTCCTTTTTGTTGTGAAATCAAATTTCAATTCGGTCATTTATTTTACTCTGTGGTATCTATTATTTTCTTTAAGCTGTAGCAGACAAAGCATAGTGTGTATATCACTAATGTATTTTATTAGTGCTTTCATGGCTAGTATGATGCTATATAATATTATTGAGATGGTGTAAATTGTATAATACAAAAGAACGGTGCATTACAAAAGATAAATAAACAATCCAGAAAAATTCACTAAATGATGCACACTTTTTTGGAAATAAAAATTCATCTATTTTTGGGTTTTTTACTGAATTTTTTAGTAAAATAACTGGAAGAATCATGATCCCGATTAGATTTTGTGTTGTAAATGAATAAGAATCCTTTTAGGATACAAGTTGTCAGTTAACATTGCTTAAGAGATACGATTTTTTTTATTTAAAATTACAAACCTGAAATTCCAGTTATACAATTCGCATTCAGGTCGTGGTGAATTGTTTAATGAGTAGCATCTCACCTAGGAAATTTGAGCCAGACTACTTTACTGACTTGCTCAATATTCTTTGATTGTTATACAATTAATCTTACAATATATGATAGAATACTTTAATAAGCCTTGTATTTGAGCGCTCACCCTCTATCTGTTCACTTCTTTTTTAGTCCTACAATTCCATGTTTATTAATTTCCTTAGCACACCCTTTGTGACTTTTAGATAAGTAACACTTGTATATCGTCCTAGGTCCATATATACAAATCCCGCACAACAACGATACGGTATATAGTTTTTACGCACATTACTGCAGGGTAAGAAACTGTTCAAGGATTGCAAACTAGAAAAAAACAATATTCTTGGATTCCAACTAAACGTGGAAGATTGGGTCCTATGAGTAATAGCCATGCATTTAAAAAGTCGTTTTGTATAAGGGTAATTTTGGCTCCTTTAATTGTATGGAAAAAGTAGCTAACTAACCATTGTTTACAGGCACCTGCAAACTGGGAAAAGTCTTACATGGAAGTTTGGCCCCTTATCACAGTGCCAAGACAGTATATTTGCTTAAGATGGTGCACTTCTCCTCAATACCATGAGTTTTCTTGCTCTTCGTTACAATTTTTAGTTATTCGGCCAGCTGGTATGAATGTGCTTCTTGGACGTGTCAAAACGTTATATGGAAGCCAAACTGTAGCCATTGAACACGTCGAAGATAATAGATACGCCTTAATACTTCTTTCAGACCAAGTCGAATTTAGGTCATTGAAAGTGATTGCCAATCATCAATTATCGGAATCTACGAACACATCTATCGAGTCTGGCTCAACGGTAAAGCCTCTGAAAAAAGTTTCAAGGGAAAATTCTCTTTTATCCTCTGGGTTTATGGAAAAGACACTTCACGACATTCGATCTGGTTCGACGTTAGCAAATGAACAAGAGAACAAAACAACCAGTAATGACAAAGATATCCTGTCCTCTCATCCTATCCCAGATTACGAACAGGATAATGTCAACCATGAAGAACCTGAGGATATAAAAGTATTTCATTCAGAGGACCCGCTCCCAACTTTGGAGAATCTAACAGATTCACTAAGAAAAGGATATTTCTATCAGTTGCTAATGACTAAAACGCCTGTGGTGTTTTATGCGAAGCATTTAGTTGGAAAATACCGCACGCACGCTTTGGATTATTTTAAGAAAACAAAGGATGAAAGCTTGGTAGAAGAGCTTTTGAAGTTCTTATCAAGTATACGTTCGGTAGAAACCTGGAAGGAAAATTTGCAAAACTGCTTCCAAGATCATTTGGACGGAAGAGCATGGCATTTGGAGCTCGGCGATGGGGCAATGGAAATTGAGCTTCATGGATATCGCCAGTGGTTACAAAACGTTCTAAACAAGGATAGTCATGAAACTGAGAAACCCGATTTTCTAAAGGAGTTTTCATATTTAAAATCAAAAGAATACGAATTGAAAGTACTTATAAATTTTGAGGTGCTGTATCTATTATTGAAGATACACCCAGAATATGCTACCCAAAAATCTTCTCGTGACAAAATAAAAAAAGTAAAAGCCAATTCCAAAAAAGAAAAAGAACCGCCGAATTTGTTTGAAAAGGTTCAGCTTCAACTGGAATTTGTGTTTGATGGACTGTGTATTCGGAGAACAATTGAGGAAAAACCCCCTAATTCAACTGAAGATTTATTGCTAAAATTTTGCAAAGAAGGTATTATTCCTTTTTATTCTTCTAAATTTCCCAAAATTGCTAGGGTTTTACTGGAGAAATGTAACGGTTTATCTTTGTTACCAGACTTTACGAATCCGCTCACTAAGCACACTTCACGCCGCTCTAAACATTTATCTAGGTCAAATACAGATTCTTCGTCTTCTTTGAAAAGGTTACGCAGCGAGACACCGGTGTCATCGTCTTCGTCGCCCGGAGATACGAAATCATCTAACCTTAGACGTCAAGGAAGCTTTTCTAATACAAATTTTTCTCTTACACGCTCTGACTCTAGAACATCGTTTACTGAAAAAGATTTGAAGAAGCGAACCAACAATATGTCCCGGATTCGAAACAGAGAAGTCGCGCTTCCTTCTTCCGGATCATTAGTTCGACAACGAAGCTCTTTCAGTGAACAACCACAGTCAAATAGTGTTTCGGAATTGTCGTTTACAGAGAAATTGTTGTTGGCAAGTTCAGATCCTAACAATGCTTTACCGCAAAGACCTTCGGGAGGTATTGCAAAACAAGATCTTACTCGATCAAGGACTCTCAGTTCTTTTGATAATCTTTCGGATTCAGTTCATACTTCAGACCAGCGAAAGCAATCCAATTCTGTTTTAGTTCAGGCAACCCCTCGAAAGAGGACGTCCTTAGTTGCCAGTTTTCAGTCACCGACAGCTACTCACAGGAGAATGCCTGACGATTCGCCCACTAAAGTTATCTCAGATGATCCAGTCATTCAGGATTCCCCTTCACGAAATGCTATGAAACCTAACGTCTTCGTTTGTATACCTACTACTCCTCGAAAATTACATACTAGTAACGACGAGGATCAGATATAAAAAGCAAAAGCAATTGTTCTAATGTCTTACCCATAGTTACATGTTATGATTAATAATTATATTTTATAAATGATTCAAATTATTGCACTTTTACCAATTATTAAACTAGTTTGAGTAGAAATTCACATAACATCAAAACATGGACTACTTTAGTACCAGTAATTGAAAAAGAAAAAGTTACTGATACTCGATAGTATAATTTTTAAACAATCTTCCACAAGTACAATACATAGAAGTCCATATTTACAATACGACTTAAATTTATCGAATCAATTTAAAAATAAACGATTTCAAGTATATATTCTTTAATTAACATTGGCAAAAGGCAACTGCTGGCATAAATGGAATTTTACACTTAACGTAACCCTACCCTACAAACCAAACAGTCACGCTTCACAACACATCCATGTCTGAAGGTGTAGAGTTTTCCTCACCACAAAAATGCCTTCCGCACCTGTAAGTTATCTACAGAATGATTAAGTATGATGCATTACTAACTAAAAAATAGCGCAAGCAATCCAAGACCTACAAGGTGCCTAGCCGTCCCTTCGAGTCAGCTCGTCTTGATGCTGAACTCAAGCTTGCTGGTGAATATGGTTTGAGAAACAAGCACGAAATCTGGCGTGTCGCCCTTACTCTCTCTAAGATCCGTCGTGCTGCTCGTGAGCTTTTGACTCTTGACGAGAAGGACCCTAAGCGTCTTTTTGAGGGTAATGCCATCATTCGTCGTCTTGTTCGTTTGGGTATCTTGGACGAGACCCGTATGAAGCTTGATTATGTCTTGGCTCTTCGTCTTGAAGACTTTTTGGAGCGTCGTTTGCAAACTCAAGTTTTCAAGCTTGGTTTGGCTAAGTCTATCCACCACGCTCGTGTCTTGATCTACCAACGTCACATCCGTGTTGGTAAGCAAATTGTCAATGTCCCCTCTTTCGTTGTCCGTTTGGACTCTCAAAAGCACATTGACTTTGCCCTTACCTCTCCTTACGGTGGTGGCCGCCCTGGTCGCTGCAAGAGAAAGCACCTCCGCGCTCAACAAGAGGGTGGTGAAGGCGCTGAAGAAGCTGAAGAAGAGTAAATTAAACGGTTCTAATTTTAGCACTTATGTGCACATAGAAGAATGTATTCTACCCGGTTCTGCTTCTTTGCCTTATATAGGAAAAATAGTTTGAAGGTCTATTTGTGATTGCATATGGAAAACGTGTTGTGTTGCTGGAAATAGTAGTTTGTAGGGGACATAGAAATTGTAAGAGATCCGACGAGGATCGCATGTAAGGTATTTGGGTTTGTATAGAGCTAGCTTATTATGGATTTACTGATTAAGGATTTAGGTAGTCTGCCCTGTTATGGAGAGTAATAAGTGATTAACGGGCTTTTCGTCGATTTCAAAGTCATCCAAGGGTGGATGCTCTGTACATACGTGGTTTTCATTATTAAAACTTGAAACGAACAGATATAATGACTGAAAGAATGGACTATTTAATATTCAAACTTTTTTTTTTAAAGTAGACCTTTCCTTCTTGTCTTCAGTTCTTGTTTGGATACATTCTCGTTTGTTTATTTTCCTAAGTAACATAGCTGGTTGCTACCTGAGGGAAAGCATAGTATGGCGCAAGGTCTAAATAGTGCTTGAAGGAAAGTTCAAGCAGGAAGTCAAAGTAACCTGACCAGAACCTGCATCAGACCTCATAAATTTATTTTTTGGAGAATTAAGTAAACGGAACTTACGAGCGTTTAACTTCTCATATTAAACACGTTTGTTGCCTGAATTTCGTATATCGCATCTCTATAAAGTAACGTTTGCAGCAGTAAATAAAAGCTACAACTATGACTTCTCACCAAACTGGAAAAATCACATCCCATTGGAATGATCCTGCTTCCCACATATTTCTGGAATCAAAGATCAACGCTTCACAGAATCCTAGTCGCTCGTTGAAGAAAACCGCTTCTAGTCGACGGTTGGTATATGAGGAAGCTAGTAAGTCATTGGAAGATTCGCACACATCGCCAATACCCCAAAGACAGCCCTCATTGAATGTACCACCTACAATACCTTCCAAGGTCAGTTCTCCTACAGCATTAGCTCCACCGAAACCCTCTGCCCATTTAAATGCGGAGGGTCGTTTGCCATTGAACGGACGACATACTGAAGTTGCAAAAGAGAACCAAGAAACAGATCAGTATGCGGGTTTGAAAAGTGCAGAAAGTAACATGCCCAAGAGAACAGAAGTCTCTACTCTTAAAAGGTCTATCCAGAGTATGCTCGAATCTAAGTCTTCTTTAGATCCGGCTGTTCATAACATGCTTAAGAGTCGAGTTGAAAAGAGTCTCTTAGAACCAGGCTTTCTTGACACGTTTGATGATGAATGGCTTGAGAAACTCTCAGAGGTTTCTCATTTAACTTTCCAAGGTAAAAATGCTGATGCCAAAGGTATCCTTGTTGATATGATGTGTAGTGGTGTCGTTCCCAACTGTATTCGCTGGTGTCCAGTGCTAAAAACCATCGTTGAAAATGTATCTTCATGATTTGAAGCCTAAAATTCTCTTCCTGCTTCTTTTATTTCTCTTTTTCTGTATTTATTACTCAATCCTTTACCTTCCATGGGCGTGTATTCTTCTCATATAGGATCATTCCTTTGTTCGTTGCATATATTCTCAGTTTATGATGATTACGAATTTTTTTGACTCGTTATGTCAGCTTGATTGTCACATTTTCTCCAAAGAAACATGATCTGCTTTATAGTTCAATTACAAAATGCGTGGGTTCGTCGTTTTAGGCGAAAAGGCTGTCAAGCTATACGGTTTTTTAGGGACTGCACACATCAATGAATTTTCTTAAGTTTCTCAAAAGAAACAGCATTTACATATTCTTTCCAATACAAATTGTATTAATATCCATAAATCCTCGTTTATTATTAGTATCTTTACTATTTATTATCGCACTACTGTAAATATTCTTGTCTCTTTTTACGCAATCGAATGTAGCTCAACACAGCGAGAAATTTACTGGGTACACGAAACGTAAGTTGTACTCTACCAACACGTTACTCTGTTTCTCTTGATGTAAACAAGAGGAAGTTCAGCCTTTCCTTTATTTATTTACCATATGCTTTTGTTTTAGATAGAAGAAGCCATACACTTATGACATCTCCATCTTTTGTAAGTACAATAACTGCCTAGGTGGTTCGTTTTCTCTGACTCGTATGGTATTGTATAGGCAGACACGATGGAAGCATTGACAAATCGAGACCTTCCGAGGCCTCCCAATACGAGTAAACTTCATCGTACGCCTTGTATAAAGCGCAAATCTGTAAACCTAAGTATCTCTCCAGGGCATGGTTCTTTTAATGGCTCTTCTGTTGACTTAGGTTCAAGCGATAACAGCTCTGGTGGCTTTTCTCGTCGAGGTCATTTTGATTTCATATCTCCTCGAAGTGAAGGCAAGTTTAGGAAACCATTTGCTCGCCTACTTGGGAAGCCGTTTGATGCATCTGTTCCCTTCGTTTCTCAGCACCGAAGATACTTTTCTGAGGGATCCTTTCAATTACCACAGTCAAAGGCACACTCAATGAATTCTGAAAATTCACCAATTGGTAAACATTACGGAAATATCCCTCGACGCCCACCTTCTGATGCTGGTACAAACAAAAAAAGATACTTCAGTCTTGGCTCGATGACTTCGACGCGCAGACTCTCAGATACAAATAGTGAGCGAACATTAACAAACTCTACAGCTTCTCCGTATTCTTTACCAATTTCCAGTTCAGGTCCTTCGGATAAGGAGGATAGCTCTAGTACAACACTTACACACTTTCCTTCTTCTTACTCCTCTAACACATCTTTTCTTTCTCCTAACGGATCTCCTACTTTGCGGAGCAAATATGATTCTCCGCTGGTAAATTCCGTCAATTCAAAGGATGATTTTGGCTCAGACTTTCAGTTGGGTAGTTCGCTGCCTCCTACTCCTACAAGCCTTAGTGATGGACACAATGGCCATGTGAATGTGAAAGCGCTACCTCCTGATTATAAACGTATAAAGAAAAGGGCAAATCTTATACAAGAATTGGTGACGACGGAAGCCAACTATCTTAATGATTTAATTGCAATTCAACAGTGTTATGGTTTACGCGTTCATGAATGCAATGCTCTCAATACTATTGATATTCAAACTGTGTTTGGCGATATTGAACCGCTTCTTACTTTCTCAGTCGATTTTCATTATCGATTATATAAGGGAGGTGAAGGGGCTTGGAATATAAATGAAAACACAAAGCTTTTTGACCCTCTTCCTTGTAACCTTGGACTTGTTTTTCTTGAAAGCCTGACAGATATCAGTCAAATTTATTCGGGTTACTGTAATCGACAAGATGCCGTTTTCAGAATCATAACAAAGTGGAGAGAAAAACCTGCGGTCTCAACTTGGGTCACAGAAGGGGATTGTATGGTTCAACAATATACAAATGCTTGGGATTTGGGTAGCTTAATTATCAAACCACTTCAACGTCTTTTGAAGTATCCTTTGTTGCTTCAAAAGATTATTGATACTACCCCAGAGAGTAATCCCGAGCATCCTGATCTTGTTTTATCTTATCAGCTTTTGCAAGAGCTAATTGCCAATATTAATCAAAAACAAAAACCCTCTCATAAACGTGGCTCGTTAAGTGCATCACATAAACGTGATGCTGGATGGGCACTATTAAATAAATCTTCACACAGCAAGTCAAGGTCCGCGAGCAGCTATGATTTCCGTAATGATCGACGCTATAATTTTCAGCGAAATGTGCTTCAGGATTTGCGAAGAAAGGTTGCAGTGGTTAAGGCTCTTCAATCTAGTATCGACGTATGGTATGTTAATGTTTTAGAAGGGTTCTCGGTTTTTGAAAGAATTCTGGCAAACCTAGAAGCCGTGAGCAATGTGGATTCCGAAGAATCACCCGAGGCTTGGCGGAAATTCCATCTTCTTGCTCTTATGTTGAAATCGAATACGGCATCTCAGATAGAACCTCAAATAAAAGCGGATGTTCAGGAACCGGCAGCGCATATGGTAAAAATGATGCAAAAGGTGATACAATATATCGTCTCTGCGGAGTTTATTATCTCGTCTGAGAAATTAAAAGATCTTCAGGATTGCATCGACAGCGGATTTCATTCTGTGTTCTTGAACTTATATAGGATACAGTGTTCTATATATCAAAGCTACGCCGAAAACATGATATTCCTTATACCAGAATCACTAAGATTAAGCATTATTGAGGAAAGTAACGACTTCGCAGCATTGGTACGTGCATTTGAACCGATGCATTACGAAGACCAACAATGCCTGGAGGAATCCATGAAGAAGCTGGCTTTTTCTCAAAATCTATAATATTATTACGAGAGCTTTATACAGCCATTTAAATCGTTCATTTAAATATTTTACACTACTGTCTGTTACATTCTTTTTTGAATGGCTCTTTTTCTTTCATTATATTTTTTGCATATTAAGGTCACGGAGATCTCAGGAATCTTACATTTTTGTATAACGTCTGGTTAGCATTAGCATTTTATAAAAGAATGTTCATAACACATCTCAACTTTGAAGGACGATGGATCTTCTACTCTTATATTGATATCTCTTACTACTCTCGTTTGTTGTTGAGGCAATTATGAGCTTTGGTATTATCTTACATATTTTAATGACCTAATGAATAAAAGAACTTATATTCACAGAAATAATGAACACTATTGAATGCGTAAGGGTATAATGTATAAGAGATATAACTATCAAAAATTAAAATATTAAGTTTCTTATTGAGTAAATAACAATTTCTCCTTTTCTTGGTATCCCAAACCCCCAAAGCTATATTCGTAGAGATTAGCTTCTAACAAATTTAGGATACTATGCCAAAACCACCAAAACTTTAATCAAACATAACAGACAATAGACTTTTCATTTTAAGCAGATGATAACTTAGTACGACGTTCACGGACAGCAGAAGCCAATTTATCAAACACACTGACAGTTTGCTCCCAGCTGATACAAGCATCTGTGACACTAACACCGTACTTCAGTTTAGAAGGACCCTCATCAGGGATAGCTTGCTTGCCTTCGTGAATATGGGATTCAATCATAACACCACTGATAGCATTTTGACCAGCAGCAACTTGTTCAGCGATGGCTGCAGCAACCTTGGGTTGGTTGTTGTGATCCTTGCATGAGTTACCGTGAGAGCAATCAATCATAATACTAGGGTGAAGCTTGGCCTTTTCAAGATCAGCCTTAGCTTGATTAACAGAAGCAGCATCAAAATTAGTACCCTTCTTACCACCTCTCAAAATGATGTGGGTAACAGGGTTGCCCTCGGTGGTAACGATAGCTACAACACCTTGCTTGGTAACAGACAAGAAGTGATGAGGGTTGCTAGAAGAGTTGATAGCATCAATTGCAATACCGATGTTTCCATCAGTAGCATTCTTGAAACCAATAGGAAAAGACAATCCAGACGCAAGCTCACGGTGCAATTGAGATTCGGTGGTACGAGCACCAATGGCACCCCAGCAAACCAAATCAGCCAAATATTGAGGGCTGATTGTGTCAAGCATCTCAGAAGCGATACCAACACCTTGTTGCAAGAGCTCCAAGAATGTACCACGAGAAACACGAATACCCTTGTTGATGTTGTATGAACCATCCAAATCAGGATCGTTGATCAAACCTTTCCAGCCAACGGTAGTACGTGGCTTTTCAAGGTAGGCACGCATGATAATGTGCAAATCCTTCTTGTGCTTGGCAGCCTCCTTCTGTAATCTGCTAGCATATTCCTTGGCGGCAGCAGGATCGTGGATAGAGCAAGGACCAACAATAACAAGAATACGATCGTCACGTCCAGAGATGATGTCTGAAGCTTGACGACGTTGGTCAGAAACGAAGTCAAGGAGTTCGTCAGAAGCTGCTAATTCAGCTTGAATCAAAGCAGGAGAAATCACGGGATCATAACCGCGAATACGGCTATCTTCGTTTGCTTTTCCAGTAACGGTACTAGAGCCAGGGAAAAGAGGGATATGCTTGTCCATTTTATTTACAGGGTTTGTGTTTTGTGGAAGACAGCTGTTAAATTTCTGATCAGTTATATTGACCATCAAAATTTTTTTAGCTCTGTAATACGTTTCCTTATCCTTAATATCGCAATGGAAAGCCATCACAGAAAATGAATTGAGTGCTGTAACGTATCTTAGGGGACACATCAGTAAACCGATAAAGATAGGATCTGGAATGGAATTCCTGGATCAATTTCATATAAAAAAATAAAGTAAATAGAAAGGAGCATTCACATATTAAGTCATTTTTTGAAGACACAAAATGATGATGTTTGGGTTTGAAAATAGTCGCATCGTCTTTGTCAATGTAAACGGTGAATCTAGTAAATATGTCCAACGTATTATTTGGATATTTGGAACGAATGTAAACGAACTCATTAATTCATGAATCTTTACATTCAAGTCGATTTCTTTAAGTAGTCTTCAATACGCATTGCATTTCCTTTCATTCTTACTGATTGCAAAAGCAACATTTATACAGTCCGTTTCTGTAAAGATAAAAAACATAATTAAATTCGCTATTAATAGTGAGCTGAAGTTTGAGCTTGAACTTTTTTAGTAAATCTTTCTTATCATAAACATGCTTGCATTTCTATTAAGCCTAAAGCATACTGGATTATTAAGTATTAATACATGCAAGGATGTATATGTTGCGATTAAAAACAGTATTTAGCTTAACGATATAAATTCAAAGCAAAATTAGTAAAGACGTTGACGCGTTCACGAGTCATTTTCAATGCAATTCGTAGCATTTCGTTCGTTATGTCCTGCCCATTGTCAAAAGAATTCACAAGAGAATCCCAAGACTCTCGATCCATGAACCAAACTATACTATCCAGTTGAGCTGTCACGGTGGCATTATAACATGTTTGACTGAAAAAGGGTAATTCACCCACAAGGCAAAGACATGTAATATTTTCGGACAAAGTTTCTCTATCCATTTGATATGTAGCTTTTACCATTCCTGTCTCTAGGAGGATGAAACGATTAGGAATATCGCCCTTGTTCCAAAGAACATCACCCTTTTTTAATAAGCTTTTCTTAAAGTAAGGACAAATCGATAACCAAAAATCATCTTTTTTTGAAGTAACTTCACCAAATACCTGCATGAGGAGTGGGAATGGTTGTTGATATTTGGCAAATCGTTCATACCTATTTATCTCCTTCGACTCATCTCTTACGGTGGAAGCCGCAACTTCTCGTAACAGGTCATGACGAGGTGAGGGTGAGAAAGTCTGAGCCAAATTCAATTGAGTGCCACTTCTGGTAGGAACTGCAAGCGTGGCTGACATGCCTGCTTTTCGCAACAGTTTGTTGCGGCACACCTCGTATTCATCTAATAGCAAGTTTTCACAGTATTCCAAAGCTGAATTAATGTCTTCAAACACTTGACAATTGCAAATATCGTTTTCGGTAAAACAAATCTGACTAAGCTTTTTAAATGAGGAACGATTCTCATCTAATCCGCATACAAACATTGGAACGTTAACTTTAGCCAAGACACGACGAATCCGCAAAAACGCTTGAACAACACTAAAATCTGCACCGGAAACCAGACTGAAATCGATAATCAAGAAACGCAATGGATCACCTGTTGCCTCCAACTCTTCGATACGACCAGCAATTCGCTTTTCTACACCGTTTATAGTACCAAAGAATAGGAAGCCAGACAATTTACAGATTTGTATTTGCTTGCCGATTTCATTCAAAAATCTCTGCTGGCTTAGTGGACGACGGACCGTCGAACGGAGCATATTACAAGAATAAATCCCGCGTAGAGCAGATCTTCTAGAAGCCTGGAAGGCAAAGAATACGCATGCCAGAATAATGCCAAGTAAGATGCCAAAAACGAAATCAATTATACCCATTGAAGCCACAATAGCCACGATTGTGAAGTACTCTATTTTAGTGGTAGTACCAACTGGATCCCACAAAGACTCTTTTAATAATTCTATACCCAATATGAAGATTAGACAACCAACAGTCCACACAGGAATATATGATATAATACCTGGGCCCATAATAAGTAAACCTGTGGTTGCAATGGCAAGCATAACTCCAGATAAACGATTATTACCACCAGATCGAATGAACATTAAAGAATTAGTATAAGTCATGTAATTTTGAATACTTCCAACAAAACCAGACAATGAATTACTGATACCATGACCTATTAACTCCTTATCTGTGTCTATTTTCTCCATGCCAGTGGAAATGGCTAATGCAGGAACGTTGATGGGAACGTGCAGAATCCCAAAAAAAGTCAAAGCCAGCATTTCTGGAACGGTTGCCATTATAGCACCCCAATTTGTATCTTGGAAACTAAAGAGCTCATAATAATGGTACCATGGTACATCGCTTTGAGTACTAGAAAAAACCCAACCCGTTTCCCTTAGAAATTCTAAACTTAAACCCGGTATTACCCATACGAGAAAGTAAAACAGCATAGGAGCAAGAATAAAAAATGAAGGGATCAGAAAAGGATGGTTCCAGCGAGATTGGGCAACTTCAAGCATGAGAGCCATAAATAAAGGCGTCATCCACCGGGCAAAAGGCAACGGCTCGAATAAAGACGTAAAACATTGCCAATTAGTTAAATTGTTATCTTCGATCCTAGAGGACACAAAGATAGCTGTGTTCACAAGAAAGTAACCAACACCACCTATACATCCCAAAAGAATATGACGAGGAAAGAATTCAATCAGTCTGCCCAGGCGTAAGAGTCCAAGTAATACGAATACAATTCCTGTAAGAATACTGGAAAGACAATAAGCAAGAAGGGTTGTGGCGATGACAGATTTTGGATTATCTTCGCCAACGTGATGAATAATAGTAAAGGCTATTTGATGAAAGAATGGGATAACCTCAATCATTTCAGAACCTACTGATCCACTGAAAGCAGAACCGCCGAAGGAAAACACTAATTGAGAGACAATGCAACTGACGTAAAAGATAGCAAGGCCATCAGCACCCAAATTTTTAAAGATGGGATTTGAAATAGGAAAGAGAATTAAACCGTAGGATAATGCATCTAAGATGTTAAGAAGTAAGCCAATTGTGACGGAAGGAATATTATATAAGATCAAAGACGGACCGTTATCGTCAAAGAAATAATTATACATTTTGCGGAACGAAAAGCGAGAGCCAAGTTTCTCATCATGAGACGGGAATGCAGCGTTTGGGCGAGGCGTGTTTTCTGCACCATACGTCGAGGAAGGTCGATTGTCGGAGGAAAGGAGTAAAGGATGGCTTTCGTCTTGTTCCCAAGGAATTAAAAGGTCGGTATTAGAGGGACGCGTAAGGACGGATCGAGGATGAGAATATGAAGAAATAGAATACTGATCTTGCCAATAAGCAGATGCATCATCAGTCATATCTGGGGAAGCGGTAGGTTGTACATGGGCTCCATCGACGTCGACGGAAGCAAGTCTAGCGGACAAGAGATGGATGTCATTCGTATCTCGATAGCTCTGGCTGAAGAGATTGGGATCCGTACTGGTTTCGAAATTTGGAAAGACAGTACTACGCTTTTGATTCAAGCTATTACTTGGAGTAGCACGAGTCCTTTCAGACCTAGGCGGAGGCATACTGACGAAGGATCAAAGCAAATTAACTTTGAAAATTATGAGGAAAGAAAAAGAAAAACAAACACAGTATTAGAGAAATGTACCAACAAAGACTGGATGATGATGAAGATGTTTTTCTAAGATACGTAAAATAAAGGCATAGAAAAGTAAGAAACCATAAGAAACCTGTAAATCTATATTAGTTTTAAAATCGTGAAAACTTTTTAGCCGTTCCTTTATATATATATCTATATATATGGAAGCTAACAAGACAATTCACAAGAATCCGAAAGTTTTGCTAACAAAACAAATTATATAACAACAAACAGTTGCAAAACGTAAGACACTTTTAAAAGAAATCAAATTGCCAAATGCACAGCTGGCAAGTGAAAAAAATAAGGGTACAAAGCTGATACTCGGATCCAGAGGACAGAGAAGCAGATTGACAAAATTTAAGTCTCCAAAAATATGAAGAACAAAGAAACTTGTGCCAACAAAGAAAAAAATCCGAAACTGATGTTCGCGAAAGAGAAAAAGAATATGGTAAACTTTTTATATAACAGACTAACGGATCGCTATAAAAGATCCCAATTTTTATCTCTTTTCATGCTTGGTGATCAGATAGTAACCGACAGACGTTGAAAAGAGAATCGCTTTGACCAGTTTTTGGTGATACATTTATGATAAAGTAACTGAACGTAGTTTTGTATTCTGTAAACAAATAAACATTGAATTTTTAAAATAAAAAGAATTGTTTATAGAAAACGATGAAAAGAAATATTGAATTAGAGGATTCATACAGGTATTATTTTACTTCTTATGAGATGAGATGAGATGAGATGGTTTGCTATATACCAAAAGTGAAATCAGATTTTCAAGTGATGCTAAATGGATGTAAGTAATAGAAACTCGCATTTATGAATGTCGACTTTTCAGGAAAAATGAAACCAGTTTTTTCTTGTGAGTACTAAACTGAGATCTTACTGAAGTTAGAACTGGGTAGTTGCTGGAAAACAAAAAGCATTCTAGAGAATAAATAAATAGAAAAAAAAAACGGAAAAGAAAAAGAAAAATAACTAGTCGGAGGAATGGAAAGAGAGACAAAGCATTACGAAAAAAAAAGGGGACGAAGTTAGGAAGCATCATTGGAAATTTCTTGTAAAGATATGTAAAGACTTGTTGTTAGAGATTTATCCGTAAAAACCAACTGCTGAGTTGGGGATATTAAATCAAGGATGGATTTGGATAAATTTCTCGAGGTGGCTTGCTGCAAAGGAAGCGGAGACGAGAAATACAAAGGAAATCCACTTGTGGATGATACAGAGGGATTATGTAGTTGATACTTTGTTTGGTAGTGATGAATTAGGGTAGACAAGAGAGGAGGATGGGTAACGGAATACGAATAAGTTTCGGTAAGAGTACCACAGACGGAACAGTCATTTCGCTTTTCCAAATTGAAGGTGAAGGTGTAGGTACCGTCTTCGCCGATATACATCATATAGTTGTCAAGGGAAGGATTGCAGTCGGTAAGGATTTTGAGGACTTCATTGCAACAAGCAGCGGCAATGATGGCGTTTGTGGAAGCGACAGCTGGAATAATGCGTTTGACAATACCCAAGACGAAAAAGCGATCAATGTCTTGAGCATTGATGTTGAAAGCAACGGCACGATCTCGTGCACGGTCTACGATCCAATCCACATGCCAGGGGATATCGGGGTCGAAAGCGGGAGCAAGGCTGACAGACGTTTCCTCTCGTAAAGAGCCTTCTTCTTGGAGAGAAATTTCTTGTGAGGATTTCGTATTTTCTGAATTTTTTTCAGCAACACGAGGCCACTCGAGTAAAAAGGCCCATTCCACACAGTGTTCAGGTAGACGGGGAGTGTTGGCAATGGTGCAAATGGGATAAGAGGTTTTGGGGGTCAACATGTCAAGAGAGCATTCGTAACAACTAGTGATTGAAGGCAAAATAACACGAGCTTGACCTTTAAGACCTTCGGAGCCACCATCGACCAAGGGCAGAAAATCACCGCCTTTGGCAATTGAAACAAGCGTAGAATTGATCCACCGACGAGCCTCCACGGAATCTAGGCCGCAGACGACCAACTGAAATTGTTTGTAGTAATCGAGAGACTTATCCTGGATCCTTCCATGGAAGGGTATAACGGTGGTAGAGGGGACGCGTCGCATAATGGCCTTGGCAGCGACGGAAGCCTTGGAGTTTCCGACATCGTGTTCAGTAAACAAGAATTGACGATTTAAATTCGTAACGTCGATGGTATCCATGTCGATGACATGCAACTCGCGAAACCCACTGAGGGCCAAGTTTTTGAGGATTTCGCAGCCAAGTCCACCGGCTCCAACAACAAGGATTTTGGAAGCAAACAGGTCGTTCAAATCGAGTTGCGGATCTACATCAGGAGCAAAAGGGCCAGGTCGACGCAAAATTTTAGACCATTGATCATGACGCAGTCTGTCTTTTTGTACAATAGATTCTGCAGCAGATGCCATAGAGAATGAATGCACTTTTGGTGGAAACCAGATGTCTATGAATAAAATGCGATGCGATGCAATACAATACAATACAAATGAAATGAAATGAAATCGAATGAAATCAAATAGAAAGACAAAAACAAAAACAAAGACAGCTCTTAGAAATATATCCAAAAAGAAATAGAAAAAAAAAAGCAAAAACAAAATAGCTTTTCTGATTTTTGGCAGGGAAGCAAGCGTCGTCTAAGGTAGCCTAGTCTTCCTTTCAGTAGGACATTCTTCCTTACCATACCATAGGGTTTCATCACCACCTTGTGTTTTCAGCATGTCATGGATTTAAACTACATTTTAGCTGTACTTATTACGTTTTGAATTTAAGCACTCAGAACAGGAAGGGTGTCCGAGTGGTTATGGAGCTAGTTTAAGGCACTAGTGCGAAAGCTCGTGGGTTCGAGTCCCACCCCTTTCAATACTTTGTTTTTTTTTTCTCTTTTCACTAAGAAGCAAAGTATTACCACTAAATTGATGAATGACCAAATTGAACATTTGAAGTTCCATCGTGCTTACCATAACTATTAACCATTTTTTGTTTTGTCCTTTGCTTTTTATCTGCATCTACGTTACTACTTGTTGCATGTTCCAGTTGGACACATCCATCTGCGCGCATTGATCCTTTTGTTGAAGTTTACTTTTTCATGATTACAACTTTTCATCCAACACTTTTTTTATTATTATTAAACTTTTTTTTTTTTTTCTTTTCTTTTTTAATGATTTCTCACCATGAGATGCTGGTCTTTTCCTGGTCTGGGTTTACTTAATCTTGAGTTTATAAAGAGAGAAAAGTGCTTTAACGATATCTGAGTTGTTAACAATGGATAATTCATAGGATGGAATTTTATTTTATTTTATTTTTTTCTTTTACCTACAAGAACAACTCTAAAAACAACTGGATTCTGTTTATTTTTTTATTTTTATTTTTATTTTTTTTTATTTATGTTTGTTTGTGGTCGTTTATTTCGAGGGAAAACCCCGACAATAAGACCACGGATTAACGTACTTATGACCTAATAGTAGTCACAAAAATTTGAAGAATCAACGCTATGGATGGATTGTTTATTCTTGTGATTTTGTCTCTATTGGTATATATCCCATCCTTGTTCCCAGTAACACCAATCGGTGGCTGTGGTTCTAACTATATATATTCACATATATTATCACTATACTTGAATCCTCTGGTGTATTGTCTTTTCAACCTTTTCCAACTTCTTTGCTGCTACCAATTTGGTGGAAAGAATTGGATTGCATCTAGATATCTTCATTACAAGTGTCATTATTCTCTTTCTTTTGAGAGACAGGTAGTGCGTGTATTGCATAGTGTCTCTTTCTATAGAGATCCTTTTTCCTTGGGTCGTTAGGTAAGGAATATCTATTCCTTCTTTTGATTTTTTTTTTCTTTAATTTTAATTTTAATTCTTATTCCCTACGTTTCCCTACGTTTCATTGTCCACCTACCTATCAATCTTTGCATCCATACCTTCTTTTTTACTTTATTTCTTAGCCTAGGAAAAGCGGTCTGGTCTTGGCATTGTTAAAGTACAATTCGTTGTCGTCGTTATTATTATTATTATTATTATCAACGGTATTATAATTATTCTTATTATTTTCTCTTTCGCTTTGGTTTTTTGCTCAATCCTTTTATTTACCTCTTTCTAATTCGCTTTTCTTGAAGTTGCTTGTGTCAGTTAATTTAGAAAATGGCGAATAGTAGCTCTGGTTCGTCGTCGTCCTCGACGTCGGCGTTTGTGTCGAGTTTAATCTTCAACTTGGTCATTTTTGCTATTATGATCTTTATTTTCATTTCCTTGCGTCCTCGTGAAAAACGAGTTTATCAACCTCGTTGTGAAGTCGAGACTCAACCAAAAGAACAAACACCTGAACCTGCTGGTAGCGGCCCTTTTTCCTGGCTTCTCAGTTGCCTGAGATTATCAGAGACTTCCTTAATTCGTTATGCCGGTGTCGATGCTTACTTCTTTTTGCGTTACCTCTTTACCTTTACGTTCCTTTGCTTCTTGGGCTGCATCATGCTTTTGCCCATTTTGCTTCCCGTCAATGCCACCAATGGAAATGGTAAAACTGGTTTCGACATCATCTCCTTTTCCAACGTCAAAAACCATAATCGCTTTTACGCTCATGTTTTTCTTAGTTGGATCTTCTTCGGTACTGTCATCTTTGTTATTTACCGGGAACTTCGCTTTTACGTCGTTTTCCGTCATGCCATCCAGGCTTCTCCTTTGTACGACCAAAGCAAGTCTTCTCACTGCATGGTTATCAGCGAACTTCCCAAGTCTGCTCTCGAAAGTGAGGACGTCATTCGCCAACATTTCCCCAATGCCTCTCGCGTTGAGTATGTCCACAACATTAAAAAGCTTCAAAAGCGTGTTGATAAACGTGATGCTCTCGGTAACAAGTACGAAGGCACTCTCAATGGACTTATCAACAAGTCTGTCGCAAAGAGGAACAAGTTAATCAAGAAGCAAAAGGAGTTGCCCACTGAGCTCGAACTCACCTCGTACGTGAAGAAGCGCCCTACTCATCGCCTCACATTCCTTATCGGAAAGAAAGTGGATACCATTGATTACTGCCGTGACGAAATTGCCAAATTGAACAAGGAAATTGATGAACTTCAAACTCAAGTGAAGGAACAAAAGAAGGTTGGTTCCGTCGTTCTGGAATTTCCCACTCAAGCTGATCTTCAAATGGCTTATCAAGCCTTTTTATACTCTTCCAATTTCCGCCGCTGGCGTATGGGCCGTGTTCTTTTGAACGTTCATCCCGATGAAATCGTTTGGTCCAACCTGGCTTTATCTACGTCTGAGCGCCATGCTCGTAGATTTGCTGCAAACTCGGTCTTGACGGCCATGATTATTTTCTGGGCCATTCCTGTCGCTGTTGTGGGTTGTATTTCCAACATCAACTTTTTAACATCCAAGGTGCACTTTTTGCGATTTATCGATAACATGCCTAGTAGATTGATGGGTATTATTACTGGTATTTTGCCGACTGTTGCCTATGCTGTTTTGATGTCGCTTGTGCCCCCTTTTATTAAATTCATGGGCAAAGTTGGAGGTTGTCTTACGGTTCATGAAATTGAAAGATACTGTCAAACATGGTTTTATGGATTTCAAACGGTTCAAGGATTTTTAGTTCTTACATTAACGTCTGCGGCAAGTTCGGCAGTCATTTCTGTAATTGAGAAGCCTCAAAGTGCCATGAGTCTTTTGGCGAACAATCTGCCAAGAGCCTCCAACTATTATATTTCTCAATTTTTGTTACAGGGATTGTCGTTCCCAGGAGGAGCGCTTGCGCAAATTGTTGCATTGGCATTATCGAAGGTTCTTGGACGGATTTTGGACAGCACTCCACGTCAAAAGTGGAACCGTTGGATCGGGTTATCTCAGCCTAGTTGGGGTGTATTGTATCCCACGTACTCATTGCTAGTGGTGATTATGTTGTGTTATGCGATCATTGCACCTATTATTATGGGATTTGCATTGGTTGGATTGACATTGATCTATATAGCTTACTTGTACAACTTGGTTTATGTATTTGCACATGGTGTGAATGCCAAAGGAAGAAACTATCCAATGGCTTTGTACCAAATGTTTGTTGGACTTTACCTTGCGGAAATTTGTTTGATTGGATTGTATGTATTGAGTAAGAACTGGGGCTGTACAGTGTTGCAAGCGTTGTTCTTGGGAGCTACGGTGGCTAGTCATGTGTACTTTAAATACAAGTTTTTGCCCTTGATGGATATTGTGCCATTGAGTGCGATTGAATGTGCGAATGAGCATCCTGAAATTAAATACCCAAAGGATTTGGGTACATCGGAAGCCAGAACTACAGGAAGAATGTATCCGTCGAACGTTGAAGTGAACGAGGAGCCCGTGGATCCTTTGGATGAAGGAAGAAGTGGAAGTGAAGCATATCAAACGTCATCGTCGAATATAGATGGATCTGTGCAGAAGGAGGATGAGAAGGATGAAAAGGCGATTGAATCGATGAGCGAACGGACGAATCCTACTCAAACGAAGGAGTCGACAATCAAGACGATAGGCGGTTGGGAAGAGAATGGATCTGTGTCAAAGCAAACGAACTTTGCAGTGAATTATCTTTCATCAGCGTTTCGTAAGGATACGATTATGCCTACGTTTGATCGTGTTTTACAGACTTTACCTACATTCTATGGGATTGGACCTAGTGGACAAGGATCGGTGCGGTACACGGATCCAGCATTGGAATCGACGCCTCCATCGATTTGGATTGGAGAAGATCCTATAGGGTTGTCGAAGCTTGCGATTGAAGATGCTGCGGGCAAGGTGGATGTGTTTGACTATCATACAGAGTTTGATGAGAAGGGTAAAGTTCAATACACAGGACCACCTCCCAAGTATGAAGATGCAATTTCAGGATAATTGGGAAACCAATAAATTCCAAGTCTAATTCAGTTTTTGCTATAATAATATATAACAACTAATAGGATGAAAGGAGTTGGAATTCATCCATCAGTAGAAAGAATAAATATATATAGAGAATTTTTATTGGTTTTTGGATATGATGTAGAGGAAGTAAAAGAGAGTAAAAGAGAGTAATTAAGTAGTTTGAGAAAAGAAAGAAAAATTTAGACTCGAAGAGTCTCCAACTAAAATTTTTCTTTCTTTTCTCTCTCTCTCTCCTCTTTGTTTTCCCCTCCGCTCCCCCCACCTGAAAAGCAAAGCCATCTTTACTCCACCTGCTCCACTATCACCTCCTCTCTTGCATTCATTTCTCTGCGTCATAAAACAAACGATAATGCAAACGACAACCAATCAACAACAAATTCCTTGATTCAAAAAGGACATTGATCACCAAAAACGATCTTCCATAACTGCGTCATAATCGTTTCGAGTGTGTATCCGTAATGAACCCCTCCATGTCTTTGATAAAAGGTTGCAATCCTTTGTTGGCCGAATTCCAATGAAATGCCTTGCTGGTTGTTTTCTTATGGGGAAAATCAAGTTCTTTGTTCCATGGAGCAATCATAAAAAGAGAGAGGATGGGTGGTTTTTCAATTTGCTCCTGTTGGAAAATTGGATTTTTGCAGTTCTCGCTGGAACAAGTTTTAGAGAAAAGAGGTGTTTGATTTTATTTTGTTTGATTTAATTTGATTTGTTTTTTTTTGTGGAAAAACAACAACAACAGCAAACTACGAAATTGTCTATTTGCTTTTTTTTAGATTTCGTTTCGAATTGACAGTTGTATTCGATATTTGATAAATTTTGATTTTTGATTTTTAATCTTGATTTTCTTTCTTTTTTTTTTGTGTTGGCGTTGTTGTTGTTTGGCGTCTTTTCGAGTTTGAATTTGAATTTGAATTTGAGGTTTTGCTTTTGCTTTTGTTTTTTTCTTGAAAAAGACAGTACTATTAGCTAATAGACGTTTGTGCGTGTGTGTGTGTTGTCGTGTTTCTTTGTTTGTCTTGGTTAGCGCATAAAAAGTCTGCATCTGTATCTGCGTGTGTTTTTCTCTCTCTTTGTTTCTGCCTTTTTTTCTTCCTTACGGTATTGGTATCCCTTTTCATGTTTTTAGAAATCGTTCTAGACCATCCTTCCTTTACTTTTCAAGAACCCGTCACTGGTAAAATTTGTTTTGAAACAAACACTGCATCTTCTCCCCGTTCCTTTCAAATCACCCTTCGTGTCAAAGGATATGCCGTCTACCACCACGGGTTTCTTTCCTCTCCTTCTTCCCACAAACACCCTACCATCGCGAGTTCTCCTTCCGATAGCGATGAAACCACCGAAATCTATTCCCATTCTTTCCCCGTTTCCATCCCTGCAGGCCCTTCCGCCAAATCCCATGCTGTCGACTTTCAATTCCGTTTCCCCGTAAAAGTTGCCGGTTCCCTTCCTTGCTCGAAATCCAACGATTCCATGGTCAATATTCGCTACATGCTGAAAGCTAGCATCCAAAAACGGTATGCATTTCTCAGCTCTTCTCAAAGCTGCAAGGCCGAAGTCATCATGGCTCCAAACCATTCCTCCGCCCCTTCAGCATTACCAAATTTCGATCATCCTACCTCTCTCTCCTTCCGTCCAACTCCCACCTCCCCTTCTTCTCCTTCTTCTCTTCCCAACATGGCCACCAATACTGCCACAAACACCTTTAACGCTTCTTCTACCTTTCGTCGTCCTTCTTTTAACCCTCAACTTCCTTTTGCCCATCTTGCCGCCAATCACGCCTCTCAATATTCCACGTCCTCTACTTCTTCTTCCTCTTCCACTTCTGCTCCTCATTCCGCTACCACCACTACTACCACCCATCCTCCTCCTTTTCTTTCCATCGCTCCCACCGCTCCAATGTCTTCTCTCTATTCCGACAGATATCCCGCTTCTCCCACCTCTCCTCCTCCTCCTCCTCATTTCCTTCCTTCTTACTATTACCACCCTCAAAACTCTTCTTCCCTTGCTTCCAATCCTCCTATCTCTCCCGGTTTGGACCTTGCTGCCACCACCCACTCTACCTATTCCTCCCCACGTCCTCACCTGGGCGCTTCCGTCCCATCCTACCCCTACGAATCTCCTCCCTCTGCTGTACCCACCACTTCTTCTTTCTACTCTTATTCCACCACTCCTCCTCTCCTCAGTAAAACTGGCCTTCGTTCTTACACCTCTCCTCCCGCTTCTTTCTCTCACCGTCAACCTTCATTCACCAATCCTCCCCCTTCGTTCCCTCTCAACTCGGCTTCTTCTTTCACTAGAGAATTTCCTCCTCCTTCTCCCTCTCATTCCCAATTTTACCCAAACCTTTCTCCCTCTGATCCCCTTCCCATCTCCACTCAGCCCAGCTCCTTTGCCGCTCTTGCCCCAGGTGAAAAGTTGAGCATCCATTTGGAGGAAGATGACTTGGTTGGCGATATCTCCGAAAATGATCCCATGCTCGACCAAACTGACTCTTCCTCCTCCGTCTTTCCTCCTCGAAAGAACTCTACTATCTTTCAAATGGATGACCATTTTGTTCAGGAACGTACTTCTTCTCCTTCTTCCGCCCATACTCAAAGAACTTCCGTGCATTCTTTATCCCCAGAAGTTTGTCTTGCCTCTGATTGCACTGTTAGTCCTTCTTCCACCGTCTCCGAAAAGGAACCAATCGACTTTCATCCTGCAAAGGATTCACGAGAACTAAATATGGATTATGCTAAAGAGTTTGACGTTTTAATTAACCAAGTTTTGCAATCGCTCTAATTTTTGAGTGCTTTTGGTTTTTCTTGATTCTGATTTCTGATATCTCTCTCTCTCTCTCTCTCTCTCTCTCTCTCTCTTTTTTCTATCTGTCTATTATCAAATTCTTAAATAATTTTCTCTTTTACTATATTTTTTTTTGGAGGTTGACTTTTCAATGTCTATCTTACCCTACCTTTTGCATCATCTATGAATTCATTTCTGTGTGGACGGAAATTGTTTTTGCTCTTTCAAATGACTTTGTGATTGAAAAAGGCCACATGTCACTATTACTGTCTATAACATATACTGATGTGTTTCCGAGTGTACATATATATACATATGCATTTATTCTATCTGATACCTATTTGTTGTTTTTCAAAGGGAATTCTTAATCATTTCATATAATTTTTATTCATATCGATGCTTCGCATTGCAAATAGTTTTATTAATAAAGAATTTTTCATTGTATTCTCTTTTGTATAGCATATCAATCTATTAGCTACGAATATTCTCTCTCATTCTTCAACCCACTCTTCTTGTAAATCATTCATCCTGTGCTTGCTATGGACTCGAAAAGTTGAGCAACATTGTACTTTTTCATTTTGAAACACGTTTTCCCAATACTTCACACACACGCACACACAAATTCTCTCTCTCTCTCTCTCTCTCTTTCAAAGACACGAATGCCCTTTCTTTTTCTCTAGCACACTCCTTTTGAATGAATTCTTCTGCAAACAAAAGTCCTTGTCAATTCTTAATATGATATTCTACAATCACCAAAATCCCATCCATTGTTTTAGAAAAATATATATAGAATAGGGGCCTGTCCTTCCACCGCGTTATGTAAATTTACGAGGGGTGTATTTCCCGTCTAATTTAATGTAAACACCAAAAGCACCGACTTCTTCAAGACACGACCTTTGCCATCTCTTTCGGTTTTCCACTTTTTTTATTTAGTGTCAACTCATGAACGGAAATGAGAACAATCAGAATAACCGTTATGACTTTCAGCAGATGACTGATGGCGAACATGTTGCACCCTCTACTTTCGACTCGTCAAACAATGCCAATTCTTCACAGTCACAGCTTGCTAGCAGTGAACAGGCTTTACTTGCTATTTTAGGAGGCGATTTACAACAGATAAATACGAACAATCCAAACCCCAATGGCTATCAACGAAATGTTTATCGTTCCGATGGCTCTTTAAATGTTCCTTCGGGAAACATGCTGAATCCTTCCTGGCCTGGCTATAATCCGAATTTTGTACAAGGAAGGTATGATCCGCCTTTTCAGCCTTACGTGATGACCCATCATCCTTCACAATCTTTTCCGCAACCGATGATGGGATCCACCCCGTCAACACCCTCCCAGCAGTCAAGTCTATCTTCTATAGGCTTACCTCCTCAATTGTCTTCAGCTCTTCCACACCAAAAGCAAAATCAATTTGCTCAATTGCTGGAACAAAACTCTGCCGCCTCTGCCCAATTTCCTAATGCATTCTCTCAACGCTCATCAGCCCCAGATGATACCGCGTCAATCCCTTTACATCCAAATCAATCATTTGTTAATACTCCGACCTCATTCCCGAATCTTCCATACCCTTTAGACCCTTCCCAAGTTTCTACTCAGCAACTTTTATCCACTTATAGAGACCAAGTCGCTCCTTCCGTTCGTCCTTACTCCTACCGAACCGCTGATTCGTTTCTTCCTTCACAGCTCCTTTCTACCACCGATTTATCCAAACATGTCGACATGGATACTTCCACCATGCCTTCCGCACCCGTGAATAATAACATCTCACCTGCTGCTTCCTCTTTCCCAGTCATTCCATCTGCTCCTAGTACCTCGCCGATGGCTTCTACTACGTTTTTTGAGCCTACCGAGTTTGCGACTCCCCACGATCAGCAGTCAACATTAGAACACCCCAGGTCCTTGCTGGAATGGTCTAGTCAGATGTCGTCTCACACGACCCCTATGGCTGGTGCCAGCATCCCAGTTACTTCTTTAAAGTCGTTCTATAAAATGGCTTACGAAGCTGCTAAATTATGTAACCTAAATCCAGCTGCTTTGGAACCTTTCGAAAAACAAATGTTGTCCGACAGACTACAGGATCCTCCAGTTTTGTTTCACTACCTACAAGTTCGGAACTCTATCTGCTGGTTATGGCGTAGAAATCCTACTCTTCCGATTTCCAAGGTTGAGGCTCAAGGCGTTTGCGCCGACAGATGCTTGTTTCCTTTGGCTATTTTGGCTTACGAGTTTCTTGTAAGGTATGGATACATTAATTACGGGTGTCTATCTTTTGAATCTATCGTTACCCCCAATATTCAAAACACCTCGCCTTCACCACAAGACAAGCAAAAAACTATTGTCGTTGTGGGTGCCGGCCTCACTGGTCTTGCTTGTGCTAGACACCTGACGTCTCTCTTTACTCAGTTTTCTTCTTCATTTTCTTCCAAAGGAGAATCCATCCCCAAAATTATCCTGTTAGAAAGTAAACAAAGGACTGGTGGCCGAATTTACAGTCGTGTCATTCCTCCCAGCAATACCCCTTTCTCTGAAAGAGATGCTTTGCACGATTTGGCCGGCATTACAGAAGCTATAGATTTTGGATTCCAATATTTAACTTCTGGATCGGATAACGTGTTATTCACCCTTATAGAACAACAACTGGGTTTGCAGACGCTTCCCTTGAAGGGTTTTGATCTTTTACACGATGAACAAGAAAATAAAATGTTTGATATTACTGATTCAAAACGGTTGGAGGCTTTATGGACAAGACTTCTGCACCTAGCTTCTTTCTTAACGAGTGAATCTTCCGAGATGGTTTCCAATAATCAATTCTTACAAAAATTTCAGTCTTTTTTAGATGAGATTAGTCCGAACCATAACCCTGGTCCTTTTATTATTGAGAATATGTCACACATGTCTTTCAAGGAAAGTCTCATTTTACTTATCCAGAAAAGTTCCTCTTACTTGAAACTAACGTCAAAAGAAAAGCGGTTTTTAACATGGTCGTTTGTTACAAATGATATGGATGACATTTTGCATGCTTCCAAGAGCTCTTCTGATGGGGACTTTGATTCAGAAAGTTTGACCCCCAGAGTGGTTAAAAATGGACTCTCCCAATTAAGCTGGGCCTTACAGTCCTATCCATATCCGCTAAATATACAATATGGAAAGAGCGTCTGCGAAATTAGAAACGAGATTTCAAAATGCTTTGTACATTGTACCGATTCTAGTGTTTATGAGGCCGATCATGTTGTAATGGCTTGTTCACCATATCATTTTACCTCCGATATAAATATTCAACCACCTCTTCCTTCCCAAGTGGTTGATATCCTGAAAACTACGCAATATGCTTCCGGAAAAAAAGTACGTTGAGCTTTATATTTCATAGTGATTTATTTACTAATATTTTAGTTAATTCTGAGGTATTCGAAAGTTTTTTGGAAAAGAGATATACGATCGTTTGGTTTACTGCCTCTCTACGATAATGTTGAAGACGATTTAAGTTTTACTGCTACTGGAAATTCCATGCCGGTATCCAGGGTATGGAATATGTTTCCAATAACGGAGCAACCCATTTTAGTCGCTGATGTGACGGAATCTGCTGTTGGCACAGGAAATGAAGGCTCGTCGTTAATTCAGCTTTTAAATTCCTGGTTAATTAACCATTTTGCTGATCAAGCGAACGACTCTGCCGAGCTTTTGGACTGTTGGGAAGTAAATTGGTCTAACGGAAATCCTCTTGATGGATTATTTGTTCAGAAAAGTAATGTTCCTGACTCTGCTGTCATACAAAAAGGTGGTTCTTTCAATTTGGGATGCCTCCACTTTGTAGGAGATTATTTACAACCTGCGATTACCGGTTCTTCAATATCAAAGTCATATTTAGCAGGTATTTCCGTTTGTACGGAAATAATTAATGATCTGGCACAAGTCGGGCTTACACTACCTGTAATGGGTGAGACGGCTCGTAATGAGCTTGAAGAGTATATGCAACGAACAACAACCAAACATCATGATACTGATGCAGAAGTTCAGCGACATCTTTCCTATCGCGCTAGATATCGTCTCAAGCGGCAAGAACGTTTGGACGAACATAAAGAAGAAAGTGAATTGTTAGTTACCGAGCTCCTAGGCTATATACCTGAACCTCCCATTAAGCCAAGTGCAAATCCGTTTTTGTTGTATCAAAAAATGCAGTGGCATGTATGTCGAGCACTTGCTGATGATGAAAAGAAAAAACTTACGGGTGATAGCGAAGCGAAAGCTACTATAAACGAAATTCGTGCAAAACTCGGGAAATCATGGCGACAACTGGATGATTTAGGTAAAAAGCCATGGGTTGAAGAGATTGCAGCTCGGCGAGAAGCTTATGCTGGAAAAAATATGCGTTATCAACAATTAGCCAAAGAGTATGAACTACGAGCCGAACAGATTCGAAATGATCATTCTGTCAAAGCTCGTGATGAGCCTATTCCGGAAGATGAAACTCGACTTTACATTTTAGCTCAAAGAGAAGAAGCCGAACAGAAAAATATAGTTGATGAAGGCGATGGCTCTCAAAGTGCTGAGGGCAGTGATGAAGAATACCGTGATGACGGTAATTCCTCAGATTCTGGCGGCAATGCTCATGATTAGAGCTTACTTTTTTCAAAAGAATTGCTGATTTTATTGAAAGTCTTTAATTTTTGGGTCAATAAAAAACAAAAAGAAAAAGGATAGATAGGACTGTATATATATATCGCATATGTATATTGAATATTTAATTTAGCTTATGATATGTACTTTAGGTAATGAATTAGAATTGTTTCACCGATGTTTATGGTTATTGTTCATTCTAATAATAACTAGCACAAGTAACATCAATAAGCGTAAATGCATATGAGAGTACCAATTGCTTCGATTCATGAAAGAAAGCAAATGTCTACAGGATCATTGGAGTGAACTTTTATCGAAAGATACAATAAAACGAAAAATTAGTCCCGCCGGGGATCGAACCCGGGACCTTCTGCGTGTGAAGCAGAAATCATACCACTAGAACACGAGACTCTTGTTGTAGTTATTCATCAGTAAGTGTTATATAAAATAACGTATGTCGAGTTGGTGTGTGAGAAGTTCTACTTCATCGAAGCCATTCATTGAAGCATAAATAGTATGGCATTAGAAGATGGCTCTACAACTGTCTAAAAAACGGCCAAAATGTACCAGAGTTACTTCTCTACTAAGTCGAAGAAGATGATTAACCCGTTAAGTTCGTAATATTAAAAGTATTAACAAATATTAAAAAACCATAGCCAAAAGTATTATGTTTTGCAACCTCAATATATGGGACAAAAAGCATTGTAAACAGAAATCCGTTGTTTTTACTATACATATAAAAATGCCAAAGCGAACATTTAATCCAGCCGATGTGCTTTAGGTCTGTAATACACCAGAGTTTACGGAAGGATTCGCGACTGGCGTGCTATTCGTAACCAATTCATTCACACTAGAAGAGCGTAACCACGTGTCAATTTTTACCATATTATAATTTATGTTAGACAGTTCCTGTACCATAGTATCATGTTTGGAACGAAGCTCGGAAAGCACATTCAAGGCATACTGTCTTTGGTCAATAGTAGATCCTTGTAATTCCGGAGGAAATTGTAATGGTGAAGGAGGTGCATTCATAATTAAAGGATTGGAAGCTAGGTTAGTTTGCGAATTAGATTTTTTAAGCTTATCGCTCATAACTTCAGTGTCTTTGGAAGTAGAAGAACCTGAAGGTTCTTCAGGATTTAGCAATGAAGCAATACCTTCTGCTATTTTTGGTTTTTTCTGCTCACGACTAGGTAAGTTAACGGATTCACCAACGGGAAGAATTGGAGGAAGATGCCATTTCTTGTTTAGAACATTGCTTTCCTGTTTAACGGGTTCTTTCACGTTCACCTCGCCGACGGACAACGGTGAACCCGTAGATTTATTAGAAGGACTAACATTTAGGGGAGGGAGCGGGACGGAATAAACTGGTCGAGCATTATGAGGAATTTCGCCGTTCATTCTATTGACAACATTATTAGTCAAGTTGACTGAACTATCGGCCTGCGTCTCAGGTTGGACACCCAGAGTGTGAGCAGCTTCCGGAACTTTGTTGTAAGGATAGAAATATTGGCTATTCGTCTCGGGCTCACCTGCAGCAAGTCTTGAGAGCGTCAATAAAGGTGAGGAATTAACTACAGGAGGCAACATTCCACTGTACCCGTTAATCGGATAAGCGGGATGATGGAAGGAGCTAGCAGGGTTGAGTAAAGGATTAGCAGGGGAACCATAATCAACGGGTTTATCGGATACTCTATGGATATTGTGGGATTTATCGCCATTCTTGGGCTTGGTCATTAAGGTTTCTTTTGGTGGTGAGCTTTTAACGCGCTTATGTGCATCGGTGGCTTGCATAGAAGCCTGTTTAGAAGACTGTGAAGCCACATTATGGTTGTTGTGCATGACGATACGCTTTCTTCGCTTAATAATAGCTTTCTTCATGGTTACCGGACGGTGTATGCCATGAATCTTGTAATAAAGACCGCATGCATTGCAAATTGGATTACCAAGTTCGTCTCTGCGCCAAAGAGGTGTATTGGTAGTACCACAATTCTGACAGCACGTAGCCCCCAATTCACTAGCAGAAACCAGGGTTGGTCCTTCCGATTGTTCACTCGCACGGCGTTTATTACTTTCAGATTTCAACGAGGCTCCGGATTCTGGGGACTTGGATCTTTGTTCATCCTCACTACCAGAGGCGTCTGATTCTCGACTGACAACAGAAGAGTCAGGCTTGGGTGACATGCTAGAACGATCTAACTTGTTGGATTTCGAACTGATACTTTTCAAACGATTATTCAAAGCAGGACAACCAGTGCAAGAAGCGCTTCCACCTGTTCCATCACAATAACCGTCTCCAGAACAGGTTCCATTTGTGCAAATTTGTTTGGCAACGGGAGGCGCATCTTTTTGGTGTTCTTCCGCTTTTACAGGACGGGCCTGATTTCGGTGTTTCTGGTATAAACCGCAAGCGTTGCAAAGTAAGGAATTATCCGGACCACGCCTCCACAGTGAGGTTGTCGTGCTATGACAATTCGAGCACATTTGTCCAAAAGAAGATTTCGCAGTCATTTTCACTTAATGCAAACCGTTAATAAATAACAAGATATCTCAACAACAATGTAAAACAAGAGATAAAGAGGATCTTTAAACAAAAAAAAATAATAGAAAATAAAATAAAATAAAAACAGAAAAGAGTAATACAAATTGACAGCGGAAAGAGCGTCAATGCAGGATTACAACAAGAAAAGAGACTAATGAAAAAGACCGTGTATACAAACAAAATAAAAAATTACTTGTTAACGAATAAAAGTAGCCAATTCCAAGTGGTAAACGGGGAATGAGAAAGTCTGATATATAACAAGCAAGCAACGAGAAGAAAACGAATCTTTTTCAAGAATTATAAAAATAAAGAAGATATTCAAACGATGTTAAACCGAAAAATACGTTTGTTTGTCAAAAAGAAGATAGTAATAGCTATTAGACAAAAAAGACAACACAAAAAAAGTTGATTTAGTCTAATCGAAAGAGACAAGACAAAGTGCTGAAGAGGAAGAAGAAAAAAAAATCCCTTGCAAACAAGTAATAAACGCAAAGAAAAAAAAAGCAAGTCAACAGTTTGAACGTATCAGCAGGGATCCAATTCAGCCTACTTTGGAGATAGATAAATAACAAAAGCCCACCCGAATATTCAGAATAAACCAGTAAAGTTTCAAAAAATAGGAGTATTAAACAATAAGAAATCTTTTAATTCAATCGAAGAAGTACCTTTGCTTGCTTTCAAACCTGGATTTCTCTAGGTAAAAAATTGCCCCTCTATATCAATGTCTTTCCAAACACAGTTCCAGGTAGCTACGTGAATCGCTCAAGTCGTAGCTGAATTATAATCAACAGAAATATACGCAACACCTTGATTTTTGACGGATATGTTTGGAATCTTGCTGGTCTTGACAACTAAATAGATTCGCCAAGGAAAATTCGCACGGAATAATCCCAAGTTTAGCAGGAAACGAATGTTTCCAAAGTTCTAAAGATTCTTCTCTATGAGCTTTTCGCAAGGAAACTTGGTTAAAGAAGAGTTCTCAATGTTGCTGTTTGCAAATGGTAAAGCTTAGATAGAGAGAGGATGAAACTGATTAGGATAACCAAGGAATACCGCGTAGTGTGGTCCAATCACCTGGTTGATAATTCAAGGTAACACTCGGGTAACAATGAAATCTAAGGCAAGGCGTGCTCGCTTCGCTTCAAGAAGAAAAGGGAACAAAGGGCAAAAAGTGTTTGAAAGAGAAAGCAAAATGAAAACAGACAAACAAGGAGAGTAAGTTTTGCTGCTGGTAGAGAGGGACTTGAAAGAGGATGACTATCTGAGCCAAACCTCGAATGTTCAGAAAGGAAAACGAACAATGGTGATTGCAGCTGGTTAACAATGACAAGAAAAACAAGAAAGAGGATGGGATGCGAAGGGATAAATTCACTTGGTTTTTATCGGAAAGAGAGAAACTTGGGAACTGAGGAAACCGATCAGCAATGAAAATCTACCGCACAACTCAAGCTGTAGACAACATCCAAGAGACAAGTAGATTTAGAACTACACAATGAGAAAGATGTAAGGTTCTGCTTTCCAATAGTGATTGTTGATGGCACGGTTTCGTTGATGAGCGTTTGTCAGAATTATTAACAACCTTCTTTGGTAAATTTATTAATCATTAAGCCTCTTAACTGCATCCTAGGATATATGGCACCATTAGCATGATCATGATGGCGAATTGAAAGGACGACCCTAGAAACTGATTGATTATCCAGATTTCTAAGACATGACGAACAGTTTTACAGATTTGCGTACCAAGTTTTATCAGATACAGTTGTAATTAGGTATAGCACGGATTCGCTAAACAATACCAATCAAACCAACTAGAGTCAGCACGGGTTCATAGTAAGAAAAAAAGGTCAACAAATTGGTATCAAAATCAAAGATGCAGAATCAGTAACTCGACAAATCGGATAGCTAAATTTTTTGAAGAAGGATTTCACTCTCCATAATGGATCCCTGTTTTAGCACTCATGTGGTTTCAAACCCTGACCTGAGGTGAATTTGATAGAATTTTCATTTAGAAGTGTTTCAAAAGTTCCTTATTTATCCACTCATTTTCACTACCATTTTTGGTTTCTTTATTTCAGATGTATTTCATACAAAGAAAGATCTGAGCGCTGATTTAACGCCTTTTCCTACAAAACCCGGCTTTAAGGCTTTTTTTTCCACCGTGTTTTTTTCTTAATACCCTCGTTTCTTAAGATTTTTTGTTTTGTATTTACTGTTTGACGCGTTTGAACGGATTTTAGTAAAAAGAAACAACAAGAGTTAAATAAACCGTTGGAAATCCTCTAAATAATTATTGATTTTTCGTACGCAAGCTTGTTTTAACCTCTTTCTATTCTAAAGTCAACAAGTTAGTATATGTGTTCGCGTAAAAAAGTCCAGATTAAATTCGTAGAAATCAAATCAACTCAGTAGGAACAATTGGATTTATGAATTTGATTTCATAAACACTTGCTGTTGCGTAGCAAAGTTTCATATACCTAAGTCTCATCCTTGATGATAGGATTTCTTTTTGTTTCACAAAATCTCACTTACCTATAAATATCCTTTAGCAAAATATTTTCCTTTTCAACTGCTGAAAATTATGGACTTTATAAGATGAAATCCCGTGTCCTTTTGACCCTATTGAGTAAAGCAGTCACACGGTCAATTCGCTCTTGTTGAACACTTTTGAACCATGGATTCATTCTTCGGCACGTTCCCCAATATGAGGTAGAGAATATACACAATAAAGATGAAAGATAGGTTTGCTAAATTTAGTCGTAACAATATATAGATCCATGTAATCCATATGCGTCGTTCATTCATTACTTCATCTCGTAAACTGTAAATTCGACTTCTCGCGTGCATCTAATGAGACGGTCTACTTTCTTAATCATCCAGAATTTCATCATCATCATCCAAGTATTGACTAGCCGGCTTCTGTGAAGAGCTAAACGAATCCTGTAACATCAGTTGCGTGCTTTTCTCTGCGGGCTTGTCAGTGCGTTTTCCTTGAGTGCGTCCACTTGTTTTCTTCGGACCGCTGCTTTTCAATGATGGCTTCTTTGTGTTTGCCGGTTTTTGGTACATACTACCGGGGAGAGCGCGTGTTTTCGTCGTCTTCGATGATTGTTTAGGCGGTTCGGCCTGTGTGAGTGATTGAAAATCGTCCTTCTCTTCATTTTCATCTAGGCGGTTCGCGGAAAGAAGTGGCCTGTCATCATCAAAGTCTGAGTCTGGTGATGTTACCCGAAAACTAGTTGATGCGGGCGTAGGCATTGAATCGTATTCTTTTCGTTTTGTAGTTGAGAGCTGAGGAATATTGTTCACCAGGGTTTTTATTTCTTCTTCTAAATTCTCTTCGGTAACACGCTTTTTTACCAGCAAATTGATTTGCTTACTCAAATGATCTTCTACGCACCTAACACATTATGATTAGTACATTAATATAAAATCATATCATGATCATGATCATGTACTTACTCTTTGATGGCATCTTTGTCATCCTTTTCCACGAAATTGATCACAGCTTCACCAAGAACATTTCCAGGTAAACACTCTAGCTGATTCTTTTTCAAATATTCGTTGACCAAAGACTCGACTCTCAAGGCATTGATTTTAATATCTTCACCAACATTGTCCACGACCTCGTTGTTCTTCTTGGTTCCTATAAATATATTAGTATTTGCGTACATTCTTCGTACAAGCCATACTCGTATATTTTCTTTTAAGGTGGAATAGAACCACGTCCGTGGCATTGGCAACTCTTCCAACAAACCGGTTTGAAAATCTTTGGGGATTTTCAGTTTGATAACCACCAGTATAATCAACCCTTAGTCGAATTAAAGGTAAAGGAGGTTTCTTATCTTGAACATTATCTTGACCTCCTTGAGCTTCCAACCACTGTTGGTTTGCTTCCTCTATAGCCTCTTCCACTTGACTAATGAGATATGTGAGTACTTCTCGCTTATTGTCAACCATAGGAGGAATGCTTTGAACTTCCGATAATACGATGTCTCTCATGACAAAAGGGCGGACTGTGCGAAGACGAATCTTCTCCATGAAGAAATCTCTTCCGGTAACATGCAAAATGCCGCAATGTTTGGGTACAGTTTCACCTGGGCTCAGAGATGTCGCCACCGAAGACCCAGGTTGAACGACCGTAAATTTTTGTGTTGGATTATAGGTTCCGTCAATAATGCATTCATGCTCGTGTCCCCACAAGACGAAATCGTAAAAGTCTTGAATAAAACTTTCAGGCAAGTAACTTGTTTCAGTATGTGCTGCGCTATATCAAGGTTAACATATAAATAGAAAAACAAAAGATAAGTCAAAATAAGCCTTACTGATTTTGATGGACCACTAGCAAGTTGAACCATTCGTCACGATACAAGTCAGGCCGTAAGAATTTTACTTTATTTTCACAGAAAGAATGATACAAGCGTTGATCTCGAACGTTAGATAATCCGTACAAAGCAAGTTTTGTAGATCCCTTTTGTAAAAGAATTGGACTGATAGAAATATTGTCGTTTTCCGGGACACGTCCAAAGTAATTGACGAGTCCAGTGACGTGCAATATGTCTAGTGCACTATATCTTCCATCTCCAGAAGGATCGTCGTGATTCCCATGGATTGAAAACACTGGTATCGCAACATTTATATTGGGATCCTCGTAGTTTACATTGCATATGGTGGTATCACCAGTTGTCACAGAAGTATCGCTCAACAACTCAAGCTCACATGGTTTGTCTCCTAAACAATTTAGCCTCAGAGATCGCAAGGCCTGGTAAAAAGCCTTCCTTGAAGGCTTGTTGTCATGAAATATGTCTCCTCCCAAAAGCACCATATCAACCTTCAAGCGTTAGATACAAATATTAAAAAAAAAAGAATTAAATCTAAAAAGTTACCTCCTTTTCACGAGCAATTTTAAGGATCTCATCAAATGATACGAATGAATCATTCCCTCGTACCGGATCCTTTTCAGCATATCCTACATGATTATCTGAGGCGATTAATATACGGATTGTATCAGCTTGAGAGTTCTCAAAAGGTGTGTTTTGTCTCTCATTTGTCATTGCAATTGAAATGGGCACAGAGTTACATCTGTCTAGCTGTATCAATTGAACTGAATTTATTGACGCGTAGAATCCGAGTTTTGGATGAATACCGTATTATACAATTAAGCATCGTTAATAAACATTCTTAACAAACTGACTTGCTTGCGGTCTCTATTCCTAAAAAACAATACTTTCAAGCAAAGTGAATTATTATAATTTTTCTTTGTAATGTAAATAAGTCAATGCTTGATTTTCGTTGTTGAAGAATGTAAAGTGACAAGCCTATTGCGAACTAAATAAATAGGGCCAGGAAATGGTTTGACAGCTACGATTTCCGTTTGGGAATTCTCGTGTCTTGTGGACAATAGAAAAATGAAATAGCCAACTTCTTAATGATTTATTTTTGTAAGCCTTTTTTTCTATACTCCGTTTGGATGGGTTGCGACTGTTAGGTACAGACTTCGAAAAAGTAAACACAAAAAAAAAAAATCGATTTGAAGGGATAATTAATTGATATACTTTTATTTTCCTTTTTTTAAAGGATTGAAATACAGAAAAAAAAATGGCTTAGAGGTTTGTGAGTATGGCATTGTTTTGGATCTTGTGTAAAGCGTTTGTTTTCCTAGTATACCAACATCGTAACAGCTATTGGGAAACAAGCGAAAATGAAATACAGTTATGGAACAGCAGGCTTCCGCACTGAGTATGTTAATTATTGAAACAAAACTAACTATATACCAGGGCTTCCTTACTTGATGCTGCAATTATTGGATCTACAGCTACTGCTGCACTTCGTAGCTTGGAATTAAAAGGAAAAACAACAGGAGGTACATAATATTCAATGAAAGGATCTTAAAGCTAAAAAAATTTTAGTTATCATTACAGCCTCTCATAATCCCGTCAGCGATAATGGTGTCAAAGTCATCGACGCGGACGGAGGAATGTTGTCCGTGAATTGGGAAGAGAAATGTACAAATTTAGCAAATGCAGAATCTAAAAGCGAACTGGAACTTTTGATCAAAGAATACATTGCTCCTTCTACGTTTCAAGCAAGTGTTGTAATCGGCATGGATACCAGACCTTCTTCTCCTCGTCTATCGGAGCTTGCCAAAGTCATCCTCGATGAAATGTCCGCTTGTTATAAAGACTATGGGTTTATAACTACTCCCCAACTCCATTGGATTGTCAAATTGATTAACGAAAATTCAAGCTACTCAATTCCTTCCAATCCGCCTCCTCTAGTTTTATATTATGACTCACTTTGCAATGCGTATTGCAATGTATTTTCAGCTTCTACGATTCTTCATCGTCCGATCCTCACTGTCGATTGTGCAAACGGCGTCGGTTCTTTACCACTTGAAGAGCTGTCGAAGCGATTGAAGGACTATATTGACATTCGCCTCATTAACAATGATTCCTGCAATTACAAGTATCTGAACAATGGCTGTGGTGCAGACCATGTGAAAACAACTCAGTCACCACCAGTGAATTTAGTGGATAAAATGATTCCTAATCAACTATACGCTTCTGTTGATGGCGATGCTGATCGCATCGTCTTTTACTTCACTGACAAAGAAAAGAAGTTCCACTTGCTAGATGGTGACAGAATAAGTATTCTTTTGGTTTCTTTCCTGAAAATTCTCGTACAAAAATCCAGATTGCCCCTTTCCATTGGAGTAATCCAAACGGCATACGCTAATGGTTCGTCCACTGTTTATCTTAACGATCTAGGAGTTCAAATCATTTGTACGAAAACAGGTGTCAAGCACCTTCATCATGAAGCTCAGGCTTTCGATATTGGAGTCTACTTTGAAGCTAATGGACATGGCACTGTACTCTTTAGTCAAGATTGTGTGAAAAAGTTATGGAATCCTCCTACTGGAATATCAGATACCGAAACCAATGCAATCGTTGTGCTCTTACAACTTTCTCAGTTGATCAACCAAGCGATTGGTGACGCACTTAGCGACATGTTAGCTGTACTCAGTGTTTTAGGCAGCTTATATTGTGATGCCAAAGGCTGGTTGAGTATGTATAATGATTTGCCCAATAAACTAGTAAAGGTGAAAGTTGCGGATCGCTCAATTTTTATTACTACCGTAAGTAAATTGTTCGGCTTCCCAGATTAACTTCTATTATAGGACGCTGAGCGTCGTTTAATTAAACCTGTCGGTCTACAGGAAAAAATTGATGATCTTGTTTCTAAATACGAAAAAGGCAGATGTTTCGTCCGCGCATCTGGTACAGAAGATGCAGTACGGTGAGTGTGAAGACTTTGGTCTTTTTCATGTCTTGATTTACTAATTTATATGCAGTGTCTACGCTGAAGCTAGTACCAAAAAGGGCGCAGAGGAATTAAGTGCTAAAGTTTGCAGTTTGCTGAAATAGGCCGGCAAATTAAACGATCCTTTCACGTTCTTTCTTATTATTCTTCATTTCAAAAGGCTTAGCTCTGTTTACTATTCAGACTATGAAGAGCTATTCTACCTATCATTCATTATTTACTATTTTAATTCTTACTAAAACTTTGACTTCAAATACTGACTGCATTTTGTAAAATAATATATCTAATTATATTATCAATATATGTAAGAACTCCTGACAAAACAGTAATCGTATAAATTAAACTAAATCTAGACAATGTTAGCAGTTGTGCAAAAAAAAAGGATTAGGCTTATGAAAATTCATAATGATTCAGCATCTAAGGGTCTGTTTTTCAGCACAGACAAAAGTCTAAGCGTGGTGCATGTATTAGACGAAAATATCATCATATATATATATGATTTTTCAATAGCCTTTAACAGGTTAATCTTACCTATTCAAATTTGTATCAAACTACTAATGGTAAAAGCTACAAGAAATTCGACGCTTTAAGAATCAAAGCGTGACTGTTTATTTCGTAAACAGAGGAATCTAACCAATTGAGCTGTTTACATTATGGAAAGAATTCAACGTTAAATAGCTCTGTTATAGTGATTTCAAATGTATGTTTCTACTTTACGAAGTAACTTTTTTTTCGTATATCGTCAAGGGTATAAACATTTAAATGGTGATACCAAAGGAATGGCTATACCAACATTTGCACACAATTTCATAAAACAAATATATTTTGTCATTATAAGTATTTTTAGGCAATCAATTTTCCCATCATAAATTTAATGATTGTTTGTTCAAGGAGGGAGGTGTCTGTATCCTTTTGTAAACGTTTTTCTGCATCAGTAAATTGTTCTTCTGTAAACAGGCCGTTGTCAAATCGAGTACTTGTCATTGTTTTTACGACTTCTTTACTGAATTCAGGATGTCCTTGAAAAGAAAGAACTTGTCCTCCTTTTATAAACGCTTGGTTTGAACAAGTTTTGGTACTGGCTAACAATTCGAAGCCTTTGGGAATGTCAGAGACAATGTCTTGATGCATTTGATTAATAATTAGAGAATCCTTGGCAAAGACTCTTTTCCCAACTTCTGTTAGCTGAATTTCATAGGGCGCAATTTCCCATCCATTTGGATTAGCGACGATGGAAGAACCAAACGCTCTTCCTATAATTTGATGTCCAAAACAAACTCCTAATACTTTAATTTCTTTACGGTTTTCGATTACATTTTTCACAACTTCGGTAAGCTTGTTTATCCAAGGAACATTATCACCGGCGTAATACTTGGAGCCAGTGATAACTATAGCGTCAAGCTCGTCAAATTGTTCCTTACTGGGATAAATGTCTTCCTTGTAAACATTATAGGTATTAAAAACAAACTCTAAGGAGGAATCATAGGCGGCTGCTGCTCTGGTGAACATATTCTTGAACATATGCGCATAATCGCCATAATTCTGAGTCACGGTATTCATTGGTAAATCGGCATTGAAAATTGCTATTTTGTATTTCATTTTAAATTGTCGCAGTATCGGGAGCAATAAATTCTAAATTTCTCAAGTAAGGGTATATAAAAAAGTGGTAGACTGTAAATGATGTATATATGGGATAAAAAATTCCTTAAGGCCAAAAGTTATAGATATCCAATACGGTGGTGGTACTTCGTATCCAGCTGCTTAATTAAAGTGTTTAAATAACGAAAAATGACACATGTAATATGAGCGTAATGTTATTACCAGTGTGAGTTGGATTGACAAATCCCTTAAGGTTATTCCCACCAAGCCTTTTGTTGTTTTATATCATCGCTCTGATTGCTCTTCATAAATACACTTTTCCTTTGATCATTTAAAAACCACTGAGATTCCGATATACCTAATAAGCTGTTATTGTACCTAGTTTGAAATTCATCATGGATCCCGGTTTGATGACCTGTTTTTCTAGTCGACTTTTGAGAATAACTACTCTCCGGTGGAGCAAGCAACAAAAGGTTAGAAGCAGGTTTTGGGGTCTTAAGGCTTCTAGCTAAACGAGATATTAGTAAGTAAAAAATGTATATAAAGCACAAAGAAATCAAAGCAGTAACTCCATAGTTTTTGAAGTTTGAACTCATGGACAGCCCAACCTTGATTATTTTAATAATGTTTAAAGTGTAAAAATATTTGTAGCTGACCAGGATTGAGCCTATAATTATCAGGACAAATATTGGAGAGAGAGAGGGCAGTTTGAAGACCGAAAGTAGTAGTTTCAAGAATTTGTAAATTAAGAAAACTCCCAACATGGCTATACCGCTTGCTGCATTCGTAAAACTAGCTAACGAGAAGTTTGCAAATGGTTTTAGGACTTTGATTAACGAACCAAACTTGTTAAAAATTTCAAACTGGCTGTTATTAAGATCAATGAATTCTGTTTTCCACCGAGTAATTTGTTCTTGTTGAGCCAACTAAGAATGTTAGAAAATCTTAATTTTTAAATATGTCTGATATTCATGTTCCTTACAGAATGTTTCATGAAAGTGCTGTGCAAAGTGTCCAAACCATTGTCCAAATGCGTAATTTTGTTCGTTAGAGTAGATAATTGGTTCAAAAATTGAGTAGCCTCATTTTCCAAAGACAACTGAAGTATGTTTTCAGTATCCTTCACAATTGAGGATAACATTACATGATAGTCAGTTTGAAACTCAGAAGCTTTGTCTTTTAATAGTTTTAGAGAGTTCTCATTTTGTAATACAGCTTCTTCTCGAAATTGATCGTGTAAAATCTCACGATCTCTGTAAGCTTGTGTCAAAAGGTCATGCACAACCATTTTCATAGAATCGAGCTTTTGGGTTAATTCAGTAGACTGTACTAACGAATTTTTATGATTTAAGTTAATTTCATCTTGCTCGCTTTTCCAGCTTATTAAGTTTCTCTTTTCATTTTCTAGCAAGAAACCCATTTGCTTTGTCCTTTCTTGAAAAAGAGAAATCATTTTCTGATTTTCAATTATCGTTTCATAATTAAAATCACTAGACATATCTTGGATATATTGAAGCTCAGACGTCAAAAGCTCTAATAAATCTTTCTGAATTAGAGTTATATTTCTATTAACTTCGATGGATATTCCTGAATTGTTAGCTTAAGAAAAGAGAAATGTTTTTACTACCTTTATCAAATTCCAATCGTGCTAGTTTACATAAGTGAGATATATCGTGGTAATGACTAGCGAAGGAAATCCACCAGGAGGATACAGATTCAAGCTTCTTTAAGCATGAAGAGTGCGATTCTCTTTTACATTCATATGGAACTGAAATTTGTGCATGTTCGAGATCGCAGATGGTTAATCGAATCGCATAATCAATACGTTCATCCATTGAAAGTTCCGTATTGAGGACTTCGCATGCCGACATTAGCGAAAACGCAGTAGACTGGTAACAAGTTGGCTTTCTAGATAAAGTATGGTATACGCTAGCTAAGGACTCAAATTCTGTGAGACTTTTCGAAAATGCAACATCGGGGAATCTTAAAATAGATTTTTTGTCATAATCAGCCAATGCCTTTTGAATTAAAGAGAAGAGACAGACAATAATCAATTGAACAATCGGAATCCGCATTGAAATAATATTACGGTATATTGGTGAAGGGCAGATATGACGACGCGACGCGTAGAGTAGGAGACTAAGACAAAGCTATGAAACAGATTTTTCTCCTTTCAAAAAAAAAAAAAAAAATAAATGAATGAATAGAACTTTTAATTATTAACTAACCATGAACGTAACTCTTCAGGGTTAATTACCGCGTAACGTACATCGTTCAGAATTTTGTCGTTATAAGTATCGGGTCTTTTTGGGTCGATTTTCTTAGATCTGCAAAGACTCTCGAAATTATGTATTCTTTCTTCCATAGAACGATTTCTTAAAATTTGAAATTCTCTAAAAAGCTTTTCTAGATCTCTATCCGAGAAACGCGGAATATTTAGCACAGGCGACTTCCTATATTTTCTTTTGAACTCAGGCCATAAAATGTTATTTGGCAAATTTTGTAAAAGATTCCAAAATCCTGATAAAGAGGATGCTTTTGACGGGCGATCTGGCTTCGATGCTATAGCAGATTTGCAATAGTCTTCAAAAACTTGACGACGGTCTTGACCAGAGTCCAAAATCCGAAATCGTTCATCATCTACTAATTTAGGATACGTAAATTCCCAAGTTTGGTAGACATCCACCCTTTTGTCTTCTAAAAGCTGTTTAAAAGTTTGGACGGCAGTTTCATGATCAATCACGGGCTCTTCTTTTTCTTGCAAATCACCGTCCTGGTTAATTCCTTCCATTTCCTGAAGCTGAAAAAGAAAATCTTCTTCACCAAATTCTATATTTTCATTCTCATCATTCTCGCTTAAATCTTGATCATCTTCCTCATCCTCAGACTCGACAACTTCTTCTTCAACACGTTCCTCTTCTTCTTCTTCTTCTTCTTCTTCATGTTCAGAAGGGCTTGTTTCTTCGCGAAGACTTTCAGAATGCTCATCTAATCTATCTCCTGAAACAATACCATTATCATTTCCGTCGCTCGTAGACACTCCTGAGGCACTCGATCGAAACTTACTTTTCAACTTTCGTTTAGGAAGCCTCAGAGTTGAAATAACAGCCATGAGTTCCTGCGGGGGCAGCCAACTTGATTCATGAGTCTTAGTGTTGTAAAAAAAATATCGACTTCTTTTCGTCGTAACGACTACCCAAACGTCCGATCCAGGTATAGATTTTCTTAATAACGTTAATGAAACCGTTCGTAATCATATAAATTTGCTGGTCCACTTACTTGTATTTTGGCCTATCAAAAGATTGTTTTCGAACTTCACGGTCAGACTTGCGTTTTTCTTCAGTACTTTGATCCCTTATTGATTTTTGGGCATCGACTTTTTCTTCTTGGTTTACATGAGCAATATTTAAGGCTTTTTCTCGTTCATCAGGCCAGGTAGGACGTTTGTAAGTACTTTTTTTTAGTTCAGCATTCCAGTAGTAAGGAATCCCACTAGGTGCTAATCTTTGTTAGAAGTAATAATATAAAATATTGAAATATACCTCTATGTTCGGTCCATCCATGGGGCAATGATCCCTCCATGATTTAGTTTAGGTGTTCATTCAGACGTAGGCAGAGGTGAGGTTGGATATACCATAATGTTAATTCACATAACCTGCTCAGTCAGTATTAAATTTATCAGGAAGTTAAATTAAAAGTATATTATTATTCTTAGTTGCCTTTCGCAACAAACTTAACGGCATGATTACATCTTGCATCTATTCTATTCAAAAACTCTTACTTGAGTAGTTCCTCTAATTTAGCTATTTAGCTATTAACAAAGTATCAGAAACGTAAAACCTATCTTAAGCTTTCCAAAAACTTCTACATGAAAATAGAATTGTTTGCAATTTTATTTACTAGTGCACTAGAACGCTTGTGCTTATACAAATAAACCATTACGTTACTATACGGTATAGTATGTACTGAGTTTGACAGTGGCCTCATACGCACCTAATGTGGATGAATTGAAGAATCCTTAGAAACTTCTCGTTAGCCAAAACCATCATGTCTAGAAGTTACGATTCTCGTACTACCATTTTTTCTCCTGAAGGACGTCTATATCAAGTAGAATACGCCTTAGAGGCAATTAATCACGCTGGTGTTGCTTTAGGAATTGTTGCTAAAGATGGTATTGTTTTAGCAGCCGAGAAGAAGGTTACCAGTAAATTGCTTGAGCAAGAGGAATCAGCTGAGAAGCTTTATCACATTGGAGACAACATGGTTTGTGCTGTAGCTGGTCTTACCGCAGATGCCAATATTTTGATTAATTATGCCAGAAGAGTTGGTCAGCAGTACTTACAAACGTTTAACGAAGAAATGCCATGTGAACAGTTAGTTCGACGTGTTTGTGACTTAAAACAAGGATACACTCAATACGGTGGTTTACGTCCTTTTGGTGTCTCCTTTTTGTATGCTGGATGGGATCATATCCATGGTTATCAATTATTCCAATCCAATCCCTCTGGAAATTACGGAAACTGGCAAGCAAATAGTATTGGAGGTAACAGTACAAGCATCCAAAGTTTAATGCGTCAGGAATATAAAGAAGATATTACTTTAGAAGAGGCCTCTGCAATGGCTGTTAAGTTCTTGGGTGAAACCCTTGACAACAATTCGCTTACAGATGAAAAAATTGAATTTGCAACTATTTCTAAAGATGAAGAAAAAAAGCGCATGGTCTGCAAGATCCTCAGACCGAAGGAAATCAACGAAGTCCTTACAAAGTATCAAAGTGATGCTCAACCTCAATCTCAACGTGCATAAGTTGTTTCTTGTTTTAAGCCCTATATTCTGTATTCGCTTATAATTTAGTTTAGAGACAAGTGCATGTCATGCCTGATGTCCTTTCTCGTTTACGCCTTTTAGCTAAATTCCCTTTTTCATGAAGGTTATTAATAACACTCTCCATACATCTTTTTCCTCCGTTCTTTTCAACATTTGGTGACTTGTGGATTTTTAGATTTCATTGGTTCTCATTCTCATAAAGTTACGCTAAATGGATTTCTTATATCTGAAACTGACTCTGTGCAATGGATATCCATTTTTACATGATCTACGTTACCATTCTCCCTATAACCATAGAAAATTGAAAATACCAAAAGAGTGAGGAATTTCGTTTGCTTGTATTAGAATGATTATCATGAACTTTGACCTCTTATCTATTCAATTCTTAAATTGACATTTAAATAAAAGTAGCTTGTCTCCTTTCGTAAGTATTTGTATCAACGTATATGTGTTGTTAAATTATAGGAAATACTCCATTTTGCGATCGTCGTTATTCACATTTTTTGCGGCATCTTCATATTCCTTTAACGTCCATTTAGCAATATCTAATTCACACTGTTTTCGAGCAAGATTTGCTTGTATAGATTGTTTGATTAGTTTGAGATCATGCGTCAGTTGATCGTATAAGACTGGCATCGTCTCTTTACTTATACTAATCTGTTTGTTTATTTGAGCTATCTTCGCAAGCGTCATATGATAGTTTTGCCGAAGATGCTCATAGTCCTTTAGATCCACTTTGCCAGGAACAATTTCCTTGGCCGCGAAAGAATCGATAACTTGTTGACATGCTTGTTCCTCGTATTCTCCGTTCCCATGGCGTTCAGCCCCCTTTGACGACGAGGAAAATAATCTATCGGAGGTATCCTTTTTAAATAATTGGTCGTAGTAGTATGTCATAAAACGTATCACTTCAACGGCACTACTACGATACAATGGAGGAGAAAGTACGCTCGCCATCTGCTCAATGAGCATTTCGCACTGGTCTCTTAAAGGTAATCTTAGTAGTAATTCTGAAATGATTTCAAAAATTACATCCAAAATTCGTGTAATTTGCTGTGGTAACTCTTGTAAACAAGAGTGTATCCTTTCTAAAGAAGTTTCTAAATTGTATGACAAATCTGCTATGTTAGACTGTAGAAAAGCGAACTGGTCTTACCTGTATGTCCATGATTGTTCAAGTGCTGCATGAACGTTGATGGCAATAGAGAGCCATATTTTTTAATGATGCAATGCTTTAAATATTTCCAAAATAATAAATATACTCGTTCTCCTGGGAGCCGTTGTATATGCTCGAAATCCGGTGTTTCTTTGGTGATACTTCCTATGAAACCATCAATTTGCTGGCTTTCTAAAGGAGATATTTCTTTTAAGAATGTGTTATAATCTTCTTTTGTGTTAGCAACGCTTCTTTAGATAGTTTGTAATATATATCGCAAAGGATCTTACCTTTAAATCCCAAGAAGATTGTCTTAAAACATTGTAAAGTTTCAATAACTGTTTCAAATGAAATATTGGACATCCTCATTTCTATATTCCCAGAGGATTTTCTTGAGTCGAAGTGTATGTCATTGTTGCTATGCTTTTGCAAGGGAGGTATAGCATAAGATTTAGAATATCCCTTTGCTCCATATGTTCCTTTCAGAGCAGATGCCCATTTGATGGGGCTGGTTGGGCGTCCGGTAAACGAAAGCCTTCCTTTCTTGGGACTGCCTTTAGAAAGCAATAAGTATTGAAGTATGTTGTCATAAAGACTGTACTGTGAAAAACAGCGATTAGAAAAAGGACTAGAAAGCATACGCTTTATTGTAATTAAGTACTCAAAAATAAATTCTTGTATATTCGGATCCGAAATGAATAGTCTCGAAGGTAAGTCAAAACCTAACCACGTTAAGGCTTCTATGAAAAATCCTTCGTTTTGTCTGTAAATATTCAAGACAACATTACCCTCACAAAGGAAGGATTCGGCATTGCAAGAGTTTTCTTCGTCATTACAAACACAAATAATCGAATTTCTATGTTTTTCTTTTTCATAGGATACAGGAGTGAAACAGCTATAAAAAATAGTAAAATCATTGAAACTCTGGCTCGTAACAAGCATCCCTTGAGTCTTTCGAAATGCTAAAGTTTGCTGAAAAGAACGCAGAAAAATTTCAAGAGGAAGCTTGCCGTTTGACGAAACAAACTTAATAAGAGGAAATTCACTAAAGAAGGGGAATGCAGATGCTGACTTCGAAATAAGCCATAATATACAATCCTCACCAATGCTTCTTGTCAACTCAACATTTTCATTAAAATTCCAAGCAATGTACTGTGCGCTCTTCTCTCTAGAAAATGACTTGGGTAATACGAAGGTCTCCTTCAAATCCATAACAACATCAGCTAAAGACGTTTTCGAATGTCTTTTAAGTAGGCAGATGCAATCTGTGAATAGTAAAATTGTATACGGAACGAGTGAAAATTGTCCATTCTTCCAAACTTCACGATTAACATCTACACAATCTATTAAGTCTCTCGAATTAGATATTAAGTTTGGAGCAAGATTAGGTACTATATATTGAAGACCAGCAAAAATTTTCGAGCGCTCTTCTGCATCAACAACTGGCATCTCGGCAATGTTATGAACAGTCTCCATTGCTTGCATATAAGTTTCTTGAGGGGGTCCATCAAGAGTAAGGGTAATTATTTGCTCCAAAAAGAGAAAATATCGAGGGATTCTTTGTACGGGTTCCATAATCAGCTGGCTAAGACTTACATTGCGGTTTGCGTTTACTTTGATTTTATCGATAAAATCCAAAAACTTTGGGTTTTTTGAAGCAGCGTTTAATACCTCACCGAAATCATTACTTTGCTCAAGATAACGGGGATAATGCTGAGCAAACACTTGAAAATGATTGCAGAGACAAGTCGCCATCCGTAGATCAAATTCATCAGTTATATCATCAGTAGAATCGCTGTCTTCATTTAATTCCTCCATGATTGCCTCAATTTCATCCAAGAATGCTGAGTTTATTTGAATTAGCTTTGCTAAGTTTGGAGGAAACAGGGTGTTAATTTCATAAAGTCCTATTAGCTTCTTTGATGACTTTGCTAAAGTTCGCAGCGGTAATGCATAATCGTTCAATAAGTGTCTAAGACGTGTAACATATGTACTTTCTGTTCTCATGAGTTCAAATAGAAGGTTTTTTTTCTTCCAAACAGATGACATATTACCGGCTGCTGAACCAGAGGCAACACTTGGAGTAGGACTGTTGGCCTTTCTACGATCCTTCTCACATATATAATGATTCCCTAAAAACGAGCGCCATGGCTTTGTAAAAGGATTCGCCCACCAACTATCATCTGTGATACCCTCTAACAAAACATCGACCGTGAATTCGTGAAATCCAGTAGTGGGTCCAATTGATAATAATTCATGAAGCAATGCTTCAGATTGAAAAACATCAATTGTGGAAAATACATATTCTGCGTATCCTGGATCAATCGCGGCCTCTAACCAGTTTTCTTCCGTATATACAGAAACTGAATCGGTACATAGGAATTCATATGCACAAAGCATAGCTTCTCTACGACCTTCCTGGAAATCCAACTGAAGACCCAGTATGTCAGAAAATTCTTCTAACTTTGAGAAGAACGAATATGGTAACGTGAATGCATCCGGACCTAACTTGGATAATGCAAAAACAGCTAGCATGTTGTCATCAATAGTCACAAATGCCAGAAGTGTAATACCAATCTGTGGATGTACAAAAGTACAAAACAAAAGCCGTTCACCAAATAATTGGTTTTGCGATGTTAGATTTTCGAAAATCCAAAGTCCAGCATTTTGGATGGAACTGATTGTATCACGGGGGGAGACCATAGGAGACATCGTCCATATATAGATTTATAGAAGAAATTATTCGTAATCTTAATATTATACAGTAAAGCAAAAGACCCGATCCGACAAACAATGTGATTAAAGAACAGGAGTTTGAGTAAAATAGAAATAGAGTGACCAAAAAGAATGCGTCAAAACTGAAAGACAACGTACAGATTAACTCACGTTCATGTAGCTGCACCAAAAGAAACAATTACAAAGGATGAATAGAATATAGTGAAAGACAATCGCGTCCTTTAACTTCTCTATTCTGAAACAAACTTGTAAAAATTATGGTAAACAGGGGAATTAGTACCAAGAAGGAATTAGAAATATTATGAAATTGACAAAACACTTCAATCTACGATTGCACTGCAATCATTCATTAAAGAAATCTAAGATATTTTGAAAATAAATAAAAAGAATAAAACTAAACAGGATTATTTGAGAAATCGGTATCAACCTTGTCTCGCCTTTTATTTTTGAGGTTGCAAAGACAAAGACATACAACAGACACACGAGACCATAAATTGCTAGGCGAATTTAGGTATTGAAATATATGTTTTACAATCTGGTACTTATTCAATTGAAGCGATATTATAAATTGGTATAAGAAACTTAGGAACAATTTCTATTTAGAGATTAATTCCTTCATGTACTTAAGCTTCGTCGATTGAAATTTTACGAAAGTCGTTATTAATTGAGGTTTAATTTATTTTTATACCTGGAATGCAAGAAGATTCAAAAATACAGAGGATATCGTTAAAGTTTTCAGATCATGAAGACGAGCCAGAGTTCTTACTTGTTGAACTAGACAAGGAGCTACAAAATTTAATAGAACATAATCCTGATGAACAGTACGGAAAATAGAAGAAATTCCCCTTCTTTGGTAACATAACGGGGGTTGTAATTATGCTTGCCTGCTGACAGTTATTGTAGGATAGTCTTTAAAGCAGGATTAGATTCAAAGTCTTCGGTCATGTGCACGCGTAATACTACTTATTCTGTTCGCCAGCTAATTCAGTCTAATTCTTTATTGCTCTTTCAGTCTTTTCATCCCTCGGAATTGACTTTGCGAGATTCAAAGCATAGCTACTTGGAACTCGAACAGATTTTTGGGTCCATCATAATTGAAGACAAGATTTCCTATTGGAATGAAGATGATTCTGAGAAGGTAAAAAAGAGTGAACAGATATAAACTAATTATCGGTTAGCAGGTTCCTTCATCTATATCCCTTCAAGACTTTATAAGCCAAGTACCAGCCAGTGAAAATGAGATTAGAACTTTTCTAGGATTAAATTTTACTATTCTGAAGAATAATACTCTTTACAGAATGTCACCTTCTTATATCATGACACTAATGGATTGGATGTTCGCTGTAATTCAACAACTTCGAGCAGACTTTTCCGCTATTGATGTTAAAAAAATAAAAGAAATAGCTAAGGAAGATGAAGTTGATATCGATGCTCTCTATTCAATTGTGTGGAGTATTTCAAAAAGTCCTTTTTTGAGCGAATTGGACATTGTCGCCATTGACAAAAGCCTGGTTTGCTTTTGGATAGGTCGCTTTCTATTAGAAGATGCTATCATCATGGAGATTTCTCAGTTTTTACTAAAGTGGGAGGAAAAACTTCCTGAGAATTGCAGAGAATTCGTGTCACTAGATATGCTAAAGGTATTAGAGCTTTTTTTTTCCTATAGCTAACGATTTAGGGATTCTATTTTTATTCTGGTACCAACACAATACAATATTTTTCTTCCTCTCAACTACCCCGAGACCCTACTCGCTGTTTCCAGGTTTTATTCGACATTAAATCCAAATGGCGATATGATGAAATATGGCCGTTTGTTGAAACTTTAGCGGTAGATAAAAGCAAAGTGGAAGCTTTGCTTTTGAAATATGGAAGAAAACAAGCTACGAAGAACGGTGTTTATATAAATAGTAGAAGTACTTGGTAATTTAATTAGCAAAACATGTCTCAGCAATGCTAAATAGAATTTAAAAACAAATCAATTCAAAACATTAGAACATAAAAAAATGATTTACACACAATTCGTCATAATGGAATACTAGCTTGTAATGTCCAACTCTTGAGTTCCTTCGACAACTTCATCAACAGAATCAGAATCAGATTTAGTATTGTATTGAAAGAGGACATCCTCTCCCGAACGCCAAATCCTTGTCTTAACAGTTGCCAGTGTCATTTTAGGAGTAAGGACAATGTCCTTACAACGAATTTCTAACTGACCATTCATGTTCGGAACAAGCTGACTGATCTTGCCCTGCGTATAATCCAAAATCTTTTGAACACGAAGCATGGCATTAGCACTTAAACGAGTTGTTCCACTTATGATTGATGGTAATTTTGAGTTTGGATTTGGCTGGATAGAAAAGCCAACGGTCGGGCTATTTTTTGAAGGAAAATCGTTCATTAAAAGGAGTTTTCCTAGCCAATAAGGCATCACTTTCTCCAAAACATCAATGTCATTTTCCATATTGCCTATGGTAGATCGAAAAATATCTTTTGAACTTCCTGCATCACGGGATTCTTCGCTGATAATAACTGTTATCTGTTTTGAAAAATCCAATTGGGGTGTGAAATCAGAAAAAGGTTGCTTTAAGGATGTAAGAATGTTCTCCTCGGGCTTCATGTTAACATACTTCTCATGTAAGCTCTCAATTAAATCGCCAACTGTCCTCATAGGTTTTTGTTCATGAACGAGGGTAGTTGAAGGATTTGCGTTTGACGTAGAGGAGCCTGAGTTGAGTGCATTACTGACATTTTTCATTTCTGAATTAACTTGAGATGAAGCGGAATTAAGAGATGGGTTTAGGTTTATGGATTTGTTGAAGGGCAATCGTTCAGTTGGTGATTTGGGAGTACCTAAAGGAAGGTTCCTTGAAGACTTCGACTTGCCAAACTTTTTCAAACGTCCCATGAAAGACCCTTCACGCTTGGGAGAGCCAATTTCTTTCGTTTTTACAATGACAGATTCAGCCTGTGGTTTGTTTGTAGGTATTGAGAAGTAATCGGGAGCATTCATCAAACTTTCAGTCTCAGCAGACGTATATATCGGATTATGTGAAGAGGGATGGAAAGGAGATTGAGGCTGATTATCACTATACTGATCCACAGGAAAGGCCGTAGGGGAGAACTGAGGACTAGCAGGAGTTAATGGTTCGTTTGGAAAGAACATTGAAGAAGGACGAGGTCGTAATTTCAAAGGTGAAAGTGCAACGGGCATAGTAAGAGAATTTCTGTTTTTCTCTCTTTGCGCAGATTCCGAATGCCTTTGCACATTTGCTCTTATAGTTTCAACATTTTTTCTGAATCCAGCATCCCGTCTAAGTTCAGCATCAATAAAAGGATAAAAAAGGTTTTTTAAAAGCCAGACGCCCAAATTAACACGTTTATCAATAATCTCATTTGAATTCATCTGCAAGCATTCATCTGCGTAAACTTCCGTATCCATGTAATGATTCTCGTCAAGTGTTACGGCAAGAATTCCCAAAAGGCAATTTACAGAAGCCCATCTGGGTAACGTCTCTAAGGTATCCAGAGACTGAGCAACTTCGTCGAAATTATCATTAGTATCCAAATCCTCAATCTTTTTACAGGTAATTATATCCCAAAGACAGATTTTCCCAGCTGAATCCTCAGTAAGAACTCGCCGTCGGTCACTTAACAACCGACATTTCTCTATACCAAGCCCACCTGTGATTGTATATTCAGGATTTTTATTAACATTTAAAGAAGTATGCGTTTCAGCAAATTGCAAATCGTGATATATATCCTCTGCGTCGTCGTGATACAGAGTTGGACATTCACCAGATCGCGTTTCAACGGAATTTCTTGAATTAGTATGTACCAAAGGAGAGAGGAGAGAAGTAGAACTTTTTGCAGTAGGAGTCGAGCTATCATATAAAGAACACTTATCTTTCCATTGATGAATGCAACTATTGGAAGCTGTACTCCATATGAAAGATTGACGAGCAATTAAATCAGAGACAGGAGAATCCTGTTTACAAATCGAAACACAGCTCTGATTATTGCGAGTGTCTCTAATATCAGTACGAGTGATCAGCCCTGAACGGTCGCCGGCATAAAACACCTTGAGGTCAGGATGTTCGGAATACAAAGACCAAACACTCTCAGAATGCGCCAAAAATGAAAATAAACACTTCTGTGCCCTTAAAGACCAAAGTTTGATTGTAGCATCAGAGGAGGCTGTAAGGATGGTTCTTCCATCTTCACTTATTAAAATGTCTCTAACCGTATCCGTATGACCAATCAAATCAGTTATCCTTTTTTTAGAGATACAGTCCCAAAGTTGTATATCCTTCTGGATGCCACCATTAGCAATAATGTTATTATTCGCAGCTAACGAATATACACCACTTCGAGGACCGACGCTGATAGAACAATTGGGAGGTTGCTCGAAACGCATTGCTTCTTGTCCGACATTGTAATCCCAAACAATCACGCGGCTATCAAGACCACCTGAAACCACCCATGGGCTAGTACAGTCCTTGGGTAGACTAAGACGCTTCACATAATCGCTGTGTTCACCAATTGTAGTCAAAGACGAAGGGCCAGACTCATGAGGCTTCCAAAGCTTTACTGTTAAATCGGAAGAGCATGATATAACTAAACAATATTAACATTTGTTCTAACTTCTTCGTTTATACTTACCACCTTGAGAATTCGATGTGACAGCGATGTCATTGATCCACGAAGAGTGGGCTTGAATTGAAGACAAAGGTGTCGGCTTCTTAGCATAGTCAAGACCAACCTCCCAACGAAACAATTGCCCGTCCCGGCCACCACTATAAAGTGCGCTGCTGACGGGCGCAGAGCCTTTATTTGAAAAGCAGCGCCCGAGTGCAAGGCAATTCACATTTAAGCGATGTCCTAACTTGTCTTCATCTGAATCCAATACATAAGTTACTTTAAAACGCTTTCGAGAAGTCATGTGTTAAGTTATGGACATAAATGTCTAGAGTTGACAACTAATCAGTCTGTACTTAGAAAAGACGAAGCGTCAGAAGAAAATACAAACAATTACTCCCACAATTTCAAAGACTCGTTCGCAATCCCTAAAGAACGAATATTAAAATAGCCAAAAGATGTAAGAATTAGTATGTCACAGAGACCAGTGAATTAACTTTAAAATAAAATTACTGAAACAAATTTGTTGAAATCTCAGTATAGGTAGTCTTTCTTTTTCAATATACAACGTTTTGCGTTCACTTCAAATTCGATTTCGTTCGAACAATTCGAATGCAACCGTAAATCTTTTTCTCAAAATATACTTTTAGTCATACAATCCCTTTAGAGAAGCGTTCATCAGGCTTTACAATAACGCTGATATTAGCATTCGACAAGTAAATAATTCATGTAGCTGCTTCCTAAGTATTGCGTGCGTTTAGAGTATTAGCTGGATACCGAGCTACTTGGTAACTTTGTAAACAGTTTAGCATGAACGTTTCATAACCTTCTAATAACTGCATTTGGCTTCACTATATATATAACGATGTTTAGCACAAAATCTCTTTAATTCTTGTATGAATATATCCACGCATATTTCGTTTTGTTTTTATTCTTGGTTTTGGAGGCTAATTCGACATGAATGACTCAAACGAACGGCGATTAGAGACACTTTCTGGTCAAATCTCATCTCTAAAAAATGTTACTTACGATATTTATGCACGTGCTAGCGATCATAGCCATATAGACCGTGCGGTATGCAAGGCGCTATTCTATGTTCTATAAAAAAACTGACTCAAAATGATTTAGAATGAAGGTTTTTCTAGCCTCACAGATTCCGTAAAGAGAACTACCAATGGATTTTATCGAGTCGTTAGAAATGCTGGTAGAAGAAGCATTCTTACGTCTGTTTTGGCAATTGTTGGGAGTGTGTTGATCTTTTACTATTTTTGTAAATATCTTCTGTAAAAAGGTAATTGATTTTTTAAGGAGATTGTCTTTATGTTTACTCTAGTTTCTACATGCTTGTTTGCTAAGTGAAACAACCCATAGTCTTCCTGAAATGGAATTCTAAAAGAAAACTTAAAAGCGTGATACTGATTTAGTTACTACTTTGATTTGCTTTTCATTTTTCATGATATTCTTATGATGTTAACGTTCATCAATTTCATATTCCCTTGTTCTTTACTTCTACTATTTACAACACGATAAGGATGGTATGATGTTTTTTTCTTTCTTCCATGGTAATAATATCTTTCAGCACAAATATATTATATTGAGTGATTTGCATCATCAGAAGGACCGATGTAATAATTTAAATCAAAACTTTTAAAGCACACTAAATTGGACTTAATCGTCTCCAACAATTCGTTTACCAGAAACAAACTAAAAGAGTAACTTAAGTTCAAAATCTGTTCGAGTTTTGCCTGCGCTTTTTCAAAGAAAGCAGTAATAGTATAACGATCACCATAACAACATCATAGTTAACATAACATCACAAATAAATAATCTTCAAAACGAGCGATGAAACCGTTGGGAACAAAAACATATAGAATTTTTTTCCTTTAAAAAAATAAAAAATGTTCACCAACAAACAGAGTTAAGTTTAGTAAACCCTCAGGAAAGTACATTTAACTTCTTCTCGTGAAACTTGATGGAAGCATGCGAGCACGTCGCAACGCTTCAAGAGCATTCCTATGAGTGCTGACGCGAGCATTAGGTGGTCGATGGGGGCCAGAATTTGAGTTATTGGCATTTGAAGACTGTCCCAAATGCGCAAGCGATCCGCTACTATGCGAGGTTGGTAATGACGCAGGATTTTGGTCTGATGGACGACGACCGTCTAAGGAACGACGTTGGGTACCGGCATCTGGTGAAGTAAAGAACATGGATGACTGACGCTGGGGAGGAGTTAAGGTACCAGGAGAGGTAGGACGGGAAAGATGTTCCGTTCGAGTAACATCCTCATACCCGGGTAAAGATGGTTGTAGCGGAGACTCCAATGCATTAATCGATGAGCGTGTAGCCTCAGTGTAGGAAGGAACACGGCTTAATTCCGCTAAACTCGTTTCGGAGGGGTTCCTAGTAATAGCCCCAGAAGTGGCACCACTTGAAGGATTTGATCCAAAACTAAAAGAAGGATAATCATCATCAAACCGAGAAGGTGAATGTTCACTTGCACGTCGATCACCAGGCTGTTGTTGTTGAGCCAAAGCTGTCAGACCAGCAAACAGTTGTCTACGATGGCTTTCAGCAGATTGGCTAGGCTCGGTAGAGTCACGTCTTCTGGGAGTAGTAGCACCACTTGGAAGGGGCGTTTCGACATTCGAATAATTCAGCCCATCGTAGAGTTGATCGTACATGCTATCTTTGTAACTGGGCAACGGTTGATTTAACGAGTCAAAATTTTCTCGAAGAGATTCCAAATCCGCAGCATCTCCAAAAAGCTGAGGGGGAATCATCAATACGACAGGCAAGGCGGCCCTTAATTCTGAAACATGACCGTCCGGGTTTCGTAAGGAAACTGAAAATTTTAGTTTATGACGAATTTTTATACCCTCGAGATCGCAATCCTGTAAGCAGTCGACTAAAGAAGTAGGAAGTTCCAAGTGTTTGGATAGTTCATAATGGTCTGCGTATTCCTCAATTTCATCAGTTTGCAAAGATCGTACCGTACGAACCTCATCTTTTGAAGCCGGAAGACCATTATGGCCATGGGCAACATGTAACGTAATATATTCCTTCAAAGTAATAGTGACTTTTCCGATTGAGAGGCGCTTTAACAACGGTACAAGTACAAAATGGGTAGGGATATATGAGCCAATTGCATACGCTTTAGTGGGAATACTAATTGTATATTCGATTTTGTTAGGCCACGTATTATCGACACTCACAGTTTGAGTATATTCAACCGCATCAGGAGGCAACGTGCGAATGAGACGAATATGCTTCTTTTTTATCATTCTGCTATTAAGACCCGTCCTGTCAATAGTGGCTTTTAGACGGTATATTACATAGCAGCTCTGTAACCCTTCTACAGATTCAGGAATATTACCCGGAAGCATAATGCGAAAGGGGTATTCGTAGTTGCCCGCACGAAGAGTTTTAGATCCACCAGAATATGGAAGGAAGTTCCAAATTTTTTCGTAGACTACTGAGTCCTGCTTGTTATGCCGCAATCCGGTGCGGCTATTATACGAAGGTTCCGACCATGAGACACGACACCTGCCAGTCAGTTTTAAAGAGATCGCTCGAACAGAAATACTTTCCGTTAAGCAAAGAATAACCACACCAGATAATGGAGTTAATTCGGCAGACTCTGGAGATCCTTGGACCACAATAATATCACGATCCGCTGCTACACGAATGTCAAAATAAGAAGCAACATTGTGTTTAGGCAAAATATTCATCTCTATCAATTTCAAAAGGATTTCCAACCTTTTCAAAAAACTAGTACCTTAAAACAAGCTGAAATTTTATGGAATTTTGTGAATCGCTTCTTAATTTGCGCTGTGCGGCAATTCACCGTTCTCGGAGCCAAAAAAAATAATATAAATAATTTGAGAGCAATGTAAATTTTTAAAAAAACAATAAAGCAATCCGAGTCTAAGTAATTTTTGAAGCAACCCGTTTCGAACAGATTAATCGTTGTCTACATGGAATAGAATTACCGCAGTTTGTTTTGATCACACAGGTGACGTGAAGGCTGGTGGTGACTTTGAACTGCATAATGCAGTATACTAATATACTGATATGTAGCACGCCAAAGAAGTACCACATTAGTAAACAAAATTTTTGGCGCGCAAAAAATCTTTGTAAAGATACGAAAAAGAAGTTTTTAAAACCTTAACTTTTGCCATTGAAATAACTGAGAATCTCACTACTTTAGTTAGACGTTTGAAACCAGTGTAGTTTTGAGTCTTAATCAAAAATTACCTACTAGACGGCTCAAAGTGCATAATAAGTCTTAATCAATTAAAATTGAAATATAATCTTCTAGTCCGAAATGTTATATATATAGCTTTGCAAATCGCTCGTTCGTGTATCCATGCATTTTATAGACTGTCAGTATGCTATTAGCTGTTTGAATTGCAGACGACTTTCATGCTGATTTACGAATTCATAAGTTCATATACTTTACTGAATTGATAAGTTTCCAGTTTTGAAGAACACTTCGCTACTGTTGCAAGACAAAACGAGATTTTAAAAAGGTACAACAATCGCCAATTCATCGTTTAATTCCATTTTATAATTTCTCTTAGTTCTCTACAAAGATTTCCTTGGCTAAGCAAGTTTAGAATGGATCCATCCTTGTACGACTTTCTGGCTGACCTTGTGAGTTGGTAGTACAGAACACCTTCAGGTTTCACACCATACTTGAGGTCTCTCTAGAAATCTATAAATTGACATCTTATTTGGTCTTTTCACTTTATTTTTTTTAAAATAGAGATTATTTGATTTTCATTTGCAAAGAACTTCTACAAGAAAGTTATTTTTTAGGTCGAAGTCGGGTTTTCAGCTTCAATTTGCCTCAACTGAATCCAATTTATTAAATTATATGCTTTAGGTTAAATAGAACCTCAAATTACATACTGTTCACGTGTGATTTTCTTCTTGAAGGCTTTGTTCGCTTGCTTTTAGTCTTTCGAAAATCGACAACTTTTTGGCTCACTCATAAGGCTAACTTTACCAATTGCTCTTTCCAACCCGTTTTGCATAGTTTTCAAGTTGTTACCAATCTTTTTTTTTTCCTTGATTTTCTTTCTCTACAAATTCAGCTCGGTATTTACCAATTTTTTTCCCCAGGGTTTTTAAATTCAACTCCCTCTTAATGCGTTCGGTTATTGTTTTTCATAACGTGAACGAAGTCTCAATTTTGGATCTCAAAAGAAGGGGAAGACCGTCTATCCTCTTACATTTGTTATATCATTCTCAATGATTGTGGTCAATAATGCCAAAATGGCTTGCATGAAGTGTATCCGTGGCCATCGTTCATCCAGTTGTAAGCATGATGATCGAGAACTTTTCCCCATTCGACCAAGAGGTCGACCTATCAGTCAATGTGAAAAGTGTCGCCAAGCTAGAATTAAGCGTCATATTCATGTAAAGTGTACTTGCAGTTCAAATACCGAAAAACGCCAACCTCAGATAAAGAAGATGCGTAATAAGCTTCCCGAGGTTGATGTTACATCCTCAGTTCCTACAAATTCTGATCCTTCCCCCTCCTCTTGCTGTGCGCGGCGTCATTCACATGCTCCTTTACCATTTTTAGTTCCATCTAATTCAAAGATGTCCGACTCGGATGATATCATACATGCTTCTGAAAAATCGGAAAGTCCAAGATCTTTGTATGCTTCTACTCAGCACCCTTACCATGCATATTCAGGTGCTGGCTTCTATAGGCGTCCAGAAGTTCCTGAATGTTATTACAAAGATTTTTACCATAATAATCATTATGTCCCTTCTCCTCAGTGGTTCCCCAATCGCGATAATTACCAATTGCATTCAAATGAAGGGCCCTTACAGACTTTTAATTTTGAAAACGATACTTCCGGATTACAGCATGAAGTGAATAATCTTCAAGGGTTCTCTGTAGATCATCAAAAAGAGACGATAACTGATTTTCCAGAGTCTTCCGCCTACAAAGTTTTGTTTAATTCCGAGGACTCCATTGCAGCCGCGGCAGCTAGTCATCATCTGTACCCTCAACCAAACTCTCCTTACCCGTTTGCAATGTTGGATGATGGCTCTTATATACCATTAAGCCACAACCCGTCATCTCACTCACCCGTATATTCATCTCCTAATCTTTTAAATGGCATAAAACCTGAAAGTGATTCCAATGTTCATTCTCATAATTTTCCTATCCAATTATCCGACTATTTTACCCTTCCCAGTGACTGTGCTCAGGGTTCATCTCATTGTAAATGTGATGATAACTGTCAATGCCTTGGATGTTTGACTCATCCAAACAACCCAACGACACTCGCAGCTCTAAATCACATTTCTGCATTACAAGAAGAACAGAAGGACCCTATTATACCTCCTTCGTTTTTAGAAGAGAAACTTCTGTTTGACAATTTTGACGACGGAATACCTGGCGCTTCTGTAACTCAGCATGGTTCTAATAATCAAGAAAACATTCAATATCCTTTAAGTAAGTTTCGCCTTACTCCCGAAATAATTTGATTATTTAATTTCTTAGTTCTTCCGTGTATATACCTGTTTCCTTCAAATTGTTTTTATATATGTCTTTACGTTATAACAAAAAAAAAGAACTTTGTACTCTACTCTTAATCTAATAAAAATTCATTTTTGAATTTACAAATGACAAACGATGATTGAGATTACTAGATGTTTTTATTCCGTATACAACTAATTATTCCAAGCATTAACTAACATATCAGATAACTGTTCATCACTCATCTCGATACAAGCCTTTTGATGTAGCTCTTGCAAAGCACACAAACGCAGGATATACTCTAATAGAGAAAGTGATTCTGGGTTAGACAAATAAAGTGACGTAGCTGGATTTATGTTCAACGAATGCATTGCATTTACAATTTCTTCTTCATCTGTAGCAACATTTTTTGTATCCATTGTTCGATTGTCCTGCACCTTGCTTATTGCTGTGGTATGCTCTTCTGAATCGTTAATTGTACTAGATTCTGAATTCAGGTCACTTTCTGAATCTGAAGATGCTTCGAAAGAAGTATCTTCATACCTTTCTAAAGCAATCCAGTCTGTTCTTGTAGTATTGAAAGTGTCTTTGCTTAACTTTTCTTCTGTTGCATCATTTATAGGAGCAGGTGTCCCTTCTGGAATTGAAGTACCTAAAGTATCTTCTTCAGGGGAGGGCTGCATTAGCTGAACAGCAAGAACAGGAGATCTTGATTGAGGTATGTCTAATAGCTTTCCAGAAACAGTGTAGCACAATATAGACATACAATTAATAGGATATTCTATAGTTTTTCCCTTTACGGGGCCCGACAAGGCTTTGTCAGCTAGTTCTTCATGATATCGTCCGTCATTCAAGTCTTCTTCAATTATCAATGCATATCGAAATTTCTCCTCAGAAGGAATTCTTCTCACGTATACCAAACTCTTAGGATATTCTTCCTTCCAAGAAACGTCAGACGGACCATCATTTTGCATAGAACGATGAAAGGTTTTATAAAACGTAAGTGAAAATTTAGGTCCTATCTGAACATTCGCGGGGCTTTCTTCAAAAATCTTATCTGATAACTCTAGAAAAGCTTGTGCTTGCAGCAAACGAGAAGGGGACAACGACTCTTTAAGTGCTGAACTCAAAGTCACGCCTGAAGTTGTAAGAGAAAGATTAATTAAAGGAATGGTCTAAAAGTAATGAATATTTGTTAGCAATCCATTTAGTAATAAGAATTGACGAGCATACCTGCTCAATTTCCTTTAGTAAACTTTCACAGCTAGTGTGAATGTCTTTGGATGCTTCTTCAAGATTTTCCTGATCTGGATTTAATAAATCCTTTTCATTTACGAATTCAGAAAATTCATTGATGTGATCTCGAAGTCTTTGAATTAGAGGTACGAGGTTTTGTAAACTAGAATTTCCGCGCGCAGCTCTAAAATATGTAAGTATACTGATGTGCAACTAACTTGCAAGAAAAAGTAACTTTTCCAAAGTTTAATAAAAGCATCCATTCCAGATACTTTAGGTCTTTTTATCTTACATGAGCTCAATCAAGTCAACAGCAGGTGTGATAGCCTAGTATGTCAGTCAAAGTCTATTATAAGGATAGTACTGGGTTAAGCCGAGTTCCAAATACTAGAGCAAGGGTTGTTATGTATGTATATGCTCAACAGTCAAAAATTCAGTCCTACACTTACCAGGATCTTCTGTTCTAGTCTTGATTTTACAAGCTCCAAATTAGATTGGGAAGATTCAGGAGCAGATTGCTATACCAATTGTTAGCTTCAGTAGGTAAAATTAACGCGAGCTACTGGTTAAAAAACGACGACTTCAATTACCTATATTTATCAGCGTACCTGAATGAAGCTTGTGAGACGTTTTGCTGCCAATGATCCTGCCCAATTCACTCCTGTTCGAATCGCATAGGCAGTCGCGTATGTCGCAGCACTCGCCGTAACTTTTGTGAGAATTTGATCCATACACTTATTAGTGAAATAATAGAAGTTTCTATATTGCGAAATCAAGCAACGTGTCCTAGTCTCTATATGGTCTGTCTTCGACAGCGTTTTGACGATATATGAGTTACGATTTGTTGTTACTTGAACGTAGTAATATTATTTAGGCCTTCTTTAGTAGTATTATTGTCACAAGTCTAAAAGATTGTTTTTATACTTTTATTGAAGTTGAATAATGCAGTACTCATGAAGAACAACTATACCCTTGGACCTGAAGGCTAAGATTTGCATATAGGAATATCAGAAGCTGCCTGTGAAAAAATGGAGACGCAAAATTCTGCATCTTCACCCAAAAAGTAGCAGCATTATATCACATAGTTGTCAATATGCTCATTAGGATTATTATGCGCTAGTTTGTCACAGGTGAAATCTCACAGGCTACGAGAATACTACACAAATTGTATGAGCAATTTACTTAGCTAGATCAGTCAAGTCTTCCAACCTTAAAAATTTATCTGGCTATTCGTGTCATACTTCTAATTAATAACAATCTTTATTCAGACTAATCTCTTTTTCTTCTTTCAATTCTTTGCCTAACAACTTCTTGGATTTGTATTCCAATAATGAATCCTTATCGTTATATGATAATTGTATCGGTTCTAATGTTATCCCTTGTTGGTACAATAAAGGGCCTAAGTATATTTTATATAGTAATAATAATGGGTGATTCAGCTTGATCCTGCTACAAGAACAGCAACCCATTCTACATTTACCCTTTTAGTCATCAATTGAAAACATTAACACGATGATACTAAAGCAAGAAATTCGAATTTTTCTGTACGTATATTTCTAAAAAAGCCAGCGTTAGTAATAAACTTCTTAAGCAAGAAAGTGTAAACATATCAATAGCGAGTTAGTTTCTACTACCTAAAAGTATATACTGATACATCTCAAATACGTACAATCCATGTTTAGTAATGTTCAAGACAAATTTCACTATGTAAAACCAAATCGTAATGGTTTTCGTTTATTGACTACATAGCTTAGACGTAAACAAACAAAACGCGCTAAGGTTTTTATAATTTTCAAATATATATATGGCATGGACGTAAATTCTCTATTTACACTGAAACCAGCACATTCTTTTCGTGATAACTCGATTGGATCCGTACTAAGCAGTCTTGATTTTGATGATAGGGGAGAATATTTAGCAGCGGCATGTTCTGCTGATGGAGCCGTTCAAATATACGATGCTTTCGATCCAAAATTGGTGAAAACAGTATTTTGTCCGGAAATGGGATTGGAAATTGCACGGTTTAGTCATCATTCCAAAAACTTGCTCTTATCTACCAAAAAAGCAAACAACAATATTTGTTATTATTCCACATTTGATGATAAACTCATCTCAACATTTCCTGGTCATACTGACCGTGTTACAAACTTGGAGGTTTCTCCAATTGAGGATTTGTTTGTGAGTACAAGTTACGATAAAACTTTGAAGCTTTGGGATATCCACCGTACACCTCGATGCCTTGGATCATTAGACTTACCTTCAGCTGGCTTGCCAGCATACGATCCTACAGGACTCGTTTTCGCAGTAGCCTGTCATTCCCTGTCTTGCATTTTTCTATATGATGCTCGAAAATATGATACTGAACCATTTTCTACGTTTTATATTAATGACTCTAGATATCTATCTCGATTTTCTTTCCCTCCCATGATGCCTGAATGGCGACATATGGAATTTTCCAACGATGGCAAGTTCATTCTTCTGTCTACTCGTGCAAATGTACATTATGTTTTGGATGCATTTTCTGGAGAAATTGTTTCACGACTTGATGGATTTCAAGACGTGCCTTCTTCTGACGCTTCTTTGGGTAGTTCCGTGACATTCGCACCTCAGGCGCCTTTCATAATTGGAGCTGCTAACGATAAAACAATTAATGTTTGGAATCTCAAGCACCCATCTCATCACAAAGGTAAATCTAATCCTCCACAGCGTCAGATCGTCGCTCAATCGCTCGTCAAACCTTTCATTGTCAAACATAATCCCCGTTTTCACCAATTCGTCACTGGCGGTTCGCAATTAGTTTTCTGGCTTCCAGAAGAATACGAATAAATAATTTAAGTTAATTAGTCATTTAACAAACATTCCTTTGTTCTCTTTTCTTTTTGGCCTCTGCTCAACCTTCGTTCACAGAGTGAAATACCGTTCGTTCCTATGGTTGGAAATTCATTTTGCGTGATTCATGACCATTTGTATTCATGTTCTCTGTTCTCCCCAAAGACTTTTTTTTTTTTTTTTTTTTTTTTATTAATTATTCTGAGAATGAGCAGCCCGCCAAACTTACTGCAGCAAACGAATACTTTAGCTTATAATAATTCTGTGTGTTCTCTTCCTTCTATTAAATTAGTTCTGTTTCTTGGTAGTCTGTGCCTTAACAAAAATCCACGTAGAATTGTTTATTCGTACCCAATCCTTCAACTTTTTGTAGTTTAAAACTAATTCTGTTGTAAAATAATATACTGCTTGCTATTAGAAGAATTACTTTTTGTTATTACGATGTCCTCTTCATCTGCGAACGCGACTTTACCCCATTACTACATGTCCACTTGCGATTCCTACTTCTAAAAATCATAGACTTATGAATTCCTCAACAAGAAATGGAAAGCCTCTTGAAATATCCTGCGTATGGTATGAAAGAAAATTCTAAAGATTAAATGCTAATGATAGAATGGGAACTTCTACAGAATACACATTACCAAAGGGTACCTAAAAGCGCTAATGGTTTCAAACTAACGACGGAAAGATAAACCTTGGGAATACAGTGTGGGATTCTATTGATCCAGTCGCCTTTTTAACGGCAGCTGCCCCGTGTGGAGGAGCAATAGGTATGTATAACCGTTGATATAAGATAAATCATCTCTGTCTAATTCTGACAAGATTGCTAACGACCAGCTTTAACACGTTCGGAATCAAATATTCATAAGAATTTTAAATATGAGGAAATACCGTTGTATTCCATATGCATATACACTTTGACAGGGAGACATTTGCAAACACTAACGGTAAGGCAATAGTGAAATACATAATATAAAGTTGTACTAATTTAACGATAGTGGGATAAAGTATCTATTGCTGGAATGGGCTGGAATGATAATGAAGAACTAATTGTTTTGTCGAAACAAGGTCAAGTCCGCACGTACAATCTTCTAGGCGAATTCCATCAGTATTCTATTGGAAAAGGAATTGAAAAGATTGGAGTCAAAGAATGCAGGTTTTCTTCAGGTGCCATATTTGTTCGTTTGCAAGATGATTCTTTTATTTCTCTGTCAGGTCTTGACGAACCGAGAAGAAAAAACTTTGCAAATATTCCTATTGAGTTGGTGAACAATGCAAAAATTATTTCCTGGAATTTAATTCCTAACCAGTTCTCCCTTGATTTGGGCTATGATGTGTTGGTCAACATTGGTAATCGAATCCTTCAAATTGATGAGCAAGATGTTCAGGTTCATGATATTCCATCTTCAGGAGTGATTATCCAATTTTCTGTATCTCCGAATTCCAGATACATAGCTCTTTACGAAGAAAAAGGGAAACTTCGCGTCATTTCATCCGATTTTACAAAAATTCTCTTGGATTACCAACTGCCAGATACAATTTCTGAAGCTGTTCTAAAACAAATGACTTGGTGTAGTAATGATGCTGTTGTTCTCGTTCATGATAACCTTTTGACCCTCGTTGGCCCTTTCGGAGGCTCCGTTCCGTATCTTTATGATCATACTCCCATTGTGTTTTCCGAAATTGATGGTGTAAGAGTCTTGAATAAAGAGAAATGTGAGTTTTTGCAAAGAGTTCCTTCGTCATTGGAAAAGGTTTTTGAGATGCAATCAAGAAGCCCAGCTACCAGACTAGTAGAAGCTTCTCAAAAAATGAAAGCAAAATCAGTCTTTGCAGAAAAGCTACTTTTGGAAATGGAAAATGACATGCATGTGGCTGTTGATACTTGTACGCAAGCTGCTTTACACGAATTTTCCATAGAATGGCAAAAAGAGTTACTAGAAGCTGCCTGTTTAGGAAAAAACACACTGACAGCCTTTAACCATCAAGAGTTTGCTGACACATGCAGAGAAGTACGCGTTTTAAATTCGGTTCGTTCTACAAACATAGGTATTTACATTACGCACGATCAACTTGAATACCTAGGTTTTGAACAGCTTATTCGAAGAATTTCCAAGAGAAAGCAATATGGGGTTGCAATACAGACTGCCCAATATTTGAGCCTACCATGCGACTGGGTTTATATTGAATGGGCCCAGACGTATCTCAAACAGTCAAACGAACCGGAAGATGTCGTATTGAATAATATAGTTGAAAGACTCTCCAAAAGAAAATTTATCTCTTACGAAAAAATTGCTCGCACTGCATATGAAGAAGGAAGGATCATGTTGTCTACTAAGCTCCTCGACTTTGAACCGCTTGCCAGTCATCAAGTTATGTTGCTGCTGAATATGGAGAGTTATGAACAAGCTATGAGTAGGGTCATTGAAACATCTGATTATGAACTGATTCTGTACGTTATACTTCAAATAAAGCAACAGATGTCCATCGCCTCCTTTTTTCAATTATTAAATTCCCATCCCGATGCTGCTAACGTCTACGTGAAATTCGCAAAGCGGAATGATAGAAAAACACTTCATGACTTTTTTTACCAAGATGATGACCGTAAAGGCTTAGCCATTCTTGCTATCGAAGATACTTTGAGTGCTAATACTATAAATAAACGTATCACCTCTTTACAAACAGCTTCGAAGGTATGCCATGATTCGAAAGAATTCTCATTGGAAAGCAAGTTATTAGACGAACAAGTCAGACTCTTGCAATTAGAAGAATCTTATGAAAACCAGCTTGCAAGTAACTTCGTAGGACTTACGATCAACGAATTAATTGTTAAGCTTATAGAACTGAATCAAAACCAAAAAGCTTCAAAGATACGATCAGAGTTTGCTGTTCCCGAAAAAAGATTTTCTTGGCTTAAATTGCGCGCTCTTGTAGCAATAAGAGACTGGCTTCAAATTGAGCAATGGGCTGCGTCTTTACGTAGATCGCCGATCGGGTTTGAACCTTTTGTGAATGAAATTCTGAGTGCTGGAAACAAAAGGGAAGCGGCGAAATATATACCTCGTTGCACACAATTATCAACTCAGGAGAAGGTTGATCTTTGGATACAAGTGGGTGATGTAAAAGGCGCTAGCGAGGAAGCCGCAAAAGCAAAAAGTGGTAATCTACTTGGAGAACTTCTAGAACGAGTTCAAAACATGCCGGAAAGTCGACTTGTCCAAAATGCGCTTGGTCAATTACGACGCTAATGAAACAACCAAAGCACGAACATTATGCATCAGAAAATATGACTTAATTATTCTGATAAAAAGTACTGAATCTTCTTTATTTATTTAGTTGATTAAATGAATAAAATCATGACCATCCATAAAACTTCTGCTTTGGTTACACGTAAACACCTAAAAGCAACATCAGTATCCTTCTTTTATAAATAAGTCATTTTTAAGTATAACTTTATTCTTATTAAATCTCAGTTGTCAAAAACTAATCGAATTGCTACGGGAGAATTGCTTGGCTGAATCCCCAGCAATTATAATAATGAACAACCACCTTCTCCACTACATCTCACATCAGCATACCATAGTAAACTAATAATCTGGCTCTTTGTTTAGTTAATCCTTCTAGTTTTAATATTCAAAAAGTATTTATAAAAAATGGTAAGCGTGTTAATAATGAAAGGGACAAAACTAACAAGGTAACTTAGGCATCTGCAATTCTTTTAGGAATCGGGATTGCTGCTTCTGCTGCAGTGGTATGTTTGAAAAGATTAAAAGAAAAGATTCAAAGAAGCTAACCGTAACTTAAGGGTAAAATTGGTATCGACGCCTTTAAAAAGTACCGTAACATAAATGGATCAGTGAAAAACTTTGTCAAAGGAGGTTTCGAACCAAAAATGTCACGGACAGAAGCTATTCAAATTCTATCTTTAAATAGCCGTGGTTTAACTCGTCAAAAAGTAAAAACAGCCCATCGTCGTTTGATGCTGGCAAATCACCCAGATCGCGGTGGTAGCGCCTATGTAGCCAGCAAAGTTAATGAGGCAAAAGGCTTATTAGATGCAGACCGCTCAATCCGGGGCTTCAGCTCTTGGGCAATTCCCCCCTCTAGACCCGTGCAAAAGATACCAAGTGTTTTGGAAGCAGTCGAATCTATGAAACAGTACTCTTTAAACTGTCCAAGACAATAATATTTTACGCTTTTTAACGCTGATAAATGCCTTATTATTGAGTTTTTGCTTACTAAATCTGATAGTAAAAATCCTACTTTAGTAAAAGCTGTATAAAAAATTATAATATGTCGCATCGTTTCTTGGGTTTTTGATTTTTTTTACCTCGGCATGTTTCGTGAGTCACTCACAGTCTCTTTAAGTTGTTCGAGATGTGTGATTTGGTACTGTATTGCCAGATATGGAGGATCAATTGATTTTTCTCGTTTTATTACCTGTTAATCAATTATGAGTTTACAAGAATATTAACAGTAAAACTCAAACCACATGAAACTGGAATAATCCTTGTAATTATTTGCCTATTAAACATGAGGCTAACTATTTGAACTAAGTGTTATGTTACTGTGGAAGGCTTCAACTGCTGTTCTTTTCTCCTATTATGCCAAAGAAATGGTTTATGGAGGTCTGACCTGGGTGAAGTAAAGTTCTGTTCCTCTTCACCATATCTGAAAGTTTTTAAACCCGCTTGTACATAATAACAACATTGTTGTACTCTGAAATTTATTCCCTATTTCCTCATGCAGTTTCACTTTTATTCGCAAGAAAAGGCTGTCTGTATTACCCAGACTATAATTTCAGGACTTAAGTGGGACAAAATGTTTGTTTTTCTATTTATTTATGTATTTATTTATTTTTCTCTTTATTGAGGAAGTTGCAAAGCACTATCATTAGTGTGCTGTAAAAATTAAATGATTCCGATATCATACTGACGTTCTTGGAACATTCAGAAATTTCCTATTTCAACGCTGCCGATAGGATAAATACCTTACTTCAAACCAGCCAAACAACTTCACCTCTACTAAAAACGAGCTTTTTATCAAGAAGTCTCAATAATCTCACAAAGTGTTTCAGTCTATTAAACGATTAAGTATGTCTTTTCAAGTAACTCCCATTTGGATGTGGAAGGGTTCAGGCAATAACTATGCTTACCTTTTAACCTGCGAGAAGACCCGCGCCAGTGCTATTATTGATCCAGCTGAACCAACTGCGTAAGTTTTATTTTGTTGTCACTTGGCGAATGACGGATATCTTCCTTGATATCAGAATGCAGAGGGATGGTATCGTAAATGTTATATTCATAGCTGTTGAGTCGAGTGAAGATAATTCAATGACTTGTAGAAACCATCCTACAAACCAGCTTTTAACATACTAACATTACTCATAGTGTTCTACCTGTTTTGGAAAAGAAGGCAGACTCAAAAGAGATTGACCTTCAATATATATTAACCACTCACCATCACTCTGACCACGCTGGTGGAAACGGTGCTGTTTCATCAGCTTTTCCTTCTGCTAAGGTTTTTGGCGGCAAGTATGCACAGGCTGTAACTCACACTCCGAAGAATAAGGAGACATTCAAGGTTGGTGAAATTGATGTACAAGCTCTTCATACGCCCTGTCACACTCAAGATAGTATCTGCTACTACGTGTCTTCCCCTTCCAAGCGTGGTGTCTTTACTGGTGACACTTTGTTTACTGCTGGTTGTGGTCGCTTTTTTGAAGGTGACGCTCGAGAAATGCATCATGCATTGAACACTGTTTTGGCGTCTCTTCCTGATGATACTATAACATATCCTGGTCACGAATATACCAAATCGAATGCCAAGTTTGCATCCACTGTGCTTTCAAACCCCGAACTTACCAAGCTTATTGATTACTGTTCCAAGAACGAGTCCACAACAGGCAAGTTTACCCTTGGCGAGGAAAAGCAATTTAACCCCTTCATGCACTTGGATGCTCCTGACGTTCAGAAGGCCGTCAACTCCAAGGATCCTGTTACCATTATGAACACCTTAAGAACCATGAAGAATAACTCTTAGGGAATTTGAAATGATGTTGAAATCAGCTATTTTACAATAAAGGTTTTCTGTGTTTTTGTTTTACTCTGTTCTAACGAATTTATATTTGTTAAATACCTTTTGCAAAGTGTATATAATGACTTACTTTATTTTCGTAATTTATGAATTTACCATTTTTTGAACATGCAACGCAACATACTGTCGAGGGACGTCTTAAAAAAGCACCGTTCTATTTACTAAGGAATCGTTGTCCAGCTCGTTAGTGAACTTTGCATGATCTAAATTAATTTAAGGCACTGCAAAGTATCATTGTTAAATACATAATATTGTTGGTGTGTCAAATCGTATATAAAACAAGCTATTTTTAATTTTCCTATACATTTATTTCATCATCTGAACGCATTCTCTTTTTTATAGTTTGTTTGTGCTTTTGATGAACGATTAGCGCTGAACGCTCATTTTTTTATTCCTTTCCACCATGCCTTTCAGTTTCAAATTAAGCAACCGTAAGCGTTTGGCTTTTGTTACTGCCTCCCTTTGTTTAGTGTTGTACTTTGTTTGGCATGGATATTCTTTAGACACTTCCAATGGTATCCGAGAGAGCCCTTCTTTCCTTGAACAAGAAGCGACGAGCTCAATTGATGTCCATACACCGAATACCGTTACATCAACATTTCCTTCTCAGGAAGAACAAACTGGGATTGTCCCTTCTACTACTTTCCCTTCCACTACCGAGACTGCATCGAGCAAAATTGCAGCACCAGGCGCTGCTACGACCAACCAAGCTCAAGAGTGTAGTCAATCATTTGATGGAAAAAAGTCCATCATGCGGTATGTAATTATGATTGATGCTGGTTCTACGGGTTCTAGAGTACACGTTTATCAGTTCAACAATTGTAATCCTACACCGAAATTAGAGGAGGAATACTTCTTAATGACGGAACCTGGTTTGTCTTCTTTTGCTGGCGATCCTGATGGAGCTGCTGCTTCTTTGGATCCTCTTTTGGATTTTGCATTGAAACATGTTCCCGATGAATATAAAAATTGCTCGCCGATTTCTGTTAAAGCAACGGCTGGTCTTCGCCTTACAGGTGAGCATGAAGCTCGGGCCATTTTAAACACTGTAAAGGCTCACCTTATCGAAAAGTATCCTTTCCCCTTAGCCGGAGAAGATAGCGTTTCCATCTTAGACGGAACCATGGAAGGTGTTTACGCCTGGGTTACGATCAATTATCTTTTGGGATCGTTAAATGTTGATTCTTCCAAATCGACCGTTGCTGTAATGGATCTTGGAGGAGCGTCTACCCAACTCGTCTTTGAGCCTCACTTCTATGATTCTCAACAAAAACTGTCAGAAGGTGATCACAAATACGTTCTGGAATACAATAACAAGGCGTACGAGCTCTACCAGTTTTCTCATCTTGGATATGGGTTAAAGGAAGCCAGGAAATCTATCCACAAGATTGTAGTTAATACAGCAGATAATTTAAGAGAATCGCTAGCTGACGATGTGTCTTATGAAATTACCCATCCGTGCCTCCATCTAAACGGTTCTATACATCACTCTTCAGCAAAGGAAAATGGAGTGTCTATTAACTATATATTTAATGGTCCTTCTTTAGCTCATGGTTCTTTACAATGTCGTGCATTTGCTGAACAGATTTTATACAAAGAAAAAGAATGTCAATTAGCACCTTGTTCTTTCAACGGCGTTCATCAGCCGAAGTTTACTGAAACATTTAATGATGCACCTATTTATTTAATTAGCTACTTCTATGATAGGATGGTTGATTTAGGCATGCCTAGTACGTTTACTATTGAGGATATGAAATATCTAGCAGACCGTGTTTGCAGCGGTCCTAATTCGTGGGTTGACGCTTTCTCCCTCACCAGATCTCTATCTGCTTTACAGCAGGAACCGGAGTGGTGTCTAGACCTCAACTATATGATTGCTCTCTTGTCCGTTGGGTATGAGATCCCCAACCAGCGTCAGCTACATACGGCAAAAAAGATTAACAATAAAGAACTTGGTTGGTGCTTGGGTGCTAGTCTCTCTCTCTTATCAAAATCCGATGGTGAGTTCAAATGCACAATAACAGAAAAATCTTAGAAAGCGGTAGAGGCAATATAGACGCCAAATGTCGTATTTCTTGTATTTTTATTTTAAATTCTTTTTATGACTATTCTATTTCAGAGATATTTGAGGTTGCATACTGCTTTATGGCTTTTTCTTTATCCCGATATTTATACAGAAATCATTACGACTAAAGTATTGATTATTTGCTTTTCTTTTAGAAAAATAATTGTATAGGATAGTTGTTATTTTCTTTCTTTGTGTATTTTTGGTTTGTTTCTTCATACGCAGCTCATCAAGTACTCAAGTCGGATTAGAAGTTAGGCTGTCAACTTGAAAGACTTTCCGATGTAATTGTTATTGATAATGGAGTTATTGTATTAATAAATATTAATTTCTAAATAAACTTTAAGACTTCATCTAGTGGGATAGTAACAAGTACTTGTATATACTTAAGACTGTTCAGGCCTTCATGCCTGAAGATGAAATATGTTAATGGCTAAGGCAATGAGCAATGATCAAAATACCTAAATTTTATAATAAAAATAAATTAAATAAAAAAACGGAAGCTCCACTCTAGTCAGTAATTTCATCCGTCGTTCATCTACCTACCAGTCGCCGAAGATTCACAATACCTATTTGTATTTGAAAGTTGTACATTGGAGTTGTAACCCTACTAGGTCTCAAAATAGTTTTTGACATGTAATGATTGAATGAGGTAGTTGAGTTTTGAACAGATTTGTGTTTAGAATCTAATATCCTATTATAACTTACTTTCGTTTCGATTTACCAACTTTTTTGAGAACATAGAAGTTTCATCTATTCTTTACATGAATTCAAGATAGTTCTTCTTTATTTCTCGTGTTTATACTAACATTTTAGTTCATGAATGCCGGAACACCTAAAATTCGAATTTTTCACAAAAGTACAATACTTTCAAACGTGCAATTAGGATGCCGGATGCTTCATTCGGATCATAGCACTCTGCAATCATATTTGAAGTATCTCAAGTGGAGAAATTGCTCTTTGAAAACAACGTTAGTCCAGGGAACTCTATTTGAGTATCTTGTAAAACATATACTAGAAAAGCACGGTTTCACCTTGAAACGATGTGGAGGCAAAGACGACAGAGGAATAGATCTTTTGGGTAAATTCCCTTTGAATAATAACAATGCAGAAACTAAAGTGGCCGTCTCATGTAAATCAAATAAAAGTGCTATCGGTCCAAGATATGTACGAGAGTTAGAGGGTTCTCTTTCCTGGTATCCCTCCAATACATTAGGTATTTTGGCTTGCTTAAGCAATTTTACTTCAGCTTCCCTGAAAGCCATTCAAGTTAGTGAACGCCCTTTAGCCATTTGTCGAATATACATTGATAACCACAGCAGCTATATGTTTCAATTTGCATGGAACTCAGCTGCTTCCCTTATGCTGAAGGAGATCTCAGTTCGTCAATTGTTTAAATTTAGTACTCTCACTGACACATCAGACAAAACTCTGATCCCTTACAAATTTGTATCCGGGGTACTTTGCGATTCAGACTTATTTAAAGATCGTCCAATCCCAGTTGGAATTTTTTACAAAAATAAGCAGATATCCCAACTTGTTTAGAAAACTACTTAATCTCATATTTGTTTACTACTTGCAGAAATCCTTGTCATTTCATCCTTTTTACCATGAAGACAAAGACAATTTACTTACTGGGATTGTTTGTCCGAAAACAAAATAAAGAAAAAAAAAACCAATTCTATTCGAATGATATTAAAATGATAATAATAATAATAATAATAATAGCTGGATGAAGAAGTAAAGAGTAAGTGAAGCATTAATATTAGAATCCCTTATAATACACGCTTGGAAAATTCAACAAGTACTTAGGATCTTTTTGGTTGTTTAACAAAGTAATTTTTGGCGTATAAGAAAATCAACCAAAAGAAATATGCTCCTACCACGTTATGGATTAAGTATGGCTTCTCAGCACCATATATTAGGGAATAAAATGCTAAAAGGAACAGAAGAAGATTATTCGAGTAAAACTCTGCATCAGTTAAGCGAGGAAGTAGTTTACCTTTTCGGAGAATTTCTGTCATTATCATAAAAGGTATAATAGAGAAGAAGTTGTGATGTGTAGGAAATGGAATATACCAATGCGTGGATATGTTACGTGCCCATACTAAAAGCACAGGAAAATCTATTGGTGCGAGCAGCAACATAAGAAAAGTAACCGTCAACGAAAAATTGAAGAAACTCCATAGTTTTTGTTGATGGTGACTCGATCTTGAACACCCCCTAGCCAAAAACAAGCTTTTAGCAGTAGTCATAGACTGCATGGCGAGCAAAATGACATATGCTATCTGGAAAGGTACTACGGTCATTACTATGGATAGTAAAATGATGTTTGAAATGATCCGTGTTTGAAAGTCTCTTCTTCCATAAGTATACGCCAAAGATGGATTAGCATATATAACATTCAAAAGGGCTTCCGAAGTATCATACTTACGGAAATCAGCGTTCGTTAACAAAGATATGTCTCTCTTCTTTAAACAGACATACATTGTCTTGATGCACAATAGAAAAGACTGCATTAATCCTTTCATGGAAGAATTTCGAAGTCTAAAACAAAAGCCGTAGACGTAGGAAAGGAAATGAATAATAATTGAAAAGATGAATACGCAGGCAACGACTAGTCCAACGAACATGAAAGTTAATATTGGAGCTAAAATCCAGAACTGAGGTGATTGCAACCCAAACAACAAGTGGTTTTGCTTCCAGAATGAGTTAAGCACCATCGCCGCAGAAACGCGCCACGAAGTATCCGGATCCGCATCGTCGGGTAATGCTGTAGATATACGACTCGTTGAATATGAAGTGATTAAAGAAAGGACGGAAACGAAAACGAGCAATTTCATCAGACCTCTACGAACAAAAATTTCAAGGGCTGTATTCATATTTAAAAATGTTGAGCCGTAATGGAAATAGCGAAATTGGCAGTACGCAGCAAAAGCGACAACCACGATAGGAAATGAACCCAGCAAAGTGCGATAACGCATCAATAAACGTCCTGCACTAGCATAGAAGTCGGGAAGTAGAGATACATGAATTTTTTTATAGACGAGAGGATTTGTAATGAATTCCATAACAAGTGATTTTTCAGATTCCTTTCCAAAATACTCCATAAACGGAGAAATTCCATGCAATGAAATTTCAGCTTCTGTTAAATTTACATAGAATTTAGTTTCAAACGGGGATTCTAAGCTTTGCTTCAACATGGGCGTGAAGGTCGTCTGTACCTCTATACCGTCATGAAGTTCGTAGCTAAGCTTAATTTTGTAAGCTAACAGTGAGTTTTGCATTCCCAAAAATTGAAACTTCTTAGATAAAGAATTAGACGTATTGAAAGAAAAGTTGACACCGTGTCTGAAGAGCTGACTTTGTGACTTATTGATCAATATAGGATCCGAAGATTTATTAGCAAAGTCAGCAACCAAAAAGTGATCATTTGGCTCATTCAGGTCATCATTGATTAAAATTAGGTGATAATCTTGAAGTCGTTGCGCAGACAATTTATAGTTATAAAACACCTTACCGCTGTAAGGGGTATCAGTGTCAGTCGTCGAAGCGGGTATTAAGGTAATTGCATCTCTTAACAATTCACAAATAACAGGTAAGGGCTCTCCAGACTCCGATCTGTTTAATTCTGGTAACGATGTAACAGTTTTGGGATCAAGGTGGCAAGCAAGGACCTTTACTTTAGAATCGGCGGTATCTATCGGATAACTGGTTAGAAGCTCAAAGTATTCAAATGTATCAGGAAAAGTAGGGATAGGATAAACATGTTGCTTTGTTTTGCTTCTTCCAAAGTCATCTAACATAAATGCTGTACCCGGCTTAGTATCGTGTACGACAGTATTTGCGCATTCAAGATTCTGGTAAGAACCAGGGGAACCAGATATTTGAGTCAAATCATTTTCCAAAGAAGAACCTTGAATATAAGTATGTGATAGCAATCTCTTTCTTTCAGAAAGTGATACTGTACCCGTTGGTTGTCTAGCATCAACAATTGCGAATAGACCACGAATTAAGACCCGTCTGAAATTTTCACACCAAGCCATAGCCTGATGATCAATTTCAGCCCAAACGTATGGAATACCAGACGTAAAGACACTGAGGGCATTTGATGGAGGAGCAAATGCGGTAACTGCTGAATACTCAGGAACAATATTTGTATCCAAACCTCCTCCAGCAATCGAAACCAAAAGAGTGTCACGTAATGAATTTTCTTCAGTAGGAAGTAAAAATGAGTTTAGCCAGTATGATTTAATGGCCTCATAAAACTCAACTATTTGTCGATCGAAGGGAAGAGGGGCCATAGCATGAGGTGCGGCTAGAGTAACTAAAGTGTTTATCGAGCCTTCTACATAGTTCTTGAGAGAGAATACAGCTTGACCAACGATCCCTCCCATGGAATGTCCAAGAATTATCACAGAAGTAGGAAGGGGTAAGGATTCGTCTTTCGGATTGTCGGACGTTTTTCTTGTTGTCTGGTATAAGGAAAGGATATAATTTATAGCATCATTCACGTATTCTGCTTGATTTAGAAGTGTTTGTCCATGGAATGCTGAGAAGTCTTCGTTAAAATCAACAGCAAAAAAATCAAGTTCCCGTTTTCCAGAATCAAGGGTTCCTTCAGGATCTTCAGCGAGCACCTCAGCATAAACATGTGCTGCTTGAGCGGCGAAAGCACGAACCTGTTTATAACTTCCTGCATTTCCCGGAACGAAAAGAACAGGTACACCAGTCGGTTTGTCGCTTCCATATACACTCTTTTCACGGTAAAGATAAAGAGTATACCTGTCTGCAAAACGAGTATAGCGGTTATCAAAATCTAAAAACCTTGCATAGGAAGGCCATACCGTAGCAGTTTGGCAGCTGTTGTCTTGGGGACGACTGATAAACGAATGCGTGATCAAACACATAAGTGCAATCGAAATCAAAGCTACATAGAGAGACACGCCCCGTAATATCCGAGTCATAACGTACCCATTTGAAACTGGGATATCTTTTTCAAGCGGCTTTGGAGTACTTCGTCCCGAGGATGATGAAGAGGAAGGAGGCCGTTTGAAATAAGCATCTTCTTTTTCAGTATTTAAATAAGATTCTTCCCTTTTAAACAGATATTTCTGAAAGTCCGCTGGATCCATTCCGTATGTATTTATGGGCCGATCCGTATCGTCTTTCATAATCTCGCTTATCAAGAGTTAACAGCTCTTCCAAGCAGTTCAAATTAATATGAATTGCTTTTTTTTCCTTTTTTTTTAAAAAAAAAAGATCCAGTAACAAATTCCTTTGGAAGGCGCTATTCGTTTGGAGAGACTTATCGGTGGTTCGTCTAAGCTATGTAAATAAACAAAAACGATATTAAAAGGTGAGTAACGATTCACGAGATATTATTAAATGAATCAAAGTCTTTCTCTTTTGTTTTTGTTTATTTAACTCGAAAGATATCTCTCAACTTCTATGGAACAGCAAAAAGCTTTAGTTCAACCAGTTTCCAGTTCTATCGTTCTTGCTAGAATTATGTTTTTGCGAAGAGACGAAAGCAAGTACTATTAGTCAATTCACTTCTATTTTAATTTAGGAATAAAAACTTGGTTACACCTTACAGCGTTAATGAAATCCGTGCAATAAGTTCAGAGGCCTGAACTATCATGAAACAAAAAAAAAGAAGAAAAAAAAAATTAAGAAAACAAAAGTAAAAATTTCTTATGTGCTCAGGATTTATCGTGAAAAAAAAGGCTTCTATACCTTTTTCTAAAAAGCCCTTTGTATATATTAGGCCCACAGATTAACAACTGCCCTATGGAAATAATTTTCAAAACAGTAAAGAAGGCTGATTTCTAATTAGGGATTTCATACAAAGGGATATTCAAGTCTGCGTGGTTCAATCTAGGTATTTGGTGCATCTTTCCACCACCATGAAGGTGATAGTAAACAAATCTATTTTCATTAATAACGAGCTAAAAATGATATTTAATAAAAAGGCTAATATTAACATAAACTCATTAAGCACATAAATAAGTTGAGACATTAAATATTAAGAAAAGGCTTAAAACTTTAAAAGTATTAAGCCAGACAGATATTCGAAAAATAAAGTGTTTCTATACCGCCGGTAAAATTCGGGTTATTATCATCTTGCCTAAGTTTGAATAGAAAACTATCAAACAAATGGCACATAGAAATTATATAAATCGATAAAATTGAAAATTGTTTGCTCGCAGAATCACGGCATTAAATTAAATAAAAAAATTAAGAAGCACGTCTAAAATGACAATATCCACCTAGCCTAGTGAAGTTGAATTCTGTTTAAAATGGACCTTCAGAAGACAAGATATCTAACAACTAGTGAAAAACGCATTTGATGATGCGTATAATAACCGTTCGAAAATAACTGGGGCTACATCCTCCCTTATGGAAGAAGTTGCATTTGGAATATTCGTATTTAAAGGTGTCAATTCAGTGAATTTATGACTGAGAGAGGGAAATGACGAAAGCCGCTGTAAAGTCATTTTTGATTGGGGGTATGTACTGGAAGTCTGTTGGACACTTCCATACCTTCGATGAGCGTTATGTCTAGAGGAACTGGGGTTCGTATCTTCTTCATCTGTCGGCTGTCTACTGACTTTTATCTGGACGATATCATCAACAACATAAAGGTTAGGCCGATCAAACAAGTCTAAAATATTCGTAAGAGGTTCCTTGAAAGTTTCAACAATGTTATAAGCTTGTCCTTTTAGTAAATATAGTTGATTTTTAAACATTTTTTGGTCAAAGTCTTCGTCTTTTGAAAATGTTTCCTGAAGTTGCTCTGTAATATTTTCCCACCATTCTCTGCTAGTGAGTTTTTGCAAAAATAATTGTCTAGTAAATACAGTAAATGGTTGCGATAATATGGCTCGTGGTAGCGACAACCAGCCATAGGGAAACGACCTCCAGGAATCTGGATGTTTAAAAGGAAAGGCAAGAGAGTTATCTATAGCACCAATATGAAAATGAGGACCCTTCCAAAAGTCATTAACATGATCAGGATAGTCCATAGTTGAAGATGATAAATCAGGTGTAACATCACTTGAAAGGATATGAACGGACCTGAAGTACTCCGGATCGTTGCAAGGATCAAGACAAACTTTGATCATCCAGTTATCCAAACTACGGTCTGTGTTACGCATTAGGTAATCTAGCAACACCAATTTTTCGAATTCAAATCGGAATTTGAGACGCATGTCTTCTGTCCAAAAGTCGGTTTCAATTTCGTTTTCAGTCAAGAATGGATCAAAGATATCAAAGTCTTGACTTGAACCAACAGATTCTGTATAGTCACGGTGTTCTCGGTATCTACTACCCGGCCATGGATGAGATTCTAGGAACCGAGAAGCTAATGTATAACCTTCAAGGAATTGTTGAAAGGATCCAAGCTTTAAAGGAAGACTTCTGTTTTTCGAAAGATATGACTTCCGAGCAAAATAGTCATAATTGAAAGTAGGAGATGCCAAAGAAACCACGTCAGTATAGGGTACAATGTAAAGACCAAGACTGCGGTCCAAAAGACAGGCTGCAGCCTCCGAAAGATAGCAAAGATTTGGAATGAGACAGCTTCTTCCGAAAAAACAAGGAAATAGATTTCTATGAAACCATTTGGTCCATTTCGGATTCAATTTCCCATAGGGCTCTTCATCCTTCGGCTTGAAAACTGCTATAATTTTCCCCTGGTCATTATTTACAAAGTAAGAACCAGAAGATCCCTGCGAAATCAAGCAAGGAAACACGTTTTTGTCAATTGCCTGCTTTGCTTCTAAAACAGTTTTTTCAAAGTCATGGAAATCATGTCCAGAATGATGAGGATAGGTCTTCCATTGCTTATCCGCATGTAGAATAGACGGTGGACAAGCAAATACAGAATAGAAAACCTTGGGTGTTTTGTGTCTTTGAGGTAGCTTTTTCCTTGTCTGAAGAGCATTTGTCAATTGATAAGCCCATTGTCCAAGTTTTGATTGAGTAACCAAGAGTTTTATAATTTTGAAAACTTCATCTTCTTCGTTTTCATGGGGTAAAAGAACGCTAGTACTCGTGGAAGACAAGGAAGAAGTCTCATCTCCACCTTCATCACTGTAACTCGCCTGAAAGGTAAAATTACTGTCATGGAATCGAGGGAAAGAAGCAAGTGTATGTTTAGTGGATTCGGGTTCCATCCCCGTCCAAGAAACTGGGTGTAATTTTTCTTCTGTAGCTTCTGCTTATGCAATGCTGATCCAGATGTCAATTGCTTTCCTGAAATCACACTTTCAAAACTTTACGAAAGAGCGATCGACTTCCCTGAAACAATACGTGGAATTCCTAAAAACTTGTTATGATATTTCAAAAGCACACAAAAGCATGTTGGTTTCGTTCCTAAATGTGCCAAGTAACACTGTTACCAAATGCTATATACGAAATTTACAAACTCTTACGATAGCTATTGAAACATAATCTGAAGTTGTATTATTATAGTTTTTTTTTTTAAAAAAAAAAAAAATAAGAATGTATAAATAAAACCAATTTGATAAATAGGTGGATTCATCGAAAGTGTGCTCTCGTGGTCGTTTTATTGCATGGATCTGTCAGATGCGATCGCCAGAATTTTAACATTTGAAGACCAGCAATGCACGTGAGAGATATTCATGAAAAAAATTAGAAATCTTTTGTCTTATAAAAGCAAACAAAGATTTTATAGTTTATAAACCTGATGTATAGGGGAAAACCGTTTGTTAACATGCAGCTCTGCATCAAAAAATAAGCCCCCTCATTATTTTCTCAAGCGAATGGACAATATATTTATGACTAATTCAATCAAAACATAGTTGTGTTGACTAGAAACGTTGCTCTCATTTGGATCTTAATTCATATAAATATCTTTTCTTCCCGTTGATAGGTGCTTAAAGGGAAAAACAGTTCAATCCATTTCGATGTTAAAGAATTAACCAAAATCAAAATTTAAAAAAGAAACTGCAAGCGCGAGTTTGGCTAAAAACACATGATATGACCCTTCATTCCAGAGTGCAATGCATCTGAGTCTCTGCTAGAGGGAACCATAAGGGTTTTCACAATTATAAAAATAGCAGGATACTGTAATATATAGACCTCTTTCCATCCTTTTATAAGAACCTTCGTACCTTGTTTATTAGATACAAAAATCACTAAATTACTTGCCCCTTTCATTATCATCCGTCGTCTGTAACAGCTTATCATTCCATGCTTAATATCGTTCATCCATAATATCTCATATATACATTTTTTCTGTTTCTTTTTTGACGTGGGAAATTTACAAAAAAAGGACCGTAGGTTCATTTCTTTCTTAGCGGGTGTGCACAAAGAAACATAGGATATAATTTGGGATATACAACGTGGATCATCTCATTAAATATATAGAGGAAAAAGAGCTCGTTTTGTGATACGTTTATCACAATGAGTCACCGGACATGGTTGAGTTTTTTTTCGAAGATCTTTCGTACATGAGGAACAGAAGACATGACCGCATTTTGAAGCAAATATTGAAGTCAGTCCACTATTAGCTAGTTCCGTCTTGCATAAGACACACACCAGAAGCATTTCTGGCTTTATATCGTAAGTGAAGCCAGAGGCCGGTACTGGTTTGCTAATACGGGGTTGAAGCTTTGAAGAAGGCTGCCCTGTTAACCTTTGTAATGAAGCCCTTCTTCGCTGTCTTGTCCAGAATATACCACCGCCTACTGACACTGGAGGCCGACCAACTCGGTTTGAAATAGAACGAGTGGAAGATGTTTCCTCAATTGCAGAATCATCTTCAGTCCTTTGTCTTCGTCTAGGTCTAATTTCTGAAATCCTAGTTAAATCCAAAAACGGTACCTCTAAAACTTCGTTTGCATCTGGATCATGTGTCTCCTCTGTTAAGTCAATAACTTCCGGTGACAACGCATGCTCTCTTCCTGGTACTTATTGCTCGCTTGTTAGTAAATTAAAATGAATTTTCTTGTGATAACAAGCATCCTTACGTTGTAAGCCTTGCAAGTTCATAAAGTGAAGACCATGAACAAGACCTAATTGAGAATTTTTTTGTATTTTGAAAACTTTTTTTCTTTTAAGAAAGCCAAAAAAAAAAACATAAAAAGAAAGTTGCGATTGGGAAAATTTAAAATAAAAAACTTTCAAAAGGCTAGGATTAGTGTATTACTTTCCGTAGGCAACTAACAAAAGGAATTGACATGGTAGATTCCCACTTATTGTACCGAAGATAGTTTATAGAATAACAATTAATAATAGTCAGAACTAAGAAGAAATCAACAATTTCAAAAACGTAGTTGTTTCTAAGTCCTAAAATAGTTCGGTGGTCCTCACCACCATAATTTGAAAAGAAAACTGCAAACCAACATTAAGTTGATTTAGGGAAGTAAATTTAACGGAATTCCTATGTCAAGTCGTTCTAATTCTCCAATTGCTGAAGAACCTGTCGAATCGGTGCCTTTTACATTTGGAAAACAGGCACAACATTACAATGCAGCCGCACTCGTAGAACGCTTTGTTCGCCCAAGAGAATGGAATAAACTTTCTAATATAAAAAACTCCAATGAAGGAGAAGGTTCCGATAATGACAGAGTAGCTGATACTTCAAAATCGGGTTCGAACCCTGAGAACTCTGACTCTGACTCTGAAGGATGGGATAGTGAAGATGAGACAGTAGAGTCTGAACTAAATATACCATGTTCTCACCATGTTGTTCTTCCAAGTCATTCAAAGGTATGTACACTTAATTTCATTAACTTCATTCAATTATCTAACATACTACATCAGATTGTTTCAACCACAACGTTCGACAATAATGGAACTAGACTTTATACGGGATCTTTAGATAACACCATTTCCTGCTGGGATTTTGGTGGAATGGACGCTTCTAGTCCTCGTCCATTCCATGTGATTGACCCAACTAACACAAATGCTGATAATGTAGGTCGCTACCCTGTAAAAAAACTGGATTGTTCCCAAAAAAACCAAATATTAGCCCTGTTTAATCACTCGCGACCTGTTCTCTATGATCGAAATGGAACGAACATAACGCAATTTGCTAAAGGTGACCAATATATACGAGATATGTATAGCACTAAGGGGCATATTTCAGAAATAGAAGACGGAAGCTGGCAACCAAACAGCACCCAATGGTTTTTGACATGTGGTGCCGATAATACTGCTAGAATATGGGATGTTAATCGAACAAAATCGCAAGTTGAGGTATTTTCTCATATATCTGAGGCTTCTAGAACTGGAATAAACAGATCACCAATTACTAGTTGTGCATGGAATCCCATAGAAATTAATCAATTTGTAACTGCTGCATATGACGGAACCTTGGAAGTATGGCAGAGAGGTTCGCGAACCCGTCACCCATCCTTGAAAATACCTCAGGCTCACACGTCACAAGTCCGTGCTACTTCTTTAAGTTATTCGGCAGACGGAGTTTACCTTCTTGGAAGATATGAGGACAATGTCGTATCACTTTGGGACATGAGAAATACGAAAACTCTATTACAGCAGGTATCGGACGTACCTACTCCAAAAGCCGGTGCAAATGCTATATTTTCTCCTGATAGAAAACACATATTACTAGGAACGGCGGCTAATGAAGATAGCAATGGAAGTCTACGTGTCTTGGATGCGCTCACTTTAGAGAAGAAGGCTGATCTAGTATTTGATGTGCAAAGCAGTGTTCGTCATTCAGTTAACGCCGTTTCTTGGAATGATAGAATTAATCAAATTGCTGTTGGGTTGTCTACTGGGGAATCCGTTGTTTTATTTTCAGCATCTGGATCTGTCCGCGGAATAAAAGATTCTGCTTCAAAACCACCAAAAATAAAACATGTCGATGATGATTTACAAAACACAGTACATATCAATGCCCTTAGTGGCTCTGTCGGTGATGCTAATGAATTTGGATTAGTTGAGGAATCAAATGAATCGGTAACAAACTACTACTACAATTCTCGTCGTCAACGTAATGCCGTCCGGAAAGACCCTAAGCGCTCTAGACAACCTGAACTTGGTCGAGTGGTCGAAGAAAATACAAGTGATGTTCCTCTTGCGGACATGAAAGACGAAGATCCTCGTGAGGCTTTACTGAAATATGCCGATGTTGCTGAATCCGAACCCATGTTTACTAAACTCTACACGAAAACACAGCCAAAGACTCTATATAAAAGCTCTGAAAGTGGCTCGCAGGAAGATGAGGGGTCTTCAAAGAGGCAGAGAACGAATTAATGGTATATTGACGAATGATTATTTGCTGAAAACACTATTGACATGTAAAATTGAAAAAGATGAAAATGATCGTCTACGGGACTTTTTGGAGCACTTTAAATTTAAAGTTCATGTTCAAGGAATATTAGGAACAGAATGTATACTTTATTAATTAGATCGAGTTATATATACAAATTTATTTATAATGTTGGTATCCAAAACAGAAATAGCATTTTAAAATTAAAGAATGTGTACCATCTGCGTAATGAAACATTCAACAAAATGAGCATTATTTGAACTTATGAAGACTCGGAGATTTCATGTTTAACCCAACCTTCAAGACCTCCACGAACGAAAAGGCTTTGTACAGAATTCCCGAGCTCTCCAATTCTCCATGATAATATCTTCTCGTCTGCAGTAGTAACTTGAACAAGACTTTTACGGACGTCCCAATTAAGGTGCCAACCGGTACGACGAGTAAGTTCTTTAGGGCTGTTTGCAAAGGCAGTACGAAGCTTTTGAACAAGCTCGGGTAATTCAACAGCCAATAGTGCATTATTAATGGAGTTGCGTTTAAATATATCACTGAAAGATCCGCCGACGACGAGAGGCATTCCTCGAGACAAAATAGCAGTAGCTGCTTGTTCACGACTAGAACCAGTACCAAAATTAAAGCCACTTACCAAAATATCGTTAGGCTTAGTTTTGCTTCCAAAATCAGCATCGTAGTTTTCCATGCAAACCTTGGCCATTTCTTCTTTACTAATATCGTCTCTATAAGTATAACGACCAGGGTAAATACCATCAGTATTCAGATTGTCAGCATCGCAGAATACAATTTCACCAGATACAGATGCAGGAAAACCATCAAGAATGGGGGTTTCAGAATCAGATACACCGGTCTCGTTTACTGACTTCTTATGAGCATTCATTTTTTCAGTGACATCAACTGCAGAAACTTGATCAACGGAGTCTTTAAATCCTTCAGGAGCGACGATCTTTCCTGCGATAGCGGAGGCAGCAACAACAGCAGGAGAAGCCAAATAAGCCAAAGCTTCACGACTTCCCATACGACCCTTAAAGTTACGGTTCGTAGCACTGATGCCAACTTCACCCTCCTTCAACAATCCAGTACCTAAACCGATACAAGGACCGCAACCAGCAGGGAGAGTACGAGCACCACTATCAATAAGCGTTTGCCAATCACCATTTTCCCTAGCTGCCTCTTCGACTTCACTTGATGCGGCACCTACATAAAATTCAACACCATCGGCAATCTTTTTACCGCGAACAACTTCGGCAGCATCATGGATATCGGAAAGTCGACCATTTGTACAGGAAACCAAATAAGCCTTCTTGATTGGGATATTATCCCTTTCAAGTTTAGCAGCCGAGTTGTAAACTTTAACGGAATTAGGTCCTGAAACGGCAGGAGATATTGTATTCAAATCCAAAGTAAGATACTTGGAATAATAGCAATTCTCATCGGGGATTATGGGATTGGCTTTCATTTCATCAAGAGCTTTACGGTTCACTCTTGGATGATTGGGCCCCAAGAATTGAAGCCGTTTTTCATACCACTCGAAAACCTTTTCATCAGTAGGAAACAAACCAGAAAGAGCACCCCATTCTGTAGTCATGTTGGCAATGGTTAGGCGAGAATCGATATCCAAACTTTCGAGACCCTCACCATAAAACTCAATGGCGTGGTTTAAAACCTCGTCATGATTAAAAGCACCACAAAGAGATACGATAATATCTTTTCCAGACAAACCCTTGGGTAATTGACCAACAAGATTAACACGAGCAATAGGAGGAATCTGCCACCAAGTTTGACCGGTGGCCCAAATAGAAGCAGCATCCGTACGGACAATAGGGGTACCTAAACAACCGACACCACCATAAGTATTAGAATGTGAATCACTAGCAACTGCTAGACTTCCGGGCATTGCATATCCTTGTTCAACCATGATTTGATGACCGATACCACGACCGGCAGGATAAAAATCAATTCCTTGTCCTTTAGCAAAAGATTCTATGTTTCTATATTTACGCAAATTGGTTTCACTCATATTTTGTACATCGTGATCCAAAGTACAAACTACCTGACGATTATCGAATACCTTTTCGGCACCAATGCCCATGAACTTTAGTGCAACAGGCCATGAATTATCATGGGACATACAGTGCTTTGGTTTTATGCTCACATAATCACCGGAACGAACGAATTTTCCTTCAGGAAGATTCTGTGCAAACCTTTGGACGATCTTTTCAGTGATCGTTTGGGGTGGTTTATTACCAGTGGCAAATCCACGAAAAGAGTAAGAAAGACCCTTTATTTGGGCTCTTGTTTGACCAATGCGCATCATTTGCACTGGAACCCTGTGTGCTCGCAAAGATCAGATTTATTGATGGCGATTTTAGTCCTGTGAGTTAGGGAAGGGAGAGACGCATTTTTGCCAGTAAAATGTGAGTTAATTGAATAACGAAACTCGCTATTTTTCCTTATAGTAGAGATACTAAGACGATGATGAGCTTTGCTAAAACGATCAATAGATTGGTCTAGTAAATAGAATAGAGGAAAAATATAATTAATTACCTGCTTATAGGGGTTTGTAGCTTCAGATATGAAAAAATAAAAGCAATTCTTAAACAAGTATCTTAACCTAGCTATTACTGATAAAACCCTATATAAATTAACCAAAAATAATGAATTACTCGGCTTCCTTTTTCCTTTCTAAGGCAGCTTTCTTTGCAGCTTCAATGCGCTCATGTCGAGTGGCTCTTTCTTTTATTCGACGAATCGTCGTTTTATGCTTTCTGCTTTGAATATGCGTTTGCCAAGCGTCTTTACCGATGGCAACAAAAGGCCTTCCAGTTTTATCTAAGCAAATATCGCAGGTAAATTTAGTGTTGAGAGTATCTCTGTCTTGCATTTGTAAAGTTTGTTCAACCTTTTCCATAACCCTTTGTTCTGGTATTGACATAGCAGGAAGTGTTTGATCATTAAAAAAACAGGAAAATACGTCGCACGAACGGTCTACTTCGTTGTTCCAATTTTGTAAATCCGTGGTGTTTGCAATGGAAAATAGAATAGATGAAGGTCTCAACTTTTGTTCAGAGACACAGAGAGGCAAAAGCCGATTAAGAATCCACTTTTTTTGATATTTGGCATATTGCTTTGTGGATACTTTCATTTTCTCTAAACATGCTTGGAATGTCTCCTCAGACGGATTCTGAAACCAGGGTTCAAACTCTTTAAAGCCTATGCATTGCCAAATTCCTCTAGTAATATCAGGTTTAAAGCCACTTTTATCGATAGAAGATTTCATTGTTTGCACTTCATCCAAGAGTCCTTGTTGTAGCATTTTATCTACGCGGGCATCCAAGCGAGGCATCAGCACATCATTTTCAGCATTAGCCCAAAATAAAAGTGTTTTGTATTTTAATTTCGATTTATTCAAACTTGACTGTTCTTTATAGATATCGGAAGGCCGCTTTCCAGTGTTAAAGTAAATTTCTAAACTTCTGCGGATCTTCCGTACGTCACGAGGATGCCAACGTTCAGCCATTACCGGATCAACTTTTTGTAAATATGGAAGCATCAAGTCTGTATTGTCAGAGTTTAATATTCCTTCATCGGGATGTCTGACTTTCTCAGGTAAAGGAGGGTCAATGGACGAAAGGGTAGAGTCATCAAACAGTAAGGAATGCAGATAGTAGTTTGTCCCACCTACCAAAATTGGAACTTTTCCTTGTTCGTGCAGTTCATGAATAATTCTCTTCGCATCCTTTTCAAAGTTGGGAACGCTATACTCTTGATCATAATCCAGAAATGACATGAGATGATGCTTGACATTTTTTTGCTCTTCACGAGATATTTTGTTTGTTATCGTATCAAAACCTCGATACACTTGCATAGAATCCGCATTAATAACTTCTGTACCAAACTTTTTGGCCAACTCAACAGCCAAATCGGATTTTCCAGCTCCTGTGGTTCCACAGATAATACAAATTGGTTTCAACATTAGGCAATTCAACCAGAACAGATTTTTATGAAATAATGAGACATTCTGTAGCTTTCGACTGGTACTTGCTAGAAGTCGCTCTCAAGTTTTAACTTGTATTATGATTCGAGGTTAATATTATTTTATAAGAATAATATAATACACTTGCTATGGAATGAATGTTCGGTTTTTATTGTTTGCGCTAGAAAATCAATTTCTTTTCTCAAAATTAAAGTCTTTTGGAATAAATTGCCGTTTGTTTTTCTTCCGTATTCGAAATAATGGTCGTACTGTTTACTTGGAAGTGTCGGTAAATGAGCTGTTGAAAAAAGTCAAGATATGAGTAACTTTTCATCATTAATCGCATCCTATTTCTTGTTTATAAAAGCCAATTCAGTAGTACGTTTTCTGAAAAAAAAAATTGAATGGAATTTATCTATTTCTACACCTCAAAAACAATATTGTCACCAGTGTGGCCGACTATTAAAGCTGTTTTAAGAAAACATTCTCAACATAAGACTGACACCCACTTAACAAGAATTTGATTAATATAGCTTTAAGTTTTAAAAATTCAGAATAAGAATAAGAATAAAAACTAATATCATGGGCCAAAATTTGTTTCATCTCTCACTAGCATTTTCTTCATTTCATTCATTTCCTTTATACTCGTAAGTAATAAGAACTGTATAATATTATAAATCGTTGCTAATAGTTTGGAATATTAAACCTCGGATCGGGAAATTCAACATAATTCACTAAATGTATTTTTAAAAAATTAATGGTATCTCCTACCACTTCACTAAAGTTTCCAAAATATTACAGAAGATTAAACAAGTGAATAAATTGTTACGGTCTTCGTCGTTATCCATGTAAACACTTTGTCTTTCACCAATTTCATGAAAATGACTGCAAAAGATATAGAACACACGTATCCGGCAGTCAGTAATTTGATTGCAAGGCTTAAGTCAAGAAAAGTTCAAAAGCCTTTTCCAGTGGCTGTTGAGACGGCTCTTGTAATGCGACAAGTCATTTCTCAAACACGTTGGTCTTCCGTAGATCAGCTTTTGGAAACAATTCGAGCAGTAGGATCCTCACTTGTCAAAGCTCAACCTAGTGGTATGTACAAGGATGTTTATTGAAAGAAGAGCACTAACTTCTGAGCAAAGAATTTTCTTGTGGAAACATTGTGCGTAGAATTTTGCGGATGATCCGTGAAGAATACCAGGATTTGTTAAATTCTGTTGAACAAGAGCACAATAACAAAGAAAGAGCTAATAGCTCAAGTACTACTTCATCGGTTACTTCTCCAAACAGTGCTTTGTCGAATGATCAGCTAGCAGAGCGAAACGAACCAATTTCTTTTCAAATGTACTCTTCAATGCTCAATCTTTTAGGAAGACCTGTTCCTGAGGCTTACCCTCAACATAAATATCTTGGTGATAGTAGAGTAACTGGCGGGATGGATATGCGTGCAGTGCTTATAGCTGGGATTCAAGAGATTATTGATGAACTAGACAAAATTAACACCGACATTGAAATTCAATCTATGGATCATTTGCATTCAAAGTATGTTGTGATGTATATGTATAGCCATGTGCCTAACCGTTATTTTTTAGTGAAATCATCTTAACCCAAGGATGTTCTAAAACTGTCGAAGCATTCCTGCGCTTTGCTGCAAAGAAAAGAAAATTTTCTGTTATTGTGGCAGAAGGTTTTCCTAATATGCAAGATGGTGCTCATGCTATGGCAAAGCGTCTTGCGAATGCTGGAATTGACACAACAGTCATTTCAGATGCTGCGATATTCGCTATTATGTCGCGGGTGAACAAAGTCATTTTAGGAACACATGCAATTCTCGGTAATGGTGGGTTGGTAACTTATAGTGGTGCTCATCTCGTCGCTCAAGCTGCTAGACATCATGCTACTCCTGTCGTGGTTTGCTCTGGTATTTACAAATTGAGTCCTGTTTATCCTTATGACCTTGAGAGTATAATCCAACTTGCTTCTCCGGGAAATATCATTTCCTTCAGAAAAGGTGATTTAATTAGCGATGCTGAGATTTTGAACCCATATTATGATTATATTCCCCCAGATCTTGTTGATCTCTTCATCACGAATTTGTAAGTTTATCTGTTAATTTGCCGTATGGAAAGTGAACACTTTTAGCTAACACTTTTAGGGGTGGGTATCCTCCTTCGTATTTGTACCGTATTATGAACGATACTTACGACGCAAACGACACTATTCTTTAAGAAATAATTTTTTGGTTTGTTCATATAGGTCGAGTGTAATTTAAAAGGGAATTTATAAAATATTTTTGTACAAGTTAATCACAAGTTAACAGAGCTTCTTTCAACCTTTAGCAGATTCGTACCAAAGAAGATGTATTATTTTATTAAAAATTAAGATCAAAAATTAAAGTAGCTGATGAAATTGGATTCTACAAAAGTTACTTCTTAATAGTTTCTCCCAGACGCTGTTTGAGCAATTTTTCTATTTCGATAGGGTCACCGCGACCTCGTAATTGTCGCATTACTTGCCCGATAAAATACTTAAGCAAAGATTGCTTTCCGTTCAAGAATTCTTGAACTTGCTTGGGAGATGCTTCCAAAATTTTCCCGACCTGTGCATCTAAAGTGCTAGAATCTTGAATGAAATTAAGCTTAAGTTCCTTGATGAGGTTAGCAATGGATTGTTCAGAAGGCGTCACTACCAAATGGTTGATGAGTGCCTTCGCGGTCAGACGAGAAATCTTCCTGGCAGAGCAGAAGCAAACAATATCGGCTAATTGATTAGGAGGGACGTAAAAAAGGTCTTCCTCTATTTCCTGTTCATGAAGCTTTCCTAAGAGATCAGTGATAATCCATGTTGGTAAAGCACGTAAGGATTCGTCAACGACTTCTTTAGAAAACCCATCTTGATGACTGATAATATCTCTAACGGTACTATAGTAATCATATCCATAAGGAAGATTTAACAAAATACGTGCGTCTCGTATGGACATAAAGTACGGTTCAGACGTGAGCATTGTAAAAAGATTATCAGGAAGGAGTCCCATTTCATCGCTTATTTGTTTTACATAATTCTTTTACTCTATTAGTAGGTAGCCTGGCATATTTATGAAAAAAAATTCTTACCTTGGATATCGTAACAGGGGGAACATCCGTTTCTGGCATGTAGAGATAATCCTCTGACATACTTTTTTCTCGTAACGAAAATGTTTTACCATTTTTATCATCAAATCCTCTAGTCTCTGTAGTCCAAGTTTCATTCTTTTCAGCGAGAGAAATTTGACGCTGTACTTCAAACCGTATTGCATTCATGACATTCCGAACAGATGATAAGTTTTTTAATTCTGTTCTTGGAAGTTCTAAGCCAACCTTTGCAGACTTTAAGGATTCACTGGAAGGCGAAATAATTGGTGCAATAGAGACATTCACGTCGCACCGCATTCCACCGGTTTCCATTTTGGCATCAGATACGCGAGCATGGCGCATGATTGATTGAACTTTTCGTAAAAATGAGCCAGCAGTAACTTCATCATGTATACAAGGGGCCGTAACCACTTCAAGCAATGGTGACCCTGCGCGGTTGAAATCTAACAATACTTTGGAAACATTATCCGTATGGATAGATTTCGCGGTATCCTATATAAGGTCATTTGTTAGCAGAAATAAAAAAAAGGAAGTGTATAAATGTCATACTTGTTCTAACTGTACATGTTTAATTGATGGTGTAGCAATTATTTTCATATGCTACAGAAATTCTTTGCACAACTTTTAGTACTAACGGAACTTCTTGTTGAGTAATTTGATAACCAGCCGGTAGATCCGGGTAAAAGTAATGCTTCCTGTCAAATTGGCAAACTGGTGCAACCTTACAATTAAGTGCCAAGACGCCTCGAATAGCAAGATTTAAAGCTTCAAGATTTAGTATCTACATAAGAAATGTTAGAATATGAGTTTACATAGTTCCAGCGAATGCCTAATTTCTTAGAGAGTTATAGTGGCTACATTCAACACAGTGTATACCTACCGGCATAGATCCAGGAAGCGAGACATCAAAGGGTGCTATGGATGTATTTGGAGCTTCAAACACACCACGTCTCGCACCACTAAAAAGCTTTTTCCTGGTCACAAGTTGCAAATGAATCTCAAACCCAACAGAAGCGAGCCACTTCGGTCTGTACATGTTGTACAGTTTTGAATAGGGAGACGAAAATGGTGTAGACGAAATTACGTACAAAAAAGGGAATCAAATCTGAAAAACGGAAAATTAGAGAATGACCATAGCACGGAAGGTACTAGCCATGGGTTTGTTACCGTGAAAGCTACAAAAGTATGCTATATTGTTTATTTGTACTTGTTGTACTACTAAAAGTTGTGCAAAGAATTTCTGTAGCATATGAAAATAATTGCTACACCATTTGTTTAACAGGTAGTAAGTAGACACTACACTTACTTTTTTAAGGTCTATTACTAGAATACAACAAAACACAAACAGCTTAACTTCTCAAAACTTATAATTTTATTGATTAAAACAAATTTAACAGATAATGAATTGAAGGAAGGAAAACAAGAGAGAGCAAAACGTTCCTAAAGACGAGATTACCCGTAAACAAAAAGACTTTTTCATTAAAAAGAAAACGTCAACGTGACTTTAAATTAAATTAAGAAAACAAAAAAGAAAACCTTTCAAGGAGTGTTTAAATTTGTCACTTACTCCTCAGCAGTTTAACCAGAAGAGTAAACAAGAGGACCAGCAACAATGTGCTCGTTGATGGCAGTAAGGTTGAAGGGAGTGACAGGCAAAGCAATGTCGGTCAAGACAACGAAGCTAGAACCGTTGATGACTTGTTGAGTAGAGTCATTGTAGACATGAACGCTTGGTTGGTAAGTAGAACCACTGTTGTTGCCAGTGACGTTCAAAGGAGTGTAAGTAACGTTCAATTGAGAGATCCAAGCAGCGAATTGAGGAGCACCGTTAACGGAAGTGCTAGTGGTGTAAGAGGCGTTGGGGCCGATGGGTTGACCAGGAGCTTCCCATTGGAATTCAACGATTTGACCAGGCAAAGACATAGGGAGAGTGCGGTTGGTAGAGACGGCAGCAGGGTACATGTAAGTGCCATTAGGATATTGAGGGTAAGAAGCGTTAGAGTAGTTGGTGATGGTAGAAGGGCTAACAACGTGTAAGCCAGGGAAGTTTTGCCAGACCAATCTGTGGTTCTCAGGAGGGCAACTAACAATGTATGGAGCAAGCAAAGTCCATGCAAAGGATTGAGGAAGTCCAGTCTCGAACCAAACGGGGTAGGGGAAAAGACCTTGCAATTGACGAAGACTCATTTCTTGACGAGCTTCAGTAGTGATGGATTGAAGCAAAAGTTGTTCAGCAGCACGAGAGTTAAGGTGAGGAAGGAAACCATAGGTACTGGATTCAGTCCATTGAGTTTGCTTTTGAGCAAAGTCCAAGAAACCACCCACGCTATCGAAGTCATACTTGTATTGGCAAGCCTTGGGAGCATCAGGGCCAAGCATGTTAGTAATGAGATCGATGTGACCAATTTCTTGTTGGGCCATAAAGCGAATCAAGTGACGGTATTCGGCGTTAATACCAGCGGCATCGAATTCCTCGTCAGAGAATCTGGTAAGGGCATAGTTGAAAAGATCATATTCAATGTACTCGTGGTACAAGGCTAATGAGAGAGATTGATAGTCAAAATCACTCAAAGGATGGTAGGTTGGGTCAGGATCCATAGGGACGATACCACCGGCAGGAGTAAAGTTTGCGGGCATCAAACTTGAATTAAAGTCGCCCGTAGCATTGTAAGCGAAGTTAGCAGGAACTCCTCCGACACCGGTGAAGTTGGTAGGAACGGCTTGAGCAGAAAGCACGCCCTTGGCCAAAGCAGCACCAGCCAAAAGTGACGCAGTGAACGAAAAAACCATTTTGGGTAATAAATGGAAAATCAATTAAGTCAAACTATCAGATCGAGAAAAAAAAGGTACGATCAAATCGAATAGCAAGAAAGAAGAACTTTTTAATATGAGAGAAACAAACTCGTTTGAACTCCTACTTACTTTCGAGCAAATTTATAAACTTCAGCTTAATATAAGACTTCACACAACAATCAAAGTTACATTTCTCGTCCAACTCAAAAGGGTATTTATACTATACTAGAATGAAGGCAAATGTCATACAATGCACTTGTCTGTGAGAAAGATTCTGTCGGCATTTTGACGTCGGTTTTTCCATCATAAGATTGCGATCACTACGTATTCCTTTACCCTTCGTTTCCAAAATTACGATTATAGGAATCGAACGTTCTTAACGACAGAAATAGATATAGACTGATTTACGTCGGATGACCTACGCATACTAGAACAGAAGAACGCTTAGAAATCAATTTTCTTTGCGCGTTAACATCTACATGACGTGAAACTGGGAATTAGGAAAGATTACAAGGTGTATCGTCGTGTTGAGAATCCTTGAAAAATAAAAAAAAATTAAAAAAAATTTCGCAAATGAGTACCATTCATTCAAATTAGGTCATTCTTTGTTTATGTCAATACAAAATCTACACATCTTCTCCTCATAAATGAGATTCTTCATTTCCTACACACCAATCGATAGAAATACATTATTCACAATTTTTTCATCATTCCTTCGTACTAGATCCCTTGGTAATTTTTAATGTGAAATAATTTTTTCATGGTCTTTACTTAATATGATATCAACATACGTAGGTGACGGTGTGCTCTTCATTATGCAACCGTATTCGGGAGGATCTTTAGAGTTATTCGGTTCAGTATATCCCCCCCCCCCCCTTATGGATACGACATTAAATTACTTGATAAAAAAAGTAAATAAAGAAACATAAACAAATAGTGGAAAAGGAAAAAAAAAAAAATTGGCATTGATTAAAATGTACGTAAAAAAGAATGCTATGAAATAATGGATTATAGAGTTCAAAAAGAAAAATAAAATAAAATCAATTTAATCACATTTGATGAAAAAAAATAATAATAAGAAAATGTTGTGAACGGAAAAAATGTATACCGAGCCATAAAGGTCTAGGACGTACGGTTCAGGTTGAATTAGTAATTCAAAAATTTTACAAAATTAGGAAAGTCGGTTCGTAAAAATGAAAGGATCTATTTTTAGGTCTTCATCGCTATGTCTCTGCTCTAAATTGTCAGATTTTTCAAAATTTAAAATACCCAACAAAAAGAAAACTCGTATGAACGAAAGGATTGACAATCCTGAAGGTCTTTAACACGTACGAGACAAGATATTGCGATATCAGAGCATGTCGCGAATATGAAAATTTCATAAATCATACTATAGTGAGAAAAAGGCGAAAAAAAAGAAAGGAGGAAAACGAAAAATTACATAGTAAACAAATAAGTAAAATAATTAATTAAGTAATTCATTCATAAAATAAAAATAAAAATAAAAATAAAGAAAAAGACGCCATTCTTTGTGATTTATGATGCCTCGAGTGTATTCATTCTTTTTTTCATCATACTAATGTTTCCATGGCGTAATGGTGAACTGAAGTCTGTCTTTGGTGTAACAAGTGTAACAGGCGAAAAAATGTGGTTGATAATTGCTCTTTCATAGATAAATTCTTGACGAATAAATTATTTAATTTATTGAATTTGTATTGAATTGAAAAACGATTCATCCTAACGTTAAAAAAAAAAAAAAAAAAAAAAAAAAAAAAAAAAAAAAGGAAAAAAAATATCTAATTCTTTAAAGATATCTGTTTTTGTAAACTTGCTTTACTCTTCCACTCCACTGTAATTTTTATGTGTTGTTTCTCACAATCACCAACCAAAAAAAAACCATCTCAGACTTTTCATTTTCGTTTCAAACCGACTATCGATATTTCATAAATTTTCTATTCATTCTATTTATCAAAAAAAACCTTTTCAAAAATCTTTTATTTGCTGTGTTTGTTTTCTCTTTTGTTTATTTGTTTATTTATTTTCTTCCTCTCTTTGTTTACATATTCACATTTTGAACTTCGGTTCTTAAAGCTTCGGTTAGGTATTAGTCTACAACTTGTTTTTTCTTACCTTCCCCCACAGAGAAATTTTTCTTCACCACCACGGGGTTCGAATCCATCACTGCAAATTTTTGAATTACCAAGGATACTGTCGTTTTACGCTGTGTCTTTCACTGGTAAACAATGCGAAAAAGTTCTTTGAACAATTTCGCAACTTCTCAAAATCTGTTTCAATTTCCTTCTGTCGATTTTGAGCACATAACGGAAAGTGCTATAAAAAACAGCACTTCTTCCATCCATTTAGCTCCTACGGAGCCTATATCCTCTAATCAAAAGCAAGAAAACGATCTTTCCTCTGAATCCAAGTTAGATCCTTTACATCCCAAACCCAGCTTTGGCAGAAATCTACTTACTAATGAAACCATTCAAAACTCACACGAACCTTCAGAAGATTCTTTTACGTTAGGTCTAGCCTATATAAGTGAGCTTTATGCCTCTACGAAACATTTAGGTGCTTCCAAAATCTTGCCACCTTCCGGCTGGTCATGTCCTTTCACCATAGACCCCACAACGCTGAAGTTTGTGTGCAAGAATAATAGACCTTCCTCTCGTTCTGTTTTGACCCCCGTTCTTTCCAAGGAACATAAATCACCCTCTGCAATTCCACTATCGGAGGAAAAACGAATCGCCGACCGATCTGACTCGGTGGTTCTCTCTTTCATTTTCGTTTTAGGAAAACAGGTCGACCTTTTGCAATTAAAGCAATGGCTACAATTCTCACAAAAGCTTGATATGCCAAAATATGAGTTTTGGTCTCAAGCAGCTCAGTTTTATAAATTAGATGTTAATAGTTTGGAAACGGCTTATTCCACTTACGAGTCCTCTGATACCCAAAATGTCACGAATGGTGCAGGATTTTCTCGTTCTCCTATTACTCGTCCTGCTAAACGTGCACGTCGACAATTGCAAGGTCCAAAGTGTAAGGTCTGTGACCAAGAAGGCTCTTCCTTTGTCACTTGTTATATTTGTCAAGCCAGCTATCATTATTCGTGCGTAGAAGCCCCTTTTGCCCCCTTTACCAATATCCACTATTTCACCTGTAACCGTTGTATTCCCGATAATCTAAAGCTTTCCTGGAAGGACGTTGATTATCACTGCATCTCTTCATTCCTTGACTCCAACTCCAATTTGGAATCCTCTCTTTCTTCTTCCGTTTCTTCTTTCCATAACCAATTTTCACCTTCGTATATCCACGAATTAAACAATTGCATCCCCTCATCGAAATCACAAGCTTCGGCACGAAAAACTCGTTCTTCCAAAACCAATGATGACTCATCCTCATCCTCGTCCTTTCCTTTTGCTTTATTAAACCCAGAATCCCATTATACCTATCTTTCCCGTTTGTCCCCTTTAGAGCAGTACTTTTGGTCTTCTTCTTTTTACACAAATTCTTCTACATTTGAAACATCTGACCAACCATTAGTAGGCATTTGCAAAAACAAAACTGCCTTCCCAACAAATCGGCAAAGTCCTTACTACAATGATCCTTGGAACCTTCCTTTCCTTCAATTTGCAAAATTATCCCCTTTAAAATTCACTCCTCCTGAAATTTTAACCCCCACTGTTGAGTTTGGACAATTGTCGACCTGTGTTGGCTGGAAAAGAAATACAATGTCTCTCTTTGGTTTACATTATCACCACTGTGGATCCCCAAAGACTTGGTATGTTATACCCGCCGAGGAAACCGCAAAGTACGAAAAGTTGCTGTTAGAACTCCTGCCTGCATCGTTAAAGGAACAGCCAGAAACGACAAAGAACTCTTCATTTCTTCTTCCTCTTCAGGTTATCTTGGCCAATGGAATTAATGTGAATACATTTTTACAATATCCGAATGAATTTGTAATTACGTTTCCTGATGCCATATATACATCCTTGGATCATGGGTTTAATATTCATGAATCTATCCCGTTCGCTGCTAAAGAATGGATCACCGATAAGTATGCTCAGCAATCATTTCAAACTTACAAAGATCTTTGCATACCTACCCCTTTTTCTTATGACCATATATTGTTAGCAAACGCTACTGTAGATAAAACAGTCCATTCAGCTTATTGGCTTATGACATGCTTGAGGGAACGGATAGACGATGAGCTAAAGTTGCGGAACAACTTTCGAAAAAAATTCGCTTCCCTTCCCTGGGTACCCGTTCCTTTAGAATCATCTGTTATGGCCTGTAGTCACTGTAAAACCTTTGCTTATATGGTTGCTGTTGGGATTAACAAGTCGAATCAAACCTTCTGTTTACTGCATGCTGGCCAGAATTTGAATACGAAGAATAATGACTTAACAATTAGCGTTCGATATAATGATGGAGCTTTGTCTGAAGCTTATAATGCTGTTGTCGAACGAGCCAAAAAAGCCGAAGTATGGTTAGACAAATATCGAGAAGTTTTCTCCACTGCTCGTCCTAGCTTAAAGGTTCTCAAAAATTTATACAATGAAGCTGATACTTTATCTTGCCCTATACAGGAAGTGGAAGAACTTCGGTCGTTTGTTCAAATGGGTCAAAATTGGTTGGAAAAAGCTTCTGTCGTTCTGAAAAGAAAAGCTCCCTTAAAAAAGGATAAAAGAAAAATGAAAAAGAGTACCAATGAAAGTCCTTCAGATGATGGAGTTTCATCTCCAGCCCTAAAATATAATGAGTCAGATATATTGATAGAACTCGTTGAAGAAGGATGTAAATTTCCTTTCGAAATTCAAGAAATGGAACTTCTTCATGAAAAGCTAAACCAATTAAGGTCTTACCAAGAAAAGGCGAAATCGGTAAGGAATCAGCAACTCACATACGACATATGCTTAAATATGGTTAATGAAGGAAAAGAGATTCAAATTGAAACGCCTGAATTAGAGTTTTTTGAGAAGCAATTATCTTATACGACTTGGACAAAAAGTTTTAAAGAAATTGTTAATAGAGAAGATTTTGCTTTAGAAGAATTGGTTGATTTAATCAATCGAGGAAATGAAATTGGAATACCCACCGACAGTGAAGAAATGGCCCAAGCTTTATTTATGAAGGATAAATCTGAACGATGGAATAAACAAGTCGAAACTTTTCTAACCCAAGAAACTACGCCTACTCAAAAATTAGTGGAATTAAAAAACGAAGCAAAGCAATTGTGCGTGGACAAGAACCTAAAAGATCGCCTTAACGAAGTTTTGTTCAAGTCTGTGTCATCTCATGATCGGTTAGTTTCTTTGATAGCCGGCTCTGAAAATGCCGATTTTGAAAAACGACCTACTGTTGATGAAGCGCGGAACATCTTGAACGAAGCGGAAGCTCTATCTAGTAAGCCCGAAGAGTTTGTTACCGCCCAAAAGCTTGTTACGAAAACGCTTGAATGGGTCCGTAAGGGTAAGCGATTGTTTGGTAAAGCAAATGCTCCTCTAGAAATTTTTAATCAACACCTTGAATTTGTTGACCAGAAGAATTCGAGCGCAATGATTGATGAAGGCACAGATGCTCATTTACATGTTGGTAATGAATACTATATTGTGGCCGGATCTAATCCTTTGGATTTTCATTACTGTTTCTGTAGATTACCTGAGTCTGGTATGATGATCGAGTGCGAAGTTTGTCATGAATGGTATCACGCCAAATGTATGAAAATGTCAAAGAAAAAACTTCGAGCTAATGAAAAGTTCGTTTGTCCTATATGCGATTATCGTGTTGAAATACCCCGTCATTCCCATCGTCCACCATTAATAGAACTTCAGCAAATGGTTTCTGATATTCCTAGTCTTCCTTTTCAGCCTGGTGAAGTGGATTTACTGAAACGGGTTGTACACGATGCGGTTAATTTTCGTGATCTCATACAAAATACTATTCAGGATCCCTCGAGGCTTTCTTTTGAAGATATCCCTATTATTCGCTTCTTTCTAAGGAAGTTAGAGGGTGTAGAAATATTGTATACAGAGGAGATAAATGTTTTCCGACAAAAATTACATGAATTATTACCAATTGCTCCTGTTCCTCCTCCGTTTATTGGCGAGAGTCGCTCTAACAGAAAACCACGGCCCACAAAGCGTCAGCGAGAAATTATGGACCAAGTTGAAAGTGGGAAGTTAACCTCTGCGGAGGGTGCTGCCGCGATAGCTGCTACCCAAATACGCAATCAGACCAACTCGGTAACAAGAAATCAGAATGTTCATACTCTGAGCACTACTTTATCGCCTTGGGCTATGAAAAGTTTAGCTGAAGCTGTTTTGAGTTCGGCACCTTTACCAGCAGCTGACTCACTGGTTAACGAACCAAAGTTGATACAAACTCCAGATGCTATATCTCCTGATATCACTAAATTTACTGATTTTAATTTGATGGAAAATATCGAAGCTCCAATTACACCAACCTCAGTAGTGGATGATCAAAATTCGACTGTTGTTTGTTTGTGTAAGCAACCTTTTGCTATTTCAGATGGAATGGTACAATGCCACACTTGTTCTGAATGGTATCATTACGATTGCGTTGGTCTTTCCTCGGAAATAGTTAGTACTTTATCAACCTATATATGTCCCGAATGCTGCAGCAAACAGGGTAAGTTATATCCATTCAATACTCGTCCTCGTTCTGTACCCTCTTTGTGGGCTTCCCAGACATACCCCCCTAGTGTCCTTCAAGGGACAACCGAGAACTTCTCAACGTTGAATAAAGCATTTACAACTTCTGCGAATCTTTTCGATATGTTGACTCCGATGGATACAACGTCGTATAGCTCAAAGGTTGACTACTTTCTCGAGGATAAAAAGCCGGATCTTTTTACAGAAACTTACCTCAGCATGTAGCATTTTGGGCTTATGTTTATTTATCATGTTGATTCAACTTTTTCTATGACTATAACGGTATATGATGGCGATTTCTTTTTATTTACTTTAGCTAGAACAGACTAAAGTCTAACGAACTTAATACTAATGTGTATATTATTTGTTTACAAAGAGATACAAAAAGGAAGCCCATAGAATGCTTTAACGATCACGTATGTAATAAAAGAAAGAATGGTGAACGTAAATCAAAAAAATCTGCAAGTTTGTAAGAAGGCATCATGCTACTTCAAGTGCCTTCCAAAGACCGTCATTATCCATATAATCATGGTGTATAATGGATACAAGCCATCTGTCGTTTGTGCAATGGTCTAACAACTTTCTTGTTGCTGTATTTTTAGAATACAAGTACGCCCATTCAGCCCATACATCAAATGCTTCATTCATCCAAGCTTTAAAAGATACCTCTGCAATGATCGTAGACTGAATAATCTCTCTTCCTGGATAAACACCCCAGGTGACAGCACTGGCCCCATCGCTCGGGGCATTGGTAAGAAAGTCACCTTTCTTATTTCCAGCGTAATAAGTGATCTGTTCATTATCATGCCATTTCTTAAGATATTTTTCGAAATCCTTCGAGCTTATGAAAAATTCAATAAAAGCCTTTTGGTACACTTTTCCGCCTTTTGGACCCCAACCAAAGACAGGATCCGTAGAAGCAGCACCATTGACAGTGGGCTGACTACCTACTGTCCACCAAGTACGGCCATTAACATTGAGAAGATGTTGCGAAATCATTTTTGTTTCGTCATCAACAGTCTCATCAATCCATGGAATAGCATGGATGTCATTCTTAATGTGCCTTTGAAATAAAGAGGTAATATCGGATTCGTCCACGGGATATCCCCAAAGACGAAGGGCTTCTTGTGGAGGAAAATGCAAGGTAGGACCATAACCATCAATCTCACCATAAGCCGGAGACCTAGGATCACCAAAACGACCATTAGGGAAGTCATCCCAATTTGCTTGTCTTCCCAAAACACCACTTCCTTCAGAAACAGAAAAGGGGGCATCAGCTGTAAGACTGTCTCTATGGGTAGCGAGTGCAGTTTCGTTGGGTTGATTACGAAGGGATGCAGAAATACCTTTTAGCGAATCGTCAGGAGGAATAACGACATGATTATGGAGTTCTGGAGTTTCGTCCAAACTAAGACGCCTACGGGTGTTCTTTAGGGTTTTGCCGTCTTTCAGTTGAGATTCGTATTGTTCCCAACGACGAGTCAACAACGAGCTATTCTTGAGGATTCGAGCAACAGATTTCTCCAGGTTTAGAGTGCAAAAATGAAAACCAAGAATACGGTGATCTGTACTTTCTAGAATCGTCTTTATCATGTCCACGGCATGCTCAACACCTATGGATTTAACGGCTTCGTCATCAGACTTAACGGATTCTAAACGTTTTATCAATGACTCAGGGATACTGCAGCCACAAAGGCGAATCATCCTCTTAAGAATAGAAAAAGACTGAATAGGCATTACGGCAGGAATGATCGTTATATCACGAAACACACCCGACTCATGATTTCTCAATGTCTTCTCAAATTCGATAAATACATTAGGTTCATAAAAGATTTGGGTCATAATAAAATCTGCACCGGCCTTCACCTTCTCAACAAGGAAAGGTATATCATGAACGGGATCACGACTTAATTCGGGAACATTGGAATCCGCATGTCCTTCGGGATATGCTGCTACACCAATGCAAAAATAGTCACCATATTTTTCACGAATATAGCGTACCAAATCAACCGCATGCTCAAAAGCACTTAGTTTTCCCTCCCAATGATCGCTATTCAAAGGTGGATCTCCACGTAATGCCAAGATGTTACGAATACCAGCATTCTTGGCTGTTTCAAGCGTTTCATCAATAACTTTTCGGTCCACGTTTGTACAAGTTAAATGCAAACATGCTGGTACCTTGTGCTGATTTTCAAGTAACTTTGACAACAACACGGAAACACTTGCCGTACTACCGGCTGTTCCCCATGTAACACTCGAAAACAAAGGAAGCATGTTATTCGACATTCTTGTAATACGACTCATCAAGTTCTCCAATCCCACTGTCGTCTTTGGAGGAAAATACTCGAATGAGTAATACGTGCTTCCTTTCGGAAGTCCATGAATTAAGTCCACAATTTTCATAATATTTTAGTTATTATCTTCTCTAGTCTCCGTCAATGTCACACAGAAATCTTCAATTCCCTTTTTTCTCTAGCAAATTGTACTAAGGGCAATCGTGAGGAACAAAGAGTCGGGTCTTCGAATCGTTTAACGAGTCGGAACACATCAATTGAAATCAATCAATCTGTGAAAAGATCTTTTCAAATATCTTTCATCTTCATTAGGCAATGCCTCGATTCATTTCTTTAGCTTACCTTGGTTGATATATTTTGACTTGATCGAATTTGTAGCTGACCTCAGAATCGAAAGTAATTCAGTAGTTGGACTAAACGCAGACTATATTCAGAGGAAAATAATCGTAGACCTTAGAAAATTTTACATTTCTTGCCTTTACAGTGTATCAATTAAATAGAAATGTTGCATATTTTTGACACTTCCATTACACCTCGTATAGGGCGCGGAGCGTGCGTAGTAAGAAAAAGAAACACAAACAAACATCGCGTATCATTCAAATATAGTCACTGAACAATGGCAAAATAGAGAAATACAATAAAAATAAAATAAAAAGAGTGTTCAAAAGTGTCACGAACCGGGATCGAACCGGTGACCAACAGATCTTCAGTCTGTCATGCTCCCAACTACACCACCGCGACTTGGTTGAAAGTGAGTGTTTTTTAAACAAGATATTGTTGTGGAACATAATCCCGAACATTGGTTATTAATACGGTCTTGCACTGGCTTGATCTTTTTGTTGAATTTAGTTTCTATCTATTTGTCTGTCTTTTGAATTAATGACTTCTGGCAATTTCAAAACCTTTATATTGCAAAAATTCTAAAGTTTCATACAAACTGCAAAAATTGGAAATGGAAACCTATGTTGAGCTACGAATGATAATACTAGTCAGATTCTGCAAACAAGAAAAGGATTGTTGCATGTACGTATTCATTGTTTTATATAAGCAAACTGACTTTCAATAAGCGACTCTTTTCATACAAATATTTTTATTTACTGACATAATATAAACATAACCTGCGTCTGTTCTTTTCGTCTATATTTGCTTTTGAACAAGAGATGCGTTTCGTAAAGATGCTTGCTCAATGGTCACAGATGCATCATCCTCTAAAGTTTTCGCAGGGAAAGGCACGCATAGAATAAATGATCCTGGTGAAGAAGCACGCACAGCATCGTACAGATCGTGTACAGTATGAGATAGATTCAAAGTAACTATAGTTCTTGAACCATTCGTCAAGCGGATTTGTATTCTCGTAGAGGGCTGATTTTGATCAACGTCAATTTTCTTGGCAGGCTCCTTATTTTGAGAGGAAGCTTTTTCATGAAAAGCGCCAGGAACTTGAGCGTGTTGGGGAGCATATGTGCTTCCAAGACGCTGTCCCTTCCCAGAGAAGGGTTTCACTGGTTCTCGGTAATCTTCGTCAAGACGATGCTGCACTACTACATCAATGGGCTGATTCATTGTAACACCAAGCAAGTGTAATGGAGCGCGACCATTGTTGATTAGCCGAAGAGTTTCTTGATTCGCTGGATCATCATATGAGTAAAGTGGACCGTCATCTACGCTAAAACCGTTTCTCCAGAAATATAAAGTACGACGAACAGAAGCTTCAGGCTCACTCGCCGACTGACCTCTTGGGTGCGATGAGACTGGTCGAGGTGCAGCAGCTTGTCGTGATTGTGTGTCTGAGTCCACGGGATCATTTTCTGTCCCTAATCGTTGACCAGATCCGCTAAAAGCGGTTTCAGGTATCGGTGGTGAAGCCTCGTGTTCCATACCAGAAGATGTTGTATGTCTATGAGCCTTCTCGATAATATCACGAACAAGCTGTTTTTTGGGATCAGGTCCCTGTACTGACAATCCACTTTTTTCTCCTCCAGTAAATAAATTTGATTTCTCCTCTGAATCATCTTCGTCTTCTTGAAGATCTCTCAAAGTAGCAATCTTCTTTCGAGGAACATTTTTACCCTTAGAATGTGCGGCGGAATTCGAGGGAGGGTTAGGCTTCTCAAAGGTGCTTGGTAATGCAGGATTAGGCCTTGAGGAATTTGATTCAGGAGTAAATCCCTGGTTCATATCCTGAGTTCCTTCGTGGTCGGGAGGCAAAACCTCTCCTAACAGAGTAGCGGCTAATTCATAGTTCCAATTCGTAGATTCCAAGAAAAATTGAGCTTGCGTGCTTTCAACATAAAACTCGTTACAGAACTTAGTCAACAGATCTTCATGATTCATGATTATACGTTCTTGTTAGACACTTAATAAAATACTTCTATAAACAAATGTAATGAATCTTTTCGCAGTTAAGATTTCGTAAAAAAAAAAATAATTAAAGTAGGTCAGAATAAATATAGCAATGAGCAACTCTTTCTTAAATAACTGAAAAGTTCTGTGGTTGGTATTTGTCAAGTTCTACTACTGTCAGTGTGGAAACTAAGGATGACAGAACTCTCCAAAACTGGATTACCTTGAATCAAAAAAAGAACCCCAAAATTAAGAATTGATTTATTATTTACGACACAAACCCTTGGTAAACTTATTTTACTTACCCCAGTGTAACACTTCCTATACTTTAGTGTACACTCTCTCCTACTACCATTAGACTGCACCATAGTGCTACTCTTTATTAGGACTACCCGTAGCAGTTTACTCAAAGTTAAGAAACATATAATGGTTCTTTATGAACTTTTTTGTATTACCAGGCCTGCTGTAAATGCAACTCGCACGTCAGCTCCCGTAAGTGGTTTGCCGATAATCTGAAATTTTGTTACAAGGAAGTTTGTTGTCTTTCTGATACGGTTTCATCAATATTTCATTCTTTTTTTTTAAAACAAACTAACAATTACATAGGTATCAGCAATTAGTGTTGCTAGGAATTGTGGAAAAGCAGTCTTGGATAGCAAAGGTGTAGTCGTTGATATTGAGTCGATGGGCCTCAAAGAACTCGCAAAGCCCATAAAAAAATTAAATAATAGGCACAATTTTGGATACTGGTGGACAATGTCGTTCTACTCGAGCCCTACTGTTCAACAAGAACTCCAGCGTATACTGCGTTTGGAGCCAACAGTTCTTCGATATACCCTTCTCAAAAAATCCGATAAGTATGTCAATCCTGCTTTCCTTTTTGAAAGCAAGTAAATGATGCTTCGTTTTGCTAACGCAGTCAGATTAAATTATCTTGGTTGACATTTCCACTAAGTAAACAATTGCTTGATGCAGACCATTGATAAGTATTCAATCCCCTTAACTGTTTAATATTCTAGATAATACCTTTGAAGGAATAAATAGTCATTCATGTCGATATATGTTATATAGAGATTTAGAACGAGTAAATGCTTTATAGTATGTGCTTGTTTTAGTTAACCATATTTGTTAAACTTGAAAGTGCATTTGATTGTTTAGGATTTCTCTTTGATGTTTTCAAGTTCGGTTTCACATTATACTCATTTTCGTTGTTTTGATTTGGTTTCACTTGATCTATTCCAGGCATTAGCACGGGTGGATTTGCCATCGGTGTCGACGGAGGTGGTGGAGCAGCCATATATTGTGAATATATGTCAAATGGAATCGGTTGCGTAGGTAACTGAACAGCAGGTGATGTTAGCGTCGGCTCTTGATTAAACAGAGCATTCAGTCTTTTCTTTCTTTCCTCTTTCTTTTCCGCAAAGCTAACGAATATTCTCTTTTTACCCACATATGTGTTGTTTAAAAAAGATATAGCTTGCATCGCTTCGGATGGATGATTGTAAGAAACGAATCCGTATCCTTTAGATATTCCAGTGTTTGGATAGCTAGCTAAAACGCATGATTTTACCCGACCGAACTGGGAGAAAAACTCCTCGAACTGTTCTGAGTTTCCTACTACATCATCATCGATATTTTTGACAAACAAATTACACGGGTCTAGTGCTGGGGGAGTATTGTTATCAACCGCGTTTAAGCCAGTAGGCATTGGAACAGGAGGTGAAACGAAAGGAGGCGGAGGAGGAAGAGGAATCATTGCTACAGGCGGCTCCATACTTGCAATGGGTTCAAACGGCATCAACGGCAGGGGTGCAAGTGTTGACTGGGTCGATGGAACTACTGTAGGCGGGATCTGTCTTTGTCTTGGTTGTTTCACAAAAAACTGAAGCTGTGTACCCTTGTATAAGAAATTTTTAAAGGAAGCAATAATCTGAGATGGTTAGAAGTGGTCAAATAGCATTCGAAAATGTTTCTAATAAAAATTTACCTTTGAGCAATCTTCATGAGAGTTGACAGCTAATTCGGCATATAACGTTTGATCTGGATTCGGAGTTTGATTAATTGCTGCTCCTAAGATCTTTCCATATTGAGAGAAGTCTTCATAAAGATCGACGGGTGAAGTTTGTTTTGGGACGTTTAAAATTCCAATTACCATAATTGGATTCTCAAGAGCTTCGGAATGAAACAGTTTATCTAAAGGTATGCTTGGAAGAAACTGATAGTTGTTTATGAATGGTGGCTCGAATGGTGGCTCAGTGTTGGATTGTAATGTATTTATTTCATTCTGAGCAATTGAGCTTCCATCTGTAAAGTTCGGAAGATTGAGTGGACTCACTTGCAGCGAAAATAAATTATTTTCGTCGCCGGAAGTAAAGCTTATGTTTGGTTCGCGTGCTTCTCTTTCTATGCTAGAATAAACAGTGCCGCTTCTGTCCTTTTTTATTATTTCGTGCTCACCTCCTTGACCTTGGACATTTTCATATTTCAGGTGTTTTCGCGAGTCATCCTCAACTTGTTTTAATTGCATATCTTTGAGACATAAGGCATCCTTATATTGAGAATCTAGTTTTGATAAGCTTGGATCCTCTTTCTCTTGTATTTGAGCGAATTTACATATGGCTGGTTTGGCTGGATGACGTTTTTCAACGATACTACAGGGTATTAGCACAAGCATGGCAGTTTACTATCATTTCACATACAGTCGATTTCCCTCGTACAAAGAGCAGTGCAGTGCTTGAACAATAGCGTCTACACATGCCTGTGTTTCAACATAAACAAATGCAAACAATGCCGAGCCTTTGATATTGACATTTTTTCTTTTTTTTCGACTCAACACATGTGCTTCCATTACATTTCCTAAAGTAAAATTAGCTTAGGGAACTTCAGTTGAATGGGAAAACCTACCGTATGGTTTGCAAAGGTTGATGACATTTAATGCTTGACAACCATGTGGTAAATTACCAATGTAGATGGATAGATCCCTATTTTTCTGCTTCTTAATTGTATCCTGTGTTCTCTGTTCTTCTTTCATTGCTATTAAATTAGTTGGTTGATAAAAGCAAAATTCAATTCAATGTAAACAAATATTCGGGATAACGAGGCGTTATATCTCGTTATGTTCAGTATGGTTTTATTTAACCTTTGACGTTGTACTGTACAATTAAAAAATAACGTATTAAAAAAGTTTCTAAAAATTACATACCGTGTTCTATGGTGTACTGGGTATTCAGGATTCGCATGCTCCAGAGTGTTCTTTTTACCAAATATCGCTTGAAAAACCAATTGTGGACCAAATTTGCTATATATGGTAAATCTAACTATTCTAAATTCTTCTTTTAGTCACTCTTTTCTTCAGAACTGTCTTCCTCCGGTTGCCTCTGGCTTACAGTCTTTAAAATGTCGGTTCTATCACAAAACGCCAGCAACTAGGTACATCGATGCTTCTGCCCAAGTGGTATCCCGTAGCCCTGCTGCTGTCAGCAAAACCGGAGCTATAAAATATGATTCTCCTGCGGCTCCTTTGCTATCCCAGGACGTGCTGATCGTGGAGCGACAATTAGAGATGATGAATGTGTTTCTTGGCTATGAACAAGCCAATCGTTATGTTATCCTAAATCATGAAGGTCATCATCTTGGATATATAGCTGAGAAGGGTCATGCTTCGTTTCTCTCCAGTATGTCTCGACAGCTATTTCATACACATCGTTCATTCGTTGCAGACGTCATGGATGTACATGGCAATCCTATTTTACAGTTGCAAAGACCTTTTTCATGGATCAATTCCCGTCTCAATGTTAGTGCTTTTGATTATTCATCAAGCCAACCGTCATTAGTTGGTGAAGTTATCCAGAAATGGCATCCTTGGCGTCGTAAATACCAGCTGTTCTTAAGTCAATCCGATATGTTAGATCAGTTTGCTGCGGTTGATGAGCGGATTTTAAGTTGGGATTTCTTGCTACGTAACGCTGACAACCAAATCCTTGGAAGTGTCAACCGTAACTTTATGGGCTTGCCAAGAGAGTTCTTTACCGATACGGGTAATTATGTTTTGCGATTTACTTCTGAAGATGCAAACTCGGGAAATGCCGATACCAATCAACTCTTGCAAGCTGCCGAAGGTGATAGTAGTCAAATTTGCCCACGCGAAATGAGTTTAGAAGAGAGAGCCGTTATGCTTGGATCCGCTGTAACTATTGACTTTGATTATTTCAGTCGTAGCAATAGTCCTGCAGCAGGTTTTACTTTCCCAATTATGTTCGGTTCCTCTTCTCCAGAAAGTGATTACCAATCTGAAGACATATCCGCTCAAGAGATACTTAAAGATGAACAAAATCCAAGTCATACGTCGACTGAGAACTCAATGCCAGAACAAAGATCTCCCTTTCTTTCCGATGCTGACCTAGATCGCTCTAACGATTTTTGGGATGTTTTTGACCAAGACTCAGATGATAGGTGGTAAATTTAGCTTAATGCTAAGTTTTCATGAAAATCACTTACTTCTGATCGTTATGATATCTATATGTGTTTATGCCTAAAAGATTACGAGTTTATATGTGGATTACTTTACTTTAGTTGATATTTCCCTTTTTGATAGGACGGTGCTGAGTTAGTTATAATTATATTAAAAATTAATTGCATTCATTCATCGAGACCTCTATGGAGTTTTCGGCATATTCTTTAATAATTGAAGAGTTTAGATACTTGTAGAACTGATTAAGGACATAATGGAAGACTAAATTGGTAAATTAATTGAGTATCACACTCTAACGCTTAATTGCAAAATTAAAAAATTACTCAGCAAGGGCTTGAAATTTGTCATCGATCTTCTTATAAAGTTGTTCGTAACGTTCAACAAGTTCTTTTTCACCATCATTAGGATTTTCAAATTTCATGGAAGAAAGTTCATGGAAAAGATCGGAAGTGCCTTCACGGATTTTAGACCATGGAACATTGCCTTGCTCAACGGCACCCTTGGCTTTCCCGTAATAAGAAATCATGTTTCTCATCATATGGTAAGTTTTGTAGAGAGGACAGCTACGATCGTAGTCGGAATAGCCGTTTTGTTGTAAGAAATCGTTCTTGATAATACCAGCCATGTCTAAAGTAACCTTGTCGCTCTCAGAAAGAGCAGACTTACCAACCAATTGAATGATTTCAAGCATCGAATCTTCTTGTTGGATAATTTGTTTAATTTGATCACGTAAAGAGTTGAAACCGGAAACACGGTCTTCATACCAAGGAGTCAAAGCATTTACATACTTGGAATAAGATAAGGAGGTATTAATAGAGGGGAAATGTTTACGCTGAGCCAATTTCTTGTCCAAACCCCAGAAAACTTGCACAATACCCAAAGTAGCACTAGTGACTGGATCAGAGAAGTCACCACCTGGAGGAGAAACAGCACCAACAATCGACACAGTACCTTCACGTTCAGGACTACCTAAACAACGAACACGACCAGCCCGTTCATAAAAAGAAGCCAGTTTAGCACCAAGGTAAGCAGGATAACCAGAGTCAGCAGGCATTTCAGCAAGACGACCAGAAATCTCACGGAGAGCCTCAGCCCAACGAGAAGTAGAATCAGCCATCATTGAGACGTTCTTACCTTGATCACGATAGTACTCAGCCAAGGTGATACCAGTATAGATGGATGCTTCACGGGCAGCCACGGGCATGTTTGAAGTATTAGCAACGAGAGTAGTACGTTTCATAATAGGTTCAGGAGTTCCGTTGATATCAATGGTCAAAGCAGGGAAGTCCATCAAAACTTCGGCCATTTCGTTACCACGTTCACCACAACCAATGTAAACAATCATATCCGAATTGGAATACTTGGAAAGAGATTGAGAAATTACAGTTTTACCGCAACCAAAAGCACCAGGAATAGCGGTGGTACCACCTTGAACACATGGAAACAAGGAATCGAGAACACGTTGGCCGGTGAGCAGAGGTTGATTGGCGGTAAGGTTATCGGCCACTGGACGGGGAGCACGGACAGGCCAAGTCTGTAACATACCAAAAGATTGTTTTTTGCCATTGAATTCCACTTCCAAAAGCTTGTCAACTACGGTGTAGGAACCTGCTTCGGCGATAAAAGTGACCGTACCACGAGATCTAGGAGGAAGCATGATTTTATGGTCACTAAAAAGAGAGTTTTCAAAAACGGAACCAAAAACATCACCACCGGATACGTGATCACCGACACGAAGCTTCTTATTAGGTGTGAAATCATATTTACGAGTACGGTCTAATGCTTCTGTATTGATGCCTCTGGGAATGTAAATACTTTGAGCTTTGTCATGGATTTGTTTTAATGGGCGTTGGATACCATCGTAAATGGTTTCAGCAAGACCTGGGCCTAATTCAACAGACAAAGGCTTTCCTGTACGTTGGACGGGATCACCGACAGTAAGACCAGAGGTTTCTTCGTAAACTTGAATTGTACATTTGTCTTGGTGAATTCGAATAACTTCTCCTACCAATTCATCATGACCAACGCGGACAAGCTCATACATAGAGCAACCAAGCATGTTGGAAGCAACGACGACTATTTTGAGTCAGTATATTGTTCCAAAATTAATCATTTTGCCAATTTTCAGATGTCATACCTGGTCCTGAAACACTAAAAACGGTGCCAAAGCGGTTTTCGTGTTCATCGTAATTTTTCAGGCTTCTGATCGCCTTTTTGGCATTCTCAATCCCTCCAGCCTATTTTATTAGCTCCAATCCCTTTGGGTAATGTTCTCTGTCGATTAAATTACTTACCATTGAGTAATAATTCTATAAAATGTGGATGTAGGTGAAGGTTGAATCTCAAATGTTGCTGTCCTGGTGATCTTGCTATTTCTTATTTGAGCCCAACGAGATCCAGTAATTGTGTTCGTTATCAAAAATATACCAAAAACAAATAAAACATCGCTAAATGCGATTATTAAAAGCTGTAGACATTACAAATAAAAGATATAAAAACCAAGAACAAAGACTACAAGGGAATTGTTCTGATACCTTTAGATGGATCCCTCAGGTAGATAGCCCTTCTTTACAGATAAGAGAAATGGTCGAGCAAAGAATTCAATTGCTTAAGTTCAAAAGAAGTTTTACAAATCATAGTAAGCGAATTCAAATCTAGCTTTCTTTAGACATATGATAATCATGGTTGTAGTTTACGTATGATGCTTTGGTGGTTTAGTGGTATAATGCTTCGTTGCCATCGAAGCGACCCGGGTTCGATTCCCGGCCGAAGCAAATTTTTCTTACATCCTGTAATACAGTACATTATTCGCTATCCGTAGTTCAAGCAGATGGAAATTAATGTACATTTACTGTTTTATTTTGTTTCTACATATGCAACAAGTGGTTAGCATAGTACAGAGGCTTGATTGAACAAGTATTATTTAAGGAATGATTGACAAAATTAAGCATTTTCCTTGACTACAGATATATAAAAGCGCGAGGAAGAATACGTATTCACTTTTTCATCGCTAATGCAAAATAATATATGATCATTAGGAATGCGTAAATTTTCAATAAGGGAGACAATTTTAGCACTTTCGGACTGAATAAAATTAAAAAACGGATTTGTTTTCGTTGTACATTTACCAGTGTAAATGGTGTAAAGAAAAAATTGCTTCGGCCGGGAATCGAACCCGGGTCGCTTCGATGGCAACGAAGCATTATACCACTAAACCACCAAAGCATTGTTAGTTAGTTATTTTAATAATCTATAATAACTCATTATATAAAAGAGGAAAGTAGTAAGTGCCTCTTGACTTACATTGACTTGACTGCTTGGTTTCTATAACCAAACGAAAGCTTTGGTAACTTTTTCAGGCTCAGGACTTAAAGTTTATTATAATGAACGAGGCTTGTAGAGGTTGGCTATAAATGTATAATGCATCTATTGGATTAAACTGTTTTTAAAGCTACGAAAATAATCAACAATGGCTGGGATCGTTGTTTCGATATATCCAAACAGAGTACAGCTTATACATTGAAGCAAAGTCGTAGCTTAGAGTAACAAATACAAGCGTATAAAACAAGCTGGATTTTTTTTCTTACTAGATTACAGAGTTGTAGTTTACATTGGGGTATGTGGATCTTGTTACTGTTACCTCTTAAGTAACCGTGTTTATAGTTTGCGAGTTCATTTGAAAAACATAAAGATTGAATAATTAAAAGGAAATAGGATCTGGTTCAAAATATATTTTTAAAAGTATACACTTTAATAGAAATCACTTGCAGCTGATTATGATATTTCTAGTCATTCGATGTTAAAGACATATATTCTCAGCAAGACTCAACAGCGGATGGGTTAATGACTCCTAAGCTATAACTAAACTTCTTTGTACTTGAATTTCGCTTATCAATGGTTAAAAGTTATTTTACAGTAATCTTGGCTATCCGTTCTTACATTTTAGATCTATCATTACCTAACTTTCCATTTTAGGTCTTTCACCATTATACGTCGTAAGGAATAATCATAACAATTCATAATTTTGCTAAATCTCAATCATTGAGTAAATGTAAAGTCTTCTATCTCAATCACACAAGAATCTCAGATATGTACAACCTTAAAACCATGCACAATATAAGTTATAGAAATATGCTGAGACGTTAGTGCTGAATTCCATTGCATATCTTTTCAATAATCGAAAGTGATTTAGGTGGAAAAAGCAGACTCTTATTTAGAGCAGAAGATCTCGTACTTCATCACTGATACCATGTACTGAGGATGGACATTAACAATCACATAACTTCAAACTATAGTCGTTCTTTTGGTTTGAAGATATTGGTTGCAGTTAATTTCCACCAACGTCTTTCTTGACGATTCGTCGGACCGTTGTTTTCAAATCCACCTTGAGTGGAAACATATTTACCATTCGAATGAGAAGAGGGAAGATTGGAGTATGCGTTTTCAACACCCGTAGGGCCCGTATCTAAAGTAGCTTGAGTTTTCTTAATTCTTTCAAAAAACTCAACATATTTCTAAAACAATTTATAAGTAGTTAGCCATCTTATATTCTGTCGTTTAATAATGTCGTTAATAGTGCTTACTCCGGTATCAGCTATCTCCCTCGCGTCAAGAAGTCCGTATGGATAGTAGTTCATCTTTAAGTACCTAGCAGTTGTAAACAATATAATTTCAATTGTGCATGCAAATATTGAATTTGTTCGATGCCCTAAGAGATTCACCTTATTTATTTACAGTCGGTTAGCCTTTACGCAACCTTTATGACACATCGTGTACGAAATATTTGCGGCGAAAAGTAATAAACGAAGTAATCGAAGACGAAAAATTATAAACAACTTTATTTCAGATAAGATGGGAAGTTATAGATGAACTTTATTATTTCATCACCTTACATTTCTTATATCCAGGTGCTCCATCTACTGGTTAAAAGTAAACATTTATTTACATAACACAACATAAATGAAGCGAATAAAATTTAAGATACTAAACTAGAACCATTGCCACGATATTTAAATCTTCATTTGGATAAGAGTATTCGACGTTGATTTAATTCAATCTTGCAAGCATAACGAACGAAAAATCTCAGATGTGCCATCTAAAAGGTTTAAGAACTAATGAGAATTGTAAAGTCTTGAGAAGTAGAATTAACCAATATTTTCAATCTGGAAACATTTGATTCTCGCTAGTCATTCCACAATGAAGAGTATATAAAAAGTATGGCAGCGTTATTATACCTACCGCCTGGGCTAAGGTGAATCTACCAATCTTTATGCATCCTATCGTATGAATCCAATATTTAGTAACTCCCTAATTTAAATATCTAAAAGGAAACTAGTCAACGTGAAAGCATTAGTTTTAAAAGGGAATCCTGATTTTTTATAGATGTAAACAAACTCGAATTTCTGAACGTCGTTACTTCAATGTGACTTACATGTACGTAAATAATGCGAAATTTATCGAAAGCGTCAATACTTTAGTTACAAATTTATACTTAGTGGATTATTCTTTACCTACAATGTTTCGTTATCTTATTAAGCTGACTTCTATCTGATGTGACGATCGTTGCATTTCGTGGGTACAAGAAAACAAACCACTTCCTCTTATAGTTGTTAAAATACAAAAGACAATAAGATAATGTCCTCATAGTATTTTCAGCAAACAGGACTTAGTTTACGTGTTTGCGATTGAAATGTTATAGTCCTCTGGACTTTCATAATATGTTCACCTTACCCTTCTGCTCCTCCTTACTCTTGGAGAGCATCATACAAGAAGGGCAAGCGTTATTGAACATTATTAATGTTTATAAAAAAATTGATATTACCAATAACAATAGTTAATTAGAGAGGAATAATCAGGAGAAAGCCTACAGCATCCCGGATTCCCATGTTGTCTCCAACCATAGTACTAACGAGACCCTCAGACGCTTAACTGCAGTGATCGGACGGGAACTGGTGTTTTCGCCTAGGTGTGGCCGTAGACATTTACAATGTGTAACTAAAGTATTTGTATTTGTAGTGGGTATTCATCATCTCAGATTTTACAAAGTTGATAGAGGATGGTTTTGATACTTACAAGATTAAAGCACTCTGTTGTTCTCTTTTCTAGCTATTCACATTGTGCTAAATTGTCGTTGAGGTGTGAGACCAAATGTCTGAATTTATAGCAGTTGACGAAGCTGTAGTTTGAGAAGTAAATTATTAGACTACATTAGTTGAAACGGCCAATCTGAATATGTCCAGCTTTGAATTAGAAATCGGTTGACTATTTTGCAAGATTATCGTCATAACAACTAAATGACTATTAAAAAAGGGTGGATTAATAAGGATGTTCATCACAAAAAGAAAACGAACGATTTATAAATAACACTATTGCGAGACGAATTCGTAGATCCATAAAAGAGTGAACGTGAAAAGCAATCAAACCCGTCATATCAAGCTGATGCTTACTTTTGTGGACAAGAATGCAGAAACTTGAGGGATTGCAATTGATATGAATGCTTGTAAGGAAAATGTGATTTATAGGAGGGATGGAGAAGATTCGTTAAAACTCAAACTTCACCGCTTTGCCCAGCAAAAGGTTGAAGCTCGATTTCCTCGTTACGAGGTGCTTCATTTTCTGGATCTGTCGGTCCTAATTAGGTTAGTCAGAAAAAAAAAAAAAAAAAGTTATAATAAACAGTACATACGAACATAATTCGTAGCATTTCTTATGCTGTTTCCCATGCCGTTTCCTAAATCAGCAATGAATGTTCGAAGTTGTCGCGTATCCGTCGTACCTAGAACAGTTAGAATATTTCGCAGGGTGTAAGACATACTCCAAAATAAAACAAACAAGGCAACGTTAAAAAAGCAGACACCATAGAAAGCAATATCGTTCATCTTTTCAAATCCTATTATTTTCTTTACATTACGATAGAAGACGAAACCAACGACATTCAGAGAAGCCGTACATATTACTGCGACACACATGTTGGGCAGTACACTACGAATTTGCGTGAATAAGTAGGACAGCACTCTACCAGTTTGCTTGAACCATTCTTTAGGAATTTGAGACATTGCTAATAGTTAGTAAAATAAAACATAGCGCTAACTTACAATAGAGAAATACTACAATGGACGCTGGACAGGTAACCGAAAGTCCCCAAAAGGTTTCCGTCCTCACAGGAATCTTGAAATAAAAAAACACCACGAGAAAAATAGAATAAGTTACAACATACACAAGAGACGCAAAAAAAAGAAGATATTCGCTGAAACCCACTTTGAATATGTCGAATTCGACCCAGTAATGTTAGTGGACTCTTGGGCAGAATGTTGAGTGGATCCATCAGCCATTTCTAAATCAATAAATTTGTTCGGAGCTATAAATGTATTAGTAATGAATGCTTTTGTTGTTTGAGAAAGGATGGAGCGTTTGTCAAGTTTGCTGATGGTAATCAACAAGTTTATTAATCTTAAACACAACAAGTAAATAAACAAACATGATTCTTCATCAAAACTGTTTTTAGCCTAGATTTTTTCAACAAACATATAAAAAACCAACCCTTCCTTTCTATTTCAATAAATCTTACCTGAATACGGAGGAGGCGTACCCTCTGAAGAATGTATATCTGATTTCTCATCAATGAGCGTTTTGAAAGACTCGTCAGAGTCTGAAACAGGACTGTATTTATTCTTCATTTTTGCAATGGCAAACCAAAAACCAAAAGAACACCAATACTTATAGCTGAAACAAAATCAACTAGAATTACCAAGAAAAGTCCGTAGAAATCGGTTCTACCTTTCAGAGATCTTTAAAAAAAGGAATTGTTCCTTATTTCTAAAGAAAATCAATACCTTGAGTAAAATCTGTCTAAAACCAAAGATAGGAATAAAAAAAAATCTTGGTAGTGGCCTTTCGCATGTCTCAATTTCATAAGCAGCGACACTATGTCACTGACTGGTCACATCCTCGTTACGATTATTTAACATTGTGGGTTCACTATGTTTTTAAGTAATGGGTATAATCCAAACAAAGTTCATATTACAAAAAGTAAACAAAGAACCTTTCATCAAAAATATACAAGCTGTATACTTTAAATAACATATACAAGAAATAGGAATTAAAAATAACTTTATTTAAAAATCCTTGAAGAAATATGTCTATCTAGGGGCTTTAACGCAGTGGAAGTTGATGTAGATGGAAAGGAAATCATTGTTATGCTGGGTCGGGTCTTCTGATTGTCCTCTAGCTTGGGCTATGCTTGTTTTTTTCTGCATATTATTTATTACACCGCTTTTCCATGACTATACTCTTGATTAAGGTCCATTGCTTTAGCTTCTTCCATATTCAAAACATCACCTAACTCAAAGCACAATGGCGATCAAAACGAAATCCAAACGCAACACGATGCATGCATACGTTACACTAAGAGGTAAAAAAAGAAAAACATCAAGAAGAAAAAGCCTACAGCATCCCGGATTCCCATGTCGTTTCCAACCAAATTACTAAACCCTCAGACGCTTAATTGCAGTGATCGGACGGGAACTGGTGTTTTCTCCTAAATGTGGCCGTAGACAGTAGAGAGTGCAATAAGATGTTTTTAATAAAACATTGTAATTGAAGAATGTCGCATCTATTATGTGCATAAGTATAACTCCAAATCTCGATTTACAATCAGATCGCAATTCAAAAATATTAAATACAAGTCAAAGCCTATTTAGCAGTTTCTACACACGGTTTAGGTGCCCATTTGTTATGTACTTTGAATGAACTTGTTCGATGTTCCAAAGCGATTCCTCGGCAGTCTATTAATACTTAATACAATAACAGGGAAAGAATACAAAAATGTTTCAATTTATAGATCGTATATTCATTTCTATAAATAAACGACGCTTAAAATCTGCTTGTGTTACTTCGTTATTTCCAAACGCTATGTGCTACATACTACAGTTCTTGACCTTTACCTCATTTAACAATTCCTTCGTGTTAGGAATAAGGATTGAAACGAAATTCGACTCTGAAGGAAATTTGTTTTCCAGTATATTTAAGAATCGTAACCTTCAATTTACGTGGACTCAGTTCGTTTGCTAAAGTGCAGCCGCCGACGGGAAAGGATCTGAGCTTTCAGACACAACCAAAGAGGAAACCCTCCTTTATTCAAGAGTTAGGAAGTCGCTCTACACGCTATAAGATGGAGCTGACTAAAGTATGGGAACAAGAGATCATTCGTCTCATCCTTCAATTCTTGAGTGATCACGGCTATGGGTATAGTACATTCGTTCACCTGCAAGGACATTCTATAATTATGAATTGCTAACTTACTATATATAGAAGTACTTTAAAATGCTTGGAAAATGAAAGTGGACTTTGTTATGAAACAGAAAATGTCAAAACGTTTCAAACAGCGGTTCTTTCCGGTGACTGGCAAATCGCCGAGAGTTGCTTTGCTTTAATGAAGTTAAGGGACGAAAGCAAAAGAGATGTAAGTTTACTCATTGACATTGAAGGGATTATACTAACAATGCTAAAAGGAAGCACTTTTCCTTCTACAAAAACAGAAATGTCTAGAGTTAGCTGAAAAGGGATCTCTTTGTGAGGCAATCTTTGTTTTGCAAACAACCAATAATACTTATTTTAATCAAAGCAAAGAGGAATTGATCTCGCAAATAATGTTTTCGAGAAAAAAATTCACAGAATCTGCGCACGGCGTAAAAGACAATCGTCCTGCTTTATTAAATGAACTCTCACTCTACATAAGCGCTGACATTATGATGCCGAAGAATCGACTCTTAGAACTTTTGGAACAGGCAAAGAACCACCAGATTTCTTCTCAGTGCTATCATAATGTTTTAAAAAACTTTACCTTTCTTTCTGACTATCAAGCCGAACCTAGTGAAATTCCAACAAAGGAAATACATTGTTTTGACGATCATACAAGCGAGGTTTGGCAAATTTCTTACTCAAATAATGGCAAGTATTTAGCTTCCGCTTCGCAAGATAAATCTACCATAATCTTTGACTTGGCTAATATGAAGATGCTACACCGACTAATCGGGCACAGTAAAGAGGTTGCTTATGTGAAATGGTCCCCGGATGATCGATATTTGCTTACTTGCTCTAATGACTACTCGGTTATACTTTGGGATGCGTTTACCGGAGAGAAGATCCGACATTTAAAAGAACATACTTACTTCGTCAGCTGCTGCTGTTGGCTACCAGATGGCTTGTCTTTCATCACAGGCTCTCCCGATATGACCATTATACATTGGTCATTAACTGGTGAGATCATGCATAAATGGAAAGATGTCAATATTTACGATATGGCGATCAATAATGATGGCACAAAATTGTATGCTGTTGGGTACCAGAAACAAATGGAAAGTGAAGATAAGCATATTGCCGTTTACTCCATACCGACGAGAGAATGTCTTAAAAAAATTCATCTTGAATCCAAGGTGACTTCCATATCGCTCTCAAAAGATTCTCGCTATGCATTGACAAACATCGAGCCACATACAATATTACTTTGGGATATACAAGAATATCGCATTATTCGTCAGTACATGGGCCATAAGCTTGGGAACTGGTTGATTGGCTCATGTTTCGGTGGCCAAGATGACACATTTGTATTAAGCGGCAGCCAAGATGAATTTATTCGAATATGGCATCGTGATTCTGGAAAGCTGCTAAGCACTTTACCAGGACACTCGAAATGCGTGAACTACATCGCTTACAATCCATTGGATCCGTATCAATTTGCTTCAGCTAGTGATGATAACACTATCCGTATATGGTCAAACAAAGGCCGTCAATGAGAAAGCCTTTTTCTGTTCTCAATTTTTGAAAAAAGAAAAAAAAAACTTTCCATTTCGTTACGAACGTGAATGATAATTATCTTTTGTATGTCTCCGTAATATATATATATATATATATATGATTGAATGAATAGAATGTTTTGTCTAATCTTCTTAAAACCGTAACGAACTGGTATATATATATAGGATCGTCATAAACTAGTTGCCATAGGATTCATTATGTGTTAATAACATGTAGTTAAGTTTTCGTAAAGATGTAAATATTAGGCTCATGAGGATAAAGGTCAAACATCCTGTCGTCTACGAGAAGATTTTCGAAACGAACAGCTATCAGCACGAATCGCTCACCATAGGTGTGGATATGAGTGTTACGGTGTGATACTAGATTCAGCAACAACAAATGTTTGCCTGTCCATTGGGCATTGTCCTTGAGAACCTACTGTTGAAAGCCAATTTTCAATGCAATGAGCATGAAAGATATGTGTACACTTCCCCCATACTAAACACACATGTTAATATACAAATATGGAAATAAAAAGTCTCTTTCATCCTTATTCCTCATAATCGACCGGATTTTAAGCAAAGAAGTTATCTGAAGCATTGTTCACTCAAATACAGCAAGCGAGCCTTGACAGCTAAAAGAGGAAAAGTAACATTTCAGGATGACTTCCAAAAAAAAAAGGACTTAACGTATAGAGCTTCAAGTACATACCTATGGGGCAATCATCACCAGGAGTTAGACACTGAGGACAGCAGCCATCAAAAGGGACTCGACAAATGCCGCAAACATCGTCTTTAGGTGTTTTCCAAGTCCAATTAGCGACTGCATGATATCCTACAACTTGTTAGACCCATTATTTACTATAATTCTTACTTTTGATTTTCACTTTCATTGTTTTTGTTATTCTGTTTAGTACTGAAGTAGAAAGTTGTTACTTCGAGGAAAACTTCAGTCGCTTTATTGTTTTTTTCAGTGTCAAGTAGAAAATATGTAAACTGGTCGATTAAAAATTATAAAATAATAAAATTGAAAAGAGATTCCAACAACAACTAATCTTGTAGATCCAGAACAAAGAGACATGAGACACTTTTACTTTCATTACAGCCTACGCCTACGAAAAAGTACAAAAATAACGAAGCTACAGCATCATTGGTCATTCCTTACAAAATAGCAAAGGAAACCGTTCCAAATTCAGACCTTGCAAAAGCTTAGGATGCCAGTATGATGAAGATAAGAGAATGTGATAATCTTCATTTTTACAACAAAACACATTACATCTCCTTCTTTGAAATAAAGAATCAAAATTTTTATGTTACGTTTTGTAAATAGGAAAATAGAAACACTTTGACTAAAGAATCAAGTTAAGGTATGATTCACGTTATGAAAAGAGGAACCTAATAAGAAGAAGGGAACTAGGAAAGGGGATAATTATATATAGCTGATCGATATTCCATAGTAATGATAAGGACTATTACTTTTTCTTTCCTTCCATGAATTTACGTACGAGGGGCTCAACAGGTGGTAGTCGGAAACGAGGTTGGCGTAAATAACTTAAGTAGGCCCTTCTTGGACGTTTGGCGATACCATTCTCTTTCAGTACGGTAATACTTTTTATCTGCGGAGAATATACAGGGAATAAGACTTCCACACCCACACCCATTACATTGTTTCTTAACAAAAAGGAGCTTTTCGGTCCACGATGGCGTACTCGTAATAAGTAGCCAGCAAATCTGTTTATACTTTCTTTCATTGGATATTTGGAGTAGCTTTCCACTAACAAGACAGCTCCAGGTCTGACACGATCTTTTTGCGACCGGTGAAACATTTGAAAGCGCTTTCCGTCTACGTCCATTTTGTTTTGATATCGTTTTTCGTATTCTGAAACCACATCCTTAATTTTGGGTCCTTTCAATGGCTTTGGAAAGACAAATGGTCTCCGCAAAGTATGCAGAAACCGTTTTTGAAATGAGAATAAGCCAATATTCATGCTAACTCTTCCTCGTAAAAGATTCAGACCTTCCATAAAGATTTTTCTTTACTGAATGCAAAAAAATGAGGGTTTTCTAAAAACAACACCGTTCTCTTAGTAACACCTTCAACTTGCTTTAAAGAGACCCATTCCCACTTACTTTGGGAGGAATGCTGCATTGTATTATACCGAGTCATGGTAGATCACGCTAGCACGAATATCAAAGTCAAACAAGTTTCACTATATCCTGACTTCAGAAATCCTAAACATACACCACATGGTACTCGAGTGGGATATTCATAAGATTCTTTGAGGAAACCGAGGAAAGTAGGCATTCAGTATTGTTAGCTGCTTATATTTGCTTTTTTTTATCTTAAATATAAAAAGAAGAGTTCGTTTTCTATCAAATGAATCATCTAATAATCGATAGGAATGAACCGATGGGGTGTAAACAAAGCGGCTGCTGCTCATGGTTATGTCATATTGAGTTTCGAAGAGCTCTTAAAAGTCTTCATTATTAATTAAACGAAATACAAAGACTCTTAGCACTGGAAGAGAATCTATTTCTCTATAAAAAATGCGTTCTCTTTTCATTCCTGTAATCAAAAAGATATGGTAATATAAGCATAACGAGGGAAACTTGTACAGAACGTGCAGGATGAAACGCCAAGTTCTCCTTCCCTCATTCTACTAAATTGGTTCTTTAGATTTTTTATACCCTTTAAATTTTTATTTTCTTTTGTTTTTTGTAATTTTTCAACAGGACTACTAATGAATATGTGTGTTTTATCCTTCGCGATTTTTTGCTAATAATGTAAACAGTACCTGCTCTGCTCCTGGAAAAGTGCTTTTAGCCGGTGGATACATTGTCCTTGATCCTCAGTATAGTGGCCTTGTTGTGGGTTTAGACGCTAAAGGTTATGCGACGACAACCACCTCGTCAAGTCGTCAAGGACTTATTCATGTAAATAGTCCTCAATTTATTGATGCTGAATGGTCATATACGGTCGACTGGCATTCTTCCCCGATCCAAGTTTTCCAACAAAACGATAAGCAAAGTCCTAATCCATTTGTTCAGCTTGCTTTATTCTACGTCCTGAACTACATCTTCCCTTCCGGAAAGCAACCTGAGGATTGGAGAGACCTGAATGTCATCATTCAAGTAGATAACAGCTACTATCATCAACCAGAATTACCAAAAGACTTACATTCGTACCCCAAGTTCAATTTTCTTAATTGCAAACTACATGAAGTAAAAAAAACCGGTCTTGGAAGTTCAGCGGCTATGATTACAAGCTTCATAAGCTCTGTCTTTTTAACATTGAGTCAACTAACTGGCAAGGATTCAGCTCAACCACAATTGACCATACCTACAAAAACGATAATTCACAATCTAAGCCAAATTGCTCACTGTGCTGCTCAAGGTAAAGTTGGTAGCGGGTTTGATGTAGGTGCGGCTGTCTGGGGTAGTTGCATTTATCGTCGATTTGACCCTCAACTTATTCAGCATTTGCTTGTGGATCCCACCTACCAATTGACAGGTGAACATTTTTCTGGTGATCTAAGGCAGGTAGTACAGAAGGAATGGTCTCCTGTAAAGCCTTTTACTTTACCTTCACATTATCGTTTGCTCATGGGCGATGTTGCAGGTGGAAGTGGTACACCAGGAATGGTAAAAAAGGTTCAAAAATGGCAAAAAGAAAACAAAGATTCTGAGAAGCTCTTCAATGATCTGTATAGTCACGTCTCTGCATTACAACATCTGTTCATGTCAGCGACAAAGTCTTCCACCGATTTGCGTAATCATTTTCAATCTATAAGAAAGATTCTTCAATCATTGACTTCTCTAGCAAATGTGGACATTGAGCCTGAAGCTCAGTCTAAGGTCCTTGATAAACTTGAAGCCATTGATGGCGTAGTAGGAACTGGTGTTCCTGGTGCAGGTGGGTTTGACGCTCAGTTTTGCGTCTTACAAAATGACAAACATCAAATCGAAAAAGTTATTGATTTATGGAATTCTTGTGGTGTTACGCCTATGCAAGTAGGCCCTACGGATGCTGGTTTGTCCGTTGTAGATAACTTTCTATGAGTATTAACCTGAACGCATTTTATTAAGCAAAATACTAATGGAAGAGGAATTCTAGTCTCTATTCCTTGCCAAGACTTACGTGTACAGTGTTATTATCATCGATGTCCTTTCTTTGAATGCTTTTAATGAGTTTATTCCATTGAAGAGATCGCAAGCATAGAATACAGCGTCCCAAAACTGGCAAGATATGTTCTTCACCAGTTAAGAAATGGCTTGCTAAACATGTAGTGTGACTCGTCATGTCACAGTCGTCGTACAAACAATAAAGCAATGAATCATCTTCGCAAAGTTCACAGAGGCATATATCACACGTGGATTTACAACTCGCTTTATTCTTTGAAGGAAATTTGATAAGTTCTTCTTCAAAAATTTGATTATAGAAGTCGATAAGATTCCGTTCTTCCATGCTAAATTTCACAGAAGCGTTCCCTTTGCTTATTATGTTCCATCGTTCGAAAGCATGCTGGGAAAAAAAGGTTATCTCGAGAGGCCATCTTTTCCATCCGTTAGAGGAAACAATTTTTTGTAGAGAATTTAGAGAGCTGTTTATGCTCAACGTTCTCTTGATACTTTCTTGATTGTCTTTTGTGTGTCTAGACAAATTGGGATGTTGCCAAATCCACTCAAACTGTAGCGCTGAAGTTTTGTTAGGAAATCCATGTACTAGGCAAAGTACGATCCACGGTCGTCCGTTCCTCGTTTTCCAGGCTCCTCCTTGTAGTTCACCGTTGTGTTGTCGAAGGCGCTAAATCAAAGGTTAGCATGTGATTCGCTTTTTCAACATATACGACATTCACTTTGCATACTCGAATTGGATTAGGTGTTGAACCAATATAGAGAGATCTACTAGAAGCGGTTTTTTTAGACTGAATTAAATAGCAACAATAAAAAGAATGTTCTTGATTTGACATATTTATCGAAATCGCTTGACTCTATTTGCTTTATGATTCAAGCGTTCAAACTTCTTTTGTCATCCTTTATTTAATTTTATCGATAATGTCACAAGCAACGACGATGAATTAAGTTTTAATAGTAAAACAATGATAAAATTTAGATGACTATTGTTTTTTACTTGGGGTATACTTCTTTGTGTATTTTTTTCGATGCCAACACGAAGAAATATCTAGTCGTTAAACTTGTCGTTTCGTTTTTTTGAAGTAAATAGTTGCTTTTCTTCTTGTCTTGAAGGCTCTTTGCGTTGGATAATTACTGTTCACAGTTCAATAATTTTAGTGTAGGGAAGAATATATCATCGACGAAAAATTGTTAGTAAATGAATATTCGTAAAACTTTTTAGATTTTTGAAATTAGTTACTAAAGAATACTCTTATGTGCTTATGAATCGTATAGGGACATTAATTTCAAGAGCAATTCAGAAAAGTAGACGAATGTTGGTCGGTATGAATATGTTTGAGCATAGAACAGCTACAATACTCTGAGTTTTCAAATCAAATAAAATGAAGATAAAATAAAAGATTAATTCAATGCTTTATTTAAATGCATTCATATGAAAAACGTATTTAATGGATGTTATAAAGGTAAAAATCATCTCCGTAGATTTCGTATACATCACAGGAGATTATGAAGCAGACTTGTTCCCACATCTTAGGAAGTAAAAAGAACCGTAGTATTACATTAAATGTTGCCTTTGTAACTACTACTTGGAATACTTACTGAATGTTGAAATTTCCAGACCAATTTTCTTAAAGGAAGTACCATCATCTGGCGGGCCATTTTGCTTGCATACTTTCGAAATCTATCTAGTTCCTCAAATCAAGTATCTCACATAGTAATTGCCATATTCTTTAGCTTTCACACCCGAGTAAATTCGTTTCCAGTAATGTATACCTAATGTCAAAATAAAATAGTTTATAACTTCTACTCCAAATAAGAGGTAAACACTTTTTCCATATATAAAATAGATTAAAAAATAAAATATAAAAAAAAAATCAGAAAGCTTTTTACAAGATTTCAGCTTTTAAAAAAAAGGTATCCGACAGAAATATTTTTGAAATTACTATCGCATTGTTTATTTATACATTGTCATTTCGTAAGCTTATTCATATTTAAGGCACTATTGCGCGTAAAGAGCTGTTTCGGTAACATGTGTTAGCGGACTCGATGCTATTTTCTAATATTTTATTTCGGTATTGCAAGCAGGACAGTCACCGCCTGTAAAGATTTCGATTTAATTCATCCTCTACCAGCATCCTTCCACGGACTAGGAAAAGCCATTGTTCAAAATGCATTTAATGTATTACGTGAATGACGAAGGAAAGCGTGTTTACACGTTAAAGAAGAGGGCACCAAATGGTAAAGCCACTGTCTCTTCCCATCCTGCAAGATTTTCACCCGATGATAAGTATTCTCGCCAGCGTTATACTTTGAAAAAGCGTTTCCATATCCTTCCTCATGAAGTTGGTATGTAAAAGATAACACTCTAGCTGTTACCGAAGGAGCTAACGACACTCGTAAGCTGCCAGATCTTTTTAAAACTTCAAGAGTACAATTGTACAGTTACCGGTAAATAACAGATTTTTTGGTGCTATTGGGTCAGATAAGCAACTACGATTTTTACTGATGGTTACAAACATGGTAGACTTGAATATTTATAAGCAAGGAATGCATTCCTTTGCATTGATACTGTCAATTGAAGACATTGTATAACATATCATGTCCAACAAATTTACAATATAGCTCTCATAAAAAATTTTGCAACAGGGAAGAAAAACTAATTTTTCAATATAGAATAATATGTAAAGTAAAGAACATAGTTTATACTCAAGACATTCTTAGACAAATTATAGTCCGCTCATTTTTGTTGCAGTTTGAGCACCGCTATTACCATTTGTCTTCGTCCATATACCATACCCTTGTCTTTCCGGGCTGTCCAAATCGTATATCAAAGTCCACACAAAGGCTTGATTAGACTCAAGCTGTCTTTCTATCCATAAAGCATCACGATATATGGGTATAAAGGGCTTCGATACTCGACTTAACGTTTGATTCCTTATTGTAGATAATATTTCACAAGTAGAACAATTGCGCCGCTTCATTTCGGCGAGTGGTTGACGCAAAGCTGTGACCACATTAAGCAATGGTTGAATATTCATTTTAGACCACCAGCTATCCCACCAACGCTGAGTAGGTTTAAAATCATAATCAACAGCATGTGTTAATAACTTCTTTGCGGGTTTTTTAGAGTTAAGTTTCGTTTCCTGAAGTTTCAAAGTATCTAAATCCTCAACCAACTTTTCGTGCAGTTTAGGTCGTAATCTAGCCGAGTCACTCTTGTTAACTGGATGATGACTGACATTCGCTGTCATATTTCCGGGTTTAGAGTTTGTTCGCAATAGCTGCTTTTCTTCTTTCAGTTTTGGGTCTGATACGATCGAACTAACGTTTGAATTACCTTGCTTGTATGCCTTCTCAGCAAATTCGGGCGATCGGTGTTCTTTAACCATACGGAAAGCTGCAAGTTTTATGGCGAGCGATTTAGTAGGAAAGGTTTTACCATCAAGGCTCCAATATAGCGACTGAACATTACTTGATTCTCTTAATTTCAATATATCATCAGATGAATACATACTAAGCGATTCAATATATTTGAAACAGCTGACAAGAGTATATGTAAGGAACGGGTTAACAGAATAATGACACTCGAGCATGTTGCTTATAGCACCAACTATATTGCAAAGTATAATGTAATTGTTTTCGTTTGCAACTAAGAATCCAGGTTGTGAAACTGCTTGAAACACGCCTAGCAGTGATTTGCTAGCGCTACTATTAATCTCTTTTATACTAAGAGAAAGTTCACAAAGAGATGCGGATATGATCTCCATCACATCCCAGTGTTCATCTTTCATCGAATGCATTAAGATCGAAAAAGCAATAACAGTAAAATCCGCAAACGAACCATCACGAAAAGGAACTCTCATATTCGTAGGTAAAGTTGCCTGTTGCTGGAATTTCTTATTGAGTATATGGCAAAAATTGCGTTCACTAATTAGTCGTTTTATCAAAAAGGCACATAGCCTTAAATGAGAGACTGTAGACGGGTTTTCGACATACTCGAAGCTCAAATATATTAGAAAAATAAATAGATCAGTAGCACAATCCGTTTCAATGAGATACAAACAAAATTTCTTGTTGAACTGAATTATCAACTTACTTAGTAGTAAAATCATTGGGTAATAATCAATCATGACCAATGATTCCTTTTTTGGAATGTCAGATTGCATTGGGGGATAAAGTAGGCGACTGATCCCATCTATAATGATCCGAAAGTCCGTAATAGAATGCAAGCTTGATAATAGCAATGAAAAATTATTCGTTGGCTTAGTATTATGTGGCTGAACATTAGTCTGAAAACAGGGTAAGCAATCTAATTTGTATTCAGACAAAAGTACAAGCAAAACCGACAGAGAGTTTTCAATTAATGACATGTGCAAGGGAAATTGATTAGATGGGACAAATTCGGGTTTCCAACACAAGGTATTAAAACGCATGGTCGTGTTTAATAAAGAGCATATTAAGCATAATGACAAACGTCTATTTGGATGCGTTGCAATATAAGAGCAACAAAAGCTGGATCTCTTAAAATCAGTATAATAAGTTTCGGAAGAGAGTACCAATAGGAGACGAAGTACTTCAACTGAATTGGCCATAAGACTCGCTTCTTTATTCAAGGGCGATTGACACGCAATACCACTTTCCCAAATACAGTAATTAACTCCTTTCGAATCCTCATTAAAAGGGGGAATGGTGAAGTTTATTAAAAACAAATAGTTTACAATAGTGTCCACGATACTAACTCCTTGAGGGATCTTATTTTCTTGCTGAGACCACATGAATCGGTTAAACCAATGAACACCCGCTGGAGACTCAAACAGAATGGGTAGAAGTCTGGTCAATACTCGCATACAATTTAGGGCATATCTCGTCACAGTATCATTAGCAGTTGCAGAGAATTCTGAAAACTTTTGTAAAGTCATCAACTTCTTAAAAAGTATGTCGATCAGCGTGTGTATATTTTCCGGCGCTTTACTCAAAGCATTCCTTACATCGCTAATGGAAACATGTTCCAGTACTTCTTCCAAGCATTCCGGTAAAGACCAAAAGCTCTCCCATATGTGATCCACCTTTGGAATGTTTGTCTCCTCACTTAGTCGTAGAGAAGCACTTTTTAATTGGAGTAGTGATTGCTGACTACCCATGAGCTACCGGGAATCTTCACGAACAAAAATTCACGGAAACAAATACAAGAGAAGACAAAAGCCTTAAAACAAAAAAATCATAGACCAGCCAAATATCAAACCTAAAAGTGAAGAGAGCCAAAAAAGAGATATAAGTCGAATTCTATTTTCTTCAGACTAAAAGTTCGTACGGTCCGAAAAAAAAAATAGAAACAAAAGCAACCAAGCTTTTCTCTTTTCTCACTTTTTTAAATTGACACCTTCAAATTTGACATTAACGGATGATTATTGCATAGGAAGTGATTATCTGATGAAAATCCTAAAGAGGAAAATCGGCTTGAATCACTGTAAAAAAAGAATTATATATAAAACGAAATCCTGCTTCTATACTGAATGGGGATGCCAGGCTCTTCACTTATGCTCCTTCTCGTTAAAATAATTTTTTAACCTTGGACAACCGTAACCAGAAACTAATCGGTTATTGCTTGATTTTTTTTTCTATTTACTGAATCCAAAGAAATAATATACCTCTTTAAATTTGATTTTAAAAAGTCACTATGACAACTAGACGACTCTCAGTTAGCGGCTGTGGTTAAGATTTTTGGCATACAATGGCTACAAGATTATAGACTGACGTTACAAATCACTTAACGACACTACCAGATGAACTTTAGTGTTTAAATAAATAAAAGTTTATTGAAAAGTAGAAAAATTCTTTTACATTTTCCTCAAAAGCTCGTATTAATTTGCACAAGGTTTGATCTTTGTCCTTAAGTACATCATCAGTGAAGAGCGAACTGTTACCAAATCAAGTAAAGTCCAATGTCGCATGAATAATGCTTAATATATGCGAAGTATAGAACCTCATATTGCCAGTTAATTACTCTTTTACATTTATTTACCCAAATTCAAGAACAATATGTTTATTAGTGCAGTCTGCCGTATTTACGTTGAACTTCACTCGAAATCGGTTTACTATGGTATGGTAAGCACCTTAGTAGCAATACTTGTTGCAAAACCCATACAAAAGAAACGATTGAAACTGAATATAAATTTAGAACGGAATCACATTTCGTCTTCTATTCCTTCTTTTTGTATTGTAGATTGTGAGTTCGTCAGTCTTTTTCCCATGGGTGACTCCCTAATGTACGCCGTTGAGATGAATTTTTGAGCAAGATTCGTCTTTTTTTTTTTAGTTCCGTTTACTAACCAAACATGTAGTTCCTGGGCGTGGATTTTGAGCAGCTTTCAGGATCATAATGAAAGCATTTCAAAGGAAGCATTTGAGAGTTTATTAGCAGAAAGGATTTCTGCATTCCAAAATATTCGACATCCTTTACGGGGAAGCGTGCAACCTTCAAAATCTACTGATGGACAAGACGAGGATTGCATTCTATATTTGTATAATAAGTCATACTCCGTAAAAAAGTCCCAAAAGGATTTAGCAAAGAGACTGTCCGACCTAACAAGCTTCGATGAAGCAGATGTTCTTAATGTAATTCTCTCTCATAGTGAAGAATTTGCGCCTCAGCGTGCCTCATACTCAGACGATGACGTTCTGCTTGTGCAGGAATTTCAAAAAAGGTACTACGCCGAACTTTTTTCGTGTTGGAAGGTATTTGTCTGTTTACTCCGTGCTTGTGCAGATCCAAACCATTTTTGGTACAAAACGTCTAAATATATAGTTGTCACAGCGTTAGACAAATCCAAGTCGCTAAATCCTGGGGAACCATCCGCTTATTCTGTTGATTTAGTTGCCTATCTCAATGAACTTTCAGATCAGGCTGCCCCTATCCAATATAGTATACTAGGCGAAACAACTTTAGCCCATTGGTATTTCTTCTATTTTCATTTGCAGTTGCAATTACTCCGGGTATTGTTTCTTTTGACTTATTCCCTCCTGCCTTGTACATCGGAACTCGCTATTACTTGGTTTTCTTGCATGAAGAAGACAAGATTTTTGCATGACCAAGAGTTTATGCATCTGGACGTGGAAACAGGATTTTCTTTATGTAATAAGCTTACTTATCTCGCTACGGTCATTTCAACAACCATCATTTCTTTAGACAAACAAGTTTTACCGTTTGAAGAGCAAAAGTCTTTCTTCATGACATCCGGAGATTGTATTTTGAAAATACAAGACATAATGGCAAGCTTCCATGACGACCCAATTAGCTCGCCAACAGCTTTAGCTTGGGGTATCGCTCTTCATAATCTTCATAATAGCCCAGAGAATCTGAGCGTTGTTGACAAGGCTGGTGTCATTTTGAAGGCTCTATTTGAAAACCCGCACGCATCTTATCAGAGTTTGGTTGTCTCAGCTGTTAAACTTGATCCTTTTTCTCTTATAAATTCCATTTTGGTTGGACTGCAGAATGATGTGAATTATGATGGTTATTCGGTTATTATGGCTGTTCTGTTTGCGGATGCTATCTCTTATGTTAAATTTTCATCTTCTGTCATCCTATGTGCTACCACTCTTTTTAAGATCCCCCAAATTTTTGAGATGTATTCAGATGTTGAAAGTGTAGCTCATTTGTTCTCTTATGCTCGAGCTAGATTTCCTTTCGAATTGTCCCAGTTTCCGCTTTTGGTTGCTCCCGTTCTTTCTTCTTTAAATCTACAAAAGCCACTTAATACAGATTCTAATATTATAAACACCTTCACTCAAGTCCTTCCGAAGGGGTTTAAATCCTACGAAATTATTCCTGAGCCGAATGTTACTACTAACGTTCTTATTGAGTTGCAAGATTTGTTACCATTGGAACAATCTGGGTTTTTCTTTCCCAATAAGGAAAAAGCCATTCCTAAAGGTACTAGAGGTAGGATTGTGTCCGTAGATACCTTCCCTCCGATTGTCATGTGGGATGTTGTTTATCCACGTTGGCCTTGTATTGGTATTTCTTTAGAACACATTGTGAGAAATAATTTATATCGTGTGCATGATGAATATTTTGCGACATTCTTGCGAACCTTGGTAGATTTATTTAAATCTAACTCTGATCAAATATGCGAACTAACTCAAGCAATTTCTCTTTCATTGGAAGGTGAATATGAGTTTATTGATCTTATTTTTAATGTTTTAGACCACTATCTGTTAACTCCCAGCTTACAGGATACGGAATACCAAATATGTGTTTTATCGTGTGAACTCCTTTGTTTGTTTGTTCATATTGAACCAACTAGCGTATGGGCGTATGCAAGTCGGTCGTTGGAAAAGATCCTGTCTTTGGATAATGTAATTTTTCAACATGAATCGCTGACTGGTATATATGACTTCACTTTAGTTTTCTTTGAGCTTTATGAATTGCTGCTCGACAATTGCATATCAAGATCTGTCGTTGCTGATGACTTTTCCATAAATTTAAAAGGAGGGTTTGTTAGACATACTATTCAATGTCTCTTCGAGATTTTTGCCAATTTCCTCGATTGGAGATACTCTAAGATCATCCAACAATATCAAATTGGCAACCGATTCACAAGTATAGTGACAAAGTTACTTAACGCAATATACGGTATTGAGTACTTTGGCAGCAAGTTCACAAATAAGAGGATTTTACCATTGCAACAGTTGGGAAACTATATAGTGCAAAGATTCTTGGTACAGCAAGATGCTACACGTTATTTGCATCCCTTACTTTCAATACTAGATCGCATTAGTCCTTTATATAACGAAATCTTCTCTTCCACAGATGATGATCTTGCCGAAGCTGCCGAGAAATGGCTTGTTTCGTCTTTAAAAACAATGCAGACTTTAATTGACTTGAGGGGTTACTTAAAGCTGAAGCCATCAGAATTAGAAAGAAACTTGTTTTCTCGTTCACCTCAATTGTTTTACGCTTTACCTCAAATTTACCCTTGCGTGTCTCCAATCCTCAAACTGCTTACTTCTTTAATTCTCGCCCCTTGGCCATCCGAAACGCCTTCCCTTTTGGCGTACATGGTTAATTCTACTGATGTTGTAGGACGCGTTTGCGTACATTTATTGAACAATCCTGTACATTCAAGCAATATCGAAGGGTGTGTTTGGAAGTTTTTGTCTTCAATAATGAAAGGCCAGCAGCAGGGCTTGGCTGTTCTTCTTTTTTCTGGTAAAAAGTTCCCTTTAGAGAACATGAAAAGCTTAAGGCACAATGAGCAAACCCAAATAACATCAAGGAGCCTCATTAATCTGGCTGAAAAAAGATTGGATAACTTTTTTATTAACGATCTTTCTTCACAAGTACCTATTATCGAGTTTATATTTTTATCGAGGAATTTTTGGTCAGCTTCTTATGGGACGGCCCAACAAGAAACAGATTTCTGGAAAAAGGTTGTTGACGCAATTAAGCTCCCAATAACAGTTCCAAGTTCAGCATTATCGGAAACATCCAGAGCGGATCTTTTTGTTTTAGCTGCGCACGCGGTAAGGATTGCAGCTATTCAATTGCATATCTCAAAATTCAATAAAAGTGTTAGCGCGAAAAAGCTTGTTATCGATCCGTTAAAAGATTTTATCAATGACCTCGTGCGAACAGCATATACAATAACGACTTATGACCCATCAGTCTTCGAAACATTAAATCAAAACTTTGAAGAGTACCAAAACGAATTTAATTCAATGTCTTTAAAATCTACAGGAGTTACAGCCCCTCTTTACGGAAGAAATTATTTTTATAATGTACATCTTGCTAAAGCAATGTTGTCTGTTTACGGCAACATTGAGCCTTTGATTGGTAGTATAGAGAGCGTTAATATTGCTCTTTCTACATTAGATGCACAAACTGCACTACTTCGGTCATGGGGTATATTCTTGGCCGCATTTGTTGATTTCGTTAAAGAGGATAATACATTATCTTTCCTGGATTTCGATGTTATGAACTGGATCCTGGAGTCCCTTGAAAATGATACTGTTGACTCATTCATTATTAGAGATTTATCTATAGAGAGAGCAGCTTTGGTTTTTCATATATCACAAAATGCGATTTTAGCACCGTACAGTGACCATTTGAGAGAACGCTTAGAAACTTTGATGTTGCTGACGTGGCGGGCATTAAGCACGGATAAATTCTCGTTGTTTGAAAGTAACAATGGGTTTCAAATGAACTATTACCGACCTTTATTTCAAGTTCTGTACAACGGTTTAAATAAGCTCCTCTCTGTTCCCAATGTGAGTGTGAATCTTGAGGTGGGTGTTGTTTCTGGAATCCTTTCGATGTGTCATCGTAAACTGTCCCAATTATTTCAGTATGCGATTACGGAGCCAACGCCGGATGTGCATAGTGATATTGTATTATTGAATGCTATTCAAAGCGTAATAGTGAACTCAACTTTAATGAAGGGGCTGCAGTCTCTTTATATCAGTTTCATTATGGACTATTCATCGATCGAAAATTGTCTCCGTCTGTTTTCTTGGTCCCATGCGTTATTGATAGACGGCCAGCCATATTTTGCAGACGCCGCAATGTCATTTTTGGTCACTTGCTCTTCTATACCAGCTGGCGCAGAGCAGGTAGCGTTTCATGGTGTATTCCTTGCAGTTGCGGAAAGCCCATTGAGTAGTTCATTGAAAACAGGAGGGCTTGGTGCTGATGTCTCGTCTGTTCAATACAAGTTATGGATTCGGGGAATACTTCCTTTGCTGTTTAATATTGTTAAGTATCTTGGTAACCGTATCATGAACGATGTCAGAGAGTTGATACTTTTGGTTTTACCTCAAATACAGTTTTCATTCTTGAATTGGTCTCAACCACCTTCTTCAGTTTCATTGGCGTCTATAGATGAGTCTTTTATGCTGGTCTTATTAATGGACCTTCTACAGTATTTTAATCCAGCGTTACTACAAGAAATACGAGTGTCAGAACTGAAGGCGGAAATGCTGAATGGTATTGATTACCTTATATCTCACCCTAATTTCCTTTCTAGTTTGGCAGAACCTGCCACCTTGTATGAGCAAGAATACGCCATTGAGGTTATCGGAATACCAAAAGAGGAAACTGAGGCTTCGAAAGAGACCAAAACACAATTCGCTAAACTAATCCGTATGCAGCTGGATAAATTACGAGCTCAACTTGAATCTTCGTAAATGAATATGATTTATACGGATCCGTTTCGTACAGATTTAGGTTCTTTGCCATCGTTACAGAAGGCGATAGAGAAAAAGTTATTTAAGGGAATAAATGGTATCATGGATTAATTGACTAATGATTACATCTGCGTGGTGTATTAAAAGACCGAGGCGCTATTACTATTCTTGCTTCAGTACAGTAAAACATATAGTAAGGTATATATATATATATATATATATATATATATATATATATATACATAAATACTGCTCAGCGTCTGAGTATCAATTTTAGATAAATGAGATACGAAGGGTGACTGACCATAGTAAGTACATTTTCGTAAGTTTTTCTGTCTTGTAGAAGGCGTTTACCAGTTATTACTGCCTTAGTAAGTTGTCCTAAATTTTATGTAGTTCCTAATATGGCTTCTTTTTATTTTATTGTATTTATTTTTAATTCTTTTTCAATTGGATTTTCATAATTATTTCACTCTCATGGGTTATTTTTTTCCCGCGTTCCCAGACACTGACGGATGACAAAGCATGATACGAGCGCAGAACTAATTAGAAGTCTTGAAGTATTCAACAACCTTTGCATGGGACTACTTTTAGTTTTTTAAATTAGAATTTAACTAAAACAAAACACAATTACAGAGATGTTAAAAGAAAGCATCACGAACGCCAACAAAAAAACCAAAAATCCAGAATTTATTGATGCATCTTGTTTGAATTCACCAATCTTAAGTCCAGGGAAGGAACTTGAAACCGATACAAAAAAAATTGAAGTAGCTGAAAAGCTGCCGAATGTACGATGCATAGTTCGTGCTAGAATTCCGACTACGACAGGAGCGGAGATTTTCTTAAATTTATATAAAAATGATCAAGACAATAAAGAGCATTTAGCAATTGTATTTGGAAAACAAATTCGATCAGAAAGCCTTGATGCTGTTCAAGAAGGAGAGACAGAGATGGACCGCATGATTCGTGGTGCCTATGTGGGAACGTTATACCCAGGAAGGAAGAGTTCATACGTTGATGCAAATGCTTTAGTAGCAAGTGAAGAAAAGAAAGAGGAAGTCAGGAAGAAAAATTTTACACCGCTAGTCCGAATTCATTCTGAGTGTTATACAGGTGAAACGGCATGGTCGGCTCGCTGCGATTGTGGAGAACAACTAGACGAGGCAGCTCGTCTTATTAGTGAAGAAGGTGATGGCGTTATTATTTATCTGAGACAAGAGGGTCGAGGAATCGGATTGTCTGAAAAGTTGAAAGCATATAATTTACAAGATCTTGGCAATGATACTGTCCAAGCTAACCTCCTTCTGCAACATCCTGCTGATGGCCGTTCTTATGCAATTGCAAGTGCAATGCTTTTGGATCTTGGCCAAAGAAACATTCGCCTATTGACAAACAACCCTGAGAAGGTCAGCAGCATTGAAGGACCCAACAAAGAAATTCAGGTGGTTGAAAGATTGTCAATGATTCCAAAATTTTGGCGAGGTGATGAAGGAGGTTTCGACAGCCCTGAAGTTGGTGCCTACCTTCGAACCAAAATCGAAAAAATGGGACATTTATTAAATGCCCCCGATTCATTTTGATGTTCTCCGTTTAATTTTACTTTTTTATTTATCTTCTCCATTATTTTTGCTCATAGCTCTTCTCCCTTTTTGAAACTAATTGCATTTCCGCTCCTGGTTACCCACTCACCCTTATCATCACAGTTTCTTTTCCTTTTATATGCGAGAATAATGTCCTATGGTTACTAGTTTTATAATTGGAACATTTAGTGTTATAATTTTTCCATAAGCTCGCTTTTATTTTTAGAATAAAACAAGAAGGGTTGCGATTTACAGAGATGAAACTGGTCATTGTAGCGCTCCTTAAGTAAGAACGAATAAACTGAAATAGTTGCGAATTTGAACCATAGCACTTCACCTGTGAAGTACGCTTGACTATATGATTTATATGAAGTAGTCCAATAGTAAAATAGTACTAAATCGTACTTCATCATTTATCTCTTTATATACTTTTAGCTTGAGAACCGGATGTCTTTTTATCTCAAGTGGTAAATTTCTCTTATAAACATTCATTCATTCAGACTACAAAACCACTGCCATAAACGTTCTTTAATGATTGATACTTGCAATGAACATTTATTACGAAGATTTTTTTAATTGGAATTCCTATGAACGTCTCAAAATATGCAACCTTGAAAACCGGTCTTCTAAATTTCGCGTTCAAGGTGAAATTGTGAATATTGTAAGAATGGATTATAAGCAGCGAAGCCTTCAATATCATTTTAAAATCATGGATGAAACAGGTGTCTTAAAACTAAAATACAATATAAAACTGTCTTCTCCTTGCTTTAAAACTCTACAACACTTACAGTTGGGAAATTGCGTCCAGTTATATAGCAATGTTGCGACGCGCCGAGCATCTTTGAACGAATGGTGGCTTACTTTGTCTGCCGAAGATGCTGAAAGCAAGATTGAAATTCTTTCACAAGATAGCTTGAGAAACGATTTCCTCCTTCTGAACCTTTCGAACCTGTCTCCTCTTCGTTTATTGAAAGATATGCAAACATCTACGGCAGTTCATACTCTTGTTACTATTCAATGGGTTCATGATATTGAGAACTATCAATGTGGAGCAGGTAATAAACGCTCTAAAAGGGTGATTGAGGTATCCGATGGCTTTTATTCTGCAGTTTTAGTTCTACACCACGAGCCACTTGTATTTGCAAGTGAGAAATGGAATGCTCGGACAGGTAAATTAACACCTTATTTAAGGAAAGTTACTAATATTTAGTTCTGTATATTACAAATATGAATGTCCATGCCGATACGCATGGTCTCCCCGAATTAAACATTGAAGATGCTGAAGTCCAGGTTCGTTACCTGAATTATAACCACAAGAAGATAGAAAAGTTTTTTAAAGTTATCAACAATAATTTAAGAGTTTTGTTGGATGGTTCGAGCAAACAATGGACTTTAAAAGCACTTGAAGAGCAAACTGTCTCCTCGGGACTTCAAGTCATTGGGGTTGTAAATGTTTTATTGGTGAAAAGTAAAATAAAAAAACTGTTAAATTCAAATAATCTTTTTATAGAAGATGATTCGGGAGCTTTAAAGTTTAACAATTTTATTGAAACCATTATCGATGAAAGTGGTTGCTTAGAGCATCCCAAATTTCATTCAAATCTTTTGGAATTCCTACTAGGTTACTCTCCAGAAGAAGTCAGTATGATGGATGAGCCTGAGATTTGCCAGTTAGAGGAAGTATTCTTATATCGTCGCTTCAAACTTATAGCTCGAGCCTACGGTAACATGGTCGAATTCTTTGAATCTAAAAGCTTTCAAACAAAATATGATGATGAGGGTCACTTTATAAATTGGACTACTTGACTTTGTCCTTCATGTCGTTTTATTTATATCACTAAGATTTCAACTAGTATGAATATTTATAAATAAAATAGCCTAATAAAATTCAAAAGATAAAATAAATTCAAAAAATTCTTCGTTTAGTTTATCAGTTATGGAAAATCCTGTTTAGAATAATACCATTTTTTCTGCTTTTTTGATACACTCACTTTCTATTCCAGTTTATGTGGAATCACCGAGAAAGCCAGAATATGGCGGACAAACAAGATTTACGGAAACAATGCGGACAGTTATATCATGAAATTGAAGAAAAAGGATGGAAAGTAGTCAAACAAGGTGCAGAAGCCATAACAATCATAACTGAATTTTACCCTAATGAACCATGCATACTAAAGTGTCGTCCTGAGAAAAGATGGAGACATCCAGTACTTGACCAAAAGCTTACAAGAAAAAGGTGTTTAGTAGAAGCTAGACTTTTGGCTAAATGCCATGCCGTAGGTGTGAATTGTCCTTTACTTTATTTTCTTGAGCCTAATCGTGGCCAGATTTTCATGGAATACATTGGGGGCCCTTCTGTTCGAGATTACATTAAAGAGTTTGTTTCGGAAGAAGAATACGAAACATCTTTAGCACCGCTGATGAAGATTATTGGATCTGAAGTTGCGAAGATGCATATGAATGACATTGTCCATGGTGATCTTACCACCAGCAACATGATGTTTCGTTCCGTTGAAACTCTTGAACCTGTATTTATCGATTTTGGACTAGGAAGTGTTTCAGAATCCGAGGAAGACAAGGCGGTCGACCTATATGTTTTGGAGCGTGCTATAGCTAGCACTCTTCCGGACAGCGCTGCTCTTGTAAGTAACGATTTGAATTCAATATTGATTGCTAATGTTTTTAGTTTCATTATGTATTGGAAGCATATGCCAATACCTGGAAGCAATGCAAACCTACCCTTCGACGTTACGAAGAAGTTCGCCAGCGCGGTCGTAAGCGCACTATGGTAGGATAAAAAGAATATTTTATGTATATTTAATACAAAAAGTTTGTCAAAAATATCTTAAGTCTATTATATTAGAAAGTCCTGAGAATCAAAAATAACCTGAATATAACCTAAAACAATATCATCTTATGAAGGAGTTGACACAGCAAGACTACACTGGTTATATCACAAACACTTTCCAAAAACTTTACGTTCTTCTAATCATTAGCTGACAAAAAGAGAGAAATTAATTAACTACCTTTAATATTACAGAATTCACGTCTGTAACCGACGGTAGCCAGCATTTGTTAAATTGCCGGGAAAAAAGCATACATAGTAAAATCACAGTCATGGGTATCAAGTTCTTTTTATTAGTAAGTCGTCAAGGAAAGGTTCGTTTGGCAAAATGGTTTTATGCTTTACCAACGAAGGAGAGGTCAAAAATCGTCCGTGATGTTTCGTCTTTAGTAATCGTTCGCAAGCCTAAGATGTGCAATTTCGTAGAGTATAAGGGTGAGAGACATTTCATGCACTTCAATAGAATCCAATTGAGCTAATTAGTGTTATACAGGAGAAAAAATCGTTTATAGACGATATGCATCTTTATTTTTTATTTGCGGAATCGATCAGGATGACAATGAATTGATCATTTTAGAAGTTATACATAAATTTGTTGAGATTCTTGATAAATACTTTGGCAACGTATGTCCAACATGTTTCTATGATCAATTATTTCTTATGCTAACATTCATTCATTAGGTTTGCGAGTTGGATCTAATTTTTAATTTTGAAAAGGCTTATTATGTCTTAGAAGAGCTGTTACTAGCTGGTGAACTTCAGGAATCTAGCAAAACCAACGTTTTATCTGCTGTATTAGCCGGTGACGCTGAATCAGAGGTGGACGCACAGCAGGATACCATACAAAAACTTGTTGGAAATGTTAAAAAGTTTTAATGAAGGAAAAGACTTTTAATAACCTATCAGGTTTTGAAATAAGTCCCGTAATTACTCGTATCTTCTTTCGCTACGATTGCCATATACGTATCCCAGGTTCGAGTATGTCAATGATTTGTTTATTAGTTCTTCTATTATTACTTTTTTATTTTTAAAGTTTCAGGAATATGAATTCCTAAAACATGGCTGTATGTCTTCCTCATCACATATACGAAGATTTGACTTTTATATACCCTTTATTTTATTTTTAATGCTGAAACACATTCAACCCTTCCTTTGATGAGTTGCATACACACACTTTCAAATAGAACAAATATACACTATTAATTATTTTATTTCATAACTAAAGATTCGTATCTAGCAATGAATGTATTCACATCTAAAAGTAGAATCACTTATAGAAACTAAATTCGTCGAACGTTACAATGATTCACAACGCATATTTCGTTCTCTTTTAAAGCACAATTACCATATATATGTATTATTTACAAGTTATTTTTAATCTATTAATTGTAAAAACTACGTTAGAATTTGAGGGGATTATCAATTTATTACAATATTAATTATATCTGGGTACCCTTTGGTGCGTATTCTTCATGTCAGTTAGTGAAACCAGTTCCGAGTCTGAAATAGACTATTTAACTTCTTCGGATGAAGATGAAGAGCCTAAATTAAATTATGAAAGGATTACAGAAAAGTTTCAGGGCTGCTTTCTGAACGATTCTATATCGGCTTGTGCGATTTCAAAGGAACATTTTGTACGCAATTCTATGACTGGGTATGAATGTTAATCTTTTCTTTTTTAGTTATTTGGGTCACATAATGGTGCTGTGTACATTTACACAAGAAAAGGCGTTTTGCTTCGAAAGATGATCCTTCATGTTGCTACTGTTACTAGCCTTTCTGTTGATCTTGAAAGCGAAAACCTAGCATCATGTTCGATAGATGGTTCGTTTGACTTGGCTTATGAGGTTCGTATGCATAACTAACGAACGTATATGCAGGAAAGCTCATTGTCTATAACATTAGCTCTAAAGAAACATCTGTCTATGATTTCAAACGACCTCTATTATCGGTAGCGATTGATCCCTATTACAGCACCAGGTCTTCTCGTCAAATTATATGTGGAGGGCGTGCTGGCAAAGTTATTTTATCTGAAAAAGGTATGAGCAAGATACTGCAACCCGAATGTATGTGGATTATTTGTGCTAACCGAGTTAGGGTGGTTGGGATCGAGAGACATTGTCCTTCAAACTGACTGTGGAATTGTGTACAAAATAGATTGGTATAAATCTTATGTCGCTTGGGCCACCGATACCGGCGTCTATATATATAGTAATGAATATGGAAAAATCTTTGGAACTGTCGACTATCCAAAGAAGCTACCTAACCAAGAAGTATTTCCTTATCAACTATATTGGCAATCCGAATCCAGACTCATAATCGGTTGGGCAGACCAGATATCTATAGTGTCCATTCAGCGCTCAAGTCAGCCGAATGAATTGCCTAAAGTTTCGGTTCAGGCCGTTTTGGAAATTGACTCAATAGTCAGTGGCATCATGATGTTTGGCTTCAATATCCTTGTCCTTACTTACATAGCGGAGGTAGAAGATTTTACTTCTTCTTCCAGACGGAAAAGGGTAGACGCAGTACGACCGGAGCTTCGACTTATAGACACTTCATTTCAAGAACTCGCTGGAGATGTCATCGGCCTGACTAACTATTCGCGTTTACAGCCGTCCGACTATCATTTGATTCCTGATCCAGCAATGAAAGATCATTCCTACATGGTTTTTCCCAACGATATTATATGTGCTCGTGAGAGAAACGAGATTGATCACGTCTTGTATCTTGTTTCTCGTGAGGATTATGCAGAGGCTATCTCTGCAGTAGAAACTATGAAGGACGTGCCCCCAGAATTACAGGTATCTGAACTTGGTAAAAAATACGTGTCGCACTTAATTGAGAATAAACAGTATCGAAGAGCCGCTTTAGTTATTCCCGGTTTATATTCAAATAACCTCGATGGTTGGGAACAATGGGTTTTTGTTTTTGCTGATCATAACCGTTTAGAAGACGTCGCAGAGTATCTTCCCCTTGGTGATGACCATTTAAGTCCTGTTATATACGAAATGACTCTGGCAAATTATATGGCATTTAACGAACAAAAGTTTAATGAGAAGTTGCATAGCTGGCCGACACATTTATATTCAGTGTCTACAATTCGTAAAGCTACGGAGAAAAAATATGAGCAAGTCCCAGAAAGCAGATTTCTGGCGGATAGCTTAGCCTTTCTTTATGTTAATGACAATATGCCTGTAGAAGCATTTTGGTTATACCTGAAATTGAACAAGAAAGAATGCATCGATCTTGTCTTTCAGCACAACCTGTATGATGAAGCAAAACAATCGATTTTGCAATTACTGCTTATTTCAGCTGATGGAAATCCTGAAAATGTTAGCCCCAAAGTTATCAATATGCTTGTTCAGCACGTACATTCTTTTCCACCCAAAGAGGTTATAAGACAAATTGAGTCAGTTAAGAGATTTTTATATGCTTATTTCTGCTCTTATGAGGTTATGTTTCCAAATTCCCTTATTGAATTTGGTGACTTAAAAGTGGATGTGTTTGCTGAATTTGATCGACCAAGGTTATTTGAATTTTTAATGAATACGCAGTGCTATTCTCTTGGTCATGCATACAATGTTTGTGTAAAGTATCGTTACCTTGATGAACTTGTCTATGTTCTTGGACGTATGGGAAACAACAAAGATGCATTAATGCTGATAATTAATGAATTGTCTGATATCGGTAGAGCTATCCGCTATGTGAAGGAGCAAGGAGATAAGGATCTATGGGAAGATTTAATTTCTTATTCTCTTGATAAACCTGACTTTATATGTACACTTTTGGAGAATATTGGTTCCGATGAAAATGCACATAATTTAATAACTAGAATTCCAAAGGGAATGAAATTACCTCATGCAAAGGATTCACTTTCTAAGCTTCTTTCTGATCACCAATTACAAGTTTTTCTTCACTTAGGTTGCCATAATTTGTTTGAAGAGGAAGCAGCTCAAAAAGTGAAAGCCCTCCATTCCGATCAGAATAACGGGTTTCAGATTGACAAACAGATTGTTTCTGGAGAAGGTATATCATTCATAGAGGTTGTATATACAGAAGTATTAACTGAGGTATCTAGATAATGTGAATGGTTTGGTTAACTTCGATTACTCAAACTTATCCGAGGAACCACTTCCTTTTGTTTTTGACATAAAGACCAACGAGTTTAAGAGTATCACTTCATTAGGATATGATGTTCAAACATTGACTTCCGATGATGAGTTTAGGGATGCTGCTTCGCATGCTAGAAATCGACTTAAGCCTGATTTAGCTATGAGCAGCAAACTAAGTATACTAATGGCCTTAAAAAGATAATATTTGTTATTTAAATTTAATGATATGTTGTATCCATGATGCGTTCACCGACCAGTTTGATGAAAAGTTTCAAAGTTTACAATAGCAGTCCATGTGATGATCAAAATTACCCAAATTCCTTAGTTACTCCAAGGATTTAATAAAATACTTAAATGGGTTCATTGACTAAGACCTTCCAATGTTTTACTTTCAATGCATTTGGCAAGTAAGTGCCCAGAAATAAAAATAGTCTTATCTTTATAAATAAATAAAATCTACATAGCGCGAATTTTCAAGAATTTCTTTCTTTTTTTTACTTGTTTTTGGCAGACTGCCCTGTACCAATTTTTCTCCTTTTTTTTATGACTTTCATATATCCATAAACAACACTTTGTGCGATTTAATGGAGAAATCAATTTCGTCAATAAATCAACAACGCGAAATTAAAATCAACGAACGAGATTGGCCTTTTAAGCTTGTAAAATCGCATCTCGAATTAAGACATTTAGAAACAGGTATGAAACTTCATTTATAAATTGGGCTAACGTAATAGAAAATGTTTGGGTTGCTCGTCTAAAGCCGAATTTTGCCTCTAAAACAACGGAATATGTCAAGAAAATAAGGTCGAAACAGAAGGAAGCTCTATTACATTGTGCTAGACTTCGAAGAATACAAAAGGAAAATGAGCCTTTGGAATTGGAAATCATACTGTGCCCTGTATCGGCGATGACACAAAGCCAGATAGAAAAAGATTTAGAAGAATTAGAAATTGAAGCGAATGTTTATATCCTTCCTGTCCCCTCCCACGCACCTTTAACGGAGGAACAATACAAGGAATGGAATCCGGTATGGCCCGTTTTTTATAGAAGACATACTGAGCGACAAGACACTTTTACAAACAAAGACTTGGAAACAATTGATGGTGTCATGAACAATTTAATAAAGGCAGCATTTGAGTCACAAAATGAAGGACAGATTGGCTGTGTTGCAGCGGTTTACGATCACACTTCACGCACTGTTCTTTCAGTTTCTGTCGATGAACGAAATACATCAAGGAATCCGGTCGACCATTGTGCCATGAGGGCAATTAACCTGGTAGCGAAAGGTGAGCGGGAACGCCGGAAACTTCCACATGAGTCGTCTGAAGAACGATACTTATGTCGTGGTTTAACGGTTCTAATGACTCATGAACCTTGCGTTATGTGTAGTATGGCTTTATTACATTCTCGTATACTTCGTTTAATCTATTGTCAGCAACAACCATTAACCGGGGGAATTGAGTCCTCATACGGAATCCATTGGAGAGCTGAACTAAATCATCGGTATTTGGCCTACTCTGGATGGGAAAAAGAAGTTCCAACATTAGAAGGGAATGTACACGTATAATGGGTGCTAGAGTGAGGCATGCTTTGTCTTTTGAAAATAATTACGCAAATAAAAAGAAAAATAATTGAACATCTATATTACAAGAAAAAATTATAGACAACTGTAATGCTATTAACCATAACCAAACCGAATCCCTTCTTTTAATATATGCCCGAAGTTTTTGCTTATGCCTCATCTTTGGTACTCTCTGAAGTTAAGCTTTGCATCTTTTCCGCAAATTCTAACAAGTTTTCTCCTTGACTGGCAGCAACCAGGTCAAATGGAACACGATTGGTATAAAAGTTGGCACCTCCAGAAGAAGGCATGGCGCCTTTAGGTATTAATCTAACTTCTGGGCTATTTTCTTTATGATCCATCGTAAATATTTCTTCCCATGAAAAGAGCAAACCATCTGTTCTAGCAAAAAATGGATTAATGTCAATCAGCCAAGCACGATTTTTCTGGACATAAGCGTCAAAAACAACTAAAACATAGGTTAAAAAATTAATCGTTCAAATAAAATTAAACATACAATTAGCGTCTGGAAACTCTGAGAGCTTAAATGTTAAATCCTGTAAGATTGGCAAAATCTTCTTCATCTCGTGTTCTAAAAAATCATAATAATTATCGTCGCGCTGACAAACGGCAACAAGTTTCTTTCCTTTCACAAAGCAGCGAAATTCTGTTGAAGGATGAATAGGAAACCATTCTTTCAGAATTAATTCATGACTAAAACCGGGAGGAAAGCTTTGGTTTGTTGCACTAGCTTCCTGGTTACCTTCGTTGATACAATCATCAAAGGCGTAATCAAGGTCATGAGTTACAAAGTCGGATGACTTTAGTATTAAAAGGACATCTTCAGCAGAGGTGCATTTCATAGTACCTGTAGGCATAATCCATAAAGCATCTTTGGGACTTGACCAATTCAGCTTTGGTACAACGGCTCCATCGAGATCAGAAATAATCCGTTCTATGAGTTGTATTGTCGATTTTTCAGGGTAATAAGAAGAAACTTGGGTGTCTTCTTCTTCTCCTTCTACTTCTCCGTCCTCCCTTCCATCCTCATTTTCTCGATCTGTAATGTCTTCAATTGTATTTGGGACATCCTTCAAATAAATACCGTCTTCATTAAGGTATTTAAGTATAGATGTGGGAATCGGCTTAATTACTCTTGCTCTTGGCGTTAAAGCACGAAACAGTGAATACCAATTTGAGAATTGACAATTTAGAATATGTTGTTTTGTAACTGGCGTCGCCATCTTTTAATTCCAAGTTGTTGTGGTTTCTAAAGGCCACCAGGCAAAATCCACTTCTTACTAAGTAAAATTTTGATCGTGCTTAGTGGAATGTCAAGTCTTAATGAAATATATACTGCAAAAGCTTTTCAGGACTTTCAGAAAAGAATAATAATAGTGATATAAAGAAAAACAAAAACTTAATACTGTAGAAATGGTGACACTTAGCATTAGAAAAGGGCAACAGCAAGAAGGCCTTAGTATACTCAAAAAAATTTTGTGCACAATTTGAATTAAAAACGAAAAAAGGTATTCAATATGGCTTTCTGAGAATTGAGATTACATTTACAGAGTAACGTTTTAGAGGATCATTTTATAGAAGAAAGACAAGTTAATATAGATACATTATACTAGACATACTAAAATACTTGTTAATCGTCGTTTGAGCGCAAGAAGGAATTTTTGTCTAAACGATCTAACGCGATATGGGCCATCATAGACCCATCATTATACGGGTCGTGAGCCCGTAAGGATTCAGCGTTTCGATAGTTTTTAATAGCGCTTTCTTTATCTCCATTTCTCTCTGCAATCTGTCCCAAATTAAAGAAAGCTGCAGCACATCCTGAATGACATTCCACGTTGCGATCCTTTGGATAGGCGAAATGATATGAGTCCACAGCTTTTTGGCTCCAGTCTCTAGACTGCTGAAGTAACTTTTCGTGGTATTTTTTATCAGTATGATCTGTTTGAGCGAGTAAGCTAGTAGCTAGATTATTCATTAAAATCAATCCATGACAAGTCGGATTGTTCATCGTCAATTCGAATGCTTGATAATATAAGGGAACAGCATAAAAAGGCTTCCCAAGCTGAAAGTATAATGTAGCAGCTTGTTCAAACAGACGACTCTTCTTTTCGGGTTCATCCGCAATTTCATTCCGAAGCAAAGTCTGGACAATAAAGTCTGCAGCTTTCGTCGCTTCCACCTGTAAGCCAAGGGGCTCTGACAACTCAATGATTTTACTAGCAATTAAAACTCTCTGTTCAGTAAAATCTTTCAGGTTTTTCGTTCGCTTAAAAATATCCCAAAATAACTTCCAAGCTAATTGATATCCTCCTGATGATTCTTGTAAATTAGCCATTTGAAGTCGAATACCTTGTACTGGTGCCGATTCCATATCCATATTTTCCTTTTCAGCCTGCTCAATAGCAGACTGGTATGCTTTCCAGGCACGTTGAAAGTCTTGAATGCTCGATCCCGTTTGCCTGTACAGTGCCTCATGTATATACCTGGCAACAGATGCTGGATAGTTTGCATCGATCGGTGAAGGTTTAGAAAATGCAATAGCTGCGGTACCTACTACAGCACATCCTAGTAATGCTGCAGGCCATGGACGTCTCCAGAATGGTCTTTTATTATAAGTTGATGCTCTTCTATGAGCCATCAACTGAAACAAAGTCCTTTGTCTCCACAAATATTGAATTCTCATAATTCAAACGTAAAAACAAATTTATGAATGGATCATAAAAGTTTTATAAAAAAAAATTTAAAAAAATACTAGCGACACCTTGTTATTTTTTTATTGCTGCTTCGTTTGGAGTCGCCTATGATGGAATCTCACAGCGAATGACAGATCAGATACGAAAGGATTTTGGTTACTTGATCTACGACTTGAATAATTTCAAGAAGTTCTACAATCAGTTTTGAATTAGTTTACTGTATTAATATTATTCATATCCTCAATATTAAATTATGTGTATTAGGATTATTATGGGCATTAACATAAAACGCAAAGAAAGTAACGAAAGGTAGCTTATGCAAGTACAAATGATAAACAAATGCAATCAAGAAAATTTGTTGTAACGACTGTTTTTGAGATTAGGTTTTCCAGTTTACCATAACTGAGGGCATTTAGACCAATTGCCTTTTTGCCGACAGGACCAATAACTATTTTGGTCTTCTTTCATTACCCAAAGAGGGTCAGACCCATCATCTTTACCAGTTTTAACTTGAGAAAACCATCTAGGATGCCAAGAAATATGATTTCTTTCCATTTCTTGTCGTTCTTCTCGTTGTTTCTGTTCGAGATCTAATTTCAATCGCTCTGCTATATCTAAACGGTTTTGTTCGCGTAATCTTTGATCTGGACGTAAACGAGTATCAGTAGGAGGAAGTAAACCATCTTCAATTGGCGTTATTTCATTTGTTTGTGCAGCAAACGTTGTCATGCCGCAATGTTTTTGAGGATCCTCCACCAGATTTCCAACTTCCCATATCATTTTCTCCATTTTACCAGTTTCAGTGTCCACGAGATCTAGAGAAGTTGTCCATTTACCCTTTAGAGACCGAGGATCTTGGGTTCCATCAGATCTAATAACTTTTACATATACTTCTTCAGAACGCCCGGAAAACATTCCTCCGACTTTAAATTGAACGATAGCTTTATCGCCAGTCGTAGAATCCGTAATTACCATGTGATCATAAGGTTCAACGTATTTTTCACCTATAGCAACGTTTTTCAGAAAACAGGCAGGTTTTGTAAAAACAAATTTGTTTCCACACTGCAAGCTAATGTTCACATCCCCATGAGTATTCAGTTCTATAGATTTACCCCAAAATTTCTGAATAGGCCTTGGAGAGTGACGCCATTCCCATTTAGGACTGTCGGCTTGGCATGCGACTACGAGTGGCCGGTGTGACACTTTTTCTGCTAAAAAGCGGTAACTTTTATCTTCACGAACAAGCTCGTACGTTTCTCCCAATAACGGACTGAATACCTTTCGCACACTTCTCTCCTTGTGTCTCATATTCGAAAAATTGGATACAGCAAAAGCTGCAATGTAGAATATTTTCAACTCCGGCGCACTTTCATTGGCCATGTCTAAAAGATTGGAATACTCCAAATCTTCTGAATAACGTTGCAGTAAACTGCAGGGTTCGTTGGAGACAACCGGAATACAAATTGAGCTGATATCCTTTCCAATGTTCCTTCGCAAAACGGAAACGATACTAGGAGGAGGGTCTACTATGGCAGGTATGTTTTGTCTGCGAGAAACGGATTCATGAGGAAGAGGATATAGTTCAGCGACAGCTTGTTTGGAATTTTTAGGCATGCCTTCGTTTTTAGTGGAAGTGGAAGAAACAGATGCGTTTCCTTCAGTATCATGTCCAGATCCTGTATAGTTCTTCTTACTCTTTGAGCTTATAGAATGAGCGACAGATCCTTGTCGAGACTTGCTTCTAGATGGATTCGGTTTATATTCATCCACATCCTTGAATTTCTCAATGGATTTGATCCCATTGACGGCACTTTCTTCTGAGTCTTCATCAGCGGTATCGCTTGACCCTATGGAATCATAGCTTTCCTGTGATTGTACTAATTCCTCTGGCTCGGTAATTTCAGATGACAAATCAGAAACCGAAGAGTCAGAAACTGATTCCTCTTCGTAGGTACTCGTTCTGTGAAGAGAATCATCGACAAAAGTAATATCTGGATCAGAATTCTTGGTAGTACGATCACTACTTAGCAAACCGTCCGAATCATTAAGGTCCTTTAAAGCTTCCGTTACATGATTGATGGTTGGGTCATCTTCAGCATCATACCATGTATGAGATACGGTAGAATCCATGGATACACGGGAAGACGGGGAAGAGACGGAAACTTGATCTTTTGTGAACTCGTGATGTTGAATAAAGCATTCTAGCTCATGTAAGAGGGAACCAAGCTGTCGGGTAACTTTTCGGAGAGTAATTACGGCGGATGAGTTTTCAGGTGAAGATTCTTCTATAGATTCTCTTGGATTTCCACTATTTGTCATATGTTCATCAGGCAACTGAATCCGGATGTTGGGAATATTGAGGTTAATGGCGGAGCGAGAGCGACCTATCCGGTGAGTTTGAGCGATATCCAAACATTCTCGGAGGCGGGAGTAGATGGAATCAAGTTGTTTGGAAGATGACTGCTGGGAACGTTCACCAACAGTCAATTTTGAAAAGGCCTGGGTGTTTTTAGCACGCTCTAGAGCATTACACCACCTTAACCAGTCTTGATGGGTATGAGCGCGAAGGTTCCAAATCTCGATACCAGAATCAACATTAATTTCATGGCTTTCGGAAGAGACACTAACAACGGCTATACTGAGAGGAAGCTTTCCTCGCATGATAGAAGAATGAGCATTGGCATAATATGAAAGAGTTCCTTCCAGCATATCCAACGTAAAGTAACGACGAGCATAACCTTGGCCTTTTTTACGACGCTTTTTGAGGAGAGTTCCACACACAAGTTGTTTTGGGGCACCGCTACTGTTGATGTTATGTCGAACCGACCCTGGAAACGATTGGACACTGATTAGAAATGATATAATTTTTGGTGTAGTTTTAGAGAAAGTGTTATCAAATACAAAAGCATATAATCCACCTTTCTCAATGGATACAGAACCGTCGTTGGGCTTTTCGGCCATGCATCTTTCGCCTTGGTAAAAAAGTTCAAGACCAGCGGCATTTAACTTTTGAATTTCAGTTTCTTGGGTTTGTTGCTGCTGTTGTTGTCTGGCGTCTAAAACTGCTGGGAATTTATACTCGTTCCCTGAAGTACCCTTCGTTCGCTTGTAGTAGATATCGTATTTGATACTTTTCCGTTTGACGTGAATTTGCCAGCTAAGAAGACTATTTGGCTTCACATTCAGCCATTGGATTAGTAGACTCTTACTTCGAACTTCCACAGTTTCCATCATATTTCTGTTTCTTAACAACTGTGAAAGTAACAAATCCAAAAAATATATAATATGGATGACCCCTGGACAAAGGGAATTGACACAAAAAAATGATTGAAGCAGCCAAGATGGACTATGTTGTGCCTATAAATATATATGGTCTGTGTTTTGGTTATAAGTAATCCAAACATTAATGTACTCGGGTCTCTACGGAGCTTGTCGGGGCTCGGATTAGCCGTTGTTTACTAATTTAACGAGGCTGGAATCCAGTCCGGTAAAATGTAAACAAAGTGACTTGACACGAATAGTAACACAAACAAACCAAAGTTCTAGATGATAGAATACAGGCGTTTATATTAATATCAAATAAGTAAGTAAATATATTTACGGTATATTTTCATTGATTTCTACTGAGAAAGAAAGTAAGCTTATGTATACTATAATTTGTCATAATTCTGAACTGAGCAATGTGTGCGGCCGACAGTCAAAGACCTTTTAAGCAGATCCCAACAACGAAATCGCTAGGAGCAAGAACAGGAATGAACGACGGCAACGTAAAGGATGCGGATCGGATTCATCAACATTAAGGGAACTAACTCTTGGGTCTTTTTTAGTGTTGATGATTTAGGACTTGGTTTTTCCACTGGAGTCATCAGATAAGGAAGTGAGTGGATGGGAGTCTTATGCTTGCACACGAAAAAAGAAGAAGAAAAAGAAAGAACAAAAAAACGAAGCATAACGGTGGATTCAGAAAATGGAAAACTCGCTATGATCTTTCTGTATATCGAATAGGATCGGCATTCATGGTAGAAACAGTTCGGATGGGTGATCCCACGAAAACTGTATATCATTTTTATAATTTATTTTTACATTCTTTTCGAGGTCTTATAGATTCACTGCTTGTACTACTTTGTTATTTTGAATTTATGTGTAAAATTGTGTATTCTTTTTTCTTTTTTTTTTCTTTCTTTCTTTATTTGCTAAAATACTTCATCTATTCGTTTAGATAACTTTAAGATGTAGCAGATGATCAAACGCCTGTAAAAGATTGAGGAGACAAGAAACATGACTTAAAAAAATTCTAATTCAATTTTGATCAAAAATAAAAAAGAAGCTATAGAATTTTACGCGTCTTCAAACGTTTATTTTGGTGGTCTGAAATCGTTTAATTGTTTATTTACTGCTTATATCTTAGCGAACTTGTAATCAGATATACTAAGAATCGTACTATGTTTCCTTATTATGTAAACTCGACATTCCCGACTACTCTATGCAAACAACAAGCAGATTTTGGTTTTTTCAATCCATGCTGTTTCTTTCTTTTATTAATTATACACAATTTTCATAAGTCCAGAGTGATTGCTCGTTCCCTATGCAAATCACTGCTTTCTCATCCGTTGATAGTCGAAATGTCGATGAATCACAATTCATTGGTCCTTGGAAGCTGGGAAGGACTCTTGGTGAGGGCAATCTTGCCAAAGTGAAGTGTAAGTTGAACGAGAAACAATCCGTCTTGGGGGAATTCAAAGAAAGCAGAGGATCTTGTGACGTCTTTGGCATTGAGCTACTTTTGTGAGGAATTTCTCGACGGATCCATTCTCTTCCATATTTTCTATTAAATCTTATTAACTTCTATCTATTTAGTAGGTATCCATGCGGAGACGGGAGAAAGGGTCGCATTGAAAATGATACGCAATGCGGAACTGGAAGATGAATCTCTTTGGAACCACGTTTTACGAGAAGTCATGATTCTACGGAAATTTCAGCACCCAAATATTCTCTCCCTGTACCAAGTGCTTCGTGTCCCAAAGTACACAGTTCTCGCACTGGAATACATGGATACTGACCTTCACAGCATTCTCGCAAAATGTAAACGTCTAGACGAATTCGTAGCTCGTAAAATATTTCAGCAAATAGTTTCTGCTGTTGAGTATTGTCACCAGAATAATGTGTCCCACCGCGACTTGAAGCTTGAAAATATTCTTCTTACCAAGGACTTCACCGTCAAGCTCAGTGATTTCAGCCTTTCCAATTTTATGTACGACGGTACTTTTCTTAGAACATCTTGTGGAACTCCCCATTATGCTGCTCCCGAAGTCATACAAGGCCGGTACTACGATGGATGCGACGTGGATATCTGGGGTTGTGGAATTCTGCTCTACCTCATGCTTACCGGTGAATTTCCCTTTGAAGACGTTACCATCTCTAATGTCTTAAGTCGTGCTTGCAAGGGCATTTATACAGTACCTTCTCATGTCTCTACAAATGCTACTGACTTAATCCGACGGATGCTAACCGTCATCCCTACATCCAGAATCAAAATTGGCGAAATTATGTGCCATCCTTGGTTTATAGGGGATAGACTTCCATCACACCTCTCATCCGCGCAAGATTCTTTCCCTTCCCCCGAGAAACAGCATCCCGTTAGCTATTACCCAGCTGAAATAGCAAAACTTTTTGGTTCATCACCTAAGTCTACTGTCAATGCCCAAAATAATGTATCACATCCATCTTTGGAAGGTTCATACCCTCAGTTTTATGCCCCGACCAATAGTGATCTTAGCTCTTCCGCGGAAGCTTTGCCTTTCCATTGCTTTGTCTGGGCAGGGTCAAGCCCATGTTCACCTCCGAATCAGAACATAAACGGTACTTCTACTGCAGTCGGAATTGCCTCCAATTCCTCACCTCAATCCCATGTCAGTATTTTACCGACATCTCTTCCAAGCGAACATGCAGCTTACATGGCAAAGACGTTTAATATCCACAAATTGCAGTCGCCGGTGTCGTCTCGGCTACGACCCTTTCGATGGCATTTTGGTATACAATCAAATAAAGCTCCTCGAGATATATTGCTGCAGTTTTGCAAAAGCTTACAGCAACTTGGTGCCTCCTTTCGTCCTTACAGTACAGAAGACTTTTTACGAGAAAATAAATATCGCGTAGATGCGAAATTCAACTCTGATAATTTTGTTGTGTATTTGACGTTTGAAGTGTTTTCTCTTGGTTCGTTGGCTAACGTTATTGACATACGCTTTTCTGGTAATAGAGCTTCACCGATCAATAATCCAATGCCCTGTTTTGAAGTCGTTAAACGGTTTTTTCAGAAAATCATCTAGCGATTTTTTTCATGACTTTTATTGATTCTTTTGTTATTTTTGTTATGCTATAGGTGTAATTTTGTTTTGCTTTGAAGTCTTATTGTCGTTGAAGCAAATGAATCTTTCGCTTCGCTACTAGAAAGATTCTATTTCTATTTGTTCCTTTTTGTTTTTTTTTTTAAATTATTTTAATCTTAATTAATGAATAGTATTATTACATACTTTATAGCGCATTCGGCTTTTTTATCAGGTTCACTGGAGCATGTATTAAGATAAAAGATCGTTGTATAGTTGAGTCCCTGTTATTGCACAGTTTCATGACAAATCAATCCATCTCTAGGCGGCATTGAAATAAAATAATAAAGAAGCATAAGTAAAGCTTTCAGATGGTTCACCACGGCATGGCTATATCAAGGTCTGCATGCACGGTTTGTATGCAAGCTCTTTAAGGGATAAGGTGCTTTCGCTGGAAGAAAGAACGTAAGTAAATAATTTGCCAAGTAACCAATACGATCAAGGTAATAAAGGTAAGGTAAGCAAAATTTTTAACACGCTCATTTGTACTTTCATTGGTATTGCGGAATCTAATTTCGCGGTTTTGTAAGTAGTACATTTTGTCTTTAATCTCATTAATAAATGCCTTAGCACGTTGAAGATCAGCTTCTACAGGTTCCAAGTTATACGCTTTTTGTAAAGCAGAGTAATCTTCAGCATCGGCTCCGATGTTGAAGTCTAACTTGACGGAACGCTTTTTGTGTTCAGATTCCATAGCACCTAAAGTTGTCAGCTTATATGAACTTTTCAATACTACTACTAAATTAGAAAATAAATGGACTAGAAAGGTTCCTTCTGGGCTTTTCTTTTCTCATTTGTTTTCGTTTATTCTTCTTTCAATCATGAACGACATACCTGGTGTCAAAGTATTTTTGAAACAAATATCAATCACAGTAGGTCCAGAAACCTCCGAGGCAATACGCTGTTCATCGATGACACTTTGCACACTTGAATGAACAGTGCCATGAGAGTCTTTGATTTCCATGCTGAGCGTTTGACCATCACCACGGTTACCGCTTGTTTTCACGAAAACAATCATTGATGTTTTTTCTCCAGCATATTCACGTAGACAAAAGCTCTCGGGTTTCAACTTGGCTGGAATGTCAAAGTGAACTGCCTGAACGGCATACACAAGAAGGGAAAGCAGTAAGAAGAACGTTTTAGATATGAACATGATTTATTTGTTATTCAATAGATATATGAAATCTTCAACCTCTAAAGACTTGACATTCACGACTTCCTTTTGTTTTTGGTAATTGTAATGAATGACAGACCTGATTTTCTGTGTTTGGGGATATACCGATCGATTTCTAAAATGTAGTAATACAATATAAGGAGGTTCAGTGTACGCGTTAGTAAACAGATTACCGATTAACAAAAGTAAGTGAAATGGAAGAAAATTGAACTGTATAAACGAGATAAATGTAAAAAAAGTGATTTTTAGCTTAAAAAAAAACAAAACTAAAAGTCAAAAGCTGGTTGTTTTGAGGACACTGTCGTTTGAAAGCTGCAAAACCTGATCTTCAGTCTGTCAAGAGTCATTGGTTTCGTAGAGAGCAAGAAGAGATAATGAATATTAATGAATAGAAATTTCTAAAGTTGATATAGAAAAAATAAAAAATTTCATTATGGAAGTAAAACGAAAAAAAAGCCTTGGGTTTTTGCAATGCATTACCTTCTACCTCAGTCATATAGTGCGTTTAATACAACGCGTTTGTATTTGACATTGCAGCGGCATTTAAAGATTTCGATCAGAAGCTGTTTATGAAAATAACAAGGGCGTTTTGTCAGAATGCAAAAACATTGGTGAAGGGATGGGAATCAGAGCGATTTCGAATACAATGGCCAAGAAAGCATGATAAAGGTATGTTTAGAGGGCGTTTATAAAATAGAGAACTGTTGAAAGCTAATTTATTATTGAAAATAGTGTTTGTGGCTATGTCTGGAGGTGTGGATTCAAGCTATTCGGCTTATTTGTTAAAACGCCAGGTTGGTGTGTTTGTAGGTGGAATTACGGAAAGACTAACGTACCGGTTTGGTTGTAGGGATTAAATGTAGAAGGAGTATTTATGCGAAATTGGGTAGACGAGGAGGATGCACCGGGAGGATGTCCTGCGGAAAGAGACTGGACGCTTGTTCAAAAGATATGTAAGCAACTTGAGATTCCGTTACGGAGGTTTAATTTCGAAAAGGATTATTGGAACCGGGTGTTTGAGCCGAGTTTGGAGCAGTATGAGCGAGGATGCACACCGAACCCAGATGTTCCTTGCAACCGTTATGTGAAGTTTGGGGCATTGTACGAAGCGTTGGAGAAGGAAGTGTGTAGCGAGGATAAGAAATGGTGGCTAGCAACAGGACACTATGCGAAAACGATGAGAAGTGAGAGGAATGAGGGGGTGGCACTTTGCCTTCCGAAAGATCGATGGAAAGACCAAACGTTGTTTTTGTGCACGGTTCAGGAAAAAGCGCTTGAGCGAACGATTTTTCCATTGTATAATTTAATGAAAAAAGATGTTAAAAGGATGGCTGCAGAGGCAGGATTACAGGAGAGTGCGGAACGACTTGAAAGCCAAGGATTGTGTTTTGTATCGCCCAACGTGGGGAGTCACTTTCGAAACTTTTTGGGTCGATATTTGAAGTTTTCGAATGATCCGATACGCGTGGTAGCAAAGGGAAAGGTGGTTGGGGTTTATCCACCCTCGACGGGAGTTTGGTCATTTACGATTGGAGAGCGATGTGGATTTAGTCTTCCCCAGGGCGATCCAGAGTTTCAAGGACGATGGTATGTTTGGAAGAAAGAATCATCGACGAATACAATTTATATTTGCCAAGGAAGCGAAAATCCATTGTTGTATCGAAATCGAATTCGAGTCCATCCTTGGACATGGTCGACAGAATGGCTTCGACAGAAAATGAGTCCACCCGCGGGACAGTCTATGGAGTGCTTTGTGCGTGTTCGACACCAGCAATTACTAGAACCAGCAAAAGCATGGTTAGAAGAGGACGGAGGATGTGTTGTTGAGTTTCAAAAACCTCAACGGGCGCTCACTCCCGGACAAGTTTTGGCCATGTATAGGGAGGAAGTATGTTTAGGAGGAGGCTCTATTGCAGATGGAGAACCATAAAAGATGGATTCGTTTAATTTTGGGCATACATACACATATATACACATACGCATACACATACACACACACACACTCTCTCTCTCTCTCTCTTTCTCTCTCTTGCACATCTAGGACTAGCCTCCTTCTAGTTGATGCCCCCATATGAAGCCTTTCCTTTGGAAGGGTTTCTGACCCCCACTACAAGGAGACTAGGACTAACAGTGGACTAGGGTAGATGGCCGCTAGTTCACCTCATGGACCCCACGACGTATTTCACCCCCATACTATACTTTGTAAACGGTGTTGCCGATTTAAGGAGACATAAGGCGATACAAGGCAGCGTTTAGCAAAGCGAGGTGAATGCTAGAGTCAGATGGATGGAGTAACAATTGTTATGCAGGGAAGAAAGGATGGATAGGAGAATGCACTTGAGTAGCAAGAGTAGCAGAGTAGTGCAGAGCAGGGCAACTCGAGGAGGATGGTGGAGAGTTTTTTCATTGTTTTTTCTTTTTTTTTTTTGTTTTGTTTTTTTGATTCGCGTTGTTTTCGTAGGATACGCTAGATGAAAGCTAAATGCCGTAAACTATGGACACGAAACAAATGCCAATGCCATGCCATGCCGTACCGTACCGTACCTTCCGCAAGCACAATTGTGGAGTGTGAGGTTGTAAAGAGAAAAACCAACACGAAACTATACGAAAAGACAATGTAAGCGAATTGTTTTTTTTTTATTTGTTTACAATTTTCTTTTTTTTTTTGTTTACGCGCTGAAAAAATTTGTAAACAAAAAAAAAAAGTAAACAACAGGGTTTCAGTGTGCCCGCCGGGCAAACCTCTCGCTTCTAGACAGAAACCGCGCACTCTACGTCAACGTCCATCTTGAAATCTGCCCCCACGGCACACTGAAACCCCCAAAAGCCCCAAGGAAGGCCAAAGTGGGGGAACTGGCGAGCGACACACACTCAAGTCGCAAAGAGCAAGAGACGGCAGCTGCTTGAAGAAAGAAAAATTACAAAAAGACCTCTTTTCTTTTTTGCTTCTATCAAACAAACAAACAAACAAACAAACAAAAAAAAAGATTCAATCAATATTCAAAAACAAAAACAAATCAAAACCATCGACTGTCGCAAACAAAAACAAACAAATCAGATTGCTTCTTTCCTTCTTCCTTCTCGTCCCCCCCACCACGCTCCACCCTCTCCTTTCCAGATAACGAACCTCTGCGATACTCCCTATATCGTCCATCAGCTGCTTATCTTATCTTATGTAAAGTCAGTCCGGATCCCAATCATCCTACTCTGGATTGATTATCTTTCTATAATATACGCCACCTCATTGGCGGAGTTTTTTTTCCATCCAGATTGCATTCGTCCAATCATCTGCCGTCTCTCTTCCCCCTAAAAACCCGAACCCTACATCTATCAATGGGACGAGCAGCAGTAGGCGACCCTGTCGGTAAGAAAATTTGACCTTGATATTTACATGTATAAAAGACTCGAGGTCCCAGACTGCTACCTTCCGCAAAACACCGGTTGCCTATTAAAGGATTAGGTAAAAAAAAAGGCAATAAACACCTTTTCTTTTTATTTTTTTTTTTATTTTTTTTATTAATCATTTATTTTAATCCTTTTACTTGAATTGTTTTTGGTTTTTTTTTTATTAATTCATCATTCCTGAAAAATTATTTGTATAGAAAAAGGTTGTGTTGAAACTTCTTTCAATCACATCTTAATATTTCTCGTTTTCATTGTTTTTTAGAACGAGGTGTTTTTTTTTTATATATTGTTGTTCATTTCTTTCTTTCTTTCTTTCTTTTTTTGATTCTTGATTTTTAGGAAACCTTCTCTTCCTAAAGGTTTTAACGGAACGGCTCTTTTCATCTATTTGAATTCCCTTTTTCCTTTGCAAGATTCCTCCCAATATGTGCCAATACGACGTTGAACCTCTCTTGTCCAAGGCCCCCATCTTGGCCAAATATTCCGACCTTGAACCTCTTGGTACTAAGGTGATGGCTGAATACATCTGGATCGATGGATTCAATCACATCCGTAGCAAAACCATGACCCTCGACGAAAAACCAAAGTCTTTGGAAGATTTGCGAGTTTGGAACTTTGACGGTTCTTCCACTGGCCAAGCCCCTGGTAATGACTCCGATACCCTTTTAAAACCCGTTGCTATGTATAGAGATCCCATCCGCCGCGGCGACAACATCCTTGTCCTCTCCGCTTGTTACAAGGCCGATGGCTCTGCCAACCAATACAACCACCGTGATGCTTGCAACAAGCTCATGGAAAAGCATGCCGACCAAGACATCTGGTTTGGTATTGAACAAGAGTATACCATGTTAGATTACTATGACCGCCCTTTCGGCTGGCCTAAGGGTGGCTTCCCCGGTGCTCAAGGTCCCTTCTATTGTGGTGTTGGTACCGGCAACGTTTTTGCTCGTGATATCGTCGAGGCCCACTACAAGGCCTGTCTCTACGCCGGTATCAACATTTCCGGTGTCAATGCCGAAGTCATGCCTTCTCAATGGGAATACCAAGTTGGTCCTTGTCGTGGTATCGAAATGAGCGACCAACTCTGGATGTCTCGCTTCCTTCTCCACCGTATTGCCGAAGACTTTGGTGTCAAGATCTCTTTCCACCCCAAGCCAATTTTGGGTGACTGGAATGGTGCTGGTTGCCACACAAACATCTCTACCAAGGATAGCCGTGCCGAAGGTGGTATGAAGGTCATTGAGCATTATCTCGAAAAGTTCGCCAAGCGCCATATGGACCACATCAAGGTTTATGGTGAAGACAATGACTTGCGTCTCACCGGTAAGCATGAAACCGGTGCTATCGACCAGTTCCGCTGGGGTATTGCTGACCGTGGTGCTTCTGTTCGTATCCCCCGTTCTGTCGCTATGAAGGGTTGCGGTTACTTTGAAGATCGTCGTCCTGCTTCCTCCATTGACCCTTATCTTGTCACTGGTATTATTACTGAGACTATGTTTGAATGTTAAATGGACGAATGATTTTCTTCTATGTGCTGGTCACGTTGACCGCCTTTCTTTCCCATCAATTTTCTCCCTGTGCGCTGTTTTTCTTTGCCCTTTGGGCAGAAGCGTATTGATCTCATACATACATACAACATACATACTTATTTACTCTCATATTACATATACTCCTTATCCCCTTTCTCTTTTCTCCTTATTAATTTTTCAATGTCATTTATTTGTTGAACATTCTGAATCTCTTGCTGTTGTCCTCTCCATTGTATTTAGCTTGTATCGTATTCCTTACCTATCCATTCAACACCGGTAGATGAAACTTCTTGTACATAAAACTATGAAAAAGACTATGAAAGAGGTGATTAGAAAGGTGGTATAGATTATAAAAAAATTATAAATCCTTTATTTACAGTAGTAGTAATAGATGTTTTTTAATCAAACATGTTTTGTTCCCAATGTCGTCTTTTTGTGAAACGACTTTTTCGTCGTATCCAAACAAATTGTCGGTGCGTCTGAAAAAGATATAGTGACCATAAAATCATCAAGCTCCTACTTCATGGAACAACCCAATCGTAACAAGTTTTAAAATAGAATACACATAAAGGAACGAAATGTAAGAATGGTCGGCATGTTTGCGTTGCGTTGGGTTGTTTCGTCGCTTACAGAGAGGATTCCATCCACTCGATCCATTGGTTCATGTTGGTGCCCTTTAGAGCACTTCCTGAAAGAAACTCTAGCTGGATGTCTTCAAGTTGAGGACGAAGCTCATCCCAGTCAACATCTTGTGTCACGATGGAGTCAAGTTGAGATTCCTTTTCTTCAAAAATGTTGTTTAATTCCTTCTTCACAGCCGTTTCGATTTGCTTTGCTGGTTGAGCTGTAAACAAATCAAATTTGTTGCATGCTACGAGAACTTTTGATATTTTGTGCTTTCTGCACTTTAGCAGCAAGTCGAATAAAGCGAGCCCGACTTCATGCAAATCTCGGTCCAAGGTTGCGCTGTTCAAAACGAAAACTATTTGCCGTACATCGTAGCTTTCATTCAACTTCTTTTCCGTCCAATGCTTTGTTCTGGCATGTCCGGGTAGATCTACAAGGACGATATCTTCTTTCCATAAAGCCTCGTTCGGTTCTATACTGGGAACGGTAGACACACCTTTTTCATAAACAAGCTAAAAAATACGTTAATTTAATGAATCCTGTGTTTTCTATCTCACCTGGCAAAACAAGGTCGTTTTTCCAGACTCACTAGGTCCCACCAAAAATATGGCCGGTGCTTTTCTTTGAATGGTTTTTTTTGACACAAAGAAAAGGGAAAATATAATTAATGCAGCTAAGGGAATCGTAGCAAGCGCAATGACTATGGCCGACCAATTTTCCAGCATCTTGAATATGGTCAGTTGGTGTTTGCAAGTAATCCTATGTACGGAAATTTCTTCCTATCAATGTGGACTTCTGATCGAGAATAAAAGGAACAAATGCTTTTTTATATATATTACAGGCTTACTCTTCTTTTGATATGTTCGGAAAAGTGCCTACCTTCTCGCCATGTTTGAATGGTTCGTCTCTCTTGTTGACTTGAGGTTTGAATACTACGAATGAAGGATGTAGTTGGAAAAATATTGAATCAATCTTCAAGAACATATAAATTTCATTTACAGTTTTCTTTTCTTTATTTACACGCTTGCGTCCTTGACCATTCATGTCAAAATGGAATGGATAGCAAGCAGTTGTGATGAATTCATGGTATTAAATTTTAAACAAAAACATGATAAAAAGAGTCTTATTTACTTTCTTCTATCTTTCGATGAAAAAAGCGTACTTGGTGATTTGTTTGTATTTTACCCCAGTGGTGAAAAAAGCTACCAACAACATAATAGAATTGCTTTTGTTTACGAGCCGTTGAGGAAACTGACGGAAATTTTGTTCTTGTAACTTTATTAGAAAAATTATGCCTTTACCAGTTTTACGTGTCAAAAGAAAAGCAGTTGATGATCCTGTGAATGCTCTATGTATGGAAGAAGAAAACACTGGCTGCTAAAGCTTCTATAAACATTGGCTAATATAGATTAGATTTAGAGCTTGGAAATGAAATTGGAGAACGAACAATTGCTAAAAAAAGGAAACCTTCCAGTCGGTATTGTAAGTATACAAGAATGGACCCTCATTACCCTATATGGTCGTTTCGTCGTTGTTGAAATGCATTTGATTAAAATTATAGAAGAAAACTAACAAATAAAAAAAAAAAGTTTTTAGACTTTCTCAAACCCTGAAGAACGATACCCATTATGTGCCAAAACTAAACAACGTTCATGTACCGCCTACAACAAATCTTCAAGAACCAGAGAACGTTAGCAGCAAATATCCTTTACCAAAGGAGAACTCTTATGGCATCCCCATCGTTCAACCTTCCGAACCTGCAATTCCAAAAGTTCATTCACATATGGATTTGGATATAAAGAAAACAGTACCATTTGCACCTCCTACTTTGGATTCTCCAAGATTTGCAATCCAAAATTTGCCATCTGCAAAGGATGAGAAAGTTTTTGACGCTATTCGTCTTCAGAAAAGGTACGTTTTACTTTTTTCTATCGTCCCATCGCCTTGGAACAGATATATTCTTTTGGCGCGATGTACATCTGTTTCTCAGAACATTAGCTAACAATGCACTTTAGTCAAGGAATGTATCACACTCATCCTCAATTGGATTCTATGATTCATGAGTACCTTTCAAATGGTGACTTGCCTCTTCAGCAAGCCAACGAAGAATATGTATATGACATTTATGAAGCATCAGTCCAAGAGCCATCCAAACCTCCAACTGGATATGGTGTTATCGACGCTCTTAGCGTACCTGACGCATTCCGTGAATCACTTGAAAATGAACTTGTATCGGAAAAGCAAGATGGAGAAGATGAGGATCCCTTGCGCGATGAGATTGACGAGGATTCAAATGCAGAAAGTTTCTATCAAAACAGTTATCCTGATGAAGATGAATGGGGAGGATCTAGTGGAGGAAGTCTTCAAGATGAATTTGCATCTGATGAAAATTACGGCGATGACTTATATGGATAAGCAATACGACAATGAATTCAATACATCGTGGTTACATGGGGAATTAATACTTTTGACGTTTTTGCCTTTCTTTATAAATGTTACTTTGTAATTTTTGTATGTTTATTAGTTTTGTATTTGTTTTTGTGTTTCTTGTACATTACTTATTTCCATCTATTTTTTGGTGCATACGTGATTCGCTAAAGATAACTTTAAAGGAACTTATGATGTCTTCTGTGACTTGCAAAATCTATCTCATTCTGACTAGAGAAATTCCTAGAAATTTATACCCATCTCTGCGTAAATTCTCTAAAGATGTCTGGTAAAGAAGTTAAGCAAGAGACTACTGTTGACTACAGTTTGAACAATAGCGAAACCATCAACAAGTACAAGCTTGCTGGTGAAGTTTCCCAAAATGTCTTGAAGAAGGTTGTCGACTTGTGTAAGGAGGGTGCTAAGCTCTTCGATATTTGCGTTCGCGGTGACCAACTCTTGGAAGAGGCCGTTGGTAAGGTTGCACGCGGTAAGGATTCCTATAAGGGCATTGCTTTCCCCACTGCTGTTTCTCCTAATGGAGTTGCTGCTCATTTGTCTCCCTTGTCCAGTGACCCTGAAGCCAACATTACTTTGAAGGCTGGTGATGTTGTTAAGGTTTTCTTGGGTGCTCACATTGATGGTTTCGCTTCTTTGGTTGCTACCACCCTCGTCGTTTCCGAAGAAACCGTCAGTGGTCAAAAGGCCGACGTAATCGCTGCTGCTCATGCTGCCTTGAAGGCCGCTCAACGTACCATCAAGCCCGGAAACAACAACTGGCAAGTCACTGACATTGTCGATAAGATTGCTACTACTTATGGCTGCAAGCCTGTTTCTGGTATGCTCACTCACCAACAAGAAAGAAATGTGCTTGATGGTAAGAAGCAAATCATTTTGAACCCTTCCGAAAATCAACGTGCACAATTTGATAACTTTACATTCGAAGAAGGTGAAGTTTATGGTGTCGATATTTTGGTCTCTTCTTCTCCTAGTGGAAAAATTAAGCGCTCTGACATTGCTACCCGTATCTACAAGAAGACCGATACGAAGTATATGTTGAAGCTTCAAGCTAGCCGTAAGGTCTACTCCGAAATTCAAAACAAGTTTGGTGCTTATCCCTTTTCCACTCGTAACATCACTCAAGACAGCAGAACTAACATGGCTTTCGGTGAATGCACTCAGCATGAGCTTCTGTATCCTTATGATGTATTGACTGATAAGGAAGGTGGTTATATTGCTGAGTTCTACTCTACTATTGCTTTGACCAAGAACGGTACTATTGCCTTTAGTAATGCTGAACCTGTCAACAGCATCCAATCTGACAAGAAGATCGAGGATCAGGAAATCATCACCCTTCTCGAAACTCCTTTGAAGACTAGCACCGCTAGCAAGAAGAAAAAGAGTAACAAGAAGAAGTCTAGTGGTGGTAACAAGCCAGCTCAATAGATTCTATCCCAGCTTGTTATTCCAAAATTCACTTTTGTTTCTATTATAAAAAATTAGTCTCTGGTGATGGAGAGTTTTCATTCAAAACACTGAGAAAAATCTCTTTATGATGTGATATGTTTTCATTCATGTTTAAAATAAAATAACTGATTATCTACCTTCTCTACCTCTTACAGGTTTGCTGTAATTACTCTTTAGTAAGTTAAATTTTATTTGAAAACTCTTATTTTTCTTCAACGTTAAAGAACACTGCCTAGAGTTTTTCAATTCGAGCACAGTCCATCCAACTGTAGTTACCCTCCGTGCATTGATTGACAAGGAAATGCAATTTGTCGATAAAGACAGGCACGAAGGTTCCAGGACCTTGTACAGTTTTAGGACCTATAGAATTTTCGTCAATAACTGCCATTTCTCCAGCAATATTATAAAGCAATGTCGCAGATAATGCGGCAAGCAATTTATCTTCCGGACATAGAGAAACTGCAACGCCCATTACACTTCCAAGGGAACAGCCTGAAGCAGTTATTTTTCCCAGTAAAGGAGTTCCGTTTCTTATAATATAAGTGCTCCTTCCATCACTAATGATATCCGTCTCTCCAGACATGCAGACCACACAGCGCCGATTTGAAGCTAATTGCTTTACCGCCAAAATTCTTGAACTAATATCATGTTGAGATATACTATCGACCCCTCTCATGAGGCTCTTTTCACCGGCGATAGTCATTATCTCGCCTTCGTTACCTTTGATTATATCAAAATATGCATTATTTAATAATGCTGAAACTGCATCGGTGCGAAACGCTGTTGCACCAATACCTACTGGGTCCAAAATAATAGGTCGGTTCAAGGAATTATAGATTTGAGAAGCATACGTAAGGGACGCTCGATCCTGCAAAGTGCCAATATTCAAAACAAGTGAACCAGCGAATTTAGCAAAATCAGCAACTTCTTCTCTACTTTCTCCCATAGTCGGAGAAGCATTGACAGCTAACGTCACATTTGCAGAAAAATTTTTAGCAACACCATTCGTTAGGTGATGAATTAAAGGAGTATAGTCCCTGGTTTTTGCAAATAAGGGACCCACTCGACTAACTAACTCTGAGACCGATGAAATACTAGAATGGACCTGAGCGAAGCAAGGAGGGGATTTAATTAAATTAAGAAGGTTTCTGGCAGTTTCACAGGGTGTTGTTGAAGACATAATAGCAGAAACTAAAGCAATACCATCAATGCGCTTTCCATCAACCTCGCTCAGGTAAATTACTCTCTGAATATTAGTTTCATTTAAACCAGCAATGGCAACTGAATTCAGCTGACGGGGCATCTTTGACATGTGTTGCAAAATGTTGCGAAGACCTGTAATACCGATAATCCGCTCTTTAACATTCTTCGTATTTGTATCGTAAATAGAACCAATTCCAACATAATCAGCACCATCAGCAGCTGCACAGTCAACTTCGTGAATATTGTTCGTAGAGACACCAATGATCGAATCATCTCCTAGAATTTTGCGAGCTGTTTTGCAGTCCATATCATCTTGTCCTATATGAACTCCCTCAGCACCAATGGCTAATGCAATGTCAACTCGATCGTTGATCAGTAATGGCACACCATATTTTCGACAAATTTTCAAGACATTTTTCGCTCTTTCCAAAAACAGTTTTGTAGATATATCTTTTTCGCGGAGTTGAACTATAGTAACTCCTCCGATAATTCCTTGTTCTACTTGTTGCTCCAAGCTGGATCCTGGAGCTATTTGCGTAGAGCTTGTTACTAAATACAACGAGTAATTGACCGTCGGTTTCATTGCTTAATGATATAAAATCAAAAAAGAACAAGTAAAGAAAGGTTTATCCTCGAATAATTAATGTTGGTACGGAGTACAGCGAAGGAGTTTATATCAGAACTGCTTTGCTTCTGTTATCAAGTACGTAAACAAAGCTGACTATAAGCTAGACAATCCTAATTATATTTTGTGATGTTCAAATTTCAAATCCAGTTATTTGAACTTGGTTTTTAGGTAAGGTAATCATCCACGGATATCAAAACGGAGATTTCGGATACCTGCTAAATCCTATTTAATCACGGAGGAAGTAAGAAGGATCTGAGTTCCTTTATTACAAGAAAGAAAAGAAATCACTGGGAGCATTCCATAACAGTAAATAGTAAAAATACGCTCGTAACTTTGTCGCTTTTTGATGAAATGTAAGGTACTATCGCGACCTCAAATTAGAGAGAATCAAACAGATTAAGCAGTAGTTGAAAAAGAACATAAAAATGATAGTAAATTCCTATCGTTTTGGTACAAAATGTATGGATTCACTGGTCATCAGTCGATATTACTTCAAAAGTATTTCGCAGATATCTGACATCGGTAGGTAAGGATCAAATTGGATTAGGTATGATTAAATTCCTTAAAACCTTCGTAGTTTCTTCCGTAAAAGTATCAGTCTAATTCATCAATATTGTTGGCAGAAGATGTTCCATTACAGTGGTTTCCTAATTGTTCAATCAGATCATCAAGGAGAGTCATAGGTTCTTCTAAATTAGGATCTTTCGACCATTTTAAATCATTAAGTGAATCGATTTCTCTACACGAATTAGTTGAGCAAAGGAAGAGTAAAGTTTACTTACGCGTCTAATAGAGAGGAAGACGTGTGCAATTTTTCGCGTTCTACACTAATTTCTGCTTTGACACTATTCAATGCACCCTCTAAACGTTGGTTGATGGCCGTAATATCAAGTGGTTTAGCGGCATACATTGTATAAAAATCATCTTGCTCAGAAGCTTGAGAAGCAGCTGTTTCAAAAAATCTTCTAATATTTGCAAGCAGCATTTGATCTCTCTCATTTTTACCAAGTACTTGGCTCTCAATTTCAATGTTGACTCTTATTTTTTGTAGTCGCTTTTGCTGCTGTTTGGTACATTGATCATATAGCTCAATAAGCAAGGGTTCATCGCGAAATCGGCGCGGAAAAAGCTCTTTCCATTCTTGAAGATGGATAATTGACGGGAAGGTTCCTTGAGAAAGCAAATAATCACTTAGAATTTTCTGTTCCATGGCTTCAGGAAAATAAGTCCCTATCGTTTTTGTTAGATATACTAAAAAATAGAAAAGAATACAGAGTTTTCGAATATCTTTCGGCTAAAAACTTGATATTGCAATACGAAATTCAGGGAATAGAGCCAGTAGTCGATTTTATCTTTTGTATGGATATATTTTGCTACTTTGTCTCTAATTCATGAAAGGAATAACCATAATTTAAGACGAAGAATGGATTGCTTTCTCCCTTTGTTCAGTCAGACTTTTATCCTGATGTTTGTTCAATCGAAAGCGTGGTTTAGTTACACTGTAGTTTTTTAATTCCTTACCTTAATTTATCTAATTAATATTAAATCAATTCTTCTGGTGTTTTTGGGCGTTTCAACAGACAGCAAAGCTAATCTGGTACGGCCTTCAGTTTACTATAACAATCCAGCTTCCCTCAGACATAGACTCAGAACCTAGACAAGAAGTTACTCACCACCCAGGTTTTCAATTATATCTCAACAGTATTCTTCGTCGAAATATTGTTGTCTTTCTCTGCCTGCATTTTGGAGGTATTGTGGAATACCTCACCACCACGAGCTGCTCTCCAGATACTTCTCTTCCATGTCGTATAAAGTCAATGAACGGGTATTATGCTTTCATGGACCTTTGCTTTATGAAGCTAAAGTAATAGATACAGAAAAAAAGGAAGATTCTTCGACCTATTTAATTCACTATAGGGGGTGGAAAAATAGCTGGGACGAGTGGGTTGGACCAGACCGTATACTTAAATGGAATGAAGAAAATTTGAAAACACAAAAGGAATTAAAGAGTGCGGCTTTGGCAGCTAGGCAGAAATCTACCGCTGCGAAAAAGGCTGCTACTTCAGCTTCCAAGGTTGAAGCTTCCGGTCAGACCAGTAAACCCGCTGGAAAACGATCTCGGGAATCTAGCGCTACTACGATGGAGGGCGACTCTCGTGAAACACCCCAACGAACGAAAACTCAAAAATCAGCTTCACCTTTACCTCATGTTATTAAAAACGAAGCAGTCTCTGAAGGGGCCGTAGATGCAGCGGTAAAGGGTGTTGAAGAAGAATCTGTGGATGAGGAACCACCATTACCTAAACATAAGATTCGTGTTCCCGATGTTTTGAAGCTTTGGTTGGTGGATGACTGGGAGCATATCACAAAGCATCTTCAGCTTATATCGTTGCCTCGAAAGCCAACTGTGCGAGCCGCCATTGCTGCTTTTCGGGAATCTAAAATCTCTTATTTGACGAACGAAATTGATCTTGATGTCTTTGAACAAGCAATGGCTGGACTGGTTATTTATTTTAATAAGTGCCTTGGGAACATGCTACTTTATCGTTTTGAAAGACAGCAATACATGGAAATTCGAAGAGACTATCCTGGAGTTGAGATGTGTGATATTTATGGTGCTGAGCACCTGATACGACTTTTTGTTAGTTTACCCGAATTAATTGACCATACGAATATGGACTCGCAGTCAATAGACTGCTTGTTAGGATATATTGAGGAGTTTTTACAGTAAGTGCAACAATTACTTTACCCTTTTTACTAACTAAAAATTCGTCTAGATATCTTGTACTGCATAAGGAGGAGTATTTTATTAATAAGTATCAAGATGCTTCCCCAAACTATCGATCCTTAATTGGAGTTTAATTAATTGTATAGTTGTTTTTTGAAAAAAAATAAGTATCTCATGAGATAGACAAATGAAGTTTTTTGTAGTTATGAAGAACATTGTGAAATTGTGATATATGATCGGATGACAAGCTGTCGGGGTTGTACAAGGGAAGAAAATTGCTAACTTCAGCATTCAGAATGTCCTTGAATCCTTGCATACTTAAGTTCAAAGATGCTTCTGCTGGTATTTGTTCTGCTTTGTTTTGTGCGATAGTCTTTAGTGTAGAAATCCGACTTTTAACTACTTTTACTCTAATCCATAAGTCATGGTCTGCCTGTAGGGTTGCTGTTTCCTTTTCAATATCTTTTGCTTTACTAGAAATGCGTTCTAGCTTAGACAAGTTACGTTTCACATAAGCATGTCTTAGCGCAAGCAATTCAAGCCATCTAGGACGCACATAATACTAGCCAACTTGTCAGTAACTAAATGATTCTTAAGTGAATATTGTTTGTGCATACCTTCAACAATGTATAACCCGATATTCCAATGACGGAGCTCAGATATGAAAGGAACAGACTAAACGATAGCACACTAGAAGATAGATTCGATTTCTCTTGAAAAGCTTGAGCTGGAGCAAGCATCGAAGGAAGCGAAGGTGGTTTGGATACTGTGTTTGCAGAATGCATAATTACAGCCTAACTTCCAAGCTCGTGATCTAAGACTTTGAAAAGTTTCTAATAATAAAAGTGAGATACTGATGAATAATTAGTTTCTTTTTGTCTTTGTGTAACGGAAACCGTATATGGATGGAATGATTTAATATGAAGGAAGCAAGTCTGTCAAGAGTACTTGGTAAAAGGGTACGACGAATTTATTGTATTTATGAAGTAGATAAAAACCCTTTCTGAAAGGAAATGAAAAAATAAACAATTATATAAATAATCAATGCAAAAGTACTACAAACTATTGCTTGTCGATACTGAGTTCTACACATCCTTAAAATAGTCGGATTCTTATTCTATTTAGTAGGAAATATAGCTTATCCTTATAGAAACTATTTTTGAAATAATACATCAATAAAAAAACCTCTTCCTTATTAGAATTCGACCTCATAAGGAATTTATACCATTTATTTATTTTTTTGTTTACCTGTTTATATCGTATTTAACATCATACTAAGATTAATATATCACTTATAAAAGCCAATCACACTACGATACCGAAGAAGAAAGATCTTTCCCCATAAAATCAGCTGTGGGGAAAGCAGGCTCTGTCGCATATTTAACCGGAACCATGCAAGAAGCGGTGAATTCACAAAACTGGGAGTTTGGTGTCAAAGAATGGTATAAAAGGCGTTCTGAATGGCTGTTGGATCACGATAAAATTACGAATGAGTATTCTTTAGAGGAAGTGGTGATCCCAAAAGATGTTTATTTGGGTGTCTATAAAATGCTAGTACACCAAGAACAGAAGCTGAAACGACCGGTGAAATTAAGTACTATTGTATGAAACTGCATATTTATGATACATGCTTATCATCACTTGTTTACACGAAACTAATTGACCAGGTTGCCGTTTTAAAAACCGGATGGATTGAAGAAGGGTTTTGGCCTGCAACTTCCAAGTAAAAATTAGGAAATACCCACGCGTGAAATGAAACAAAGAAGAAATTTGTTGAAGTATAATTGTTTTACCTCTACGTGATCCTCTATCGTTTGCATGAATTAAAATATGATAGTCTACCTCTTGCTAATATTATTGCATTTCTCTTAAACATAAGCTATAAACATCTTCATTCTTTTATGATTCTTTTTTTTTCTTTAAAATACATTAAATTCTGTGATTAATAACATAACAGAAGTGTTATATTAAACTTGGAAAATTTCCTATTTCTTGTTTATTAAGGCACTCTAATACTAACTAGCTTCCACCTCGTTTATCCTCATTAAAAATCATCTTGAAGTCATGCTGCGTGTATATGATCTTGTTAGTTGGTTTACCATATATAAATATTAGGGAGGAATAATTCCATTGATAAATCAATTTCATTGAATGCTAAACTTTACCAGATCGATTTGTATTGCTCTCAGACAGCTGCTTAAGACATCTGACGATGCATCGATCTTTCTCTCTTTTTCGCGTTTTGGAGCTCTCGAAATCAAAAATTGAGTGCATTTTTGAATTGGGTATGGTTGAGTTCATTTGTATTTGCAAGCACTAACTTTGTAAGGTGAATATATCTATATTTCCAACAGCAATGGTGATTTGGATAGGTACAAGATCTATCGTGGAGCTGACAACTTAAATGGTATATATTATCCTTTTTACGTTCTATATTAATGTATAAAGATGATTTTATTATGGAACACGTAGAGTTTATTCCTACATTCACGAAAAAGCCAATTACAAAGGTCATTCGTGATACCTCAAAAGACATTTTCTATGCGCTATCCGGTAAGGAAATCTTTCATGATTGACGAAACGAATGCTAATTTGATACTCGATTCCAGATTCGTCTATATATGTCTATAGAATATCAACGTTCGAGAAACTCCAGAGTATTGGCAGTTATTGCCAAAACATGTGCCTATATGGAAGTGACAAAGTTATTTTGGCAGAGAGGAAGTATCTTAACATTTACAAATGGCAAGCGTCTGATCGACTTGTTCATGATAAGTCAATCTCCCTTAACGATCGGGCTCGTTCTCTGACATGGATGTCTTCAAATATGATACTTGTCTCTTTTTCAAATGAGTTTGTCGCAGTAAACATTGAAACATCTCAATCATCCTCCTTGAACCTGCCTTGGCAAACATCGTCATCTTTAGGACTTGGCATGAGTTATATAGGAATGTCTATGAAGTTGAATCGCTTACATATAACAAGAATTTCCGACGAAGAAGTTCTACTGTCGAGAGACTCGCAGGGCTACCTGGTTAACCTTAAATCGTTACATGTTTCAAGACAACCATTAGTTTGGCCTACAAGTCCACAGGCTGTCATCTACAATTCACCTTATTTAATCTCTCTCCATTCACAATACATCTACGTTTGGAACAAGGATACTCATGCCCTTATACAACAAATTGGTATTAGTAACATATCCTCTACCTTTTCGTGTGAAGGTAATACCTTCTTTACGTCAAATTCTTATGTATGGATCCTCGTTCCTGAGGATTTCGGCTCTCAGGTTGAATCCTTGTTGCAGTCGAATCAGCTTGATGAAGCAATAAGCGTCTTGGACCAGATTGACGACATGAAATTTCCCAAACGGAATTATTATCTTCGTATGACGAAAAGAGAAAAAGCTTCTCGTTCCTTTTCATCTGGTGACTATGAAACCGCTATGAAGTTATTTACGGAAATATGTGAATCTCCTTCTTTTGTTTTGAGGCTTTTTCCAAAACTTGTTGAAAACGATTATTCTGACGCAATTAGTATTTTGTCCTCCGGCCCTCCTCCTTCAGACCCACCCATACTTGGATCTCCCCAGACAAGTATACGCCCGGCATCGAAAATCGATTCTCAAGAACAGGACGATGGTAAATCTGTGGTATTCAACAATAAAAGATTACGAAGTTTAAGTGCATATTTAACTGATTCAAGAAGAAAAGCAAACCTCTTCTTAAGTTGGGATGAAGAAACTTACCATTCATACCAAAAGGATCTATTTCGTAACGAGGATGGAAGTATAATATCTAAAGAGGATCTGGAGAATATTGCTGTAGAAGTAGACACTACTTTGTTTCTTACTTACATGGTATCTACCCCGGCCCTTGTAGGATCTTTGTTGCGTTTGCCTAATCATTGTGAAACTTCAGTCGTAGAAGCAAATTTAACATCAGCTGGAATGTTTCGTGAGCTTATTGATTACTATTTTGGAAAAGGATATCATGACGATGCACTAAAGCTACTGACTAAACTTAATGAAGAGGGAACCTCTCTGTCCTCGTTTAAAGCCCAAGAGGAAACCTCGAAATACGACGATATTCTTGTCTATCTTCAAAAGCTCGGTGCTGAGGACAAAAAATATGTCTTTCAATATGCCAGGACTCCTTTAAGTAACGATCCTACAGTCTCGGTAGGGTTATTCCTTAATGATACAAGTGGGAGCAGTACTTTATCGCACGATGAAATCTTAAATTACCTTGAAACGGTATCTTCGGAAGTTTCTATCATTTATCTAAAGCATCTGATCGCTTCTGGAAAAACAATTCTTGAAACTTTTTCGACTCGCCTTGGCCAACTATACTTGCGTCGAATCTATGAATTAGAAAGGGAAATCAATGAGAAAGAATTATCATCTACCTTTGAAGATGTCCTAATAGGATTTATAAAACACTTGGATGAATCTAAGAACTATGACGCTACTGCCATTCTCAAGGACATTGACCCCGATGACCATCATTTGTTCGAAGCATCGGTAATCCTCAATCGTCGCCTATCGAGACACAGAAATGCGCTGGACGTATATCTTGATAAAATGAAGGACTGGAAAGGAGCAAACGGCTATTGTGATTCTATTTACATGGACACTGGTGAGACTGAGCCATATTATATGTACCTTTCAGATCTCGCAAATCTACAACCTGAGGGTATAATATCGTTTATTACAAAGTATAGCTCTCGTTTGAAGCTGAAAAGGATTTTTTCTCTGTTACCCAAAGATACCAGCATGAGAGCTTATCATATATTCTTGTCTTCTCAATTTCGACAGCTTTACGAAGAAAAAAATAAGAAGGAATTACAATCGAAATTATACCAAAAAAGAATTAATGATTTAAACGCGGATCTGGCCCATATTCGTTCAGAGAAAGTTGTTATAACAAGGGAAAAGACCTGTTTACATTGCCACAAGCGCTTAGGAAAGAGTGTCATTTCTATATTTCCAGAGTAAGTAATATTTGTGTATCCTCTAAATATCTCAATTTCTGAAATTCAACTAACAATATAGTGGTTCTGTCGTACACTACGGCTGTGCTAAAAAGTACTTGGTCCATAGAAATCTTCCCTATGAAGCATATTAATTTCCTTGTGATTATTTATTAAATAGATGTTTATAATATTTATAAATTAAACTTAGACCTACTATGAATTTCAAGTCTTAGTATAGAAAAGGAAGGGTGAAAAAAAAAGTATTCATGAGCATAACAGTTTGTAGTTTGCCCTCAGCAAAAACTCCACTTAGGCGTAACATTCGTTTAAGCAATAGCAGTTCGGTTTTTGAATAAAAAGAAATTGGATTTAAAAGAGTTAAGTGGTTTAATTTTTGTTTTTGCTTTTTTTTTTCATATTGAAAACAGCAAAGGGGGATTTTTGTAAAAAAATCTAGGATTGGACTGAGAGAAGCTCTGAAAGATAATTGCCTTGGATAAAGCATTATATTATCCAATATAGGCAACTTTTTTTCTTTAAAAGAACAGTTAACGTATATCAGTTGATATCTACTGAACAATTCGAAAATGTCCCATCATCACAGGTCAAATGTCAAGCCCAAAAAGCCGTTTAAGTCCAAGCATGCCTCTAAATCATCTTTAAAGGAACGTTATAGCAATAACGTCGAGCCAAAAAGGGCAGGTCCAAAAAGTATTCAACATACGTCTACTAAAGCTGATCGCCGAAACAATGCTAAGCAAATACAATTGAATAAACGGAATGAGGTTGCTATGAATAATCGAATTTTTGGTGGTAAAAATGGTGCTCCCAAGGTGGTTACTATAGTACCTCTTTGCGCAAATGTTGATCCATGGAATATTCTTAAGAACTTATTAACTTCTGTCGATCCTGAGGGTGATTTCCCTCTTTTTGAAGAAAATTCCTATCAATACAGTACGGTTATAACTCGATTTAAACAGAAGTTACAATTTTTAATACCCGGAAAGAATTTCTATAGTTTGGTCGATGCTTGTAAAGCTTCAGATTATGTAGTTTTCGGTCTTTCTGCTACCCAGGAAGTTGATGAATTTGGTGAGCTTGTGGTGAGAACAGCTCAATGCCAGGGAATATCCAGTGTTATCTCGGTTGTCGATGACATGTCGGTCATCAACAATATGAAGACACGCGGAGATGTAAAAAAATCTTTACAAAGCTATATGAACTTTTTCTTCTCTGATCAAGATCGAGTTTTTGCTTCTGACGTCTCACAGGATGCGCTTAACGTTGTTCGTGCTCTGTGCACTTCTCATCCTCGTGGAATCTTCTGGCGTGATTCTCGAGCCTACCTTTTAGCTCAGGACACTGATTACAAAGACGGAAAGCTCTTTGTTAAAGGTGTAGTGCGTGGTAAAGGTTTAGATCCAGATTCCCTGATCCATATACCAGGTTTTGGTGACTTCCAAATTAATTACATCTACGATGCTTCTGATTTAAAACCGAAGAACTCTGATACCATGGAAGAAGACAAGAATGTAAACGAGGCCGGTTTGGTTGAACTTGCCGCTCCAACTGAAAATCAGGAACAATTAGAGACTCTTGCTCCAAACGATTTTAATATGGAAATGGAAATGGAACCTGAGCATCCACGAGGTGTCCGTCTCGATGACTTTTACTATTTGGATGATGAGCAAGAGCCGGTGCCTGTCCCTAAGCGTGTTCCAAAAGGTACTTCTAGCTATCAGGCTACTTGGATTCCTGGAGTGGATGAAGAGGAAGAACAGTATAGTGATGTTGAAGATACGGAATTGCTTATTGAAAATGAAGGTGGTCCTGAAGATGAACAGCCAGTTAGTGAAAAAGACGAAAGTGAAGCTGATGAAGCTGATGATACTAAGTCTGAAATGTTTGTCGAACTAAACGAAGAAGAAGAAACTCGTCAATATGAAGAATATCGTCAAAAGGTAAAAGAGCAACAGGAAGAATTAGAGTTTCCTGATGAACTTGAATTAGATCCAAAGGAGTTAGCACGGGAACGTTTGAAGAAATACCGTGGTCTTCGTAGTTTCTTTACCAGTCCCTGGGATGCTGAAGAGTATGATCCAAGTGAACCCCCCGAGTGGCGTCAGTTATTCAAACTTGAAAACTATAGAAACTTAAAAAATAAACTCTACAAACAGCCATTTATTGGCGAAGCCAAGCCAGGAAAGCTTGTTGTCGTAGAGCTCCGGGATGTACCTCTTTCAGTTTACGAATATTATAAGCAGCCTAGCAACATGCTTGTGCTTTATTCTTTAATGGCATATGAGAATAAAACTAGCGTTTCTCATTTTACGGTTACTAAGCACTCGGAATACGAAGATCCTTTAGCTTCTAAAGAAGAATTGATTTTACAAGTCGGACCACGTCGCTTGTACGTTAAGCCATTGTATTCCGATGCTCCTTCCTCAGGTGCAACAAACAACCTTCAAAAATATCACAAGTATTTGCAACCTAAGGTACCTGCATTGGGTACTATTATTGGTCCTATAGTTTTCGGCGGTTTGCCAGTAACGCTTTTTAAGCCTATGCCTGACGGTTCGTTACGCTTGGCTGCTACCGGTTCTTTCTTAAAGAGCGACGCTTCTTCTGTGATAGTTAAGCGCGCAGTTCTTACTGGTCATCCATTCAAAATTAACAAAAAGATTATTACCATTCGCTACATGTTCTTCAACCCTGAAGATGTTATGTGGTTTAAACCTATCCAACTGTTTACCAAACAGGGTCGCACTGGATTTATTAAAGAACCATTGGGTACTCATGGATATTTCAAGGCTACATTTAATGGTAAACTTACCGTTCAAGATACCGTGGCCATGTCCTTGTACAAGCGCATGTATCCTGTACGATCTCGTTTGCTTACTCTTAACGAGGATAATTTCCAGTAAATTTGATTTAGGGTCGTTGCTTTTTAGTAGGTTTGCTTATAGCATATCAAGGAACATGCAAGGATACAATTTATTTTTTCTTTTTGGTTTAGATTCGGTTAGGGTTGGACAATAAATTAAGTTAATGCTATATTTATGTATAAGTATCTAGAGTTCATAAAACTATCATAATTTTTAGGTAAACTTTTCCATGACTTTTACTTTTTGATATAACGTAGCTGATTGAGGTAGTGCGGCCATGCAGAACGATTGCAAGTCGAAATACAAATCAGACATCAGTATATTTTTTATGTCGGGTATGTCAAGGGCTTTAAGGAAGAAGCTGCTTCCTATATGAGCAATTCGCTCTTTTTCATACTGGTCGCAATTGGAGATCTGAAAAGTAAATGATGACAAAAGTTCGTACACAAAAGAACCAGAGCTTGTCATGGAAGAAGTCAAATTAGGATGACTTAGTAACATTTGAATTAGAACTTCTATATTGCATACCGCTATTGGAAGAGAAGAAAGGTTTTTTAGAAATCTTTGATTAAAATTCGGTTCTGACCGAAAAACCAAATTGGAGAAGATATCGGAGGCATGAGACAAATTAAACAATATAAAGGTTTCCATCTGTTTAACTGTAGGTACATCACTGTCAGAAAAACGTGGTAGACTATTTAGAAAACTTTGCTTCACGAAAGTTAGTAAACCATCAGTTGTATCCACCATACCACTTCGTCCGAAGTTAAAGCACGTTCTGTTCCTGTTAACCAAATGGAAGAGGTCGAATTAGAGGAAGTTGTTTCAGGTAATAGTTCTTGTTGTTCTAGCCATTGTCGTAAATCACTTTGGTCGATAAGGGAATTTTCATCTAAAACGTCTTCCCTTGTCGTTGAGTAAACAAGTTCTATTGGAGAGATTGTCTGAATACTCATCAAATCGGAACTCTTTAAAGTGGTTAATAACCAACTGTTCAAGATCAAAATTAGAGAATTCAGGGAATGGATAGCATTTAGAAGCCATAAAAAACCAATTAAACAAGAATAAAGACTTACAGATTTCTGGATTCTGCCAGATAATATATTAGCTAGGAGGTACTGCCTACCTAGACAAGACGTTTGTGACCAAGTATGAAAAAGATGAGCCAAAAAAGGATTTTCTTTCAAAGGGACATTTTTGTAATTAAACCAAATTAAATAGTCAGCAATAACTAATGAATTGGGCTGAAAGATTAGACAATGCTTCATTCTGGTTACTTTTTACCTCATCAGTGTGATCTGCGAAATCCATTAATTGCAGAGCATTTTGAAACTTATTAGCCAAATCAGGATGTTCTTTTTGATAATCCAGACCAATCTCCAAAAACGATTTCACCTTCCACTCTTCTTGGAACATGACTATGAAAATCTGGTGGCCAAGTTTGAAATCATCATAGTACAGAGTTAAAAGGATAAGGCCGAAGTGTGAATTCAAAACCATTAAGCAGTTCGAACGCTTCATTTATACTTTTAAGAATAATTAATAAAAAATGTGTTTCTATTTGTATATACACCAACATATGCCTGATGCTACCTGAACTTGCAATGTTCAACCAATTCAAGGTCATTGTTATAAATCCCTAAAATGGCAGAATACTGATATGCAAGAAATTTAGTTTCTTTTTACACGTTTCGTGTCAAGACGAACGTTTGTATTTAGCGTCCGTTTCACAGGCGGAACATCTGAATCGTCTTGTAAGATTCTTCTTTCTGGATATTGAATACCCTGATCAAGAAAAGGTCTATCATTGTTAGTTTAGTAAATTTTGGTAAAACAATAAAAAAAAATCATCATTAGTACGTACGTAGTGCTCCAGTCAGAGTCCTCTGTAAAAAATGGATGCTGAATTGCCTCTTTGGCAGTTATCCGTCCTTTAGGATCATATTCGAGCAGCTTCATAAGCAAATCGAGACCCTTGGGATCTCTAGTCTTATCGGTGCGATACCACTGAGGAAGCAAGTTGTTCCAATATTTCACTTCGAAAGTTGAGAGTTGATCGTAGTCAGGGTAATATTTAAGATCTGGCCACCTTTCTACGGTAGGTGTTCCTAATATTTCCATTATCCGTAGCATTTGTGTACGTTGAAAAGGAATCACTTTTTTGGATTCCATTTTTACTTCACCTTTGAACAAAGGAGTCAAAGCAAGGATTTCTCCATAGATACAACCAATAGCCCATATGTCGATAGCAGGAGTATAATCTCTAGCTCCTAATAATAATTCAGGAGCACGATACCATATGGTAACTACAACACGATCGCTAGCATAAAGTGGAAGCAGAGGATCACGTATTAGTCTCCCAAGTCCAAGATCACCAATCTTTACTTTTCCTGAAGCTGTTATCATAATGTTTGCAGGCTTTAGATCGCGATGTATGACCCAGTTTTCATGAAGGTAAGCAAGGCCATTTAGAAGCTGCCACATGATGCTTTTTACAATTGAGGGGGGTATTTTCCTCGTCCGCATTCGGCTATGATAATGGATTAGTTGCAATAGATCATGCTCAGCGTATTCAAACACCATGCTAATGGTTCCATCCTTTAGTAATATTTGAACCAACTTTACAACATTTTCATGTTGCATTTCTCTACAAAGCATCATCTCACGTATCGTGCTTTGAGATATACCTGTTTGCGGGGCATTGGGAGCAGCATTTCTTGCTTCAGCTTTGAATTTCTTAATAGCAAATAAGTGCTTTTCCTCTGGGTTTGTTGATATAGCTTTATAAACTTTCCCGTAAGTTCCAGAGGATATGAATCCAACAACTTGGTAGTCTTTTGTTAATCCTTGAACATTCATGCAGAAACAGCAATGTCGAGTCGAATATCCAGTTTTTCTCTAAGTTAATCTCATGCTTTGCCTAAAATAGAATCTAGAAAAACTTTTTGGTAAGTAATCGTAAATGATTATGGAAAAGGAATAAGAGTCTCCTTAGTTACGGGATATCAACGGTTTTGCAAAGGTGCTAGTATTACTACAGTAGGTAATCCATAGTAATGGCGAAAAATCTAACCCATTGGTGATGTACATATAGTTAATGTTGTTTAAAACACTTATTTATGTTGTTAGGAGTGAGAAAAAAAGTATATGAGAGCAGGTGTTTTTGGTTGAATGCAGTACTTGTTTGTTTGCATGAATGAAAGGACTAGAAGAAATTTGTTATGTATATATATATATATATATATATATAGTTTATTTAAAATTTAAAACTAATGATATTAATAATGGAATTTAGAAAGAAAATGGCAAAGTTAGCTAAGCTCTCCAAGATATGCTTCTTTTTTGGACCATTAGATAAATGTGGAAAATGAAACAAAGAAGCTTGTAGAACAGAAAGAGACAACAATTACTTTTCCAAAATATATGAGTAAAAGGACCTATGATGTTCTAAACAAAGCAAAGCGAGAAGTAAAAAGAGTCATGACGATTGCCTTCACCGTACATCCATCAAGTAAAATTCATAAGAAACATTCCTCTCATTTAGTAAGGGACATTGCCAGTCATGGAAAGACAAAAAGATCAAGAAGCGATTGGAAAATAAGAAAGGAAATGATAAAATTCATAATCTTTTTGTATGATTTATTTAAAACTTTTTTACCGTACCAACATTAATGACCTAGAGAGAAAGAGGTTAGTAATAGTCTTTCAAAGACAAGAAAAGAATAAAAGAAGAAAAAAGGAACAAAGACCAAAAGTATTAAAAGTTTGTGCCACATACCGTATCGTTGGAATTCCCATTCACGATTGTCTAGGGGACAAACGTTTCTAGTGTTTAGCCATCGTGAAATGCAATGGAAATGAAAGGCATGCTAAAAAAACAAAAGGGTTAGTAAAAAGAAAAAGAGAGCAGAAAAATGAAAATCGGTATAGTCGTACATTACAAGTACCCCAGGCAACAGTACATTCCTGAGCAGCGGCGGAATCGGGGTTCGCTTGACATTCGATGCAAAGGTCCATGATATGGTTTCTACAAATGGCACAATTGTCTACGACAATGTCCCACTGCCACAAGGCGACGGCGTTCCACTAGCAAAGGGGTTAGCTGGAGTTCATGAGAACAAGAAAGAGAGAAGAAATCCATGCATGAATATATAAAACTTCAACAGAAAAGAAAACAAAAGAAAAAATAATAATTGCAATATGTTGTCTGGTGGGTTGGTAGCATGGAACAAGTTATGGATGCAATAGCATAGATTTGGTCATGGGTTTCTTACCTTTTTTATTTCAAAACGGGGCGTTTCATTTTGTGGCACCTCCTCTGGATGATCAATTTGCATATTTTCTGACATTGTGAAGGGCTATTTGATGAAAATAGAAGGTAATTTTTTCCAAAAAAGCCAACCCGACTGTCAGTGTGGTGTTGAATTTTTTTATTCGTTTGACTTGAGTTTATTGAGCTTGTTTTATTTAGCGAGTTAGTAGCGAGTTTGGTGGAAGAAAGAAATAGTCCGTTTCTATTCATAATGCAGGTATTTATATGGATGTACAATGATGAGAAACAGTGTGGAACTATTCAAGGAATCAAAACATTATATTTATTTATATTTATTTTGATTCAGCAACATTGAGTGTGCTTGATTTCATTACACAGCATGTTCAAATTGGCCATTGCCAATTGAAGTATGACAACCTTGGCCATCGTGAAACTTGTTGACGAAAATTCCAGCTATTGTTGACAATTCTATAGAGCTCGTAAATCATTCATCTTTTCTCTTTCCTCTTTCACCTTTTATCCTCTCTTCTATGTCGTTTCTCCAATACCATTGTCTACTTGCCTACTTACTACCTGCTTACCTACTACTTAAGCATACCTACCTACCTTTCTTATTACTACTACTACTACTCTACTACTGGCACTGTTCTCTGGTGACTTTGTTATTACAATATCTTACTAATATATAATACCAAAAGATGTACTTCGCCTAGTTTTATTATATGTCGGAAAGAGATATAAATGGTCAGTTGATTGTCTCTAAGAGATAACTCAAACTTTAACAAGGCATTTCCGAAAGACTGACTATCCCCTCGGAACAGTTCGGTCATGGAACCCACTAGATGAATTTGTTTGTTTACGCGACGCGTCTAGTCCTAGTCAAACACAACAAAATGAAACTGTCAAAGTAAAACAGTCAGTAGTCTTCTTGAATGCGTAGAACAAAAAATAAAAAAAAAAAAACAATTCTTCAATGCCGTTTGCCACCTCTCGATAAAGAATTCCAAGCTATCGTTAAAGTTGGGATTTGTTGACATTTCAGGTGACAAACCTGGGCCCCTGTATGCTAGGTCCGGGAAGCCTTCCTGCTGTTCCGAAGTGGCCAGCCTTCAGTGTTATCCATACATGGGACATTACTAGTCAGAATAGTCTCTATTCGTCCCAATTCCTTGTAAATTTTTACATAAACAAATGCAATTCCCTATCACAATGATATTTTCTTGAAAACCAGCCCTTCGTTTGTTTACACCCCGTTTGTTTTGGCATTTCAACAGTAACTCGTTACCACAGCAACAGCAACTTTCAGGGTACGGTCTCTTACTATCGGTCGGGGATGAACCAATCAAAGGTTGCAGTTCTTACGTTCTCGTATACGCGATTGATTGTAGCTCTGGCAACGAAATGGCTGGTTGTACTCTGATGGCTGTAAACATTGCAACGGTTGCGGGGTCTCAGGTGGCTTGAGGAAAGTCACGGAAGCGTGGCTTTTCTACTATATAAGGCAGAGCATTCGTCCTTTAGAAACCAGATCAAAGCGAACTACTTCTCACTATAATTCAAGCATTCCTTGAATTTTAAGCTCTTTGCTATTTGCTTTTCTTTGCTTCTTTTTGACCCTCAGGTCTTTTTCATTTGGTTAGGACTTTCTTTTTAGAACACCTTCCATCTTTTCCTTTTTTACATTCATCGTTCATTTTTTCGCATCTTTCATTTAAGACCGGATCTTTTGCATTTGTTTCTTTCATTTTTTATCATCATTTTTGATTTTCTTTTATTTTTCATCTAAAACATTTGATACATTATGTTGTTCTTCAAGTCTCTTTCTCTTTCTCTTCTTTTCCTCGCTTCTCGCGTTCTCGCCGACAACAACAACAACAACTGCTCTGGTAACAAGAATGTCACTGCCCAAAGTGATCTCGATAACCTCAACAGCTGCAGCAAATTGGACGGTAGCTTGTACGTCGACAGCTTGAACTCTGGTATCTCTGTCCTCAACGTTGACGGTATTAAGCAGATCACTGGTGATGTTGTTGTTTCCAACAGCCCTCATTTGGAAACTCTCAACTTCCAAGACCTTGAAACTGTTGGCGGCAAGTTCAACATTCACGACATGATTCGTTTGAACAGCCTTCCCGCCCCTAAGCTTAATGAAGTCGGCTCTTTGGACCTCAAGGTCTTGCCTAACTTGGAGGAACTCCAATTCAACAACGGTATCAAGAAGGCTGGCAGCATCGAAATTGTCAACACTCAACTCAAGTCTATCAGAGGTATCGACATCACTACCATTGGTACTTTCAACATCAACAACAACAAGTACATCGAATCTATTGACATGCCTCAATTGGAGACTGCTCAATCCATTAACATTGCTGCCAACGCCAAGAAGGTCGACGTTAACTTCAGCAAGCTCGCCAACGTCTCCTCTGACGCCAACTTCAACGGTATCAGCAACGTTTTCGTCGGTAACTTGAAGTCTGCTAAGGGCAGTATTGGTTTCACCGACACCTCTCTTAACAACGTTTCCCTTCCCTACCTTACCTCCGTTACCCAATCCCTCTACTTTATGGACTCTACTGATCTTGAGAGATTGAACCTTCCTAACTTGACCAGCATTGGTGGTGGTTTGACCGTCAACAACACTCATTTGACCAAGATCTCTGGTTTCCCCCAGCTCTCTGAAGTTGGTGGTAGTCTTACTTTGCTCGGTAACTACTCCGACATTGATCTCCCCAAGCTTTCTGACGTCCGTGGTAGTTTGTTGGTTGAATCCAAGTCTAGCAACTTCTCCTGCCCCTTCAAGAAGAGCGACGGTGTTATCAAGGGTAACGACTGGACTTGCAAGGGTGCCGTCTCCAGCATCGCCAAGTCTTCTTCCGTCAGCAGCACTGCCACCTCTAGCGGCTTCTCCAGCTCCTCTACTTCTGGCTCTGTCTCTGGTGCCTCTCACGGCAAGTCTGCTTCTGGTGACAAGTCTGGTGCTTCCACTGTTGCTTTCTCCGCTGGTGTTGTTGGTATCGTTACCATCTTCGGTGCTGCTCTCAGTTTGTAAGCGGATTTCCTTCAATTATTTGATTCCCAAAAATGTGATGGTTTTATCTAGTGTTTGCATAAATTCCCTTCTGTAGCAAGAAGGGATTCGATATTTATTGTTTGTATGCAAGCAAAAGTGTTTATTTTGTTATTTAAGTGTCATAGGGCTATTACTTTCCCAGGTAATCACTTGTCTATGATACTAGACAAGGTGTTCTGATAATGGTATCATGATGGATATCTTTTAAAATTGATACAGAATCGTTTTTGTCATATCCTATTTCCGTTGGTTTGTTTTGCATATATATACCATCTAGCTTAATTTGTTAATTGTAGATATAAATATATAATGTTTGGTTAATTTTATGTTTTTTGCTTGTAGAATTGTAGTTGGTTTTCGATGACTGATTGCAGGTTAGTTGTATTCAATAGTTTACAGCAGATGAATAATAACCTACCTGGTAATGTTGTACCGATTTGTCTACAACCGATGGCTTTCATCAAAACAATTAATTACATCTAGTATATTCTTGAATTTTAGTGATATATGTATATACTGTGAGTTTCGTTCTTTACTATATGGATAAAAAGTACAGCTGTATCAATATAATCTTTCAAACATATGGAGAATGTACTTGGATTGTAGTTAATTCCAGAAAGAATACGAGACGAATGATGGATTATCACAAAGAACGGCAAATAGTATTAATTTAATTGCAACTAAAAACGATTGAGTACTCTGGGTTACTAAGAACAAAAAAGTTAGTATAAAAGAATACTAGAAAACAGACAATAAATACGTACCTTTTTGGCACCGCCATTTGCCTTTTTTTCATCAGCAGCACGTTGTTTTGCTCTCATGATTTCTGCCTGACTATAAACGTGTTAATTCCATGGCATTTATTAATCAAGAACAGCTGGTTTTACATACGCTTCAAGACGCTTGGTAGGATTTCCTTCCTGCTTCTTTTTACCTGCCTGCTGCTTCTTGGCATTACGGGCACGATCAACCTCACGCTGGTTACCACCTATAGTATAAGAAAACAAAGATTAGCTGGATATTCATGGTATTCATAAGTCAAAACAACTTTAACAAATCCCACTCGACCATTTCGCCTCGAGTTCTCATGAGGAGAGTGACACCATATCACACTTTCAAGTTGACGAAAAATACCAAGATCCATCCCATTCAAGCCTGCAATCCAATGTAGAAGCATTTGCAAAAACAGGGTAGCAGCAGTGATAGTGAACCATGGATCATACTATTACAATGGAAGGGAATCGAGGGAAGTGTAGATATCAGTAGAGATTCTCAACAGTTGTCTTATATTCTTTATGATTACTTACGAGACATTTTACATATAGTGATACAAGAAAACGGAATTCGTTTTTTAATACTTTATGGACTATGTCGTACAGACGGTTTCCTCGGAATTTATGGTGTTTAGTTTGAAGTTCACTACGATGTTAAATACACATAACGCATTCGAACGCATTTAAAACTTCTGAAAGAAGATTACGGATTCTTTTTTTAAGAAAGTGGAGTGATGTTATTTTTTCACTCGTTGGTAAACACAGAGAATTGCGATTATGGAAGGATGCAAAAAGCGGATTTTGGTAAGAGAAAGAAGTTAATATCAATTACAAAAAAAACACGGTACTCGCAGCAACAAAGAAAAACTTCGATCTTGAGACTCGTCTAGTGAAACACTGTGTGTTCCATATACAGTGGTACAAATCCCTTTGAGACCTTCTAAACTCACTTACGCAAGTTATAGAAGGAATTTCTTGTCCAAATTTTAGATTCCCCAAAGGATCGCGAACATTCCAAGTTCGTGGGTGATTTGCCTGCTCATAAGACTATATCGGTCGTAAACTTGACACCAAGCAACAACCGCAAACCAATTCTGTTCAAAATCTCCGTTTTTCCTAAAGAAATTGGTTTTAGTTGGAAAAAGAGATGAATAATTCGTAATCAAAAGAAATTGTCTACAGATATCGTTTCAAAAAAGAAGCACTTTAGACAGCTTGAATCAGCTACTTATGAAACTTGGGTTCTTTTCTATTATATCTTTTGTTGTATTACTTTTTTTGTGTGTTGTCAAGATCTGCCATTCAATTTCGGATTTTATTCCTAGTACTTCTGCCAATGGTTTAGCACTTTTATCTTCATCCAGTTTACCTCAAGGCCACGGGAATGGGCAGTCGGTTTCTTCATCATCTGAGGTCTCTAGAAACTTTTCTGGAGCTAAATTACAAAACGTCTACCTTGTTTCTACTGTAGATGGTCTTTTGCATGGTTATGATCGTTCATCCGGTGATAGACTATGGTCGCTTGGAGAACCAGAAAGCGGTTCCTTCCATCAGGACTATCCTTTTCATTCTAAAAATGAAATAAGACAATTTACTCCATCATCTCTTCTCTCATCTTCTGATGATAAATCTTTCAGTGCTTTTCAAACAGCTTCCTATGTCTCTGGTAATGACACTCTATGGTTCGTAGAGCCAATTGAAGGTGGGATATTGTATGCCTTCAATGTCAAGACGGGTTTGGTCCGAGTACCCCATAGTCTTCGTAGTCTTGTCAATGCTTCTCCGATACGTCTACTAGATAACAATATCTTCGTTGGAAGTAAACAGACAACACTGTTAACCATAGATGCTTTAAGTGGGAAGATATTTTCACAGTACGATTCTAGGGGAAATATTGAGGGTGTTCGTTCTACGGTTTCTTCATTGTATAGTTCGTCGTTACCCAGTCATTTATCGAAAGCAGACGATTCAAGTCAGTCAAATGAGTATGACTATTATCAAATGAAATCTGATGATGCAGTTGATTCTCTGGATATATTGGATGAAAATCAACGAGAAGCTTCACTGTCAAGTAAAGCAGTTATAGATATCGCCAGAACTGAATATAAGGTCAGTATTTATCAAGGAGCCTCTCTTCTTTTGGACATCATCTTTGTAGAATGGAGCCCTAGCAAAACTGACTTGATCCATAGTTCTTCATATCGGACCCCCTTAGATTCCAAATTAGCATTTCCTAATGCCGAAGATGATTTAATTATTTTAGATTTAAAACAGAAACGCGTTGTTCAAAATATAAATTTGGAACTTCCTGCCACTTCTGTCTTCGATGTTGTGTCATTTCCTGAATTATCCGCAGAGGAATATAGTCATTATCCTAATTCTCGTTTACTTCACCAACCAATTGATGTGTTCATTCAAAATATGTTTCCGAATTTGTTTTTAAATAAAACTGAAAACGTTTATCTGAACACCCTTTCTCCTTACAATTGGTACGCTATGTCCACGAAGCAATTTCCCCTCGTTTCCGCAATTCCAAATGCACCTTGTTATTTGTACCAGGGATCGCATGTGCCTATAAGTAGTATAGTAGGATTGCATCCATTGAGGACGGCAGACGTCCCTTTGTTATCCTTACCAGCTGAGTGTTTTCCCGAGTATTATTTAGAGGGAATTGATTCAAACGGATTGACTCTTTCGTCGGATCAAAGTCAAGTCCCTCTGTTAGACGCTGGTGATTCCGGCTCACCTTACACAATAATGTACTGGAGTATTCCAGTTATCAGTATTACTCTAGTCTCTGGTCTGTTTATTTTTTTCATACTTAGACAAACGTTTAATTCTAATGATCATATGCCAGAGAGTTCCAATATTGCTACAACGGATGTGACAAAGGTTGATATAGCTAGGCGACGCCGTAGAAATCGAAAGAAGAAAAGAACGGCTACAGATGAACATGAACATGCGATAAATGCAATCGTCGAGAATTCGACGTTGACGCAAGCTGACGATACCAAAACAGTTGGAAGCATAGGCCCGATTATCCAAAAATCTACCAACCAAAATTCTGACGGCTCTTTGACGCTAAATTCGTTAACTATCTTTCCAGATATACTTGGTTATGGAAGCCATGGGACAATTGTGTATCGAGGAAAGTACGAAGATCGAGATGTCGCTGTCAAACGGATCCTTTTGGATTTTTATGAATTGGCCACAAGAGAAATACAACTATTACAAAAAAGTGATGATCATCCAAACATTGTTCGTTATTATTGCAGGCAGCAAAGCGATAAATTCCTTTATGTCGTGATCGAATTAGGTGAATGTACCTTAGCTGAAGTAATTGAGCATCCCCTTGTCTATAATGAAATGGTACAGGAAATCGACAGAATTTTTTTGTTGTATCAAATTGCACTTGGTTTGAGGCATCTGCACAACCTGGATTTGGTTCACCGTGATTTGAAGCCGCAAAACATATTACTTTCCAGAAAGGTCACAAAAAACTCCAATTTGGTCATTAAGCCTTTAATATCAGATTTTGGTTTAAGCAAAAAAGTGAATTTTAATCAAAGCTCATTTCATAATACTACATTTGAAGCAGCTGGCTCATATGGATGGCGTTCTCAAGAGATTCTTCGAGGTTTAATATCACAGGAAGCGAAAGAAATTCACTGTACTAGTCACGAGGGAAGGATTCGTCAAGCAAGTCATGCAACTGATATTTTTGCTTTAGGGTGCATCTTTTACTTCACTCTTTCTGGTGGTAAACACCCTTTCGGTAACCAGTATGAGTGCGAATCTAATATATTAAAAGGGGAATACGATCTTGAAGACCTTGGCTTGATGGGTGAATATGGAACCTTGGCTGTTGATCTAATATCAAAAATGATCAGTTTCAGTCCTAAGGATCGTCCAACCATTGAGAACGTGGTTAATCATCCATTGTTTTGGAGTTATTCCAAGAAACTTGATTTTTTAATTGATGTATCAGATAGGTTTGAGGTGGAAGAACGTGATCCTCCTTCTCCTTTGCTTCAATGTCTCGAAAATAATGCTATATTAGTTGTTGGTAAAGATTGGATGACTGAATTACATAGCTCTTTGGTAGACAACCTTGGAAGGTATCGAAAATACGACGGTTCTAAAATTTTAGATATACTTCGGGTATTAAGAAATAAGGTAAGTACTGACGCTAAACGCGATGGAATATGGGTTTCACTGACGATTATTAGAGACATCATTATCAAGATTTACCGGATGCCGTACGTGCTTTACTGGGTAGCCTCCCTGATGGCTTTACTGCATACTTTACGGAAAAATTCCCGCTATTACTTTTACATTGTTTCAATGTTGTTAAAGCGGAACTAAGTGAAGAACCGCAATTTCAACGATATTTTATGGCTAATTAGCTTACGAAAGACCAAAAACTTTAGTCTGAGTGGTTTTCATTTGCCGCTTAGAAAATTGTAAATTAAATAGTAAAGAATCATGCTTACACATTTGATAAAAATTGGATGTGCGCTCAGCTTGTCGGCACTTTCAATAAAAGACGACGTAAACATGTACTCTATAAATATCAGTCTTGCTTTTGTTTTCGCAGAATCAAAAAAGCAAAAGGGATGCTACAAATTACTAATGCCGTAATCACAAACACAATGGGTATAACGCTGTTAGGTAAGAAACCCGCAATTAGTGGATCGAGATCTAGATATAATAAGTATTGTGTCGTAAGTTTCAGAAATCGAGCATCACTTACCGATTTGAACAGGAACTGGGTGTGGATTTTTCATGAGAGAAGAATTTGAAGAATAGAATGAAGCGTACAGATGCACAAGACAATGGGTACCATTCCAGGTAAGGTCAATTTCAGAAGGGTACTGAAGGTCAGAAATAAAATGACAAATTGATGAACTTACAACAGCTGGCCAAGAAGCTCTCAACTGATACCATGCGTTTTCCTTCAATTCACAGGTATGTAATGCAACTGTGGTTGCGGATTTGGAAATCCCTTCTTTGGAATCAACAGAACGTGGTTGCAACAGTAGAGTTTGCGATCTATCTCGAATTGTTAATTGGCAGTTATCACTCCTGTTGTATAAGTGTGTTGCTTTAAAATTAATGATTTCAGTGTTCCCCATAGTTAAACCGAGCAGATGAATTAATAAAGCTATAAACAGAAAGGATGAATAAGTAAATCTCATTTTCTTAATCCTTTAATTCACTGGAATTGGATAAACGTCACTATACTTCTGCTGTTTGAAGTTTCATAAGAATAACAGATTCACCCCTTTGCTATGCTGGATAACAAAATAAAAGATGAAATAGAAAGTATTATTAGGAATATTTAATAAACACCTATAAGAATAGCAAACTTCTGGATAGAACACGCGTACTGCTGTGTTGGGATGAACGTTCACTCTTGTACCATCATTGTCATTAGTATGAATTTGGAACGAAGTAAGCATTTACATTATCTGAATGCATTAGGTCAGGTATGGAGATAGAAGGAAGAGTTATATTATTTGAAACCTAACTATTTTTACAATATAGGGTCAAGATGAATTAGACTTTTGGTTGAAACAACATTTACATGTTAGTGCTATTTACTGGAGCTGCATGAGTTATTGGACATTAAACAGAAAAGAAGAATTACAAAAAGAGCAAATTATTTCTTTCCTGTTGTCATGTCTCACAGAGTCAGGTTGGTTATTATTCTAAACTATTCGTGTGATAAATTGCTAATTGAAATTCTTAAAGGAGGGTTCGCCTGCTATCCTGGACATGATGATCATATTACAAACACGGTTTATGCAGTTCAGGTTTTATTGATGCTAGATTCCTTGGACAGGATCGATCGAGATAAAGTAGCTACTTGTATGAACAACCTTTATATCTTATATTTAATATCCTTATGTAACACTTCTAACCTTGATTTTATTCAGATGTTGTCAGCCTACAAAATGAAGACGGGTCGATGAAAGGTGACCGATGGGGTGAAACAGATGCTCGTTTTCTGTATTCCGGAATAAATTGTTTGGCACTTCTTGGGCGATTGGATATGTTAAACAAGTCAGCTGCAATAGACTGGATCCTTAAATGTCGCAACTTTGATGGCGGATTTGGATTATGTCCTGGAGCTGAAACTCATGCTGCTTATGGTAGGCTCACTTGTTTTTAAAATTTCCTAATGTTTTTTTTTTACCTCCTAACACTTATTTTTAGTTTTTACTTGTGTGGCATCTCTTGCTATATTAAAACAGCTACATCGAATTGATCAAGACTTGCTTGGCTGGTGGCTCAGTGAGCGACAAACGAAGAACGGCGGACTGAACGGTCGTCCTGAAAAACTACCAGATGTAAGTTTGAAAATGTTTTACGTTGTACTCATCGACCATTAGAGTTGTTATGGATGGTGGGTATTATCCCCATTAGCAATCATTGGAAAATTAGATTGGATAGACAGGAATGGTTTGATCAACTTTACACTGAGTTCACAAGACCAAGAAACTGGTGGGTTTTCTGATCGTCGAGAAGATATCCCGGATGTTTATCATACATGCTTCTCACTAACCGCTCTGTCCTTGCTACGATACCCAGACTTGGAACCTGTGGATGCACGATTTTGTCTGCCACTAGCAGTTACGAAGAAGTATAACCTCTAATGATATATTATTGATTATTGAAAAAAAAAAATAGAATATATATACATATGAAGCCATGCCCTCATTATTCAAAAATTGGCTTTCTTTCTTGTTTTTTCATGTCTTCAATCTTTCGTAACCGCTTCTCTGTCTTTGCTTTTCCAGATCCCTTTCCGTGAAATTGATGTGATAATAAATATTTATACGCTTCCTTTGGTCCAAGTTCAACTCCGAATTCATCAACGTAACGAATGTTTACTTCAGGTTTATAGTCTTGGAATTGTTCCATTTCAACCTTGGCAATAAGACGATCCCATTTTTCATTCTCACGTTTAGCATATTGTTCACGCTCTTTTTGGGTCATATGATTCAGCTTCCCGCTACTACGATCTTGTTCTTTTTGGTGCCTCCTCTGTTCTTCTAACTCGCGTCGTGCATTCTGTTTCTTTGTGAACCACTTGTTGTATTCTTCCTCACGACGCATCTTTTCTTGGGCTTCCGCAGAAACCTTAACAACGCCTTTATTTTTGAGGATGCTCAATACAGTGCCAACACCACCAGAAACGAGCGGTTCATCCTCGAGGACGTCAGCAGTCTTTTGAGGTGGTTGGGATCCATTATCTTCAACAACGGCAGCTTCTTCCTCAGGAACATTATTACTAAGTTCAATATTCGTTGGAACGGTAATAGTATACTTATTTTCATGAGCCTCTTCGCCTTGCTTCTCATCAGGACTGATAAAAGGCTCTTCGTTCTCTACTTGTTGAAGAGAATCAACAAACGATCGAGTGTCATTAATAATCATCCCTTTAGAATTAGATTCATCTTCGTTTATCTCTTCTTCTGTATTTTTTTGGGTTTGAACATGCTCGGCAATTTGTTCAGGTCGTAAGGTCCTTGCTTTTTTTTGAGCAGCTCTTCTCTGTAAAGCCAAAACCTCTTGTAAATCATCATCCTCAACAATTGACTGGCTGTTCAAACCTTGTATTTTTCTTCTAATATTATCCTGCTTTTCTTGAGCCGTAAAAGTTGAATTTTGTGCTTCGGGCGTATCTCCAGTAGTAGCATTTGACTGGAATTCATTGTCTTCCACATCGTCAATTTTTCTCTTTCTCCTATCTTCTCTAGATCGTTTTTTCTTACTCTTTTTTATCTTGATATCCCGATAGTCTGAAACTTCGGGTGTGGAAGGAGTCGTATCCGATAGTGAAACCCGGATACCTTGTTTAGCAGTAGATTTTTCCTCATCGGTTGTATCCTTTCCTTGAACTAAAGCATTGTTCTCTCCGATGACAGTTACAGCTTCTGTGGAATCCTTCTTCGGCTTGAAATCATTGTAAATCTCCCCTTCGTCTTCATAAGGCTTATAACCGGAACTTGCCTTTTGTTCTTCTAATTTTTTGTGAAGGGCTTCTTGCTGGGCAATTTCATTGCTCTCCAACAAATCACCATTGTTATCCTCCAGAACGTCGGAATCACGAAGAGTTAGCGTTAATTCATTTTCGGAATTCAATTTCTGAAAATCATGAGCTATACGTATTCCTTCTAAGGAAACCGCTGATTCTTTCGGAAATTCCCTAGCAGGTTTTCTATTGATAGATTTTTGGATCTGTTTAGGTGCAGCACTTTCACTCGTATTTTTTTCTAATGCTTTTTTCCTCATTTTTAAGACCCAAGAGCGAGTATCTTCAGAAGAAGTTTCTTCTTCTTCAGCAGCCAGAATGTCAGCTAAAGATCTTCCCTTTACGCGTCGTCGCTGATCATTCTTTTGCCGTATGGTTTGAATTTTTGACGTGATTTCATTTTGTTCTCTCTCGATTCTTTTCTTCTCTTCTTGTTCCTTCCAATTCTGAAGAGCTATGGCCTCCTGGTCAAGAGAAGAAGTAGATTGTACTTTTTGGTTTGGTTCACTTTGTTCAGATGTGTCTGATACGTCCAAGGGTTTCAATCCTAAAGAAATTCGAAGTTTATTTGTCTCTTCAATGGACATGGAGTCCGCTGCTCCTGCATTAGCAGACATGTTTTTTGTAACGCTCAAAGTAAACTTCCAAGAATAATTAATGTAGACAATTCAATCCAAAAAACTTTTGTTAAATATATGATTCCTCAAACAGTAAAAAAGTCTCACTAGCAATGGATATGATAAGATATATGTAGCATTTACTTTTTACCTTGATTCTCAGTTTCGTTACGTTTCGACTAGGGACCAAATAGTGAGTTTGAATGCACACATTGTTTATTACTGTGCACCTCGTTAAACGAGACTGAATATGAATAATTGAAAGAGTACACGCAAATTCCCTGTTTACTACCAAAAAAGTAGGCTAGTTATGTATTCAATCTTAGGAAGCGGATTGAGCCGCCTGGGTGCGGGAAATGCGAAAATCCTCCTTTCAGTCTTTCGTTCTGTTAAGAATGTTCGAATGTACGCGACAGAAAGTGACTTATCAAAGACTACTGCTTCGTTGGATTGGCCTACGTTTCTTAAATTAAGAAAAAGCCGACGTCGTTTCGAGACTTTTACATCCATTCCTACAGCTGTTCTTGGACTTGGTGTAGGGTCCTCGTACTTTATGACACGCGCTGTTGATCCTACTGTAACCATGATGGGATTGGACATGTTTACGATATATGTTTTAGCAACTATTGCTTCTGGTGCTTTTGGATGGTTAATAGGACCTACCTTAGGACGACAAGTCTGGACATTAATCAACCGGAAGCAAGCAAGTCAGATTGCCTTCGTAAGTTAGAGGCTGCTGGAAGATAGCAGGAAGAATAAACATGGAATATATTTGCTAACATACATTAATTCTAGCGTGAAGAGGAATTCTATAAGCACTTGAAGAAGAATCGCGTTGTTCCTTCAATGGAAAGTTATTCCAACCCTATTCCAGGTATGTCTCGTTCTTTCAGTGACGAGATTGTATATATATAGCTAACAGGTGATATTATTAGACTATTACGGAGAAAAGATTTTTTCCTTGAGGGTATGTGTGAAGATGGCGGCTTTCTTTATGACCTTGGTTTTGCTAACAGATTTTAGGATTATCGCCGTTGGCTTCGTGATCAAAAAGCCTATGTTCAACGTTCCTTCTTGCGTACTACTCCTAAAAAGTAACGCTATGCTTGAGATGTGATGTTATACACGAAGGAATCATTTTTATTTCTTTATAGATTTTCCCCCTTCCCCTATTATGATGATAGGTCATTTGAAAAGGCTAACTTAACTACTTATTGTGTTGATGAATGTATTATTTTTGGTATATGTTTTCTTCTGTTATCATAACTACAATAGATGTGATTCAGTACAGATTTGCAAATATGGGCTTAGTTATTAAGCAATTCATTAGTCGTGCCTGTTCTTGATATTAAAAAATCCTCAAATATACCATGCGCATCGTCATACATGAAGGATGAAACTTGCTTGAGTGAAGTAATAAAAAAAAAACAAAAAAAAAGCATACTTGCGACTGAAACCTCATTGATTCCGTTTGTTGCTCAAAACAAAGAAAACTGTGTATTACTACTACATGTAAAGAAAATGCTGCTTTTTCTGTTTATACTGTCATTCACTAATCGTTTCGTGATATTGTTTGGAAAGGGTCTAAGAACCAAGAAATAAAAGCTATAGCTGAAAGATGAATGACAGAGATTTCATGAAACGAACAAATCTATACATACTGCTCTCTTTCTAGCAAATGTTTTCTTCCATGGATCCTTTCGGAAGTCATAATTAATGATGCCAAGTGCATTACGCTAAGCCATAACATGAGCTCGGTGTACATAGAAGTGAACAAATCTACCGATTCTAATATTTACCATTTACAAAAGTTTTACTTGCTTTTTGATGTCAGTTGTGAACTATTAGGATACAATTGTTGTTATTAATGACCTCAAGGACATATGCTGGTAATTCGCTGGCATCAGCGTTAGATGAAGAACGACTAGAAGTTCTAAGATGGATGAAAGAAAATGAGGAAAAGAAGTACCGCGAGCTATCTTTTGATTATGATCCTATCATTCGTGATTATTGTTTTGTAAAACCGGGAGATGAAGGATTCCGAGCAATGCCGGAAGATATAACTTCTTTACCTCATTACAAGAATCCTCCTATTTCAAATGAATCTAAGAAGGAAAAAGAAAAAAGAAATCAACAAGAGGGAAGAAAAAAGAGCATTTTGACCGAATTCTCGAATCCGACTGGTACTTTGAGCGCCAAGTCCTCCGATGTGTTGGCCTCTCCATTATTCTCTACTGATCCCCCTCCAAATACATCGCAAAAGCGGCATTCTATGTCGAGTATATCGTCAAAGCCAACTTCACCTGGACAATCATATACTGCTCTGCATCCTCATGTCGGGTTACAGATGAAGAAGGCTTCTGAGTCAAGTCACCAACGAAGTGTTTCTTTTGGTAGTATGCCCTCGTCTTCTTCTTCGCTTTCTCCTCTACAGACACCTTCTACAAGTGGAACGAGCCCTTCATCTCCAAAGGAACCAAAGAAATCCGAAGGCAAGTCCAAGACTGCTCCAACCTCACCGGTAACGAAGCTTTCGACCTCGCCAAAGAATACCCCTCCAGTAAGTCCGAATATTCCTCAGTTTGTTGTTTCTCCTCCTTCTGTCTCTTTGGCGACTGAAGACCCCTCACCGAACAAGGAGGAGCTTGGTACCCCTTTGGGAACAGATAATTTGATTGATGAAAATGGTGAACCACTTCATTTAGCTCGTTCTTTACCTTCTTCGTCTTCATCCTCCGAAGACGATGACTTTTCGTCACATTCAGAAGCTGAAGGATTGCAGAGTCCCAGCAGACCTCAAGTGTCTATTGACGAATCTCCAAGACTTTCTCAACCAATAGTCAACAAAAGAGGAAAAACAAGTAAAAGGAACCGTCTCAGGAAGTTGGTTGGCGCTCCCTTATCAAAAAGTAAGTCGAATTTTACCGATGACTCACGTAGGAAAGGAGACACTAATATTTTACGCCGATCTCGTTCTAATCCAAATCTTCCCACTTCGAATGAGTTCAGATCAGAGCCTGTGCGTCCTAATACTAATTTTGTATCAACCCATGTTGATAATTGGTACGGCTCTGACCAAGAGGAAATTGAACAAGATCTTCGAATAGCTAAAAACTTGGATTTGAAAATTGGTCCAACCCGATGGATTCCTAGTGCCAGTCGAACAATACGGCGAATTCGTAGAGGAGATTTCCACAGCGCGGCTAGTAATTCCAAACGAAATAGTACCTACTTTCTTACGTTAGATTTATCCTCCGAAAGTCTTTATGCCGCTGAGTGGGCTGTTGGTGTTCTTTTACGAAATGGTGATACTCTTATTATAGTCGACGTGATTGAATGTGATGATCCAAAATTAGAAATGGAGCACATGGAGTCTACGCAGATGGAAACTTTAGAGAAAATTACAAAAAGTATTTTGAAACTACTTAGTAAAACAGTTCTCGAAATTGAGGTGAACATTGAGGTTATTCATCACGAGAAGGCGAAGCACCTAATTGTGGAAATGGTATGAGTTTTATCATTTATTCTTGGCGTTACTGACAAATATAGATTGATTATGTGGAGCCGACTCTGGTAGTTATGGGCAGCCGTGGACGCAGTCATTTGAAGGGTGTGTTGCTTGGCTCTTTTAGTAACTATTTGGTCAACAAGGTATGGAATCCTTAATCTATTAGAAAACAAGCAACGTTATTAACACAGATTAGTCCAGTGTACCAGTCATGGTCGCCCGTAAACGTTTGCGCAAAAATAAGCACCGATTCGAACGTTCAGCTCGCCTTGCCAATAATCTTGCCGACGCTGTAGTGGATGAAATAGGGCGCTAGCAAACTTGCAAGGATTATGGATATTTATTTTATTTGATGTCTTCTGGGTGAGTAATGTCATACTAATTAAGGCTAAATCTTTTATGAATGGTTTTCTGCATGCGTATACCTACTACTTAATAGACTAAGTGATGAATGAAAAATTGCTAAAAGTATGCGTATATCTGGAATTTTCGTTTGCCTATCTATTTATTATTAAATAACCTTAAACATGGGAAGCTAATCAGTAGCCTAATGGTAAAATTTGAGGAAAAAGCTGCTTACGAGGTTTTATTTCATCTTTATATGAAGAATGCTATTTTGCATGTTTCATCTCCTTGATTGATTTTTACTTTTTCTTTTATTTATTTATTTAATTTTTTCTTCCATTATGTTTTCGCGTTCGACGAAGCCAGCGACTTTAATATAGTGGATGTAATGTAATATCTTCTTTTAGTTGAACTTTCACAAATGTTATAATGGATCTGTACGCTTCATACTTTTCTATACTAAAGTACTTAGCCATAACCTCAGAAGCTAAGTACATAGACAACAAAAGACAATGGCGTTAGGTATGTCAAATGTGATAAATTATTAAATGATGGTGACTCATGCTTATCTACAATTCGAAATTGTCATAAACGAGAATATTATCGTAAATCATTAAAAAGAATGCTTGGAATACTTCCATTTGGAAAACCATGAATGGTTTCAAGACGTAATTGAGTATCATGTAATGTTAAAAATGCTCGTAATGATAGAAAGATAGGAAGAGTAATCTAAACCTCTGGCTTCCCTTATGAAGACTTTGGATCCTTCTCTCCAAGCTTCAGCTTCCTAGCGGCCAGCGTTTGTTCTACAGCCTTTCTTAAAGGAGTAGGTGCATCCTTCAATAACTCTGGGTGTTTCAAAATAACATCCTCAACAGAAACGCCATCTTCTACTGCAGATTTCACCTTAACATTTCCCATCAAATTATTTAGCATATCTTCTTCCTCGTCGACAGAAGGGACAGCAAAATCTTGTTCTGGAGATGTCTTTTTCACCTTTGAGGTAAATGCACGAATGGCTAGGCCCTTGTTTTTAAATGTAGAAACAGGCCATTGCACGGTAAATTTGTTGAAACTTTTGAGGAGTGGTGAAAGTGAACTCTTAAACATAATAATATGTGAGAAAATCTCAACGAATTATTCTTTCTAGTAGTTTGGGTATAGGTTATATGCAGAAAGCATCGAGTTTATGAAGAGCTCCTTAAATACTGAAACTTACGTCATTGTGATTTATTATCGCTTATGTTTAAGACTTACATTACCGAAAGTAACAACAAGAGTTCAGCTACTAATGTGAAATGAGAGTAAATCATTATAATTAATAGTAATGTTTTATAAGTAAATTCATTTCAATCTAGGTAGGTATGTAAACTGGGAAATGAAATGACCACCTCATAAGTAGGAACTTTATCATCATCACTCATCCATATCTAGTTATCCATAGATGGAGATGAGAAAAGTTCATGGAAAGCAAAAATACCTTTATAAATTTGCAAGTGAGTGAACATAATATATTCAACTGAATCCAAAACCACCACCAGACCGAACAGATACAAGTAGTTTTCTAAAACACTTGTTAGTAAAGGCTCCTTTTTTAAGATATTTAGCTACTTACTCTTTTAATGTCTGTTTAGACGTATAAATAGGTAATTTCAACAAGTTTACACATGTGCTAATTTGATGTTAGCTTACCAAGTCAGTATATCAGTATGTTCACAACTTACCTTGCAGTGGGAAGCCTGGATTCGTCTTCGCCATTCGTCCGAATGCAGAACGCTGGCATAAGAGCTTTGAATCCCAAGATTGGTGGTCGAGCAACGCTCGTAACAAACTTTACGAAATTACGCTTGTCTTCTTCATCAAGCTCCCGAAGCACCTCCCAAAACATTTGTATAGTCGGAGACTTCAACTCGTAACCCCCTGCATAAACCGTATTCTTTTTCAGGTCATTTACATCAATAGGTACAGGATCTCCTCCTACCAAAACTTGAATTTCATTTTCATGGAACATAGCCAGCCAGTGCGGATCTATAATTTGAGTAAACCCGTTGGTAAAGGCCCGGCATTGCTTCGATAGTCGCGCATTCAGATAATAATTAGAAATTAAATGAATGTACTGCAACCGGTTGTCATTTGTAACTGCCACGTTTCCACCATTGGGAATTAATTCAATGACGTTGCGAACGCCGAATTCTTCATGTACAACTGTAAAGTTGAGGGCCAAATCGTTTTCCACATCACCGTCATAATTTTTAAGAAATATTAACCCCTCGTACAAGTTGTTATCCAGACTTGTTAAATCGTCAAAATAACTAGGATGGCCGAGCCACTTTGAAACGAAGAATGCAGCAAACGCGGCGTCTATTTGAATTCCTTCATATATACACTTGCCGATGAGCATCCCTAAGAATTCATAGCAACGTAGTCGCTCAACTACAAACATGATTAGTATTGGCAGACTTTTATACCTCTAAACTTACTATCTTGTGCATATCCATGAGTGTTAGGGTACAACAGATGAGCCTTCGTTTCGCTAAATAAACCATAATTGATATCAAAAACAGTTTTGCAGATACTAGCTTGATTAATATCGAATGTTGTAAAGTAGTTCTAATTTACATACCTTGTTAGAAACTCCTTCGTCAATCCACCTCCGTCTATTCCTTCTTCCACTACGCCATGTTCATCCACGAACGTGATTCGGATTGTTCCTTTAAACATTTTTCCTAGATTAAAGAAAGCATCAAAACCATCGTCGAATATTCGGTTTCGTCGAATGACTGCGTGCTTTAAATGACCAAACGGCTGTATAAATCCATTTGCCTGCTTATCCATTGTTATAAGTTGTTGAAGTAAGTGAATACGGAACCGAAAAGGCAAAAAGAAGGAGCAGTTGTTCAAGATGTTCAGTTTTGGTCTTAATTCATTGTAATTATCGACCTTCATGCCTGAAGATAGATCTGCATCCATATTGGAAGCAGACTGAGCCTCTTGTAACGCTCCTGCTTCGAATTCACTCAAGTTGAAATACTCTTCCATCATGAACATATTCTCCTGCACGTATGGTTTCCGGTAATTAATCCGAAAAAGTCTTTGAAGTAGAGATGTTGAAGAAACCCTAAGTTGAGTTACATCTACCAATGAGTTATCATTCACTTCTTTCGACGCGTTAACATCCCAATATAAGCCCAAAACAAAATTTTTCAAAAGGATACATAATTCTTCTCGCACATTATACAGAGGATTATACTTAACGCTATGAAATTCTTCGTCAATCATTGTAAACAACATTCGAGAATAAACGTCAAGTAGGAACTGAAGCTGATACCAATGAGCTGAATCGGTTTGTAATATACTCTTGACATCGACCTTCTTTGAAAATAATGGAAATACAGGAGATTTTGTGAATATGTTCCAGGAATACTGCACAAATGACATGCTCGGTTCCACTCGCACCTGGTCAATTAAGGATACGTACATCAATATTGAAGTACGGTTTGAAGGAAATAATTTCAGTATAGATGAGTAGAAATGTGATATATTTAGTATAGTGTTGCTTGTAATCTCCGAGAATACCTTGGTTATGAAGTTGGATGATAAAGCCTCAGCAAAAGCCCGTTGCACGCTGAGAATTTGTGAGCATAATAAACTTCTAAACTGTTTAGCAACAAGTTGTAAGTGAACATAATAATCTTGCACAAACGAATATTCCTCATCCTCGTCATCGTCTTCGCCCAAGTCCATAGGAGCATTTAAACGATTAATGACAGAATTTTCAGAATGCGTATAAAGTGAATCCAAAATTAATGAGGAAAAAAACCATAAAAATGAAGATTCAACCTCTGTATGCAGCAAATGAAGGCAAGCGCCTCCCATGCAAAACAATTTCGAAGTGTCCAAGCTTAGTAGTTTAGACATCATATCTTCATCTTCCGAAAATGACACAGATGGAAATACTTTTGAAACAGCCAAATTTGATGAAACATCATTAAGCAAAAACTCATAGGAGGGGCGTGTAAAAACATTGAAGATAAAATATTCTTGAATATTATTGAAAGCACTTTTTGTTTCATCAAGAGGATTGAAAAGAGAAAAGACAAATGAACTCTTAAATTCTAAAAATTCTTTTCTACGGTGGTAAAATTCGTAAAAGGTCATTAAACATTCATAGTAATCAGGTATTTCATGAAGTTCCAGAAAGTCAGAAAAATATCCTAAAGTTTTTAAAAAGAGATATAAATCGGAATCCTCTTTAGCATTTTCATTCGTTTGCAGCGCCTTTTTGAATGACTTCAAACAAAGGGTGGTAAATCGTTGCCATACCCATGGAAAACCCAATGCAAAAATTTTTGACTTGGCAGTATAAAACATCGACAAATCTGATAGTTCAACCTTATTATTCAGTTCATTTGAGTCACATTTCAATAAATCATTGGGGGGTGCATCAAGATGCATAGAACTAAGCAACTCACTGGTTATGCTCCGAAAAGCTGCAAAATCCAACTGAGGATCAGCAAAAATAACAAATTTCTGAATACATTCTTGCAATTTGTCCAAATCCAACAACACCAGCTTTTGCGCACCACCTACTAGATAGGTTTCGTACCATTGTGAGCGGAATTCATTCTTTAATCTTTCCCTGCAAAGAAGTCCACGAGATAAAGATTGTAAATGAATAGATACAGATTCTGTTCTTCGTTTCTCCTCCCGATTTTTACGCTCAATAGCAGCCTTTCTTATGAGTTCACCACGATCATTTGTATTTCGTTTTCCGCCTAAATTGACGTTCCTTTTTGCTTTGAACGTTCCCTCAAAACTCAATGGCATTGGAAAGAAGGTAGATGCGATGAATTTGCCTCAATTTCTAAGCAAGGAACTGAATATGTACTATAAAAATGGTTATCCTCAGATATCCACTCAATCTTTCCTATTGATATCAAATTAACTGTTAATAATTTTTTTTTTTTTATATAAAAACCGTGTAACAGGAAATATGCAGAGGTTTCTTGACTTTGAGTACGTGAGGCGGTATTATTACTAATTAGTTTGGTCGAAGTAAAACGTTTTGTTTGAATTATGTTTTAACGACACCGAGACGTCGTTGGATATTATAAAGAAAATATTCACAATAAGAAAAATAATATTTTTTTCTTGTCAATTTGAAAACCTCTATTGTTATGTTTTCCTTCCGGACTCGTTTTGTTTTGATTTGGTTTGTGAGAAATGGCTACAGTAAGCATGATTTTAATACTTTATTGAGCTAAGAAGCTCAATTATATAATAAGTATAATGCAAACTTTCTTATTTGATGACAGCTATACATGAGAAATCATCGCAAACTTTGCTACATGAGCTGTGAAAATCAAGGCATATATTATCAGAAGAAATACTAATATTGAAACTCGAAATCCTAAAATGCTTCGACAAACTTGCACGTTAGGACAATCATATATTGAATGTAGGAGTTCTCACAGTTCCAATTGTCTAATATAATTGTCAAAAGTAAGGCCTCCATTTATACTTTGAAGACTTTCATAGTACGTTGGCATCGGCGACTCCTTCCTATTACTGTATAGTATTAGAGACCATCACCATTAACTCAAAGAATAAAATAAACCCTCAATGTTTTCTAGCTACACAAATATGTATCAGATTTACCAAATTTAAGCAGACGAAATATGGGCTTATCTACGAAGTCATACCATACCTTTATTTTTTTTATTTTTTTTTATAAGTTTATTGTATTATCCAACCGGATTCTGCATTTAAAGAATCTTCTTTCACGGAATTCAAATCAATCACCGCACATACATAAAATGCAAAACAATTTCCCTTGTTAAACGAATAAACACCCAACGTTAAGATAGATTATACTAAATTCCTACAGGCTTTTAACCCGAATTTCAATTCTTACAAAGTATAAGATCCATTAATCGAACTACTTTATTGCTCACCAGCGGGCTCCTCGTCGGCAAATTCGCGTAAGACATTGAGGGCCTCATCAATACGCTCGTTAAGAGCAGCATCTTCCTCAAGAAGTTCCAACAACTCGGAATCTTGCATTTCCAAAAGCATACCAGTAATCTTACCAGCAAGTTTCTCTTCACGCATGAAGATCTTGGGGTAGAGCAATTCACCAAGAACTTGCTTTCTGTTCTCCTCAGGAACAGCAGCCAAGTCGGCAGCAGTGAATCTTTCAGGCATGCTAGGAACAGCAGCTTCAGCAGCTTCAGGTTGAGGAACACCACCTGGCATCATCATAGGACGGCCTTGAGCGGGGACAGGAGCGGGTCCACGAGGGCTCATACCAGGGTAGGTGGGGGCAACACCTGCGGGAAATTGAGCAGGCATTCCTGGGTACATAGGCATAGGGCCATTGTGACCAGGAACCATAGGCATACCACGTCCGTTAACGGCAGCGGGGATGGGGTAACCACCAGGGCCATACATGAGAGGGCCACCGCCATACTGAACAGCAGGGATACCGGCGGCAGCTGCAACTTGTTGTTGAAGACGGAATTGGTTGCGGGCTTGAATTTGAGCTTCCAATTGAGTGCGACGAACCTCCTTACGTTGAGCAAGGGCAACATACAAAGGCTTGCCGGCGAGCATGCGTTGGTTCATTTCAGTAACAGCCTTGTTAGCCTCCTCAGGAGTAGTATAGCAAACGAAACCGAAGCCCTTAGACTTGCCTTGTTCATCAGTCATAACCTTAGCGGAAGTGATGGTACCGAAAGCAGAGAATTCATTCTTAAGACGCTCATCGTCAACCTCATCTTGCAAGTTCTTGACGAAAAGGTTAACGCCTTGGTACTTGTTCATCTTTTCCATCTTAATTTGCTCGTAACGTCTACGGAGTTCATCCTCACGTTCGTGCTTCTTTTGAGCGCGACCGACATAGAGCTTCTTGCCATTGATTTCCTTATCGTTAAGCTCCTCAACAGCTCTTTCAGCAGATTCGTGGCTAGAAAAGTTGACGAAGCCAAAACCACGGGGCTTGTCAGCTTGGTCCTTAACCAAAGAAAGAGATGTGATTTCACCAAAGGGAGTGAAGAGATCACTGAATTCTTGTTCAGTGATTTCAGTATCAAGGTTCTTGACATAGACATTGGTGAAGTTAGCCTTCATTTGTTCAAACTTAGATTGACGCTCACGGCGGCTAACATGATGACCAACGTAAACCTTTTTGTCGTTCAAAAGCATGCCATTAACGTGCTCAATAGCAGCGTTGGCAGATTCGACGGTGTCGAAATGAACAAATCCGTATCCCTTGGAGTTGCTCAACTCATCGACGGCAACCTTGCAAGACAAAATCTTACCGAAGGCAGAGAAAGTGTCGTGCAAAGCCTTGTTATCAATAGCAGGGTCCAAGTTTTTAATGAAAACGTTGCCAGTACCCATCTTACGCAAAGAAGGATCACGTTGAGACCACATAATACGACAAGGACGCCCCTTGATCAAGGTGTAGTTAAGCTCGTCCAAAGCCTTAGAACCATCTTCCATGTTGTGGAAGTTGACATACGCATAGCCCAAAGAGCGACGAGTAACGGCGTCACGGCAAACACGAATACTTGCTACGGGTCCAATACTGTTAAAGAGCTCAAAAAGCATAGCTTCAGTCACACTGGGGTCAAGTTCACCAACATACAAGGAGGCACTGGAGGGAGCAGAAGCAGAGGGGTTAGCTAAAGAGCTGGTGGTAGTAGCAGGGGTACCGGCAGCAGAAGCATCGCCGGAAGCAGTTTCTTCAGCGGGCTTTTGAGTTTCAGCTTCAACAGCACCAGATTCTTGTTGATTGGTAGCCTCAACAGAGGTAGTGGGCTTAACTTCGCTCTCAACGGCGACGTCAGCTTGCTTATTCAGATCCGTAACAGCCATGGCGTTTTCAGTAATTTAACTTGGTTTTTATTGTATTTTTCCAAATTTTTTTATATTATAGGATTTGTGGTTTGCGAAGGAAGAAATATGTGGTGAGCGAAAATTTAAATACAACACTAACCTCCGTTATATGGTTGGACTGTTAAAAAGGTGAAACTTGAGAAATTCACCACCGGTAGAAAACAATCTTTTATAAATTAAAAATTTTTACTCAGATTCAAACTTATTAAAATAGTAATAGAAAAATTTCCGTTTTCAAGAAACGAACTGAATGGTCGATTTCGGTAGAAAATTTTTCATCGTAGAACCGAACCAAACTGATTTCTACGTATACGAATCTAATCTAAATGAATATAAAACACTGAAGATTGAAACTTACGATGAAGGTAAATATTTTTTCTGATGGAAATACGAGATTAATTACACAATCTATTTGTTCTTAGAAGCTTGGTATCCAGCTTTAGGCCGAACATTTTCTAATATCATTCAAGTATGGTGCTTTCAACGATGTAGAATTCTGTACCGAATGTCAGTGTACCATCCAGCAATGGATGCTTTAAGGAAATCAGGTTTCCACAAAGCTACTGAATAGCAATGATGGCTGCTCCCTCCGTCTATCCTGAGCTTTGACTTCTGAAAATATATCGTCGCAGGGACTGTGAATGCAAATAAGTTAATTCTTCCATGAAAAGCACAAACACTGCTTCAGCATGAAAGTATTCCCCAATGGTTTGGGTTAAAATCGTTCATGCGTAGTGTCTAGTCCTGTTGTCATTGATAATGGATTATTCAGCTATAGGAATCGTTAGAGAAAGAGATGATGGCCTTGACCGCAATTGTCGTTGGAGACCGAATCAAGATTACGGATTTTACAACAACTTTCCTTCCTTCTCTATGTAGACATCTCATATTCGTTAACATCTACCATTGTTTGTTGTCTTCTCCATGCATGCTTTTGATTCTCCTACTACGATTGTTTTCCATTGATTTTCATTTGTTCCTCACTCCTATATTGTATAGGTTCCATTCACATTATTAAGCCTGTATCTCGTCTCTTTTTCTCTTTGGACTTGCCCTGCGCAAAACTATTTCATCCAAGTTTATTTAATAGATCATCCTTCTTCGTATGCTATGAAACCATGTTAGCATGTTTTAATTGTATCTCATTCAATAAGAAAAGAAGAAAGATTTTTTAGATTTCATTTCAGCTCTACTCTTAGTAAGGATCTATGAAAAAGATATTTAATTCCTCTTAGCTTCACTATACTTGTTATAGTAATATTCTCTCTTTTGGCTTATATCCATTGTCTTTGTAAGATCAGCTTCATCTTTACAAGGTGTTCCTCTTCTTATGCCCACTGTCTCAACTCTGTGTATACACATCAATTGATCTGTCTCAGCCACATCATCAAATTTGTCTATAACTATCTTTTTCTTTTAATATCTATTCTTTTTATTTGCTTACCTTTATGATGCAAACTTGCGGTTTTTAATTTATCCTATTTTAATTGCTTGTCCGTAAGTTCATACCTAGAAGAAAAGAAAATACGCCTTTGTTTGTTTATTTACTATTTGGGTTGTCGTATTTCAAGAAAGGTTAATTGCATCGTGACAGTTGGAAGGGAATGTACTCCTTTACCGATTTTGATTCTTCATAACACTATTTGTTTGTTAGTTGCTTTCGTTGTGGTAGTCAAATTTTCGCAGATATTGGTTCCTATAAATAGTCCTGAGCTTTTTTCCTGGTATACTGCTGAAATCGCTTGTCTTCTTTTTGCTTACCGCCTTGCGTTTCGTTCAGGTTTGTAATTGTCATTTTTATTGTTTCGCTTCTTGAAGCATCTTGATAATATTTCTTCATATTTTGTTCTGTATGCGCTTTACTTCTGTTCTTTCCACCTCATGCGAAATTCGAAAGCTTCTTCTTACATAGACTCCCCTCATTCTCACCCTTCCTCTACGGCTGTTCCCACTATCCAAGTGAACAGTGATTCCTTGTCAGCTCGTTATGAACCGTTTACACCCTCTCCTCTCTCTCATACCGCTCTCCCTCACGTTCCTCCTCCTCCCTCTAAATCGCATTCCAACCTTTCCGCTGCTCAACCACCGCTCGCTCGTACCTACGATGATCCTCACCACTACGGTCGTCCTTCGGGTACACCGATCCCTCGTACAAAATCCTCCCCCAGTATTCTCTCACAGCATACCTCGCCTTCTCGTTCCCGCCGCAGTAACTTGAAGTTTGAAATTGGGGATAGACCTGATTCTAGAAATTCATCTTCTAATTCTTCTAATGAATCTTCATCCAATGTTCCCCATTCTTCTCAGTTGCAGTCTTCTGATCATTCAAAACATCCTCGGTTTATATGTCCAGAACCCGTCTCGAACTTACGGCAGGGCCAAAACCCTCTTTCTCTTCATGAACCAGAGACTCAGCAGTCTTCTAGCAGCCTCCATGGTCAGTCTTATTCACCCGAATCCTCTCACCCTTCAGATCCTTTACCAGAACCCAGAATTATGCAATCAGACAAAGATCCTCTACCGGATATTCAAAAGCCATCAGCAAAACTATCTAAAAAGCGTTTTAAGCAATTTTGGCGTCAATGCAAACAGCCATCTACTTGGAAGGTGCCTTCCTGTATTCAGTGGATTCCGAGGAATCTAACTCGAAAAGGGATTAAACCAGTAATTCGTTCATCCATTAACACTTGGATAGCTTTCCTTCTCCTCATAGCCAACCATACCAACAAGTCTTTTGGTATGGCTAGTTTCTTCGCCGTTATTACTTCGATGCTGGTACCTGCTATGGAACCAATAGCTCCTATGTTGTGGAAGTGTGCCTTTCAGTTCTTGTTACTATTTACTACTTATGCTTGGACCGTATTAGCATCTAAACTTGCTGCCGTCTCTCGTGGCTCTCCTTCCAAAGAAAAATGTCTGCAAGATGCCATTGCTGATGGATTTCGTTGTAGTAATCCTAGCCAAGGAACCCAAGGGTGCTTAACCGAAGCAATCTTTCAAAGTTATTTTGTCCGGCCCTTACCTTCAATCATTTGGGCTCTTTTCGAATTTGTCGCTTGTGCAGTGCTAATTCGTATCAAAATGAAGTATAAACCTTTAAACTTCCCATGCGTTTTTGGAATCATATGTGCTGCAGTAAGTGCAAACTATGGACCAATGTATCCCTACTTTTATCCTAGGGTTGGTCTATTTTTTATTATACCTAATTGTGTACAAACCGCCATCACTGTTGGCTGTACACTCTTTATACTTCCTGAGACATGCAATTTTTCATATAATTCTATGTTGTGTAGTGTCACAGAGAATACAAGGAAACTCATGCAGAAACAAGTAGAAATGTTATCGCATTCACCTACTTATGAGGGTTGGAAATCTTATGCTTCTACTTTGGAAAAGGATATTGCTGATTTGAAAGGCCTATTAACTAAAATGAAGTCAAATGAGGTCTTCTTGGATACTGAATTTTCTTATGGCCGTTTGAAGGGTCAAGATTTGGTATCATTGCAAAGACTTTTTAGAAAAACGATTCTCCGTGTTTCTGCTTTTTCTTATTTCTGTAAACTTATTGATCATAATATGCAAATTTATGACGATGAAATTATGGAGCAAGCTGAGAAAGCCACCCTGCATTCTAGAGTTGGGACACCCGCGCCTTCTATGCGATCTGCCTCGCCAAATCGGGTTCCATTTGAAGGAGATCAGCTTCGATCTCCCTCTCACTCTCGTACAGCTTCAAATCAGACGGAACAAGAAAGAGGCCGAATTGCATCAACGAGTCAGTTAGCAGTACCCACAGACGATAATATGAGGACAGCCGAATCTGCTGGTCTGAACGATCCCTCGTCAACATCATTAAGTGATGGTAATGCTCTTCAACCCCATAAACGAACTCATTCTTCAATAACTATAGCCGATGACAATCTTCCAAGTCACCGTAGGAATCGCCAAGGTTCGATAGGGTCTAAAAGTCACCGTAGTCGTAGTCGTTTGAGAGGAACAATTGGGAAGATTTACAACCAAACTAAAAAATCATATAAACCAGTAGGAATGTTAGAAGCTCAGCATTACCTGGCTTTGGAAAATCGGCTACCGTATAATCGTCCTCAGTTCCTTGACTCATTGCTCTCCGTCTTAAAGTCATCATCTGCGGATTTGTTTGACCAAACTATATATGCTTTGGATGCGTTAAATGCCTGGCTAAACGAAGCTAATCATGATCGATTTAAGCATCTTTTTTCTAAAAAAAATCAGGAAGAAGCTAGCAAAAGCCGTCTTCAACTTATCAAGTTACACTATGATCATTTATCTGAGGTGCTTTCTGACTTTGAAAAAGAGAAATGCTTTGAAGCTAGAAAGCCTTACGAGCCACTATTCCAAAATAAAGATGCGAAGCCTTTCTATATGCATTCGTTAAGATCGTTATTTGTGGTTTATTACTATGAATCTCATTTGATGCAGGCTGTGCGGAGCGTTTTGCAGATTTTAAGTACAGTCATTGAATTGGAAGAAAAGCGTACGCGTCGGCGTTTGTGGTGGCCCTTGAGGACTCTTAGAGCTAATCTGTACTCTCAGCTATCCGGACATGATGATTTTCATGACGATGTCGAAGATGTTGAAAAGCGCATGGGGGAGTCAAGCACTCAAGCTCGTAATCCAGATGCTGACAGCCCGTCTAATTTGTATCATGTCATAGGATTACATACAATGCGTCTGTTGAAATCTGTGTTTAGACCAATGAACGTATTCGTTTTGAAGGTTGGAGCGTTAGCGGTAATATGTACAATCCCGGCTTTTGTTAGAAGCTCGGCTCGTTGGTACTACTTTAATAGAGGATTATGGGCTGTCATTTTGGCTACAATGAGTTTGCAACGTTATACTGCTGATACCGTTTATGGCTACCTCATGAGAGTTTTCGGTACTTTTTTTGGTACTGTCGTAGGTATGGTCATATGGTATACAGGGAACGGACACGGTTATGGGAATGCATACGGGTTAGCTGTGGTTTTAGCAGTCGCTCTCCCTTTTGTGTTGTTTGTTAGAGTCCATTTGGTAATCCTAACCCCAATGCCGTCGGTTATTTTTTCAGTTACAGTAGCTCTGGTTGTTAGCTATTCATGGAAAGCTCATCATGTTCCTGGTATTGTAACGTTCGGAGTTGGTTGGGATGTTGCATACCGTAGGTTTCTGGTTGTTATGGCTGGGATTACAGCTGCCTTCATTTTTTCATTCTTGCCTAGACCATTTACTGCTAGATATGCCGTTCGAAAAAGCATAGGAAATAGTCTTATTGAACTTGGAGCACTTCATTGTGATATTTCAAATTTCTCGCGAAGAGCTAACCATGAGCATATTGACACAGAAATCCAAAGCAATATCTTAAGTTTAACTCAGACAGTTCAAGGTCTGAAAGACAGACTGTCTATGGTGAGTTATGAGCCATCTGTAGTAGGTAAATGGCCAATGGAGAAATATGAGGCTCTCTGTGAAACAGAACTAACGTTGCTGAATTTATTAAATTCTTTAATGATGACCTTTACCACCCTTGACGGCGATTGGATGTATGCCTTGTTACGAAGAATTGGTTGGTTTGATCACAAGTTTATAGCTGATCAAATGGCTGTTCTTTACATGTCATCAAATGCCCTCCAAACCGGTAATCCTTTACCTCAAATTGTTCCTGCTCCTTTAGTAGATCGCTTTTTCAGTAAAAGTGGCGATGTATTCTTGCCTCCTGTTTTCAGCGATACCCAGTTTCAGGAGCAGAAGGGACTAAGTTATGAAATGTTGAGTAATATGAACTACCTTAATTTTGCTGTCGGTTGTACAATTGCTTATGCAATTGTCAATCAGATTGATCGCATTATGTTTGTTACGAAATCTTTATGTGGTGAAATATACGATATGGATGAATGGCCTTTTCTAATGGAAGACGAGTACGGCTTCTTAAAGAAAGAACCGGATGTCGCCGAAGAGCAACGAACATTACATGATATGATTTGATGCAGGTTGATTTTTCATGTTTCCTGAAAAGATATTATCTTGTAAATTTATCTCTAGGTTAAGTAGTGTCTTTTTTGGATGAACAAAAAATGTTATGAATTTTCTCTCGTTTTTCAAGTTTACACAACATAGTTGCGTAAATTAAATTATTTATGTAAATCGTAAATGGATAAGGATTGACTTTAGTTCAAATTAGTTGCCGTATAAATGTTTTTTAATCCCGGGGAAATTTTTTGAATGTTAGTTATTGATCCCGTGGCGTTAGTCATTTCTGCAACTAAGAAAGTACAATTAGAATAATTCATTTATGTAAAGTCTCAATCTAAAAAACCATATCGTATTTTATGAATGCACATCGTAGAGTACGCGAATTATTTGGATGTTGAAATTCATCCACTACCAACAACATGGCGAGGAGAGGAAAATCGAGAACGAGTAAACCTCAAGCTGTTTTTAACAATAATAAGAGAAGAAAAGCTTCAGAAAACAAATTGTTACAATCCTACGATGAGAAAAATGAGGATTCGTTTTTCGATGATGAATTAGACGAAGAAAACGATACCGGATACCAAGTCGGCGTGAATTCAGACGACGACGAAGAGATTGATAGTGATGAAGCTTTCGATGAAGATGATGAGAAAAAGTTTTCAGATTGGTCTTTCAGTGCCTCTAAAGTAAGTATATTATATTTCTGTTCTGTGAATCTAACAAGCATTTAGGCTAAAAATGTTCCCCAGAGAAAATCAACTCAGCCGGGGACACATAAAAAGAAAGAAAGTATTTCTTTAAATGAAAGTGAAGATCAGAATGAGCAATCGGAAAGCGAAGATGATGAAGGAGCTAGTATTGATGAAAACGAGATGGTCGATTTAGACACAATACTAGATCAGCCGAGTTCTAGTGAAGAAGATAATGATGAAAACCCTTCTAAAGATACGGAGCAGAAGCATCATTTACAGCACAATGAAGGTATCATTGAAAGCGACGATTCTTCAGAGGATGAATCTAATTCTTCTGATGAAGATGAAAATCTTGAAGAGAGCGATGTCAGCAGCTCTGAAGGTGAAGAGTCTAGTGATGATGAAGAAAATGATGAGAAGTTGGATAATTTGAAGAAGTACATTGACAGTTTAAATGATAAGCGAAAGGCTCAAGCATATCCTGAAGATGATGAAGATCAAGAAAAAACTGTTGAAAAGAAACGTGTCAAGCACAATCCTATTGAATTTAACCGTGAATCTGAATTCAATTTGGTTGGAAATGAAGATGGGAAGATTGGACTTTCTGATCTATTAGAGTCCGTTCAAGTTGACAATAGGTTGAAATCGTCCTTGAGACCTTTAATTAGTGAGTCCTCGGCTGTGTCAGCTTCAAAGCTGGATGCCCCCTTGGCAAAGCCCATACAAGATCGTTTGGAGAGACAAGCAGCCTATGAGCAATCGAAAGAAGATCTTGAAAAATGGAAACCTATCGTTTCGGATAATAGAAAGGCAGATCAGTTGGTATTTCCTATGAATGAGAGTGCGCGTCCGGCGCCGAGTAGCGCTGCGTTAGCTTCTAGTTACAATCCGGAAACTAAGATCGAGAAGAAGTTAGACACGGCATTAGTTGATGCAGGGCTTAAAGATGAAGAATCCTTGAAAAAGCAAGAAGAACTTACTTTGAATAAACTTTCGGTTGAAGAAGTAGCCGAAAGGACACGTCGTTTGCGTTTCATGAGAGAACTTATGTTCCGAGAAGAACGGAAAGCCAAGCGTGTTTCCAAGATTAAAAGTAAAGCATACCGGAAACATTTAAAGAAACGAAAAGAAAAAGAAGAATCTCTCTTGCCGAAAACGGAGGAGGATTTGGAAGCTGAGCGTCTTAAAGCTGAGGAGAACCGTGCTAAAGAAAGAATGACTCAGCGTCATAAAAACAACAGTGCTTGGACTCGAAAAATGCTTGAACGTGCAAATCATGGTGAAGGAACTAGGGAAGCAGTCATGGAGCAAATTAGAAAAGGAGACGAATTAACACAAAGAATTAGTGGTCAAACGGACGTCGACGGTGTTGACTATAATTCTGACGATGGTTTAGAAAGTGCGGACGATGTTTCCCGTGCTTTTGATGGCGTAAGAGAGACTCAAGAGCCTGAACTGAAAGGAGTTTTGGGTATGAAATTTATGCGAGATGCTTCTAAAGCGAAAGCTCGGCAAGTGGAAGATGATATGAAAGCTTTTGAAACTGAATTGGCCAATATACCTGATGGTGACGCTTCAGATACAGTGAAAACTGAGAATACCGGTGTTCTGGTAGGAAACAACGAAGGACGTCGATCATTTGCACCTTCTAAGGAAGCATTGAACGAAGTCCGAGCAGAACGGAAGAATCCTTTCTTAACCACTTCTCAAAAAGAACAACTCGATAAAGCTGAAAAAGCTACTAAGAAGGAAAAGAAAAAAAACAATAAGAAAGATAACAAAGAAGTAGAAGATTTTGTGACGGATGATACGAAGAATCCATGGTTACAAACCTCTCGACAACGGAAACCTAACTTGGCAGATGTTAACAAAAATAGCTCAAAAACTGAGAAACTTGCTCACAAGATGAATACTGATAAGGTAAAGTCATTACAAGAATTAGTACATGAACCTGAAATTCAGCCCGACAGAGTATTCAACGAAACTTCTTTTCAGAGCGAGTCAGAGCAGGATTCAGATCAAGAAGTGCCCACATTGAAACCTACAAAAGGCAAGGTTGCTATTCAACAAAGGGAGTTAGTTGCCAGGGCTTTTGCTGGAGACGATGTGGTTGCGGAATTTGAGAAGGATAAAGAGGATTGGATTAATGAGGATGCACCAAAAGAAGAAGACCAAACTTTACCTGGTTGGGGTTCTTGGACAGGCTCCGGAGTTAAAAAGAAGTCAACTAAGCCAAAAGCTGTAAAGAAAATCGCAGGGCTGGACCCCTCCAAGCGAAAAGATGCCAAGTTACAACATGTTATTATTAATGAAAAACGCAACAAAAAAGCAGCTAAACTTACCGCTGATAGTGTTCCATTTCCATTTGAGTCTCGCGAACAATATGAAAGAGCTCTCAACTTACCAATGGGTCCTGAATGGACAACCAGAGCCTCTCATCATAAAGCCGTGGCTCCCAGGACTGTCACAAAACGGGGTAAGGTTATCCAGCCACTTAAAGCGCCAAAATAGGCTCGTTTGGATGCGACTGTATTGTGGGTTTTTATCGTTCTTCTTGGGCTTCTCTGTTTTGACAATTTATCGTATAGAGAGTTGTGATAGATGTATTATAACAATTTAGATTAGGGTAAAATGGGTTTTAGGAAACATAATAAAGAGTTTGGTAAGCATAACGCATCGAAGGATTCTATGAACTTTACATGAAAAAGCGAAATAAAAAAGTAAGCTAGTTAGACAAACGATTATTCTAATGACATTTAGTTCTTAAATTACTAACATGGCGGATATCCGTTTCACAACAACCACCGACAACAACATTGCCGTCATTTAATTTAGAGTATTCAAAAGATGAGTCAGCCCATTCCTCGGGAGAGGGAGCAGGCTTCACTTCAGAGGTGAGAGATGTGGTATAAGGATTAGGAAAACCACGGCCGTCAGGGTAGAGCATCACAGTTTTGTCAGCATGGCCTTTAAAAAGATCCGAGAGGGTGCTAGTGATGGTGGGAAGTAAACTAATGTGACAGCAATTGACACCAACACCCCAGATATATTCAGAATTTGTGTCTAGAAGAGCAGTAAGAATTTGTTTCACACGATCAAGACTTTTCAAATCGGGACAAGTGCTAGTAATCCAGCATCGCTTGTTCCAACCCTTGAAGTCAGTCAAAAGCTTGTGCAAGGCAAGAGCCTCAGTGATGTGTGGAAGACTTTCAAACGCCAAATAGTCAATTTGCTTAAAGGCTTCTGGGTTAGAAGACTGAAACTGCTCAAGGCGCTTTTTGTGAAAGTTGTAGAGCATATCGAAATCGCCAGGTTTATCGTAAACCATGCGGTATTCCATGGCTCCTGGAATGGTTGCGGCATGGCTACCCAGAGTAAGAGCAACGTATTTTTTAGGAAGCTTAACTTCCTCTCTGGCTTGCAGGGCAAGGGCCATACTGCGGGAGTAAACTTCCAAGAGAGGGACCTTTTCAACTTGCTCGTCATAAATTGATTCATCAAGCTGGTAGGTAAAAGTGCTGATAATGTCACATACTTGAAGATAATCTTTATGGTGTTGTAAGACTTCCTTTGGAAATTGCACAAGCGCTTCTGAAGTCCAAAGTCTTGATGTCTCTAGTTTTTCAACTGGGATCTTTGATAGAATGGAAGTAGAACCTGCGTCTAAAACAAGCATTTTTTATTTTAACAAATCGAAATCGAACCAAAAGAAGAAAGTAGAGTTAGTAACCTTTCAAAATGAATTTTTGTAAAGATATTATTATAAGTAAATAAAGAATTACCGTCGTACATTCTTTAAACTGTTTTAGAAGAGAAAATGAAGTTTATTTCTCGTAGCGTTATTTTACCGTTTTCCGATATTGTGTTCCATTTCGCTATATATGTCAAGAATTCGAATCTTGTTGAAGCCATATTTGTGGGCTATTGCGTCTGTAGCAACTGGCCGCAAATTACCTTCCATGGAAACTCGCTTTTTACCACAAACCTACGAATCTATACAATTCGAAGATTTAACCGGATACAAACGTACGAAAGAAACGATTTAAAACGTAAAATACGTAAGAGTGAAAAAATACTGAAGGGTTCTCAAACAGATACGAAATAGAATTTGGAAGACTCATAGAGAAGGAGAAAGTGGAATTTTTTGGCACTAAATGCAAGCAAGTAACTAAATAACGTAAAAAGGGATTTTTAAAAAAAAGAAAGATTGAAAATTCATACTAGGAAACTAACGGATTGAGACACAATGGGACAAGGGAGTAGTAAACATAGTGATCATCGGTTGGATTCCTACCCTTCGTTTAGTCGATCAGATACGCAAGGTTCAATCCGATCCTTTAAATCTTTAAAGACAGCTTTACGGAAAGATAAAGACAAAGATTCTACTTATGATCGAAGAACGTCTACGGATACCACCAACAGCCGCCATAAATTTCCTGAAACACCGCCCAGCCTTCCTCCACCGCCATCACCGGGCATTTTGGCTACCTCTGGTTCAGGTTCCAATTTGTACCGACAAAATCAAGAAGAATTGGCAGCTGCTGGTATGAGCACTAGCCAATCGCCCACTTCTACTACAGGTGGTGTCTCGTCAAGTAATATTAGCTCAGGAGGAATGACAAGTAATCGGTCGCTTTCACCACCGCCACCTTCATCGCTTGCTTCTCCTGGGTCCTACGACTCGAATCATGAAACGATAGCGGATTCTGCAACTTCTCCTGGTTATCTCCAGTATGATCCACAGGGTCCAGTTGTAATCCCGAATTCTGCTTTATCTTCGATGAATCCGGATGATCCCGATGCATTGGTGAGTCTAAATGTTGACGAAATGATTCAACGGCTTATTCATGCTGGGTATTCTCGGAAAAGCAGCAAAAGCGTTTGCTTGAAAAACGCTGAAATTGTTAGTATTTGCATGGCTGTGAGGGAGATTTTTCTTTCACAACCCACCTTTTTAGAACTCATGCCACCTGTTAAAATCGTCGGTGATGTCCATGGACAGTACTCGGACTTAATTCGACTATTTGAAATGTGTGGATTTCCTCCGAGCTCGAACTATTTATTTCTTGGTGACTACGTTGATCGTGGTAAACAGAGCCTGGAAACAATTCTGCTTTTATTTTTATACAAGATTCGATATCCCGAAAACTTTTTTCTACTTCGTGGAAATCATGAATGTGCTAATATTACTCGTGTTTATGGCTTTTACGATGAATGTAAACGACGTTGCAATATTAAGATTTGGAAGACCTTTATCAATACCTTTAATTGCCTACCTATTGCTTCTGTAGTTGCCGGCAAAATCTTTTGTGTACATGGAGGATTGTCTCCTGCTCTAAGTTCTATGGATGATATAAAAGAGATAACTCGGCCCACGGATGTTCCTGATTATGGTTTATTGAATGATTTGCTGTGGTCTGATCCTGCAGACATGGAAAATGACTGGGAAGATAATGAACGAGGTGTTTCGTTTGTATTTAACAAAAATATAATTCGGCAATTTTTGGCAAGACACGATTTTGATTTGATTTGTCGTGCGCATATGGTAGTTGAAGATGGTTATGAATTTTTTAATGAGAGGACATTATGTACGGTTTTTTCTGCCCCCAATTATTGTGGAGAATTTGATAATTGGGGTGCTGTCATGAGTGTTAATTCTGAGCTTCTTTGCTCTTTCGAACTTATCAAACCATTGGATCAAGCTGCCATTCGGCGAGAACTAAAGAAGAGCAAACACAGCGGGTATGTAAATTTAACGATAACTTTTGTAAGTGTAGTAAGAATTATGATACTAACTTTTTCACAGTATGGCTGTTTACCAATCACCTCCTGCTGAGCAGGTTACACAAAGTGTTTGAGTTGTTTCTTGTCATGCATTATTTTGTAAGTTCGATCCGTGGATGAGTTACGTGATTACCTTCTAAGGAGTCTACGATTATGCTTCTTGGGACGGTTCTTTTTCCCGAGGATTCTTTGTTGTTCTTGTCTCTTTTTTTTTATTTTTAATGGAAATTTAATTGCAACTTTGGTAATAGGAATGGTGATTGCGGCAGTTCCATCGAGGCACTTTTTCTTTGCATTCATTCAATGGTTCACTGATAGATCTTGAAAAACAAATTTATTCCTAAAAGCCGTTTATTTCTCGTTGACTAGCTATCTTTTTGATTTCTCTTTTTAAAAAGTTTATTGTAAGAAAAGCAATGGTTGACTTCTTGATTGCTATGAAATGTTCCCTAAAGTTTGGGTACAGACGATGAGATTAAATGAATTCTTTATATTTCAAAACACCACACAAGCCGTAAAGCCAAAGAAACCAAAAATAAACAACATAACCTACATAGATATGTAATAAAAATATTTTTTTCCGTCTATAAAATAGAGTTGAAAAAAATCTCTCGAGCCAGATTCGAACTAGCGACCAACCGGTATCTTGAACATTACAGCCGGGTGTGATAACCAACTACACCATCGAGAGAACTGTTGATAGACGTTCTGTATTGACACAATTTGACGCTGTGTGCTTTTAAAGTACTTATTTCCTCCATAAGACAAATAGTTGTTTATATGAATAAACCAAACCAAAACAACAGAGACATAGACATAGACATAAAACGGTAAAGATTTTCTTTTAGAAGCGATAAATTTTGTTTTAGAATGAGTACTCTTACGATCGTGATTCTTTTTCAAGCGTTTCCTCCTAGTTCTATATGTTAATCTTAATGGAAAACACGACCAGCTTCAGTCATTCCATGAATCATTAAAACGAAACAGCTAAGAAAAATAAATAAAAAACATTATTTCAAATAAAAATCGCAGTCTTCTCCTCTGATTTTATATCAGTCCTTGAAGTTTTACCTAAACAGTGATTCAAATGACAACTAGCAATGAAGCAAGACATGAGGGGTCCATTTATACTTTTATTTAATTCAAAATTTTTTGAATCTCAGAAGGTTAGTTTCTGAATAGTACAGTATTTTTACATTTTTTTTATATTCTTTATTTGTTTGTTTACAAGTGAATAAATAATTAAATATATGGACCCACCATTTTACTAGTACGCCTCATAAAGGTTTAGTATTAGCTACTACCAACCAAGGGCGAAGTGGCCGAGTGGTCTATGGCGCTAGCTTCAGGTGAAAGCAACTGCTAGTCTACGTTTGTGGGCGTGGGTTCGAACCCCACCTTCGTCAATAACATTTTTGCTTTTCTTTTTTGATTTAGTGATATCCCCCGAACTCTGTAATCACACATAAGGAGACAGAGAGTCGAGTCGTTCGGAAGTATCATATTGTACGTATTATGAAGTATCGTAGTGAGGAGGATGTATGTAAATTTTTATAGGATATTAGGAACGGTCGGTTAGCTTCTAAACACAGCTCTACCGCTGCCAGTCATTGTGACTCTGCATTGCATTCTCTAAAGACTCACGATATGTCTAACTATTCAATTTTGTTATGTACATTAGCTTCTATAAGTTATGTTATTTTTCTTGAAGTCATGGCTTTTGATTTTGGAATTATAGACAGCTTCTTGTCTCCTAGCCGGTTCGGTGGTAGCACGGATGTTGCCTTACAATTGCCTGCTCGAAACATAACATTGTGGGCAAGACAGGCTAATTTTGGTAAAGGATTAACGAATAGCTCTTTGATCACAAAGATTCGGCTTTCCTTGCCCTCAAACTTCCAAGATGATATGACAGGTTGCTCTGACGCAAAGTCTGGACATGAAGAAATGAGCATGTCTTTACCCCTAAATGAGGAAGAGAAGAAACTCAAAAGGACTTCAGAAGACTCTGTTGACTTTGTTAAATCGAAAATTCAGAATCACGAAGATGAGGACGATGATGCACTGAACTTTCTTGTAGTACAACGAGGCAAGTGTACCTTCTTTGAAAAAGCGCTTCATGCTCAAGAACAAGGATTCAAAGGAATTGTTATCGGTGACAACAGGAAACAAATTAATTCTCGTTTACAATATATGGTAGGTCCTGGAAAAGAAGACTCCTGGGTCTCAATTCCGTCTCTATTTGTTTCCACTGCGTCTTTCAACATTCTGTATTCCGATATATTGTATTCAGAAAACGGTTCTCTCGAAATTTTCGCCAAGCCAGAAGAGCTTAGTGATATGTTTTGGCCCTTTCTTGTATGCTTTTCTCCTTCAATCGTCATGCTCGCGACCGTTCAAATCCTTGCTATTCGCCGCATTATCCGCTCTTATAAAGATCGTTCAAAAACGAAAGAATTCATTGAAAACTTACCCTCAAGGACAATTTCAAGGGAAGGATTCTACGAAGAAGACATTGAAAACGATATCCCAGATGACGAAGCAGTACCTTTAATGGACGAAACTGCTAGACGTGCTGCCTATGGTGTCGAATGCGTCATTTGCCTTGAAGCATTCAATCGTGGTGATAAAGTTGTTGCGCTTCCCTGTAAACACGAGTTTCACCGAGATTGCATATCGAAATGGGTAGTCGACTACAGACATACCTGTCCTACTTGTAATGCTGTCGTACCTTTTGCCGGTTCCTCTGTTGAATAAGCAACATTTCTGATCTCCCTCTTCCCATTATTCACTCCTTCCTATTTCTTCGATTTCCCTTTTTCTTCAATCCATTTACGCATCATGGATTATCCTTTTTTATTCCGTTATGTTATGTTTGATGTTAAAACTTAAACTCTTAATGAGTTCTGAATTTGCATATCTATTCCATTCCCCTTTGTTAATGATCACTTCTCATTTCGCTTCCATTTGTTTGCTTTGTTTGGTTAATATAATTCATCTATTTTTTATGCTTTCACACATTACATATAATATTGCTTTTTTGAACGTAGCTAATTCCACAATTAATATACTCTTTCAAAATTCATTCATTCTCGTCTGCCTAATATAATTAAGGTTTTTGTTTCTATCTATCTTTCACCTATACATAGCTTTGTTAATTCCGTCTTTCGAATAATATCGGCTTTCATGAAATTCGTTTCTCGTCGGATGAAGTAGTTGTTCTCAATTATCTATCCTTCAAAAGCGGTTGGCAAGCTCTCAGTAGCTTTCTCATCTTCAGCTCTTGTAATTAACTTGATGGTGACACCATCTGCTCCGTTTGGACGAATCATCTTTATGATGGCGAGCACTCTTCCTCCGGAAACAAATTGACCGCACAACTTTAGTACATGCAAAGGTGCTTCATCGTTAACACAATCTGTTCCATCCACGGGCTGCATTTGCAAAAGTTCCACCAAGTGAGAGCAAGCGGTTTTGAAAGACTCGATTTCACTAAGCGAATAAACTGCGGAAATTTCATGATCAAGTTGCTCCCAACGCTCATCAAAGTTGGAAACGCCAGAAGGAATACAAAAATCACCATACTTAAGCAACAAATCGTCAATATTGTACTCATCATCGTAACCTTCTTCTTCCGGTTCGCCAGTATGAGGATCAATCTCTTTAGATGTAAATCGTAATACATTTTCAATGACCGTAGGAGTATTAAACAAATTAGAACCTTCGTAGGAGAAACTGACGTAAATTGATACTGGTTCGTTAGCAGCAACTGGCGCAGGAATCACAAATTCCTCAATTAAATTTTCATTAGATGATACGCAGCCAACGGTAACATTCTCCAAAATAACCTCCGTCAATGTATTTTGAAGTTGATACTAAATCTGTTAGTATGACCTGTTCTTCTTAATTATTTAAATCAACTTACCTGAATAACAATATGTTTTTCAAATACATGCTTGATAGCTTTAACCACGTACTCGGTTTCACGTTCAGTAACCTCAATTAAAGAAGACGACTTCAAAACCGGACCAAAAGAACTGAATTCAGGAATAGACTCCAAAACAGACTTAAATTCATTTTCGGCTTTGACTACCTCTTCAGCGGTGTCATCAACAACTGGAGCTGGTGCAACTTGAGTAATCTCAGTGGATGCCTTCTTAACTTTAAGATTTTCTGCATCGATTTCTTCTTGAGTTAACATAGGAACGGCCTCAATGTCGAAAGGTTGATCAAATTTGTCACCGGTAACGTAAAGAACAAGACTACGTTCTAATGCTGGAATAGAAGGGACTTTGTTAGATTTGACAAAAGGTAGGAAGGAATCCATGTCATCTAAAACATTTACGCTGAAAGCAGCGCGATCGCGCACCTCATCATCCGCATCATCCAAACATCTTGAAAGAATGACTCTTACACTATGCTTAACAAAGTTATCCTTGACATTGACACCAAATTTAGTGAGTGCACTAATAGCGGCGGACCGGACAATTGCATTTTCAAGCATAATTCTGTTGTAGATATATCGAATGAATCTTGTTGGCTCCGCAGCTTTGGGACCTTCTTCACCGAGTATACAAAGGATACGGACTGCTATCTTTGGATACTCACAGTCTTCAATAAACTCACATAACTCGGCAAGGGCCTTCTCCTTGGACTCAGGAATGTATTTAATCATATCGAAAATAGCATCAATAGCAGCACGTTTAAACTCGTAACCACCTTCGTCACTAAGTATATTGCTAAGGAAGGATAACATCGCCTCTTGTTTACGAGGGAATTTCAAACATAAGGAACGAATGGCATCAACAACGATAATCTTGAAGTTATCGGGAATTTCAGACATAAAATTAGCTATTTGTAACATAAGGCGATCAACGGATTCTTCATTTCCAGTTTTGAGCAAAGTGGTAATAGCATATGTTGCTATAGAACGGTTTGCATCAGTGATTAGACTTTCAATCATAGGATTGCAAGAGTACAGAAGATGAGGTCGGGTCATAGCCAATTCATTTAAAGTACGAATGGCAGAGAACCTAGCGGCCGAGCGATGGGAAGTAAGGAATATTGTTAACGCAGCGACTACGGGACGTAAATCCTCATCACCAAGGGTTTTCAGGCGAATCATGTTTCTAGCAATCTCCAAATTGACCATATCACCTTTACCTTTCAACCAGTTATGGAATAAAGGTATCATGTCTTTACGCATGTCGGGATATTGATCCATAAGACTAGCGACATAACGGACGTACATGACGAAAGCATGAGAGTTAGAAAGTCCAGCGACCTTTGAAGCAATATCACGAAATATCTTTAAAACAGCGATGTGGTCAGACTGTCTTATCCTAAACAACAGAGCAAGTGCATGATATTGGGAGATACCACTGGCGGATGGCATATAGCCTAAAGAAGTAGTAAAGAAGGTTGAATTAGCAACCTTCCTACCAACAATATGTGAAGTCGTAGCATCCTGAGCTTTGTTGCTCCAGCGAGATACCACGTCCTTGGCTACTGGATATAGATGATAGGCTGACACCAGTGCAGCACTAGCAACAGCAGACACTGGGTCAACAACGGCAGTTGTAAGGATACGCTCAATGGCAGGGACTGTGTTCGCATCAATAACTCGAACAAGTGAACGAATAGCATTCGGACGATAAATCACCTCACTTCCCGTTGCGGTATCTTTCATAATACTACTAGTAATCATAATCACATCCTGTGCAACCGAAGACAATTCCTTTATTATAATGTAAACAAATTGTCTTAGACTAGGATCCTTGTGTTGAAAAAGCTTCGTGATGCCAAAAAATAATTCAGTTGCTTGCTTTTCACGAAATCGATCTCCTGTATACAGCAGATATGCAATCTTACAAAGCAACATTCGGCTTTTTCTGGGTGAAATTGAAGATTGATGAAATGCTCTTGCATCTTGCGTTACAGAAACCTGATTGATGTTCGAAAATATCGACTCATCTATACTACAATTAGCGCCCATCGTATCTTCTCTTGTACTTACCGTTATCTTCATCTTTTTTGGAATAACTCATTTTATGAAGGTTCCCTCTCGTCTACAAAATGTAGCAAGATTACTTCCCTTCTAAATTCGCCTAAGCTGTGTATCGTTGAGGGTAAATAGTAACTACCCTACAACGTCGAAATCCAGCTGCAAATAAAGATTACCCGTTACACTGCACTAAAAGAAAATACGAAGACAAACGATATGCTAAACACAACGAAACAATTCACTAAATGCTACTTACTCTTGCCTACTAGAGAGGGTCTACAGCAGAATACCAGTCGCTTCAGCAGAATCACTGCAATCGTTTATTATTTAGAACGTGTATTCCTTTGAACCCGAAGAATATTTTGGAATAGAAGTATTCCAGGAAATTAGAAATGATTCTATGAATTAACCACCTGGTTTACACGATATGAATGACCGAAATAGCGAACACTCCACTAGCTCTAGGACCCATAGGTCCATTATGAGCTTTAATACGAATGAAACAGGGAGTGATGGTTATACAGAGACTAGTAATTACATGACAGAAACTGGCGGGGACACGATAAGTTCAGCAAATGATGGTTATGGAGTTGCATTTCCTCAACCCAGGCATGGGTTTGAAGAAGAATACAATAATGCAGAATATATAAATATGCTAGAGCAAGTATTCTATATGTATTATACAGACAAACGACATCGAGGTGTGATTAGTAAAAAGTCTGCCGAAGCCACGGAAAGTATACATGACTGGAGAATGCGTGAAAGATTGAAAACAATCTCAGCCGCATTGTTACTATGTTTAAACATAGGGGTAGATCCACCTGATATAATCAAACCTAATCCTTGTGCTAAATACGAATGTTGGATTGATCCATTTTCCTTGCCCGCTTCCAAAGCGTTGGAAGCTATTGGAAAAAACTTACAACAACAATATGAGACGCTCAGTATGCGTACTAGATATCGTCATTACCTTGATCCGGCAATCGAAGAAGTAAAGAAACTTTGTATTGCGCAACGTCGAAACGCCAAGGAAGAGCGGATATTGTTTCATTATAATGGGCATGGTGTTCCTATGCCTACATCTTCTGGTGAAATATGGGTCTTTAATAAGAATTATACTCAATATATTCCGGTATCTTTGTATGATTTACAAACTTGGTTAGGAGCGCCTTGTATCTATGTCTACGATTGCAGTGCTGCTGGAAATATCATTGCTAATTTTATCCGATTTGCTGAGCAGAGAGACAGGGAGGCTTTCCGTCTCGCCAAACAAAACCCCAATATTTTAGCTATGCCATCGCATGCTACGAGCATCCAGCTTGCAGCCTGTGGTCCGAAGGAAACACTTCCTATGAATCCTGATCTTCCTGCTGACCTTTTTACATCCTGTTTGACTTCTCCTATTGAGATATCCGTCAGGTGGTATGTACTCCAAAATCCATTTCCTAGCAAATTAAACTTAAATATGCTCCTGAAAATACCTGGTCGTTTGCAGGATCGTCGGACACCGCTTGGCGAACTAAATTGGATTTTCACAGCCATTACGGATACTATTGCATGGAATGTTTTTCCCAAACACCTCTTTCGAAGACTATTCCGTCAAGATTTGATGGTTGCTGCTCTCTTTCGTAATTTCCTTTTAGCCGAACGTATCATGCTGGTGCATTCATGTCATCCACAATCTAGTCCTCCTTTGCCCCCGACGCATGATCACCCAATGTGGAATTCCTGGGATCTCGCCATTGACAACTGCTTATCCCAACTTCCTGATATGCTCGATGCTGAAAGCAAAGGAGCATCTTATGAATATAAGCATTCCATGTTCTTTAGCGAACAACTGACGGCTTTTGAAGTCTGGCTTTCTCAAGGCTTAATAACTCGCAAACCTCCTGATCAGTTACCACTTGTTTTGCAAGTCCTGCTTTCTCAGGTGCATCGTCTTCGAGCTTTAATTCTTCTATCTAAATTCCTTGACCTAGGAATATGGGCTGTGGATTTAGCTTTGTCTATTGGCATTTTCCCCTACGTATTAAAATTACTGCAATCGCCTGCTATAGAATTGAAGCCAGTTTTGGTATTTATTTGGGCAAGAATCTTAGCAGTCGATGACTCATGTCAAGCAGATTTACTTAAGGATAATGGTTACGGGTATTTTGTACAAATCTTGAACCCGAATTCTTCAATTTTTCCTTCAAGTAATATTTCGGAACACCGCGCTATGTGTGCGTTCATTCTGAGCATCTTCTGTCGAGGATTTCCACAAGGACAGTTAGCATGCCTTGGTCCTCAGGTATTATCACATTGTTTGAGTCATCTGAGTAGTCCTGATTCATTGCTTAGACAATGGGCTTGTCTATGTATCGCTCAACTCTGGGATAATTATTCCGAAGCAAAATGGTCAGCTATTCGTGATAATGCTCACGTAAGGCTTGGTGAAATTGTTTTCGACCCTGTTCCAGAGGTTCGTGCCTCAGCTTTAGTAGCCTTCACCACATTCATGGGCTTCCCCGAAAAAACTGAAGAAGTTATAGCTATAGAAACATATATTGCGTTCTCAGCGCTTGTTGCAATGTCGGATGCTTCTCCTATGGTGCGTCGCGAACTAACAATATTTTTATCTCATTTTGTGGTTTGCTATAAAAAGAAATTTATCGTCGTAGCCTATGAAGACAGCATTTCTCTGAATCCTAGAAAAAAACGACATACCCCTATTAGTGAATCAACGATATTTGACACTGTTTGGCAGGCTATTTTGAGCTTGTCAGCTGATCCAAGTGTGGAAGTCTCAATGGCGGCGGAAGCAATTGTAAATTACGTCTACCAAAGTATTCTCAACTCATCTCTTCAAGATGAGTTTTCTGCTTTCGTCTCTAAAAGTTTACCTGTTCCACGAAACCCAGTTTCAGCCCAGGATACAGTTACTGAGAACACTTCTCTCCGGGGTGACTCACGATCTTATTCTGCTTCTAGGGCTTCGGCTGAAAGGAAAAAACTGAACAGATCGTTTTCTTTGACAAAGTCTTTGAAAGGACTAGCTTTAAGTTTTTCTGGAAACGATAAAGCTTCTGATATACTTTCTCTTAATGGAGAAAGCAAAGCAAGTGATTATGGAGCTTCACGTCTGACGGATGCTAAAATTCCTGTCCCTCCTTCTTTTAACAGTATAGAATATCAATCCGAACTTGATATGCCACTGACGAGCCATTTTTTCGACTGGTCTCGTAAGTATTATACAGAGCCTCAAATGAGACCCAATGAAGATGATGAACCTGGCAGCATTTGCTATAATCAACGTCTTTGGAGAAGGAACAGAAATGAAAAGCTGATCTACCAGACGAGACCCCTTGCCGAACTTTCCGGGAATAATCATTGGAATCAGCAGGTTTCATCAGTAAATAATGTCTTTACTCCAAAGAAGCTAATTTTTCACCAATTTGAAGATCAGCTGGTGTCATTAAGCACTAATAACTTAATTCAAGTCTGGGACTGGAGTCGTTCCAAATGCCTTAATGCTTTCAAAACTGATGCAAATTTAAGGAGTGATGTTATGGATATGCAGTTATTAAACGAAGACGACATTGCTTTATTAATGACCGTTACATCCGAAGGTGTTGTTCGCCTTTATCGAAATTATGATACCGAGGACATTGAACTGGTGACTTCTTGGAATGCATTAGGGGATTTGATATCTGGAGATCGTGATGCTGGTTTATTACTAAATTGGCAGCAAAATTGTGGCCATCTCCTTGTAGCTGGCGATGTGCGCGTTATACGGATCTGGGATGCGTCTAAAGAACTATGTCATTCTAGTTTACCGGCCAGAAGTAGCAATTCTATTACCAGCCTTACCAGTGACCTAGTGGGATGTAACGTTATAGTTGCTGGCTTTTCTGATGGTGCGTTACGGGTATATGATAAACGATTGCCAGCAAGGGAATCTATGACGGATGTTTGGAAAGAGCATGGTTCAAGGATTGTCAATTTGGAGATGCAGTCGTCAGGAATGAGAGAATTAATTTCAGCTAGTACGGATGGTGAGGTAAAACTATGGGATATTCGATCTAATCATAGTTTACTTACGATTCCTGCTCATGCAAATAATTTAACCTCTTTAAGCACTCATAGTCATGCTCCCGTGTTTGCTACTGGATCTTCCAATCAATATGTAAAGGTATGGAGTACCGACGGAAAAAACATCAACACCTTCCGCGAAAGTTCTCGATTTTTAACGCATTCGAAACTTGGTGGACTTAGTTGCCTGAAATTCCACCCTCATCATCTAATGTTAGCATGTGGTGACAGTACGGACAATCGAATAAATTTCTACTCTTGTAATAAAAACGAACTAATCACCAATGCTGTTAATGAATACTACTAATAATTCATCCCGATGTTTAATAATATTTTATCAAGAATTGTCTATCTTTACCTCGTTTTCAATCCAGAAATGGTTCTATGGTCGGACAGTTAATATTTAAGCGTTTTTTGTACTTTCATATAATAAAAATAAAAATAAAAGGTTTGATATCTCACAAAATTATCCATCGTAGCATGTTCTTTATTAGCCAGGCATTTCAAAGAGCTAAATGAGTAATGTATTGATTCTCTCATCTATTCATATACATGTTTTTGCTCATGTAGTAATTTGCGGCGTATTCTACACTTGACCTGAAAATAGTTGTAATAAAAAAAAGGGAGATGATGAGCTGGGCAAGCAGCAATGGCTTTACAGTTTTTTGTACTTAATTCAGTCTTACAAGCATTCGTTCATTGGTAATGTGTATAAATTTTATTGAAGGCAATCAGAGGAATTGTGGATTCATGGTTCCTTCCAAAAACGCTCTAGTAATTAATAAATAAATAAAATTTTAAACATTATATATATATAAAATATAAAAAAATGGAGCTATTGGGATTACCGACTCTTGCTGGTAAGTATCACCGTGTTAGTGTAATATATTTGGGTGCAGTATCACTCTTCTACCATCCACCAAAATTTTCAAAATGGCAGAATCCGAAGAATATAAGACTGTCATCGGTATTTCTTTTGGCAACCAAAACAGTTCTATCTCTTTTAACAGAGTATGTAAATTAAATATAGGAAAGACTGTGTGTCGCAAGTACAGGCATTGATTTTTGTGCTGTTAAGAAATTCCTACTGTTTGACCCTATAAATAGTGTACTAACTTGCATTTTTAGGATGGTAAAACTGATGTTTTAGCAAATGAAGAAGGAAACCGTCAAATTCCTTCTATTTTGTCTTACCAAGGCGACCAAGAATACCATGGTGTTCAAGCTCGTGGCCAACTTGTTCGCAACGCCGATAACTCCGTTACCAACTTCCGTGATCTGATTGGTAAATCCTACCAAGAAGCTAACAACCATCACTGTCATTACTCAGCTTCACCTGTCAACGTTGATGGACAAGTTGGTTTCAAGGTCACTGTTCAAGAAAATGAGGAATCTGAACCAAAGGAGAAGATTGTTACTGCTCAAGAAGCCAGCACTCGCCATTTGCAACGTCTTCGTGAGTCTGCCCAAGACTTCTTAGGTGTTAAGGTTGATGGCTGTGTTATGTCCGTTCCTGTTTACTTCACGGATGAACAAAGAAAGGCTTTGGAAACCGCAGCTACTCAAGCTGGTCTCCCTATTCTTCAATTAATTCACGATCCCGCTGCTATCCTTCTTGCTCTCATGTATTCTGAGACCGTTCTCATTGATAAGACCTTTGTCGTTGCTAACTTTGGTGCCAACCGCTCTGAAGTTTCCGTTGTTTCTATCAAGGGTGGTTTGATGACTATCTTATCCACTGCTCATGATGAAAACCTTGGTGGTGAGGAATTGACCGATGTATTGGTCAAATACTTTGCTAAGGAATTTGAAAAGAAGAACGGAATTAACCCCCTTCAAAATGCCCGTTCCGTTGCTAAGCTCAGGGAACAATGTGAATTAACTAAGCGAGTTCTCAGCAATAATACCAATGCTTCTGCTGCTGTTGATTCCCTTGCCGATGGCATTGATTTCCATTCTACTCTTAACCGCCTTCGTTTCGAGATCGCCGCTGCTGCTCCTTTGAACCGCATGGCCCAACTTGTTGAGCAAGCTGTTAAAAAGGCTAACTTGGAGCCTTTTGATATTTCTGAAGTGGTCTTGGCTGGTGGTGCTTCTAACACTCCCAAATTGACTTCTTTAATGGAGGGAATCTTCCCTGAACAGACTGTCATCCGTTCAACTAGCTCTGTTACTCCTTTGCCTTTTGACGCTTCTGAACTTATTGCCATTGGTTCTGGCGTCCAAGCATCTTTGGTTGGTCATTTTGAAGCTGCCGACATCGCTTCTGCTACGGAGTCTGCCATTGTCGAAGCTCCTCATCTCACTGCTCCTATCGGTGTGAACGAAGGTGAAAAGTTTGTCACCGTCTTTGACGTTGAGACTGCTTTACCCGCCCGTAAAGTTGTTGAGGTTGTCGCTCCCAAGGAAGGTGGAGCTTATATCCCTATCTTCGAGGCTGAACGTTCTGTTAAAGTTACCAAGGTTGAAGCCGAGCCTTTGGATGAAGAGGAAGCTCTTTCCGATGAAGAAGAGGAAGAGCCTGAAGAGATTAAGGAGCGTATTGCTGTTCCCAAAACTCTTCTCGCTACCATCAATATTCCCGACGTATCCCCTAATTCGAAGATTGTTTTGGTTCTTCAATTAGACGTCGATGGAAAGCTTACCGCCACTGCTCGCCCTAAGGACGGCAAGGGTTCTAGCGTTCGTGGATCTGCATAAAATTCTGGTTTTGGTTGGTAAAAACGTCTAGTAATTCTATAAAATATGATTCCTGAATTCAGTAATGTATTGCTTTTACTTCACTACATTGTTAGTACTGTTTTACAAAAGTATTTCTAGAAACAAGGAAGGATGTATTAAGTTGTGAAAGGCCCAAGTAAGCATTCATTAAATTAAATTAATTGTAAGAAATGTAACAACAAATTGGGGTTATACTGACAAGTTTGAAATGAACACTTGGTGGTTTGCTTTGACCCCAGATATTCCTAAGTCTTGTTTGCTTTTATGTGTTATTTTATTTATAAGTAAGTAGTTTAGTCACGCTGAATGACAACTAATGGTTCCATAGTTTCGAAATCATGGTAATATATCTATGCCAGTATGTTGAACATATACCAGATATAGGTGCCAAACCTCAAACATTCCTTAACGTTCCTATGCGAAGAAATTAGCGAACTTATTTTGTTTATTTGATATTCTTATTTTTATGGTTTTTGGTAGAAAAAATGAGCTTAAACAAAAATTACTAGACGATATGGAAAGGGCTGTCTCAAATATAGATCCATTTGACGAAGAGAGAGATATCGTTCAGGAGAATGCTGGAGATATGGAGGACGATCTTGAAAGAAAGAATGTCGAAAAAAACCCTAAAGCCAATTTTGCTCCAAGGTTTGCAGGAGTGCCTAACCAAGAAATTATTCTCCGAGGGTTGGCTTCTACAACAGATGAGAAACATGTATGAACTTCAGATAATTTTATTTCAAATGCTTACCATTTGTTGAAGATTTCAGAACTGATGAGCCAAACAGGAGCGGAAATTGACAGTATTGTACTCATACGCGATAAAATTACTCGTGAATCAAAGTGTTATAGCTTTGTAAAGTTCATATCACTGACAAGTTCGAAAGTATGGATGGAAAGGAATTTTCCTTCAGTTCATATTGATGGTAGAGACATAAGTGTTCGCTATTCACGAGAAGCTCGAGAAGAAATTGATGGATGGAAATGTGAAAATGTATTTTTTACATAACTACTAATTTGAATTTTACTGACCATTATAGTGTGATTTGTTGAACTATTCTTTTCGAGATGCTTGCTTCAAATGTAAAACTTTACGATCGTATGTTGACAATACAGTAGGAAATGGAAGCAATGACGCTGGTGATATTCCTAGTTTATATCTTTTATTAAGGAATTTGGATCGCTCTTTAACTGATCATACACTTTTTAAAGGTTTGTCGAAATTGGAATGCAACGTCCAGAGATTATTTATGGTTCGACAAAAGAAAGACAATTCCTTTTGTGGGTATGCGATTATTGAGTTAGTGGATGTTGACGAGACTGCGAAAACATTAACAAAAATACGAACATTATCAGGGAAGCACTTTACAATCGCTTCTCGGAAAGTGTTCGTTGATTATATCCATGAAGGAGTGTTTATTCCAGCTCAACAACAAGATGAAGATTACAAATTTCCTACTAAAGACGGTTATCGTGCTTATTGGGACAAGAACCTATACTGTTCTGTATTTATCCCCGAAAATGTTGACCAAGAACAATTTAAACCGATTGGGAAGACATTGAAACAAAGAAGAGAAAAGCGTACACGCTCGACACCCGCAGAACCCCCTTCAAACAAAAAGGTACTTTTGATGACGCATAAATTTCTTTTATTAACTTTAATAGATTGCTCTCACTTTGGCACGTTGGCAAGGTGCCCAGAAAGAACTAACAGAAGGTGTGCCTGAACTTACTGAAGAAGAAGAAAAGTATCTTCTACGATACGTTTGGAAGTCGATGCTTATCTGTGTCTTGTGTGAAAGAAAATTTCACAGTTGGGGCCACGTTTTGAAGCACTTGACACAATCTTCTCTGCATCAGAAGAATTTGAATAGTAGTCCTCTTGTTACTGCTGCTGAAAGCTATATGAACCGTATTCGACAAATAGAACGTCATGATTATAGAGATAGAGCTACAGAGAGAAGGGCTATCCATATTACTGACGATGCTTATTCTTTGAAAGAACCGAACTTCTCATCACAGCCTGATCAATCCCCGAGAAGTCGACCTTTTAAAAATAAGTTTACTGAGGAATATTCGCATGAATCATCGGAACCTACAGCATACCTGCCAGGTGTTGGCTTAGGCACTAAAAACGCAAAAATAAAGATAAACATGACACCAGTCGATCGAGTAAAAACCCGTGCTAGATCTTTATATTTTGAGAATCCTAGATAATGATTTTCAGATGTCTGAGAAGTCCGACTGATTTTCTACTTTATTTATTTATTGTTATCGCATGAATTAGCATTTATTTACGATGATATCCTGTCTGTTACAGATTGTCACAAGCGAAATCTCACACGCTATGAGAATAAATGATTAATGGGAAAACAAAAACACAATCCAGTAAATAAATGTTTTACTTTTAATCGCATATTGCGATGCGAATAATAAGAATCGCAAAAACTCCTAGGAATCTGATTAACTTACGCAAGTTGTATGAACAATTGATTCTAGCTAGATCAGCCAAGTTTTCCAACCTGAAGATTTTTCTTGTAGTTGCTCTTTATTTATAATTAATCTTTTTTACAACAATATTCTTTTTCTTCTTTCAATTCTTTGCCTAACTGCTTCTTTGTTTTGTTCATTACATTAATGAATCCTTATTGTTATATGATAATCGTATCAAGTGCTAAATGATATCGTTTTAGGGTTATGGCACTGAATATGTAGTTCGAATTCGGTTCCACGCACTAGGGTAGGGTGTAGTGACTGTCTTGGATTAGAATTATTCCATCTGACGACGTGCTTTCATTCTTCCTTCATCAGCATTCTAAACTGTTTAAAAAATATTAAAGTATTAAACAATAGGTATGACTCTTTAGAGGAAAGATACAAGCGTGTGGTTACTGAATAACATTAGCTTTTCACTAAGTTAATGTACTCAGTAGCTTGACTCTTTTTTCTTGAATCTTTAAACAAGACACTCAAGAAAAATCTAACGCTTTCATTAGAAAAACAAAATGGTCCGTCAATCCGTTCTTTCTGACTGCTTGAACAACATTGTCAATGCTGAACGTCGTGGACGTCGTCAAGTGCTTATCCGTCCTTCCTCCAAGGTCATCGTCAAGTTTTTGACTGTCATGCAAAAGCATGGTTACATTGACGAGTTCGAGGAGATTGATGACCATCGTTCTGGCAAGATCGTTATTCAATTGAACGGCCGTATCAACAAGTGTGGTGTTATCTCTCCCCGCTTCAACATCAAGCTCAAGGATATTGAGAAGTGGGTCAACAACCTCTTGCCCTCTCGTCAAGTCGGTATCATTGTCTTGACCACCTCCCGTGGTATCATGTCTCATAACGAAGCTCGTGCCAAGGACACTGGTGGTAAGATCCTTGGTTTCTTCTATTAAAATCACAATCAAACATGGAAAGTTGACTGAAAGTTGATCTCGCAATATTGCGGTCATGTTGGTTATAAAAGCAATATGTTATGGGATTTGAAAAAGGTTATGGTACATTAATTGAATCTCGTGAAACATAGACTATTGTTGGTTATGTATATTAATATCTGAATATAATGCATCTTGTAATAACCGAGAGCGTAGAGCTATGGCGTATATTTAATATGTGGTAGTACTCACGATAGCAAAGTATGAAGTTTTACATGTGAAAGGTCTAAATACTATATGATCGTTCTCGTGATATGATGGTTTGCACTTGCATAAATAGAGAAATAATATCGTATATAGGATTATAACGGAAGTAACAGTAAACACATGGGTGAAATGCGTCGCATCAGTACATAAAAATATTCATAGCTAGACATTACAAAGAGCCAAATCATCTAGGGCTTGCTGGTCGGAAAGGACACTCGGGATTTGGGGTAGGAATATAGGGGTCACACGAGGTAAGGTAGATTCGGAGATTTTTTGAGCAGGCTTATGTTCTTGTTGGATGGTGGAAGGGTCGGATATTAAAGTTAAGTTATCGCATACACGGCGTCCGCACAGGTTTTGATACTGCTTCATCGTTTTGCATAACAAGTGTTGCCGTATAAGCATAGCGTATCTTTGATAATTTTTTGAGATTGTTTGCAGCCTATAAGAAAGGTAATTCTCTAACTGACGCTGAACGAAAGTTGCTGAATTAGTAGAGATTCGTATCCGAGATTCATAATCAGCAGCGAAAACTTGAAGTTCCCGATTGATAACAGGATGTATATCATTATGAATGTCATGTTCAGCTTTTTTGATTCGATTAGTGTAGTATTCAGCGAGAGCATGTGACAAGCGATGGAAACGAGATTCAAGAACAGCTTTGCGGGCTTTTAGTTCAGAGGTACTTGGGATATTCTCTAAAGAATGTGAATTCAATAAAATGCTCGACGGTTTTGACGTTGTGGTTAATTCTTTATTTTCAAGGGATGACAAATCGCTTGTCGTTTTGCTTCGATGCAATCGTGCGCGTTTTATACTTGGTGCTTCTGCTTTCGATTTTTTCGTTCGTCTTCCTCGCTTTGTACGACGGGGGTTAGTTGGTGCGCGAGAAGCGGACAAGGCTGTTACATTATTCTGTATAAAAGACGAAGAAGGGTTCGAATTGGCAATTAGTGTCTGGTATAGTCCTTTCTGAATTTGAGATTTGGAGTTTGAGGCGACAGAAACCGTCGAGTCAGAAAGCTCTTGTGAAGAAAGTCGAAGAGGTGGAGTATCTGGATAATGATATCTCGAATTTTGAATCGACATAACGTATATGTTGTGAGTAGGCTAGAAATAGATGCGAGTGTAAATGCGTGGAAACGAAAAATCAAGGATATGAGATGTGTAAATTCAGGCTTAGAACCAGGTGAAAAATGATTGAAGATTGTCAAACTGAATTGGGTTCGTCTTGCTGAATGAAATCGTTCGGTCCCTTAGGAATGACAAAATGAGTTCACAATCAGATTGTTCGTCCAAGATATCAAAAGTTTCCTAGATTTATTTCTAAAAAGTAAAGCAAGAAAAGAAATGCAACAAATAATTTTGAAAATAAAAACAGGTAAAAAAATCTAAATAAATGGATGCAGTCGATGATAGATGTATAGGACTTTAAAGAAAAAAAAACAAAAGTCAAAAGTCCTAATAATTTACAATCAAAGTCAACGAATGGATAACGAGCGAAAGATCCTTAAAGAGGAAACGAGTTCCTCTGGTGGAATAAATAAATAGATAATGAAGTAAAAGAAACAAGACAAGTTCGAAAGCTACACTCAGTTGGAGGTACGTTTGTTTATTTACGTACTGTCCAAAAGGCAATAGCGAGATGGATGAGACTATGTTCCCTTGAGTAAAGCAAGCGAAGGTAGTCCACTAAAAGAAAAACAAGAGAAAATTTAATGTAAAATGTGAGGTAAACGGGAAAGAGTAAAGGCCTAAGCAAGTTCTTGGGCTTCAAGAAAAGATCCAAAGAAAAAAAGTGAAATGGCTAGAGTACGATGCTTTTATAATACAAAACTTGGCACTGCAAATCTCAGTGTGGAGAGGCAAGCTTGAATATTGGTACGTAGATCCTAATAAATAAAGGACAACGTCTTTCTGAACAAATCCTTAGCAGCTTGATAATTCAATATATCGATGAAAAAAGTATAGAAAATCACAGGATTATGTGTACTTTTCTATGGAAGGAGTATCAATACGAGGAAATAATTCAACTATCAAAAGTAAGAATATGTCTGGTGAGCTTGTAGAGGGATGATGGAATTGGCGACGATAGAAATAATGCATTTCTTTGGAAGAGGTGACGCAGAGATACTTAGATATATGAATAAAAAAGTAAACTTGATTATAAAAACTTATAATGCCTAAAAATGATTCAAATTCCTGTATCTTGTTGCCGACAGGCACTAAGAAAAAGCCGACCTTTGTAATAATTATTTCACCAATGCCTAGCCAGGATTAAGCAAGTTATGAGAAACCTTGAATAGTTGCTAAATTCCAAAAAATTATGCTTTCATCTGATCTCCAGGTAAAAATCAGCAGCAATTTCTTGAATTCAAGTGGTGGAAAAGAATCTGTTACTTAATAACTTTGGTAATACGACCAGTTTGAGCTTGAATCCAAAAAAAGAGTAAAGTTTTATTTCATATTATTCTGTTTCTATCTATTCCTTGCGAATCTGATCGATTGCCCTCCTAACCCGAATTCAAGTGTAGATTCGTTGTTCATTTAATGTATAGAATGATGTTATTTCGACGAAAAAATGAATATGATATACAAGACATAAGAGCTCTTTTCGTATGTAAACTATTATCATTATTTTTTTCCCATTGAAAGAAATACATAAGCATAATATTGATCAGATATGTATTCGGTTTTCATTGGGAAATCACTTGCTAGGGTCAACTAGAATGTTTTAATATCAACAAACACTAAAAGGTAACTGCCCTACAGTGCAGGCTATGCTGAGCAGTTTAGTCCTTAACAAATCTACATGAAAATTATATTCTCACCCGGTTATTTTCTTTTTCTATTATTTTTTAACTGCGACTTAACACCGTCAATGAAACAATCTATTATAATCAAAGCTTAGCATAAATAACGGCCGGTTTTTTAAATAAGTTTCCCTTTAATATACGACAATTACCATGAAAGAATTCCAAATTTGATTTCTTTGTTTATACCTCCGTTCCCTGTGAAGTAACACTGCTACTTGATGATAATATTATATGCACGGGGACTATCAACCTTGCCTTCCTCAACATCCGTTTTGATCATCAATTCAGCTTAATTAGCGTGTAGTCGTTAAAGAAAACGACTTCTAAACTAGAAGAATTGAAAGTATTTAATAGAGGACGCAGGTCGTAAATTTTTTGCCGTTGTTCTTTACTCAACAAGGATTTGGGCTTTTTGTATCATACTCGCCACGTTTAACGTTTTCCATAGCCTTTCCTGTTTTATTCTTCATTTTTTGATAGCAACCTCCATTGACCCTGTATATTTTTTTTTTTTTAAAAAAAAAAGTTTGTAAAATTCCGTCGAGTACTTCTTTCAATTTCAGCTTCTTAAATATTTGAATCTACTCTGCGTTTACCATGACTTCCTTGCTTGGTCGAATCGACGTTTGGGGACTTTTAAAGCCCATTTTAGAAAGTGATCTTGGTGTCATCGTGATCGCCCTTGGAGGATTTATCTTGGCGAAGAAGGGATTTCTCTCAAGAGAATCTCAAAAGGTAATTGCTATCTCCATGCCTTTTCTTCTTATTTTCTAACATCTTTAGACGATTTCCAATCTCAACGTTTACTTCTTCACACCCTGTCTGGTTTTTGAAAAAGTCGGTAATGGCTTGAATTTAAAAATGCTTATTGATCTCTCTTTACTACCTCTTTTCTATGTGATAATTACAACAATGTAAGAGCTTCTCTTCAAAGCGATCTTTTTTTCTTTTTGCTAAACTTTATTATTAGTTCTGTGCTGGTTTCTTATGTTATGTCTCGCATGTTTAGACTCACTCGTCGACAACGAAATTTTGCTACTGCGTGCATAGCCTTCCAAAACGTAAGAATAAAACCTTAACTATTTTGTCGCTAATCAAGTCGCTTCTAGTCCAATTCTCTTCCTTTAGCCTTAGTTACTTCTTTGGCGAATACGGTAGAAAGTCTAAAGTGGGATAAAATCCCCGATGATAACGCTGAGAAAGTGGCTTCTCGTGGTATCATGTATCTTCTAATTTTTTCTCAACTTGGTCAGGCTCTTCGTTGGTCATATGGTTATAGAATTCTCTTATCGCCTAACCAGCCTCATGATGAGGAAGATTACGATCAACTATGGGATCGCAGGACTGCTAATGAAGATGAAATTGAGAATTTATTAACACCTAACGAACATGATGACTATGGCCAACTGAATCTACCATCTTCTAGTGGATTCTCCCAGTCTCTAAATGCCCAAGCAAGTACCGAGGACATCGAATTTAAAGATTCTAAGTTAAAAAAAGCAATTGTTCTTTTATTAGATTTTTTCAGTCCTCCACTGTACTCTTTATTCGTTGCCCTTTTCATTGCCGTTGTCCCACCCTTGCAGAGATTCTTTTTTGAACCTGGTTCTTTTGTTGAGGCCAGTGTTACCAGTGGTATCCGAATGGTAGGTGACGTTGCTGTACCATTGATTTTGGTGGTCTTGGGTGCTAGTCTTGCAACTGATATTACAAAGACAGAGGGTTCAGAACAACCTACCAAAATAGATGACACGCGCGTCCTTACCGTCAGTCTTCTCGGACGAATGGTGGTTGTACCTATGGTGATTTTGCCTATTTTTTCTTTGTTATCTTACTTTAGTGAGATTAGCACAGTAGACGATCCAGTCTTTGTTGTCGTTATTTTCCTTTTGGTAGGAAGTCCTACTGCTATCCAACTCACCCAAATATGTCAGTTGAACGGAGTTTTTGAAAGAGAATGCGCAAAAGTCCTTTGGTGGTCTTATGCCATTTTCACACCTCCAAATTCTCTGATTCTTGCTTTTACAAGTCTTTTGGTTGTTGATTGGACAAAATAAGACTCAGTTAAATGTACTTTATCTTTAAAAAGGTTTATTTATTCATGCAAAATTAATGCCTTAAAGTTTTATTCTTAGTTTAAAGGTCTGATTTTCCAAATCTGATCTGACTAGACATGTACTCCCGTCCGAGTCTATTCTTGGGAGATATCGACTACCCAAATACTCATGATTCAAACTAGATAACACTGATGTTCAATTCTTTATGTTCGTTTATGCCTTCTCTTGAACCCGGTTGCGTCCTGCAATATTAGATTTACTTTGACATGCCAATAATAATTTATGAAAAGAAGATCTTTTTATGTTTGCTTTCCTTACTTTATTGGAGCTTTCAGTAACATGCGTTTCAGTTGGGATTTTTTCTTTTTTGACGGTTCTGCAAACTTACATAGTTAATCATAATTTATAATACCTTCATCTTGCGTAAGTTATTTATAAATAGTAGCTAAATCCTTATAAAAAATCATTAACCTAATGATTAATTGATAAATATCTGGGAATTTGTTGATTTGGAATTTTGAGGTTTAACAGCAGATTACCTGCTTTCGCCCATAATTATTTTTGATAACTGAACGAAGACGAAGGCGAGTTTCTACTGTCCGTAGTTGTTATATCGAAAAGTCTTTTACCAAAAACCCTTATATTTTTTAACTTGTTGGCCAATTCATTCTAACTAGTTCTACATACAATGAAATGCAAGAGCTATACTTATTAGGAGTTATACCATCCAGACGATCAGACATTGTCGCTAATTCACTCTTAAGAATTTTCAATGAACCAAAAATAATTTTTGAATACTGGATGGTTTATCGTCCAAAAGGTACGTTAGCAATATTCTGAGAGAAACTTCACTTGGTTCAAAACAAAGGAAGATTGCGTTGACTGTAAAGTTTAGAGAACTAATGATATAGATGTTCCCATTAATTTACCTCGACAACCCGATTCCTGGCTTCGATTGTGTGGTCAATTAGATACCATAGGAAGTAGCGAGTCTGACTGGGTACAGAAGGCACAATGGTATGCGGGTTTAAAAGACTAGGAAAGAGATAAATTAACGAAATAAGGTCTCTTCATTTGGAAGGCACTTCAGAACCTAAGAGGGAAGGAAGATGTGGAATCCGCCCAATTAGTCGGGCAAAATTGACAAATGGATCCCCAATGGAATTTGTAGAAAACCTTGGTTACGAGTAAGAAGCATAACCAATTCAACATTCTTGGTTACAAAATTCTAACCCCATTTCTCTTTAGGTTTTCACATGAATATGTAGTCCAGGGTTTGAAGTATACTTCCAACAACTGCACTATCAGATTGTTTCAAACACTAATCCCTTCGCAAAGACATTCTATAGATCCTCCATTTCACCCGCTCGCGGAAGATCAGGCCTGGGTTTTGCATACATATACCCATGTAGCGGATGCAAATAATCAAAAGGCTATGGTACAAGCAGAAGCAAATCTAGAACATGTAAAAAATCTGTTACTCAGTGTCTGCGAATTAAAGAATGTACGATTATAAAGCATGAAAGGGTTCATCTTGTCAGCTTGTGATTAAAATCATGGAATTTGAAGGAACTGAATGACTTCATAAGGATACTAGGAATGAAAGAAGTACTCTAAATTTTGTATAATCCAGTTAGTCCATAACTGCTGGTTAAACCAGTCTTGGTACAATCAGAGTATCTATTTAAAACATTCAACTATAGCATAAAAGACAGACATATACATATAAAGGTAATTAAGCAACAACACCAACATATTCGACACCTTTATATTTTAGCGAAAGATCTGGCCATTGTACTAAAAAGCGGTCAACAAAGGGTAGAAGTATTTTCCCGCTTAGTGAAAGTCTGTTTACTCTTGCAAAGGATTCCACATAGACTATCCTAATACGTTTGCCAAAAAACTAGAACGTTAGCTATATTCAACAACTTTGGCTGTCTTACCTTGGATACGTAGCCTTCCAAACATAAAATTACGCACGTTCCTGGACCATTGCAGAGTATAACATCAGGAATACCGTTTTTATTCCAAAAAATCACTTTAGCTGAGAATATTAGACTCCAGGCAGCCGTAAAGGGTGTCGTTAACCATGATTGCTTTACGTGTCGGGCGCGAGGGATTGTGAAAACTGAAGATGCTTGATGTGAGTTAGAAGAAATTAATGCTTCTGCTTTTGCATAGCTCATTTTGTCGTCAGCACCTACTACATAGGATCGTATCGGATACTGTTGATCTTCAATTGCGCCAAGCAGGTTCATCATCTCTCCTGTGTGACCTCCCGAACCAAAATACACCAGCAAATGAGGATTCTTCAGACCATTCTTCTTCGATGAGCAGTACCACTCTTTTCCTACGAGTATCAGAAAAAGAGATGTGAAGGCAGACAAGCCTAATAATAAGATCGTTTTAAGCATGATTTGTTATTGTTCTTTTTGTTATAATACAATAAATAAAATAGAAAAAAAACGAATTTAGAAAAAATTGACGCCAGCTTTGGTTACGAAGGTCTTAATCCATGTGAATAGGTTAGAAGAGGTGTTATAGGGCAGAAATTTCCTGAAATGTACTTGGAAAAGTATGATGCGTTTATTATTTGAAATTCATTGTTTCTTCAAAGAATTTCTTACTAAATTTACTTTGGTATCACTGCCTACAAATGAAGATAGGTTTTCAGCACAGTGTTTTAGTACTTAACTTATTATGCAAAATATATTCGTAAGGAACTATCATCCTCATACGAAGGAAGTAGACTCATTAACTCTCACTCATTCCTATGTAAGTAAGATATGGTAAACTTAAAACAAAAATGTTTTACTAATAAATAAGGTAAATCATTCATCATAGATAGATTTTTCATTGCCATGATCATCATAATTCTTCGTTTCTAGTTTCAGGAAACATCACAACAGTTAACGTATTTAAGAGGGAATAAAAAACATGCTTATTGCGGTAATCACTATCCACCAAACTTGCAAGTTTAACAGGTGCAACCAATGAAGGCAATATAGGGAGCTTAGCATAAGCTTCAAGTGCAGCTTGTTTTGTAACAATCATATCCATACTTGAAGATGAGTCTCGTTTGTGTGTATCGGCTGGAGTCGAAAATGTTCGATTACGCGTAGCTTTCGGTGATAAAGACTCCTTTGACATACTCTGCAACTGTGTAGGAACAAGAGATAGTAAATTATGGCGCGTTCTAGTGGAAGATTGGCTTGGAGATGTCGAGAAAACTGGAGTAGACGTTACTGTTGATAGAGCTATAGAAGCATTGTTGTCAGGAGAAATAGTATCCATGAAAGACATTGGTTTTCTTCTCTCAGGAGAAAGCATTGGTTGCTGATGGCCGGCACCTTCAGAACGAATATATTTCGTAGACAATTCATGTAGACTTTTTGACGCAACCGACTGTCTGCGTTCCTTTCGTGAGACGTTGGCAATAGATGGTTGACTTTGTCTTCGAAAATCTTTACCCATGGTTGGCGACATATGTTGCGCAGAAGCACCCTTCTTTTCGGCTTCAGATATTTCGTTTAGTACGAAAGCAGACCAGCGTTCAGAAGCCCCCTTGTCATATAATTCTGTTGCGATGAAAAAACAAGTTAATATACCAAAAAAGAAGGTGGATAGCAGTACAATCCACGGGTAGAAAAGAGTTGTAAAAACCAGCCGCTTTGTTTCGTCAAAGGGAATTTGACTGACTTGTTTCGAGAAAAGCTGGAAATAAAATCGAAACCAAGAAGTAGAATAATAAGGAAGGGTTCTGGTGGTGGAGATGATCTTTATTGCTCGTACAACCCAGCAAGAAAAACGCTGAAGAGAGAGCCTCCAAGAAGTTGTAGAGGGGCGTAGCAAAGCATTTGAAAGTAAAAGGATGCCTCCATATATTTTTTCATGATCAGAGAAGTTTTGAATAGCTTTGTAAACTTGAGTAGCCAAGGCTTCCCTCAATATAACATACTCAATTTCACTTTTAGCATTGACGGCAGGCAACAGATGACGGCAAATATCTTCCATTATTAGACGACAATAAATAAGTTCGTTTTCTTCTCGATCTAAAGCTATATGAGGATGCAAATTATGATAAATTCTGTCAACGTTCAAAACTTGTCCTTGAGGAATCACAGTTCGCTGCTGTGCTTCTTCCACATTTTTGACATGTTCCGTTAACAAGAAGGGAATCTCATGAAACAAAATGTTCGCCAGATCTTGACGGGACAAGCGCTTATCAAGTTCATAAATTACTGCGTTGCCAACCTGTTCACATTGTGAAGGGAAAAGCGTGTCCTTACTGATTAAAGAATACCAAGAATATACGTATTTTTCCAAAATTTTGGAAAATATCGGGTCGAGAAGAACCGATAGCTTCGACATTGCATTCTACGTTTTTTGATAATCTGATTAAAACCGAAACCCCAAATTTGATTATAGCATAAATGTTTGCAATAGTTTTATGAGAAAAACATAAATCCTGGTTGTTTGTAGGATACTTTTAGACGGTTGAGTTGCATATGGTGGTGCACGTATGTTCGGTTGAAATGTCAAGAATTATTACAACACACTTGAATAGTAGTGAGGAAATCTTTCTTCTCGAAAGAATAAATGACAGAAACACTGTCTCATGGAAAATAGAAATTAAAAGCTGTTTATGTAGAACAATTTTTTTCTAGCAGATGATTTCTTAGAATACGTAGGTTAGAGAGAGATCATTAGGTGTCCAAGTAGCAAAGCTTTGCGAAAAACGAAAAGACAAAAAATAGGAAATGACCTCTGTACTCCATTGTGTTTTATGGTACACAAGATGGAAAAGCTGTTGTCCTGCACTGACCTGTGAGTTGAATAAGAATTTCAATACAAAGCAAATAGTTACTTCGTTTGATTATTAGCTAATATTATTGTATTCAAATAAGTAAAGAAGAATAAGAATTATCGTACGAATGTGTTTATTCCTGGGGATTCATCGCATGAGTAAAAGAATGAGGGCCGCATTGTAGTTTAACAGCACAAATTCTATACCACGAAATAACTTATAAAGTTTCAGACCATTTAAATATCGAAAAATCCTCGTATATTGGCATATGATATCTTGTTGAATTCAATATAGAATGAAATCAAAGTACCCATGAGGAAAAGCGAGAAAGAGTTCACACATTCAGTTGAGTTAAGAGTATAATAGAAAGACAGATCAAGAGAAATTATTTCATAGCAATTGTTTAAAAAAAAAGGGCATCACAAATCACTTTGTGATACAATCAAGGAAATTCAAATTCCATCCAACCGAAGCAAATGATATTCCATTGCTTCATGGTATATAATACTTACTAAAGCGATACTGTATTGAGGGTGGGATATAGAGTGGGAATGACAAAGGGGTAATCAAGAAGCATGTATGTAGTTCCAGCGAGAATTCAGTGAGCAGGGGAGGGTAAAGTAAAAGAGAACAAGTTCATCTCAACGCATAGACATCAACCTGTTTGAACTCTTTGGTTTAAGAGGTTGTTTATGAGTACTAGATGAGTGTGGTGACACCTTCGTAGAGATCTTGTAAGGATGAAAACCATGCGAGGGAGTCAAGGGCTAGAAAATACAAGTTAGCAACTGTCCGGATGCGTTAAAGCTTACCTTTTTCATCTTCTTTAAGGGCTCGTTGGTTCCTTTGCCGGAAGTGGATGAAGGAGGAGGGACCATCTCAATGCTCAATTCCTGTAGAGGACGGCGCATTAAAGGACGCTGTACTCGATAGGCAGCAGGAGAGGAGGAATCTAATTCCTTTTTGGCGAAAAAGGGAACCTCATTTTCTTTGTTGTCTGAATTCAGCATGTCGGCTTTAGATTCAGATGGAGGTAATACAAACTTAGTTAAGACAACGTCGCCTGTCTTCTCTTCAAGAAACAATACGTTCTTTAAAACAGAGTTGGAAAGAGTTGGTGTACCAGAGGCGTTGGCTGGTCCTTTTGTTTATAGGGGAAGAGAGAGTTTCAAAAGGATCTTTGAGTAAACAAACTAAAAATCAACAAATACTAAACCAAGAAAACAAAAACAAACAAATCCAAAAGAATCCGACGCAGCAGAACTGCAAGAAACCAAAAATGCCCAAAAAGAGAAACAAAGAGAAGTGAGAATAGATATCCAAGGAAATTTAAATAAGTAAGTTACTGTGCAACAAAGTAACAAGCTTAAAAAATTCCAATGAACTGCATAAGAAATATATAAAACAAGATCAAAATCAGGTTAAATTTAAATATTTTGTTTTGATGCTTTCTTCTCTATGAATTTACACACAGGCATACAATATGCTACAAGTACTTGAGTTACTGTTACATCAGTCATCTAAAAGATGAAAAAGAAGGGAGATAGGGTTCGATATACACACACTTTTATTAATATTTATGCACAGTAGAGTAGAGTGTAAAGGAGAATGAAACTAGGCTGGAACAAGAATTATAGTGTATAGAAAACTAAATGCTTTTTAGAGACGTGAACGTGCTTTTAGGCATAGTCGGAGCTCGTAAGGTACAAGGGTGCATACCCATTTTCTTAGAATTTTTGGAAGGAGAAGAGCTCATGAAGCACATATAGTTAGAAAGTCAAGAAGATATACAATAGACACTTCACGATAGAACGAACAAAAGAAATGTTGTAAACAAAAAGGGTTTGTTTGTCGCTATCATTGATTCCATTCATAATTATAGACATCGAACTTCAGTTGCTTACCACTCCATCAAGAAAATACATGGATTATGAAAACCGGACCGATTGATTAAGAATATACAGAATAAGAAAAAGAATGTCAAAGGGATGGAGAAGGAATGGAGAAGGACACAAGGAGGATCCGCTAATTAAAGGGTAGAGTGTGTCTTTTATCAACAACAACTATGATCATTGAAATTCAAACAAGGGTTTGTGATCACCAAAACATATTGTGAGAGAACCAAACGCAACCAAAGAATATTATCAAGACGTAATTCATTCGTAGATGCACGGTACCTAGGAGGAGACAGGTATCGGAAAGTTTGGGTGACGCCTTTGGCTTGAAAATAAAGGAACAAAAGTTATAGGAAAAGAAGAGGAGAGTGAAATTCAACTTAAGCCATCTTTTCGCTCTCGTCATCGGCAAACATACGTCTACGGTTGGCCTCGCTGGGACTAAGACCCTCCAAACTCCATGGGAAGACTGCACGAGGCACGCTGAAGAAGGAGTTTTCAACCGTAGCAATACCTGCCAGAGCATTGTAAAAGGCAAAGGCAGCACACGCAAGACCAAAACCACCACCGACGCGAATTAAAGGAGTATCGGGAGCGCCGCCACTTGTTTTGAAATAGCCAGCAGCCAAAAGGAGAAAGGTTACGTCAAGTGTAGCAAACAAACAAAAGAAAGCGAGGGTAGAACGTATGGTACATAGGGTGATGAGCATAGTAAACAAAAACCAACATATTAGAAAGAGACCGACAGCGTAATTAAACTCGTCAAGGTCCGTATATGAATTTGCAATATGGAACCATGGAATAAATATCGCACCATACGAAAGCCAGAAACAACCATAACTACCGAATACGGCACCACCGAAAGTGTTACCAGAAGCCATTTCCCACATGGATACAAGAATTTGAGCAAGACCACCGTAGAACATTGCAGGAGCTACGATGATACGGGAGTTGGTGACGTGGCCAGCAGCAAGGTTGATGAGCGATAGAAGAAAGGTGGTGAAGGCGAAAGAGAAGAGACCAAAGGGACCAGGGTTAGCATTTTTGAAGAAACGAAGTCGATGGATACCGGGTTCAAAATCAGCACCGGAAGGACCAAAGAGTTTGTTTTGCTGACGTTGAAGCTCGGCAACTTGATTAGCTAGTTTTTCAGTCTGGTCGTAGATTGGTTCGGCACGGCTGGCATAAAAATGTTTAAGCTTCCGAGACTCTGAGTGTTTTGGGATGTGATAGGGCACATCCACAGTATTGGGAGTAACAGCACCGCTTGGCATAGCGTTGTGAAGTCCTTGAGAATTCGTGTCGAGAAATGTTGGATGAGTGGGTTGAGCACCTTCGGCGTGGTTAGCTTGAGTTGCATCGGCTGCATCGGCTCCTGTGGTGCCGGTGGTGAACGAAGGAGTAGCGCCGTCCTGGTATGAAGAAGGATTATAGCCATGTTGAAGAGGACTACCTACAGAAGTAGGGTTAGAAGGACTAGTGGGAGACATGATGATGATGCTGATTAGAAAACGGTAAGGATTTCGATTTCGACCTGGAATCACACAAGATGAAGCAAAGATGCGAAAATTTTATAGAAACACAGCACAACACAACACACAAAAATCGTAGTGTGGGAAACGAGTTGAGCAACACGGGGGAAACTAGGAAAACCTTTGGTTTTTCTGGTAACCAAGTTTCTTTTGTTTTTGTTTTCCAGATAGAAGATACAAAGAGAGCAAAACCTGGAAGAATGTACAATCGAGAAGAATGCACAAAAAGAAAACTTAAAAATTTAAAAAATAAAAGGATAAAAAAGTGTAGAACCGAGATTTAAAAACCGAGAGTTAAAAAAATATGAAAAAACACAAGTCCAATGCAAGTAAACTAAAGAAACTATTTCTTCTTTTTTCTTTTACAGACAACTAACAAATCGCAGAAAATTCAATCCTCTAGAAAACAATATAGACAGACGTCGTAGTAGTAGTACTAGTGAATGTACTAGGGCTAGACGACTATTAACAGTGAAGTAGTAGTTCTTTTTTTTTTTCGTAGTAGTAGTAGTAGTAGTACTAGTGGTAGTAGCAGTAGCAACAATACTAGTAATAAGTAGAAGTGTAGTAACTAGAAACAGGAAGTAATAGGTAAAGGAAAAGAACTATTGACAATCAAGGTAGAGAGACAATAGAGAAGAATATATATATATATATAGAAGGAAAAAGGAAAAGAAAAAAGCACAAAAACAAAACCGTTTCAAAGATGTGAAAACCCAGATTCTAATGGGGATCCAAGCCCTATATAAAAGTATGAAAAAGGGGGCAAACAAAATACACGCACCAACAAGATCTAGATTTAAGCTATTGTAACCCCACCCTTAAGAGAAAGCTTAATGATGCGAGCGTTCTAGATAGTTACGTAGCCAAGCTAAAGTGACAACCTTATAGAGTCCACTCAATTCGTTCTTGAATGATAGTAATTGGTGGAAAATGATTTGCATTTTGAATAAAGTTCTCAATGAGTTCATAGACAACCTAAACTTGAGTTGAGTCATTGGTAGATCCAATGATTTGGCCATGATATCATAGAAAAAGGTAAACAAACAAGTAAACGAAAGACAAACAAACAAGGCGTAGCAAAAAAAAAGAGAAAACAAATAAAAACTATAACTATATTTTGATTCAAATTTTAAAAAAAGGCTTTTTGTTTTGTTTGCTTTTTTTTCACGTTTTTTTGAATTTCGTTTGTTTACTCGTTCGCTTTCGTCTCTTGGGAAATGTAATTCTTCTGCTTCTTAGGTAACAGGCAAAAGCAACATCTCCACAATTGTAGGTATCATGAAGAAACACCGCTGAACAAACGAACATATGCGGTCATCCCTTGGACACGAGAGGTCAGACTTTGCCTCTGCGGAGTTATAAACGATATCCAATCAAAGTGCTTCTGGCGACTAAGGTTATCCAAAATATGGTAGGCGGAATAAGGTGAATCCGAGGCGCAAGGCTTATGAAACTTACAGAGGTAACAGAGTTTTGTGACTTGTTGCGACGTATTGACTTGTTGAAGATTTGGTTCAGCTTTTTGTATCATTTTTGTTGTATTTGTATTTGTTTTTTCTTTATGTTTTTCTTTTTCTTTTTCTTTTTTTTGGCTCTTGTTTTTGTACGCGTTTTTTCTCGTTCATGAATGTTTGTCGCGTTTTCATTTCCATTCTTTCTCCTTATAGCTCCTTACGTTTCCTTGTATCGTTTCAGACTGCATTATCAATTATACCGAATTTGTTAGAATGTACATAAATTGAATTGCGCACTCCTTCCACCTCCGTAAGTGTTTCTTTCTATTGCCCACTTTCCTACATGGACATTTTTCTTCTTGGTAGCTTACAGTGAAATAGGTATTGACAATTCGAATTGTTTCTTCCTTGTTTTTGCTTTTTCTGCTTCTTTTTTTTTTCGTCTTTTTGTACCAAAAAAAACCCTTTACTGGATTTATTTTTGGTACTTTAGTTTTTGTAACTCACTTTTTTGGTTCTTTTGAGGTTTTTCCTCTTTGGTTTGATTTTTACCCTTGTCTTGTCCTTTTTTTTGTTTTTTTTTTTTTGGTTTTATTGTTTTATTCAATTCAATTTCAATTTCAACTTCAATTCTATCTGGTCTCTGTTCTTTTTTTATCACTCAAGGATGCTCTCAACATGTGCTTAATCTCTCGTTTTGCCTCTTGTCATCATATACTTTCTAAAGTGAGATTCGTTTCTCCTACCTATCGTCCTTCCGCTTCTTCTTTTTCCACCAGCTCCCGTCTCTCTCAATCCACAAACTCTCCTTCTTCTACTTTTCTTCCCCAAAGCGCCTTTCCAAACGAACCGTTGGACGAACTTTTCGACTTTTTCATTGAAGATGAACACCCAAAAGCTTCTGTTCCCACGTACTATACCACCATCAAATCCAGACTGATGAGTCCCGTTGAACCTGAACACCTAGTTCGTATGCCTCTCCCAAAACCCGCCAAACGGTTTTTCCAAGAAGCTCTTAATCGTCATCCCCCTTCTTTGCTTCCAGAAGATCCAAGTCAACAAATTCTTTCCGCCGGTGCTCCCATTGAACTCGGAGTTCATCCTCCTCCAGAACATCCTGAACAATTCTTTTCCGATCTTCGTGAATCCCTTTCCCAGTCCGAACAAGAGACGACCGATCTTATCGCCTACCGTCATCAACTCCTCACCTGCCAATCAAGCTTCCAGCTCCATCAAACCTTTCAGAACCACTTTCTCCCTCGGCTCTCCAAAACTGACGCCTCCGCTTCTTCCGATACTTCTTCGTACTTTCCTCTTTCTCGAGCTCTTCGCGATTCTATGCTCATTGCCCGTCTCAATTTTTTAGATCCCCTCCTCGCCCATTCTTTCTTTTCCCATGTCAAACATACCAGTGTCTATGCTTATGTACAAGCTTGCACTACCCAGGTTTACAACCAAGCATTGTTATCCCTTTGGCAAGCTTCTCAAGATCCTTTTAATCTGCTTCGGCTTATCACTGAAATGGAAGCCAACGTTCTTCCCTTCGATTCCGAAACTCGAGAAGTGTTTCTTGCCATTCACCAACAAATCTCCTCTTGGCCTGCCCATGCCCTTCCTTCTACCTCTGCCCAACATTTGCAAAAGTTACAGAAATTCTTGCATACCGAGCTCATGTTGTAATTCCCCTTTCTCTTGCATGTACAGTGAATCTTTTCCCATCTATTGTATCTTTTCGTTCTTTTCAAAATTTTTTAATAAAATCTAGGTTCGCTCGTGGAGTGGAGCCTTTTAGTTTTCTTTCTATAGATACCCACATTGTTGTTGAATTTCTTTCTTGGTAAGACTGTTTCGCCCTCGTCACTGTCAACCGTGTTCTATTCGTAATTTATCTCTTCTTTTTCTTTACCAAGTATCTCTTTCATTTCCTTCTTGCTTTTCATACATATTTCTATTGGAAATAGTGATCTGTAGCGTATGTGAAATCTAACTTTCTATAAGCTCTTTCTAGTTCGCTAAATTCATTTTCTGGAGTCCTGACGGAGTAGTATGACTTTAACATATTCGCTGCAAAGTTTACATCTCACAGCTTACAAAGAGCTGTTGTCGATTTGTGGTAATTTTTAAAGGGATTCATTTATACAAAATTGCATTGTTTGTAGGTGATTTGTTTTTACGATTGTTGCGGGCTTAATAAATACTAGAACACCGCTTGTAGCAGCACTGGTTTAGCTATAGCATTCAGTGTGCTCTTTTTGCTTATTAGAAACGATACGGACCGTATCTACAAGCAGAGCCCGGATACAAGTCGTTTCCGGATTTAAACTCTCCAAGTTGTGCGCATAACTCTTTAATCGGTCGGAAACACCGTTGATACACATATACAGAATCATACAAGCACTTTCAATTAGATTATGACAAGCGGATTATCTCGGAGAAGGGTCGTTTCAGGCAACTCCATCGAAAATGATCAAGAAGCCAAAAATGTCGCATTGATTAAAAGCAAAGCGGCGCAGAGTCGTGACGACGATCACAAAATTGCTTTTGACCCGAAAGACCTTGAACAAGGTACTGAAAGTGAGAAACAACCCAAGGTAACTCTTATGGAGGAAGTGCTCCTTTTGGGTCTCAAGGACAAGCAGGGATACTTGTCTTTCTGGAATGATAGTATTTCTTATTCTCTTCGGGGATGTATTTTAATTGAGCTTGCTTTTCGTGGAAGATTACGCATGCAAAAAGATACAAATCGAAAGCGTTTCCCGTTGGCTGATCGCATGGTGGAACTTGTGGATGATAGATTGACAGGCGAGGTATTGCTCGATGAAGCTATCAAGATGATCCACTCGAGTGAGCCAATGTCCGTTACGTCTTGGATTGACCTCATGAGCGGTGAAACTTGGAATGTCATGAAAATTGGTTACCAACTGCGTCAAGTTCGTGAACGTCTTGCCAAAGGTTTGGTTGACAAAGGTATTCTCAGAACTGAAAAGAAAAATTTCTTACTTTTCGATATGCCCACTCATCCTATCGCAGACACTTCTATTAAGGAGGGTTTAAAGCGACGTGTTTTGTCCATGCTGACAGACCGTATCGTCGAGCTTGAAAACACAACTGCTTTTTCTGCCAATGTGCAATTTCGCTACTTGCGTACAATATGCCTTGTTTGCTCTGCCTATGCAGCTAATGTTTTGGAAAATGCTCTATTAGTCTTAGACTTCGAAAGACGTGATAGAGCCCTTGCACAAGTTGATGAACTATTGTCCGAATTCTCCCAATGGCCATTCCTCATTCATCCCTCAAATATCGGTGCAAACTTGGGTGAAGCTGTTGGGCAAGAATTGGAACCTTTATCTGAGGATCAGATGTTATCTATTGAAGTTGTCGCTGCTGTCTTGCAGGTATTCACTCATTTAGATTCCTTGCTTTAAATCCTCATCCTTTGTTTTCCTCGTTATTTAGCTTTTTATGTATTCTGGAAAAGCGGTGTTTTCGTGAGACTTTGTCATGTAAGCCTTATGTTTTGTGCTCACTTCTATTATTGAATTTGAATTTCCAACCAAACGTTGACTTCTCTTGCATTTTCTTCCTCTTTTTATATTGATTCAATGACCTTTTGAATTTATTATTCGGCTCTTTCTTTCTTTGCCTCTCCTTTCTCCTATTCTCTCTTTCATGTGGTCATTGAATTCAGCACTTCTTCGTTTCATCTTCCACCTATTCCTGCCGCCGAAGCCTCGTCTTTCTTCCTTATGTGCTTATGTACGTCAGTGAGCTATTCTCTGGATGATATGGTCTTTTTTGGAGAGTTGCAAATTATTATAACGATACATATGAGTGTAAGTTCTACTCCTTCGAAAGCCGATGTGTGTTTCCGTAATATTTCATTCTTTGTTATTTTTATTTGGAGCTTCTTACAACGTTAATAGAAATCTTTTTTAAAAGCCTTGAAAATGTTTAATCATTTTGTTACATTTATTTAGATTGCAACTATATACTTTTGGTTAATTACATACGAAATCACAGCCCAATCTATCTGTAAAGATGTAAAGATGTTTTGATTTCGTGAAAGATTTGTTTATCATTTAGTGAGCTGGTTTATAATTCGGTATTTTCTAAATCAATGATCTTAAGGAACAGGTCGTGTCGTCGAAAACCTGTCCTTTACCATTATTTCCTTAAACGCGTTAGGGAAATATCTGTTTTTAAATTTACATTTTTCTGTTTTCAAACAAACTGAAGCTCATTGAAGGACGCGGTTGGTGAATTCTAGAAACGTCAAATTGATCATAATTAAACGTAAACAAAATGTCGGAAAGAAAGGTCTTGAATAAATACATTCCACCGGACTATGATCCCTCAATCCCCCCTCCAAAAAAGAAGAAAAACCATGGGCCTAATGGAGGAAGAACGACCGTGCGTCTGATGTTGCCTTTCTCAATGAAATGCCATACGTGTGGTGAATACATTTACAAAGGAAAGAAGTTCAATGCTCGAAAAGAAAAGACTGGAGAAAAATACTTTTCGATTGATATTCTAAGGTTTTACATTCGGTGTACCCGATGTGCAGCAGAAATTACTTTTGTCACTGATCCTAAACATGCCGATTATGCCGCAGAAAGAGGTGCGTCTAGAAATTTTGAGCCTTGGAGAGAGGAAAAATTACAAGCCTATGAGGAGAGTGAATTAAATGAAAGTGGCGCTTTACCTGAAGAGGATGAAATGGAAAAATTAGAACAACGGACAATGGATACCAAGAGGCAAATGCAAATGAGTGATGCTCTTGATGATTTACGAGAGAGAAGCACAAAACGCTCAAGGGTAAATGTTGATGATGCCATCACATTGTTGCGCGATGATTCTTATGGCACAATGGACAACGACGAGCGTCTGCGGCAAGAGCAAGAAGAAAAAGAAATTGAAAAGGAAGCTCAGTCATTGTTTACTTCTCAAGATGGAGAGTTGGTTCGTAGGATTTCTCCCGATGAACCGAAAGAAGTTCCAAAAACAGTCGGGCGTGTTTCCCCAACATTGCCGACATCTCAGCTTCCAAAGTTTCAGGCCCCTAAACGAGCTGAAAGACGAAAAGTCGAGAAAAAGAAAGTTGTGGTCTAATTCATTTTTTACGTTTTTTATATTTATTTATTGTCTTTCTTTCGCCCTGTACTTTTAATTGAATTTTTGCGGCTGCACTTCTACTTTCTTTCTTATTCATTGTGATTCCGCGTTTCTCTTCCTGTTCAAGAACGTTACATTGCTAATCGTAATCATGTGTACGCCTATTACTTCTTAACGTTATTAACTCCTTCTTGGTCTCTTGTCATATTCGCCTGTAATTAGTCGTTTAAGTGGATACAAAAATAAAACTTTATAATATGTCGATATTTACTTTTTCTTTAATATTACGATGTTTGGTTGTTAGTATTTTATTATTTTCCTAGTTTTGAAGACATAAATTCATGCCATATAGCTGGTAACCAAAAGAAGTCTACACAGATAAAAATTATTTACAAAATTATTAATTTCAATATATGTATATGTAGTTTGTTTTTATAATCTTACTTCAGATTGCTCAAAATCGAATTTTCACCATTTACGCTGACCTATCTTAACTGCATAACTCAGAAGAGTAGCGGCAGCGACCGAACAGTGTTTTATCATTCTTTTTCAGAGAACCTGAGAATACCACTTAGAATAATTTAGAATTATATATACGGGAAAAAAAGGAATGACCTGGTGAATTCCAGCACTTGAAGTTTATATTTGATTACAAAAAAAAATTCTTTCCTTTTCATCAATGAGTCTACGCGGAATCGCTTTGGTTAAGAAACAATTTTTTTCTAAAAGCTTTTGCTCTACTACAATCAGATATAATGTGAAACCCGATGGCTTTCGTCGTTTTTGGAAAAACACATCCGTCTCCAATGAGGATGGAAAAACAGTTGTGAAATTGGATGGACGATCTTTAAAAACACCTAACGGCAAAGTATTGGAAATTCCTACTACTATGCAGCCTTTGGCTCATTTAGTCGCCCTTGAGTGGGATCGTTTGCCTACAAGTTCGATTCGTCCTCATATGCTTCCTGTTACATCGCTTTTCTCGAGAGCGATGGACGTATCAGAGATAGAAAGTGAAAGGGAAAAGGTTTTTGACCAAGTTTCAAAGTTTATTGATACTGATACCGTTTTGGTTTACGCACCTACTGAAGAGTATGAAGGAAAACTTCTCAAAGAACAGATAAAGAAGTGGCTTCCGTTAAAGAAGGCATTTGAAGAAAAGTTTGACGTTCAATTGAATCATCTAGATGGCGATTGTGGGCTCATCGCATGCAAACAATCTGCTGAAACGCATAATAAGATTCAGAAATGGTTGAGTTCATTAAATGCTTGGCAATTGGCCGCCTTCGAACGATGTGTTGCCTCAAGTAAAAGCTTTATTTTGTCAGCGCTACTACTTCAAGGCGAGTTATCAACTGAGGAAGTAGTTGAACTAACAAACTTGGAACTTTGCTTCCAAACGAATAAATGGGGTACTTTAGAAGATGGTATGTTCTAATTAACTATCCTTTACTTGACTGGCTTATTAACATAATATAGTACATGAAATGGATCACCATGATTTGAGACAAAAAGTTTCAAGTTCAGCACTAATTTTTCGATTTGCAAACACCCCCAACTAAATAATGATACAGAATTTTTTCTTTCAGATTGTTCTTCAGTTGCCTCTTTCATACAAAAAAAAGCTAGTAGAAAAATCCCTTGCGTAAACGCTATTTTGAGAATCTTAATAGAAATTAAATAGAAATTATTAAAAAGGATGAGCAAAGATTATATAATCAACATAAAGAAAAAGTACAAAATTTAGAAAAGATCGTTGAGCCCGCGTAACAATGTATCTATAGGAATCAAGATAGACCGGCATTTTTTAGTTTAGTTCGTAAAATTTCCAATTCCTGGTCTTTTAAAGCCATATGTTCTTTGGCTTCTCGAAGTTCTTTCTTGTACGGGTCAACATAACATTGCAACTCTAACTGAACGAACGAAAGTAGCTCACGTAGTTTCTCTAATCTGACAAGATGAGGGCATGTCGCATCATCGTGTGCTAAACTTTCCTCCAGGGTAGTCTCCATGAAACTTCTAAACGGAGAAGCATTGAAAGACAGCCCAGTTTCCGATGCGGCATCCTCTCTGGATATGGGTTCTCCTTGAATAGAATTTTTAACGGATGGTTGGTTGCTCCAGCAAGCTCCATCATTCTTTTTGGGTAATTCTTGTTTGATGGAACTTTTAGAAGGGGAAGGTGAATCTTTTGGTAATCCCGGACGAGACGGCGTGCGAAAGCTATTAAATGTTCGGTCTATAGATCTTGGTAACGAAAGATTTTCAAAATTGGATTTTTCATGATGGTTGTGATTTTTAGGAGTTATTTGATTCGCATTAATTGCCATTAAGGGAATACCTCTCTTCGAGGGAGATGTGGGAGCAAGGAATCTAGTTGGACTTTTTGTTGGACTCGAATATTTGTATTTAGATGATGGAAGCCATTCCTCAAAGCAGCTGCTCATGGGGGTTTTTGTTTTGGAGGGACTTCCCGCGGGAGCATCTTTTTGTGAAAGAGAAGAAGAGGCAGGACGTTGGAATTCTTTATCATTCAGGATATTGTTATTTTCGGATATAGACTCGTCTATGCTTAAATGAATGGAATGCATGGATTCTTGATTCAACTCAAAGAGTGCCTCTTGAAGACGCTGTTGATGAGAGTCATTGAATCCTCGTAAAGAACCATTTCCTGATTGCAATTTAGTAGGTGTAGAGGATCCCATGGGCATATCTTCCTCTACACATTCGTATTCTATTAAAAAGACTGTATTAGCAAGCTTTTCTGATACCACAACGAAATCTCAACCTACCTAAAGGGTCTCTTGGAAAATCAGAAACAAATGGAAACGACATTATATTTAAAATAACACACAATTACGATTTTGGCCTAAGTGGAATCCGTCAAACGGTAAGCCTCCAAAAAAGAAGAAAAAAATAAAGAAAAAAACAAAATCTGTGATTAGCAATCAAATCAGTTGCTGATACAAGCTACGCAGAAGGAACAGAGAATTTAATTACTCAACAAAATTATGTTGGTTTTTTGTTTAAGTCTGTTTGTTTACAGTAGAATCTCAAGAAACTAGTACTTCGCAGATGTTCGCACATAGCGATCACCTTGGGCGTTCTTAGTAAATAAACAATGAAAAATTTTTGAAAAACCAAAGGTTTGATTTATTAAAATTGTTGATAAGTAGTAAAGGAAGAACCTATTAAAATACTAATGGTACTATGCCCCAGATATTCAAAAGAGCATATAGATGAATTAAACTGAAAGCATCGAAGGATCCTTTATGTACCCGACCGTAAAACACGTAGCTCAAGATCAAAACAAGCCTCAGAATATTAATTGTTCTCTTACTTTTATAAAAAAATAGAAAAATACGCAGGTCTGTTGCCAATTGATTTTTGCTAGATCTTACAGTGACATTTTGCTAGCATTGCTCTATGAAGTCCATTAGACAGGAAATCGAAATATGGAAGAACCAACAATTATCAATTTTACTGGATTTTACCATTATTGAAACAAATAGAGTCAATGCATTTGCTTTTCTATCCTGAATAAACTGAACTTCGAGTGGTCGAAAGATTGACTATTTAGAGGGCAAGGGCTTAAGAGCTCATCCTTGCAACATGTTTTCTCCAACAATAGAGACTATATGGAAATAACTCACATTGCTTTCGGTTTTCTTTTCACTTCATCACTTTACGATTTATTTTAAACATTAGTATATATTTAAACATTTTTTCACGTTCATCAACAAAGCTTCTGTAGCTCAGTCGGTGGTAGCGTCCCTCTCATATTCTGAAAGGGGAAGGTCGTGAGTTCGAGCCTCACCAGGAGCATTCTTTTTTCTAATTCCAAACATGTTGTTTTAGGTAAAAAAACAAAACATTATTTATCTGATGCTAAATGAGTTTTTGCTTTCTTACTTGACACTCATGAAATTATATACCCAAGTCTCCAATATCTCATAATGATAACCAATTTTTATTAAAAACAACTATTAGCAATTCCAAAAAAGGATTTTATTACTCATCATAAGCACCAAAAAAAGGGAAAAGAAGAATTTAAGACACTGTTTAGATATCAAACAAAGTTCACAAACTTCAGAGCTCATGCTTTCACTTTGATACCACAGGAAATATAAAGAAGACAAATTAAACATTGGTATAAACTTTGCATCAACTGTTGAACGTAAGCAATTAATTTTTAATTTTGTTTGAAGAAAAATTTGGATCATATCGATAGCGATTAGCAATCCATCGAGAACGTGGAATTACTAGAGTGCATATAACTGCAAATATAGAGACGGCTCCGGTAATGACAATGGCATAATTAAAGTTAGAACCAGTGACAGGATAAGAATAAGGGGAAATGTTGATAATGAATACAAACGTATTATAAAGAAGTGAAACCACCATGAAAGGTTTGCTAAAGACTCCTAAAGACCACTTGCCTTTTGGAAATTTATCACGGGTAATGAACAGGCGACCAAAAGCTAAAAGAGCATAGCAAGCAAAGCTAGGTGCACCAGCAGCGGAAACAAGGGAAGAGAATGCAACGGAACTGGGCAAGATGGTACAAAGAAGCAAAGCCGAAACAATGAAAATCACAGTAATAGCATTTTTCGGTTGTCCTCCTTTACTAACCTGGCTTATCCAACCTGAAAAAGGCAAGACGCCATCCCGAGCGACACCGAAAACCAAACGACTACAAGCCAAGACACCAATTACAGCATTTAAGAACAATTCAAAGATAATAATCACATTCATAACGACATGACCACCACGTCCCAATACATAGGAGTAAAAGTTGACAAATGGTTGAGGTGAAGCGGTATTGTACATAATGTTGTTGAAGGTATCCAACGGAGGGCAGCAGAACAAAAAGAGGATGGTAAGACTAAAAGCAACGACGGAAGATGTAAGGGCGGAAAAGAAAATTCCTCTAGCAGCTTTATTTGAAGCATCCTTGGTTTCTTCAGCAATGTGTCCTGAAGCATCATAGCCAACAATAACACCGGCAGATGCAAAATAAGCTAGACACCATTGCCAGCCTTTAGGAACTAGCTTAGACAAATTGGTGTCGACATTTCCATTTGAATCATAAACTTCCTTGCTATATCCAGCTTGATCGTATATTGTTTCTGTAAATACCCACTTGGCAGACTGGAATCCATGGCTTTTTTTGGAGGTAGCGATGGGAAGCCAGACTAGATTCAGAATATAATCGACAAAAATGAGAATCATAGAAAGTTTGAAAATCCACTTATAGTACCGTGGCGGAACCTGGTTGAGAAGAATGACGAATACCAAAACAACCTCAGCAACTATCCATTGCACTGCACGAAATTTCACGTTCGAATCATCGGTCGACCAATTGTTTCCGAAAGTACTAACTTCGCCAAATATAAAGTTCACACAAGACTGAGCCGTTGAAGCAACAAATGTTGTCCATGCAGTCGTCGACCACCAAGCAACGAGGAAGCTGAAAAACCGCCCAAGCTTTGGTCCTCCTGCTTCAGCGGCCCAAAGGTAAACTGAACCAGATGTAGGCAGAGCAGAGCAAAACTCTGCTAACGAAGCAGCGGTAATTGTAGAGCACACGCCGGTGATTAGCATACTCACCCAGTATGCAGCTGGTCCACCAAACGTGACACCATAACTGAATGTTAGACGAACTCCACTAACGACATCCATGGCAGCAAAACTAGCGGCAAAGCTTTCAAAAAACTTAAAAGTCCGGTGAAGCACTGGCTTATAGCCCATACTTCTTATCAGCGCCTCGTCGCTGTCGGCGTCTGAAGAAAACCCATCTGTCTGCTCATGTTTTCCATCATTCGTTTCATGAATTACTTTGACTTTTTCATTTTCGTTTGAGAAAATGCTAGAATTCGAAGTATTAGATCTTTGCGGCACAAAAGTATCCCCTTCTGTAGGTAGATCAGCCTTTGGAACGTTCGACATCACTTGGAATTGCTCTTAAAAAACAAATATACAGTTTTATAAGAAAAATTCGGCAACCTTTTGTTGTTCAAACTATGCACAGAACCGACCGTTACAAAACCAAGCGCCAAAGCAACAACCAAACGCTCTTTTTATGTGGAAAATTATCTCCTAAAAAAGGAAATTCACCAAGGAAATAATTGAACTATTTATACGCGACTTCTAGGCCATTTAAACACTTTTTTATATATATGTGATCTACGGGTACCTGCAAGCGACAGATATATAGCAGTTTTCCTTATTGCCATCTGTTATCATACTAAGAAGTTGACAGGTAACAACGTTGTTTGTTTTCTACTCCAATTATGACAGAGTCGTCCGCTTGGTATTATAGTGTTTTTCATGAAATCAGTAGCAAAAGGGTTTAAACATGCAAAGGAGTTTATACAACATAATAAAAGTACTTTTCTTATAGTTTTTCTTTTGTAAAAAATTTGATAGAAAGACTCTGCATCAGCATATTCATTTGTTTACTACAAATCGGGCTTTCCCTTTTCAAAAAATCATCATGATTGTGAGTAGACTAGTAGCATAAAAATTAAATCAAGATCTTTGTTATTTTTGGAAGCTATCCTTATATTTAGGACTTGAAATTTATCCAAATGGCAAGTCCTAACTACAAATATTTTATTTTGTTGATGATCAAAAAGAATCTAATTTCCCTGGAGTCTGTTCACAAAATGCATTCACGGTCGATCACTTTTGAAGTATTCAAAATAACTATGTTGATTTGATTATTGAAATCAGTAAGAATTCTTTTCATTGGAAAACGAATTCAGACTCGAGCACAAAAATAGAATGCTAATATGACACTTTAGTCGAAAGGAATTTGCATAGAGACAAGAAACCCCAGCTTGCCTATTAGATAGAAAATAAACCCGTAGAATACAAATAAACTTTAATTTCTTCTCTCAATGGAAAACGTCGCCGGTTATGACTAAAATATCCTTTATTTCGTAAATCCTACTTAGTAGTATCTGTGTTTGGTGGATATTTAATTGGATTATGAGCGACAGAAAAGGATAGGAGTACACAAGGAAGAAAAAGGGAATATCGGAATTTATGTGAGATGACATTTTGAGTACAATAGTTCTTTCTCTGCTGGAATGCAACCTGGAGATCATAAAAGAAGCTCGTTTTCGGAAACAGCTATTTGGCAAAAGATTATAGTACACAACTGGCTTAATCAAATTCGTCCATCAGTTTTAATCCTGAATCGACATGAGAAGTACTTATGTACATTTCTCCTGTAATGCAATATCCTTACCGTTCTGCAGGACCTGTCACTAGGATTTATTTTCGAGTCTTGAACGGGGCTCAAACAGATAGTCCTTGGAATCAAATTACCTACTCTCTGTGCAAAATACTACCTTCGGTACTAACCATGCTCGTGGGTTAGCTATTCTCTACCATCATCCTTTCTTGGTAATTCTTCCATAGGAATAGAATCCATTTCGATTTCGACAACAATGGGATTGAAATAGGCGTAAATTACAATAAAGCAAACAAAAGCAAGGATTGAGACGGTAAAAATCGTGAAAGATGCGAAACCATCACGAAAACCAATATTACGAATATTCTCAGTACTGACATAATTAACTTCGTCTTTATGAAAAAAATAGATAATAGAAGATATAACCACAACAATTGAATGTAAATACAATGAACATCCCCAGGTAATTGACAAACCTTCATTTCTTTCACGTAGACGTTTCCAAAGACATCTATTATAATTCTCTTCGGGATTAAGGGAAATTTCAGATGATAAAGGAACCGTTTCCTCTACCGTTTCTTTATAACTCATCTTAAATATCTATTTCATATGCTGATGTTGGTGGTGAATTTGAGCGGGTATGAATGCGTCAGATATAAGTAACCGTATTCCTTCCTTTGCGACTTTCTTACCACGCTGAGTTTTCTGATAAGAAAAGTCGTAAAGGAAGTTCATTGATCCAACATGTTTAAGCCAAGAATTGTAGTCAATTATTGGAGACCTGAAGACGATTCGTACGAACGGATCAATCAAGCCATTATAGAGAACAACACAGCGTTGTTTATCGTGAATTGTTGTACTTTACTTGTTTGTCTTGTAATTATCTGTCTTGCTGCAACAAAAATTACCATGGGAAAGTAGACTTGGTCAATCATTTATATTTAGCTTCTACTCCTTTGTTTATTGTGATGACAACATGTTATTTTTACATGCGAGCTAAAAGCTTAAGTTCTAGAGTACCAAGAAAAGAAAGAGAGAAACGACTATCGAAGGGAGAACCCTTCGAACTTCCCGGCTCAGACATGTCAGGTCAGGCTTTACCTGAATACACTGAAAGAAACGAACACTAAATACGACAAACAACAGGAAGACATACATATAAATATCGTTAGGTTAATGATGAACGATAAATGTCTGGGCCAACAAATTTCCTACTTTATGATGAAAACGTACTTGGAATCCGTCATAAAAGTTAGTGTAATAAACTCTCATTAGAGACATCGTATGGTAAATCGCTGCAACCGAAGATATACTTCTTGAAATCTTTTTCTTTCAATTCGACTCAATACGAATATGATGGTCCCATACAATTTTTGTGGCTTAACTGATGAATTCTGTATCCCTCCTATCAGAAGGAGAATAGGGCTACAAAATGCCAATTGAGCTAGTTTGCCTGAATACAACTACCTGAAATCAGGTAGAGATACCTTGTTGGAGACGCATGTCAGACGTCTTGCTTAGAGTAATGGAAACTTCTTTCTACTTAACATTCATCAACTGCTAATTCATAAAAGTTCGGACTTCGAAGCAACACCTTGAAAATATCAGTATATCATATTATTTTGCTACCTCAAAATTTGAAAGCAGACAAAAGGTTTGTAAGTATCGCTTCAGTATATATATTCATTGAGTTATAATATCTACTTTTACATATATACCTATAAATCAAGGATTTTGTGAGAAAACCATGGTTCATTCAAAAGGTAAGACATTCTCGTTTGTCGTTACTCCAGACGGTCTTGGCTTGGCTTAGAACTTCTACACAAAAGAAAGCATGTTTAAACCAACTGTCTGTCTTCCTTATAACCCAAGTTCTTCTCAAATATATACTCCAAACACTATTTTTCAAAGTACATACGAACTAAGAAATTTAACAGATCGATACTCAATTACGACTTTCCGAATATGAAGACATATTTACTAACATTTACAACATTAAGGCTGACCTACACAATTCGCCTACTTATTTACTCTACTCCATTACCTTGACTCTCAATAAGTAACCTTAGAAGGAATAATGCAATTTCTTAATCTATTATTAAAAAGAATTAGACAAAAGATGCCAACGCATAGCAAAAATTTATCAACTTGTTACCCTCAGTTGATGAGAAAACAGCTATGCGGTTTTAGAAACATTACCATAAGCATAAATCGTTTCATTACCGGTTAACCATGTTGAAGGTTAACAACCAACCTTTTATTTTCTTTTTTCTTTCCTTATTAAGTATACATGATCATGCCTACTTGGATATCAACACCGTTAGGCTAACCCTTAAGCATTCTCGTTACGAGCCATACGGGTAGCGACAATCATGTTCTCCAAGTCAGCGGTGGTCTCGGGCCAGCCTCGAGTCTTCAAACCACAGTCAGGGTTAATCCAAAGACGGTCTTTAGGAACAGACTTAACAAGAGCATCAATACGCTCCTTGAATTCCTCAACAGGAGGAACACGAGGAGAGTGAATGTCGAAAAGACCAGGTCCAATACAAGACTTGTAGTTGCTAAGAACAGACATCAATTTCATATCAGACTTGGAATTCTCGATGGAAACAACATCAGCATCCAATCCTTGAATAGCATCAAAGATATCATTAAAGTCAGAATAACAGAAATGAGAGTGAATTTGAGTGTCATCCTTAACACCACCAGTAGCCAAACGGAAAGCCTTGACAGCGTAATCGACATACTGAGACCAGTCAGCACGACGAAGGGGAAGACCCTCACGCAAAGCGGGTTCATCACATTGAATGACACGAACGCCAGCCTTTTCGAGGTCCAAAACTTCGTCTCTCAAACCGAGAGCAATTTGTTGAGCTTGAACAGATTCTTCCACATCGTCACGAGGGAAGGACCATCTCAAAATGGTGATGGGGGCGGTAAGCATACCCTTCATAGGCTTGGAAGTGATGGATTGAGCAAAAGCAGACTCCTTGACAGTCATGGGGCCAGGACGGGAAACGTCACCAACGATGATAGGAGGACGGACACAGCGAGATCCGTAAGATTGGACCCATCCGTTAACAGTGAAAACGAAGCCTTCCATCTTTTCACCAAAGTATTGAACCATATCGTTACGTTCGGGTTCACCATGGACCAAGACATCAAGACCAATGTTCTCTTGGAACTTGACAACGTCGGTAATCTCCTTGCGGATGAAAGCATCATATTCTTCAGCAGAAATCGAGCCCTTAACATACTTGTTTCTGGTAACACGAATCTCCTTAGTTTGAGGGAAAGAACCAATAGTGGTTGTGGGGAATTGAGGGAGCTTGAGAGATTCTTGTTGAAGAGCGTAACGCTTTTCGAAGGGAGTAGCACGGGTGTGCATTTCGGGAGTAACAGCAGCTTGACGGTCACGAACAGCCTTAACGTTAGTGATGGGAGATTCGGCACGAGCCTTAGCATCGGCAGCATTAGCTTCAAGTTCTTCACGAACGGAAGCGGGACCCTCATTAACAGCCTTGGTCAAGATGGCTAATTCAGCACACTTCTCGACGGCAAAAGCGAACCAGCGCTTGATTTCAGGCTTCAATTGGTCTTCTCCAGTGAGAGAGTGAGGGATGTGGAGAATGCTAGAAGAAGAAGCGACGATAACACGTTCACTGCCAATGGCGGCAATGGCCTTTTCGATAACGGCAACAGCCTTTTGGAAATCAGTTTTCCAAATGTTACGACCAGAAACAATACCAACAGAAAGGATTTGCTTGTCATCGAGAATGGAAAGAGCAGCATCCAAGTTTTCAGGAGCACGGCAAACATCGACGTGAATACCGGCAACAGGAAGACCCTTCAAGACTTCGATGTTATCCTTCAAGGGACCAAAGTAGGTAGTCAAAATGAGCTTAGCACCACCTTGAGCAAGAGTCTCGTAGGTTGACTTGTAGCTGTCAAGAACCTCCTTAGACAAATCGAGAGCAAGGATGGGCTCGTCAATTTGAACGGATTCAGCACCAGCTTCAACAAGCTTCTTCAAGAGCTCAACGTAGACAGCAGTAAGTTTGGGCAAAAGCTCAATGGGCTTGACAGAGGATTCCTTGGTAGCCTTAGCAAGGTACAAGAAAGTGACTGGACCGACCAAAACAGGACGGGTTTGAATGTTAGCTTGCTTAGCCTCAAGGAACTCATCGACAGCCTTAGTAGAGTTCAACTTGAACTCGGTCTTGTCAGAAACTTCGGGTCTCAAAAAGTGGTAGTTTGAATCGAACCACTTGACCATTTCCTGAGAGGGAACATCGACAGCAGGCTTGCCATCAATGGCGGGGCGTTGCATACCACGACCCATGGCGAAATAGGTATCCAATGGACTTAAATCATACTTAAGGTAACGCTCAGGGATAGCGTTGAAAGTGAAGGAATGGTCCATAATTTGATCGTAGAAAGAGAAGTCATTAGAAGGAACAATGTCAACACCTTGATCCTTTTGAAGCTTCCAATGATCCAAACGCAAGTTCTTAGCGGAAGTTTGCAACTCCTCGGCAGAGATCTTACCACTCCAGTAGGCTTCAGTAGCCTTTTTTAATTCACGGTTCTTACCGATACGGGGGAAACCCAAGACAGCAGATTGAACCATACTGAATGTTTTTATGTGAAAAAAGATTTAAGTACTAGTAGATGTATGAAATGATTAATGAGTCTATAGCAGATCACTAATCCGGATATAACAATTAGGGTATATTTTTTTCAGGACAAAAAAAATATATTATTAAAAATGAAATGAACAGAAAAGGAAAAGAAACTTCTTCCTGAGGGAACGAAGAGAATTTGCTTTACCTTTGATGCGTGTCGTGCAGGACAAGTGAGGATGGGTTGATCTGACCTTATATATGTCCGATGACCCCAGCCCCCACAATCACTACACTATAAAAGCCAGTCACTTCCACTATCGAAAGAAGAAGGGATTGGATTAGATCAAATATATCACGAATTCATCTTGAGATGGTGTGAGTTTGATCTGTTTCAAGGTATATTCACTGTTTACAAGATCTTCAATTTTCAAAGCATGCATGATTATTTAAGTCAATTAAGATAGCAAGACATTCTAAGTCATCAGTAGTTGTCAAATGTTGTATAGCGATTATTTGAATTTATTTAAAACTTATGTTGTTGGTGTGTTTCCATTTGTGCTATTTGTAAATGCTCCTCATGGAAAACTAGCTCAACCAACGGTTTGGTTCTCTAAAGGCTATGTACCTGGTCGTCTTGGCTGGATACTTATGGAATTAGTAGCTCCCGTTACTTTTCTATATGCGTTACAGCAGAGAAACCATTCTCTGGCTCCTGGGTTTGTAGGGGATCTATCCTTTCATGATTTAGACCCATTTCGTAAAGTATTGAGTCTTATGTTTTTGATTCATTATGCCAATCGTGCTATTGTGAGTCCACTTATCTTTGCTCCTCATGTTTCTCCCATGCATTGGACTGTATTTGTTTCTGCGATCTTATTTAACTTTTTGAATGGAATGTCCATCGGTTTATATTTGCTTCAAGCCACAGTACAGCGTCATCCAATCTCTTTGCCTTGGTTCATTTTAGGTGGATGTTTATGGCTTTTCGGTTGGATTGGCAATATATATCATGACAATATACTTTACGACCTTCGACGACCGTCAGTTTCTAAGGACGAGCGAACCAATTCAACACCTTCGACTATTCTACCATCCAATTCTAGTGATGAGGAGGTCGTTTCGTCTTTTCAATCGCACTATAAGATTCCTTACGGTGGTCTATTTACCTATGTTTCTTGCCCCAATTATTTCTGTGAATGGCTTGAGTGGTTTGGCTGTTATTTGGCTGCCGGTATGCAAGCCGAACCCATTTGGTGGTTTTTTTTGGCTGAGGTTCTTCTAATGCTTCCACGTGCCTATAAAATCCACTCTTGGTACCGTTCCCATTTCTCGCGGTACCCTCAAGACCGCCTTGCAGTGATCCCTTTTCTGTTTTAAAGCTCTTACTGCTTGATGAGTCTCGATATTTTTCTTCGTTTTGTAATTTTATTTTCTCATGGTCTGTAACGATTTGGACAGAATTACAATTTTCTTCTTCTTCTTCTTCTTCTTTTTGTTTTTTTTTTTTTTATTTTTATTTTTATTTTTTCAAGTTTCTTGCAAATCTGTTCTAGACTACTCCCTTTCTCTCCTAGACTGATTGGATTATTGTGTAAGCATAAAATCTTTGCATTCTGGAGGGGAATAGCTGTTGCTTGTCTTTGCTTTTGCTTTTTTTTTTTTTTTTTTAAATTCTGGTTTTGGATTGCTAAAGGAAGCAAAGATTGCTCTTCAGTACAAGACCTGCGATAATCTACGCGAGACAAACCAGATATCTCATATATTTTGCAACAGTTTCAAACAACTATGGCTGCTTTTTGGTATTCCTTTTCCTTTTCCTTTTCCCTTTTACTTTTATATTTATTTTTTTACAAGCTCTGCTCGAAAAAAATATAAAGACATACCCATACGTTTTTGAAGCTTCTTTGATTCTTCTTCAAGTGCTATGTATGATATGATGTCTTGACGATACACAACTGGTTGCAACTCCAGTATGAGTTTGTTTAATTTAAGCTATTTATTATGAATCTTTTAGATAATTGTAACCAAATATGCATATGTATATCCATAATCTCTACTTATTGAATAAGTAGAAGTATAAGTTAGAACCCATTTACCGAGAAGCAACATAGCTTTGATAATTAGAGATACGAGAACATAGCGTATTTTCGAATAAATTTTAACGTATCAGATTTACGCACCACAAGAACCGCGGAACCTCGATAATAGGAGTATATGAACCGCGGAACAACCGAAAATTCCTTACGTAGTCAGAGGTATTTTTTTTTTTGTTTCTGACCATTTCCAATATCGCATCTTGGAAGGGAGCCCAAAATGTCGACCACAGCTCAAAGGATCAAGGACATCGAAGATGAAATGAGCAGGACCCAAAAAAACAAAGCTACGGCTAAGCATTTGGGTCTGCTCAAAGCTAAACTCGCAAAACTTAAACGCGAACTCATCACACCAACCGGTAGCGGTGGTGGTGGCGGAGGTGGTATGTATTTTATATTATAAACGTTTTTTTTCCCCTTTTTTCTTGAATACTAATTTTTTTAGTCGGTTTCGATGTCTCTCGTACTGGTATTGGTACTGTCGGTTTTATTGGATTTCCCTCTGTTGGTAAGAGTACCTTGATGAACCAGTTGACTGGCACTCGTAGTGAAGCTGCAGCATACGAATTTACTACGTTGACAACTGTCCCTGGTGTTATGCAGTACAACGGTGCTAAAATTCAAATTCTTGACTTGCCTGGTATTATTGAGGGTGCCAAAGACGGCCGTGGTCGTGGTAAACAAGTTATTACAGTTGCTCGTACATGCAACCTTATTTTTATCGTTTTGGATGTTTTGAAACCCATGTCTCATAAGCGTATCATTGAGGAAGAATTAGAAGGTTTCGGCATTCGTTTAAACAAGGATCCCCCGAACATTGTCTTCAAAAAGAAGGAACGTGGTGGTGTTAACATTACCAACACTGTGCCTCTTAATCATATTGACATGGACGAAATCCGCGCTGTATGCAGCGAATACCGTGTTAACTCCGCTGACATTGCCTTCCGTTGCGATGCTACCATTGATGACTTGATTGACGTTTTAGAAGGAAATCGTGTCTACATTCCAGCTCTCTACGTCCTTAACAAGATTGATGAAATCTCTTTGGAAGAATTAGACTTGATTGATCGTATCCCCAACGCTGTTCCTATCTGTGGTCATAAGGGTTGGAACATTGATGAACTCAAGAGTACAATGTGGGAGTACTTAAACTTGGTTCGTATTTACACCCGTCCTAGGGGTCTCGATCCTGACTACTCGGAACCTGTCATTCTTCGTTCTGGTCACTCTAGTGTTGAAGATTTCTGTAATAACATTCACTCCAGTATCAAAAGTCAGTTTAAGCATGCCTACGTTTGGGGTAAGAGCGTTCCTTATCCCGGTATGCGTGTTGGTCTTTCTCATATTTTGTTGGATGAAGACGTTGTTACAATTGTCAAAAAGTAAAACCTTACTATCTTTCAACATTTCGGCTCCTTCCTCAGTCTTTCAGTTTACCTTTTCCTGTTCTCCCTTTTATCTTTTAGTGAGTCGTATATTTAAGCAAAAAAAGAAAAACTTTTTTTGTTTTAAAAATTCTTTTGAACGTGTTAATATTTTCCAACTGGTGGTGTTTTATATAGGGTTTTAATGTATTGAAAATTATTTTTGTCTATTCTCGTTGTCTACGTTTGTAAGTTTTATCAGTATAATTTATTTAATTCTTCGTTACTCATATGTAAAAGAATTTGATTAAAACATTCAAGTCCCCAAATATTTTGTGAGTGCAACTAGGGACGTAGCCACTTATTTCTACTACAGAGAAAGAAATTAAATCCACTTGAAAGGTCATATATATAATACGATAGTAATGAGTCTAGAAAAAGAAAAACAGTTAGTTTTGGAATTGATTCTTCATTTTTATAAACAAGGATGGATGAGATTTGGAAGGTAGCGAGCGTGCTTTGGTTTGACCTTTTTGCTCGTAGCTAACTGATGCAGTGGAAATTTCTGTTTAAGAAACGGGTAATTAAATACAGTCAGTACTTCTTTGCATGCTGACTCCCTTTTAGGAACGAACTACTTTGCGCAAAAGACCGTGTTCAAAGGGACTTGTTACAGGAAGGTGAAATTGTACAGTTTTCACTAAGGTAAGATTAGCCAATTAATAAAAGAAAACTAAACAGTAATGGTTTATTTACTAACACCTTTTAGCGATTCTCCCAAAGTTGATAATGTTGAATGGTCTAAGATTTTTGCCTACATTCTACAGTAAGTATACAGTCATGTACTAGTATCTTAGACGTAAATTAGAAAAAGAAATGCCGTGTCTTGTATCCTGTCTACTTCAATTGCTGCTCTTGGTGCTTCACTTTATCCTGCAAAGGAATTTCACACACGATCAAAAGAGATGATCAAAGGAATTCCCAAGGGTCATCCTAGTAATGGATACCTTTGCTGTTTTGACTCTTTGAAAGTTCCGAGTAAGCTTCTTTGTGTTGCTCTTGTACCTTACTAACGACTAATCAAAATAGTAATACAGAATGATTCCACGGAACGAATTTACGAAAGTATAAAACAAACCCTCGAAGACTATCCGGAAACTAATGCAATCCTTATTCGTGGTTACGGAGCCATAGGTTGGGGATCTACTTGGGAAAAGTCAAAAACACAAATGGAATGCTACGATTATCTATTTGAACTGGATTATAAAATCAAGAATTTATAATTAGGGTTCTATAAATAATTTAAATAAATGAGTCTATTAACTTCTATACCCACATCCCTTTGGATCGTTTACGCCTTTCTACTAACTGCTGTAGTCGATGCTGTCTATCAATATAAGAAGAGTTTATATCAGTGTTTGAGCGGTTTTGAGAAGTCGTGAAATTTAGACTTGGGAGATCTCTGTCTATATTTTCTTCCCCATTCAATGCGTCCGCGCCGTTATTCGAAGGGTATAACTTTCGGTGCTTTCGGTGTTCTAGCCTCCCTTTCGATAAAATTCTAGAATCCCTTGCTCTATTTGTTAAAAAAAAAATAATTAAAAAAGAAATACTTACAAAGTAGCATCAAAATGTTTTTGTAGGTTAGAAATCCTTGGTTTCTTGTGAACAGAGTCATTCAGGCTTTCCTCTCTCAAAATTTCTTGATATACTTCCCTCCATTTGTAAATTATTGTGTTGTCTTTGTAGCGGCTCATATTATGTAAAAAAGACTGGATGCATTTGAAAGCTAAAGAATGGGGGACTCTGCTTGTCGTATTCATGTTTTTGAAATCTCGTCCTTTATGAATATCTATCATCCTTTTCGGTACTCGTCTATAATAAATTAATTGCTCGTTATGTTCGGGAGTAGGTTCGTCTTCAGTAATTTCAAAAGTATCTTCAACAGTAGCCGACCTCTTAGGTTTTGTTAGACTTGATACTTGTATAAAGCCATGTAAGGCATTTTCTGGCATAAAAAATTTCTTTTTTGTTTTCTGTTTTTGCTTATCTTTAGAAGCCACAATGGGAACGGAATTTTCTTTTGGAATCTCCACAATCTTCTTTTCACACATAGGCTGAATTTCTTTAGGAAGAATCCTATGAGATTTGTCAGATAAAGCAAGTCCTCTACCTTGAATAATGTTGTCTTGAATTGTTTTATGAGCATCTTTAGCGCGCTCCCACTTAGCTTCTTCTTTTCCTCGTGTTAACAGCATGTAAATATAACCTTTTCGTTTTCTTCCAGTTCTACCCATTCTTTGTAACATTCGAATAGGAGAAGCGGAGGCATCATAGCAAATAATCATGTCGACCTCTCCAATGTCCAAACCTTCTTCACCAATCGAAGTAGCTATCAATGTGTTAATATCACCTTTCTGGAATTGCCTCACTGTTTCATTTTGGGATTTCTGAGACATTCCCGTAGTTTTTCTTATTGAAGATTGACCTATAAAAATTGCAGGCCGCACTGTAGGATAGCTGCGACTTAGTATGCGAAATATTTCCTCGGCACTAGATCTAATTTCGACGAAAATCATGATCCTGGTATTTTCGTTGTCTTTATTTTCCACACCGAAATGATTAGCTACAATTTCTTGCAAATGTTCAAGCTTTGGATGTCCGTAAAAATCATTATTATCAAGCAAAACTTTAGTATCGTGCAGCAACGACTTAAATTCCGGATTAGCCAAGATCCTTCTCTTATAGCCTGCTCGTCCTGTGGAGCATTCTTCTTCAATTTCCTGAAGCTTTTCGCAAAAGGGACGGACACCATGATTCAATAATAAATTGAGAGGATACGCAAACGTCGCAAGCGCATCGAACGTATTTAATATGTCCCATCGTTGGTTATTGGCAAAATTTTGCCCAGAAGTTGCTATAAAAGCTTGTTTTGCTTGTACCAAAGTAAACGAATTAATTTCTCTAGCGTTTTGTACTCGGTAAAGATTTCCTTGGTTCAATTTTAATAGCATTGGTTCTAAAAGAGCTGCAAATCGATCCCTCAGGTCCATTATGTCAGGAGATAAATCCACTAAAATTCGATCTACTTCTTTTTTATGTACATATTGTGCGATATCAATGCTATTCTCATTACGGATTTCTATGCAAGAAATATGCAGCGAATCTATAACATTCTGAATAGCATCGATCTTACTTCCAGGGGTCGCACTCAATGCCAGGACTCGAAAGTTTTTATTCCCAAAATACAGAAGACGAACAACCTCTACATAAGCATAGTTTCCGGTACTGCGATGTGCCTCGTCAATGACCAAACACGATACTTTCGTACGATCACATATTCCATGTTTTATATCGTTTAAAAGTGTTTGAGGAGTAACAAAGAATACATTTCTTTCTTGATAGTACTGGTTTCGGATGCCAACCTGAACTTGACCACTTAATTCAGCTGTCTTATTTCGTGGAATTCCTGTTATGTTATAACAAGCTTCCATTTGTTGGGTCACTAGGGGTTTCGTAGGAGCCATAAAAATAACATAACTTTTGGGAAACCATCGAAAATAATTCATCATTACCGTTGCAGCTATAAACGTCTTACCAAGACCTGTTGGCAAAGCGACTAGGACATTCTGAAAGAGTGCTTTCTTAACAATGTTAAATTGGTAATCCCGAAATGACACATTAATTGGATAAATCCATTGATTAGCAGCATCTCGATCTAGTTCGTGCTGTAATCGAAGTGGCTCTTGATTATGGGCTTCTATATATTCGTCAACTGAATATCCTTGTAACCCAACGGTATTGTTTTGTAATTCATGCTCAATTTCGTCTACTGCTTGCACGTCCAAGCTATCCCATTCGTCCCCTTCAAAAGAATCGTCATCAGTCATTCTTTAGAGGGATTTTATTTCTAATTTTTTTTAGTAAATTACAACGCTTTTCAATTGCATCCAGACGATTCTTAAATCACATCCGGCGCTACTGGTAGGGTATAGTCTTATTCCTACGTAAATTAATTCACCTAACATTCATATATGCTTTTGAAGAAACAACAAACGTTCGAAATCCAAATATAGTTAATAAATACTGTTTATTGACAAAGAGTCGGTTCATTTGCATAGAAAACTGAAAGTTCAAATAACGACTTTACGATATGCTACCGTAAGTATATAATGAGCCATAGTGGTTTTATAAACCATGCACTGCCGTGCACTGTAGTTCTCTATTCCAGACAAACCCATCGACATATACACCACCTGCTTTTCTAACTAAAAGCTATACTGTATTTAATAGCATAGGGAACTTACCGTCCGCCACTCACAATCATGTCGAGTGCTAATTCCAAAGGAGGGTCGAAAGATCCCTCCAAACATGGAAGTGACAAGGATAAACCTAGAATTGACACGTCGCAGTATAGTTACAATGCGATGTCAAATTTGGTTACGCAACCTGATCGAAGATTTGTTTCTAGACGTGACACTGAGCCTACGGGTGAACCAGAGTCTCTTGCGAATCGCGTTAATGTATCTGAAATGGGTACTCGTGCACAAACGAGTAAAGCAGAGACTCTTCCTCAAGGGTTTACTCAAGAGGTACAGGAAGACCGTGTTCCTGTTGCTGAGGGATATCCTGCGAGGACTGAAGCTAAATTACCTAGGCGTAAAGGTACACCTGGCTCAACTTTGCTAGGCGCTTCTGATACCTTAGAATCTTTAAGATACCAACCCTTAACGGATGAGACACGCGAAGTATATGACTACATTTTAGCCTTTGTGCAACAATACTTAGGTGATCAGGCACCTGAGGTCTTACGATCTGCATCCGACCTGGTAATTGAAATCATTAAAGATGATACCTTAGTAGACTCAAGCAAAATTGAACAGGTGAATGAGATTTTAGGTGCCAAGGTCCCTAACGATCGGTTCTCCCAATTAGTTAATCTTGGTAATCGTTTGACTGATTATACAAAGGAGAAAGAAACTGCCATGGACGAAAGGGACTTGTATGATTCAGGTGTTCCTGTTTTGTTCAATGAAGCAGATGAAGAAGAAGAAGCGGTTGAAGCAATGGAAGAAGAAGAAGAAGAACCCACTGCCGCCGAATACGAAGGTGTAGAAGACGAAGGAGTTCCTACAGAAGACCAAGACACAGAAGTAGCCGTTATTTCTGGCAATGCTAAAAAAGTATCTGAAGATTCAAGACTTCATCCTAGAGACATAGATGCATTTTGGCTCCAAAGAGAAGTTGCAAAATATTATCATGACGCACATATTTGTCAAGAAAAAACCAGTCTTGCATTCGATTCTCTTTCATCTAATGTTGATCTCGGTGAACTTGAAAATGATTTAATGAATATTTTTGATTATGAGCATTTTTCTTTGGTACAACTATTAACGAAAAATCAGTGGATGATAGTTTACTGCACTCTACTTAAGCGAGCTCCCGATACAAAGGAACGCTTAAATATTGAGACCCATATTCGAGAAGCTGGCCAGTCCTGGATATTACAATCTTTGGAGTATAATGTACCTATTCCTTCCGAGGTTTCACAACAAGATGCAAAAGCTTCCGTAGATGGACAGACACTTACTCCTGTTGAAGATGCGGCACTCAGGCCCAGTGCTGACCAGGCGATCAATAAAGTAACTCCCAAACAACAAGTAAACTTGGAGAACTATGTGTTTTCGGAAGGTGCTCATCTCATGTCGAATAAGGCAGTCAAGCTTCCTGAGGGGTCATTCCGACGTACTGGTAAAGGATATGAAGAAATACATGTTCCTGCTCCAGCGAAGGCTACAATGAAGCCAGATGAACGATTAGTATCTGTGAGTGAACTTCCTGAATGGGCACATGGAGCATTTCCTAATACGCCTACGTTAAACCGAATTCAGAGTCACTTGTTTCCAATCGCTTATGGGACAGATGAAAATGTTTTACTTTGTGCTCCTACTGGTGCAGGTAAAACTAATGTGGCTATGCTATGCATTTTAAATGAATTACAGAAACACCTCAATTCTGATCTTTCTTTTCAAAAGAATGAATTTAAGATCGTTTATATCGCGCCATTGAAAGCATTGGTCCAAGAAATGGTTAATAATTTTTCAAAGCGCTTAAACCCATACGGACTTCAAGTCTCAGAATTAACTGGTGATAGTCAGTTAACTAAGCAACAGATAACGAATACCCAAGTTATTGTCACAACACCTGAGAAATGGGACATTATTACCAGAAAATCAAATGATTTATCGTACGTGAATCTAGTTCGCTTAATAATCATTGATGAAGTTCATTTGCTACATGATGAAAGAGGGCCGGTTTTGGAATCTATTGTTGCACGTACCCTTCGTCATCAGGAAGAATCTTTGGAGAGGATTCGTTTAGTAGGCCTTTCAGCTACTCTACCTAATTATAGAGATGTCTCGAGTTTTTTGCGAGTCAATCCCAACAAGGGTTTGTTCTATTTTGATTCAACATATCGCCCTTGTCCATTAAAGCAAGAGTTTATTGGAGTAACTGAAAAGAAGCCAATTAAGCGTTTGCAGGCTACTAATGAAGTTTGCTATGAGAAAACTATGCAGCACGCTGGCAAAAATCAGGTTCTTATATTTGTGCATTCTAGGAAAGAAACTTATAAGACTGCTCGTTTTATACGAGATAAGGCTTTAGAAGAAGAAACAATTGGTCATATTTTGCGTTCGGATGCAGCTTCTCGTGAAATTTTACAAACCGAAGCTGATACTACTAAAAACGAGCATATGAAAGATCTTCTTCCCTATGGATTTGCTATACATCATGCAGGAATGCGACGAGAAGATCGCCGAACAGCAGAGGATTTATTTGCGGAGGGTACAATTCAAGTTCTAGTATGTACTGCCACTTTGGCGTGGGGTGTCAATTTACCAGCCCATACTGTAATCATCAAAGGTACTCAAATATATTCACCTGAGAAAGGTATGTGGACAGAGCTTTCACCACAGGATGTACTTCAAATGCTTGGTAGAGCAGGTCGACCACAGTTTGACACATATGGTGAAGGTATAATTATTACTGCACACTCTGAACTACAGTATTATCTATCCTTGATGAACCAACAATTACCTATAGAATCGCAACTGATGACTCGCTTAGCAGATTGTCTAAATGCAGAACTAGCTATGGGTTCAGTTAGAAGTATTGAAGATGGTGTTGAATGGTTGGGTTTTACTTATCTATATGTTAGAATGCTAAGATCTCCTGGTCTTTACAGTGTAGGCCCGGAATATGAAGATGACAAATATTTATTACAGAAGAGAGCCGATCTAATTCATTCTGCTGCTTTACTTCTTGAAAAATGTAGGCTTCTTGTTTACAACAAAGAAACTGGTACGTTAACGGCCACTGAATTGGGCAAAGTTGCTGCCAGCTACTATGTATCTCATAACTCAATGGCTACATATAACAGATTATTCAATCAGTCTATATCTTTCATAGAGCTCTTCAGGATTTTTAGCTTATCGGATGAATTCAAATATATACCCGTACGAGAGGAAGAAAAGGTTGAACTCGCAAGACTGTTAGAGCGCGTGCCAATTCCTATACGTGAAGGCCTTGATGATTCTTCAGCGAAGGTCAACGCATTGTTGCAATCATATATTTCAAGGCAACAGCTTGATGGTTTTGCTTTAGTAGCAGACATGATTTATGTAACGCAGTCTGCAGGAAGAATTATGAGAGCAATCTTTGAAATTGCCCTTCGTCGTGGGTGGTCCTCTGTTGCGAAGATGGCATTAGACACTTGCAAGATGATTGAAAAGCGTCTTTGGCCCACAATGAGTCCCTTAAGACAATTTCCAAACTGCCCCAATGAAGTAATTCGACGAGTTGAAAAGAAAGATTTTTCTTGGTACCGCTATTTTGATTTAGATCCTGCTGAGTTGGGTGAATTAATTGGCGTTCCCAAGGAAGGAAGACGGATTTATAATATGGTTCAGTCATTTCCAAGAATCAATGTAGAAGCTCATATTCAACCTATCACTCGATCATTGCTGAGAGTTGAATTATCAATAACTTCTCAGTTTACTTGGGATGATTCCCTTAGTGGTACTTCTGAGGCTTTTTGGATACTTGTTGAAGATGTCAATGGTGAGAATCTATTGCATTACGAACAATTCTTTTTGCTCAAGAAGTATCAGGAAGATGAACATATTGTGAATTTTACTGTTGGCTTGACGGAGCCTCTTCCTCCTAATTACTTCATTACTGTTGTATCAGATCGTTGGTTACATTGCAATTTCAAAGTACCGTTGTCATTTAAGCGGTTGATTATGCCCGAGAAATTTCCAGCCCCAACACCTCTTCTTGATTTACAGAACGTTCCTATTACTGCCTTAGGAAATCCTGAATATATTTCATTATACGAGTCTCAATTCAGTCATTTTAACAAATTGCAAACTCAGGTTTTTAATGCCTTATACAAATCAAATGATACCTTGTTTATTGGCGCTCCCAACGGTAGCGGAAAAAGTGTTTGCGCTGAACTTGCATTATTGAATAATTGGAAAAATCCCGACGCTGGTAGTGCTGTCTATCTTGCCCCATTGCAAGAAATCGTGGATCAAAAGTTTGAAGAATGGAAAGAAAGACTTGGTAATGTTGGTGAAGGAAAGGTGCTGTTTAAGTTGACAGGCGACCGATCTGAAGATCTGAAACTTATTCAAGTTGCTGATCTTATACTTGCTACCCCAACTCAATGGGATTCGTTATCAAAGAGATGGAGAACAATGCGCAGCATACATAAGGTCGATATGTACATATGTGACAATCTTCAGTTATTGGGTGGTACCCACGGGCCTCTTTATGAAGTAGTACTCTCGAGAATTCGTTATATGTCTTTGCAATTAGAAAAGCATATAAGAATTGTTGGTTTCTCTGTTTCTTTGGCTAACGCACGAGACCTTGGTGAGTGGTTAGGTGCTAATCCTCAGAATATATTCAACTTTAGTCCCAAGGATAGGCCTAATCCATTAACAATCCATTTGCAGTCATTTAGCATAAGCCATTTTCCATCGCTTATGTTGGCTATGGCTAAACCTGTATACCGTGTGCTTGTACAAAGTATATCTCAAAGAAAATCCAGTCTTGTATTCACACCTGATCGGAAAGTCGCCAGACAGCTTGCTCTTGATATCGTTACATTTAGTTTGGCAGATGAAGATGAATACCAGTTTTCTGTAGCAGAAACGGAAGCAATTGAGACCGTCCAAGACGTTACTTTGCGTCAATCTCTTAGACACGGAATAGCATTCGTTTCTGAAATAACGTCGTCACACGACAAGGACATTATTGAGACCATGTTTAATCATGGTCTTATGAAAGTATTAATTGCTACACATGATGTAATATATTCTTTGAATGTCAAGTCAAATGTGGTGATTGTTATGGGTACTCAGCAATATGATGGAAAAGAGCATCGATACATTGATTATCCAATCAGTGACTTACTGCAAATGCTAGGTTTCACTGCAAATATGAGAACCAATGTCGTTAGTCAGGCCGTTCTATTGACGGTAAATACTAAGAAGGACTACTACAAGAGATTCTTAAATGAACCATTACCTATGGAAAGTCACTTGCAGGTGTGGCTTCACGATGCTTTTGTTTCGGAAATCTCAACGCAAACTGTTGAAAACAAACAGGATGCTGTAGATTGGTTGACATGGACTTACATGTATAGAAGATTGGTTGCGAATCCTACGTATTACGGTCTTCAGGACATAACCCACGAATCCGTTTCAGAATTCCTTTCAGATATTGTTGAAACCACTATGAATGATCTAAACGAAGCCCGTTTGATCACCGTGGATGAAGAAGATGACAGTTGCGTACCCCTGAATTTGGCAATGATTGCCTCGTTTTACGGGATTACCTATGTCACCATGCAGACTTTTGCTCTAAGCTTAACAGAGCGTACCAAGATGAAAGGTTTATTGGAAATTGTGACATCTGCTGCGGAATATGAACAATTGCCTATAAGGAAATATGAGGATATTGCCTTAGCTCGTATACATTCACGGCTACCGGTTCGCCTAAGTAGCCCGGATTATGAGGATTCTCACACAAAATCTTTTATTTTACTAGCTGCCCATTTTTCACGTTTTGAACTACCTGCAGAATTGGCGTTGGACCAAAAGTTCTTACTTAGCAAAGTATTGAACTTGCTCAGTGCATGTGTCGATACTCTCTCTTCCGAAGGTCATCTCGTCGCTTGTATCAGACCAATGGAAATGTCCCAGATGGTTACTCAGGCTGTCTGGGATCGCGACAGTCCGTTGAAACAGATTCCCTATTTCGATGATGCATTGATTAAACGCTGCAACGAGAAGGGTGTGCAAGACGTTTTCGATGTGATTGACATGGATGACGATGAACGCGTGAAGTTGTTGCAAATGGATAATGCTCACCTTGCCAAATGTGCAGAATTTATTAATAAATACCCCGACATTGACATTAATTTTGAAGTTCATGATTCGGATAATGTACATGCAAACGCGTCCACATTGTTGTTAGTGCAATTGAACCGGGAAGTTGAAGAAGAGGAGGATATTGATATCACAGTGTTTGCCCCTTATTTCCCCGTGAAGAAAACGGAGCATTGGTGGTTAGTGGTTTCCGATGACCAGAATCTTTTAGCGATTAAGAAGGTCACCTTGGGTCGATCCTTAACCACGAAACTCGAGTTTGTACCACCCGAAATGGGTAAAAAGTCATTTAAACTCAGTTGCTTCTGCGACTCCTATATGGGGGTTGATTATGAAAAAGAATTTTCTTGTGATGTTTTGGAGCCTTTGGACGAAGAAATGGATGATGCAGAAGAATAAACAATATTTAACGCTTATTAATTTCGGCTTGGAGAATTCTGCTGATTCGATTATTATTATCTTGCGATTCTTTATACATGAAGGAATTTAATGAATGCTTTCTTCTATTTTGGATGAAGCCGGAGTGAAAGCAGAAAAGGATTTGGATCAGGCTAATGACTGCTTCTTGGCCGTAATAGAGTTAGTTTAGAGGAATTTATTTATAATGAGGATAACATCGTTTCGGTTTTGTAAATAATAAATGGATTGATTTTATATAATGAGTAGATGTCAAGTAGCTGCAAGCCAAATCCAGGACTGAGAATAGGTTCTTCCAGAGGAATGCTGAAAGTATTTCTCGAAGATGGAGGATTTTCGTTTACATGAATTAATAGGAAGGACTGTTTTAGTCATTTTAAAATGTTCATAATCATGAATTAACATCAATAAAGGCGCTTAGTGTATTCTAAGAATAAAGACACAGGAAGGTCTGTATAAGCTTTTCAAAATCTTTGCAATGTATATTTAACTATAATTAACTAGCTAGTAGATGTCTAGAGGGTAGTCATTTAGGAAAACGAGTTATATGGAACACGGTCGAACATAACGTAAATGCACTTCTCTCCAGAGCCACTTAGACGGAGGATTTTGCAATCTTGTATTCACTCAAGTCTATTTATATTTCGACATGGTAAACATTAGAAACATTGAAAAGTCTGAAATAAAGCAGGTAGCTCATCTTGAGGACTTGTGTTTTCCAGAAAATGAACGTGCATCTCTTAAGACTGTATGTCAAAACAGATAGGAGAAGAAGAAATACAATGCCCAATTTCTCTTTTTGATTAATTGAAAAGATATTTATCGTCTATGGGAATATATCGGCAATCTCATGAACGAAGTAAAGAAAGTTGAGTGGAGTATAGTAACTGCTTGGTGCATAGATGGATAATTCTTTATTTACGGCACAAATTAGTATTTCTTCTTTTTCGTTTCGAATGCGTTCTCTTACTGACATTTCTTTATAGATTACTGACAGAGTTTCCCAAGCATCTGAGTTACAACTTGGCCTTTTTGCTCCTACCAAACATACTACCACCTTAATAGGACACTTGATGGCTACCAGAACATCGTCGGAAAGTGTGACGGTAGACTCGATGTCCAAGCATGAGCCCACGGGAAACAACGTAGCTATCCATTCCCTTTCCATTCATCCTGCACATCGTAGTAGGGGCTACGCAAAGCAATTAATCAAAGAACTACAGTTTCGCTGCGAAAAGACTGTCAGTCCCAAGCCTCGGATCATAACTTTGTTGGCTCATAAGCCTTTGATCCATCTCTATGAGGAGACCGGTTTCAAGCTTATGGGTGAAAGTGCCTGCAAGTTTGGAGGTGATACCTGGTACGACATGATTTATGAATTATAGATCGATTACATGATTACATGTGGATTGTGCCTTAGTTAATGTACTTGCACGATTCGTCCCTACAACTCCAGTCCTCGATAACAGTCTTTTTAGTATATCAAGATCTCTTTGAACTTTTAGTAACTACAATTATTTGTTTACGATCTGTTTTGTTGAAAATTATAGCAATAGATATTTCATGACAAAAATGAATGAAACAAAAAGAAACAAGCCTTTCCAACTACATCTAGATAACTCAAAGGGTACCGATAACCGCAGAGTCCGTATACAAAATCTATAATAACCAAAACATATATAAACATAGACCAAACCGGGGTTGAATTTTGTTCAAAAAAAAATCAGACGCAATTTAGAAAACCAAACGAAAGATATACAGACGAAGTCTGATAAAGGACATTACTTGTCATCAGGCAAGTTTGTCACGGGATATTCATAGTAATTAGGATTGTCGTAGACGTAACCGAACTTTTGCAAAAACTCGCCCAAACACTCGGGACCTTCCGAGCCGTACTCGTAAGGAGCGGGTTGAGGCTTCTCTTTTTCCATGTATTCCAAAAGAGGACCAACCAAAGTCCAAGCACATTCAAGTTCATCAATACGAGCGAAACGAGACTGGTCACCAACGAAAGCGTCATAGAACAAAGCTTCGTAAGCCTCGTGCAACTTCATGTTGGTGAAGCGGTTCTTGTAGGTCAAATCTAAGTCAGTGAGGAGAGGCTCGGAGCTGATACCGGGTTGTTTGATGTTCATCTTAAAGTAAACGGCTTCGTTGGGTTGGACACGAATGACCAATTCGTTACGATGGGAATCCTTAAACAAACCGTTGGTAACAGGCTTGAACTGAACACGGACTTCGACCTTACCGGTGTTCATGGCCTTACCAGCCTTCAAGAGGAAGGGGACACCATCCCAACGGTCATTATCGACGAAGAAAGGAATGGCTGAATAGGTGGGACATCTGCTACCCTCGGGGACGGTTTCATCGTCCAAGTAACCAGGATGCTTACCATCCTTGCTCTTAACGTATTGGCCAAAGACGACGTCTTTAAGCTCACCAAGGCGAGTGCGACGTAAAGCTTGAACTTTAGCATCACGCAAATCACCGGCAGCAAGGGAGGTAGGAGGCTCCATGGTGACCAAAGACAAAACCTGAACAAGATGGTTTTGTACGATGTCACGGACAATGGTGCTAGTATCGAAGTAACCACCACGGCCTTCGGTACCAATGGGCTCCTTGAAAGTGATTTGAACATTGGAAATAGATTCCTTGTTCCACAAGTGAGAGATGATAGGATTGCAGAAACGAAGGTGAGTAAGGTTTTGGACCATTTCTTTGCCGAGGTAGTGATCGATACGGTAAATCTCGTTCTCGTGGAAAAGAGGGTCCAACTTGGATTGGAGCTCACGAGCAGAGTCGAGGTCGAAACCGAAGGGCTTTTCGATGATGAGACGGGCAGCACCTTTTTGGGGATAGCATTGTTGCTTTAAGTGGGTAGAGACGGAGACGAAGACGTCAGGAGGGAGAGCAAGGTAGAAGACGCGGTTGCGCTCCTCGCGATCGCCTTCGCGTTCTAAAAGGTGCTTGTTGAGACCTTGGAAAGAGTCAACACCGTCGTAGGAACCACGGTAGTAGGTGCATCTTGTCTTGAAGTCTTCCAACTTTTTCTTGGTTTCCGAGTCATTATCGTCGATCTTGATGAACTGGGTGATACGTTCAATAAAGTCATTAGGTTCAATGTTGGAGCGTGCATAGCCTACGATGACGAGGTCTGAGGGGAGACGGCCATCCTTGTAAAGGGAAAAGAGAGCAGGGAACTGTTGAAAAGGATTAGCGGATGAAACGGAAATAAACATTGATGTGCAGAAGCGGCTGTAACCAACAAAAAGAGAGAGAAGCTTAGCTTACGAGAAGACGGTCGTAGCAGTAAAAACTACTGAAAAAAAGCATAAACTATTTGACAGAGTGTCGCATAAAACATGCTGGATAAACACACATATGCTGAATACGCACGCTTCATGCAAAAGTCAATCCACATACAGTTTTTTTCTTGGCTAAATCACCAGAGGCGCCGAAGACGACCATGGAAGCATTTTGCTTGATGGGTCTAGAAAAAATGTTTGCATTAGTAAAAGCGCGTCCAGCAACCAAAAAGAAAGAAAGCAAACTTACTGTATAGGAGAACTCATCTTTACAAAAATCCTATAGAAATAGATTTGCAAGGAAAAGGAGTGAGTATTTGAATGAACCTACTGTAACGGCAGATGGTAAGTTGGAAGAGTCCGGTGGATTTGACTATAAATATACATGGAAGATCTTTCGAAACATTCGTCAACTGTCGATCCATTGGTAGGACTATGACGCACCCGATCCGATGACAAATCCGTTCTCGCTATCGTGATACTGTGGGATCTATTACTGAGCTTTTTACTAATATGGTAATATCGAGGGACCTAGATTATATTTCAAGCAGAAAGACAAGAGAGAGTCAGTCAAAAGAGTGAGTGGATGGAATAAAAACAAAAGGCAAAGAGAATTGAACTAAATGAAATGAAATTGAATTTGAAAATGGAAATGAAATGAATGAAAATTGGAACGAAATGAATTGAGAAAATGTTGAAAGATGAAAAGACGAAATGGATGAATCTTGAAACTGGTAAATGGAAAGCCAATTGAATGTCTAACGAATTTAATGTTTTTTTTTTTTTTTTTTAGAGAAGCAGAGAAAGCAATTTGAGATGGGAGACAACAAAATCGAGAATTGAGTTGAAGAAATATTATTGATGATGGATGCAGATGCATGCATGCAATGCAATGCAGTATTGCTTTAGCGACACTGGAAGAGTTGGAATCGATTGGATATGGCGAATCATCAGTAACGATCTATGGAACGGTTCTTTTATTTACTTTTATTTTTCATTTTTCATTCTTGCGACATACCCATTCATCGTCCGAGATGAGGCTTACGATGTTGTATTCAACAGGACAAGATACAAACGAATCTCGACCGAGCAAGGGAGAATTTTCTTTTCTTTTACACTTTAGTAATAATTTCTATAAATTATCATATACTATTTATTAATTCTATCATGGATATCGTTGCAACATACAATCCTTCTCACAGACACCAAGACACTCTCTTACACATTACACTCTCTAGACTAGTAGAAATGACAAAAAGAGCGCTAGAGTAACATTCTCGAAGGAACCTCGATACATGAATATAATAACAATAAACGCGGGCCCCGCGAATGATAAAACTTCAAGCTTTCAACAAACTTTCGGACGAAGCGGTCCCACAGACGTTTCGTTTCGGCTTTTTTTTTTGGATCTTTCAACCTGCAGCAGTTTTTCAGTCGCAACCAAACAAGCGGACGAGGTTTCTTCGTACGAGTCAAAGAGAAATGAAAAACGGAAAGAAACAGTCCAATGAAAACGACCCTCAAAATGAATAACGTTCTCAAAAGATTTGCTGGTTATTCCATGGTTGGTCCATGAGATGAAGTTTTTGGTATAAAGAGTCTTTTTTCATGCAATATTTCATCCAGCATCAGTGGTGTAGCGGTAACATGGATGCCTTCCAAGCATTCGCTCCGGGTTCGACTCCCGGCTGATGCAGAATAAATCTTCATTTAAAATCCTTTTTATTGAAAGAAAAGACAAGGGATCGAATTTCATTTTGATTTTTGATTTCGTTAAAAATGTTTCTTTTTGTTTGTTTTCCTTATTTATGAAAAAGAAAAAAGAAATTCGATCCCGTGTTTCTTTCAAACGACCGCTTTATTTTACCATTCCAAAAGTCTCCTCTTACTTCCATACGATAGGATAGGATAGGATAGGATAGGATAGAATAGAATAGAATAGAATAGAATACCAAATTGAGTAAAAATGGAATTCACAAAAGACACACTCTTTTCATTTGAATACAACATTACGGAATTCAGACAAAACAACAATCATTGTTATTCAGAAACATCCTCCGACAAACCTTTTCCATTGCTGTTTTTGCTCATTCTTTTCTAATTGCAAACATACAGTCGAATTGAGCTGATGCAAAAGCAAAAAGTTGCTATGCACATCAACAATAAATAAAAATGAAATGCAAACCAAAAAAATAAATAAAATAAAATAAAGTAAAGTAAAAATAAAAATAAAAATAAAAACTCTCTTTCCATACACAATCTCCCAAAAGATGGCCTCCTTGCTTGAGTCTTGCCTGACCTCGTCATCAAATGACACCCACCCTTCTTCTTCCTACAGCTAGCTAGCTAGCTCATGCATACACTTGAAAAGAAATAGTGGAATCGTCTATTCATCAATACGGTGACATTGTAATTTTTTATTTACGTTTTTTTTTTTTGCTTTGTTTCTGTTTTTATTGTTATTTTCATTTGAAATAATTCTTTCTACAAGCAGTCTTATTTTGGTTCCGTTTTGTACGAAAGCATTTCCGCCTCCATCATGGATAGACGACATCAAGACATTGTGGGTGGTCTCTTTGCTGGCGCCGTAATTTGCTATCTTTTCCAAAAATGGATAGCTCCCAAAACTTCATCCAAGTCAAAAGAGGAGAAACATTTCGACGAGGATATCGTTGAAGGTGTGGAAGGTCTCATTGGCAATACCAAACTCGTAAGAATCAAGTCTTTGTCCGAAGCCACCGGTTGTGACATCTTAGCCAAAGCCGAATTCCTCAACCCAGGAAACTCTCCAAAAGATCGCGTTGCCCTCGAAATGATTCAAAGTGCCCAGGACAAGGGCGAGCTCACTCCCCACCAAAACGACGTCGTCTATGAGGGAACCGCTGGTTCTACCGGGATCTCTCTCGCTATGCTTTGTTGTTCTCTTGGATACAAATGCCACATCTTTATGCCAAGTGACCAATCCAAGGAAAAAAGTGACGTCCTGGAGTTGCTGGGTGCTCATGTTCAACGTGTTCCCCCAGCACCTATCGTCGACCGTAATCATTTTGTCAACGCCGCCCACGACCACGCCCTTCAGCACACAAAAGATAACTCTATTCCAGGAAAAGGCTACTTTTCCAACCAGTTTGAAAACCCGGCCAACTGGCAAGCTCACTACAAAACCACAGGCCCTGAAATTTGGCGTCAATGTGGAGGACATTTGGACGCATTCGTCGCTGGCTCTGGTACAGGCGGAACGATGGGTGGTATCGCAAAGTACCTAAAATCCAAGTCGCCTTCCGTAAAAATCTGTTTGGCTGATCCTCCAGGAAGTGGTCTTTATCACAAAGTCCTTCATGGTGTTATGTTTGACTTGGCGGAACGCGAAGGAACTCGCCGTCGTCATCAAGTTGACACCATTGTTGAAGGTGTCGGCATTAATCGCATGACCCGCAACTTTTCTATCGCCAAACCTCACATCGATTATGCCTACCGTATCACAGACGAACAAGCCGTTGCCATGTCACGATACCTTATTGTTAATGATGGACTTTTTGTTGGTAGTTCTTCTGCTATCAACTGCGTCGCTGCGGTACGTCTCGCCAAACAGCTTGGCCCCGGCCATCGTATTGTTACACTTCTCTGTGATCCTGGAAGTCGACATTTCTCCAAACTTTACAACCCCGAGTTCCTTAAAAAGAGAAATCTGGATGCATCTCTTCCTGCCTCTCTGGATTTTGTTAATCCTTAACTTTGCTAAAGATCAATGTCAACTGATTCCTTCCTGCTTTGTATATTTTTCGTTTGCTCTATACACTCGTTTCCAGTTTCTTTTCCTTTCTATTCTTTTTCATCAGGTTAGCTTAGTTTATAAAAAAAAGAAGAGAAAGCACTACTGTATACTAAAAATCAATATGTTTTATATTTCGTATCCTCATTTTTATTGATAATCCTTTTAGCAACCCGTCTTTTGACTTATACATGAACTTTTTCTCCTTTTTTTTCTTTGACAAACTAATGTCAAACAAAAAGCATTCATTCTCTTCCTTTTCCATTCATCTTTTTCTTTTGTTTACGGTATAGTGTGTTGCAGTGTACTCATTATGTCGGATCACCGTAGGCGTTCTACTTCATTATCTAGAAAGGACAAACCGTTCCGATTAGACACTTGCCCTTAGCAGACAACGAAAAAGGTCAGAGACGAATCTGGTTCCGCATTCTGTTAGTAGGCGTCGTATTTTTTGGTGTCGTAGACCTGTTACTCCTTTAAAAAAAATTCCTTGGACTTAAAACAAAAATTGCAAAATGGCGAGCGCTGATCATACTAGAGATCCCTGCCCTTATGTTATTTTAAATGACTTTGGTGCTGCCTTTTCCATGGGTACTATTGGTGGTGCTATTTGGCACTCTATTAAAGGATGGAGAAATAGTCCAGCGGTATGAATTCTTAGCGTGTTTCTTTACGCCTTGGTTGCGTGTTGGCAAAAGCAACTTCATGCACATCAAGTTTTTTCTTGTGCTTAAAGAAACTAATTTTTTACGTTTTAGGGAGAAAAGCGCATTTCCGCCATCACAGCCGCCAAAACTAGAGCTCCTGTATTGGGTGGTAACTTTGGTGTTTGGGGTGGTTTATTCAGTACATTCGATTGCGCCGTAAAGGGAGTCCGAAGGAAGGAAGATCCATACAACGCCATTATTGCTGGTTTTTTCACTGGTGGTGCTTTAGCTATTCGTGGTGGTTGGAGAGCCACCCGTAACGGTGCTATTGGATGTGCTTGTATTTTGGCTGTTTTTGAGGGTCTTGGTATCGCTTTGAATCGTATGCAAGCAGAAGCAAATCGTCCCGTTGCTCCCGTCCTCCCAGAACCCGCTTCCTCGTCTTCTTCTGCTCCTGCTGGTGCTGCTATTTAATCATGGGAATGAAAAATTTTTCTATCGCTTCATTGATTACCATGATAGACGAACATTTTCTAAAGTTTACCTAATCTGCATTTTTGATTATATGGCTTCCTAATCTGCCTTCTTTTCCCTTCTTTCTCTGTCGCTTGCAGCGATCCCTTGACTAGTATTATTTTACTCGCTAATTTTTTTATTCAAGTATACAATTTTACGTCTTTGCTGGTCGCGAGTCTTTTTCTCTGTCATCTTCTTCGAAAAGCAAAATTTGATTATAGGTTTTCATTGTTGTATTGCTTTGTCATTGGATATACCCTAAAGTTGTGATCTTCATGTTCAAAAAAATCCGAAAGATATTATCGAGTTTTGCATTATTTTGTTCTGGAAATGAAGGCTCATTTTGACTTACCGTCTTCTTTTACCCTCTACCTCTCCGCTGACATGTAATTTACTTACCCTCATATTAGACATTTACTATGTTTAATAAAAATAACCTTCTGAAACTTATTTAAGTCTTTAAGCCACGTATACACTTCAGTGAATGTCAAGACTAAGAGTACCAAGGTGTAGCCATTTATCTTGCTCATTCATAATTTTTATCCAATTTTAAATATTGTCAGAAACAGTGTCAATTGAATCCTTTTGCGTTTTCATCTGATGGCTATCACATAGCTAATAGTTTTCTGTAGCCGGATGAAAATATATATTCTTCTAGCAGAGCATAGTGGAATTACATTCTTACCTGAGTAGGCGCGTAGAGGTCCTGCCAAAAAGATTTTGGTAATTCCACTATTTCTGATGAAAAATCACATTTTTTAGATGTTGCTCAATAGCTGTGCATTATGTGTTGCCAAAGCACTGTATAGTTTTGATTTGATTTGGGTTCTAAATAACAGCGGCCGTTTGGTCTAGTGGTATGATACCATCTTAGGGTGATGGTGGTCCTGGGTTCGATTCCCAGAACAGCCCAATTTTTCAATCTAAATTGTAGAAGCAGTTGCTTTGTAGAAATTAAAAGTTTTTCTTAAAGTAGTTTGAAAAAGACATATCATACTAAATTTGGGCAAGTTTTATCGAAAGGCTGTTCATAAAATAATAGCATGAAAACATGAAAGACTTAACTATGACTAAAAGACGTTAGATAGCAACAAAAGATTAACCATTTTTTTTCTTGGAGGTAAAAAGTCGTCCTAGACTCTGTAAAGTACGACTGCTTGCTTCCGGTGTTAAATCAAGTGATAAACGAGACCGTATGTTCAAATCCGTATATGTTGAAGGGTTTAAATACAAAAAGATTGCAGAATTGTCGGAGAGATCATTCTTTTTGGAAACAAAAGAAGAAAATAATTGAAGATAACTAGATTGTTCGCTTTTCGGTACTCCTTTCATGTCTAATATTATGGTAAAATTCGACACCGATCGGTCTTTAATTAGGAAAAGGTAACTTTGGATAATCCCTTCTTTTGGAAGAGAAGGAGTCAACAAAGTTTTAAGCAGGGTTTCAATGTATCCCATGAAAATCGTTAAATGGTTAATGTAGCTGTCAGTTATCGTATAATCAGGCTTGCTACTGGGCAACTTCAGTAAGAAATTCTTGAACGAACATAAATCCAGTAATATTTGCTCTGCACCGATTTCAGATATCGGTTTAATCGTATATATATAGTAGAAAAATTGCCTTGTGAAAGATTCGCAAACCCGATCACAGAAATTGCGAGCTAGCGTATTCTGTTCAATCGTTCCCAGGTACTCATCAGCATTCAGTTTCATTTCATGAATGGCGTTTGATACATAATTACTCTGATCACCCACAGTATCCAAATTCCTTAGATCCATTTTTCCAAAAGGTTCTAAACTCGTTTTTATAGAATTTTCAAACTTCTTCGTGCAGGATTTAATTAACAAGCTTTTACAGTTCAACAAGTTGTCGATCACTTTTTGAAAGGACATTTGCTCCAGTAAATCGGCATGACATACTTCCCGAAATCGCTTTTCAAGCTCCAAGGTTGTTCGATGTATGTACTCGGCAGTATTTAAATGAACGGCGTACTGTGAAAAAGAAAGTGATTGTAAGTCTGCAAGAAGTTCTATTTCAATATACCTCCTTAACCAATTAGCAAATAAATTTTTTAATCCTATTAGAGGTGGGCCTCTGGTAAATTGAAGAAAATGGCCCATGATTTTGCGATACAGTTGAAAAAGTTGCATGGAAGAAGAAAGTATTTGGTTAGATTCTTCGGATGAAGTTTCATCTTTCGACGGAAAAGAAATAAAGAGTGTTTCCAATTGTTTAGCTTCATGCTCAATATAGACTTTGTAGTAAGGATTGAATTCGTTAGATAGAGATTCGAACGTCTGAAAAGTCTGGGTTTTAATACTTCCCTCTAGGCTATGCTCATTAAGAACATGAGAAAATCGCTTTTTTAATGCATTCTGAAAATCTAATGTTTGACGGATGGAAGTGAAAAATACCGGATAAGAAATGTCTTTTCCTTTTAATATCTTAGATAAGTCTGCTTTCGTTTCATTGCAAAAGTAAACGCATAACTGAATATCCATCCTCCAATGAGCTGGGAAAATTAAAGCGTGTTGATCATCATAAGTTTGAAGAAGTTTGAAAAACCAGTCATATCTTCTGGAAAAATTTTCTAATAAACCAGCTTCTTCGTTTTCCCGAAATACCTTAAAAAATCCATCCAACTGATGATGACAGTACCAATCCTTTAATGCATTTGAGCATTTTGGGCCATTGACATCAATGAAACCACACAGCTCATGCAGACCTTCTACTGAAGCAGCATTAAACCCTCCTCGTATACTGTTAGCTTTCTTAAACTGTAATTGAAAATTTTCAAACACTTGTTCATAGAATGATCGTTGAAACTCCGTGATGTTTCGGCTTAACGAAGCAATCCTTTCAACACTTCTGTAGTTTTTAAAGAATTGCAATAGCTGCAACATAGCTAGCATTAACGAAGTCGCTTCTCCTATTTGTCTGTTTTGTCTGAGAGTCCGCAGTTTTTCGTAAGCTGTCACAAGCATCTGCAGACGTTTTAGTAAGGTCATGGACGAAGTAAGGTTCTTTTTCGCAACATCCAAGTTCTTAATTTCCGAGGTAAGTTGTACGATTGACGATTGAGTATCTTCAGCTGTCAAGTGTAAACATTGTAGTTGTCCAACGACTTCTCTGACGGTGACGTTGAATTCATTTTTCTGAGCCAGTAAGTTGTTATTGGATTCATTATATCCATTTTTTATAGATCCTAAATCATCCTGCGACCGATTTAATTGTTCCACTAAATTCCCGCGTATTGATTTCAACTGCTCGATGGAAGTTGTCGAAGGAAGCAGACTTCGGAGGGCGTCTTCATGATCGAATGTATCTTTATGTAATTTTTCCAATATTATAGGTACTGCTTGTTCGTCCGACATCTAACTTGGTTAATCTTCCGAATAGCGAACGCACCTTGGTAAGCTTCTATGAGGGTTGTGCGATAGATATAAAGGGATAATCGGTCTAAAGTTGGAAGTGCTTCAATATACTTTATGTAGAAATACGTTCAATTTCAGTAATTTCTTGCGATTGAAAGTCTTCCTAGTTTGCTGAAGATTCAATCTCACAAGTAGTGGCACGGTTCTTGGAAGATGGAAGGAATTAGGATGAACGTGAGGTTTCTAGAAGCATTGCAAGGGCATCGAATTAGATAAATCAGTGTAGAATAACTTGTAATTAAATTTTTGAATATATTTCTAAGACAAAACTTGAGCACGCTACGAAAAGAGGGTTCGGCGACATGAAGATTTCAGCGAGAACTTGCGTTTGTTCACAAATATAAAATATTGGTGGACATACGTAAATTTTTAAATACTTTTTATATTGTCTTCTAATTAATGTGTAGTGAATATTGATGAAGCTTCTTACAGAATGTCTTTAGTCATAAGCAGTAATGATAAATGGAATGTGAATATTATAGGAAATTTTCTGATTCTGCGCATAGTGTATTAGAAAAATTTATATCAAAGAGGTCATGCTACACAGTATCCAGAAACTAAACGAATTGAGCTATTATCTTGCTGAAAGCGACCTTTTATAATGTTGGATACATAATTATGAGAACCCTTCGACAGAACGAACATCTATTGCTCAACATTTGAACCAAGCTGTTACAGATATGCAGCATTATATGCAAACGATAATTCAAGATGCTTGTTCTTTAATATCAGAAAGTATTCATGACAAAAGATTAGTTTGATAAAACAACAAAATATTTAAAGGCGATTTAGTAAACTTTCAAATCCTTTCACTTCACCTTCACGTAACAGACTAACAGAAAAAATGCTTTATTCATTACAAAAATCATTCCTTAAAGAGGAAGAAAGAGCGAAATTATCATTGTTATCCACTTCATTCTCACAACGAAAAAGGGCAATAATTTTCCACAAGCTGTATAAGCAACATGTTAACGGTAAACGGATCTTAGGAGAATCGGGAATATGCGAAGTTTAAGGTCACTCTCGATCGATCGAAATAAAAGATAATATAGGACATAGTTATTGAATGAAAATTTTTTAATGGTGTGTAATTGTTTTTGAAATACTCGAAACGATTATTACTTTGAAGAAATAACTCGTGAGAATTCTTCATAATTTATGACACCATCACCATCAGTATCAGCTTCACGAATCATATCGGTGACTTCCTCTTGAGAAAGGCGTTCACCAAGACTGGTTAATACGTGCGTAAGCTCTTCAACTGTAATATATCCATTTCCGTCCTTGTCAAATACTTTGAAAGCTTCGCGCACTTCCTCCTCGTTGTCAGTATCCTTCATCTTTCGAGCCATCATAGTCAAAAACTCTGTAAAATCGATGGTTCCATTACCATCAGCATCTACTTCATTAATCATGTCTTGTAATTCGGCCGCTGTAGGTGACTGACCAAGGGATCGCATTACAACACCCAACTCGTTTGAAGTTATATTCCCATCTTGGTCTCGATCAAACAAAGAGAAAGCTTCACGAAACTCGGCAATCTGTTCATCTGTAAGATTACGTGTAGCCTAAACGTTTGCTGAAAAAGGATATCTTCAGATGGATTCTGAAGAATCCCATCAGCCACATGTTAGCTCTCCCCCATAAAAATAGATATTTCAAAAAAAAAATCTCGTACCATTTCTGTCTATTATTATGTTGTATTTCTTGTTTATTGACCTTCGGTACGGCTTTTACTGTTTTGCTCTGGTTACGTTCATTTTCCAATAAGGAAGGATGTCACTTAAGGGCTTCCCTTGAGAGAACAAAGCGGGTGATGTCACCGTTTATCGAATTTCGTTTCAGTCCACAAACATATTTAGTGAACAAGTGTTTTTGCTGTAATAAACACTAGAATAAACAAGAATTCGACTGATCATTTTGTTTTCGTTGGGAATTACACGTAGTTTTATCTTCCTCTTCTATTTATTATTGTTATAATAAAATTGAGCTTACTACTAATCAGTGTTTTTAAAAACTTCGAATTTCTTTATGCGTTGTTGTAATCTGAAAAGTATTCTCTAGATAGCTTATTCGGTATAAACAACTTGCTGAGATATATTTAATATCAACTATTATAATATTTCAAGAATCTATAGTCATTGACTCGTGTCTTTGTCTCAAAAAAGAAAAGAAAAAGACCTTGTAAAAGCCGCGGATACTTTATAAGAAAAATAGACGACTAGTTCCCTAGCTGTTCCTTTTCGAATACATTTCACCGGTCGTTTAATTGATGCATTCATCAAAGTTATTAATTTCGACTTTGTTAAATGTGAATACCTCAGAAGCACGCCAAACCAGAAATATGTATGGGTTCAACGAGTTTTACATACACATAATCTGTATTATCAACAAACCATTAATTATGGCTCTCTTCTTTTTGACTACTTTACAAGAGCGTTTCTTATACGAACTACATGAGCACAGATTTCCCTTGCAAATCGTGTGAATAAAAGAAAAACAAGAATACAGCTACACTCCCAGTTTCAAAAATGCTGTAATTTCCTTTGCTTACGAATAGTTTCATTGAAAGGGTAAAAGAACTCAGTGTACTCTGCAAGCAATCCTTTCCTTGTTCCGTGCATCCTTTGTGCCACTAGCTTAAATTTATTTTTTTATAGTGCTTAAACTAGGAAGAAGTATCAAGATTTTTTTTTTGAAATTGACAGAAAGGTAGCATTTTTCACGATGGTTTATTCAGTGGCATTCTGTGACATCTCTATTCTTTCCTTACCACCAAAAATTGCAGACACAAAAATTATAGAAGATACATTGTATAATGGATAGCTGGGGTATGTAAGACTATAGAAAATAGAAACTGACAATAATTTAGAGGACTTTTTGGTTGAGGAGCCTGGTAAGGCTACCGAAGTTGAACTTCCTTTAGGAAAACCTCAAAAACCCAAAAAGAAATTTGACGATGAAGAGGACGAAGTAGAAGAAGAAGAACCTCAAACTAACGGCGTCCAAAACTCTTCCGCGGATTCTACCAAACCGAAGCTCACTAAAGCTGATCGTGTGCAACAACGTATCCAAGAACGCAACATTGAAAAGGCTATTCAAGCTAGCGAGGAGGCTGCAAAATCGAACAATGCAGCTAAATCTTCGAAAGAAGATATGCGACAGGCTGAAATTGACTCAGACTTGGCCAATGCCATGGACCTTTTCGATATCGTCGATCAAAATACCGCGAGCGGTAACCGTGCTAGACAAGCTGAGCAACAGCGTGAATTGAAAACCAAGGCTGATTTTGCAGCATTTCAAGCCGAAATTCTTCGCAAAGTTAAACACTCGCAGAATTCCACTGAGTACAGCGACTTTGTTCAGGAACTAATTCCTCTCATGCTTACAAGCTTGAACGCTTCTAGTGTCAAGTCTATCCAAAAATCCGTTAATAAAGTAGTAGCTCAAAAGGAACAACAAGAAAAAGCTCAGTCAAAGCGTGGTGCTCCCGCTGCTCCTGCTAAGAAAGCACCAGTTGCTACTCCTTCTACTACTGCCGCTAAAAAGTCTGCCAAGCCTACAGTCAACACAAACTCTAAGCGAGGAGCTGCCAACGATGCCGTTTACGAAGATTATGTTGAGGACGAATACGATGACTACGCGGATGACTTTGATGACTTCATGTAAGATATGAAAGTCATTCTTACATATTTTAAAGTCCTTTATTAGTTTTTCGTTTTGTATTGGCTTGTTCGTTTCATTATTTCTAGTTCCTATAGCCTATTAGCTCAAGGTTCAATGAAGAGGGGGTTCTGTAAAAAAAAATAAACATGCCAATAGCTTTGATGCTTAATGTGTATCTTGTAAACATAAATCATTTAATTATTCAAGCATATCCATATGTCCAGCCACTTTGTAAAGGTCAAAGTCTTTTCCGGTTGCGAAATTTTCAAGCAAAGAAAGTCGTTCCTTGCCCAAGGGGGTATCCGATGAAGCGTTATAAAACTTTTGAGCCGCGAGCAATAATAACTGAACGTCGGAAGAAGTTAAAGATTTATTCTCTTCAAATTGACATCGCATAAGGGCAACGCCATTTGATTCAAGTAAATCTGAAAAGTGAGTGAGGACAGTATGCGGAGTAGCATAAGCATTCTTGAGTTTATATTCTAACAGGGTAGTAATTATAAGATGGGCCGTGTTATTATTAGGGAAACCCCATTGAATCAAATGAGTTTCCATGCCTTGGTTTTCTCTGGGTAAAGGAAGCACAAAAAGTGGGTACTTTTTTGCACGAGAGATCATCCTTTCGTATGTTTGCTTTTCAATACAACTACTCAAAATGTTTTCCTGAAGATTTCTGGCTCTCCACAATTTTTCAATCACAGATGACGGAAGATTTTGAAACTTGCTTACGTCTATAAAGTCGTTTAACTCAGGAAATTTCTTTACCTTCTTGACCTGGGGCTTCTTTTGTGATTTTTCTGCTAATTCTTGTGATTCAGAAATCGCTTGTTTCGGAGTTGAGCTTTTGCGTGCATTCTGAACGAGTTTTTCCAAGGGTATACTTTCCTGTTCAGCCTTTTGTTTTAACTTTTCTTGATATCTCTCGTATACCTCGTTCTTAGGGGTTCCTTGAACCTCATGACTATAGAGACGGAGAAAAGAACGACCAATATTTGGTTTCCAACAAGTATTTCGAACTCCTAGTGTAGATATAAGCTTTGAGCGGATCATCATAGTCATGAAATATTAGTCGATGTTTTTCTTATTCTTTCAATTCTTTTCTGTAATAAACAACGGTCAACGCGGTTTCTAAAGATTAACCCTTTTCTCTGAAGATATAAATATAACGTATAACAAGAGGTCTTAATGAACTGACCAGCGGTTAAACTAGAGATCAAGCAAATGTAAAGGAAAAAGCTTGAAAATACCAACTACAAAAATATATATTTGTATACACGTCAATTCCTCGAATATAAGAAGAAAAGTATGCAACCAAAAGTGAATCAAAAACGCGAGGCTACTGTTCTATAGAACTCGAGCGTTTTTGGTGTATAAACAAAGACGAGCAAACCCTCATTAAAACTCGGAGCTTAAGAGCACTTAACGTATGTGACAGTACTGGTGAAAGGTTTCAGCCACCTGGTTTATCCTTACATAACGCTTCATAACGATTTCGTGTGCGAAGAAAGTCAACACCAAATGGTGGTAAAGTGAACATTTGTATGATTTGGTTTCTGTTTCTACCACAAAATCGAGTATGGCAGAATCAGAGGAGAATTATGAGAAAAACGTACAAGAAACGAACAAAGGTGATATTATGAAAGAAGAAGTCGTTGAAAAAGTTGAAGAATCTGGAAAAATTATCAAAAAAATAAAAAAAGTGGTAAAACGCAAGAAACGACCGGCACGTAAACAAATAGAAGAGAGACCGGAGTTTGAAATGGAAGCTCCTCAGCAAGGTCAGGTGTATAATATGTAAGTGAATTGATGGGTGAATTTGTGGATAAGTGAATTGCTAACTGTCTTTAGCTGGTATAATAAATGGAGTGGTGGAAATCGTGAAGACCCATTGAAAAGTCAAATAAAATCTGATACAAGATGTAACATTGAAACCGATTCTGGTTACACAAAGGCTGATAAAATTCCTGGGTCTTATTTTTGTCTTTATTTTGCTAGAGGAATGTGCTCGGAAGGGTAGGTTGCTAAGTCACATTACCAAAGTACTAACGCTGTAATAGATCAAAATGTGAATTTTTGCATCGTTTACCGAACGAAACAGATTTTTTTAATGCCAACGTAGATTGCTTTGGAAGGGAAAAGCATGCCGACTATCGGGACGACATGGGTGGTGTTGGTTCCTTTTTGCGTCAAAACCATACACTATATATTGGTGGGATTCAACCAACAGAGGATATTGAAGAAGTTGTTGCTCGGCACTTTGCTGAATGGGGAGACATTGAACGCATACGTGTTTTGAATTCTCGAGGAATTGCTTTCGTCACATACGTGAATGAAGCTAATGCCCAGTTTGCAAAGGAAGCAATGGCTCATCAATCTCTTGACAATGATGAGTGCCTCAACTGTCGATGGGCAACATTAGATCCCAATCCAGCATCTCAAGCACGAAATCAAAGGCGCTTAGAAGAACGTGCAGCGGATGTTGTAAAAAAAATACTGCCAAAGGAATTTTTAGAAGATCTACAAGAACAAAAGAATGGAAAAGGAAATCAAAAAAAACGGAAGCTGGAATTAGAATTTGGGCTCAAAGGTTATGTACCTTCTGACGACTTAGTTTATGCAGACGGATCTTCCTCTATCCGTAACCAAAGATCTATAGAAGCTTCCTCTAAACTAGTACAACAGACAGATGATTCCGAGGCTAATTCCGATGCCGTAGAGCAAACGTCTACTTCGTCCAACAAATTTCTGAACTCCGATGTTCTGAAGGATCTTCGCAAAATATCCCAAGTCTCACAACAAAAGAGTCCAGCGCTGGTTGCTGGATATGATAGCGATGAAGATTAATGACTGTTTCCTGTATAATAAACGCTCTTATTCATATTTCAGTTTCAGCCAACATCTTAGTAGCACGAGTAAAATGGACAACAGTTGTTATTCTTGCAGTGTACATTCAAACTATCAAACAAGCTTTTGCGTCTGTCAAGCTGCAATTCTACAAATACTACGGATGGATATTCACGTTACAACAATCTCGTTACCTACCAAAAAAAGCTACAATGACATAAATCTTATAGACAAGAAGGGAATCGAAAAGAAATTTTTTTTACTAACGACACAGACCATAAACCTTAGTAAAAAGTGGTAGGGCGGTGAGGAGCAAAAACCTTCTTGCCAGCCAAGCCGAGAGTACCAGTACGACGGTGAGGGAGAGGGAACTTCAACTTAGGATCAAGGAGTTGCTTGACGTAGCTACGGCGAACCTCTTCCTTGTTCTCAACGGTAACAACCTTGAGGATACGGATGCTGCGGAAGCGAGCACGGTGACGAGCAGCCATGTCTTGGTACATAGCCTCGACAGCACCAACACGGGTGGTGTCGCGGAATTCCTTGTACATGTTGTGAGTGCCGGAACGGGAGTCGTAACGGATCCAGATACCGAAAACCTTGGGTTGAAGGGGCTTGGGCTCGTGAATTTGGTTAACGGCAACAATTTCACCAGTGGCCTTCTTGACCTTGTTAATCATCTTTAAGAAGTACCAGTAACGGGACTTGGCAACAGATTCATTAACGGCGAATAAACGCATGCGGAACAACTTGGGAACAGGTTCCTGTTCAGTTGGAACCTTGCGGCCAACAACTTGATACTCCTTCAGTGCCATTCTTGCTGACTCTGGCTATGGACAAGTTTCGTGGTGCCAAGTTTGAAACTTCTTACCCAGTAATTGTGACTGCTTTTTTGGTAAACCATTTCTGGGCATGCTACGCTACTGTACCGTATTTATAAATAAAGATGGTTTCTATTGCGCTATACGATAAACAAATACTCTATAAACACAGTTGGGAGCAGTAGAAAATTTCTGTTTGAGTTTGTTAGCTGAACGCCAAATTCAATAATTCAATGTTGATCTACCATAAGAAATTTATAGAAAGTAAAATACAAAGGAACAGAAAAAGAAAAAAGACTATAGCATCCCGGATTTCCATATCGTTTCCTACCATAGTAGAAACCGGGTTTTCAGGCGCTCAGTTACAGCGATTAATAGCGCTGTGAGATCGGGGATCTATTTGTAAAATTTGTAATATCAATTAATAAATCTAACGTTTATATGGTGTACGATTTCCATTCCCTGTATTGAAGGGTTCATTTGTATCTAAAAACATTTGAACGTAATCTGAGAATGCAATACAGAAAATATATAAATTAATAATATTGTTTTATTAACTAAGTAGATAAAATTACTTTAGGTAATACGTACTGTCAAAGTGGTTGACCATGCGGAGAGTTTGAAAACTTCAACAGGATCGAGAGTGCTACTTTGTCACACTAGGGCTTTACATTGTATAATCATAAGGATGTGCGAATTGCTTTGATAGGATCAGGAATTTTGAATCTGTATTCCTGAGAGTTGATTTAGGTATATACTATACGTATTTTCTGACCTAATTAGGCAAAGTGAAGATAGTTTACATCAAGATGCTACTTCAATTGCTCTTCCAAGATAATCTAAATATAAGCGAGTGAATGTAATTTCATGTCTTTGGCTAGTAGATTAATCATTGTGCGGCGTGAACATATGTCCAACAATCACCCAATGCCTTTTAAGATCCTCATGCCTTAATACTTAGAACGTTGAAATCAGCCGATAGTTTTTTGTATGCGATTAAAATTGCTAAAAGGTTTTCAATTATCTTTTCACCTAACTACTTTTTCCAGAGGAAAAGTCGTTACGACAAACAAGCATTTTCTGCTTTGTGTCATGAAAAAATCAGTCTTATAGGAAGAACACCTATTACAATTTTTTGATTATCAGACAAATACAAGACGTATCCAAAGGATGCTTTAGCTTGATTGAAGGCCTCTTTCTACCTCTAGCAGTAGCACAACATTCAAAAAGCCTCAAACTTTTTCAGGCTACGTGCGATCTTGTAATGTTATTAAGTGATCAGCAATCTCCATTTCATTTATAGATATCGACTGCTTCAATATAGAGATAGAGAGCTTGAATTATATTTAATTAGCCTTTGAAGTCAGCATAATTAGCCTGAACACATCCCTTTATGATGCTTTTAGTCTGACACAGCTGTCCGTCACCTAACAGGTATCGTTGAGTAATGTAGGCAACGTCCTAATGTCACTGCGGTGATATTTGTTATAATATTAATACAAAAGTATTTCATTGAAACGTGAACGAAATAAGTACTAAACAAAAAATTATATCAAAATAAAATGAAATTGAAAATCTATAAATATGTCTAACCAAAAGTATGAATATTCCAAATTGGAAGATTTGACTTATCCGGCCTTTTAAAACCAAGTTAGCACATTATTTAGCTAATCAAGTCATTGGTCTCTCAAGATACTAAAAAAAGCTTTCTGCATAGAATCCAACATATATATAAACAATTTATACCCCTCTTAACGCATACATTCAGCTTTTAACAATAACAAACCGTAATAACCCGGCTGCGAGACAGTGTGCATAAAAAAAGTAATGCTAATTCAGCATGTTATTGCAGATAATAAGCAAAAAGCAACACGGCATTTCTCTAGCCGTTCGTCGAAATATCGATGATTAAAAAAGGAATAATACAAAAAAGTAAAGGAAAAGCCTACAGCATCCCGGATTCCCATGTTGTCTCCAACCATAGTACTAACGAGACCCTCAGACGCTTAACTGCAGTGATCGGACGGGAACTGGTGTTTTCGCCTAGGTGTGGCCGTAGACATTCAGAACGTGTAACTAAAGGTATTTGTATTTGTAGTGGGTATTCATCATCTCAGATTTTACAAAGTTGATAGAGGATGGTTTTGATACTTAAAAGATTAAAGCACACTGTTTTTCTCTTTTCTAGCTATTCACATTGTGCTAAATTGTCGTTGAGGTATGAGACTGAATGTCTGAATTTATAGCAGTTGACGAAGCTGTAGTTTGAGAAGTAAATTATTAAACTACATTAGTTGAAACGGCCAATCTGAATATGTCCAGCTTTGAATTAGAAATCGGTTGATTATTTTGCAAAATTAACATCATAACAATTAAATAATCATTAAAAAGGTTGCTTTAACAAGGATGTTCGTCACAAAGAGATTGAAAGATTCATAAATAACACTATTGCGAGACGAATTCTTAGATCCATAAAAGAGTGAACGTGAAAAGCAATCCAACCTGCCGAATGAAGCTATGCTTACTTTTGTGGACAAGAATGCAGAAACTCGAGGGATCGCAATTGATATGAATGTTTCCAAGGAAAATGTGATTTATAGGAGGGATGGAAAAGATTCGTTAAAACTCAAACTTCAGCGCTTTGCCCAGCAAAAGGTTGAAGCTCGATTTCCTCGTTATGAGGTGCTTCATTTTCTGGATCTGTCGGTCCTAATTAAGTTAGTCAGATGCTAAGAAAAGAAAAAAAAAGAATTTATAATAAACAGTACATACGAAAGTAATTCGCAGCATTTCCTAAATCAGCAATAAATATTCGAAGTTGTCGCGCATCTGGATATCCTAGAACAGTTAGAATATTTCGCAAGGTGTAAGACATACTCCAAAATAAAACAAACACGGCAACGTTAACAATGCAAACAAAATAGAAAAACCCTTTGTCCATCTTTTCAAATCCTATTACCTTCTTTACAAAATAATACACGGAATAACAAGGGACATTCAGAGAGGCCGTACATAATACTGCGGCACACATGTTGGACAGCACTCTACCAATTTGCGTGAACCATTCTTTAGGAATTTGAGACATTGCTAATAGTTAGTAAAAATAAAAGATAGCGCTAACTTACAATAGAGAAATACTACAATGGATGCTGGACAGGTAACCGAAAGTCCCCAAAAGGTTTCCGTCCTCACAGGAATCTTGAAATAAAAAAACACCACGAGAAAAATAGAATAAGTTACAACATACACAACAGATGCAAAAAAAAAGAAGATAGCTATTCGAATCCACTTCGAATATCTCGAATCCGACCCAGCGTTGTTAGTGGACTCTTGGGCAGAATGCTGAGCAGATCCATCAGCCATTTCTAAATCAATAAATTTGTTCGGAGCTAATGAATGTATTAGTAATGAATGCTTTTGTTGTTTGAGAAAGGATGGAGCGTTTGTCAAGTTTGCTGATGGTAATCAACAAGTTTATTAATCTTAAACACAACAAGTAAATAAACAAACATGATTCTTCATCAAAACTGTTTTTAACCTAGATTTTTTCAACAAACATATAAAAAACCAACCCTTCCTTTCTATTTCAATAAATCTTACCTGAATACGGAGGAGGCGTACCCTCTGAAGAATGTATATCTGATTTCTCATCAATGAGCGTTTTGAAAGACTCGTCAGAGTCTGAAACAGGACTGTATTTATTCTTCATTTTTGCAATGACAAGCCAAAAACCAAAAAAGAACGGCAATATTTAGAGTTGAAAAAGAAATCGACTAGAATCGCCAACAAAAGTTCTTAAGAGTTGGTTCCAATTGGTGCAGAGTCTTCAAAAATAGGAATTGGTCCTTGCTTCAAATACCAAACAATTCTTACGGCACAACTTTCTTTAAAACCAAAGATACGAGTTTCATAAAATCTTGGTAGTGGCTTTTCGCATGTCTCGTTTCATAAAAGCTGCGACATTATGTCACCGACTGGTAACAACTGTCATTGCAATTTACGTCCTTCTCATACTATGATATTGGTAAATATTTCGATACGATAATCATATTGTATTATCAATTATAATATTACTAAAAGTAAAGTCTCATTCTTTGATTGAAAATTGCAAATTCTAAAATTTGGATTATTAAAAAACTTACTAATTACTGAAATACTTGCATATATATTTAGTTGAAAAGATTGAATCTTCAGAGTGGGACATTTGACTGATCTAGCTAAATACATTGTTCGTATACTTTGTTTCCGTATCAGGTCCCTGGAAGCCATTACTAGTTAGAAAATAGTATAGAATCATCCACTTTAGCAAGTTAAGCCTGAATTTTTTCAAATAGAAATGTATACTCTTTCAATGATACCCTTATTCTCAAATAACAAACGAGATTTGACAGTGACAGTGACAAAATTTATCATTCAAGATTCACTCATTGTTTATTTCTAATAATAATATTTATTTATCTACTTTATTTACTATGCCTTTCGAGTTTTAAGTTTTGTTTTTCACCTGTTTCATCAAAAATGCCCATTATCACTTCCAGAAACCAAGGTTGTAGGCTTTCCTGGAGTAACCCAGCAGACTCTATTGCTGATTCCTTCTTCCTCAAAATTTCGATTTAATTCTTCTTTACATTGAGTAAAATGACCCCATCCTTCGAAATGAATAGGTACCATCAGCCCAACATCCAGATTTTTCACTAGTCTCCCAGCTTGTTTACCATCCATAGTAATCTGCAGCGGTCCATCGTGAGAAGGCATAATGGCCTTTCCAAGATTCAAAATCGCAACACATACATGATACTTTTTACGAATTTCGTTCATTTCGTCAATGTAAACCGTATCACCAGAAAAGTAAATCACATTTGAAAGTCCTTTAGAATTTGTACCGAATGTGTCGCACTCCAAGATAAAACCGGTGCACTCTTCTCCTGGAACATGTCTTGTAGGTACCCCGGTAATTTGAAAGGTTTTCCCACCCACCTCAAGTGGAATTGTCTCCCATGGGCGAATGCCACGAACACCTGGTCGAGGTTGGAGATTCTTTGCACCATCCATAGTGGTAATGACTTTACGGCCATCTAAAAGACGACGTCCAAGATCATCCAAATTATCTGCATGATCTTCGTGACTTAAAAGTACTGCATCAATAGGTGGTAAACTTTCCAATCCCAAGGCAGGACCAAAGCTATTTTGCAAAACAACTGATCCATCCTTTAGAACTTTTGATTCATATTTCATTTTCGTTCCAGCCGACGAAAATACTGGATCAGTTATAAAGTTGACATTATCGATACTGAGAATAGCAGTGGCAGTCGTAAGGTGGGTAATGCTCACTTTGCTACAAAAGTCGGTACAAGGCATTGTAACAGGAGATTCCAGAAGTTTTTCTTTTCTTTTCTTTTTTTTCTTGGCTTAAACTAGAATACAAAGGAAGTATATAAAACATTTCTCCTAATAAATTACATAAGCCTACCGCATAAAGCATACCGTGAATTTGCAGTATGCGGTACCTGGTGCGCGGGAGAAAGTCATTGAGTGTAGGGTCCAATCGACATCGGGGTACTGCTATCACGTCCTTTGCTGCCCTAGTATTTGAGGGTCCTTTACTATCTCCGTCATTAGTAGGATTATTAGAAAATAGTATTTGGATTGGGATAAAGCGGGTACCTTATTTCGTTCATTGGGATTCTTTTCTGTTGTTCTTAGTAGTCTTTCAATTGCAAGGAGACCTAAGCAAAAAAGATTGTTGAAAACAACACTCAAGCATACAGTTTCCGATGACAACTATTTTGTGGGTGCCGAGACGGAGGACAGATATCAATCCCTAAAAATGTTCTCAGTATCTATTTATCAGTTTCCATGAAGCTTTTAATTACGGAATTCCTTGTCTTCTTGGTCATACTCTACCTTTCGTTTGTATATGGTATTTTATACTTGCTTTTGGAAGCGTATCCACCTATATCTTTTCCGAAAAAGATCATTTCTCTATCCGGAAGGTCCGACCGTCCCTCACTTAATTATAGGAGCCTTCATCTTCCCTGCGGGTAATTTTTGGATGGCATGGTCAGGTAAATTATACATATTTTCATTGGGTCGTACCTAGTTTGTCTGGTTTGCTTACTGGAGCTGGAATTTTGCTGATTTTCTTGAATTGTTTCAACTATTTAATTGATGCTTATTTGTTCCGTGCCGCCTCGACGATGGCTGCTAACACAATGATGCGCAGTTGTGTTTGCAGAATTTCCTATTTTGCTATTCGAGTGTTTCATAATTTGGGTGTCGACTGGACTGGATCTGCTTTAGTTTTCATCGATATCACGTTGATTCCCGTCCCATCGTTTTCTATTTTTTGGTAGAAAAATTCGTTCTTGGAGTAAAATGACCGTCGTGATATGAAGATGAGATGAATGCTTGTTTCATTTTATCTCAGTTGGTTTGTATTACTTACTCGCGAATTTTTATTCAACAAAGATAGCTTATAATAGTAATATTTTACGTCTACCACCGAAATGTGAGTTTCGTTTCAGTTTTTGCTTTGCTCAGGTGAAAGAAGCCCCAAATCTATTTATCGAATGTGCTAATAGTCTAATATTTGTTTTGTTGTTGTATGTCCATAGATATGGATTCAAAGTACTTTTTCAATCTCTCATTGATATAAGTTTTGAATCATAATATGTGGCTTCCGGATTTATATTATGCAACTGACTGATATATCTCACTTCAGTCATATGTACTCGACAAAGTTATGAAGAGATCTCTTATTGGGAAAAAGACATACCATTGGTATGAGTGAAGTAAGGTAAGCTCATACTGTTGGAATGTGTTTTTCTTAGTATTGGATTATTTATATGCATTTCAACGTTCTATTCGTTTTAAAACAAGAAGAATATTTGCTATGTAAGACGGGTTGAGTTGAGTTGAGTCGAGTTGAAACGAAACAAAACAAAACTAAACTGAATAATTAGAATAAAGGGACAGAATAGAATAAAAGATTTTATCGACCATAAAATTAGCAAAATATAAAAAGCCTACAGCATCCCGGATTCCCATGTTGTCTCCAACCATAGTACTAACGAGACCCTCAGACGCTTAACTGCAGTGATCGGACGGGAACTGGTGTTTTCGCCTAGGTGTGGCCGTAGACAACTGTCAATGTAATGAAAAGTATATGTATTGGATATTCATCATCTCATATTTTACAAAATTTATAGAGGATGGTTTTTGATACTGATTTTCTCTTTTCTAGCTATTCACATTGTGCTAGATTGTCATTGAGGTATGAGACTGAATGTCTGAATTTATAGCAGTTGACGAAGCTGTAGTTTGAGAAGTAAATTATTAAACTACATTAGTTGAAACGGCCAATCTGAATATGTCCAGCTTTGAATTAGAAATCGGTTGATTATTTTGCAAAATTAACATCATAACAATTAAATAATCATTAAAAAGGTTGCATTAACAAGGATGTTCATCACAAAGAAAACGAACGATTTATAAATAACACTCTTGCGAGACGAATTCTTAAATACATAAAAGAATGAACGTGAAAAGCAATCCAACCTGCCGAATGAAGCTGTGCTTACTTTTGTGGACAAGAATGCAGAAACTCGAGGGATCGCAATTGATATGAATGCTTCCAAGGAAAATGTGATTTATAGGAGGGATGGAAAAGATTCGTTAAAACTCAAACTTCAGCGCTTTGCCCAGCAAAAGGTTGAAGCTCGATTTCCTCGTTATGAGGTGCTTCATTTTCTGGATCTGTCGGTCCTAATTAAGTTAGTCAGATGCTAAGAAAAGAAAAAAAAGAATTTATAATAAACAGTACATACGAAAGTAATTCGCAGCATTTCCTAAATCAGCAATAAATATTCGAAGTTGTCGCGCATCTGGATATCCTAGAACAGTTAGAATATTTCGCAAGGTGTAATACATACTCCAAAATAAAACAAACACGGCAACGTTAACAATGCAGACACCATAGAAAGCAATATCGTTCATCTTTTCAAATCCTATTATTTTCTTTACATTACGATAGACGACGAAACCAACGACATTCAGAGAAGCCGTACATAGTACTGCGACACACATGTTGGGCAGTACACTACAAATTTGCGAGAACAAATAGGTCAGCACTCTACCAGTTTGCTTGAACCATTCTTTAGGAATTTGAGAAATTGCTAATAGTTAGTAAAAATAAAACATAGCGCTAACTTACAATAGAGAAATACTACAATGGACGCTGGACAGGTAACCGAAAGTCCCCAAAAGGTTCCCGTCCTCACAGGAATCTTGAAATAAAAAACACCACGAGAAAAATGGAAGAAGTTACAACATACACAAGAGACGCAAAAAATAAGAAGATATTCGCTGAAACCCACATCGAATATGTCGAATCCGATCCAGCGTTGTTAGTGGACTCTTGGGCAGAATGCTGAGCAGATCCATCAGCCATTTCTAAATCAATAAATTTGTTTGGAGCTAATGAATGTATTAGTGATGAATGCTCTTGTTGTTTGAGAAAGGATAGAGCGTTTGTCAAGTCTGCTGATGGTAATCAACAAGTTTATTAATCTTAAACACAACAAGTAAACAAACAAACATGATTCTTCATCAAAACTGTTTTTAGCCTAGACATTTTCAACAAACATACAAAAAACCAACCCTTCCTTTCTATTTCAGTAAATCTTACCTGAATACGGAGGAGGCGTAACCTCTGAAGAATGTATATCTGATTTCTCATCAATGAGCGTTTTAAAAGACTCGTCAAAGTCTGAAACAGGGCTGTATTTATTCTTCATTTTTGCAATGGCAAACCAAAAACCAAAAGAACACCAATACTTATAGCTAGTTCGAAATTAACTAGAATTACCAAGAAAAGTCTGTAGAAATCGGTTCCACCTTTCAGAGATTAAAAAAAAAGGAATTGTTCCTTATTTCTAAAGAAAATCAATACCTTGAGTAAAATCTGTCTAAAACCAAAGATAGGAATAAAAAAAATCATGGTAGTGGCCTTTCGCAATTTCATAAAGCAGCGACATTATGTCACCGACTGGTCACATCCTCGTTACGATTATTCGACTTTCGTCTTTCACCGAGGCTTCTAGTATAGATAATATTAACGAATCGACTATTACAAAAAGTAAACAAAAGAACCTTTCATCAAAAAATACAGATTGTATACTTAGAATAATATATACACGAAATTGGAAGTAAAAATAACTTTATTAAAAAAATCCTTGAAGAAATCTGTCTATCTAGGGGCTTTAAACACAGTGAAAGTTGATGTAGATGGAAAGGAAATCATTGTTATGCTGGGTCCGGACTTCTGTTTTTCCTCTAGCTCGGGGTATGCTTGTTTTTTTTGCATATTATTCATAACATCGCTTTTCCATGACTATACTCTTGGTTGGAGTCTATTGCTTTAGCTTTTTCCATATGCAAAACATCACCTAACTCAAAGTACCATGGCGATCAAAAGGAACTCCAAATGTAACACGATGCATGCATACTTTACTAAGAGGTAAAAAAAAACGAAAAGAGTGAAAGAAAAAGCCTACAGCATCCCGGATTCCCGTGTTGTCTCAAACCATAGTACGAAACTAACGAGGCCGTCAAACGTTTTCACCTGCTGCAGTGATCGGACGGGAACTGGTTTGGTGTTTTCGCCTAGGTGTAGCCGTAGACGACTCTATTTTTCTATCAATCTACTTCTATTATAAAGGACTCGTCCAGTATTTCATTACGTTTGATGTCGTTTAAAAGCATCTCTACTCGGCTCTAAATTTTGGTTGTTTTCCACGGCGGAATGGAGAATGCTTTCATATTATAAAATACGATTTAAATACAAACTGTCATTTTCTATTTTTTTGGTTCACATTGTTTGAAAAAGCATCAGAATGAGTGTTAAAATGAGCGTTTGTGTTTATGGGTTGAAAATGTAGTTTATACAAATCGGGTTCTACTTGCAATATTTCATCTTCCGTTGATTTGACTCTCTAAATGAACGATAGTTTAATGAGCTAAGCTACATCTGATCTTTAGATCTGAAGATTTGTGTTTTCTATACTGAATGAAAATAATAACTGTCGAAACTCACATTTATTCTTGCCAATTCTAAAACATAATCAATTACGCGACTCGGTGTTGAACTAAACAATAGTTCGTTGCCATGCAATATTCGTTGTCAAAATCATGAAATAATCATTAAAAAGGATGTTCTATTTCAATTGCGAAGAAAATGAACGATGCATAAACAACAGTGCTGTGAACTAATTAGAAAAGTCGTAAAAGAGTGAATTACTAAAGCAATCAAAGTCTTCTGGATTCATCAGATTCAAGCTTTTGTGACAGCAAACACAGGGATCTTGGTGGACTGCAATTGACATCGATGATCCCAAGGAAGGGGCGAAGGCGAAGTACAAAAAATTTAAAAGCAAGTTCGGTGAAACTCATACTTGCACTTAAACTTCAGAGCTTTGCTCAGCAAGAGGTTGAAGTTCGGTTTCTTCGTTACGAGGTGGACTATTCCTGCTAATTCTGTTGTTCTGCAAAGTTAATGAAAAATCCTAGATTAACAAAACTAAATTTCGCTTACTGTACGTGAGATAACAGTCATCTTTTCAAATGCATTTGGGTTTCCTAAAGAAGTTAGAAAAGTTCATAGAAAATAAAACCTTACGAATGAGAAGAACAAACAAGCATATGTTCAATACGGCCAAAACAACTAACACAGCTGTTGAATGTATATATTCGAAGCCTCCTGATAATTTCAAAGCACCACCCCCGACTCCATTCAAACTTATCAGTATAATTAGGGCTTTACACACAGCTGGTGTGAATTTCTTTATTGCTCTTCCAGCTTGCCTGTACCATTCGGGATAGATATAAAGAATTGCTAAAAATTAGCGAGTTGTCCAGAACAAGATATTCTTAACTTACTTGATAGGAAAATAAAAATAGTGCCAATAGAAACGGCAGCAAGCCAATAAAAAGCTATTGAAAACGGAGAAACCTTGTAAACAAAAACTATGGCTAGAAAAACAAGATTATATAAAATTGTTATAATAGTCATTAGTCCTACGAAAAAGTCTTTCCAACATTCTTTGTTCGCTGAAGGGTCCGACCTAGTGTTATCAACAGATTCTTGGGCGGAATTCTGAGCGGATCCGTCAGCCATTTCTAAATCGATAAATTTATTTGAAGCTAATGAATGTATTAGCAACTGAAGTTTTCGTTGTTTACCAGAGGATGGAGGCGTTCGTCCTGTTGTTGACAATCGTCGACAAGTTTAAAATAGGATTCCTCAGTAATAACTCTCAATAACAAACACCATTACCTTTCCATTTCAATAAATCTTACCTGAATACAGAGGAGGTGTACCATCTGCAGAATGCGTGTCTGACTTTTCATCAGTGAGCGTTTTCAAGGACTCTTCAGAGTCTGGAACAGAGGTGTATTTATTCTTCATGGTTACAATGCCACATTAAATCCCAAACTAACAACTGCAGTTGCAATCTAATTAAAATCACTAGAATCACCAACAAAAGTCCGTAGAAACTGGTTCCACTTGTTGCAGAGTCTTCAAAAATAGGAATTGGACCTCGTTTCAAAAAGCTAATAAATTTTACAGATGAAGATTTTCTTTAAAACCAAAGATACAAATTTAAGGACTCATGGTAATGGCTTTTCGCATGTCTCGTTTCATAAAAGCTGCGACATTATGTCACCGACTGGTCACATCCTCGTTGCGATTTCTCGTAATAGTATAATCCAAAAGAGTCACTGTTTATTACAAAAAGTAAACAAAGGAATATTAGGCAAAACAACCATGCTGTTTGCTTTGAATGACGCTAACAAATGATTGAAAATACATATTTCTAGACGATTTTATGACTGTGGAAAATGAATTCTGAGAAAGCTACAACGCTCTCCATTTTCGTAGTTTTATTTTCAAATCCGTAAACACATGGAAAGTTTGTAGATGCGACATCGAACTATGGTAAACAAAATTTGTACGGACAAGTGCATTTTCTTTTCATATTTATTAAATTTATGGTAGTTGAACGATAGAAACAAACAAAAGCGATTTCTAACTGTTCATTCATTCATGCATAAAATATATAATAGCGTACGCTTACTAACTATCGATAAGTCTCTTTAACGAACTGCATCACCCAGATGTCAAATGGGTTGGATGACAGCTTCACCTCTGCAAAGCTCTAGTCTTTGCCATTGCGGGCTTGTTTTTTGGGTTTCAAGACTCTTTTTAGCATTCCTACTTTTATGTATAAACCAAGTTGATATGGGATCTTTTTGTTTTCGAAATTATACGCTTTTTGGTCCTTTTATTTTGTAATCAATAATTTTCGCAGTAACTTAGTGATCAAGCAAAGGTAATAAAGAAACTCTTTTAGTCACAGCCATGTTCAACAAAAATGAATGAAAAAGAAAAGGAAGGACATCAAAAATCTGTCGAACCAGTAAAAGTTGCTTGTTTGAGCTGTTCTACAAATTCTGACAGCGATTTACCTAAATACAGCGAAATCCCGTATTCTCATGTTGACAATATGGAGAAAGGTTGTTTATGTTTACATTCCGATCCAGATCCAGTTCCACCATACTCAAGAAGACATCAAGAAGCTTCTATTCACATGGCGCAAGGAAACGGTTTCTTTATTCTTTTACGAGATGTCTTGTCGGCATTATTGTGGTTAATTTCTGGCCGGCAAAAATTGTGAGAATCCCGGAAGCACAACGAAGACAGGAAAATGAAGCTCTTCGGCTTGGTTGGTGCCTTTATGGTTCAATTATATTGAACTTTGTCTTTCTTACAAATACCTTGTCCCCTTTATAAAGGAATCAATGAAAGAATCTGTAAGGTTATGGTTTCAGATTACTGTAGCAGCTGTTCTTGTCATCGTGGCTTTCTACATGTTTCTATATGTTTGTTCATGTAAGTGAACTGGTGGATTTGTAATTTAAAGTTGTTTACTAATGGAATGCTTTTAGTGTTGGTGGATTTTATCGTTATACTTATTCCTCTAGTTGCTTCTGGGGGTTCTTCACTGTTTTCTGGAATATCTTCATTTCTTTCTTCGCTTTTTTCTGGGATTAGTAGTGCTATTACGAGTGCTCTAGGTTTCAGGATGCCGTCAGAAAGAAACGACTTGACGGCTGATAGTTGTATCCCATTAAACAGCATGTCATCAGAGCCTGAATATCAATTTAATGATTGTAGTGATAATACTTTGGAGCAACCGTCCTCTGAACATTCTGAACAATCTCCAGGGTTACGCCGGGAACCTGGTCATTCTAGGGACGTTAAAAGCAGCAGGAGTTGATTGATAAGTAAAGTTAATTTTTATAATGCCCAATCGTTTCGGTTGTTCTCCTGCATGCTTTTGCGTATGTTTTTGTTTATGTTTGTTTCGTCCCTGCATATATATTTTAAGAATGCGTTTTTGCGTGACGAGTACTCCTGAATGGCGTCCGCTTTCTTGATTTACTTGATCTCTTCAACATTGGATAAGTAAGGATGCTTATTACTGGATGATTTTGTCATTGCATCTATATAGCTAGGTTCAATTGCTTATTTTTGTTTATTGGTTTGATAATTTATTTTCTGATCTTTGTTATTCGTTTCATAAGTCTAGGAAGATCTTTAGTTCTTAAATCTAAGAGTAATCATTGCATTTCCAACTTCCACTGCTATTATCACCGTTACTAAAGGACCATGTCGATCCAATTGCCAGTCATGTTCTTCAATAAAAAGAGCCACAAAAAGAAATAAGCAAAAAAAAAGAAGGAAAAGAATTAAAAACGAAGCGGTAAAAAGCCTACGGCATCCCGGATTCCCATGTTGTCTCCAACCATAGTACTAACGAGACCCTCAGACGCTTAACTGCAGTGATCGGACGGGAACTGGTGTTTTCGCCTAGGTGTGGCCGTAGACACTCGCGAAATCATTATCAAATATTCATACGTTTTTTTATATTTTGGAAGTCGAAGAAAAAGCACAATTATGGTGTTGCCGAAATCATTAACAGAAAACAGATGCTTTTCAAAAGCTGAGAAAATAGCACTTTTAAAAGTCTTTTTGGTAGGAAAAACGTCAAATTCATACGATGAGAAATTTGAATGCAAGTATGAATTATAATGCCACCCAAAAATTGAATGAGGTCAAACAGAAATGAGCTTTCCGTAGAGGCATTGCCGATACGATTATTTAGTGCTTCTAGGAAAAACAGGATATTGAGACTGACAGCCCTTCACATTCAAATTATCATTCAAGAAACATAGTTTTATTTAGCTTAAAGATAATAGATCTCATGGTCTTCGTTTCCAGAGATTATAAACAAATGGTTTTGGAAGTGCAGAGGAGCGATTTCTACCTCAACTAAACGGAGCCTCAGTTTTGGCTGAACCATCAGAAAATAGCCTTGACCATCGTTACATTTCGTATGTTTCATCCTAAGACATCGGATCTATTCATTGAATTTTCTCTGGAGCTTATGTACAATCTTCATTGATTCAAAGCTTTCGTTTTTCCTCGCTGCAACACTTCTTAGTCACAATATGATGATAAAGTTATCAAACGAAACAGGGTAAAATATAACAATTATTGTACCAAAAATTGAAACTTCTGATATTAATATTCAGAATTTAGAAGTGATTTCCTACGAGCGAAGCTTCGCGACCATTTTCCATCATGGTAAACAATGACTTTTGATGCTGGTCATCCATTGCATGAGATGCATGTGAAAATATATCAGACACACGGTTCCGAGAAAGCAAAAATATTTTTAAAAGATTTCTATAAATTTGAAGCTGTATTTGATGCTACATCGGTACCATTCACCAAAGCATCATACTTGACTCAAAATTATTTATACCATTCAGATTTGACAAAATCATGGCTTCTGTTTTTAACTCTGAAATTCTTGGAAAAGCTTCTTTGATTTAGCCTTCGATAACGAAGTTATTGGAACTCCATTCCTCAAGGTTTCGCCTTAAACCACATATGGCTTCAAAAGAAGGTGAATTTCGGGTAGAATGCATCAATAACGCACACTATGTGACCCATATGTTTTGTAAATACCCTTTGAAATTACTCTCCGTGAACACAAAACTAGATTTTGCAATTCTTTATATTTTGAGCTATGGGGGTGGACTTGTATCGGGAGACCAAGTAGCGTTGAAAATCGATGTGGGAAAAGATGCCACTTTGTGCATTCAAACTCAGGGAAGTACCAAAGTTTACAAGGAAACCCGTGTAGGGAAAGTCACCCGTCAACAAATGGACGTACACATTGCATCCAATGCCACTTGTCTATTGCTACAAGATCCTGTACAACCGTTTGGGTTGAGTAATTACATGCAAACACAAAACTTTACGCTAGAGGACAGTACTTCATCACTGGCATTGTTAGATTGGACGCTTCAGGGTCGCAGTCATATGGGAGAACGTTGGTCGATGAAGTCTTATATCTCCAAAAATATAGTCAAAAGAGGAGTTGAAGATAAGAGTAAAATTTCAGTTCTTCTTCGAGATACGTTGCAACTGATTAATGAACCAAGTCTTCATATTGGCAGTAAAGCAGATCGTATGAACAACTTTGAATGTGTTGGAAGCCTTTATCTTGTAGGACCAAAGTTCGAAGCAATGAAAGAAGGAATTTTAACTTATTATAGAAATACGGAAAACCGTATGGGGAAAACTATCAGCGTACATGAGCAGCCTAATGCGTATTGGACTGCCTGTGAGCTTCGTTCAGTTACCATTATTAAATTTGCATCTAATTCAACAGAAAAGGCTCGAGAGTTTCTTCTTCAACTATTTAGAGACTTTGCACCTGGTATTCATCGTGAAGCTCTTCGCGCTTTTTGGTGTTGAATTCAAACGAAGATTCTCTAGAGACCATTCGTTTATTATTCATGTCATCCTTTCAATGTTGACGAGAGATAGGTTTTGCAGATCTTATGCTAATATTATTCACCTAATTATTTTGCAAGTACCATTCTTGCCTTACCAATAAGGAATTGAAAATGTCTGTATAGTTTTGATTACCCAGTATAATGAATGAAAATCATTCCTAATGATAGTCTTTGAGAAGATACTATATTACGGATTGAAATGCTTATTATAACAGTGCCACTAGAAACGAAAAAGGGATATACAGCTTCATCAATTAAACATATCCTCATACATTTAAGTATGTATCGCAAATTAAACAACTTTACCTAATTCTCATGCTTGTAAGTCACACGCTTCAGCCAACAGTTGGTTTTTAGAATTGTAAAGCCTTGCTTTTCCAGAATTCACTCGAATCATTACCCAATCGCCTGCGGGAACTGGCTTTTTGTAGCTTATACTGTAGGAGGGAGTACTAACTTCATAGGATTCTGTCAAAATGGGATCTTGAGGCTCACCTCGCAATAGACCTTGTCTATCAAACTGTAAGTTTTTCACAGTTTCGAGGCACTCTATGAGTACTGTTGCTATAGCTCCGCCATGTTGCAGTTTTTGATAGCCAGTTAGTGCGTTTCCCATAATCCCAATGCTAATCCATTCATGATTCTTGGAGTCATAAAAAGTTTTGAATAGAGGTAATAGACCGTCCTTAAAGGATAAAAAACTAGATGGATATTGACTCCGAAATAGCGAAGGATGTTCTTGTAAACGAATTTCGTGTTCTCGCTTGCGATGCATGTTTTCCACCATTTGAACAGCTATTGGAGAACTTGTGAGTTTTGCTATCGTTTTGGCGCTCGCAGGCAATCTTCGATACGCTAGGTAAGCATCACTGGACCAGAACCATGACAAAAAGGCACCAGCAGATAGTCCGCCAACTGTAGCAGCAAATACAGTTTTATATTTTAGACCTAGAAGAGACATTAATTGAACCTTTCTTTTCAATATTCATTTAGTGGTATATTTTTCCGTACTACTAAACTAATTCAGCATAGGTACTGAGTTTGGTAAGTTGTAACTGACATGAGGCTATCTACTCTAGTTCTAAGCTATACTGCAATGAACTTTGTCGTTATTATACAAGAAGAATGAGGTGAATACTTTATTAGTCATTCTTTATTATTTGAACAAAAGACAATTTACAATTCCGTTTGAGGCATCGTCTTGGCAGCCAGCTATAAGCATCTTCATAATCATCCTATAATGAGCATTTGCATATTTCTATTATTACATTCTGATTCTACTTTTAAATATATTAGCCAACCAAACCAAGGAGTCAAAAAAAAAGTTTTTTGTTAAAAACTAAAAAAAAAGGAGGCAAACAGAATGAAGCATTCGAGTAACTCCGACTCTAAAACGATAGAAACGGTATTGCATATAAAAGAATAAGTGTCATCAGGGATCATTGCTTGACCAACGTTTAAGATATGGTAAACACACTCAGAAGGGAAGAATATGAATGAGCGCATGCTATGCAACATTAAAGACTTCCCCATACTTTTGCTTTCTAGTCTGTTTTTTTTATCAACTTTCATTAAAGTGCACCATTTAACAAACGGTCTTTTATGACGCTGATTGGCAACACGCCCATTAGGGCTTTCTATAGGGTAGGAAAAACGCGTTCACAGCATAAAACCGTCATACTTACTTTTTCAGGAAAATTCCATTTCCACTCCTTCTACAGAAATCATTTTGAGCTCCCACTCCCTCATAAAGTTCACCTTAATTTCTTCCAGATGTGTGATGAGCGCTTTGGCTGCGTCCACGATCGCTTGTTTAGGAGTACATTCTTCGGTGGTTTGAACTCTTAGAATAAAATTATGATTCAAAGGATGGGGAACCTTGTATCCTGCGAAAAGCACGCGTTCATCTGTTAATAATTGTCTGATGGGAAATTAGTTATTAAAGCACGACTCAATCAACCAAGTTCAACAAAACATACTGTGCTAACATGTTTGCTAATGTATGATCTTCTTTTTCAATAGTTATAACGGCCGCATTTGGTGATTTACTGTCTAAATCATAGGTAACTCTTTCCAATTATTAGTAAAATTAATGGTAAGGATTCCATTGAAGTGCTTACTTGGGCAATCCCATGAGCTCAATGAGCTCATAACGCTCGGGCTGATTCATCCTCAGTAGAAACGTTTAATGTAGTCAAAACGAAGTATTGGTAGTCGCTGAAGAGGATTGTTGTTTTCATCCTCTGGGCAAGCTTTCGTTGAGCTCTGTCTGGTGCATTAACCACATTTTACGAAAGATATCGTAATTCCAAGTTCTTTGATATACGTATTGCGAAAAAAAAGCTTCATCGTTAAGTAATATTTATTTACATTTTCAAAGAAAAAAAAATAACGATAGTAAAAATAAAAGGAAATTTCGATTTTTCCCTGTAAAACGCATATTTAAAAGGAAAAGAAAACTTTTACTAGTTAACTAATTTTTCCCTGGACGAAATTGTCTCACAATAGTTACATAGCGCTCTGCTAGTTTGTTTTGGATTGCTGGGTAGGGAAGCGAATGGTTGAATAAAAAATCTCTAGTGTTCAAATTAATTAATTATTTTTTAATGTTGCTCTTTAATTTACGCGTCCTTTCTGAATGACAATACAGTATATGTCAATGTACATATCCAACAAACCCGTATCATGTCGTATGCAAACACATTCATATATTTCTTTTTTTCACTTCAAACTAAACTAAAATAAATATATTTTGCTACGGAAGAAGAAAAAAAATACAAATCGCTTTTGTTTATATCCTGTTACCTTCGCTTAAGGTACATGTTCTTTACCGCTTCCTTGTCCAACACGCAGGTCGCATTGCTTCACCCTCTTCCTCCACCTAAGGGACCTAATAATGAATCCTTCTACAATTTGTTCAGGCGCTAGACGCCTTCAAATGACTACGAAAATGGGTCATCAATACTATCGAGGTACAAGAACCGGAAAAATGGGTCAAATCACAAACAAAGGTGGTTTCTCTGTCGAATGGACGCGCGTTCGTACATTTGTCCCCCCGGCTGGCAATTGCGACGTATGTATTCTGATATGATCTACTCTTACTAACCATTTTTAAGCTTCTTCCTTATGTCTCTAGCAAAGTAAAGCCCTTGAAAGGTGCTTACCCTAAAGGCGCCAATGGTTTAGATGGATCTGTGTATTACGACCTGGCAAAATCTTAAACCAAGGTGTTTAAATTTTTTCTCTAATTACAAAAAACTAGATATACTATACTTTTAAAATTTCTTCAACTATTCCGAGCAAAATCCCTTCTCTTTCGTGTGTTTCTCCACGCTAATCTGAATACCGCAGTGCAATAAAGTATGTTTGTTTACTATATTGCGATGAACAGTATATATATATAAACGTTATGTTTACTATACGTAACAGCACTAGCCTTACCTATTACTTCAGAAATCCTACGTGGGCTTGAATCCCTAGCCATTCTACAACGTATTTTTCTCTGTCGTTTCCACCTATGAATATTAAGTACTTTGGCTTGTGATGATTATTCAAAATGGCTGTAAGGGTCAATACAAGCGGAAAATCCTTAATGGTATTACAAAATCTGTAAAGCAATATAAACCGCTGCTTATATGGGGTCTCGTCTGCACGGTATGTATTTATACCTGGATCCATCGCATAAATAAAAATATTAGGCATTCTTATAACCCTGATCCCCCTATACAACATTTATTTACACGTTTTGATAGTTCCCCAGGTAGGCGCCAGGACAACTTAAAATGCAGTGATGTGCGTTTTGTTGAACCGCAAAATCAATGTCTTTTTGCAAAACAATACTGTTGGGAAGAAACAAGTGGGTATATCAATTATCCAGAACTCTATTACTGTTCCTTTCATCAATTCCCTGGACTTGGTTTGACGATGGTTGTTACTTGGCTAGGATTTTTATTCACCAGCATTGGTGTATCCGCCAGTGATTTTTTTACCATAAACCTCGTCACTATATCCTCCCTTTTACAATTGTCCGATGCTGTTGTCGGTGTTACTTTTTTGGCTCTTGGAAACGGCTCACCTGATGTGTTAAGCACCTTTGCTGCCGTCCGCGTCCAAAGTGGTAGTCTTGCGTTAGGCGAACTTCTTGGTTCTGCCTTCTTTATTGTCGCGATTGTTGCTGGAAGCATCTGTCTTATCTGCCCTTTTCAAATATGTAAGCACCATTTCATTAGAGATGTAAGCTTTTTCGCCGGCACCGTTATTTTTTTAATTTTCTTCTTGATGCGTGATGGCAGTTTATGCTTGTGGCAGAGTTTTGTCATGATAAGCTATTATTTATTTTACGTCTTATATGTGTTCTTTTCAAGCAAGTCTGAAGAGCACTACACTACTGCTGATGCTCCCCACTTGGCTGTACCTGCCTGTTCTCCTGTTATCAGTCATTGTCCGACCTTCCATTCGTACAATGATGATTTACTCACCGTCGCTTCACACTTACAAGCGTCAACGAAAAAACCATCGGATCCAAGTTTTATCCCCTCTCCTTCTCTAATAGAAAGTACCGGCTTTCGGAAATCATCCATATCCAGTGATGATAACGCTTCTTACTTCTCAAAACCTAGTGCTTCATTGGAACCCTTATGCTCACCGTCGCCTGGTCCTACAATTCGTCCATCTTTCATTGGTGCTCTTGAATTGCATTCTGCATTAGAAAATTATCAGTCAAATCACGCTATGGAAACGAGCGCCATGGTTGATGATAATTTTTCTTTGGGTCACTTGCATATTCATCAAGCTTTAGACAAATACATTCCTTCTGGACTGAATACCCCTGTAAGTACTACCGAGTTTAGGCCTCATCATATATTCAACCGTAACTTGAGCGCCCAATCATTCTTATCGGAAAATACTGGTTTGTTAAATTATCTTGAGGACACAGACTCATTAGTAGCTCATTCATCCCTTCTTCAGCTGCTTTTCCCAACTTTACGTAATTTTTCCAAAAAGGCTTGGTATGAACAAGCACTGGATATTATTATTGCCCCATCTGTTTTTATATTTACTTTAACTTTGCCTGTATACCAATGTCCTCAGCAACCGGTAGATCCTTCATTCCCTACAGAAGGATGTACCCAAGCAACGATGAAATGGTGCAGACCTCTTCGGGTCCTCCAGTGTGTCTTTGTTCCTCTAACATTTTGCCTCTTAACATTCAATAACACCCGGTTATATTATGCCTTAATATGTAGTGGCATTGCATCATTGATAGCCATTTTAATGCTGTACAAGTTTACTAAAGTTGAAGAAGCTCCTCGTTTTTTACCTTGGGTCAGCTTTTTTGGCTTTATCCTGGGCATTGTTTGGATTTCGACGATAGCCAACGAAATTGTAGGTATATTGAAAACTTTGGGTATCGTATTAAAATTAAATGAGTCTGCCCTGGGGATGACTGTTTTTGCAGCGGGAAATAGTCTTAGTGATTTTATTGCTGATATAATGGTTTCTCGTTCTGGTTTTCCAGAAATGGCTATTGGGGGAGTTTTTGGCGGACCGACTCTGAATATACTTATAGGTCTTGGCTTTGCTTGTATGTATAATAGTATATCGAATCATGGTATTGCAAGTCAAATAGAAATTCCCAATTCTCTTTCAATTACTGCCTATTTCTTGCTTGCTTGTCTGGTTTTACTCCTGTGCTATGTTCCACTCAACAATTACAAATTGGATCGCAAATTAGGTGCGCTACTGTTTATGTTATATATCATAGGTACCTCAATTAGTATGGTGTTGGAGTTGCTTCGGGATGTGGAAAATGTTAAGAAGGCCAAACGCTGATCATTGGTATATCCTGACCATATTTCGAAGCGATTGTATGTGCTCCTTTAACATTAACCCGGCTGGATTTCGCTTCTTCCAGATATGTTACGTTTGTTGAATGATTTGCTTTACGGATTAGGATGTACAAGATTGTGTATAGTAGTTTTTGAGTGTTATTTTGGAATTTAATTATCTACATAACGTCGAGTATTCCAATTGAACGTTTATTTTTCTACTAAAGTAACTAAGTGTTTGAATTTCGACTCCTTGAAGCTGTAAAGCATGGCATAGAAAATAGCTTGTATTTACATCCTAACCTCAATTTTATCAACTCAAGTAGATTTTTCTCAGTACAACTCGTTGCATCTCACTATTCGAACTTCTTGTCAGGAACTAAAAAGCTGCCATCCACAAGATGTACTGAATGCTTGGAAAAGTCACCATATGTTAGATTATAGAGCGTAAGATGTCACAATCGGTGGATGTTCCCGCACGGGGACTTATAATATATGTATACTTTGTGTAGGATTTAAGCTAATGTTTGTACAAGTCATCAGAAAGTTGCAATTGACATTGACTTTGGTTCACAAACGATAAAAGGAAGAACGGACATAAACATAATGCCCATTGATCCAGAGCTAAAAAAAGTTGTTCTAGATTGCTACCAAGCTGGTACGTGTCGATTTATAAATTGAAAGGTCGAGTCTAACAGCATGCTCTCATCCTTTCAATTCCTGTCCATTTTTAATACTAATCGCTGAATAGATATTCATGCATGCTATATAAATAATGAACCAGCGCACTTTGTTTATGATGATGCTTTACGGCGGCTGCGTATACAGGAACCAAGTAGTAACGTAAGCCATTACAATCAGCTAAACTCTCAATTTGAAACAAGTGTGAATGATTTAGGAGGATTATCAATTCTTTTACCAAAGTCACAGGGAGAGGAACCTTCACCTATATTGGTTTCGATTGAATTCTCTGTTCACCAGCCTACGTCTGGCATAACGTTCGTTGGCGTCGACCCCATCGATCATCGTTATCCTCATGTTTACACCAATAATTCTATAACGCCTTATAGCACATCATCCTGGCTTCCTTGTGTTGATGGTATATGGGAGCGTTCCACCTGGGAATTTGAAATCACAATCCCTAAAACTCTTGGAGCTCTCTCCAAGTCTTCTTCTACTGACCAATTGAACGGGTTTACAAGTGAGTCGCAACAAAAGCTTTCTGAAGATGATGATATGCAAGGCGGTTTAAACCAAAACCAACGTGCTTCTGTCACAGAAACAGATTTTTCTGAAGATCATGACATGGAAGTTATTTGCTGTGGTGATCTACTAGATCAGGTTACGCATCCAAAAGCTACTCATAAAAAGACAGTATATTTCACTGTTTCTACGCCGGTTGCTCCAAACTATATTGCGTTTTCAGCTGGTCCTTTTAAACATATAAATTTGACGGACTTTCGGGAACCAGAAGATGATGATGCAATGGGCTCAAGTGCTATTGAAATTGCTGGCTACTATCTTCCAAAATATGCCGATGAAGTTGAAAATACTTGTGTGTTTATGTATAAAGCTATGGACTTTTTTGTAAGAGAATATGGCTCTTACCCGTTCAATGCATTTAAACTCTGCTTTGTTGATGAAACGAATTATCCAATTATTTCTACTCCGTCCCTTGTGATCGCTAGTAATTCTATATTGTTTCCAAAAGACAATTTGGATGATATTTATGAGTCTACGAAGACACTTACCTGGGCGCTAGCTAGCCAGTGGATAGGTGTATATCTAATTCCTAAGGCTTGGAATGATTTATGGCTTATCTTCGGTTTATCGTATTTCATAACGGGCCTGTTTTTGAAGAAGATGATGGGAAATAATGATCATCGTTTTCGACTCAAAAAGGATGTTTTAAAGTTACTAGAGTTGGATATTGGTCGTCCTCCTATAGCTCATCCTGATTTAACTCTTCCAATTGATCCAAACACATTAGATTTCATAGCATTAAAAGCACCGCTTGTAATTCATATACTTGAGCGTCGTCTAACAAAGACTGGTGGGTCTTTAGGAATGTCGAGAGTGATACCTAAACTACTACTTCAAGTTATGAGCGGTGATATGTTAAACGGATGTTTGAGTACTTCTCATTTTCTCAAAACATGTGAGAAAGCTAGTCATATGCGCTTAGATATCTTTGCTCAGCAATGGATTTTTGGTTATGGATATCCTATCTTTCGCGTTGTCCAAAGGTTTAATAGAAAAAAGATGATTATTGAAATGGGTATTGATCAGGTACAAACTAAGGAAACTCCATCTATACCCGCATCGGAAGAAAATTTTGTTTCCGACGCTATAAGACACTTGAATGATAAACCGGTTGCTTCTGGTCTTCCGGTGTTCAGTGGACCTATGACTATCCGTATTCATGAGGCTGACGGTACTCCTTATGAACACGTTGTTGAATTGAAAGACTCGTTCACAAAACTTGATATTCAATATAATACGAAGTATAAGAGAATTAGCCGGAATCGTTCTACAAAAAATGTTCGCAAAGATAACAGCGATCATGGTGGTGATGATTCTGACTATGTTATAAGAAGCTTGGGTGACGTCCTTCAAAGTGACGAAGATATCGAAAAATGGAAGCTATATGATTATACGAAGGAAGACGAAGACACTATGGCTACTGAAGCTTTTGAATGGATCCGTGTTGATGCTGATTTTGAGTGGATATGCGATTTACGAGTTCGTCAACCTGAGCATATGTTTGTTTCCCAGATTCAGCAGGATCGGGATGTTGTTGCTCAATTAGAGACGATCAGACACTTCACTGGAAATAGCTTCACGATTTCCCGACAGGTATCGACAGTTTTACTTAGAACTTTATTAGATACCCGTTATTACTATGGAGTACGTCAAGAAGCAGCTCAAGCTTTGGCTAATTGCGCGGCACCTGAATTGGATTGGATTGGATATTATCATTTGCGCACGGCGTTTTTGGAAAGTTTCTGCTTTGAAAATTCAACTATTCCAAAAAGTAATGATTTCAGTAATATCTCGGAATATTACGTAAAATGTGCTATGGTTAAGGCTTTTGCTAATGTCCGTGATCGCAAAGGTATCACCCCCTCGTCCGTTAAGAAGCTTTTATTAGATTTACTTTGCTTTAATGATAATGCTAATAATGAGTTCTCTGACTCTCATTTTATTTGTCTGTTAATTGAATCTCTAGTTGACGCTCTTATTCCGAGGGGCGAAACTGTGCAATATGCCTTCAGCAATCCTGAGCACATGGAGTTTGTTCACCAGGCGATAAGCGAAATTGATCGACACATGCGTATTGACGCTTGCATGCCTTCATATAAAAATATTATCACAATTAAAGCCCTGGAAGCGAAGATTCGTTTGGCTAGAACCTTTCATTTAAATTTTGGCCCTAGAGAGCTATTTCCATATACTCAGGAAAGTAATTATAATGCTGTTCGCTCAGTGGCATACGATTTGATGCTGCAATCTGGAGCATTAAAGAATGATGCTTTGATCAAGTACATGTTTTATATACTTATAAACGATCTTTCACCTGCTGTACGTCGCTCACTAATGTATTCTATCCAGAAAGGATTCGGTTGCTTAGCACGGGGTGGGGCCAAAACAGAATTTGCATCAGACGATTTAATCGTTGAAGAAGATATCACGAAAGCTATCGAAAAGCGCATAGACATTACATCTCGAGCTAGTATTTCTGGTGCCATTGAGGCACTGCGAAACGATGTCGGGCAAAACAGAGTATTATCTGAGGAAATGTGGAAAGCTATTAAGTACGTTTTATGGAATTTTGAGTGTGTAGTGAGAATTAACAGTTTCTTTAGTGATCCTAAAATAGACTTAATGACCAAACGAAATTTACTGATGATATGTCGAGTGTTATACAAGGCTAAATCTTCATTAATTGTTACATTGAAGATCCCTAGTCTTATTCCACGCTTGCGTGCCATCCATCTTGGAAAAGTGAGTATTCGAAAATTTAAGATGTCTCCAACTAACAATGTTTACAGGGTAAAATTGTCATAAAAAAGGCGCCACTAAAACATTATGGGAAAAACAAAGAAAAAACACCTTCTCAGATTCCCGATCCAAGTCCCGTTATTAATAGTAATAGTAATAATAGTAAGCCGAAAGGACCAACCTTGAAAATCAAGTTAAAGCTTTAGGCGAATCTTTAAGAGCGGTGTCTGAAGTTTAACAAATGAAAAGGAAGATCCCGTTATGTTTTTTGGTACAGCATCGAACTTTCGTATGCTAGTATTCGTGTCTCATCTACTGCTTTATGAAATGAACATTTTTATACTGTTTATAGTCTTTTGAATGCCTAGTTGTATTATAAAATTAGTTTTGGAAGTTCTCATCGTTGCGCTCGCTCTGTGAAGGCAGCTAGTACAACTTTTCAATTCAGTTTTAAAATTAAAGAAAGTATATATACCAGTTCAAGAGGGATTGATTATTGAAAGATACTGCTCTCATATAAACCGAAAGTAAAAGACAAGTCAGTTTTCGATATACGTTCAAAATCATGCTATGAATTTAGATAATCTAATTCAGTTAATAAGTATTGTAGTGATCATATTTTGCTGACTGCTAAGGCACGAATCTGGTTTCCATCTACACCCACACCTAAAACTTGGACCGCTAAGTGTCCTTATTACGATTCACAGGAAAATGTTTGCAGATTTAAATGTAGTATGGCCATCCTTAGGCGTAAAAGATTCGACAATAGTGAACACTGTTAAGATGCTCGAGAAATGTATGTGCTAACCGAGAATTACTCATATTAACCAAAACAGTGGGCTATGCGGCTGTGGCATTGAATTATCAGTTTGACGGAAAGTTACAAAATGTTATTGTACGTGTTCTTTAGAATATGAATTCCCAATCAGTGTGTCTGCATACTAACAGCTTGTAAGAAAAACCCCATCCCTGCCATTCTTTATCCAGAACAGAAAATAAAAATATACTCACGAATCACTTTAACCATCGAATCAACACCTCAGAATAAAATTTTGGTATGTAATTTTGTTCTCCCTGTAGCTGACTATCATAGCATAATGCAACAAAAGAGTTCGACATACTTGCTTTAAGACCGGTGGGAGAAAGATTGCTGCAACAAACTGCTGGCGACCTTGAGTTTGACATATTGTCCTTTGATTTCTCCCAGAGATTGCCGTTTTATTTGAAGCATACTATTATGGGACTTGCGGTTTCTCGAGGAATTGGAATTGAAATTTCTTATGCTTCAGGTTTACGGGAAGCTTCTAGTAGAAGAAATCTGGTTACAAATGCTTCTAGTTTGGTTCGTGCTACAAGAGGGCGTGGTATATTGATATCTAGCGAAACCCGAAGCCCATTAGAATGCCGTGCTGCTTTTGATGTTATAAACTTAGCGACCTTTTGGGATCTGAAACAAGATCAAGCTAGATATGCTATTAGCGGATTCTGTCGATCTGTTATATTGCATGCTGAAACAAGAAGAAACACTTATCGCTCTTCCGTTAAACTAGTGGATGAAGATGAAGACACCACATCAAATAAACGACCGAAAGTGGCCGCATAGCTTAAATACTATTCTATTTATTTCTGGTTTTGGGGAACATTAGACATTTTAAGTCAGTTTGCAGTTCAGTAACCAAAGATTGATTTGGTCAAAAAAGGATTTGTAGAACAAATATTTAAGACTGCAACTATTTAATTATTCCCTTTCTTTTGGTTTATTGAAGATGTATACATATATGATGAAATAGGTTTTTATAAAAATTATAATTTTTGTACAGTTTAAAAAGATGAATGTATTGTTTTCACTCTTAGTATTATTAATTGACGTTTATGTTTATTTTATTTTATTTTATTTTTTAGTTCTTATTCTTTACAATCTTCCTTCCTCTAAAATGTATTTCGTGGTTGCTTGTTTGTTTACAAGTCTTGGTAGAAAGGGAGGAATGAGCATCGCTTTCACTGAGTGCTTTATCATACATGTCTACGTAAATTCGAATCTTAAAATTCCTTTAAATTTATTGCAAAAGATTATTCTGCCGTTCTTGCAATAGACACAAAAGATTGCGATGGAGAACTATAACTCCATGACAGTAAATGAAGATATTCCTCCAGAAGGAAATAATGATGTCTTGCCATTTGCGGTCGCCATTATATTTTCAGTTATTTTCTTTAACCTCATATTAATTTACCTCTGTCGCTATTGCCTGACTTGCTTTCATTTTCTCGACTTTGATGAAGAAGACGATGATGTACTTCCTCTAATTCGGACCAACAGAATGAGCAATTCAAGGCCTCCTACAGCGTTCCCAACGGAAAGACTTCATCATATGTTAGGGTATAATATCCCTCGCCATAGGCAACAGCCTCCCACATTGTCCCAAAACGAATTGGGCTACTTATCTTCAGTAATGACTTACAGAGATTGGCTTTACCAGAGAAGAACAGAGCAAAATAAACAAAATGTACAATGTGATAACCTTCCAATTGATAAAGCTCCACCTACATTCGACAAAGATCCTTTTCTTTTAGGAATGTCGATGAATTCAACCGGCACCAAATGTTCGGAAAACGACTCCACCGAATCGAAACCTTACAATGAAAAAAACACTTGTGACCAAGCAAAGGGGAGTTGCTTTAGAGAAGATGGTGTAAACCAAGAAGAAGACGAGGAGGATTTTTGCACAATCTGTTATGCAAATTATGACTATGATGACTACTTACGTCTCCTTCCTTGTAGGCACATTTTCCACGCTCAATGTATAGACACATGGATGACTACATCAAAAGCATCGTGCCCTCTCTGTAATGAAGACTATAGCAGAAAGCATAATAAGCGTAGGAATCACTCAGCTGATTTTTACAACATGGATGACTTGACTAATGAACCAGGAACTACCCACGCTGAGGAAATTGTTCCTTTCGTAAACCCAGTCCTGTCATTTCGTGAGAGCAGGATGCCTTTATTTACGAGCAACGCAGTTTAGTTTGAAACTCCTTACACGATCGCAAAAATCATTTAAATTATGATATTAGTACTCCAAAAAAGAAAAAAAAAAGATACTGCAACCATGGAAAGACTCGGGGATATGCAAAACATTTAAAAAAAAACAAAACAATGTCATACGGCATGGGAATATGTTAGAGGAAACTGTCTCAAAAAGGCCTATTCAGGTAACTGATAATAATAGCCTGATGAGGGAAAAGCAAAACTTTTTGGCAACTGGCTTTCCTGCATTTCATCTACAGCCTGGGTAATTCTTGTAGCTTTTTCAGAATTTTCCTGGAACGAATTAATATAGTCAGCTCTCTGTGAGCCTGTTTTCCAGCTAGCATGGCATTCGTTAATGATTTCCATAGCAATACTTTTTGGAAGAAATTCCCCAGAAAGACCAAATACATTCCTTGGTTTACCATCAGGAAGTTTATATACTGCAAACCAATCACGGGTGCATGTTAACAAACGAGGCATGAGTTTTTTAACATCGTCGATGTCTAAACTAGGTCAATCACGATTCTTTGAAAAGAAAACTTACCATTAAGACTGTTTGCCATGGGATTATTGACATCGATGGTCAGAATTTTCCAGTCTGTTTCGTTTTGATCCAAAAGTGCCAACGCCCCCAAAACTTTGACTTGTTTGATTTCTCCGAGATGTCCAATGGCTTCTCCAATTTCACATACGTCAATTGGATCACCATCTCCTTTTAAATTGGTGTGTGCGTCCAACTTATTTGGATCCTCAAATGTCTGGGGAAATGCTCCATAATTCCATATGTAACCGTGATACGGGAAACAGTTTTGTACATACCGAATTTTCTCATTCTTCATATCATGAACTATCGGGTTGAAAGGAATTGTATTTGAAATTTCACATTTTGCCTGCGTCCAGCGAGGAATTTCCACAACCTATTTCCTCATGGATTAGCAATTCTCTTCAGTTACTAAGTTGACCAAGTGCGTACCATATTCAAGGTTCCTTCTTTTGAAAATAAAGGTACATCATGGAGGAAGGACACCGGTTTTTCTTTATTGTAGCAATATGCTCGAAATTCCGGTGTATGCGGTTTCCCTTTAAATCTTGTGAGAAAGTTGGTTAATGCACGCGAAGAAGACATGAATGGCAATCTGTTTTAGAGATGGAAATATAGCGAAAAATGAAGTCTCGAATATAAGAAAAGAAAAATTTTTAAGAAAACGATTGTGAAAACTCAAAAAGTAAAGTACTCTTTAATTAAGAAGCGAGACGATATAGCTCTGAACGGTTCGTCCCTACCTTTATTCCAGGACTGATATCGTTATATTTCGAGGCATATCGTTTTAGAGAAGATTTCGTTTTCTTTTATTGAGAAAAGTTTGAGAAGACTAAATCAGAAAATAATAAAGAATGAATAAAAAATTTTTCATATAAATGATATTTTTCCATGTGGTAGACGCATAATGTTATAACGAATCGTTGACGAACATCAGGAAAATAAACATCGTTATATATCGTCCTTTCAAGTTGAATTATATTGAAATCAATACCATTCAAAATCACGACTATTTCAACATTGACTAAGATAACAAAGTTTTACTTTCTGAATATCTCAGGAAACAAGGAAGATATGAAGCTTGTCACATATATCGGAACATGAGGTAAGAAATGTATGGTATTTAGTTGTATTTAATTCTAGCTTCCGTTCAGATGAATCCTCGCAAATACCCCCCATATCCAAAAGCGCATTTTAAACGAAACGCATATTTGGTACTGAAAGGTAACGAACGAGTTAGATTCAAAAAACTTGTAAAAAAGTAAGGATCGGATCATAAACAACTTTTATATTTGACTTAGAACACACTCAATTGCTTTTTTAAGTGGATAAGAGTTAGTGAACATCTGAGCTGAAGAGTTGCAAAGCAGCATTCCTAAGAAGGTGCTCAAATAGTTCACAAGAATCCACGATAGCAATTGAAAGAAGAGATTCTAGAACATCTCTAAACGAGTATTATCCTCAAAAGAATCGAACACAAGCGTCAGAGAAATTTACTTTCGACTTCAGTGCAAGTAGTCACCATAACTTAGAAGCGTACGTCAGAAATTAAATAAGTTAATAAAAATATCTGAGAATTATTAGAAATGGAAAGTATAAAGGGAGAGAATCATTCTGACGAAAACCTCCTACGTTCTTGAGAAGACTGATGTTGTCTATGATTGAACAATTCCTTTTAATATAAATAACGAGCTGTATGTTTAGTTGTTCACTTAGGTCAAATCATTTGCAATGAAATAGGTTAAGTGAGCTTATGGCAACTCAATTTAGCATAAAGGAATTGCTTTACTTTCACCAAGCCCTCTGGCGCCTACGCCTGAATATACAACCAAAGATATTGTAGCTCTAACTAAGAAATCACTCCTTTTTTTTTTTTTTTTTTTTTAGAAAAAAAGGAAAGACCAAGAGTCCTCTGTATCACGAAACGGCCTATTCGATGTAGCTATTTACTCAATGGCATTCATTAGAACAGCGAACTTCCTTCTAGTTGGTAGCGAGAAATAAGGAAACAGGCTATAAGGAACATTCAATAATGAGAGATTGAAAGGCGCAATTAAAAGCTTCAATGCAACTTTCATCGCTCTTTCTATATAAGCAATAAAGAACAAAATATAAAGAAAAGACTGTAAAAAAAGTTTCCGTTGCGGGGAGTCGAACCCCGGCCGCGTCGGTGAAAGCGACGAATCCTAGCCGTTGGACCACAACGGATTCATGGACATTTACTTAGTAAAAGTATAAGTATATCAAATTAATGATGGAAGAATTCTTCTGCAAAATTAAAAATCGTTCATAATTAACATATATGACACTCTACTCGCTATTCTTCCTTTATTTGACGAAATTGATGTTGGTTCGAATCAGGTTCCTGAAACACGTAAATAATCAGTTAATGCTGATTCTTTGCAGTCTAATTGGGACCATTCTTGGCATACGAACGAACTGGGTGCAAGTAGGATGTCAAAATTAGGTAGACATCATCCACACTAGCACATACACTTGATTTTAAGTCGAAAGGAAATAGCCTTTGGTTTGCCATTTTATCAGGTTCATTTCTCAAAATGATAAAATGGTTCGTAAAAAATAAAGGGGCCAACCGGATTTGAACCAGTGACCTGGGGAGCTGCAATCCCTCACTCTACCACTGAGCTATGACCCCAATACGATAATCGTACTATAGTAGTAGCATATATATAGGTAGTGTGTTATAAGAAAAAGAAAAAAAACGTTTAAAGAATACGTGGAATTGTAAATGTGGTGAAATAATAGTATTGATTTACTAAAAGAGTATATAGGAGTATCAAAGAATAATTTCTTTTTATCCTCACGCATTGTGATAAATGATACGTTTATGAAATCCCAATGTAGTAGGTTACGATTTCATATGGAACATGTTTGGATTCTTACTTTCATGGTTTTGATTATTTTCCATTTTCCATTTTACTTTCTACTTTTTCTAGATGTCTCAACCCTATTTTGTTTTCGTAATGTAGTCCCCTGATGCACCGATGTGGTACTGAATGCCAAGTACCTTTTCGACTTCACAACATGCAATTTGTATGCCAAAAATGCCATTCGCTACTTAAAGTTAAAGAAGATTACGATGATGAGCTGGTGAAACAGAAATTGTTTCCAAAAAACGTGGGTTTATGGACGCCATCCTTAACAGAAACGAATGAGGAGTGTGAAAGCGATGATGAAACTGCTTCTTCAGTAGAGGACTATCCTGTGGAGCGATTACAGTTATACAAAAAGGCTTTTAAAGAAGGAGAATCAGATTTTCCTCAGTCGCCTCAAACGGAATTGAAAACGCCAACTCTTGACTCTTTTGTGGTTCTTCCAGCGTCACATGATGGATATAACGAGAATGAAGAAGAACGGAATCCTTCTACGGAGGTTAATGACTTGTTTAGTTGGAAAATAGAGAATTACTACCGAATATTTGATTTACTCTCTACAAAAACAAAAGTGAATCATCCATTATGTGAAGAATGCGCTGAATTGTTAGTCGAGGAAATGACGAAGACTTTAAAATCCACAAAGGATGAAAAAAACTTGTATTCAAATTACAGTAACATGCTGGCTAATCAAGATTTTGAAGAAGAAGATATCTCTCAACTCGAAGCCAGTGTTCGAGAAGTAAGCGTTTGCAGTCGGCAACTTTTACTAACAATGAATTAGATATCTGATGAGATTGAAGAAAAACAAAAGGCAATCGTTGATCTGACGGTGCAGGAACAGGAATTGCAAAGTCACTTCCGCAATATGGTAATTGATTGTGAAAAGATGAGCATTGAGGAAGATGAGTATAAAAGGTCATTAAATCAACACTTGATGAAAGAGAGTGTTTTGGAAAGACAACGTGATTGCGCGCAATTAGAATTTGAACACAACTCAAAAAAATTTGAGCGACTTCAAAAAATGAATGTTTTTAGTGATATCTTTTATATATCTCATTATTCCGAGCCAAATGGAGACGGATCCATTGCTACGATCAATGGTTTGAGACTAGGCAGGTTACCTAGTCAAAAAGTAAGTTATTGATGCCTGCCAACTTGAACTAACAATTCCGAATCAGGTAAGCTGGAGTGAAATCAATGCCGCATGGGGGATGACAGTATTACTTTTGGATGTTCTTGCTGAAAGACTAGATTTTCATTCCCCTTTATACCAACTTAAACCTTTCGGTAATCAATCGTATATTCTTCGTTATGATCAGGATCTTAGTACCGGTAATACGAAGCCGGTGCGACTAGATCTGTTTTCCACTGGCGAACTTAAAATCTTTATGAATCGTCGTTTTGACCAAGGAATGGTTGCCTTTTTAGACTATTTACACCAACTCGGGGACTTTTGTGCCGCCAACACCCCCTCGGCCATCTTGCCTTATCCCATAGAAAACGATCGTATTGGAAGTAAGTGTATTAGACTTGCTTTCAATCAAGACGAAAATTGGACGCGGGCCTTAAAGTTCGTGTTGACGAACATAAAATTCCTGGAAGCCTATGTTTCTTCCCAGGAAAAACACACCAACTTTTAATTCGAACCATTTCCTCGAATATGTGTACATTACGGTTCCTCTTAACTTTTTACGAATATTTTAAAGATGATTGCTTCGAGTTTAATGATACAACATAATTATTTTAATATAGAAGGAAGTTAATTAGAAATGATCCTTTTCATTTATGTTAATGAAAATTCAATTTATTTGTTACTGCTAAATTGAACTTTTTCACTATCCCAGTTAACGAAGTGTAACGTCTATGGTAGTTTTTACTCTCAGCAAGGTGAATAGAACTTGGCAGCAGCCAGAAACAATCAAATACTAAAATGCCAAAAAAAGCTCTTGATTCTCGTATTCCAGCGCTCATAAAGAATGGCTGTCAGGTATGCAATTGAACAAAAAACAAAGCTAACAATTGTAGGAAAAACAACGAAGTTTTTTCGTCGTCGTTGGCGATAAAGCTCGAGACCAAGTTGTAAATCTTCATTGGTTACTATCCCAGTCGAAGGTTGCCGCTCGCCCTAATGTCTTATGGATGTATAAGAAAGATTTGTTGGGTTTCACCAGGTATGTTTTTTATAATTTCCTCTTCGTGATTTAAGACTAACATTTTGAAGCCATCGTAAGAAACGAGAAAATAAAATCAAGAAAGAAGTAAAGAGAGGAATCCGTGATCCTAATTCTGAGGATCCTTTCGAACTTTTCTGCAGCATCACCAACATTCGCTACTGCTACTACAAGGAATCTGAAAAAATTTTGGGTACTACTTATGGAATGTTGGTTTTGCAGGATTTTGAAGCATTGACTCCTAATATTCTTGCTCGTACAATTGAAACTATTGAAGGTGGTGGTGTTGTGGTTCTCTTGCTTCACAAAATTAATTCGTTGAAGCAACTCTATACCATGTCAATGGACATCCATTCCCGTTATAGAACAGAAGCCCACAATGATGTGACTGCCAGATTCAATGAAAGATTTATATTGTCTTTAGGTAATTGTGAAAACTGTCTTGTAATTGATGACGAGCTTAACGTGCTTCCTATATCTGGTGGTAAGAACGTGAAGCCGTTGCCCCCCGTTACCGACGAAGATAGATCAACAGAAAACAAGATTAAGGAGTTACAGGAATCTTTAGGGGAAGACAATTTGGCAAGTGGTCTCGTTGGAATTACTCGTACCCTTGACCAATCCCACGCTGTTTTAAGTTTTGTGGAATCTATCGTAGAGAAAAGTTTGAGAGGTACTGTTTCACTAACTGCTAGCCGTGGTCGTGGTAAATCTGCTGCGTTAGGTTTAGCCATTGCAGCAGCTGTTGCTTACGGTTACTCTAATATATTTATCACTTCGCCTAGTCCCGAGAACTTGAAGACTTTGTTCGAATTTATTTTCAAGGGATTTGATGCATTAAATTATGATGAGCACACAGATTATGATATTGTTCAGTCAACAAATCCAGCATTCAATAATGCTATTGTGCGTGTAAATATTTTCCGCGATCATCGCCAGACAATTCAGTATATTCGTCCTGAAGATGCAAACGTGTTAGGACAGGCTGAATTAGTGGTAATTGATGAAGCAGCTGCAATTCCCTTGCCTTTGGTTCGTAAATTGATTGGTCCTTATTTGGTATTCATGGCTTCTACCATCAACGGTTATGAAGGCACTGGTCGCTCTCTCTCTTTGAAGCTTTTGCAACAACTTAGAGAACAGTCCCGTATCATTTCAGCAAACGCAAATACTCCAGTCGGGAACTCTTCGATCAGCGGAAGAACCTTGAAAGAAATAAGTTTGGATGAACCTATTAGATACGCTGCTGGAGACCGTATTGAGGGTTGGCTTAATAAGTTACTTTGCTTGGATGCCGCTAATTATGTTTCAAAGTCTGCAGCTCAAGGATTCCCTCATCCGTCCGAGTGCTCACTATTCCGTGTTAGCAGAGACACGTTATTTTCCTACCATCCTGTTTCAGAGGCATTCCTGCAACGCATGATGGCTCTTTATGTTGCAAGTCATTATAAAAATTCCCCCAATGACTTGCAATTAATGTCCGATGCACCAGCCCACCAGTTGTTTGTATTGTTGCCTCCTGTCGACCCCAAAAATCCCAAATTACCTGATCCTATTTGTGTCATTCAAATAGCTTTGGAAGGATCTATTTCTAGGGATTCGATCTTAAATGGATTGAGTAGAGGACAAAGAGCAGGCGGTGACTTAATTCCTTGGCTTATTTCTCAACAATATCAAGATGAGAATTTTGCTTCTTTAGGCGGAGCCCGTATCGTCCGTATTGCTGTTTCTCCCGAGCATACAAAGATGGGTTATGGTACCAGAGCACTTGAATTATTACATGACTACTTCGAGGGTAAATTTGTAAGCGTTTCTGAAGACTTTCGCTCTCCCCTTGATAGTATGAAGAGAGTTACCGACGAAGAACTTCAAGAGAACGCGCTACGAACAGAAAAGCCCAGTGTACGTGATGCCAGAACGATGCCACCATTATTATTGAAATTATCAGAACTCCAACCAGAGTATCTTCACTACATGGGTGTTTCTTACGGTTTGACACCATCTTTACAAAAGTTTTGGAAGAGAGAGGGTTACTGTCCATTGTATCTCAGACAAACTGCTAACGATTTGACCGGTGAACATACATGTGTAATGCTTCGACCTTTGGCTGAGCGTGATACCGAATGGTTAGGTGCTTTTGCCCAAAACTTTTATAAAAGGTTTTTAACTTTACTCGGTTATCAATTTAGACACTTTACTGCTATAACTTCATTGAGTATTTTGGATGCTTGCAACAATGGTACCAAGCATTTCCAGACGGAGGTTCCCAAACTATCGGATGATGAGATTCATCAAATGTTTGAGTCTTTTGACTTGAAGCGTTTGGAAGCTTATGCTAACAACTTGCTCGATTACCATGTTGTTATGGATTTGCTTCCTAAAGTTGCCGGTCTTTATTTTAGCGCTAAATTCCCCGAAAGTGTTAAGCTTTCTCCTGTTCAACAATCCGTTTTACTTGCCGTTGGTCTACAATTCAAGACAATTGACGACCTGGAACGAGAATTTAACTTACCATCAAACCAACTATTGGCTATGTTGGTTAAGTTATTGAAGAAAATAACAACCTGTATAGATGAGATTGAAAGCAAGAATATTGAAAAAGACTTAGAAGTTAACGAGAAGGTTGAAAAACCAAGTCACAGAGTTCCCGAATTTACTCCTCTTCAGCAATCCTTAGAAGAAGAATTGCAAGAAGGTGGTGATGAAGCTATGCTATCCCTTCGTGAAAAGCAAAGGGCTTTGATAGATGCTATGGATTTGGAAAAGTATGCTATCGGTGGCAATGAAGAAGATTGGAAGAAGGCTGAACAGCAGATTAATAAAACTCAAGGTAAAGGGTCTACCGTGGTTAGTGTGAAGGGTCAAAAGAGAAAGACAGAAGCTGAAGAAGCAAATAAATCGAAGCAACCTTCAGAGGAGAAGTCTTCTAAAAAGAAATCAAAGAATTAATAAAAACTTTTTGGGATTTTTGTGGTTATGGGTTACTAAGTTTTGGATTCATGGATCTATCTATCGTTCAATAAAATTATGTTTAATAGTGAGTGAGTTGTGCCTGGGTAAATCAATGATAATTAAGTATCAAATTTTTTTTCATGTATAATTAGACGATCTTACTTACTTTTCCAACTAATTCGTTTATTTTTTAGCAATGTATATTTTTTACTTCTTGTAACTCCTTATTCCGGTTAATGATCGATTTCTTGTCGCTATTTTTATCCTATGAATCCAGCTACTAGCAGCCAAAACATTTTGTAAACAAAAGCTTTTAACTAAACTTGCTTACTTTCTAAGAGCTTTCCAAGCATGCTAGGAGTGTAAATGTTGGACAAAGAAAATAGAGAAATAGTAATTATACCAAGCTCCTCTCCTCCGGGTACGCCCGTACGCGAGAATCATCAAATTTTTATAAACAGTTCTCCAGTTGAAGAGTCCCCTGTACGGAACATTGGGCGTGAAATTTATCAAAGTGGTTCATATATGGCTTCGAGAAAAGATTTTCGAGACAGGCTGAACCCTTTAGCTTTGGAACCGGTGGCACCTGAAAATATCAACAGTCAAAAAAGCGTAGACAGAATTCTTCAAGAAAAGAACGAAGAGCCAATTACCTCAACAAATGAGTGTAAGAAGGAATTAACTGACAGGAATAAGCCTAAATTGAATGAGACTATGAGCAATGAAACGAAGGAACAGAAAATTGATTTTGTAAAACGTCGGTTTCCTCAACTAGAGGAAAATGACATAGTGGATAAATTGAAAAAGTTTGATTGGAAAGAAAACATGGTTGTTCATAAACTTACGTTTCAGAGACTACTTAAAGGATCAGGTGGACATGTTGGAAATGAAAATTCACAGGAACAAACTAACTTCAAGTCAGAGAAATTCGGATTACCAAAAAACCATGTTACGAAAAAAAGAGACCTGAAAATACGGGAATCTGATGAACCTAGTAAAACCCGAAAAAAGACTTCGCGTGTAATTCAACTTTCTGACGAAGAGGAGGAGGAAGAAGAAGAAGACAGGCGTAGTACGTCTTCAGTAATGAACAAAAAACACGAAAAGGAAAACAAAATTAATTCTGCATTTGAAGATGCTTTAGTGGAAGAATCTGACGAGCATAAAGTTCAAAACGTGGATGAGGAAGAATCTGACTATGATAAGCGAGTGCTTGATTTCTTAAATAATTGTTCTCTACAGGAGTTAATGGATGTATCTAGTTGTCCGCATGATATTGTAGAATATTTTATTTCGAAGAGGCCATATCCAAGCTTAAATAAGGCAGAAGCCGTTCATAAGAAAAAAGTTACTGAGAAACAAAAGCGATCAAAATCCGATTCATTCAAAGTGGGAAAAAAAGTTGTGAATTCAACGTACGAAATTTTGCAAGGATTTGACGCTGTTGATTCCTTAATCAATCGCTGTGAAAGTTACGGGCGCCTCATAGCAAATACTTTGATAAACTGGCATAACAATCGAGAAAATAAAAATCATGAAGATTGCATAGCAATGGATTACATGGAAGAGCAACCTGGGTTGCTAGCACCTGGAGTGACGCTGAAAAATTACCAAATAATGGGTGTTAATTGGTTACGTTTAATGTATCATGCTGATTTATCAGGTATTTTAGCTGACGAAATGGGTCTTGGTAAAACATGTCAGGTAATTGCTTTTTTGGCTTCGATGAAGGAAAACAACATTAAAGGTCCTCATTTAATTGTAGTTCCCGCATCTACACTGGAAAACTGGCTCCGTGAATTTGCTAAATTCTGTCCCTCTTTACGAGTTGAAGAATACTCAGGAAGTCAAGCCGAGCGGATAGAAAAAAGATACTATTTGATGGATAACGAGTACGATGTTCTGGTGACGAACTATCATATGGCTTCAGGTTCGAAAGATGATAGAGCATTCTTACGAAGACAAAGATTTAATGTACGACTCTTTTATTTATTTGAAGATGTGCACTAACATATAGATTTGTGTTTTTGATGAAGGTCACTACTTGAAGAATCGAATGTCTGAAAGATATAGGCACTTGATGAATATTTCAGCGAAATTTCGACTTTTGATTACAGGAACTCCTTTACAGAATAACCTGAAAGAGCTAATTGTATGTATTACATTCCCCATCTTTTACTGAATGTTAACATAAAACGCTATAGTCTTTACTCGCCTTTATGCTACCCACGATGTTTGATAGTAACATGCAAGGACTGGATATAATTTACAAAATTAAGCCCTCTACAGATGGAAATTTTGAAAGAGCTTATCTGTCGCAACAAAGAATATCTAGAGCAAAATCAATTATGAATCCCTTCATCCTTCGTCGCAAGAAGGCCGATGTTTTGTCTGACCTTCCCGAGAAAATCCAGCTCGTTGAATATTGTCGTATGGAACCCAGTCAAAAAGATATTTACGAAAAGTTAATGAAGATTAGAAACGATTCTACCAATACTCGTGAAAACATCATAATGCAACTTCGGAAAGTCGTTAATCATCAACTGCTGTTTCGTTCTATATACTCTTTAGAATCTTTGAGGATAATGTCGAAAAGAATTTTACGAGAAGATCAGTATTTAGACGCCAATGAAAATTACATATTCGAAGACATGGAAGTTATGTCGGATTTTGAACTGCACCATCTGTGTACTCAATTTAAGTCTTTGCATGAATATCGACTGCAGGGAGAACCTTGGATGAAGTCTGGAAAAATAAACAGTTTAGTTTCACTGTTGCAGAAATCTAAAAATGAAGACCGAATTTTGATTTTCAGTCAATTCACTCAAGTATTGGATATACTTGAGCTTGTCCTTCAAACTGTTGGAATGAAGTTTTTGAGACTTGATGGTTCTACTCCAGTAGATACTAGACAAACTCTTCTCGATGAATTTCACGAAAATCCTGAGTACAAAGTGTTTCTGCTCTCGACAAAATCAGGAGGCTTTGGTATTAATTTGACCTGTGCGAATGTTGTCATTATGTATGATTGTTCATTTAATCCCTTTGACGATTTACAGGCAGAAGATCGTGCCCACCGAGTTGGACAAACACGACCTGTTTACGTTTATCGTCTGGTTACAGAGAATAGTATTGAGGTAAGTTGATTTTTTTATGCTATTTTGGTACTGACCGTTGTAGGAAAACATACGCAAGCTGGCAGCAACGAAACTAACTCTCGAATCGAGTCTTACAACAGAATCTGAAAAGATTCAGAAAGAGATTACTGAAGATTTAATTCGTGATTTATCTTGATAATTTATTTATGTTCCGAGCACATTTACAATGATACTATGCGTCGTCTTTTGGCACGAGACAAAAGTTAAACATGAAGTTATAAAGCTCCTCTCTTAAATTAAGGAGTACATATTTATCTAAATAAGTAAAACATGCTATGGAAAGGTTACTTATGAGAAGGAATTTGAAAGAGCAAAAGCGCGATTGGCTTTTCTGTATTGAATTTTTATAACAACTAGAATCAACTTTTGAAAGATGGCTGTCTCGTACCGCTTGAATCTCTGTTAATTTCCAACTATAAAAATTCATCTATTGTAAGTAAGATGCCAGTGCAATATTGATAATTGCTACTTCATTCGGAGACTTTCAGGTATACCTTAATCCATCATTCCATAGACAGCGGCCAGATAAAAAAGTATGTAAAAGCTGTCATCATGTTTCAAAGTGAATGGAACCTTAACAATATAAGTCTTTTGAAATTTGATGATCCTAATAATCTGAGCTTACTTTTAATTACCTTTTGTTATATTATAATTTATTAGATAGTATAATAAGATCGTTGTATCAAGCTATTAGTTATACCGTATAATGGTTATGATAAAAGCGATAATATCTTAATACAGATGTTTATTACAAAAGCCGTAATTCTAGCAAAATACAGTTTGTGACGGACATGACATGCCATTGACATACAATTCTGTTTATAAAAACCATGTGAGGATCCATTTGTAATTCTATTGAATACTTTAAAGAAATCTTGTCTTCAGTATTGAGCAAAGGTCCTATTATTTTGCAGCTGATTCTTGTAAATCAAGGCTAACAAGGCATTCTTTCCTTAATATTTCTTGGTTATCTTGTCTAATACGAAAGCTCGTCTTCTCACTTTATTAGAAAAACTATTTGAAAATGAAAGAAGCTACTATTCCTGCTTCAAATGCTGATGTCTCACTGAGGGTACTCAATGATGAAACCTCAGAAACTAACGGACCTGTTTCGAATTCTGATGACCTTCAACAAAAAGCTTGTCTTGAAACAAAGAAGAATCACATTACTGACGCTAATCATGATGACTCCTCCAAGCCGTTCAATCATGAAAGGCCAGATACTCAAATTCACTCAGATAGCTTGCCGCCTCCATACTCAGGTAAGAAGAAACATCAAGAAGGGAAAATAGAAATGAATTTTAAAACTATGAATGGTCGACTATTTTTAAAATTGCTAGCATATGAGCATGAGATTTTGCAGAAAAATTCATTTCTTAATCATTCCTCAAATTCAAAATACAAGGAATCGATTAGAAAAGATAACTTACTAACGAGTTAGAATTACGAAACAACGTTGATTTGGAATCTGGCAGAGAAAAGATCAAGGATCGTATGCCTTGGTGGGAAGTACTGATTGACAGTCTGTTTATTGTCTCCACATTAAGCTTAGCCTGTGGCTTAATTTTATATTATTTTACAGGAACAGCTCCAAAACAAAAAATCTCTTGGACGATTTTAGGAGTTTGGCATATAGTTTTATTTATGTTCCTGATAGGTAAGAAATGTGATGGGTATAATTATCGAACAAGTTACTAACATGCTATTAGTAAATTTTAAGAGATGGTTTCTAAAGAACAGAAAAAGCTCTAACTAGAGACTCGAACTTGTTATTAATTTTGGTGGTACAACTTCTTCGCATGTCAATGATTGTCCGCTAGTTATCTAAGGAATGTTAGTTCAGCTACGAAGAGCTTTCATTGAGAATGGAATACTTCTTTAATATAACATTTATTTGATAACAGCAAGTAGTCTTTCTGAGACATATGTGTACTATGATTCAGCTGGATAGGCAGGTTTTAAGGATGGGCTGTACCCTACTGCATATATGTGAGCACAATTGATCAATGATTAGTACATAGTTGTGAAGGAAAGAAACAAGTATCAGCATGAAACAAGTGGAACTTTGCTTTATTGAGAAAATAGAAGATGGATCAATAGGAACAAAAGACGTAAAAGAAGACTAGATTCAAAATAGTTTTATGTTCTATTTTTAAATGCGATCCATCAAATATAATACAAAAGAGACTTTATTACATAATATAAACAACAGCTGGTTTAAAGCAAAGAAGCTTTGCTTTATCAAGAGGAACTGTTTCATTTAATTTATACAATAAACAAACATACTTACAACTGAAAGCACTACTTTTGGATCAAGAAATTTAGTTACACTGAGCCAATGAATCAAGTTATAGTCCGAAGTCACTAGACCTTGAAACTACTTGAAAAATTCATCAAGTAGAGCTAAATTTATACAAAGAAAACTATTTTAATCCATAAATACATACTTTTAGCTTTATACTTATACAGCGTAAAAACTTAGCTGTAATACTAACAAAATACATGTTTAGGATAATAATATTACAAAACTTTATTATAAAGTATTCCTAACGAGGTACAGAAGAACATTCGTAAGTATATATAGAATTATTAATTTAAAAACCGTACGATAAAGAGGTAACGCAAAGGTAACAAACCGTTTTTATTAAGTGATCACAGTTTAAGTAAAACACTTCCAAAAACCAACTTTTTGTTCGTTCATTTTATTGTGGAATCATGAAGTGCTTAAAATTATTCGGTCTCTTATTACCAGCTATTGCTGCTGCCATCTACTACATCCAAGTAAACATAACGTCCTTTTATAGATTCGATCCTGCCAAACTGCAAGAGTTGTCTCAACAATCCATTGAGCTCTATGGAAATGATACTCGTGCATTATTGTATGATTTGAATAAGCGTTTGATTGCTGAGTATGGTGATTTAATCTTCCCTTTGAATGACGACGAGTGGGTCCATAACAATGCTGGTGGTGCTATGGGTAATATGTTCATCCTTCACTCCTCTTTCACTGAGTACTTAATTTTCTTTGGAACTCCAATTGGAACGGAGGGTCACACCGGTTTACACATGGCTGATGACTACTTTACAATTTTGGTCGGCCGTCAACTTGCAGCTTCTGCCAACGACTTGGAAGCTCGTGAATACCGTCCCGGTGATCAACACCACCACAAATGGGGACAAACCGCTCAATACAGTATGCCCTCTGGTAAACCCTGCTTTGCTCTTGAATTAGCTCAAGGCTGGATTCCTAGTATGCTTCCCTTTGGATTTATTTCTACTCTCTTTTCAACACTTGACTTCCCTACTTTTTACAGAACTGTCTACTATACCATCATTCGAATGGTGAAGAGCTTCCTTGTTGGCAAGTTTTAAACATCCATTAATACTATTCGCTCTTTATTCATAACCTTTCAAAGTTAAGTTAATAGCACTCCTTATTTTACAATTTTCATGTTTCTTCCTTTAGTGTCAATTTTCGCATTTTCTTTGCTTTGCGTTACCGGTTCACTTTTTCTTTTATCTGTACATTATTGTAATTCTATTGAAATTGGGTAATATATTGAATAAGTATCATAATCTATATGCTTTCGTATCTTACAATAAATAATCCGTGAGTTGGATCAACAAGTGAGGGTTCTTTTCTCATTCCTTTTTCAAAATAACCGCTTCTAAATGCAAACATCTCTCGTATTAATCGAGAATAGGTTTTTCTTTTATATACGTTTAATGTATAACCACTAAGCTTAAGAAACATTCACTGTTTTTAGACTTGACCCATTATCTCTGTTCCTTCTTCTTTGGTACTCAAAATGTTTGCCGAGGGCGCCATTATATGTTCATGAAGACTATCAAATAACCTTCTAATTTCGTCATTTCGTCGGATATAAGGGTGTTTCCAAAAATTGTAATCTTCATTCTTTAATAGTTCAGTGAAAGTAATTAGAAGTCCCCATGGATGAGGACGATTGCATATAATTCTCTCCAGCAGAACCATTGTCATTTGCTCCTTTATTAGCAATTCTTGAGGAATGTTTGAAGAACTCTTAAAGAGATATAAGAAGAAACAGCTAGCATAATATGTATAACTACTGGGATAACGTAGTTGATTAGCGATAGCTGTCAATAAGAAGTAACGACATCTTGAGTCGCAATGCTTATTGATTGTGCTAATAATCACACATTCAGGTGATTTCGCTTGGAATTGGGGTGCCTGTTTCGACTGTAAATCCCTCGTAGCGAATCGAATAAGCCACAAAACAAACAAATTAGCCCATTCATTCAATTGTTCGGAAGACTCAAGACTTGAAAATGCTTCAAGGTACAATTTGCCAACGTCAGCTGGCTTATTAGAAGCCAGACAAGCATCTAAACTCAACTGAGAACCAAAATCATCCAAAGAAGACAAGATGGTATCAGAAATTAAAGGAGCACAAGCTACTTCCGGTAATCTTCCTACCTTTAAGCCTTGTGCGAAAGGATCTGGCAAATGCATATCGTTAGGGAAAGCACTTAAAATCATATTCCGAAGTTGTACACATTCCAAAGGAATATGTGGAATCAGATGATAGCAATGAGTTGCTAAGAATCCGGGAAAATCGTGCAACAAGACAAGGACAATACGTAAAAACCCGTTATATAACAACTTAAACTGTGCCTTATCGTATCCATCCTTTAGACCCAAAAATTTCAAAAATGAAGCTAAAATTTCACCGTAAAGACTGTTAATCTCTTCGTTATTAGCCATAAGAATTTTAGGCAAAAGGTAAGCATGCGAAATTAAACTTAGCCATGCAAATGTAAAGGCAGGGAAGTAACTAGGTTGAATAGCAAGAAGACTATGAAGAAATATGACGAATATTTCCGAAAACGTTGACTCGAAGGCTTCTTTATTTTCATCAAGTTCGGATAAGATACTTGAAAATAATCTGAAGAACGTCTTCTGATGAACAAATTCATCCATTGAATTATGCAATTCGGCAAAAATTCCTGTGATAAGAGCCATAATTTTTCGGAAAAAAACACTCTTGTTTGAGCTCGTACTCTCTTCACCTTTTGCTTCGGAGTATTTTACAACGTTGACGATTAGAGATGCTAAAGCATCTACGTTGCAATAATCTGGTGCATTCGCTGATGCGGCTTCCAAGAAAGCAACCAGAACAGCTTCTAAATTACAGCGGAAAAACTGTATTGTCAGTTCTAGATCACCCAAAATTCCTTGTTTATGAAGCTGATAAACAAAGGCTGCCTTGAGAGCATCATCAGTTCCTGAATTACGCAATAGATGAACCCAGGAAACAAAGATAATAATCATTTGATCATTTAATTGCTCTTTATTGTCAAGAACTGCCAAAATTTCCTGTGCAGGGGAGGCTATTTTACCCATCGACTCAAATAATTGGTCATAGGCTTCCTTCATTTCGCCAGTAAACATAGGGCTATGCTTGTATAGACTACTGATGGAATTCACAAAATTACCTGGCAATGCCATGGGGTTTTCTCCGCTAACAGCCGTATTCAGTAGTCCTATAGCGAACGTAGTAACAGGACCTTTACCTTGTTCAGAGTCTATACCTCGAGCAACATGGTAATCGACCTCGGCAGTTGTCAAGATCCCAAATCGAATTAGACTAAGGATAACAGGGAGATTCAATTTTTCAATATCACTAGAAAAGTTCCAATACAAAGAAACACTGATAGCAGTCTTTTTGGAAGCTTGACATATATATTCTAAAATCGCACAGAACACTTCTAATATAAAGGGGGAAGCACTTTCTAGTAAAAGAATTCGGCAACATTCCTGTGCACACAAAAGGAACACGTGATCAGCAATAGGATGGTTTATTGCAGCAACACCTGTCAAAAATTGATTAACCAAATCGTGGAATTCATGCTCAGCAGGTACCTCCTGCATACTCGTAAACGGTACTTGACTGGACAGTTGCAAAATCTGTGCTATCACCAATAAAAGATTTCTGGCATAGTTTAGTGCAGCCTGATTTGCTTCATCTTCCATAGGAACATTCATGCTTGCATTCGGCGTTTCTGAATCCTCAGCAATTTCTGATCGAGACTCGCTTACATTACCGTAACCAGAGTTGCTCATAATGGTAAACAGACTAAGGCGATCAAAATTTTCATATAATTGAAATTGTTGAGGTGCTAATTCGGAAGAAAGTTTCAGTATCCCAGGCAAGTTTAGATGTAAATTAGCTGCTCCAGCGGAATCAATAAATGGAACATTCGGATTAGTCTTTCTATGATGAACACGTTCAACAATCATAGGTTCCACTTCCGCGTCAATTTCTGCGACGGCAGTTTCAGACGCAACAGTCTCAACAATAGAACTGGCAATAAACAAATTTTGAAGAACAAGCTCATCTATTGCCTGAGCAACAGCCGCGTGTACATTTTCTGCATCTTGTAAAATCATAGTACGCAAATTGTTGATCATCAGCATTTGTAAGGGTTCCCGACATGTAACCATGGCTAAATTTCCAGCCAAAGTTTTAGCCATCTGCCTAGCAGCCAGTAGCAAATTTGAAGGATTTGATTCAGCTGCAAAGTCTTTTTGTATCAAGTTCTTGGTGGTTATGGCGGATATACCTACAGATCGTCTGACGACAGCGGATATAATCTCTAAAACTGATTGTTGTATGATTAAGTGCATACTGTTTTTGATGGCCGCTTTAGATTTTCCAAATATTTGAGTAACGGTATCGGAAACAATAATTTGCGGCGAAGCTGCTGCAATATATTGCATTATAATGTTAGCATCACTATGCAAGTCCTGGCTGCCGATGTCTTCTGGAAGATCCCTCTCCAAATCGGCTTTGTGAATTAAATGATTCCTGTACAACTCCGAAGGCTCAATGTCTTCAATTTTTACGTTGATACTCTGTAATAACAACTCAATTTCAAACTTCATGTTCAGACGGAAATCAGCGAACTGGTATAATTCAACTAACAACCTCAAAATTCCCATCAACCAAGGATTTGGTGGCTTAAAAACCTTTGATAATGTAACCTTTTCCAGTACTTTGCATACAAAAGGAAGGACACGATCAATCCTCTCACTATCGACACCTTCCAGTAATAAATCCTTGAATGCGACGTTCATAGTTGTGATTGACTTGTTCCTTGCTAAAGTTATACTTCCAAGCCACGATCCCAAATTTTTCAAACTTGACTTTTCTATAGAAGACAATGTGTCAGTGTCTAAATTTAAGATATCCAAAGCAGCTTGCAAAGTATCTCTGTACACAATCTTGTATAAGTCGTTATTTTTCAATTCTTCCAGAAACTTACTATACAAAGTAAGGAAATTGGCTTCTCGGCTAACACGTTGTGTTACTATATAGTGAGAAAACCATGCTAAATAAGGAGGTGTCAAACTTTCTTTGACAGTCTGTAACTTCTCATTAAAATTAAGCTGTGACAAATTGTTCAATGCGAAAAGAATGTTGTCACACACGGACTCCTGAATTTCACCGCCAACGTTGGGGAAAGATAATGCAGGCACTCTTATGGAAACAAAGGAATAAGATGGCGCTTTAGGACTCGGAAGGGCCGAAGTTTCAGGTATCACAACCTCCTTCTCGGCTTCCAATGTTGACGTTTCTGCGGAAGCAATCATCTCTTTAATAGAATTATAAATATCGGGTCGTGTTAATTGCAAAGAAGGGATCCCAAGTATCAAGTTACAGTAATTTATATACTTCGGAAGCTTGTCCTGGAATTGTACTAAGGCTTGCATACCAAATCTGAACATTTTGGAATCTGTAGGCATTAAAAGAGCTTGATACACATAACGCAGAGCCACTCCAAGAGGTACAAAAGAAAGGAGATCAAATTGAATAAGACTGCCGAATAGAACTGCAGTTAGTGCCAAAGCTTCTAGAGGATAATCAGGGAAAAATCTATACTCATCAAAAAGACTGTGTTGCAGACAAGCAAATAGATCCAAGTCACGAGGATTTTCGGACTTTTTAAAAGTTTGCAGAGTAAGTACAATTTTACCAATGGATAGCTTGCGCTCGTATAAGGCTTGGAAAAATGATTCTACTTCAGCTTCCACATCGGAAGAGAAGGAATTCGTACCATTAACATTTATAATAAGATCATCACGATCATGTCCCAGTGCAAAAAGACGAGGGTAAACCTGAAGGCAGAGAATCTGTACGTCCTTAATGTGTTCGCTGACTTCTTCTGAAATACTGACATTGTCCATTAAGGTAGTTAAAAGAATGTTAACGACATCGATGGATAAAGGTATAAGCTGCTCCTTGTTCTCGGTTGGTGACTTCTGCAAAGCTGCATGGACCATTAAAAAGTCCAACACCTCAACAAGAAAAATGTTTAGGCTTTCAGCATCTTTGAATTCAGATAACCTTCCATCAAGCCAAGTTTGAAAGTTAATTGCCTTACGGGCACAAGCAAGAGCCGCAATCTCCAAAGCAAAACGATTAGGTTGAACACTATTGATGTGCTCGACAAAATTATTTTCAAGAATAAAGCTCACAATCTGGCCAATTAAGAAACTGTCTTTTAGCCATAAGCTCCGCAAGAACGCAAAGAGAAATTGAGGATTAGTATGTTCGATTCTATGAAAGACAAACTTGTGTTGGGGAAAATTACTGAAAAAGTCAGAACACCATTGGAAAGCTAATGACTCCTGTACTTGATTCCATGGCATAGATAACTGAAGAGTTCCCAGAAGTAAAAGCTCGGCGGAAATTTTTTCATCTAGAAAATTCAAAAATAAGGAGGTTTCGTAAGTGACAACTTCAGTTAGTAACCGAAGAAGTACGCGAACCAATTCTAGGCAATTAAGATTACTCTGTTCGTATCCCTTAGCATAGTTAACAAGTTCTTCACTGTAACCATCCAAATCTCCGACAGAAACGATAGGTGTTATATTATACCCTTTGATGTCAAACAGATGGCTAGGTGTCAAAATAATATGCGAGATTATAGATAGCTGAGATAAGGGGTTCTTCCAAAGATTCCAAAGAAAATCTAACGTGAACGTTCGCTGTTTGAGCTTGAAAGCATTAGTAAAAATAGTCATGAATAAAATGAGACTAGGGCTTCCAGTAACCATAAATTTCGGATTATCGAACATAGGAAGCATCGATTCCCAATCTAAATGCTCAAAGGCTGATACAATTGCCTTCCCCATCAAGACTGTGTCCCATGAACCATAATCGTGGATTGCAACTAAAGAATTAATGAGGAAAGCAACATCTGATTCGGTTACGGATTCAGGAGGATATTTCTTAGTTATGGCTTCTTTCATGGTTTTCAGGGTAGCTTTCGAATTCTTTAAGTTACCAAACAGAGCAGTAAGAGGGCGGCAATTAGCTAGACGTTTCTCAACCACCGAATCAAATTTGGGGACTTGAATCAGCGGTATACGGTCATAATCTGAAGTAAACAGGCCTTCCCTCAACATATCCAAATCAACCTTTTCCATGTACGGTTGAAGATTAGGATTAGAGAGCTGGTTCAACAAAGGCTGGAAATCCTCCTTTAGCAAAGCTGATGCCTTTTTAGATAGAGATGGTTTTATGGAGGTAGTTAAACCGATTAATATATTTGTGCGTTCTATAGGGGAAAACTGAAAGTGATTTAAAAATGTCTCAATATCAAAGTCTTCGAAAACCTCTGAATCAGATCCCGAAATGGCATCACTGAAACGCTTTGCTAAAGGCCAAGACTTTGTTAATGACTTCAACTCGTCTAACAACAATTTGTAGGTCGCCAGACCGTCAGATGACTTCCCAGTACCGAAGATACGGTAGGAATTACCTTGCACTAAACGACGCAAGAAATGGTGATATACACCTGGCGCGTTCTTATTGATAAGTTGCCTAATTTGCTCAAGTTTTGTATCATACTGATCTTCCCTTAAAGTGGATAGCAAGAAAAGAATTTGTGCTTTCACAATACTCTCAATTTTAGAGTCGTTAGGAGCAGTAGTCTTGTTTTCTAATGGTAATGAATGATTGGAATCCGACATTGAACTTGATTTATCTCTCATATCCGACATTTCTGCTTTTATTGTAAAAAGGTTCTTCGATAATAATCTTTCATGCCCTTCCAAAGGCTACTAAACTCTATATACTCTTGTTCAACAGGTAAACCTCTGAATATATACAATATCAAAACCAAGGCAAAATATCTTAAAATTTTCGAGGAGTAGGTATAGTGGTGTTTTGAAGAAGGATGTAGACTACAAAGCGGGTCCGCTAGTTGGGAAGTTCGTGGTTAACGAGGGGATTTGGATACGCTATAATATTGTGTGTTTCGTAAAATACTTATCGTTCTCCAACGTTTCTATGGCGATTTTTTGTTTATTTTCAATAGTAGAGAAGTAACGGTTGCTATTGTATGGTTGCTATGTTCAGGTAGCGTAAACAAATTTGTTTATTCTCAGTTTCCTCCATTAAAACTTTCCAACTACACGAAACTCTACAGTGGGCCATTTTGTTGAAGAGAATGGCAGATATTGCTGTAAATGGGAGTGAAAGTGCTCCTTACATAACAAAATCTCCAACGAAGTTTCGTGAAAACTTTTGGGTATGTTGTCTATTATACCCCAGAAATGCAACTTTATAGTAACATCTGTGATTAGGGATCTGAAGATGCTGGCATGGATGCACTCATGACCCGTACGAAAAATTCACTTTCAACGTTGGATGCGATTAACAAGTTCTACTCAAGAAGGTATGATAACAACTCATCATGATCTATTTCGGTTGATCAGAACACGTTAATATAAACAAGAGTGATTGCTTGAGATATAAAGCATATATTTAAATCGTATTGATTTCTTTGACGTTATATTCAACGACTTAGATATAATTTAAAAAGCACAGAAAAAGGTTGCTAACGAATTGTAGAGCCGCTATCGAAAGAGAATATGCTTCAAATTTGAAGGAACTAGTTTCTAGTACCCCAAAATTTGAGGAATATGGCACTACCTATCAGAATATGGAGTCCCTGAAAACGGAGACTAGAAGCATGTCCCAGGCTCATAGTGATGTATCTAATCAAATTGAAAAAGAACTTCTAGAAAAAGTTAACGCTTATATTACTCAAACCGAACAGCAGAAATCGCTTGCTACGGATGCCATCGAAGAGCTCTATCAACAGAAGACTGCTTTGGAGATTGATCTTTCTGAAAAGTATGACGCGTATGAATACAGTGCTAACAAGCTAAATTCATACTTAAAATTGGCTTCGAAATTCACTGGTAGAGAACTGGACAAGCATAATCTCAAAGTTCGTCAAGCCGCATTGACTGTTCAAAGGACAGAAAAAGAATATCGTGAAACGAACAAGCTTTTATGTACAGTTACTCAGGACTGGGTTGATAGGTGGACTGAAATTTGCGACGCTTTTCAGCATATCGAGGAGTACCGACTTGAATTTCTCAAAACCAATATGTGGTCGTACGCAAACATTATTTCGACTGCTTGTGTCAAGGACGACGAAGCCTGTGAAAGAATTCGACTTACTTTGGAGAAAACAAATGTGGCCGATGATATTACTTTACTCATTCAAAAGGAGGCAACCGGCACAAAGATTCCGACTTTCCCTGAAGAACATAACTACTTCAAGGAAAATGGGATACAAATTGACCTTAACCAAATTGCTTCGAAAGCTCCTAGCATTTATCATAATACTTCAAGGGCTGCTTCATCTGCTTCGTTATCTACTTCTCAACCTGTTTCGTCTCCTAGGATCAAGAAAACTGATTCATTTTCGTCTGAAATCCCATCTCCTCCTACTTCTCCCTATACTGGTAAAGCACAGCCTATGAATATCGATCATTCCTTATCACCTGATATTTCGTTCAGTGTTCCCGAAGCAAAGAATGATTACCAAAAAAGTACGGACTTCAGACAATCTCCTTCAATATCTTCATTTAATACCATTCCTAGACAAACAACTGAAGTTGAAACAAATAGATTTGAACTTGGTGAACCAGCTTCGCCTTTAATTGTTCCTACTAAGCCAAGTGAACCAGTTGGTGAAGATCGGTCATCAAAAACCAACCTTGATGAAGCTATTCTCGGACAAGACTTTCCACCACCTTCCTCGAATAATAGAGCATCAAGACTATCATTTTCTCGTCATGGACAAGGTTCTCAGAGCAGTATGGGATCCATTAAACGGAAGTCGATTATGGAACGTATGGGTCGTCCCACTTCGCCATTTGTTGGATCTACATTCTCTAGTATGCGAAGCCGTAGTAATTCGCCAACCAAAGATTTTTTAAAGGAGTCGACATCACCAGCTGTTGATTCTACTCATTCGGATGAGGTGGATGATATAGATCCCAGGGCAAATGTGGTATTGAACGTTGGTCCAAATATGTTGAAGGTTGGAGATGTTCCAGAACAGTCGAATGGTTCCGAGGATAAAAGCAACGATCCCATAGCTGATGCTATGGCTCATTTAAGCATGTCAGTGAAGAGACGTCAGTCTACTTCTACCACCGGTGACAACAATGCAGGAATTAAGCCTGTCACATCTAATAATCGACTAAGCATGCTTGATTCTAATTCACGTAACCAGTCTTCTACTGATATTGATAGCCTGGCTAAAAGAAGTTCGTTAGGTGCACCTCCCGCTGCTCATACTTCTGCCCAAATGCAACGCATGAGCAATAATTTTGCAAATCAAACTAAGCGTGTCTTTGGAGAAAAACGAGGTGATGTTCCCTTGAAAGACTCACTCCGTCATAACAGAAGCAATTTGAGTAGGTCACCATCGCCCATGTTATCCAGACGAAATTCTAATGTGAGAAACGGAATGCTTGAACGTTCTACCTCATCTTTAAGTATGAGTCAGCAGGGAACAAACCCTATAAGTAGAAGTCGTGGAAACTCATTATCTGGACAAGGTTCTCGACCTTCTTCTTCACTTTCTAATCGACCACCATCTCAGCTTTCTTTGCAGCGATCTGTTTCTCCGAACCCTCTGGGACATAACCGAAGGTCTTCGATTATGAATATGCAGCGCTCTACTTCTCCAAATCCTTTGAATAGGTCGAGTGTGAATATTTCACATTCAAGGCCTTCTTCTGGAATGGACATGAGGTATAGTTCTTTAGGTGGTAGAACATCAAGGCAAACTTTGGATCGTGCCCCTACGGTTCGCTCACGATCTCCCGCTTCATCAATAAGAAGCGGTTATTCTAAAGCTGAACCTAGAGCTTCGTTTACAGCTGAAGGAGAATCTATCTTAGGGTATGTAATAGCTCTTTATGACTATAAAGCTCAAATCCCCGAAGAAATAAGTTTTCAAAAAGGAGATACTTTGATGGTACTCCGCACACAGGAAGATGGATGGTGGGATGGTGAGGTTATCAATATCATGAATCCCAAGAGGGGATTATTCCCATCTAATTTTGTGCAGACTGTTTAATAAGAAAGATGTAGGATGGCTGCATCTTTGTATATTTATGTTGTGCTGTTTGGTATCATCTCAAGATAGGAGATGATGTTGTTATGAAGCATTTAATCTATGATCGTAATTTTCTCGTTCATTCATTCTCTTTTATAACGATTTTTGAGTTTGGATCTTACTGGCGATTATCATCATGGACCATCATTTGGATATAATCGACCACTTAGAAACACTAACTTTTTTTATGTAGAACATTAACATATAATTGTTGTGTTTAAGGTAATGTATGCTAGTTGTAAGAAAAGAAGGAAAGAAAAATAAAGTATCACATTAATAAGTACGCATGAAATAGCTGAATTTGAGAAGTTGCATTTTTGACTATTGTAGAAAACAGAAGTTGTACATTGAAGCACTCTGGATAGACATTGTCACAATGAAACAGGATCTAAACTTTTAATATACTGAAACTATTGCATCGTGCTCATGTAAATGATCTTGGATATACTTCTTAGACTTTGTAGGATATCGTATTAGATTTACTTTTATTTCTTTTAGTATAATCTTGCATGTATGTAATGTAAGAAAATTGTCATCACTGTTATTGGATTAGGTTATATAGATGCGACATCTGTATAAGCATTCCGTGTACATTCTATTTACATGAATTTGCTTAACTAGAATTTGACATCTGCCTATTCCTACGTGTACATAAGACAGATTCGCAAGGTAGAAATTGATCAGTTTCGCCCTATAAATCTGGTTATTTGAAAGGTCTGATTGTTTAAGAAAGGGTCATCGGGACATTACCTGGTAAATCTCTTTTTTTCTTTTTGGTTTTATAAATTTTATATCTTGAATTAAATAAATTTGCTATCTTGAAAAGCATTTATTACTCTATTTAAATTGTATAGGGATTGTTCTTGAAGATACTTGAACTCGGAAAAGGTCCTAGTACAACATGAGCAACGTGGCCAAAACACTGAAGGGGCCATTAAAATCACCAAGGCTTGCTTTTTGTAAGTTAAGTCTAAGAAGATCATTGCTTCCGTTTGCTTTTCCTAATATTAACGAGAAATGTCTGTTACCAACGAAACGATTTCAAGTTCGAAGCTTTTCTCAAAGTAGATTTGTTAAAACCAGTGAGTTAACGAATAACTTGAAGAAAATTCAGTCTCTCGAGCGAGAGGTTGAGGAAGTGGATGTTTGTATTGTCGGTGCTGGACCAGCCGGTTTAGGTGCAGCAATCCGTATCAAGCAAGCAGCCGCAAAAATTGGTAAAGAAATTCGAGTGATTGTACTAGAAAAAGCCGCTGAGCCAGGTAATCACAGCGTTTCAGGTGCAGTTATTCAGCCAACTGCCCTTGATGAGCTCATTCCAGACTGGAGGAATGAACCACCTCGCCATTGTACTCCTGTTTCATCAGATACCATGAAATTTTTAATTCCTGGTATGCAATTCCCTATACCTGTACCTCCAGTTTTGAGTAACAAAGGAAATTACATTATGAGCTTGGCAGAATTAACCAAATGGCTAGCCGCCAAAGCTGAAGAGCTGGATGTTGAGCTGTATCCTTCTTTCGCTGCTTCAGAGGTGTTATACAATGAAGATGGGTCTGTTCGTGGTGTAGCTACAAACGATTTTGGTATTGATAGCAAAGGATTACAAAAGGATAACTTTGAGAGAGGAATGGCTTTCCATGCACCAATCACTTTATTTGCTGAAGGTGCCCGTGGGTCTTTATCTAAATCGGTTATCCAGCGCTTTGATCTTCAGAAGGATAGTGAGCCTCAAACATATGGCTTAGGTATTAAGGAAGTATGGCGCGTACCTGACGAAAACTTTAGGAATGGTGAGGTTGCCCATACCCTTGGCTGGCCATTACGGAATGATACTTATGGTGGTGGATTCATGTACCAATTTGGAGACAACTACGTGTCTGTAGGATTGGTAGTTGGCTTGGATTATCCCAATCCGTATGTGTCTCCGGCTTCTGAATTTCAGAGGATGAAACAAAATCCATTTTTTGCTAAAGTTTTGAAAGGAGGAACATGTTTGGAATATGCCGCTCGTAGTTTAAACGAGGGAGGTTATCAGTCTATTCCCAAATTGGTATTTCCAGGTGGTGCTTTAATCGGGTGCAGTGCTGGATTTGTTAATGTTGCAAAGATCAAAGGTACACACACAGCTATGAAGTCCGGTATGGTCGCTGCTGATGCAATTGTCAAAGCTTTTAATACTGATGATGTTGGTAAAACGCTTACGATTAATGATTATGAAGAAAACCTTAAAAACTCTTTCGTTTTTAAAGAACTGTATTCCGTACGTAATGTGCGACCATCATTTCATGCATTTCCCTTTTTAGGAAACTATGGTGGCATGATATATTCGGCTCTAGATTCGTACCTGCTGAAAGGTAAAGTACCTTGGACATTTAGCCACAAAAAAAGCGATGCTGCAGTTACAGCTAAGGCCTCTTCATATAAACCCATAGATTACCCTAAACCTGACAATGTCCTATCATTTGATACACCAACATCTGTCGCTCGTTCAGGTACTATGCATGCCGAGAACCAGCCTTGTCATTTGTTTGATACTCGTCCTAATGATCGACAAGATGCTTATCGACTCTACAAAGGTGTTGAAAATCGTTTCTGTCCAGCTGGTGTCTACGAATACGTTGACGATGAGACACTACCTACTGGAAAGCGATTTGTTATTAATTCTCAAAACTGTGTTCATTGCAAAGTAAGTTTTTAAGTTTACCGTGTTTTTACTTACGACGAAATTTAGACTTGTGACATAAAAGATCCTCTTCAAGGCATCAAATGGAAAACACCCCAGGGCGGTGATGGTCCGAGTAAGTGGAAATATACGTGCTCTTTTACTAACGTTTTAGAACAAACTTTGACATAGTAAATTCCACAGGGTTTCACATGCGTTCCCATAGTTCTTTGCTTTATTTTTCTATAAAAGAGATTCTATGCTATAACAATAATGTATATTAATAACGCTTTAATTAATAAAATCTGCATCCATTTAAACATTTAAAAGATACGTAACAACATATAAATGCATGATGAAATTAGTAAGTATCTTTAACATTGCTCTTCCTTCTGTTATTTTGCTCTTTGACAGCGTTCCAGAATCCTTTCTCCAATAATATGGAAATATGCTCAATAGACATACCTGCTAACTCTGGATACGTAAAGAAACAAGTAATTAAACCGACTAAGCAAAATCCAGCATATAATCCAAAAGTGCCAACTGAAGTAATAGACTCCATCATTGTCAAAAAAGTGGCACTGACAATTAAGTTTCCGGACCAGTTTACAGCCGTAGAAAATCCTGTTCCCAAAGCACGCACTTCCATCGGAAATAATTCGGCTTGCTGCCAAGGTATGTTACCAATACCGAACGCATAACTAGCCAAGAAGACAATGATGGAAACTAAAATTATGTATTTAAATGCAGTCTTTTTGAGTTCCAGAAAATGATATGAAATTGCACAGACTGCAAGGGAGATTATCATAGTAGTAGCACTGCACAGTAAAATCCGTCTTCTACCAATTCGATCGATGAACATAAATGCAAGTATCGTAAATAAAAAGTTAGTCGCACCAACGACTATACTAATTTGTATGGAATTGTGAAAGCCAACGCTTTGGAAAAGAATTGCCGAAAAATATTGAATGGCATTTGTACCAGAGAACTGTTGAAAGGCTTGAAGGAAACATGCAATAAACAACGAGCGTCGATTAGAAGGGACTGAAAAAAGACGTTTAAAAGAGTACTTCAATCTCTGAAATTGGTTTCCTTCCAAAGTGCCAAAATTCATGCCTTCTTGAATTAAAGTGACCTTGTAGGCAATCTCACCCGGTTTAGCATTTGGATGGATTCTCGACATAATCGTATACACTTTTTCAACATGATTTTGCTTTAATAGGTACCGGGGAGACTCTGGTGTCCAGAAGAGTGGAATGAGTTGGCATAGCGCTGGTAAAGCACCTAATCCCATCATGATGCGCCAACCTTGATTTACGTTTTCAAATGCCGCATTTAATGCATAAGCTAGCAATTGACCTCCAGTAATAAAAACAACGTAGATAATTACAAGTCGACCACGCATATGAGCTGGTGCCAATTCTGTGATATACATAGGAACAATTAAGGACGCTAATCCAATGCCCCATCCAACAACAAAACGACCAGCGACTAAAGTTGCAATGTTTCTTGATACTGCCATAATGATAGATCCCAATACGAATATACCATCGGCATATATGAGTAAGCGCTTTCTACCCAGTAAATCTGCAAGCCAACCAGAAGTAATACCAGATAATAAAGCTGCAAATGGAGTTGCAGACGTAATAAGTTCTCGCTGTTTGGAGCTTAATTCCTTTCCCAAATCCGAACCGATAACTGCTAAAGCACCTGAAATTACACCAGTGTCATATCCAAATAATAAGCCAGAAATACCAGCAACTGTTGAAAGTATCCAAATCCAACTGCTAATCTTTTCTTCATGGAATCCTTCAGGAGCAACTTCATCCACTGGATCAATTCTGCCTAAGGAGGTATCCACATTCGTGTTATTATCCTGGATACGCACGTCCTCTATACTTAATCGCCCATCATCCAACTTTCTGTTTAAAGATTGGTAAGTAGTCAACGGATTTAGGTCGTCCTTCGAACCCCCGAACGTAGTCGAGAATGTTGCAAGAGGAATTCCTTTAGTCTCCATAAAAAAGGTTTTCGAAGGTATAAAAAAAAGAAAGTATTGTTATAATATCGCTAACTTCTCTTGTCTTGTTCAATAACGGCGATGTTGTTGAATTAATCTGAATCTATAGCTAAAGCTTTCAAATATGACTTGGTTTCGTAATGTATGTTTAATTGATTTCTTTCAGCGGTCTGAATTAAAAAGTAGTAAGTGGTAGGTAAAAGGACAATGCTCGATCAGTAAAAAGGAATATCACTTTGTAAGATAACAGTTATCAATATCTACTAAGTTGAAAGGAAAGTACTGTTAATTGGACATACTCTTTCAAAGCAAATTCACTGGAATTTGTTAAATTAATAAGACCGTATAAATATATTAAAATAGATATTAAAACTAAAAGCACATTTCGTTAACCAGCGTAAGTGTTAGGCATTGATCAATGCTTCGTTATTAAATAAGTTTTGCCAAAAATCCCAGATATATCATAAGCTCTGATCATCGGTATGTTAACGTTACAGGTGTATAATTATAGTAATTGGGTTAGTATAAAATGGGCCAGGTCGGCGTTTTTCCAGTAATTGGAATGAGCATTCATTGCAGAAACATAACTGTAAGATGCGTCCAGTGATCCTTCTTGCAACATAAAGTCAACGCGGCCAGTTTTATTTAAACGATACATTCTTTCATCAATTTGATATGCTTGATTGCCTTCCCCAACAACCTGTTCTTTATGGTTGGCGGTGGCTTCGTTAAAGACTGATGCATAACTAAGGGACTTTAAAATCAAAGTATTTGCGATACCAGAACGTAATCCAGATAGTATATTTAATGCACCATCCGCGAGTCTGTGACCAACACCTAAACCATTCTCATTACTGTAAGGTCTAAAGTGCGGAATACTTTGAGGCTTTAAATGTGACATATTTTTCACTATAAGAGGTTCAACCCGATAGCTAATGGGATCAGTTGGATGAAATATATTGTAAAAATTGTTGCAGCGGAGAACAGAAACGGTTGAATCAACGTGATTTTCTGAACAACTGACACTCCTAGCAATACCGCTGCGAGGTGTTGGCCCTGCTATCCGCTTTCCGTTTAACATTTGAAAAAGACCAAGGGGGCTACCGAGTGTAAAAAAATTATTAACAGGAAAATCAAGCTGGAGCCGAGGATACCTTATGTTTCCCTGAAACCGGACTATGTCGAATAAAATCAAGGCACCTAATGAATGTCCTAGCAAAGAAACTTGACCGTGAAATGAGGGATTATTCTTTAAATAAAGGTGATAAAGACGGTTGAGACGTTTAACAACAGCAACCAAAATTCTTTCCCTGTAGTTTGGTTGGCAGTATAGCAAAACATCCAACAAAACATCGGAAATAATGCTCCTTAGGCCTACAACCGTTGGTATATTGATACTTTCTAGCGTGGGATTAGGATCTTCGCTCAAATCATCGAGAGCAAGATCTTTTGAAATATCAAAATATTCGGATTCTTCTTCTTCATTAAATTCAGATTTACTGTCACGTGCCATACCAAAATGAATATCCTGGCGCCATAGTAATGGTAAGCATTGAATTCCATTTCCGCCACCTCTAAAATTAGGGTATAAAGCTTGCAGATCAGGTGAAGCGTTGAACGTCTTCTTTAATGTTTTTCGAAATTCATTAATGTCTCTTACGAAATTCACCGTTTCCACGCGCTCGCCCATCTTTTGTCCAATACCATGGCAACAGAGAATAAGGTGATTAATTTCACGATCCGGAGTCGATTTTATATGTGCGGCATCTGAAGAAATAGGGATTTCCGACGCCGATTCGGTCAAAGAAGGTGAAAGTAAATCATTTGGTTCAGACGAATCATTAACTAATGTGCTTGAAGAGCTGAAATCAGCTACTGCAGAATTTGCAGCAGACCTGAAATCTGGAGTTGCGGCCATGGAGGAAGAATTATCGTATCCTCGGATTAACTTATCACTTCGATGGTTAGCAGAATAAGATATTTTTGTAAAAATTTTTGTCGACACATTTCGATAGAAGCCTCCAAAGTGCATTTTGGCGCTTCTTTCTCCGGAATATTCAATAAATGCTCCAGTGTATTTTCCAAGTAGAGCCCAAGTTTTTCCCTGAGTTGACATGGATTGATCATCTTTTTCTTCAGTTTTTTCTCTGTGAGGACATATATTCAAATATCCTTCCTCAATCTGTAATGCTAAATTCTCTTCGCATGGATACAATTTATCGCCTCGGGCATAAAACCAGGTTCCTCTTAAAATACGAAAAACAGGTCCATCCCAATAAATCGGAAACAGCTCTCTTGATACTACATTAACGGCATACAAATAATCCTCATTTACCCTAATTGTGTCCGACTGCCCATCTTGGTCTTCTGTGTTTTGGTAAGCAGCTTCGATCCGGTCAGAGTCTTCGACAGAAAATGGTTTGAAGTTTTTTGATTTTTTTGTTTCTAAAACTCCAGTTTTTGACTTTCGTACTGGCCGATCTATCGCATAAAACCACTGAACCCGAAGGTAGGGTGCATCAGCAACGGACTTTGACAATTGATGTCTAAATGGGACTTTAGGAGGCTGCACATGCTTCAATGGCCATTCTGTTCGACCTTCCATCTTATTGACCGGAATTTTTTCCCAGATTTTAGTCACAATTACTGTTTCGTTAGGTGCACCATAGGCTTTAGGTAATAGTGACAAGGCAAGATTTGCGTTGAGGGAGAGTTACTCATATAGTATGTATCTAAAATGGAGAATATAATATAGAGTTGAAATATCTTTAAAAAAAAAGGAATCAATGGAAAAAGAGTATAGTTACGTTAATTTATTCCATACGTAGACGTTCTAATTAAAACATAGCGACGCATTTTAAGCAAACATAAAAAGAAGAAATATTCATTAAAAAGGAATTACTATATTTAAAAATCCGGTTCCATAATACATAAACAGCATCTCCATAAAAAAAAACATCTCCAATTTTACTAACCTATTTTTAGGTTGTTATTAAAAACCCCAGCAACACTACTTCAGTATTCTTCTACATTAGGCGATGATGCACGAGCTGAAGTCTGATTATGTACCATCTGAGAACGGTAAAATTCAGAAACCTGTTCGCTTGTGGTAGCATCCTCCCAATTTTTATCTTCACGCACTCGAACAAATCGAGGGAACCGAAGACTAATCCCTTTATCCTCTTGAATATAACCAATGGCAGCTTTATAGACAGGAGAAAGTGAAAGATCGGCAGTCAGAACCTCCCACAAGTACTTCGGCTCAAACCAAACGTCAGGCTGGTGAGGAGGAGCCTCACTATGAGAATAAAAATCTTTTTTCTTTGGAATGACAATTTGGCTCAATTGTTTATGAAATTGTTCCAATTGCTCTTCTGAAAAGCCAGTACCTAATTTGCAAACTGTTTGTATAGTCTCTGAATCAGGGTCATGACAACCCAAAAGAAAAGCACCATATACAGAAGTTCTCTTACCTCTTCCATGATAGGCCCCAACAACAATTAGATCAAGTGAATCACCCACGCCTGAAAGGTAATCTTTCTTTATCTTTAACCAATGTCGAGATCTTTTCGACGGTTCATAACGAGATTCTGGTCCTTCAAGCATTTTGACCATAAGACCTTCGCAAGAATCTTTAACAGATTCTTCAAGGAATTCCTGGATTGACTCAACAGACTGTTGATCGCTGCGCTTAGCAAAATCAAACTCTCCGGTGACTGGTTGAAACATTGAGTACAAGTGCTTTCGGCGCTCTGAAAATGGAGCGTCCAACAAAGACTGACCGTTCAAATAGAGTATATCGAAAGCAAAAAGACCTGCTCGAACTTTGATTTCTTCCAACTTCACGTCTTTCCTTTTACGTGTAGCCAGTTTTTGGAAGGGAAGAATTCTATTCTCTTCCTTATCCCAGGCAATAGCTTCGCAGTCAAGGATAAAGCTTTTAGCTTCTGGTTTTCTCCATTTGGGTACAGACGCCATGATATCAGGATAACGGACAGACATATCTTCGGAGTTTCGAGAGAATACGTAGAATTTTCCGTCTTCAGTATAATGAACTTGAGCACGCTCCCCGTCGTATTTGTATTCGCAAGTAAAAGTGGCTTGATCAAAAGTATCCAAAACTTCTGAAAACTGCTTGGTAGGTTTTGCAAGCATTGGCTTCGTAGGAACACCAGGGGTAAGTTTACATGTTTCTCGTAGGTTTTCAACTCCATGTTCAATGAGCTGAGGTACAATGATGTCGTAGGAAGGTACTTGGGAATAAACGTCGCGAAGAGTCTGCTCAGCATGAATGCGGTCCGATTGCGATAATTGAACGTGCTTCTTATCAGCATGGTACTGTGCACAAGCATTGGCCAAAGAAACAAGAATGGTTTTTTCCGCTAATTGTAGACGTAACTTTCCTTCGAGAGCTCTAATAAGGTATTTTGGCTCAGCACCTTGACAAGAGCTCAGCAATCGTTTGATCAGACCGATTTTTCGATTCTGTGATTGATTACCAGACATCTGAGCAATTGATTTTAGAGAATCAAACAGAAAAGGTAGAGTTAGTGCAGCAGGTTGAAACATTGTCGGCTGATTCTGGCGCGATGACTGCGCAACAAGGCCTAAATCTCCCACTTTATGGAAAGCTTGCTTAATTTGTTGAAGGGTTTGGCCAGTCGACTCGGCAACGGCTTTCATAATAATACTTTCACCTATGCCAAGTTCGATTCCTGAATAATCAGGACCCAGCTAATTTCCAATTAGTATATCTTCTATTAATAATAGTTGTTACTCTACAATACCTTATTGATGCTTAAGTAAACCGAAGTAAGTAAATCATCGGGATGGTTACGCAGAATGGAGAAAAAATAAGTACCCATAATATCAATAATTTCCAACCGTTTTGATGTTTTCTCAATTTTCGTGAAAGTGGAAACCATGTCTGCGAACGTTGCGTGAGACTTTTTCTTTTCCTGTTTTTTTGTAGATTCTAGCGGTGTTTCAGCAATAGGAGGAATATCCGAAGGAGTAGTATCTCCTTCAGAAATGGGATTAGATGATGAGGAAGTAGACGAGGCTGAGGACTGGTCATTGACCTTTGAACGTTTGACTTCCATAGTGTCTGACGCATCTTTATCCTCCTCTTTTAAACTTTCCAACACATCTGACCTTCGTTTCTCTCCGTTATTCGTTAATTTTTCATTTTTTAGTGCCACTGTAACATTCTTTTTCTCCTTTACTGTTTGAGAAGTGGTTTCATTTTCAGAAACCGCTGGAGGAGTGGATATTCGTTTTTTACGCGCATCTTCTGGACCCAAAGTGAAGAACTTGCTAACACTGGTAAACGAAAGCTTCTAAGACGTACTTACCTAATATTAGATTGTCTTCCTGACATGGGTTTGAACCACAAAGACCGCCTAAAGTGTCGAAGGTGTCTGAAGATATCTCTCATGTCGGATTTACTATATAGAGCCGAACGCTAGTCAAAGCGACTGTATAGGGTAGAACGGTCCAACACGCAATTGAGTAAACAAATGAGAGTAAATAAATATACTGCTAAAATATCTATAAAATGAGTGGAATTTCTGGTTAACTTTCAGTGTCGTTTTTGTATTTCATACATCGAAGTTGAGAAGGGAAACTATGTGCTTATGAGTAGCTGAAGGCATAATTTTTGTCAAAGAGAATGACTTCAATGTGAGGCAAGAGTATTGAGTTTATTTTTTGTGCGTTGCAAAGCCAAGTTCACAGAAATAAAAAGAAACTTCTTTATTGATTTCTACTGTATTTCTTCTAAAAGATCGGTAACAGATCGGCTTGTTTATGGTTGTAAGCTTTACCCGAATTTTATGAATTTGACCAAACGAAAGTCCCAGAATTCACGACTACTTACTTATGCTATGTTGCTTCTTAAATTAATATGGATTTTTCTTTACTATTAGAAAATAAATACAATTTAATTATTCCTTGCAATGCAGATTCAACCGATTTTCAGTCCTCCCAATCTCGTTTTGTTACTTCACATACGGTAACGACAAACATTGTGGTGCGATTGCAACTATCATTCTCTCTCAGAGCCTATACCTCTGCTGGCATTGAAGTTTGAACTTGTCTAGGAAAATTGTGATCAATTCTTTGACAGTTCACCTTCATTTCTTTATTTACTCGTTAGCTTTCATCTGAAAATTCGTTTGAGACATCGCTACGATTTCCTCTTTGAAGGCAACCGAATTGGAACGTCAGCCATTGCTACCAATTCCCTTTATTTGATATCTTTTTCTAAACATTTAATTCTTTTTTTTTTGGATTTTAGGTTGAATACTCATATTTTAACTTTGACTTTTGTTGTTCACTAGTATTCGCGAATATGTTGTCCCGTAGCGCCTATCGTCTTCTTTCTAGAAATGTGTTCAAACAGGGTGGTAAGTGTTTCCAGTCGAACTTACACTCTCCTTCTTCCAAACTACCCTTTTATCAACGTCATTGGAAACTTCTGAGCTTGATTACCAGTTTCTCTGCTGGTTGGATAATTTATGACATTTCCGATGTTCGAAGCTTCATTCATGGACGCATTGAAATGCCACTATTTCATGCTTTTACTTCTCCAGAATTCTCTCACAGTGTCGCTGTCATGGCTGCTTCTTGGGGCATTACCCCTCGTGATTTTACTCCTGACGATCAAGCTTTAGCTGTAGAACTCTGGGGAAAGAAATTCTCAAATCCCGTCGGTTTAGCTGCTGGTTTTGACAAACAAGCTGATGCTATACCTGGCTTATTGAATTTTGGATTTTCGTATCTTGAAGTTGGTTCGGTTACTCCTTTACCTCAACCTGGTAATCCTAAACCCAGATACTTTCGCTTGAAGCCCGATTTGGCCGTGGTTAACCGCTATGGATTCAACTCAGAAGGCCATGAAGTCATTCTCGAGAAGATACAGAAACGTATTCGTAAACATATATCTAAAAACAAGCCCGAACTCTTGAAATCCTATGACGAGAACCCTGCTGCCTACACGGATCCTTCCGTTCTTGGTGTCCCACGTAGTTTGCTTCCCAACAAGTATTTAGGTATTAACTTGGGAAAGAACAAAAATGGAAATGAGGTGGAAGACTACGTTACTGGTGTCCGCAAATTCGGTAACTATGCCGATGTTTTGGTTATTAATGTTTCTTCTCCCAACACCCCTGGTCTCCGTAGTCTCCAGAGAAAGTCTGCCTTGACCGAACTTTTGTCCGCTGCCGTTACTGAACGCAATAAGTTGAATGCTCCAAATCCTCCTCTAGTAGTTAAGATTGCTCCCGATTTATCCGAAACCGAGCTTTCCGACATTGCTGCTGTGTTGAAAAAGTGCAAGGTTGACGGTGTTATTGTCGGCAATACTACCATTCAACGCCCAGATACTCTGAAATCTACGAAACATGTTGAAGAGACCGGTGGTTTGTCTGGTCCTCCTTTAAAGCCGATTACTTTGAATACCCTCCGTACTTTGCGTAAACATTTATCTTCCGACATCCCCATAATCGGATGTGGTGGAATATCTAGTGGTAAAGATGCCATTGAATATGCTCGTGCTGGTGCTTCTATGGTTCAAGTGTACACGGCACTTGGCTATGATGGACCCGTTGTCGCCCATAAGATCAAGCAAGAGATTCTTGCAGAATTGAATGGAAAGCGTTGGGTCGATATCATCGGTAAGGAAGAATAAATGCTTGCTACCTTGCTGTTCGTGCTAGGTTGTTGAAGTCGAAATTTTAGAATTTAAAATGTACATATCTTTTTGGTCCTCAACTTAAGAAAAAATAATCTATACTTTCACCATATCATAATATTAGTTATTAATACTTCATAGAAATAATATTGAACTTAATACTTCGTTTCATTTTCGTATATACGAGATAATTTGGATTTGCATGAAGGAGAGAGTATTCCCATTAAGCTAAACCATATTTTATATTTGTAATTAATTGGCTATACTTTTAATAAAAGTTCCTTTTATACATTGAATCAAAAAGCCGAAGATGAAATAAGTTCTTGAGAAATATATCGTTGACGTTAGTAATCCGATCTTTCCCATAGCAAATTACAGTAGAACCATGTTTCGTGGAAAAGCTTCGTCCCTTTTAAGAACTTCTGTTCAAAGAAATCTTACATTAAAGAAAAAAACAATAACTCTAAGCAACAGCTTTCCCAAGCGATTTAATCAGACTGGCTCCGTTTTTGGGGCCAAAGCTGTTCCATCATGGAGTCAACTGGCCTCTATATTATCGGGTGCAGCTGGTTTATCACTTTTCTTTGGATTTTACCTTGGAAAGAAAGTACTTAACGATTCCAAATCCGATTCAGACAATGAGCCTTATATTGGAGAGCATGTTCGAACAGAAACTCAAGGTAAGAAGAAGGTTAGAAAAATGCCCATATGTTACTAACGTTTTCAAAGCTTTCAATGAACCCTATATGCAACAACATCGTACGGAAGATAAAATCGAAGCAAGGTTAGAGGAAAAGGAGAACGAGTTGGCCGAAAAAGCATTAAAACCCAAACTGTCAGAAGAACAAATGAAAGATGACCAAAAAGAAAATAACGTTGAAAACAATTTCAATTCCAGTGGTGAGGTTCCTGACGAAAAAAGTTTGAATGACGAAGAGACCATTGGAAAACAATTGGAGGAAGTCGAAGAAGAAGGCAAGGAAGAGTCGGCATTTGATCCTGAGACTGGTGAAATTAACTGGGATTGCCCCTGCTTGGGAGGAATGGCTCACGGTCCCTGTGGTGAAGAGTTCAAGTCTGCCTTTAGTTGTTTTGTTTACTCAAAAAGTGAGCCCAAAGGCATGGAATGTCTCGAAAAGTTTCAGGCTATGCAAGCTTGTTTCCAAAGACATCCTGAAGTGTACAAAGATCTGACGACCGACAAAGAGGAAGTAGAAACAAGTGAAGATTCTACGAATGATACTAAGACACCTTTAAATGAGAAATCGGCTGTTAGCGACGAAATCAAAGAATCATCTCCCTCACCTACAGAAAGCACTAACGGTGGTCATTAATTTGCTTGAAATAATTCTGTGCATGGCGTTTTTGAGCGATAAAATTATTTATCAAGTTTTGGACGAATGAAACAGTAAATGATTTTTGGGAATTTTCGTAATTTTTAACATATGAAGCTTTGTTTTTAGTTCTGTAAAAGGAATAGGTACCTACTACTTAAAAAACCAAATCAATCATACTTTACTATAATTGACCCTTTGAGAGGACGTGATAGCATGAAATAGCTGAGCTTAACGATGCTACATATAGTAAGCGAAGTTGATATAATGTTTTATTTGAACAAATGATCTCAAGCCAGATAAACTAGTTAGAAATTGTAGTCGTGGGTTTCATTAATAACCGGTGACTGCATAAAGCATAAGTAATAAAGGTAATCATTTCATTGATTATTCATAATAAGGTGGCGGAGAGAGAAAAGTTCATTAGAAGCATAAAATTGAATCTGTACTGAACATCCAAGCAGCAATATTCCATAAAATAATTAAAGCAATGCGTTACAAATTAACGAATAAAAAAGAGAAGCGTCCAAACTCAGCTGGAGAAGAAAACGAAATATTAACCAATGGAAATAATTTGAATAATAAATTACGGTGGATCGGGCGTTCATTCAAGAGGAGATACACTGTTCGAATTTCAGTCGGGCATACTCAACAGAGAATTAGAGAAGGGTCAATATAAATAAACTAAGATCTGAAGCGTATTGTGCGATGGAGGCCAATAGGAAATTAAGGAAAAAATCTATGGTGAATCGAAAAAAAAGAAATAGAATAGTTTATGAAGGGAAAAAAAAGCCAGAAGTTATCCAATAACAAGTAGAAATTGAATGAGGTTATCAATCGTTCTTCTCTTCGCTCTCTTCCTTTTCGGCATTCTTCTTGGCGTCGTTGATGATTTTATTGTCATAGTCACTGCGTTCCCGTTCATAGCGATCTTTGTCTTCGCGTGCTCTCTCTTCATAGGGCTATTCATAGAATGTAAGCGATAAGAATATAAAAAAAACTTTTAAACGAACTCTCGCCTGAATTGCTCTTCTCAAAACATGTTGTTGTCGTGTAGCTGGCTCTCAGCTAAAAAAATCATCTGCTGGCATGGAACTTCATATGTTTTTGAACAATTTTTTAAAGAATTCCTTTATTTATACATACCGCACGTTTATCTCCTGTTAATTCTTTCCACTTCTTTCCTAAAAGAGAACCAATGGCTCCTACAACGCGTTAGCAACGATTTTCCAACCAATATGAAAACAATTGATAAAAAAGAACACCTGTTCTATTTTAATTCGTACCAAAGGAAGCATCAGGGTTTTCGGTTTTTACTTTCTCTCTGTTCGCGATCGAAAAGAACATAAACGCAGACATGTTTCTCTTCGGGGCATTAGGGTCTTTCTTTTTGCTTGATTTAGGTGCTCTTGGCATTGTACTAGACGCGTTTTTTGGTGAAAAGGAACAAACTATGTAATAGTAGTTAAGTGTAAACAGCACGAATAATTCTGCCATTAAAAAGTATGCCTTCTTATCCCCACACAGTGATGTAAACAAATCCGTTGATAACAACATCCGTGCACCTCACAATCACTTCTTCTTTGTAAGGCAACCAATCTACCCCCACATAAAGCTTTATCCAAATATCCCACATAAGTACCTTGTGGTGGTTTCAAGTAAGTCTTACACCATGGGAACTAATCGATCTATAACCAAGCATTTATCTCCTTTTAAATAGTAAAATTTTTTTCTTTTATTTGAGATATAGAATTAAAATCTTCCTCTTTCCTAAAAACTCTGAAGATCAAAATCCCGAATATATATGGTTTCTGAAGTGTTCGTTGCGGTACTGTAGTAAACAAAGGAATTCAAAGACATTTGAGAAAAAAGTATGGAATAATGGTTGTTTTTACGGAAGGAGAATTCATTTTCTTTATTTTTTATTACCTACTCTTTTTTCCTTTTAAATATTTATTTGTTTTGAACTGTTGGATTATCAATTGAGTTGAATCGTTCATTGCTTGGTTGTCTGGTAACTTTCTATACTACTTAACAAAGTAGTAGCATAATTTTCTTTGATACAGATCAAAGTACTTTTACGTGTGAAAATTGATAGTGTACCGACAAGAGAAAAATGATCGGAAACAGTCTTAAAAAGTAGTAGCCTCCTGTCATCTCTAGTCTAAATTACGAAATTCTAAAAAGTCTACTGTTCTCGTCTCAAATATTTATCCCATACTAACCATTTTATTCCTCAAAATGAATTATTCCAAACTGTTAATAAAATCACTTTTAATTATTTTTAGTTTGTGGAAGCAGGAGCAGTTTCTTCCTTTTCGCCGGTAGCTGCTGCAGTCTCACCTTCAGGCTTGGGTTGTTCATTTGACTTCTCAGTCTCGTTGGTATCTTCAGACTTCTTTGGTACTTCACTACCTTGAGGCTCTTCTTGCTTCTCTTGGCCATCCTGCTTTTCTTGGCTTTCCTGCTTCTTGGATTCCTTGGCGGATCCCCTGGTAGTTCTTCCTCTCTTGGGACCACGCTTCTGAGATTGCTCACGATCCATCATCTTGAAGGCGTCGAAGCGTCTACGCTTATTGCCAGGCTTAGGGGGATCATTTCGATGTTGCTCGGCCTTCATATCCACGTATTCCTTCTTGGACATGACAGTTAATTCTGTTTCATTGTGTTTTAAGGGAGATCCCTTGACCTTTTCCAAAAATTCTTTAGCAATTTCGGGAGTTTTGAATTCCACGAAAACACTTCCCTTGAATTTGTTATCCTCATCACGGCGCAAACGAAGGGAAGCAATTTCACCACCTTCTTGTTGGAAGAAGTTTTCCAAGGCAATTTGAGTATCCTCTTGTTCCTCACCGAAGCCCTTAGCATATACACTGCTTTCCATGGAACGTTGTATAGCAGAAGGGTCGGGGCGGACAATAGGAACCTTACGACGAACCTTTTCACCGGCTTCATCGACTTCAAGCAATTCTGGGCTCTTGCGTAAAGCAGCGACAACGGCTTCTAAAGGCTGATAACGACGCATACGTTTGAAGGAAGCAATTGTTTCGATAGGGACCCAACCGTCATTTTTTTGAGAAACAGTCCACAAGAATTTGTCACGAGGTAAATTGGAGTCAGAGAAATAAAATTCTACATCTTCGTTAGTTTCAAATTCTTTATATCTTCGAAAAATTTACTGAGAACATGTTTGTAAAAAAGTACTTACCGACTTGCTTCAAAACACCATTTTCATCAAAAGACTCAACTTTTTCAGAAACATTTTCAGTAGGCTTTGCGACAGCCTCTTGAGGTGCCTGGTTCTCTACGGGAGCAGTTTGAACTTGTTCTTTCTGTTCTTCAGACATGATGGCTATGACTGAATTTAACAATTGAATTTGGTAAAGAAATGTTTTAGAAAGTTCATTCTTGCTGGTCCTAGCGTAAACCCTACCCTACTCAAGACGTAAACAAATGCTCCATAAAAATATAAAATTGAGTAAAAATCAATAAAAATACATTGCAATTAATAAAACAGAAATTATGTGTTTTAAGAACATCAGGAAAAGTTAGTTTCGGACGTGACAAGCCTACAGAGAAGAATGAGGCTAATAGCAAAAAGCAAGGTCTACAGGTTTTAAAATGCAAGAAACCCATTTGTAGAACTTTTTATATATCTTTGAAAAATTCCTTTTGCTTAATTTTATGATAACACGTACTTGAACACCTTTTTTAGTGTTATAAATAGCTTCTGCATGTTGATGTGCATGGAATTTTTTAATTTTTATTTTATATACTTAAAAATCCAAAGCAAAGCTACATTCATTAAACTAATAATCTTAAAAACTTCTTTTATTTCTTTTAATAAGACATCTTGCCTATAAATCCACTACTCATATTGCGAACCGAAATTTCTACTTTCAAACGTAACTTATCACAACAGAATAATTAATTGTTCAACGCAAACGGATACTATTTAGAGGGGTTCTAGTTTGGATTTTCTGATATAAATGACTTCAATTTCGGATGTATAATTGACGGTTTAGAATTCCTTATTGTATACGATACGAACTTCGCTTTTAGTACGGTTTTGTTAAAGAATCTGCCAGTTTTTATTAATAAAAAATCAATTGAGCATTATTAATTTTATATTTCAATTTATTAGAGACGGAAAGCTTAGGTTACCCACTTTATTTATTCAGACATGATCTTCTTATTATGCTCCGTGTTTGGCATAGCCATCTCAATATTCTTTGTTTTTTATATCCATGATGCATATTTAGCTATGAAATTTCAAAGCTTCGTTGACCAACAGAAAGAACAAATGCGTTCTAATTCAAAAAAGCGGATTGACCCTAATTCTTTATTCATGGCTACTGATTTATCCAAGAGTGTTGAAGATAACTGCCGACTAGACTATGAGTATCAAGTTGCATACTACTTGTATACGGGTGTTGACAGAAGTTTAAACAAAAACAACGGCCGTCCCTCAAAAACCTTCGTCTTCCTTCATGGGTTGGGAGGTCAAATGGCTCAGTTTGAAGGACTATTTAACTTTATTCCAAATGAATATTCGGTATTTTCTTTAGATTATTGTGGATGCGGACTGTCGAAGCGAGCCTTCAATTCCCACATAGGACGATCGGCTCATGAATTAACAACAAATGGTTTGACTAATGTAGTTGAAAAGTTCATTGAAAAGCATATATTTCCTTCCGACTCCATTGTACTCGTCGGGCACTCCATGGGTGCAAGCATAGCTACCCGGTTAGCCAAACGATTGGGAGAAAAATGCGAGGCTCTCGTTCTACTTTCTCCAAAAAATAAGTTTAAAAAAGGAGAGCTTGAGTTGATCCAAAGAGTCCAGAAGATTCCAACTCCTGTTTTCAGCCTTTACCGACTTTTCGACCGTTGTAAGGGCCTCAGAAGTCCGTCCGTAAACCGATGCTTTTCTAACGAAGCTACGCCGTCTCAGCGTGCGCAGCTTTGGATTTGGAACCGCGAGAGTGATACTTTTATATGGAAGATGATGCTGATGGGCATTGAAAGCGTCTTCACGCCTTCATTTGTTTTCCCTTCGGTACCTACTTTAGTTATAACAGGAGATGAGGTATGTTTTATTAAGTAATTGGCAACTTTACTAACCCAATACCACGTCTTAGGATTCTCTATCTCCTCCTTCTGAAAAAGAACTTTATCAAGACTTACAAAAGAATATTTCCTTTGAAGTTGTTGCAGCAGGGCATTGCGTACTAGTGGAAAACCACACGAGGTAAGAGACGATTGATTTCTCAGGCTTTATTTCTAATAAGAAAAATAGATATATCAGATAATGCGCAGTTTTCTACAACTTTCAAATTAGTCTATCCGTTATGACAGATCCAAGTTTGCGTAGATAAGGCATGATTTACGCTGTAATAAATAACTTTCTATGAATTAAATGTATATGTCACTATCCTCTTATATTTTAGTTAAGCATGTACAAAAAGAACGGTCTTATTTTTACGTAAACAAAAGATGGAACTAAAAAGTATCTATACATGAGAGCATCAGCATCTAAAATCATAAAATTAGAATGATCGACTCGAGACAGGAGTGAATCACCAAGGTAAATGTCCGGTATAGTACTTTGAATTTCTTGAAGGACAATACTGAATTAAAGGAATTAGTTCAGGACACGTTATGAGATAAGAATGTTGTCTTCGATAAGGATTACGTTCTTTTCTTTTTCCCACCAGTAAAGCATTTTCACAAGCGTAAGGATCTTCAGTGAAAGGGAGAAGAGCGTTCTTTTTCTCTGCTTCATAACTTGCTTGGGGGACTCCGCCTTCTGGGTCTATACCAACGAAGTCAAATTGATCGCTCGGAAAACGAATGGCCTCCCTATGTAAATTTAGAAACCTTTCTCTCTTAAACTCAAAGGAGACAACTGTTATTTTCTTTGGATAATGTCCTGTGACTTCACGAAACCTAGCAATTGAGAAGAGCACATTTTCAAGACTATCTCGAGCAAATTCTTCAGTGGTCCTACGCGACAGTAACAGAGGATCATCATTAAGGGATTTGGAAAGTAAGTAATAAGATTGCGCTTCTGAATATGGACCAGCATTTGGACGAGTTTGTCCTCCAGAAAAGACTAATAGCGAAGACTCATCTTGCTCAAGCAGCTCCAAACCTTTATAGATATGGCTTGCGAATACTTTCCCTTCACCTTTTTGGTAAGGTTCCAAGATCCATTCGCTATCTTCTTGTCCTTTCGAAGACCCTCCCAGCCAGACGGCGTGACCAGCAATGATTATTAAGTGGTTTAAGTTGCTTAAAGGATCAGGTCCCATCAACGACACAGGTGTGAAGCACTGGGAAGAAGTTGGCTTTATTGTTTTGAATGTCATAATTAGGGTAGCAAGTATGAATAAGGATACATAGAAGATTAATCCAGTTCGAGATTTAGGGGAAAAGTAACGCCAAATCCACGACGGAGAAGGGTTTTGATTTGCGTAGAAAGGAAGGTGGATAGTTAGCCGCCGATTCAACATAAGGATTTGGTTAAAGACCAACCTTTGTTGTGGACTCTTAAAGTAGGTGTTTTTATTGTTTTGGGTGTTTCTTACAGGAAGATTTAGATAGTGCTACCACCACACTAAGTGAAAGAGCGAAGGAGAAAGTAACAACGCAACTCTCGGTAACAAATTTATCCAAAAGCGATGTAAGCAAGTCTTGGGTATAAACACACAACTATTGAGCATTTATTGAAGAAGAGATTCAATTTATAGTTAAAAAATTAAACCAAAAGTACAACAGTGGATGCTACCATTACTAGTCTGGTTCCGATTGAACAACGGCAATAGCATAGGCAGAGTCTATAAAGCTCATAGTCAGATCAAAGACTGTACATAATTTGAACCTTACCGTAAATAATAAGTAACTGAGACGCTTCATAAGTCACTCGAATCAATTTAGAAGAACCGAGTGAGGAATATGACTTGCAGGTTTGGATGACGTTGCAAACAAAATGTACAAAGTCTGGTAAAGATTGAGAAACAACAGAATCTCGAGTTTTACTTAAATCTTGTAAGATAAATTTATCTTTTGAGTAGATGCTGAAGTCTTTCTTCAAAGAATTCCTTACATTTGGGCGTTCAGTTTGAGGGATCTTAAACAGCGATGAATCTTGTAATCGCAGTAAATAAACACTATCTACTTGTTGTTTTCTTGCCAATTGATCAATCCTAGATGAGATACTCTCAATTGTTGCATTCTTGTCCCTTTCCATTTGACTTTGGTAAAAGAAAGCTACGCGTCTGCGCGTATTTGGGTAGATGCAGACTGAAAAGTAGTTGGATGAAACTCGCTTGCATAGATTGAACGGGAGAAAATAAATATGCGATAGTAACAATTGATAAAAATAAAAATATCTGTGTATTTATATATGGATATATGCGTGGTAAATGCTATCCGAATTGTTCCTAGATGCTTTTTCCTAGAACCACATTGTATTCTTCTTTTCCCATGTAGTACAAATCTTTAGAATGCAACAAACGTCGTCCAAAAGGAATTGATTGACATTACTCTTTGATGTTGCTGTAGGTATTCTTCTTTTAACGGTTGATTCGTTCACACGATTATTTACCATACCTCTACTCTATTTATTTTTCGTGCTATTGTTCTTTTACGCCTCTTACAAATACTCTTGTGAATATAACCAAAAGCGCTAGTACCTTTTCTCTAAAAAAAAGAAAGCTAATTCCATTCAGTACATAACTCATGAAATTGTTCAATTCTTACGAGCCAGCCATAGGTTTTAAGCGATAACCAGTCTTTCCTATGAGGAAAGGAAACGCTTACCAGAAATAGGGACCTTTGCTTTCGCGTGATAGAAACTTAATGCGTGATCTTAAATTGGATGGGGCGGTCTGTTACTCACCACGGGTTTTGGTAATATCCTACCGAAATCATAAATGAAGTCGAATGCGGCGGTGCTCCACTAAAGAAGTTGAAACGAAAGTTTGTAGGATTGAATATGCGAAGGATTCAGCCTGATAAGCTCTCTTTTGTGAGTAAAGAGTTGGCAAAACATTAACCAGCACATTTTTTGCCGTCGTTCCTTCAATCTTGTCCGGCCGTTCAATTGTTTGGTCCTTCCTGATCGCAAAGTTTGCTACTCTTATTACGAATATTTACCGCAAACATCGCGGAAGATGGTGCAATTCAATTGACTTTGTTCATAACGAGGTAACATGTCGAAGTGATTGACTTAGGTTGACCATATTCTGTTACCTAACGCCCAAGAAGCTTCTGAAATAACGTCGTTATTGGGATCACCCAATTCTGGGGAGGATGGATTGCTAGTTGTTACCTGTCATCTGAGGGTACAATGAATGTATATACACGCTAGTTCGGCTCGAATTCATTTGATCCATCATCCACATTCAGTATTTTCAAACTACAATTTATCCAAAGCTATATCAGTTTGTTTTTGTGCAAACATTCATTCTTTTTATCAGTTGGTTTTATTTAATCTCGTTATTATATTGATCTGTGAAGAACCTACACGTTTGAAGAAGTAAAAAAAAGTTATTACGGTGTGCATATTTATTCCCTGAATTGAGCAGTTTTCCATTGAAGATAAGGTATTTTTGTTTATAAAATCTTTTAAGCTTTGGAAGCTTTAAGAATCACTTGTCTTTTTCCTGTTTTGGTTTGTTACAGACGACGAAACAGATTCTCGGAGCTTAAGCTTCATTGTATTTGTGAATGGATTAACTACAGAAAAACTAAAAAACTTAGTTTGTTTTTCACTTAATTTCCTTTTCGTTTTTAAGGTTTCTGCCGTCTATCTTCCTTAAAATACTATCGCCTCCGAATTGTTGAATAGAGCAATTTCAAAAGAGTGGGATACACATCTAATATATCGTTTTACTGTATGCAAAATATGAATGATGATCTAGTAAAACTCGATGATGCTGGCCGTCATCGAGTAAATACGATATGCTCAACATTTTCAGATTCGTCTATACAAGAACGAAAAGTCGCTTTAAGTCATTTATTAAATCACTGCTGTCCTTCTCTATTATCCTTTGCTTCTAGTACTTTAGATACCCTTGTTCGCCTCGATTTCATATCCCTTCTTCCTCCCGAAATCTCTTTCCGTATTTTGACCTTTTTAGATGCTCGTAGCTTATGCCATGCAGCTCAGGTATGTAAGCAATGGAAGGAACTTGCCGATGATGACATTATATGGCATCGAATGTGTGAACAGCATATCAATCGAAAGTGTGAAAAATGTGGTTGGGGTTTACCTTTGTTAGAACGAAAGTTACTTTATGCAACGAAGGCATCCATACAAAAACGTTATGATAGTCTTACGAAACGCTCACGCTCAGATAACGATTCTTTTACCAGTGCTAGAAAGCGCTTGCGCACCGAACCTGCTCCTATTATTGATTCATCTGCAGCCCTGGAAAAACATAATGCTTTACCCGAGTGCACAGAAAAAGCGTTTTCACCTCCTTTAAGAACACGACCTTGGAAGGAAGTATACGCTGAACGGTGTCGGATTGAATGCAACTGGCGCCATGGTCGATGTCGTCAAGTTGTAATTAATGCACATAATGATGGAGTTATGTGTCTTCAGCTTCAGAGAAATGTTTTGGCCAGTGGAAGTTATGACGCCACTGTTTGTCTTTGGGACCTTTCAACATTTCGTCAAATTGGTTTACTAAAAGGACATAGCGGGGGCGTTTCCTGTTTACAATTTGATAAATGTAAACTTATTAGTGGATCTATGGATAAAACTATAAAAATTTGGAACTACCGTACTGGCGAATGCATTTCTACTTTACACGGTCACACTGATACCGTTCTATCCTTATCTTTTGATTCCACCCTGTTAGTTTCCGGTAGTGCCGACCACACCGTTAAACTTTGGCATTTTTCTGGAGGAAAACGTATTACTTTAAGAGGCCATACGGGGCCAGTGAATTCGGTGCGAATTCATCGCGACTTAGGCCTTGTTCTTTCAGCTTCTGATGATTGCTCTATAAAGGTGTGGTCCTTAGAAACAAACATGTGTTTATATACTTTTAATGCTCATATTGGTCCTGTACAAAGCTTATCTGTCATTGGTAACCGATTGTTCTCATGTGCATTAGATGGTACAATTAAACAGTGGGATATAGAAAAGTGGAAATGCGTTCATACGTTGTTTGGACACATAGAGGGTGTTTGGGAGATTGCGGCAGATCAGTTACGTCTTGTCTCAGGTGCACATGATGGTGCGGTCAAAGTTTGGGAAGCTTGTCAGTGTGTTCAAACATTAAAAAGTGATTCTGGACCGGTAACTTCTGTAGCTCTGGGGGATTGCGAAGTGATTAGCGGTTCGGAAGATGGAAAAATCCACCTTTGGTTATTCAATAATCTGAGCGACGAAGGTAAGGATTCGAAATTGTCTCCTTTTGTCGTTAACAAGGCGGCTGATTCTATTGTCCGCACTCCCACAGCGATAATCCAGACTGTGCCTGATGAGTATAATGGTTATTCTATATCTGAAGTACCCGCTAATGGTGTTGGTCTGTAACAAAAAGTTAGGTTTTTGAAAAAAGTTAAAAAATTTGCTTAAAAACAACCCACCATGTTACTGTAAAGGCTGGCTCTCTTTTGTTGGATGTTTATGCGAGCTTCTGCGATTTGCAGGCGTGTCGTTTGGTTACCGATTAATTACGTTCCTAATCTATTTTATATATCTTCGTTCATTTGTGGCTCTAAGAATAGTTATTATACTAACTTTAAGCCTTTAATTGTTGTCTATGTTAATGTTGCTTGGCTCTTCGACAATTTACTATTTATTTGGAAGAGTTCAATATGCTGTTTATCAATTATAATTACGTTTGCTTTGTTTTGTTTTTCTCTTTGCGAAGGCTAGGAGAATCGTTGTATTTTATTTGCATTTCTTAATATTTTATAGAAATCTATTTAGCTTTAAAAAATATGCGATGATTGTAAGTAACTGGGAATCATATCCTTGTAGAAATTAAGTAGCATCTATGAAAAAGAATAATCAGCATCTATGTTATAAGTTTTATTTATTACTAAATTGAGATTCAGTGGTTTGCAAGCATCTCATAAAATCAAGTTATTTACTGTTTCTTATTGTTTGAGAACTTTTAATTTTTTTAATCTATGTAAAAATTTAGTATTGTAGTATGTCTTGCCAATCGTTATTTTTCAAGAAAATTTGGATAACTTGTTTCTTGACATTTAAACTATACTAAGTATCAAAAACAAAAAAGGAAAAGGAAAAAGAAAAAATTCTTAAGGGTGTGGCAAGTACACGTTTGATCTGATTGTTTTTTGTTTCTCTAAAAATCTGCTTTGTTTCATCATTGGAAAGCGTTTAAAACCCGCGTTGAGCAATTGATAATTATTATGAGTGTGCAACCTAGCTCCCTTGCAGCAATTGTAAGTTGTTGATCTGTAATACTGATTTTTACTTTAATACGTCGTATTATTTGTCTAACTAACTTTCTATACTTAGTCATGTACTATATTTGAAGACTTGCTTCGGGATTACACTCATGAATTAACTCAAAAGATTCATAGGATGAGTAAACTTGCCTTACAAAAATGTGAGAGATGTAATACCTATTGTCGACAGCATTGTACCAAGCCAGGCTTCGATATTTATGCAAACAATGTCCAAACACCGTCTAGTATACCTTACTATCAATGTCTTTCTTGTCGGCGTGAAATAGCTGCTTCTCGATATGCGGCACATATGGAGAAATGCAAAGGTCGCTCGCTTTCATCGGCTACGTCTTATGCTAGTCTTCTTGAAGGAGACAGTGCCAATGATGATGAATAAATGAACTTTTATGATGAAAATGACTACTGTTACTAGTTGATGTAAAGTACGACCGCTTTAGACACAAGAAAGGCGAAAGAAGAAGACGTAACAGTTATAAGATTTTGTATGCCTAGTTGTTCTTACGTTCAATAAGTTTCTTTGTCTTGTGCATAAAACTCTTGTGAATATTTGTTTCACCAATGAATCAAAAGGTTAAAGACCAAAATGTTAATGATGAAAACCGACAGTTTTTTATTAAATTGGACTAGCAATAATTAAGAAACATAAAAAAGAAAAAGGAAGAAAGAAGAGAGTGAAGAAGGTAACTAACGTAGTTTGAATCTATAGGAATTTTGTCGTTAAATGTTTCATTCTTTTAAGCGAGAATAAAAGAGAAAGAAAAAAAAAAAAAAAGTAGTAATACAGCCAACAAATAAGTGATAATAAATAGTTTCAAAAGCTGTAAATATAGCAGCAGTCAGTTTTCACTTTCACTTTAATAAAAAAACTTCAAAAAAAATGAAAGAAATAAAGAAATACGGGATAAAAAGGTTCCTGGTTTGTGTTTCATTGGTTAATAATGTTTTAGCAGGAGGCAGTTAATTTCGGGTTATTCTTTTTGCTCCTCTGTTGATACCATTTGAGGAAAATGGATGAGGCCAAGGTATGCAAGGCTAAATGTCGTTTGAAAAGCTGTCCCTCAGAACTTAGAGTCACAATTACTACAGAAAAAGATAATTGTGACACATACATACATTGTTCAATAGAGATGGAAATCATCTCTTTGCCGTCTATAAGTTTTGTCCAAACGATCAAACCATCGTCGCAAAAGACGCAAGCGTCAAAGTCATAAATATACGGTTTAGCGACAACAATCATTCCTTTAAATCGAATATGACGTGGAATATCAAGCGCTACGCCTTGGTCTTTGCAAAGATCCTTTAGGAGATGGTTACCTTCATCACGGCCTCTTTCTTCGTCTAAGAAGACACAGAGCTGTTTAAACCCATCTAAGGTTTGCACAAATAAATATAAATTTTTCTCCAACCAAGTGTGTTTTTGGAGCAATTTACAGATTCTTGATAAGTGCATTGGATATCGCATAAGATGTTGCAGTGGAATAAGTAATCGATTTCCACAAATAGTAAATGGAGAAGCAGCTTTTTCAATTTCATAAACTCCAGCCAAATTTATTGTGTACATTTGATAAACATCACGAAACACTTGTAGATATTTTGAAAGAAGCAATACTGGTGATTTGGTAACCATCATTTCATTATACAAAAGTCCATGAAATCGTATAAGTGTTTTAACGCATGTGCAAATCCCTACTGCTTCTTGGCTCATGTTTTTGCTCTTGATGGGAAGTATAATTTCCTAAACAAAAACAGTGTTAGTTCAACTTGCGCCTTGGTAGAAACAGTTTTCATTACGTTATAAATTCTTCTTAGTTCCAATACGTATTTCAGCTCACTGCTTGTCAATTCTTTCAAAACACTCGCATATTCTGTTTGTGGTGATTTTACGCTTCTCGTTTCAACAAGAGCCAAAGGGCCTGTTTCCTTTTGTAGATTAGCCTTTTTTAATTCTTTTTGAAATATTTTTCCTCGTGTTAACGAGCGAAAAATACGCATTCCTTCCAAGAATGCCATCTTGCACTAAATGGGAACGACACAACCTTTCCCCAGCAGCTACCAAATATTACTGTTTAGGGAGTTACCTTCAAGCACCGTAAATGCCAGTTCTTGCTAGATTTACAATATATGGAGCATTAATAATATTCATGGGAATTCAAGAGATTACTTACCAAAATATCAACTATTCTTTCTATTTGTTTCTAACACTATTTGTATCACTGAAATGTCCCTAGTGAAACTTCCAATGAAAAAGTTATAGGAAAGAACAAATGGAAACGATAAGACAGAATAAAAAGAAATAAAGTAGTTCACAACAGCATATTCTTAATTCCATGAAATCTTCTCGTTCTTGAATTCATCAAAACCAAGATAGGTCAGATGTTGCCAGGCATCCATAATAACCATATTCGGTATATTTTAGGGAAGTAAAAAAAATCAAAGAAAAACATTTTCCTGATTGAATCCTCATTTGGCCACTTTTAATATACAATTTCTCATTTTTTATCTGCGACGTAGAAGTTATAGTAGATTCCTCGTTTTGCCTTTCCTGAACCTAACAATACCTTATGGAATGAGAGAAAAAAAATTAAAATAAAGCATGTATTTCTCTTAATATAAATGAAGCATAATAAAAGAAGCTTTCATCAGAAACCACCTTTATTTCAAAGTGCAATAGCTTTCAGAATCCGAATTTGTTCAACAGGGCGGTCAGATGCATCTGTTCGGACAAGACCCATTCTCTTGCATACTCCCAATCCGCTTTGGACTCGTCCAAAAATTGTATGCTTACCATTCAACCAAGGAGTGGGTGCCAATGTAATAAAAAACTACTCATTAGCCCAAGTAAAAATAAAACTACAAAAAATAAAAAATATTACTTACTTGAGATCCATTTGTATTTGGTCCAGCATTAGCCATAGACAATATACCAGCTCCTGTATGGTGCAACTCAGGATGAATTTCATCCTCAAATGAATCACTAATTCGTGAGAAGAAATTCTCAAAAGAATTATGTAGATATAAAAGTCATTCTTACCCATATATAGAAGTACCGCCTCGTCCAGTGCCGGTAGGATCTCCTCCTTGAATCATAAAATCAGGAATTACTCTATGGAACTAAATTGATGTTAGCGATCTTGATATAAAACATTAACCTAATTAAAAAAAAATTATCTCCTGTCCTGGATTTTTCGTGAATTTGCATAAACGAAACTCTTGACATGTGTACTTACAAGAATACCATCGTAATATCCTTCTTTCGCCAAGGTGTAAAAGTTTTGACAAGTCTTTCCAAATAAAAAAAATTAGTCCTTAACTCAAACTACAGTAACTAGCTTATAATTTCTGAACATACTTTTGGAGCGTGTTCGGTGTAAAGCTCAAGCAGTATTTTTCCCTATTGAACATTAGTTTCAGTTATCCGTGTAGTATTCTTACTAAACTGGTTTGTAATTCTACTTGAGACATCTTCTTCGAAATATATTCTACCAGTTCTGAATAAGGTGCTTACACACGTTGTCAGAATTCGGATGAGATCTGTAGATGTAGGTGTACTTCATGGACGTTTCGATGATGAGACTAAAACGGAAGAACATTATGAATTATTTTTTTGTTAATACCATCTCAAATAGTGTTTTATTTAAAAGCTATTCGTATTTACTTGTTCATCTGAACACAACTAGTTTCATGTTGTCATATAAAGGCACCTATATATACCTAATCCTACTTTATCCTATTGTGAGTTTAAGATTAAGCAAAATATAAGTGAAAATATTCCTTCAATAGTCTTGTATTTCACTCCAAAGCGGACAGTGAATATAGCAGCAAATAAATAATTAGTGGTCAGTGATAAGTAATTCGAACTATGGATCGATAACAAGAAAAATAAAAGGAATCAATTAACGACAGCAGTGCTTAGATGGACACCAAAAAAAAGGTAAAGTGAGTTTCATGTAAACCCAAAAGAGTGAAAATTCTTCATCGATTATATAAAAAGAAAGAAAGAAAAGATAGATTTATACTGTGATTTATGGTTTCGTAAGTAACGGAGAATGAAGTGAAAAAAATATCAAAACCTGATTACCAGCAGACGACGCATTGCTGGTCCAAATTAAATTAGAGATTATTGTAGCTAGTTCCCAAAAAGTAACAAAAAAACTTATAAAAAATCCCTTGTTCACATCAACTCGTATCATAGAAATTAAAGGTCAAAAGTAAGAGATTAAAAGAACGACGAACGATGGAGGAGTCAAATCGTAAATTCTAAAGTATGATCAAAGAAGGATGTCTCAACTTTGAATAGAGTGACGTTCACGAAAAGCAGCAAAAGGACTGTTCGTCACACTGAATCTCGAAGATGGACGAGGAGCGACAGATTGAAAATGTGAAGGTGATAGATTATCTAAAAACCCTTTGTCTTCGAAAATTAACTGAAATTCAGTTGCCAAATGGTCAAAGGTAGATGAAGAGCCACTTTCCAAAACAAATACTGCCTGAGAACCAAAAAATTCAGCAAGAACAGAAACCCGAAACCTTAACCCCTTCAAATTAAGGGAGTTTTGACGCTTTATGCGAGCACTAATAGAAACACTCACAGCGTCATAGAAAATATCAGCGATACCAACTCCCAGTAATTGCCAACGTCTTAGAACTTCAAGTACTTCGTATTCAAGTTCGGCTGCGCTAAGGCTGGTATATATGCATTTACAGGACGGTTCACTGCTGAAAAGTCGTCTCAAAAATGATCTCTTAGGTTGAAATGGCGACCCAGAAACCTTCTTTTGAGATTGAGTGAATAGAGATTGGCGGCGTTGTTTAGGAACATTGATATAATCATAGTTACCCATAGAGGACACCCTGTCCATGGAGAGTACGCGTTCACCACTTGGAGAACGAACTCTACGAGATGCCGCATAACTGGGACCAGTCAACGGTTGATTGTGTATATGGTTTTCGTTAGACGGACTTGATTCAGAAACTTGGAAGCGAGCCATTTTCGAATTACCTGAATTGTTGGAAGGATAATTCGTTGGTCCTTTGCCGTTGTATTCTGATAATCTAGAGACTACGCGTCTCTTAGGAGGGCCCATATCAACTGAACTATTGGTATATGGAAAAGGGGTAGCGGACTTTAGTGGTAGTTCAGTATCATTTCCTGTATAATCATTAGACATATCTAAGGAAACAGCACGGCGATTATCTGGACCCTCAAGATCATTATTGTGAATGACAAAGGGATGCTGCATGTTAGCGGTTGAGCGCAGACTTGGTATCGAAGAAGGAATGTGAGGATATTGAGTAGTTAGACCAGGAGTTACAGACTTAGGTACCTGGTGCATAGCGGATGTAGACGTGGCAGGACGATGAAAGACAGAAGATTGATTATTGAGAGAATATGGGTATTTAAGTCCATTACTAGTCATGGATGGGAAAAATGGTGAAGCAGATGTTGCCGGACGTAATATAGGATCAGCAACATATGTAGTGGGAAATGGAGTTGTGGATGATCCTCGAACCAATTTTTCATTTTCATTCATGTTCATATTCTTGTTTTCTTCTTCAAGGACATAGTTTTTTGCAGCTTCCATGCCAAGTAAATCATTGACGACAGCTCGATTGCGATCTACAGTATCGGTAGTTGGAGGATGTAAGTGTCGGCTCAGTAGAGTGTATAAAGTCTTCTCAAGAAGAGGAGACTGTGAAGCTAAGCTTTCGTACAAAGGCATTGGATTATCGGAACAGCAGAAAAGTAAAGAAAGATGCTGTATAATAAGAGGATCAATAGGTTGAATGGGTGCTGAAACGATGGGAATAGAAATATTAGGTTTGGCAAGATAGCTGATGAAAGGGTGTTCACGTATCTGCTCCATCGTTATTCGAGTAGAAGGATTTACATCAAGCATACGATATAGTAAGTGTTGTGCTTGAGGAGATATATCACTAGGCATATCAAAATGACCCTCACAGACCTTCAAAAGTAAAGAGCGTATATTATCATCATCGAATGGCAATCTGCCGGTTAATAAAGCAAACAGTATAACACCGCAAGACCAAATGTCACTTGCGCAACCATTATACGGACGTCCCATAATAATTTCAGGAGAAGCATAATGTGGAGAGCCACAGGATGTTTGTAGTAGGTTTCCAGGTAACTGAACAGAAGCCATTCCGAATTCCGCAATCTTAACGGAACCATGAGCATCCAAAAACAGATTTTCTGGTTTTAAATCACGATGACAGATATGGAGTTTATGGCAATATTCAATACCGTAAAGGATCTGCCATAAGAACTTCGCTGCAGCTTCTTCAGAAAAGCTTCCTTTGCGGAGCATACATTCAAAGAGTTCTCCTCCTGGCATGTACTCAACGACAACATAGACCTGGTCTTGTAGGGTAATAACATCAATTAGTTGTAAAACATTTGGATGTTCAATTAATCTTAGCAAAACAAGCTCGCTCTCTATGCTTTTTTGCTGACTTGGAGTGTATTGCGACCATCCCAATATTGGCTTGACGACCGCAAGCTGCCCAGTCTGCTTGTGCTTCGCCAAGCGAGCACTGTGTTGCTTTTCTGATCCCAAGGAAAGGCCAAGCTCCCAAGGTCCAACTTCTGAAACTGTGTTCATACAATAAAGTTACAAGCCGAATACAGGAAAGCAAGGAGTAAGTATGTCCGGGGGGTATTGGGGAAAGGTGACTTTGGGTGAATGTTTGAGGTATCTTCTTTAAATAGAGGTCTCCGTGCTGCTCCCTAAACAAATCTATGTAAAAATAACTTAAACTACAAATTATTTTTGTATTTTAATGAATTTATCAAATCAGAAAACACATTTTAGTTTAGAAACGATCTTCATATTTCGACATGGAAAATCTCTTCAAATTGCGCATACGTGTGTTTAAAATAACGGTGTACAGATGAAAGAAACAACTTTTTAGTTTAGTATGATTATGTTTTTGTGTTCTGTTAAGCTAAAAAAAAAGTCTTGGATTGTATGGTTTTTCTATAGTATCAAATAATGCACATCATTCATTACATATGGTAAGGTAAAGTGTTATTGCCATATACTCAACGGCTACAGATGGAAAGAAAAAAGTTTGTACATTGAATGAGGATGATTCCAGTTAAGGACGTAAGGATAAAGTAATCATTGATACACTATAATAATTTTAGAGAACCCACGGGCATAAAGGAAAATAAAAAGAAAGGAGGAGAATAGATTCGTGAAATAGCCCCACGAGGCTACACTGTAAGATTGAAATAAAACGAAACAAAACAAAAAGAACATAAAATAAAATAAAATAGAAAAAAGTCCTTGCATTCCAAACAGTATATTGTCTAGTACGTAAGTATATACACAATTCACACACACATATATGTATAATTCGGCATAAGGATTTAGGAAAAGTGAATGAAGTAACCTAACAAAAAAAAAGGAAGATTAAAATTTTCTATAAGAATAATGAAAAGACGTATGGATTTTCGAAAACTTGGACATAAACTGAACCAAGTAATTCCTCATTAGACAAGACGACTGCGCTTCGTGGATGAATAAGTTGGGGAGAGAGTTGTGACATCGTCGGACGGTCTTTTCTGTTGTGATATTAACATAGGGATGCTGACTCGTTTTAAAGGAACAGTCGGTTGGGGGATTACCGGCTCTGCCATTAATTTAGAGAAGGAGCTGCCGTATCTATCATTATGAGCAGTAGAAGGGAAAGGAGTCGCATGAGATGCATTTAATGGAAAAGAAGAGGTAGACTGCGCTTGTGGGATGGAAGTTTCTATCAAGAAGCTTTCTGGATGCATTGGTCGATATGAGAAAGGCAAGGGAGAGGACGGAGTAGGGGGCAAGTTCTGATGTCTGACTAGAGGTGTTTGAGCTAAAAGAGGAAGGGCAAACTGAGGGGGCATATTTCCGTTCAGCCGACTGTGTACCCTTGGGCAATTGGGGTAGTTTGGTGGAAGAGGAGGCTGAACAAGAGAAGCCTGGGGTCTAGTGTTGGGAACAGATGGGATTGTATTTGAGTTGATTCCGTCCATTATAGGAGTGGATGAAGGACTTGAAGAGGTAGAGCTTTCTGGGGAGGAAGGGATTTGTTGGGAGAAGCATGTATTCATACGTTGCATGACGGACATGCGATTATTCATTCTTTGCTGAGCAATCTTTGTAATATAAGCAACGGAAAGGTAATCATTTAAAGAAGAGTGAACATTGGAAAACAAAGAAATCCAATGAGGAGAAAATTTACGGAAATCCAAAGCAGGATCGGAAGAATTTAAAAGGTAAGAAGTCGCTTGAACGCAACATTCGCCGATTAACAAAGACCAACGAGCGAAAACATGCTTGGCAACAAGAAGACGGTAATCAATGCCTTGGTAAAACAAACGCTCAAGGATAAGGAGTTTATCTAGGGGCAACTGAGAAAGCCTAGACCAAGCACGGTTGCTAAAGCTACGATCATGCAAGAATTTGGTAGCAGCGATTAAACAAACCAAAAAGAGACGGCGACCGCATAGCAAAGGAATGTACTTTTGAGGTTCGACAAAAGCGCGTTCACGAAAGCTGATGAAGTAGTATAAAGCAAGGATGAGGGTAGTGTAATCGGTATGACTACGACGAATGGTTTCATACAAAAATTGGTTAAGAGCCAAAGTATGGGAATGAAAGGGCTGGTTGGCCTTTTGAGCAAGAGGATAAATAGAGAGAATAACGGTAGAAAAAGCATCGAGCAAAGCTCGAATATTAAGTTTGGACATTTTGAGGAATGTCAAGAGAAGTGTAAGTAAAGTACAGTTGGAAAAAAGAATATAGAATAGTAAAAGTAAAAGTAGAGGAAAGTAAAATTGAAAAGGATCCTTGAAAGCAAACACGGACGCTTTGCATAAAACGAAATATCGATAGAATAAAGCTTGATAAATAATGCAAAGAAAAACGAGGGCCGTTGATAGGAGGGAGGACAAAGTGAAAAGGAAGGATTGTAGTTGCGTTCAAAAATAAAAAAAATAAAACTAGGCTCAAGTGGGAAAAAAAATAAAAGAGTAGAGTAAAGCACACCCTAAAAATGGAAGATGGGAAGAAACTCTAAACAGAGACCATGATGAAGAAATCAGAGAAAACAAACACGGAGAGACAAAAAAAAAGAAGAAGAAAAGGAGAAAAACAAAAGTTTTTGAGAAAAGGAAATTGCGAAGAGAAAGGACGCAAAAGACAACTACAAAACCGTTAAAACAGTTACGCAAACGCAAATGAAAAATCCAAATCGAGAGAGAGAGAGAGAGAGAGAGACCTACTGAAAAGGTATGTTTGGCAAGAAAGTAGGAGAAAAAAGAGAGAAAGAATTAAAAGTCAATCAAGGAACGAAAATGCGAAACAACAAAGGGAAGAATCAAAAAAAAAAATAAAAAATAAAAAAAAGGAAAGCCAGTTGGAAGAAAAAAATAAACAATAAAATAAATACAAAAGGAGAAAAAGAAGTAAAAATAAAAAAAACAACAACAAAAATAAAATAAAATAAAAAGGCAACAAAAAGAACGTGGAAAGGAATCAGAAAGAAAAGGAATAAAAAAGCGTAGTAAGGAGGAAAAAAAAAAAAATTAACGAAATAAAGTTGAAATCAAACTTTTGTTAACGAGACCACACAGACAGGCAGAGAGACAACCGACAAACAAAATATATAGTATATAGGAAGTGTAATATTGAATGTCTGAGGAAATTGACTTTTTTAACTATATTCTTTTCTTTTCTAAAGAAGAATAAAAGAGAAAAAGGATTTTAATAATTAGAAAAGAAAAAGAAGTAAAGAAGAAAAGAAAAAAAATAAAAACAAAAGGTTCGCGATGAAAAAATAGAAAACGAATCAAAAAGATTGATTCAAGCAAATTGGAAGAATCGAAAATTCCAGGAATGAAACTGAAATCAACAGAATAGAAAAAAAAAAAAAGAAAAAAGAAAATGTCAATGATTCTTTATGAAGCCACAAAACCACAGACGGTAAAACCACAAACGGCAAATACTGAACGTATAAGAATCAATAGCGGTAAAAGCAAAACCACAACAACAACAAGAAGAAGAAGAAGAAGGAAAAAAGAAAAAAAAAATTCACGCCAGCAAACTTCAACCGAAAAGCCGACGGCAAGACAGACAAATATATCGACAGATGATGATGACTTGTTGTGTAAAAAAAAAAAAAAAAAAAGAGAAAGAAAAGAAAAAAGTCGAATGAAACCAAATTCGTCAAAGATGAGGAAAAGAAATCGTACAAACGTTTGTATTAAATTGCACGAAATCAATCAAACGACAAAAGAAAAACCAAAACAAATATAGTTGGTAAAACGTAAAAAGGGAAAAATTAGAAAAGGAAAAAAAATTAAAGAATTAGAATTAGAAATAGAAATAAAAGAAAAATAAAACAACGATAAAACAACGATAAAATCACTTAAACAAATGTTGGAAAAAGTAAAATTTGAAAAGAAAATTGTTTCCAACCAACTTGCTTTAAATATACGACGACAATTTGAAAATCTTTTCTCCAAGTGATGTGATGGATGGATGAACGGCTTTGTATAATGATTGTGATGAGATAGATATCAAGCCATATGGACTCGGCCTTGTCCTTCGGCCTCTCTTACTAAGGTAAAACAAGATGGGAGCAGGTAACAATCGGCCAAGAATTAGAGAGGAGCAAAGTTTCCATGCAAGTGGGGTGTGGGTGGGATAAGAAACGATGGTTTGAATATAGGACAATCGATAACACCGAGAATTATCATTTTGATCCATCATCCATCGGTTGGGAAAAAAAAAGAGAGGAAGGAGGGAAGAGGGAAATGAAATGAAATGAAATGGCAAAAGAAATTGTTTTGATTTTAACGATAAGAATTGTAAATCTTTTATGAAATTTTCATGCTTTTTTCATGCATCTTCCAAGGAAAACAATTAATAGTGACATGAATGATGATGAGTCACGAGTTACATACAAAATCATAAGCACTTGAGAATAGAATCATAAATTTGAAATCAAAAAAAGACGAAAAACCACGTTAAACGATATTGAAAAAAGAAAAAAGAAAGAGAAAAAAAAAAAGACCAAAAAAAAAAATCTCGTGATGATTATTCTCTTTTTTTGTTTTTCTTTCAAAAGATGCTGCTTGTAATGTCTAATTTTTATCTTTTGTGATTTTCTGATAAATTCAATTGTCAATTTCTCCAAGTAGATGTTTCATTTTGATTTTTGATTTTTGATTTTTGATTTTCATCTATTCTCATTCACCCTGTTTTTCGGAATACAGCCACAAAAAAAATCTTGATTTTTCATCAATCCTTCGAGATTTAGTTTAGTATTCTATAGAAAATGAAATCGCACATCTCTCTATACTATACTATACTATACTCGCAATTCATTCCATACTTTCGTATTGCTCTTCCTTTACCTGTCATTCCTGTTTGTTTTCTTTTCTTTCTACAATTCATTCGTTATTCCTTTCAATATTTATTTTATTTTATTTTATTCATTTCTCTTTCTTTCTCTCTCTCTCTCTCTTTTTTTTTTTTTTTTTTTTTTTTCTTTCCATTTAAAATTACAACTCATTCATTATTTCCAAATCACAGACCCTTGCTTGTTTCGTCCAGCAAAACATTTCCATCGTCTGGTTTGTCTCTCAAAAAATAAAAATTAACAAACGCAAATAGTCCACAATTAATAAGAATAATAATAATCATAAAAAACAAAAGGTATTAGTAGACGTATAAATTAAAGATTTTTTTTTTTTTCCTTTTTTTTTATAAAAAAAAAGGAAAAAAAATAAATAAAAAAGGAAATCTTTCCTCTTTCTCTTTTTCCTCTTCAAGCTTGCATCATCCGGGAATTCCATGTCTTTTTCAATAATTGCCCAGACATATCTTCTTCTCCCCATCCATACGTAGGTCGATCCATACCTGAACGTCGTAGCTTGTTTGTATTCAACCGTGCCAATTGCTTCACCGGTGACCGTTTCTGTCCTTCTAGTAATTGTAGCTTCTTCGGCATCTGTTGCGTATAATCTTCTCCACTAGATATCGGCTCTTCTAACCCTTCTCCATCTTCCTTTCCACGTCTTTCTTTCTTCCTATCCTCGTCCACCATTGATTCCGCCTTCATCAAGTATCCCATCTTACCTTGCTGTGTTCTCGCAAGTTTCGATGGTTGTCGGCCACTGCTCGTCGTCGGGTATCGTAAATGCAATTTCTCCAATTTTTCAATGTATCGAGAATCTAACGAATCATGCTTCGTTCTCTGCTTCCCTTCCTTATATCCATCTTCTGGAAGTGCACCAGGAAGAATTGCCGTCTCTGGCTGCTCATTCTCAAAAATCCCTTTACTTGTTTTTCGTCGCATTCGTAAAATCTCATGCAGGTCATCATTCGTCTTTTCTTCAGATTCGTTCTTGCATTGCAAAGAACTATCCAATAGTTTCGCCATCGAATCTACCACATGGTTAACGTCATGTCGATCATGAAGCGAGGCAGACTTTTTCTCAATTGGACTTTGCGGTTTGTATGCATGCTTCATAAGCGTAGCCGTCGTGTGCAGCGCCCGTGACGACATCTCTTTCTTCTTCAAGCTAGGTACTTCCCGTTCCGATGCCATTGCTTTTTTCGGTTGAACAAAAGGTACTATTTCTGTAGATGTTACATGGCTTAAACTTAATTTGGGTTCTTGGATCCCCGTTGTTTCAATAGCTGTGTCCATAACCATCTCCATCGTAGACATATTGCCCCCTTCTGCTGCACCATACATCTGTGGATTCGATATCTGCATTTGCTGCATAGATCCAATCATTTGCTGTACATATCTTTGGTAACGATTATCCACTTCTCGTAATTGTTTCTCCATATCACGACGCAGTGCCTCTTCTTGTTGTGCTAAATTCGCTGCTACATAGTTTCCAAGCTCATTTTCACGCATCGCCAGTTGTTGCTCTCGAAGCGCAATCTCGTTTTCTCGTTGGTTCAATGACTGCTGCTTCTTTCGAAGAACCCTGAACTGATCCTTCATCAAACGTTCCGTTTCCAGCTGCTTTCTAATGTCCATTAACACTGGAGAACACAAAAGTTGAAACGTCGTAGGACGTACGTCACAGTCAATTTCCAAACAGTGCCGAATTAGTTGATATAGATCATTACTATAATAACCATCCCAATGGGAAAGATTTCCTTGACAAATATTCTTTTGTAATTCTAAATACGATCTTCCTTCAAATGGGTGGCTAAGCATACACACTTCAAACATAACGCATCCAAGTGCCCATATGTCCGATTTCGCACTGTAAGGATTATTTCGAATAATCTCCGGAGACATATAATACGGGGTTCCTACGTAGCTCTGTGTGAACATACGAGTATTGTCTAGTAATTTCGATAGTCCAAAGTCTCCCAACTTCACCGAATTGTCTTCATCAAGGAACACATTGGCAGGTTTGATATCTCGATGCAAGACATACTGGTTAGGAATGTGGCTTTCGTTCATCCACTGGTTCTCCGTAACGGGAGCATCTCTACCATAATGACATCTGTACAAGGCGAGTAAAAGTTGCGTAAAGAACCGGAGTACTTGATGCTCTGGAAATCTCGTTTTCTCTTCCTTATGAATCTCAATGTGTTTTGCCAAATCACCACGATCGCAGTATTCCATATAAATATTAATCACTTGAGTAAGTCTGTTGATTTCCTCGCCACAGTATTGAACGATATTAGGATGTTTTAGATGTCGAAGAATATTCACTTCATCTGCAATGTGCTGCTTCTCTTGTCTACTTATATTTCCGAAAGGAATTTCCTTTTGAGCTAGCAGTACGCCGTCAGAAAGCCTCTGAACCTTGTAAATCCTGCCAAAGCTTCCATGACCAATGCATTCCAGGATTTTATACTTTTCGGTCATAATAAGGGAGAGTGCATACAAACTCGCACAAGACAATGCAAGACGCCTCCTAAAGATCAAGTCAATGATATATAAACACTTTTATATCCAAAAACTTTCAACTTTTGACACAATGTTGTTTTTGTGTTAAGGGTGCAAGTTTACTTTGTTTTCTTCAGTATTTCTTCACCGTTACTTGTTTGTCTCTTGAAAGTAAACAATCTCAGGTAACGTTTTTTCTCATCCAACCAAAGTGTTGCTTATACATACTGCGCAGGGTTTCACTAATCAACAAATACTAAAGGAAGTAAGTAAATGGTATATGAATCCAATGAATGTAGCGAGTATATTTAACGAAGAATTGAAATGAAATTAGAGTATTGCATGCTAATTAGATGGCTATTTTTCCTTGTTTAGTTCATTGTACATAAACGAGCTTTTTCTTACAATGATATTGAATATCTCACCAGAGAGCTTCCCTACTGCTCCGGAATTTATTATTGATCTCTTTAAGTTTCGTTGGATATATACTTTGGTACAGAGCCGACTTCTTCACCTTCGCTTGCGTAAGTACGAAGTAAAAGCTTGTTTTGCTACAAATTCTGAACCTTTTGATATTTTAATTTTAACTGAATTATCATTAACATCCTTATAGGAAGAGTACTATAGAGGATTTTGTCATAAAAGTTATACCAAGTGTTATACTAGTAACAGGTCATTGCTTTGGGCGGTCAAGTTAACCACCACTCAAAACAATCAAAAGGAAAATTTGTCTTGTTATTCTACTCCATCTAATAATTTAATATAAAATTAGACCTTATATTTAAATAATTTCTGTTAAAAGATGAACCATTCATCATCGTTTGGAGTTAGCAGTTCACCAAATAGCAAAAGTCCTTTGAAGCCTCTCTCAGTGGACGACTTGCGCTCCCCTTCACCGCAAAGAGAGCTACGAGGAAGCAGAGGATCTTTCGCTCCATCTTCAACTGATAAGAAATTTGTTCCAAGTCATTTGATGCACTTAACGGCGAGTCAACGCAAATTCGCCCCAGATGTCAGCTCTCCCTTGAACGAGTTTTTTGAATCACCGTAAGTATTTTTTTTCTAATATTTAGTTTGTACTTCACCCATATTTAGAAGGGACTTGGGAATTTCTTCATATCTGTATTTACTAACTGATAATTAGTTCCGGTATCCGTTCCTCTACAAATCCTTCATCCAAATTTGGAGGACCTAGCTTCGGTACTCCAAAACCATTTTTACGGGCTAACCGTTTGGGAGGAAGCTCAGTCATTGAAGATGCACCTCCTACTCAATCTATCTATGACTTCCCATCTTCTCGTCAAATAAGCACCTCCAATGTCGATCAAGTTACTGCTTCTCCTCTTTCTTCTCCCTTTTCCACGAAAACTCAAAATAATCCTATGGAACCATTAAAGGAAGTTAGCAGAACTGTTATCGTTTTTGGCTTTCCACCGGAATTAACCAGTCAAGTCGTGAATGAATTTTCTCGTTTCGGAAAGATTGTCAATCAGAATTCTCTTACCGCCTCTAGTGTATCCATGCCGAGTCTAAACAGTGGTCATGGAAATTGGCTACAACTCACCTATGCCGAACCTTTTTCCGCTGCCAAAGCTGTTCAATCAAACGGAATAGTTATTGGTGGTTCTTTTATGGTTGGATGTATCTATAGTTCTGATGATAAACAAGGTTATTCGCAATCTACAAATCTGGATGCTTTAGATGTTGAAATGACAGAAGCAGATACCAAAGGAATTCCACCTTTAACTACTCAAATAGAGGCTAATGTGCAAACTGAAGCAACAATTGGGAAAAGAATAGTGGTTCAGCATAACGAAGATATATTCAAGTCATCCCATAAGGACAATTCAAAGAATTGGTTAGTACAAAGTCTTTTTGGAAATAATGCAAACGATACCGTCGATGAAGAAGAAAAGTTGTCAGATATTGCAGACGATAAGACCGGAAGGAGTTCTTTATTAGGTAAGAGCATTCAGGTGATTTTACACACCCTTTTCGGATTCTAGATATGAGGTTTATTGGGCGTATACGAAAATGAACTGGGTCTAATCTTACTGTATAATACGTTGGAAAGGAAGAAGGCTATGTTAAAACAGCAAACGTACACAAGCCTCCTTGGTTGATAATTGAATAATGGATGAATACACAAAACGGTTAGAATATGTTTTACTAATGAGTAATCTTTCCGTATTCTCTAGTAATGAGTAGTCTTATGTCCCTCCCTTTTAGCATTTATTCTTTGGTCATTCATGAATTCAAAAATTTACAGTTTTTACTTCGTACTTCAAAATAAAACGTAACTTTACGTATAAACGATATGTTCGTATTCTAGCAAAATAGCCTTAGTTATTCGAGATCATAATTACACACTTAAAAACTTTCAAAGAACCAAAATATTTTCATTAAGTATAACCATTAAGCTCCAAAATAAATTTTTTTTATATTGTCTTTCAATTGTAACGTGCCTTTTTCAGATGCGTGTTTGCGTTTCTAAGACGAATAAAGGGGACATCTGATTTGACAACATAATCCATTAGTTTCACAGGATGAATAGGGGCTTCTGCTTAATTAGTAAGGAATTAAAAATTAACTGTAACATACCGGTAATCGTCTGAGCAGCTGGTAACTCGTCTAGTAGTTCTGTTATGATAGGGGGTAATGGGACAGGTGCCGTTGGTGCTTGTGCAGAAATAGGAGGAGGATGGGCAGGTGCGGCTTCTAATGAAGCAGGCAGCAACCGAGTATCTTCCATTTCTACATTACTTTTTGAAGAGTCTGAGGTTTCCGAAGCAGAGTCATCGTCCTTATTTTGAGAATTTGCATTAGCTGTTCGCAAGTCATAGATATCTGCATCGAATTCATCTTCCTCGCGTTCTACTTCTAAGCCATAACGTGATAGAAAGATACTTTGAGTAGACTCCTGAGGATATACTAATGCCATCCTTTGGCTTAAGCTAATAGCAGCGTTCAAATCGCCATATCTACTTTCATAATCAAGCCATCTTTGATAAATAGGCTTCGCTTCAATGGCATCCATTTTTGAAATTGCCTTTTCAAAAAGTGCACGAGCATTGGTTTCGTCATTGATTGAAATCAAGTAACATAAATATTTATATACATATTCTGGTAGATCACTAAAGTGTCTTAAACCAAGTTCGAATATTTTTGAAGCAATTGTGCTATCCTTAGAACAGTGATGCTCCATCAGTGCACTTGCTATATAAATCTCATGAGACTGGTGTGGTGCTTTCCTTGCTTTTGTGAATACAGATCTTGCAGACTTAATTCCTTCCGTCCTACGAACAGCATTCATTAAACAACACCATGCAAGACTGTACTCTCTGACTAACTTTTTCTTACGCTTTTCCAATCTTAGTAAGATTCCAGTTGGTTTACTTTCTTCCTGCTTATCTTCAGAGCCCTGGATACTTTCAGGTACGGATTCTTTTTCCACTAGAACAATTTCTCTGGATAAAGCAGCAATTAAAGACTCGTAGATTACCCTGATATCTGAAGTCCGACCGTTGGCTTCTTCGTGTTCTGCATAACGGACATGTACCACAAAGCTTGAAGGGCAATAACGCATACCACGTTTTATTATTTGCAATGCACGTTGCTCATCTGGAATATTCAAAAAATAAGAGAAAGCATCCAACCAAATTTGAGGACACAGAGGGATATAAAGCATGGCTTGTTCATAAGCATAGGAAATTCTTCCTTGTAAAGTTGTACCATGAAGCAAATCTAAAGGATCATTCTTTTCCCATTCGATCCATTTCATCCAACGAACATATGCAGACTTTTCGGCGCTGTTACGCTTTCGTTCGAATGTAAAATCAAGAACTCGTAATCCGTTAGTCATATTTGATAGCTCGCGCATGGCAGCTCTAGCAGACATATATGCAGGAGATTTCTCTGCTACAAACTTTCTAGCTGTAGCCCGGTTAATACTATTCTCAAATGCATCATAATCTCTCCATAATTTTTCAATATTGTATATAGGAGTAGAGACTGCACGTTGATAAGTACGTCTAACTGCGTCTAATTTTTGTTGTTGCTCCCACGTTGATGCTGCAGGTCCAGAACGAAGAAAATCGATGAAGTCTGACCAAATAGGACCACTCTGTAAATCCATTCCAATTGTATTTAAAGAAAATTCGTAAGCTTGTGTAATAGTCGACCTTGATTGACCTTCACCTTCAGGATTTATACGTCGAACATAACTTAGATAGAGTGTCCATAAATCTACCGATAGAACTTTCACCAAACAACGACTAAACAAAACTTCAACAGCTCTGAAATCATTGAAGGCAAGTTCAGCATTTATATAATCTACCCACACGCGAGGAACATAAGGAAATGGACGTAACATTTGTTCATACGTTTCTCGGAGTTCTTCATGCTTTCCCTTCGAACCGTACTCCTCTACTAATGCATACCAAGCAGAAAGGTTATGAGGATTTTCCTGAATCTCATCTTTCAGCATGCCAACTCTGTCATTCGGTAGACGTTTTCTTTTTAATCCACCGGTTGCCGAAGAATCAACGGCATCTTCAGCTGATATTTTTGGAGTAGATTCTAATTCAGTGGTAGTAGATGATTCCCTCAATCTATTTTTTTCTACATTATCCACCGATTCCATTATTTAGCTGGTTTAGGTAATGTGTCTGTATCTAGAATTTCAGTAAACAGTACGCTCTTCCTTTTTTCGTATGTCTTTCGTTAGACCGACACTAAGATTTTCCTCCTTAGCAGAAACTGTCCTATAGGACCTATGAAAACTAAAATAATCTAGGATTATGAATAGGTAGACACGAATTCACCTTTGACTCTCGCTTTGGTGGTAATGCTCATTAGGAGATACTATCCAAAATCTTTAAGCTATATAACGAAATACAGTGCACATACTTGTACGAACAGCATTGTGAACTAGTACGATGTCGTTATAGCTAATTTGAAGCGAAAAAAATTCCAATTCTAAGGTAAAATTAACTTAGCCTTCTCAAGAACTTTTACCTATTCATCATTGCAGGATTGTAATTGATCGTTGCAATGTTTGAAGGAGAGTTAGATGATGCTTTTGACGTTTTTGAGGGAAAAGTTCCTAAGAACTTGAAAAAAGACTTAGACAACCCTGAACAAGAAAATGGCGACAAGTCATCCTCTAATGATAATCAAGCTGTAGATTCTGAAAAAGGAAGCAACAAGCGACAAGATACTTCTGAAGCGAAACAGTCAGACGTTAAGCGTAAGAAGGTTGAGGAATCTATAGCTGCTCCTTGGACAAGATCAAATGAACCCGTTGCAGGTGCTAACAAGGGTAAAGGAGTAGTAAATGAGATTGTGGATACCTCAGAAGAGATTCCTATTTCTTCGGAAAATGGAGAAGGGAATGGCAAACCTCCTGCCGATGCATTGGTTACCGATTCCTTCGAGCAGGAAGCATCTTTGAAGGTTGCTGGTGAGGTTGGCATGGCTGAAGCCAAATCTGACTCTGATCAGGTTGTCGAGCTTCGCCATCAAGTTCGTCACCAAGTGTCGCTGCCTCCGAATTACAACTACATACCCATATCTCAACACAAAAGCCCCGACCCACCAGCTCGAACATACCCTTTTACCCTTGATCCTTTCCAAGCAGTCTCTATTGCTTCGATTGAACGTCAGGAGAGTGTTTTGGTGAGTGCCCACACATCTGCTGGTAAAACCGTTGTTGCTGAGTATGCTGTTGCTCAGTCTCTCCGTGATAAACAGAGAGTCATCTATACCAGTCCTATCAAGGCGTTGAGTAATCAAAAATACAGAGAACTGTTAGCAGAATTTGGTGACGTCGGTTTAATGACCGGTGATGTTACTATCAATCCAGATGCTACTTGCTTGGTAATGACAACCGAAATTCTTCGTTCAATGCTTTACCGTGGTTCCGAGGTAATGCGTGAAGTTGCTTGGGTTATTTTCGATGAAATTCATTATATGCGTGACAAGGAACGTGGTGTTGTATGGGAAGAAACTATTATTTTATTGCCTGACCAGGCTCATTTCGTTTTCCTCTCTGCAACTATTCCTAATGCCATGCAGTTCGCAGAATGGATTACTAAAATTCACCGACAACCATGTCACGTTGTTTATACAGATTTTCGACCAACACCTTTACAGCACTACTTGTTTCCCAGCGGTAGTGATGGAATTCATTTGGTAGTAGATGAAAAGAGCGTTTTCCGTGAAGAAAACTTCCAAAGAGCAATGACTGCTTTAGTTGAGAAACAGGGTGATGACCCAGCTGGTATTGTCTCCAAGAAAAATGCTAAGAAGGGAAAAACCGGCAAAGGAGGTGTTAAAGGTCCTTCTGACATTTACAAGATTGTCAAGATGATTATGCTGAAGAATTATAATCCTGTCATTGTTTTTAGTTTTAGTAAACGCGATTGTGAAGCTTTAGCTTTGCAAATGTCCAAATTGGATATGAACGATGAAACGGAACGTGATCTTGTTTCCACCATTTTTAATAATGCAATTAATCAGTTATCCGAAAAGGATCGTGATTTACCACAAATCGAGCATATCTTACCACTGCTTCGACGTGGTATTGGCATTCACCATTCTGGTTTACTGCCAATTTTGAAGGAAGTTATCGAAATTCTGTTTCAGGAAGGTCTATTAAAAGTGTTGTTTGCTACCGAGACGTTTTCCATTGGTCTTAACATGCCTGCAAAAACTGTAGTTTTCACAAACGTTAGAAAATTTGATGGAAAGAGCTTTCGTTGGATATCAGGTGGTGAATACATTCAAATGAGTGGTAGAGCTGGTCGTCGTGGTTTGGATGACCGTGGTGTCGTAATTTTAATGATTGACGAAAAAATGGAACCGCCGGTGGCTATGACCATGCTTAAGGGTGAAGCAGACCGTCTTGATTCTGCTTTCCATTTAAGTTATAATATGATTTTGAACTTGTTGCGTGTAGAAGGCATTTCTCCGGAGTTTATGCTTGAGCGTTGCTTTTTTCAGTTTCAGAACAGTATGGAAGTTCCCAAGATGGAAGAGAACCTCGAAAATCTTCAACAGCAATATGACAATACGTCCATTCCTGATGAGCGTGCTTTAGAAGATTACCACACAATTCAAAATCAACTGAAAAAGTATCGGGACGATGTTCGAACTGTCATTAATCATCCGAACTTTTGCCTTTCTTTTTTGCAAAGTGGCCGACTTGTGTCTATAAACCATAAAGACGAAGATTTTGGCTGGGGTGCTGTTGTAAGTGTATCGAAGAGACCGCTTCCCAAGGGTGAAACTAAGGAGTATGTTCCTCAAGAGTCTTATGTGGTGGACGTAATAGTGAAAGTTCCTTCAGATAGTGAACGTCCAAGGATGAAGAATGGTCGTTTGCCTGAAGTTCATGCGCCTAAAGGAGACGACAAGGGACGATTTGAAATAATTCCCGTTCCCTTATCAGCTTTGAATGGCATTGCTCACATACGTGTATTCTTACCTAACGATTTGAAATCTCAAGCTCAAAGAGACACAGTAGGTAAGGCATTGAATGAAGTTAAGCGTCGTTTCCCCGATGGAATTAGTCTGTTAGATCCCGTTGAGAATATGAATATTAAGGATCCAGCTTTCTTGAAATTGACTAAAAAAGTGGATGTTTTAGAAGCTAGACTATTGTCGAATCCTCTTCATAATTTTGAAGATTTGAAAGAAAAATATGATCGTTATCTTGCTAAGCTTTCTCTGCTTGACCAAATTAAAGATCTTAAGAAGCAACTTTCAAAAGCTAAAGCTATTATGCAGTTAGATGAACTAAGTGCTCGTAAAAGGGTTCTTCGCCGTTTAGGATTCACTTCCTCCGACGATGTAATAGAAATGAAAGGCCGTGTTGCTTGTGAAATTAGCACAGGAGACGGGTTGTTACTTACAGAGCTTATTTTTAACGGTATCTTTAATGACTTGAAGCCGGAGCAATGTGCTGCTCTTCTCAGCTGCGTTGTTTTCCAAGAAAAGAGTGAGGCAGAAACTCAGCGTATGAAGGAGGAACTCGCTGGTCCTCTTCGTATTTTGCAAGAAATGGCACGTAGGGTTGCTAAAGTTTCTCAAGAAAGCAAGTTCGATGTTAATGAGGAGGATTATGTGAATAGTTTCAAGCCATCGTTAATGGAAGTTGTGTACGCTTGGGCTCATGGAGCTACCTTTGCACAAATTTGCAAGATGACTGATGTCTATGAAGGTTCCTTAATTCGTATGTTTAGACGTCTGGAAGAACTTCTTCGACAAATGGGTGAGGCTGCTAAAGTCATTGGTAATACAGGTTTACAAAAGAAGATGGAAGACACTATCAGTTGTATACATCGTGATATTGTTTTTAGCGCTTCTCTGTACTTGTAATGAAAATTTTTAGTTTTTTGGAATTACTATATACTTAATTATGCCGTATAGGTAAAAAATAAATGTTTGGTTTCGGGTTTTTCTTTCAGTAGAATAAAAGTAAGAACTTATGGGAACGATTGTAAAAATAATTTGAAAAAAAAAAAAAAACAATGATTGTATTATAAATACCACCCACACACTAACAAATGGTCATCAAGGTGAACTAAATATTTACACACCCTATTACTCGTTATGCTTTCTTAACATCCACACCCAAGGGACTCAGCAATTGAAGAAGTAAATAGACCTTTGTCAACAACAATGATGGGGAAACGGTCTCAATCCTCATTTATACCAGCGGTTACACCTTCGTCCTTTAGCCAAGGAGATTCACGACCCCCAAATGCCTTTATGACACCTCCATCAATGGGAGCGCCCAATGTAAACAATTCAAATTCTCAGATGTCTACTCTAACGATTAGCCCCATGGCGTATGTTGCAAATACATCTACGGAATTATCTTTTATTAGAGAAAAAAACTTATCAACTGCTGGCCTCGAATCATTATCGCGCGAAGAATATTTGCGAATGTGGAGGCATGATGCATTAATGCAGCAACAGTACAAATGTGCTGCATTTGTTGGTGAGAAGGTCCTTGATATGACAAAGGACTCAAATGATGCATTTTGGCTTGCACAAGTCTACTGTTGTACTGGAGATTATGCTAGAGCAAAAAGCTTGCTTACAAAAGAAGATTTATGTAATCAAAGTTCGGCTTGTAGATACTTAGCTGCCTTCTGTTTTGTCAAGTTGTTTGATTGGCAAGGTGCCTTGGAATTGCTTGGCGAAACAAATCCCTTTAGTAAAGCAAACGGGAACAGTGATAAATTGCGTATGCAAGACGGTGGAATTAAATTAGAAGCTTCAATGTGCTATTTGCGCGGTCAGGTGTATACGAACTTAAGTGATTTTGATCGTGCTAAGGACTGCTATAAAGAAGCTTTAATGGTTGATACAAAATGTTTTGAGGCATTTGATCAATTGGTATCAAATCATCTTCTTACAGCCTCTGAAGAATGGGAATTGGTTTCTAATCTTGATTATTCAACATATTCCAAAGAAGACTCGGATTTTCTGAAATCACTATATATGTTACGCTTAAATAAAACTTCCCATGAACCTGAGCTAAGGGCCGCCGAGGATTATTTGACGTCCATACCAGGGTTGGAAAACAATGCTGATTTATTGATTTCAAAGGCTGAATCACTTATTGTCCGATCTCGTTTTGTTGATGTTATAAGTATAACATCAAAGATATTAGAAAGCGATCCTTATAACATGGCTGTTTACCCAATACATCTCGCTTCTCTTCATGAAATGGGCGAAAAAAATAAATTATTTTTAATTTCTCATGACCTTGTGGATCGTCATCCTGAAAAAGCTGTCACTTGGCTTGCCGTAGGGATATACTATTTATCTGTAAATAAAGTGCAAGAAGCACGGCGGTACTTTTCAAAGTCATCAACAATTGATCCCCAGTTTGGACCTGCTTGGATTGGATTTGCCCATTCTTTTGCTATCGAAGGTGAACATGATCAAGCCATTTCAGCTTACACGACTGCTGCCCGATTATTTCAGGGTACTCATCTTCCTTATCTATTTCTTGGGATGCAACATATGCAACTTGGAAATATTTCATTAGCTGATGAATATTTGCGAAGTTCCTACTCTTTATTTCAGTATGATCCCCTCTTACTTAATGAAATGGGAGTTGTCGCATTTAATAAGTCTGATATGCAGCAGTCCATAAAGTTTTTTAATTCTGCTTTGCAACTAGTAAAGAAAACACAAAGCAATGAGAAACCGTGGGCAGCTACTTGGGCAAATCTTGGTCATGCTTACAGAAAATTAAAGTACGTTTACTAGTAAAATTTAATTCTAACGTTTAGAATGTTTGACGAAGCGATCGATGCGCTTGAGCAAGGACTTGTTCTGTCTACTCAAGATGCGAGTATACACACCGCAATAGCATTGGTGTATATGCACAAAAAAATGCCTGGTCTTGCAATTACTCATTTGCATGAAGTAAGTCTCGAGTTTATAGATTTTCTATGAACCTACGTTGTATTAACCTTTGTTAGAGTCTGGCAATTTCACAAAATGAAATTGTTGCCTCCGATCTTTTGAGACGAGCCCTTGAAGAAAATTCCCTGATACCTGCTGTCCCTGATGAATTGGTTTACGAAGATGCGGTCAGCGAATATATGCAACAATCCACTATCAATGCGAGTAACGGCAATGTTATAGGATACCATTCGCCTCGCTTTGATGAGACATTGAATAATAATTCTCTGATATATGTGGATACACGCTCAGAAATGATGATGGATGATCCAGATAATGATCTTTCTGAACAATAGCAATGGGACAAATTGAATACGCGATAGACATGCATAATTTAATCTTAATGAGACTCATGACTAATAAAAAAAATTATTTTACATTACACCTAAAATATTCATTATTCAAAAGTCCGTGATCAGGAGTCGACTCAGGTTTACTAAATGTTTCCTTTTTTAATTGGGGGTATGTTCCATTCGGCTTCGCAACTCTCGCATTAATGCTTTTGCCTCTTCAAGTTCCAAATCACCATTCAAAATCTCACTGACATACATTTCTGCTTGTCTAAAATTTTTTCGACTAAGTTCTCTCTTTGCTAGCCACATTCTGGCTTTAATGGTTTCCGGCGTCATATCACCTTCTTCTTCACTTCGGATACATTCTTTATACATTGCGGAAGCAGTATCCAAGTCGTGTAATTCTTCATAAAGGTTACCTAAACGCATCAAGATAGAACTGTTTATGGGAGACCCAAGTAAAGCTCGTTTATAAGCTTTGATGGCTTCTTGCGGCCGTTGAATTTTTTCGTAACAATTTCCCAATGCCTGCCACATTCGTTGGTCGTAAGGACGAAGAGCGGTAGCACGTTGGAAGTAATAAAGAGCGTAAAAATGCATATCTAAAACCTCATAAGTTTGACCAAGACCATACCACGCCCGGTAATCTTTTCTGTTGACATCGACAGCTAAGCGGTAGGATTCTATAGCGGCATGTGTGTTTTTTAATTCAACATACTCATGTCCCATAAGAGTCCAAGCAGCCAGGTAATTTCGATTCAGTCGTATTGCTCTCTTAAAATACGTAACTGCCTTTTCATGTTCGGATAATAAACTATAATAATTTCCGATAATTGAACAGGTCTCTGGGCGGAATTTGTCTATGGTCGAAGCTACTTGAGCCAAGAACCCTAATTTTGATTTTCTTTCTAATACAAATAGAACATTGGAATAGGTATCCATGTCGTCTAAACGATAAGGATCGCTTTTCAAGATGTCTTCAAATAATTCTTCGGCATCATCAAAGTCTAGAAGGCAAGATTAGAGCATGCTTGTATTTTAGATTCGTACCTCTTGTATCGTATGCTAATAAAGCACGCTGTACTTTTAAATGGCGGCTTGAGGGAAACAAGGAATCTACCTCGGCCAGCCTTTCATAGACAGAACCGTTGATTTGGTGTAGCTCATGAGATGCATAAACAATAAATACTTTAGTCATTACATGATCTTTCGAAAGACGACGAATGATACTGGCCAAAATCTCTGGGCTATCTAAACACAATGACAGTTCTTGCCATGCTGACCAAAAGTAGGGGGTTTTACGGATGCAAGTGAGGAGATATTCAATGGCTTTTGGATACTGCTTCCTTCTTCTGTTAACCACGCCGCTAAGGTATAGTAGATATGGATCCTGATTCCCCTGTTTAAGTACACTATCCAAGGTCTCCGATATGGAATAGAGCTCACGACTCGAAGAAGAGGCTGGATAAATAGAAGTAGTAACGGTATCCGCTTCCTCTTCTATTTTTTTTTCTCCTGATAAATATTTACTGTAAAGCTGCAAAAAGAGCGATTTTGAAGACTTGCAGTTTTGAAGTGTGTAAGCAGCTCTTTCAAATTCTTTACAGTCAAAATACGCTTTGGCCAGTATGTAAGTAGTGTCTTCCTTAAATTCTAAGATGCGCTCATTTGTGGTAGCCGTGTCTTCTTCAAGCTCAGCGGTCGGAGTGGAAGAAAAAGGAGCATCAAGGGTGTTTGCGGGTTTCAAACCGGCAAGCATCTCAGCGGCCCTATTTCATAATTAGAATTAAATCAACTATTATGAGATGATTGTTGTCAAAACGTTGCTTATATTTGTCCAATCCCTGTTTAAGGTCCTGAGCAGACACTATTCGCGTATGCAAATTATGCTCGTAAAGTCCATCAGTCGCTGCCAATTCATGAACTAAATCATCAAAGACAGAATTTTTTTTGTAAAGGTACAATTCGCAAAGTTCCTTCAATTTAAATAAAAAGACTTACCATCGTACACTGTAAACCAAACCTCGCTCTGAGCATTCCTTGATGCAGTTCCATAAGCCGCTCCGAATTTCTATTACTTTGTGCTGGTTATTGATGCTCTCTTCCATCATCATTATGATAATAGTTTCTGGTTTTAGAATTCTCTCTAGGCTGTAAATTACAAATGTTTCAATCCTTCTCAAATCCAAGAATTAAGACAAGTAATAAGGTTCTTCTGTTGCACAGTTTTCAGTTTTCTAAATTTTCTTTGTGAGTGTAGTAGATGGTATTCAATAGCATTTGGTAGAACACAAAACGAGACCAACCCGTCTGTTTGTGCTTACCCAAGTTTGTTTACATCTTCAGTTGTCAGGCCTAGAATAAGGAAGTGTAACGTCGGCGAGAAACGCCTTTCGTTTGTTTACATTGTAAGAGTAAACAAATAGAACCAATAATAAAAATATAAATAAAAATATAAAAGAGAAGATCGGTTATAGAGATTATTAAAAGGAATTACAGTGATGAATCAAAGAAAATCTTAAAACTTGAAAAGCGTAGCAGCTTAAAGAAGAATACTAGAAAAGATGGATTCATTAAATTATTTACTACGCTTAGAAATCAGTTAACAAGAGAAATTATCACATAAAAACATAAAGAGTAACTTTTTAAAATATATGCTGGAGGATATACATTTATGTTTTGAAATTTGAGGACACTTTTGTTTCAATAGCTACAAACGAATAAAAAGTCGACATCCAAAAAGTGCATGCACGAGTATTGATAATATGAGTACAAAAATCTAAATAGAAAGATATAAAGTCAAAAATGAATACAATAATTAATAGAGAACGAAAGAATTGGTAAATATTTAAAAAATAGGATAGGATATTTCCTTCTTAGAAAATATCATCTTAAAATGTATTACAATTTAGCGAAGTCTTGGTTGTCGCTTATCAAAGCTCAAAACTCACACGTTCTCTAAGTGCTCCCAACTTAGAGGTTGACGATTAGAACCGTTGCAACTTGACTTTATCCAAAGCATATACGCTCTTTTACAAATATGTCTTCTCAGGTATGTTGCTTATGAAAAAGGTAGAGCTTGCTTCTGTGATTCTTTTATGTAAATTTCTTCAAATTCTTTCTTTGAGATAAACGCGAGTCCCAGTTCATCTTTTCTTATTTTCAACGTGGTTTATACATTTTTATATGCTACGGAAAACTAACATGTTTATAGAATACTGCTGTTGACAAACGACAAAAGTTTGAGTCCATCTATCCGGACTTCGTCAATGATATTATGGGCTACTTAAAGTCCATCAATATTCCCAAGGACGTTGCTCAATGGTACGAAAAGGTATGTATTTCTATCCTTTGCGCATTTATTTTCCCGTTTATTTTGATTGTGACACATCGCTTTTACTTGATCAAGCGCATTGTCAGGTCATCGGCATAACAGACCACTCGTTAATTTGAATAACTTTACCGCGATGAGTGTTCATTCTTTCAAATCTGCGTCTGCGATGGTCTATTATAAGTTAAACCTGTAGCGGCTAACGCGATTCTAGAATCTTTACCATAATACCCTTGGAGGAAAGTACAATCGTGGATTGTCCGTCATCGATACATATGAAATTTTGCTTGGTAAGCCTCTTGACGAGGAAGCTTATAAGAAGGCATCTGTTCTAGGATGGTCTATCGAGCTACTCCAAGCCTTTTTCCTCGTCGCTGATGATATGATGGATGCTTCCCAAACTAGACGTGGCCAACCCTGTTGGTATTTGATGCCTAATGTTGGAAATATTGCCATCAATGATGCTTTCATGCTTGAATCTGCTATTTACTTCCTTATCAAGAAGTATTTCCGTCAGGATCCTTATTACGTTGACCTTCTTGAACTTTTCCACGATGTCACCTTCCAAACTGAACTGGGTCAACAACTCGATCTTCTTACCGCACCCGAAGACCATGTTGATCTTTCCAAATTTTCTCTTGAGAAGCATTCTTTTATTGTAATCTATAAGACCGCTTTCTATTCCTTTTACCTTCCCGTTGCCTTAGCTATGTACCTTGCTGGTATCGCATCTAAAGAAAACTTGCAAATTGCAAGTGATATCCTTCTTCCCCTTGGAAAATATTTCCAAGTTCAAGATGATTACCTTGATTGCTACGGTGATCCCAACATCACCGGCAAGGTCGGTACTGATATCTTGGATAACAAATGCTCCTGGTTAATCAATGTCGCTCTTGCCAAGGCATCCCCCGAGCAACGTGCGATCCTTGATAAGAATTACGGTGTAAAAAACCACGAGTGTGAGGCTCAAGTCAAGACTGTCTTTGAGGAACTTAAAATTCGTGATGAATTTGCAAACTACGAAGAGTCTGAAGTTTCTGAAATTAAGAAACGTATTGAGTCTGTTAACGAGTCTGGTGGTTTAAAGAAGTCTGTCTTCTTAACCTTTTTGGGTAAGATTTACAAGAGAAATAAGTAATCATCTTAGTACCTTTTAGAATTGAAATTTGTTAAGATACCCGATTCAATATAATCTATAATCCTTTTTCATAGAGTCTATTACCGTTTAAATGCATTTTTAATAACCTTTAGCAGTTAGAATCACAAGTAAATTACACCATTTCTGGTTATTGCGATTACTTATATTTAAATATGTCAAATTACAAGGCGCCTATTCCTCATAAGGGTTCTACCTTATTTTGTGGTATCGAGCTTCTGTACCAACTGAAATTCAAAGTCTATATTATTCCGTTGGTTTATTCCTCGCAGCAAGCTCTTCAAGTGCAGCCCATCTTAAATTAGAATTTTGGCGCTTCGCTTTCTCTAGTGCGAATTCATTGTGACAGCGTTCAGCGACAATGTTGAAGTACTCAAGGTTCATATCAACAAATATCTGCATAACATTACACGCAATTGCTTGTATAGTTATATTCCAATGGTCTTTAGTAGTACTGTACACATAAGGATAAATAATTGGCAAAATCGTATCCAAGTTTTCAAGTACCAAACTCGTGAAGTACTCATTACTCCAAAAGCATAGAGCACGTTCTGCAACTTGAAAGTGCGGACTGGCAATAGAGCGCGAAAGCTGTTGAAAAAGAGGGACTTGAATATGAACGAACTCCGAAGGCTCTAAGACCTCAAAAATATCTTCTAATTCATTCAAAAACATGACTTCCTTGAAACTATTTACACGAGGCCAGTACTTCAAAATACCGGTCACGACCAACTTTGTCAAGGACGGTTCTTTATCAATAAACTGTACAATACAGTATGTCAACTGTGGATGATATAAAAATAAGGATTTGGTTTGATGCAAAGGAATGAGTACTTTTGTTAGGAAGGTTTTGTGTTCCTCCTTTAATGGCACAGCAAACCCATTTATAATACTAAATTGTGAGTCAATCAAGCAGTAAAAAAATAGTAAACGTACCTTCCAAGAATTTCTAATAATTCAGCTATACCATGAAATGCTTCTTTTTCAAACGTGAATTGCAAAAAGACATTGCTCATAGCCTTTCTTATATGTGAGCGTAGATTCAAAAACTTTCCATATATGCGATGTAAGGCGGTTTTCAGAAGGTCACGCTCTCTAGGATCCTCAGAATTAAATAACATTAATAAATTATTAAAAAAGCAGCGATCGACCAAAGATTTAGATTTGGTAACTTTGAAGTCGGGTGACTCAAGAAAACGAATAAACAGTAAATAAACTTGTTGCATATGGGGCCAAGCCGGCTCCAGGTATGGCTCTTCTTCTAAGGATACTAAAACATCTCTATAGTCATTATAAGCAAAAGAAGGTATGGGACGAAACAAATTGACAGAAAACTAAATGTATTAGGAGAGGAATAACATAAGCGCGAATAACATACAGTGTGCAAAATATGTGAGAACAAACAAGTATTAACTGCTCCTCTATTAAACGTAACCAGATCGATCATCTGAGCCAGAGCTTCACTTTTTATGTCTTTGCTTTCTAGGTCGGATGAAGGATCATTAAAATCAAATATTACATTACATTGATCCAATTTTTTAATAAATAACTGTTCACACTCTGATGGATGGACTTCTAAGTTTACTTGTTAGTATGATGCGGATATGCCGATGAAATGACTTACCATCAAAGGAGGGAAGTCTGGTAAGATTTCTTTTTTCGGAAACTTGGAACTGAGAAGAATGTTGACGATGAAAAGAGAACCGACGTACATTGTCAGGAAGATCGACATCCTTATCCGGAACGGGAGACAAGAGCTTATTAGAAGATGCTGATGCTGTAGGAGATAAATAAGGAGTTTGACGCAAAGACATATACGAACCCGAGCTTGGTTGATCGGAAGTATCACGTATATCAGTAGCCAAATTTAGCTAGAACTCAGTTAGTATAATATAATTGAGAATAATTGCATCTAACATGTCATACTATGCTGCAATTGTCATAGTAGACACTAGGTGCATTGATACATACATCAGGAAGCGATACGGAAGCCGGTTTTAACGAACCCAATCTTTGGACGTCTTTGTCGGATTGATTCGAATTGGTTTTTGACTTCGTATTAATCGTATCTTCTTTATCGTTATTTCCACCTTCCGTTTTTTCATCAACAGCTTCTCTGCTCAAAAAAGTTTTATTAGCTTTTGACAATACATTTGTACTTTTCGATTTTTTCAACTCCTTCCTTGAACGACTGCGTTTTAGTTTTGATGACGATTGATTTTCCTTGGGGTCAGCATTTTTGGATTGGTCTTTTTTGGGATCATTAACATCCTTATCTGACCGGGCTTCATCTTTAAACGATAATGCTTTCACAAACTTATTTCTTAATCCTTTCATGAACAGGAATCTGGTAAAAGTAAACAGCGTTGAATAAAGTTTAGTATGAACTCTTTATACAGAATCCGACTGTTTTTCTTAATTTTTATTAGATTTGTCCCAAAAAAACTCCAATTGAAGATAAGATTGCTTCTAAAAACCAAATTGAACGAGCTTATAAAGCTTCCTCATATGCTTCAGTAAAGATATTGCCGTATAAATTCCTTATGCGAAAAACCACAAAAGAGTCAAAGTAGTTATAGCTCAAATAATCGAACGATTGCACAGTTATTCCTTACTTAGATATATCCTATTCCGAGAGCTGTTCAGTTCGTATATACAATTCTTCGGAAATTGAATATTCTCTGAGACACTCTTTGAGCCTTCAAATGATCACCTTTATAAGATTTCAGTTCAATAAAGGATATTCCGGATGGAATGAACAGCCAAGAAATGAGTGAATGCCTGTAAGAGGAATGTTGGAGTTGACAAATAGTAAATAGATTGATCTGCCCAAAACAAATCCACCTCGTTGAAATACACTAAACAGGTAAAAGTGTTACACCATAGGGAAACAACATAAACAGTGTAGCGAATACAACTATCAAGACTTTGATATAGTACTGGGAGACGGAAATAACTTTACTTTAAGTGGTGGTTTGTAGGATAATTGAGTCATTTTGTTGGAAATAAATTTTGGATGCATATTTACCCCGAGTAAAATTCACGAATACCATGTCCGTGAAAACAAACATATCAGAGAAAGAATATACCTCGATCGAACATCCGGGACTAATGAAAAATGAATCGACGTTTTATGAAACCTTAGGTGGGATTCCTGAAATACAAAAGGTGCGTATTAAATAGTAACGAATGAAAGGATCAGCAAAGGCGTTTTTTTAATTCATGTACTACTTTGTTTCTTTTGTTTGAGACTTTTATATTGAAGTTACAATAACCTTTCTAATAAAACGGAGAAGGGTTGATACAGATTCCATATACTGACCCATGCTACAGGCTGTTTCAACATCGTTTCGCAACCCCAAGCATGCACTTTTGGAGCTAAAATTACGACCTCGTGATCATTATCATCATCCAGTACAAGCAAAATTGAAACAAAGAAACGATATATTAGTTCGAATCAAGAAGAATGGGGAAATCGATAGCGCCGGGAGGATTCGTCACACATTTGTTTTTCGAGACATGGCTGATTTTCAATATAGCACGGAAAATTCTCCCTTTACAAAAAAACTAGATGCTTCTTTGCGTACATTGGACTTTGATGCAATTAGCAAATTCAATATAGACTTATCACCAGTACAACGTGATCATTTAGACATGCCTCCTCCACCTCTTTTCTCACAGGTACCTCTCCCTACATTTTATAATTATCAGCAAAATCCTCTTGTAGGACGGGTGCGTCTGCCCGATGGTTCAACGACGATAATGAATCTCAAAGGACAATGTCGTGTATGGATTATCACGGCCGATATGAAAGTTGAACATGTCCCAACTAAAAAACATCAGAAGCTTTCAGAATCTCCGAGCAAAATTGTTCAGGAAGTCATCGATGCTATTAAACCCTTATTTCACGACCGTCCTATGTGGACACGTCGTGCTCTGTTAAATCACATTGATCCTTCCTATTTACATTATTTAAAATTCGCGTTACCTTATATCTCGTACTTATGGTCTTCAGGTCCTTTCCGCGATACATATACTATATTCGGGTATGACCCTAGAAAGGATCCTAAAGCAGCCGCATATCAAGCTCTCTTCTTTAAATTAAGATTGAACAAAAATCAGAAGGGGCACAAAACCCATACTTTTGATGGTAAAACACTCTATCCTTTAAACCGTATTTATCAAATTTGTGATATCACCGATCCACAAATTTCCTCTTTGCTACAAGATTCTCCTTTACGGCCTGACTGTCACCGTGAGACAGGCTGGTATAGAAGCGGTAGATTCTACAAAATCAGGGACTTGATGCGTGAAAAGTTGTATGCTTTGATTGAAGGCAGACAGCCTTCAGATGTTACTCTTGATGCTATTATGAATGCTGAAGAAGTTGATGTTTCCGACAAGGAAACGAATGAAGAGGATAAAGTTACTTCAGCTAAAGATAGTACATTGGAACTCGATGATTACACGTCTTCCGATGCTCGGGTAAATGAACTCATGAAAAACTTGATGGAGAGAAGCCAGGAACATGAAGGGTTTGATGAGTTATATGATTTCGACGAAGATTATGAGGATATATTTGGTGAATAAATAATCAAAATACTATCATGCTATTCATGTTAAGTAAAAGGTTATTTTAGCAAAGACCTCTCACAACTTTCGACGATTCTGATTGTTTACGATCTTTTTTTTCCTATACATATATAATTTTTTCAAATGCTTGAATTTAATTGCTTAATCCCCGTGAGAGATTATCTTTGCAAAATCTTGTGAGATACCGCGATCTTACGTGGCGTTCTTACATATATATCTTTTACTAGCTGAAATGTTTTCTGTAGACCGATTTAGACGGAGCCAAAAATATACTGGGCGAGTCAAGCCTTAAACTCCTCAGTGTCTATTTACAAAAGTATTTGCAGTAATCTGCAAAAATGTTAGTTCTTTACGGAGGTTCTGCGTTAACACCTCATAACCAGAAGAAGCTTTTACAAGCTACAGAGTCTGCGTTTGATCGTATTGAGGCTGTATATTTTTATTTAATTCAAACTAAAGATGGATATCACGTATCTTCTAATGATTTGAGACCTATTTTATCAGACCTACAACCGGATGAATTTAGACCATCCGGTCCCCAAGTGGCCTTTGTCTTTCCTCGTACTGGTACCATATCTCCATGGTCTTCGAAAGCTACCAACATTGCCAATGTATGCAACCTCAAAGGGGTGAACCGCATTGAACGTGGTATAGCGTATTCGGTGACATGCAAGCAAGGCCTTTCTGAAAATATATACGAGAATGCTTTCAGCAATCTATTCGACCGTATGACTGAAACTCTTCGTTATGAGCCACCAAAGGAAGAAGAAGTGTTTAATACTCAAGAACCTGCACCCCTTGTAACAATTAAACTCGGCTGTAACCAAGAAGCCGATAAGGAGAATGCCAAACGTCGTCTCGCAGAAGCCAATGTTAAGTTTGGACTAGCTCTTGCTTCTGACGAAATTGATTACCTGGTTGAGTGCTATGCCAATGAGCCTTCATTGCAGCATCGCGAGCCTACTGATGTTGAGCTTTTTATGTTTGGTCAGGTCAACTCCGAGCATTGTAGACATAAAATTTTTAACGCCGATTGGACGATTGATGGAAATAAGATGGAAAACTCCTTGTTTCAGATGATTCGTAATACCCATAAATTAAACCCCCATCATACTATTTCTGCTTACTCCGATAATGCCGCTGTTTTTGAAGGAAATGCTGGATCTAATTTCTTTCCTATGAATGGTGAATGGACATTAAAAGATGAAACTGTTGATTTTCTTGGAAAGGTAGAAACCCATAATCATCCTACAGCAGTTTCGCCATATCCGGGTGCGGCTACAGGCTCCGGTGGTGAAATTCGCGATGAAGGAGCCGTTGGTCAAGGATCAAAACCAAAGGCTGGTTTAGCTGGCTACAACGTTTCTGATTTGCATATCCCTGGTTTTAAGCAGCCTTGGGAATTGGAGGTCGGCAAACCTTTCCATATTGCTTCTCCTCTCGATATTATGTTATCTGCCCCAATCGGTAGTTCTTCTTTCAATAATGAATTTGGCCGTCCTTGTATAAATGGCTACTTCCGTACATTAACCATGGAAGTGACTAGATCCGATGGAACGACGGAATATCGTGGATACCATAAGCCAATTATGGCTGCAGGCGGTGTTGGTTGCATCCGTAGACAGCATGCTTTCAAAAAATCCATTTCTGCTGGAAGTCCAATCATAGTACTTGGTGGACCTGCACTCCTTGTAGGTTTAGGTGGTGGTGCTGCCTCTAGTATGAATTCTGGTGAAGGTTCTGAAGATTTGGATTTTGCATCTGTGCAACGAGGAAATCCAGAAATGCAACGTCGTGCACAGATGGTAATTGACACTTGTACTGCAATGGAAGACAATATTATTCAATCCATTCACGATGTTGGTGCTGGTGGTGTTTCCAATGCCCTCCCTGAATTAGTTCACGATGCCGGTTTGGGTGCCAGATTTGAACTCCGTGATATCCCTTGCATTGAACCTAGTATGTCGCCCATGCAAATTTGGTGCTGTGAATCTCAAGAACGATACGTTCTTTCAGTGAAGTCTGAGGATCTTGATTTATTTACGAGCATCTGTGAACGTGAAAGATGTCCCTATGGAGTTGTTGGCTATGCTACCGAGGAGCAACGACTAGTATTGACGGATCGCCTTTATAAATCCACTCCTATCGATTTGCCTATGGAAGTTTTATTTGGCAAACCCCCAAAGATGTCGCGTGTGGATAATACTGACCCTCTGGTCTTGAAGAAGTTTGATTCTTCCTTAAACGCCTATATACCTACCGTTGATCAACCAATCACTGATGCTGTTCAACGCGTTTTGCGCATGCCTGCAGTAGCGTCAAAATCATTTTTGATTACAATAGGTGATCGTAGTATCACTGGTCTTGTTGCTCGCGAGCAAATGGTTGGACCTTGGCAAACTCCTGTAGCAGATGTCGCTGTCACTGTTACATCGTACGGTAAGGGTACTACTACAGGTGAGGCGTTTGCCGTTGGTGAGAAGCCGATCACTGCTCTTATTTCATCGGCTGCTTCGGCTCGTATGGCTGTCGCTGAATGTATCATGAATATGGCTGCCGCCTCACTCCCACATTTGAGTCATATTCGTTTGAGCGCCAACTGGATGTCTTCTCCTACACATTCCGGTGAGGGTGCAAAATTATACGAAGCTGTTCAAGCTATCGGCTTAGATCTCTGCCCCCAATTGGGAATTAGTATTCCAGTCGGTAAAGACTCAATGTCAATGAGTATGAAATGGATGGAAGACTCCCGTGAGCAATCTGTTACTGCACCTTTGTCACTTGTTATCACAGGCTTCTCTTCGGTAAATAATGTTGAGTCTATTTGGACACCTCAACTGAAACGTGCTAATGAAATTGGACCGTCTTCCTTGTTGTATATTGATTTAGCTAACGGTAAACAACGTCTTGGTGGTTCAATCCTTGCTCAGTGCTACAAGGAGTTGGGCGATGAGGCTCCCGATGTTGAAGACGTGGAATTGCTTAAGTCTTACTTCTCCGCAATCACTCAGCTTCATACTACTGATTATGTACAAGCTTATCATGACAATTCTGATGGTGGTTTATTTGTTACTGTTTCTGAAATGGCCTTTGCTGGACGTGTCGGAGTGGTATCGGATCTTGAAAACTTTTCTAATGACAATATTGCTACCCTATTCAACGAAGAATTAGGTGCAGTAATACAAATCCGGGATAGCGATTTCGAAAGTGTATATGAAATATTCAAGGCCCATGGACTCGGAAAAGCTGTCAAAAAGTTTGGTAAAGTTATCTCCAATGAGGCTCAAGAGGTTGTTTTTGTTCGTTCGAGCGAAATTGTCTACAAGTCCACCCGTGCTGCTCTTCAATCTCTTTGGCACGAAACTTCTTACAAAATGCAAAGCATTCGAGACAATCCTAAATGTGCTCAACAAGAGTACGAAACTATTTGGGACAATTCTGACCCTGGTATTGATTTCCATTTGACTTTTGAGCATTCTCCTAAATCAGATCTTTCTTTGACGAATCGTCCCAAGGTTGCTGTTTTGCGTGAGCAAGGTGTTAATGGACATATGGAAATGGCTTATTCGTTCCACGCAGCCGGTTTTACACCTGTGGACGTCCACATGACCGACATTATTAATGGTAAACTTACACTTGATATGTTTGTTGGTATTGCTGCATGCGGTGGTTTTTCGTACGGTGATGTTCTGGGATCTGCTAACGGATGGGCTACTTCGATTCTTTTACATGATACTGCTCGTCAGGAATTTTACAAGTTTTTCAATCAACGAAAAGATACTTTTGCTATTGGTCTTTGCAATGGTTGTCAGTTATTTACCCGCCTGAAGACATTAATTCCCGGTGCTCAATGTTGGCCACTTTTCCTTTCAAATGAATCTTCACAGTATGAAGGACGTACGGTAATGCTTCAATTAGATCCGAGGAATTCAGCAAGTTCTATTTTCACCAACGAAATGGGAGGTTCTCGTATTCCAATTGCTGTTGCCCATGGTGAAGGCCGTGCTGTCTTCGAATCCGATTCCGATTACACAAAATTCAAGCAGGAAGGCTTGGACGTTCTTTACTACGTTGATAATTATGGTAATAGGACGAGCCAGTATCCTTTGAATCCTAATGGAAGTACAGACGCCATCGCTGGTGTTCGCTCTCCATGTGGACGATTCTTAGCTATGATGCCACATCCTGAACGTGTTGTTCTGAAGGTGGCTAATAGTTACTATCCCAAGTCGTGTTCTGAAAATTGGGGTACTCATGGACCATGGCTTCGATTGTTCCAGTCCGCTCGTAAATGGGTGGGCTAAGTTTTGGTATCTTAAATCTTCAATGTTTTATTTTTATTTTACTTAATTGCATCATTGAAGTATAATAAATGTTTTTTGCTAATTATTTACTTTAATAAGTTTGAGCTTCTTACGATTTTTTGGATAATATAGAATTAATAATAATTTACAACGAAAACTAATTAATTAATTACAATTGTACTCACGATGTAACTGAGGTGTATGCTAACTTTGATACGAAAATTACCTAATTGCTTACAGCGGCCAAATGAGCGATGCGGCATAGTACATTGACAAAAATGTAAGGAAACGAGATCAACGGAAATTCTTTTCCACATTGAATAGAATGTGATCTCTGATCGTACGTTACATCGTACGCAGCTGCCACGGCACTGTCAATTCGATCCCTTATGTCTTGGTCATTTGAATTATCAGGAAGCCCACACTTTTCAAAGTATTCTTTCTTATAGCATTTCTTTATATTGTCATATAGTAACATAATTTCTTCGCGAACTGCAAATTCATTAACGGATGTTTTCATTTCATCATTAAATAATATGAAAGCCGTGTAAACTTCATGCTCGGAGCCTATATCGTAACGATTCATTAATGCCCTCATGTCAAAATCATAGCGACCTTTGACTTCTGTCGCAATTTGTCTATAATCTGATTTGTATTTCGGTAGCTTCATTCGATCGTCGTAAACCATTTCCACATTTGGATCAAACTTCCAATTAGCTTCATTTTTTTTATGAAACTTAACTGTATATTGATAAATCCTTCCTACGGCTGTTTCAGACTTAAACGTTCTCGATTGCTGCTTTTGCATAAAATCTGGGTATTGCTTAGGTCTAAGTTCCCTGGGCATACTGCAAGCAACGCCAGATTTAGGAAAATCAACAGCTTGCGAGTGCAAGGCTGCTAATTGCAAACAGACGTTGCCATATATTCCGTCAGGATTATTGTGCAAATCGTGTGCCCATGCTTTCCAAGCGTTAGAAATTACGCCAAGGTTATCATTCTTCATATAATAAATAAAAAATTCCTTCACCGAGTCAATAGTAGGTTTTGTTTTCAAAAATTTAGCAGCCCGTTTAGGCGTTGCTTCCAGAAGTGGAGGATAATTTACTCTTTTAGGTATAAGACTAGGTTCCCAAATCACGGTGTATTCGTCTCCATCTAAATCACCACCAGAACACATACCAGGAACACTTCTATCACCTGTTGTCGGAAAAACAACCACGTTTTTCAGATGTCCTAAGTTACTACAATTAACAGCGCGACAAATACGAATGTCACCGGGATGCAAAGATGGGTTTCTTGCTACAATACAAAGACCTTTAATTATAGTAGTCCTCGTTCGCTTATTAGAAAATGCCTCGGCTTCTGGATGATTGTTTGTAACTTGAACGAAAATTTCGGGGATTGAAAGAAGTGCATCATCACAATGACCTTTGAGAGATCCTGTTTCATCTGCTACACCTAATAGATAGGCTCCATTGGATACATTAATTCTCTGCTTTTCTTTCATGGATTTAAGAACCCATTCATAATAAAGATTGAGAAGATTTCTTGTAAAAATATCATTTCTCTCCAAATACCCAGCTTGTATGAGGTCAGCCATGGTAAGAGACGACCTATTTTCATCAACATTATCCCTCAACATGAGAATGCACTTTTGTTTATTTGTCATGGCACTATTCAGTTCAGACAATTGATGCTTAGCCATATTAAGAAAAACATCTGTTTCAACACCCAAGCCTTGCAATAAAGTGATAAGTTGCATGTTTAAACGAGCGTTCGAAAAGCGAGATATTTTAATCACTTCTAGGTCCTCATGAGGTGATTTAAATTTATCTTGACTCGGACGAGGAAAAACCAAATTTCCCTGATGGTACTCTAATTTAGTAGGTGGGGCCAAGCCTAAGACACCTTTAAACCCACCCATACGAAACTGAAAGGCGGAAGGAAGGAGATCGTCATTATCAATTTGAACAGAGAGACAACGCAAAACAGAAAATGAAGCCATACCTATTCCATCAGTAAAACAATTATTATTTCTAGTTATATCATTTCTGGGAGCAATCTCGACAGGAAAATGTTTTATAACTTTTGTAGTGGAAAAACACTGTCCCATCCTAGCTGCGTACTTTGAAACTGAACTGATCTCACTGAAATCACCCATATCTTCACGTATTTTTTCCACATTCTGTTCTGGTGTAGAAGCAAAAAAAAAGGCACCATGTTCTCTAAGTTGAGAATTGCCGAAGGCAAGAAACTCATAGACACGATTTCCAATTTTCACACCCTTATTCAATAATTGATAAACCCGCGCAAAGACCGCCTCACAGTTCGAATTATCTGAATGAAGTTTAATTTTCGTTAATTCATCAGCTATTTGAACTCGCATAAATCTATCCGCGAACTTTATATGTTTTCTCAAAACACGGTTTCCTAATTCTATAGAATCATCCATAATTCGAATCGTTGTTGGAGTTAAAACAATCTTTTTAATATGCATAGAAGATGTGCTGTAAGGATCGAAAAATGTTAATTTTTTTGAGAATGTTTCCCGGGTAGGTTTATGTAAAGGTTTTTCAGAAGCAAGGGCATTTTTTAAAAAAGCAATTGCCTGTTCTTCTTTTAGAGTGGATAACCCATCAAGAAGGACTGGTAAATCAACCTCGGAAAGTGCATGTTGAGAAAGACATTGTTCCAGTAAATACAATACAATATGAGATATATTTGTATTGCTATATAGTAATGCGCAACGAGCGAAGTAGTCATCAATAGAGTAAACACTAATTTTGCACATACGGCTTTTTAGCCTGAACTTTTCCAATTCCCCTAAAAAAATTGCATTGGCTTCCTCAGATTGTTTATTTCTTATGTCATATGAAAAAACTGCCATGTTAGATCTTCCTAGGGGAGCATTAGCATAACTTAGTAACTGTACGGGAGACTCGGATGGGAGTGTACTGTTTGAGGAAGGCACAACATCGACCTGGCGACGCCAAAGGTTTGATGAGCTCCACACTTTTCTCAATTTTGTTTCCGATCCTAAAACATCTTTTCGAAATAGCACAGGCGGTAACCTGTATTTGAACGATAAGCTTACGCGGCTGTTCTCGGTATCAATACCTATATCGTCGACAATATTGCGGAAATAAAAATCTAATCGATACTCATCGACCACATTCTCAACAATTCGTTTGAATGTAAGTATAAATCTTTTATTTTTGAAGTCCACCAAAAGAAGAATATCATGTAATTTCGTTCCAGACTCATGGCCGAAAAGTGGAACCAATTTGTCAAGGTAAGATTGACCGATGGTCATCGAAAACAATGGAAGCTGAACAAACCTATTGTACCGACTACCAACTGTACTAAATGAAGATTGTCTGGTCAAAGGATTTTGCATGTAAGGATCTACGCGAACCTTGAAAACCATACGATCAATCTGAATTTCATTAAATGGTTGCCAAAACGGTACTCTTGGGATAGGGAAAAACCGAACGACAGCGGTTGTAGTCGGTCCATTCTCTGAAGGCTCTAAAAATCTCATATATGATATGTCGCCATATTTATGCAAGGGCTTCCATAGGTTGTATAGTTTGTTAGAATCTTCTTTCATCCATTCTGAAGGGATTTTAAATACTGTAAGCGTTAAACTATCCCAGAATCTCCAGGCATTACTGTGATCGCGATGTATTCCTTCTAAAGAAGACGAACTGTTTGTTGGTACTTTGGATGTTGCTAAATTATATAATTGTTTATAGGGAACTTTTAAACGTTCCCATGGAGCTTCTCTGTGAAACGTTTTTATTTCGGCACCTATAAAGTCATATAGTGTCGGATCCATAGTTTTGGCATTGTATTGGCCAGCTTTATTCAAATTCGTTGTAGATACGAGTTTAAAAGGAAATCTTTTTACATGAATTAGAATCCTCAATCATTCACATTCTTTATACTTAACACATATACTAGAAGGCTTTGACGAGGTTAGGAACGTCGTTGTATGGTACCCTAAATGGGTAGATATACAGCGTAATCAAGCATTTTTAGAGTAAAGGATTACGAAAGCGTAACTGTAGATTACAACAATATAAAATATCATTTACTATTGCGACTTATTATAAAGCCCAGAGCTTGAAAAGCACTTGGGTTAAAGTCGAACATCTGTTGAGTTATGTGAAACGAAAATCAAGCTTTCCTTCTCTACTTTAAAAGATAGAATTTTCTTTTTTTGAAATAATATATAGCCTAAGATACTGAACTCAGTCTTGAAGTTTGTTCAATTCCAAATGGAGGAATAGGGGAGTTTCGTTTGTTTCTGATTCTGAATAGGTTTGTTCAATAGAACGCCATAATACATCTTACACTACTAATACATAACGTCTTCTTGACAAGTCTTACCGTATTTCTTTGCATCTACGCTTTTTGAAGTAAGAAAGCGAATCAAGTCAATCCGAAGATTATGGCTTTATGAGATTCAATATCTTAATAATAACAATGATACAAAGTAATAAATATTGCTTTTGTTTCTATTTTATATAATCTTGAAGTACGATCTCTTCGATTCTTTTTCTACGTAAACAAAACCAAGTGACAGCAAGATGTTGAATTAGTGAATCGTTACCTAGACAGGATACTTTTAATGTAACAAAATCCAAACGACAGAGTAATCGTTGACCTTGTAATACTTGCTGGTAATTCATAATAGAAGGAATTCCTTTCAGCCAAAAATAAATAAATAGAAATAAAAACGTTAATGATCTGACACCGGTGAGTTAGATCCAACAGCACGAAAACATTAACCAAACAATCTGTTGTTTTTGCGGTGATTAAGGAGAATTATTGGTACATTGAGCGTTTAATTCATTGATATCATGTCAAATGAACACTTGAATGCTAACGATGAGCTTTCGTATGTGCGTACTTTCACTTCTTTAGGCTAATGATCCAGCAAACTCAAATACTTAAATGTAACAGCTGATGAAACTTCTGAAGACAGACTGGTATGAAGATTTCCTAAAAGACAATTGTATATACTTACACATTTAGTCTCCTACTCGACTTCGAGTTGGCACATCTAAAACAGATGATATTTACAGACAGAAGCGTCAAACGAAACATATTATGTCTAAAAATGAAGTATTTCTGAATCCAAAATATTTTGATAATGAAAGTTATGACCCTCAGACCTGTATGTCTTGATCAGATTTCCAGTAGTAACTAACTCTCTTTCATCAGATTTAAACGATATATTACATGATGCAACAGAAGAAGAATTTGTTTCTTTATATAATAAACTGTTACGCATTCACATGGGTGTTCGAAAGAATTTGGAGAAGAACTTCTATAAAAATCTCAACGAGTATGTCTTTATTTCCAGTGAAGTGAATAATTTGAGCCAAGAGTTGGGACGATTCAATTCGGTACTAGGTGTCTTGGAGGAGAACATTGAACGGCTGAACTTAGTTGAGCTTTCGCAACATCCTTCGGATGACAATTTAAAACGATCAATGCGACGATTGGAAAACACCATTGACGGTACCAATGAGGATTTTTGGAAAAACACCAGCAGAAGCTTAATCACTAAACAAGGACGTTGGACACTTATTAATCCTAAAAACCAGAGAGTTCGTTTAGTTGTTAATCTTTACTTATTCAATGATTGCATCCTTGTTACTTCTTCACATCCTTTGGATAAAGAAAACAAAATTAAAGAACAAACTCTCTATCAATGGAATCTTATTGACTCTACAATATCTCCAATTGAAACTACCGGGCGAGTGGATGACGATGCTACTTCCAACTTGGATAAAGAAATGAATATTTCCTATGCTACAGTCATGTGCAATAGAAGTATTTATGTACTTGGAAACAGCAACCTTGAAGAACGAGATTTTTTTATTCGTCAAACTAGACAATACCAAGCTCAGCAGCTCCTTGAGCATACCCAAAAAAGTGAAGATGATACTCAATTAAAATTGGAGCTTGAAAATTTTGTCAAATGTGAACAGACTCACTTATCATCATACGCTTCTTTTCAGCTGCTTTGTAAAACTATTGATTCACCATCACTTCTACAGTCTTATGCTTTTGAGAGAGAAGTTTGTCAGGAACTTTTTGAACAATTTAATCATTTAGACAACTATATATCTCTTCGCCAATATCCTGATGCTATACGCACACTTAGTGTACTAAGAAATCGCTTACAACGAGAAAGAATTCAACAACTACTTTTGGATTTCTTGATGGATAAACTAGAATATAAGACGGGGGAACTGAAAGGATTATTTTTACATAAACTTGGATTCCCAGGCATCGGAGTTACGCAAGGTAAACAACTAATTAAATATTTACGATCCATTGGGTTTGAAAATGATGCACGAAAACAATTCTTTTATTCTCGTGAAAACCAACTTAAGCAGAAATACTACAATGTTCAATGGGAGAAGGACATTTCAAGCTTAGTTACCACTAGCGCTTTTATTGTTTTTCGATATATGGCCCATATTACGCGTCTGTACACTCTGATGTTTGAAATCAGAAAACCTGATCCACCATACCGGAACTGGTTGTATTGTCAGGTTGAAAATTTGGTATTTTTTATCGAAAATCAGTACAAAGGATATCCTCGTGATAAGTCGTATGATGAGGCGATTTCAAAAATTACGACATACACGACAGAATTGAAGAGCATGAAGCTAGACATAACTCCGATCCTTCAGCGACTTCTGTAATTATAACTTAAAGAGGCATAGCTACCATTTACATGTTTTATTTCTTAGTAATGTAATGAAATATAGTTTTATTAGGAATTAAGAGTTTACTCTACAGTAGGAGTGCTTTCCTTAGTTTGCATAGCTCTCAAAAGATTCATGATGGGTTCAGGAACGGTGCGTTCGTAAATGGCGAACAACTCAACAGGCTGAGGGTATACTTTTAGGGCAGCATAAAAGCAAGCAGCAGATTCCTTGATATTGTCGGGTTCTTTAAAGCGTTAGTGAGACGATTGAAAAAAGAAATAAACATACGTTGTTGGAAAAGTTGTTCACCGCGAGCAACTTGCTGCATGAAGAAAAGTTCCTTTTCTTCAGCGCTGCTGGGAGTGGGTGTAGACTTGACGATCTCGAGAGCATCCTCAATAACTTCATCAAATTGCTTAATAGCAATCTCTTCTTCTTGCTTCTTAGCTTCATGAACTTTCTTGTAGCGGCGCTCTAAAAAAAAGGATTGTTAGCGACGAGGCGGAAGATAAGATCAATGGGAAACTAAACAACGTACTCAAAGTTTTGCGGAAAGCAGGGTCGTTACGACGCTTGTAATCAAAATAGACACCATAACCTGGGGATATTAGCGAACATGTTCGTGTGGAATATAAAATTGCAGCTCAGCTCGGAAACCTGTTATTAACTAACTACCCTCTACGCAGATAAGCAAATCTCTAGCTTTATTTCCAAAATGTCTTTCTTAATGAGAGCGAGAAACATATACTGGTTATCACCACACCTTACGGAAATAGCATAGAATTTACTGAATATAATTCTTTTCGGATTTATCGAAAATCAGCAGTAGAAGGGCAAAAGCTTTAAATTTTTTAATAGCTTGCGAGAGCCAGCATATTACTTACCAACAGCGGCAGCTGCGAGAAGAGAACCGATAATGACTGAATTCCTCATATTGAAAATGTAAATGTAGGGATCCCTAAAGTAAACTGAAAGGAGAATTACAAAAATGAACTTAAAAAGTTAAGTTTTCAAAAAAAAAGTAAGGTACAAGATGGATATCTCGAGCTTGCTAAAAGAATTAGCCTACTTTGTAGGATATAGGAGGATACCAAGAGAGGATAGTAAGGGAGAGGCCGTGATGTCGTTACCTTCCGATCGAGTAACACATATTACAGATTTCGCAAATAAACGTATCTGATTGCTTCAGGAATTCAGAGTGTATAATAATATAAGCTTAAATTGCGAACAAAAATGAGCGTTTCAATATACAGCTAAAAGGTTTAAACAGGGATTCATTCCAAGGGAAAAGAAAGAAAAATAATTGTTAAATTACAAATATATTTGTATAATTCTTGATCCTTTTCACCTCTTTCAGGAGGTTTTTATGTTCTGCATTTGATTTGAGAAGAAAGAGGAAATATATTTTGGGTAAAGTTGGAATAAATTTCATTAGAGCAAGATATAGTTAGAAAAAATTGCTAACCACTTCCGTAAGTATAATAAGTAAACTCATAATAAGGGTGAATTCATTGCTTGTCAGCCAAGGAAAAGGAAGCAAACAATAAAAGATCAAACAGCTTCTAACAAGGGAATACACACAAAAAGTAATGTCATAGTCGGATATAATTTTTGATTCTTCAAACATGACATTGGGCTAAACAACTCAAGTTCACTTCCAACTCTTTGTGACATCAAATGACTAGGCGAATATTAGTATCAAAGATCATAATAAAAACAGAAAACATACCCAGTTAACTACATGATGGACAACTTGATCATCGTCAATGAATTTACCAATGGCTTCGTAATGACCACGGGCAAGGAATCCGCTAGGTGCTTCTTCGGGTTCCGCTGCACATTCAGTTAGCTAAATACATTCTTTTTAAACTATTAAAAAATAGATATGCTTACTCGTAAATGCATAAGGAGCTTCATTAGGACTATAGGAGCCGATCATGATAGACGATTTGTCGACCGTCATTCCTACTCGGCGTACAACCTGGACATAGCGTAAGCCGGAGATAAGTTCATGTTGGACACGGAAACGAACGCCAATTCTGTATTCGCTGTCCTCCTTTATGACGAATCCCTTCTTATGGATCTGTTCCACGCTAGCCTCATCTTGCATGTCCACATGAATAGGATCACGACCGGTCACAAGTAGACTGAGTTGTTCAATAACCACAGTTCGAGGGTCGTTAGGAGGGGAGTATCCTTTATTGGAAATACCAAGCGACTCTTTCCATTTTGTTAAAGAAGGATCTTCAGCATCCATATGTACGTATTCATCCAAAGTTTTCTTTTCGCCTAATGAAACAGGAACATCATCGTTCATAAATTCTTCGTCTAGTTCTTTAGATTCATTTCCAGCTTGCCCTTGAGAAGTCATAATTCAGTGTATATTGAGTCTCGTGAATTCCAATATCCAAAAACTGTAGTGATGTATAAGAAAAATTAGCAAAAGAAATCAATTCTTTTGGTGTTTTTGAGCAATAATTTATTCTCTTTACTCTCAAGTGCTGTTCCGCTTTAACAAGAGTGTCACGGAATTGTTAAATGGCACCCATGTTTCTTTCTACAGAGAACAAAGACCAAGATTGCTACTTTTGTTACCAGAAAGAAATTCGCTCTATTTTCCCATTATGGGTGGCTTTTGTAAAAAAGAAGATACATTATTTTTAAAATTCCAATGTAAAATCTGATTCAAATGCGTACGTTTTCGTTTTTGTAAGGATACCTATTTGTTGATATCATAAAGCAACACATTTGAAGGAAAGCAGTAATTATGTTTGTATTAATTGAATGATAATCATTTCTTCTATTATGATCGATAGAAAAAGTAAAATAATTAAAATTCAACCCGTCTTTCTCAAGAATGGCGCTTTTCCGTTGAATCGTTCTGTTTAATTTTCCCCAGACTAGATCTCGAAAAAACAAAATTTGTCAGACACCTATCCAAAGGAAGGATGGATTCAAACAGAGTCTTGTTTTCTTTATAAAAAAAGGTATACTGTGATTAATTTTCCAACAAACAACTTTTTTGTCCTTTCAGATCGGCGCATTGTTGAGCTGTGGGACTTAACATACTCTGGCAAGTATATGAGTTGTCACCAATTTATTTAGTATTTGTTGTTATTGATTTTTATTTTTATATTCCAATTGTTCCTATGAATCCATTTATGAATAAAATCTCATTTTATACAGTATTTATTTATTTATTTTCCGCTACTTACGAGTTTAATAATAAGGTTGATTTAAGCTATCCTTGCTCAGAATATTAATTCAACTGTACACTACTTACTTCACCTTCACTCACTTAAAAGAAAGAATTTTACTTTTATACATCTGAAACTATCGTCTTTTTGGTTTCTTTTTATTTTTTTTTGATATTTTTGGATATCTGTCCTTTGTCAAGTTGTTTCTGTCATTTACGGTTTATTTACATTAGCTCGCGTACGTGGTATACTGAGAGAACCATTCACGCTTCTAAGGGATTCCTTTTTGAAAGCTCATCAGTATGACTTCCACAATTTCGACGATTGAACAACTAGATTTGGTGAAGTTATTGGATTCCTGTGATTCTTTTCACAACAATTTCATTCCTGGGTCAGTTCCGTTCTACTTAGATGGTGCGATAGTCGGATATGTTATCCCAGAAGTGATTAATGAGTTGGTGAAATTCGATAGCTTTAATTTTGATTGGATCTATGAGCCTGGGAAATCTTTACAGTTAAACGCTACGAGCTTTGAGAAACGCTCTTCTATTTTAGAAAAGATTCTCAATGTATGGAGAAAATCCAACCTTTTTGGAGTGGCCGATCAGTGGCGTGATGAATTGTATAGCGTTTTTGGTCCTAATGGCGAAGTTGCTATTGCCGTAGAACGAGGTGGGTATTGGTTGTTTGGTTTTGTTAGCTACGGAGTTCATTGCACCATTTACATTCCTCCTACCCCAACAACTCCCATGCGTTTATGGGTTCCCAGACGTTCACCTACAAAACAAACTTGGCCCGGCTATCTCGACAACAGCGTAGCAGGAGGGATCACCCATGGTGATTCAATAGTAGGGACTATGGCGAAAGAGTGTTTGGAAGAAGCTAATTTATCTGTCTCGCATTCCAACTTACAATCCCGTGGTATTGTTTCGTACATCAAATTTGCCAGGCAGAAATGGTATCAGCCGGAATTGCAATACGTATTTGACATTCCAATTAACGAAGATACAAAGTTGCGTCCGAACGATGGAGAGGTGGCAGAGTTCCATCTTTGGACTCTGGATCAAGTCATCCAAGGACTAGCGGAGCAAAGGTTTAAACCAAATTGTGCTCTTGTTATCCTCGATTTCTTTATTCGACATGGTATTTTGAGCCCAGAGCACCCTCAGTATTATGAAACATTTCAAAGAATACACAGAACCCTGCCCCATCCAATTAGCAAGTACCAGAAAGAATCTAAACATGATATATCAACACCTCACGCATCTCCTAATGATATCACAGAGTCTCAGTACTTTAACCCATGTGCTACATGGTCGGCAAACTCTGACAAAAGTGAATGTAAATACAAATACGCCGTTTTAATTCTCAATCGCTCTATTAGTGTCTCCAAAAATCGGTTCCGTCATCTTTGGGAGAATGCAAGCCTTCGGATTTGCGCAGATGGTGGTTCGAATCGTTTGAGAAGTTACGATCCAACATTAAGGCCTGACATGCTGGTGGGAGATTTCGATTCGTTAACAGATGAAACGCGTGAACACTATAAACAAATGGGTGTGCAAATACTTCATGATTCTGATCAAGATTCAACGGACTTCATGAAAGCGCAAAAAGTGATCCAAGATAAAGGGGTTTTTGCCATCTTTACTCTATGTAGTATGGACGGACGAGTTGACCATGCTTTGGGAAACTTTAATCATCTGTATTGGTCGTACACAAAGTATAAGCGTACTCAGCTCTTCATATTGTCCGAAGCTAACGTGACTTGGCTACTACCATCAGGAGAGAGCAAGATAGATTGCAGCACAAATGTAAATCAGCATTGTGGGATTCTTCCTGTAGGTGGTCCCGCTTTTGTTTCAGAAACCGATGGATTGGAATGGAATCTAAAAAATCAGGTTTGTAGTTTTGGAGGACTTATAAGTTCGTGCAATATTGTTCGCAAGGCTGACATTACCGTACGCACCCAACATCCGGTCATATGGACAATGGAAGTAATTGATCCTACCGAATAAAAAGCGTAGTGGAACAATTTGGATATGATTTATGATTTAGAACATCTATGTTACATCTGATAAATATTTAAATTCTTTACTTATTTATACCTAGTTTAACGAGTTTTCTAAGATTAGGTGAAAATAAAAATTTACTTATACTTCACACTTATATGAAAAAGTTCAGTTTACGCAAACATTAAACAGAAAAGAGTTCCTTCGTCCAACAAACTTTGTGAACTGATAGATATATCTCAGAAAGTGAAGAAATAAAGCAAATCATTAACATGTTCATATTGTTGAGCTTGACATGTCATTTTTTTCCTCCTTGATATACCCAACAGTTCACAAACCAAGCTGGTACTGAAGATTCCAATTTTCTGTAGTTGGTTCTTGGTAGAAACGATGTTTTCGTTTGCTTTATATAACTTTTCCATATTGTCCAATTTGTTACTTTCTCCAACAGAAAGGTAACATTGTTCTTTCACGAAAGAAAATTTTCAGTAAGACAGAAGAAGACAGCGTTTGGAAGACTTTAACGTATAGAAAAAGGTAAAAGAGAATACACAAAAAATGAAAAATAGTACAGACAGAGAATTTACGATTCATACGATAGCACAAACACCATACTTGAAATTTGATGATGTTCGTTAAATCAAGATACCGAGTTTGTTTTATTGCACTAATAAACATCCAAGTAAAAAAATATTTAGAAGAAGGGAATGTGTTTCTCTATTCTGTTGAAGATATAGAGTCTTTTATTTCCTTTGTTCCTATATAGTGATGATACGAAAGGGCTGCCTTGGGGTTTCATGGTATACGTGCCATTGACCAAGAACGGGTTTAATAAAGACTGGTCCCAAGGGAATTTATTATATGATTTACAAAAAAACAACAGACCGTTCAGGACTCTTGGACCAGAAATACTATGGAATATAGTAAACAGAAGACTATAAGAACAAGAAAAAGAAAAAAAAAAGGAAGAAAGCTACTTTGTATCTACAGACGAACTTTCATAAGGCTTACTTCTACTCACCACAATATGTTTGTATCACTCATTTTGTAATCAAACCTTGACATTCAATTCAAATTTTGTCGTGAACAGTGTTAAAATGTGTATATCTATATAGTAGTTTTCGATTCGTCGTGAAAAGTACACCTTCGACAAGGTTAGGAGCGAAAAGAGAGGGACGAAGATAAATAATCACCATAGACTTTCGATAATAATAACATAATATAAAATAATGGCAAGATGAAATAGAAAAAGGACGAGTTGTTAGACATAAAACGTACGTACAGCGGCAGGCTGAGATTTCCAAAAGTTCGCCATTAAAAGAATTAGACTTCATCTACTGTATCATCCCAGTCGGTATCGCGCATACTACGAGGAGCATAGTCCTGGAGTCCGGCGACATAGTTGGCAGCACAGAAACCAGCACCAACAAGGAGCACTAAAAAGCCAAGGAACGATGTGAATCCGCTAAAGGACCAGAGCAAAGATCCCATAAATAGATAGAAAAAGCCTCTTCCCAAGAATGAGAACATAAAGGAGGCATATTTGACAGCCACCGAAGGGACTTCACGCTCTAATGCAATGGTACCAAGACCAAAGAGAATGATAAATAAACCTAAAAAGACATTCGCCAGATTAAATGAAAATACTTTAATAAGGCCAGTAAGTCCGAGAACGGCGCCGACACCCAAGTTCAAAGCGCTGAAGATTTTAGGCTTGTCCATTTCCACTATTACTTGTAGTACACTGTTATAAAGGAAAGTTGTTTCGAAAAAAAAAGAGAGTATGCTTTTATAACACTAAATTCGTGCTTTCAAACCGGTTTCTAGTCAAATCAATGCAAGATAACTCGTGCTTGCCTTGATTGTTGTTGGACACTACCATCCAAGCCTTACGCAGTGGTGATTCAGATGAGGTAACCGTTACTTGCTTCCACTTCTGGTAGACTTAAAGAATGACTCTCATCTCTTGGAACAGAATCGATTAGTACGCGTCAAAAGTCACATAAAGAATTTATATACACTATAAGGCTTGAATCATTCTTCTGTAAAAAAAATTAACAAAAAGGAAAAAAATCTCTCGAGCCAGATTCGAACTAGCGACCAACCGGTATCGTGAACATTACAGCCGGGTGTGATAACCAACTACACCATCGAGAGAACTGTTGGTATATGGACATAGCTAATAATATATGTATACATTCATTTATGCAGTGTCTATGGGGAATTCTCTTTTGCTATAGCTGGACGACATAGAAAACGGAAGTCACATACGGTTGTAACAGAAAAGAAGCAGATATTGAAAATGCTTAGAGAACGTAGAGTACTGTCCATGCCACATTGATTCGTTGTGATTTCAGTCGCCCATCGATCAACTTTTTGCTGTCGTGTCATTGTGTAAGACACAGGAATCCCTTTTATTATTGTAAGTAAAAACATGCTCAATGTTGCCAATTCAATGGACGAATACAATAACCTTTCATTTTTGTAAATCCCCTTTCGGCGTACAATAACTCTTCTGTATATATGAGTCTTAAATTTTTACATTACAACCAATGGCCTAATAGTGTAGTGGTTAACATACCTCTTTCGGGTAAGACCCACTTGTGAGTCACGAGTTTAGAGGTGATCCCTGGTTCGAATCCTGGTTAGGCCCTTTTTGTTTTTTCCTTTTTTATTTTTGCTGCCAATCGAGAATTAAGAGTTTAGTTCAAACTAGTTTCATCCAGCTATTCTTATCTCAAATAGATGCGTTAACTCTTTTTTCATTGTTTTCCTTCTGTTTATCAAGAAAATATTCTGATCAATCGTTAAAGCTCGGTATACTTGATTTGTACGAAACGTGTTGCATCCCTCTATTACTATTACAATTAAAACAGTTGATGTAGAGACTTCGCTCGTAAAGGTATCCTATCTACAGTAAGAGCAAGCAAAGCAATAACAATCATGTCAAAGCTATTGCTGCTCGTGGATTCAACAACAAAAAAAATCAATGATTACGAGAGACTGGTCGAGTTTGGAAACTCGCCTGATGAAGAAATCGATGTCTCTTTACGAGACATCCACAAACAATTACAACAGTTGAATGAAGAACAAACAAGGTTGGAACAGAATGCTCAAATTCCTGAATACAAGGTACGAGAATCTGAAGCATTTTTAATTCGTATCCAACGGCGAGTCGAATCGGCGGAGGAAATGTTGCTTAAAAAACGAAATGATGCTACCCAGGGTCCAAAGATTCATTCCTCTTACGCATCCAAACAGGCCCGTGCTCCATTGCCTTCAGATGTAACGTCAAACTATTCAGATATTGAAATGGAGTCCATTCATCAATTCGATGGAAACGATCCAAATCCTGTTGATATCAACTTACTGTCTCAGATGCATGAGCAAATGCTCAACGAACAGGAAGAGTCATTAGGCGGAATTGAGAGTAGCGTTCGAAGGCAAAAGCAAATGGGCTATTTAATGAATAATGAACTCGAAGAACATAACGACCTTATTGATCGTATGGGTGAAGATGCAGATCGGGTAGATAAACGGCTAGGCTTGGCAAGAAATCGCCTGCAAAAGGTAACCCGCAAAGCAAAGCAGTATCCTCGTTGTTGTATCATTCTTTTCCTTTGTTTCTTACTCATTTTGGTTTGTTTCATTTAATGTTTTTTATCTTCCTTTGTTATGTTTCCCCTTCTTAGCTTCCTCTGCTCTTTGTACGTTCATGTTTCTACGGCAAGTTTACGTTTTGTAATTATAGATCCTTTAAATTTCTATTTTCTTCCTTATGTACATATGCATCTACTTTATGCTTACGTTCAATAAGTACTCCGATAGAGTATATAAAAAGAAACAAAAATTCTGTATGATTGACTGTGCATGCAAAATAACATCCTAAAACATTCAAGATGTCATTATTTTTCACATTAAATACACAAATTATTCTTTCCTATATAAATGTGAAAGCAAAAACATTAGATTAAATTAACTTTTATGAATGTTGCTGTCTCCAAAGTAATTAGTTGTCAAAAAATATGAACCGAAACGTCTTTCCTTCTTTTTTTTGATTTTTTTTTTCTTTTTTGGGAAATTAATTAAACATAAAGGAATTTTTTTAAAATAAAATAGATATAAAGAATAAAAATCAAATGTTTCAATAAAACGCAGCATGCTCAGAAGGCTGTTCTAAACCTGTATTGAAATTCGGTATGCTGGAAGAGATATAATCCATATCAGAAGACCAATTAGATGTACTATTAAGGTGAAAGGGAGAGTGGGTGCCGTAAGGTTCACGGTTATTTGGCAATAGCAGGATTAAAACTGTCCTGTCGATAATCATTATTTTCTGCATAAAGCATTTCTTGGGCCAATCCACCGTTAATAATGTCTGTATAATCCTCACCGACGGGACCAAGATAAGTGTTTGGAGTTGTGCTTGGTGTCGATGCCAATCTATCTGAATTCTCGAAACCTTTCATTCTATTCATGTCTACGAACCCTCTTGGTGGAAAGGCATCCGTGCCGTACACATCTGAAGCCAAGTTTGCATCCACACTTCCATATGACGACATTCTCATGTTTGGAGGCATGCTAGTTGTTGGACTGACTGCCATAGAAGACTGTACTATAGAATCGGGACTATAATAGCTAGGAGAAAAAATACTTCCCATTGGAGAGGCAGCAGCATTTGTAACAGAGTTCTCGACATTATCCGGCCGAACATAATCAACTGAACTTGTATTAGAGTTATTAGATGTCTCTACAAGATAGTTATTAGGGGTATTCGTGCTGCTGACTTCTTTAGGCGATGGATGAGGTGAAGGTTGAAAAAATGCAAGGATGTCGTTTGAATTCAAGCCCTGAGACACCGGAACGGACAATGGATCTGAATAATGACCCCAATCAGATTTATACATTTCATGGCCCTCAGGTATAGTTTCAGGTACCGTTAGTTTATTCCAATAAGTACTTGAACCAGCATTTTTAGAATACGAAGGATATGATAATAAAGAAGGGTCATCTTCAAAAGAAGGAAAGTTAGAATCAGTGGGTCCTTTTTGATCGTACAAGCCAGAAGGTGGTTGGTATGGGGCAGGTGGAAACAGTTCTTGGGCAATTGTTGCACGTCGGAAAAACAGAGAGTTGTCTGCCAAACCGAAGGAGGAATCAGGTACAGGAGGGTAACCAACAGACGAAGGAAACGAAGTCGACGGCAAGCTAGAAGCTACAGCATCAGCAACGTTAACAGCAGATACTAAACGTTGCTTTTGAGATTCAAGCCAACCAGTATTGGAATATAAGGAAGATGAAGAAGGAGAAGAAACTGTAGGTTGAGTCGAAGGTTGAAGATTGGAGAATCTGGCGGAATCGGTAGTACTGGAAGGGTGAGGTAGCGACCGCTTGTTGGGAGCATTCATATTTGTGAGAAAAGATTGAGCATCGGCGACCGTCATATTGGGAATGGAGTTGGTTGAACGTCTTCGCCTTCTTGGCTGGGGATTTTTATGAATTTTTTGTTGATGTCGAAGAAGCAAATCACGCCTGGAAAACAAACGTCCACAACCAATGGGCAAACCATCTATTTCCTGACAAACAAAAGGCTTTTCATTAGTATGAGAACGAATATGTCTCTTTAGATGTTCCAAACGGGCAAAAGCACGAGAACAAATTGTACACACATACTGTTTCACTTTTTGGGTAGATCCATTTGCGTCCTTCTTGGTTTTTTGAGTAGTACTCATAAAATTAGAGCCCTTTGATGGCTCGGTCACAAGCTTTGACTGATTATTAGTATTATTTGCTAGAGGTACAGCCTCCTTGGCCTGAGTATTTGGAGCTCCTGTAGGGGTTGCAACCAAATTATTTGTATTTGCAGCACTGAGACCAGAAGTATGCTGACGACGAGAATTAGAGGGAACCGTATGAATAGTTTGATTCATTCTGAGTACTTAATAAACGAAAATTAAAAAAGAGAATTAGAAGTCAGCAACCAATTAGGATTAATTAGAATATGTAAAAAAATATACCCTGCTTTAGTAATAGAGGTAATAGAGGCGGTAGGGAATTTGTAAGGAAAGAAAAAGGATAACAGGTATAACAATTATATGACACAAGGAAATTAAATCTTTGATGAAGTATAAGCAAGCTACTCGAGCAGCACTAGAAGGTATAGGAACGGTTGAAGCTATTCAAAGAAAATACAGGGATGAATCGATGATGCGAATAATTGAGAAACGAACGACGGTAAGAGGATACAAGAAGAGAAAAAAGAAAAGAGGGGAGTAAAAATGTAGAAGGGAAAGAAAGGCGCGTTTTCTAAAGGAAAACAAAATGAAGATACAAAGTTCGGTGATAGTAATAACACCCAACTATCCGAAAAGGCAGAACATTCAATTTTATCAAGGAAAAGTCGAGAAATATATTAAATGCGTGTGTATCGCGAGAATTTTGTGTTTACAGACAGTATTCGCCGAGATCGTAGATGAAAATGTAGATGGAAAAGCCAACAGCGCAGCCAAAGTCAAATAAGTAAAGATAGATAGAAAAGCACTTGGGATTATGGGAAAAATAAAAGAAGCAATAGAGATTCTTTTACTTAAGTTTGAATTCGTCAAAATCCATACAATCAAACCAGCAGACGACTGAGAGTTAGATCCACACAAAGCACTAGAGTCGTAAGAGATGAAAGTGAGACGAAGTGTTTTATACAAGATATGGTATGGTATGGAAGAAGTAAATCTTGTGCGTCACTCTGAACACATATAACTATGGTTCTACTGCTCCAAACGACCGATTCTTGTTGGATATATTACCCGTTCTGATGAATGACCTTCAAAAAAAAGGGGAAAACCACCAAAATTTGAGGTCTAGTACTATAAGAAGTTTCTTTTTCAAGAATACTTGGTTCTTTAACTTGTTATATACTCCCAAACGACCTACACACAGTATTCGAGAGTGGCAAATCCCGTTTTTGTTCTGTAAAAAACTATCAAAATCAAGGTTCTATGTTTCACTGCGACAAGTTCAATCCAAATCTCGTCCTTTTCAGCTTCTTTTTACGCAAAACACCTGCCTTCTCGACTTTTAGTCCTGACTCGTTTAATTTGGGTTGTCGTTAATTCGTTCTACCACCTTTTTGTGTTGTCAATCCTCCCAAGTAACAACCCTTCCAAAAGCTCATTCCAGGTAGCGAAGACTAAAGACATTAGGGGAAGCACGTTGTTTTAGGCGGTGTGGAGCTTCCTCCATATTTTGTTTCTAATTATGGGTAAACATTTGCTAATAAACCGTCGCTTACGTGGGTAAGCAGTTTTAGACACATTTCTCATGAAAACTCCCCTTAATAAGTTTCTACTATTTTCGTTCATATTTATTTCTACATTCTTCTGTCGAATATACTGTTTACCTGTCATATTCACTCTTGTTACTACAGTCGTGCGGTTTCTTGTTGCGTCTTCGTGATGGCGCACTTTTTATCAATGCATCGCTCTTGCTATTTCCGCGTCAATGGTGATAGTCTTGTGCTGTTGTTTCTTTGTTCGCTTACATGCTCACCGTGTTGATAAATAAAATGTAAGATCCATGTAATCGCAGTTAATAAAGTCTTTAGTAAATAGTAGAACTTTTTCTTTTCTACTTTTTTTTTTTTATTATTACACAAGTTTATATTCTACTACTACTTCTTCCACTTCCACTAGTGCTACTTACTCGTAGTACTATTACTACTGCTCTATACAATTAACTAGCTTTCCTTTTTTACCTTACACAACCTCTATATCACGTTCGACATCCATCAAGAAACACATAATATTTAATTTTCTTTACACTACATCACAAAAATCTAGCGCACTCGTAGTAGACCGTAAATCATTACAACTTCTCAAGTAACATCCTCATTTTCAAAACGAAATCAAAGGTCATCAGGATATATATTCATATAATCAGTAGTTTTTTTTCTTCTATGCGTACAAATCATCAGCACCATCGTTTCCAAAGCTGGGTCCATTAGCATTATTGTTTGAAGAATCAAATTGGAATCCCGTCAAGCCACGAGAGGTAAGAAGTTGGTGAGCATAAGCTTCATAACGACGAACTTCAGCATCACTAACGGAACGACGAGCCATCTTCATAGCTTCTTCAACATGATGTCTTTGAACTTGAGAAGCGGTAGTGTCTTCTTCCATGACAACGTCATCTGTTCCTGCTTCCTTTGCCTCATTTTCCTTCTTGATGTCCTCCTCAATGCTTTCCTTGATCGCCAATTTCACTGTGCGTTGGACGACAAACTCCAAATCTGCACCAGAGAATCCGTGGGTAGCCTTGGCGACAGCTCTCAAGTCCACATCCTCGGCCATAGGAGTATGACGGAGTTGAGTCTCCAAGATACCGAAACGAGCATCTTCGTCTGGAAGAGGAACATAAATCAGTTGATCCAAACGACCAGGACGCATAAGTGCCGGATCAATTTGGTCAGGTCTGTTTGTGGCACCAATTACAAACACGTTCTTCTTGCTGTTAACACCGTCCATTTCAGTAAGCAATTGGTTCACCACACGGTCACCACCACCAGAGTCACCAGCAGTTGCGCCACGAGACTTGGCAATAGAATCTAATTCATCAAGGAAAACAACACAGGGAGCAGCAGCGCGGGCCTTATCAAAAATGTCACGAACATTAGATTCGGATTCACCAAACCACATACTGAGAAGCTCAGGACCCTTCACTGAAATGAAGTTTGCAGAGCATTCGTTGGCAATGGCCTTCGCCAACAAGGTTTTACCAGTACCAGGAGGTCCAAAGAAAAGTACACCCTTGCTTGGGGTAACACCAAAGCGTAAGAACTTCTCGGCATACATAACTGGCATTTGAACAGTCTCGCGCAATTCGCGCTTGACCTCTTCCAAACCACCAATATCTTCCCAACGAACATTTGGAACTTCGACAACAGTCTCGCGCAAAGCAGAGGGGTTGCCAGAACCAAGGGCAAATCTAAAGTTCTCCATAGTAACACCAAGAGAATTCAAAACTTCGGCATCAATTTCATCCTCATCTAAGTCAATCAAGTCCATCTTTTCACGGATTTGTTGCATGGCGGCTTCAGAACACAAAGAAGCCAAATCTGAACCAACATAACCGTGTGTTTCACCAGCAATCTGTTCAAGATCAACATCATCTCCCAACTTCATATTCTTAGTATGGATGCGGAGAACTTCCAAACGACCAGTGGGATCAGGGATACCAACGTCCACTTCACGATCAAAACGACCGAAACGACGTAAAGCGGGATCGATGGAGTTGGGACGGTTAGTGGCAGCCATAACAACGATGTTGCTACGTGCCTTCATACCATCCATAAGAGTAAGCAATTGAGATACAACACGGCGTTCAACCTCTCCGTTGGTCTTCTCACGCTTGGGAGCGATAGAGTCTATTTCATCGATAAAAATAATAGCAGGAGAGTTCTTTTCAGCCTCTTCGAAAGCTTTACGGAGGTTCGATTCGGATTCACCAGCCATTTTAGACATAATTTCAGGACCATTAATTAAAAAGAAGAAAGCACCGGTCTCATTAGCAACGGCACGAGCCATTAAAGTCTTACCGGTACCGGGAGGTCCGTACATGAGGATACCACGGGGTGGTTTAATACCAATACTTTTGAACAATTGGGGATGACGAAGGGGGAGCTCAACAAGCTCACGAATTTGAGCCATTTGTCGGCGGCAACCACCAATATCATCATAACCAACCTCTGCCAAACTGCTCTCTTCATCTTCACGATTAATAGGCTCACCTTCCCAGTGAATAACGGTATCTTGACTGACGATACCGAACTCATCGGGAGCGACATCAACCACCTTAAATTCAACTTGACGCATACTTCCACGAACGACAAACAAGTCGCCCTTTCTAATAGGACGGTAGGCTTCAACGAAATAGGGCTTCAAGTACACATCGAAAAGTGACCCGGTAAGACCTTCGACAGTGTCAGCCAAAGGCAATACGGAAATACGTTCAGCATATTTAATATCAGGACAAGGGTTGACTGTTACAACATCACCTAAACGAATACGCAAGTTGTTACGCACAACACGGTTAAGACGAGCTGCACCATCTTCCATATCGTCATCAGTGAGTACAATCAAAACAGTGTCTTTCCGTCTCTTTCCTTTGACAACAACAGTATCACCTCTGAAAAGCTGTAAGGTCTCCATAGTGTTAGGAGAAAGTGTGATAACTGAATTGTCGTCGTTAGTGGCATCATCCACCACTAAGGAATTGGGTTTTCTCTTCTTGCGAAGGATTGCAGTTGCAGTTTCTTCTGCCTTTTGAGGACTAATTCAGTGTTAAAATATCGTCCCGTTAAAACTCTTCAAAAATATCAATTACTTACTCTTCTGAGGGTTTTGTGCCCTGAAGACGTTCCACTTCTGGGTTCTTATCGTTCATGGTAGATGGTTCGTCTTACTATTCAAATGATCACATCTTATATATAGGCAGTTATATACGTTTATACAGATAAAATAAGATTATTTTACTTCTTTGTTCTAAATTTAAATTTTATCAACTTTTTTCTGTATAAAATTCAATTCTTCTTCTCGTCTACTTAAAAAGTTATTTTAGATTCCAACCGCTTCCATGGTACTTGCTTACATCAGTTCCAACTGCGTTTTCAAGTCATAAGAAGGATCCGGAAGAGTCATAATAGCGTAGTATTACTATACTCACTATTCCGTAAATAAACAAACTATGTTGAAGCCTTAAAACAACATTGAACAAGTTTTCTTTCATTCAATTCTGAAGTAAAGAACGTTTTATGGAATGCATTAGAGTACATCCATAACTACGCTCGTGTACAGTCGGAGCATCTCATTAATATGTTACAATATACGGATCTTCGTACTCTGAAAATCTTTCATTATATCGTGAAACGACCAAGCAGCTGTAGTTGTCCTTTAGAATATGATAATAAAGCCTTTTAAATTAGCATATGACCACTATTTTTTTATAAGAATACCAACATGAATACTAATATGCTTATATAGATGTTGGAAGATGTCGTATAAGCATAAACAGGTTATCTAGTAGTGGGATATGTAGATACAAGCATTGAACATTTAAAAGATTAATAATACTTATTTTTACAATTTTTAACTTCTTTACTTACTACAGCGCTCATTTAGACATGCTGATGTAGAGCAGCTTTCTACTGAATTAAGTACGTATCATCCACTGGGATTCTCCAGACAATTCATGAAAGCAATATGGCAGAGGATAAACTGCTTCAGAAATATTTGCAAAGTAAGTTTTTTTTTCATTTTTTTCATTTTTTACTTTTCTTGCTAACAAACAACAGGTTCCGACAAGGACTTACGTTACATGGCTTTGAGTGATTTGGGCAATAAAATTACTAGTGAAAAGCGTTCAAATATTGCAGAAGTATTTTCCAGTGGAGATTTTATAGCCACTCTTATTCAAGCGTTAAAGGACCCTGCTCCAGAGGTTCAACAAGAAGCAGCACAATGTGTTTCATTGGTGTCTCTTAAAATCTCCGATCAAACATTGGAATATGTAGTTGAGCAACTTCTAGTTGAGTATTCTAAGAGCTACGAGAAGAATTATATAGCTGCGTTGTGGATGATACTGTCTCGATCAGATGCTCAATCCAGCTTAAGCCATTTGTATAATACAAAGATATTCCCCAAGATCATTACTATATTAGAAACCCAGAGCGTTGAGTCAGAGGAATCTTTAAGTCTTATATCACTTGCGAATGACTCAATGGGTCTGTACTCTTCATCGCTGTCAGCTTTGCCAGCCGATGTTGCCTCTGCTTCTTTTCAAGTATTCCAAAAGTACAGCAAGGAATCCCCGCGTGTCTCGATTTCGAAAAAATCTATCAATTGTATTTGCATATTATCCATGTACGGTCCTGAACAATGTTTAAATACTCTTCTCAATATTCTCAAAGTAGAATTGATGGATAAACCATCCAAGCAGGATTTGTATACAGCCGTTCTATTACTTAACCAAATTCTTATTGTTTCAACAAATAGCTCGTCAGAGCATTCGATTAAGTTTTCTGCGTCTGCACCAGGTTATCTCACGGTCATATTGAACCTACTAAAGGATGACTATGATTCATTCGACACTGTACAATTACTACTGAATACTCTTTCCCTTCTGGTCAAATGTCAAAATCCCATTGTTGAAAATACGTGTAAAGATCTGATCAATGTATTGAAGGAAAAAATCCAGTTTGACCCTAATGTGGTTTCAGATGCTGAAGATGATGAGGATATGGAAGATTTTGATGAGGAAGATGATTTTGGAAGTATGTATGAAGATGAAGAAGACAATGCATGGTTGATTAGAAGAGAAGCAATTTCAGTTGCCTCCTCGATAGTCACTTCTCATGTCGAATTGCTAAGTGTCTTATGGGAGGATTTAGGGGAATATATTCTTAAAGCTCTTTGCGATAGGGAAGATAACGTTAAAATTTTTGCAATTGGATTTCTCGAATTATTTTGCGAACAAATTCTTGTCTGGAAATCAGAAAACTCCAAGCCCAAGGGAAAAAGAAAGTTTTCAGAGCTTTCATCCCTTTCAAACAGTACTCCTGACGAGATTTTTGCCCGTTCTCTTCCTTTACTATGTACTTTTTATGAAAAGTTATCAAAAAAATCGCCATTGTCAGTCAAAACTGGCTTAGTTAATTTGGCATCCCAGATTTTCCGAGCTGTCCCAGATAAACTCGATAATCATTTTATCGGTTTAATGTCAATCTTAGACTCCTTTCAAAATTACACAACACTGGAATTAAGATTGAAACTCGATATTGTGAACCTAGTTTCTGCGATCGTTTCCTCTAATGTGAAACCTGTATATTTGGAAAAGCTTCAACCTTTAATTACGTCTCTACTCATTTCATCTTCCCAAGACAAATATCTCGAACTAGTCTTTAAAGCTATTCAAGCTGAAATACTCCAATGCGAATACTACGCGCATGTTACTCCTAACGTTCTTCGAGATGAAATTATGCAAATGGCGAATGCAAACATAGGACTTTTTTCTTCAGGAAACCTAGATCAGCGTATCAGAACATCCTTAATCGAATTCCTAACGAAAGTAGTAGTTTATTATCACAATAACATATCCACGGAATTCTTGTATTCTGTGATCACAGTTTTAGCGAACAAACTTGATGAGGAACCTACTCGTATTCAAGCTGCGAATGCTCTTGCCGAAATATTTTTACGGACGGAGAGCCTCAACCTACTAAGAGAAAATCATACAACAATGTTACAAAAGATCCTTGCCTCTTGCATTCTATACGCAAAGAAGGCCGATTTTTCACTCGTTATAAACAGTTTACGTCTATTGCAGATTCTGCTTCCAACTATACCTTACATTCTATCGGAAGATAAGACGAATGAATTGACTGAATTCTTGATTAGCTTGGAATTGGTAGAACCCGAAGCTGTGATCGCGAAATACGACTGCCTATCGGAGATACCCCTTGGGTTTTTGAAGCATTTTCGTGGAGTAATAATATCAAACTTAATTTCATTATTAGAACATAATGAAATCCCAGATGATCCAGCTTTCGTCGACTCCTTTGTGAAACTAGCCTTAAAGATTGCCGACCAGGAATTAATTTCAGACTTCATTAGGCAACTAAGCACCCTCCAAAAATCATTACAAGAGTCTTTTGTCGTTGGTTTAATTGCAAATAAACTTACAGAATTATCTGGAAATACTAGTATGGCTCAAACAATTTTTGACGATTTGCAAAACCCTAAATTAGAAAAACGTCGAAAGATATTTTCTACATGTTTCGTCGCTTCCTTAGTTTGTTCGGATGATCGTCAAACTGCTGGAAGCTACTTTCAAGCTTTAACGAATCAACTTAATTCACCTAACGAAGAAATAACCCAAGCTGCAGCAGTCGGAGTTGGAAGACTGGCGGCGAAAGATGAGCTATTTGTTCAAACATTATGTACATTATATGATTCGGATGCCTATCCGCGAGAGCTTTTGTTAACATCTTTTACTAATGTCCTAAAAAACCAATTAAGTGCTGAGACTGCTGAAAATATATGGACTACTGTATGTCGGTTTTTAGGAGACGGCGACGTTACCAAGCTACATATATCAGAATGTTTGGGATTGCTTTTGCTACAAGAATCTGTCAATCTATATCCAAAGCTTCTGGAGCTATCAACGAAAGAAACTTCTGAGTTGAAAATGCAAGCTTTAAGCATTCTTCGGTTTAGTCTTTCTTATCATCATCGGAAATGGTGTAATGCACAGAAAACAACATTTTTCTCTGTTTATAAACTAATAAATGATTCGGATGTTCATGTTCGTGAAGAAGCCTTACAGTTATTACTGACTGCAATCAGAAATAAGCCTAAGTTTATTGAAGAAATATTTACTGATCTCATATCAGCTCTATACTCTAAATCATCCGTGGACCCTGATAGCATAAGGACTGTGCAGATGGGACCTTTTCAGCATAAGGTTGACGATTGTCTGCTTCATAGACAACTCGTTTTTGAGATTGTGTACTCTTTACTCGAGTTTCCAGAGTCGAGAAACAATATAGACTTATTTATGCAGATTACTACGATGGGACTTAAGGATGAACAGTACATTAATTTGCTCTCCATCTCCATTTTAGAGAAATTGATTGAAATAGGTCCATCAGACGTATTTCAACGACTGGATTACGTACTCGAACCATTGAAGGATATTTTGAAGAAACAATCAAACGAAAAGTCGCTAAAAACGGATTCAGACAACATTCACGATTTAGTTCGTGCTGCGCTAAGAGTTGTAATCTCCTTGAAAGCGAAATACAATAATCCTGAAGTTTTGGCTTTAGACAACGAGACTAGGAAAGGTCCCTATGCTCTAGAGTATTTGAACGTGGAAAATGAATTAAAAAGCTTAAAGATTGTAGAAGCAAACTAGCGAAAACCGAACAATACGAACTGTGACTACAATCATATCGATGGTTACTTTCTGAGGAATTAGAAGAATAGCTATGCAACGACTTGAAATAAATTTATTTATAGCTGACTTATAAGCATTGATAGAAATTCTACTGTAATTATATATATATATATATATATATATATATATATATATTTATATATATCGTTACACCTACTTAGTGAAATTGCGAGACTTAATACTGCTCCTTATTTAGGTACACTTTTGGAGTAAGTCGAACTTGAATCTATTTACTTTTTGCAAGACCTAGACACAGGGCTTTGTGCTTTTGGAATATGGCTGAAGCAAAGAAAAATAATGTTACGATAAAAGTTGGGATGATCGGAGACAGTTCAATTGGCAAAACCTCGTTAATGGTTACATATGTTCAAGGATCGTTTGACGAAGAAAGTACTCAGACTTTAGGTAAATCAATCAAACATTTAAGAATCAGATACTAATGATTAAAATACAGGGGTCAATTTTATGGAGAAAACGATCAGTATTCGAAACACAGATATTACCTTCTCAATTTGGGATTTGGGTGGTCAACGAGAGTTTGTGAATATGCTTCCTATGGTTTGCAATGATGCTGTCGCTATTTTGTTTATGTTTGATTTGTCTAGAAAGTCTACTCTGAATTCGATAAAAGAATGGTACCGTCAAGCCCGTGGCTTCAATAAGGTATGTTACAACACGCGTTTAGTAACAATATATGAATATACTTTGAATGGAATTGGTTTCATTGAATGTATGCTAACTTTTGAAGACTGCTGTACCTATCCTTATAGGCACAAAATACGATCATTTTATGAAGTTTCCTCGGGAAGATCAAGAGGAAATAACAAAGCAGGTATGTAATTGCTACTACTTGGAGCTTGTAAATAACAAAATTAACCATTAGGCTCGTCGATATGCCAAAGCTATGAAAGCAAGTTTAATCTTTTGTTCGACATCTCATTCTATTAACGTTCAAAAAGTATGTTCATTAAATATGTTGTTCTCTTCTAACAGCTAGATATTTAAAATTGTCCTTGCTAAAGTTTTTGATTTGAAATGTACGATTCCCGAAATTAAGAATATCGGGGATCCAATTTTGGAATACGTCGACCATTAGCTTAATTCTTTGGTCTTTTTTTACGTCTAATTTCATCACCATATATCCCTCAGTTATTTATACTCATTCGTTTTTTGTCTTCATAATCTTTATATCATCCTACTTCTCAGTCATGGCAACAAAAATAAAAAAATATTCGACCCGATCAAAAATCTCATTCGTGTAAATATTAATATAAGTTAACAGAAGCGTATCAGACAGTTCGTATTATTTTATCTTTGAGCCACAATAATTTTCCCATTAAACAAAAAAAATTTTATTCCATAATACACCCTATATATTAAACACCACAAATTTTTTTTTTCTAGATTGCTAGTTAGATTTCTAAGCGCTCAATAGTATATCTTCCTATAGTCATATCAAGCTCTTTACCGCGAGCTCTTTGACTCTTGTTCTTCCTCTGTTCAGCCATTCCATCCTTCTTCAAAAGAGTTGCTAAATCAGCTCTATCGTCAACAACAGCCTTTGGTTGAGGATTAGGATGAACAAAAGTGTTTTCAGCTGTAGCCTTCTTCTTATGTTTTATAAGTTCCGAAACAGCAGGGAGAACAAGAGACATCGCAGTAAGTGAAGTAATTTTTGACTGCAAGCCTGAATATAATTCCTGAGCGGTATTTTGATTTTCATTACTAGCAGCAATGCCCCCAACACCCATAGCATCCAACACTGTAGAAGCAGTATAAATAAGGATCTCCATATCGAGATTCAAAGGAACCGATGTCTTCTTACCGGTAATAGAAGCACAAATTAGCTTAAATAACAGATCGAAATCTTCTTGAGCTAAAGTGAGTAGCAACGCTTCTTGAGCTTCCGCGCTATCGAATTGAGAAAGTCTCAGAAGTCCAATTTTTAGAAGCTTTGTCTTCATACTAGACAAAGCCTTTTTAATGGCACAACCAACCTCAAAAGCAGGAAGATCGAGTGTTCGTTCCAGTAACAAAAGAGCCGATTCTTTTTGAAATTTATAAATGCAATTAAAGATAGATCTTGAGGGGTGAAGTCTCAAGATCGAAGAAGTAAACAAACGATTTCTTAAAAGGTAATTTAAAGTAGCCTTAGCTGGACACAAGAGATCCAAATCTTGCTCTTGGTTAGGTGAAAAGAGAATACTTTCTATAGCATGAACAAACGGAATAGGAAGGACGCTGTTTGTTTTTAAAAGTTTCCGGTTAGTAGAGTTTTGAGTCTGAAATCCTTCAACAAACTTCAAAAACTTGGCATCAAAAGATTCACCATCTTTCGTTTGCACAAACGTTTGAAGCTGTTGCAACTCATTCCGCAGGGAGGTATCTTGCAGTTGCACATTCTTTAACAACTGCTCGCAAAGAGTGACGCTGTTCTTTGACTTTGTAAGAGCGCCATCAGCTATGGTTTCAGGCTTTGTTAAAATTCTACCAATTTTCGCTTTTCTCTTTCCAATTGCATCCGCAAGAGACATAACTGACGGCATTGTAAATGGAAGTGATGCAATAGTCTTCTTCTGCAATAAAATGATATTTCCAGAAATAGTTGTATTTGTCTTCGAGCCACTTCTCCTAGAGGGGTTTCCGTTTATGGTCACTGTTATGAATGCGATATCATTTTCCGTATCAAAAACGTCCTGAATAGTACCATATGTTAAATCCCACAAGGAAACCTGATTTTTCGTTTGCACAAGACAAAACTTATCAAATATTAAATCCACATTAGATAAAGCCGGCATATCTTCTAGCTGGAAAGATTTTACACGTTGATATGAACCATTGGATTCATTAGAGGCATAAATGAAAACATTTTTGGGAAAAAAGGCAAATATGTTTTCACAGTTTTTTGTCAGCAAGACGTGGGTAGGAGGACTAGAAGAACCTAATTCAATCGGCTTTGTGTAGAGAAATCGTTTCTCTGATGTGGAAAAAACACTTACATAGAATTGCTTTATCTTTTCGATATTAAGTGCGTAAAGAAGATAGATATTTGTCGTGGTAGTTGAAGAATTGACGGAAGGCAAAAGGTCTTCGCCAATTTGACTTTGAGTCTTTCCGTCCATGTTTGAAGAGTTATTCTCTTCATTTTCTTCTGTTTTCGGTACAACCTGTTTGGATACGCAACCAGTTTGAAACAAAGTAGCCGACCCTTGAATGGAGGCAGCAGACTGAATCATATCATCCTCTGGATCAAGAAACGAAACTTCTCCATTTGTAAAGACAAGTACTAGCTGCCCAGAAGATGCAATGAATTGGATAGAAAATATGGGCTTGTTAGACAAATCCCGAAAACGTACCTCACCATGCTCTTGAAGTTCATTATGCTTCCAGCTTAATAACTTCCATTCACCCCTACTTTTTGCGGATGATGTACAAGCCCAAATGTAATGCGAATTTCCCTCATGGAGGTACATGGGCTTACAAGAGAAAATAGTTTTTTCTGGTAGTGGACAAGATGCAAACAGACGTTCTTCCCTGAGATTATAGATTTCTATTCCATGTTTTTCAATTTGTACTGCTACAAATGATGATGATTCCTGTCCGTTTTCTAAAGCCACAGTACCGCTAGAACGATATCCATTCTTTTTTTCTACGGTAGAGGAAACAGAAACCTCACCCAATAAGGACAATTCACCAAAAGAAGCCATTTCGTCCCTTATTTACAAAACACTCGTGCTAGATTAACAGACCAAACGCCTAATGGCAGTGTTTTGGGACTTTTTTGATTTTGCGAGGATTTGGTGGTGGTAAAAGTCAAGGACCAAAGTGTACGCAAAACACGAATTCCCTTGCTGCAACTGAAGAACTAATTTTCTCGAGAAAAATATCCACTCTTTTATTTGAAACTTCAGTATTTTCAAAGAATCAATAAAAAAAGATAGCAGTTAATTTCCTTTGAAGCCTATAGTCCATACTTTGGAAATATTTGGTTCGTTGTATTTCGTTACAATTTTTTATAATCTATACCGAACGGTACCACACGACGCTATTTAACCTGTATTGAATAAATAAACAAAGAGTAGTTAAATTGGGTCGAGCAGAAACAACTAAATTTGAAAAATTATGCAGTAAAAGGTTGTTTTCTGTTATGAAACTTTTTTTACTCTATATTATACATAAATAACGCTCAAAATCGAATACAACCAGAATTTTGTTTGTTCAACTGCAATATGAGAGTTCAGAAGCAGAAGTCAAAGAAAACAACCTTTCTCGATGGAAAGTGGAAACTTTTCAACTTATTTTTATATAACTTATAGAAAATGCATTGACTATGTTTTTATTTTAAAAGAATCAAAAGACGTAATGTTTGTTTATTTATAGTGGATCACTAGTATATTAAAAAAACAACAAGGATGGTTGTAGTTGGATTTTCTAACAGAAAACATGGCATAATGGGGTTTTTAAAACTCATCCAAATATGAAAAATTTAAAAATTTTATTTTTATTGTTGTTACTTGCCCAATTTACTCATCTCGCTTTCTTTCTTTGTTTGGACGTTTATGACAAGGGAGATCTGGGAAAGAACGATTTTTGCTAGCATCATTATACCTCTGCATAAACCGTTTAAAACTGATGGCAGAAATATACTATTGGGATTGGAGTAATGAAGCAGTATGTTCTTGGATTGAGCAGTTGGGTTTTCCGTACAAATCTATTTTCCAAGGTATGCTACAATGGTCAAGAAGCAAGAGGAAGCATGGGAATTGATTTTGATTGCATTTTCCTGCGTTGGTTTTTTTTCGTCAAAAAGAAAAAGAAAATAGGATTTTGTACATTATAGAGCGAGCATACCTGCTTTCTTCTTATTTACTTCTAATGAAAATGTACACGGAAGGTCAAGATACTAATTAGATTACAATAGAAAACTGCATTTTGGGGAAAACTCTTGTCTTAATTAATTCAAATGATCTTCGCGATATGGGAGTTTTGAGTATAGGTCATCGATTGGATATATTATCGGCTATACACGATTTGAAAGAAAGCCATAATGAACAAGCAAAAAAAGAAAATATGCGTTCTACGCAAGAAACAGATAATTGTGAGGAGACGAATACTCAAGAACGAGTGAAGTTATCGCTGTTGGCTTTAGAAAAGCGAATCGACTACCTAGAAGCAGAAAACGCCAAGCTCGTGAAAACAATCAATTCATTGAATTCCGAGTTTCTTCCTCTTTTGAGAAAGCTTGCCTTGAATTTTAAAGAAACGAAATTTATCAATTCAGATACATGTTCCGAGAACAGCTCAATCTTTCAACCTTCACAATCTTCGCCAACTGTGGCAGGAAGTTTTGATTTGGAGGTTAATGATCAAGCTCCTTTGAATACTACCGAAAGCAAGAAGGTTCCTAAAATGACTGTAAATTCTTCCTACCATGAAGTGTTAACGTCTACCTTACAAAAGTACCGCATTGATCCCAGCACATGGCTAAGCTATGAACTATTACTGAGTTATGACGGAAAAGAGCATCCAATTTCTACCGATATGAAACCTCTCCAGTACTTTAGAAGTCTGCAGAAGCATGGCAAATCGCCTTCCTTCATACTTTCCCGAAAAGCATAATCATTGAACTTTTTGTGTAATTGTTGCCCTTTTTGTTTTTTCCGTTTTTGTGTATTTTCTCTCTAGGAAAGAGAGTATAGAAGATGACTTCTAATTTATAAACAAGCATAAAGAAAAAAAGTAGAAACCTCTTTTTATTTTTTTTTAGAATTACGACGACTTTACTATTCATAACTTCTCTAAACTTCACTTTAATGCAGATTTAATTAACAGAGAAAAATAAACATTACTATTTACATAAAGAAGAGTCAAGGGAGGAAACAGGCTACTCAAACGAAAATTATATGGCAATTAGAGCGTATGAAAAATGAGAACGTAAAGAGAAACATGAATGAATGATGCATAACGGAAACACAAAGGAATGAATCTAAAGGATGTTGGACTCGGTAGCTTCTTTGGGGTGTTCGATTTAGTAAATGGTGCAGGTGTTCCAATTTTCATATACTGAAGAAGAAGACGAAGAAGAAGAATAGGACGCGGTAGAAGGACGGCCAAGGACGGCGAAATGACGAAGAAAAAACTGCACTCTTGGATGAAACCAAAGGAAGGAAACATTGGAGTTGAAGGAATTCATGTTAAAAGATGACATTCTGATTCTTTCGTCTTTTCTTTTTTGTTTTGTTCTCTTTACGCATTTAGAATTGGTCTTGTGAGACAGAGAATCCGGCGATACTGAAAATGTTGGACAAGTTGATGAACCATCACTCAACTGATCAGGACTTCGAATGCTTAATTTTGTATTGGTGCTAGAGCTATCAAAGCTAAACCGATCACTTAAACTGCTTGAGGAAATACTCAGATCGCATGAAGGTACCGAAGTGGATGAAGGCACTGTTGTTTGCAACGTATGTCCCAGGATTTTTTGTATAGATGATTCAAATTCATTAAAGCTCAACGTACTGATATCTAAAGATTCATCTTGTGTCGAAAGAGACGAAGCGCTTGACCAGGAAAACCGGCTGGGCAATTCAGATAAAGATGCTGCAGGCATGGCAGAAAAAAATTGGGCTATTCAACGAAATTCATTTTGCTTAAATAAATTACTTTTATATACCAACAAAGAAACTCATTTGGGTGATTTATGCTTTCCCCTGTTGTTTAGCATGGCATTCCTTTTTCGGTCTCCTATGCATACATTACCAGCCCTGCATCCACCCAGGTCTCTCCGACTTCCCATATACCCCCACACGAGACCCTGAAAGAACTATTTAGGGACTATGTGGGATTCTGGTTGAGCTATCCGTAGGAGGTCGTCTTAAGTGAGGGAGTAGTATGCGATGCTATTGTTACTTCGTGGTTGATACCTGTTCTACGAGGATAGAATACCAAACTGCCTCAGAAAACGAACTTTTTTGATAAACGACGGTCTTTTAGGTTGCAGAGAAGTACTATTTAAAGGAAACTTAGAATTCTTTGGAATGGAAGATTACTTGAAATGTTTCTGCTTTATCTCGGGGGTCGACGATGAACGTAAGTAATGATGATTGACGTTTGAACAAAACATGGAGTCGGGATTCACAAGAAAACTTTGCATGAAACTTTTTTAAGCGACATCTTGTTTGTTTTTGCAAGATTCCTTTGTTCTTAGAAAGTCTCAATTGGTATGGGGACGAATTTATCTGACTCATGTATAGACGACAAGGTACTAGTGGTTGTAACTGCATTCTTGAAACCGCTGCTGGATTCTGGAGTTACTGATATAATACAAAGAATATACGATAGAGTACGTGAACTCGTGTCTGCCGACGAAAATTACACAGCAGTATTTTTTTCTCATGAAAGCAACATCCTTCCTTACTTGAATTTTTGTACAAAGGCATACATGAATATGGACTATTATTTACACAAGCGCGTTAAAGCTGTTCATGTAGTGCACTCGGATTGGGTGTCTCGCATGGCTATCCGTACGCTGCTTAGTTTTGTGAGTCCAAAGTTTTACCAAAAATTCCATTATAGTTCCTCACTCTCTCATCTTGCAAAGCATGTTCCGCTTCAACAATTAAAACTCCCAGTCATGATTTATGAATTTGATCGCACGATTGAGCCTCGGATTTTTTCGAATGCTAGCATCCAGCAAAAATCGTCGATGAACAGTTATTCTTTTCTTACCCCCATACAAAAGTGGTCTCGGCCTCCTAATGCGTTGATTGATGCATGCAGAGTGATTCGAAACTCTTTAGATGTGCAAGGTTTGTTTCGCCGATCATCTTCTAAAAAGCACTTGGATATTCTCATTGAATTATACGAAAATCAATGCATCGTCGATCTTGAAAGCTTTGGTGTGTTTTCCGCCTGTGCATTAATCAAGTATATCTTTCGCTCAACGAGCATGCCTTTGTTTACCAATACGTTCGTTGAAGACCTGTCGAAAGCTCAAGACGAGTATCTCCATGAAACGAATGATTCCCTCGTGTTTCTACGGGCATTTGTAGAAAGAAATATGGACGAAACCTCTCAAAAGGCCGCAAGATACATTTTCTCTCTTTTATTCGAAATAGACAAGCATCAAGAAGAAAACCTCATGAATTCCCAAAACTTGATCATTTGTGTAGGCCCATCTTTTCTCCAGTCCAACGATATAACTTCGTTGTTGGTCATGAAAGAAAAAGAGTCCGGACCTTACTTTAAATTTTTACAACTTTCAATTTTGCATTGGAGGGAAATATTTACAATTTCGGAGAATTGGGATGTGTATTTGTAATGCAGAAATGCTGGGGTCTTTTTCTTTCTACATACAAGAAAAGCATAAAGCATGTCCTTTTATTTATTCATTTTATTCATAGAGTGATTAAATTAATGATGTGTTCAATGTTAATGGTAAGCTATGTTATTTCTCTCCTGATTGAAAACGAAATGGGGTTTCAATTGTAATGGTACATATAATAAAGAAAGCAAACACGAATAATAATTATTATTATTTTAATTAGAATCAAAGGAATTATAAGAACGATAAACAAAACGTGAATTTTATAAGTGATTTTCGCTGCAAGTAATGCCAAGGTAAAGCATAGAAAGTCATAAACTTAACAAGGATAGGATCAACAAAAACTAACGTAGAAAGAGGTGATGGATGAAAAAAGGACAGGCAAAAATCGTTCAAAGAGGAAAGAGAAGGTTTTCAAGGCAAAAATGAATTTCCATCTAAAGGAGAGTCTTTCTTAAAACAAAGGGGAAATCCATTCGGAGAAAAAAGGGAAAGAGGAAAGGAGATTTTTTACTGTGAAGGTTTTTCAGAAGAGTCAGAATCGTTGGATGATGAAGAAGAAGGAGACGATGACGATGACTGGCCAGCACGAAGAGGAAGGTTTAATTGACGAAGACGTTCTTCTTCCTTTGCAACCAAAACTTGCCATTGATATTCACCGGGGTAGTGTTCTTTTGAGCTTGTCTCGACAGGGATCAGCTTGGAATGGTCGGTGGGGTCGGTAACGAGTTTTTCATGGGTGGGAGGTTCCAAACGATTGGCAACCGCGGTGAGGTAAACGCTTCCCAAAAGAACAAGCACAGTAACACCTTGGGCATACATTCTTGCCTGGACGAGTTTCTGAGGAAGGGTATCGTAACGATTGCGAGATGCAGCATACATACTTAAGCCAAGAGTGCTTGCCCAAGTACCCAAAATGATGGGCCACTTGTGTTCATTGTAATAGTACAAAGCCCTATACTTCCAAGGGAGATGTTTAGCGGAGTCATCGACTTCCTTGATTTTGCTGAAACGATTCGTATCGAATCTCAAAGTCGCTTTATCGGCATAAATAACACTGACAGCAGAACCGGCACCAATGACGAGCCAAGCTTTACGAGGGAACGAGAGGCGGCGGAAACCAGGAGAATATCTACTTCCAACAATACATCCAAGGGTACCAAGCGCAGATCCAACGAGTCCACCACGGAAGAGAGCAGAGTAGATGCTTTGATTGAAAGCTTGTGTTTCTTGTTGATCAGCTAGAGTCATATTTGCAACCAGACAGATATTTTTAAAACAAGACGAAATCCGATGAAATAAAATGAATGCAAGTCAAATCAAATCAAATTCAAACTTTCACAATTGTAAAGACAACTGGGAATACAAAGCCCAGTCAAACGTGGAAAATATTGTGAATAGGAAAGAGTAGCTTCTAAATCCCATTCCAATGTCTTTTTATAAATCCGTTGGGATCCTATCCGCGTAATAAAAACCGAATTTCCTCTATCGCCAAATCATTATGCTCACCGAACATTAGACCAACCACTAACTGGCATCTCATCCAAGAATCAAATCTGTTTGGTGAGATCTAAACTTTTTCCAAACCAAGGTTTAAAGAAGCGCACACTTTTATTCGTTATTTTTTTACTGTATATAAACGATGCTTTTATAAAATTTTACCATATTCTGTCGTAATGCGTTATGTGACAAAGAGCGAAAAAAAGTGAGAAGGAGTGAGAGGGCCTGTGTCAGTCAGTGTATGTCATGAATGACTATATGACTGAGTATTAAACAAAGACAAAACGATCAGATCAATAAACAAATGCGCTAAAGGTGTTGTCATTTTCTTTTGGACAGTTACATTTCCTTGTCAAGTCCAATTTACCATGCATTACTCTGAAGGCCCTTTGTAATCCTTTGTAAAAATTTTTTTTTTTTTTTTTTTTTTTTTTTTTTTTTTTTTTTGTGGCTACTTCGTTAAAGAACAATAAAATACTTCATAGTTTTCGCTTGTTTTGATTACAAATATAGTGCTTTTTTTGCTTGTACAATTCAAAGAAGGTTGAAAAATCATTTTCTTATTAATAAACGAAACATTCTTCTCTTCAATACTTGTTTTTCATAGTCGTCTTGTATATATTCTTTGTGTTCAACCACCATGGTTAACACTTTTATCTTGTAAAGATTTGTTCCCTGTTGTTACTTCGTCTTTTTTGGTATGTCAACGTAAGATTTGTGTCCTTCATCAACAACCAACATACCAAGTAAGAAACAAGCTATTTATAGAAATTGATCATTTGCGTCAAGCTCTTCTCTTTTCGTGTTTGGAATTGCTTTGAATTCTCTTCGGAATTCCCTGATCGATTCAAGAAAAGGATCATTCTGTTTCATGACACTTGAGAGAATCGCAAGCAATTTCAACCATCTCATTTTTTGTTTTGTTTTTGCTTCATTTTGAATAGATTTTTGTCCATCTCTTGGAATTCGTTTTCGAAAACTCGAGTCAGTAGTAAGTACCGGAGAAATTTTTCTTTCTTCTTGTTCTTGTTCTTCTTTGTTCACTTGATCTTGATTTGATCCTGTCCTCGTTCTTCTTTTCTTTTTTCTTTTTGAGTGAATCGTAGCGATCCACTCGGTGAGTGTTGCTTTGTCAGATTTCTGGCAATTTGTTACATATCCGTGAATAGTTTTCTCTTTAATCTTTTCTTTTTTTTTTTCTTGTAGACTATGTCAGCGTCGAACAGCCAACGGGGTTCAAGCTTTTTTAAGGATGATGATCAACTTGTTCAATCTCCAGTAAGTTCTCCTTCCTTACAAGAATCCCCACCATCTTCGCCGACTCTTAGTCAAAGATTGCATAATTCAAAGGATGTGCAAAGTCCAAGACTACCCTCTCGTTTCTTACAAAATGATACTGGCTCCACACAGAATGCCTCTTCTCAACATGCGGATTCCTCCATAAAATCGCAAAATGCTACCCCTCCTCATCATTCAACTTCCACAACCCCCGACACGTCTTCCTTACATTCTTCCGATTCTTCTCCTGTTCCATTTCACTTAAATTCTCCTCACATGCCAAAACGAATGGTCTCGGGTGGGTACTTTGCATTACCAAAGCAAGTCTCTTCTTTACGCACAGAGTACCGGCCTGCTTCTGTCCATCACATGCCCAGCTTTCATCCACCTAGTGATAGTGCTCCACCGTCTCCCCTTTTACTTGCCCAAAGTATGAAACGAAAAGGTTCCACAATGAGTATACCTGGACAAACCTCCAGTGTGTATTCGAATCCAAATTCCGAAGGTGAGGGCACTGCACTTGAGGAAAAGCTAGTAATTATTATGGTCGGTCTTCCGGCTCGTGGCAAATCGTACATCGTTAACAAATTGGTTCGATACTATAATTGGCTTCAGTATAACTGCAAAGCCTTCAACGTTGGAAACTTTAGACGGCAGCAAGCTTCTCATCAACGTGACGATGCCTCTTTTTTTGATCCTTCCAATCCCGAAACTTCAAAACTTCGAGAAGACATGGCGATGAACACACTTACTGCCTTGCTTGATTGGTTTGAAAACGAGAATGGTGTCGTCGGCATCTTCGACGCTACCAATAGTACCTCCAGCCGGAGAAAAGCCGTTGTCGAACACTTAAAGAATGTTCCATACGTAACTACCCTTTTCATTGAGTCGATTTGCAATGATGAGCAGTTAATTGCCGCCAACATGAGAATGAAGCTTTTTGGTCCCGATTATAGAAATATGGATCCTGAGAAGTCACTTAGAGACTTTCAGGAGCGTGTTCGGTTGTACGAACAAAAGTATGAGCCGCTCGGAAAATTCGAGGAGGATTTGAATTTACGCTACATTAAGGTCATTAATGTAGGCAAAAAGGTAGTTGCCTTTAATATTCGGGGATTTCTCGCTGGTCAAGCAGTTTTCTTCTTGCTTAATTTCAATCTTTCACCTAGACAGATTTGGGTTACTCGTCATGGAGAGTCCGTGGATAACACTCTGGGACGTATAGGAGGTAATGCTTCATTAACCAGTCTTGGAAAGCAGTACGGAGAAGATCTTGCAATGTTCATTGAAGCAAAGCGTGCTGAATTTCAAGATCGATTGTTTTATGATATGACAAGGGAATCAAATCTTATGCATGGCGGTAATTTTCATGAAAGAAACGAATATCAACCCGATTTTAATAACCAATCTCCAATTGAACCAACAACACCTATTGAGTTGGATCCAGAAGATGAAGAAAAGATTATTAAACCTTTCAGTGTATGGACGTCAATGATGAAGAGAAGCATGGAAACGGCTGCATACTTTGACGATGAACAATATGATATCAAGGCTATGCGAATGCTGAACGAAATTTGTTCGGGTGTTTGCGATCAGCTTACATATGAGCAGATAGAAAATACGTACCCTGAGGAGTATGAAGCTCGAGCATTGGATAAGCTTAATTACAGATATCCCGGATCTGGTGGTGAAAGTTACCTCGACGTTATATATCGACTTCAAAGTGTTATTGTCGAGATAGAACGTATGAAACATCATGTTCTAGTTATCGGACATAGAGTCATTACAAGAATCATAATCGCGTATTTCCTGGGATGCCGTCGAGAAGATATTGCACATCTGAATGTGCCTCTTCACACTGTTTATTGTATTGAGCCACAACCATACGGCACAAACTTTTATCAATATAATTATGACCCGCAGACACGCACTTTCACCCGTGTACCCTTCCATGTCTAATTGAGAAAAAAAAGCCTGAACCGGCATTGGTGTCTAATGATGTTTATGAAGAAATAAACAAGAAAATAATAAATACTAAAAAATCTGGTTTAAAATGCAAGTTTGTTGGTTACTATATTTTTATTCATATTTGCGTTTTGTTATTTTATTACTGTCGTGTAAATTGACTTTAGTTAACAATATTAATAAATGATCTGAATGCCTTTTACCTGCAAGTATCATCACAATAACTTACCAAGAAGAGATATCCTTCCAAGCCTGGACTTGTGTATATATGTTGCTTCTTATCTACAATAACACGACAGCTACTACCATTTTGAAATACTGTTACTGTAACAAAAATTTACATAAAGAAACCCTTTTGGTACATTGATTTTGAGACTATCGAGCTTATACCTTGAAAGCACGAGACTTTCTACGACCACGAGCTCTCTCAAACTTACGACCTTCAGAGCGGACGTGAGGAGCCTTGTGCTTGTGAGGACCGAAACCAAAGTGACGGAAGGCCTCACGAGCATGCTTTCTACCACGAAGGAGAACAGTGTTGCTACCAGTGGGAGCACGGAGAGCAAGTTGATCGAGAGTCATGACTTCACCACCAGCCTTCAAGATACGAGCACGGGCAGACTTGGTAAAGCGAAGAGCAGCGACAGAGAGCTTGGGAACAGTCAACATACGCTCATCGTCGGTAACGGTACCAACGGTAACGACGGTCTTGCCCTCGAGGTCAGAAGCCTTGCGGCTAGTCAAAGCAGCAATCTTGGAAATAGAGATAGGAGGGCGGTTGGTCTTGGATTGAAAGAGACGCTTCAAGATAGTCTTGTTGAAACGTGAGTCAGTACGACGGGCCAAGAAGCGGTATAATTTAACCAAAAGCTTCAAGTACACGTTCTCAGAGGCAGGCTTGCTGCGTTGAGACTTTCTCACGTGGTGTCTCTCAATGTCGATACCCTAAAGACGGAATTAGTCACTTATTCTTAATTAATGCATTTCAAACGCAATATCTTTATTACTTACCATCTTGGCTCGGTGTAGGTAGCATTTCTCACTCAAAAGTTGTGTATTGAATTGTGACTGTTCTGTGTTGTAGGGTAGGGTTGGTGTGTGAGGTTCGACGCCTTTAGTATATGAGACCGAGAAATTGTACTTGGGATATTTGTAATGGAAAAAGATCATAAATTACATACGGCTAATGAATCCCCAAAGTTTTTAAAAAGCGTGCTCGTGTCTGTGCTGTCTGGCGGTACAGGTGCGTCTCTTAGTAGAACTGTAACCAGTCCTTTGGAACGGATGAAAATTATCTTTCAAGTTCAAAGTAATAATGAGTATAATAGCATATTTTCTACAGTTTCCAAAATATGGAAACGGGAAGGCATTCTTGGATTTTTTCGCGGAAATGGAACGAATTGCTTACGGGCATTTCCTTACGGCGCAGTTCAATTTGCTACTTACAGTGGATTAAAACAACTCACATTGCAAACCTCCAGTAGAAATGATTTGAACAATTATGAGAGACTAGTTTTTGGTGCCATTTCAGGAGTTAGCAGTGTCGTTAGCACCTATCCGTTGGATATTGCTAGAACAAGGCTTTCAATACAGACAGCAGGTTTAGTCAAAGTTAGCATGAATGATGGTTGTAATACACATTCAGCGAATCTCATGTCTACTTTGAGAACCATTTATCGTAATGAAGGAGGAATTGCTGCATTATATAGTGGTCTTCCCGCAACTTTACTCAATGTAGTGCCTTATGTATCTATCGTATTTTTCACATATGAATGGTGCAAAGAGTATTTTTTTTCCGGACGGGATCTTAATGTCTTAGAAAAACTCTCTCTCGGCGGGTTTAGTGGATTTGTTGCTCAGACATTTGCTTTTCCGGCTGACGTTCTTCGACGAAGATTCCAAGTAAACCGAATACCTGGCATTGGATACCATTATACAAGTATACCAGACGCAATTGTGAAAATTTACAGCAAGGAAGGCTTGTTTGGTTTCTTCCGGGGATACTTCAGTAATTTGTTGAAAATTATCCCCGTGATGAGTATTACTTGGTATACCTTTGAAACGGTGAATAAGGTATTTTCAAACCTGTAAGAAAAGATATGCTGTAACTATTAACGATCTAATTCTCTTGCTACACGCAACAACTCTTCGCTTTAATGATTATAATCGTAAAACATTTTTTTTTAAGAATAAGTCTTGATTAATGAATGTACGTTAAGAATAAAACATGAGATTAATCTTTTTCATCTCCTTCCTTACTTTAACCAACAATGAGCGTCTAGAGTAAAAGTTTGAAAGGATACATCTGCATCTTTCTTTGGAAAACATCAACAAGGAAGCTATAGCCAAGCCAAAGTACGACAAGCCAGAAAAAGATAAAAAGTGTTTGGCGTTTAGCACCCTGAACTTTTGGAGCAATTACAGCAAGGAAGATTGTACTCATAGTTAAAGCAGTATCTGTATAAAGTTAGTATGGGTTTCTACGAAAAAGCTTGTTTATACATACAGATTAACGAAACAACCTGCACTTCTGCACCAAATTGATATTGTTGTGAGCCGGCTAACCAAAGATTTTCACCATGTTCGCCTCGTTGACTATAAGGACTGAATCGGATACGAGTGAACATGAATCCGCTGCTCAATGTAATGACAGTGATAATGCTAAGAGCAGCCCACACTTTTCTACTGGTGAAAACATTCAAAAGCATTTTTCTGGTAAAGAAAAGAGCGGCACCGCATAAGACGGTCGATACCAGAGAAGCATACTTTTTGGCTGGATCTTGACGGTAAACAATAGGAGCACCCTTGCCAGTTTCTTTCAAAACCAAGGCAGCCAATTTGTCGGCATCAACACTAAAAAGGAGTTAATGAAAACACTCTTACAATATATGGACTCGTATTGCTTACCCATTGCTCAAGTCTGCCGCAATAGGAACGACAGTCTTGGGCTTAAATACCCAGAAGTTGGGAACGGTTTCGATACCGAACTAATTATGTTAATAACCCGTAAATCATAGTGACGGTAAACTCTTACCTGTTCAAACAAATTCTTATTTTTACCAAAGTCCGCATACACGAATCGGATACCGCTGTCCAGACCATATTTTTGCTTGTAAGAGTAAGCTAATGCTTTAAATTGGGGCTCAATAAGGCTAGATTATCAGTAAAACGAACGCATGAGAACAAAATCCAAAGACTTACCGGCAAATTTCACAGTTCATGGTCGTAGCATCGACTGAAAATAATGCTACTGTAGTGTGATCTTGTTTACCAGTGACAATTCGCTGGAAAAGTCTACCAGCGATAGCGATTACTCCATTGTCATCAGCGCGAGAGTTCAAATCTGGTTTTGCAAGACATGCAACCACAAAAAGTGTTAAATAAGTAAGAATTTTGCCAAACTTCATATTGGCTTTGCGTACGTGCGCGTAGTCTAGCAATAAGCACTTAGTTGCGTATTCGGTGAACTTGCCTGGAACGTCACCGAACGGTTACCAATACGGAAAACGGTTTAATCATATATACTGAAATTTAACATGTTTACGTTAATAAACAAATGAGCCAAAGAATGAATTTTTCGTAACAAAAACAGTAGACACATGAAAGAAGAAATTATAATTTACTTGTAAATTCGCTTGACTTTTGAAAAAATGATGGAAATAAAATTTTGCCAAGAAAAGGAAATATTTTGATCATCTAAAGTCTAATGTCAGTAGTTTTGGTTTTGACCATGAATTGCATAATTGGGCGTATCTTTTACTTATATTTTGAAGATATATACTATCGAAATTGATCATTAAAAAAGTGTTGAGAGGATACGTTTCCTGTCTGACGGGCACACTTTGTACTAAAGTAAATTTACCAGAGCGAGTTACTCATTTGGAAGATTGTGATTGAGTCATAATAAACGCCTGAAAAGCAAGTGAAATGCTTTAGAACTAAAAATGAATCTCGTTCAGAGAACAGTCTTTGTTAGTAGTTGGAAAAATCGCTTGATTAGAGGCATAGACTGGCAATTTTCCATCACTAGTCTGAACCAAAAGTTCTTCTACTCTACGAAGCAAAAAAAAAGGAAAACAGAGTCTCTATCTTCTTATAGAGCTTCCTTGGAGAATGATTATTATACTTTCTTAAAGCATGTAGGTTTTTGGAAGTTAGTGAGTAAAAATATCTGGTTACCTATGGATATTGTTTTTAAATGTTTACTATTTCTTAATAAGGAGAAAGGAAAACCATATAGCTACTTAATATGAAGTTGACTGACAGTATCACTAACCAAATTATTTTAGATACATGAAAAGGAAAATATATTTGCACCTGGTCAACTGGTAATCAATTTGGTAAGGAAATCTTTTTTTTTTTTTATTATTATTATTTTAGTCCATTAACATGGCAAGGGTTCTTCTCCAGGAATATGGAACAACGTTGCGTCTGAATATATAGGCTCTGAAGGAAGAGTCGTTTCCGTCGATATAATTCCTTCAAGATCTCCAGCTAACTGTAGCATGATACAGGGAAATTTTCTGAGTATGGCTATCCAAGACGAGATTGTGAAAGCGGGACTACGTGCCAGAAGACTACAAGAAGCACTGGTACAATATGGTGATCCCTCCTCTATACCTTACCTCCAGTTGGCTCTTGAACATGAAGAAACTGCTGAAAAGCAAGAATCGCTTCTTAAGGAATTATGTGCCGATGTCATAATCAGTGATTTGAATCGTCCGTTTCCAATGGTTCAGGGATTTGAATTCTCTATTTCGAAAAGGCCTTACATGGCTATGCGAAACCGTGAGCTATTGACTGTAAAGGATCATTTAGATTCTTTGTTTTTGGCTCAATCTTCATTGGTATTTGCTCTACGTGGCTTAAAACAATCGGGGACCTTTCTTTGTAAAGTCGTAAACGGTCCAAACCTCCCTACCTTGTTAGAAGATTTGACAATGTGCTTTTCCAAAGTTAATAAGCATGTCATTAAAGGTGTCTCTGGGAATGATAATTCGGTCGTTTATCTGTGTAAAGGAAAACGATCAACTCCTCCAATAACGTTACTCAACGTTTAGACTAATATATACTCCTGGTATTTTATAAAAATGATTTAGTGATTGACCATCAGTTCATGCTTCATCTATTGAAAGAATCTGCTGAGCAAGTTCGTTCTGAAGGCAACGGTCTACAATTTTTGTTATATATTTTTGCATCTCTGAAATTGATTTTTTTAAGTCTTTGTTTTCAATTTCCATTTGAAGTAGACGTGATTTGCTGCTGCCCATTATTTCACGAATTAACTCCTTTCGGACGGCTTCCATTTCTTCTTGCTCTTTCTCAGAGACTGTGTCTGAAATAGCCTATTGTTCATTAGAAATGCTGCACTTCAATTCTGGTTTGGTTTACCATTTGTAACAACGTCATTTGAAGACGCTCGTTTGCTTCTTTTAAGCGCTGGTTTTCATTCATAATATCTTTTTCATTGTCTCCCAGACTTTCTGTTTTGTTTTGCTTCTCAGTTAAGATTGTACTACTGGTATTCCTATCTCTTGCAGTACTGAAGTTTTCGTTCATGTAAAGAAAAGGAACATCCGATTCACATAATTCTTTTCTCAATGAATCAGCATCCGAGAAGTATTCTGTATTAATAGAACTTTTGCTCCTTGCTTGGTCCTTTATAGTATAGTTTGAATTGGAACTAGGACGATACTCTTCATTCGGAAGAACAGACGACGATATATTAACTATATCCGTTCGTTCTCTAAGGATAAAATCTTCCATTTTCTCTTTTGAAGCGTAAGGGATTATGATTGTTCAGTTGGAGCGGGTTTCTTAACTCCTTACAGAGTAAACAAACAGTAAACAAACAAACCAGATTTCCGCGTTATCCCGCGCAGTTTTTTTTTTCTGAATATAAATATATTTATTGCGAAAAAAACTATAAATAAAGATCTTTAATAAATGTTTACGACTTCAACTGTGAATTGACTATAAATTAATTTGCAAGAACTATGATTATCTAGATATATTAGCCCTAAAGAAAGAAATATTAAAAATAGATGAATAGTTTTGGATTGGTAGAATTAAAAGACTTGAAACGGATATCAGGAGTCTAGAAAGTAAATCGGGTCATTATAGATCTGCCATAGCAGCATCAACATTGTGAAAAAACTTGCAATACCAACAGGAACAACAGCAAAGACTGTGATTTCTAAGAAATCTAAATTATGTCTGTTTGAAAGAGAATTACCGGCGGATGAAGAAGACGGAAATGGGGCAGTTCGGGTAATGGGGGAAGTAATCCAATCCTGAACGATGTAAGAAGCAGTTTGAAAACAAGATATTGCAATCCAAGCGGGGAGCAAAAGGGAATTATCGCCGTGAGTAATGAAATTGACACTCAAGGAAACAAAGGAAAAGCTGATAACATTGAGGGACAATAAACGGATTATTGTGGGAGCGATTGAATAATGAATAAGCCTAAGTATTAGCTAAAATGCTGCTATTTTCAGTTTCACACGTACCATTTTAAAAGAAATCCCGTAGTTAACACAAAAGACAAGTACCCTGAAACCTAAATCGTGTCATGTTAGTTTGAAATCAGTAAATCTTTATAGTGCTACATACAATTGTCCAGAGAGCAGATGTCAGTGCTAGCCATGCACGACCATCACCAAAAAAGAAAAGGTGCAAACATTTTAAGCACCAATATACAGCAGGAGCTAATGACAAAGTTCTAGTAGCAATGAAGCAAAAGACTATAAGAGGGTGATTAATGCCAAGAGCTTGAGCAGGACGAGGGTTTGAAATGACGGAGCCAAGGTACCGTCTCATATTTTTACCTTTTGGAAGAATAAAATCATATAGAGAAAATATATATCAAATTCGAATTTGCTCATAAGCCAATTACGATGTCAACACACAGACAAAGTATAACGATCACGATTACTCTCAATGTATAATCCAACGTTTTTTTTTTATATTTGGATATAAAAATTTAAGTAAGAAGCGTATGAAAATCAACTGGAAATAACGCAATCAACTATCATAGTCATTTACCCAAATTAAGGAAAATAAGGCTAAGTCAGATATTTTAGAGATCAGAAAAAGAATTCATAATCAATGTTTAAACAATAGACTGTTGAAAAAGAGATTCTGAATGCTTCATACAGTCCTTGGATATTGGCTGAAATTAAAAGCAATCTTAGTGGAGCATTTTACCAACGCTGATGGAAGCCATATCACTGTATTTAGGTATTCTCTGAAAGACTTGCATTTGAATAAACTGAATAGTCCCCAAATAAAGGATATAAAAAAAAAGAAGGATATATAAAATCTACGGTAGGTTGGGGCATCTTGGGATAACTACTAAAAGAACCTTCTCTAATCATTAGTTTTGTTAACATGTCAAAAGCACATGAAATTTATAAAGATCCTCTTCCATTCTTATTAGCGAGACCGCTACCACCTATAATTCCTACAAATCCTCTTACATGGGTTCCCTATATTTATTACTACTTTTTCAGCAGAACCCCTAAACAAATTCCTGTACAATGTACCGTGGACTCCAGTACACGCAGCTGCCTGGTAACAGATAGAGAGGGTATACAAAGACTATGGACTAACGGATTTTTTGGGAAAGGAAATCTTTCTAGAAGTGAGCCTACATGGCAGGTTCGTACAAAGCGATCGCTAGGTCTGTTAGGGTTGGACGAAGACTTAGTGGCTGAAGAAATAACTGCAAGGAGAAGATTGCAAAGAAAGAGATTTAAAGCACAACGAGCATACAGGGAGCAGTGTGCTCGTGAACGCCAATTGTGTATTGAACGTAATGAAGAAATTCCAGATCACCTCAAAGAGGATGCTGAACTACCAAAAGAATTGACAGACCCTATCTCTTCATCCGTATCACCTCAAAATCCCTTTCAAGTTACCGTTGTTCCCGAACTTGAACACCTGCAATTGACATTTCCAGAGGCATTTTTCCTATCTTCTTTAGGAAATCTAACCGTTACTTCTTCGATGAAAGATACATCTTCTATCCCTTTACTCCGTTATTTTGCTGAGATTTCTGCTCAGAATCCAGATTATTCTACCCAATGTTCAAACAAAAATGCGGGTGCTTCTTTTGGTCAACTTGATGCTGCCGCTTACATTCACCCAGATAATTCATTTCTAGTAGATCTTGCTGCTTACTATTACTTTCGCCAACAAGGGTGGGTAGTAAAAGGAGGAACAAAATTTTCAGTGGATTATCGTATGTTTATTTTATAGCAAGTATGAGTTTCTAACTTTTTTTTAGTTCTTTATAAGAGAGGACCTGTGTTCAGTCATGCTGAGTTAGCTATTTTGGTACTCCCTTGCGTGGGTAATTCTCAGAAACGAAATCTGAAATGGCATGAACTTCACTGTCTTAACCGGACGGTTGGTCAAGTAAAGAAGACTCTTGTACTATGCTATGTTCACTGTCCAACACCGGAAATTATGAATGACCTTTGGCAACATCAAAAGAATATGGATCAATGGGAATGGTCAAAATTAATCCTTAGTTACTATACTATTCAGTGCGTGTCATTGCGTCGCTGGGTTCCTGACAGAAATAGGGATTAAAGAGAATAAGAAGATTCAAATTACCATCAATGAAATTAGCGGATAATAGTCGTTTTTTTAAGGAAGTATTTGATTGTAAATATCGAGCATTGAAGTATACCATGCCTGAACCTTTCTCTTTGCATCATCACCTGGAGAACGCATATTCATAGATTTACGTAAATTGTTCGACTTTTTCTGTAAATCTATATGTTCCTTTTCAAGTGTTGAACAATTTTTCTTCAGTTGCTCGAGGTGAAGTTCATCTCTTTCCAATTGAATATTGGTTGATTTTATGGAATTATCGGTCTCGAAAATTTCTTGTTTTAACAAAGGTATTTTTTCTTCTAAATCTGGAAGAGCGGGTATGTTGGTTGTGTCATCTTGGTCTAAGCTCTGTAACTCTTTCTCAAGTATTCTGTAATCGCTCAAGAGTGCTTTCGTTTCTTTAGATTCCTTTAATGTAGCATCATACTTTTCAGCAATTTCATTACAATTAGAAATAATCTTTTTCTTCAACAATTCAACTTCATCCTTTCGTTGCTTTAAACGAGATTTTAGTTCAGATATCGTCGACTCTAATTTTTCATTGTCTTCAGGCTCAACTAATAAAGGAGGATCATCCAGAATCGCACGTAAATACCTTTCTTTTGTTCCTTGCTCGATGTAGGAAAACTTCAGTTGAGAGAAAAATTCTTTGTACTTTTTGAGCTCTTGTTCAGTCGATAAACCTGACTGCTCATTTACGCTGGACGAAGCAGTATCTGCCAATGCTTGTGGTCCTTTTGCTAAAAACGAGTCGATTAATTTTTCTTGATTAGAGAAGGACTCTTGTTCCGTATATGTACGAGAAGTTTCCGACATATTGGATTTTTGATCGTGGCATTGAGAAATTCAATCAAAAATGGAACTTTACATATGATTATTTCAAGGAGAATAATTATTAAAGATCGTAAGTACCTATAACCTCAAAATGGTCGAATTCACCTTTGGGTAGTAAAAAAGTGGTGTAAACAATAGCCATGACAAAGACTGCAAAGAAGCAAGCAATTATTGCATATATGACTTTAGTATCTAAAGAAAATAAAATACTATATAGATAAAGAACATATAAGCAAAGAAAAATAAATCGGTTCTTCTGGAATGCTTAAAAACCAATTTTGCTCAATTCTTGTCATTCTTTTTCGAAATGGAGGATTTTAAAATACCTTACAGTTGGTCCATCCGTTTTCTCCTTACTTTCCATGCTTTTACTCTTATTATTTAGACTTGCATATCACTACTGGAAGTCATCTACGAGACAACAAGAATACATAAAAATGAAAAGAACAATATTAAATTTCTTTCCCAAAAACTGCCAATAAGAACGGATCCAGTCAGAGAATACAATTTGTACATTAAAATAGGCAATACCTATTCTAAAAAAAAAAAAAGATCTGAATGCACTAAACTTAAGCAGAAGCGGCGGCAGCCTTGGATCCAGCAGCAGGCTTAGAACCAGTACCTAAAAAAATGGTTAGTTTATGAAGATAAAACAAATGAAATATCAAGTCACTTACGGAATCCGTTAACGAAGCTACGGTGGACCAACTTCATGTGTTGCATACGACCGGTACCAGTGGCTTTTCTTCTCTTAGCCTTGGCACCCCAGTTGAAGCGACGAGTCTTGGCAGAGGGATAACCGCAAGAAGCACAAGTGCTCTTTTGCTTATGGAAAGAGCGCTTTCCACAACGACGGCAGAGGGTATGAGACTTGTTGCCTCTCTTACCCATAGAAGTTGTACCCTTAGTCATTTTTGCTGCTGCTTCTTGAAAATGTCAGGGCCTTTGGCTGAAGAGAAATCTTTCACGTACTACAGCTTCACGTTTCGTTGGTATAGAAAGACAGTCACGGTGTCTTTAGAGTAAAAACTACGTTATTTATTTTTACAATATAGAGTATGGTGCGTTATATAGTCTTACGTGTTTGCTCATTTGTATCACTATCGTTAGTAAACATTGCTAAAGCGATTTTATTGAAATTTACCTGAAACAGTTACTGGTAAAAAAGGCTTGTATTTTTGTATTCTGTAAGAAGTTATTGCATTCTGTTTTTTATGCGTTCCTTATGTAGTGTTTACTCGATCTTTTTAATGTTTAACTCTTCACCGAATAATTCCTGTTGGTAGAGACAGAACGTGAAGCACTTTCGAGGTGCACATGCGGATGGCTTTTTATTAAAGAAATCTAAACTAATTATGAATACTAAATTTCCGTTACTCTCGTGTTTCAGCGTACATGAACTTCCCTATCGTCGTATTACTTACTTCTAGTACGATAACTCAGAGTAGCAGAGGAACTGCGAAACCTATTCAAAAGTCAGTTTCTTTGGAAAGAATGACGGACGATTTTATGTTAGAGTAAGCGGATATCCTTTTATTCTCAAAGAATTCATGCTAACGAATGTAGAGATGATGAAGATTATGAGTTCGAATTTGAGGATGATGATGATGAGATGGTCGAGCCGGACGTTGATGTTGAAAACTCGTACTACAACTCAAAAGGTATAGTATCTTGGTAAAGGATAATCATTTATTGGAATTATACTTACAATTTGGATGTAGCCCTAAAGGAGGATAATGCTGGTGCGGCTGTGAAATCATTTATAGAAATCGTGGACAAATGCAAATCCGAAAAGAATGAATGGTAAACGCTCTCATCAATTAACTTTATTTTAACTAATGAAATTATAGGGCTTTTAAGTCTTTGAAGCAGGCATTAAAGATTATGTTCCGTATGAATCAGCTGGATGAGGTATATATCACTTAAATAAGTAAACTTCCTGTACTAATATGTTATTATTTTAGATGTTGAAGTATTATCAGCAATTACTTGAATATGCAGAATGGCCCAGTATTACCAGAAACTACGCAGAAAAGTCTATATTTAACATTGTGGATTATACATCGTCTTCTAGCAATGCTCAATTCTTGGAAACTTTTTACGAAATCACAACTCAAGCACTTCAAAAGCTTAATAATGAACGGTTAACGATGAAAACATTGATGCACGTAGCTCGATTCTTCCTTTCGCAAAAGAATTATGTCAAATTTAAGTCTCTTTTACGGCAGATGCATCTTCTTCTTTCGAATGAAAATACTTCCGTTACGGATCAAAACAGAGAAACACATTTGTTGGAGCTTTATTCATTGGAAATTCAGATGTACTCTAGCCTCGAGGACAATAAACGATTAAAGGAAATATATCAAAGCTCCCTTAGAATCAAAACTGCCATTCCCCATCCTAAAATTATGGGTATTATTCGCGAATGCGGTGGTAAAATGCATATGCAGGAAGGACAATGGTCTGAAGCGCAGACAAACTTTTTCGAATCTTTCAAGTGTTACGATGAAGCTGGTTCTACGGCCCGTGAACGAGTGTTAAAATATCTTGTTTTATCAAATATGCTTTGCGAATCGGAAATTAATCCCTTCGATTCTCCAGAGACACAACCGTACAAAGAGAACCCGCATGTCATTGCTATGACTAAATTAGTGGAGGCATATCAAAAACGCGATATTAAAGAGGTGGAAAATTTGCTCCATGAACACCGGCAGGATATTATGGAAGACGATTTTATTCGTCAGTACGTTGATAAAATCCTTTACAGCATCAGAAGTCAGGTTCTTCTGGAAATGATACAGCCTTACACGACCGTGCAACTGAGTCTGCTGGCTGAAAAATTAGGTGTCACTACTGACATTGTTGAACAGTCGCTTATTGGACTTATCATGGACGGAAGAATTCAAGGAAAACTCGACATGATTCACGAAATATATATAAAGCAAAACCAGCTAACTATATTGAGTGACACATTAACGAAGAATGCTAAAAATATTTGGAGTGAAATCGCGAAGAATTAATAGCTTCAAATACATTGAGTGTTTGTAAGTTAATTAACTGATGAGCTTGGGTAGACAATCACACCATTATTCTCCAAAAAGATTTTTCTTTTCTAATTAAATTCAGCTTTGTCACCGGGCATATGTAAGGATTATCTTTTAACCAGCTTTGAATGCATGGATAACAAAACACAAAGCCGGTAGTTAGAACGGCCGGATTTTTAATATAATGGCCACAGATTCTACAAGTGTTTTTTGTAAGTGTCGTATCCTTGACTGAAATTTCTGGTGGCTCAAGCTCAGTAAATGCAACTCTTCCTTTCTTAACTTGAGTTGCATAATCATTTGTCTGCCACCAGTCTAAAACCTGGACTAGTGATAAAAATATATTCATGGAGTTGTCTAACAGTGAAGGAAGCGTATACGGATTATGCGCCTTTTCGGAAGTAAGATTGGGAATGCTAGTATCGTAAACAAGACGTTGCTTGAGTAGATGATCTATGGGATTTGAGAATGGAAGTATGCCCAAAGCAAACAGAAGATAGTAAACCCATTGAATTTTCTTGCAAAAATTAGATCCCAATTGAAATGTGAACTTCAATATAGTCAATAGTTTCTTAAGCTTTGATAGAATCTTCAAGCGAAAAGTGCGAAAAAAACTAGAATGTTGTCCATGGCTTTCAGTCTGTGTGGTGCTATGTTCTGTAGGAGCATTGACTCGAAATTCTGAAATTCTTGTATTATTCGACCATGTTTTGACTTTAGAGATTAAAAACGGCAAACAATACTAACACAAGTCAGTATGGATGGAGAAAATTATGTCAGAAAACTTACGGTAAAAAACAATTTTGCTAAAATATCCGTTTGTCTCAACCTTATGGCTGAATTAACTTCTTCAGGAAATAGATCAACTAGACATTCTTTATTTTTTATATATTTGACACGCTTTAATTGGAACCTCCTTTCAACGGATGTACAATTCCAATTTTTGAGACTTCTGTATTCAATAATAACTTTTAAGAAAAAATAAAAATCGTCCAGCGAGTTATAGGCACCTAACAATTGTCTAGGATATCTATGTGTGAAATACTAGACTTATTAGACACAATAGTTTGACACCTGACCTTACTGCAAAAATATACTTTATAGACGGTAAGACTAATCCATCAATTTCTTGAACTTGAAAAACCTCTAGCAAAGATGGGCTTTCCATGAATTGTTTGGTTTCGGCGACTTTTGGTAAAGTAAAATGGGGGATTTAGTATTAATTTAATGTTACGCGGATTAGACCTTTAACTTACAAAATTTAATTCAATCGTGTACTCTATATGTTATATTCTTTAATAATTTTTGTTCTTAGTTATGAAGAAAACCCGTACTAAAATACAGAGAGTACGTGTTTTCAGGTAAAAAAAAAAAACTACAGAGTTTGAAAAGATTATAAGGAATTAAAATAAATACGAAATAATTAAAAAATGTACAACTCTCATATAAACAAAGCGGTTCTACTATCATGGTCTTGTATCTTTGTATGATGATAGCTAAAGTCAAAATTAAAGCAAATCATTCTGGCCATAACGAAATACCAAAACAGAATTTAAAGTAGAAGCTGATGTTTGAATGGACGAAAAGGTAGTATGCGTACTTCTCAACGAGCGCAAAGCCGATCTTAACGTAGATATATCCTCACCGTTCAAAATATCTGGTAGTTTACAGCAAAAACAAAATAACCACTGAGCCTACAATCTTGTTAACAATTGATTCATATGGTCAACATAAAGATTTAGTACCTAGAATACACTTACCTGTACATCAAGAGTATCGTTTTCTAACCAGTAAGCACAGTTTTCGAAAATATCCAAAATAGTAGCTAAGTCAGTACTCGCTACAAAATCCCATGAAGGAATTTTGTTAGCTATAGTTTGTCTCCACTGTTGCAAGGTACTAGGCAATGTAGAATTGTCCAACAACAAATGCGGAGGGTACGTGGATAACTTTTTATTGTTCTGTTCCACGAGATCATAAAGGTTTTTTAAAAGAGGTTCTGGAAAACGGACAGGTTGTGTAGCTTCCGTATACAAAGGATTCCGCGTTTTGGTGTCTGGTTTTTCTGGTTGAACATTGGCAGTCTTAAAAGACTTTAGTGACATGGCTTCTCTTCTAAATCAATCAGTTAGTTCATTATTATAATTAAACTCATAAACAGCAATTGAAGTCGTCTTGCTCCCAAGTGATCTTTCGAGAGTTAGCTATTACCTTACGGCAGCAAGATAGTCTAAACCATCGAGAGGAATTTGAATTTCTTCCAAGGTATCTTGATTCTCAACTACTTCTGGGAATGCACACCGTTGGTTCGTTTCGTCATTCAATGGAGCCGTAACTTGAGGATGATGGAAAATGCGCTTTCTTTTCATTGACATAATTAGCAAAAGCTTTCAAAATCTTACAGAGGCTTTTAAATATATAGTTTTTAAAAGTTAGAAGTTATAGATCACTCTTCATGTGGTTGGATTCAGCAATGAATACATTGATGCACTTAATGCAAGAAAAGTTGAATTGACAATGTGAAATAAATCCGTCTCATCATTATTAGTAGCATTTATAAAAACGAAAAAGACCGCTATGATGAATCCTGGCTATAAAAAAAATTTCTTAATTTCTCTTTTCCCTCAGTATTTTATTCTGTTAAACTAAAACCGACTTGGTTACTGAAACATGAATAAATAAACATACACTCTGTTTAAGTAAACACCTTTTATTAACTGCTTTGATGTCTAAAATACGAATTGTATATAATATATCATGGTAACCCATTTCTTGGAAGCTACCGCTACAAAATGCAATACCAAAGTGTAAACAAAAAAAAAAAAAAGAATAAACAAACGCAACAGGACAGGGTTTAGCTTTGTATGAAGTGTATTCATGCAGTTTTCTGTATATGTAAATGTAAAAGTATTCAAAATCAGTTATGCTTAATGCTTGACTCTTGCTTTTGTTTACGCGACTTGGTACCAACTCTACTTTGATCATTGGGAAACGACGCAATGTAAATACTCAGACATTCTTTATATATGAGTTTTTATTTTATCTTCGAAATGGCAAAAAAATCAATAAACGTAGAATATTTTCAAAATTATTCGAAAGGGTGTTACCTTTCGAATAGGTAACATTGCGAAATAATAGGAAACACGCCCGCGTCTCTTATATTCTCCAAAACATTATTTAGTGTTTAATTATTTATGAAACACTCATATGTATCATTTAAAATGGGTTTCTCAATTTCATTTTAAAAATTCAATTACCAAATTGAAAAAAAACAGCTTGAATAAGTGCTTTGTACAGTCGTCAAGAGCGAATTGGATAAAGAATCTATCGAGGAGTTATTCCACGCAGGTTGAACAAGTAAATCAGCTGGACAATGCTGTTTCGAATCCTGGATTTCCTACTTTGCATAATTTTCTTCTAAAGGATCAAAAAAAATCTGGCGATTTGCATCTTCATACTGCTTTCAATCTGTGTATGGATGAACTTTTGAGTAATGCTGATAAAGGTCGAATCAGAAGCTTGACTAATAAAATACACAAACGCAGGGAAGAGGAAGTTAGGACTCCGACTTCGCTTCCTTGGAAAGAAGAATCTACAAAGACAATGACAGATGCTCAAATTTTGGCGTATTTAAAAGAAACAATGCCGTATCAATATGCTTCGTTATATCACATATTCCATGAATTGAAAAGTCTTTTGAAGGGTAAACCAAGTGACCAATTGAAAGTTTTGGATTGCGGAAAAGGTCCAAACTTGGGTGCAATTTTGTGTCAATCTTTTTTTCCCACGACAATTCCGTTCTCTGTAGTTGAGGAAAACAGATTTCTTCGTGAAATTATAAAACAACTCAATCAAAATATTTCTTCCTCGCTAGATTCTGGGAATTTGAATCCCGAGCTTTTTGGAAGATTGCCGCTTTCCCAAAAAGGGAATTACGATTTAGTTATCGCTTCGAATCGACTTCTTGAATGTGATTCTGATGAAGAGCTTTTTGGATACTTACGTGCGCTCTGGTCTCTATTAAACAAAGGTGGTATCGTAATTCTAACTGAGCAAGGTTCAAAACATGGCTTTCATGCGATCAAGAGAGCTAGATCATTTTTAATAAACAGAGGAAAAGACAAGGAAAACGATCGTTTAGATGCAAGGATTTTGGCTCCTTGCCCTCACGAAGATCGTTGTCCCATCAACATAGACAGCGGCGTCAGAGCAAATGTTTGTAATTTTAAACAGCATTTCTTTTTTCCTTCCTTTTCTCGCTTATACGTTCCAAGGAGTGAACAGAGGTCTCAGTCCCACTCAAAGTTTAGCTATGTCGTTTTACAGAAGGGCGTTGCTCGTGAGTCGAACACATATAAACCTGTCCAAAATGAACAAGAGCTTTTGAAGCCTGGTTTCGAAGATAACGATGGCCATATTAATTGGCCTCGTATCATCCGATCACCTCTAAAACGCCATGGTCATGTTATTGTTGACGTGTGCGATCATGATGCCCAGCTTCGGCGACACATTATACCCAAGTCTCAAGGTAAATTGTATTATCAAATAGCTAGAAAATCTAATCTTGGAGACCGTTTCCCTATTAAAGGTAAAGTTCAAAGTGTTGAACAAAAGCAACAAGCCAATAAACATTTAGAAGCTAATGAAGAACATGCGGCTCTAAACTCTCCATTGAAAGACTCTTCAGAGGTATCTGAAAAGACAATACCAAGCTATGCTTTCACTGGAAAACGTTACTACAGTACCAGTCCTTATTTCCGTCAAAACTCATCTAAATTTTTTGGGTCAGCAAGGGGTTCATTAATTAACAGGCGATTTTATTCGCAAAGACACAAGATAAACCCAAAATTAAAATACCAACGACAGACCACTATCAATTATTTAATCGCGCTCTCTGTTTTGGTACTTGGTATAACATATGCATCAGTTCCTCTTTACCGCTTGTTTTGTTCCAAGACTGGTTACGGCGGGACAGTCAATACTGATCAAGAGCGTATGAATGTTGATAGAATGGTTCCTCGTAGAGACTCTAAACGGGTAAGGGTAACATTCAACAGCGATGTCGCAGGAAATCTTCGCTGGAAGTTATATCCTCAGCAAAAAGAGATCTGGGTTCAACCTGGAGAAACGGCTCTTGCATTTTACACAGCTGAAAACTATTCCGACGAAGATATAGTTGGCGTTGCCACGTACAATATTGTACCAGGTCAAGCCGCTATATATTTCTCTAAAGTTGCTTGTTTTTGTTTCGAAGAGCAAAAGTTAGATGCCGGTGAGAAGGTCGATTTACCAGTATTTTTCTTTTTGGATCCAGAGTTTGTCGACGATCCAAACATGAAATACGTAGATGATATACTGCTCAGTTATACGTTCTTTGAAGCAAAATATGACAATAATGGAAATTTACTAACCCAGTTAAATTAATAGGCTCATTGGATAATGTCAGGATAACAAATAATAATAATATATCCTTTTTTACTTAGGCAATGATATTCAACAGTATTTTATTGAAATCATTCTACGCACGTTAAACAATTATGGAAATTTTGTCATTATACATAAAGGGACGAGCCAAACCTTCATTTCGTCTTCTTATCCTTAAACGCTTATTTGGCTACAGCCTGCTGTATCGAATGCATCATTTCCTCTTTTATAATTAGCTGTCTTGTCTTCTCCAATTTCTCAAGAAGAGCGGATATATTTGTACCCCATTCGTTGAGCTGTTCATGAACATTCTTGGGTTTCTTGAAAGTAATTACTTGAGCAGGACGATCAATACGAGCATAAAATTGTCGTTTAGTAATGAGATCAGACAAAAACAATTCGGTTTCCTCGGGGTTCATGTCCAAAAGAACACCCAGTCGATCACATTGAATTCGAGAGTAATACTTAGCAACTGTACGCATGTTGTGTTCAATGACACGCTTACGCAATTCAGACCAGCGTTTCTCGCCCTTCTCATCATTTTCGGCAAATACAGGAGTGCTTCTCAAAACCGAACCGTAAATTTCAGAAATCTTAGGCCAGCGCATTAATTCATTAACTGTAAAGCACTTCACCAATTGTTGAAGTAAAGGAACAGAGTTAAGTTTGTGATCAGAATTGATACGATGAAGCAAGTCAGCTTGCTCGTTATCATAAGGACTTAACAAGACAAAACAGACGACGTTCTCCAAAATCTCCTTCCATTTTTCTGGGTCTTCCTGGACAATCGAAGTATCATAGACGGCGCGGTAATATTTGCAAACATCAAGGTAAGCATCGTCGTGTAACCCAATACGAATTTTTTGTTCATAGTATTTGAGTTTTAGAGACTCAACCCCTTCTTTCTCAAAGAATTTGGTATTAATCTTTTTGGTAAAAATAGATGCCATATAAAAGTCAGAACGTAAGAGGAATAAACGAACTTGGTCGAGTATAAAAGCCACCTTTTCTTTCTGATCAAAGGAACCATATGTTTCTACAGGTTCATTGCAAAGAATTTCCTGAGCTGCTTTAACATCGCCATGTTCTTCTTTGATTTGTGACAAAAGCTGTGTAAGGCGAGCTCTTTCAACTTCTACATAAATTTTTCCATCCGTAATCGTTCGTAAAGTCTCAATCAAGTCTATTTTTTTCTTAAGGTCTTCAATAGCAGGTAAATAATTCATTACATGTTGGACAAGGCTTGTCATTGCTTGCTTAAGTTGGCCATGTTTTTTAGATAGGTTCACGAGCTGTTCATTCAGGCCTTGAAAATCATGCGCATGGTATAAAAGGTCTGCAATAAAACATAATACTCTTGTATTGGTGATTGCATCCGAGGCTTGACGCACTTGCTTCTCAAAGATTAGAAGTTTTTCTAAGGAACTGTCCTACACAATATGTTAATAACAAGCTATTATCGACTTTCTCTTCAATCCTTACAATATCTACAGTGCTAGAAGCACCAAGCTCCTTCTTTAAATCTTCAAACTTGTTTGATAAATCGATTTCTGGTTTTGCTTCCATTGCCAAAGGTTTGGTTGTTGGAAACATCCTGAATGCCAAGTATGACTTTCCATGATACTCACTAAATTTTGTTGTATTGTGTTAGGTAACTTAGTCTACTACGGTACAATACGTACTTTTTGCTTAACATAGTATACTGCTATACCGTAATAAACATTATTTAGAATATAAGAGAAAAAATAATATTGGTACTAAAGAAGTGGTATACCCGGTCAAAGGCTAATCAGGATCTCAAGAAACTTTTGTAGGTTTGGATAATTTTACATAAGGTCGTCAATGAATTTTCGTTTCGACTTAAACAATGACCATGATCGACTTGAAATGAAATTTATAAGTTTTGAAGACCTTTCGCATTCAGATTTAAGTATCTTAGAATGAAATCTTGGTTTTTCAATAGAAAAAATTCTTACTACTTCTCTTACATAGGGAATCCTTATTCCTTTCATTTAGTTTAGTGAAATTCATTCGTGTACGCTATTTACCAAGTGAAGAACGCTTGGTAACTGGAACGATGAAAGACGAGGTCAAAACTTCACCACTACCACATTTACTTTCTGCGAATTCAATTATCATTTTAAGGATATATATTTATTCCTTAAAAGAGAAAATCCAGTTAAGTTTAGCGTGGTGTAAATTGAACTTCCTAAGTGGAGAGTAAGACAAAGCAGAAAGTTAAAGGAAACGTACATCCTAAAGTGGACTGAAAGAATCGCTGTAAGGGTTGACTGTATATTAAAAAATCATGTCGAATCTAGACAACGCAGTTATGGTCCGGGATGACCAGGGAAATCCTTTCATTTTGGTTCGCGATCAAGATAAGAAGAAAAGATTGCATGGTATAGAAGCCGTTAAAAGTCATATCCTCGCTACCAAGACTGTTGCCAATATTGTCCGTACATCTTTAGGACCTCGTGGATTGGATAAAATTTTGATTTCTCCAGATGGAGACATTACGGTCACGAACGATGGTGCTACCATTTTAGAGCAAATGGAAGTTGAGCATCAGATCGCCAAGTTGTTGGTTCAGTTATCAAAATCTCAAGATGATGAAATTGGTGATGGTACTACTGGTGTCGTAGTGTTGGCCGGCGCCTTGTTAGAGCAAGCTGAGGGTTTGATCGACAAGGGTATTCACCCAATCCGAATTGCAGATGGATTCGAAAAAGCTTGTCAGCATTCCGTCAAACACTTAGATTCGATATCCGATGTCGTCAACTTTGATAAGTTGGACACCACAAACTTGTTCCGTGCTGCAAAGACTAGTTTGGGAAGCAAAGTGGTATCAAAAGCCCACGATCACTTTGCCAAGATTGCTGTTGAGGCAGTCCTTTCTGTTGCCGACTTCGAACGCAAAGACGTTGATTTTGAATTAATTAAAGTCGATGGAAAGGTTGGTGCTTCTGTTGATGATACGACTCTCGTAAAGGGTGTGGTTGTTGATAAGGATATGTCTCACCCTCAGATGCCTCATCACATTGAGGATGCAAAGATTGCAATTTTAACATGTCCCTTTGAACCTCCCAAGCCAAAGACTAAACACAAGCTTGACATCACATCGGTGAACGAGTTTGAAGCTTTACAAAAATATGAGAAAGAAAAGTTTGAAGGCATGATAAAGCACGTAAAGGATGCTGGAGCAAATCTTGTTATTTGCCAATGGGGATTTGATGATGAAGCTAATCATTTACTTTTGCAAAACAATCTTCCTGCAGTCCGTTGGGTGGGTGGACCAGAGATTGAATTAATTGCCATCGCTACTAATGGACGCATTGTTCCTCGATTCGAAGATCTTTCCAACGAGAAACTTGGTACAGCTGGACTCGTTCGTGAAGTCAGTTTTGGTACTACTCGCGATAAGATTTTGGTGATTGAAAAATGTGCAAATACTCGTGCCGTAACCATATTCGTCCGTGGTAGTAACAAGATGATCGTGGACGAAGCTAAACGTGCTCTTCATGATGCTTTGTGTGTTGTACGAAATTTAATTCGTGATAACCGTGTTGTTTACGGAGGTGGTGCCGCAGAAGTTTCATGTTCCTTGGCTGTCAACCAAGAAGCAGAAAAGATTCCTGGTATTGATCAGTATTCTATGCGTGCTTTTGCAGATGCTCTAGATACCGTTCCTTTAGCCTTGGCTGAAAACAGTGGTTTATCATCCATTGAGGCATTGACTGCTGTTAAGGCACGTCATGTTAAAGAAAACAATTCTCACTTGGGCATTGATTGCCTTCACACAGGTCACAATAACATGAAGGAGCAATTCGTAATTGACCCTCTTATTGGCAAGAAGCAGCAATTACTACTTGCTACTCAACTTTGCAGAATGGTCTTGAAGGTTAATGATATTATCGTTGCCGGTTCAAAAGATGATGAGTACAATTAAGAATGATACGTGGATGGCTTGACTGGAGGTATTCGGTTGACGAAAAAAGGAATTCTCATAGTTTGGAAATGAATCCCCTTTGAAAATCAAAGCTAGAATTTAGAAATAAAGTATGTCCTTTGTCGTAGACAAAATTATTGCAAATGTTGTAAAGTCAGTAATATGTAAAGTATTGTTTGTGTCCATAATCGGATATATCTTTAGACGGCATTGGAATTGCCCTGCTACGCACGCAGTAGTACTTAAACATTTCCAATTTTACATAATGTTGAAAAGACCCCGGCAGAAGTACCGATCAGAAATCTGACGATATCGAGCCACATTACTATGTATATATTTTTTGTACATACATACATATGCCAGAACCGTTTTTATGATTCAACGTGAAAATAGCAATTCATTTTGGTTTCTAAACTTCATTTAACTAGATAACAATCTCATGTACGTTTGTATTCGCTAGGAGGAAGAGACAAAGGTGTATTCATTCGCATGAATAGGATCAGGCATAGCATTTGCAAGACAACTGTGGCTTCAGACATCAGTAACCCTTTTACTTTTGATGTTTTATTGCGTTGTCTGCTTGCTATGAACAAACAAAGACATTTTGACTCAACCAGTAAATATCTACCAATTCCAGCCCTTCTTTATGACACATCATTATGTAAACAAACAAAACAAATCGTTTTCATCATTCATTTATATGCGTTTTTGCCTTTTGTTCAATATTTGTGAATGGTATTTTTTTGAATTGAATTTGGGGAAAAGGTTTAATATTAATAGGAGAAGCAACATGTTTGAAACTTCATTTTTTATATTCGACTTTTTCACCCTTCTGGAACTGAACGATGTTAACATAATACTAACCGAAGGGTGATGCCCCAAATACCGCACTCTAACGATATGAAGTAAATCTGTTTGTTTTTCTCATTTATATGGGAGCTAAGAAGGTGCCGACAACAAAGAAAAAGCAAACGCCAACTTTCTAAAAATTTCCTACAAAGCGATTCTTTTAGTGCTTTCATAGGCTGTTTGTCGTTAAGTTCGACGTAAAAGTTGAATTTAACGATCGTTTGCCATTGGAAATATTGTATTCTTCAACTTACCATTACTTTTTTTGGGACTTCATCTTTTTGAGCGCCTCTCTTTTGAATTTAACGTAAACGCCTGTTTTACTCTTTCAGCGTATTTCGAATTCATTTAGTTTCACTATACTTTGTAATTGGTCGTGGTGCTTTTTGTATACGCGTTTTTATAGAAAAAGCGAACCTATGCCATAAGTTTCATTTTTCATACGCTTCATTGGGTTTATATTTTTTTCGAATTTGGCTGGCTACTTTGGAAAGCCCATATCTTTATTCAATTTGGAAGTTTAAAAGTTTGGATACCGAAGCATAACTGAGTTTGTGAGTTTTTCAGCAAATCGTCAATTCTGCGTAGTTATCTGTAACTACAACACCCTCTTTTTCATCATTCTTTTTTTATTTTGTTTTTATTTTTTCATTTCAAGTTTTCTTCTTTTCGCGTTTCTTGACTTCATCACTTTTACTATTATTTTTGTCAAGGACTCGACCCGAATTTTCTTTCTTTCATTGCTTTACATAAGTTTCCTCTTTTTTTCTCTTTGGTTTCTCGTCTGTCTCTCGTCGAATCCATTATGACAAAACGAATGCTTTCTTCGAATCCGATGCTCTCTTTAGAGACAGAAAATATTGCAAAACTGGGTACTTTAACAGCAGACAACTTGAGCTGCATGTGGAATGGTAATGTATTAAACAGGTGCTCTATATTAACATTATTTTCTTTTTAGTTTTTACCAAATGCGCTGAAAATCTTGAAAACGGTCGTCGATTAGAAAATCTTTCGTGGAGGCTTTGGTATCGCGAGGCTGTTATGTCTGAACCCGGTCAGAGTTGCCATGAACGAATGGAAGCTTCAATCCCTGACCTCTCTTCCAGCTGTGGTTCTATAGCTTCTTCAGCTGATTCGGATGAGGACGTCTGTGCTTTCTCCCCTACTAGCAAATCTGACACTATCCGTCTAAACTCAACTACTAATTCCGGAAGTCAAGAATCTTTCGTGCATGAGAACCCAAGAGGTTTAATTCGATCAACTTCTTCCTTGCGCCCACGAGCCAGACGCTCCAGTTCGCGTTTACTTTCTTCCGACACATTTAGTCAACTTATCACATCATTTTCTCCTTTGGAGAAACCTCTCGAAAAATCAGTTGAAAAACTTTCAAAAAAAAATCTTCCTCAGCTCACACAAAGGCTGATCTTCATCAGCAACCGTCGAATCCATCTTTTAAATATCAAAATCGACCGGCCTTAGCGGTAACCGTTAGTGAACCGCACTATGCTTCTTCTTGTTCCGTTTCAGATTACCGAAAGGATTCGCATGCAGATACGATGACACCACCTGGTCCCGCTCAGTCAAATGAGAAGATGTCAAAGAAAGAATTATCGAAAGTTGGTTCTTCTTCTCATGCGAAACCACAAATGGCAAATAAATCCGTCAGTAGTTCTGTAGCCGCAGCTGCTAGGGCTAAAGATGCAGAGCGAGAAAAAATCGCCAAATTAACTGTGACACCCGGAAAATCAACTAGTGTTATTCATGGATTTCATCCTAGTTCCTCAAAAACAACTCCTTCACCCTCTACCAAGACTAAATCCGCAGTACAAGACTCCAATACCGGATCTGGATCCTTAAAACAGGCTTTTAATACGAATAAAAGTCACCCGTTTTTTTATCTTCGAGGTGCCTACTCTGACAAAAACGCCTCACAATCATCTTCAATGATATCCACAACTGATGAAGAGACGAATCCTCCTAAAAATACCGTTATTCCTGAACTGAAAACAAGAGACCCCGAGGAAAGTGAAAAAGTCAGTTCGGATAGTGACGATGAAGATGCTTGGGTTTCCGTCGATGAAGAAGCGAACACCCCTCCGTGTTTCTATAAACGGCCTCCTACACCTTTTTCTTCTTATCGAAATAGCGCTTTGTCTTTGCTATTATCAAAAGAGGATAGAACTCATGGCGGACACAATAATGATTCAAGATCACGATTGGCCGCGGCTTCTCCGACTTTACCTATAAATGCAAGCAAAGCTAATAATCATGAAGCCAACATGGAAACTTTGAATTCTAGCCTTTTAAGTGGTAGTATTCCATTGTCATCGGAGCCCAGAGTTTATCAAATCTCTCATAACAACGCTAACAAGACAAAAATACTGAATTCGGAAATTTCAGAAAGTCTAAGACGAGATCTATTATGGGAACGGAGACAGAAAGCGTCTTTGAGCAGCGCTGTCCTTCGGCGGCATTTCAATAAAGGTCAATCTGGGGATGAGGATGCCCGTAACAAAAAGATTGTCGAAAAAGCTTTTTCAAATGATTGCTCCGTCTGGTAGAAAGAGACTAAAATACCGTTCTGAATGGATGGCTTATAATAATGGAGCTATCAGAAATTAGGAGACTTTCGTTTGTGAGGAACATAAGTCTGCGCGAGTGCCTAACTAAAGGTACTATCTTTGTTATTAACGTTTCGTAGTTGAAGCGCGTGTATATTAATCATCATAATGTATTTTACTGGATTTTATAAGGAAAGAAAAGGATAAGATATAAAAATGTATTCGTTGGTTGGCGCATGATCTTGTAAATATACGCTACTCGAATTAATATACATACATTCATGTGAAAGAAGTCTTGGTAGAAGAGACAAAGTAAGTGTTCTTATATTTTATCAATTTCTTGTTATTAATATTCTAATGAAGAAATAAGGTATTTTTCTTACAGGAGAAAGAAAAAAATCCATTTATATGTCACTAAAATACGCTTGGCCTTTCATTTTTATTTTATTTATGTTATCTTTTATTTTTTTGTTTGTAGCTTGGTAGTTTTATTTTTAGCAAAAGAGTGATTCGTTGGAGATTCTTTTACTTTCCCAATATCAATTAGCGTGTTAATGTTAGTAAAGCTCTATTAATCAGCAGATTGAGAGACAAGACAGATGTATTAATTCCAGTCTCGTAATATTGCTTCTTTGTAGATTCGTGGGCGGAGCCAGAATTATTAAAGCATTATTCATCTAGGAGTTTGAAAAATCAAGTAGAGGCGATATGAAATTAGATAAAAGAAGTAACGACTAGTATGCTGTGTATCTAGTCCTTTTTAGCATCTCTGATCATGCCTGAACTGATCTTGATCAGTTCACCTGTTTCATCATCACGGAGCTCTGTAGTGACGGCTGTACGATAGCCTAAATGTTCGTACATACCATAACCGACTGTGCTAGCAAAAAGGAAGCAGGGAAGTTGATGACTATCAGCATCACGGTGGACAATGTTTAACATAGCCTTGCCAACTCCTTTCTTTTGGCTATCTGGATTAACAGAGACCAAGTGAACCATTATGAAACCATTTGGTTGAGTTAGCAAACCAGTTTTGTAAAGTGCTGTTTCATATTGGACTTCATTATACTGCGCACGGCGTTTAAGAGCGCCGGCATCATACCACCAATAAATGAATCTTTCATAAAGACCGTGAAGCCATTGAATAAATCGTTCCCTATAGGAAAGTTTAACAGAAGGAAACTGTTCGTAGGCCAAAAAACCAACGTATGGATGAGACGAAGTATATGCTACCTTGCAGTTCACACGAGGATTTAAATAAATCTTTCTACTAAAGAGTTTTGTAAGCGGTAATAAAGCCGATGGAGAAATACCACGAAATCTCCATGCCCAGGTGTCACTGTCCTTAAAAGCACGAAGGGTTAGCGCCGTGACTGGCCCAAGGTCTGAGTATTTCAAGTTGCGGAATTGCAAAGCTTCTCCATCTACAAAGTGAGCTTCTGACATTTCCAAGGGTTGAACTGAAACAAAGCAATGGTCGGTATATTATGTTGAAACAAAAGTTTAGCAAGAAGAATAGTCAGGCACAAGGCGGGATTCTTCTATGTTTCGTGTATAAAAAAAGAATAATAAACACGTAGCTTAATACTAAAGAGAAGAGCAAGTTGATACTTTAGCTTTCCGTAGTTTATTATATAATGAAAGAAAGAAAGAAAACGAAACCAACAATAGATTGTCCAGATATTAATCTTAAAAGGACGCGGTAGCTTATTCTTTCACAAAAAAAGATCAAAACGATAGTCAGAAAGCAAGGATAAGTGATATAGATTCTAAAAATAAGTCTACTATATCTTCCAAAGATGTCTTTCAGTGGATAGAGCAAGATTGATTTCTTCTCTTTTGGTGTAGTTTCGCGTAGCTCACAGAACACCTCAAGTATATCCCGTCCCGTACGTACTTCAGTATTGAACAAATACCTCACTTTTTTGCAAAATTTCTTTTTAAGGTTGATTTTGTTAATTATTTAACAATCTTTCAAAATTCCAAAAAAATTGCTTTTACTAAATTGTTCTCGTGAATCATTGAACGGTAAAATCTCAGGACTTTCAGGTACAAAGCGTTTATTCTCCTGCTTGGGATTGCACTGGTTGAAAAATTGAATAGAATATTCAATTCTTTGCAAGAAAGGCGGTATTTGTAATCTTGATTCGATTGAGAAGTAATAATAAGCATTGTATGATTCTAGTGGTTCGATTCATATATAGCTTTAAAGAGGAAAATCTTCAGGAATAAGAGCATTATTTTACAAGCTATCGAATAATTGTTTTTGTTTACGTTTCCGCTGGAAATTATCTATATTTTATCGTTTTTTGTTCATCTCATTCGTTATTATTTTTCTTCATTCACGGCGTTAAGAACTTCAAGTGTTTTATTTTATTTTTATATATTTTGTTAAATATTTAATATGACTAATGTATCAGACAGAACTCCTTTATTGAATGATTGGAGTTCGCATCTCACAAACCAAAATGATCCCGACTGGGAAGAAATGCATCGTTCTCGTCAAAAACGATTTTTTCGATTCCAGACGCGTCATATTGCATTGTTCTCATTAGGGAGCGGCATATTGCTTTTGTTCATTTTTCTTTTTACATTCAACCCCCCTCTTTACCCACCAGGTCAATACACGGGCCATAAAGTCAAAGGAAAGTCAGGTGCAGTCGCGACGGAAGTTGCTGGATGCTCCAACATTGGAATAGATATCCTCTCTATGGGCGGAAACGCAGTAGATGCCGCGGTAGCTTCAACGCTTTGTATCGGTACTGTTAATTTTTGTTCTAGCGGTATAGGAGGAGGCGGATTTATGCTTATTCAATTGCCAAATGGAACCTCTGAATCCATAAATTTTCGTGAAATGGCTCCGGGTAATGCCTCCAAACACATGTTTGATGAAAACCCTAGACTTGCCCAGATTGGAGCTCTTTCTATCGGTATTCCCGGCGAATTAGCTGGTTTATATGATGCATGGAACCGATTTGGTCGACTGGAATGGTCCAAAATAGTCAGACCAAGTGCCAAGCTTGCAAAAGAAGGGTTTACTGTAACACCTGCAATGGAGCATAGCATGTTGGACGAAACCACCAAAGACCTAATGAATGATTCAACTTGGGCTTCTGTAATTGCTCCTTATGGAACGTTGTTGAAGGCTGGTGATATAATGCGTCGTCCTGCCTTTTCGAAGACTTTGGAGATAATAGCCAAAGAAGGTGTTGATTCATTCTATAAAGGAGCCTTGACGGATGCGATGGTTGGATTTATTCAAGAACATGGTGGTATTATAACCAAAGAAGATTTTGAGAACTATTCAGTGATGATTTCCGATGTCATTGAAACAACCTATAGGGATCACAATGTTCTTACATGCCCCCTCCCAACGAGTGGGCCCGCGTTAATCGAGGGGCTAAACATTTTGGATGGATTTCCAATGGATTCTTCTTCACTTTCTTTCACAAAGAGATTACACCTCCAGATTGAAGCGATGAAATGGTTGTCAGCTGGGCGTACTCAATTTGGTGACCCAGAATTTATTCAAGAAAATATGGCTTTGATATCAAAAATGATGTCGAAAGAATTTGCTTCGCAAGTTCGAGAAAATATTTCAATGACTAGAACATATTCTTGGGAACATTACAATCCGTCATACGATGTTCCTGGCAATCACGGAACTACGCACATTTCTGTTACAGATAACGAAGGGTATTCCGTGTCTTTGACATCCACTGTTAATCTATTATTCGGGTCTCAGTTGATGGACCCTGTTACGGGAATAGTATTTAATGATCAAATGGATGATTTTTCTATTCCTGGTTCTTCCAATGCATTTAATTTGACACCTTCACCATGGAACTATATTGAACCGTACAAGCGTCCTCTTTCATCAGCGGCTCCTACGATTTTAAGAAACAAACGCGGTAATTTTAATATGGTGCTTGGTGCTAGTGGCGGTAGCCGAATTGTTACGGCTGTTTTGGATGCTATTGTGAAGCGAGTGGATATGAAATACGATATTGAGTCGATGGTGGCTAGTGCACGTTCCCACCATCAATTGCGACCGAATGTATTAGTTTTGGAAAATGGATTTTCCAAAGTGATCGCATCCAGAATCAAGAAATACTTACATAAGGTTGTTCGATTAAAGTCCCGAACTACACCGTTGAGCGCTGTTCAGGCAGTTATGAAACACAAAGGTATGATCTATGGTATGAGTGATCCTCGAAAATATGGGCAAGCTGCTGCATATTGATGATATATAATGATTTCAACTGATATACATTAGAATACAACTTTTTTTACGTCAATTTGATATTTATTTTTAAAAGCTTTTAGGAAAAGGAAAGGAATTAAAAGCAAAACGAATGGCAAGGATGCCTCGTTGTAGGAAGTAATACACAATATTTAGATTGGAATGTTTGATAGCAATGAGTAAAAATGGAATTAAGAAATTGGAAAATTAAGCAGACTGAAACTTATTTGCCTTCTTGCGAAGCTTTTCTTGGCGTTTGGAAAGAGGTTGATTCGCGGTAGCTGGTTCAGCTTGTTCAGAAGATGCAGGATCATTGGTACCCTGGTTTCGGAACTTTTGTAATTGTTGAAAGCCCATACGCAGCAAGGGGAAGGCTTTGTAGCCAACAAAGATAGGAACCTATAGACTATGTTAGCATGAAGAAGGATATGGAAAAGACATTTGTCAACATACCAATAAATAGAGGGCAAAAAACTTGGTAGAGGTAAGAGAAGAAAGGAGAATGATAATCCAAGAGAAATACATGTAATCAATCATATAAGAAGTAACGCCGTGTTGCAAAAGATCCTGACCCACGTACAGCAAGGCGCCTCTCGAGTCGTATTTAGGAGCAGCCGCACGGTTGAGTTGGTAATGAACGAACCCGGCAGAGCCAGCAGAAAAGACATACAAGAGTTTAGAAAGCTTGGAAAGAGGACTACGAACAAAAAAGCGAAGTAATATAAACAAAAGGTTGACAGTGACATCGGCAACGAGCATAAACATCAGGATTCGCTTGTTTTGTACAGCGAGCTTTTTTTGAGCAGCGTTTGCCATCTTTCAATTGTTTAGAAAAAGAAATGAAGAAGAAAGAGAGAGGAAGGAGGAAACCACAATTTCACTACCGTAAGAAACGTTTCTTGAAGGAAGGAGAGGGTAGTATGTTTTCTAAAAAAATGGAAAAAGTTTTTCAAGTTTTTTTTTCTTACTTGTTTTTGAAACAAAGTACTGCTGCTGGAAGATACAGATATTGCTATTGTCCCTTTCGCAAAATAAGGTGAGTAAACAGGAATAAAGTGATCGTATTATCGAAGACGATATTCTTAGCCAGGTAAACAAAACGAAATCAGAAAAACGGAAGAACAAACAAAAAAAAAAGCCTAGTTCATAGGAAGCAATCAAAAGTCATGTCAAGTCGTGTGCTAAAGTTGCTTTCAACATACTTTGAAACGAACCACCGATATAGTAGTATATTTGTTCCTTGACGACTCTTTCCATATTGTAATTGGGACCAAAAAGTTTTGTGCTATGAGTCATTGCATGCTTGCGGATTTCATTCTGAAAAAGTTAATCTTCTTTCCCTACTCCTATACCTGATGTACACAATTTTTTTGCCAGACATTACGCTAACCCAAGTAACCCAAACAAAACCGATCAAAAGATCCAATGGGATGGGATTCCATTCCTTCGCGTCCAATTCACAGTCTATGACAACATCCAGAAGCGATCAAGAAAGTTATGATATCCAAGAATTCTGCTTTCTTTACATCCTTGCTTGTTTGCTTCCCTTACCATATAATCAGATCAATCTTGTCAAAGTCAACATTGCCAAAGCCGTCTAAGGAATGCAACTCATCAAGAATCTCCTCCGAAAAGCGTCATGGCAAGCTGCTTCGTATTCATTCATTTTTGAATACTTGGGTTACCTGCTTTCTTGCTACATTCCTTCCTTCTAAACCCTTCGTACCCAATAATGCTCTTCCCATTTCCGACTGCGACCTTTGAATTTTCATTTGCTCGACTTAGGTCACAACATCAAGTCACGACCATCTCCGTGAACCAGTCGGGAAGGGGCAGACACATCTTGGTCCTGTGGAGTTTCATCACTGGTGGAACCATCTCCACTAGAAGTATATCGGGAAAGGACTCACACGGTAGTAGTGGGGGTTCCGTGGGTAGTGACGGAATGAGTACGAACAACAAAGAGAAAGGATTCAACTGATTCAATTTGAAAGAAATTCCTTTTGAAAAGGTTTACGAAAATATTTATTTTAGATTTAAAAAAAAAAATATTATTGAATTACTTCAAATTTCTGTTTAACTGTCTTGTTTACAACTCTTCATTTCCTAAGGCGGGTCGGCCGTATATTTTTGCGACAAAGTTATCTAAGGTAGAAAACCCCCTCTTGTTCCACCAATCACGTACGATAGATTCGCCTTGGAAAGTGCGGGTTACTCGCGTACCACGATGGCACTAGTAATATCTGGAATCGAAGAAAAAAAAAAACAAAATTATATACTTTCTATAATGAAGATACAAAATACATGATTATATATATTTGTTTTTTCTAAAAATTTAAGGATTTTTCAAACTTGAAATGTTAGTCGTGGGAACAGTCCTACCTGACATCTCGTGTAGGGAGAGGAGATTTCTAACCGCGGATTTGCACCTTCCAAGCGCAATAAAAAGCAACCATTTCCCTTCCACGTCTTTTTTCCCGTAGACTTAGAACTATGGCTCCCCGTATAGCCTCCCATTTCCTGGGTATGTAAAGTAGAATTATTCATTTCCTCTTTTCAAAAGCGAAAAAATTTGTCTGTTCGACCGTTGTTCCTAAAAACAGTCTATCGCGGTCGCAAAGGACGTGTTTTATCTTTTCAATACATTTTTTGGTGAATTCCTAAGCGTCTTCTTTTTTAAATGACGCGTCTATTTGTGTTTTTCGGCCTATGGCTGAGATTTGCAAGTATCATCCGCTATTTTGAAAGCCTCTGCGGCAATCTCGCTTTTTCTTTCATTTCTCGTAAAAGATAAACACAGCGTCGCGTTTCTGTTAAACTCCTCCTCTTAAGAGCTTTTGAAAAGTGCCTTTTCGTTCAATACTAACTATCTTTGTAGGAGGCAATTCCCTAGATATAGCGCCTTCCAGTAAGGTGAAAGATTATATTACTTCACGTGGTGGACATACCGTAATCACGTCTATTTTAATCGCTAATAATGGTATCGCCGCTGTTAAAGAAATCCGAAGCATTCGAAAATGGGCATATGAAACGTTTAATAATGAAAGAGCTATCAAATTCACTGTCATGGCTACCCCCGATGACCTGAAGGTTAACGCCGATTATATCCGCATGGCCGACCAATATGTAGAAGTCCCCGGTGGCTCAAATAATAATAACTATGCAAACGTAGAACTCATCGTCGATGTTGCTGAGCGTATGAAGGTTCATGCCGTCTGGGCCGGTTGGGGTCATGCCTCCGAAAACCCCAGACTTCCAGAAATGTTGGCTGCCAGCAAGCAAAAGATTGTTTTCATCGGTCCTCCAGGTAGCGCAATGCGTAGTTTGGGTGATAAGATTAGCTCAACTATCGTTGCTCAAAGCGCGAAGGTCCCATGTATGCCCTGGTCGGGTCTTGGTCTAGAAAAAGTCCGTATCGACCCTGAAACCAATATCGTCACTGTTGATGATGATGTTTACCAAGAGGCTTGCATCAATTCCGCCGAAGACGGTGTTGCCGTCGCCGAAAAAATTGGATACCCCGTTATGATTAAGGCATCCGAAGGTGGTGGTGGTAAGGGTATTCGTCAAGTCACTTCCTCTCAGCACTTCACCCATGCTTATCAACAGGTTTTGGCCGAACTTCCTGGCTCTCCTGTGTTCGTGATGAAGCTTGCTGGACAAGCCCGTCACTTGGAAGTTCAGATTTTAGCTGATCAATATGGCAATAATATCTCCCTCTTTGGTCGTGATTGTTCCGTTCAACGTCGTCATCAAAAGATTATTGAAGAAGCCCCTGTCACCGTCGCTCCTCCTAATACTTTCCGTGAAATGGAGCGCGCTGCCGTTCGTTTGGGTGAACTTGTTGGCTATGCATCTGCCGGTACCATTGAGTACCTTTATGAACCTGAAACTGACAAGTTTCATTTCTTGGAATTAAACCCTCGTTTGCAAGTAGAACATCCAACTACTGAAATGGTTTCAGGCGTCAACTTGCCCGCTGCCCAACTTCAAGTTGCAATGGGTATTCCTTTACATCGCATCCCCCACATTCGTGAACTTTACGGCTTACAACGTGATGGTGAAAGTAAAATTGACTTTGCCTTTGAAAACCCCGAGTCCCATAAAGTTCAAAAAGTGCCTACGCCTAAGGGTCACTGTATTGCTTGTCGTATCACTTCAGAGGACCCTGGTGAAGGTTTCAAACCCTCCAGCGGTATGATTAAAGACCTTAATTTCCGATCTTCCAGCGATGTTTGGGGTTACTTTTCTGTCGGTACCGCAGGTGGTATCCATGAATTCGCCGATTCTCAATTCGGCCATATCTTTGCATTCGCCGATTCCCGTGAAGCTACTCGTAAGTCAATGATTGTAGCGTTGAAAGAATTATCTATCCGCGGTGATTTTAGAACAACCGTTGAGTATTTAGTCCGCCTACTTGAAACTGGCGAGTTTGCCCATAATGAATTTACCACTGCTTGGTTGGACAAACTTATCGCTCAAAAGGTTACCTCCGCTCGTCCCGACAAGATGCTTACAGTTGTTTGCGGTGCGCTTGTCCGTGCTCATGCAATCGCTGAAGAACAATATCGCGCATTTAAATCTTATTTGGAGCGCGGCCAAGTCCCTTCTCGTGATTTCCTTAAAAATGTTTATGATATAGAATTCATCTATGATGGCAATCGTTATAGGTTTACTGCTTCTCGTTCTTCCCCAGGTTCATATCATTTGTTCTTAAATGGCTCCCGCTGTACGGCTGGTGTCCGTTCTTTGACTGATGGTGGCTTGCTCGTTTTATTGAACGGTCAATCTTATACCGTTTACTATCGAGATGAAGTTACAGGTACTCGAATTTCCATTGACAACATGTCATGCATGTTAGAAAAAGAAAATGACCCAACGCAGTTGCGTACTCCTTCCCCTGGTAAATTGGTTCGCTTCTTAGTTGAAACAGACGAGCATATTAAGGCAGGTGAAGCTTACGCGGAAGTTGAGGTTATGAAAATGATTATGCCATTAGTAGCCACTGAGGATGGTACAGTGCAGTTGATCAAGCAACCTGGTGCCTCTATTGGTGCAGGTGATATCCTTGGTATTCTAACTCTTGACGATCCTAGCCGTGTTAAGCATGCGCTACCCTTCAATGGTCAGCTTCCCAAATTTGGTGATCCTCAAATTGCTGGTAACAAGCCTTGCCAACGTTATCATCAATTGTTAAACATTTTACTTGACATTTTGAAGGGTTACGATAATCAAATCATTCTTAACAGCACTTATAACGAAATTATTGAGGTCCTCCGTGATCCTGAACTTCCATTCAGTGAGTGGAGCTCTTATTACTCTGCATTGGTTAGTCGCATGCCTCCTGCTTTAGATAAATTGTTTGTTTCTATTATCGAAAAGGCAAGAGCTCGTAAGACTGAATTCCCTGCCAAGCAGTTGGAGTTAGGCTTGCAAACTTATTGTGAGGGCCAAAAGCTCTCCGTAACTCAGCAACTCAAGCAACAAATTGCTCCTTTGATTGATGTTATTAATGACTATAAAGACGGTTTGAAGGTACATGAGTACCGTGTCGTTAGAAGTATTTTAGAGGAGTACTACAATGTTGAGCGCTTGTTTTCAGGTCCCAATAAAAGAGAAGAAGATGTCACACTTCGTCTTCGTGATGAGAACAAGGACAATGTTGATAAAGTCATTGCCCTTGCTTTGTCTCACTCTCGTATTGGTTCCAAGAATAACCTTCTCATAACTATGCTTGATCTTATAAAATTGGAGCCTTCTACTTTCGTTTCATTGTACTTTAATGATATCTTAAGAAAACTCACTGATCTTGATTCTAGAGCTACTGCCAAGGTCTCTCTCAAGGCACGTGAACTCTTAATTTCATGTGCTATGCCATCTCTCTCTGAACGTTTCTCTCAGATGGAGCACATCTTGAAAACCTCAGTTGTAGAAAGCCACTATGGTGATTCCGAGTTTGCTCACCGTCCTCCTAATTTGGAAATTTTGAAGGAACTCATTGATTCCAAGTACACGGTCTTTGATGTTTTACCTGCTTTCTTCTGTCATCCCGATCCATGGGTGTCTTTGGCTGCATTAGAGGTCTATGTACGCAGAGCTTATCGTGCTTATGCTGTTTTGGAGTTGAATTATCACGTCGAAAACGACACTCCTTTTGTGATTTCCTGGAGATTCCAGCTTCGTGCTAGTAGTACGCCAGGACAAGGTGCTAGTGGAGCAAATGGTCTTCTTCCAAGCAGCAGTTCCCCTTCCTTGGAAAATGAGAACAAGCGCCTTCAATCTTACAGTGATCTTTCTTGGTATGTAAACAAGAATGATTCCGAGCCTTTCCGTTTCGGAGCCGTTGTTGCCGCTGATAATTTTGATCAACTGGAAACCAATCTTGCTTTGGCTATCGAGCGTCTACCATTGGCTCGCAATACCTTCAATGCCGGATTAACTTTGAATAATGAAGAACCATCTAGTGCTCCTCTTCAAGAACTTACAAATGTTCTTAACGTTGCTTTAACGTCTACTAATGATCTCGAAGATTCTGCTATTGTCGATAAACTTAGCTCCGTTTTAGGCGAATTTCGGGATGACTTACTTGAACACAATGTTCGAAGAATCACTGTAATTGGTGGTAGACATAATAAGTCAGCTCATCCTTCTTATTTCACTTATCGTGCCTCTTCGGATAGTTTCGAACATGAGACGGTTCGCTACGTTGAAGATGAGCGAATTCGCCATATTGAACCAGCTTTGGCCTTCCAATTGGAATTGGGTAGACTTTCCAACTTTGATATTGAGCCCGTTTTTATTGACAACCATAACATTCATGTTTACCGTGCGACTGCGAAAAATATGAGTTCGGATAAGCGTTTCTTTACCAGGGCTCTCGTCCGTCCTGGAAGACTTCGTGATGAAATTCCAACAGCTGAATATCTTATTTCTGAGACTCATCGATTGATTAACGATATTCTTGATGCTCTCGAGGTCATTAGTCCTGATGAAACTGATCTTAATCACATTTTCATTAACTTCCTTCCTGCATTTGGACTCGCTCCCAAGCAAGTTGAAGCTGCTTTAGGTGGATTTTTGGAGCGCTTTGGACGTCGTTTATGGCGTTTACGTGTAACCGCTGCTGAAATTCGCATTATCTGCACTGATCCTAAAACAAACACTCTTTTCCCCTTGCGTGTCATCATATCCAACGTTTCTGGATTTGTCGTAAATATCGAACTTTACGCAGAAGTGAAGACCGAAAACAACTCTTGGATCTTCAAGAGTATTGGCCAACCTGGATCAATGCATCTCAGACGTATCAATACCCCTTATCCAAACAAAGAATGGCTTCAACCTCGTCGCTACAAGGCACAATTGATGGGTACAACATTCGTTTACGATTTTCCAGAGTTGTTCCGTCGTGCTTTTAGTGACAGCTGGAGAAAGGTCGACAGTGGTCATTCTGAAAACCCTGTCCCACAAGACATGTTCAACTGCAAGGAGTTGGTTGAGGATGAAAATGGAGATTTGCAAGAGGTTAGCCGTGAGCCCGGTACAAACTCTTGTGGTATGGTTGCTTGGTCGGTGACTGTCAAAACTCCTGAATATCCTAATGGTAGAAAATTGATCATCATCGCTAATGATATTACATACCAGATTGGCTCATTTGGACCAAGAGAAGATAACTTTTTCTTTAAGGTGACCGAACTTTCTCGTCAGCGCGGAGTTCCCAGATTGTATTTGGCTGCTAATTCTGGTGCCCGTATTGGTGTTGCAGATGAGTTGATTCCCTTATTCAACGTGGCCTGGAACAACGTCAATTCACCCGAGAAGGGATTTGAGTATTTGTATTTGACACCCGAAGTTCAAGAGCGCTTAGATAAGCAGGATACTAAAACCATACATACTGAAAGAATTGAGACCGAGTCTGGCGAAGTTCGTTACAAGATCACAGCTATCATTGGTTCTGGTGAAGGATTGGGTGTAGAATGTTTGAGAGGTTCTGGTTTGATTGCTGGTGTTACATCTAGAGCTTATAATGACATTTTTACCTGTACGCTTGTTACTTGCCGTGCCGTTGGTATTGGTGCATATCTCGTTCGTCTTGGCCAGAGAGCGGTTCAAGTTGAAGGTCAACCAATTATTCTTACCGGTGCTCCTGCCCTTAATAAGGTTCTGGGACGTGAAGTCTACAATTCTAATTTACAATTGGGTGGTACTCAAGTAATGCACAGGAACGGTATTTCTCATTTAACTGCTCAAGATGATTTCGACGGAATTTCGAAAATCGTCAATTGGCTTTCATATATTCCTGATAAGCGCAATAACCCCGTTCCCGTATCGCCATCGAGTGATCCTTGGGATCGTGATGTTGAGTATTATCCCAATCAGAGTGGTTACGATCCTCGCTGGTTGATTGATGGTAAAGAGGATGAAGATTTGTACTTGTACGGTATGTTCGACAAGGGTTCCTTCCAAGAAACTTTGGATGGATGGGCAAAGACAGTTGTCGTAGGTCGTGCACGTTTAGGTGGTATACCAATCGGTGTTATCGCTGTTGAAACTCGCACCATCGAAAACACTCTACCTGCTGATCCAGCCAATCCAAGCTCTACGGAACAAAACTTAATGGAAGCCGGACAAGTTTGGTATCCTAACTCAGCTTTCAAGACCGCCCAAGCCATCAACGATTTTAACCACGGCGAACAATTACCGTTATTTATTCTCGCTAATTGGCGTGGTTTCTCTGGTGGTCAACGAGACATGTTCAATGAAGTACTTAAATATGGTTCTTACATTGTTGATGCTCTTGCTGAATACAAACAGCCAGTATTCGTATACATTCCCCCTTACAGTGAATTACGTGGTGGCTCTTGGGTTGTTGTGGATCCTACCATTAATGATAAGCAAATGGAAATGTATGCCGATGAAGAAAGTAGAGCTGGTGTTTTAGAACCAGAAGGAATGGTCAGCATTAAGTTCAGACGTGAGAAGTTACTTTCATTGATGCGCAGATGCGATGAGCAATACGCTGCTTTGCAAGATAAGCTCAACCAAAAGGATTTAAGCCCCGATGAACTCTCAACGGTCAAGGTTCAATTAATGGAACGCGAACAAAAGCTGATGCCTATTTATCAACAAATCAGTATTCACTTTGCTGATTTGCATGATCGTGTAGATCGTATGGTTGCTAAAAAGGTCGTCCGTCAACCCTTGAAATGGACCAATGCTAGACGCTTCTTCTACTGGCGCTTGAGAAGACGTTTGGATGAACATTATTCTCAACAGAAATTAATGCAGCTTATTCCCGGTTTAAGCCATGAAGAATCGCAACGTTGTCTTAAGCAGTGGTACACAGAATGGCGCGGCAAAGAGGATTGGGATACTGCTGATCGATCCGTTATTACATGGATTGAAGAAAACAGTGAAACTCTAACTAAACACACCCAAGAGTTGAAGAGTCATTATTATAGCAACCGTATCGCTGAACTAATTCGTGCTGATAAGCAAAACATGATTGATAGTCTTGCTTTAGTCTTGACCGAACTCGATGAAGCAGAGAAAAAGGAATTAGCTGCAAAACTTGCTGCTAGGAATTAAGAATTAAGCTTATGAACTCTGAGGATAATGTTTGTGTATTTATTTCATCCAGACTTCTTTGATTTGTTTACTTGCTCAGAAGCTGTTGGAGGAAGTTATACCTTGTAAAGCTACATGATGTACTTATACCCTGAATATAGGAGATGCGAATTTATTTCATTATTTTTGATAAATTGTATACCGTTCAAAGATCTTTAATCACTTCATAGCATATATGCCGTTCATTTAACAATTGTCCTTTGAAATAGGTAGTACATGTTTAACAATGAAAGTTTTATTCTTACGAAATGAATATGAATATGCAGTGCAGTATAGTAACTAGTCTTGTACATGAAGTAGTCGGTAAACAAATTCGAATGGAGTGCGAGTACAGTTGGCTTATAAATATTCACGAGTTAAGATCTTGTAAGTAATTTATTTTTTAAAAAATGTAGTTTATACGAACACAAAAAGAAAAACAAGTGGATAACTATCATAATCATGCTGGATTATCATTTTCAGATAAGTGCAGCGTCAACGCTACTTTAAAAATTAAAGAACTTCTTCAAAACATTAGCAAAACGTTCTATAGCAATTTCGAATTCATGAAGTTCAGCGTAAGCAAAAGTAACGCGGAAAAAGATTTTGTCGTTGATTGAAGAATCAACAACGAACCAGTTGCCACACGCAACATTGGCACCATCTTCAATAGCGTCCGCATGAATCTCAGATTCAATTTCAGCAATACTCTTGCCCTGGTCAGCAAATTTATATGCTGCCTTGTCCACCTCGAACCAAATGAACATACCGGCTTCAGGGGCAATGTAAGAACAGATGGATTTTGGAAGGTACTTGTCCATAGCATAGAGTAAAGCATTACGGCGTTCAGTATAAGAGAAACGAATGTTCTTTAACCACGCAAGGTATCCATCATGTCCCCAGGTTTGGAACAAGGCTTGTAAAAGTGCCTGAGAGATACCAGAAGCATTTTGAGAAGCAGTCTCGGTATAACGAAGACTACGCTCGATAAACAAAGGTTGAGCAGTGATCCAACCAATACGGGAACCAGGTGCAACAACCTTCGAGAGAGAGTCCATGCGAATAACACGGCCATCGACATCGATGTGCAAGAAAGAGGTGATTAGATTCTTGACAAATTCTTCGTTAGTAAACTTGGGGTCAACGGCTTCCGGTTTATGTTGGTATTCATCCATTTGCAAATAATAGTAGGGTTCGTCCTCAATAATGATAAAGTCGTGTTTTTGAGCAAGAGCGTAGATTTTCTCCTTACGTTCCACAGACAAGGTACTACCAGTGGGATTCTGACCGCTAGGAATGGTGTACAAGACACGAGGCTTGTTACCGTCTTTCCAATTACTTAAAATATTATCCAAAGATTCAGGCAACATGCCATTTTTGTCCATGTCAACTGAAACAACGTTCAAACCCATTGGACGCATAGCCTGAAGAGCGGAGGGAAAGGTGTACTTCTCCACAAGGATACTGTCTCCTCTGTTTAAGAGCATACGCAAACACATGTCCAAACCTTGAGTATTACCAGTAGTGAGTAGAATGTCCCAATCCTTATAAGGGGGAGAGTGAATCAATTGAGTATGTTCTTTCAAAAATTTTGACAATGGAGCACAGCCAGAACCTTTTCCGTATTGCAAAGCCACAGAAAGAGGCAAATCATCTTCATTCTGAGAATCCATGGGAACGGAGACATTAGATAAATTGCCTTCATTCTCAGCACCACGAACCCAAGAACCGATGGACGGGATCTCTGCTCCCATTTCTCGGAAGGGGAAGTATTGAGGATTAGGAAGTCCTCCGGCCAAAGATATCACATTAAGTCCCTTCTTACTTACAGAGCCTGCAATTGCCTTCAAAGGTGAAGGCTTACGAGAAGCGCTTTCCACCGAAAGGTGATGAGACAAATCTTTAGGTTGAATCGACATAGCTTTTATCTTTCTAGACTCGTAATTTGGTATTCTATTGATTCAAATTCACACTGGCTTGGAGGGGTGATGGTTATGGTTAGAATTTTTCATATCGGTGCAGAGGATATTATTTACCACAACTGATAATAGATGTAGTCACGATTAGTTAGCATTTTCAAGGCACTTTTAATAGTTCTTTATTGACAGATAAGTGAGATAGAAGAATGCTAGAATAAATTTTCCAGGATGAGCGAAAGGTATTTCAGTACTAACAGCATATATTACCAAATTTCTCTATATGCAGCGAAGTTGTTTTAGCAACTGAACACATCTGTTTTTCGTTCATATCGTGGAATTGAGGTTCATACTTTTTATAGAGGCAAGAGCTTTAAGGGTGAAAAGTCTCTCACTTGGATACACGGTATGAAAGGTTTATATTTAGCTTGTACTAGCAGTCTTTGGGCATCGTTCTCAACAAATTTGAGAAAAGAGAAATTGTTTCTTCCTGTTTTATATAGTATGCTGTTGTTAGATCGGTGATACCCCCAGTCAAGTAGTCCTTTTCGTAATGATCATCACGAGGCAAAATTATGCAACAAGAATCATCCAAGGATATTTGCCAACGCTCATGAAATCGTTATTTAAGAAACGTTTCAGTACATACTTTTAAAAAGTTTTAGCGTTTTCTTTTCAGGTTTAGAGAAATAAAAGTAGCATTTCATATGTGTAAGTGTATGCACAGACAAATTCATGCGAAACAGAATTGGGAAAATGACTTTCATAAGCGCTCTTTGAAGAAACATAATTTCTTATTATTCTTTCTAAACTAGTACGGCGCTCGACTATTCTTTAGTTGGTCGAACAATGACACAACAATAAAGTGTCTTTGCGAGTGCTCCAAATTGTAATCAAAACTTAAGCTGTCTTGCTATATATCGAAGGTCATTCGGAGAGTAAAATCTAGTTTTATGATTAGACTAGCTTCAATACTAGGTAGTCCAAAGCGTTGAAGAAATTGCTCGCATCCTTGAGGGTCACCTTGAAACATCGAATCTTCATTAAGAGAAAGATCAATTATGTATCATTTGATCTTTAATAGTTTCATTGAGAATTGGAAAATTACCAATTTGAGAACAGTTCATTATCCTACTGAGTTGTCATATCATTTCACCACAATTTATAGAGAACACACACTTATATGTAAATAAATCTCTTTTCGCTGATTTCTTCTTCAGAAAAATATATTTGGTTTGTTATACTTTTTACCTTCTTTGATTGTTTGTTCTTTAGCCTTGACAAGCCAACAAGTGCTATTTCCTATACGATATTCAACACGCTTGTCGTTAATGTGAAACAAAAATGAAGGCATTTGTTACTGTCGGCTCTACGAGATTTGATGAACTTGTTTCTAGCGTTCTGAATGCTGATACACAGTACCAACTAGTTCAGCACGGAATCACTCAACTAATTGTTCAATATGGAAATGGCAGAGAGGCTTTTGGAACACCAGAGCCTGTTAACGGAATATCCATTTCTGGATTCGACTATGCACCAGAAATTGGATCATACATAGATTCGTCTTCGGTTGTTATCTCCCATGCTGGTGCAGGTAGTATCCTTCAATGTCTACGAGCAAAGAAGCCTCTCATCGTAGTACCGAATGAATCTTTGATGGACAATCATCAACTAGAGCTTGGGAATAAATTGGCTTCTTTGAATTACCTGGTAACGTGTTCCTATAGAAATCTTCCTCAAGGACTTGAGGCCTTATTCCGTACTCAGCTAGAACCATTTCCTGAGCCTGAATATTCTGCTTTTCGGAATGTTCTTAACGATGTTTTAATCAAATAAGACTATAACAGTGGGTCCCTGATTCTGTACGTTTCTCATGGCTTGTGCTCTAAATCCAATCCCTCTAATGCTACAGGGGGAAATTTGCGTGTAACCTACAGTTTGAATTATTTTCTGTTTGATTCCCTTCTTTAGTTGCTCTGTGTTTTCACGTTTACTACAAAGACAATACACCTTCAAAAGAAAAGTATATCTGGAAGGTTATTAGAATAGTTGATTAGAAGCAGTGAAGTACTTCATTTCTTTCATCAGCTTCCTTGGAAACAAAACATTCATTCATTCGTGATTTGTATAGCCAACATTAACTCTTTGTTTACTACTGTGTTCATTGATAAACCTCGTAAAATTTCTCGATCCATTTGCTAACTTATATCAATAGTAGGACAGTCCTCTAACAAGTTGAACTAAGAATTTATATTCATTCTACGATGGGGTATTTCACCTCAAAATCGGCTAGGAGTGTTTTCTCTCTCAAGCAGCTGTCCATTAGTACTGCCGTTGTTTCTTCAATAGGATATGCGGTATATCAACTACGTGAACAAAATGCTGTTCGATTGGATCCACCTAATACAACTTATGCGAATCCATCGAAGGTTCGCTTACCACCAACGGACCGTGAAAGTATTAACAAGCGTTTACGGGAGTATGAAAAGTCCGTGTTTGTGAATCGAGATGGAATCGCCAGATACGACTTTAATCAGTTAGCAAGTAACGACCCTTGTGAGGATGACCATGTGGAGTCAGTCTCAAAAGATATTGACGATGAAAATTGGTACTTTTGGGGTGTTTTTGATGGTCACTCCGGCTGGAATACTTCTTTATATTTGCGTCAGCATTTAGTCCCAGTTGTCGTTGATGAATTACGGAAAACAGCATTGACTGCAATGCAAAATAGTGCATGTCCTTCTGCCTTGAGTTATGAACGATCTTTGTGCAATGCCTTTGAGAATTTGGATAATCATATTGTACATGAGAACATTGCGACTGTTTTCAAAAATCCAAAATCTATGCAGAATGCTGCCCGCTTATTATTACCAGCAGTTTCTGGTTCTTGTGCCCTTTTAACCGCGTACTCTGCAAAGTCAAAGACTCTACAAGTTGCTTGCACTGGTGACTCGCGAGCTGTAATGGGTGAACAAAATTCCAATGGAAGTTGGAACGCTGTCCCGTTAAGTAGAGACCAAACAGGTGCAAATCTAGACGAGGCTGCACGTTTGGAAGTCGAACATCCCGGTGAAACCGTTTTACGCAATAACCGTATACTTGGACGGTTGATGCCTTCCCGTGCTGTAAGTTATTACTTGAGAAACTATATTGTAATTTTTTACTAACATTTTAGTTTGGTGATGCAAGGTTTAAGTGGTCTCGAGATGTCAGTGAACGTTTACATAGGGAGTACTTCTCGGCTGCTCCCATTCCGGTGAAATCTCCGCCATACGTAACGGCTATTCCTGAAGTAGAAACAGTAAAAATAGATTCTAAGAAACAAAAATTTCTTATTATGGCTTCCGATGGTCTATGGGACACAATGTCTAGTGAACGAGCAGTTGAGCTAGTAGGTCAATGGATCAATTCAGAGTTTGGGAAAAATCCTGAATCTAATAGTTTTTCGTCAAGTACTTTGAACCCATTTAATTGGTTCCATAAAGAATCGCCGGTTGTAGATGAAAATGCTGCCACCCATCTCATCCGCAATGCATTAGGGGGAAAAGATGAAAAAGTTTCAGCTCTTCTTACTTTGACCTATCCTCTCTCTCGAAGATATAGAGACGACCTTACAGTAACGGTAGTATTCTTTGAAGAAAATGAAGCGTCTTGAATGTTGTTGGAAGTGAAGGATTGCATTTACTACCGAACGGCTAGCACTATGTATTTATCGGCAGCCCATACAAAACGAACGAGAAACGAAACAGTATAGCCGCTCTCTTCAAATGCTTATATACTTATTATGATTATGAACAGCTTATTTCTTTACGAATGAAATGGTACCTTAAGTATCTAATTATTAGCAATGAAGTATTATTTTCCATTAGCATATAAACATTTCAAAATACACAAAACAAGAGTGTTTTGTACAACATAAAGAGAAAAGTCTCATGGCAAGATATAGTCATACAGCTACAAACTATATCTACAATATCCTGTCATTAAACTCACAAGCCATTCCAAATGTTCAAAATATTCACATAACGAATTTAAACTAATCGTATATAATTTTAAGAAAAGAAATTTACAATGAGCAAGTTAAAAAGTACTTGATCTCAAAAAATTAACGAAAAAAGTAGTAAAGGTGAAGAACTCGAACATACCACCTAACAAGAAGCATGACAGTTGTACCTATTAGTACAAAACACGGAGGAACTAAATATTAAGATTATTGCTTAGTTACACCATCAGCGAGAAAAAATAACGTAAAATAACAAAGGGGAACGACAGGCGAGTCCTTGAACCTCTATAATTAATAAGCGCGAAGATTCATTACGAAGTAGCAAATTCACATGGCTATACATGATGTTTAATTAGCATTCCTATTCTGTATTCTTATTCTCGTGATTCAAACTGTCGTTGTCGTCATTGTCGAAGTGTTGGACAATGGACTCTCTTCGACTACTGACTTCGCTTGGTGCCGAATCCGTTGGTCGCTTGACATGGATTGATGGTTCCTTTGATGGAGAGCCCGTGACGGCAATCCTATGAGGGATTGTTTCTGGTGAAGGTATTTCTTTACCTATACAGGTTATGCCAGCATCGGACGCTTTACCAGCTTTATTTAATGCGTAGTCGCCTGAATCAAAATATTTTCTTCCTTGCTATGATTCCAATTAATATCGATTCCGAATACGCGTCCTTCTCAACATATTCTTACTTACCTGTAATTTTTGAACTAAAAGGTCTTTACGCTGTGGAAGTCTTCCGTAAAGACGGAAGAGCTTTTGCTCCTCTGGGCTGAGCTTCTAAAAATTACTTAGTCAACAAAGTTGATCTAGAAAATTGTTTTCGTACCGTTATGTCAACCGTATTCTCTGGATTACCCGATGTCATACCTTCAAAGCAATTTGGTTGTTGCCAACAACTGTTCGTACAAGGTAATAGGGATCGAACAAAATGTGTATGTAATATATACTTGTTAGGATAATATTACAAAACCGACTTTTTATGAATGACAACATCAATCAAGGATCACTTTATTAAAAAACTCACATTTGAGCTTGCTTTTGTGTATTCTTTTTCTAATAAGCATTTAAGAAGCTATATGATCACTTTCCACTTTCCATTTTCCACTAGAAAGTAAAAATTTGTTTTACTCAAAATTCATAGCTTTTTCAGTGTTCAATTATAAAGAAGTTTACTTTAATGTTTTATTAATATTTTTAAGCAAATAATAAATCCATATAAAAAGCGTTGTACACACGTTTGATATTTAAAAAAGTTAACTACTGTTAGAAGCATGATACGTTAACGATTTACATTTTGAGATATAATCCTCAGACGAGTCCTTGGTATAATCTGAAGAAGACCAATGCGTCCTACTTTGTTTGAGACTGCTACTATTGGACTCGTCGTAAGCAGAGTCAGTATGCGTGTTTGTATTCGGACTGGGCAACGGTCGAATTGAGATATAGTCATCTAGATCTTTTTCTGTGTAATATTGCCGACATTTGCAGAGGTCCAAAAGTAGTTGGTTACAAAAGTCGTAAAACCCACGAAGAAAAGAATCCTTTTTAAATATAACCGCGTCCGTATCGTACAGAAAAAGGCCTGATTCTGGAACCCTTCCTTCAAACACGGTATCCTTTGTATTCATATATATATGAATGGGAAAAGCATGACCGTTGTTTCCTACACAGTGCATCATAGATAACCAGGCAATGTCAGCTTCAGAGGATGCGGAATGCAACATCGCTTCAAAGCCACGCAGTTCGTACGGAAGGCTACCCTCGCATAACGGTAATTGTAGTTGGAGGTAGCTTAGAAAGTTTGAACATGCAACAGCAACACAATCCTTCTTTTCTTTGAGAGCGTAAATATCGTTTGGATCGATCAGATACATGCGTATACAGCCAAGTCTGTTTTGTAAAGCAAGCTTTAGTAGTTTGGACTGAGCGTTCTGACGACTAGAAAGATAATGGTCAACAGCAATCCAAAGACATTCCTGAATTGCTGGAGGGTAAAATTGGAATAGCATAACATGGTGAATCAAAACCGAGATAGGGACAGGGCCAGCACGAAGATACTCACAAAGATGATTAAATAAACTACGGTGGCTTTTGAGTAGCAATTTTACATTTTCATCAGCACACCTATTATATTGTGTAAAGTGATATACTTTGTCTGGCATAGAAAAACCGCGCTCATCCAGCTCATACCTGTGTTTTAGATAAGTACCGCTGAAAGTATGAAAAACACTGCTTAAAGAACCCTGCGTAAACGTGTTTGGAATATCATAACAATCCGGAAGTTCAAACTCCCCTAGCTTTAAAACTTCGCAGATGTCAGGAATCCAAGGAAGAGAACTTAGAAGCAAAAAGCGAGTTTCTTTTGGTATGTCGATGTCGGCATATGCAATTTCCACTGATGGGTCTTCACAATCACACTCTTGGCAGGCCAATTCACAACTATCACAGGATACACAACAGAATAAAACATTGTAAAAGGCGTCCGTAATTTTCTCGTAAATTGACTGCGTGTGTTTCTCAGAATGGTCTGAGCTGGCCGGCATTTCTAGAATTCGTCAAAACAAATCGCACAAGACTTGAACAGAAGAGTTTTCAGAATCCAGAGAATATAGCAACAAAGCTCAGAAAGAGGTGGACAATGCACAAGACAAGGAAAATTACATATAAAATCCGCGTGATAATGAGGGCATCTAAGCTTTGAGCCTGATTGTAACGGTGTACAGTTCAATAAAAAAGGTATGAGACTATTATAAGACAAAAACAAAAACAAAAAAAATCAGACTTAAAGTGAGTAAATTGATAAAGGAAGAGATGCGACTGTTGCAATCCCCATAAACAAGAACACTAAGTCGGTGTCTCCTGGCAAAGTCAACAAACAATGCACAAACACTCACCCCCACCAACGCTAATATTGTAAACATACCACGTAACCTTTTAAACTGATACTTTTAAACGCTTCTTCCTACGATAGAAATCATAGCCAGACTATTAGGTTAAACGCTTTACAATTTTAATAGAATCCTTTCTTTTGCTCTACAGAGAACAAAAGAATTTCAAGTAAATAAACAAATACTATTCATCTACGGATGCACTATTGCTAGGAAACGCTAAGAACGAAGAATACTTTCCAAAATCAGACCTAATAACTCAACACAGTGTTTTAACACTTCAGTGCTTGACTCTTTGTATGTTTTGATCATCATATTTTGGATTCAACTCATTATATAAGCGTGGCTACCCAAAGTAGGTTTGGCTTGAATCGAACAAGCTCTCTCAAAAAGAGAAACCACTCAAACCTTTCACATAAAAAAGATTGGCAAAAAACCTTTGAACCCATGACTAAGCCCCATTGAGTTACATCGATTTAAAGATGTGATCGTATAACTATCGCCTACGACGAAAAAACACAGTTCAATGGTAAGGCAAACCTCGCATAGCAGCTACCTTCATGTTCTCTAGACACTTCCTAACACGCGCTTCATAGACTTATATCCTTGTCTACTCCGTTCCGGAAACAAAACGCATACAAAGAAGACTATGAGAAAACAAAGATAACGCCTGCCACGGGGTAAGCCCACCATAGTAACCGCTGATTCTTTAGGTCAGCGCGTTTCCGCTTATCCTGAATCCTTTCGGAAACAAGACGAAAGAGTCCGGGGACTTTCCCTAAAGCTGCGAAAGAAACTTTGGTGTTTCGTAAGATTGCTTCAACAACGATCGTTCGAGCTCAAAGGTGTCTTTGCATAGTGAAACTTCGAAAACCTCGCAAGTATATATGAGCTTTTGTGACTGCCTTTTCATCCATGGTTTTTTGCTACCCTACCCTGTCTTATCCTATTAGTGAGGTATATAAAATAATATCATAATAAAAAGCTAACAAGAAAATAATGAACGAAAGCATAGTAGTAATTGTTAGTATATATAGTAGTTATCGTTTTTCGTATTTAAATAGTTATTTAATATACTCTTTTTTCATCAATTGGCTTGGCAGTATTTTTTTAAATGTCGATAATTCCACAACGGTAGTGTCCCTATGAAACCAAACTTGAGAGCTTGGTTTTATACAATAAAGGACCTTTTTAGTCAACTTAGAGATGATGAAAAGTGAAAGAATAAAAAATTAGAAGCAAACAGCTTTGTAGTTTTGGAAGTCAAGCATTTGGATTCGTTGAAAATTCTAGCAACTCGTACTCGTCTGGCAAACAGAAAACTTTCAATGACAAGTCAAGGGTTTATCATCAATTTTGAATCTTTATGATAGAAAAAAAAATTAAACAGAAACATAAGAGTATGCTTCTTAAACCGCTTTTTCTTGCAGTGATTTTTGCGAATACCAGTAACCATGCTACCGCACTCATTACGTTCGCATCTTTTGTGAAATGTTCGTTGGGAAAGCAAGGCAGAGTACGAAACATCTTCATACAACTTCAGAAAGAGAAAATTACATTACGAATGTAAGGAGAGAGGAAAGGAATCTATAGAATACAACTAGTGAACATATCTAAATACGCCAGCAAGAATACCGGATTCGCATACCTGGGTCCAAAAGCTGTTTCGCAGCAGACAGAAAAGTAAAAGAATTAACATTTCATCAAAATTTTACATATCTAAAAGATTCTATTCCCGCTACAGTTGATTAGTTTGGGAATGTTCACTTGGATGGGAATTCGTTCATCATTAGTATCACAGAATGTAAAATTGATGAATCCTTTAGCCCGAGGATCATCTCGCTATTTCAATACCAAATTTTTCTCTTCCAACGCTTCCAAACAAACCACCAGCAAACGTTTCATATGGGGCAAAAGACTAGTCTTGTTGGGAAGTCTTGGGGCTGGAGTTTACATATGGGATAGCTACTTTAATGCCCAAGCTTTAACTAGGAGTATTCGGACTGTGTATACAGCTACCATTATTGCAGCGGATTACAAAATCAACTTCAATGCAGAAAGAGCTGATCGAATTGAGGCTTTACATGAGCGGGTTGCTCATCGCTTGGTCAATATGGTTTCCAAAAATGGCGGTCTTTATATAAAAATGGGACAAATAGTTGCGATGCAATCGGCCAACCTTCCTCCTGTCTATGGACAGGCTTTCAAAGGAATGTTTGACGATGCTCCACAAGTAGGATGGGATGAAGTATCTGAGATCATAAAAACCCAGTATAACAGGCCCGCAGAAGAAGTTTTTGCTAGCATTGAAAAAACAGCTTCAGCAAGTGCTAGTATAGCCCAAGTACATGAAGCGACGCTTTGGTCAGGAGAAAAAGTGGCCGTCAAGGTACAAAAGCCATCGGTTTCTAAGCAAATGAACTGGGACTTGTTGGTTTACAAATGTATGATGTATGTTTATGATAAATGGATTTTTCACATTCCCTTATATTTCACGGTGGATTATGTCTCAGAAAGACTTCGGTCAGAGATAAATTTCGTTGTTGAAGCCGAAGCGACACGGTCAAGCCGTGATGCAATTAATAGCACAAATTTTTTGAAGGGAAATGTTTATGTTCCAAAAGTATATGATGAATTGTCTGGAGAAAAGATTATGGTTACGGAGTGGATCGATGGAATTCCCCTTTATAACCAAGAAGCATTGTCCAATGCTGGTTTAAGTAAAAAGCAAATCCTTGGTAGCTTATTCCATTTCCTTTCTTTTCAAATGTTTTCTACAAAGCAAGTGCATTGCGATCCTCATCCCGGCAATATAGTGGTGCGCAAAGTAGGCCGTCAGCCCCAGGTAGTCATTTTAGATCATGGATTGTATGTTCACGAATCGGAATCTTTTAGGAAAAGTTTTGCTCTATTATTTAGTGCTGTTTATGATTTTGATAGATCGGCTATAATGGAAGTCATGCATTCCTGGGGTGTTACTGAACCCGATGTTTTTGCAAATCGAATGTTAAATATCCCTGTTGATGGTGATTTGGGGGGAAATTCGGAATCAAAATCTCAAGAAGAATTGTTTCAAGAGCAGCTTAGCCAAAGAGCTAGGTTTGTGAGCTTTTTGAATGATTGTCAACGTTTGCCTCAGGAATTATTAATGCTGGGTCGCTGTATCATGCTTATTCAAAAGAACAATCAGATGTTTGGGTATCCCGTAAATAGTCTAGCAATAATGGGTGATGTTGCTAGTCGATATGTGGAGAACAAATCTTCGCCTCGTTGGTACCAAAGACTATATTCATCTGTATATTGGTTTTTCCAGCACATATTTTTCCCTGGGGACTTTCGAGTGCCAGAGGTTACCGAATAAGAAATCTTACATATGAATGTTTCAGCACGGGACAGTGAACTCCTTGCATTAAGAAGTACTTTTTTCCTTGTACTATTATTTAGAGTAGGGATTATGACTAGTATGAATGAATTCACACACACAGCTATCAATAAATGAATTTCTCACGCATGCTCATCAAACGTCGACGTAAAATGATGAATCTCAGCCCGTTGTAAATTATGTTTCAGATTCAACTTATACTAAACCTAATACTATTTAAAGAATATACTTTCTTTTTCATTAATTATAAAAATGTGCCTTATTTTGTAAACGATATTTCATCATATTAAATTGATTATCCAAACGAGGTGATCTTATATCAGGAAAATCAAGATTGGAATGGACTTAATCGGCAACGGAAATCAAGTTTAGAACCTGAATATTACCATCACGACATACATAAAAAATGTCTGACTTTGGATTTGAAGAATTAATAGAAGCTCAGCCTGATGCCATTTTCAAGTTAAACGCTTTATATAACCAAGATGAAGATCCTTCTAAGGTTAACATGAGCATAGGTGCTTATCGTGACAACAACGGTAAGCCATGGATTTTGCCTGTTGTAAAGAAGGCTACTGAAATTGTAGAAAAGGATCCCAACTTCAACCATGAATACATGCCGATTGCTGGGTTTGGTCAGTTTACAAAGGCTGCCGCTGAAATTCTGTTCAAGCCCAATGAACATTTACTGAAGGAAGACCGCATTTGCTCCATCCAATCCGTCTCTGGTACTGGTGCTAATTTTATGGCTGCTAGATTTATAGCTGAACACTATGCCCGAAAGAATGGAGCGGCCGTTTACATTTCTAACCCCACTTGGCCTGTTCATAGGACCCTTTGGGAAAGCGTCAATGTTAAGGTTGAGACTTATCCCTACTGGGATGCTAAAAATCGAAGATTTGATTTTGAAGGAACTATGGAGGTAATGAAATCTGCTCCAGAGGGCAGCATTTTCCTACTTCATGCTTGTGCACATAATCCTACAGGAATGGACCCCACTAGGGAACAGTGGAAGTCCATGTTTGAAGCTCTTCTTGCCCGCAAGCATTTAGTTGTGTTTGATATTGCCTACCAAGGATTTGCCAGTGGTGATTTGGACCGTGATTCTTGGGCCCTGAATGAGTTTGCAAAATTCAATAAAGATTTCTTCGTCTGTCAATCTTTTGCCAAGAATATGGGTTTGTATGGTGAACGTACTGGATGTCTTCATTACGTCGCTAAAAATAACACCGTAAAATCCAAAATGCAATCGGTGCTTTGTCTCATTCAACGTAATAGCATTTCAAATCCTCCTGCATATGGTGCTCGTATTGCTGCTGCCATTTTAAGCAACCCCGAACTTTTTGAACAATGGAAGGAAGACTTAAGAACTATGTCTTCTCGCATCAATGAAATGCGTCGTCACTTGCGCGATTCTCTCGTGACTTTGAAGACACCTGGTACTTGGGATCACATAACTGAACAAATCGGTATGTTTTCCTTCACTGGTTTAACTCCTTCTCAAGTCCAATTTTGCCAAGAAAAGTATCACCTTTATTTCAGTGCCAATGGTCGTATTTCTATGGCTGGCCTCAACAGTTCCAACGTTGACCATGTGGCCAAGGCTTTTGATCACGCAGTTCGTTCAGTTAACTAATCATCATTTTGTTCATGTTCTTTTTTGAAGTTATGTTATATTACTAAAATAAATACCAGCAAGAAGATTACAAAATGATACGACAATAAATGAAATCGTGACAAGAAAAAATGGACTACTTTTTTATTCTTCTTGTTTACAGAAATACTCTCATTTATCATTTTGTTTCCTTATGGTTTCTTATAATTAACCCTACAATGAAATTTACTACTAAATAATATACTCCAATATTGCATTTCTTGTTTAGCTGTAGAATAGATATGTAAAAACCCTAAGTTATTAGCAGCTTATTACTGACTATCTACGTATTCTATGTTCCTTTACTTCAGTCTATCTTTTTCCAATTCATGCGTTGGGGTAGAATAATGTAGTTCTTTGTCCATTGTCTATGGTGGGTTGCTAAACCAGCTAAAAATCAATAATGCATATTCCTCCAAGTCTTTCAAAACCTACTTGTATTTAATTTTGACTTTTTTTTTAAAAGAGAAGGGTTGTTCAGTTTCTGCCTTCTAAGATTGATTGATTTTAACTTGGTATACATAGTGTAAATATTCCCTATTTAGACAGGAATTCTTTTGATCATAATACTTTTTGAATTATTCGGGACCGGACTCTTTTTGACATACCTTTATAGAATATGTCAAACATTCATACATCGAATCAAGTAGCGTTTATAAGTGCTACAAGTACCCTTTTAGGACTGGTCATTGGATCGGGGTGCATTTTAACTATACTGACAAAATCCAGAGTCAGTGCTTTCCTTGCCGTGCTTGGAATTTTTCATGAATTAGAATTTTATATTACAGCTGAGTTTCAGGGCTCTCAATTATCTTGGGATTCTTTTGTTTTGAACAACGGAGCAGCATACTGGATTGCCATGACCATTGGTGTGTTTGAGTACTACTTTACTAATGGATCGAGTATTTCAAAAATCTTACCTAGGCTACATTTTCCTTCGTGCGCCCTATCATGGATTCCTTGGTTATTCACAAGATTAGCTATTACTATGATTATTTCTGGGCAATTACTTCGATCATACGCTATGGTACACGCTGGTAAATCATTTTCTCACCACATTGCTAGCGAGAAAAAACGTGAGCATAGCCTTGTTAAATCGGGTGTGTATCATTATGTCCGTCATCCTTCATACGTTGGATTTTTTGTCTGGGCATTAGGAACGCAGTTCCTTTTGCAGAATACCTTTTCTCTCATAGCTTTTGCTATTGTCCTTTGGGATTTCTTCAGCAAGCGAATTGCTGGAGAAGAGATGTACTTGATAAAGTTTTTTGGAGAAGAGTATAAAGACTATCGAAGAAAAACTGCATCTGGGATTCCGTTCGTTCCTTGAAGTTGATTTTATCTTCTCTTCGGCTACCTCGGCTTGTCAAGTTTAGTAAGTGAGCGCTTATCCCATTTGCTTTGAAGGGTTTTTCGTATATAGAACTTCTTGAGAAATTACCAACTAATAAAAGGCTCGTTTTCTATCTTTGTATCCTTCAAATCCTTCAAGTAGTAGAGTTCCTCAAGTATCAATTAGGTAGCTAAACATTTTATATTTCCCTCTCCATATTATCTGTGTTCCTTTTCAATTTATTTACTAACAAAAATTAAACTATTATTTGCAAGAAATTCTGTCTTTTTTCGTAAAACTAGTTTTATATTCGTCATCGCCATATAAATAATACAATGGATTCTTTCTTCCATTTCCACACTCTCAAACATTGTGCTTTAAGGTATTGTATTTGACCAGAATTGGCTCATAGAATTAAATATTCCTATATAATATTATATATATATAAATTGGTTTTATCGTTAAAAAGACATTTAAGTGAATTCTCAGAAGGAAGTATACAAAAAGCCGCTTAAGTGCGGTGATGGACTTGTTGAAGCAATGGACTGAGCAAGCTAAAGAGGCCCTTACGGAAGCTCGCAAACTTTGCGGTGATGCCTATGAATACAATGAAGCCTCGAAAGATTGCTTGAGAAACTCTGCTAAGCAGCATCAGCAACTAAATGAATTGGCAAAATTAACAGCCTCACAATGTGCGAGACTCGATTCTTCTACTTCTCTGATAAAGCAGCTTCTAAATCTTGTACAGAATCATCCAACATTCGGTCAATTGAACGATCTTCACGATCGCTTAGAATCGTCCTTAAAAAGACTTCGAGAATGCGTCTTGGATCCAGCCTTAGGAAGTGAGTATCCTAATCTCTATTCGTTTGTTGATGATGCAGCATTGGAAGATCTGAAGACAAGGCTTCGGGGAGTTACAGATGGTGTATGGAATGCGTATGAAAAACTTTCTGGATTATTGGAAGAAGACGTATGCGAACGTTACCATACTGCCCTCAAAGCGATTTCGTTGGACTTCTTACCTCCAGTAAATAATGATTTAGCGGAATCTCTGGCTGATTTGCTTCTTCAAGTAGCGCAACATTTCGACCAGTGTTCAGAAGCTCTGACAATTTATTCCGGCCTTTCTGATGTTGAAAAGAAAGAATTAATTGAGGTTTTACGATATGATTCAAATCATGTTCCGGCCGTATTGGAGGATCTTCGAACCGGCCTTGAAGAAACGAAGGCTTATCATTTGACTGTTTTGGAATACAAGCAAACCGTGGATGCAAGTGCGAAAAGACTTGAAGAGCTTGCAGAAGAATTAAACAAAAATCAGCTTACAAATCGGCGTCATGAAGCAGCACACGAACTTATGAGTGCTCACACTGGTTTGGAAATACCTCAGCTAGCTCAAGAATTGATTCAACTAGAAAGGCACTATACCCACTTTGCTAAAGCATACCATCTTCTTCTTCAAGAAATACATAGGCGGCGGGCTTATGAAAAAAGGGTTCGCTCAGTAGTCGACGATCTTGTGTACAAGCTAGAACAAGAACAGCAGATTGAAACGAAATCGAGAATTGATTTTTGCACACAATATGGTGATTACTTGCCTCAAACGCTGTGGAATGCAGTTACCGACCCACCTCTGCATTTCGAAATTATAGAGCATCAGTATACTGAGTTGCCAAATGTTAAGATACCTTCCGAAAAGAAGCTAAAAAAAGATAAAAATAGCAATAACCACTGAAGAAATAGCGAAACGAGATATGATAATGATGCCTTCTACGACTATTCACTCTAGACTCCTTTTTATTGTCAAAGCCATATACAGAAAGTTCTAATTATTAACTTTTTTTTCTTAATTTTAGTATCCGAAATAGAATAACAATGTATTATTATATCCTTTATCCACTACCCAAAAATAAACAGAAACAAACAAAATATAATCAAGCTTACTTTTTGCGACCTGTTTGTTTCACTTTGCGCTTTTTCTCATATTTTGATATCTTCGTTTTCCTTTTCTCCGCTTTTTCTTCTTTTACTTTTTGTTTGCGAGCGCGTTTTTCTTCTGCACTTTCTTTTTCACGACCGCCATTATCTTTACTGGCATAATCATCTTTCTCGAAAGAATTAGAATTGTTTTCATCGTCTGAACCAGACGCGTCTGAGGCTTCGCTTTCTGAAGCGGAAGTTGGGTCATTGTTGGGGTATGAAGTATTCGTATGCTCCTCACTACTTTCTTTTACACCAGTATTCAATAAATGTTTATATACTAGACTTTCTCCACGTCCTTCCTCTACCAACTGGGTATCACGATCAATATCGTAAACTTCTTCCAACGTCCGTGGTACATATGTTTTCAAAAACTCTTCTTCGTGATCTTCATCGGGATCGTGGTCTCCTTCCCTAAGCTCTTCTAAACGTTTTTTCATATCTTGTTTTTCAACGCTGCCATTTTCAGTTACAAACTTAAATAGACTTGGCAAGGACAAGCAATCTGCTTCAAAGCGCTTGAAAAATGAAGTGACATTCAAGATATCCATTCTCAAAAACTCGAAACTTCCAGGGTGATCATGCTCGACAGATTGAGAAACGTCAATCAAAAAAACTTTTCCTTTATGATAAAGCATATTGTACTCTGACAAATCGGCATGTACAAGATGGCAAACTTGATACATTATACGCATGTATCTTGCAACCATACTGTAGAGCTTTGTAGCCTCCTCCGCAGTAACGTCTACATCCTTTAGTTTTGGATAAGGCCAACCCTTTTTGTCACCCAAAAAGGACATTACTAAAACATGATGCTTTAACAGAAGGGGCTCAGGGGAAGGAATACCTGCTGCATAGACTCGCTTCAAATTTCTAATTTCTTTTTCCGCCCAAACTCTCACCATCTTTCTTGGATTTCTTTTGTTGTAGCCATGGCGGAAGCGAAATTCACCAGATACATAACGGTCTCTATCTTTAAATACAAGAATTGAGGTTTTGAAGATTTTGACAGCGAGATGTTTCCCTTCCTCGTTGACAGCATGATAAACATTTGCCTCTTTACCGGTACTTATACAGCCATTAATTTCCGAAATAGTTCCATTGTTAATTAATTTTAACAGAATAATCCGAGTTCGAGGATCAAGTACTTGTTCAGATGTAGCCCTATCGCTTTTGTCTTTTGTATTGGCTTTTTCTTTTTATAGTAGTTAGTAAGAGTAATTCTCAAACTCATTTCGAATGTTGTTGAACTTACCACCTCCATCGAAATGATCTTTCACATTCATATTATCCATATAACGACTCAGTGTTGAGACACGATCCTGTCCCTTAGCTACTTTTGTTTTGCTATTTGGCTGCGATGTTGCTTGTAGCCCAGCTGAAGCAGAACCGCCTGCACTCGAAGAAGCATAGTCTACGAATTAGTAAATAGTCTCCAAAAATGAAAAAGAATGTAACGATCATAAATTGACCGCATCGTACATACCAGATGAAGCTAATACCCAGTCAATCTCGTCGAGATTTTCGTACTCTGCGTTTTCAGAATCCTCACTGAATTCCTCATAATGCTCTTCTCCTTTTGTGGCTTCTTGGTAAGGTTCCTCTCCTTTTTCTGTCATCTTTCACTGCTTGTTCACCTAAAAAGTTGGGTATTAAGGAGTGAATTAGAATTCTAACACAAATTTGCTGTCAAAAACCTGAAATGCTCCAACTAGAATAAGGTAGGATAAACTACGGCTTTAGCGGAGCATGATCGTAAGCGATAGTTTATTAGTTCAATTTTATTCAAATGTTTACTATGGAAGTATTTTGGCTCTGCTTTTTGCAGGTATAGAGAATTTTCAAGATTTAAGACAGTAATTCCTTCAAATTGATAATTGAATAATTGATGGTGACAATTCAGTGTTTTGCATAGTTGCAGTCTGTTCGGTGTTCTGTACCTTCTATCTTTGTCCGTCGAAAAAAATTTTCAATGAATTATTCGTTTATTATTTTATTCAGTATGTTTTTCTAAATTCTGATCAAAAAGAGAGAAGTTCCAATCACCGTTAGCAATTCTTGTTGTTCGGTTGCTACTTGCTAGTATATGCGCGACGCGTGTCGGTCTGCTTCATTTGTCCAAAGCCAACAACAGAATCTATGCATATAAAAAAGGTTAGTAGTAAAACTGATTGATTATAGCTAATGAATTTTTAGCTTGTTATTCAAGGATTTAAGTCTTATAAAGATTATACCGTTATAGAACCGATTAGTCCTCATCACAATGTGATTGTTGGAAGGAATGGTTCAGGGAAAAGTAACTTTTTCGCTGCTATTCGTTTTGTTTTAGGCGATGATTACACTCATTTATCACGTGAAGAAAGACAAGCTCTCTTGCACGAGGGTCCTGGCTCAACTGTCATGAGTGCTTATGTTGAAGTTACCTTTGAAAACTCAGATAATCGCTTTCCTACAGGAAAAAGTGAGGTTGTGCTACGTCGAACAATTGGTCTCAAAAAGGATGAATATTCTTTGGATAGGAAAACAGTGAACAAAAGCGAAGTAATCAATCTTTTAGAGTCTGCTGGATTTTCACGTTCGAACCCATACTATATTGTTCCCCAAGGCCGAGTTACGTCTCTTACAAACGCAAAGGACTCTGAGCGTTTGGAACTCTTAAAAGAAGTTGCAGGAACTCAAATTTACGAAAACAGACGTTCGGAGTCTAACAAAATTATGTCAGAAACAGTCCTCAAGTCTGAGAAAATTGATGAATTGTTGGAGTATATTGAAGAAAGACTACGTGAGCTTGAGGAAGAGAAAAATGAACTTGCTGCTTATCATAAGAAAGACAATGAACGAAGATGTTTGGAATATGCGATTTATTCACGTGAACACGATGAAATTAATACCGTCTTGGATGCCTTAGAACAAGATCGTACTAGTACGCTTCAAAGAAACGAGATAGATTCTGGAGCTTTTATCGAAAGAGAGACACGCATCGAACAAATTAAGAGTGAAACTAGTGAGCTGCAGAATTCTATCAACTTACTTCGTCTTGAAAAGCAACAAAACGAAGAGGATTACACAAATCTTATCAAATCTAAAGCAGCTATGGATCTGCAATACCAACAGTTGCTACGTCAGATCGAATTTTCTAAAGAAGATGAAACGTCAAAAATCGAGATGCTTCAATCTTTGGAATCTGAAATCCATGGTAAGGAGTCAGAATTAACTAAGGTTATCCCCGAGTATAATGATGTTGTCTCTCAAGTCGATCTCCTAAATCAGCAGATACTATCTTTACAAAATCAGAGAAGAACCATTCTAGATAAACAATCAAGAATATCCCAATTTGCTACCAGAGAAGAGCGTGATGTTTGGATTAAGGATCAAATCAACGAGGTTTCTTCAAGCATTCGAATTCAGAAAAAGCGGATTTTGGAATTAAATACCGAAATAGAGAATATTTCTGAGTCGTTAAATATGAAAACCTCTCGTAAACAAGAGATTCAGTCAGCACTTTCTTCTCGAGGTGAGCTTACTGCTGCAGCAATGGCTAAAGTTTCTTCAGTCAACGAAAAGAAAGAGAATCTTATTGATAAACGAAAAGAATTATGGAGAGAAGAGGCTAAGCTGAAATCCATCACTGAAAATATCAAGGATGATCTTTCGCAATCCGAAAAGAGCATGAGTACCACCATGGATAGGAACACAAGTACAGGTCTTAGATCTGTTAAAAGCATTTCAGATCGCTTAAAGCTGACTGGTTATTATGGTCCCTTGTGCGACCTTTTCACTGTTGATAACCGGTTTAAAACAGCAGTAGAAGCAACCGCTGGAAACAGTTTGTTCCATGTTGTTGTAGATTCTGACGCTACGGCTGATCAGATTTTACAGGTAATGTATAAAGAGAATGCTGGAAGAGTTACGTTTATGCCATTAAACAGACTTCGACCAAAACCAGTTAACTATCCTGATGCCAGTGATGCTTTACCGTTGGTTAACTTTCTTGAATACGATTCCAAGTATCAACCCGCATTTCAACAAGTTTTCTCTAAAACTATTGTGTGTCCTTCTATCGAAGTTGCTTCACAATATGCCAGATCACATCAACTCAACGGTATTACCTTAAGTGGTGACCGTTCTGATAAGAAAGGTGCCTTAACTGGTGGCTACCGTGATTACAAGAATTCTCGTTTAGACGCTCTCAAGAATGTTAAAAAATATCAGAAACGACTTAGTGAAACACAGGCAAATCTCGATAAGGTTACTACCGAAATTGATTCTATCGATCAGCAGATAACCAATTGCTTAAATGAGCTGCAGAAAGCAGAGCTTGAGCTCAAGCAATTAGAACGTGATCATGCTCCGCTTAATATGGAACAAGTCGCCATAACGCAGGAAGAAGTGGAAATTCAGGGTTCTCACCGTAGGAAGGTTCAAGATTTGCATTTGGCTAAATTAGAACTTCAAACTTTGGAACAACAAGTAAAAGATTTTGAGGAAGAACTACAATCGGAAATGGTAGAGATGGATCCGAAAGATTTGAAGAGACTTAAACATTTGGAAACACAAATCGAGCAATTGTCAGTTGACTATAACGATATGAACGCAAAATTGGTTGAAATTGAATCTCAAAAGGTAAATCTTGAATACCAGTTAAATACGAATCTGTACTTGAGACGTGATCCTCTAAAGATGCAACTTGGTATGGATAACCTTGTAGATGAATCGGAACTTTCCAATGTCAAGAGAACCATAGAAAAGCATGAGGCCAAGCTTCGTAAACTTGAGGATGCATCCAGGAGACTGGATAGTGAGATTCAGAAATTTGTTGATGAATTACAAACTAAAGAGAAGGGACTAGAAACACTGGAAGAAAAACAGCATGAGGCAGCAGCCAAAATTGAGCACGAATCGAAACTTAGTGAAAGAAATGCCGCCAAAAGAAGTCTATTGCTTGCCCGTAAGAAGGAGTGCAACGAAAATATTAAGTCACTTGGCGTTTTGCCCGAAGAAGCTTTCGTTAAATACGTTTCCACTAGTTCAAACGCTATAGTCAAAAAATTGCATAAGATTAATGATGCTTTGAAAGAGTACGGAAGCGTTAATAAAAAAGCGTATGAGCAATACAACAATTTCACTAAACAGCGTGACTCTTTGATTTCCAGAAGAGAAGACTTAAGAAAATCTCAAGATTCCATTAATGAACTAACGATGGTGTTGGATCAGCGCAAGGATGAAGCTATAGAGCGTACGTTCAAGCAGGTAGCAAAGAATTTCTCAGAAATTTTTGAAAAACTCGTTCCTGCTGGACGTGGTGAATTAGTTATGAGTAAACGAAGCGAACTTAGTCAAAGCCTCGAACAAGAAAACTCTATGGATATCGACAGTCAAACTGCCCAGAGAAGCTCGATTGATAATTACACAGGTGTTGGTATTCGTGTATCCTTTAATAGCAAGGATGATGAACAGTTAAGCATTCATCAACTTAGTGGAGGTCAGAAATCGTTATGTGCTTTAGCTTTAATTTTTGCAATTCAGCGATGCGATCCTGCGCCTTTCAATATTCTTGACGAATGTGATGCAAACCTGGATGCTCAATATCGGTCTGCTTTGGCGGCAATGGTAAAGGGTATGTCTAAAACAAGCCAATTCATATGCACAACTTTTCGACCTGAGATGGTGAAAGCTGCTGATACTTTCTATGGCGTTATGTTCAATCATAAGGTATCAACAGTTGAAACTATTTCCAAGGATGAAGCTATGAAGTTTGTTGAAGGGTAAAAACCTTTTAACATATACCTTTTCCTTAATTTATTTTTAGATATGAATGTCATGATGCTCTAATATTTACTCTTGATTGGTTTTCGTCCTCAAGAGTTGGGACTCTTTGCTTAATATAATTTATATATTGGATTTGCTTCAACATACCCATTCGCATGGTAATAATGCTAATATGGTTTCTTAGTTATAATATCTGCAGATTTTTAATGTTTATATTGTTAATCAGAATATTCTGAATTTTGTAATTAATGTAAATTATTCATTTAACTATAATTATATTGCTAACACCTGTACATAATAAATTAAAATTTTTTACCCATGTGGTAATCTGTAATAGCAGACGACAGTGGGAAAGTCTCAGCTAGTGTCGCCAGCGATTTACCTTCTGCATATGGAAAACACAAATTGAGGAGTAACGAGCATGAATAGTCCGTATACAACAGCCGTATCGAAGTCCGAAGGTATGGAGAGACGTATGAGTATTTAGAGCCAGAATTCTGACGAATTTCAGAGATCAAGTACAGACAAAAATGCAAGGATCTTAAGGCAAGGATAGTACAAGTACAAACAGGGAATGAACAGTTATTACAAAAATACGATTACATTAGAAAAACAGTTCGACGAGCAAGACTAGAGCGAGCTTTCTTGATGGAACAATTGGAAAAACAATCTCAAGAAAAGGCCGATCAACTTGGACAACAGGCCCGACAATCTCCACCGGTATTAAATATTTTTCGAAATCTAATTTTACTAACTGCTGTAGCCTCCTCCTGAAGGAATTAAGATCAAAATATCCACGAAAGGAACGCAACCCCAAAACAAAAAACGGAAGTCACCTTCTACTAAGTCAGACACATCTAAAAGTTCAAAAAATGTCGGTAAAAATCAAGAAGACCAAGAAATCATTAATGGAAATCCAGAGGAAGTAACCAACATTGAAGATAATATGAACGCTGAAAAACCTGCTATTCCACTTGATGCAGATATGAGAGATAGTAAAACGGCGGAGAATTTAGCAAGTAATGCGGATGCTCAAAACAAGAATCAAAAATCCAATAGTGCAACTCCAAAAATCACAAACCATATGGCGTTTACGTATTTTTCCTCTCAGGAGAAAGCGAAATTAAAAGAAGAAGGTAATACTCTGAAGGGAACGGGATTAAAAAAACTTCTCGACGATTCTTGGAATGCTCTGAATGATGAAGACAAGAAAAAATTTTTTAACGGTGCTGCTGAAGCAAAGGCCAAGAAAGAGCCCAAACGAAAAAAGACTGCGAGATCACCAGCAAAGACAGAAATAAAAGAAGAACACGGCTCTCATGAACCTCCTATCCCAGAAAATATTCAACCTAAGGAGCCTGAGCAAGAAAATAAAGATGCACCTGCACCTACGAATGGTCCAGAAGTAGTACGTACCGGTGGATTCACCGTTGTTAATCCTTCGCCAAAGGTAGAGAAATAAATTGGTCTTTTAGCAGTCTCTCGCGGAAAATTACTATATGGCTTCTTAAATTTGACCGATAATTCCATATTATGGGAAGTTAATATTGGACTAATGCATTCTGCTTAAAACATTATTTTTAATATTTACTTTAATAACTACATTTTTGTTCAGTATACTCTCGAGGGGAAATTAAGTTCTTATTATATGGTATGTTTGAATCTACCAAGCAGAAGCCTACTCTGTCTGAATGCAACTTAATTCCTAGCTCAATTGGAAGTAAACTAATTTTGGAGGAATCCATAACGTAACAAAGAAAATGAATGTGAAGCTTATAACTCACGAGTTATGAAATTGTATCACGAATAAAGTGAGTCGTTAGGTGAGTAAACTGATGTTCGACTGATATATCAATTGGGCTGTTTCCTAATGTTGAACATCCATCGAATCCACTGTTTTAAAAAACTAATTGATATGAAGGTTAGCTAATAAACTAACGACTCACTATCAAGGATACCTTCTTGTATTGAAGTCTAAAATTGCTAATAATGTACTTTTCAAAGGGACATTTTGGGTAAAGTAGAGCTGTGTAGAAGTTAGAAAATTTTATTGGGATAAAATTAAGAAACCCTGACATAGAAATTAGAAGTTGTTCCGTCATTTGCAGAAGAATCACATTGTAAAAGTATGGCTGCTACGTTACCAACTGAGCTAGTATCTTTATTAACATTTTTCATTATATGCGATGGTAAACAGCATCAATTTATAGTATATGGATACCAGTGTTTTTCTTTTTTTTCTTAATTGGTTGTACACTTCATGTAAAATTCTGATAAATGTAAATGTTATTATCTTCTTCAGATTATTGACAAGTTCATGAATCATTGGACTTTTGAACATCTGTAATTAATTAATTTTTTAGTTTTTTATATCATATTCAGCGCCCTCGAAGTTATAACAAGAGACTAACGCTAGTTTATCATATTATGCAACGAATATCAGAACATAGGATTAATCGTTTGTTAGGCTTTCAGCATAATCACTGGTGATTCAAAATTATTATTAAATAATCAATTCGCAAACTTCCACAAAGCTTGGTAATACTATATTTAAAAAGATGTACCTAGATGAAAAATCAACTCGCGTAAAAGCGATTTAATCGCAAGTGCAACAAAAACCGACATACTTAAAAGCTATAGTGCTTGGGATTACGCTTGTCTATAATTACTCAGAAGCCTTGGTGTCGACAGGGGGTTGAGTAGGGACGGTAGCAGACGCTTCGGCAACTTGAGTTCCATGACCCCTAGAATCAGCAACTTTACGAGCTTCACTGTGAATTCCAAGTAATTGGTTCTTACCAGAGTCGTAAACGCTGTGAACCTTTTGGCCAGCTGACGTACCGGCAGCGGTTTCATAAGCCTTGTTTAAGTAGTTACTGAAGAGAGAAGTAGTGCGTTTGTATGTATCACTAATTGAAAGCTTGCTGTCAACTTCATTAGCTTTTTCTTTAACATGATAGCGTTCATTCATTGAATGAACGCTAGACAACGCGCTTTCAAGAACGCCCTTGAATTTGGTCGAAACACCTAGGCTCTGGTCTAGCTGTATACCCTTTTCCAAAGTTACATCGCTTAAATGATAGCCACGACCCAAAAGTTCAGAAATAATTGCAGACCGAGGCTTATCTTCCTGACTAGTAGCTTGGTCCCCACCAGCACCACCCTTGTCGAGGGAGCTGCTAGAGCTAGCTGGAGCGTCACTGCTGCTAATTTGGATCTTATTCTGTCCTAAAAGAGCATCCTGTAAAAGTAACGCAGTCTTCGTAGCACTAGGACGTTCAAATTGGATTTTAGCAGTTTGAGTGTCTCCTTCCTTAAACGTAGAGATGTTGGAAACTTTTCCGCAGAAGGAAAAGAAATCCGAAATTTGCTTCTCAGTTACTTCCAAAGAGATATTCTTGACTAAAACTTGATTACTCATTGGTACTGTCTTAAATACTTAGTTGCGAAAGACAAGACTGATGCATGAGGTTGACAGTATAAAGACCATTACATCAGCGGCAACCTGATAGTAGAATATTATTCTTCCGTTATGCTCAAATTTATAATATACTTATATAATCATATGCTTAAAAGTTACAGTATACATATATCATAAAGTGATATACGAGAAATCAAATCAGTTACAAATATTCAATAATTCAAAAGGTGGTGGGAGTAGTAGTAGTAGCAGTTGATGAAGCAATTCAGTAGTAAGGATCTACTCCTCTAAGTTATGGATGTTAGTTTAAAAGAGCTGCTTAAAGAAACCTCACTGCTTCATACTTTGCCTCCAATGGACTTCATCAACATAAATTCATGTTTAATAATTAGTAAGTTCTATAGTAAAATGTCCGTTTTTTGGTATCGCCTGATGGTAACAAAACAGTCTGTTTAGGACAACGAGGACTTGCTTGATTAAAGCAGATAAAATTACCAACGTTGTGATCTAGACCTGGGTTATGACATTTAAAGAGTAGTATAAAATAGTATACGAAAGAAAGAAAGCCATCTGTCAAAAGAATGCAACATGGTGTCAACGGGATAAGCAGGAGCGTTAAATATCTATCACTGACTTCTATAATATAGTAATAAAAAGTAAAAATGGGACTAAAAATAGTATTAAGCACTTATATTTTAAGTTATTCCTTAACTGTTTGCATTTTTTCTTCTACTCGTATTCTCAAGTGTATCAGTTGTGCCTGCTGCCTCCTTCCAATTGCCAACTCATATATGAAATATGGCGTCGAAGGCTGCATATAAGCGGGTATAAAATACAAGGAACAAAGAAGTTAAACTAACTAATTCAGTTAATGAAAGAATATTTAGCACTTCAAAGGAATCCTGTAGAGTACATAGACGCCAAACCAGCACCAGAAAACATTTTAGAATGGCATTATATCGTTACGGGTCCTCCTGACACACCTTATGAGGGTGGTCAATATCATGGTAAGAACTATTTTAATAATTCTTATTAATACTAATGTTTATTATCAGGGACCCTTATATTCCCTTCAGAGTATCCTTTCAAACCTCCAGCAATTCGGATGATTACACCGAGTGGCCGGTTCCAAACCAATACTCGTCTATGTCTATCATTTTCTGATTTTCATCCGAAATCTTGGAATCCCGCATGGATGGTATCAACGATCCTTGTTGGTCTCGTCTCGTTTATGACTTCTGATGAAATAACTACAGGCGGTATTGTAACACCTGAATCCACAAGAAAAGCATACGCAAAGGACACAAAGCGTTTCAACTTATCGAATAATCCAAAGTTCGCTGCCATATTTCCAGAACTTTTGGATCAGAATCGGCGAGACATAATGGAACAATCTGCCGCCAGCGCAAAGGCAAATGATGAAGCTATTGCTCAGAAAATCACGTCCACTCCGTCGAAGTCTGATTCTAATACATCAAAAGATGAGGAAGGAAAGTGGTTTAAAGGTCGTTGGGGCCTCATCGTTGTGGTGTTCTTTGCACTAGCATTAGCTCGTTTTTTCGGCTCAGAAGCCTAGGTCATTCATTGTTTGAGCCAACTTTTGTCATTATTCGTTTTTCCTAATTCTATTTTCCAACCCTGAATTAAAATTCAAACAGATTTGGTTTTTCTGCTATAGAATAAAATTTACATATTTATTTCATTATGGTATAAAATATTTGCTATACAGTGAGCGCTCTATCGATCATAAGACGAATCATTCTTAACCGTACATATTACTCAGCTATACTATCATAAAGCTTTTATTTAACTATGGTAAGTATTCAACCTTAATTCATAACAAGGTGTTTACTTACTCATTTTCTGTTACTATCCATGTCGTCGCATATCCTGCTGCTACATAGGTTACCATTCCTGGCAATCCCAAATTTTTAGCCTGGTAAACGTCTTGACGATCTTCATTAAATGCATTTCCATGCTCATTCCATCCATAAATATATGCTTCCATATTTTTTGTTCGCACAATATTGTGCTCACTACCTCCAGCAATAGCTAGTGTATCATTCTGCACAGTATGTGCTTTTTGGGCACGATCTCCTCTACCAAATGCATATATTCTTCCATTTGAATCTAATAAAGACAAAGTAGACCAATTCGAAGATATATCAACGATAAGAGCTGAAAGACTTGGATTGTTATTCTGCCATTGAACGCATTCTTCAGAAAGATTCCAACGATCACCTCCTAATATACTTACACGACCTGTTTCCTGGAGGAATGCAGAAAACTGAAGTCCACAACAAACCTTGGTAGCATGTTCTACCTGAGCCAAAAATTGAACTCTGTTAGTCATTTTTGGGACGGCTGGTCCTAGTTGACCCTTGCGTCCATCTCCACAACCATAAACATTACCTTTGTTTGTAATACAGACCCAGTGTTTTACACTTGAAGAGATGTCTAAAATGATTTCATTTTCATCAAGGTAAGGGATCATAATTTTCGTCAAAGAAGACGCTCTAACTTCTCCCTGGCCAAGTTCTCCCTGTGGACCAGCGCCACACGTCCAAACAGTCCTTCTGTCTTTTTCCACCAAGACGCTAAACTCCCAACCAACGGCTATCATAGACCAGTAAATTCTATTGATAACGTGAAATTCATGAATGTAACTCGATTCAATCGGTTTTAAGCGGTTAATGGACCCATCTGTTATATTGCTATCAGATGTTTGGCAGCACTGTAGCATTCTATTATCCCCGCAAGCCCAAAGTTGACCATGCTGATCAAGGATTAATGTGTGATTTCCACCACAGGCAATTTGCTTCGGCTGTTCAGGAAAATTCACCTTCTCTGGTTTTGATATGTCTTCCTCATGCTCTAGTCCTAATTGATAACTTCCATTAGATCCAAGAGAGTATAACATCATGATTCTCGTTTATTCTGTCATTCGGCCCATCCTTGGTGGTACTCTGATGTGACTCTTCTACTGAGCACTTGCCTTTACAGAAAAAATATGTAACGCTGTTAATTTTTTAACAGGAAAATTCTAAATATATAAAAGAAATGGAATAAAACAATACCAAATTTGCTGGGATATTCTTATAAAAAAAGAGAAAAAAAATTTTCACCCTTCCTTCATAAGGACCATGAGTGACATTCTTTTTCTCTCCTCCACGTACCACCAACTTTGGAGCAAACAAAAGGGGATATCAAGATGAAATATGTACTAGTTTCCGGAGGTGTTATTAGCGGTATTGGAAAAGGTGTGATTGCCTCTTCCACTGGTTTATTGCTAAAAACCTTGGGATTAAAAGTTACCAGTATTAAAATCGATCCATATATGAACATTGATGCTGGCACCATGTCACCATTAGAACACGGAGAGGTTTTTGTATTAAATGATGGTGGTGAAGTTGATTTGGATTTGGGAAATTATGAGCGTTATTTGAATGTTACATTGACTCATGATAATAACATTACCACCGGTAAGGTTTACTCAAAAGTTATTGAGAAAGAACGCCGTGGTGATTATCTTGGCAAAACTGTGCAAATTGTCCCCCATGTTACCAACGAAATCCAAGATTGGATTGAACGTGTTGCTCGTGTGCCGGTTGATCAGAGTGGTGAAGAACCAGATGTTTGTATTGTCGAACTCGGTGGTACGGTTGGCGATATTGAATCTGCTGCTTTTGTTGAAGCTATGCGTCAATTTCAGTTCCGTGTTGGACGCGATAATTTTGTGTCGATTCACGTATCTCTTGTTCCCGTTATCAACGGTGAACAAAAAACGAAGCCCACTCAACAAGCTATTAGAGATCTTCGTAGTCTAGGTATTATGCCTGATTTAATTGCCTGCCGCTGCAAGCTGCCCCTTGAGGAAAATGTTATTGACAAGATTTCTCTATTTTGTCATGTTGGTCCTGAACAGGTTTTGGCTGTTCATGATGTTTCCAGCACTTATCATGTTCCTCAACTTCTTGAAAACAAATTATTAGATTTCCTTAAGACGCGCTTTAAGTTGGATCAGATTTCTATCAGCCCCAATCATGTGAATGCCGGTTCAGTGATGTGGAACTCTTGGAAACTTTTAACTTCCGGTCACGACCGTCTTTTCCAAAAGGTTACCATTGTCCTTGTTGGAAAATACACACATCTTAAAGATTCCTACATTTCTGTTATCAAGGCTTTGGAACACTCTGCTATGCGTTGTGGACGAAAGCTTGATTTACAATGGGTTGAGGCTTCTCATTTGGAGGCAAGTATGAATGGGACTGATCCCCTTAGTTATCACAGAGCTTGGCACTTGGTGTGCTCTGCAAACGGTATTTTGATTCCTGGTGGATTTGGTTCCCGTGGTATAGAAGGAATGATTGCTGCTGCTCAATGGGCCCGTGAGAACAACACTCCTTATTTGGGTATTTGTCTCGGTCTCCAAGTTGCCGTCATTGAATTTGCTCGTCACGTTTGCGGTGTTGAACGTAAGTTACAATTAAATCTTTTCGAATTTCCCTTTATTGTTCTTCTTAGCTATATTGAGCAAACATGCACCTACTAGAGGTTATTATCATTTCCCATTGATTTTAACTGTAGACAGGTGCTATATTAAAGTTATGAAGACAATAAATGGGAGATGAATGGAATTTATTTTCCAGTGTTCTTTTAACTAACAATTTTTAGATGCTACTTCTGAAGAGTTTGTACCTCAGTCTGATGAGCATGTTATTGTTTACATGCCTGAAATTAATAAAGATAAGTTGGGCGGTACCATGCGATTAGGCTTGCGCCCTACTATCTTCCAGCCCGATAGCGAATGGAGTAAGCTTCGTAAGCTTCACAAAAATTCTAAAGAAGTCCTCGAGCGTCATCGTCATCGTTATGAAGTTAACCCTAAGTACGTTGAACTTTTGGAACAAAAGGGTCTTACGTTCGTCGGTAAAGATGAAAAGGCTGAGCGTATGGAAATTATCGAGAAGCGAGATCATCCTTACTTCGTTGGTGTACAATATCACCCCGAATATCTTTCTAAGCCTTTAAGACCATCTACTCCTATTTTTGGTTTGGTCGCCGCTAGTGCTGGCTTACTTGACGAGTTTATTAGTTCCGGAGAACCCGTGGAATGGACTGATGTTTCTCATTTTAATGCTGAGTCCGCTCTTGCTGATTCATCAGAATCTGTGGAGGTTACCAGCCAAGCTACTATAGTTTCTACCGATTAATTAGTTTAAATCGTATTTCTCAGTTCTTCTCGGAGAAAAAAGATGGATTGGCTCATTGTCACTCACTTTATATTTTATGAATACTAAAGGTTTTGGTTTTGGTACTTGGTTAACACTTTGGTTTGTTTTAATAATACACTTGATTTCAATTTTCAAATGTTAAATCATGTGTCGTATTGAATAGACACTCACAATACTATTTATTTTTTAAGTAAAACTCATTTGGAGGTTTTAAGAATAGTATAGGATCTTGTAGATTCAAATCACACATGTGTTTTGCATATTATTTATCTCTCAGCGAAAGCTGTTGTGAATATTAGTACAGTGCTAGGGCAACTTGAGTAGATTAAGACTACACTAAATTCGACAGCAATATAAATTCATCAAAGAATAATTTATGAAGCGGTTCGATTGCTTGAACTAATACACCTGTTTGACTACGTTTTGTCAGTGTCGTTGGTTTACATTATATTAGCATAACGAATACCAACGAGTGAAACGCCTACATGGAAATTGAAGCATATGAGATTTCCTCTATTTACACATTCATACAGCCTAGATGTTATACCATTTTCCTTCGTTTTACAATTTTTAAGTCTTATCTTAATATTATTAATTGATCAAATGGATGATTTAGAGGAATTGGAGTACCTCTCCCTAGTTTCAAAGGTGGCCTCTGAAATAAAAAATCATACTGGTACGTTTGCTGCCATTGACAAAGCAAAACATGGCTTTTTGGAAGGATCACGCTAACTTGAATAGGTATCGATGATAAAACTCTCTCAGAATTTGTTATAAACTTATATGAGAAATCCAAAACTTATGATGAATTTAAAGGAAATGTTCAAGCATCGGGAGGAGACTTTGCAGATTCCTTTTTACAAAACGTTGCTAGATTGATTCGCGAATTACATCCAAAATTAAAAGCGACAAGTCAAGTTGATCGAAATTCTGGTAATAAAAAAACCGAGGAGTCTAATATAACTTCTGAAGGAGATAATACGAATCGAAAACGGGAGTTGTTTCCTAGTTTAAGTATTCCTGATCATAGGAATTTTGAAAATGTTCAAAAAGACAGTGATTTGATGGACGATACCATGAATGACTTAAGTCGGTTATCCAGCTCTTCTCGTTCAAGAAGGTCAGATAACACTCGAGATATATACAGAGACAGATCAACAAGTCCGCGTCGGACTTTTCGCGATGGTGATAGACACACTTCAGACCGGTATGTACCTTCTCGTTCGCGAGATAGTAGTTCTGCTTCTCGGCGTCATAAAACTAATACCATGAATGGTTTTCCCAAATTAAACGAAGTATATTCTGGAATTGTTTCGGGTATCAAGGATTTTGGTGCCTTTGTGACATTGGACGGGTTTTCCCGTAGAACAGATGGTTTGGTCCATATATCTAATATAATGAGTGGTCGGCGCGTTGAGCATCCCTCTGAAGTGGTTGCCTATGGGCAACCAGTTTTGGTTAAGGTTATTCGAGTAGATGAAGCTAGCAAAAGAATAGGTCTATCGATGAAAGAAGTTGATCAGATTACTGGAGAAGACTTGAAGCCGGAAACAGAAGAGAATGATTTTTATCGTGGTACAGGTGCTAATTCTGTTGGTCTGAATACAAACGAGAAACAAGCCCAGACAGCTGATATTTTTGGCGCTGGTAAGAATAATGGAAGAAAACGATTGACTTCTCCTGAGATTTGGGAACTACAACAGCTGGCTGCTTCGGGAGCCATTTCATCATCAAATATTCCTGGATTCCAAGAGGAATTGACTACCTTTAATAATCCCGAGCTTAAGCCAGAGGATGACGAAGATTTTGAAATTGAACTACGTGATGAAGAACCTAGATTCCTTGCTGGTCAAACAAAACTCTCCCTTAAGCTTTCTCCTATTAAAGTAGTAAAAGCGCCCGATGGGTCTTTATCTCGAGCTGCAATGCAAGGACAAGTATTAGCTAGTGATCGTCGAGAAATGCGTCAGAAAGAAGCACGGATGCAAAGTGAAAAGGAGCTTGAAAAACAGGACCTGTCGTTAGTATGGAATGATACAATGGCGCGTCCTGAAGACAATAAATTTGTTCAGGATATTCGCAGTTCAGCAGCCCAACAGGTAACGGCTCAAATTCCAAATTGGCGACAGCGATCCGTAAAGGGCCCGGATGTATCGTACGGAAGGAAGACGAGTTTAAGCATGAAAGAGCAGAGAGAGAATCTTCCTGTCTTTAAACTTCGGAAAGCCTTCTTAGAAGCTGTTTTCAAAAATCAGGTTCTCGTTTTGTTGGGTGAAACAGGTTCTGGTAAAACCACCCAAATAACCCAATATTTAGCCGAAGAGGGATATACCGATAATAGGAAAATAGTTGGCTGTACTCAACCAAGACGTGTAGCTGCTATGTCAGTGGCGAAGCGTGTTGCTGAAGAAGTTGGTTGCCGGGTTGGAGAAGAAGTTGGTTATACCATTCGTTTTGAAGATAAGACAAGTAGAATGACTCAAATTAAATACATGACAGATGGTATGCTTCAGCGCGAATGTTTGGTCGATCCACTCCTGAGGAAGTATTCTGTAATCATTCTTGATGAAGCACATGAAAGAACTGTATCTACCGACGTTTTGTTTGGTTTATTGAAACATACAGTAACGAAAAGACCAGATCTAAAATTAATTGTCACGTCTGCTACGTTAGATGCTGAACGATTTTCCTCGTATTTTCACAAATGCCCTATATTCACTATTCCTGGACGCTCTTATCCTGTTGAAATACTATACGCCAAGCAACCAGAAAGCGACTATCTTGATGCAGCCTTACTTACGATAATGCAAATACACTTAACTGAAGGTCCGGGTGACATTTTGGTATTTTTGACAGGACAAGAAGAAATTGACACTAGTTGTGAAATTCTGCATGAAAGAACAAAAATGCTTGGGGATACTGTACCTGAATTAGTTATTCTGCCAGTATATTCCGCACTTCCTTCGGAGGTACAAAGTCGTATTTTCGAACCCGCTCCTCCTGGAGGAAGAAAGGTAGTTATCGCTACTAATATTGCAGAAACTAGTTTAACAATTGATGGAATCTACTATGTCGTGGATCCTGGTTTTGTGAAGCAGAGTTGTTTTGATCCCAAATTGGGTATGGATTCTCTCGTCGTTACGCCGATTTCACAGGCGCAAGCAAGACAGAGAAGTGGTCGTGCTGGTCGTACGGGTCCAGGAAAGTGCTATCGGTTGTATACAGAAAATGCTTTCCAGAATGAGATGTTACCTAGTCCAATCCCGGAGATTCAACGTCAAAATCTTTCTTATACCATTCTTATGCTGAAGGCAATGGGGATCAATGATTTATTGAACTTTGATTTTATGGATCCTCCGCCAGCGCAAACGATGATTGCCGCATTACAAAATTTATATGCATTATCGGCTCTCGACGACGAGGGATTGTTAACGACGTTAGGACGGAAAATGGCAGACTTCCCTATGGAGCCACAATTATCAAAGGTTTTGATTACAAGTGTTGAACTCGGATGTTCTGAAGAAATTTTGACGATTATAGCTATGCTGAGCGCTCCGAACATCTGGAGTCGGCCAAGAGAGAAACAGCAGGAAGCGGATAAGCACCGAGCACAATTTTCGAATCCAGAAAGTGATCACTTGACTCTGTTAAACGTATATACGGCATGGAAAACAAACAGATGCTCTGATAATTGGTGTTATGAGCATTATATTCAAGCACGAGGGCTTCGAAGAGTGGAAGATGTCCGTAAACAGTTACTACGATTAATGGACCGCTATCATCAGCCGGTAATATCATGTGGCCGAAATCGTGAATTAATTCTGCGTGCGTTGTGTTCTGGACACTTTACTAATGTTGCAAAGAGAGACTCACAAGAAGGATGTTATCGAACCACTGTGGAGAATGCGCAAGTGTATATGCATCCCAGTAGTGTTTTATTTGGAAAACCCGCTGAATGGGTAATTTACCATGAATTAATACAAACGACGAAGGAATACATGCACACCGTTAGCACGATTCATCCCCGATGGTTGGTAGAGGTAGCTCCGACATTTTTCAAATTTGCGAATCCAAACCAGATTTCCAAGTCGAAGAAAGGAACAAAAGTTGTACCGCTATTCAATCGTTTTGAAAAGGCAGACGAATGGAGAATTTCTAAGCAAAGAAGAGGAAAGTAATTTGAAGGAAAGATGTAAGAAGGATGAAGCCTTGAATGTTTTGAAATGTTTTTATGGTCATCATGGGTTATGGGTCATAATACTATGTATATATAAAAAGACAAGGATCTATAAACGTAGATAAAAATTAAGTTAGAGGAAAGTTTTCTTATAATAATAATGATAAAAAAGGTTTTTGGTGGAGAGGGACAGTTTTGCTTTGATGGATGCACTGCACTCACTCTATAGCAAGAGTTTGAATGAACGGTTTTTGTTCGTTCTTTGTGGTATTGGTATAATGAAAATTGTATTTTTGGTGGTTTACCGGAATTATTGAGGGTGACATTAATGTGAAATTACTTACTGCATGAACGTATTATTAAACCTCCTAATTGACGCTGTGGGAATCAATAGAAAGGCTAAAACGAAAAGAATCACTATAAAAATAAATAAAACAATAAAAGTATGAACTAATTAATCCTAAACAAATTCTTCTATTTTATTCAAATTTCGAATAAAATCCATAAACATAAACAAGCGCCCACTTCATCGCATCCCCCACATTAACAAAAAAAGTATTTTCACTCCTTATTCTTATTTATATCTGCTCATCTTTATTGGGGAATCCGTCGCGAACACCCAACCCAAAACCGGTTACTAACGAGCATAGAGTAGCGTAATAGATTACAAAAGATTGGCTGGGAATTTTATATAATTATAGAATTTCTCAATGAACAAGCCAATCAAAAACAAAAGATATTTTCGTTCACATTCTAAATAAAAAATTTCAGATTGTTATAAAAAAGAAAAACAGAAAAAGATCATTAACAATCTACATGTGTATCTTTTGGGTTGGGACCATCTGGCGTGGATCGTTCGATAAAGTAACAAAATCAAGTATTGCTACTTGACCCGATCCTACGAGCACGTTAATCACGCAATCTACTGTGGAATTGCTCAACAGCTACACGAACATCAGCGTGGTATATAACTTACCCTCTACCGCATTCTTTATTCGCTTTCAAAGCAAAAATAATTGTAAGGGAACGCGATAGTGGAATTGCAAACATTTGTTGCAGTTGTCCACCGGAAAATAAATAGGAATAGAGATCAAATTCCCGTAGTTCTGCAATTTTGTGCTAGAATCTCTTACCATTTATTTTTTTGTCTTTTATATGATAAATAATTTTATTGGCTGAATTCTTTTGGTTTTGATTTCTATAATTCCCTAATTGTTTTCACGATTTATTTTTCAATCCTAGAGAAATTTTTGATATCGTCCTTTTTTCCTGTCTGAGCAAATAGTTCGATTTCATATTTTATTTTTTACGATTTTTCCCTTCATCATTTTACTATGAGTTTAAAAGCGTCCATCACAAATTCTCAGGAAGCTGTGACTCGCGTCGCTTTCCGATGCGCAGATTCCCTCTATGTTGTTCATCCAAACAATGAACCTCTCGATACAACCTTCCAAGAGGCCCTGCAAGATTTACGGAAGCTGAAGGCATTGAACGTTTCCGGAAAATCCACTTCAGTTATCTCATTGAAGTCACATGCTGATCCTTTTGCTCATCTTACTGATAATTTCTTTGCTGAGCAAGAATCTCCAGTTCCTACCCGCAAACACATCGTTTCAGTCGTAGCTTCTGCTGATTCTCTCTTCTTTGCAACTCCCCATCTCTACAAGCTTTCCCACCAGCCTGTTGTAGCCCATATCGCTCTTGATCCTACTGAGCCTTTTGATTTTGCTTCTGTTCGTGACACAGGATTTACCATTTTGCTTTCCGGAAACTGCCCTAACGGCTCGGAGCAAGACGCCTTAAATGACGTCCTTCAAACTGCTGCTCTTGCACAGAATCTTGCTGTCAGACAGAACACCGGTGTTTTACATTTTTACACTCCCGTCTACAATTCCTCAGTGGCCTTGGAAGACTTGGATTCTCTTCCTTCCAAGGAAGACTTAGAGGCTGCTCGTATTGCCGATCTCCCTTCTGAAGACCAAGAAACAGCAGAAGTTGAAAAATCTTCCTCTTACCTCCCTCCTGTTTATGATCAGCCAGCTCGTGATGCTGCTTCCTATGCTTTCCTCTCTTCACAATCTTTCAAGCCTTTCGAATATTATGGTCCTTCCGATGCCTCTAATGTTCTTTTGGCTTTCGGCAGCGCTTCTCCTTTGCTTTCTAAATTAGCCCTTCAACAAGGATCTGTTGGCGTTGTTGTTATTCGTCTTTTGCGACCTTGGTTGCCCGACGAATTGTTCTCCAGTTTGCCATCCACCGTGAAGCGTATTGCTGTTCTCGAACCTCTTGGTAACCTTCCTCGTAAATGGGACCCCTTGTATTTAGATATTTTGGCTGCTCTCGTCTCTGCTAAATCTAGTACTCAATTATTGGCCGTTAAGTATGGTTTGCAAGACACAAAACACGTCCAAGACGTTGTTTCTGCTGCCATTGATAATATCAACGGTTCCGCCAAGCCCTCTATTGTTGCTGATTTCACTGAAAGTGGAAAACAAGTTTTCGTCCCAACTCCCCCTGCTATTGAGGATGTTTATCACAAGTTGCTCCAACGTGTATTTAAGGCTCGTCTGAATGTCGTAAATGACCCTAGTTCTACGGGACCTGCTGTATCTTCTCATCTAATTATTTCTCCTCAATTCGCTTTAGGTACCGTATTGGAATACGAAAAACAAAGACGTGCTTTCTGTGATGAAGTCGCATCTTTATTAAAGGCCGAATCTTCTGAAGTTTCAGCTGAATCGTTACAAGTTCTTTCCAACTGGATAGTCTCTGTCGATAATTTGGACTCACCAGTCGACCCTGAACTTGTTGTGGCAGAACTTAAAAAGGACTCATCTGCTACAGTCAAGTCATTGCTTGAGCGTTCTCAGTTCTTTACAAATGTCTCTCATTGGATCATCGGTTCCGACTCTTGGGCTTATGATTTGGGCAACTCAGCTTTGCACCAAGCGCTTTGCCTTGAGTCTAACGTTAATCTACTCATTGTTGATACTCAACCTTATTCCACTCGTGAAGTTGTCCGTGCTTCCTCTCGCAAAAAGGATATCGGTTTGTATGCCATGAACTTTAGTAATGCCTATGTCGCTTCTACAGCTCTTTATAGCTCTTACACCCAGGTCATATCCGCCATCTTAGAAGCTGACAAATTCAACGGTCCTTCTGTTGTTTTGGCTTATCTTCCTTATCATTCCCCTAATGATGATGCTATTACCGTTTTACAAGAAACTAAGAAGGCCGTTGATGTTGGTTATTGGCCTTTGTATCGTTGGACTCCTGCCCTTCAAGATGGTGAAAGTTCTGATTTCCAATTGGACTCTGAACGTATTCGCAATGAGCTTCGCGCTTTCCTTGAAAGGGATAACTATTTGACTCAATTGACCTTACGTAAACCCGCATTGTCCAAAACACTTTCCCAATCCTTTGGTGCTGACGTCCGTCATAAACAGAACCTTGATGCTCGTAACGCTCTTAACAAGTTGATTGAAGGTCTGTCTGGTCCTCCACTGACGATTTTGTATGCTTCAGACGGTGGTACTGCCGAGAATGTCGCTAAGCGACTCCACCACAGAGCTAGTGCTCGTGGCTCCAAATGCAAGATCATGGTGATGGATGATTTTCCAGTTGAAGAATTACCCAAAGAAACCAATGTCGTCCTTTTGGTCAGTACCGCTGGTCAGGGTGATTTCCCTCAAAATGGTCATGAATTCTGGGAAGCATTCAAGAATGCTGATTTGGTTTTAAATAACTTAAATTATGGTGTATTTGGTTTCGGTGATTATGAATACTGGCCTCGTAAGGAGGACAAACTTTATTATAATCGTCCCGGTAAACAATTGGATGCGAAATTCCAAGAATTTGGAGCTAAACCTCTTCTTCCTTTGGGATTGGGTAATGATCAAGATCCTGATGGTTGGGAAACTGCTTACAATACTTGGGAGCCTGAACTTTGGGCAGCAATGGGTTTAGACAAAGTAGACGTTGACATTGACGAACCCAAACCTATCACCAACGAAGATATTAAAACGGCTTCTAATTTCCTTCGTGGTACTATCATGGAAGGTTTGGCCGACAATTCGACTGGAGCACTCTCTGAACACGATTGTCAACTGACCAAGTTCCATGGTATCTATATGCAGGATGATCGTGATATTCGTGATGAACGCAAAAAGCAAGGACTTGAACCTGCTTATGGATTTATGATTCGTGCTCGTTTACCAGCTGGTGTTTGCACACCTGAACAATGGTTGGCTATGGATGATATTTCTGCAAAATGGGGTAATAAGACTTTGAAGATGACTACTCGTCAGACTTTCCAATGGCATGGTGTACTTAAAGGAAATTTGAGAAATGCTATTCGCTCCATATCTAAGGTATTTATGACTACTTTAGGTGCCTGTGGTGATGTTGCTCGTAACGTTACTTGCTCATCCGCTCCTGAAAATGAGGAGGTCCATGCTCAACTTTTTGAGACTTCTAAGGAAATCAGCAACTCTTTGCTTCCTACAACTTCGTCTTACCATGAAATCTGGATTGAAGATCCCGAATCTGTACAAAAGAAAAAGGTTGCTGGGGAAGTCGCCCAGGATGTTGAGCCATTATACGGACCTACTTATCTTCCAAGAAAATTCAAGGTTGGTGTTGTTGCACCTCCATATAACGATGTCGACATTTATACAAATGATGTCGGTCTTATTGCTATTACTGAAGGCGCTAAAGTGGTTGGCTATAACTTAGCTGTTGGTGGTGGTATGGGTACCACCCATAATAACAAGAAGACCTATCCCCGTCTTGGTTCAGTTATTGGTTACGTTCCTAGTGATAAAGTCGTGGATGCTGTGAAGGGTGTTCTCATTGTCCAACGTGATAATGGTGATCGCGAAAACCGTAAGCATGCTCGTCTTAAATATACGGTGGATACTTTAAGTGTTGAAACTTTCAAGCAGAAAACCGAAGAAGTCATGGGCTTTGCTTTCGAGCCTGCTCGTGAGCACGCTCCATTCGTCAAGAATACTGATGATTTTGAAGGCTGGAACCGAACAGAAAAAGGAAAGTACTGGCGCACAATTTTCGTTGAAAACGGTCGTATTGAAGACAGTGGAGAACTTCTTTTCAAGACAGGCTTGCGCGAGCTTGCTGAGAAACTTTATGAAAAGAAGTCTAAAGCTGAATTCCGCTTAACGGCCAACCAACATCTTATTTTGTTCAATGTTTCTCCTGAAGAGTTAGAATGGGTATCCGAACATTTAGCTAAGTACAAACTTGACAACACTGCTTTCACTGGCTTACGTCTTTCTTCTGCTGCATGTGTTGCTTTCCCCACTTGCGGACTTGCAATGGCTGAAAGTGAACGTTATCTTCCTAAACTTATCACTAAGGTTGAAGACGTTATCAATGAAGCAGGACTCCAAAAGGATAGCATTGTTATGCGTATGACTGGTTGCGGTAATGGTTGCTCTCGTCCTTGGGTTGCCGAAATAGCCTGTGTTGGTAAAGCACCAGACACTTACAATTTGATGTTGGGTGGTGGTCATTATGGTCAAAGACTTAACAAGTTGTATCGTGCTTCGGTTCAAGAGCGTGAAATTATCGATCTTTTGCGTCCTCTGATCAAACGTTACGCTTTGGAGCGTGAAGACGGAGAACCTTTTGGCGATTGGGTAATCAGAGCCGGCATTATAACAGAGGTTGTTAATGGTGGTGCCAACGGTTCTGTCCATGAAGGTGTTTCCGAGGAAGCATTTTAATCGTCATTGCATGGAAGGTGTTTCATTGTTTGTAACGAAAAGATGTTAATTGTAAAAACTTATTTTGGGTTTAGAAGAAAAAGATTGTTTATTAATCATATATGTGATTTATACAAAGTACATACATAATTAATATTTATAATAAATGAAATCTTGGTAGATTTTTAGTTTTCAGAATAAAGGTATTTAACTATGAATAGCTGTGTATATACATCTTTCAATTGTAATATGACGGCGATGCTTGAAGTGTGTTTCTTACAAAGAACCAAACCTGTACCGCTTCTTCATTGATCAAACGAGAATCAGAAGAAATTAATACTCTCGTCTTTAAAGCAAGAACGCTGCATCAAGAGCAATGTTTACTTCGAAGAGACGTACGTACCTACGATGGTAACTTAGTACAAAGCTTTCTTAAAGAAATCAAACGAAAGCTTACTACTCCACAACTCGAATAAAGGATTTTGCAGAGGATATTTTCTATTTTTTAGTTCATAGAACCACTTTCATACTATCTATTGCTAATTTCCTGTACATATAGATAACTAAAAAAATGACAGAAGTTGCTCAGAGTATATTAAAGAAATCATGGGCAGTTTCAGACAGTGTGAATTGCTCATCACCGCAACGAGTCACATTTAAAAGCTTCAATTTGCTGGAAATACTAAAAAATACAATATATCTCTAAGAAGAGTTAGCAATAAATAACATAAATAAAATGAAATGAAATCCAACAGACTGCGAGAAATCAGTAAGACTCGAAATCAACAAAGCGATCACGACTTCAATGTACAGTTGAAGACTTGGAATGTGACCAATTTAGTCCGCCCGTTATGTCTTTGAAACTCATCCTATAAATGCGCAAGCTGTCGGAGTATTTAACATACACATTATACTACAGCACCATAAAGTGTCTTAGTCTGGGAAATCAATAATAATCATTCTAAAGGGTTAGCTTGGCAAAGAAAAGGTTAAAAAAGAGAGAATACTAATCAGACAAGGCTGAAACTTAAAAAAAATACAACAGAATTCAACATGAGTTATTCAGTTGTATACGTCGTTTTGTCATCACTTTAAATCCTTAAAGTATTTATTATGTACTTACCAACTATGAACTAAAGCTTCAAGAAAAAGTAGCTAATGTACAAGCTTGGTAAAACAGAAAGCACTTTGGTGCACTTTTATTGTTTACGTGACTGCTTTTTAACTGCGTGGTCTATTACCTACTGGCAAAAATCAGTGACAAGGGTGCATGTTACCTAGAGAATGGTTCCTGGCCGTGATGTAGCAGAGTCCTCTATTGTGTAAACAAACTTCTGTCAAATTAAGTGGTAGTATGAAAATATTATAGATTCTGTATTAGAAATTGCTTCTTTGATATAGAAATAAAAATATTTGGAAAAGATAGAAAGTAGAAATGGGCATTCAAATTTATACACAACCAACTCGTAATTACAGCATGTATATAGGTCCCGTGCTGGTTTCAGCATCAAAGATCCAAAAGTTATCTATGGGATATTGGCGTTTACTAATTGCATTCAAAGCATCCTGGGAAACAACACCTCCTACGATGGAGATCACTGGCATCCACTGGAAGTTGGAATTCTGGGAAAAGTCGCTAAAGTAAATTGTTAACGAAACCGTTGAAAACAAAATCATCACTTACTTCAAAAAGCTTTCGTTTAGGATTGCGCTTGGATCTAACTTTTGTTCAAGACACATCTTCTTGATGGAATCCGGGTCTGACCTGTTGTGTTTCAGAACGGCTGTGAAGGTGTTAGCATGCAACGTTATACTAGAATGTAATGTTTTTTTTAATATCTTACACAATAACGCTGGATAAGCTGCCGGAACTTTTTTTGCTAAACGAGGTTTTAACTTGGAACCAAGGGCAGTATCAAAAGCTACCTGCATGGGTTTTTGACTGGTCGACATTGCTTGCTCAACTTTAGTATTTTCAACAGTTTTTTCTCTATTAAAAGTTAGTATGTAGAAAAAAAAAATAACAACATCCTTGATAGACTCCTCACTTACATTACAAATTCATGATCGATCAAATCCGCGAAAGCAAATCCATAAAGTCCATAGCAACTTGAAGCATACATAGGACGCTTGCTGGTACGACATAAATTGTTTACCTTGCAGAAATCATCATATTGTAGCTGAGTTGCAATAACCATTTGAAACGAAGAGATTATACTTTCAGACAACTCTGCGATCGGTGTATTCAAAGAGGATAATTTCACCAGAGGATTGAGGTCTTTAAGTTTTTCTATAAGGGAAGATACCTTAGATTTTCCTATATTTGAATCCTCCAAAAAGAACTGGTCATGCACATCTTGCATCTCAACAGAATGGGTGTCTTGCAAGCATAACTCCCCAATACCGGCCAAGACTAAATTTTTTGCAATTTCGTTTGATAAAGGAGATGCTGTAATTAACAAAACTCGAGATTGTTTTAACCTAGACAACGCTGGTTAGAGGTTCTCATAGATTAGCAAAACACTCACGCTTGTTGGGCATTGAAGCCCCAAAGTCTAATTTGTCTATCGTATAATGCAATTTCTTCAGGATTCATGCCGTTCTTGTCCATATTAGCCCGATTCAGTTCGTATGAGACGGTTTGTCTCAATAAGCTCTTGCCTTCCCTATAAAATGGCTTCCAGCTTATAAGTTCAAAGTGGAATAACCAAAATGTCTTGATTCAGCTACGTTTTCTAATGGTAAAAAAAAGAAGTTGTAAAAATAAAATGACATAATATTATTAAAACTTTTATAACTTCACGACTATATGACATTCGTGCATTTCGACTGATGAATTTAGAATTTTAGTATAACAATTGTGCTTGACATAACGATTGATAAATAATAACACATTAATATAAGGTAAAGGAATGTGGAAAGAGACTGAAAAAGTGATCGGATTTTGAAGACTGAAAAATTCAGACGCATAAAATGTCTAAAGAGATTCATGATAAGAAAACGTAAACATCACAGACGCATTTTAAGGACCGGTTTCTTCTTCCAACACTCTTACAGCACGTTGACACTCTTCCTCACGTTGTACGGCAAGAGCTTCTTCTTCTTGCTTAGTTTTCTTGTTTTGAAGATGGTAGTAAAAACATAAAGAAAGCAAAACCGCTTGCAAAGATGCGCTAACAACGTACATCATGTAACTGGTCCAATTTGTACCGGGGAGTCTTGACAATAGGTAACCGATCAAGAAACCGCCAGGAGTTTGTACAACCATCATGGGAATGCTTAAAGCGCCATGGGACTTGTGACGGATAGTGGAAATAAACTGAGGGACGTACTGTACGATGGCGCAGAAAGAAGCACTAAAACCAAGAAATGCTGCCCAAGCCATATTGTAAGTTAAAACGGTAGCAGATAAGATGCAGATACACAGGCCCCAGGCAAATATTCCCAATAAACCATACGAGGTTGTTCGCCAGGTTTTGCTTTTCGTAATGCTTAAAGGCTCTGGGATAGGATCACCACTCTCATCATCGTTGGAAACAAAATGAATAGGACGAGGGAGGTACATCCAGAAAGAGAGTAGAACTGCACCCATTGACATCACCTGAGAACCGACCTGCATAAGACCGCTGGAATTGGCAAAGCATTGGCGAGCAGAGTAAAATTCATGGCAGCACTTTGTCAAAGGGACGACCTGAAGAGTAATTACGTTGGCAAGAGCATTCAATACACCAATGTAACCTAAGCCCAGGTAGGAAAAGCTAAGACCCTTTGAGGTTCCAAGTTTTACGATTCGGTAAACCTGGAGTAGATAAGAAAGAACAAGTCCGATAATAATAATAATCGCAGATACAAAGCTTGTTACAGTTGCCAAAGGACACTGTTGCTCTTGATCATTTCGTAGAAAACTTGAAGACATTGCGCGCATAATCAGCCGGTAATTTCAATTAGGAGACAAGCAGCAAGGAAAGAAAGACTTCTCAAATTTAGGAGGTTTCCGCTATGTAAGGAAGAAAGAAAGTAGTAAAATTAGTCCGCGACAAACGATTTTAACAGATTACGGTACGATATTCGAAAGACAGATACAGGAATCCAACAAGACGCTTCCTATCACGAATTAAATTGGAAAAAAAAAAAAGAAAAACCTATTATTAACAAATACCAGTTTATATTTGTAGCTTCAAAGAAGGGAAACTAAAGCAATGTTGGTGGATGGCAAAAGGTAGTGGGATGAACTTATACCTTTGAAGTCATCAGTTAAGCGACTTTCATCCCAATCGAAAGGTACAACTCTACAAAGAAAATTGATAATTCGGATCAGTGAACAGATAGGAATTAATTAGTTAAATATATAACGTATATTAAAAAAGTTGATTGCTTTCGCGTGGAATTGCTTTTTATAGATGAATTCGTCATTCCGCGTAAATAAACAAGAGACAATAAAATGGGTTGAAGAAGAAAATGTAAAATGGTAAACCCGATCCCATCTGAGCTGAGCTTCTGTCACTGTGTCTTCTTTGCTAAATCACTAAGTTAGTATATAAGAAAAAAAAAATACTATTCACGAAGCGGTCTTTTGGTCAAATATAAGCAAAGTACTCTACAAACGACCAATTCAAATTCTTGCTTGCTCTTTTTTAGAAGAGAACCGGATTTTAATGTCATTCAAACGATCATTCTCTTAAACGGTACAACAGATCCCATACGAGATGGTTATAATTTGGTTTGGAAGTTGATATGTTGGTGCGTTTCTTTTCCATTCTTTAGTGCTATAAATGATGCATATTATTCTAGTCTTTTAAGCATCGGGCATATGATGCAGTGGTAGCATGCTCGCTTTGCATGCGAGTTGGCCTGGGTTCAATCCCCAGTGTGTCCATTATTTTTTCTTTTTTTTTGCTTATATTTTGGCAAATAGAAGCTTTTCTTTTTTAAAAATGAATAATTTTACTATTTTAAATCTCCAGAGAGAGCTGGTGTTTCATACAACAAACCAATATTTCATACTTAGCTTTTACCAGGGTTTCAACTTAAGACTTGCAATTGTATTATTGTAATCATGAATTTCGGTGTCCGTCTTGTACATAGCCAATTCTTCCAACCATTTTCTTTAAAGTCTTAAGTTATTTCACTCCACTTCCTTTCTTTTTTTTTTGTTGATTGCAAATATCAAATGGAAACAACAAATAGCGAAAAAAAATATATAAAAAATATATAAATAAAAAAAGGCGCTTTCATTTCATCAGCAGTCGCTTGTTAAATGGTTAAATGTAACCGGGAGTTTGTTTCTCTCATCTAAACAATATCGTTACACCGCCGTATTTTGAACTTGCTCTAAACCACTATAGAAAAGAAAACTAAAAGCGAACACCACCTTCCTTCCCTTTTCATTTCACGAAAGCTTTTTTGTGCCAGAGGATCAACTAGAAAACAGATACTCCTTTAATTTCTTAGATTTCCAAATGTCGGACAATTATTCGTTTTCGTTGCGTAAATACAAGCTTGTCTTTTTGGGAGAACAATCCGTTGGTAAAACTTCTTTAATCACCCGGTTTATGTATGATCAGTTCGACAATACTTATCAGGTACGAAGCAAATAAATTAGCGGAAATTTTGTTTGGCTAACGTCACCATCGGTAGGCTACAATTGGAATTGATTTCCTAAGTAAAACAATGTATTTGGAAGACCGCACTGTTCGTCTTCAACTTTGGGATACCGCTGGCCAAGAAAGATTTCGTTCTTTAATTCCTTCTTATATTCGGGATTCTTCTGTTGCCATCATTGTTTACGATATTACGAGTATGTTAATGTCAAAGCAAACCATCTTTGAAATCTTATGACGGTTGGCAATTAACTTTTAATAATGTCGACCGTTTGCTTCTATCGCAAGATAATGATTTATGTTTACTAACATGTCATGTAGACCATAACTCCTTTGTGAATACTGAAAAATGGATTGAAGATGTGAGGGCTGAACGGGGTGACGATGTGATTATCGTACTTGTTGGAAACAAAACAGATTTATCAGATAAAAGGTATGTCTTATCCAAAAAGAAAGAGGGAGTGCTTAAAATCACATTATAAGGTTTCTTCCTTCCCTGTTGATTATGAATTGCCTTTTCACTAATTCTTTTACAGACAAGTTAGCCAAGAAGAAGGTGAAAAAAAAGCTAGTGAATTAAAAATTATGCATATGGAAACTAGTGCCAAAGCTGGTTATAATGTGAAACAACTTTTCCGGAAAATCGCTCAAATGCTTCCTGGAATGGAAAATGTCGAGACTCAAAGTACCCAGTTAATCGACGTAAGTATCCAACCGAACGAAAACGAAGGCGGTTGCAACTGTTGAGATAGTTGTTTGCAAATTTTGAACCTTTTCCCCTTTTACCTCTGCGCCCAAGATATGTCAAGATATGTTATGAATGTGTATTGACGGATTGTTTACATTTTTACATATTGCATATTTAACGTTGACAGTCTTTTTATTACTTTCAACATTATTTTGTCAGTGCACAGATATTTAATGAACGACACGATGAGAAAACCTTGCCTTCTTTTCAATGACTTTGGTAGTTTTTTTTTTAATATATTCATCAACCTAATCTTTGTCTAAATCCAAGTTTATGGTCTAGCACCTTCGTTTTTTTACTCTAGGTTTCTTTTCGTTGATGTTTTCAGGAAAACTTCTAGCTTTTTGTAATTATTTTAACCTTCTTTGGAATTTCGTTCCATCCCAAAATCTTTTATTTTCTATTAAAAGAATTAGGACCCTTTCACTTTTTTCCTGATTTGATTTCTATGTATTTTATTTCTTCCATTACATAGAAAGAATGTTATGATTATGTACATCGTTTCTACTTTTGCCTGCCTCCGTACCTGTCTAATATTATCTTCAATGAACAGTGAACAACAATCAAAGGATATTTGTATAAACCGTGAACTCTCATTTTCCCTTTGATATATTTTTTAAACAGAAAAACTTTTTTTTCGCTTAATCTGTTAAACAAAAAATCAGGCGCGCCATGATCTGGGTCATTTTCCCTTTGCTCATACGCGCAAATATTATAGTATCAGTAAAGAGATGATTAAGCACCTGAAAGGTATTTTTTTGGTTGAAACTCCTCTAAATTCATCAGAAGTTCACACTGATCATCAACAAGGTCTTTCAATTGATCGTGGAAAAGATTAAGAATCGCTGCATCAGGAACCCAAATGACATGCATACCAGCAGCTTTTGCACTTTTAACTCCAGGAACGCTGTCTTCAAAAGCAATACAATCTTTTGGAGATAATGGAGGTAGACTTTGCTTTTCGCGGTTTTGATTGATAAGATTTAGAGCTTGAAGCCATATGTCAGGATGGGGTTTTCCACGACCAGGAGGAATGCGAGGATCATCGCCGGTAATAACGTTCTCACCGAATTTGTCAAATGCATGACGAAGATGATTGGTTTTCATTTGGTAATTTGCAACGTTGGATGAAGTAGCTAACTATGTGGATAAAAGGTTAGCTATGAAAGTCCAACAACCTTCATCTTGAATGCACCAAACAGGGAAGGAACTTACGGCAATATCAATGTGATTTGTATATAAATGTTCGAGTAGTGATTCAGCGCCCGGCATCAAACTCATGGAAGACCAAAACTTTGCCTAGAATGGTGGTTAGCTTTTAAGGTGATGGGAAGCTGAAGACTTACGCGGATAACTTGTTGTTCGTCAACAAATTCTTGTATAGTCATTGGGATTTTGGACCAGTTAATTACAACTTCGGCAGCTTTATCTCCGGGGCGACCTGAAACAAGGTGAGCAAAATAGAAAGTAAACAGATATAATAGCAAAAAGTCCCTTGAAACTACGTACCCATCATTTGGGCCTTAATAGTAAGAGGTAGTGGGCCCTTGTTATAACGTTCCAGCATGAAATCTGAGAAGAATGTTAGTTTTGGTACCATGTCATGCAGACGATATATCCATACTTGTAGTTTTGGTGTAGACGGTTTCACTATCAACGAGGAGACCCTACGCAAAGAAGAATGGTTAACTTATGAAAACAAACTACGGTCCAAGATACAGTTTAACGGATTCAACCAGAAACTAAAACAGGACGACATACATCCATATCAAACAGACAGGCTTTATATAAATGGTTTTGAGCAGGCATGGTAGTCTTGATTCCAGTTTCTAATTAAAACAGAAATGGCGATGCGATACGATACGAACAGCAGGATATCGAGTATTACTACAAAAGATAGAACAGGAAGACCATGCAATAGAAAAGTGCGCCAACAAAGAAGCAACGAAAAAAATGCAATTCAATTGAAAATCTCAAGAGAAAGTTCCAAATCCAAAATTTAAGAAGCGGTTCAGCTTGCCCCCAATAAGAAGATGCCTAGAAATCTTCCAAGTCCAAAAAATGAAACGCCCGAAGCAATAGCAAACTTTTTCGTTTACTGGTGGAATGGATGTTCAAACCGTTAGTGGCGAATAGCTTACTTTTGAAGATTGTTTGCTATGTCAGATTGTGAGCATAAAGATTGAGTTCTTTAAAATATCGCTGACCGCCACTAGTACTACTAATAATATTATGTAATATTAAACAAATGTATGAATCAAATAATACAACACCGAACTAGTCCCAGTATTCCAGGAGTACATAATACTATCCCATATGTACTTTACGAAAAATTACGGTATGACACTTCAAAGAAAGATTTCACGTAATTCAAAAAATACTGTGTTTTCTTTACGCTATGGAATTTAGACTATAGCTTCGTTTATCGTTTAGTGCAGTTCCGATCGCCTATAAAATCTTGTGTCATCAACAACGTGTTTGTTCATCAAAGTATAGAAGACGCTCGCTTTTGGTAAAGCAAAAGTGAACAAGGTACAAAACTATATGCGAAACAGCTTCAGAGTCAGATGCTACTTTGACTCAGTCTTCCAGTCTTCCTATTACGGTGTCTGGTTACATCATATCCAACGATTCACCTAAGTTCAATAAGACCGTAAAGTAATGATTTAGAACGTTTCTGAAATTCCAAAAATTTTATGAATCATATTTTCTATCTGTAAGGTAAGCGAAATCATTAAAATTCCAGAAAATACAGTACGTGAACATTTGGTTACCTCACAGGTCGCAAAGTAAGAATAATGCAAAGGTAAAAGTTAATCGAAATCGCAGACAGAAGCGGTGTTTTGAAGTTTTTATTTTGTTTTAGTTTCTACTTTTCTATTATTTTTATTATTTTTTCTTACCAAACTTTCTAAATATGAACCGGATTTATTGTGAGCATCTCTTTCACGTGGAGATTTACGTACAGAAAAATGGTAGGAAACCCTGACTGTAATTTGGAATCACGCTGACAAGGATCTACCTATTTAATTCCATTAAATAATATGTGAAAAGAAAACGAACCAAAAGTGAAGTCATCGTTGGAATGATCAATGTGGCATAACATCATTCTCAAACATCATCATCTGCATCATAGTGGATAATTTGATCAGAAGCAAAGTTATAAACAGTAGCCCATATATTCATTATGCAGCATAGTTAATCAGTTTATTTTGTAAATTCATAACTAGAAACGAAAAATGAGCCCTCCCGCCAAGAACATTAACGAAAGAACCATCACTGACCTCCTCAGCTTAAAGGGCAAGAAGGCCCTTCTTTACGGATGCTCTAAGGGTATCGGTTTAGATGTTGCAAGAGCATTTGCCCAATCTGGAGCAGATGTTTTAATTACCTACAACAGCACCAATGCCGAAAGTCAAGCCAAGGAAATCAGTCAAAAATATGGTGTTAAGGCTATTGCCTTGAAATGCAACGTTAGCAACTGTGACGAGGTTAAAAGCGTCTTTGACGAGGCCTTAAAGCAATTTGGTCATATTGATACTGTTGTTGCAAATGCTGGTGTTTGCACCGGTAAATCTGCAATTGAGATGACTCCTGAAGAGTGGTCGAAGGATATCACCATCAACTTGACCGGTATTTTCAACGTTGGTCACGTTGCTGGTGCCGTCTTTGAAAAGCAAGGCTTCGGTAGTCTTACTGCTACTGGTTCCATGTCAGGAGCCATTGTTAACGTTCCTCAAAAGCAAGCTGCTTACAATGCTTCCAAGGCAGGTGTAATTCACCTTTGTAAGAGTTTGGCTGTTGAATGGGCTGATTTTGCTCGTGTCAACGTCGTTTCCCCTGGTTACATTTCCACTGACATGACCGGTGGAATGCACGAAGAATGGGTTCCCTACACTCCTTTCCGTCGTATTGGTTTACCTAGAGAATTGGTTGGTGCCTATGTGTTCTTAGCCAGTGACGCTGCTACTTATGTTACTGGTTTAGACCTCAAGGTTGACGGTGGTTACACCTCAATTTAAGAGAAGATCAAAAAATAATTTTGCTATTTATTTATTTTACATGTTGGAACATCTTTTCCTCCACACATTTTGATTCCTCTTTTCCGTATTTACGACAAATATACTCTCCATGATGACGATGGACTCTTCTTTCATAAGAAGTCTTTGTTTGGTAGTTAGCAATTTATGATGAAATATATTTTAATTGCAAGTACTATATATATAATATGTTGTCTTTGTAAGTCATAAATTGTAGTTGAAAGAATTAAGATATTAAGTGATCAAACAACATATTTGACATTTTAGAGGTTCACTACGGATCGGACATATGCTCATTTATGTGTGCATGTACACACAATTGGCATTATTGACTCCAAAAGGAAAAAAAAAAACAAGAAAAGAAACAAATATATTACCAAAACATACATATATAATCTGAATAAAAACATTCAAAAAGTAGCCATACATTGCAAAATCATACGTCTCATGGCTTAGGCCATTTGCCATTCTGGTGCTACAGGTGCTTTACCTAAACCCATAGGGACAATACCGCTGATGTGGCATTCCGGACCGTACACCTTCAAAGGAAGATTATACTTTTCGCCAGCCTCACGAATGACACGGAGACCTTCTTGATAATTGGGGCCAGCACGACGAACCCAGATAGAAACTTTGTGTTCAAGCAATTTGTCTTTGAATTCGCCCAAAGCTCGAGAAATGGCGCGGAATGTTACAGCTGGGGAAGTGAAGTTTGCGATACCACCACCAATGAAAAGGATTTTACCATCAGCACGAGGCTTGCCACGAGTCATCAAATCCAAAACCGTCTTGGCGTATTGATAAGTTTGACCATCTGTAGGTGCACCACTATATTCACCATAGTTAGCTAATTCATCTGCAGCACCGTTAACAGCAACGGCATCAGCATAAACTACTGAGGCACCACCTCCGGCGACAAGATTCCAAACACGACCATTGGGATTCATTATGGTTAACTTTAGAGAAGCACCGGTCTTGGCATCCAGTTCTTGAACGTAAGCTTCCTCTTTGCTCAAATCACGACCAAATGGAGCTGGGAAAGCCATGGGAGGGCCATAGTCAGCTGTGATCGGTTTAGAGTCATCTTTGTTTTCAGATTTGATGCCCAAAGCTTCAGCAGTACGAGCTACAGCCCATTTTGCGCCACACTCAAAGTCGGCAGTTTGGTCAAGCTTTGCAGCAAGGTCCAGATAGTGTACATTTGCACCAGAACCACTGGGAAGAATAACTAACGGATTGATTTCCAAGTATGTGAATTGGCAGTCGACATAGACCGAATACAGACGGATGATAAAATCAACTAGAGAGTCATGTTGCTTCTCTGGAATTCCCGAAAGAAGAGTATTAGCAATTTCAGTACGAGAAGGAAAGTTATCAAGGCATACAGGGATCAAAATCTTCTTAGCCTTTGCATCGACATCACCAACGTCGACACCACCTTCATTGCAAAATAATATCCAATCTCCTTCTCGCACAGAGTTAATATTAATGTAATATTCTTCATCAGAGGAATGAGGGACAAAAGGCTCTACCAAAAAAGTAGTTAAAAGACCGACAGCGTGTTGAACTTGCTGTGGTTGACCAGCACGTTCACGGATCCAGTCTTTCGCTTCGTCCCAAGTGGAATTCAATTTTAAAAGTCCAGATTTACCACGACGTTTAATTAGCTGGTCTGGCTTTGCAACAAGCTTGGAATCATGGACCCAAGGGTGTTGACGAGCTACTTCAGCAAAAACATCCTCAACAACTTGCTTGTAAGCAGAAGAGTTAACTGGACTTTCCTCATTAGGTAATGGAAATTGAATATGAGCGAGTCGAGTATCTGGATTGGAAGAAGGGGTTTTGTATGCTTCCTTAGAAATGCTTGGAGACTTGTTCAACCAATAGGCTAAAACAGCCTTACCATCAAACTAAAATTTCACTAGTAAGTATATAGAATTCTTTGAATTAAAAAATCTGCTGTTCTTTACCTCTCTAATGGATTTTGCCGACATTATGAATTTGGTCAGTAGTAAGAAGCATCAAGGCATATTAGAAAGAAGGCACTGCGTCTCGCAGATTTTGTTAAGTCATCAAATATTATTAATAGTATAATCTTATTTAATAAGCAATTTCTTATTTAAATTTTATTTTTTTTTCATATTTATTTGGAAAAAGAAAGTGTCCGTTTATTTTGAGCGAATCTTTTTGTTCAAGTACATTTTTATCTTGCTCTTCCATTATTTAATTGCAAATCTCATTATAGCTTCCTTCAAAAAATTAGTACATGAATTCAATTTCAAAATGGAGTTAATAAAGTAACTTGCTAAGTGAATACGAGTATCAAACTTCACGCTGAAAATGAATAGGAATTAACAGTTTCCCCTTTAAATAAGATAAATTTCACACAAGTTATATACCATTATAGCTACTAAAGTCAATGAATTTCATTACTTTTTATTTCGAATCATCTTACGAGAAAATAGCTTTTATTTTCCTCGGTTTACGTATCACAATTAATGGTAAAATCACAAGGAATCAACCGCTAAAAAAATAATAAAAATAACAAATACAATAAAAGTTAAAAAGAAATTCTAATATAAAGAAAAGAATGAAACCATGAATAATTACCGCAGAGTTTCAGCAAGAAGAGTTGGCTTATCCAAACATACAGCTTACTAAAAATTTATATATCTACCTCGCGTCCTTCCGAATAAACTTTAAATCAAAAACATCTACTAATTATAAGTCCAAGAAAAGGTAAAAATATTTTCACCGACCTCTCATAATTTTTAATGAAATACTGCTTTGTTTACATTTCAAAAATAGCCTTTACGAAGCGAATTGTTTACACTCGCATCTACATGATTATTTCCCATCAAGATAAAAGTGTTCTGGAAGATACTATTAAACGACATGTGACTGCTTCTCATGTTACTTACTGGAATTTCGACCGGTGTATAAACACTTACCACAAACCAACTTGTACTTTTCCTTTATAGAGTATATAAGGTATTAATTCTAAAATCTGTGCAGTGATTGATTAATAATTGATTACTTGTTCATATTTCAAAAGAATTCAAGTCTTATTGTTGGTCTTGTTATTGTATAAAGAAATCCAAAATTAGACTGAATACTTCTTTATAAAATGAGGAAGTTTCAACTCTTCAGCATTTTCAGCTATTTTATAGCTTTATTTGTTCTTTTACCTTCAGTTTTCGCCGATTCGGAGAAAAACGAAACTGAAAACTATGGTACTGTCATTGGTATCGATCTTGGTACTACCTACTCCTGTGTGGCTGTTATGAAGAATGGTCGTGTCGAAATCATCGCCAACGACCAAGGTAGCCGTATTACCCCTTCATATGTTGGTTTCACTGATGAAGAACGTTTGGTTGGTGAGGCAGCTAAGAACCAGGCTCCTGCCAATCCCGAGAACACCGTTTTCGATATCAAGCGTCTTATTGGCCGTAAATTTGACGAAAAGACTATGACTAGAGATATTAAGTCTCTTCCCTTCAACATTGTCAACAACAAAAACCGTCCTCTCGTTGAGGTTAAGTACGGTGGTAAGACAAAAGAATTCACCCCTGAAGAAATCTCTGCCATGATTCTTGGTAAGATGAAGCAGACTGCTGAAACTTACCTTGGACACCCCGTCACCCACGCTGTTGTAACGGTTCCCGCCTACTTTAACGACGCTCAACGTCAAGCTACCAAGGATGCTGGTACAATTGCCGGTCTTAATGTCATTCGTATTGTCAATGAACCCACAGCCGCAGCTATTGCCTACGGTTTGGATAAGACTGACAGTGAAAAGCATATCATCGTTTATGACTTGGGTGGTGGTACTTTTGATGTTTCTCTTTTGTCTATTGACAACGGCGTGTTTGAAGTTTTGGCCACTTCCGGTGACACTCATCTTGGTGGTGAAGATTTTGACAACAAGATCATCAACTACTTGGCCCGTTTGTATAACCGCAAGAACAACGTCGATGTTACTAAGGACGCCAAAGCTATGGGTAAGCTTAAGCGCGAAGTTGAAAAGGCAAAGCGTACTTTGTCTTCTCAAAAGTCCGCTCGTATTGAAATCGATTCTTTCCACGATGGTAAGGACTTCTCCGAAACCTTGTCTCGTGCCAAGTTTGAGGAATTGAACATGGACCTTTTCAAGAGAACATTGAAGCCTGTTGAGCAAGTTTTGAAGGATTCTGGACTTAAGAAATCTGAAGTTGATGACATTGTTCTTGTCGGTGGTTCCACTCGTATTCCTAAGGTTCAAGAACTTTTGGAGAGCTACTTTGGTAAGAAGTCCTCTAAGGGCATTAACCCTGATGAGGCTGTGGCTTATGGTGCTGCTGTTCAAGCTGGTGTTTTATCTGGCGAAGAAGGAAGTGATAACATTGTACTCTTGGATGTCATCCCTTTGACTTTGGGTATTGAGACCACCGGTGGTGTCATGACTCACCTTATCCGCCGTAACTCACCTATTCCTACCCGTAAGTCTCAAATTTTTTCAACTGCCAGTGACAACCAAAACACCGTTTTGATTCAAGTATTTGAAGGTGAGCGTACTCTGACCAAGGACAACAACTTGCTTGGTAAATTCGACTTGCGCGGTATTCCTCCCGCTCCTCGCGGTGTTCCTCAAATTGAAGTTACTTTCGAAGTCGACGCTAATGGTGTATTGACCGTTTCAGCTCTTGACAAGTCTGGTAAGGGCAAGCCCGAGAAACTCGTTATTAAGAACGATAAGGGCCGCTTGTCTGAAGAGGACATTGAACGTATGGTCAAGGAAGCCGAGCAATATTCCGAAGAGGACAAAATTTTGAAGGAGCGCATTGAAGCTCGTAATGGTCTTGAAAACTACGTTTACTCTTTGAAAACCCAATTCACCGATAAAGAACAATTCGGCGGTAAGGTTAGCGAGGAGGACAAGCAAACTGTTTTGGACACCGTTGAGGATGTTATTGAATGGCTTGAAGTTGAAGGTGCTGAAGCATCTAAAGAAGAGCTTGATGATCAACGTCAAAAGGTTGATCAAGCTGTTCATCCCATTACTCAAAAGCTTTACTCTGAGGGAGCTGGAGCCGACGAAGAAGATGAGGACTTTGATGCTGATGAACTTTAAAGTGTTTATGGATTCGTCGTTCAAAAACATTCATGCACTAATATGACACTATAAATCTTAAAAAATATTAAGATTTGCAATAATTTATTAATGTTTCTTGAGAAATGATTATGATAGAATCAGTTATTTTAATGAGTTCAGCTGTAGCTTTCACTTTTCTGCAGTGAAAGCTACATAACTGAATTGATGTCCCTTCGAAATTAATATCGGTGCATGCTATTCCTTTACTGAACGACCCATCATATATAGAAAGCCGTTAGTTTTGTTGATGTATATTAGCTAAGCTAACTGGTGCTGATGTTAACTTTGCAAATGGTACATTGAATTAACTAACGGATTTTCTGAGTTTGATATCGTTCAGATAACCATTTAAATCAAAAATAATGTATAACAATACTATCCTTTGTTATTAGCATGAAGAGTATATAGTCTAATAAAAACGTTACATTCTTTTATTTTTGATAAAAATACTGGCTTTGAAGAACTGTAAACTCAAAGAACGATATTGCAAATGTTAGGAAGGTTGAAATTAGAAAAATGAAATTTATTTTCTTATATATCTGTCTTCTTTCTTTCTCTTGTAGACACTTTTTTCGTGTAACTTTGAATGAAGCTCTGGATAGGAAGAAGCACCAGTCGCGCTTAACGCTGCTTCTGACGATAACTATACCACATATATAAAAAAGGCGGTACAATGGATCTTTATGATTATATGAGCCCAAGTACTACAACGGAAGAGCAAAATGAAGAAGGATACGAGAAATTAAAAGAAGAAATGGGTTCCGCATTGGACGTATGTCTTCGTATTGCATAATTGTTAAGGCCTCAAACTGACATTGAATAGTCCATAACTGGAGGGAAATTTGGTCCCTTTTGGAGTAAATTTAAAGAAAAGGTACGGGAGATAATTGTGAAATGATAGTTAACATATCGTATGAAGAGCGAAAGCTTTATGGGTGATACAAGAGAGCGTGCGAATACAGGGATGAGTAATTTGAAAGCACAATTTGAAGAAGGTAGTTCCTCAGGATCGACAATGGAAAATCTTCGCAGAGTGGAAGAGTCAGCAGGTCGTTATTGGAATAGTTTTGGAACAAGAGTCAATGGATTTTTGGACAAAGCGCTACAGGTCAATCCAAAAGGGGAAGAACAACCAAGTTTAACAAGATCCAAATCTTCTCGTGCAAGTTTATTGTAAGTAATGCGATTTATCTAGTTGTTTGATAGTACCTCTTCATGTAATTACCATTACGTGGAAATAAGGGCTTAAGTTTCGCTGAATAAATTGAACAGAACGACCTAACTGTTTTTAGTTTGAGCCGTCAGGACAAGAAAATTTTGCGATTGATTGAAAATTCAGATCTCTTTCGAAATCCCGTGTCTGATGAGGGTTATAATGATTGGGAAAAGGGAATTTCCATTGATAGCAAGACAGATGAGATTTCAGCTCTCCTACAAACATATGAAAACTTGCGTAACCAAATGGAAGAATTAGTGCCTTCACAGGTTTCATATGAAGCCTTTTGGAAACGTTTCTTTTGGTACAAGGAACAACCAACGAAATCCCTGAGTTCTATGCACACTGAAGAAGAAATATTTAGTTGGGATGATGAAAAAAGCGATATTGAAGAAGAAGATGACGATAAGAAGACAAACGGAGGGAAGGAAGAAGTTTCTAAAGATAATAAGGAGGAACTCGACTCGGAACAAAACAAAAAGAACAGTACTTCAACTTCTGCTAATCACGTTGATGAAAAAGTAACTGCAGAGCCTTCCTTAACTGAAAGAGACGATACGAAACAAAATAAAGACAATGATGACGATGACGATTGGGAATAAACTTACTGTTTACTGAACGCGATATGTTTGTTTCTCCGTTATTTCGAGAATATAAATCCCCGTTGTTTTGGATTATCTACGCACATGTTAATGAACGTTTGTCAAAAGGATTATTATCCATGAAGAAACTTTAAATAGCCGCTACTTGTCAACCTAATGAAAGACTATGATAAAATAACATTAAATTCTATTATCCTAGAACGAAAGAACCGACAACTCACGATTCGATCAGCGTATTCGTAAACATATCATGGAAAGTTGTGTCATTAAAAGGTATAATAAAAAATATATAGAAAGGACTACAGAAAGCTCATCTGGTTTTCTATAGCCATCCTTTACTTTGCATTTGTGGCCTCGTATCGTTGACGATTTACATCGCACAGGCGAAGGTCAACAACGCGGCCGCAAGCAGCCCTGTCCTCTTCTCCCACCTGCGAATACTGATCCACCAAGTATTCCAAGCTATTGAGAGGCCTTGTCAATACCTCGGTGTTGTATGCTGTCAATGCAACGTGGATATAAATAATCAGCACCAGTATCCAGCTTGGAATTGCAAGTGCCCACCAGCGGGAAAGGTAAGACTGTATTTCCAGATAATTCACGGCAGACGCTGGAAGGATTGCCCAACAGATGAAGAGGCCAAAGGCGACCATCGATACCAGGTACAGAACGAATCCATAGTACTCATAAGTAGGGACCTTCACCATGATATCCCATTCCTGTTGATCCATTTCAGAGACGTCAATTTCGTCTCCTTCAGGAGTGGTAGACCTCGCACGCAACATCGTTGTCAATGAAGGAGACGGCGGAATCAACATGGGATGTCCATAGAATGGTGGATCAAACACCGTATTTGAGAGGTTATCATTGAATTCATCCTCTACAATTCCGTCTAGCCTTTCTAAGGGTGACGAGTACTGATTATCTGCCATTCAGACATATGTTTATATTGCTTTGTGTCAATAGAAGATGGTCATTGTAACCAGGCAACACCTTATAAGGAAGTTTCTTAGGAAGATATTAACAACAAAATTTGTATGTCGTTATATTTAATTAACGAAAATAAATTAAGATGGTACGATACGTTAAACATTATTAACTTGGCTACTTTCAGTTGGCCAAGGAGTAAATAAGCAAATATTCAAAACATCGCACTAGCGCTGCGTAGAACGGTATTTTTAATCCACAGTAAACACTGCAATAAAGAATTTGAAATTTACAACATGTCAGAAGTAAAAGAATCAGGTCCTTCTTACTACTTCCCGGGAGACGATGTAAAGTTATCTAGTATAGTGGAACAAGGAACTGTTCGATTAGGTCCTGGTTTAGTTCATCAGAAACACGATCATGAAGATGAAATAAAAGTCTCTCGACCTGGGTTTCTACATCAGGGAGTTAAAAATACTGTTTTAGTGGATACAAGAATGAAACGAGTAAGTACTAAGAGTGTTTAGTATAGGAAAATCGACATTGAGACTTATAACTACTCCGAGAAAGACGATTGCGTCTATGCAATACAACCTCAATGTTTGCTTTCGTCCTTTTTAAGAAAAAGTTCTAACAGAAATTCAGTATATTCCTGCTATGAATGATCAGGTCATTGGCCAAATTACTTCTCGTTTTGCTGAGGGTTATCGAGTGGATATTGGATCAGCACACAGTGCTCAATTAAACGCACTGGCCTTTGAAAACGTTACCAGAAAAAGCAAACCAAATCTGAATGTGGGAAGTTTGGTATATGCCCGCGTATCTTTAGCTGACCGCGATATGGAACCAGAGTTGGAATGTTTAGATGCGACCACAGGAAAAGCTGGTGGTTTTGGAGAATTGAAGGAAGGGTATATGATTACCGGATTATCGTTATCACACTGCAGAAAGCTTTTGTCTCCTCAGAATGCCCTTTTACAAACTCTTGGTACTTATATTCCGTTTGAAATTGCTGTTGGGATGAATGGACGTGTGTGGGCTCATTCGGAAACAATTCCAACGACGATTTTGATTAGCAATTGCATAAAACAGTCGGAATTTTTGAATGATGATGAGCAAATTGAATTAGTAAAGTCAATGGTAAAAAATCTTTAACCCTTTTTACTGAAATTTCGGAAAAATATATGTAATTTTCTTTGTACAATAAGTAAGTAATAAGATAAATATAATAGTTGCAATGAATATATGGCTTTGGCTTTTCCTGTTTTTTTCTTTTTTTTTTCTAGTATTTTCAGTGCTTCATGAGTTTCGTAGCTTGTGTATTTATGAAATGTATTCTTGTTTTAGACTACTGTAAAAATACAATCCAATAAATATGGAATCAATATGTTCTATAGAAAAGGCATTTCATTGGTAGTACGTATCGTCGTTTCTACATAAAACTAGAATCACTTTTAAAACTAGATATATATATGTCCTCTAATAATAATAATAATAATACAACAAATATAAGGGTTATAAATAATGCATGCCTACTTGGCGAAACCTTCAACAATAGCAGCAACACCAAGGGCACCGGCATCAGGAACCTTCACATCTCCACCAACATAAACAGCACGACCAAGCTTAGCTTGCAAGTAAGCGGTATTTTCAGCGCCATCACGAGCAGCCTTAGAAGCAGCATGGATGTCGTCGGTTTCGACAAACTTTTCAACGAATGGAACAAGGGCATCGCACATAGTACGATCACCAGGACGAGCAGGAGTGTACTTGAAGAGAGTATTCAAAGCAACATTTAAGGCGTTAGACCACATCTTGGTGGAAATATCCTTCGTTTCTTGAAGGTGATCCTTGACGCCCTTGGCGAAACCATGGAAGAAGATGGCATACAAGGCACCAGAGGTACCATCCATATTGTCTTCGATGACATCGGCAATATCACGGACAAGACGAATTGGATCATCACTGAATTTGTCAGATTTGACAAATTCAGCGACACCTTCAGCGCCTCGCTTCAATGTGGTACCGCAGTCACCATCGCCCGCAATTGTATCAAACTTGGTAATCTCGGGTTCAGCATCAATTAAATTCTGCATAGCAGTAAGAATAATTTTGCGAACAGCTTCCTTGTCAATTTTAACAGGAGATTGAATATCAGCGTGGGCTTCTTGAATGCTGATATTGCCAATCTTGTTCTGGGAGTTGACGTTGGCAGGCAGACAGTAAGGCCAGCCAGTAGCCTCAACGGGCTCGTCTAGTAAATTAAGGAAGGAAATTTCTTTGCCATTGATGTTTATATGATCGGTGGTACGGAACAAGGTGATACCAAAGCCAAGACCGTTCAGACTGGTCGTAAAGATACCAGCATACACACGGACTGGACGAATGGAATATTGTTCAGCAAGTGCTTCCTCGACTTTGCTGGAAACAGCACTGAATTCAAGTAAGGACAAGCCACCAAGGTTGTTCATGACCAACACTACCTCATCCTCACTGTTGATATTTACATAAGCACGATCCTTATCGGATTGGTCTAGCAATTGTTTTAGCATTTCAGAAACAAGGTCATCAATAGAGGGAATAGGGGAGATACGACGGCAACCGGGTTCGTTGTGGATACCCATACCGAGTTCCATTTCATCGTGAGCCATGCTTTCATCATCGTCACGAGGACCTTGTCCAGGAACGTGGACATGGGCCAAAGAGGCATTAATACTGACCATATTATCATTGGCAGTGTGACAAAGTTTTACAAGATCTTCCAAACCAACACCATGGCTAGCAGCAGCACCGGCTATTTTGTGAATGAGAACCGTACCGGCGAGACCACGACGACCGACTTTACCACTCTTGGCACGGCCAACGGACACATCATCGCCCACGGCAATCAATTCAGCTTTTCTTCCGGCGGCTCTTTCTTTTTCAACTGCCATAGCGAAATGAAGCACATCTCCCGTATAATTCTTGCAAATTACCAAGGTACCAGCATCTGACTTGACTTGCTTAATACCGGCATTAATTTGTTTAGACGAAGGGGAGGCAAAAATAGAGCCACAGATAGTAGCATTTAGCATCCCCTTTCCGACAAACGAGGAGTGGGTCGGTTCGTGCCCCGCACCACCGCCTGATATAACACTGACATTGTTCTTATTATATTCATGGAAGTAAATAAATTTTCCTTCCTCATGAACACTAAGTGTCTTGTTTAAAGAAGCCAAGGCTTTAAGAGAGCCTTTGACCAAAACATCGGGATCATTAATAAAGTGTTTGTCCATTTTTTTAATAATTAGTTATTTTTTCCAAAATCAATAAATGAAATATAGATGCAGAAAAGGAGTGATATGGGTCCAAAAAAGATTAGGAGAAATAAGAAAGAAAGGGTTTTTTAGGTTATAATTTTTTTTGGGGTGAAATTTTTTGGTAAAGAGAAAAAGCGCGCACTAAGAAATCGTTGTTGAGAGTTGTTTTAATGTTGAATATGTGAAGAAATAGGTCTACTTATATACTACAAACACCGTGACCTATTCATCGATTATGTAATTTTTTTTTTGGTTTCATACAAAGCTTATTTATGGACAAAGTGCATGATGCAACCATGTAATAATACTTCTAGCGAATAAAAGCTGCCTGTCTATGAAGTAAAACAAGTAGAAGTTCGAATTAAATTTTCATTTTAAATAGCGTTTGCTTCCTGGAGGGTCATAGAACCAATACCAGGGCTCTGCTTCAATCCAAATTCAAAGTTTTAGTTTCTTCCTTTACCAAAAGAAAGCGTAAAGAATAAAGTCCCCCAGTAGAAGCGCCCGTTAGCTTAAACTGTAAAATATTTGGCGAATTTTATATGTCAAACGTAAAAGTTTATATATGGAAAAGAAGGAAGCTTCATAGAGGCTTATACAATTCTCCACAAATTTAACTTTAAAGGACCTCCCCCTCTCTTGAATTGTTGCAATTTTGTTCAGCGCCAGCCCCAATTCTTAACTCTAATTTCGGTTTCTTTTGCACGTAACTTGACACATAAACAAAAGGTCAAAATGTGATCATTGGAAACAACTCAGCCTTCATGTGAACAATGATCCAACAATATTGAAACAACAGATTTTTTGATTGAAATTTTCATATTATTCAAGTCTTTTTTACTTACTAGATATTTACAGAATTGTAGACAGCTTCAATATTGGTGATATACCCGTTCAACATGAAGATTTTATAGGATATCATAATAACCAAATTCATTGAGCCTCGGATAAACGAGGTTAAAAAGATTAAAGATGAAAGAACCGAATACGAACGTATTTGGATTGGAAGTTTCTTGAAAAGAAAAAGAAGGAAAAGGATGAAATCGTTGGGTTTTCTTTTCTTTTCTTTTCTTTTCTTTTCTTTTCTTTTCTTTTCTTTTCTTTTCGTTTCGTTTCGTTTCGTTTCAAAGTTTCAACTAATTTTTCTTTTCTTCTGGCTTGGGGGAAAGTCGCAAGCAATGAATGCCATACTCTTCGGTGATGGATGATATTACATGAGCGACAAAGTTTCCATAGATTCCTAGAGTAAAGCCGATATAAGCAAATATATATTCCTTTTGATAGCCTTCGAGGATTCCAAATGTATAGGCGTCCAAAGCATTCACCATGTACGGCAAAATCAAGACATTCCAGTGAGGGAAGGAAGATTCGGTCACATGGGAGACGATGATGATACCAACAGAATAGGCCAAAATCATGGCATTCAATAAATAAACTGTAACAAATTGCTCTTCAAACAGGTTGGGGTATTTGGCATAGAGCAAAAAAACGGCAGCCCATTGTGCCAAATAGGGAGAAAGTCCCAACAAGCCCTTGCAAACGCTCTTCTTTTCCTCTTTCAATACACGTGCAGCATTTTGAATACTTTGGAATACATTCAAAAACAAACCAACGCTCATTAGGTAAAACATGCAAGAGCCATATGTGTAGTAGGGAATCATAGAACGAATGGTGCCAAAGGATTCTGGGGTGGGATGAAGTTTTGTCCAAAATACACCACCGGTATATGCAGTTATACCAAACAATACACAAACCACAAGAATGCCTTCCACCGGACCAGAAAAGTAAGACAAATACAAGACGCCTGTATGGTATTCCTCCCATGTAGAAGCGTAAAAGTATAACAAGCAAGCACATTGAGTAAAGATAGTCAAGGGAATACTCATTTGAAATAGTTCTGTGGTTAGCCAAACTTCCAAACTTGTGTTGATGGCATCCACGCCATGGTCAAATAGTTGACCAAGTGGAGACGAACTGTTGGTTCGACGTGCCTGTGATCCATCAATTGCATCAAAACTTTGATACAAAAACAATCCTACAGCCCAAGACGCGTATACCCACCCGGGGTATCCGTCCGTTTCATATCCATACTTATACACGAGCATGGTTATGACATTCACGGTGACAAATCCCAATCCAGTCAAGGTAATCAAATTCGGCCTAAAGTCGTTAGCATCGCCTTTCTACACACAATTAACCATACGCCATCCACATTGGGATCACCTTGAGCAATTGGCTCCACCAGTACGGCTTCAAAACATGTCTAGATAATAAAGAATTATCAACACCCGCGTATTGATATTTATGAAGACTTTTCAACTGTTGCTTGTTTAAATGCATGTTAAAAACACGCTCTTTAGTGAGTCGATGCAAAGGAACGAGTGTTTTGTAAAAACCAAGAGGTTTTCACACTTCACAAAAAGGGTCGAAACTTTCCTTTAATCATCTATGCCCAAAAAATGGTTCAATTATTTTTGATTTTTTTTTTTCATTTTTCTTTCAACTCAAATACCAAACTTTCATTTTGGTCTGTCGTAACGCACCTGGCCTCAGCCTTTAGGCCATGGGCATTCAACGAACTTCCTATTACCACGCGTCCACTTCCTACTTATATCAGCACTGTTCATACATCATACGTTTAATTTTCGTTTCTAATCGTTTTCTCGTGATTATTTGAAGGTTTTAAAATTATTTTGGGGCTCGGGTTCGGTTTATCTATTTTCATATTTAAATATATCCAAAATCTACCATTTTTACCGTGGCAATGACCTCTGTTGCTGGAACACCTCCTTCCGATCAAAATAATTTACAAAAAGATGGCGTCTTAGGTCTTCCAACCAATTTGATTCTTCCTCCTCCGGAAATCAGAGAAATCATTGACAAATCCGCCGGCTACGTCGCTAGAAATGGGCTTGCGTTTGAAGAAAAGATTCGCCAAAATGAGATAAAAAATCCAAAGTTTTCCTTTTTACAAGTGGACGATCCTTATTACAAGTACTATCAGCACAAACTTCAAGAGGCTAGACAAGGAAAACTAAAAGCAACTGCAGGAGTTGGACAAGGAGCTGCAAATTTGGCGCGGCCCATCACTAAATCCATTGAAAGCGCACCTCCCGCACCTCCTCCGTATTTGTTTTCAGAACCCTTGCCTTCTGTATCAGCGCAAGACTTAAACGTACTCCGACTAACAGCTCGCTACGCAGCTATTCGAGGACCTACCTTCATTGCTAAACTTTCACAAAAGGAATGGGGAAATACGCAATTTGATTTTTTACATCAAAACCATGCTCTCTATCCTTATTTTACGCGCATAGTACAACAATACGCTTCTTTAGTAAAAAATACTCTTCCGCCTTTTGAACCCTTACTTCGTCAAAACATTCAGGATCCCTACAGCGTTCTTTCACGGATACAACCCAGAGTTGAGTGGCAGAAATACCAAGAAACTCAAAAGGCGAAACGTAAAGAAGAACAAGAGAGGGAAAAAATTGAATACGCACAAATTGACTGGAACGATTTCGCAGTGGTTGAGGTCATCCAATTCACTGGAGCAGATGAAACAACCAAGCTCTCAAAACCGACAAATCTTGCTGATTTGCAAACCGCAACGTTAGAGCAAAAGTCCGCAATGTTCACTATGCCCGATATGAACTACTCTATTGAAGAAGCTCCTCCCACATCAGCTGCTTGGGAACCTTTGAATGCACCCGCCAAAGCAGAATTTGGTGTCGCTATGCCTTCTTCCTTACCTTCACAAAGAACATCCGCAGAAACCTCTCCATCACCAGCTACACAACCTTCGGCTATGGGTGCACCCCCACCTCTTCGTTCTGCAAAACCCACTAAGTCTGTTCCTAAAGCATTTCAACGGCATGTACCTATGGAGCGTAGTCCATTTACTGGTGAAATGATTCCGGCAAGTGAAATGGGTGAACATATGCGAGTTCATTTATTAGACCCCCGCTGGCGTGAGCAACGTAAAATTGAAGAGTCACGAAGATCCACATTGAACCTAGAAAACGTTGATGTTGCTGCAAACATGAAACGACTAGTCAGTAACCGGACTGATATTTTCGATGTACATAATGGCATAGAGATTACGCCCGAAGAGGTAGAACGAAGAAAACGCGCAGCTACACAAAGTTCATTTGGTGCTGCTCCTCCTCCAAATAAACGTCGTTGATTTACAGAAAAGGATATATATAATGTATTTTTAGTTAATGATAACTTAGCAATTGCAATCGCTCGTATAGTACTACGACTCCTTTTTCATCAGTTTTCTTATTCTTTACTCAATGTCTTACTTTTTCTATATGTGTATGTATGTGGAATTATCGCGTATGTCACAGGCGCACTGCTATGTGTTGTATGCTTACATTTGACTCATCCCATCAAGTCTATCAATTAATTTCAAAGAAGTTTTTTTTTTTTATTGTTTTTCTAGTACTTCACTTTGATTTATTTTTTTCTGTAATCTAGTGTGATTTGTTTATTAGCACAACTTATAATTTTCAAATAGTAATGAGTTCAGTAAGTATCATACATATAAATTGATGTATGCCCCTCGGGAACAGCCCGTTTCACACACTTCATTTTCCATACAGTTAAAAAGAATATTTGAGTAAATCTTTTGAAATTTAATACTACTTTTGGATAATTACTCGTAAACTTCTTATGTTTCGTGTTATTAATCCAAGATCCTGGCAGGTTGCTGCCCATCAAGCGAAACATCATGCTGTTCGTCGATTGACAACAGAAGTACCGGCCTCGGGAAATCGAATAGCTGATGTAGCCTTTGCATTTGAGTAATTATTTTTGTGTTCTTTGACTGATTTGAAAGCTAACCACTCGAAGTATTGATGGTGTCCTTATTCGAGGAGGAAAAGGCTTGACCGAAGGGACTAAGACGTATGCATAGTTCGTCATAACACTTTTACTTACTTTTAGCTTGCGTTTTCTTCAAGAGCACAAAATCCCGTTCATTCTGCTCACCAATGGAGGTGGAATGCATGAAACAACACGGGCCGAGCGCTTGTCTAAGCTCTTGCAGATTAGCTTAAAGGAAATTGACTTTTGTCAATCGCATACACCGTTCAAGAACCTTAAAGATAAATACAAGCATATACTCGTTCTCGGAGGAAGCGATGACAGCGTACGGAAGACAGCTGAGATGTATGGTTTTCCAAGCGTTATCAATGAGCTCGATGTAATTGCTAAGCGTGGTGCACCATTTTGGCCCTTCACATCTTTTACAGAAAGTGATTTAAAGAAAGCTCGTGACTTTGACTTGAATCAACCAATTGAGGCCGTGTTCACCTATGTTGATCCAGTAAGATTTGGACTCGATTTGCAACTAGTTATGGAAATGGCTCAATCGAAGAACGGTATTTTAGGAACTGTATCCGAAACAAATGAAGAAGGACCCGATATTTATTTTTCAAAGTAAGCTCCAAACAGACGCGCTGTGAAAATTTCAAATGTGTTTTTATTTTGCTTACATTTTTAGTGCTGATTTGGTTTGGCCAAATGAATACCCACTTCCTCGTTTGGGACAAGGCGCATTCGCTTCTTGTTGTGAAAAGATCTATCATGAGCTTACCGGAAAGCAAATGAAATTCACTAAATATGGAAAACCCCATAAAATTACTTACGATTATGCTACTAATATCCTTGAAGCAAAGAGAAAGGCCTTAAACATTCCCAATTTTCCAAAGGAAATCTTTATGGTTGGTGATAACCCTGAAAGTGATATTCGCGGAGCTAATGATTACGGGTGGACCAGTATTTTGGTTCGTACTGGTATATTCCAAGGCGCTGACAACAGTCCCAAATATCCTGCTAAGCATGTTGCCAAAAATGTTTGGGAAGGTATGCGGTGGGCTCTTTCTCGACACGTGCCTGGTTCAAAGCTGGATAAGACAATGAATGGTATTCGTGGTTTTCACAATTCTTCTAAACCACCTACCGTCACTGAAAAACGTAATGAAAAAAAGGGCTTTCAATTGCCCATTCGTGAGAATGTTTTTACATTGCCTAACATGCTGACCCTGTCAAGGCTTTTCTCATCTCCACTGATTGCGTTTCTTTATGTAAACGACTATGCGAAGGCAGCTGCTTGTTTGTTTATGTATGCTGGATTTACCGATTTGGTGGATGGCTATCTTGCTAGAAAGTTTCACATGCGAAGCGTCGCCGGAACGGTTTTGGATCCTCTTGCTGACAAGACTTTAATGACGTGTTTGACGCTTTGTTTAGCATACCAAAACTCAATGCCTGGTATGGTTTTCCTTCTGTACTTTTTTTATTAACCTTTACAGCACTATTGGCTGGCTTAATCATCGGAAGAGACGTTTTGCTTGTGTCCATGGTCTGCTTTCTTCGATACCTAACCCTTCCATCTCCGAAAACTTTAAGAAAATATTTTGATTTTAGCCTTCCAACCGCTGAGTTACGGCCTACGAGGATAAGCAAGGTATGTTTATTTTCATTATTTTATTGTTAATAAAGTCAGTGGAATACTGCTTTTCAGTTGATGTTGCTTGGTCTTTTAATTACTGAGCCGATATTACCTATAGACATTGAAATCGCCAAAACACCACTTTTGTAAGTGAGATTTAAATTTATCATATTAAAACTACTAGGATCCCATTATTAACATATGTTTAGTTTTCTAGTTGGATGTACAACAATTGCTTCCGGAGCTTCCTATATTTTAAGTCGCAACACATTTCGTATATTGACTTCGGTGAAAAAATAGTAATGGAGGTCTCTTCAGGAAGTAAAAATTAGAGGTTAAAGGAAGGCGGTATTTTTTTTGTCTCTCTTAAAATTGAATATAAAAGGAATTACATCGGCTTATAATGAAAAGAACCAGGTGCTATTATTAATTGGAATTTTTCCATCTTTAGTTATGCCTTCGACAAATGAATTAAATGAATGAATTCATACGAATTTTTAGACAGTACTTAAACATTCTTTACGAGCAATTGTAGGTATCAGTCCGATGTTACTTGGTCCATAAGAAGTAACGCTTCTACTCAGACTTGCAAGCTTTGTACTTCAAACACTCACTTGCTAAAGTCTCTGTCATAGTGTATTATATGGCACGTTTGTCCTTTTATTTGGCATAAACAGAAAAGAGAACATTTCGTAATTTTTGGTAACAGTGTTGGTAAGACTGTACTAGAAAAATGGACAAGTCGGCGTTGTCTGCTTTGCAGAATGAAAAGCAGAAAAGAAATGTCCGTGATGTGGAGCTTTCTCGTCCTCGAAAGTTCTTTACATCTAAAGATTTTGGAATTGTGATTTTGCTTACAGTTGTTGCATTCGCTATCCGAGTTCAACGTTTAATGATCCCTTCTAAGGTGGTATTTGAAGAGTTAAGATACGTAAATTATGCTCTCGATTACGCGTCAAATAAATTTGTTATGGATGTTTATCCTCCTCTTGGAAAATTATTGCTCAGTTTTGGTCTAACTTTCTTTAATTCCGATCCTAATCTTGCTGGTGTAAGTTCCACAGGACAGGAATTTCCTTCCATTGAAACGGCCAGGCGCCTCCGTCTTATCGTTGCTGGTTTTGGCTCCCTTTTGATACCCTTAATGTATGGTAATGTATATTTCTCATCAAACTCCAAATCTGCCGCTTTCCTAGCCTCCGTTTTTGCTATGTTCGACAACGGATTAATTACAATGAGTCGCTATGTTATGATTGAAATTCCCACTTTATTTTTCATGGGTTTGACTTCCTTCTGCTGGATGTATTATGAAAATCAGCAAAAAAATCCTTTCTCTTTAAAATGGCACTTGAGTCTTTTATCTACTGGTATCAGCCTTGGCCTTGTGATTAGCACTAAGCTATCAGGACTGTTTACACTCATATGGTTATTGGTTTTAGCAGTTTTCCATCTTTGGAACTTACTTGGTGACCTCAGTGTACCTATCACTCGTATCATTCGTTACGGATTCAACTATGTAATCCATCTTGTGGGTGTCCCTATGGTTATTTACCTTGCTGTATTTACCGTTCACTCAGAATTAGCTGTGAAGTCTAATACTTACGATTCATTTTTAACTCCTGAGTACAAGTACGCATTGAAAAATAATGATTTTGGAGAACAATATGCAGATGTGGCATATGGTTCATTGGTGACAATTCGTAATGCAATCCCTGAACATGGTTACTTGCATTCAAACGAACTCGTATATCCTGAAGGCACTGAGCAACAGATAGTTTCATTGACAGACCATCCCAATCAGAATGCTCTTTGGATTATCGAACATGATAGTCCTCATCAAAACAACCGTGAAAATGTCGAACTACTGGAAGACGGCAGCATAGTTCGTCTTCGCCATATCATGACCGGAAGAGCTTTGCATTCTCATGATCATCGACCTCTTGTGAGTAACCATGACTGGCAGTTAGAAGTTTCTGGTTACGGTGGTTTTGGTTTTGAAGGAGATGGAAATGATTTATTCCGCGTTCAAATCCTTGAGCGTCCTTCTCGTCATGCCTCTTCCAATGGAACAGTTGAAGCATTAAATACTTATTTCAGATTGATTCACATATTTACCAACTGCGAATTGATGACTTCTCATCGCCGCCTTCCCGACTGGGGCCAAAATCATCGAGAAGTTACATGTTGCAGAAATTGTATCGAACGAAGTACAACATGGGTTATCGAATCCAATTTTCACGATGCAATGCCATCGAATGCTAGAAGAATAAAGTACAGAAAGCCGAGCTTCTTTGAAAAATTTGTAGAAGCGAACAAGTTGATGTGGATAAAAGACCGAAAAATGGGAGACGGACATGAATTTGAAAGTCATGCTTTAACCTGGCCTTTCTTGTTAGGCCCTTTGAGATTTTTATCAGATCAGGGTCGTCAAGTTTATTTTTTCGGTAATCCCGTTGTTTGGTACAGTGTGGTTTCTCTGACTCTTTTCTTTGCATTGGTAGTGCTATTTTTCATTGTAAGATGGAATATGGGCTACAATGATGAAGGTCCCAATGTTAATCACTACTTGTATAACATTGGCAAATTTTCTCTTGGTTGGTTAATTCACTGGGCTCCTTACATTTTAGAAACGGATCGTGTATTCCTCTATCATTACCTTCCAGCCTTGTATTTTGGAATAGCGGCGCTTGGTGTGGCCTGGTCATTCGTCGGAGTTGTAATCTTAGAACGCCGCCCTGTGTACTCTTTTATTACAACAGCATTCATTGCTTTGATGATCGGTGTTTATTACCTCTACAGTCCTTTTACGTTCATGACTCCTTTGACCCAGTCGTCATGTCGTTCTCTTGAATTGAAGGGGTCTTGGAATTTCAAATGCAATAACTATATGGAATCCTTACACCAATATGATTCTGACATTAATAGTCCTGCTTTCTATGAGCGTGCCGCTCCTCATCCTTTTGTGTATAGTGATGCTGCTGAAAATTCAGATTCTGAAGTTCCTCTGAAAGAAAACCTTGGGGTATATTATCCAGTTTGGGATGCCCAAGTAGAGATGGGCTACAAGGTTGCAGCTGAGGAAAAGGCCGCCATGGAAGCGAAAGAGAATGCTGAACAAGCTGCATCAGCTGAATCCACTTCAGTATCTTCTGAAGAGACTTCAAACAGTGAGTAATCACAGTAATTATGCGATCAAAGCTCGACGATAATAGAATTCTCGAGTTAAAAGAGAATTTTGAAGTAACAGATTGGTTACAGAGCTCCTATATTCTGAATTTACGATTTTTACTATGAAAAGTGTGTTTTCCATTTATCCCAAAATATTAGTTGATGAATGGAAACTGTTCTTATAAATATTTATGTAGAATTTGGCTATCTTTTGCAGATAAACAAAAGGACCGTTTACCTGTTGGTAATAGGATGAGTTTTGTTTTTTTTTTCTTTATGTCTAATTTTAGACGTGGCATTATTACATATCTTCGTAAATGTAATATTATTTTATTTACTTATTCTTTTCTAGAAAGGATGTGCAATGGTAAGAGAATAGACTTACAGTAAGAGGGTAGACCGCGATACGGCTTCGTTGTAACTATTGCGACTAGTTGAAGCAGCCTAACTGCTCAAGATCGACAGGTAATGTAGTCCGTGTTCTTCCCAATCTCTTAGAGCAAATGGTATCATGTATACCTACTTTTTACTGAACTCTGAGTCAAATCATCTAGGACATCTGAGAAAGTAACATGACTTGTTCGTGGGAAATGAGTTATAAATCAGCAAAGAGCGTGATACAGAAGTTTTAAACTACTTTGCGGTCTTTTTTCTACGTCTGTAAACAGATAATAAAGAGATATCATACGAAGAATGAATGAAAATCGAAAGCTTTTTGTTGGCGTACCTAATATACCACGCTCAGCATCGAAAGTGTAAAAATAAACTATAAGCTATCCATATATACAAGCATAAAAGCATCTGATTCCACTGAAAACATATGCTGCGATATTTTGTAAACAAATAAATCGCATTGTTTACGGATTTGCAAGTACATGCAAGATCCACATGATGTTACTTGTTTTTCAGGTAACGGTCGAATGTTTCCAGAATACCAACTACGATGAGCCCAAGCATTGGGCTTTGTAGACATGAAGTTGTTGGGCATAATCGAACCATCCATGCATTAATTTGTCTTTTACTAAATGCTATAAAAGTGCTTTCTTCTTTTCCGCCTATTTTGTAGAGATTGAACTTTGCTGTTGAGACAGTGCTTTGACCTGTAATTTTTTCGCTCTTTTCTTTTTTCCTCCTAATAGACGGTCGCCTTGCAATGGTTTCAGAATCTTCAAGTAAACTTAAAGTCCTTTGTCTTCATGGTTATGGAGAAACAGGGAATCTGTTCTCTGTAAAAATGCGCGCTTTGCGTGAACATATGGTCAATGATATCGAACTTTATTTTCCTACTGGTCCCATCAAACTCTCAAACGACAAAGGCCAAGTTGACTATTCTGATGAGGACTCTGAGGATTCGTTACATGTAGCCTCTACCACCTGCGGATGGTGGAGAATTGATGAGTACGGGGATTCCAAAACTTTAGAACCAAAAATCTCATACGAGCATCTTGCTTCCTATATACGCAAGCACGGTCCTTTTGACGGTATCATTGGCTTCTCCCAAGGTTCAAATTTAGCTGTCAATCTTGCGATGTTTGTTACCCTCCCAAAATACCAAGAATATTTTGGTCAGAAGGACTTCCGATTTGGTATCTTTTTTAGCGGTTATTATCGTGCACTCTCTATTAATGGAGAAATTCATGAAATTAAATTAAAAATTCCCACTCTGCATTTCCTAGGAAAGTATGATAACGTTTTGTCTACCGAAAGTTCTTCGACCTTAATCGAAGTCTGCGAAGATTCACAAGTTCTATTCCATCCAGGTGCTCATCACATCCCATCTCCAAGTGCTTACGTTGAGGTCACTGCTGACTTTATTGATTTTTTTGGCCGCGAAGATTGGCCTGTCGTTTCAAAAAAGATATCTCTCATTATTCCCACACCTAAACCAAATCCTCTTTCTGTCTCTCAGTACTCTAATATGAATCACCCTGGAAGTAACAACAATCATTTAGAGAAGGAACTTATTTCAAAAATCGTATCTCGAACCTCTAAGAATGGACTTAACATTGTTTTAAGCAATCTTCAAACATTCAACGAATATGAAGATATTCTAAAGAGGAGGGTGTTCTCACTTGTAATCACTGATGGCCAGGAGCCCCAGTCGTTTGATGCTTCTGTTCACTATGTTCCTACCTTCAAACAGGCGTTAAGCATATTGAAGGCAAGAGAGAGTTCTTTCGGTCATGTTTTTGTTATTGGTGATAAAAGGTTGTTGACTCTGGGTTTAATGTGCCGTTGCACGAAGCGCATTATTGCCGTAACTGGTGCCAAAGACAGATATCAAATGAATACCCCGGTAAGCAGCATCACACACAGTGCACCTTTCTTGGAATACAGCAAAGAATGGTTACAGGCTAAATCATCACAAATCCGACAATGGACTGGACAAAATAGACTGAAGCATTTGAGTAAGGACGAATCTGGTGAGCCGATTACCATGAAGTTACAAATGTGGGAACGCTTATGATTGTAATATACAAATTGTACTTGATGGATCTGTGTCCCTAGAATCGCTGTTTACACACACCATTCATGCATAGATAAAAAGACGGACCACCGTTCAAACTCATTGATATCCTGATCCTATAATTATTGTTTGACATTTATTCTTTTTAGTTACTAGAACGATTTTTGATGAAATGACATAAAATAATTCCTTTCAGCTTAAAGGCCTTTGTGCTTTTTATTATTATTAACTCAGAGAGCGTTTAAGTCTTTAGAAAACTCATTAAACAAAGGTATCAATCCATGGAATTAATCAAAGACAAAAAACGAAAAGAAAACACTCATTTTGACTTTCACGTATATGTTTAAAACAATATCCTGTAGCAAAAATACTCTATAAAAACCCCAAAATATAAAACCTTTTAATTTTCACGCCATTGGAACTTGCACTTGGTACAGCGGTAAAAAGTACTCATTGGCTCATCAGCACTTCGAATTTGAAGTTGGAAGAAGTAAGCACGATTATTGTCACATTTGCTATTATCGCATGCCACTTCTGTTTGTTGATTCGATTCGAATGCTTCATCACCTCCTAACACATCATCAATTTTCTTTTGTGGAAATTCATGTCTGCTGTAAAGCAAAGCTGAAATAGGAAATTGATAAGGGCATGTTTTACAGTCAAATGCATTACGACCTTCTTCGTCAATGGCTATCACAAGATGATTTCCGCAGGTTGGGCAAAATTGCATTCTTTCTCTATAGGCTTTTTACCAAGGTGTTCTAAATTTGTTCTTTCCTAACTTCCGACGTTCTTTTCTACAATTTTCTTTCTTTGAGCAATACTCTTTCTTCTATCCAGGTTTTATGGAGACTGCATGATTTTTGCTTTAGAAAGAAAATTATGTATAATGAGTTACAATGTTTGTTTACTAATCTACACGTTAAATAGTAAACAAATCATATTTTTTTAGTTTAAACAGTTTAAATTGTTACTGCAAAAATTGTTAGATGTTTTAGAGTTGTAGCAATACTTTTGTCTTGGAAATTTTATTCGTAAAAAAAAAAAAAAAAAAAAAAAAAAAAAAAAAGAACTCACTGATATACATATATCGCATTTGCGATAACATCTTACTTACTTCTGATCCTATAAGAGACAAAATAAAGCTTTATAATCTTTCTATTCACAGCTCAATTTTTTCTTTTCATGGAACGAATTCTTAGGTCGTATCTTGATTAGCTTGTAAGGATCCTTTTTTGTTTATTTATTAAGCCAAAACTATTAAATCTCGGTAACGTATTTAAAAACGAGGATACTCGAGTTTCCGTTAAGCTCCATAGCATGGATTGTTCAAATTCACAAACACGACCCTTTACGTGACTGTTTTTTTAGGTGTGAAATTCTTGACTTCAGGCCGTACAGCTTTCTTTCTCCATACCAAGCAATTTGCAAGAATGGTTCGTCAATCTGTCCTCTCCGACTGTTTGAACAACATCGTTAACGCTGAGCGTCGTGGACGTCGTCAAGTGCTTATCCGTCCTTCCTCCAAGGTCATCGTCAAGTTCTTGACTGTCATGCAAAAGCATGGTTACATTGACGAATTCGAGGAGATTGATGACCATCGTTCTGGCAAGATTGTTATTCAATTGAACGGTCGTATCAACAAGTGTGGTGTTATCTCTCCCCGCTTCAACATTAAGCTCAAGGATATTGAGAAGTGGGTCAACAACCTCTTGCCCTCTCGTCAAGTCGGTATCATTGTTTTGACCACCTCCCGTGGTATCATGTCTCACAACGAAGCTCGTGCCAAGGATACTGGTGGTAAGATCCTCGGTTTCTTCTACTAGACTCAGTAGCCGTTCTTTGTGAATAAAAAGCCTTTGACCTTCTTCATTTTGTTTGCGACTTGCTTTATTCTTTCTTGTAGTCTCATGTAAGAACCTCATTTAGTATAAAAATGTAGATTGTGATAGATATTCCTTTTTGGCGTAGATTATGCTGATGCCGATGTTGAAAATTACCGTATATTACTCTTTTGGAACATATGAACCATTGAAACAGGTTAAACGCAAATGAGAAGCCAAGAGGTATTCTGCAAAAATTAACAATATACTATAAAAACACATTTGGTTTTATCTTACCTAGTCTACTTCATAGTCATTGAAAAGACATATAACTCGTAGGAACTCGGATCTCAGTATCATTGACCATTCTGATAATTGCAATTCTGTTATAAGAAAAACGTTTTGACCACCAAAATTTTTAATATCTCTTAAAATTAAAGATCCCTTTTTGTTAAAGGTAAAATAACAAAAAGTAAATATTATAAAGCAATGGATGAAGTCTTGCATTCTTTCCTAGAAGGAAAGCTTTCTAAAGAACAATTTCAGGCAACATTGGCTTTACACTACACAAACGAGCAAGGATTATACGAAGAATTAAGGAGTTGTATTCAAATATGTATCCAATCTGGTAGGGATGAGCGCACGTACGAAGCTTTTCATCATTTACTGGACATGACAGCAGGTATATCTTCTCTTGCAATTCGAAAAAGCCTACTAGAATATATGTATGCACAACTCTCGCCATTAGAAGGTATCCGGTCCGAACTATTAGCGAAGTGCAGTTTACTGCTTGCTGCCGTTTTTGAAGCGGAAAATGACTACGAAAATCTTTGTAGCGCTTTGGAAACGTTAGAAAAACATGCAAACCTGGAAACTGATTTAGAACAACTTTTATTGTTAAGAATTCGATTAGGAGAAAACTATATTAAGTTTGGCAAACCGGAGAAAGCAATTCTTTTGATGCGGACAAGTATGCCAATTGCACACAAAACAAATGATCATCAACTGTTAATGGAGCTTCAGCTATGTAATGCAAGGGCTCTAGATGAAACGTTGCAATTCTTAGACGCAGCCAGAAGTTACTATAAAGCTCTTCAGTATAAAGTTCCGGGGAATGAGATTGTTTTCCTTGAGAACCTAAGTCTTGCCATACAATGCCTGTTTTTGGCAACTCCTTCTCAAGTTGTTTTGCAGTTCCTACAGGAACTATCTTTACTTCCAAATGTGAAGGAATTACCTCTCTATCCATTTTTAAATAAATACCTTAAAAGAAATTTTGTTACACCGGAAGATGCAAACTCGATCTTGCCATTCTTACTTCCCCACCAAGTTCAGTACATGCATACCCTCATAGCAAATCCAAAACATTTTTTGGAGACAAATCTTCTTTTCGTATCGGATTTTTACGAAGTTGCATCTTTGGAGAGTCTAGCAAAAATCTTTGGCATTACAACGAAGGAATTGGATTCTGTATTAACAAATATGATTTTTCAACATCGAATTCGAGTTACCATTGATCAATTTGCTGGCTATGTTTCCTTTCTACCTAATTCCGAAAAACCTTTAAACCGTCCAAATTACATCGAGAATCTTTCCCAAATACTAAATCAATACGGATAAATTCTATCTGGACTAATTGTACTGAACGAGGTGATTTTACGATAATCATCGTTTTATTAATACAAGATTTTGGAAAGCAGGAGGATGATAACCTATATATCTGTCCTATTACCCTGTTTATTCCATTCCTATTCCCATGTTAATTTATCTGTCTATCGAAATCAATAATAAAGTTTTATAATGAATATTTTTCTTGGTTTTTCTTTGACCTTGTTTTGCTCCGAGCTGATGGGTCATCATATGTTTGTTTACATGAAACTTGTCTACTGCACTTACGCAAAAAGCTGAGCAAATGGAGGATTTTGAGTTAATTCGAAAACAAGAAGCAGATCCGTATTATTTTCATCCTTGTCTTAAATTTGAAGAGCACATCGTCGATGGATTTCTCTCAATTTGCAAGGCCCCTCCCCCTTTCTCCTTCGTTGCTTCTCAGGCTCGTAACAAGCGATCTGTAGGTGCAGTCAGTATTGATCACTTCCCTCCTCTAATAAATGAACGAATTTTTGAAAATAAGAAGAAAACTGGGTTCTTTGATTCCCAAGCATACTCCTCTACCGATCCTCAAGAATTACCCTTGACGTTTGAAAGAGACACTTCGAAAGCTAGACATAAAAGGACTCGACAGTTGCTTCTCAAGGACAAACGAGAAAGGTATTGATCGAATATTCAATTAAAATTATTTTAAAAAGAATATCTGAGCTTACAATTTCTCCTAAAAAGCTGTATTTACATTTCATCCAGCTGTTAACGAAATTGTCCAAACTCCTAAATTGAAACTAACGACTTCTAAGATGACACGCAATTCAAAGTCTCCCCAAGTAATGTTTGAAAATTCCATTTCCCCTTTAGACATACTCTTTTTGAGAGGACTGTACCTGTTTATAATTAGAAAACCTTTTTCAAGGTTTTTACTGCTTTGATAATATAGAAAGCAGTTTTCCTCTTTGGCTTAGCTGTCCTTTCTACAAAATAAATAGTGGGAAGTTGGTTTTTTTTACTACCGAATTAGAGCTGTTCCTTCATTTTGTTTTACTTCTTAATTAATTAATTATAAAAAAATTTGGAAAATCATCTCAAAAGAACAATTTGCCTCATTCTCACTTTTCTGTAAGGATTTACGATCTGTAAAGTTTTGATTGCTGAAGCAAACTAAAACTAACGAAATCTCATAACGAAGTTGTACGTTTGCTTATTTAAAGGTTAACTCCTTTCTCGGATTCGGTTTTGTAAAGGTGTTAGAACTGGACATAACTTTCACTGTCTGTGTACGATATCATGAGCAAAAGAAAGACTTCTACCATTACAGATTTTTTTCAAAAAAACAATTCTGGCCGTAATATATGGGGAAACGAAGCCGCTGCCATCGAAGCATCCCAGAAAGAGGCCAAAACCAAAACAAACAGTTTACAAGTAGAAGGAATAAGTCCTGAAGCTTTAGAACGATTTAATGATCCTTCGATAAAGCTCGAAAATGTGGAACCTCCTCAATGGACTCCTCAAAACGAAACTGGTTTTTTAGAACCTATCAAGTCCTCTAGTTATGAAAATGAAAAGGTCAGCATGCCGGAGGTAATGCTCTGCCCTGTTTGCCAGATAGATTTTAGTACCCTTTCTGTCGATCCTAATGAACACGTGAATGCTTGTCTCGATGGTCGAACTCCCGAAACTTTTGCTAAAAATGCGAAGAAGAGGCTCTTCTTGTCTTTGGAAAGTTCAAATGATGCTGATACCATTGTTGTTGATCCTAGAAGTACGCCTACCGTGGATGCTAACAAACCTATAAAGAAGTCGAGTCTTGCTCCTTTCTATAAGATTATGCCATACAACATGCCGTTTGCTGTTGATGCTTTCAGCTTTGGAGATATTGACGGTGTTGAAGCTTACTTTTTGTCTCATTTCCATGCTGATCATTACGGTGGATTGTCTTCAAAATGGGAACATGGCCCAATTTATTGCTCGGAAGTCACTGGAAATTTACTCGTCAATATCCTTCACGTGGATGAAAAGTACGTGCACAGACTTTCTTTAAACGAACCTCACAACATATTGGGTGTTACGGTCTATCTTATTGATGCGAATCATTGTCCCGGTTCGGCAATGTTTCTCTTTGAAACTCTTCATGAAAACAAGACGAAGAGAGTCCTTCATTGTGGTGATTTCCGGGCTTCCAAAGCACATGTTACGCATCCTGCTTTAAAAGATAAAACCATTCATAAACTGTATTTGGATACTACGTACCTAAACCCAAAGTATACCTTCCCTGCACAAAAACATGTTGTTGAAGCTTGTGCTCGCAAAGCGCTTGATGTGAAGAACGCTGCCAATTCAAAATTGCTGGTTGTTGTTAGCACATACAGTATTGGTAAGGAAAAGGTGGCTGTAGCCATTGCGAAATCACTTTCTTCAAAAATATTTGTGGTTCCTAGAAAACGACTTATTATTGAACAACTTGGCGATCAGGAATTACTGGATTTATTAACGGATGATCCGACCCAAGCGTCTGTTCATATGGTAACGATGGGTGGTATCCAGCCCAGTTCTTTATTGGAATATCTGGAGCAACATAATTCGTTTGAGAGAGTGATCGGGTATCGGGTTACTGGATGGACGTTTCAACCCCTTGAAAAACGAGCTGATCTTAGCAGTAATCTTGACTCTATAATTTCTCGGCCACCAAAGTTTGTATCTCACGACTTACGAGCAATGAGAGGAGCAAGCGAGAAAGTTGCTGCATTTGTAGCACCATATAGTGAGCATTCTAGCTTTTACGAGTTGACTATGTTTTGTCTTAGTATGAATATCCTTACCACTATTCCTACGGTTAACATGGGGAGCCAACGATCTCGTGAAAAAATGCAAGTATGGCTAGACCGATGGGCATGGCGTCGCAAGAAACAAGGCTTGCTTTCCGTGGACGATACGAATTGGTAATAAAAAGTAGACTTTTGGTTACATAGGGATAACATTGGGAAAATGAAATATAGCATTTAGCATACTCTATGAATATATTTATAAAAGAGAGAGTAAGGTTCAGTGTATGGACATGATAGAAGTAATTAGTTATTAGATACTAATGCGGGAAATAAAGCATCGATTTAGGCTGTCAAGGCAGCGAGCAAGGAAAAGAAAAACTGGAAAGTGGTACAAGAATTTATTTATTTATTTGAAGTGTGTTTGGTGATCGTACTAAAAGCAACGGAATGCGTGGTTATGACTATATGTTTCAAACAGGAGGACTGAAAGAAGGATGGTCTAAAATGAGTTTATAACATTTATTACAACTATACGAAAACGGAGAGAGTAAAACAATTACCGGAAAACATGAATGAGAAATCGAAGAGACAATTATATGTACATATATATAAAAAACCATATATGTATGTAAAAATTAAAAAAAAAAAAAAAGAAAAAAAAGACACAACAGTAGAGAAAAAAGCAGAAGATGAGAATAGAAGTAACGAGATACAAGTTTGAAAATTCATATGAGGAAAGGCCATGTCGGAAGCACGATTGGCAATTTCTATGAGAAATGTATTGAGGAGTGTAACAAACATGCTACAATCAAACAGTCTGTAAATATTTCAACTTTTTTTTTTTTTTTTTTTTCTAAAACAAAAAAAAAAGAGTACAAAGCTGTGTTGAGAGATAATAGAGCAGCAGCTACCAGAAAAAGAAACAATCATTATGTTTTAGGAATACATAGAAAGAAAGGAAAAGAAAAGAGAATATAAAAATTATAAAAAATCGGAAAAACAGAGGAAAACATCAAAACGGAACGGAATTCTTATTGCAATCACATACCCAAAAAAAAAACAAGAACACAAACAGAAATGTTTAAAAACAATTTTGGTGTATGAGATCAAGATTGTTTCTCTCCAGGTTGTTGATTTTCAAGATTCCTAATGTGGGCTTCCAAGGCCATTTGTTCGGATTTAAGTTGTTCAATGTACTGAATGGCACGGGTAAGCAAACCCCATTTTGAAGACTTTGTACTTTTGTCGACGGGAAGAGCATCCTTAAGGTCATCAAAAAGTTCCTTAATTTCCTTTCGACGTTTTCGTTCGGCGAGTTTATGGTTTGTGCGAAGTTCTGGGTTTCGCACATAGGGATTCATGTACTCGGTATGAACGGGAACCATGGAGGTAACACGACGCAAATAGTTATTACGGCCATAAGGGACGTTTGCGTTGAGAGGATAAGGACCAGTTGGTGGATAAGCTTTTGAAAGGGTGGAAGAATCGGAAGAAGGATTGTAAGCAGGGGGCTGTTGCTTGTGAGGGTGCTGGTAGTAAGACTGGTGGTGTTGGTGATGGTAGTCTGGGTAAGGAATTTGGAGGGGGGTAGGGAGGGAAGGGGTGGAAGAATCGGTTGAAAACGAAGAAATGGAGGAAGGAGGGAGATTTTGGGGAGTGAGGTAGAGAGGTTGAAGGGGAGGAGGAGGGTTTGGATTCTGGACGGAATGAACATAGGTGGTAAAAGCATCGTTCCGGATAGAAGGATTAGAAGAGACGGATTGTTGAGAGGGAAGGGGCATGTAATTGTTTGAATTTGAGTAAGGAGAGGAGTGTACGGAATCGGGAGAGGAAGAAGAAGGAGTATGATTGTTGTTGGAAGTTAAAGAAGGAGGGGCGGCAGAGGGAAGAGACGGATTGGGGTTGGAAGATGCTGAAGAAGAAGAAGAAGAAGAAGAAGTTGAAGTAGAGGTGGTGTGACGGGAGGAAGAGGGATGATCATTCATGATGGCAGAAGAGGGAGTGGAGGAGGAGGAAGAGTCATTCACGGGGTTGGAGGAGGAGGAGGAGGAAGAAGAAGAGGAAGAAGAAAGAGGGGGCCAAGAAGATTGTTGAAAAGGTTTGGCGATACAATTGATGGGAGGAAGGCGTGGTTGGGAAGAAGAATAGGAAAAGGAGGAATCCGTTGGAGGAGGAGGAGGGTATGGGTGATGGGAAGAAGCAGAGATAGAGGGAGGGGCGGCAGTAGTGGTGATGGAGGGCATATGAGGAAGTGAATAAGCGTTAGACATGATGGAGAATGTATGTGTAGAGAGAGGGGATTGTAAAACGATGAAAATAGAAGAGACAAGAGAGATTTTACTATCGTATGGGTATAATCATGAAAAGAAATAAAAGACAAAGGTAAGACGAGTCGATAAGTGGGAATAGAGTCGATGGAAAAACCTTTAGAAAGAAAGTGAAACGAAGGAGAATGTAGGGAATGATTCTTGATGAGCAAGAAGCGATGACTTGGGTAGAATCCAAAAGGGAAGGAACAATTGAATAGGAAAGATCAAAAGAGAATAATGTTACAAGTTGATTATAGAACGTGTGTAAATAAAAACAAAAGAAAAAGGAGAAAACACCACCTTTGTTAATCTTTTTTTTTTTTTTTCTCTTTTTGTTTTTTTAAAAAAAAAACAAAAAAATTATTTTCTAAAAGTGGTAGAAAACAAACAATTTGGAGGATGGTAGTATGCAAAAGAAGAATTCGTTTGGTGGCCGTGAAAGATTCCTGAAAACAACAAAGGAATCCAAAAGACAAGAGAAAAAGAAGAAAATGAGTACAGCAACGACGACAACAACAAACTTCAAGCACAAGGAATGAAAATGTTTCTAGATGGAGAGAATAAACACGAGATCGGAAAGACGGTAGTAGAGAGTAGGTAGATGAAAATTAGTACGACGATTCGTTAAATGTTGGTTTAATTGATGACAATAATTAGCAAAGCAAAGCAAAGCAAAAGCAAAACACAAAAGAAGCAAAAAACGAAAACGACGACGAAAACAAAGAAGAGAAAAGATGGGAAAAGAGATCTTTTTATAAAATGAAAAAAAAAATCAACAAAAAAAAAAGACACGTAGAGAGAGGTGGATTATACGGGAAAGAAACAGGGATAACAAGAGAAGAATCTATGTCGTATCATTATTGGACGACGTAATATGGAGCGGAGATCTCTGGAAGTATTTTCGCGAGATAAAGAGGTTTGGCGGTGGTGGGTGATAGAGGAGAGAGAGAGAGAGAGAGAGAGAGAGGAAGAGGAAGAGGAAGAGGAAGAGGAAGAGGAAGAGGAAGGAGAGGAACAAAACATTCATCGTTTTTTGCTTTTGTTTTTGTTTTTTTTTTTTTTTTTTTTTTTTTCCTCTGTGCTCTTTTCTCTCTCTCTTTCTCTCAACTCAACTCGATGGTGGATGGTGGTGGTGGTTCTTTTTCTTCACTGAGTCGTACCTCTCTCACACTGTGTGTCTCGCTCCATTGAAAACGACAAGACTCGAAGAGTCTGCAGATAAAAAAAAACAGGAAAACGTCAGTATCCGTCGATTCCCTCTTTCTCTTTTTCGAGTGTTGGGAAATTCACCATTTCAAAATGACAGAACGAAAGAGGCGCAATGGATGATGATGGTGATGATGATGATGATGATTTTTGTTTTTCTTTTTCCCAAGCAGTTAGATTCCCCAAACGAGATTGAGATGTATGTGGGTTGAATTAGTCATTCAAGACGAGAGGAAATACGTAAGGAAATAAAGAAGAAAAGGTAGGAATGGAGTGAAATGGAATGGAATGAAATGTGAAATGTGAAATAAAGATGAAGAATTTAAGAATTTAATTTTTTCATTATTTAATATTATATTTATATTGAAAGAAAAGAAAACGAAAAACGAAATACGAAAAACGAAATGAATTCCTAAAAAAACTATACACTATACATATACAATACAAAAGTCAGTCCTTTCTTTCAATTCTCACCTCCATGGGTTCATCTTTTTCTCCTTCGTCATGATTTCCCATCTCACTCACAAATACTTCTTGATACGGCGGAGGTGGTAATCCTGTAGACACTCTTCCAGGCATCATCATCATCGTAGATGCCATTGTCTCTCTTGCCGCCCCAGCGTTTCTAGATTCCATTCTTGCTCGCTCTCCTCTTTCTTGTTCATTTTCGTGTACAGTTCCTGTTCCTGTTCCCGTTCCTGTTCCACTTTCGTTTTCGTTTTCTTTTTCTTTTTCCTCTTCTGCTTCTTCTAATGCTAGCCGTTCCACCTGTGCTATTCCTGGCGTAAATAGTCCATACAAGCAAATCACCAATCCCAAAAGCAGCTCCGGCATATATCCAAGTCCAAACGCAATTCCTGGATTCACTTTTGGATTGCTCGGATTCCAATGGTAATTCCAACTTGATACACATCCATACACCTCTCGTATAAGCACCATCAATCCTCCCGCATTCACACTCATCCATCGTTTTCTTCGGTCCCGTCCAAATTCAATCAAGTACATACAAAACGCTCCTTCACAGCATAAATATCCTAGCAAATTCAAAATCGCCGACGCTTTAAAACGCGCATCCGTCGCCACACTTTCCTCTCCTCGCGCTAGCTTTCCCCACGAATGAAAGCCTGCTAGCAAAAATCCAATCATCGAAAGTATGTACACTACCACAGGCATTCCGTATTCCATTTTCTCTATCCTTTGCATACGTCGATTCCCATCCATTTCCTGTCCAACCACCGTTCGCTCTCGCCAGCGTATAAATCCAAACGTACTCACATAGTGCCAATACACCAACACTAGGATCGGTACGTTGGAGTGAAAGCAAAACGAAAAAATGCAAAGCGACATTCCTTGAATCACGCTTCGGTCCACGTCAATGTACGCAAACCCCGATACCGCCAGCACAAGAATCAACAAAATCAACCAGTAAAATTCCGCTCGTCTCTGGAATCCTTTCGTCGCTCCCGCTACACCAAACTTTCCAATGTTCATAAACACTAGCGGGATTAATAGAAACCCAAGGCACGCAGACACGATCCCAACCGCCCCGTGTCCCGCCAGCTTCTTCACTGGGCTGTCACAATTCATTCCATTCAAAATTTTTCCTTCTTCCGTTATGATCGGCCAATTTTGATATCTCCATAGGTAGCAAGCTGTTCCATTGCTTATTGTGCCATTTCCATACACTTGATACAGAAAGCGTTGAAAAGTCGCTTCTTGCGAATCATTCATTCCAATGGATTTTCTTTTCTATGTTCCCAAGTCTGCTTAAATTGGTCTCCCAATCGTTCCAACGTCTTGTAGAATCGACTTTTTTGGTTTTCCAGAGATCCTCCTCTAGAGAAACAACGACAAAAGAAAGATGAAAATAAATAAAAGATTGTGTTCTACCTCTTTTTTTTTTTTTCTTTTTTGTTTTGTTTCCCACAAAACAAAAACAAATAATAAAACGCTTCAACATCATTCTATTTCGTACAACTTCCGTTTAAATACTTTCAAACAAATAATTACCAAGCGCTGACGCAAATTTACTTGTTTCGCTCTTGACTTCCCACCTACAATACTTCAATGACTTCAACATGCTGTAACCGACGAAATGATTCATTAAACAATTTGTTAGACCTGAACTGAATTCCTTTGGCTTCCTCTTTCATTGCTGCCAGTTCCTGTTTTCGCTCGCTGTATAACTTTGAATTCCCTCTAAGCATTCCACTTTTCTTCAAACATAGTCTTCATGGAACAAGGGATCATCTAGGCAAAACCTTTCTTCTTCTTCGTTTCTTCGAGCACCTTTGTTAAATCTTTGTAAAAGGTACACCCAAAGACGACATCCCAGATCCCCATGCTAAAAATCCCAGTTTGGGAGACACCGTCCAGTGCATCGTATAGTTTGCTTCCAAATTACTAAAATCATTGCTATACTCATGAAAAGGGTGTGCATGTAAATTAGACAGTGCATTCTTCACTTGTAAATGGGATTCGTCTGGCGTTGATAAAATGCGATCCCAAACGATAACATTATTCACATCCTGTAACCATTAGTAATTTGTTTTCGTTCAATTCAATACAATTCAATTCCAATTCAAACCCTCGACTCAACATACATGTTTTTCGGTCGGATACGACGCTACCAAGTAGACAACAACGTGCTTGGTATTCCAATTCCATAGGTTTGAAAAATCGGCATCCAAGTCAAATTTGACTTGAGCATAATTTTGCTTCTTATTATGAAACGCATGATAAAATCGGGCCGGTTTACTAGTTTCCAATTGTTAGTATTCCACCATTGAAAGAATACAAAGCTGAAGTAATCACAAAGTCTAATTCCCTCATAAAAATATTCTCCAATTTTTCATTCTTTTTTCACAATCGGTTCTTACAACAGTAATCGATTCCAGTTGAACCTCATTTCGAATGGGAATTACAACACCCGCGTTTTTTTCATAATATTACTTACTATTTAGCATAATGAACATTAGCTGGAAAGACCTTATCAACATTAGGTGCTTTCACAATATTCTGAACCGTAATGATTGCACATAAAAGAATCAGCATAGAAGACACTTTGCTGAAAAAAGCGCTGGCTCGATTCGATGTCGTATCTAATAACATGTTTGCTTTATAATCAAATTACTTTCAAGGTATGATGATGGTGTTTAATAAATACTTGCATCCAGTATTGCTGTTGTAAATGAGTATGTTTGGCTTCTCTTATAAACGTCGGTTAAAGGGTAAAGTTCCTCCTACCGAATGACTAAACTTGCTATAACGAGCCAACCTTTGAGAAATTGGCTTTATAAAACTATATATAGAACTTGTGTGTACTAAATAAATTTCGCATTTCCATAAATAATTGAATTGACTTCTTTTATATTTTTTGTGTTATTTCCTTTGTCCCTAAATTTTTTTCTCAACAGCTAATATACAATGTTATCATGTTTGATGCTTGATATAAATAAATAGCTTTATGCATGAAACTATTCCAACAAGCTTCGAGTCCAATCAAACGGATGAAAACGAGCTCGAAAAGCATCTTCTGCTGGATCCTTAACGCCCGTCCATTTGCCTCTCCTTCGAATGAATTCTGTCGGAAGGTTCAGCATACTCGCAAACACTTGTCTTGGGACTTGGTCATGTTGGCCCCATAATTTTTCATTTTCGACGACATGCCCATAACCTCCATCGACCGTGAACCAAACATGAAAATATCCCAACTCTAAGAATTGTTAGATTTTGTGATGAAATATATTCTTGAAATTGTCTTACCTTTCACCATCATCTTGCGGAAAGCATATTTTCCATATTTTTCAACTCCTTCCATGGTATCAATGATTTTGCGATGCTGAGACCATTCGTCATCGGAAGTTAGAATAGCTTCACGGAAATAAGCTGGTGCCAACGAAAGCGTGCGTCTTGGGACCGGTACGCATTCAATTGCAGTGTGATGATATCTGTGAGGTGCAGGTGCATTTTCGTAAAAAATAACACCCATTCCCATAGAATCAAACATTAAAGCTATACATTTCATAAAGTTCTACAGTCAGGTTAGTCTCCATAAACGCTCACAATAAACAGAAATATAAACTTACCCGAATCTCGTCCCACTCATCTTCATCACAAGATAGAGCATTTACACGATGATTCATAGGAACAATTAAGCAATGATATTTTGCTAACCCAGGTTTTGTCGGTAAAGTAAGGTACGCGCGATGACTCAGTGTAATGACAGGTGCCAGTGGCTGTGAATTAGCATTCATACATAACGGACAAGAATCCAATGCACGATTCATTTTTGATAAATTTCCTCCTTGGAATATTTGTTCCAGGTTTATTTCCCTTCGGCTCATACGATCGGCCAATCTATTGGCATTTTCGTCAAGATAATCCAAATCATTGGAATACCTACTATCCCTGGTAATGCGCTTCGCATAGTCTTTGCTCAATCCATGCTTGTCTAGTTTATTTAAAAGTTTCTCTTCCTGAACCATTTCCTCAATAGACGGGTCATTTTTGCTGGTGAAAGATTTCAAGTGAGACGAACTAGCGTCATTTAAAGAATCATCAAAATTTTTATGCATGGCATCATATTGTTGCTTTAACGCTTCATAATTTGATGAACCTCTCGCCTGCGCACGTAAAACCTCTGCTTTTAACTTGTTTATTTCATCTCGTGTAGGCTTTGAAGAAGAGTAAGACACAGGTTCCAATACCGTCGATTTGTTGTTCTTGTCTTGTTCTAATCGACTTCGATGTTTTTCACCTGTTAGTTCATCTTTCCGAATTTTTCCCGTTGCCTTCCGATAATCTAGTTCTTCTCTTTCTTCCAAAGCGTCATCAAAGTCCTTTAGAGAGCCGTACCTTTCAAGAGCTACATCTTCAACAGGTCGATGATTGTCCTTCGCCATATCAAAAACACGTTGAAGCTTCATCATTCTCCATCGTGAGCCATTGTCACCAATTTTATACTCAACACGTTCAGCTTTCACATACTGCTCTTGAACATCGGTAGCTCCAGAAGGACGATCAGGTTGGGTAGCTCTCCTAAATCGACCAGGGGTATCTTTAGGTTCTTCATGCATATGCTCTTTTGACATACGCTTGCCATACATTCCAAAATCCATTCCCTCTAAAGTACCATGTCTAGAGGTGCCTCCTAAAGAATCGTTACCTCCGGCAAAACGAGATTGAAAATAATCATTTTTCTGAGCAAATTCTTTCTCAGCATCTCGTCTTCGAAGAGTTTCATCATCATAGGAATGCTTTCTTCGAGGACTACGTGACCGTTCACGCCGGTGTTTTCTTCTTACGTCGCGTTCATCCTGCTCATGGCGTTGTCTATGGCGATATTCACGATCATGTCTATCGTACCTAGAAGAAGATTCTCTCTCATCTTTCCTCCTATTTAAGCGCTCATCTGCAACCATTATATCAAATATAAAATAACCAATTCACCTATTTGGCAGGAAAATCCAGGTTGGTTTGTTTAAGCTGTTCCTTCCATCAAAAGCTTAACGAAGTACCTTGGAATTTGTAAACAAACAAATGACAGGTAACTCGCTGGGAAGGGAAGAATAAGCAGAGGAAGATAAAATCAGAAACAATTTCAAACGAATAGAACAAAATGGGAACCAAAATCTTCGAATAGAAATTTTGTTTCGCTTGGGAACTTCCTAAACAGAAACCCCACCACCAAACTTTTTCGCGGATTAAGATTTCTACGCTATCGTTCCTTACGTATAACAGCTTGACTCACTATTCACTGAGTCCTTAGGTTCCTTAGCAAATAATTATAACAAGGCAATACCTTTGCAGGATTCGCGTAACTGTGCCTTTTCAGCGGATGTACATTAAATAATCGTATTAAGTTTTAATCTTTAGTAGAGTTAATGTCTGGAGCACCGTATTATGAAGATGACGGCGAGTCATTGAATTCTGGAACTTATCCTTTTCCATTTGCCGATGATCGTAGATTTCCAAACTCATTGCAGCAAGCTATTTTCCATGAAGATGATTCAGGACGAGGTAGCGCTGGTGATTCTGCTTTAATTGACCCACCGTTTCATGATATATCAAAATCAAACGTGAACGCGGCCGATCCCATGGAGAGCGACTTTAGCCAATTTCAGCCAGCAAGCAAAGAACAGGATTTTCACCCCTTATCGAATAACGGCTCTAAGGATGACTTGTTATTGACCGAAGACGCGAATGGACTGAAAGACAAAGGCGGAATGCCTTCTTCAACCAGTCCGCATCGACCAGAAAGCGGTTCTCCAAAAAGTCATGAAGCGCACATCAAGAGGAATACACCACTGCCGCCTCATGGCGCATCACCTCTCCCTCCAATGTCCATTGCCATGAATTTTGCCCGGAAGAAGGCTTGGCCTGCAAGTTTAGCTATTGGTAAGCAATTTAACGAAAATCAAGTAAGTTGTGACTGACTGAATTTTTTGTAGAACGTGATAACACCGCTGATGCTATTTTTTCGAGAGAAGAAGGTAAAGAAGAGCAATTTACTTTAGAAGGTGTTAAAACAAAATCAGGACGTAAAGTCCACCGACCCAATCATTTTGATCCTTTGGTAAAATTACCCACTAGAAAGCGTGGCCCTGGTCGACGGCCTACTATTGCATTAACTATGAAATGTTGCGTATGTCAACGTTTACAATCACCACCTAAAAACCGCATTGTTTTCTGCGATGGTTGTAATACTCCATTTCACCAACTTTGCCATGAACCCAATATACCCGATTCTTTGTTGGATTCTTCGAGCGCTGAATGGTTTTGTAACGCTTGCTCAATGCGAAAACATCAAAAACCGTTAAGCATGGGTTCCACTGCGAAGGAACTAAGTTTATCCATAGAAGAAAGAAAGTCTTATTTAATTAGCCTACCAACATCACATTTGGTTGACATTCTGCTCACGTGTGAACAAACTCATCCGGAATTACCAGTAATAAGTCCAAAAGCCGCCTCCTTCATTCAAAACTCCAAACAAGAAAAAACGCCGATTGTTCCCTCAGAAGCACTACCTCAGTCGAATTTTGCTAATATTTCATCTGACCCAAACGAGATTTCTCAAGCAAAGCTTCAAGGATTAACTTCTTCAAGTTTTAACTTGAGTTCCGCTGATCCAATTGCTTCTCAAGACCATATTTTTCAATTTTCTGAAAGTATTCCATCTATCGATGACTACATGCAAACTCACAGTAACGCTGACGAGGTGATGCTTGAAGTGTTAGAGAAGTTTCCAGCTGTGGCCTCGCTTGATTCTATATTTAATTACATTCACAGGTTTGTTCTCGGTTTTAATTTTTATTTCATTGAGTTATACTAACAATTGACTAGTAATTACGGAGATAAACACATAAATAATTCAGATATAATCAGAACACTAAACCGGTTAGTGCGAAAAGGGCGTGTGCTTCGAGATGCGACTGGTGTTTCATACGAATTGGACCGAACATTTGATAGACAAAAGCCGTCCATTCGTAATGATATATCTGTAACTGGACCCATACCCATTGATTTTATGTTGTACACGCCAAACACTGACGAATTAGAAGAATCTTTTTGTACTCATTATGTTTTCAACGACTCAGCTGTACTTTAGTCAACTTTTTACGCTATAATCTTTAGGAGCTTGCATTACATACCCCCAAAAAATTTACTATCAATTTATTTTACAAAGTGAATGAAATGAACGTTGGATGAATACCCAGATATTATTACGCACATAGAGCAATTACTGTTATTTCATATAAAAAAAAAAAAAGGAAGTGTAAAATAAGGAACAAAAAAAAAATAATTAATATTAGTAGTTAAATAATAATTTAGAAGTATAAACAAAAAGACATACATTTTTATACCAAATCTTCAATATCATGAAGATGCTGACGAGAAAAATATTCAGAGGCAGCAGCAGCCGTTCTACGAGACCGCCTTCGCGGCTGAGCTGTATTCTTCGTATAGTTATCCTCCATTATTACTTTTTGTTCATTATCCTCTAGAGGAGTTTCTAACTTGATTTTTTTTCCTGGTAGAGCATTAGGGGGAAGTTCATTCATGCCAGTAGGGATCTCTTCGTAGACAGTCTGTTGGTCTTGGACCACATCAATTTCTGGAGAAGCAGAAGGAGAACGTTTCACCTTTTTTGCAGTCTGTAAGCGCTTTGCTTTGACAAGGCTTTTCTCTTGGAATGCACTTGGGCACAATCCTTTGGAAGCAAGTGTGCAATCATTGCATCGTCTCCCTCTTGGAAGGCAAATCGTTTGACCAAAACCAACAAGCATATAATTCACTTCCTGCCATAAATCTTTTGGTAAGAAACTTTGTAGTGCTAATCGAGTTTGCTCTTCCGTTTTCGTATGGCACCAACCCAGAATATTTGAGATGCGGTGCACATGTACATCAACTCCAATCCCGACATTTTTTTTCCAAGCAATACCCATGCATAGGTATCCCATCTTGGGACCTACACCGGGGATAGACATCAACTCTTCGACGGTTTGTGGAATATCACCTCCGTATTTTTCTTCCAGAATTTGCGCCATCTTTTTTAAATAAGTTGTTTTTCTATTATGAAATCCTACTTTTTCAATGAGCTTGTTTAATGAAACCTCATCAATTTCTCTAATATCCTGAAGGCACAGTCCTTTCGGCAAATTCTCCTTCAGGCACTTCATGGTTGGCCCAAGCACTGTATCTTTTGTTTGGCTCGACAGCATTAAAGCTACAAGAGTTTGAAATCGAAACACTTCCGGGGTTCTTTTATCACCTAATGTATGTGAACCTTGCTCATCGACAGGAGCAACTACGTGTTTCTTCATTTCCTTAATCTCATTGTAAACAATTTCCCAGTTCTTCGGGACATTTTCCTCCATCATTTGGGAATCTTTTAAAAATTTCCACGAGTTTAAACAAAATGAATATTTGGAGAGAAGAACTGTAAGCTGTGTAAAAAAACTTTACTGCATTATTATATTACATGCGCAAAAAAGTAAACAAAACGAGAAGGCAATAGACAGTTTATTTTTTTGGAATCCTACATTAAAACTATTCGTAAAATGTTTACGGATGACTGTAATCTGCAGTCTAGCTTTGGTAAAAAGACTTATGAATGTTTGACAAAAAACGACACCAGCAGGATTTGAACCTGCGCGCGGAGACCGCAATAGATTTCTAATCTATCCCTTTAACCACTCAGGCATAGTGTCCAATTGATGGTTATAGCTAAATTAAAGCGAATATGTAGTAGTGATTAGGTATTTATTACATTTGCAAACTTTGAGTTTTGTGAAGCAATAACTTCGGGAATCTGAAGAATTGTATAGATACTCTGTTAAATGTTCGTAGAGAACACTTAGAGTAACTATAGCCGGTCGGATTGGAAGGTATAGCATGAAGACAAATTTCAGTATATTGGAACATCTATGATATCTTCGTTGTTCAGGTCAACTGCTACTTCTGGAGAGTGAAATCGTACCTACATTGTCTTTGAAATGTAAAACATAGAACGTAATGGGAGCTGCCATCTTGGTTGTTTCACGTTCCAGTGAAACAGCGAAGCTTGAAGTAGAGACATATAAAAGATTTTGACAATGGTTCAAAATTCATTAAGTTTACATTTTCAGTAAATGAAAATGACCACTACCGTTTCTGTATGGGGTATTCCTGTTGATAGTTAGTACTGGCGAGTTACGATGTTACTCACAGACGAATTGATAATTTAAACAAGCAAGAGCAATTCAAAAAGAATTCCGAATTTATTGAGCGAATCGAATACTTACAAGACTTTTTTTATTACTAAACGTATTTCCCATTCAAGATTGAAAGATATTAAAAAGAAGTTGACTTACGAGCGAAAGTCATAGCCGAATTTATATGTAACTGAGAAAAGCAACAATATACTACCCGATTGAAAGGAAAGAGAAGTCAAATCCAGAAAGATTTTGAATAATCGTCATTTTTAGTTATTTTTTTCAGGAGCAAGCAGATTTTAGAGTTCAACACATATTTGTCCATGGAAAACGGAATTGTCGCTTTTTGCGGCACTTTCGTCCTAATTTCGCTCGCTCTATCAACTATTTCTATCTATTCTCATTTAAAAAATTACAGAAAACCCGTTTTGCAGCGCTCTGTAGTAAGAATTTTGTTAATGTTCGTTTAATTCCTACTCTCATTTCCTTTCCCATTTGGCTGTTTTCTTTGGAGAATGAGGTTGTTAAAATCATATACTAACCGGATGCTTGTTAGGATCGTAACTTATTCTATTGTTTCTTTTTTGACTGTATATAATGAAAGAATTGGTGCCTTTTTTGAACCTTTCAGGGAGATGTACGAGGTAAGATTTATAACCGTTTTTAAGCGTGGTTATTTTCTCAACAAGTGTTGTCAAACTATTGCGATGCGTGTTTTGGATCTGGCAGAATTGCGTTCTCTTGTACATATTTTCTTGTGGGATCCTATCTAATTATATAATCTAGGCATTCGCACTCTATTGCTTCTTTTGTTTGTTGATTGACTACTTAGGAGGTGAAAGAGCTGCCGTAATCATCTTACATGGGCATTTACCTCGTCCTCGTTTATGGCCAATGAATCATATTCAGAGTGATATTGATTTAAGCGATCCTTACACTTTCCTTTCGATCAAGCGAGGTATTTTACAATATACATGGCTAAAGCCATTTCTCATTATAGCTACGCTCCTAAGCAGAGTTTTAGGAATCTATGAAGACGAAGATAAGCCCGTTTATGTCACATCGGCTTTATGGATCGGCTTGCTGTACAACATCTCTATTACCATCTCTCTCTATTCCCTAACAACATTTTGGATTTGCTTACACGAGGAACTGACTCCATTTCGGCCTTTCCCAAAATTTCTCTCTGTAAAAGCCATTATTTTCGCTTCGTATTGGCAGCAAACTTTATTGTCAGTCGCCGGTTGGCTTGGTATTTTACCAAGAAAACACGGCATATTTATCTTACTGGACCAGAATGTCCTTATGTGCTTGGAAATGCCTTTCTTTGCATTATCTCACTGGCATGCCTTTCGCATCAAAGATTACATAACGCCGTCATGGATATCATGTTCACGAATGCCGCTTTTAAAAGCTTGGAAAGATGTCGTTGGGTTTAAAGATGTCTGGTGCGACAGTATTCAAACATTACAAGGTGATCGATACGTATATGAGAATTTTGAACCCGCTGAATGCCAGGTCCCGTCTAGACATAACGCTCGATTAAATCGCACAACTCACGGGCTGCGTTACAGTCAAGGAGGCCAAAGAAAACTTTGGGTTTCTCGATACGATCAATCGCGCGTACGTTTAATAAATAACAACGATTCCCAAAACTCACCATCATCAAACAAGACCTATTTTTCTATTCCTGGACTATATAGTGAATCTCAACATTATGAAGGAGGCATATGTTTCGAGATAGACGATGAGATGGAATCGTTGTATGCTCAAGCAAAAAGTATGCCTTTCGGTGACTATAATTATCCGGTACTTCCAATCTCGAGTACTACAGAAGCCAACTCTGTAGGAAGAAGCCTCGCAGAAACATGATTGAAAGCCAGCTAAAATCTCGTAGCAAATGAACCAAGTGTGGTACCAATATTTAGCCCGCCTGATCGTTTTGATTTCGGCATCTGACTTTTAGAAGATGCCACAATTTCATTCAAATTGGTTTCTAACACCAATCCACCGGAGACGATTTCGGCAAGAATAGCATGAATTTCTTGAAATTTGAAGACCTAAGACAAAAAAGTTAGTAATAATTATTTTTTTTATGATTCCTGTATAATAAAATAATCTCTTTAATCTCTGTTCGTCTTTCTAGCTGTGTAAAGACTAATATCCTTTATTCAGATAAGTAAATCAAGTGCTCACAACAATTAATTTTCTTGGTTATTAAGAAACAGAAGCCGTTCATAATTGAAGAACCGTTTCCCGATTCAATCAGTAGAGATAAGCAAGAAATTTTAAGAGTTGTCATTGTTGGATTCATCCAGTTCTCAAACTTACCAAATCTAACTCACAAACATTATTAAAGCAGCGATCTAAAGCTTCCACGAAAACCTGACTGTTAATATAATTGCAATAATAAAAATGAAACAAACCTGTATGAGATCTAAAATTCCAAGTTCACTTTCTCCTTCATCAACTACAAATACAAAATATAATGTAGCATATTGACGATATATTATTCTATTTTTTCCAGCAATCAAGCTGCTTTCCAAGAAATTGCACGATGCAGCCGTGCGGTTAGACACTGATTGATATATTTCGCCAAGTAACCTTTGCTGATCCGATTCTTCAATTGGCGTATAAAACTTTGTCAGTCTAGGATTTCCTTTATTGTTGAAAATAAAAATTGCGTAAATCATGCCCAAAAGATGCTTCACTACTTGCTGGTACCGGTAATAGACTAGCTTACCTAGTTGGAATATGCTTAGAATCCTATACCGGTAAAAGAGGAGGTTATTTTTGAGTTATACAAGCCGAGCATTTAATAAGTAACATAGCTAACCATCTTTTTATTCGTATATAATATACATGAACAATATTAGGATAATAAGTATTCTTCTTCTTAATCAAAATTTACGAAAGCTAAACTTGTGATCGTTTAATTAGCATTCGGTCTTAATTTGAAGGTACGGGAATCTACACCAGCTTAATTGGTATAGCAGGTGCATGATATTTGTTACCCGATTGTTTTCAAAATTCCTCTATGACTAAAAACTCAAGAGTTCTCAAAATACAAACTTACATGTATTTCTAGCACTGTCATACTCCATTATTCAGTATTTTTAAATGAGTTTTATTTGACTTCATTTTGAGACATATAGCGAGCTTGGAAGGCTACACTATCCTTGCCTAACGGGAGTTTGTTTCGTCTTTAGAACTCTCTATTCAAATTCAGTACCGCTTGCCACGACGAAATGTTTGACAAGTTCGTCTTAACTACAGTCTCTTTCTCATCGTCGATGTGCTTGTTTTAATGCCTCCAACTTCGAGAAATCAACGTGCAAATAAAAAGGTACAAAGAACTCCTTATGAAAGACATGGGTCGGGTAATAACCGTCCCTATTTTTCGGCTTTGAAGGCCACATTTGCCTCAATTTTACGACCATTCACCTCGAGCTGGTCTAGCAATGCTGAAGCCGAAACGTCTAATAATAAGAGAGCTTCGAGAAGTCTTTTGGATCCCGAATTGAATCCCCATTATTTGGGACGAACTCCGTAAGTACAGTAGTAAGGAAAGGAAGATTCCTATTTTGAAAGACATTCTTTGGTTTATTCTTCAGGTTTCTGTTTACTAATCGTATACAGTCATATCGTACGCATAAACAACCGTAGTCATATTCGCACACTTGATGGAGTCGAAGGAAAGTCAAGCGAAAGTGATTTACCATTAAAACAAAATACCCAAATTGCTGTAGAAAACAAATATCCCGTTCGTAGAGACAGCAAACAATTAGATTTTCAGCCCTTAAAGCAGCATCAGTTTGCTTCTGAACGTAAACTACACCCCCCACCATTAACTTCTTCTTCTGCGGCCTTGCTTGATATTTTGCGCTCCATTCGAACAAACCCTGGTGCTGGAGATCTTTCGCGCTCAATCGATCCATCCCAAAAGTCCACAGGTCATCGAAGCGAACAGAAAATTCCTTCTCGTCGTAATGAGCGTCGTTCTTCTTCTTCCAAGAGAGAACGTCCACAGAGCCCGGATTCAGAATTTACAAATTTTGATGCCGATAAAAATGATGACCAAATAAGACCTAGCTATTCTTCAACTGAACAACCTTCATCAACTCGCGAGATGGATCAGCCTAAAGGCGTCGGTCGTACTGAACCATACCCCAAGAAAACAAAAAGGGAGGAGCCGAATGGAAAGTCTCTTAAAGAGTTGAGGAAAGAAAAATTACGTCAAGAGCTAATTCCTATTGTTTACGAAACTCTTGAACGCATCGATTTAAAGAAACAAAAACAAGTTAACGTCGAGGTCCAGACTGAAGAGCAACCTGGTAATCCAAATTCCGTAAATAAACAGGATTTCGTTTCTCAGTATGAATATTCCGCTCCTTCAGGCAGTAACAAGAGACGCGTGAGAGCTGCCTTTTCAGCTCTGGATGAGGATTTAGACGAGCTTTTTGACAAGGACGAAGACAGTGCATTATCCGTTTCTACCTCTCATTCAACGAAAAAGCATGAACCTTTTATTGCAGGTTCTGATAAGAAGCCTCCTAAGACTTTGCTTCCTCGATCAGGCCCTACTTTCGAACAACTTCAATCTTCGTTGTCACCAAAACGAACACAGCCTACTTTACAGGAATCAGCTATAGCTTTACCGACTGATATTCCCGGAACCTCCGAGAAGGATACTAATACACCTAAGACATCTGACTCTGCTACACAAATTTCATCTAAACGAGAAGGATCCCAACCCGCTGACGCTTTAAAAAGATTTGCTATAATGTCAGAAAAGAATGATACCGCTAAACTTCCAGAGAGTTCGTCCGGTAATATACCAAAATTTGAGTTTAAACCAGTTACTAAAAATGCTGAAGATGAAAATAAAGATAAAGACAACGATGGACAAAATAAATCTGCAGGATTTTCTTTTGGTAACTTGTCTGATAGCTCCAACAAGACGTTTGGTCAAACTACCCTCCCAGCCGAAAAACCTTCGGTTCCCCAAAAACCTTTCACTTTCGGACAACCAGCTGAGAAGGATTCATCTCAACAAACTGTTGAGGCCCCAAAGCTTTCCTTTAATTTTAAAGCAGCTCAAACTGACGAAAGCAAGCAGGCTCCCGCTCCCTCGTTTAACTTCGGCCAGAAGTCTGAGGAAAAAGAACCAAAAGAAGATAACAAAGCTTCATTCAGTTTTGGCCTTCCTTCTCAGCAACAGCTACCTAAGTCTGCCACACCGTCTTTTACGTTCGGTGAGGCAAGTGGAAATAAGTCGGCAGAAAGCTCTTCTAAATCTCCATTTAGTTTTGGCCAGCTTCCATCTAGTAAGAAGACAGATGAATTACAAGATAAACTTGCTGATTCCACATCGGTTGGCAAAAAAGACTCTGACGTTCCCAAGTTAAATTTCACTTTCGGGCAACAGTCTGAGAAGAAGGAACCCTCTAATCCAAAACCTGCATTTTCTTTTGGTCAATCAGGTACGGCAGCCTCCTTGCAATCGCCTGAATTTAGTTTTAATAAACCAAGTACAGACCAAAAAGATGCTGGTAGTACAAGTGGACCTTTTGCGAACGCTGCCCCTGCAATGAAAACAGAAACTCCGAAATTTAGTTTCGGACAAACAGCTGTACAAAACAATACTCGTCCAAAGAATGGAGAAGAAAAGAATGAGCAAGTACCAAAACCGGCATTTTCATTTGGACAAAGTCTTAAGACAGATGAAAAGAGTGAAACGGCAAAACCTTCTTTCAGTTTTGGAACGTCTTCTTCGAAGGATGAAAACAAAGAATCAACTGTTCCCACGACCGATACGAATACTATGAAACCTGCGTTTAGTTTTGGTCAATCAGGGGGCTTAACAACATCAACTGCAAATAAAGCTGCGTTTAGTTTTGGAGGCCCCCAGAAGAAGGATGACGCTACTGAAAATGAAAAGCCTTCTACCTCTATATTTTCATTTTCCAAGCCATCTGAAGATGCAAAGGATAATGCTAATCTATCTAACAAAACTGCTTCAGAAGCAAAGCCAGCTACTCCCATATTTTCTTTTGGTTCTAATACAACTCCGAGTGCCTTAAATCCTACTGAGAAACAGTCTCCTTTTTCCACTGGCATTCCCGGTTCTACTACGAACACTTTGGCAATAAACAAAGAAAACACGGGTCCTTTTGGCAAAACAGAACCTAATGAACAAGAGAAGACTAAACCCTTTATTCCTGTATCTACTGAAAAGCCTTTCTCATTTTCCAAAACAGAAGAACCTCAAGAGAAACAGACGACTGCTCCACCAGCTACCCCGTTTACGTTTGGTTCTGTTGCCAATCCCCCTACTAGTGCCTTTGGTTCAGGCCCATCTAACACGGCCATTGGCGATAATGGAGGTCTTCAAAGTTCTGCATTCTCTTTTAATAACAATAACAGTGGTAGTGCACCAGGATTTGGAATGTCGAATACAGCAAGTACAAAACCACCTAAGACTAGTAACACCTCGGCGCCGTCCGCTTTTGGAAGTAGTTTATCGCAACCCAACACTCAACCCGCTGGGGCTTTTGGGTCAACTGCATTTGGAAATTTAAATTCCCCATTCGCTTCCCAGCCAAATACAGATTCTAATGGTCCAAATCCAGGAAGCGGTTTCGGTAACGTAACTCAAGCCCCTTCAACAGGCTTTACATTCGGAGCCTCTGGTAACACTATTCCTTCTGCTTTCGGGGCAGCTAAGCCTAGTGGATTTAACACCAATATCGGTAACACGACACCGTCTTTCAATTTTGGTTCGCCTCAGCCCTCCAATCCACCCAACGCAGGATTCTCGTTTGGTGGAACCGGCACGCCTGCGTTCAGTGCTGGTTCCAGTGCTGCACAGTCTCCAGCTCCTCAACCTCAAGGCGGTATACAGTTTAATTTGGGATCTACTAATGAACAACCTAACCCTCCGGCTGGACGAAAGATTGCAGTTCCTCGAAGCAGAAGAAAACGCTAGAATGAAATTTTATAAGTTAATTGAATGACATGGGTATTTAGGATAGAGAAATAAAGCTATAGAAGTTTATTTACAGAATCATTTAGAAAGTAAAACTCTAAGAGAACATTAAGATATTGTTACTACCCAAAACCTATTTAAACCTAATACCAATGCGTTTTCCATTATTTACTTTTTACCCTTGACTTTAGTTTTTGTCATTCTATCCTTCTTAGTCTTTTTATATGAACGGGGCATCTCCTCTTTTTCTAATTCCTTTTTCCTCTTAGCCAGCGACTGTTTATTTGGCTTTTCAGAAGCTTGAGCTGATAAAGTTAGTAAAAAAACTTTTTCAATTAGAACATACCTTTGGAAGCCTTCTTTTGTTTTTCACTTTGGAACCACGTACGAGCTGGTCTGGAACGAATTTCATCACTATGCTTGATGATATTCTCTCCCTTCTTTAAATCACGTTCAGCAATTTTGATCTAATGCATTAGTACTTCTCTTTCCAAGCTTAAAATAAAATCATACCTCTCTCTCTTGCTTTTCTTCGTTAGTAACCTTGTCGACCACTTCTTCCAAATCTTTAATTTGCTTTCCGTAAGACTCCACTTTCTCAAATTCGAGGTTACGGCTAACTACCTTAGTATTCTGAGCTGCGGAAGTTTTAAACACATCCTTGATTACTTTTCGGTCACCTTCACCAGCAAGGGTTACAGCTCGTCCACTACGGCCAGCACGAGCAGTACGTCCAACACGATGAAGGTATATCTCGTGTGAAGAAGGAGCTTCGTAATTAATTACAACCTCGATGCCCTTAATATCAATACCACGGGAAGCAACGTCTGTAGCCAGCAAATAATTGCATTTACCATCTCGGAAATCCTCTAACGCGCGTATACGCTGTTCTTGGGACAAAGAGCCATGAATTTCGGCCGCACTCAAAGACAGTAGTCCAAAAATAATTCTCATTCTATGTGCAAAGACTTTGCTTCGGAAAAAGATGATGGTCTTCTTATGGAACAATGTCTTGCACAAGTAAACGAGCATGGCTGGACGAAGGTTTTCACGTTGTGGACGAACCCGGATAAATTCTTGGGTAAGTTGCTTAGCTGTCGATTTTTTAGCATCTACGAAAAGACGAACTGGTCTATTTAAAGAAAGACGAATTAAGTCGTCTACTTTGTCCGTCATTGTAGCCGAAAACAGCATTGTTTGTCGAGACTTAGGACAGGAATTGATAATTTCATTCAATTCATCAGCGAAGCCATCGTCAAGCATTCGATCAGCCTCGTCCATAACCATAATTTCAATATGCTCAACTGTAAAACCTTGGGAATTTCTCATGTGATCGATGAAACGACCAGGGGTTGCAATTATAATATCTGGTCGATTGCGAAGTTCTTGCTCCTGTTGCTTCAAAGATAAACCACCAACACACAAGCATGAAACGATATCGGTAAAGGCAGCAATCTTTGTTGCTACACTATGACATTGAATACCAAGCTCACGAGTAGGGACCAATACCAATACTCTTGAGGTCGGTATTTTTTTAGGGCGATAGAGCAAACGTTCTAGAATAGGGACAATGAATGCAGCTGTCTTACCACTACCAGTAATGGCAGCACCAACAATATCTTTTCCAAGAAGAGCAACGGGGATTGTTTTTGCTTGAATTTGAGTAGGTTCTTCAAAACCCATTTTGGAAAGACCCTTCAAAATAGGTCGAGACAGGTTCATTGCTTGGAAAGAGGCTTGCATCTTTATATCAGCACTATCTTTGTCTCCTTCAGAGAAATAAGCGTTCTTTTTAGCAACTTCCTGTTCGTCTTCTTCATCAGATGAAGATGCCTCAGCGTTTAGGTCTTCAGCACCATCCTGCAAAGGTGCAAAGGAAGGAACAGGTTCCGTAATATCATCGTCTTCAGATTCCTCTTCTTCAGAATCAGATTTCTCAGATGGTTTTGCCCCAGTACCGAAACCATCGGCGGCCAAATCTTCATCGTCTGAGTGCAGGCTAATCTCCTCTTCCTCATCCTTCTCTTCAGTGGGATTTTTCTTCGTTTCTTCGTCTTCATTTTGGATATTTTGAATCCGATTGCGTTCGATAATTGCATCCAAATTGACTACATTCGAATCATCACGGTAACCAGATTTTGCGGAAAGATCGAAATCCCAATTCGAGTCTTCCTCAGTAACAACACCTTGGTTTACGTCCGTCTCAAATGCAAAATCATTGCTAAATTCACCTTCATCATCCTTTTCCTTCTGCTTCTTCGATTTTTTCTTAGGGGTCTTCAATGGAGCTTTGTTTCCATCTTCCACGACATCAACATCGTTGTCATCGTACTGAATGTCGTCCTCCGAATCATCTATAGTTAAAATAAAATCGTCCTGGACCTTCATTGTAAAAGGCTGGAATAAGTAGGAGCAGTTCGCACTTGGCTCTTAGTACATTCAATGTTTGCCATCCAGGTGAAAAGACATTAACGACCTGGTGTGCATCTTTGAAGTATCATTATTTGTTTTACGTTGCGTAACAAAGATCGTAATTTACAATCGCTAAGAGGAAACGTCAAAATTAAGCAACTTTTTAGCGATCAAATATTTAATACAGTCAAGCTTTCATGAATTGCTCATTTTAATGTAAATTCAAGTAATTCACTTATTAGCATGTTTATTATCTAATTTTAAAAACACATAAATCTAGTTATAGAATGGTTGGATGTACGGTTAGTATTGGTTGATGACACTCTTTATAAAACAAAAAACTCCAATAGGGGTAAGTGCGAATCATATACAGGTACAAAACTATATGTACATATTTATTTATTCTCTAAAGCAGAACAACTCAGGATATTTCATGATATTTGTATTAAAATACTCAGAAATTCGGAATTCTGTAAAGCGAAGATATCATAATAAGGTATCTTTAGGATAATTATATTACTATAGAGAAGAATTATAACTATGCGAGTTTAATGAAGGGACCGTCGGATTAGCTAGCAAACACCAAAACCTTTGGCAGCGTTCGTAATTTGTTGAAATTGAATTAGCATTTTTCTTCTGCATGTATATTTAGAAAATCCTTTAGGTTTCTTTATGATATGAATCCATCACCGGAAAATTCCGGAGATTTTGAAAGGACATTCAACAATTTTAATAAAATCTATACGGAAAGCAATTCCAAAGAACCTAGGAATGCTGAATTTAATGATTATATAGACTACAATTCGAATATTTCCTCTGGAAACGGTTATGATGCGTATCCTTCGTATGCCACGATGAATTCCCAGGAATCTCAATATCCTTCTGTCGATAATCCGGGTTATCTACCTTACAACATTCCTAAAGATGATAATGTAATGATGGCTGATGATATTTTGGAAAATTCCAAGTATCACACTGATACATACGGATTCGATGGTAAAAACTTTGGAAGTCGTCTTGAAATGGATGACTCTTTCACGGATGCTCAATGGGCACATCTTGCTGGTAAGCAACAGCATCCTTTAGAACCTCGTGAAGTTCCATTTCCTGTTACGGATCCCTTGAATCCGAAGATTGAAATGAATCAGTTTGCTAATATCGCGGCTGTTCTTCGATATCGTGGAGTTTATAATGCAAAAAAAACAGCGTTTGTAATTTTGGACAGCAAAGGAAAAGAATTTGCGTCTAGTACCTGGGAAAAGATTGCTTCGCGAGCAGAAAAAGTTGCTCAAGTTATACGCGACAAGAGTGGCTTGTTTAGAAGTGATAGAGTTGCCCTCATGTATCGCGATAGTGAAGCTATTGATTTTATTGTTTCTCTTTTTGGGTGTTTTATTGCCGGGGTAGTAGCAGTACCTGTAAACCATTTTGATGATTATAATGAACTAACCTCTATTTTTACTACCACCGGCACTCGATTAGCTTTGACTACCGATGCCAATTTAAAGAGTTTCCAAAGGGATCTAAACGCCAAAAAGTTACATTGGCCAAAAAATGTAGAGTGGTGGAAAACGAATGAGTTTGGTGGATTTCATTTCAGAAAAAAAGGTGATTTACCGCCCTTACAAGTTCCAGATCTTGCCTATATTGAATTTTCAAGGTCACCACTAGGCGAACTGCATGGTGTAGTCATATCGCATCGAACTATCTTGCATCAGATGAACTGCTTTGCTGCTAGTCTTTCTACTGCTCCTGCTTATGATTCGGATAAGATGGACTATTTATCTATGGATCGTGAATACTTTGAAGGTGTAAGTAAGGCTGGTTTATTTTTGACGTATCTTGACTTACGGCAAGCCATTGGCTTGATTCTTGGTGTTTTACATACCGTTTTTTCTGGTTACACTACCGTTTGGTGTCCTCAGAGTGCTGTTTTTGTGCCTGGATTATGGGCGAACCTTGCCACGCGCTATCGTGCCAACTATATGTTGACTGATTACGCTGGCTTAAAAGCAATAGCTTATAATTATCAAAATGATCCAAAGGCCACTCTTGGTTTTAGTAAAAAGCAGCCCGTCGATCTCTCAACATTGAGAATGTGCATGGTCGACTGCCTTAATGTTGACTGTGAATTTCAGGAGATTGTATCGGATAGATGGTTGAAACCATTAGGTAATCATAATTCCCGTGCAACCCTAGTGCCTCTTTTGTGCCTTCCGGAACACGGTGGTATGGTCATCTCTATGAAGGACTGGGTAGGTGGAGAGGAATTTATGTCTCCTAGAGGTTTTCAAGTTCCTCGTACTTCCGAAAATGAGATTGCAGAGGTGTTATTGGATAAAGAAGCATTGAAGCTTAATGAAGTTGTTGTTTTGGCGGAAGACGAGAAAGCCCGTCGGCAATCGAAACACCCTAGTACTATTCGACTTGGTGCATTTTGGTATCCTTTTGTTGATGCAACTTTAGCAATTGTTGATCCAGAAACTGAAGTGTTGTGCATCCCTAATGTGGTTGGTGAAATCTGGGTCGATTCTCCTTCATTGTCAGGCGGTTTTTTTGCATTACCTAAACAAACTGAAGCTATATTTCATGCTAAAACTTATTTTATATCCTCTGATACTTTTGAGCCAGTTGCTTCAAATCAAGAATTTTTGCGAACGGGATTGTTAGGATTTGTCCATAAAGGTAAAATTTATGTTCTAGGCTTGTATGAGGATCGTCTTCAACAAAAGGTTGAATGGGTTGATAATGGAAAACAGGATACAATATTCTTTCATCATTATACATCTCATTTAGTTACTACTATCATGAGAACTGTAACTAAAGTTTTTGATTGCTCGACCTTTGACATTTATGTAAACAGCGAGCATCTGCCTGTCGTTTTGTTAGAGAGTCCAGCGGCAAGTGTACCAGCTGATACTTCTGGTACTCAATTTTTGTTGAATTATGATATGCTGAGTCAAATAACCGCGGAATGTATTGAGTGTCTATTGGAGTATCATCAGGTTCGTGTCTACTGTGTACTGATTTGCGCTCCTTTCACGTTGCCAAGAGTAACTAAGAATGGTCGGCAGGAAATCGGAAATATGATGTGTCGAAGAGCCTTTGAGCATGGTACACTACCGTTTGTTTTTGTAAAATTTGCCGTTGAGCGCGCTGTACTTAATCTTCCAGTTGGAGAAGATGCCATTGATGGTATTTGGTCAAATTACGCTAGTAATCTTCGGCAAAATCTTCTTCTTGATCAAGAACTACAATATAGTGGCTATATCGAACGTCCAATTCATTTGGATGGGAAGACTTTGGTTAATATGTCTTCGTACAAAAGTATATTGGACATACTTCAACTTCGTGTAAAAGAGAATGCTGATGATATAGCATATATTACTATAGATGGACGTGGACGCGAGGGAAAAAACATAACTTGGAGAAAATTTGATCAAAGGGTTGCGACTGTAATTCGATATTTGCAAAAGAAGAAATATCTCAAGGCTGGAAGAGTTGTTGTGCTAATGTATACACATTCTGAAGACTATGTGTATGCATTGTATGCTTGTTTTTATTTGGGCTTAATTCCTATTCCTGTTCCTCCGTTGGATAATACTCGGTTATCCGAAGACGTCCCAGCTTTCTTATTCCTCAACAAGCAATATTATGTTAGTGCAGTGTTGCTAAATTCTGAAGCCGATATGGCAATTAGAGGGAAAAACGCTTCACAGCATCTCAAGCAGTCTGCTATGGCCGCTAAGGTGATTCTTCCTTCGTTTATAGTCACCTCTAAGCTAAGCAAACAAACAAAGAGCATTAAAGAGTTAGGTGTAACTTTAGATCCTGTATGTTTGGATCCTGCATTTCCTGCACTGGTATCAGCTCACTGGTCTCCAGATCACAAATTAACTTTAACAGCTTACAATCATGAAACATTGCTCTCTTCATGTCAAATTCAGAAAGAAACTTGTCAGATGACACATAAAAGGCCCGTGCTTGGTCATGTACGAAGTATGAGTGGTATAGGTTTTTTGCATACCTGTCTGATGGGCGTGTTTCTGGGAACAACTACATATATGTTATCTCCCTTGGATTTTGCGAATAATCCACTTTTGCTCTTTCATATCATTTCCAAGTATAAAATCAAAGATACTTATGCTACGTTCCAGACACTGAACTATGTTCAAAATATGCAGCCTACTAAATGGCCAAACTTATCCTGCTTAGAAAATTTGATGATACCTCATGATGGCCGAGTTAATGCCTTTTACATCTCCGAATTGCAGAAATTTTTCATGAAATTTGGACTAAGTCCGTATGCTTTTAGTATTGTATATAGCAGTTGTCTCAATTCTTTTGTTACTACAAGGTCTTACATGGGAGCTACTCCTACGAAATACTGTGTTGATCTTCGTGCTCTTCGCCATGGGTTAGTACAGCCTTGTGATTCTGAAGATAAAACTTATGCACTACCACTCTTGGACTCGGGAATGGTTCCGATATCCACTCAAGTCGCCATTGTAAATCCTGACACTAGGGAACTCTGTCGTTTGGGCGAATATGGTGAAATTTGGGTTCGTTCTAGTTCTAATGCCATTTCATTTTTCCAGTCTAGTGACCCAGTTGATATGATGAGATTCAATGCTTCTTGTGATAACGAATCCATCGGTAATGGCCAATATGTTCGTACTGGAGATTTGGGATTTCTCCAAATTACGTCTCAGTCTATGGGGCCTGGTAATCCGATTGTTGATATGCAGCTCCTTTACGTTTTAGGACCGATAGGAGAAACGTTTGAGGTGAACGGGTTAAGTCATTTTCCTCCAGATATTGAAGATACAATTGAAAGATCACATCCTCGTATTACACGAGGTGGTTCTGTCGTTTTTCAATCGGGAGGAAACGTTGTCATCGTTGTTGAAGTGATAGGTTATGATTATTTATCTGCGATTGTCCCCGTTATCATCAATAGCATCTTGGATGAGCATCAAATTGTGGTAGACACTGTTGCCTTTACTTCACGAGGGAACTTTCCTCGGTCTCGTTTACGTGAAAAGCAACGAGGCAAGATCCTTGCTTCATGGGTTACTAGAAGACTGCGGACAACACAAATATTTTACATTAGGGGTTCTGCTGATAAATCTCAAGACCCGTATGTTCCTTATATTAGTTCAAATGCTAGTGCAACGCCTTCTATCAGTTCGAAAAATACAAGTCTACGAGTTTTTTGATAATACTTCGCTATGTTTCCCGAGAATGCAAAGATAGCAGAGGATTGATTTATTTAACTCTGCGAAAACACTTTGTATGATTACGCTTTACGACTTTTGAGATTTTGGTTACTATATTTTTGCATGTCATGTATATTTATACACATATTTTTTCAACGCCATTATTGTTTTTTACATACGTCCTTTTTCATTCCCTCTTTTTTCTGTCACTTACACCGTATTTTGCATAGTATCTTATGAAAGAAATTAATAGCTGCAATGTTCGTTTTATTTTTAGTTCAGTATACTTCAAAAATAGATTTCGTTACGGTAGCACTCAATAGTCATTCGCATGTCTATTCCATTACTTAGAGCAATTCTTGTAAAAAGATCAGATGGCGATTTTAAATAACGAGAGATTACAAAATTCATTATAACACCGTACTGAGCTAAATTACAGTAAAGGCTTTAATGAGCTTAATTGAGGCACTTCGTTTTGATAAACAATAAAAAGAACTCGGAATTTATCAAACCAGAACCACTTTGCATTGAGGTTAAAAAAGGTGTTAAAGATGGGTAAAAAAGGAAAAAAAGCCGCGTACGCCGACTGGGAAGATGAACTAGGACAGGATATAAGTGGTCAAAATGAATTTTCTGCTCAAAATGGCGAGGAAATCAACGAAACAGACGAATTGAAAGAAGTCGAGGATTTCAACGCTTCCTCAAACAAAAAGTCAAAGAAGAAGAAGGGCAAAAAGAATCAGGAAGAACAAGCACTTGAAGAAGAAGAGCCCGTTGACGAGGAACAAGTTCCTAGCGGTCCTGTTGAATTGACAGCTGTTACTGAATTAGACGATGATGAATTTGCATACGAAAAGCCCAAGAAGGGGAAGAAGAACAAGAAACAGCAGGTTGTTGAAGAAGAAGAAGAAGAAGAACAGGCTCCTGTTGCTGCTCCCTCTGTTCATATAAAGTCTAAAAAGGAGAAGGAACGTGAAAAAAAAGAGCGTGAAAAGTTGAAGAAGAAACAACAGGGTAAAAAACAACCTTCTTCAAAAGAAGTACCACAAACGCCCTCTGAAGAAGAATTTTCCAAACCAGCTGCTGTTTCGGAATCTGATTCAGCAAAGGGCAAACAAGGGAAGCGTAAAGGACCCAATGTTGCTGCTCTTCAAAAGATGCTCGAAGAAAAGAAAGCCCAAGAAGAAGAAGAACGCAGACAAATAGAAGAGGAAGAGCGATTGGCAGAGGAAGAAAAACGTTTGGCCGAAGAGGAAGAACGCCAAAAGGAAGAGGCTAAAGAAAAGAAGAAAGAAAAAGATAGGAAGAAGAAAGAAGAGCTCAAGGCTCAAGGAAAGTACATTTCCAAAAAGCAAAAAGAGCAACAAGCTCAAGCTCAACGTCGTTTACAACAAATGTTGGATTCAGGCGTTCAAGTCTCTGGTCTTTCCGAGAAAACAAAGAAGTCGAAGCCTGTTTACAACAATAAAAAGAAGTCCAATAAGAGTGGAACATCCTCTTTATCTTCGTCTGGCATAATTGAGCCCGCTGCTTCCGTTCCAGAATCTCCTGCTCGTCCTGAAGAGTCTAAACCTGTGGAAGAAACCGAGAAAGAAAAGAAGGAAGAAGATGATGCTGTCTTTGACGACTGGGAAGCCGCTTTGGAACAACCAGAACCAGAGCAAAAGTCAGAGCCTGAGCCTGAACCTACCCATGAAGAGGTTAAAGAACAACCTACCGAGGACAACAAAAAATCGGTTGCTCAACAAGATAGCTCTGAATTCCCTGAAGCTGCTCCAGTTGAATCTGAACCTGTCAACAATCTTCGCTCTCCTATTTGCTGTATTCTTGGACACGTTGATACTGGTAAAACTAAATTATTGGATAACTTGCGTCGCAGTCATGTACAAGAAGGAGAAGCGGGTGGTATTACTCAACAGATTGGTGCTACTTACTTCCCTATTGAATCAATTAAGCAAAAGACTGCCGCCGTTAATAAAAAGGGTAAGTTGGAGTTTAACATCCCTGGTTTATTGATTATTGATACACCTGGTCACGAATCTTTTACCAATCTTCGTTCACGTGGTACTTCTCTTTGTAACATTGCTATTCTTGTTATCGATATTATGCACGGTTTAGAGCCTCAGACTATGGAATCCATCCGTCTTTTGCGAGATAATAAAACACCTTTTGTTGTCGCCTTAAACAAGGTTGACCGTCTTTACGGTTGGCATTCGATTAAAGAAAACGGATTTCAAGACAGTTTGTCTAAGCAAAAGAAGGCTATTCAGCGTGAGTTTAGGGATCGAGTTGACAGTATTATTTTGCAGCTTAACGAACAAGGACTCAATGCTGCCCTATATTTCGAAAATAAGAAGATGGGTAGTTACGTTTCACTCGTTCCAACTTCTGCTCAATCAGGTGAAGGTGTTCCTGATTTAGTCGCCCTTTTGGTTGCTTTGACTCAAACTCGTATGTCCGAACGCATTAAGTATATTTCGACTCTTGAATGTACAGTTTTAGAAGTTAAAGTCATTGAGGGTTTGGGTGCCACGATTGATGTCATTCTGTCAAATGGTGTATTGCGAGAAGGTGACCGAATAGTACTTTGTGGTATGGGAGGCCCTATTATTACAACTGTTCGTGCTCTTTTAACTCCCCAACCTATGAAAGAAATGCGTGTCAAATCGGCATATGTGCATCATAAAGAAATTAGAGCTGCAATGGGTGTAAAGATTTGTGCTAATGACCTTGATAAGGCTGTTGCTGGTTCCCGTTTGCTGGTTGCTGGACCTGAGGATGATGAAGAAGACTTGGCTGATGAGCTTATGGGAGACCTCGAAGACTTATTGGGAAGTATAGATACTTCAGGCGTTGGTGTTTCTGTCCAAGCGTCTACTTTGGGTTCTTTAGAGGCATTACTTGAATTTTTGAGACAGATGAAGATTCCCGTCGCATCAGTCAATATTGGACCGGTTTACAAAAAAGATATTATGAAGTGTGCTACCATGGTAGAAAAGGCTAAAGAGTATGCTTTACTTCTTTGCTTTGATGTTAAAGTAGATCATGATGCTGAACTCTTGGCTGACCAATTGGGCATTAAGGTTTTCTCTGCTAATGTAATTTATCATCTTTTCGATGCTTTCACTGCTCATCAAAACAAAATTATGGATCAGAAGCGTGAGGAAAATTCCGATGTTGCTGTTTTCCCTTGCGTGTTGAATACTATTGCTGCGTTCAACAAGCGGGATCCTATTATTTTGGGTGTTGATGTAGTCGAGGGTGTCTTGCGCAAAGGTACACCTATTGTTTCAGTTAAAGGTGCCCCCGGTGAAGAGCCTCAAGTAATTGAATTGGGACGTGTTGTCAGTCTTGAAATGAACCACAAACCTGTTGAAAGAGTTAAGAAGGGTCAAGCTGGTGGTGGTGTCGCCATGAAGCTGGAAGCTGGCGGTGGTTCACAAATACTGTTTGGCCGTCACGTAACAGAATCTGATACCTTGTATTCACATATTACTCGTGAAAGTATTGATGCTTTGAAGGATCCTGCTTTCCGAAATGAGGTTCACAGAGATGAATGGCAATTGATCATTCAACTCAAAAAGGTTTTTGGTATTATCTGATCTGTTTATGTAGGACTGAAATTTTGGATTAGATATGAATTTATGTTGGATGTTGCGAGAATAGCGTTAGTAATTGTAGGTGATTTAAGAATCCCTCATTAAGGAGTATTATAATGGTATCGCGTACTTCAATAAAAGGTAATTCTTATGGCACACTGCTATGAAGAGTTTTGAGAAAATGCGAAATTTTATAACAGACATTCATGATCTAAATAAGCGGTTTTTTATTAAATACCTCGTATGTAATTAAGAAGTATAAGCTTTGGCAAGCCAGTCCAAAGCGATAGCAGCAGTTACTAAATAACCTGTATTGGAATTTGTCTTAAACCAGCTAAAGCAATCCTTCGGGGAGTTCAGGTCTACTTTATATATCATGGAAAACACACGATAAGCAGTTCCAGCAACGCCAATAGTATAGAACAAGGGCCCTTGATTGTTAAATATACCGGCAGTTGTCAACATACTCAATTGAAAAAGAGCAAGGCCAGTTAAAAGTGGTTTGGTATTATCACCATAACGGAGAGCCATAGAGTAAATATTAGCTTTCACATCATCACGTTTATCTTGGTGCGCATATATAGTATCGTACAAGACAATCCACGATACTGTACTTAGATATAGAGGAGCAACGACCGACCAATTCATTAAGGCTTCACCTACTAAAGCAGGCCAACCCATGACGGCACCATATCCGAATGTTAAGCCAAGGACGACTTGTGGATAATAAGTTACCCGCTTCATAGCAGGGTAGATGCAAACAGGGAGGAGAGACGCAATACCCAGTTTAATTGTATAAGGATTAAGCTGTAGAAGAATTCCAAGGCTTGCAGTCAATTGAACACCTAAAACTGATACAGCTTCACGGACGCTAACCAGCTTGTTAGCTAATGGTCTGGATTTGCTACGTTCTACCTTAGCATCCAGATTTCGATCCCAAAGATCATTAACAACACATCCAGCACTTCTCATTAAGAAGGAACCAGCCCCGAAAAGTGCAAGAATTTTGAATACATCGAACAAGTTGCTATTAACAGAGTAAGCGCCCATTAAAATTGACCATGTACACGGACTATACAGCAAAAATGTTCCAGTCGGATTAAAGGCACGTGACAAGTGAGCATACGCATTTATTCTTTGAGATAATTGTGAAAATAGTGGTTTTTTCACTGTTGGTAATTGCTTGATTTTGTCTTGATTAGATTCACTAAAAGAACTATACGCAGAGGTTTGCCGAACAGTAAAAGAATATAAGGACTTTCTTTTATTTAACAATACATATATCGATTGGCATCTTGAAGGAATCAAAGAAGAATAAATTCTGGGAGTAGTCAGAAACATCGTAGTGCCCTCTCAAAAGACGAGGAAAGAAAAGGTTAGAAAGAATGACAAAATCGATTTAGAAATATTATGTAAAATACATAAAATAATTCTGTGTTTCAATTGTTTCGCACAACCACCTTTATTAAAGCTGTGAGCAAGATTAGCTTGCCAAGTGTTGAACTATTAGGAGTCAAAAGGGTGCGAATCTACAAATTATAATAGCAAAGTAAAAGCAATACTACAAATCAATGGCTTTTTCAAATTTAGGGAAAGAATATACTCAATAGAGTGTTTGTTAATTGGTTATGTAAGTGTCTCTCTTGTTTTCGTTTCTTGTTTTTTTTTTTATGAAAAATGTTTTAGTAGTAATACAACCTAAAAAAGTACAGTAAAATATTAAAACCAAGAATATATATCCTAATGATATCTTTAGTGAGGTTAGAATAAGAAATAAAGATAACTTAGTACTCGTTGATCATCTATTTAGAAGGTAATGTCTTTATTAAGCATTGACTATGAGCGCTTGATGTACCGTGAATACGAAAGGTTCAACTTGTTGTTTTCTAATTACCATTGTTAAGTGATGGTGCAGTTCAAACTCTCCTTTTTTGGAGTAACCACTCAAAACTCTGTTTTTATGGTTGCGTTTGCAAGTAATATTTAATATGACACGGTTTCTCGTTTGGTTCACATCACATGTATTTGTAGGTCTATAAGTTCATAATTGACTCGACCTACGTGTCTGGTGAAAACATTTCATTAAATAATACGAATATGGAAACAATGTCGTCCCGAATTACCACATAAACCTTTGTAAATTTCCTGGTTCAGAAGGCCAAGAGAAAGGACGGTAAATAAATATATACACACTGACAGCATTCACAGCCATATGGAAAATAAACTCTGTCAACATAAAATTTTTTGATTTCCACGGGACTTTCATCCGCCAAAACAAAAACGGGAGGATGAAGTATCGAAATTCTACTAAGGGAGCCGGTACTAATGTAAGCAAAGTAGCCAATGTCATGACGGTAAAATCCAAGACAGATATATGAGGAGAAACATCTTTAATAAATAAACTGTAACATAAGGCATATACTGGTGCTCCAAGGTATTTCAACCACCAGTATCTACGGAATCGATTAAATACATAAAACACATAATGGCGATTATCGGCAAGTATAAACGGGTGCATAATTCTACATTTGTTAGTATTCCTCTAGTTAAAAAACTTACGTGTTATATTTTATGATGAGGAACAGATAAGGGAGAAGCACAAGGGTCGTACGCGTAAGTTTATGAAAAAGAATATTTGTCTTCCAGAATTCCCTTCTTAAGAGAGAAGATAGGCAAGACGGAAAAGAAAAAATAAAGAAAAAGACGAAGAAGTAATTTATCTGGGAAAGATGAATAACCGGTGTATGATTTGATTTGTCGCCTAAAACAATACCTCCATTAAACATTAAAAAACCCAAAGAAAAGGCAATGACAAAAGAAAAAGGAATAACTTTTTTCCAAATTCTTCTTAAATTTTTTAGAATGCTTCCAACCAAAGAAGTGGCCGTCAAAAGCAAATCAACAAAGGTTGCTTCAGACAATTTAGGATTATAAAAAGACAAATCATTCGAAACCAAAGTATATATGATATATCCTACCCAAACAATGTTTGTTTGTCTAAAGAACAAACTGAAAAAGCAAAAGACAGAACTTAATATAGCGGCATTTCTTAGTGCCAGGTCATAAGCTAATAAAGTTATTACGGTACTAGCTGTATCGGTGTAATAAAGTAAAGAACTGAACCACAAAGGAGGTAAAGAGGAAAGGACTAATGGGAATCCACGAGCTTTACTGTTCAATTGTTTGCTGATATCAAACAAAATTACCGGCATACCAATAACGCCAAGAGCGAAATTTAGAAAACGAAGATAAAATAAACTACATCCTAATATAGGCTTTAGAATGTACGACAGTAAGTATAAACCTGGAGGAGTAGTAATGGCTGGATCCCATCTCCAATCTTGATTGCAATATCTTTGGGCTTGAGATACATGAAAAATCTCATCCATATAAGGAATACAGACAAAACGATTAACCAAATAAAAGGACATAAGGGCCGTTAGGATCCACAATCTCACAAGGTTTATATCTGTTTCAACCCCATATATAGCTCTTACCAGACGTCCCTTTTTTATGGTCATATTTAAGATTATACTAGAGAATAATATACAAAAAAGAATTAAATTAGTAAAGAAATCATGTATTTTGACTGATAACGAAAAGAACGTCTGTTACGAAAATTCCAAGTCATTTGTTTGCAGTTAGACGGATTACAATAACAAATTTGAGGAAGTAGGCATAGAGACAGCGTTCGAAAAGGGGTTTATCCTTCCTTTTATTGAATAGGATCATTGTTAAAGTCCGTTTTTGAAAGATACTTAAGGGTGATTTTTGCATTTTGATATTATTGTGCGCATTAAATGTATGTTAAATTGAGCTCGTGTTCACGCGTGAATGATCAGTTTAGAAGATTTAAGTAAGTGAAGTTCTAATCCATTGAATATTCTATTGGTTTCTGCATTTAGTTATTCGTATATGAGAGCAAAATGCTATACTTTGAAGACGCCAGGTACACTAATATTCTTCCCGTACAAATTCACTTGCATTCATTCTCTTGTATCTTTGATCATTCATAATTCGCTTGATTCAAGTAAAAAGGTATTGGATCTTTCGGTTTACCAAGAATTTCAGTATGTTCCTATTATTCTCGTCGTAATTTGTGATTCAAATGAGAGAAGAGAGAAAAAAGAAATAAAATGTTTATAAAAAAATCCATACTTGATGCAGCTTACCAAGTTGATTCTTCTACCGGGTAGGAAAATTATGGATGATACATTTACAAGATATAAGAAACCAAGTCATATGAAAGGCATTAAATGCCTTTCAACAACCCACATAGAATTGAGTTTTCTAGTATTTGTCGAGTTTATCATCTAGATTAGTATGGCATTTCACAATGAATAGTTATTGAGACACGAGTAGTGCTTGATAAAAAAGTTCTCTTCAGAAGCTTCGATTAAACAAAAACGAACAATTAGTTTTATAGAAGATATATCCCATGGTTTACAGAAACCTTAAGATATGACATCTGGCACTATGTTTACGCGTTATCAAGCTGAAGAAACTAATTGCTAGTAAATATTCTGCTCAATTTATAGCACTTTCACAACTTAAGATTTAGAATCAGTTAATGCAACTCAATATCCTTGGTTGCTTATCCATCAAAGATGTCAGCTAACGTCAACGAAAACAGTATTGTATTCAATACAAAAGAAGAAGAAATAGTATAGAGTTTACGAAGAACTCCATAAATAAAAATAATTGTGCGTGCTTGACTTTCACCTGGTTCTTAAACCTACCTACCACAAAAAACTCAATGGATACCTTTTACCTAATTTATTTTCTAAGTCACTTTATTGCTGCGATCTTTGTCGACCTTCCAATCTCTGAATGGGTGCAAGACAAATATCCTTCGCTTTCAGCTGTTAGACGCTTTTATTTGGACAAGTACGATGATCCAATTTTGAAAAGCCATGCCCCATGGCAAAATGGCTTATTTGTTTCTGAAGCATTCATTCAGCTGCCATATTTTTTATGGGTCTCTTATAGCATTTGGAAAGACACAGAAAGTCCTTCATTATGGCTCTCAATGTTGATCTACGGAATTCATGCCGCCACGACAACATGGATCTGTATTTTTGAACTATATGCTCAACAAAAATGGATCTTAATTTCTTTTTACTTTCCTTATTTGGTGATTCCTTTGTTAATGGCGGTTCATATGTGCAAGCGACTTATAAGAGCGTGCACCCTTACGGCATACCAGTCCTCTACCACCTCTTTAACTACTCAAAAAAAGAATTTGTAAGAACATTTCTCGTAGAAAATGAATCAATTATCTTCTGAAGAAATACGTCGAACTATTTTATCCACACCAATCCTTTTAAATCGCGTACAAAATGAATTCCCACAACTAGCAGAAGTTTTAGAAGATCCTGACCGATTTGCATCTACTTGGCAAACATTAAATCTTTCGCAACTTCTATCAGCACCGCAGTCATCCGGTTCTGTTCCTTTTTCTGCGCCTACCGTTCCTGTATGATTACAGAAACAGATTTTTTTGCATCTTATACTAACAATATCAATTAGGATGACCAATTATTTGATGTAGAAGTTCAAAGAAAAATTGAAGAGCAAATTCGTCAATCTAACATAGCGGAAAATATGCAAAGTGCCATCGAAAATCACCCAGAGGTTTTTGGACAAGTGTACATGCTTTTCGTCAATGTCGAAATTAATGGACATAAAGTAAAGGCATTTGTAGACTCAGGAGCTCAAGCTACAATTTTGTCTGCCGACTGTGCTTCACGCTGTGGTTTGACTCGATTATTGGATACCAGATTTTCAGGTGTCGCAAAGGGCGTGGGTATGGCAAAAATTTTAGGCTCTGTACATAGTGCTCCTTTGAAAATCGGGAACCTATATCTTCCTTGTCGGTTTACCGTTATTGAGGGTCGTGACGTTGATATGCTCCTTGGTTTAGACATGCTACGCAGATATCAAGCATGCATCGATTTAGAAAACAATGTTCTTCGTATCCATGGACAAGAGGTTCCATTCTTAGGGGAATCTGAAATTCCGAAAATGCACGCTACTTCTCAAACATCCGGAGCCGATGGTATTCCTTCAGGCGTTTCCGCGTCTAATACATCTGGTGGAATGCGTTTGGGTACGAATGATGATAGCAAGTCATCTTCAAGTATTCCTGCGACTTCAAGTACCCCTAGCCTTAATGTAACGGGTGATCCTACTGTTGAATCGAAGATTGGACAGCTTATCAGTATGGGCTTTGATCCTTTAGAAGCGGCACAAGCATTAGATGCGGCCAATGGAGACGTGGATGTTGCTGCATCTTTTCTTCTATAATGGCTTAATTGATGACTGATAGAACATTTAGACGCATGCTCTTCTAGGGATTACCTTGTTATTTATTTTTTTCAATTTTAGAAAAATATATATATTATGATTTGTAAATGAATTTCTCTTTTACTAATTTCTAGATTATCCTATTTATCTTTCGTATTGCGTATTCTACCCAGCAATAAATTTGCTTTTTCAGAGGTTAATAAATTAGAAATAATATTTTCTGTAAATATTAAGAACCAAAAATTGAATAAAATATCATGTTGATATGCCCAATTTGGATGAACCTTTCTAGCTGCTCATCCTCCACTCTTAGCCATATCAAGTTTGGGCGAACAAAAATTTGCACTAAACAGTATGTTTCAGGTAAATTGGGATTTGGGAAGTGCTCCGCCGAAAAGGCAGGAACCTAAAGAAAATAAGAAAAGAAAAAGTCAATCCGAAAAGGCAAAATCTGAAACACCCAAAAACAAAGAGTCGAAGGCTCAACAATCATCAATTAAGAAGCAAAAACAGGAAGGGAATGGAAAAGAAAAGCCAGTAACTGAAAATAAGCAATCATCTGCTCAACAGGGCGATAAAAAGTTAGCAAATGAAAATTCTTTGACATCGCTTCAACAGAAAATGAAAGGGAAATTAGATGGTGCTAAATTTCGATGGATCAATGAACAACTATACACTACGCAAAGTGAAGACGCTGTGAAGCTTTTCCGGGATAGCCCTGACATGTTTGACGTTTACCATGCCGGATTTCGACATCAGATTGAAAACTGGCCTGAGAACCCTGTCGACGTCTTTATTCGCTTTTTAAAGGAGAGGTACGATAAAAAGAAAAGATCCGTTAGCGTGGTAGATCTTGGATGCGGTGAAGCTAAGATTGCTTCAACATTTGAAGCATCCAAGCACATCATGGTACGAAGTTTTGATCTTGTTTCCGCAAACAGGTTTATTGAAGCTGCGGATATCTCAAACCTTCCCTTGGAAGATGGCACGGTTGATGTCGCTATCTTCTGTCTAAGTCTGATGGGAACGAATTGGCAATCATTTTTGCGAGAAGCATACCGCGTTCTAAAGCCCCAAACGGGACAATTATGGGTTGCGGAAATTAAAAGTCGCTTCTCTGACAAGAGCGGTAAAGTCTTTGCTGAAGAACTCCCCAAAATGGGTTTTGAGAATACATCACTTGCTTTGGGTAATAAAATGTTTACACTTTTCGAGTTCGTCAAAAAACCCCGGTCTCAAGAGCCTCAAAGTCTTCCTCCTATTCTAAGTGCTTGTATCTATAAGCGTCGGTGATCTTTCCTTTTTTTTCTTGTAATCTGAATATTGTTGTTAGAGTTGTACGGTACATGGGTTTTTGTGGGATTGACAGGTGGAAGTATCTTTTTTTTTCAAAGGTTTATGTTTTAGAATACTTTATTGTTTAATAATAAAAATGAAGGTTTTCGCCTGTCAGTGCTTCGTTTGTAACATTATTATTTTTCTTTTTTTTTCTCATTGTTTATTTACGTTTCATTGCTTATAGTGAGCTTGACAGCGGTTTCTCCGAACACGTAATCATTCTGGTAACTAAGCTTACTTTAATTACTTAAGATAGTGCTGCGCAATTTTGTAAATAAATCCAACGTAAGGTTATCCACATAACCATCTCTCATTGTATCGATTTATAGGAGATTGGAATTCCAAAACTCAACCAAAGCCAACTATTACACTGGGTAAGGTTCGTTAGAATTGGGTGGTAAAAATGAAAATTAGTGACAAACTCCAACATTCGGATTGGAAAGACAAAATTACATGGAGCTATGAGTTTTTTCCGCCGAAAACAAGCACAGGTATTCAAAATCTCTACAATCGTATAGATCGCATGAAAGAATGGGGATATCCTATGTTTGTAGATGTGACCTGGGGAGCTGGCGGGTCTACTTCTGATTTAACTCCAGTGATTGTAAATGTTGCTCAAAAAGATTTTCAGCTTGACACATGCATGCATCTCACCTGTACAAATATGTCAGGTGAAATGATAAGGACCGCCTTGAAAAAGGCTTACGATACGGGCTGTCGTAATGTTTTGGCACTGAGAGGTGATCCACCCAAAAATGAAACCGAATGGACCCAAGCGGAGGGTGGCTTTCGCTACGCGGCGGATTTAGTTCGATACATAAAAAAAACCTATGGAGATGAAATATGCATTGGTGTTGCTGGTTATCCTGAAGGATACTCACCAGGCGACGACATTGATAGGAGTATAAGTCACCTTAAAGAAAAAGTGGATGCTGGAGCATCCTTTATCGTAACGCAAATGTTTTATGATGCCGATAATTTTATTGAATGGGTTAAGAAATGCCGGGAACGGGGTATATCGGTACCCATTTTTCCAGGAATCATGCCTATTCAAGCTTGGGATTCGTTTATTCGAAGAGCGAAATGGAGCGGAGTAAAGATTCCCCAGCATTTTATGGACGCATTATTACCCGTAAAAGACAACGATGATGATATTCGCGAGCGTGGTGCAGAACTAATGGTACAATTCTGCCGAAAATTAATAGATAATGGTATAACCCGTCTTCATTTCTATACTATGAACTTAGAAAAGGCCGTTAAAATGATCATTGAGCGACTCGGCTTGCTCGATAAAGAACTTCAGGAAGTAACCAAAAAACCTGAAAACGAACTGACTACGAACCGTACGGATATTTTCCCCAACGGTACCAAACGTGAGAATGAAGATGTGCGTCCTATATTCTGGAGAACTCGTTTGGAAAGCTATATATCAAGAACAGAACAATGGGATGAATTTCCTCATGGCCGATGGGGTGATTCCCGTAGCCCTGCGTTTGGTGAATTTGATCCTTCCCGTCATGGCCTACGTCAGTCGGCTCCTGAAATTTTGGCTCTTTGGGGCAGTCCAAAATCTTACAGAGAGCTCGGTGAACTTTTCGCAAGCTACTGCACGAAAGTAAAGACTAGCTTACCTTGGAGCGATATGCCTATATCAGAAGAGGCAAAAGTGATACAGGACCAGCTGGAATATATGAATACCAAAGCTTTTCTCACAATTAATTCCCAGCCTGCTCTGAATGGCGTTAAAAGCTCTGATCCAGTCCATGGTTGGGGTCCAACTAATGGATATGTATACCAAAAACCTTACGTTGAGTTTTTCGTACACCCTTCCTTGATTGATGAAATAAAATCATCTCTTCACCAGATGGAAGATATGTCTTACTTCTTCATTTCTGTTTCTGGGAAATTGGATACCAATGCCGCATATGAAGTTCCCAATGCAGTTACATGGGGAGTATTTCCCAATCGGGAGGTAATTCAACCAACTATCGTTGAATCTACTTCTTTCTTGGCTTGGAAAGACGAAGCGTATTCTCTTGGTATGGCTTGGGCTTCGGCCCACGATCCCAAATCTGAAACACACAAGTTATTGGTATCCATGATGTCCAGCTGGGTGCTTTGTGTTATTGTTGACAATAATTATGAACGTGGCCAATCTTTGTTTGACATTTTTCCAAAATTGAGAAGCTTGGAAGATATTCATCCTGAGCTCTACAACGGAGTGGCTATATGATTTAAAAAGGTGTTTGCTAATTTTCTCTTTTATTCCTCACCTGTTTGTGTTTTGTTTATCCGGGCTTTGTGCTCAAAATCAATGTAAGGTAATAACCCCACACTCTCTTTCAACAGTTTTTGTTTATTTGGGATGGTTTTGGTTTCAAAATTAAATTGATCGTTTATGAATTCCTTCTCTATATTTGCATTGGCTTCAACAGTCATCCGATAGTTTTTATCCTCATTTATCCTTTATTATCTCTTAATACTAATGATATATATACGAAGATATGCTTGCTATTATATTAATAATAAAGATAATTTTCTTTCTTCATTGTAGAAAAAAGAAGAGCATAAGTATTGACCGAAAAAATACGAAGCAGAACAGTGGAGTAGTTTGGAATTCGCTGTTTTGTATATGTTCTTTCAATGTTTCGTTTTTGAGTAAGATGGAAGGAAATTAATTTAATTTTTAAGTACTGTTCTTTATATGTAATAGTTTCGTTAACTAGTACAAACCACAGTGATATTGGAGCCAGTGGTGGAATTAGAATACAAAAGTGAGAATAACTTTAGCAGTTATTTATGTGAAATTTCAACAGCAAATTTGTTTTATTTTTTAATAGAAACTAAAGAAGTTTAGATTATCTTCTTTTTTTTCATTCTGGTAGTAAGAAACTATTTGAGTAATTTTAGGTGTTGGTCTGAACTCAACACCATTCCTACTGGGAGACATATACAATTGGAAATTCATTTTGGGGTCATAATAAATAATACAAAATGTCTTTCCGTGAGAAACAACATACGATAGAAGAAGAGAAAAATGGCGGTTTCGGAGATCCATATTCAGCGGATGAGTACCAATATCTACAAGCATCACTGACCAGGAAACTGGGCCCAGAGTATGTTTCCCGGAGGTCTGGTCCAGGTGGATTTTCAGTGAGCTATATTGAATCTTGGAAAGCAATCGAACTTGCTAATGAAATTTTTGGATTTAATGGATGGTCATCCTCTATAAGAAGTGTGAATATTGACTTTCTGGACGAAAACAAAGAAACCAATCGAGTGAGTTTAGGACTAAGCGTTGTGGTTCGAGTGACTATTAAAGATGGAGCATATCATGAGGTATCCTACCGTTTATTTAGTATTTATAACAAACAAGAGACTAATGAATATAGGATATTGGTTACGGATCAATTGATAACTGTAGAGGAAAAGCATCAGCGTTTGAAAAGGTTTGCAAAAAATTCAGAATCAGGTTATGAGAAATCATTTATTAATGTTTTATTAAGTGCAAAAAAGAGGGAACCACGGATGCCTTAAAACGTGCTCTCAGAAACTTCGGAAACAGTCTTGGAAATTGCATGTATGACAAGTATTATCTACGAGAAATTGGAAAAATGAAACCGCCAGCAGTATGTATAGTTAAATATCGAGAAGAAAATACAGTACAACGACTAACAGATTTTCTTCTAGTATCAACTTGATAGTGGTGATTTATTTCGCAAGTCAGAATCTGGATCGAGAGGAGAATTTATGAAAATGAGTAATGCCTCGGCAAAAGCCAACAATAGGCCGGTCGTCAAAAATGAAAAATCCGTCCATCCATCTGCTGTCAATTCAAGGCCGGAGAACAGAGATCCAGAAATGTATTCTGACGAGGAATTGGATAATATCTTTGTAGAAGATGATATGATTGCCCATTTGGCAGTTACTGATACGGGTTCTCCCGCTAATAAGTCATTTGAAGACTCCGATGCGAAACCCAAATCAGGTTCGAAGTCTATCCAACGTAATAATACATATCCTATGATTGGACCTCCACAAACGATGAACGAAAAGGTGAATTCTAATGGACCAGGTTTGCCTCCAAAGGTCGATCAACTAAGTCTCAATGGGCCTTCTCCTTCTTCAGCAAAATTCATTAGTGCTCGTGCTGCTGCTGCTGCCGAGGGAGCTGTTTCCGCTCCTAATTCTGCAAATTTTAATCCTCGGTTGGATAGTCCATCAATACGAAAATCGTCTGTGGTGGACCATTCAAAATCAGTTCCAGTTCATAGATCAGTAGTGAAGCCTGCTGAAAGAGCCCAGACTCGACCTAACGGAAAAGTTGGAGCGCCGCCTAATGTCTCTCTTGAGCAGCGGAGATCTTCAGGTACAAAAAGGTCTCTTCAAGACACTACTTCTTCTCGTCAAAATTCAATGGAAACAAGTCAAGTAAATGTTACGTCAGGTTCTGAAACCAATCCGAAAGTCTTGCAAGATGACCCTGGAATCGATAAAAAACATAAAACAAGTTGATTTCATTTCCTAAACATTCTTTTTTTTTTATTTTACGATGTATCAGTCCGGGTACTTTAATTATGTAGATTAGTCTTTTAAGATAATATTTAATCCAAACCACCTTTTTGTGATGACCTTAAATAATAATCAGTTAAGTATTTCTGTTTTAAGTATTTAATTCAATTAAAGTACAAATTTGTATTGTTTATTTACATTTATGTAAACAAAATCCGTCCATCATTTTTATGTAACTTAAAGCAGCCTACGTTATCTTGATAAATATGCATCCTCTATATGGTAATATCTGATACCATATATAAGAATACAAAAAAGGCCAACAAATAGCGGTTTTTTGGAGGCAAAGTGTCTGTTTCCCACGGATGTAGTGAAGTTGCCAAAAGCCAAACACTGTGTCAATTCAAACGTCGGCGAGAATCCAAGGATTGCATATAAAGAGAAGAGTACAAAAATAGCATTAACAATCTTTAAAAGAAGGTCGAAACCTGTGGTAGGAAGAATTAATTCAATCTACGGAGATGGCTCAAATGCAATTGTCCGTGCCAGACGGAACGGAAGGAGTTAAGAAACGTGTCCATGGCCGCCGACATTCTTCATACGAAGTTGAAGAAAAGAAGGGAGACATTCCTGAAGATGTTGTTGTTTACAAGTTTGATATGTTTCTCAGCCGTTTGGGGGATCGGATGAAGCGAATTGAAGAGGTAGGACTTCCAACAATAGAGGAACCGAATACCACGTATGAGATATTGGTAAGATTACGAAATTCCTTCATTGGAAGTACCATTTTGGGGAAAAACCAGGTTATGTATTTCCTTCGGATGATTGAGGAAAAGTACCATGACGTGCTGGCTGCCTGTGATTCATTTCCTTCAAAAGCACTGAAGGCTTTAAATGTTTTGGAAAGTTTACTATCCGATTTGGAAGATATAGCTAATGTTGAGAGTCGAACAACGGTTGGTGAAATTTTTGAAGATACCAAAGAAAAACTTCAAAGTGCCATTCGTGCAGGTGAGAGTCGACTTCTTAAAGTAGAAGAGGTTCCTTTAGAATGGAAAAATAACCCTTTCATCGTTCGTGGATATCGGTTCTATCCCAGTAAACGCCGATGTATTCGCTCAATGCTTGCCCTCCATAATGAAACGTTTAATATTTGGACCCATCTAATTGCATTCCTTGGATTCCTCATGGTCACGTCATATTTTTATCCATTGTCTACTTCTTGGATTTCATCTTCTGTATCAAATCGTATTGTTCGTGTTTTCTTTTTAGTATGTGCGATGAAATGCTTAGCTTGCTCGGTTACCTGGCACACGTTTTCCAGTTTGTCCAAGTATGAGCACATGCGACGTGCTGCTTGCATGGACTATGTCGGTATTTCAGCTCTCATTGCTGCTTCTATTATTGCAGTTGAATTCCATGCTTTCAAATGTCACAGCATGTTCCGTGTACTTTACATAGCCGTCACTGGGTCGCTTGGGTGTATAGGAATATATATGCCTTGGAAAGAATGGTTCAATGATTATAATTATCGTTCCTTTAAAATCTTTTTCTTTGTTGGTTTAGCGTGTAGTGGGTTCTTGCCATTACTTACGATGTGCTATATCCAAGGCACTTCCAGCACGTTAATTTATCTGAAACCCGTATTTATGTCAATTTTTAGCTATATTATTGGAGTTATTTTTTATGCTTTACATATACCTGAAAAGTTAAATCCTGGCATATTTGACATTGTGGGAAATAGTCATCAATTGTGGCATATTGCTATTATCATTGGTATAGGTTTTCATTATTACGGTATAAAGACATTTGAAACAACTCACAGAGGGTTCGCCTGTGATTGTGTATAATATTTATTGCCGATAACTCGAATGATGATGACTATACCAAGCGAACCCCCAATCATGCATATATCGTTTTAGGAAAGGACATAACATGAACCCGTATTCTCTACAATTTTTCGCAATTTTTAATTTTTTGTTCCTTTTTGTGTTCTTTTGGTTTCTTTTTTAATACTTTTATAACTTTCGTTTTGTACATAATGATATTATTGAAAGATTGAATTGATTGGGACAATTCATATTGATCCCTCTATTCAAAACACTTTGATGATGGATGGAATGGCTTTTTGTTTGTTTTATCAAAAAAGCAGGGAATTAGAAATAATAAAAATCTTTTAATACTTGAATGTACTATCCTGTCGTTTACAAGAGGTACCTAACGCTTGTATATTCACATATCAAACTTTATTTATTTAAATAAAATTGTTTTTGTTATGCTGATTAAAACTAATCATTGAAAAGAAAATGAATTGAAACTTGACACTACAAGTCTAAGGAAATCCCGAATTGTTGGACCCGCGAAAAAGCAGTCACAATGTGTATAGGACACAACGCAACAACTCAACTCGATTCTGTGCACAGCAAGTTACCCAGCAAGTCGATAAAATGGTATGCGAATTTTATCCTTTTGGTTTTCATGAGAAACTAACATCGTGTTATAGCCTCGCCAGGTCACTGATATTAAGCTCTTTTTACAGCTTGCTCACAGAGGTGATGCGACTTCTGCCCGTGTGAAGAAGAACCAAAACAAGGACGTTAAGTTCAAGCTTCGCTGCTCCAAGTACCTCTACACTTTGGTTGTCGCTGATGCCAAGAAGGCCGAGAAACTTCGTCAATCTCTTCCTCCTGGTATGTTAAAAGAAATGCGAATGGACACATACAAAAATTTTTGTGTTTGTACATTCAACTAAGTATCATCTTCTTTGCAAGTAACTAACAGTTGTATTAGCCCTTACCGTTGCCGAAGTTGGCAAGAAGGCTTAGAAAGAATCAATGAATTATCGGTTTTAAGAACAGGATCAAATGTAAAAAAGTAGAAAAGGAGCAAGATAGTAAGGACGACGTTGTGAACAGTTTCGTTTTGTATAAAAAGTAAATTCACGTAGAATATTGGTTGAAAATTATTATTCATGAGTAAACTATCCTAATTTACGAAAAGTCAGGACTCGTAGCCAGATACTCATGCTTCTAGGAAATAGGATATTTCTAAAGACGCTAAAAGATAGTGAACGATGATTATCCAAAATGAAATCACATAGTATCAAACAATAAAAAAAAAACAGAAATGAAAAAGAATTGCGCGGCCAGGTTTCGATCCTGGGACCTACGGGTTATGAGCCCGTCGGAGTTCCACTCTCCTACCGCGCACACATTTATACCGTCAGCAGCAGGATTTGAACCTGCGCGGGCAGAGCCCATTAGATGCCTCGAATGGGGAATTCGAGTCTAACTCCTTAACCACTCGGACATACTGACTATTGTTGAGAGTTGATTAAACAAGAATTATTTATGCTCCAATTCTTTATTTCCATAAAACCATAATATTTTAACAAAGAACAGCCAATATTATGTGAATCTATTTTATATATATTGAAAGAAAAAAGTATTGATCAATTTGTGTCAAGACGAATTTCGTCGTGATATATTCATTGCTTTTTGCTGCTTATGGGTATCTTACAATACAGTAGTACTTTATCAACGGTTTGTACATATTTCCCTTCTATTCTATATGATTAGATTCATCATAAACAAATATGTATATATGGATGAAAAAGTAAAAGCTAAACATTTATTTTTCTTGGTAAGTATTTGAATTATTTACTAACGCTTTCTTGTTCAAATGCACTAATAAACAATGAGGATGTAAATTTGGCGCTTTTTTAGTTTTCTACTGAGAAATCGAAATTCTTTTACTTTTATTTTTTTTGCACTTGGGATATGATTCTATTATTAAACATTTAATTTTAAAGTCAGCTTGTCCTGCTAAAACTCATATTTGTAACCTTTTATTGCCAGTTGAAATGTAGAGAACGATTTTTCATGTAACTTAATGGAGTTAGATATGAGATTAATGTTACTACATGTTTTTTAACTAGAAAGGCAAATTTGCTTCTTCATGAAAACCAAAGAAGAGTAGCTTGCGACAAAAATCATTCTCCACGCTCGTAAAAGAATCTTGTAAAACTTAACTAATTTAAAATTATTAGTAATTATATTTAAATTTTCTTTTCTCATGTTTAACAGAGAAGAACAATCGCCATTGTATTTGTTTTACAATGATTGCCATTTTTTTTTGTAATCCACACTACCCACCAAATTCAAGCTTTTAAAGCGTCGACATCGAAATTCACACTCAGCAAATAAATAATTCCAAAGTTAAATTGGTTAAATAAATTGATTAAGAATGTCGTCTCTTTGTAAAACTCGACTCCAAGAGGAGCGCAAACAATGGAGGAGAGACCACCCATTTGTAAGTGATACCACATTAATAACCTATAAAATTTCTTTCACCTGAGTTTGAGTATTAATACTTTTCTTCAGGGTTTTTTTGCAAAGCCTAGTAAATCCTCCGATGGCGGTCTTGACTTAATGAACTGGACAGTTGGAATTCCTGGTAAACCTAAAACTTCATGGGAGGGCGGTCTTTATAAATTAACTATGACTTTTCCTGAAGGTATGTCTTGATATTTCTGATACATGCAGTGCTTGCCTATCTTGCGAATCATCATTCAATTCGCCATGCACTGAAGCATTCATTATCAACAGAAAAGTTGGATACCATATTTCGACGCATGGTTTTTGCTAACTACATGTCTTTAGAATATCCAACGCGTCCCCCCAAATGTAAGCTCTAGCCATTATTTACAAAGACTGTCTTTCCAGCATTCTAACATCGTTTAGGCCGATTTACTCCACCTTTATTCCACCCTAATGTTTATCCTTCTGGCACTGTTTGCCTTTCTATCTTAAATGAAGAAGAAGGCTGGAAGCCTGCTATTACCATTAAACAGGTATGATTATTTAAACCACTATGGCTCTGAAATCTCATCGCTAATATCTATTTCAGATCTTACTAGGAATTCAGGATTTATTAAATGATCCTAATATAGCTTCTCCTGCCCAGACGGAGGCTTACACAATGTTCAAGTAAGTTTTCTGATGAATCATTTTTGTTTTAGCTAGTGCTAATCTCAATCAAACTAGAAAAGACAAAATAGAATACGAAAGGCGCGTCCGCGCACAAGCTAAAGAAAATGCACCATAAAAATAGAGCTACATTTCTTTTCTGTATCCCTAATTTATAAATTATTGTCGCTGTTGACCAGATATTTTCTTAAGAATATTGTTTAATCGCTCCCACTTGTAAATCGATTAGACGAATCATTACATTAAACACTAAACAAAGAAACATCGACACTAAATTCAAAAAAAAAACGAATGTATTTTTCAAGATAACGTAGAAAACACTTTTCACTACGATAGTCGTCCATTGCCCAAGCACCAAACTAATCCCACCTTTTCAGTTATTGCGGCGGATTTGCCCCACGACTTTGAGCATATATTTGTTGTTGGTAATACTGAACATAGGCATTGTAGCCCCCGAAAGCTGCATATGGATCTGCTCCAGGCGCGGACATAGCTGGAATACCAACACCCGGGGCATCAATCCCTGGTGGTCCTGACATTCCAGGTGCCCCGTACACATACGGCATACTTGGCGAGATCATGGGAACTGCAGGAGACATACCTGGAGGGTAGCCTGCTGCTGTAACTGAAGTGCCAGGTGGAACAACAGACGTAGATGACAAAGGGGCGTTAAAGTTAGCAGCAGGTGATACATTGGTCATTGGTGGAGTCCCATGATTGCTGGGTGTTTCTGCTTTGGATGAGCGGTTGGAGTAATGACTACGATTGGACTGCTTATAAGCTTGTGATCCTTGACCGCCTTCTCTGTATTGATTTTTCCAAGCCTGGTATTGTTGATGTACATTCGCAATCAAATCCTCGCATAATGGTTTTGCTTTTTGAATATTGTTCATATCGTGGCTCATTATACACAGATGTAAAGGTTCGTCAGATTCTCGGTTAGTAGAAGGTTCAATAAAAGCAGATCCTTGTCCTTTTATTTGTACTCGAGTACGAGTTTCTTGCTGGATATGTTTTACATAAGCACCTTGAGGACCGACCACTGCCTGACGAAGATGGAAACCTTTGATAGGAGTCAGGTTAATATAAACTTTTTCTTCATTCCATCGTTTACGTATTCCTTGATGTTCGTTTGGACTTGAATTTTCCTGAGGAGATGCACCTTGAGATGGGTTACGATCCATTTCATCTCGTCTTCGAAACCTTCTCTCATCTACGAGTGGTCCAATATCTTTAAGTATCCAAGACTCTATTTCGGCTAGGGCCTTTGACAAATCTTCTGCAGAGCTTGCTACCACATGAAGGTATAGAGGAGGGTCTCGGTCAGAAGCTAATGCTTTGTTTGGATAATAGCGGCCTTTTGAATACAATTGAACTCCACTTTTATGTTCAATTTCAGACAACGTGGATGATTTTACGAGTATATAACGATTTTTAACATTATTAATCTCAACGTTAATCGTAAAAACTCCTTCGCCTTCAATAACTTTCCCGGTTATATCTGCTATAGAAGGAGGTACCACATCATTTAACCCAGACTGAGAATTAGGAGGAAGAGGTGGAGCAGGTGCATTGGGAAGTGGAACAGAGCTCTCCGAGTTTTGTACTTGTTTAGCACTATTGTCTTCATCGAAGGAACGACCAGATTGCAATGACTCTGCTACACGTTTAGCAGCTGCGGCAGCTGCTTCCACTGGATCCAAAGATGGCTTGTAGGTGTATCTTTCACTTTCTTTATTATGAAAAGAGCGGTCTCTATAAGCAGGTGGGCTTAAAGATCTGTCGTTTGTTCGATATGTCCGAGATTCTCTGGGTCGTTCATTAGTAGCCGAATCACGGGAGAAGCGAGATCTTCTCTCAGGAACAGGTTCTTCCTGATAGCTACGATGCCTTGAACTTGACATAAGGGAATCTGTAGGATCGAAAAAACTGCTTGTTCAGTAGGAATGCACTACTAGTTAGTACTTCTTGTGCACAGTTGGGTAACGAAAAGTAACAAAATAATTAACGGAGATGAGATATGTTTTAAAAATCATTTTTCTATTGAGACATATGAACAAAAGAAGAGACAATAGTAAAATTCAAATAACTTCTTACCGACAGCATTCCTCTGCCTGAATAGACAATTGATTGCATGCATACCTATACCTCCTACCTAATGATATCAAAACTAAACAGTAAACAGTAAACAAAAAATAAGAAAATTTTAGTGCTATTTAATAAAGCATCTTCCAAACTTTCAAACGGTGTAGGAACTTATTTACAACGTCGATAACCTCTTTAGGATAGACGGTAGAGGGATCGACCTGAGCGTCCAAAACAGTAGTCTCGTGCTTACGTGCTTCGTCCCTTGTCATAGCTACAAGATTTGTATGATCGAAAGGTAAGTGAGGATTCCATCGCACCACGCTTACTTTTTGAGTTTCATGGGGAAGAAGGGCGCTTCGACCGCAGTATACTTCTTCAATAATATAAGACATTTCGGAAGCGTTAAAAGTTTTATCTAAGCGTACATTTGCATTTCTTGCTTCAGCATGCAGACGCTTTACGGCTTCTTCATAAAGACGAGGACGAACTTGAGTGGAAATAGGGTCCATAGGATATTTTGCAATTCGAGTTAATACATGAGTAGCAAGAGTAAGACCAAAAATACCAGGCATGGGTCCGATTACTGGAAGGATACGAGTGCGAAATTCTGGCAAAGCACTTAATTGATCGACATCTCCCTTCTCAAACTCTTCTTCAGCTAAGGGCAACAGGGTAGCTTTACGAGGATCTGGTTTTTCAGAAGAAAACGCAACAGGGATCCCTTCCATAACACCTTTCAGTCTTAACCTTCTGCGAGTAGCACGAGACAAGGGGTCTTCAGAAGTAGCGGAAATATCAGCAATATTCATACGAGTGGGATCGGATTTACAAGACGAACCGGTAGAAGCAATGACTTGAATCTGGTTATAGTAGCAATAAGCCAATAAATCAACTTTCGTTTGAATGTTGTCAATAGCATCAATAACAAAGGATGGACTTCCGGAAAGAAGCTCATCAGCGGACTCAGGGTTGAACAATGTATTACAAGCCTCGATTTCAACCCATGGGGCAAAACGTTTAATGGCCCGCTTTAAAGCCAATGTTTTTGGAGTTCCCACATCCTCAAGATTAGCAATAGCATGGCGATTTAGACTACTAAGAGAAACTTGGTCGAAATCGATAATTCGAATCTTTTGTACACCTGAGCGAGCCAACATTACAGTTGCCCAGCTACCAACACCACCACAACCTACGACTACAACAAAAGAGTTACGAAGGTTTGCCATACCTTCTTCACCAAAAAAAGCATAATTGCGAGCGAGCTGCTCGCGAATTAGATCCTCATCATAAGGAATCTTCGAGTCTGTTTCAATTTGACTTTCACGTATGTTTTCTTCATCATCTAAAAGAGCACCCGACGGAGAAAGCTCGATACTCTTGCCTGAGTCACTTACAATCATCGATTGTAAGCGACGGATTGAACGATGCTTCTGAGACTCCAACGTACCGAGAATTAGAGCAGCTGTAGTAACTGACGAAGATACGGCGATCCAAAACGATTTTGACATCGCCCATGATGGAAGCTTCCAACCCGCCATTCTGGTTTTGTGCAAAAATCCCAGTGCAAGTCATAAAATCTTTGTTGTAGCAGCTTGGATTGGTGAGTGACATTGCTACTTATATATGACAAAATACATGTTGGTTTTACAGAATAGAGAAGAAACCACATATCTGACGTCCTTAGTAAAAATGGGGATTTATGTAACAAATTTATTTTTTAAACTTCTGTTAATTTTCTTAAGAATACCTTTTGTTTCCTTTATTCTGACCCTTTGGTCAATTTTTCGTGACACGTAATGTAAACAAAACGTAGTGCTATTGTTGGCAAAATAATTTTTATTCTAAGATATCCATTCATAGTAAGAAAAGTATACTATGTCCAGATATTTCACTGTGCGCATCGTAAATGTAAGCATGGAACACAGCTGTTTGAAGTACATCTTCAATACAAAACCAATATGAGCAGGACGCTCTCTGCTTAAACAAATAAGCTATAGCTTACATTCACTATTTGAAGCTCTCAAGCGGCAGCAAATTTCAAGGGGTGCGTATGTTTATTTCAGCGAATCCTGGAGTCGGCCACTAATACGCATCGCAACTTACACCTGCGGAAGTAGAAGCGTTTATAATTCTTTACACAATGCGATGAAAGAAAACACCTGTACTTGGGCCCAACGGTTAATATTCTTGTTAATTTCAATAATCTCTTAAAAATCTAAGTAACATATTAGAAGTAACTCGTCACTTACCATTCTCATAGAAAGTAACGACCGAAGTAACATATCCATTCGTATTCTGTTCTTAAAACGATGGCCACGTAGCCATCCCAGGCGCCAAGCATTCTGCCATCCGCACGTACGATTTTTACAGTAGAGGATTTCTGCAATTTAATAGTTATACTCGGTAAGTAAAATGCGAATTTCTTTCTTCGTATGAGAATTAGCAGCAAAATACTGGGGAATGTCTTGTCTTGTACTGAATAAAGAGTTACCGGAACCAGGTTAGATATTGGAGTGGAGAGAACTCTTTAAGCTGAATTGAAGTTCCTTTGATCAACTTGTAGCCGTTATATGTTATGATTTCAATGAAGCGGTAATTCAGTTACTCTTCGATTACCGCTTCTGTCATTCTAGCTACATTATGGACCAAAAGCGATGTTGGCTAAATCCGAGGTTTTCTTTTTGTTATCTTTTATCTTTCTTTTATTAATTTTACTTTTATACAGGAAAGGGTTCTCAGCTGCTGACTAAATTCTTAATGCTTATGTGTCTCGGCTTCTGCAAGGAATTTTCGCATTCTTATGTATAGTAATATGTTTACTAACATTTTTTTTGTTAGTTGTTTCCTGTCAGTCTCTTTAAACTTTACGGTGTTTGGTTTCATTTCCATTCTTTTGCATTTCGTCTTTTTGTGTTTCGTTGTTGGTTAAAATTTTTATATTGGATCTGATACTCAAACATCCTTTTTCATTCTATCTAAACAAACTTTACGAGACCTAATCTGACATTGTAAGGTTATTGTGTTTGTTCGAATCCGCTATGAGCAAGAAAACTTCCAAAGGAAAACATCATAAGGCTACTCGTACCAAGACCGTTGGCCAGAGCCCTATAAAAGATGTTCTTCATGTAGGAAATGATGATGGTGTTTTTAAGTGCTCTCTTGAAGATCGGAGAAATTTCGTGACGAAGGATGGCAAAAAATTAGTACAAGCTCCTTTATTTCTTGTTCTATGGCAAAAAGAGATCACCGTAGCTCTTATTTCATTATGCATCTTTTTGTATTATTTACCGTCAACTAGGTCCTACGTTGAACCCTTCATGGTTTTGTCCTACAAAAAAGCAGACGGTGTTTACGGAAAAGGCCCCAAAGACCTTCTTTTTTCTTTATTTTGGGTAATTAATTTTACTGCTATCAGAAGCATCGTTATGGACTATTGTTTTTGTCCTTTTATTTTATCTTGGGGGATCAGAAAACGAAAAGTCGTTATTCGATTTTGTGAACAAGGATATTGCTTTTTGTATTACCTCACATTTTGGATACTTGGCTTCTACATTTATCGTACCAGCGGATATTGGGATCATGAAGAACAACTTTTTGAACAATATCCTCAGTATTACATGACTAAACTTTTTAAATTTTATTACCTTGTTCAGTTCGGGTTTTGGTTACAACAAATTTATGTTCTTCATGTGGAACAACGTCGCGCGGATCATTGGCAAATGTTTGCTCATCACATTGTCACATGTTCTTTAATTATTTTGAGCTATTGCTTTAATTTTCTTCGAGTTGGTAATGCCATTTTATACATTTTTGATTTATCAGACTACATCTTTTCGGGCTCCAAAATGATCAAATACCTCGGCTTTGGTAAAATCTGTGATTATTTATTCGGTCTATTCATGATGAGTTGGATATATTCGAGGCATTACCTTTTTTACAGAATCCTTAAAGTTGTGGTAACATCTGCTCCTAGGATTATAGGTGGATTTCATATGGACCTTTCAAGAGGTTATATATTTAATGAGCGAATTTACTATGCTTTTATATTTCTTCTTTTTTCTTTGCAAATTTTAATTTACATTTGGTTTGGAATGATTGTCAAAGTCGCATATCGTGTTTTCTCCGGTGCTGGAGCTGTCGATAGTCGGTCTGACGATGAGGAAGAGACAGAGGAAGATCCTAAAAAGAAATAAATAGCAAGAATTAATTTTTGTTTTATTAGAAAATATGAAGTCTCCAAAATGCATTCAAAAAAAGTGATTGACGGAATCTCAAGAGTAAGTTTGAATATCCATGAATGCTGAGTGTTATGAACTCATTGGGTGATCAATTGATGATTTCTCCATATACAGTACTTTGTTGTCAATAAAGAAAAGTTATGGAGTGCTACTTGTTTGATTCAAAAAATTTTATTAAATAATTTAGTTTTTTTCCCTTCATTCTTAAGAAATCGTTAGCTTAAATGTTAGAAATTTCAATGTTATGTTAGTTATTCTAAAAAATCTACCTATTTTGTTTTGAGTACTACATTGTTTTGTTTATTTATGTATGTTTACTTTATGAATATGACAAGTGGAATGAATCTGTTGTAACGCGAGCAACAACCCGATCAATTCAATAATTAAGTATGAATGGATTTAAAGAGAATCAAAATTCTAAATTAGATAATAAACAAGTTTCATCATTTGCTGCTCGTATGGCAATGGAATTTCCAAGCAACCAAAGTTCTAGTTACGATCCTTTAGTATCGTGGATATCAACTGTTCGTGAAAATTATTCCGAAAATGTTTTAGAAAGCTCAGACAATGAAGATCAAAACGATTCTACTAATTGTGAAGCTTTGGTTGTATATAACGAGGAACCAAAAGAGACTAGATATTCTTTTTCAACTGGATGCGCTCGCTTATCGTATATGAAATCGAATGGAAAGCATAAGGAATCTTTGAATTCAAACGACACTCATGCCAATGCCAATAATCGTCTACCGACTAGATCAGTACCTGACAAACCATTGCGTGTCAAGCCAGATGTTCAATTCCCGTTACGAAACCAGAAACCAGCAGATGACGAAGAGAAGGAAAACATAGGTTCAGTGGAAATTATTGAGCTTGAATCAAACGATGAGGAAGTACGTAGCCACTCTCCAGAAGTTGTGAGCGACGCTGAAAGCTGCAGAATATCACTCATGGATGGCTTATCGAGCATGGAAAACGGATACCCAGTTGGCGATCAAGGGTCTTTCATTGACGCCGAGCCCCTTCGGTACAATCCTAACGATGATTTAAAGGACCAAATAAATTATTATCAAGATTACACCGGCAAGTACTTACTGAACGAAACTATAATGAATTGGGAAGAAAGAGAACCTACAATTACGGAAGTTCTGTCAAGAAATTACTTAGAAGATCTTGCCAGCCGTGACCATCGAAGTGGTAACAAACCATTCTTTTTTACCTGATAATGTTAATAATAGCGTTTATTGTATGGAATGAGAATTGTTGAGCCAAAAGAACCACCAAAAAAATACGATGAAACTAACACCACAAAGCTCGTAGCTATTATTGAAATGTTGGGTGAGTTATAAAAAGCGAGCAACAGTAGAATAACCAAAAGTTATAATAAATTATATATTAATAAGATGATAATTAGATAAAACCGTTAGCAAGTCATGCTAGTTAAACAAATCGGAGGGTCTAGTTCTGAATTAAAGCGTCTACCAATCTTGTTAACGTTCTCAAAATCTGATTTTAAAAAGCTTTTTCAAAGCCTTAAGCTTATTTCCTTTTTTCTTGGGCTTCTGAGGGGGTTGGTTATCCAGCATACTGTCGCTATCGTTGGCAAATCTATGGTCATATTCAGCATCGTCCCGGTTAGCACCACTGAAAGTATAAGATCTTTGATTACTATTATCAGGTTGGGGTGTTTGTCGAAGAGAATAAATAGGTTTGCGCTGCTGACTACCAAAGCTAGATCCACGCATTGTATAACGTCCAGTGCCATTACCTACCAAAGAGGAATAAGAAGCACCATAATGGCCATAGGGCAAGTCGCGTGATGCTTTGGAGTTAGACCTTTTAGGTTTTAATTTAGCAAACAGGTTTCTACCACGTCCACTGTTGCCACCGCGATCAAAGCTGCTTTCTGAAACGAAAGAAGTGTTGTCGTCCGGAATAGTTTCCAACGGATGACCGTTGTTAGGCATAGGACTCATATTATTGGCTTGATTACCACCGTCCATTTGTCTAAGCATCTCTTCAACTCTTCTCTTTGCTGCATCTTCTAAAGACATATACTGCGTACTCTCAGAATTGACAGAGTGAGAAGGGCTGCGAGGAGCGTTAGGTGGTATCACAGAGATACGCTTCGTTGATGGAACATAGAACGCAGATGATCCACTCAACTCCGTCGGGTTAGATTGAAACTCTTCATTGACGTCCTGGTACAGAGATTCTGATGACGAATTATCCATCCTGTTATCTTCCTTATCTTCGTAAATACTTACACGCTTCTTTGGCGTATAGTCAGGTAATTGCCCATCGACCGAAACCGCGGGAGAATGTTTTTTCATAGCTGATTTTTGGGTCACCCCAGGTGATGGGCGACTCGTAGTGGTAGAACGTTGTAAAGGAGACGAAACCGAATAAGAAGCCTGAGCACCGATAGGTGAAGAAGGCATGCTACTTGAACCTATTGATCTAATATTATTTGTAACAATAGGAGGTCCCCGATAACTGTTTCTGCTTGAAAGAGGAATACGCGTTGTTGAGCTTGCATTGTTTGCTTGAGTGCCATTATTGGATCGCTCAGATATTTGCTGAGCATACTGAACGGCCTTCGCATGTAACTGAGAATCCTCATAATTTCTACTACTAGGAGTTTCCGAAATGTTGCTTTTTATAGACGGTGCACGTCGACGCTCTATAGGAGGACTAAAAGAAGGAGTAAAGTCGTATGCATAACTAGAAGGATTTCTCTGTTTTTCGGATTTTGCAAGATACTTTGCAGATGCAGAAGTTAAAGTATATCTTTTTCCAGTACTAGAAGGTGAATAAGTACTGGCAGTAGAAGAAGAGGGATTGTAGACCGAGCTTACATTACGTGAATTTGCATCGCTTGTCCTTGGAACATACGGCGCATGTATTGCCTTTGAACGTAAGTAGTCATATTGAGGTGAATAAGTAGAACTGGTAAAAGTTGAAGTGCGATTTCCAAGGAAAGAATTTACAGTTCTATAGTTTTCATCGCTATTATATCCCCTACGATTGTGAAGTGCTGTTGAAGCTGCTGCAGCAGTCAACTGCGCATTATAATTTTTAGAACCATTGCTCATGATCTAAAACTGGCCGTGTCTAATGATCTAAACGCGATTAGATGTTGGCAGACGGTAGGTTGAAGAATGATGATTGTTTCTCTGGACATTTCGCTTAAGAATCTATTACGTACATAATAACTATGACGATGATGAATACAAAAATAACCGAATAACGTAAACAAACAAAATAAAAAAAAAATAAAATTAACAAAGGACGAAGAAAAACATGTAAGAAATGAGAGAAAAGGGTTTATATATATCTGAAAATAAATAAGAAAAAAAACTGAACGAAAAATATTTTCTTCTATTGTTGTTAAACATTGTTTCCACTACTATCAATTAAAATATAGAAGCTTTTATCAACTCTATATGGTGAAAATCAAGATTGCTAAGTAGGAGAATTTACTTTGATACATTTTAAATAGCTACAAATTGATTCAGAATGTTATGTTTGAAAATGGAAGTTGAGCCCTTCCACATTGCAATCACATGACTGTAGTTCCTATATAACATCAATCAATAGCGTTAAAAATTTTTATTTTCATTCTATTTTTGACATGTTGTAGGAAAAAGAATGACATAAGTAAACAATGGTTTCCAAAGACGTGTCGTGACGATGGGTTTGTTTTGTAGGAGATGTTTATGTTTACATCTGCACATACACAAAAAAAAAACAAAAGGCCCTGTTTATTTATAGAAACCAAATCCAAGTAGACTTAGAAACAACAAGCATCCTTCTTTTTTGAAAAGCAAAAATCACAATGCCTTCTTTCTCCAAAGTTTTATCGTTTCTGAAGTCTATCGAATATGTAAAAATTCCTTGTCTTTTTATGTTTGCAGCGATTGTCGGCATGAATCTTTCACTGCTTTATTGTCTCTTGCGAGGATGGAAACACGTTGGACTTTGGAGCATTGGCACTCTTATTTCCGGATTCATTGGAACTTTTTTGGCTTACAAGGTATGTGTACCGGAAAAGTGGTTTTCCTTTTTTTCACATAGGACGAATTCGCATACTAACTATTTAGAAAAAAATCTCTTGGTCTCACCTTTTACTCTTGTGGTCAACAGTTGATGCCTTCTTTAGCATGTGTTTAAGATCATGTGTGCTGATTTACTTTTCCATGAATCCTTATATACTATGCGAAGTGTTTGGCAGCGAAAATGTGATGGTATGCAGCGCCAATATGCAAAAGGTATTTATGGTTATTGTTGCCGCCTCCAATCTGTACAGTTTTTTCCAATTGGGTTGTTGCTTGCTGGTTTTCAACAATGTTATCAAAGTGCATTCCATCGAGGATTTGGAAATCCAATACATATCCAATGGTACAGAGCAAGAAGTCCATTTACAAAATGGTTCTGATTTCCCTGAAAAGCCTATTCAACTGTAAATGACTTTTCGAGTGGAGGCGGCTTTGGACTGTGAAAGGATCCTATCATTCATGCCGCTACTTTAAAATATTGGTTTATTATTTCTATTCTTATATGTTAATCGGTTTGGACGCTTACAATGACCAATATTTTTTTTTCTGTCAAACATTCAGCCGCGAAAAGAGTATACATACACACAGTACATAATGCAAATATCTGTCATGGTTTCTATTATTTTTTTTTCACCTAATATCTTATACATTGTTGGTCCTTTCGTTTGTGCAGCGCATAAATAAAGTAACCAGATGGTATTTTTTTAGTATAGCTTATATCTTACAAAAAAAAATCAAGGCAAGCGAGGACCGCTTATTTCTTACCTTTCCTCTTTCTAAAATATTCAGTAAGAATAGCTAGTAGTTTACATTAGGAGCTTAAAAATTATTCTCGGTTTCTTCTATAAACAAACCTCGACATTTTCTGTTTGTTTACTCAAGTGATGCAAGTACCACAATGCTCACCAACTTATTATAATATCGTACTAAGCTATATTATGGAACGATTTCTGTCAAACATGTATAAAGAATACAAAATAATTATTATTTCTTACTTTTTTTGTTTTTGTTTTTTTTTCTCTTTGAAAGAGCATTGTTTTTAAGGAAATTGTTTAAGTTGTGTGCAGATGACAGAGGTGTGTAGTAGGCGGGTGAAGGTTTTTGTTGATACTCCAATCGACCCACTATTACAAAATTATTTAAATAGGTGTTGTTGTGTTTGGCTAACTTGAGACGACTGTTTGTGTATATCATTTTTCTGCAGTTTCCTCTCATACTCAAAAGTTTTTAACTAACTACAAACCAATTTCGTTGACGAACGAATTGAGACAATTTGATCGGAATAGAAAACTACCATTAGATAAATGTAAATGTCTAAAGATGAATTGAAATTTCAAATGGAATATGCTTCCACATACGAAGATTGGCTTCAAGCCGCCGAGAAATTGGACATGGCAGAAGGAAAATATGAATGGCGAGAACGACCGGAATCGGACGAGTACAATTACAAGCTAGTAGAAAGTAGGCTTCATGAACTGAGGAAAATTCGTCTTTCTGGAAATGTGGGAGTCATGTTTGGAGTTTTACGAAATTCGGTTGCGAGAGACTTTGCAAACTTGGATAATGCTCAACTGTACAATTATGCATATTCTGGGACGAAAAGACTGATTGATGAATTTATCCAGGAAGTTCTGTTATGCGTCGAGTTTCTGGAGGAGAGCCCGGATGTTCCGATAGAGCAGAAGCTGGTTGAGTTTTCGAAACTCAAGTTTACGGTTGGAAACACAGCTTTGATATTGAGTGGAGGGGGTACGTTTGGTATGAATCATATAGGTGTTTTGAAAGATCTACATGAACAAGGCCTGGTACCCAAGATCATATGTGGCTCGTCCGCTGGAGCCATAGTTGCATGTGCGGCCGCAGTCCGAAACACGGAGGAACAAAAGCTGCTACTCAAGCAATTCCACACAGGGGATTTGAATGTATTCACCGATCCGAATCTCCCGCCGCTTTCCCTGTGGGCAAGTTTAAAACAGTACTTTACGAAGGGATGCGTTTTGGACATTCGTCATTTAGAAAGAGTGATGAAACTGTTGATTGGTGATTATACGTTTCAAGAAGCATTTGATCGGTCAGGTTATGTATTAAATGTTACAGTATCGTGTGGCAGTTCGTATGAGATGCCGAGTTTGCTAAATTACATTACTACACCGAATGTTCTGATATGGAGTGCAGTAGTGGCTACGTGTTCTATACCATTTTTGTTTCAGCCCGCGACGTTGTGGGAAAGAGACCCACTGACACGAGAAATTGCTGCGTTTTGTGTTACGGATGCACCTTTGTGGATGGATGGTTCGGTTGACAATGATATTCCACATTCGAAACTTACTGAACTATTCCACGTGAACCATTTTATTGTGTCGCAAGTAAACTTTCACATTGTACCCTTTATCATGGATCCGACATCTCACAGTTGGTGGGAACGAACAGCGAAGAAGACGATTGATTTAGCGGCACAGGAGGTGAGTCTTACATTTCGACTGTTATCAGAATTGGGAATTTTCCCGACGTTTTTTAGCAAGCTTCAGTCTGTGATTACACAAAAATACTCTGGAGACATTACGATTCTTCCAAAACTGAATTATCGACAAATCAAAAAGGTAATTCAAAATCCAACCCCTTCGTTTCTACTGGATGCCATGACGAGAGGAAAACGAGGAACATGGAAAAGGATTCCAGTGACGCGAAACCATTGTGCCATTGAAATTTTGATTGAAAGTGCATACACACGAATTGTGAAAAAGCTACAAGCTCAAGGAAAAACAAAGCGAGAAATTGATATGATTCCAAATTCCTTCAACGCAGGTCGCATGAATGCATATACATGAACAAGGTTGCTACCTATGAATGTTGTTTTTCTTTTCTTTTCTTTTTTTTTTTTTTTTTTTAAAAAAATTTTATTTTACCTCTACCTCTTTACCTCTACCTTTTTTCTTTGTCTTTTATTGTCTTAGTCTTAGTCTTTAGTCTTGTCTTTGAGAATTATTTATTTCTTTGTAAATCGTTAGTGTGTTTACCGTACGATTAAATACGACGATATTCCGGGTTTGCGGAATAGTACGAGCTTAAGCAAACATTCTAGAAAAAAAGGATAATGTATTGCAATGCAGTATAACGCAGTGAACACAACTGATAATCGCTCGTACGGAAGGCTGCAAAAAAGACAAATGTGGCATGTGATTGGATGACTGACTAGCGACTACGAAATGATGTCGGAACATCTAGACAACAATGGATAGATCGATGTAGTGGAGAAATGTTACCTTAAGAAAAATTAAGCCCATAATGAAAGCCAATAGGAGCAAACCAAGGAACGTGGACTTGCCGAGGCTCTCCTTTCTCCGCAAACAGCCATCCAATGAGAAAATGAGCTAGGAAGTATCAAGCAACAAAAAAAGGAAACAAGGGTAACAGTTGTAAAAAAAAAAAGAATGAACAACAACAAGAACAAGAAGCAACAAACGAAGAAAAGAGAAAAAAAAAATTTACAATTCAGCTTTTGGGGGGTTTTTTTTTTAATATAGATAGATAGATAGATAGATAGATAAAGAAAATGACTGATGTTTTTTTTTTTTTTTTTGAATCTATTCAACACGTTTTTCATTTTATTTTGTAGACATCTTATGGATCATTGTTCCCCACTTGAAATACAGTCTGGTGGGGGCCGTTTGCTGTAGAGAAAGAATGTATGACCCGGCGGTCGATGGCTCTGATGGCTCTTGTAGGTAGAGTGCGTCTCCACATAGCTATAAAGTGGGGGATACTAGTCAATATGGAAAAGAGTACTGTGGGGAAGAACCCAAGACAAGAAAAAAGATGGAGATGAAGTGGGAAAGAAAATCGAGCGAATCGACGGAATGGTTTTATTCGTTTTATCAATTTCAATTTCAATTTCAATTTTAATTTTAATTTTAATTTCTCTTTATTTGTATATCTACTTATTTTCTTTTTTACGACTGTTTCTACCACTCCTCTCATTCTCGTATGCTTCTTCTTTCATTGCAATTGTTTTCGTAGACATGCCGTCACATGCATTTGTTTACCATTAACGCCAAGTTGACGACACCTGTTCGTTTGGTTTTTCTGACAGCATTTATAAAGCTTTCCATAAAACAATTTTTTTTTCTTTTTAATTCATTTCATTTCAATTCAATTCAATTCGATTCATTTCATTTCTAGCTCATCTCATCTCTGATTTCCAAACAGAAGAAATCAAACACACTTCCCCACTACAACTTTTACTTACAAAGACAACCCAACCCATTCCATATCGCAAGGAAAGAGAAGAAACAAAAAACAAAGTCTTAAACCCTACCCTAACAAACAAAACCCAGCCAAGTGAACAGAATCCACTCCAAACCAGCCATTTTACGTCTCTAATTCTATCGCAATCCTTCCTTTTCTTGTCAATTTTTTTTTGTTCTTTTTGTTCTTTATTCATTGCTATTTTTTGCTTTGTTTACCTTTTTTTTTTCAGCTCCGGTTGAATGCCTTTTTCTTCCGTAGCGGCATTCATCACCTTGAACTTTGGAAATTCAACTTTTTCTATAACGAGCGAATCGTCGTCTGTTGGTGCGTTTTCCTCCAGCTTTTCCGAATCTCCTCCATTCTCGTTTGTTACCTGTGGTGTTGGAGGCAACTTGTTACTTTTTCGGAATCTATCACACGGGTCTCTGATTCATACGTAGTTAATTCGGGGAATCTCGTTTCAAGTGACGTGTTCCTTGAAAATTTCATTTCTTATATAGTCATCTTCCTACCACTTAAGCTTCTTTCTGAAACTTAATTTTCAGGAAAGTTGAACACTTTTTATTCATCTTCCCAAAAAAAAAAAAAACATCCACATAATGTTGCTTCGTGGATTGAGTCTTTGGACACTTTTTTTGGCCTCGTGCCTTCATACATTTGCTTTTCCCGCAAATGAAGAACCATCGGTGATCTTTACTCAAAAACGTAAAGGCAACAGTGGCAGCAAGGAACCTAGTTATGCTCCTTTTTATGCTGAATGCCCTTCTCGTAACATCGTCGAGACTCTTTCAAACAGTAGCATTCCTCGTGCCGAGGCACAATACATGAGCTCCCGTTCCTCAAAAACCAACACTGCCATCAAGGAATTTCTCAGAAATGCTCAATTACCCAACATGGCTGGCGATAACCTCTCGGGTCAAAATGGTCCTTCTATCGGTATTGCTTTGTCCGGTGGTGGTTTCCGTGCCATGCTTTTGGATGGTGGTGCCATCTCCGCTATGGACGCTCGCCATAGCAATCACACAATCTTTTCCGGTCTTCTTCAAGCCTCCGACTACATCGTTGGTGCCGACGGTGGTGCTTGGACCGTAGGTTCTATGGCCATCAACAACTTTTCCACCGTTGAAGAACTTTCAAGCAATGTCTGGCAATTAGCTCACCCTGTTATGTACCCCAAGAGTGCTATCGTCTTTAACGGTAGTTTCTACAAGAACCTCATGTCCCAAGTCAAGGCCAAGTTGGATGCCGGTTTCAACGTTTCTCTTTCCGACTATTGGGGCCGTGTTTTGGGTCGTCCTTTTGGTGATAGCCATTATGGTATGCCCAACGTTTCTTACTCGAGCATTTCCGATCAAGATTGGTATAGAAATGCAAACTTCCCTTATCCCATCATCACTTTTGCTACCAACCAAAACTATGACGACCAAGTCGATCGCAACACCACCATCATGTTGGAAGCTTCTCCCGATGTCTTTGGTACCTTTGATGCTGGCATTGATGCCTTCATCCCCACCGAATACTTGGGTACTTCCTTGGACAACGGTGCTAGCTCCAACGGTTCTTGCGTCGTCAACTACGACAACATTGGTTTCATGATGGCTTTGTCTTCCACCTACTTCAACACTCAAATGCGCAACTTTAACGATTCTAGTACCAAGAACGGTCGTATCATCCAACAATACTTGAAGAGCAACTTTTCTGAACATGGTGAACAAGTCGCTCCCATCCCTAACCCCTTCCGTGGTATTTCTAGCGCTCGTACCAGCCTTGCCAACAACTTGGGTGACGACGAAACCTTGAACATTGTCGATACTTCTTTGACTGGTGAAAACCTTCCCTTGTGGCCTTTGATTCAAAAGGGTCGTGATGTCGACGTTATTTTCGCTGTTGATAACAGTGCTGACTCTGAATACGTCTGGCCCAACGGTAATTCTCTTGTGACGACCTACGAGCATGTTTTGCGTGCTCAAGAGAACGGCAATAAGAACGTCAAGGGTTTCCCCTACGTCCCCAGCTCCCAATCTTTTGTAAGCCTTCATTACAACGACCGTCCAGTCTTCTTTGGCTGCAACGGCCGCAACACCACTGCAGGAGACCGCCCTGTCACTCGTGATACTCCTCCTTTGATTATCTACCTTCCTAATGTCCCTTGGAACTACTACACAAACATTTCTACCGACCGTACTTATTACACGAAGGATCAAGAAAGCAACCTTCTTTTGAACGGTTTGATTTCTTCCACCATGGACAATGAGACTTACTTTGGTCAATGTGTTGCTTGTGCCGTTGTTAAGCGTACTTTGGAGCGTCAAAACATCACTGCTAGCCCTGAATGCCAGCAATGCTACCAAGACTACTGCTGGAGTGGTATCATCGATGACACCGCTGCCAACGATGATGTTATCTATGACCCTACTCCTCGTTTGTAAGCGCAGGTAGTGTATTAAGGGAATATATATATATATACAACATATCTCTGGATATATATGCATGTATGAATATAATTAAAACACCTGTGAAGATTGTGTTTTAAAAAAATTATTTGTTTGCGTTCACTTTTTAGTAAAGTGAATGGAGCGCTTTCCGAACGGCAAATGGTTGTTTGCCGTACAACTTGGAAGATTATGGTTTAATGACCGACATTGTGAATCGCTCATTTAATCGGAGGAAAGCTCCCTAGTATTTAAAAATCTTTTAATAGTTAACTCATACAAAAGTCGAAGGTTTTTGGTGACCTTTTGTCGATTTACAAGACTTTCATTTTTTGTTGTTTTTAATCATCTTCCTTTGATTGTTTCTTTTCATGAGCTCATTGTTTTACATGGGAGTTCGTGCAAGTTTATGTTTATAAATAGATAGGTAAAAAAAGTTGTTTGTTCCATAATTAGTATTACTATTACTATTAGTAGAATTACAACTATTGCTAGTTACGGGATAGAATAACAAGTAAATGGGAACAATGCTAGTTAGACAAGAATGTCATGAAAAATAAACAACAAAGAATGTGGTGTAGAAAGGGCCAGGGTGGGAGGTCGTGTATGTAGGAATGTTGGATTCCATTTGTGAGAGATTTACTCGGTATTTGGTTTATGAAAGCAATTAATTATCGTAATCCACATTGTCATTGTCATTGCAATTTGCAAACGATACGGTATGTACCAAATAAGAAGAGCAAGAATGCATAACCACAAAAGAATACCATAAGCAGGTCATGAAATCTGTGCTATATATAGTAAAATCGCCAAAGAGTCTCGTGTGAGAGTCCTCGTGTGATGCTGATAATTTCGGTACTTTAATAGAGAAACAGAATAGAAAATAATAAATTCCATTGAATAAGTCGAGTTTTTAAATTAAAAAGAGCAAATTATAAACAAAGAAAATGAAAATGAAACATAAACATAAATCTACTTATAAACCACAATTCTTGAGAACTGAAAACAATTAAAACTCATAAACTACATTCGTTTTCTGGCAGTCGCAGTCGATACACTTGGCACACTGAAAAAAAAAAAAAAGAACTCGGAAATCAGAAACAAGCAAATTAAATGCAGACATCCATCTCCAACAATGTCTCTAAACTACTACACCAGTTAGTTCACTACTCTTGAACCCACTCATAGCAAGAACAAGTCCAATCCAACTGAATTTTGCGCAACATAGGCTCGGCCGTTGACTGCATACTGCTGCGTATAATCGACACTGTGACAAAAACATGAGAAATTCACCTATAATAATATTCTTAAACAAGGATTATATTTCTTGAAAATATAAATATATTCTTATAACCGACCTCGAAAACCACGAGAGAAAGTTGTGAGAAAATGGACAGGAACAAACCAATCAATTACAATATACAAAAGTATTCCAAACTTTCGAAACCTAAAGTTGGATCTCGGAATTGAAAAACTCCGAAATTATCATGAACACCGTAATTATGCAATGCTCTCTGTCTCTCGGGAAAGGTCTTACGTAAAGAACACCACATGTTAAATAAAGCTCCCGAACGTAGTGAAATAAAGCTACCCAGAGCCTATATATTCGTAGTCTCTATTCGTTGTTTCGTTTGTTATTTATTGTCTTTTCTGTGAAAATTGGAAAGGCTTGACGTTAAAAAACTGGGTTATATTGGTATAATAATTAGTTAAATAACTACAAAAAAAAAAGGTAAGTTTTATTGAAAAGGAAATGCTTGGGAAGCAAGGATTTGAAAAGCGTCGGCATGTTTTTCTAGGGAATTAAATCAATCGGGGATTTTTAAAACAGTGCAGAGAGCGCTTCAAAAAAATGATAATTGTAACATTGATGGATGTCTTGTACATGAAGTGAAAAGTCGTCTGTTGTTGTGTCGTTTGTGCTTTTGTTATTCATGTGCATAAAAGGTGATACAAATATGGGAAAGATTTTTAACAATTCACGACGGGTGCAGTTCATGATGGATACGGTTCACGACGGACAATTTGAACGATTTCAAAAAATAAAAATAAAAAACCTTTGTATATATAACAAACAAGAGTTATAGATGATGTTGAACCGTTTATGGATCTTGCCTTTTTGCCTTTTTGCCTTGTTGCTTTCTTGATTTATAATTTCATAATTTATAACTTTTTATCCCGAAAAGGATGCGATTCATCTCCTTTGCTTCTTTCTACCCTTTTGATATGTCTTTTATCAACATGCTAATCTATGTCTTTGCAGTAATTTTTTAATATCACCTGCAATTTCGTTGTGGGTATCTGTCGTTCCTATCATTTTGGATTTGGGTTTTCTACGGGATTCCGTCCTTTATAACTTAAGACTATGAATCTTTTGTTATCGTCCTTTTTAGTCTTTCTCGCCTCTCAAATCGCTGTCGCGTTTCCCCAGGAGCCTTTTTTGGAGCGTGATCTTCAAACTCCGTATGATCAACTCCCGGAATTGAGCCCTGAGGCCATTAGATTGGGTACTCGCTATGTCGAAGCTACTCGCATGCAAAAGCGTGACGAGACGAGCAATGAATATGCTCCCTACAATGTAACTTGCCCTAGCGACCTTTTGCGTGAAGGTACCCAAGGTGTGAACCACGGTGAACAATCTTTCTTGAGCAAGCGTGTCAACACTGTTAATAAACAGGTTCGCGAATTTATTCAAAACTCCGGTCTTAATGTCAGTGTGAACGATATTATCACCGACAAGGATGGTCCTCGTCTAGGTATGGCTTTCTCTGGCGGTGGTTTCCGCGCTATGCTTAACGGTGCTGGATTCTTTGACGCCTTTGATAACCGTGGCAAAGATTCCTCCAAATTTTCTGGTCTTGTTCAAAGTGCCATGTATATTTCTGGTCTCTCTGGTGGTTCTTGGCTTGTTGGCTCCATTGCCATCAACAACTTTACCAACGTTAGTTACTTACAAGAAAATGTTTGGGATATGGAGCATTCTGTTTTTAGTCCTTACTCCAATCCTATAAAGGATGCTGAATACTTGAACCACCTACGTGAAGAAATTGATGCTAAACAGGATGCTGGCTTTGACACCTCTATCACTGATCTTTGGGGTCGTTCTTTATCCAGAAAGCTTGTTGATGCCCAAAGGGGTGGCCCTGGTCTCACCTGGTCCAGCATTCGTAACCAATCATGGTTTGAAAACGCCGAGTATCCTTACCCTATCCTTATATCCGACAGCCGTAGAGAAGACGAACACATTATTCCCGAAAATTCAACTATTTTTGAATTTACTCCTTATGAATTCGGTACATGGGATAATGGTATTAACGCTTTCATTCCTATGGAATACGTCGGTACTCATTTGAACGATGGCTCTCCTCCTGACAACAAGTGTGTTCGCGGTTTCGACAATGCTGGGTTTGTAATGGGAACTTCTGCCACTCTCTTTAACGAGGCTTTATTAAGATTGAACTCCAACGGTACTTGGGCTCACCTTGCTCGTGACATCTTGAATCGTATTTCCGAAAACAAAAATGATATCGCTCCTTACCCTAATCCCTTCCAAAACTACACTGCTAAAAACACTTCCGTTACCAACAACTTCAAGAACTTCCCCACTGTTGACCTCGTTGATGGCGGTGAAGATAACCAAAATATTCCAATCTGGCCTTTGCTTCATCCCCAGCGTTTCGTGGATGTTGTTTTTGCTGTCGACTCCACTGATGATGACAATGGCTGGCCAACTGGTTCATCTCTTGTTAGAACATACGAGAGAATTGTTAGAAGCCACCACAACAAGAGTATCGATGTCCGTGGTTTTCCTTACATCCCTGACGAAGATACATTTATTTCTCTTGGCTTAAATGCTCGTCCCACCTTCTTCGGTTGCGACGGCAGAAACACCACCTTGAAGCAAGACCACGTCGATAACAAGACTCCTCCTTTGGTTGTTTATATGCCTAACTATCCCTGGTCTTATGACTCCAATATTTCCACTTTTACTTTTGACTTATCAAATGAGCACACAGATGACATTATCGAAAATGCTCGTTTGGCTGCCACTCAAAACAAGAGTGACGATTTTGCAACTTGCCTTGCTTGTGCCGTGATCCAACGTTCTGTAGAGCGTAAAAACATGACTACTCCTGCCCAATGTAAGAAGTGTTTCCAAGAGTACTGTTGGAACGGTACTACTTCAAACAAGAATACTGTGTACAACCCCACAATTCTTTCTGCCTCTGCTAGATCTTCAGCTTCTCGTACCATGAGTTTTGGAATTACTACCATGCTTTTGTCGCTTGTTCCATTTATCCTAATGATTGCATAAACATTACTTGTTTATCAGAACCGGCAAAGTCACGTACTATTTAAATAGTAATATTGCTATCTATCTGACTGTTTGTAACTTTTACTTTGCGCTAGAAGCATACTTTAATTTTATATACTTAGATAAACCGATATTTATAAATTATGTTTTTTTGTCCAACCATATGTATTTATATACCATGAGTCCATAATTTTGAACTGTTTCCCTTCTTAAATACGACAATAGATTATAGACCATCAAAAAAATCAGTTTTAGGGACCTTCTTCTTTGGCGCTGCTTTCGCAGACTTCTTGTTCCGTTTTGAATTTTGAGTAGGTTCATCTGAGTCACTACTAGACTCATCTTCAGACTCATCGGACTTTGTCTCATCACTCTCTTCCTCGCTGTCTTGGTCGGCTTTGTTTGATTCATTTGAATCATCTCCGGTGCCCCAAAAGATCAACTCTGAACCACTCGCCGATATAAGATACTCGCCATTCTCGGAAACATCTGCAGTGTCAACACCCGCTTTTGAAGTGTGCTGTCCTATAATTTTTTCATATCGGTTTGGAAGAATGTTCAATTGTCTAAGACATCCATCGCTCCCACCAATGTAAAGAGTATCCGCTCCAGCGCGATTCATGGTCTCTACTGAATAGTCGTTTGAACGAATAGGCGGCATAATACGATCTGTGTGATCTCCCCAGTCACCTTTAGTAAACAGGGTGACTACACCAGAAGCTGTACCAACAGCGAACTTTTTCTTGGCATTGTTGTCCCTAGTAAATGCTCCACACGTTAAATCATCATCTTGTTCCTCACTCAGAACAGCAGACTTAAAGTTTCTGGCATCAAGTACTAAAAGAGTTCCATCACCACTGGTAGCAACCATAAAACGATCTTCAAACGGAGATATCGAAGAAATGTAATCTATTTGATCTCTGTGTGAATGAAGGACTCCGCCATTTTTTCTTCTATCCCATATTGTAACACAACCATCATCATCACCAGTAGCAAATATATTATTTCCTTCCACCCATTCAACTACACTGTAAGGGGAGAGTTCTGCACTTGCTGTCTCTTCTTGAATCCATTTTGAAGTGACTCTTCCGGAAGAAGTATCTGCTAATTTTAAAACACAGTCAGAACCAACTGATATGAATTCAGAGTTATCGTCAGTTAAAGATAAATTTCTGCAGCTAATTTTGTGGCGTTTGGTGTTCCATTCTTCGACTAAAGAATTATTTTCTTCATCATAACTGTAATTTGCAACACGACCATTTGAAAACCCTACCAATAGATTATTTTTTTCTCCATAAGTTATTAAATTGAATACATCGTCGTCAAAGACGTGTCTGAGTTTTGCTGCTGAATTCAATTTGCTCATAGAGAAGGACGCTTGGCGAAAAGCAAAATACTCCAAGTGGATTCCTTACTCTTTATTCCACACCATCGGGAGAAAACGCTTATTCTCAATTGCAAGAACGTGTCATCCATTTGATCCGTAAAGTTCCAAAGTATTTATATCCTGACTTGAATATAGTCTGGTATAAAGTTATAGGACATTCAAGGAAAAGTTTCGTTTTTGACTGAAGTTTTAGTCCGATCTCCTTTTCCAGTACTCAAGTTATAACTTTTTATTTCTAAACATATATTGTTTAACTATATTTATATTATATATAATGTCTTCTTCACATTTGGAGCAGTGGGCTAAGGAAAATGTTTTACAAATTCTTCCACTTGATGAAGAGAGTGCTCTACTTGTAGTCCAAACAGCAGTGGCTGCAAAAAATGCCGAGGAAGCAAAAAACCATTGGATTTCTCTTCTAGGAGAATCTCCAGAAATAATTGAGTTCGTAAGTGAATTCAATCGGAGACGGTTCGCACCATCCTTAGGGGAAGACACAGGTTTTAAGAAGTTTGATGTAAATAGAAATACGAAAGGTGGATCAAATACTTTTTCATCAAATTCCACGGCTTATCCAACTATTAACCAACAACAAAAAGCAAGCCAAACGCGCCTTTCATCGTCTGACCGAGATAGAAGTAAGCCTAGAAAAACTAAAGATGATCTATACAATATACCAAAAGCTCCACAGAAGACTACAGTTCAAGGTACTTTGACGTCTGACTTAATGGGATCAAAAAAAGCCTCTAAACCGAAACAATTACCCCAAGTCAGTAAGATTGACGGTTTAGCAGATATCGAACGCGCTATTCATGAAGTTGAGATTTCCCAAAAATCTTCCAGTTCTAATAGGAGATCTTGTGATTGTCAAGGTCGCAAGCATCCTCTTAATGAGGCTGCTCCCAATTGCCTCAATTGCGGCAAGATAATTTGCATGTTGGAAGGGATGGGACCATGGTAAGTTTCCTGATTTAATTTTTAATTATTTATTCTAACCAAATTGCCAATAGTACGTTCTGTAAGGCTCCGGTAATAAGTAAGACACAGCAGCTGGAACTCTTACAAGAGTTAAAGAAAGCTGGAAGTGATTTAAAACAGGCAGCAAATCAGAAGACTAAATCGAAACATAGCTCTTCTAAACATCAATTTCAGAAACTGAATAATTCCTCTATACATTCCATATTCATTGACCCAAAGCAGTTGGAACAAAAAGCTATTGAAGCTGAACAAAGGAAAAACGTTTTATTAAATTTCGACCGGACAGCCGCCCAAAGAACAAAGATTATAGACGAGGCTGCTGATTTTGACCCGACAACGTTGGCCAGCGACACCTGGGCATCTCCTGCTGAAAAGGCGTTAAACTTGGTTAAAGTGCAGCATGCTCTGGCACAAAAGGAAAAAAAGAAAAAGAAAGTCCTTTCTATAAGTTTAAGCGGTAAAAAAGTAGTGGTAGATCAAAAAGATGAATCATCAGATGAAGAGGTGCCAATTGATGAACAACGGAAACTCTTTGAAACAAAAGAAATAGACGCTTCTAACAAACAAAAATCCTCGAATATAACTCGTATACCTAGAAGTCTAGCACGCCCTGTTTTTCGTCCCCAAAGTTTGCCTAAGGAGAGCGAATTGCCAAAGGAAATTGCTGAAAAAATAAACCGCAGCTGGTCTAAAGTACAGGACGCCATTGAAGATGATTAAAAACAAATAGCATACTATGGAAAAATGTCACACGCCATATTTCATTTAATGAAGTACCTAATCAATATTATACACAAAATTTGCAAGCTTTTCTAATTCATGAACCATTGCTAAATTATAATCGTCTTTATAAACAGTCACCAAAAATTAAAACATATTAAAATAAACCACGTTTGAAATAATAGTGTGAATGAATATTTACTCATTTTTATATGTTTCTTTTTATGGTGACGGCGGCACATAATTAGGGGAATTTCCTTCATCTTCATTCCACCCACCAGGTGTAGGGGCCGCCCAACCGCCAGGAGTAGGCGCCGCCCAAGAACCATTGTTATCATCAGTATCCCAGGTTGTTTCAGAGAAGCCACCGTACATTGGAGCTTGTGCAGTAGCATTCGTAGGACCAGAAGCATTCCACGATGGCGTTTTACCACCGACATTCCAGGCTGGCGTCTTGGCACCCGAATTCCAAGCAGGAGTCTTGCTGCCGGCATTCCAAGCAGGAGTCTTACTACCAGAATTCCAAGCAGGCGTCTTGCTGCCAGCATTCCATGCTGGAGTCTTGTTACCAGAGTTCCATGCTGGCGTTCTTCCTCCAGCGTTCCATGCTGGTGTTTTTGCTCCGGAGTTCCAGGCTGGCGTTTTACCACCAGATTGCCAACCTTGAGTACCATACGCTGGCGTACGCGCACCCTGTGCCCAGCTTGGAACACTAGGACCGTCCACGTTACCAATACTGCCAGGACGAATGCCACGACTGCGTTCAATAAACTCAGTATAAGTTATCAAGTCTCCAGTCTTAGTAGTATACAGCAAATTCTCTTTGGGAACCGGTACTATCTTATTTCCCGTATGTAACTCAACACGAGCATTAGCATCCGTAGTATCCTTAATCACACCCAGTAATCCCTTCATAGGTCCTTTACGTATACGTACTGTGGCACCAATAGCCTTATCACGGCCGATGGTACGTTTGATATTGGCAACAGGAGGTAGAGAGGGTCCGCTATTTACTGCAGGGTTCATTTTGGTTAAATCTGTCGAAATACGAGCACCTTTTGCAGCCACAGTCGCAACATTACGACTTCTAGCAACAAAAACGCCATTATTTTCCATAAGCTCTCTGTTATGAAGGAAAACAAATGCCCGGTAAATGTGTAATATAGTCCCTTCTTTGTTTTCACCTCCGACTTCTTTAACCTTATCACCAACACGAATTTCAGTACCATTCCTGTCAGTGGCGACACCACGTCGATTTGAATGTCGCATTGTAATTTGTGATGCTTTAGCGGTTCTTACACCTCCATGTTGATCTACTACGCGATAGGTATCTCTTTCAACTGAGAAGACACAACCGACCGTGTTCACATCAAGCTGAACAAGGTCGTGTAGATCGTACGCAGAATTAATAGCTTGAGCACTGCCAGCTTCACCAAGATCACGAGAAAAAACAGTTAGTTCTGTCATCATGGTATCGCTCAAAAACGTAACCTCATCTTTCGAGATACGGACAACCATACCAGTATCGTCTTTATATTTTCCTGCTATAACTTTCACGTAATCACCGTGACGAAAACGCTTTCTTAAGCCACGAGAAGGAACATCCAGTCTTAAACCGTCATTTGAAACAATGGTAACAACAGTGCCGTGAACAGTTTCGACAACACCACCGACACCAGCTTGTTCACCAACGAACACTTCAACGATGTCACCAACTTTAAATTCGGCATGATCATTTTTTACACTCAACGCAAGTGAACTAAGATCCAAATCTTCATTACTTGGGCTGAACTTCGAAACTTCATCGAGAGTTGGATTAACACCTTCAGTAACAAGAGAAGAAATCCGGATATCTTTAACAAGGAAACCATCTTCAAATTCTTCATTATTGAAAACAAATGTTCTAGGGCCCCGTCTGTAAAATTTTGTGGGGTTGCTCTTGTATGCCTCACTTTCGTTAAACAAACGAGCTTGTGGACGTGTAATTGATTTACTTCTTTTTAACGAGTTTGAGTAATCAACGCGAGGAATTATGCGCACACGGGCTGTTAAGCCATTTTCAGATAAATTATCCACCTGGGCAAGATCACCGGCGTATTTACCACGCTTAATACGCACGTACGCACCCGGTAGAAGCTCGACGGTCTGCTTTTGGACTTTAAGCAAATCAGGCATTTCCTTAATGGGTACCAGAATCATGTTATTTGTATAGACGTTCAAAATACCATTTAAAGCGGCTAATACATGTGATTGCTTCCTAGCTTCAACGTAAACGTATCCAACAAGTGAATCACGTTGAAAAGCAGAAATAATTTCTAAAGGCATGCTCGTGTATTGAAGATCCATAGCTTTTCTCATAATAGTGAAAACAACATCCTTTTCTTTTCCTGCTTTGCACCTTATAGCCCAAACATTAGGATCGTTAACGGAAGGAAGAAGAAGTCTTTGAGGGACGTTGCTCGTGTCGCTAATGAGAGTTTGGCTCCTTCCATATTTTTCTCTATATTCTTCTGCCAATCGTTCTGCATCAACGGATTGTAGTTCTTGCCTTTGGCGATCAAGTTCTCGGTGTCGTCGATCATCGGCCACATAGTCGGCTCCACCGACTTCCTCCTCAATAAAACCATCTTCTCTTCCAATTTCATCTTCTTCATCATCCAATTCCTCTTCATCTTCGTCTACTTCTGCTTCAATATCAAGGAATTGATTTCGGCGTTCATGACGTGCGCGTTTTCTCCTACCGCCTGCTGCTTCTTCCTCCTCCTCCTCCTCCTCCTCTTCATCTTCTAATTCATCATCATCATCTTCTTCTTCTTCAGCTTCGTCTTCTTCAGCCTCATCATTGACCGCCACATTTTGCTCCTTTCTTTCGACATTCGGTTCTTCATCGACATCTTCTTTATGTTCTTGGTCGTCTGAGACGTCCCCTTGCTCTTCAGAATTACCTGATGAATGGTGTGCAGTGCCATTTTCAGCGGGCACATCAGGCGATGATTTTTTATTTATTTCTTCTTCAACATTTTCTCCCGAGGAATATTTTTCTTCGCTTGGAGTAGCATTTCCTACATTACCGTCCATTGCGACGTATTATGGGGGAACCTAAATCAATTCCTCCTGTCTATAATAAGAAAATTATTTTTCCAGCAAAAATCAAGGTGCTTTCTTCCCAGCCTCAGGATTTGCCGTTATAATGTGGTATTAGAAGAAGTCAAGCATGTAGTAGTTGTCACTTAGGTTCGTAGTTCACATCGTCTATTATGTAAGTAACAAGGGGGTAACGAAAACATCTAGTAATTAAAAAAAATGTTAGAAGCCAGTTTACATTTATTTTTTGGCTATAATTTATAAAATATTTATAAATAGAATCGAACTTGAGTGCAGAGTTATGGTATTCTAGAATTAAGAATCCGTATAAACTCAACCTTTATGTGTTTACGATAGTCAGGTAGAGCAGTTGAGTGTTGTACTCTAGGACTATTTGGTGCTTTAAATAGCATCGGTGATAGATTACTTAATAACTAAGAAATCCGAAAACTTCTTTCATTTAAGTGTAGACCCAAGCACATAAACCATGTATTTTAAGGTCGCAGATATGGAAGAAATAAATACTATCGTTACCCTATTGTCAAACCTATATTTTTCTAAACTTTGGCATCATATACCATATATCAAAGTGTCTGAGACATTTAATAGGAAAGGATTATATCTGAATTTATTTAAAAGAAAATAACTACTGTTACTAGGAGGTCGAGATTAGCAACGTGTCTGTTCTTGCAAGTACCTTCCGTATACTGTAACTTTCATGTTTTCATAGGGTAGAATGAGCTCTAGAAAACCACTTAAGGGATTCGTTATATGTTGTACTAACATTGAATTAAATAAACGCGTGAGTAAATTTACAGGACTCTTGAAATGATGACTTGTAACATTAGGCTAATCTCTTCATAATAGACGGAGATCTCAACTAAAGCAATTAAGCTTGGAGCCACATATAAATCAGATTTGACGAAAGATGTTACTCATTTAGTTGCGGGTGATTTCGATACCCCCAAGTATAAGGTATACAATCACTCTCAGGCATTTCTTCTAACATGATCACTCTAGTTTGCTGCGAAATCCAGACCAGATATGAAAATTGTTTCACATGAATGGATACCAAGACTTTATGATCGTTGGGTTGAAGGTGAAGACTTGGAGTCTGATTTGCTTATCAGCAAATTTACTTTGCCCGCTCTCTTCAAATGTCGAGTATGCCTTACAAATATAGAGCAACCAGATAGATCTCAACTTGAAACTACTATATGCGAAAATGGAGGTATATTCTGTCCTGATTTAACTCGCGACGTTACCCATTTGATTGCTGGGAATACCGATGGTCGAAAATATGAGTATGCTCTTCGATGGAAAATCAAAGTTGTCCGTGTCCAATGGTTATGGGAATGTATAGAAAGGGGTGCCGTATTAGAATCAGAATACTTTAAAATGGATATGCCGCCGGATCGTATCGGACGCGGTGCTTATATCAAACAGATTCCCGAGGAGAAAATAAAAAATCAACAGGTTCGTAATGAAGACTTATTATCTGACTTAAGTTTCATCAATAAAAAGCACATTCCCGATGAAGGAGAGCTTGAACCAGTTGTTATGAAACGAGGGAAGAAAAGAGAGAGTAGTATTCTTTGGAGTGAATTAAATACAAAGGATTTGGAAAATTCATTTGCTGCCCAAAATGCTTCTCTACTAGACGAGTTCACCCCAGAAGTGTTTCAAGCTCCCGAGGAGAAAGAAGTTTCTACAAACATTGAAATAAATACAGAGCCTCGTTTATTCGATAAAATCCACTTCTATTTGTATCAATTTGAAGAGGATAAATACAATCGTTTGAAGAAATGCTTAACTAGAGAAGGAGGACTTATATCTTCGACAACTGAAGATACAACCAGCTTCGTTATCGTCCCTCATCACCTACCAATTGAAGAAATTCCTTCTTTTTCAGTACTGATCATCACTGAATGGTGGGTTGAAAGGTGTTTATTTTTTAAAAACGTTCTACCAGTCGATGAGCATGTATTATCAAAACCGTTTTATCGTTCTTATTTCAATCGAAATTTTGCTGGTTTAAGTTTTCATCTTTCAGGATTCAAAGGTGTGGATAGCTCTCACATTAAAAAAGCATTGATCCTTTGTGGAGCAACTGTGGATAACTTCTTGGGCGTACAAAGAAGCGTACTACTAGTAAATACAAATGAACCCTTTAGTATGAAAACAAGGTATAAAATACAACATGCAACTGGTTGGAATGTTCGTGTATTAGGAATATCATGGCTGTGGCACATATTTCAAACTGGAGAGTTTATTGAAAACATATCCCCATGGGCAATTGATAAAAAGGAAAATCAGAAACTTAAAAGATTTGAGCATTTACAAAAGATTGCGCTTCCGAATGAAAATTCCATACTTAAAGATGATGCGCCGTTTACTATTTTTCCAAATGCTCAATCTACCCCTGCACCAAACTTTATTTTCGAGCACTACAAGAATGCAGCGAAAGCTCAACGAAGGTCCAAAACGACTTTTGATGATGGAGGTTCAAACTTAAACGAATCTCCATCCAAACGGTTACGATCAATAACAGAACCGACCGCTGGTTCCAACGCTCGTTTGATGACCTGTCAAAGTGAAGAAGACGCACAAAGTAAGCCAGAACAAGAAAGTGTATCCTACATTGATCCTGATGCACAAAGAGAAAAACAAAAAATATATGCCCAACTGACTTCGACTTCTAATGATTCTTTTCCATTGCTTAATGAGTTTTCTTCTCAGGACAACACCTCTATCCTAATAACTAAGGAAAAACGTAATTTACGACCGAGGTAATAGCTGGTCACTAATTTATTATACATTGTTTTTTATTATTACTTTCCAATTTCCAGTTTTTAGCCCAAAAAGTTAATTTATTCAAAACCCTTATAATTAGTTCATTCCAAATAACTCCAACTCTAAATTCCTAGTAAATTATTAGTAACTTCGCTGTAAAACTATTTGAAATTAGACTTACTGTTTTTCTTTTCTAGCAAGCATTAAGTTGCAACTATTTGGGCTTCGCCAAACAGGTAGTAGATTGCGCATATCGGTAAGCGATCCATCCTCGATTTTGGCATGAGCGCGAACTATGTTACACCCTAAAACCATTTTTTCAGCTCCTGCTCTCAGTTTCCCATTTTCAGGAAACTGTTCCAAACGGGGATAATCGTGCTTCATTAGTACTTTTAGATCTTCAAGAGTAGCGTCACAGAAAAACTTTTCGTCTAGATATGGGCTAACGATATTTACACCATCACTATGGATCCGGAAATTACAAACATCTTTGTTAATTTCCAAGGACTCATTACTTTTTAACAAAGGACTAATATCCTGTTTAACGAAAAAGCGGACACCACCGTGTACAAACTTCACACGATTAATGTTGTTCTCTATAATTTTTTTGAACAAGGAGCATGCAAAATATACAGACCTCGTAGGTGTGCCGCTTTGATTACGAACGAAGAATTGGTCACGAGGAAATTTAGGATCCAAACCATAGAAATTCCTTAAAGGTTAGCATACGAAAGTTAGAGCATCCTATGAAACTTACGAGACAGAAGAAATGCTTTCGTCATCTGGCTTTATATAAACAAAAGGTTCTTCGTCAAAGTAATTATTACCGGTCTTAGTGACAGGCTGAGCAGTGGAAGCAGGTGTAGATGCTTCATTGTCAAGTTTTTGACGTTTAGGTTCTGGTCTCTCATCTTGTTTTTTTAAAGCATCAACTCTATGCGCCTGCAAAGGGCTTTCCTTCTTCAACATAGCGATGAAGAAACCTCCTGTATTTTGATGCTGAGGATATATACGTGCACTAAATGTGGTTAGATACAAATAACTATCATTTTAATAAATACCATCGTTCAATGTGTTGGTTCTTCATTTCATCCATTGATAGAGGCCACATAGTAGAGGCGAGAGTGACATTTTCAGGATGAGGATCTTCAGGAGAATTGTATTCTTGCAAAGTGTCATCCATCACCTTCCAAGTGGATAGACCAGATTCCCGTTTCAATTCAGGGAGCTTTTCCGAGATGTCTACTAGAGATACAGATTCACCTGTGGCTTTCAAAGCAGCAGATACTACTGCTTCATTTTCTATAGGGTTCATAGAGCAAGTGGAATAAACCATGTACCCGCCAACCTTTAAAAGCTGTAGACCACGGATAAGAATTCGTAACTGAAGAGAATGAAGACTCAAACCACTGGTTGCACTCCAATCCCTCCACAAAGAAATATTTTTGCGGAATGTCCCATCTCCGGAACAGGGTACATCAGCCAAAACGCGATCGTACTTTAAAATTTCCTTCTCATCGGGTTTATCTGAAGACGGGACAATCACATTCGGCATAGTTGAAGCATCATGGTTTACTACCAATACATTAGGTGAATTCAATCGATTTATTTGATGTACAAGCATTTGGGCACGTTTCGGGTCTGCATCGTTAGCAATAATGAGTCCTTGAAGAGAGCTGAGATTTGCACTGTCTTTAACAGCGTCTTTCACATGAGCTTGGTTATAAATGGCTTCAATTAATTGAGCAGTTTTTGATCCTGGAGCAGCGCACATGTCCAACACTAAATGATGCGGAAGCAAGTCTAAGAACAAGGGAGGTAACATGCTAACAGCCTCTTGACGATTGATGTTTCCGGCTTCGTTCTCACTTACAAGAAAACGTTGAAGGCGTTTAAAAGGTGGGCTCTTGCGGATAACATCTTTCTGAGTGTCAATGGTATAAGCCAGTTGGTTGGGATACCAAGGGATAATTTCAGGTGCTGGAATTTTTTTCCCTTCATACTCGACGTTCTGGAGTTGGGGAATGTAATTTTTCTCAAAATGATTTTTTAATTCAAAGGCATGCTGCAGATAACCGCAAATTCGAAAAGTTGTAGGCAATGGCTTTTTAAGAAATTCCATCAACGTTTGGAATTCTTTTTCAGATTCAGATTCGGTACTGTTACCAAAAATGTTTTGTTTACGGTAATAGCTTTCAAACTTTTCATTTCTACAGAAAGTTCATGTTAGTACTTCACCGTTTCTGAGATACATTCTACTGCTTTGAGGTTGAAAACATCGAAAATGAAACTACTTACTCTAGCACAATCTCGCTTTTATCATTATAAGCGCGCTTTCCTTGCGTAGGCTGTCCTGGTTAACCTGATGTATCAAACTATTAGTTTACCTTAGTATTTTTTTTTCCCATTCTTGAAGTACTTTCCAAAACTTGAAGTAACCTAGAACCAAGTAATAAAACCTAGCTTCGGTGAAGTAATGTTTAATTTCGTTATACCTTATTATGTGTTTTACCTTACAGTGTTGAATATATAATAAAGCACAGGAATGTTTTTTATGATAAAATAGATACTGATATTTATTGCTGTAAAGCGTACTTAATTATTTACAAATGGTGCTCTAAACACAACAATCTCTTAGCCAAGTATGCGAATCTAAACAAGTAGTTGGAAGATAATTTATATATATATATATACGAAATCTTAAGATTGTTATCTCGTTTCTCACTTAAAAATATCGGCTTAAATTTCAAAAACGTATTCAATGCCGAATTCATCTTTTATTCTGTGGATCGCTGTGATATCCGTAATCTCTCAAGTGTGTAACTCATTTAGGATTTCAAATGAATGGGTTCAAAGACTTCAACCTTCAGACGAATTCGTCAATGTTAAACTTCGACACGTATTTCACCATGGATTAAATACTCAGTATAATCAACAGTATCGTTTAGATACACACAAGAAAGATGTATATGAAAATAGCAATGATGTTTTTCGCTTGAAAATGAAGAGTACGGAAGCAACTACTTTAAAAAATCAGTCTCGTGAATTGTTGAATTACTATCGTGAGAATTCCATGCGCGGTATTCATGTTGAACAATCTTCAAATGATATATGGACAAAGAGCAAGATTGTTTTACCGGACGTTACGGATAAAGCAACAGTTTATTCTCTCGGAAAAATGAGTTTTAATGCATATCAAAAAATTCCATTTGATGGCGATTGGCTTGATGTTGGTCCGGATTGGAATATAACACCTCCGGAAGGTTTTGGATGGGATGAAGACGGTCTCCGTGGGCATGTTTTTTCCAACAACGATAACTCTACCGTGATTATATCTATGAAGGGTACTTCTATATATGGCATAGGTCGAGGAACGTCCCAAAAAGACCGCATTAATGATAACCTTTTATTTTCTTGCTGCTGTGCTCGAGTAAGTTGGGCATGGACGACAGTATGTGATTGTTACAAAAGTACTTACACTTGTCGCCAAACTTGCTTGGAGGACGAAGTGCAATCCGCCACTAGGTATTATTCCGCTTCTCTTGATATATATTACAATGTGAGAGATTTATATCCTGATGCTCAGATTTGGTTGACTGGTCACTCTCTGGGAGGTGCTACTGCTTCATTGATGGGTTTGTCCTTTGGTATTCCTACTGTTACGTTTGAAGCTCCAGGAGAGCTTATGGCTGCTCGTCGTCTTCATCTTCCTATGCCTCCCGGACTGCCTGACGAGGAAAGTCTTATTTGGCACATTGGTCATACTGCTGATCCGATTTTCTTAGGCAAATGTACCGGACCTACTTCTTTATGTTGGGCTGGTGGCTATGCTATGGAGTCCGTTTGTCATACGGGTCAAGAATGCATTTACGATGTTGCTAAGGATAAAGGTTGGCATATTTCTTTAACACATCATCGTATGCAAAGTGTCTTGAACGATGTGATTGATACTTATGATGAGGTACCAGTCTGTGCCCATACGCCAAACTGCGTAGATTGCTTCCTTTGGGAATTTCCTGATGACGAGAAATGAAACGAAACCGATTTATGACTTTATATTTTAATGATTATAACGTGAAAGTATGACTTATGCATTTTAATTTACTTTTCATGATCATAATATAATATAAGTGCACTTAATTTACGTGCTTACTTTATGAATTGATAGATTGATCAAATATAACCCATTTACCTTTTATTAAAATTTGAACCTCATAAAGACGAAGTTAAAAGAGGGAATACATATAGTGCTTCCTAATCGAGTGATTTAAGCGGTTAACAACTTATATATATCCCCCGTTTCTAACGATCAAAACTTGATAATAATCCCTTTCTTGTGAAGAAGTACACGTGTAATCGATCTACTATCGATATTTCCTTTTTCCTAATTACGAAGGAGGTGTATCATAATTTGCTTCAAAAATCTCTTCCTTTAAACAGAACGTTATGCACAACTAGCAAAATAGAGATGATAGAAATCTGAAAAACATCCAATCTTTTGTTTAAGCACAAATACGGTAACTGTTATATCTTCCACTTGTTTCACTTTTTCGTACAATTTTAACAACTTGACCACGCTTCAAACCAAGGTATCTTGCCACGGGATCAGCTAATTGAATACGAGGAAGCTGAGTCTCTCTGAGCTTATAACGATCCAAAAGCTCTTTCTTCTCTTCCGGAGTAAGTAAAATGTGCTTTGGTACGAGCTCGTGATGGGTAATGTTAACAATTAAATCACTTTCTTGGAATGTTTCAATACTAAATTGGCCCGTAACAGTTGATATAATCTTAGCTGCGCTTGGTGTCATGGAATTGGCGTAAATTAAAATGCCAGTCTTGTGATTGTGATCCCCTAACGTATGGACGAAAGAACGCATCTCCTTAATACCAACCGATGGTTCTTTTGAAAATTCAACATAAATGGTGCCTTTGTCAGAACCAGCTGGAGGCTTGGCATAAAAACTCAAAGTAGAACGACTAAACAATTGGTGTTAGATGTACATCGAGATTTAGACATTTCATCTTCTCTCTATAACCAATGATATGCTTCTTTCACACAAAAGAGAGTGATTAAGATACTTACTCTAAGTTGCGGCCCATACCACAATGCATTGCTTTGAACTGGTCCAATGTGAGATCAAGTTCTGCTTGAGATACACCATATCCCTTTTCTTTATTAGCAAAATGATACAACAAAATATTTTTCATCTGGTATCATACTCTATCGTGAACAAGCTGATGAGCAGTTTTCCAAGCTCGAAAAACTTTGACAATGTTTCTTTCGTCCGCCGACATCCTTAAAACAACTTTCTTTTTTTATCACTCTATGATTTTTTAACCTTAAATTCCCTTCAACAGTTGATTAAAGAAGGAAAAGTGTAATTGGGGATACCGATAAGGCAATTAAGGCGCGAAGATGGTACTCATCCATGAAAATTTGGTGGAAGGTCTTCGGTAAACTTCGGTAAATAATTAAGTAGTTCACCGAAGTTTACCGAAATGTAATTAAGAACTTTGTTAATAAAGTTGTAAGTAAACTAAGAATTGGTAAATGCATGTTCGTGTCATTAATATAAAGGAATTAACTAGAATCTAAAGTAAACAATTGAGGGATTGTCTTTGTCCATTCATCGTCCCAGCGAATTTTAGATTCATCAAGAGCACCTTGTCGTACAGATTGAAGCATACGCTCGTCGGAGCAAAGCATCTGCGATAAAGATTAGAAACACTAAATAGGATATAGAGAATAAAATGACAACATAAACTGTAAATTAGGTCAACTGCTTTCACATACCTCAATTTTTTTATAAAGCTCGACATAATTGTCCACAATGAAACCATTTTCGTTGTCATGAACAAGTTCAGAAATAGCTGGAAAATTCCAAGCAACAACGGGAACACCACATCCAAACAGATCTACTACTTTCATAGGTAAGTCGTAGCCGCTAGAACTTTGGTGAAGAGAAACTCCAAAATCTGCGCATGCAATAGCTCGAGGATAATCTTCAGAACTAAACCAAGGCAAACAAAATCGAATATTTTCAAGAGGATTCTTTTCGATGTGTTTTACAAAATCAGCCTTTCCTGGTCCTTTACCAGTAACAAGAACGAGAAGGGGTACAGCATTCTGAGTTTCACTATACATCTTAAGGGCATCCCAAAGAGCATATATATTCTCATCAGGGGTCCAAGACGTTGATGTAACAAGAAGCTTCTCTATCCTGGGGTCAAAATCGGCAGGGATTACTTGTAAATCACTCGTTCGAGTTGAAGCTTGTAAAGGCTGAAAATGAGCTGGTGGACGGTCATAACATACATGGCATGGGCTGTTGGTTAGTAATTCTACAAACATAATCTCATAATTCATACCGAATTCCCCATCCTTCCAATACTCGCTGCATGCTATGGGAAACTGTTATATGGCAGTAAGCATACTTGGCCAGTATACGTTCATATATGCGCAAGATTTTAACGAATAGATGATTTTTCCCTAGTTTTAGAGCAAGAATAGTATAGCCAAAATTGTGCCAGTCAATAACAAAACGAGTACCGCGTAATAAAAAAAGGACATGTCCCAAAAAGAACGTCGGGATGGAAGGAGGATTTTGGACAAGGAAGTAAGAAGATTGCTTTATTTTAAAAATAATGAAAAGGAGAGACAACAATTGGTGAAGTATTTTCGCCGGTGCAATTAGTAGGAAGGATAAACGTGAACGAAAAGAAAATTGTTTAGGAAGGGTCGGTATTGCATGGATTTTAATATTTTGGTGACTCCGAAACAAACCAGACGCTTTCTTATCTATACGAACAAAGTCAGAAGACGCAATGCAACATTTATGGAGGAACAAGCATTAAAAGTACAGCTAGTACTTATGACAGTATGTTCATCCTCATCATAAAGAATGCTTCAATTAATTACATACCTTGATAGCCGACTAAATTAACTTCCCATCCTTCTTTTGCAAAGCTTAGTGCATGATATTGCATACGCGGACTTTGGTCAATTCTTCCCAAAACAAGAATTATTATTCGTTTGCTTTTAGCGGATCTCCTAGAATTGATGAAAATTACTAGGCTTAGGAAGAGCAAAATTCTAATAACTAGCATTATTATACACAAACGAGCCCGTTGAATGGTGCATAAACAAAACAATAGAATACTATTTTAAAACAAAACGACTTAATAGAAACTTTCCTTGTAAATTATTGAATCAAACAAGCTCACTCGTTCTAAGATCTCTAAGTACAACTACAAGGCATATATGGTAGTGACGACAACCAAAAAACCGTGTAAACGCCAGGTGATTTACTTTCATTACGGAAACGATCACGAAAGGTTTTTAGGATAATACAAATTATTTATAAAGATAAATCACATTTATGGCAAACAATTTTCTAGTGAAGATTTTCCAGCCGAGCTAGACATCTACGGTAACTTTTATTTCATTCATAAAAGCAAATTTATGCATTAAAAGGAAGTGAAAAAAGAGCACTATCATGAGTTCATATTCAAAATCATATTTTCCAGATCAACATAAAACATTAGACTGGAAAAGAACGACAAACATCAAGAAGATCAAGATCCCAGAAAAGACATAATAGTAAGACTATGCAGAGTTCCAAGAACAAAGTGCGATTAAAATGTTATTCATAACTATGCTTAACTCATAAGGTATACGATATCAGGTTTAACGGAAATTATAGAGATTCGGTCAACAATCGTTCTAATGCAATACAATAAAAATTGTTTCTAGGGAAAAAGCATTCAAGGGACCAGCCCTTTATTCGATAAAACCGGTCAAACCCACTGCAATACCGAAAACCATGGCTTACGATTCCTAATAGCGAACCAAGACAAATATCAATGCCACTATACAAAAAAAAACCAACCAAGTCCATATGGAGATGCCACTGCTCTTGGAAACATTCTTCAATCGTCCCATTGTACCTTTCAGGGTATTTTGTGTAGTGTAATACGATTCATTCATTGTGTCCATCAGCTTCGAAGAAGAAGTAATTTCGGTACCAATATTCATTGTCAACTAGATAGGTGTTAGTTTTTGTCCGCCATAAATCTTCATTAGACTTGATTATATTACGCACCGACTTCAGAGATTGTACTTTTCCGGTTAAGTTCGCAATACGATTTTCATTAATACTCTCCAAACCATCCAGATGTGGTGTCGATTTTGTTTCATACAAGGGCAAGACGTCCCCATTGCGATCTTTTCTTCTACTGAATCTTTTTATTAGACCAAAGCAACTTTATCCCACTTACTTCGCAGCCATTTTATGATAGTAAGACCTCTTTTCTTTTTTTTACTTGTTTCTAATGAAATTATACGTTTTGATCAAGATACTACCGTCTGAGGAATAATTTGTATACACAACATATGAGCTATCCCAGCAGTGGTTGAATAACGCATGAGTAACAAAGCAAGTGACAATATATTTTGACAAAAAAGTTCCTAAACATCTTACTGGAAAGAGCGCATCAACAAATAAACAAAGGAAAAAAAAAGAAAGCATTATCCATTACAGGAAAGAATTGTTTTCTTAATATATGTAAAACTTAATATAAAGGCTTCAAACTGCTAATGTAATATAAATAAAAGTCCAATGAGACATTAACATACACTCGAAGCCCGATTACTATAATTAAATATTATCTTTGGTTAAGTTACCATTATACTCACTGAGATGAAACTCCAAGAACTGTTCCTAATAGTGTGCGGTTTGCTTACTGCGTATATGAACAGTTCGAAGTACACGTTCGCTAAAAACACTGTCAAATTAGAGGAGGCAGATTAATTTGATAGTTATAGAGTAACAAAAAAAAGACAAAATTAAAGCACGGAAGTGCTAAACAGTGTCTCCATGGCGGGTACAGAAGCAAAAATTAGTCAAAATTACAAGCAAGAGCCAATGGAAAAAGTCGAGCAGTTGAAGAAGAAAAGGAAAGCCACATCCGGAAGCATTTCCACACCATAGTTATATGCTGGTAGAATAATTTTTATGATGGACAGCAATAAGCGAGTTTTACACTGTACAGATCATGAAGTGATATTAATAGGAGGACACCTATAATGTGCATAAAACCAATGCAATTTATGGAAAGAGACAAAGAAGGATAAACGAAAATAATCCTGCGTAACCTAACCTTACTCATATAGATGACTGAAAGGTATATTAAGGAGCATGCTCATCATTCACTGGGTTTCTCATATGAGGACCATAAGAAGCCTGGAAAGTGGGATGGACGATGTTGAAATCATTATTTTGACACGTTGGACGAAGTTGACCAGGGAGAGGGGTAGGAGAATTACCCTGGACGACATTGGTAGAATAAGACTGAGGCGTTTTCGGCAACCGGTCGGTAGCTATACGACCAGGGGAATTTTTCACACTTGGTGTTAATTGAGGTGGAATACCAGCAGGAGGAGGAGATACCGCTGGGGATGGCAAGGTATTAAGGTTTCCATATTGGTTAGGAGTCAAATTTGCATTATTAGCATTTGCAGAAGCTGCAGCTGCAGCTGCCGCTCGCTTCTGATATTTAAGAATCATCCAGTCGAAAACATAATCATATTGTATACCTTTCCGTATGAGTAAGTTTCGGAATAGCCTTCTTAAAAAATTATAGTCGGGTTGCTCGGTAAACGATAGCTGTCTTGTATAATACATGTAGGAAATAAATTCCTCTGGGAGGCCTTTACATAGTACTTCTAAGGGGGTATTAATTTTTGTATCGCGAATTTTTTGATATTTTTGTTCTTTTGTATCAGCTTGCAGGCCTTGCCATGGTAAACTTCCTCGGCAGAAATATAATAACACATATCCCAAGGATTCTAAATCATCACGTCTGGATTGCTCAATCCCAATATGCGTATTAATACTTGCATATCTCGCTGTGCCTGTTAGGTTTTTATTATCCCGATAAGGTATATGAACGTAAGTTTTGAAATCTCTGTATTTTTTAGCCAACCCGAAATCAATCATAGTTATGACATTGCTATGTTTTTTCAAAAGAAAATTATCTGGTTTTATGTCTCTGTGCAAAAAGGACTTTTGATGAACATATTCAATGCGACTGATCAATTGGTCTGCTAAGAGAACAACCGTTTTTAACGAAAACTTTCTTCCACAATAGCAAAACAAGTCTTCTAAGGAAGGACCCAACAAGTCCATAACCATGGCATTATAATTGTTCACTATCCCGAACCAGCGAATAATTGGAATTCCAATGTTGCCTTTGAGGATGTTGTATACTCGAAATCTTTTCAACACGTTAATAAAATCATTGCAAAAATTTCATATTATAGATGAATAGTTAAACAAAAATGCATAAAAACATTTTACTAACTTCCCTTCGTTAAACAAAGGAAAGCCAGTGAATATATGTTTAGTTTGATGTTTTCAAAATAAAAGAAAAAGAGGAAAAGGCTAATTTAACTTATGTTCAAATGTAGGTACTTACTCATATTCTAATTGATGATGCCGGGACTTTAAGGGCTCAAGCTTTACTGCGACTTGCTCTCCGTTAACGACATTCAGTCCCAAGTAAATTTGCCCAAAAGACCCTGACCCAATTTTTCTTCCAATTCTATATTTATTTCCAATTTTTATATCAACAACTGACATTTTTCTTGCTTTGTTTTCTTCATCCGTAGACGGTAGTAGGTAAAATCGCATCATAAAGAAATCAAATAGTAACCACATTAACGTACTTTTGTGTGTGTTGCTATATAGCATATATGGCACTGGAAGGCAAAACAATAGTTGGTAATAACGATGATGAACGTAGAAAAGGTGTTTTATATGATATTGCTTTGTTGGTAGCTAGCTACCTAGCTAATTTAGGAAATTTCTCTTTTGCTTGTACTATCAAAAATGTAATTTATTTCAAGCTATTTAATAATATCAGAAAGACATTCCGAAAACTTGTATGTAAGTTGTACTTCGCAACTGACAGTTTTAGGTAACAATACGTTTACTAAATGAGTGTATGCCGTATTCCCACAAGAAAAACGGTGGAAAATCAGTATAGTCAATGTATTTATATTTACCAGGGAAAAAATATATTCAATTTTATATTCAGCTATGCATTATTTATTGCTTTAATTCGTGAAAATTGCTTCAACCTGAATAGCAGATATGACTAACACCAGAAATGACTTGTCATGTAGCATTTTTAAGATCTTGGATCCAGTAAGAAATACAAGTTCTAAGAGTAAATTAGAGTTGATATAAATTTAGTCATTAATATTCTGGATTGTAATCGTTTTAGAAAGAATTGCAATGTATGTTATTGTTTGCAGAGGAACTTGGAACGGCTTTGGTAAGGACGACCGAAATTCAAACCTGCTTAACAATTTAAACTTCTTGTGGATTGCTTTTCTTGTTGAATACACATAGCAAATTGATGCATATTTTTCCGAAGCATACTTGCTTCGTGACCGCAGGAACCTGTGATTCTATATTTATGCTTAAACCACCTGTGAAATATTTATCTCTTCAAGTTATTGAGATCCTGATGTTGTGTAATTTATAAAGAGGCTTTTTCCTTCCTTTCTCGTTACAATTTGATGGTTACTGAGTCTGTAAATGAGAGGGATCCTCTTCGCCGCATTAGGAGGTGCCTCTCACTAAAGATAACTTCTAAAGTTTGCAGAGCTTGTAAATACGCCAAGTTTGTTTAATTACTTCAAGAATACCGTTACATACTACCGAAATAAAGAGATCTGAAAGTCTGAAAAAAGCAAACGGCACATACAAATGCGATAAGGAGAAAGAAATACATTGATTGTTATTTCATCTTCTGGTTATTATTATCAATCAATAAAGAATTCTCTTCATTGCAAGCGACAACGAGCATTGATAGAAAAGGATACATTCATCAATGACCAGATGCAGGTTTGTCGTTCTTCTTTTCTTCCGCTATATAAGTGTCAGTACTCTGGATGAAGTTTTCTTAATTCAAAGAATATACTTACCTCCGAGAAGAGCATTACGGAGCTTGTAGGTTCCGTAGAAGATGATACCACCTAATCTTGTTAGTCTCCGTTCCAATTCACTTAGTCCCTGCTTCTTTCACTTACCTCCTAAAAAGAAAGGATACATAGGCTTTAAGATAGGAGTAGGGTAAGCACGAAGTCCAAAGAATGCCATGTTTGCTTCAACAATAGTTATAAGTGAAGAGGGGGGAGTGGAGGATAGAACAGTAAAACCGCTCCCCAAATCTTTAAGGAACACCACTAAGAATCATCATATATTCCGAGTTTTTATTTTTAAACAAAAAACTAATGTTTATTTTTTATTTATATTTCTTTATATTAGGTCATTTTCTAGTAGACTAGTATTAAGGCTTTTGCTTTCAGGTACTTAAGAATGGGTTATTCAGTCCAAAAGAAGCTTGAAAAATACTAAAAACTACTAGATTATGCTCGGTAAGAAATGCACTAAGTATATCTAAAACATTTCGTAAGTTCCGTTCGTTATGACTCGAAAGTTAATGAAATCGGGATGTTTGAAGGACTTCTATTAGTTTTCGATATTATTGCCGTGAAATAATCAACATTAATGTTGCTAGAAATTAAATAAAAATAAGAATAGTTCATGAATATGTCCATATTTACAGCGTTATTAACGTCCCCTCTCCAAAGATTTGGTTTTTTATGCTCAGTTATGAGTAGAACTTCAAAAAAAACGTTAAATCAATGCTGGTTAATAGAGTATCATCAACGAATAAACTAGTAATTATCCTCGCCAAAACCTAATTTAAGAGACAATTATTTAAGCAACAGAAAATGACATAACGGCTTCAACTACCAAGTTCCTTAGTTAATCCTGTTCGTGAATAAAACATTGCTTCACGCTTAAGGATGCACTCCGTCCAAGTCTTTTCAACAGAACAGGAATCCCAAACACCTTTAGCAACTTGGTATAGAAATGATATAAACCCGCAAACGCTGCGTAATCGGGCAACGCAATAGTTACAACAAGCATAAGACGTACCATCAGGACGAGACCTGAATTCAAAAGAGCGAAGACTGTCTTCTCGATTATCACCACAAAGGGAACAAGGAGAGTAGGCTTGCGGTGATGATGAAGACATAGGGTTAATAATTAACGAAGCGTCTAAAATAGCTGCATAGATTGATCGACGGGCTAACCACGAGAGGCCGACTGCGTGATCCAACCGTAAGGTTGGGTCAATATCCTCTTCAAGACATCGTTTAAAAAAAGCAAATTCTCGAAGACAGCGCGAAGCGGGCGGTAAGAAAGACGGATGAGACGGTGATGAAGAAGATTGCTTCGCACTTGCTGGCGTATGAGCAGTTCGATTTTGTAGAGCAATATTTTTTAACGATGAAGAAGAAGACATACGGTTTAATGTAGTTCTTGATTGAACTGACTTAGAGGAATAGGTTAACAAAGCATGAAACTCAGAAAAAGAAGGATTTTGGAGATTCATTGCTTCAGATAAGTTGGGCTGACTAGCGTTAAAAACAGCTGAATTTACGGGCGTTACATAATAAGTAGACGGAGGTGGTGAGTCTGTAACGACGACTGGAGTAGGAGGGGGAGAGGCACTACTAGACCTGTCTTCAACGACCGTTCGTACACGATGCACATGAGAAGGATGATGAATACCGAGACTTGTTGCTGCTCTTTGATCGTGAATTTGCTCAAAATGACGGTGAGCAGCCGGGTATACATAATTGGAATTAACTGACGTCCTTGGACTTTCAAAGGAGGCGGATTTTACATGATTAGGGGTATTTCGATGTAAGGCTTCTTCCAAAGCTGGCGTAGAAGAACCAGCGCTAGCTATAGAAGCTGAATCATGAGTGGAAGAACCGGGCCGCATAGGAGAATGAATAGTCTGTTCATAGGAATCAGACATGTTTTGCATAACGGACTTTAGCTCAATCAACTGGGATTGAGCATTTGTTAAAAGTGTTTCGGTATCGGCTAACTGTTTTTGGAGTTGAGAAGCACGCCGCTGATAAACGAATGTTTCTTTCCTAGCATCTGCTACCATTCGATTCGCTTCTTCAAACAAAGAGCTGGTTAATTCTTCAATCTCACTTTGGACTCGATCCCGTTCAATTTCTACAGTTTGATATTTTGCCTCCGTTCGCCGTAATTTCTCACCCACATCCTCAGTTTCAATTGCCAGCTGTTTGGTTTTTTCCTGTGTTAAAATATTTTCTTCTAATTTACGAATTCTTTCTTCCAACACTTCGTTTTTGTGAATTTCATCGGCGTATCGTTCGTCTAATGCTGCTTGTTTTTCAATTGCAACTAGCAATTTGTGAGAAAGTATTTCTTCCTGAGACATGGCTCTACTATCTTCCTTCAATTCTTTTTCATTATTCTTCTCTATATTTCTTTCCACTTCGTTGGGATGATCAGTCGATTCAACCGATACATTAGGCATATAGATCACTTATATGTCGTGGACTGCCTAAAACTGGTTTTTGACTATTGGCAGCACCTCAATTTTGGACCATACAGCACTTGAATCCTTTGTATGTTTGTTTACTTTACTCAATCGAAGTTTGCATAAAGTCCGCTACAAGGAAATGAGAACGTTATGGGTGTCATTCTCAGTTGTTTGAATTCATACTCTAATAACCTATGCTGCGAAATTGTAATGTAGAATAACGATGTTTAATAGTGTGAAGTGATCTACGATACGCTACCACAGCGACATCTATAACACGGTTACTAACGAATTTGTGCGTAATACTTTACACTTTATTATTCGTAAATTATTCAATGAATTCAACAACTGTATTTTTTTTAGTAAACATCTTTGGAGCTCATAAACTTTTTAATGTACTGTTTAATAAGACACTATTTAGTACTTCAACAGATTTCGTGGTTTTTAAAACGAGCGGTTTTATTGAGCTTTTAATAATCGTTTGAACGTCTTTGTTTCTCTTATTTGAGGATTTTTATTGTGAAGACTCCAAAGACGACGACTTGGGCGAACTTTCACAAGTCACATAACTCCATTCATTCAATCAAGAAACGAGGAAAACTCCATACATTATAGATTTGCACTTTAGTTTGTCAACATGGATGAAGAATTACAAGCTATCCGTCAAGCTCGACTTGCTCAATTAAAGGGTCAACACCAAGCATCTCAGTAAGTTACATGGGACATGGATAGGAAGTTTTGACTGAAGTACTTATGAACAACCTCTTGGCCAATCTAACGTATCCAAGAGTTTTTTATCTTTCTTTTTTAAAGGATTTTAGTCTTTTTCTTCCTATTCTTATGAATGTCATCGCAGCTCCCACTATTAACATGTGAATAGACCACAAAATGCTCCTGCAAGTGAAGGTCAGCAAAAAGAAGCCCAAGACGAGCTTCGTCAAAACATGGTATGAGCTAATTCTGTAACACCAGCTCCCCAATACTAATATATTCTGAAGCTCAGCCAAATTTTGGAACACTCTGCCCGAGATAGACTCCGTCGTATCGCTCTTGTGAAGCCAGATCGCGCTCAAGGTATGTCAAACTTCCACTGTTCTTATCTACTGGAATTTATCTAACATTTCTGTAAGCTGTTGAAGAATTATTGATTCGAATGGCTAGAAGTGGTCAAGTTTTACAAAAGATTTCTGAATCTGAATTAATTGAGCTTTTGGAACAGATCTCCGGCCAGTTATCAAAACAAAAAGAAACAAAGATTGTCGTATGTCCTATTTTTGAATTTTTTTGGTTTCCTTCTTAATTTTTAACATGTTTGTTTATAGTATAGTCGCCGTGCCGTTGATGACGAAGATGACTGGGATTTATAAGTTGAGTAAGAGGAAAGAAAAGGGAAGGGAAGCAATAACTTCTGTAACCACCATGTTTAGAGCCAGAGCATTATATTTCTTGTTTTTTGTAATTAAAGCTACTTAATGCTTATTCAGGAAGTTAGAAAATAATATACAAGTTCGAAAAGGAATAAAATGTATTTTACAATGATATGAAGGAATTAGCACTTGATTAAATAAATCCCATATCAATAATAGAAAAAAGAAGAGAAAAGAAAAGAAAAAAATGTGTCGTAGAAAAAGGAGTGAAGTTTGTACAAACCCACCAGTTAAACAAGACAATGCTATCGATTCCAGCTTGCTGGTTTGGCAAAAAGCACAATGGCTACTTAACGGAATATGAGAATGCGATAGAACGGCAGAAAAGCATTAAACAGTCATTTACCGCATCAATATAAAAATTGAAAATAATAAAGAACGGAAAGGCAGATACTAGATCGAATGTCCTAAAGAAAAACTTTTAAAATGACGAGAAAGGAAATAGGGCAGATGATCAGGAAAGCCGGGATCGCAGCCTATACAAGAGAGTGAGGAGGATTCTATGCAATATAGACGACTATGTAAAAAGGGGAGATAAATTCTATAATGGTGTACTTAAAAGAGCAGTCTCTCCATGAGCCATTTAGCAAATTATACAACCAGTTTTGTGAGAACTATCACCATTTTCTTTTGTACTTCGTGGCTGAGCAGCCAAAGCTACTCGAGCTGCTTCTGTAAAAGCCTCGTTCACACCTCTGTTTAATTTAGCACTGCATTCAAGATATCGCACGGCATTGATCTTTTTCGCAGCCGCAAGACCTTCTTCATAACCTATAAGTCTGGAGTTTGCTTGATCGTCATCTGCGCCACGTAAATCGCACTTTAAGGCTACTAGAACAAGCTTGACTGAAGGACAGTTCCTGGAGACCTCTGGTAACCACTTAGCAATGACATTTTCCAGTGAATCAGGTGAGTCAACAGCAAAACAAATCATAATGACATGTGTATCAGAGTAAGATAGTGAACGTAGTTGATCGTACTCCTCTTGACCGGCTGTATCCCATAAGGATAATTCTATACTATTGCCATCCACAAAAATATCATGAATATAATTTTCAAAACTAATATGCGTTAGGAACATAATCAATTAACGATAGAGCTGAAATAGCAACACAAAGGAAGCGCTAGGATTTTCTAATCGGGAAACAAGAAACTTGTCTCCCGAATCGGCACAAGATGCTCCATCTACAAAAGACAATGCCATTCATCTTGACAGAAATCTTATGGACGATTTTCCTTTGGAAATTTTACTAAACAGGAGTAACTTACATGGTAGGTTCATATACTTGAGGGAAATACCCCTTCGTAAACACATTTAGCAGACTGGTTTTACCAGCAGCACCTAAAAATGTTAGCCATTTACACATTCTCCAAAAGAAATCTTTAATGAAGAAACAATGCCCTTACCATCACCCAGAATTACAATTTTTCGATAAATTGGTTTCTTCTTGCGTCCAAAGCAGCCTACCATGCTTGCTATTTATTCTTCAAATCTCAGCAATTAAACAGCTCTTAATGAACTTATAAGCCGATAAAAGAGTTTGGTTTTGGATGAAAATAACACAATTGAACAAATTACTTACGCAACCCCTTGGTTGAAGTGTCGTTCTTGGACCCTTCCCCCCACTTAAAGATACACAATGAAGTATCCCACGTTTTGTACTCTGAATGAAAAGTGTGTATAATAATGTTGTTACCTAATTCATTCGTATTACATATCAAAGTTCTCAAGTGTAGGTATGAGAAAATGATGAATTATAGGAAATTTTTCGTTTTCTGTTTGCCTATACGCAGTTGACATAATTTTATTTCCCTTGAAAATTTTTAATAGTGACTTTTTCCCTCATATAGCCGAGGGTCTTGCAGTTTTAGATATCTTCGAAAATTCATAATAAAAGTGTCCTAGGTTAATAGCTAAATTTAGTTTTGAGATTCATTTAAGTTTCAATACTTTCTGTTGAATAGCTGCGAAATCGTTTAATAAGTCAATATACTGTTGTATCATGATTATCCATTCGGAAACGAAAGGAAGAATCTGATTTTTCTCTTGTTTTTTCAAATATTTTAATTGGTATAAATAGAACCATTCTTGAGAAGGTTTGCAATCTTGGAAATCCTTGGCAACTTTCATTGTAGTTTGGAATGTTTCTGACAATTTTTCGCAAACCATCCTACAGAATTTTAACATCCGTTCAACGTGATTTTTAAGTAATCCTATCATTTCTTCCAAGAATTTCTCCTCTGTATCATCACAATGCTTCCATAGAAGGTCTTGTTGGCAAAGCCTTCTTTTCGCCCGTAGCAAAATGGTTTTCCGTCGACTCAAACTCTCATTTTCTTCATCAAAATATTGAAAAGCATCTTTTGCAAAGCTTTCAGGTTTCTCTAAATCGCCTTTCTGGTGCATGTTTGATATTCCTCCAAAGGTAGCTCGCTCATCATCCAGATTTTCCATGTAAGATTCCCATTCTTTTATGGAATCCACTAGAGTATTTGGCATTGATCTTACCATTTTAATTTGATACTAATTACAAAGGATGGTGATAAAAAGCGCGACTGTTGTTAATTGCATGCGCGTACTACCTCTAGTATAAGAACACACAAAGGCGAGAATTCCTAAACGGAGTACAGTGGGTATTAAACGTCCATAAAGGGTAGACAAAATAGTACCTTTGGCGTTAAATAAAAAGAAATAAAGGAAAATGAATTAATGATTGAAAAAAGATTTCTTCATTTACGACTTTTTCAACACTTACTACTTGTCAAGTAGACAGAAAGGGCAATCCATGCGGTAGGAGAAGGCGGAAAACTATAAACTTGGTCTCTATTATTTCATTATAAAATCTGTGAATTTTTTCAACCGATGGTGCATTTTTATCATATACGACTTTTAAAGGTTCAGCCAGTGCATGAAAGAGGGTCAAAAACATGTATCATTAAAGCGGTTTTCACTTTAACAACAGATCTTGGTGAATATTTTTATCCAGAACACTGTCCCTTACAAGTTGTTGTCGCTGATGTTTCAAAAGGAACACCTATTCCTCTTAAAAGCGAATCTGTCGCCTGGAAGGGTTATGAAGTTGCGTCGACCGTATCTCTAACCATTCCAGTTAGCTCAAAGAAACTTCAACTAATTATTTTTCCACGAAGAACGATACCCAATATTTCGCTGCAGGATTATCATGACATACTGCCCGTTTGGAGCGGCTCGTTTTCCCTGAGTAAAGACGTAGGACCTAAGCACGTCTGGAGGTATTTACAACATACGGACTGGGAACCTTTCGGACTGTGCTTTATGGAACAGATGGGCGAGAGCATTGCTAAACATATATGGGATGCAGGGATTATTTTATCTGAAAAAATTTTAAAACAAGAACCCGAATGGACATTATCCGATAAGAAGAATTTACAAGTTTTAGAACTTGGAGCAGGTTGTGGAATTTTAGGCATTTCTGTAGCGTCAAAGTATCCGAATGCAAGTGTATGCATGACTGATTTGGAGGATGCTCTTGGTATCTTACAATTAAACATCTTTGAGAATCGACATCTTCTTCACAATAATATTTCTACTGACGTATTTGTCTGGTCTTCGCAAATACCGCCGAAACTACAGAAAAGATGGGACTACATTCTCATGTCCGACGTTATGTATAACGACTCAAGCTTTTCTTCCTTAGAAGCAGCCTTGAAATCCTTAATGCAAAGTCAAACCAGGCTTTTTGTTTCCTACAAGAAGCGTCACGAAAATGAGAAAAGTTTCATGGATCATCTTTTACAGTGGTGTTTACTAGAGCATGAAATTGTTCTTGACTCCATCATATTGTACTCTGTGGTAAAAAAATAGCATACCTTTAATCGCATGACGGTGGACTAAAAATAGTATTATACATTCGATTTATTGTACGCAAAGACATATAGACTGTATGAAATATCGTTAGATTCATCCTTTTTGGGCTTTTTTTACACTTCAGAGTCAGTAATTACAGTGCTTGTTTAACATTCTCGTACATCATACGTGACATTATCCAAAGTCGCTTTTACTAGTTTATTAGTTTTTGGAATCAGTTTTGGTTTCATCTTTCTTAAAATGAAGATTTTGATTCTTGTTTTCATTGTTTATAGTTGGTTACGTCATATTTATTTGACTTGCACAAGTTACATATTCTCTTTCATTCTGGTTATTCAGGAAGTACCAACAACTTGTCTTAGTATGTGTATGCGATTCATATTCAAACTGTCATTTATTTTATTGTTTTTCAAAATTCTCGTAGTACAATGTGCGTTATTAAATTTAAGTGACTTATACTAATCTTGAAAGGTACGGGCGAAACAGGGAACCTGCGACAAGCACCAACGTCTGATGTCTATAATACGAAAACAGAGGTTGTTCAAAGAACTATTTACGTGGATAAACAAAAAGTACCGCATAGGCCTACATCCGATTCTTGGCCTCAACGCAAGCTTGATGAGTTCCTGAAAAGCCATGGAGTGAAATCCTTGGATGCACCACCATCCGCAAAGTCTACGGCGGAACCTTGGAAATCTCCTTTTCAAATGATTTCTAATTTAAAAGAAAAGTATTATCCCCATGAGGCTAATCCGAACGAGTTACGGGAGTCAATGAGCAAGATTCCTGAATTAGGTGTATGGATTTTCGATGCTTGGTCGAATTCTGAACTTTCAGAATGGCTTATAGAACATAATTTTGAAGTTCCTGAGCCCGGAACGAGGGAACAATTATTGGAAACTGTCTTTCAAGCATTTTTGGAAAGCACCGAACTCACCGGTGAAGAATTTGAATCATGGTCAACGAACTTATTAGTTAACCTATTGGATGAAAAGAATGTGCGTATTCCCTTAGGTGCATCACGCGAGGATTTAACTATCCTTGCCAAACGCTACTGTTCTGCTGAGCCAGATGAGTTGGAATATCCCACGAAGTCAAGAAACGAGGAGAAAGAAATTCCTTCTTCATATATGAAAGAAATCATCCATTTATGGTCTGACGGTCGCCTTATCGACTTTTTAAGAGAGAGAGGTATCCCTGTCTCTGTATTATCTCCTCGCGAGACTTTATTGAGAAATGTGTATAATCATCGTTTCATTCCCAGAACATTCACTCCTTCCAATGTCTTGGACGGGTGGTCTTCTGAAGATCTTTTAAGATGGTTGGAAAACCATCGTACAGACGATAGCCTGTATTCAACCATTTCGTACAATACTCGTCATGATCTTATTCATACTGCGAAATTATTTTACATGGATGCTGTTTCAGAGAGGTCTGTAGCAGATGTCGAAGTCTTGAATGATTCACTATTCTCCCATCCTGCCATTTCCAAGCAATCTACTTGGACTGAAGAAGAATTAAAAGAGGAGCTTGAATCGTTTGGTGAACTAGTTCCCATTCCATTTAATAATCAAGAAGCTTTCAAGCGACTGCTTCCTCATCTTCATTATTACCTCCAAGGCCCCTCCTTCATACGAAGGATTAAGCATTGGAAAGCAGCTTTAGCCAATTATCTGAAGCAAGCTTACATTTTATCTCCCTAGGTGGATCAAGATATAGCATAGGCCGTTACGTTTTTTTTGGATATTATTATGAGCCTATTCGTTACTTCTCTTTTTGGTTTGTTAATGATTCTTTTTCTTTTTTTCTCTTTTTTTTTGTGATTTGTGTTCATTGACGGCGTCCGTGTGAAGTGTCACTACTTACTTCAAGAATCTATGTATATTTACATTATAAAAAAGGATAGGGTTTGATAGTTAATGTTAATGTCGGCTACGATAAATACGATTCACAAAACATCAGCAGTTGCTATAGATAATTAATTTAATATCTTTTGCCGATGTGCAAACCAGAAATAAATCATTAATTAAATGTATGGTATTTGAAAATAAATCGACATTCGCATGTATTCCAATTAAATAATTAGCCGCGCAAAGTTTCTTCTTTTTTCTCGTTAGCCTGAGTCAAGTCTCGCGAATTTTGATATTCGTCTCTAGAAACACGATTTATTAATAATCAAGTGAATACTCAGTTTAGTTTACCTTTGCTGTTTCAAAGCAGGCTGCATAATATAGAACTATAAGCCAGTTAGGTCTTCTTCTCAACAAAGTTCAACAAAGCTATGATTCATTTCCAATAGTAGTGAGATACTTGTCTTGAATTACTTACAGAAGAACATACTCCCAATGTTAGAGCTAACATCAATCCTGAAGACCTTCCAAAAAATGGATTCATTTTTGACAGTGTTCAGGACGTCTACTAAGAAGTTGTGTTCATCATAAAGGCTTCGGGAGGAAGCACATAAGTTCAGGTTATTTGGAAATTTAATTACAGTTGAAAATACAAGTAAACATAAATATTAAAATAATTATATAATTAAGATAGCATGAATTAGGGACCAAAAAAAGTGAGGTTTCAAAAAAGTGAGGTTTTAAAAGAAAGAATATGGACTACCAAAACCAAGCACGCAAGTACGGTATTAGCAAAATAAAAAGTACGATATAAACGATACGGATCTTAGATTCATTCATCAAAATGTTGATTGACCCATTCGTCAAGAGAAGTGGCTGATGAAAACATGCACCTCTGCAGAGGACAGGAGCCTCTTCGATAACCTTGAAACGGTTCTAATAGCGTATACAAATCCTTAAGACGCTCCATTAATGATTTTTCCCGAGGATCGCGAGGTTTAGGTATGGTTTTCTTATACAGTATTTGGTGTAATAAATAATGTATCCACAGAATGTTAGTTTTCGGAAAGTATCCGTCCCATTGCCCTTTTGTAACTTTGGACATTAATCTATATATATCGAATTGGTAGTCACCTATAAGTCTGGATTAGTTCACTTCGCCTATTAAAAAATATTGTTATACGTACCTTGTCCAACAAACAAATCAGGGTCATCAAATTCGTTGAAAATAGGAGACGATAGGCTTGAATGTCGCATCCTAGCTAGTGTAAAATCAATTAAGGTAATTTCCAGTGAGTCACTAGTAAAGCTTCGTTCAGACAGCGTCGATGAAGTATCAGAAGAATGAAATTCATCAAAGGACACTTCATCAAGTAAGCATGAAAGGTCTTCGTCGTTTCGTTTATTTATTAAGATGTTCCCCCAATGCATATCTCTATGCTCAAATTCAAAATTTCTTTCTCCAATGGAGAGAATTTTCACTGTTTTATAGAAAATTCCCCAGGCTTCAAACCAATTGGACAGTTCCACATGTTCCAAGTCCGTACCACTATGATTCAAGCATAGTATACAATATAACTGAGATGAATGATACCGATCCGGTCGTTCATTCTCGGATTCTTTCTGTATATCGTATTTGTCCCATTCTTCAATTAAAGCAGACGGATATGTTCCTTTGACAATAATTGCACGTCGAAGACCGACATAACCTTCAAGTTTACTAAGACTCTTGGTAATTTTCAGTTCGTTTATTATGTCTGCGCAGCGAATCTGATTTCTTTTTCCAAAAGGCATAATCTTCAAAACAATTGGCTCATCTTCCTCTACCTTGAAAACTTCACTATAGCTAGCTTCTCCAATTTTGTATACAGGGGATTTGATCGATTTTATATAGTCTCTAAAAGAAACTGGCATTTGTTGGTCCGCTAAGCCTAGTAGGTATTCAAGATGGGTAGACGTTTTTGAAGATTTTTCTTGAAACTCTGTATTTATTTGCGATGCAAATTTCGGTTTATAGATAGATGTATTAACAGTACTATTATTATTTGTTTCATTAATATCCCTACCACGACTTGGAACAATAATCGTCGGCACCAAACGTAAATTACTCTTTGAACGCCTTCCATCAACTTTATCGACAGCATCAGGTAATGATTTAACTGAATTATCTTCATCTTTTTTACCAATTGAAGATTTTTTATCGATTTTAAGTGAAAAAGACGACCTACGCTTATTGAGTTCGTTATTCGTTACATTAGTATCAATTTTATGCAATGCCTCAGGCAATTCATCTAATGAGGCCCATATGGCATTATCTTTACTGACATATCGTCTTCGAGTGCCATATGTTCGCATACCGGAGGGCATTATTCAAGTGGATAAGGAACATGTGGTCCTGTGTTTGGTGATGGTGGTGGTGACTAGAGAAAAATTCAAACGCATGCATAACTAGTAGAATAGTATGTGATTCTTAAAGATTTATCGATTAATTAAAAAAGTATCATGATAAGCTTTAAAGAGAAAAATGCTTCTCTATAGCTTCAGAAAGTCTCGTTACTCTCTCCTCTAGCTGAGCAATCTTCCAGTCTCTGACAGACATTTCTTCCTTGTATCGTTTCTCAATAGTCACTAATTTTTGAATAAGATTATCTTCCTCTTCAGGGGAAGACATCGTAGGTATACGAGATACAGATAACTCTTTCTCGCGCTTAATTAAAGCTTCATTGATACCGTTTTCAACCACATCCTTCTTTTGTTCCGAGAGCTTCTCAGGAGCAGGAGTTTCTTTTTGGGTTGCTTTGTTTTCTGATTTCACGACTGACTCTGGCACAACATTGTTTTCTGGTTTCTTATGCGTCTCCTTCTCCAAAGACTTCTTCTGTTCAGTGTCTTTCTTATCTGACTTTACCTCTGGCTCTGGCATAGCCTTGTTTTCTGGTTTCTTATGGGCTTCATTCTGTCCATTATCTTTCTTTTCCTCTTTAGTAGGTTTCTTTTCCTCTGTCTTGTTAGATGCAATGTTTTCTGGGGCTTTCTCTTGTACGGGGGAAGCTTTTGGCCTTTCTTCTTCCTTAGAAGGCTTTACAGTAATAGGAGTTTTATCAGATCCATCCTGAACCTCCTTTGTAGGAATTTTAACAGTTGCCATCTTAGTTACTGGACCTTTAGTCTCATAAAGCAAAGACATGTCCATTCTATCGACAGGAGCATCCTTGCCAGAGAACCATTCATCCGCAGACAAACTTGGTTTACCGGAAGGAGCAGGAGGATAAATGTCACTTTGATAGGCTTCAGAACGTCGGGGAACAATGAAACTAATAGGTTCTATAATCGTATCGTTAACTGATTTATAGGCACGCATAACTTCGTTGTCCGCAGCGTTTACACCTCTTTTTGGAACAAACGCCATACCACGTTGAGGATCAACGGATTTAAATTCAGAAAGATAATGAAAGACATCGTTTTCAAGTTCATAATAACGTATATTACCGTCACCTTTTCCGGCAAGGTAAATAACTTTCGTACCGTCGTCCCAGAAAGGCATTAAAATACCTGAACCGGAGTCCAAGGTATTAAAACCTCCAATAGGCTCGGACATATTAGCCGGATCCCATAGTGCGAGCTGTCGATCACTCATTTTGCTAAACCCGGTCGTAGCAATACGATTTAAGCTTCCAAGCCATACGCTTCTCGAATTTTTTGCTCCCGCATGGCCGTTGGAAACTGAAACTGGCTTGTCTGTACGAGGATCCCAAATACGAATTTTCTTGTCACGACCTGTACTAACAAGTAAATTTCCATCAGCGTTAAAAGAAATGGATTGACAAATTTCATTCATGGGAAGTGTTACTCGAGCAATGCCTTTTTCACAATCCCATAATTTAATGGTCTTATCAGCACTGGAAGACGCCAACACATTCGCAGCGGAAGGATGAAACTGGACATGACCAACCTTACTAATTTTTATAGTTAGATTAATTTCTGGCTTGTGTTATCATACCGAGTATGTCCTGTTAGATGAGCCACAGGATGCACATCTTCGTAAGGTTCCAAAACTGTGTAGTCTTCAGGGACTTTCCATAACATAATCTAAATATGTAAATAATAGCTCATATTCAGGAAGTTTCAAACCTTTGAGTCATCACCTCCAGATGCCAACACTTGGTCATGACATGGATTCCAATCAGTATCCAAAACAGCAGCAGTATGACCACGAAATAAATTGGCTTGATCAGGAAGTTTTCCCCGATTTTCTAAAGGAATTACAGCAATAGCACCACCAGCTCCTGAGTTCCAATTGACACTCAAATAAAAAGGATTGGCACTTAACAAATTAGAGTCCCAAGCATTGTTGCTAAGCTAAATGAATGTTCAGCATTCGCATAAATGAATTTATATGACAAACCTTTATATTATCATAACAAAGCTCTTTCTTGCATGTTTGTCCAAAAATATGACCTTGATAGGTAAGTTGACGACTCTAAATAAAATACATACGATATTTGCTAGCTCTCACGAATCTTCCGCTCATTATAGAAATGAAAGCAAGACGTTAACTCAAAATTTAAATTGTTCAAAAAAATAAACACAGCCGGGTTTACTTAGGCTGGAATTGGAAAGAAAGGTGGTTTTGGCGGTGGAAGATTGGTTTAGTAATTGTATTAACATAAACAAGGTTTCCTTTAAAAATGTCCAAATATATTTAAAAGATTTATCTAACTAATAATTTAAATTCTATTAGTTTTTTTTTTCTAGAAAATAAAAAATGAACGAACTAATTGGAATACACACTAGTGAGAGCGCAGTATTAACAAATTCATAACAGTGGATATTAAAATTGACTAGTTTGTATCAATTGCTTCTTTGCAAACACATTGTGACCATAACTAGAAATAATACCATCATTGAAGCATTAATATGAACGTTGGATAATTTTTAGCATTAGGGTATTTTATTCTTTATAAGTTTTCTACTTCGTTTTCTGTCGCTTTCTTGATTCTTGCTGAGATAATTTTGGTAGCTTTTTTGCAATCTTCTTGTACTCGTCAAGTTGGTTTTGGTAGGCTCCTTGGATTTTATCAAGGCGATCAGGACGGTCCAACTGCAGTAAGACATCCAAATTTTGACGAAAGATTCTTTCCTTAATTAAAAGACGCAGCGCCTTTCTTTCTAAGAGAGACAGACTCTTCAGCTTCATGGTAAATGCAATCTCACAACAGCGAAGAAACTGACGCTAAATAATAGGTTAGAACACAAAAGATTTAGCATAGTCATTTAAATTACCGGTGGTAGTTTAATGGCAGATCTTTGAGAGTGCAACCATTCCTTTGAGAGAGGCAAATGGAATTCCGGACTGGTAAAAAGGTTTAGGGATTTTAGTCGTTGGAAATCACAACGGTCACGAAGGGCATCAAACGCTTCAGATGAATCCTCCACTGAGAACTCAAGGACTTTTGGATCCTGTAGAAAATTGTTTACAATAGCATTGTAAAGCCTGGAACCATGTCCTTCTTTTTGGAAAGGAGGAAGTATCAGAAACTGAGAAATACGAGGGCGTACACCATCTGTTTTTTCCTTATCCCATTTATAGTAATCGTAAGCAGTACAATATCCTCTTAGATAATACTGTTCATCTTTGATTTCGTATCTAATACAGCTTGTTAATCCTCAGTTGGCAAATGCATTGGAGCACGTACAATAAATAAATGGTCCATTTGGGATCAAATATATCAATAAAAGACCCACCCTCGATAAATAATAAAGAAAAAAGCTGTAGATACTGCATGACAGCACCTATGTCACTGGGTTTGCTCTAAATAAGTCAGTAAATATATGCATAAATGACAAAAAGTTCCTACTTTTAGTATACAAAATTTACGTTCATCAAAAGAGTAACTTTCAAGAACCGGAATATCACGAATGTTCACCGGTTCCAGATTTTCTGGTACACGATCATCTCTCATATATATCGACAATGTTTGATCAACGTTTGTAGGTTCTACACCAGATTCCGGAGCAAGTCGATCGGAATATGTAACTTTTAGTTCTGGTGTCATTGAAGGTAATACATATTGGATCTTCCATTCATTAGCATCCGTCTCGCTAACGATGTTTTCAACCCGAGTTGTCATTGATTATTAAATCATACCTCTATGTTCAGATTTTTATAACCGTACAAAACTTCCGAGTCCCCAAAAATACTGTAGGTAAAAGTAGGATGGAATTTACAATCGATATCACCTTTTTCATTTACTACGAAAGATAGCGTTAGCAACTTTACTATTAACCGGACCATACTTAAAACAATTGAAATACATTCATTTGCGTTGTGTATCCACTCATCAAGATTGCTCATTTTTTAAGATGAAAGCAAAGCTCGCTGCTTTCGCTCGGTTTGTTTTGGTAAAATCGTGGTGGTGACTTTTGAGTTACATTGTTACTGTAGCATGAGGTTACGCATAACAGAAATTGTAAAATAAATAAAAACAATTCTTTTACACAATAACTTCGAGAATATATATAATCTCCCTTACTTTATTAAAACACATAAAAATACAAATTCATTCATTAAAATATATTTACAAAGCTATGGTGTAATACATATACAGTGTTTTGATATACTATACCAACAGGCATATATATGAAAAATCATTATTCATTGGTTATAAGCATAAGAATATATACATTTTTTAATGAGTCTTCAAGTTGACCTCTTTGATGATCATAAACTCTTCAACACCATGACGACCGGCCTCTTTACCGAAACCACTCTGTTTGATGCCACCAAAAGACATAAAAGGTTCGTCGACTAATTCAATGTTTGCACCAACTAGACCCACTTCAAGTTCTTTAGCCACATGGACTAAGGTTGAGACGTCCTTTGAAAAAACATAACCAGCCAATCCAACCTCAGTGTCATTAGCCCGTTCTAGGACTTGATCAACATTCTCAAATTGAAATAGAGAAATCAAGGGGCCGAAGGTTTCTTCACAAGCCACGATCATATCATGGTTCAAGTTTGCAAGAACGGTGGGTTCATAGAAGTATCCACCTTTGTCTGTAATACGCTTACCTCCTGCTAATAGCTTAGCACCCTTTGCGACAGAATCCTCAATATGACTTGCCATCTTATCACATCCTTGCTTGGAGATCAAAGGACCTAAGCCGGTAGAAGGATCAAGTCCGTCGCCGACCTTTATGGTCTTCACTTTCTCCAAAAGCTTCTTAGTAAATTCTTCATAAATGTCCTTGTGAAGGTAGACACGATTAGGGCAGACACATACTTCGCCAGCACTGAAGAACTTGATATTACACAATGAGTCTACAGCTTGATCAATAGGGAAGTCAGGAAAGACAATAAAAGGGGCGTTTCCACCCAATTCCATAGAAACCTTTTTCACTGTACTAGCACTTTGGCCCATAAGAATCTTTCCGACATTTGTACTTCCTGTGAAAGAGATTTTACGAATCAAAGGATTAGTGGTTAGCTCTTTACCGTGTTCACTAACATTGGAAGTAGTGATAACGTTGATAACACCGTTAGGGAAACCAGCTTCTTGTGCAAGCTTGACTAAACCAAGACAAGAGTATGGAGTACTAGTCGCAGGCATGATTACGATGCTACAACCAGCAGCCAATGCAGCACCTCCCTTTCGGGTAATCATAGCACTAGGAAAGTTCCATGGAGTAATTAATCCTGAAATACCAACGGGTTGCTTCACCGACATGATAAAGTTGTTCATCTGTAAGCTCGAAGGAGCTATATCGCCGAAAACACGAACGGCTTCTCCTGCATACCATTTGATATATCCAATGGAAGTAGAAACCTCCATATCAGCGTGCGAAAGAGGCTTACCATTTTCTAAAGTGAGCATCTTCACCAAATCCTCTTTGTTCTCCTCCATGAGGGTAGCCCATCGAGTTAACATCTCGCTTCGTTGAACATGAGTTGTATTCTTATAGGCTTTAAAACCGTTTGCAGCGGCCTCTATTGATTTTTTGGTCTCATCCACGGTCATATCAGTCACTTTACCAATTTCTTGGGTGTTTGCTGGATTTTCAACGGAAAAAGATTTCTTGCTATTCGAAGTAAACCATTTTCCATCTACAACACTAGGAGTAACGGGTTGATCGAGGCCAAACAATTCAGGGCGATGGAATAAAGCAGCGGTTGATGACATGATGCTTGCGATTCAAAACAATCTGGAAATTAATGCAATGGGTGAACAAAATGAATAAATAAATAAATAAATAACACAAAAGACTGGGTATCAAGTTGCAAAGAAAGCTAACAAGAATTGGGATCAATGGAAAACAAGGAAACCCAAAAATAAATAAATAAATCTTTTGAGAAATCGATGTATCTCCAAGACGGCGTTTTCGAGGAATATATATATTTTGTCAACGAGCAATGATATAATAAAGTCAATGATTAGAATAAGAAAAAAAGAAAAGGACTTCCCGATATGTTGTAAACGTGAATTACGTTTGAGTCGGCAAATGAAACATTTCGTTAAGTAACATGAAAATTGAAGACTATTAGTTGTGCTTTTGGAAAAGCACAAGAAAAAGCTTGAGATGATCAAAAATGAGAGGTAGTCAATTGTAAACTAATAACATGGCTTCAATACTATTCCAGATAAATACATTACGCCGGTTTACTAGCAATGGAAAGCTCTACAAGGATGTGGCAACAAAGCGTCCACGAATGAAAATTGAACCCAGAAAAGTTCTACTTTTGGTTTTGCTTTCTTAGTTCGTGGTTAGTATATTAATCGACGCTGAAACAGCTGAAAAACACTTTCTTGCATTCAATTTGTTTACAATTTCGGCATTTATGTCATCTGTTCCTGCATCCAGGATGTTAGGCTTGGAAAAGCGAAATCTTCGTATTTTGGATCCTAAGGAGAGATTTTAGTTAATATTATTTTTCGCATACATTTAGAGACCAAATTATGAAAATAAAAATTATTGTTTATAATGTGGGTTACTCCAATTGTTTAAATTCGCTTTCTTTTTTCTTTTCTTCACTAGTAAACAAAGCGTATCTTTTTGACTAGAATCCTCCAACGTCATAGACATTTAGTTAACGCGCGTATTTGCATTATGTAATTTTGGCGTTCTCCAGATTCTAGAGTAGCAATTACCGACAAATAATTACGTCACTAAAAGGAGAGCGAAATTGTAAACAAACAATTGATCAATGTAAAAAAAATAAAATAAAATAAAATAAAATAAAATAAAGAAAACACCTTGAATTCAACTAGAAAGAATTGGTTAGATGACTCATTTCGATTCCATTGTTGAAATAAAAAAAAAACACCTATATATATGCAGCTGGACTAATAGAACTGAAAAAGATGACTACTCCAATATGTTTCTTGGCTTGAAAAAGGTAGGTAGGAATAACTTAATTAATTCCTTATTTAACCTATTTAAATTTTCTACGTTTTCAGCTTGCTTTTAGAAAAATTATTTGTATTCATTTGTTTATTGTTATAAAATTCGCTACAAAAACATTTACCTTAGCCTTACCTCAGCATACGTGTACGGTACTAGATGGTGAGAATTAAGTTGTCTGCGGTATTTGGAGATATTTTATCTGATTGATAACAACTTGCTTAATCCGAATAATCCTGTCTGCCTAGCGTCCATCGATCTCAAACCCATTTCCAGTTTCAAAAGATTTGGTTTAATGTCAAACACTTGTCTGATTGTCGGTTGCGGAGTTTTCGGCCTTTCTTCTGCTGTCGATTTAGCTAAACAGCGTGTCTTCGACAGGATCGTTGCCATTGATGCAGAAGCCGTACCATCTAGTATGTCAGCTGCAAACGACTTGAACAAAATCGTCCGTCCAGAGTATGCAGATATAAAGTATATGAAGCTTGCATTAGAAGCAATGGACTCTTGGAGATCCAATTCTCCGGTATCTTCTGCATATCATGAAAGCGGCCGCTTAAGTATCAATTCAAAAGACCCAAACAGACGTCAATTTGACTCTGTCTCTCAAGCAAACTTACGAAAATTGTTGGGCAAAGATGCATTAATGGATCTCAAATCTCCAGACGAGATTCGTAAAAAATTTCCAACTTTCTTATCGAACGCTCCATTAAATGAAGATATCTCGGCTGTCTTTAATGAACGCGCTGGCTATGCCAGTGCGTCCGAGGCGTAAGTTGCTATGGAATCAGAAGCTAAGAAATACGGTGTTGAATTTCGATATGGAAAGTGTGGTTCCTTTAAACATTTCATTTTTCCAGATAGCAAATCTAACTCCAGTGCTTCAGCAGCTGTGGAGACAGAAGACGGTTCAGTCATCCAAGCGGATACAATTTTACTAGCCATAGGTGCTTATATGAATGCCTACGTTCATACAGACCGTAGGGTTATAGCCAAAGGATTACCGGTCGCTCATATGCAATTAACAGAAGATGAATACAATCATTACAAAAATATACCAATTGTTTTTGACCCCGACGTAGCCTACATCTTTCCCCCGGATCCAAAAAGCAAACTACTAAAGTTCTCTAGCGCCGGCTATGAATATGTGTACAATACACGGACTCGTTACAATGAATCCATCATTACCTCTATACCAACTACACCATCTCAATACACTGATATCCCTGATTACGCTAAAGAAAGCATTTATCGTTTTCTACGGATGTACCTTCCTGAATTAGCGGATCGCCCTCTAGAGAAGTGTAAGATGTGCTGGATCTCTGACACTTCCGATTCCGAGTTCTTAATTGATAAATTACCTGGAACAGATAATGTTCTCATTGTTAATGGAGACAGTGGTCATGCTTTCAAGTTTTTACCCAACATAGGCAAGTACGTTACTCAGAAAATACGCGGTACACTATCGACTGAATGGCGAGAAGCTTGGAAATGGAAGAATGTGGACGAACACAGTAGGGAAGTGAAATGGAGAGGTTCTCAAACTTTAGCTGATCTGAAGGATGTCAGTTTTACGCCAAACAAGTGAACCCAGTTTTGGAATTGTCCATATTTAAGCTTAATAGTTCCTAATTATAACAAAACCAAATAGATCTTTCCTACGATTTTATTATTTAGATTTACAAAAAATAAATAAAGACTTTTTTGTGCCTTTGCTATCTAAAATACAGCGAACATTCAACTCTTAGAACGGACAATGTTGAAAAATCGCATCCCAGTCATCCTGAATAATGTTAGCTACGAAATCCCGAAGAATATACAAAACTTACCCAATTAATATCTAAATTTGTCGGATCCAAGAATCCCATTTCAGGAGTGTTTTCTTCTGATAATCCTAAATTGTTGGAAGTACTTAATCCTAGTTTTTCCCAGACATGGTTCCGTGAAGTTTGTAACAAAGCCCAGGCCTGATGAAAACGTCGAATATCCGTAATTTTGGGAAACAGGGAGAATATCTGATTAATCATAACCACTCTCTTGTCATCCAAAAATATATTTTGTTCAGATTGTAATATATCCAAAAGAAGAACAATGCACGGATGAAAAGGGGGGTATCTCCAAAAAAACCATGAATATATAGAAAATTCGGGGGTGGTGCATAGCTCGTATAAGCTGGATAAAGCGGTCATAGCACACTCGACAGCACGGACACGGCTGTATGAATAAACTGAAGGACCTTCCTTTAATAGAAATGGAAAATGAGCCAAGAGTGGGAACCGCTGGAATATATAAGTCGTGAAAAGTTGCAGTAGTCTTTCATGAACTGTTGTAGGATTAGGAAGTAACTCCTGTTTGACTTCTTTTATAAAAGTGCTAAATTTCTGATCCATCTCCAAAATTGTACTGTAATTTGGAGTTTTCAACCCTAATAGTACTCGTGTATATTTGGAGATTTTACGTGATACTCTACCCGTGAGGCAAATGAAAGACCCTGCAGCAAAGACTGATGGATCAGCTTCATACGTTTCATCTGGAAGAAGTCTAGGAAAACTTGTGTCATAACTGTCTTCTTGTATTCGAGGAGGAATCCCGGTCAATTCAGACACTCTTATATCCAAGATCAGCACAGAAGACCAAATTCGTCGTCTAATTTCAGTAAATTCATTATTTAATCCATACAAAGAACCATCTCGGTGCAGACCCATAAAATATGCACTTTGTGTAATCAGTCCTACTATAGAAGGAGGAGCTAACAAACTATCAGAATCAAAAGTTATCTGAGAAATTAGTATACATGAGAACAAAATAATAAAACTGTAATAAAATGTGTACCTGACGTATTATCAAAGCTCTTAAAGTATTTAAATCAGGATCAATTAAAAAATCAGAGGCTGCCAAAGCATAACGAAAGGCTAAAGGATAGTCTGTATGTAAATACTTTTCATCTTTCCCTAAATTCCAGCTGATACGGGTTTCAACTGGTGAAGCAAGTAAGGCACTAGCAAACATTGAGAAAAGAAGAGAAGTCATTGATGGGTTTCTTTGAGTAGGATCCTCCCAAAAAAGTTTGTATCTCTCCAAGAACATAGGTTTATGTAAGACAGGCATAAATAAATGACACCGAAGGAAGTATTCCCTAACAAAAATGTCGGAGATGTACTTCGGTGGAAGAAAATTCAGAGCGTTTTCAGGAGCGGGGAGGCGATATAGAAAGGATTCTTGTGTCCTTGTCTTTTCATTTTCAGGTAATTCCTGATCAATATTCAGAGAGTTTGTCTTTCGTAAATGCCAGGCCACATGAGAAGATGAAGGATAATTGACATAAGTGGTTTTCGTTAAATCTCGCAAAGATAAAGTACCTATATTCCGTTCGGCTTCATCAGAAGCAGGTAATTCTTCTTTTACATCTGGATGTGGTGTTGCTGATGTCGTATCTGTAAAAAAAGATTAGTACTGCAAGAATGCAAGAAGGGATTCTTACCCTGGGATGGACCATGAGAGTTGGACTCTCCGAGCATATGCTCAAGATGAGAAATCCTAGTTAAAAGCTCATTTATGACAGAATCTGTTTCACTTCCTCCATCAAATCCACTTAATGACGGTCGTCCTTGTTGCAAGTATATACACGAATATGTTGTACCTCTCTTTTTACAGTTCGAACAAGGTCTTCCATGATCACACTTCAGTTTCTTTTTTCTACATGCCAAGCATGAATGAATAGCACGACGTGTAGTTTGTCCTATTTTCTTAGAACCCGTTTTTGACAACTCCATGTCTAGTGCTGCATAACCAAGAAAATCATAAACCGGCCAGGATGGTTTTATTGCCAAATATCTGAAACCAATATTTTTAAGAGAAACCAAAAAGAAGAGAGAAAAAAGAAGTGAAGACCAAGGATAAACCTGCTAGGATGATAGCGTACTAACAGCCGCGGATTTCTTTCACTCTGTTAATCTATTAATAAATTTAGAAGTTTAGGCATAAAATAAGAGTAAGAACCCTAACTAATATTACTAATATCCTTGCATTTAGCTTTGGGAGTGGGCAAGTAACTAATTTCACCTTCTTTAAATCTATGGGACATCATTTTCGCTTAAAAGTAGACTTAATCATACTCGAATCCCTTGTAGTATGAAACTTGAATCACGTATGAAAAGAAGTTAAAGCTTTTGCAGCAAAAGAAAAAAAATAGACGCGACCTTTTCATCGTTTTATTCAGACTGTCAACACTTCACTGTTTGTGCTTTATAAGGAACAACTTGGTCCATCAGAACTATTCATATGAAATGCCTAAACCAATGGATTTTTTTAAGGCTGATTCAATAAAATGGTATAAATATCATAGGTGAGAAATATTGAGAATATCATGCATTGGAAGATTGTGTATTAATTTAATCTGGATGAAAGTCATCGAGCCAAATGGCTGATTTAATACTTAATAATTTTGTAATGGTGATCTTCTTTACAATATTCATCGTTACTACTGGGAAGATAGAAAGTACTTGCTGCCTGTCAAGTCACAACACCAAGATCCTCATTTCCTTCCTTCATGACTTGTAAATTCTTTAATTGATTTTGTTTTCTACAGATACTCAAGTACGTTATACTGAAATGTAAAAACTTTTTAAAACCAAAAAAAAAGGCATACGTAAGTAAACAAAGATATATCTTAGTATAGGAGGAAATAGTAAGTCACTGAAAATTTACACCAATATATCGTGTTACCGAGGGAATTGCTGAATTTGTATGAAAACATAATCAGATAAGGAAAAGCAAAATTACTTCGCTTTTCTGGTACGCTGAATACCCAGAACTCCCCCAAACTGGTAAAAGACCGGATTTTCCAAAAACAGTGGAACTGTTCTAACGCTTATATCTATGGATCAAAAGTTACAATCTGCTGTAAGCGAGTCAGCAAATGTTACTGCAAAACCTCCTGTGCAACCAAAGAGACTAGGGCCGGTAATGGGGTTCGTTTCTGGAGGTGTTGCTGCATGCGGTGCTGTCACTCTTACCAATCCTTTTGAAATTATAAAAACTCGTTTTCAACTTCAGGGACAGTTAACAAAGGTAGATGCGTCTAAGAATATTTACAAAACTGTTCCACAAGCTTTCAAATTGATTCTAAAGCATGAAGGAATTCGTGGACTTCAGAGAGGTCTTGGAACTGCTTACGTTTATCAGCTTTTCTTAAATGGCTGTCGTCTTGGTTTCTATGACCCCATTCGTTCGTTTTTAAATCGGAACCTTTTGAAGGATCCAAAGGGTAACAGCGTGGCCATCAATGTGCTCAGTGGTGCTGGATCTGGTTTCTTTGGTGCTTTGTTTGGTTCTCCTTTCTTCTTGATCAAAACCCGTATGCAGTCGTACTCTCCTGCTTTCCCTATTGGTGAGCAGTATGGTTACAAACATATTTTTGACGGTTTTAAGCGAATTATCAAAGAAAACGGTGTTCGAGGAATTTTCGTTGGTGCTGACGCAGCTATCATCCGTACGGTATCGGGTTCAGCCGTACAGCTTCCTATTTACAACTGGGCCAAGCGCACTATTGAACACAACAATCTTATGGAGGAGGGAACACTCAAACATTTAACCGCTAGCTCTATTTCCGGCTTTGGTGTATGCTGTTGCATGCAAGTCTTTGATACCGTAATGACCCGGATGTATAACCAAAAGAACAAAGAGCTTTACAAGAACCCCCTTGACTGTATCCTTAAGACGGTACGCGCTGAAGGGTTTTTTGCCTTGTATAAGGGTTTCGGCGCTCACTTGGCGAGAATTGCTCCTCATACCATTTTCACTCTTACCTTTGCTGAACAGACAAACAAATTGTTTTCTAAACTTTCCAAGGACTAGAGGGCTTCTTTCTTCTGTAATTTAAAAAAATGACAGAGATTGTACATACATTTGCGTCGTTTCCTCCGTAGTCTGTGTTTACTAGAGAACTTTAGTAATCATGCTAAGGTGTACTCCTTTAAATACGCTTATTTTTGTTTAAATAAGAGCTATTTTTATTTATTGACATGCAAAAGGTGTATTTCTCGAGGTGCATTTTTACGCATTAAAGTAACCTATGTTTAATGAATTTCCCAGGGATATTGTTTGTTTGCTCTTAATTATGCTTACTTTGTATATTTGAATTTAATTTTTTTTTTTAAAAATTATTGTAGTCATCTCAAAACAAACCAATGTACAATGATATTTACAAGGTACACAACCTCCAGTACGAAAGAATGCCCGTTAGCCATCTCTGCGATTTCACATAACTGTCGATAATCTATGCATTAACCAAATAACTTCAATAAAGAGACATACATTTTACAAGTAGAAAATTAAATCTTTAAAAACGTGTTTCTTTTATTGATCACATTCAAAAAATGACAAGTAAGTCTTATAGATATGAATTCACTATATGCTAACATGTCTTCCGAAAGTACACTCTTTAGAATTATTCCTAATAAAAAACAGGCATGAATTTACGTGTAGCATATCTCAAATAGCCAACAGGAAGTTGGGAATTGATGCCAGCTATTTCCTATTAGAACTACTAAAAAGATTGAGCCCTGAAGAGCTTCAGGCAATTTCTGTGGATGGAGAATCTGAGATCCTTTATAATTACCTTGATCAATTTCTTAATGTCTTGAATATGTACAGCATTACTCCTTTGTTCGTTTTTAACGGCATTTCTCTAACCTTTGAAGCTAGCGGTCAAAGCGAAGCTTCGCACAAACAGGGAAAGTTATCTAGGATGCAGCATTTCTTATCAAGATTTAACCCATATGATGCCAACATTCATACTAATTTGTATCGAATGGACCCGGATGGTAACCGTCATCGTAACCAGTCTGAAAATAGACGTACCTTCCTTTATAGTAGTCAACGGGATCCTTTAGATAGATTATGTGACTTTTTAAAGATAATTTTAGACCAAAAGGACATTGACTATTTTGTTGCTCCCTATTTGGCAATGGCGCAGCTTTCCTATTTCCAAGGAGGTGGATCAAAACATTATCTTGATGCCGTATATGGACCTGAAGATCTTCTCCTTTTCAATGTGAAACGTCCAATTTATTCAATTAATATTCCGTATTTGCAATTAGAATCCTTCCGTTCTTCGTTCTCCAATCCTCAGCTGCTTGAATCAGACAAAGGGTCTTCTACTATTCAATGGCTAGATGGAGACGCTATTTTTCAAGACAGCAGATGTGGATCTTGGAATCAATTTGTCGAGGCATGCTTACTTTGTGGTACCTCCATTTCGCCCACACTCCCTCAATTTGAAGGAACATTCTTATTGAAATCTTCAATAGAGCTTGTTACAATGCTTGGTTCTGCTTATCGTGTAGTAGAAGGATTCGCTGACACAATGCCACCAAGCATTGCTCAAGAATTAATTCAGCAATATAGGCGATCTTTTTGTTATTTAAATTACTGTATCATTATGAACGAAAAGGGAATTGCTTCTCCACCAGTACCAGAGGATTCTGTTCCCACTGATATTAATGTATTTATGGGAACAAGGCTTCCCAATGAATTATACTACTATATTTCTCGTGGATTACTTCCTACTAGGATGATTGGGGCACTAGTATCTGGATGTTTCAGTGACCCCGTTTCTATACTAGAACAGCACGTTGGGAATTCTTCAAATCAGGAAAGCGTAAAGCCAGATCCTGCTGCTCATAAAAATGCAGTCGCAATGGCTGCTGTCAACCATCGAAGGTTTGTTGATGATTTAGAGGAAATTTGGTCTCAAGGTCTCAATTTGCTAACTCAACCTCTTCACCGATTTTATCAGGCTCGCGATGTCATATCTCTTCATGGCCATAACCAACAAGCCTCTTTGAAAGTTATGCACAGCTATGATCCTCCATTATATATCGACACCAGAGCTTGGATGATTTATGATGAATGCATACCATTCAGTATAAAGAAAGCAGTGGGAGAAAATAAACCTATTAATATACATAGTATGCTTGATTGTTTAAAGGATGTGGGTTTTGTCGAAAAAAGCTTTTGCCCAGATACCGGTATAGGCATAAAAAACCCCCCGAAGCGTCTGCTTTCCACAACTCCTGAAATAGTTTTGAGCTCTTTTTACCGGTTTCTTCAGATTCGATCATTCGTATCAACGACCCATCAATTAACGTCTTGGGGTTCTCCTTTATTAATAGCTCTCGAAAAATGTAATATTCGGTATCAAAGCTCTATGTGTGTTTTGTTTGAGTTATTACGCCTGCGGCAAATAAAAGAACCAAGGTTTGATTCTGCAACTTCTTCCACACTATATATTCCGTCCGTAATTGAGTTTTTATCGAAACTTGCTACATTCCTTCCCATAGGGAAAGAAGCAGTATACCAGTTATCTACGTCTAATCGCGATTTATTACAATTTTATATGATGCAAACCAGTTTTGGTGCTAACCTTCACGAGTTGGCCGCTATCCTAATAGCGTCTGTTATTATGAACGCTAATGCTGACAGGAATCTTGTGAACCCATATTCGATAAGAAAAACGTAAGAAAATCACGCTATTTTAGTTATTGTTACTAACTTTCATTTAGATTCCCTTTTCGAAGAAACTTTTGTAGCCTACTGTCAGGAATAATTATGAATCAGCTTCTGCAGACTCTCTCTACTAGTGATAATGAGATGAATAGGGAAGTTGCTGTCGAAACTGCTTTCAAAAAATTAAAAGAAGATTTTCCATACGTTACGGATATAAAAGCATTTTTGTCCGACTTTTTGGATTTTTGGTCTGCTTTTATGAACGGTGTCAAAGAAGCCGAAAGTACTAGTGCCATTGGAAAACTAGTTGCCAGCAAACTATACCTTACGAATGACTGGTTAAATTCTCTACAGCTGGTTTAGAATAAATAAATTTACAGTATTTTCAAGTTTCCAAAGTGCTTTCCGTTAGACTCTTGAATATATCGAATTTGATTCTATGTAAATACCAACCCGGCTCCCGATATTTTAGTTGACTTCTAATGTTTCGATGTTTCTTTATTGCTATCATGTAATTTATATAGAGCGCGGTATACTTGGCAATTTTGGGGTTTCTTCTTTTTATACGGGTTTCACGAATTTATCGAATTTTCGTAATTTGATACGGACTAAACGAACCTGGTCTTATAATGACCAACCAATAGTCACTAAAATTAGAGGATAACGGATACATTACAATAATACAAAACAACAAATTCATCTGTTTACATTTGTAAATAGCGCAATCTAGCAATATTTCGTTATATGAAAAATCATTGGAAGAGATTTCGGAGAGGAAGCACTGTCTTGTTAGCTTGTTCCAACATCGAAGTTAAATTTATGCAAATGCACTTATGAAGTCCAATGGCAATGATAAAGATTTTGCAGAAATGGAAATACGATCATCAAATGATCACGATGTTGCAGTGAACACTGATGTTGGCGGTCAAAGTGAAAATGTAAATAGTCGTGTGGCAGATCGTCGAGGAAGCGTTCATGTACGTTTTCAGGACATGTCCCCTCCGTTAAGTATTATAGAAGACGAATTTCACGACGTAAACATTGACGAGCCGGACACCAAATCGAAAGACAATGCGAGTTTCGTCAGTGGAACAGAGGTCGAGAATGAAGGGAAAAGTAAAAGTAATTTAAAGTCAGTGCTCGGGCAGACAGCAAATACAATGAAGTCTGCTGTAAGGACGACAGTTAAATCCGATAAGCCTCCCGCTAAGGCAAAGAAAAGAGTCCATGTCTCTTTTCCGGAAGAAATTCCTATGGATGATATGAAAAAGCCTTCACATCCTACTAGCGAGGGTGAAACTACTCCAAAGATTTACGGACGTCAAAACATTCCCGAGGAATTACTGAAAAAAAAAAGTAAGAAGTTTTCGTTCCCGAATCCTTTGACATACCTTTCTAACAAGATTGCATCCTTATTTGAAAGGGACTTTCGCCAACTCAAATCAAAAGATGGGAGGCATATTATCATTGATCCGTACGATGATTCTTCACAAATCGATGAGCGTATAGGAAAACCCTTTATAAAAAACAGCATTGTATCTTCTCGGTATAATAAATATAACTTCGTTCCTTTACAAATTATAGCTCAATTTTCAAAGACTGCTAATTGCTATTTCTTACTAATTGCAATTATGCAAATGATCCCTGGATGGTCCACTACTGGTACATACACCACTATCATACCTTTACTAATTTTTATCTCTATTGCAATATTGCGAGAAGGATTTGACAACTATCGTCGCTACCGACAAGATCGAGTGGAAAATAGAATTCAGGTTCAGGTTTTAAGGCATGTTGATAATGCACCTCCTATAGCAGATGAACAGCCATCTTTCTTTCGTAGAAGGAAATGGAGAAAACGAGGAGGATCCCAGGATACTGGTTCTAAAAGTTGGTCCAATTCCCTTCATGGAATACCTGATTCCCCTCCTCCGCATTCACCTACCGTCGTTCAATGTAAGGATGCTTCCACCAACCTAGATTCTCAAAAACCAACTCCCGTTGAATCTATAATAAAACCAACATTCTTTTGGGCTAATTGTGATTGGAAAGATGTGCGTATTGGTGACATTGTTAGACTATCTTCAAACGAGTCTGTTCCTGCCGATGTAATTGCCCTATCGAGTCCGCATCCCAATGGTGCTGTATACGTTGAAACAGCAGCTTTAGACGGAGAAACTTCTTTAAAAACAAAGCTCGTAAATTCCACTTTACGATCTTATTGCAAGGATATCAATGACCTTAGTCGCCTTTCTGGTGAATGTATAATTGAAGATCCTAATGGAAATCTATACGAATTTAATGGAAGAATTCGTCTAAATTCAGAAGAAAAAGAAATTCCTATTGCTAATAACGATGTCATTTACAGAGGTTCAATTTTAAGGAATACTCCAGAATTATTTGGGTTGGTTATCTATACCGGAGAAGAAACCAAAATTCGAATGAATGCCTCGCGTAATCTTCGAGTTAAGGCGCCCTCCATGCAACGGGATACGAACAAAATTGTCATATTTATTTTTGTTTTAGTCGTAAGTATGGCTATATACTGTACTGTTGCATATTTTATATGGCAGAAAAAGGTGGAAACGAAATTATGGTACCTGTCAGACGGAAGTCTTGCTTTTGTACCTATTCTTGTCTCCTTTATCATTCTATATAACACGATGGTTCCTATTTCCCTATATGTATCAATGGAAATTATTCGCGTCTGTCAGACTTTCTATGTTCAGAGTGATATTGATATGTATTACCCAGATACCGATACGCGTTGTGAAGTTCGAAGTTCATCTATCCTTGAAGAGCTGGGTCAAGTAACGCATGTTTTTTCAGACAAGACAGGAACACTAACAGATAACGTTATGCTGTTTCGAAATTTATCAGTCGGAGGTTTTGCTTGGCAACATATTGGGGCCGAAAATCCTAGGTTGTTACCAACAGATGAAAAGAAAGATGCTAACGATGAGATTAAAACTCCTCAATTTTCGGAAAATATTGAAGGAACTACTATCCAACTGCTCCAATACGTGTATGATAATCCTCACACTACTTTTTCCAAAAAAGTTAGAATATTTCTTTTGAGTATGGCTATATGCCATACATGTCTTCCCTCATATGATGAGAAAGACAATATTTATCGCTATCAGTCTACCTCTCCTGATGAATTGGCACTCGTACACGCCGCTCAACAACTTGGATATATCGTAATAGATCGAAATATGGACGCCGTTTCAATTCGTCTGCATTATCCCTTAGATAATCGTTCCTACCCAATTACAAAAACCTATAAGGTTTTGAACACTATTGAATTTAACAGTAAAAGGAAACGGATGTCAGTAATCGTTCGAATGCCAAATGGTCGTATATGTTTATTTACAAAAGGGGCTGACTCTACAATTACTGAAAGACTTCGGCTTTCGGAGCTTGCCAAAAAGAAAAGTCGTACTGTTACCAAAGCGGAAAAAGCTCGGAAAAGTGTAGAAATCGATAAAGCTATTATAAGAAATAGTATGAGTACCGCTAGACCAAGTCTGACAGCATCTCGACCAAGTTTAACCAGAAGACGCGCGGACTATATAAACAATGTCACCTCTTGGTTAGATGAACGTAGGCAAAGGATGGGCTCAATTCGGCCACGAGCTAGTACCAGTATACTAGAAACGAGACGCCCTGCAGCACCTGGAAGACATTCGTTTGCCGTTGGAGAACGACTTTCGGATAAAAAACTTTCCAAGAAAGAAGAGGCGGAAGGATCGCTGCTTGAAAGCTTGTGCCACAATGATGCTGCAATGTTCGAAAACACTTTCAAACATGTCAATGCTTTTGCTTCAGATGGCTTAAGAACGCTTATCTATGCTCACAAATTTTTGGAAGAGGAAGAATATAAGGAGTGGAAGGCATTAAATGATGAAGCTCTAAATAGCTTAACCAATAGACAACAACTATTGGATGATGCCGCTGAGTTAATTGAAAATAATTTGGAGTTTTCAGGTGCTACTGCGATTGAAGATAAACTTCAAATGGGCGTTCCTGAATCGATTAATTCTCTTTTTAGAGCTGGTATAAAGTTTTGGGTCTTAACTGGTGATAAGAAAGAAACAGCAATTAATATTGGACACTCTTGTGGTGTTATTAAAGAATTTTCGACTGTGTTGGTATTGGGATCAGTAGATGAAAAACCAGGAAGTGATGATACTATAAAGGGGGGACAGAGACTTTCTTTAGATCACCCCCAAGAGATTGACACAACCAATCTCGTAATTCATCAATTGGTATCAAGTATAAAAGCAATAGAGAGTAACTCGGTTGCTCACTTGGTCCTAGTAATTGATGGTGCTACACTCGATATCATAGAAAGCGATCGTGACGTATTTAGGCTTTTCATAAACACAGCCGTTAAAGTTGACTCAGTTATATGCTGCAGAGCGAGTCCTATGCAAAAAGCATTCATGGTTAAATCTGTACGCGAGAACATCGATTCCGCCGTGACTTTAGCAGTTGGAGATGGCGCTAACGATATTGCCATGATCCAAGAGGCTCACGTAGGAATTGGTATCGCTGGACTTGAAGGTCTGCAAGCAGCACGTTCGTCTGATTTTTCAATTGCCAGATTCAAATTCTTGATTAAACTACTTTTCTGCCATGGTCGATGGAATTACGTACGTCTCTCAAAATACATTTTGGGTACGTTCTACAAAGAGCAGTTCTTCTTTTTGATGCAAGCTATAATGCAGCCTTTTGTTGGATATACTGGACAAAGTTTGTATGAAAACTGGGGACTTACTTGCTTTAATACTCTTTTCTCGTCTCTGTGTGTCATTGGTCTTGGCATATTCGACAAAGACTTAAATGTCAGTACTGTCGTTGCTGTTCCAGAATTATATCAAAAAGGCATTAACAACGAAGCGTTCAATTGGCAAGTCTACGTAAGGTGGTCATCTTTAGCATTTATGCAAGCCTTTTTAGTGTTTTATGTTACATATGCGTTATATGGCCTTAAGCAGCTAACCGATAATAATTTATTTGCCTTTGGACAACTGATTTTTACTGCTGCTATTGTTGTGATGAACTTTAAGCTTGTTTTCGTTGAAATGCAGTATGTGAGTATTATTTCTTATATTGTTATAATTCTCACACTTCTGGGATGGATGTTCTTCAATATGTTTATTAGTGATCATTATCCTGACCAGAATATTTATCTTGGCAAATCACAGTTCTTTCATCACTTCGGTAAAAATGCTGGATGGTGGCTTACAGTGCTTTTGGTTACCGTTCTTGCTGTGGTATTGGATATAATTCTACAAATGATGCGTCGAATGCTGAAGCCAACCGATACTGATATATTTGTGGAATTGGAAAGCGATGCATTCATACACTCACGGTTTGAGCAGGAAAGCAGAGAATTTTTCAATTCGAATTCTAATGAAAAAGATGAAATTGAACGGTATCTCAAAGCTCGCGAATGAGGATTTACTTTAATTTATTATGTCTATTTAAAAGTGTTAAGATTCAGTACACTTTTGTTTTTATTTATATTTTGACTCAATTTTGTTATACATTATGTTTACGACATAGAATCTGACACACATTTATAAGTCTTTTTGGCAATGTTTTTATTCTTTTTTTCTCTTTTTTTTTCTTATCTCATTTATTGTCTGTTCTTTTCCAGTTTCGTTATATAATATAGTTTGTTATGCTTTTTTTAACTACATCTTTTTAATGAATACGCATTCCTTGACGGATATTTTCCATTTTGTATCCCAAATGTTCAAGTCAAGTTAATTGAAAATTTTATTTATTAAAACGCTAATAGATGATAGAAAATAACGAACAAAACATGTAATTTGGATTCATCAAAATAGAAACAAGACTGACTCTTTTAAGTCTTGCTTCCATCCTTAATATGCAATGAGGTAAAGAAACAGGCGAACAACAAAAGTTAAGCAACCAATCAATTAATTTTAAAATTACAAAGCTCCCTTCATGGTGAGATAATTAAACTTTTTGTAAGTGTATCCCAGGAAAGCCATATTTGTTTGTTCAAGCGTGCTTGGATCTACGTTAGCCACTGGGGTTGCAACAGGTTCATCGGGAACTTGACTCAAATCGTCCACAGGGAAATAATGAGTATCGGTAATTGATCTTAAAGATGGTATAAATGGAGCAGGACTACTACGAAGATTATCCCAATCAATTCCGTTAAAATAGGGGTGCTGCATGATTTCAGTGACACCGCCGCGGCCCAGCCTGTGTTCAGAATCAGTCATAAGTCGATTCATCAAGTCTCGTGCCTCAAAACTAAGATGGATATCATTAGGAAAAACTAAAGTTTCTCTCCAATTGACAATTTTACGATAGGTTTCGTGTGAATTTTCACTGCAAAACGGAGGCCAGCCTATGAGACATTCAAACATAATAGTACCCAAGCTCCACCAGTCACAATCTTGTCCATAACCACGTTGTAAAAAGATTTCTGGTGCAATATAATCGGGAGTACCTACAGTACTATACGCCATGACACGACGATTTTTCTTCCAGGTAGCCATTTTATCTTTAGAGGACATGGTTAGCCAAATGGCGTCTACCATTTGTCCTCTCTTTAGAGTGTTTCCGCTTTTTGGAGGCCTCATGTAAGAAGCACTTTGATCTTGCTTATAGAAACCAGTGGACAAGCCAAAATCAGATAATTTGATATGACCATCACGGTCAATCAAAATATTGTCGGGTTTAATATCACGATGGATGTATCCCATTCGATGGACGTCGGCAATAGCCAAAACAGTTTCAGCCATGTAAAACCGCGTAACATCTTCTGAAAACGTATCGTAATTAATCAACATGGTCATTAAGTCACCTCCTGGCAGAAATTCCATTATAAGGTAAAGGTATAAGGAATCTTGAAAAGAGAAATAAAGAGAAACCACCCAAGGAGAATCTGATTCTACTAACAAATCACGTTCAGCCTTGACATGGGAAAGTTGATCCCTTTTGAACATTTCGGTTTTCAGTAAAGACTTCATAGCATAGATCTTTCCGGTATCCCTTTTCTGTACTAGTCGTACCTATTTGTGTTAATGATAAAAACTATAAAACAACATAAACATACTTCACCAAAAGCACCTTTACCAATTACTTTAATAGTTGAAAAGTCTTCTAAAGATAGTCTAGTCCTTCGAAAACGTAAGAATTGTGACTCCCTCTCTCCCAGCACTCTTAACTGTCTGTTCTTTCTTTCATCAGATCCGCGCTCTGTAGTTAATTTTCGCTCGAGCTCAATTCTTCTGTAGAAATGGTTAATATAGCTATTCTCAAAAATTATAAATTATAAAATAATCAAAATTTTCCATCGTACGGACTACGCAAAGAAACTGCTTTCCGTATTAAAGTAATAGGCTTGACCTTGAATGAGCCAAAATCAAACTGAAGGTAGCACAGATGAACTATTTCTAAATATCTGTTTACAAAAACGCACTAACATGTCCATATGGGAAATATTCAATTGCAGCATTTGACTTACCTTTGATTTCTTTCTACAGCATGTTCCACTGCTACCTTATAATAATGCTCTATATATTTTTTCGTTTTCTGTGCTTTCTCTAATGTTGTATTAGGGAAAAGAGAAGGATTTCTTTCAAAATGAGCAGAACCGCTATTTTCCATGGTGTTGATCATGCAAAAATCTTCAGGATTTGGAGAATCTAACGACCTTCAGTCCAGAAAAAAAGGCGCATATATTTCAAAATTGGTACAATGTCTTTAGCTATAGAAAAGAGCGGTACAAACGGACTATATATTCTCAATGGTAGGTAGTTGAATAGTAAATCTTTTCGCTCACTCAAGAATGAACTGCAAGTATCAATGTTACTTTTCCTCTTTGAATTGTATAGCGGTTTATAATTTAGTAGAGAAATTCTCAATGTAAATGACACTTTTCTTTTTCTTTTCTCCTTACAATTTGCTACGAATTGTACACTACCTTTATTTATACAGACTGCAAATCTAATTCAAGTTATGACTTATTATATCTAGGGAAAAATTATAAAAACATAAAGAAAGACGCGACAATAAAAGGTTGTTTGTTATAAGTAGAATAGTACCCACATGGAAAAAAGTTAGTCTTCCAATCTATTAACCTCAGATATATGATGAACATTAAGGGGCTCATGTTTGAATGGAATCTTACTAGGACCCACACCATAAGCAGACGCAATATGACCACTTCCGCGAAGTTGATACTTATAAATGGTTAAACCCTCTAATCCCATAGGACCACGGGCGTGAATCTTGTTTGTACTAATGCCCACCTCAGTACCGAAGCCGTAACGGAAACCATCTGCAAAGCGGGTTGAAGCGTTCCAGTAAACACCAGAAGCATCAATACCAGACATAAACTTATTAGCAGTAGATTCACTAGAAGTCAAGATGCAATCAGTGTGTTTGGAACCATGGGTGTTAATATGTGCCATTGCTTCTTCTAAGGAGGAGACTGTTTTAATAGCCAAAACATAATCCAAAAATTCAGTATCATAATCCTCTTCTGTAGAATGTTGAAGTAAATTTGCGACGGAAGGAATTTTTTCTAAAATTTCATAAGAGCGGCTATCACACTTCAAGACGACGGATGCTTGAGATAACTTTTCGGCAACGGACGGCAACACAGTGGACAATGCATTTTCATGAACCAAGAGGGTCTCAACAGCATTGCAACCAGCTGGGTAATCAGTTTTAGCATCAAAAACGACATTGACGGCAAGATCTTTGTCGGCATCATCATGAAGATACATGGAGCACAAACCATCTGCGTGTCCAAGAACAGGGATTTTTGTATTGTCTTTTATGTATCGAACGAGCTTATCACTACCACGGGGAATAACAAGGTCAATATAGCGATCAAACTGGAGAAGCTGAGCAACTTCTTCACGGTTTTGAACAAGTTGCACTGCACCTTGTGGAACTTTCGTTTTAGAAAGTGCTGAACGTACGACTTCGGACATTGCAGCAAAAGACTTTGTAGATTCAGTACCCCCCTTCAAAACAACGGCATTACCAGATTTTATGGCAAGGGCGGTAATGTTGATAATGACTTCAGGGCGAGCCTCAAAGATGACCAAAAGAACACCAACGGGACAGGAAACACGGTACAAATCTAATTTATCATCAAGGCGACAGCCGTATGTAACACGGCCAAGAGGATCTTCTAGGTTTTTCACGTCTAAAACACCTTGAACCATGGATTCATACTTGCCAGAAGTAGACAAGTCAAGACGTTTCAACATCGATGAGCTCAACTTTCCAGCTTCATTCTGTTTCTTCGCAGCATCCATATCTTCGATATTCGCTTTTAAAATAGCATCTTTTTTGGATGTCAATTCTTCTACAATAACATGAAGTGCTTCATCGCGATCCTTGACAGAGAGGGTTTGAAGAGTAATGAAAGAATCTCTAGCTGTCTTTACATTTGCTTCTAAAGACATTTTTTAAAGGAAACCAAAAATAAAACAAAGAAAAGATTTAAAAGAAAAAGAAAAGAACAATAATAAGTGTTGTAGAACCTTTCTTTTTTTTAAGCTGAGGAAAATTTACAAGAGTTGGTCTGTCCAAGATGGAAGAAGACTAGGTAACATGGTTGTTACCTCATGTGGCTTTCAATTCTTACAGAGAAAAATATAGAAATGTGTGTTTTTCTTTTGGATACCTGTAAGAAACTTTTTGTTCTTTGTTTTTTTTTTCTTTATAAAAAAGAAGGATCATGACGATAAAACGAGCTTACAGCAATGTTTGGCAATGGAACTATATTATAGTCCCTAAAGTATTCGCAATTTCATCAAGAGAAAGACAACTGCAACAAGAAAAATCCTTGGATGAATACATAAAAGCCTATTTCAAAAAAACCTAATTAATTCCTAGTTTGATTTGCGTGTTCTTTTCTTTGCAACGAATGTTGTCTGTTTGTTTACAGATTTTCGTCTTTGCCGATCTGTTTGATCTACGTTGATCCATTTCGTAATTGTTACTTACGAGACATATCAAAAGAAAATCACTTGGACACTTGGTTCAACATATAGGCTCTTTTTCTAAATTTAATGTTGTTTTCGATTGTATTTTCTAACATATATCTTTTACAATGCTTAAATATCCCTAACTTCCGCCAAATCCAGGTTTCTATTTCTTTGGAACTTGAGAGATCTGCAAAGTAACAATCTTATGTCCAATAGATTTCGCAAAAGTCGCTCGTGTGAGGTGAGATCTTTGTTTTATGCGACTAGCAAAAATGTATCAGCGAACTTTTCGCTCTGCTCTACGTGATGATGAGATTTATTCTCTTTTCCTATCAATAAAACCGACTACGGAATTGAAACTGCGAACAAGTCCATCCGTTCTGCTGTCCATATAAACCAAGAGTTTACCTTTACTTCTTCTCTTTTTTTACCCATGGTTAGGATGATTACCTAGCGGTTATAGCGACCAACCTAACCTAACCTAACCTGGGTCTTCAATGGTTTCCTCGAAGATGAACGTACATTTATTTACAGCTAGTTTCCTTTACATCCAGCGAGCACTATGATAATAAAAAGATCAATTCAAGAAGCTACCATGCTTGAGTTTGTGTATCCATCACTATTTCATGTCCATGTTGTAGTCTATGACTTTCATCGCTAAAGGGAATTGAAGGATACGCTCCAGTAACCCCCATGCATCCTTCATGTAGGTGGGATGCGCTTTTGGTAGAAGTCTTGCTTACTTGGGTTATTTCGCGTCCTCAAGGCACTACGTGGGGGCGTTGAAAGCAAAAGACCATGGACTGAATTCGTTGCAAAACGTTCTCATTCGTTCTATTTACTTACGGTACTGTTGCAAACAAAATGGTATTATGTTATACGCAATTACAACATACAGTTTGCAAAGTTGGCTAACGGACTCGAAAGCACTGTTACGCAAAGAACAGTTGGTGAATTGGTTGACTTCATGGTACTTTGGATGATTGGCAGGATGAATGACGACGCCTTTGGTGAGTTCGAGAAAAACAAAAGGTTTGGGTGATTTGTCATACAAAGCTGGTGAATATTGAACCGAAAGAGAAATTAAATACAAGAATTGTTCATTTGAAAACAAAACGTCTTATAGGCTGATTTTGGGTGTATAATGTTGTTTTACCGGAGACATATATAAAGGTGTCCACGTCAGTCATGAAATTTACCAACTTCCACTCTCCCAAGTGAAACAGGATTTATAAACGATTCACACATTTTATGACTATGAAGGCTGTAGCAGTTCTCCGCGGTGATACTAAAGTTAACGGTGTCGTTTCTTTTGAACAAGAAAACGAAAAGGCTCCCGTCACCGTTTCTGTCGATTTGAAGGGCAACGACGCCAATGCCAAGCGTGGATTCCACATCCACCAATTTGGTGACAACACCAATGGCTGTACCTCTGCTGGTCCTCACTTCAACCCCACTGGCACTACTCACGGTGACCGTGCTGCCTCTGTTCGTCACGTTGGTGACTTGGGCAACGTTGTCGCTGATGGTAACGGTGAGATCAAGGCCAAGTTTGAGGACTCTGTCATCACTTTGTATGGCCCTCACAACATCATCGGCCGTACCATTGTCATCCACGCCGGTGAAGATGACCTCGGTAAGGGTGGTAATGAAGAGTCTTTGAAGACTGGTAACGCTGGTGGCCGTAACGCTTGCGGTGTCATTGGTGTCGCTGTTTAAACGCACAGATGCACATTTATATATCCTATGATTCTACAAATTTGATATCTACAGATTATTTTTGGATATCTGTCACGAATTGAACGATGGATCTTTTCTTAAGAAAAAGATCAGTTATGGTGCAGTTTTGTTAGGTGTTGAGGTATTACGAATGATGATATTTGTTTCATGAAAAAGTGTTTTTTTTTTCGTTAATATTTGTGAACTTGTAATTATGTAGATGTAGCCTTTGTTAGATGACCAAAAGGTCTATACCTTTGGCATTTCTGTGTAAGCTGTTTCATATGATTTAGTTGTCTTAAGTCTGTGCAGTTAGTACAAGTTCTTAGTTTTTAATGCCCAATTGGGAAGAGCGTTCTTGTCTTTCCAATGACATCCTAAATGCTAGTAATAGAAGAACTTTAAATCTACAATCGTTTCTAACAAGTTCACAAAATGGAGCTGTGATTTTCTTTCGTCTCAGTTCAACTCAAATACAATCTCATTCTGACAATGTCTTTTTTTTTGTTTTTTTTTTAGCAAGAATTGATATAATGTGGACGTGAATAGAGATTCACAAATTACTCACTCTATTAATCATGATCAAGCTGCTTTCATTTACTCCCTACCACAAAAAGCATGTCAAAGAAAATTACCCAAATTACTGAATAACAAACGACCTCAGCTTTCTTACCCTTTAGCAACACCTAGCATAGATTAATGAAATGAATATCTAATATTAAAGATGATATCTCGAACTTTACATCTAGAAAGCTTTATCTAATTCACAAACAGAGACTTAACTCTCTCAAAGAGTTAATTAATATGCATTCAGATATCTCTAAATAAAGACCCAGAAGAATTATGTACAAAATAGTTGAGTAACCGAATTAACCCAATACGATTAATGTAAATAAGGGTATGCAAACGCAAAATAATCATAATGTTAATCTCATCTTGCAACACGTACCAGACGTGCCACTGTGGGAAAACATTTATAACAAAAATAAAAACAAATAGTTAAAAGCATATGGTCGTTGCTTTTATATGCATTCAATAGTGACTTTCGATTTACTTGGAGACAAGTTTACCGCCGAGACAACTGTAAGAATCGGGATCATAACATGCGCTACCGCAAGCTTGCAATTTCTTTCCACCGATAATGGGACACAATAAATTGCCGTAGCAGATATAGCTGTTGGAATTGTACCAGGTCTGTCCACATTGAGCAATAGCAGCCGTAGAGGGTTTGGAAGCGTGTGTAGCGCTGGAAGTGGCATGAGTCGAGCTGGCAGTGGGAGGCTTTGATACATTTTTATGAGAAACGGAACCATTATCGCAACTATATTTGGAAGGATCGTAGCAGGAACCATTGCAATCTTCAAAAACATTCCCGTCAACGATAGGACAAAGAACGTCATTGTCATAGCAGACAATAGCACTAGCATCGTACATGGTATTTCCGCATTTACGCATTCCAGTAGTCGGTTTGGGTGAAGGTGAGGAAGAAGAAGAAGAACTGGTTTTAGTAGCAGTGTTAGATTTGCCAGCTTCGGTATGAACAGGAGATACTGCCAAGTCAGGAGGACTTACATTGGGGCCTAAATTGTTGTTGTAACATCCATATTGTTTAGGGTTATAGCAAGCACCATTGCAATTCGCGTATGGTACACCATTAACAATGGGACAAAGGAAGTTACCATCGCAGACGTATGCAGAAGGGTCATACACAGCATTGTTGCAAGTCTTTGGACCAGAGGTGGGTGTGGAAGTAGGAACAGGTACGAAACTGGACATCGAGACTGGAGGAATAGATGTTGAGCTACCAGAAGCAGTATTTGAGGGAGTAGCCGAGTTCGTGACAGAGGTAGTAGCATAAACCTTACTAGTTGTTGTGGTTCCGTAAGACACAGATGGAGAAGAAGAAGGAGCAGGTTCAGAACTGGGGTTAGAGTCATCTGTGTTTTTAGGGTAGTAAACAGCATTTCTTCCGTCCAGACCAGCGGAGAATGCCAAGTACCAAGCACGAGAAGCACCAACATCTAACCAACTAGGTTGAAATGCAGGTGTAGAAAAGTAGCTGTAACTTGTCCATGGATCTACGATAGCATAATCAGCATACAACAAGCTTCTCCAAGAAGGAATTGCTGCTCCAAGGTCATGAACAAGCATATTATCCCATTCGTTTCTGATAAATGATTGTTCACGGATGTAGGCTGAAATAGGAGTAACTGGAAGCATATGAATACCTTGAACAAATTCAGGATTAGTACCGAAATAGGTCACATGGGTGATCTTGTTCATGAAGGTGATACCGGCCACATAGTTAGGTTGCATAGATTCAGGTTGAACATTTCCTTTCGAGTAGTAGATGTACTTATTGAGGGAACGCTTCAAGATAGACAAAATAATGTTTGCACGATCTACCATAGCATCATCACCAGTAACTTCACCCCATAACTTCATACCATAAAAGAAGTTGTAATCCTCGGAAGTAGATTCTTCGTCCTTGCCATCATTTGACTCAAATAGACCTGCTGCCCATGAATGGCCGTGGTAAAAATCAAACATTCTTTGAACGGGGAAATGGGGATCCTGGCTAGTGGGATTGGAAACATCACGAATAAGTGAATTAACGAACTTCTTGTTATTACCAGCATTTATCCAGTCAGGATCAATATGAGCAATAACCGCGGCTGTAAGAACAAAGTAGCCATAGTGAAAGTGGTGATCATTATAATAAGTGTTTCCAAAATCTGCCATAGCATAACCAGAAAGACCAGCTTTGCTGATTACACCTTTCCAAGTAGAATCATAAACCAAAGGATTAATTTGCTTGTTATCAACGAAGCGAGCAAAAGCACTTTCTAATTTTTTGACGCAAGTATTGCTCATCTCCTTGTCGTTTAAGATATCGTTGATTGTAAGGCAAAGCATTGCATACTTACCAAGGACTTTACCACTGTAATACATAGAGTCCAAATCACTTTCAGCATCCATGTCACCATTCATCTCTTGGGTTGCAACAGCCCTAATTTCGTTGAGAGCATCTGTCGAGTAACCGACCTTTTTACCTTGAGGTGACCAGGGCAAGAAGTGAATATCCTTAGGGACAGTGTCGGCAAAAGTAATGGAGTTACCGGCAACAGCTGTAGCATAGCCGCTAACCAAGGAAACCAAAGAAATTCCGGTAGTAGATGCGCCTGAGGAAAGGGAATCAATTTGGTGGGGCAATAAGAAATGTAAGGGCACATTGGAACTATGACCAGAAGTCTTCAAGTTGAAGGTATAATAGCCAGTATCACCATCAACATTACCAGAGACGGAAATACCAGTAACGTATGCACCGGCATATTTGTCATAAATGGACTCGGCTTCGGAATCGCCTGACGGAATCTTGGCGATTTGAATATAACCAGTAAAGGAGTTTGAGCCAACGAGAACTTGGTTTCCATTAGCGTTCAAAGTAAGGTGGTTACCAAAGACATAAATGAGCCAGATATGGCCATCCGACAAAGTAACTTTGTACTTTTGAGTGGCAGAAGATCCGGAAACGGATTGGATATTATTCATAAAGAAGGTGGAAGTGAAAATCTCAGGAACTGCATTGGAGTACTCGGCAGTGCTGAAGGCCAATCCCTCGACCAAGGAGATTCTCATGGAAGAGGAGCCCCAGTTGAAGTTGACACGAGCGGACATTTGATCTACTTCGTCGACCTCGGGGGTAATGGCTTCGGTCAATCCAGAAGCACCAAAACCCAAAGAGCAAAGACCAATTGGGTTAAAATAGAAACTGGGAACAGCGCTACCCCAGTCAAAGACTCGTTGGTTCTCATCGGTATGACTGATACATATACCAGAATGAGTATTCGAAGACTGCCACCAGTAACGGTATGGATCAGCATAAAGAAAGGAGGTTCTGGAGCCAACCAAAAGGTTGTCGTAAAATTTGTTTGTTTCAATGGGCATACCATTATTCTCGGAAACACCAGCTGGTGTCAAAGGGTGCCTTGCAGACCCGAACAAACCAGTTGGATCAGAAGTATCAATGACTTGCTCAAAGACATCTGTTGAGCGCTTTTCAAGTTTCTGCGAGGATGGTTCCATTGTTTCGAGATTACCATACAGAGGAGAAGCCGTAGCAAGACCAAGGCAGCCCGCCAACATATAACCGAGGGATCGTTTTGAAAATCCCATCATCTAATGAATTGAAACTTGGCAAGTAACAATGTAAACAATAGAACAATAGGAAGTAAATTAATGAATTATATGGTTATCCGATAATACCTTCCACGAAATAATAAAAGAGAATTTTGGTTGTAATATGGGAATGCTCTAAAGGATTGATATTACAATCGAAATCTCAAGTCCCACCCAAAAGTTCGAGTAATATTGACTACTAGTGAACATGTCGAGCATTTCCTTCGCTTTATAATCATTTTTATTAATCATTCAGGGATAAATTTCTTCGTACCACATTCGAGTTTTTGTCAGCCATAGTAGATGAATTTGTGAAAGGAAGAAGTAGACACTTGAAGTAGTCATATTTACCAGCCATCGAACGCCTAAGTAGTGCTATAGTCGAGTAAAATCAGTCGTTTGGATTATCTAAAAATAAATTTTTTAAAATATTGTCCAAGTTTGCTAAACCTCCATCCGGCGACATTCCATAGAACATGCTACTGGTACACTGTCTACAAATTTCCAAGGAAAGTTTTACGTAGCAGGTATAAGAAGAATGCCGTTCTCATGAACCAACAAATGCAAATATATGAATATTTCATGATGGATTTTATTGATTTATGAACGATATATAGTGCTTTTTGCATAACCAACACTTTTTGTCATTTGTTTTTTGATATGATTTGTTTTGTTCTTGCAAGTTTTTGCACCTGTTGTATCTGATCAATACTTCTTATTTAGTATACTCGATTTAGTCAGATATTTCAATATTCTTCAAACGAAGCGTTTCCTTGGAGAGTGAAAAACAAGAAAGAAACTCTTCTTTCTTCATACTTTCGTCGTGAAGACTGATGTATTTTGTTTTTACTACTTTTGCAAAATGGTGCTTGTTACTACTCCTTGTTTACTGTTTATTTATTTACACTTGTTGCGATGGTAACCAAAGGGTAAGGGTTCAGCGTTTGTAATATAAGACGAGGTGGTTGGAATTTAAAGTAAACAAACCACCACGAAGACTCAATCATCCGGATTTTGCAGAATTCTTTATTCTTTTTTTTAATATTTTTTTCATTAGGCTGGTCCTACATTGAATGTGGTAAAGGAAAGCTGGAACTTTCCGTTGTATTACCTTTTTTTGTTCTCTGAGCTGGTCTCCTTCTTTGTTTTGATTTTCTCTTTTTTTTTATATATCTTTCTAAGCAAAAGTGCTGGTCACTTGAAAAGTAAAAAGTAAAAGAAGTTCTTAACAATCGACTGAATTCTACTCGTTGATTCTTTAATTACACTCAACATAACTTTGTCATTCTTTTTCTTTTTTATTTAGTCTCTCTTTTTTTACGCTCTAAGTATATTCCTTGCTGTGAAATCAACAAACAAATTACCTCATAAATCATGGACGTTAGCAGCAATTTGTCTTATATTCCTAAATTTTCTACCCCTACAAAAAAGAGACCCTTGGTATATCCAAACAGTCCAATTACACCTTTGCATCAACAGGCTCTTTTGGGGAAAGTAAGTCGTTCGGCGAGAAAAAGTCCTACAAAGGTATCGTCCAACTTTGTCCGAGGTTCACCTAAACTCGATGTTGTATCATCCGACTGGTCATTGTCTACTTCGGTAAGTTCTCCTCGAGCTAAACACCATTGTCCGAACCACAGTGACAGATTTATTCCTTCCAGACAAAACTCAGCAAACGCCTTCGTTTCAAGTCAAAAGCACGAATTATCTGCAGAGTACAATGAATCAGTTGCCGAAGCTTGTGGCTTGGACTTAAATACGCGTATCCTTGCTTTTAAACCAGATGCCCCTGAATCCAAGAAACCAGTTGATTTGCGTGCTCAATATAATCGTCCTCAAAAAGCTGTCGTTTCTCAGACAAAGCGCAAATTTGCTACAACACCCGAACGCGTCTTGGATGCACCAGGTATCGTCGATGACTACTATTTGAACTTGCTGGATTGGTCGAATTTGAATGCAGTCGCTATCGCACTTGAAAGAAACGTTTACGTTTGGAATGCCGACAGTGGTGATGTTAGCGGTTTGGCAGAAACGGATGAATCCACTTATGTAGCGGGTGTGAAATGGTCCCAAGACGGTACCTTTTTGTCTGTAGGACTTGGTAATGGATTGGTTGAGATCTATGATGTCGAATCGCAAAAGAAGCTCCGAACGATGGCAGGCCATCAGTCGAGAGTAGGCGTTTTGGCATGGGATCGACACATTTTATCAAGTGGCAGTCGCTCAGGTGCAATCCATCACCATGATGTGCGAATTGCTCAGCACAAGGTAGGCGAGTTGCTGGGACATGAAAGTGAGGTCTGTGGCCTAGCGTGGCGTTCGGATGGACTTCAATTAGCTTCTGGTGGTAATGATAATTTGGTTCAAATTTGGGACGCTAGATCGTCCATTCCAAAATTTACAAAAACAAATCATACGGCAGCCGTTAAAGCGGTAGCGTGGTGCCCTTGGCAGAGTAATCTGTTAGCAACCGGCGGTGGTACCATGGATAAGAAAATCCATTTCTGGAACGCAGCTACGGGATCAAGAGTCAACACTGTCGATGCTGGTAGCCAGGTAACATCATTAACATGGAGTCCTCAATTGAAAGAGATTATATCCACACACGGCTTTCCTGATAATAATTTGTCTGTCTGGTCTTATGGCACGACGGGTGTCACAAAGCAAGTAGATATTCCCGCGCATGATAGCAGAGTGCTCTATTCTGCTTTATCTCCTGATGGACGCATTTTGTCTACTGCTGCTAGTGATGAAAATTTGAAATTCTGGCGAGTAAATGATAGCGAAACAAAGAAGAGGACCGGAATCTTTTCTAAAGCTGGAACTACAAATATGACTATCCGATAATGTACCAGTATGCTTTTAATATTGCAATGGTCGGCTTTCTTCGTTCGGTCACGAATCTTCTTAATGAGCTTTCTATTTATTTGTCTAATGCCCTAATGACCTGATAAATTGTCACGATACTTAATATATTAATTAATATTCCCATATGAGTGTTCTTGAACGGTAAGAAATAGAATAAGACGAGTATTGTCTTGTTTGTATTTTCTCGGAACAAACGTTGCAACATCTTGCATAGTAACTGTTGGTTTGTGATTTCTTTGTAAGCTTCATTGCCTATGATTACTTGCAATACCTTGAGAATCTGAAAATATATTTGTAATGAAGTTTTGTTTACTCACCATAACGTTGGTTTTCGTGCTTCCTTTACTTATTCAAAAAGTACTTAACAATCGTAGTAAAGTTTTTTCTGTATATATATTCCAAGTCAATTAGTTTTGGTTTATTTTTTATACCAAGGACCATGAGAAAACAGCTTCAGATGGTACTTTGTTACAAATGTTTATTCTGACTTAATATTTTACATAATTTCAAGTTATTAATATTGAGATATTTACTAAATATAAATGAGAGAATTTCTAGAGTGTTTGAATTTTTTTTCGCTTGTTTTGCTTTTGCTTTTGTTTCTGTATTTTTTTTTTCTTTAATTCATCCACTACAGTATAGCCCATACCACGTCGCACACTACTCATAGTTGCTTCGATAAGTCCACATAAACAGAAAAAAATAGACAAGAAACGAGTGTATTATAATTAAATTAATTACAGGCTGTACTGCTCTATTCACTTATAAACATACCGCAACTGAATTGGAAGATTTGAATTTGTGGGCCCATATTGACTCATATATCATTGTTCTATTGATTGCTTGATATTTATTGAAATTTTTAAGAATTCTGTTTTGCTGGTTCTTGCTATTTATTGTTAACGGTAGTGTTTAGTTTTGAACTGAAAGGGTATCTGTTTTTATCGTATTATCTGAAAGACTCCCTCCTTTTCGAATCTTTATTTTTAATTTTCTTTTCATTTTGAATTGTATTTCACTTGATCTTCCATTCATCCTCTATGTTTTAACTGAATCTTGATTTTTTTGGCTACTTTTGAATATTTATGCTGGGTTGGGTTACCTTTTCGGCTTGTTAACGTTGTCAATATTTGTCGTATATTTTCTGGATTTATTTTTTTTTGATCTTTCTCTTTCTTTTTTCTTTGTTTGAAGTCTGTCGACTCTTTTCGGGGTTCATTACGATCAGCATATATGTACTTATTATGAAACCCTATGTTGCATACCCAGATGCTTCTGTAAAACGATATCGAATGACCCCTGTCCTTTCCAATGTCCCTCCGATTCCTCTGTTAGTGAAACAGCAACAAGAGCAGCCTCCCAAGCCTGTTAAACGAAGAACCAAGACTGGCTGTTTAACTTGTCGACGAAGAAGAATTAAATGTGACGAGACCAAACCACTTTGCGCCAACTGCTCTAAATCAAATCGAAATTGTGAAGGCTACCCAAACCCTTCGACCACTCCTCAAACAGGTGAAAGCTTATCTCCCGTCAATGTAAATATAAATGCGGCATTACTTCCACAACAACAATCATCACCTATATTCAATATGAATGCAGCACCTGCTACTTCTTGTCTTCCTTCCTCTGCAGATACTGATCCCGATCTGAATTCATCACATCAAGATTTTATGCCCAATGAATTGAATCGTTCATCGAGAACTCCGAATACTAATTCTTCTATTCCGCCACCAATGAAGCAGCATCCTTCACTATATCCATCTACTGTACATCCGAATCCTTTTCCTCCTGGTTATTCTCAGGTTAATCAACAAGTACATCCTTCAGCTCCTATGTGTTCTACAACATCGAACCCTTATAATTATGCTTCTGTAAATTCTGCTCCTTCGACCGTTACGGGCTCGAGTCAACATCCTTTGTCATCCTTACGCTCTTCTGGTTCCATTCCTCCTAATTTACTTACCATGCCCTTTCAACCTTTGGAAGTTTCTCCTTTCTATTTTCATTATATTATACCATCTATTCGTGTATTTGAGTTTGAAGATGCCACTGCGCTTCATTTTTGGTCGAATACTGTACCCCATTTAGCTGAATCTATTCCATGTATGAATTACTCTTTGCTTGCTTTCACTGCAGCTAAGCGTTTGGATAGTTATAACGCTTATAGTTGTATTTTAAAAGCTTTACGTACTCCAATTCCGAACCCGAATTCCTTTGAATCGTTACTTTCATATGCGTTTTTAGCTCTGACTTATTTAAGTATTCCAAACTGCGATATGTTGTTTGTCAATAATACTTTCAAGAAATTGAGCTGTTTGTCTACTGTACGATCAAATTTCGTTAACATTTTACTGGCAATGGTGATCCGTGAAACAGTACTTGCTCTGCTGCCGCGTCAAAACATGTGGGGTTTTGACGGTTCCTCCATATCTGAAGCATTTAGTTCTCGGAGTAACGTTTTGATTTCAGACACTCTTTTTAGTGAAGGAATAAAGATATTATCAGAACCATTGATTCATGGAAATGTTCACTTAAATCGCATCATTTCTTGGAGAGATGAATTCCACGTTCGTTTATACTCCAGTTCATCAACAATAACCTTTCAAGTTTTAGATTGCATTGGTCATGCTTTAACTAAAAACAGCAATGATTTGCTTGAAACTCTTCAACTTCTAGCACAAAAAGATTGTATTGATTCCGCACTCACTTATTCTATTTATCAATGTGCTTTATCATTACAAAATTGCTTTTCTCGTGGAAGCAAAGAAGCACAGATGCTGTTTCAAATTCAAAGTTATTACAGCCGTCTTCTATTCAACAGTTTTTTAGAGTGCTCCGAATCTAATGGTTCTGCAATTAACGTTACTAAATCTTTCGATTCAAATATTTATAATAGCGAGATTGAGCGTTAGGCATTTGCTGAACTGTCATTTTGTATACCCTTAGATGTTTTTTTTGACAATTTGGTTGAATGAACAACAAATTTGAATAAGCTATCGTTTATTTTTACTTACAAATATACTTTAATGATATGTAGTAATAAACTAAAATATTATTGTATATTAATGCTTGACGAAAAGTCGAAAAAGAAAACTTAGTTTGCGATAGTAGCAGATGGGTGGAAGTGATCAGGGAAATTGGGACTAGGGCTTGCCATTCTAGATGCCATAGAAGATTGTTCCTTTAGGGTACTCAGTTGCTTCGAACGGAATCTCTCGTAGTGATATACCGAAGTGGTTTCTATAAGATCCTGCAAATGAGTACGCATTAAAAAGTTACGGAGATAAATAAACTCACAGTGGTTTTCATCATCAACATTAACAATGCCCCATCTGTTTTGTCTTCCACGAATATGTTTTCCGTCAACAACAATTTCCTTTTCTGAGCCGACAACAGCAAATGGGATAAGATTGCGAACGGCTGCATTAAGATTCAATTCCTCATCATCAATATCATCACTATCATAGGGGTACAAATTAATATCATGCTTGGTAATCTCTTCTCGAATTTGTTGCTTAAAGGCAGCGCGCTCTTCAAGAGTCAAAGAGTCGGATTTGGCAATAACAGGAACAACATTAACAATTTCAGTGAGGCGTTTTAGCACTGCAATATCAATAGGCCGTAAGGAATGACCTGTGGGGCGTATGAAGAATAGACAGCAATGAACTCTTGTGTCTTGAAGGCGCTTTTCGCGATGAGAATTTAATTCACGTCGCAAATAGGATGAATGTTGATCACGAATGTACTTGATAATAGGCTCCCAGCTAGTAAAAATGTTAAAAAGGACCACAAACAAAGGTTTCTCGATTCACCTACCATTTATCATTATTGATTTGATCACCATAACCTGGTGTATCAATAAGATTTAATTGTAACTGAACGCGGTTTTCTTGCACCACTAAAAATGTCAGAATTCTATCTTCAAAGATTGACCTTGAGGAGGGTATCGCTCAAAAGTTCAACATATAAAATAGTAAGGCTGTATATGTAGTCCGAGGCAAAAAAAAAAAAAAAAAAAAAAAAAAAATACTTACCATGACTCGTAACATTAATTTCCGTAGTTTGGCGATAAGGTGTTTGAATGTCAACTCGTCCTTTGCTATTCATCAAATGAGCAGAGAACAATGTGTTCACGAGTGTGCTCTTTCCACTTCCCGAAGGACCTATATAAATCAATTAGTAACTTAATAAATAAAATTTGGAACAAACATACCTACTACCATAACGTTGAATTGAAATCCACGGCGGACTAATTTGCGGTTGATTTGGGAAGTAATGGAATCGAAGCCTACATGGTTTAGCACTATTCTTTATTATCAGTTTCGAATTGCCTACCAACATAGTTATTTAAAGGGATAGACTCTGGATTCTCCATCTTTCAGACTTGGTTGAGAGGATAAGTTTCTTGTTATGGATGGGTGCGGTAGTATGGAAGACAATGCGTAACCAGTAAAGTAAACAAAGGAAGTAAACATAGAATCTTAAAAGCATACAATAAACACAACTAACAAAACAAACTAATAACGAAATGAAATGAAATGAATACCAAGCTCTTAATTTATACTAACAGTTATGAAATTGAGCTGTTGTTAAATATCAATGCTACATAAATTATTTATAATTTTATTTTCTTAAAACCTGCTTTCAGATGGACAACATATAAATTCCAGCATAAGAACAGTTATTGACTAGTTTAATCATTTAATTGCACCTGTTGTTTTCACAAATTACTCTGTTACTTTGCTTTACGAACAAATTCTTCGCCCTTTAAGCAAAGAAGTGATTGCCAAACTTTCCTAACAGTTACTGTAAAGCAGGATTATTCATAAACTACTTAAGTTCCGTTCAACCAAGTCAATACATTATCACAACTACCGTTCTTTTATTGAATTCATCTAAGAGGTATAAGCATTACGCACGCCCGATAATTTAGACAAAAACGACAAGCTTTGCTCATCAACTTGAGAGCAATGTTGACCTAAATAATGGTTAGTGAAGGCACAAAATAACTGGTTTAAATGACATACGAATTTGAGCACTTATTAACAAAGAATCGAGAAGACGAGGTTCAGCGGGGAGTTTGAAGATGCGCTTCCATTCGTCCAAAGGCAAGAGAGGGCGGTTCTCAGCGGCACGAGTAGCGTTTTCAGCCTTTCTCTTAGTCAACCATTGTTGAATCTTGGCTTGCTCACGAGCAAGTTGGCGTTGATGGAAACCAACATTACCTTGTTCATAATGAAATTCATCTACAGAATCCAAAAGATGCTCAATGTTCTTCTTGTGACGAGCACCAAGGTTAAGATCGAAATTGCTGAAAGTTTCGGTCAAAGGCAAATTACGCTCCATAGACTCAAGAGCAGCCTCTGATGACAACAAAGATGAGGCTTCAGAAGGCTCACTGAGAGAGTGAAGAAGACAAGTGGCCAAGTGAGAATTGTGAATAGCAACAGGTAACTCGCGCACAATGTTAGAGGGTGAGACATGGTGGTTGTTTAAGGATGTGGCGGTCCATGTCTTTTCCTCGTAGGCAGCCATAAACTCGGGAGTAAGTTGAAATGCACGAAGAATCAAAGAACCATTGCAAGATTGAGACAAATCGTAAACGAGAGCAATGCTGTTAGGATTCTCCTTTTGATAAGCATATTGGGTGTCAACGAAGAAAGAGCTGTTAAGGAAATCCCCTACATAGGTTCCTTGGTACCAACCAACGTGACCAGTAACAGCACCCAAGTATTGCATACGGTTCAAAGTAGCTTCAGTATGAGCTTGACGGGCTTTTCCTGATACAGATTTATTGACAGCGGATTCCTCGTTTTCAAGGACAGCAGGGGACTCAAAACTGTTACTAACTTGTAAAACACCGTCAATGTCGATACCGACAAGTTGGCCTAAAAAGCGTTAGTGTGAATGAGTTATATAAAAGTTACAAATTCGCCAACACAACAGTGCACAACAGCAGAAAAAAAATAGGACTTTTCCAATCTGCAAAACACGATCAACAGCAAACCTTTTAACTTTACAAAAAAAAAAAATATTTAATAAAAACTTACCTATGGTGCCTACATTTGGGAAGGAATCACGGCAATGCTTGATTATATTCATAACAAGCATCGATTCCAACTCAACCCTCTCAATAGGAGGAGATTCCAACTCCGGACTAACATGTTAGCATTCTTTATTTTGATTTTTGAAACATACATGTTTACAGATGTCGTTTCTGACATGATTCCCAATTTTCCTCGTTGGTTAGTTGGTGTAGAGTACTAAATGGTAGTATTCAGAGGAAGCCAAAGGTACCAGTGACAAAAGTAACAAAGCCAAAAAAAATTATACAAAGATAGATTTTTATAGTTTTAATTTCTATTTTTTAAAAAAAAAAAGAACTAAAACCAAAATATTTGAAGGCTATTTTAATTATTAAAACGCAAAGTTTTCTCTTTGATTACCATATTACAAAACCAATCGTTAAATTTATTTTCCGTAGTACTTCCCTCTTTGTTACATTTCTGTATAATTTTCCTATCGAAAAATATTCTACAGTCTTCCTTGGTATATGATTCGCCGACGAGGACTGCTTTCTTTCCATTTTTTGTTGACCTGTGACTGCTTTTTTGGATTGCATTTACTATAAATAACAGACCTTTCGCTTCATTGTAAACCATCGACGATACTCCATAGGATCATTTCTATAGTATACGTCCGGCTTGGGTTTCCTAACCTAGCCACAGAACTCAACACGGATGATGATCGGTAGCGCCATTGCCCGAAGAGTGAGATATTACTTTCTTACTGAATGGATGCTTTGTAGCTGGATCCTTTTTGGATCAAGTTGCATAATGGCATCTGTTCAAGGCGATGATCTCTTGCATGAATTGTTTCCTTTTTGGTCGATTCATGTAGGGTAGTTGGCGTTTTCTGACGTGTTTCTTCTTTTAGTCACAGATGTGGTGTTTCAAATGCCATCATTTGTAACTGATGGGAGATGCCTCTATAGTTAGAATCTGTGTTTTAGTGGTTAGTTTTGTGTATTAGAGTGAATTTTAGTATGTGGTATTAAAGGTGAAGTGAAGAATATGTATTCATTTATGAACTATTGTGAACATGAGTTAGTACATTTACGCTTACTTTAAAGGTTTCGACGTTCTTTTAGCTGATTGAATACTAGAGTGTATTTGAGATATGCTGATGTGCGTCTTAGTAGGAGCTGTTTTAATGTAAACATAATGTTTGGTATACATTGGTAGAATCCAGTGTGCTAATCAAATCAGGGCATGTGGTGTAGATGGTTATCACGCTTCCTTAGCATGGAAGAGGTCCCAGATTCGAGTTCTGGCTTGTCCAAAGTTTTTGCTTTTCTTACAAGCTGATGTAAGAGACTGTTTTGGCATTTTCTATTGAAGTTTTGTAGCAAAGTGCTATTGACTTGCATCAGCAGCAGTGTATAGAATACACGAGAGCTAAATATTCTTAATCAATGGGTAGAAACTCACCTTAAGAAGTCAAGAATGCCAAAAAGTAAAAAGTAAAAAGCCAAAAAAGAAAAGAAAAAACTATTTTTGGTATTTTCCTTCCTTGTATATAATGAAAATAAAAATACAGAAGAAAAAGAGGTGTAATGTTTATATAATCTAATGAAAGGAAGCTACCTCTCTAATTTAATTTTTGACATCAACTATTACTGTCATTACCTATTGGTGAACTGCAGTGTCAATTTATCACTACATAGAGTTTTCTTTGTTGTTGATCTTCCACACTGATTTATTATTGTAGATTAATGCAGACCAAGCTACGTTGCTCATTACCAACACTGGCGTAAATTTTGGAAACGAACTACTCTTACGTGAAGAAAGACATAGAACCTCGTCTGCTGTTAAAAAGAAGAGTCTCGTTGTAGGTTGCCTGCTAGAAGGATTGAATTGTTGTTTTAGCTATCTTGTCTTGCCAAAAGAACGCATTTGAAAGCCGAAAACTGATTCGAGCCGTTTTGGTGAGAGACCAAAGCTTCTCTAGTAGGTATTTACGATCTGGACTGAAGGGAAACAACAGCGTGTCCATCGAAGTGAGAAAGTCAGTCACAAAATGAACATGACATCCGTTAACGTTGGTTGTAAACATGAAACTCGTTCTATTCAATATCGAAGACGTATTCCATACAGTTTGGGAACAGATCCTTTACTTTCTGTGAACCCTCTTTCCTTACAACCATTATCTCACGTGGATACAGAGCGCCTAACGTCTCAGTTAAACGAGTTCTTCCATAGGATTGTTTTGGACGAAGATGGCGTCCAAAAACGACATTATTTTGTACGCAAATTGGAATCCATACTTCAAAAGAAATGGCCTGAAAAAAATATAAAAGCAGTTCTTTTTGGTTCCACCGAGTCTTTGCTTGCAGATAAGCACGCAGATATTGATCTATGTATATCGACTGATTCATCTCAACCGGCCCCTACCACTTGTGAAATCTCTTCTGCTTTTGCTGAAAGCGGTTTGGAAAAGGTCGTTTGTATAGCTTCAGCCAAGGTTCCAATCGTCAAGGTTTGGGATCGAGAACTAAATCTATCATGTGATTGTAATATAAACAAGACAATTTCTGCCGTAAATACCAAGTTAATGCGGACGTATATACTCTCTGACCCTCGTGTCCGACCTCTAATCGTGATGATTAAGTACTGGGCTAAAAAGAGGTGTCTAAATGACGCCGCTGAAAATGGTACGCTCACATCCTATACCATCAGCTGTATGGTTATAAACTTTTTACAGCGACGAAGCCCTCCTATTCTTCCTAGTTTGCAGATGGTTCCTCATTTGCAAACCAACTTCACTCGAAACGAAGACTTGGACGTTTCTTTCTGTGATTCTCCTGAGCTTATCCTTGGGTTCGGTGATAGAAATCACGAGTCTCTTGGTACCTTGTTTATTGAGTTCTTTCGTTTTTTTGGTTATCTTTTTGATTATGATCACTCTGTAATATCTGTGCGTCATGGTACAATTTTATCAAAACGTGCCAAGGGTTGGCAATTCCAACTGAACAATTGCTTGTGTGTTGAAGAGCCTTTTCGGAATTCTCGAAACTTAGCGAATACGGCGGATGATATTACCGTCAAAGGGTTACAACTTGAATTTCGTCGAGCTTTCCGTTATCTTAGTCATGATGGTAACTTGGACGATGTATGTTCACAGTTTATATTTCCTCCTATAGAAAATTCATTTTCTATGGAGAGCTATGTTCGTGAATTGCTCGCTGAAACAAATAGTCCACCACTGGGTCATGACTCTAGCTTTCAAAACTCACCTCCGAACTTTTCTCATATGAATTGGTTTTATGATTCTTTTACTTTTATGCCCTCTCCTTTCGTTACAACAGCCATACCAAACGCAGACAATAACAAATCTCTCCCTATGATACCTTGTACATATGTGGATCCATATACCTATGCTAATTACATGAATAATTCGAATCACTTGCCTCCTTCTTATCTTGACCTTTATGGATTATATGGCCGAATAGGTTATTCGCATCATAATCGTTTCCATGACGAGAAAGCAGACTGGAATCGACGCGACACAAAGCATTCCAATCATTTTCGCAGAAACATTCGAAACCACAAGTCAAGAAAAAAGAACCAAGGTGAATCATTTAACTTTACTTCGGACGCTATCCATATGTCATCAAAGGATGATCGTAATATACCGTCAAATCCCTCCAGTACTTCTCATGCTCCTTCTCTTCATCTTCATAAACAGCCGATCCTTCAAGCTATCCCTGCTTTCAAAGGGTAATGGCTATTGACATCCTTGTTAGCATAGCGTTTTTTATTTTTTATTTTTTTGGTAATGTGGTGGTCTACTTTTCCTCTTCTGTCCGTGTGCTTTTGATAAACAATTCCGTTTTTATTATTGTTTTCCTTTCTTTACTAATGATAATTTTGCATGTCGATTAAACTATATTTTATTATTATTTTAAAAAATGGATCGAGCGATTGTTCCCGAAAAAATTCTGAAAATTATAGAGCTATTTATGAGCTACCAATAAAAAATTCCCAAATTCGTTACATCTTGGCTTTATCGATTTGAAAGAAGCATATTTAAATGGTTCGATATATATATCAATACTCTTTTACTTTGATCAGAACTACATATCCTTCTAGACGTCCCTTCTTTACCAACTTCGTTAGGTACTCGCGTGCCGCTTCTGGAGCCTTATTTATGCCTTATTTGATGTATTTTTCATTTTCCTGTTTTGCTGAGCATGACCAGTATAGGGTTCATTCTCATATATCTTGCCCAGGTGATGAAAGGATTCTTCTTACATGCCGAGCTACAAATCGTGATTGGATTTTTGTGAGCATTGCCACATGAATGGATAGAAGGATACACATTCTTGGAATTGATAAAAATGTTTTTAATGAATGCTTATTTCTGTATTTGATTGAAATCTATTGATATAACCCTTTTTCGAATAAGGTTGCCAAGAAACAAACAAGGTTATCAAGTTATGAATAAACAAAAAACTAAGCTCGCCTTTTCGTTGTCAACTTCATTTACGTTTCATTCTGACTTTTTTCCTCAGTGCAAACAGATTCAGTGAGGAGCTACGAAACAAAATAATTGTGTATTTGCAAATACGAGTTATACAAAAAGAAAAAAAAAACGAAACCCAAATTTGAAACCCCTCTGATTCCTTACTCTTTCAATAGTCTTCTCATCTGGTACAGAATTTATAAGTTTCTCGTATAAATGACCAACGTTATTCTAACTTAATGGTTTAACGACTTGGAGTACCATAAGTGTTTGGCTGGAAAACGGGTTTGCTCAAGGTGACATCATTAGAAAGTGTTGTGATGACATCCGTGTATTGTTACTTGTATCTAATATTGTAGACTTACGATACGGAGCATACAAAACATCGTGAACTGAGCGTGAGTCGGTTTTGGAACAATAATTACAAAAATAAGGCAAAAAACTTGACAATTCGTGGTCCATACATACAAAAAAATAGAGGACACTCAACGGTAACCGATCTCTTGAGAAGAAACGGAATTTCCTGGAACGGCAGGTGTCAGGAAAAAACGTATTGGCTAGTTTCAACATCGTTCCGGACATTCTTTTTGATTTGAGAGAATGAATGAGATTGTTCATGATAAGTATAATACTCCCCAAGCAATGGAGAGTTCGTCGACTAGAATACCTCAGAGACTCCGACATGCTCAATCGCTCTTCCGTCGCCGACCTACGACAGTAGAACCGGATAGTAACCATCGTCGTCGATGGAGCCATTATGACAATTTGCCAAATGGCGTTCATTCATCTTATGATGCAAACACAGTGAATCCAAATGCGTCAATAAAGTCTGGATATTCAACGGAACAGGCACTGGCTTCCTTAAACAGAGACCGTTCAACAAGAAACAATCTAACCTTTGCTTCAACTGAACTAAAAGCTACGCTTCCATCATTGGATGAGCATCGCTTAAGTCATAGGAGTCCTCAGGATTTTGGTATTCCGGTTGACGGAAATCGGGAATCTTCTTATCGAACAAGTAGGAATTCGAATTTTCCTTTAATACCCCAAAAATCAATTCGAAGATACTATTCGAATCGAACAGCAGGACGACTGGATAATGGTCGTTCGGGTTCTCCTTCCAGCAGATTTAGTACAACAAGCGGGGTTTCCGCTGTAAATCCTGCTCGTTTTGCTGATGAAAATGATGATATCGCTACACCTAAAAATTTCAGTAATCGATTTGCCGATTCAGATTTTGAGCCTGGAAGGACGTCAAGGTTTTCTGAGCGTTCAGAAACGGCAAGGAAAAGGAATTCCTTAAATTTTCAAGCCCAAATGAAACCGATAGGTACAAGAATGGCTTCCAAAAACGGTCAATCCATGCGTGCTTCCGAATTAACGGAACGAGGGTCTTTGTTTTCGACTGCTCCCGAAAGTGAAGCCAACCATAGTCCATTAGCTCCTACTGTTTCTGGAAGCAGTTTTGGTTACCTGCCCAATGATCACATTTTGGAGACTCAGTCTCGTTCTGGTGTACTTAGTCCTCGACATTCTAATATCCCTGCTTGGCAGCCAGATACAGCAGCACCTACGCATGTGCCTACGCAGAATCGTCAACGGCCTCTTTTCACAGATCTCAACTCTCCTAGTGACGAGATGCAGGGTTCAGATCCTTATATGGACGTACGTGAATTTCCTGTTGATGACTCGGATAGTGAGCGCAGTTACCGTCGAGTACGAGATCAGTATTTGCAAACGCCTCGTGCCAGGTCTAATCGCTATAGTGGTGTGTCCAATACCGCTAGTCAAATTACGCCGAGAGCGTCTCAAGCAAATTTGAATCATAATCAGAGACCCGTGAGTCATTATTATGAAAAGCTGCACATAAACAATCCGAAAAATAACAGCTTTCAGGCCTTACCGTACGAAACCACAGCTCCTGCTACGAGACCTCTGCCTGTGACGCATCCGGAACAGGCATCACCAAAAAAAAATAAGAGTGGTTTCTTGAGGAAATTTGCTCATAAAATTTCTCGTATATTTAAGTAATTTTTAGTGGAAATGGTTTTTATATTTGTCTTAATTCAAACGACGCGGCTGCACTTTTTGAAAAAGACGTCTTAAGTTTTTTATGCTTCAGGTTCGTATTAATTATTGTGTATTGTGTGTTTGCAAAATGTTTCCTATGTTTATTTTCTCTTTTTTGTTTTTATCCGCATACCTAAAAACCCTATTTATATGAAAACAATAAGGTAGACAAAAATGTTTGTTTTTCTGAATTATGTTTCAAAGGTCTAAAGTGTCTAAAGAGATATGTTTAAAAAGTCACCCGTATATTTGAAGTTTACGATGTATTTCTTTCTTTACAGGACCCTTGGGCTGCTGAAGATGAATCCTATTGCTTTCATTGAATAATCCTAGCTATTAAAACTTCTGAATCGTTTTAGAGAAGTTTCAATTGCTGTACAATTCATATCTAAAATATCTAAATAAAATATATATATTTGTTTTATACATATATAAAAAACGAGGACTTCCCGTAGGCTATACTGTCAGTCTTTTTTCATGTATACCAGCAGTAGTAGTACTAAATATCACTTAATGAAGTTCACTTTATCTCGATAGTCGTATGCTGTTGAGTAAAAGTACATCATAATAGAACAAAACGAGCGTTTTGGCTAAACAAAACTTTGTCTCTTTAGGTGAACGATGCAATTTTTTGCCTATTGAAAATGGAACATCAAACTCCTTTTAATCCGTTAGAGGATCCTGAGACACTGTTGCTTGACTTTTTACAGTTTGTCCGTACTACTTCTCTTGAAGAATGTAATTTACATGGGATTATGGGTATGCATTTTGCTAGTTTGAAACCCAATGTCTAATAATTATGAAACAGTAACTGCTGCGATGGACCATCTGGTAGAAGAGTTTTATCAAAAGGAGCCAGAGGTATGATCAATGCTCCTGTGCTTGGAGTTTTGAAGTTTTGTACTTATCACTGAACAGAAATATAATCTCGTCTTTGAAGCTATATCTCATGCCGCTCAACAACCTGGCATATCTATAATCCATGTCTGTTTCCTGAAAGAGCTTTTACGTCAAAAACAATACGCCTGGGGCACATCAACTTTAAGGTGGGACATCATTACCAACGTATGTTCATTAAAATGGAAAGAACCTCCCGGGGTTGATTGAGGTCAATCGAAGATGGTTTATGTCTTTTAAGATGGTTATGAACAACATGGCTTCTAACTCTAGATAGAATTTACCTCCTACATCACTGCTTGAGTATTGTTTATTAGCTTCGTATCATTGTCTTGGTAATAATGATCTATATGAAGCTCAAGGATGGATGTTTTCGGTAAGTTTGCTATTGTTCTTGCTTCCCTACTAACCTATTCAATCTGCAGATTCTTTATCTTCCTGCAGCCGTTTTAACTATATTCCATGAAAAGGCTTTATTTGGCTTCTTATTACTTCACCTTGGACTAAGTGGAAAGGTATGAATAGAAGACGGCTTGTGTTTTTTCGTAACTCTAATATTTATAACAGAGGTATCCAATTAATTCTACTACCTGTGGTAATCTTTTACCTTTGAAAAGATTTATGGCACCCTACGAAAACTATATAGATGCCTATCAAAAAGGCATTGAACCTCTTCGAGCGGTTTTAAAAGAGAACTGGTTGAGATTTGAGACAGTAAGTCCATATGTTCGAAGGTTTAAGTCATTATAGATTGATTTACTGACAATTTATAGGACAATGCTATTCCATTTATACTTTTTTCTCTGGAACAATTTCCAAGACATGAGCTATATAAACTAAGAAGAAGTTTCAGGTCTTTACCAATTGGTTATGTTTCCAAAAAGCTTTTGTTATCAGAAGAAAAGACATGGGAGATTGTAAGAAAGTATGATGACAAGTCGAAACTTGTTCAGAACGCGGAAGGTGAATATTTCGTCATGTTTGATTCTCTTGCACCTGTGAATTTGGATGAATGTAAAGAACTGTCCGAAAAACTTGGCGAAAGTGTTGAAATTTTGGAGAGTGTCAAGGAAATGAAGTCAATGTATTTTTCGAAATCCCCATACAAAAAGTCTATGACCCATGTCAAAACCTGAAATTGTTTACTAAGTCGTTGAAAACAATGGTTTATCTAATATATTTTGGGATCAAATGGTTTCTTTTGTAACCGATAGAATATACAAAGTAGGAATTTTCTCAATGGTAGCGCTTATGCAGCTATTTTGATGAGTCTCGCTTCGTCTCCAGCTATTACATACTTCCCTACTAATAGACTCTCTAGCTTTCTTTGAATATAAAAACAGAAACAGCATAAATTGATCAAATCACTCTTCTAGATGCGTAAATTATTAAGTCGGGGAAACATGTTTAACGAAGGCGCTCCCTTTATTTGAATGATATAAGTTTAAATAACATGCAAAGTTGTTTTAGTTTTGTTTAACGTCCATTATCTCATCTTTTTCAAATCCTAGTTTGTCCCAAAGTTCTTTTGGGTTCTCCAAACAATCTGTAATGAGATTCCACAAATTGTAAAACATTTTCCTTCGTTGTAAGTAACCTTTTTTGACAAAATCATGATTAGCTAATGTCTCCTTCATCTCCTCCTCTGTGACATTTTTGACGGAACCAGCTTGCAGGCAATCTAACTTGCTCTTTGTTTGTTCAATGTCTTTATCTAATGTGGATATTTTTTGATGAATTTCAGCCGGACTTGGTGAATTGTTTAAAATTTGAAATTCTGTCGTTTAGTTAATAATCAGAAAATTTGGTTTTCCAAACAGTCAGAGCAAACAATGAAGCTCATGCAAAATTCAATACCTGTTGATTTCACTTTGTACTCTGCTTTCACGCTTTCAAGCTCTCCTTTCAAGGTTTGAATCTGGCGATCCAAATCCATTAGTTGATCTGAAGATGCTTCTTCAAGACAATCTTGCAGGCAAACGTAAACGCTTTGTTTTCCTTAGAATACAGTTAGTTTTAGCAAATAATAATATGACTACCATAAGATTTTCCATGAATCTGGCCGCTGTCACGCAATTGTTCTAAAATCTTTTGCGCTACCTGTTTGGTAACAGCATTCTTTAAATTCGCACTGATATCAGCTTCAATATTGTTAGTAAAAAGATGGGTGATTTAGTTATGTGCCCTTACTAGCTGAGAAGGGACGGTTTGTCCTGCGTAAATAATCATGGATCATCTTTTCAGCTAAACGCGTGTGAGACAACTATTGTAATTTATTTTGTATTTCTAAATTATACCCTCTTCTCCTTTAACACTTTTTGGTTTTACTTCTTTTGCTTTCGCCATTTTTTAAATGAATGTTAAGGATGAGTTTCGCGTCAGCGGAATATACTTATATACCCAGTGACAAAGAGTATCAAAATGATAGTAACAAAAAAAAAATAAAAAAAATAAAAAATAAAAACAAACTATAGAACTTGATATTTCACTTGGGATTCTTCCGTAAGCAACTAGCGTGTTCTTTTGGATGTGTTGTTAATAGTGCCTCAAAAAGGTACTATAAGGAAAGAAGACTAGAAAAGCCAATTTTTCATTATAATAATTCTGCGGACTCCATCTTCAACTGCATTGTACATAGAAGTCGAATGTAAAATAACAGACTTTTCATTTCGGTAGCGTACAGCAAACAACTAGGAGTGCATTAAATTTATCGAATCCAAATAGAATCATTCAAAGAAAGGTATGAAGAAACCGTACATGTCCTTCCATGTCGAACGGAATCTTTGGATGATATAAGGATCCTTTCAAATGTAGCTAAGACACATGTAGTAAAACTTCCAATTGGCAGAATTGCTAATAGCTTAGTTCTTTTGTATTGATTTTGTACACCAATTTATTCAAAAGCGGCCTTATTTGGTGCGATGATGCTCGATACTTTGGTTTTCAAAGCTGACCTTATTTCTCTGTCAATCTGATATAGTCAACACTTCAACGTTCAGTGTCGATTAGCCTGGATGCTGTTAAGTTTGGGAGGAAAATGAATTATCTCTACCAAGAAAAGATGAGAGCCTCCTATGCTTTATTAGAAGACGGTAATACCGATTTCGTTGTCATAGGAGGTTGTGTCTAGTTTTCGTTCTCTTTTCATTTCAATGGATTTATTTCACTTAGAGAAGAATGAATAAAGAAGTTTGTTTATGCAATTATAGTTTTTAAATAACACTTTCGTAGTGAGCTAATGGACTTACTTCCCTTCCACCAACACCATCATTAAAATGGTCCCTCAAAGGATCTGTACGCAGATTGTCGATGAACACAAACAGTTCAATAAAGATATACCTCAGTTTATGCAAGAAGTGAACTTGGCAGATGTCGGATTCAGTTATCATGTAGTGGCTGTCTTGGGTTCTCAATCTACAGGCAAGAGTAAGTTTCTCAGAGTTTTTAAGTTTTTTTTATAATGTTAATATTAACAATGGAAAGGTACCCTTTTAAATCAGTTGTTTGGGACAAGATTTGATGTTATGGATGCTGGTAAAAGGCAGCAAACAACAAAAGGTATTCTGGGGTAGTAGACAAGGAACATCTGTAATTAACGTATTAGGTATTTGGTTATCAAAGGCCCAGGAAGCTCCCATCCTTGTAATGGATGTAGAGGGAACTGATGGCCGTGAAAGAGGTGATGATCAGGTATGTATAGTTTGGTTGATCTCTTTGAAATTCAGTCTTTCCAAGCGGTTGGATGTTTTATGCTTTGATATTAACAGATTGTATAGGATTTTGAAAGAAAATCGGCTTTATTTTCAATTGCTACCAGTGAAGTGATTATCGTAAATATGTGGGAGCATCAAGTGGGACTTTATCAGGGCTCTAATATGGTATTGTTAAAAACTGTGTTAGAGGTTCACCTCCAGCTCTTTCACTCCAAGAAAGAAAGGAGTTTACTTCAATTCGTGATTCGAGACTATATAGGAACTACGTCTATGGAAAATTTGTCTGAAACAATTAAGACGGATTTGACGAATGTTTGGTCTTCTTTATCAAAACCTCCAGGATTAGAAGAATCTAAAATTACTGACTTTTTTGACCTTGGATTCACGGGATTGCCCCATAAAATACTTTGTTCAGAAGCATTTGATACGGCAGTTGATTCACTTAGGGCTAGATTTTCCAATAGTGATGCTTCTGATTATGTCTTCGATCCGAGTTATCACAAGCGTATTCCTGCTGATGGATTTTCTTTGTATACTCGAGAAATCTGGGATACGATCGAGAATAATAAAGATCTGGATTTGCCAACACAGCAGCAGTTGCTTGCGCAGTATCGATGTGATGAAATTATAGCGGAAGCTATGGAACCTTTTTCTAAAGCCTGTAGCATTTTACAGAGTGAATTTTTACCAGGAAACCTTTGCGAAAACCTGTCAACTCGTATGCAGGATTTATATGAACAAGTTGTGCGAGATTACGATCGACAAGCCAAAAGATATAATCATGCCATTTATGAAAAAAAGAAACTGGAATTGCTGCGCACTGTTGATACATCATTGTATGTGTTTTTCCAGGCTCAATTGAATGCCTTACAAAAACAGCTGGTTTCTTCATTCTCCGGAGCAGCTGAAAAGTTTCCCTCTGATAAATCGTTTAAGGAATTATCATCTCAGGAGATTGAAAAATGTAAATCCCGTATGCAAGAGGAGGCACAAACTTTGATGATTGCTGGTATCGAGTGGGATTCAACGCAATTTTTGCTTAAATTATCAGAAGAATTAGAAAACGCCTCTACGGCTATCTGCGAGCAAAAATTATTTTCGAGGATAGCAGAAATGCGTACTGATGTACAGACTCAGATTGGGGAATCTCTTGAAATTGCTCTTCAAAAACCCAATCTTAAAGTGTGGGATGGGTTACTTGATGAACTTTCAATGCATCGCAAGCAAGCAGAAGATGAAATAATTCGTGTATTTCCTTTCTTTATAGATTCAACTAAACCGGAGGTAACTCAAACCTACATTCACAATTTTCATAAAGACGTCTGGATGGCGTTTCGGAAAAAACTTAATGTTGAGATGTCTGATCTTCTCCTTCAGCAGCGATTGCGTGTGTATTTTGAAGAAAATTTTCGCTATGATGCTGACGGTATGCCCAAACTCTTTAAAAAGTCTGATACTCTCGACCTTGATTACAGAGAAAGTGTTTCTAAGTCTCTTGAATTGATAAAGGTTCTTTCTTGTGTAAAGTATTCTGATGGAAGAATACCCGAACTTGGATTTGACGTGAAGGAAATTGACTCCTCGTTTTCTACTCCTAACGATTTTTTGACGATTTTGAACCGAAAACGAATTTCAGATACTTCTGTAAATCTGAAGAGAACAGCTGATTTGATTTATTTGGATTCGAAGCGATCTGTGGTAAGTACGCAAACAAGGATTCCTCCATATTTTTGGGCATTGCTTTTGGTACTCGGATGGAATGAATTTATGGCGGTTATAAGAAACCCGTTCTTTTTTATGTTATTGCTTATTGGGGGATCTTCAGTATATATTCTTTATGCGACCGGAATGATTGGACCCGCCAAAGTTCTCGCAAACCGAGCGGCTGGTGGAATGGTTGATTTCGTTACTGAAAAAGTTGCAGAGTCTTATCAGGATCGTAGTAAGATACGCGAAAAAAGCTATTCTGGAGAAAACTTGTCGGAGAAAACAAGCATAGATGGTGATGTAGAGAAGGCTGCTCTTTCTTGATTTGTTACGCTAAGACAACCTGAATCTGGTTTGCTAAAAGAAGAAGAATGAATTTCACCCTGTTCTATTTGACGCTTTATGTTGAAAAAGATTTTCGTTCACGAATTTATATATACCAAGACATATATAGTATGAAGTACCACAATTAGGGAGAATCCTGTTGTTATTCTAAAGAAAATGAATTATGATATTGTATGCTTTTTTATGTTGTATTTTTTAAATATCGGAGTAAATTATATAGTACTCTCCTGCGCATGTCTGGTTTTGTAGGCTAACTTCTTTACGGTAAGGACAATAAACCATCCATTGCTAAGCTTCAACGAAAATGGCTTCATACTAGTTGCAGTCTAGTGTTTTCTAAATCAATGTCATTTTTCTAAGGAACAGCAGCAACTACTGAGAACATTGAATTTACTATAAGAACAAACAAGTGGAATTCGTTTCTGAAAGACAACTGGAAAGATTAAAGGAATTTTTTTAGTATATTGAATTAAAAAAATTATTAAAAAAGAATCTTTTATTTTATAAAATCATTATTCCATGCATCAGTTTTTGTTTATTTCCATTACCAAAGACATAAATAAATAAACATCGTATTACAGATAACGATAAACTAGGTCTGGTTCAATGTTACCCGTACATACGAATTAGGTAAGCCAAAGTAAAGTCTATTTAATCATTTACCTCAACAATCGTTAGCAATCAGCTATATGTAAAAGAAAGGCCCGTTATACTGTTTCAAGAGTATATATTATAAATTACTAAAAAGCTCGTCGCCTATTATTTCGAATTGCTTCTGGGAGTTTTGACAGAAGCTGGACATTGAGTTGAATTCGAAAGCTACTTAATCTTTTTTAATAGTGAAGGCATTAAAACAAATATGAAGGAATGCTCTTTAAAAAATCAAAACAATGGCAGTAACAATGCGTCAGAAGTCCCTAATGCAGAGAATGGGCCAAGTAAAGATCTGAAGAAAGTACAATTCCCCCCTAAAATCGTACAACCGGAACCAAAAGAGCAAGAAGGAAAACCTCGTAGACCTTCAATTGCAGCAACTAGGGAGATTCACTCCGGTATAAATCAGCTGCCTAAAAAGGAAGACATAAAACTTGAAGAATTAGATTCAAAGGCTCCATTACTGGATGCGAAAACGAAACCCAATGTTGGCAAATGGTTTCCCTCTATTCGAGAAGAAGACGGTGGATCGACTCCGTTGGGTGTGAAAACAAGGAAGACTGCTAGACATCAAATTCGCCAAGAGTCAACAATTGACATTCCTGGCCTCACTGTGTCTAGAAAAGCCGAAAACGAAATGAATTGTGGATCTTATGGCATTAGAGAAAAGCTGGTGATTGTGCTTGTAGGAATCCCTGCGACAGGAAAATCATATATCGGCTCCAAGTATGTGCTGTCCTAATTGTGCTCCTTTGTGCTAATACAACTGTAATTTTTTAGACTTGTTCGGTACTATAATTGGCTTAGATACAATTGTCGATTCTTCAGCGTTGGTGACAAGCGTCGTGAAGAAGGAGCCAGTAAGTATTCCATGGCTGCCCCATTCTTTGATATCGAAAACGAGGAATTGAAAAAGTTTCGCGAGTACTTGGCTATGGAGACCCTTGAAAACTTACTACATTGGTTATTGAATGAAAATGGAGTTATCGGCGTACTGGATGCCACCAACTCAACTTATCAAAGAAGAAAATTGATATATGATCGAGTTAGCAAGGAAGAAAATATCAGCATAATGTTCTTGGAAAGCATGTGTACCGAGGAACCCGTATGTGTCTGAACTTTGAAATTCCAATTCTTCTCGTATCCTTATACTGACTTCTATTCTAGATTTTTCAACAGAATATGATTTTAAAAGCTCGGGGACCTGATTACGAAGGTTTTGAACCGGAAGAAGCCTTAGCAGATTTGAAGAAACGTGTCGAATTTTATAGGAAATATTATGAGCCCATTGACGAGCGTGAAGAAGCTCTTCCCTTATTGCAATATGTAAAAGTCATTAACGTGGGAATTAAAGTCATTACTCATAATATTGAAGGATTTTTGACTGGCCAAGCTGTCTACTTTATGCTAAATTTGAATATCCGAAAACGTCAAATATGGCTTACTCGACCTGGACAATCTAACGACACGATTGCAGGAAGAGTAGGAGGCAATGCACCATTAACGGATCTTGGTGTACAATATGCTGAAGATTTGGCAAAGTTTATTGATCGACAACGTGTGTTATGGCAATTACGAGAAACCACTGAGAGGTTGAATGCTAAAAAGCCAACCTTTGAAGCGGAAGCCTTTAATATCTGGTCTTCTGTTCGTCAGCGTGCTACTGAAACGAGTCAGTTTTTTAATCCAGGTGTATACGATGTCAAAAAAATGCGAATGTTGAATGACTTGAATTTTGGTTCCCGCGAAGGATTAACAATGAAAGAATTTGCTGAAAAGTATCCAGAGGAATATCAAGTTATCCGTCGAAAAGATGTTTCTTATCGTTTCTCCGGACTTGGTGGAGAGAGCTACCTGGACGTTGTTCATCGTTTACAGCCGATCATTGTTGAGCTGGAAAGATGTTCTGGAAATGTCTTAGTTATTGCACATCGAGTTGTCTCTAATATTTTGATGACATATTTCCTTAATTATAGTCCAGAGGTATGTGGGTATCTGCTTAAACTGCGTTTATTGACGAAGCTAATTGAATTTAGGAAATTATTGATGTAGGACTTCCTCTTCACACCCTTTATTGTATTGAGTCCGATCGCTATTCTACTGTCTGCAAATTCTATAATTATGATCCCGAACAGAGGAGTTTTGTGAGAGTTTCTGAAAAATGTGTGCCTTTAATTATATTTCATGATTACAATTTTAATGTTTGTTAAGAACTTACCCTGATAAAGATTTTAGTACTGACACTAGAAAACACCAGGCAATCTCTCCTTTTTATTTACGCTCATAACCTGCAAAATGTAATAATAAAATTCGATTTCCCGTTACTATTAATAACTAGCAAAATAATGACTATTACTTATTTAAATGACAAAATACCCTAACAAGTTCAGAAGAAAAAAAACAATTAACCAACTATTGGTAAACTTTTCAGAGACGTTTATACATGTTAGCATATATATATAAATATTAATTTTTATACCTGCTTACTGCCATACCAGCCCAGCCGTGTCTGGGAACAGCATAGTGGATAGTCAATATAAGTCGTAGAAAATCCACCAATTTTATAATCAAAATATATAAAGAAAGTTTTTATAAATATATTTATGTTTTTTTATTACGACGATAAGGTCTTCTTTCATTTTTCTACATCCGAGCTTTACCTTCGTCCAAGTGTTTTCAAAGTAACAACGGTAACAATAGTTAAGAATGTGAATATACAAAAAAAATTAGATATAATATTTAAAAGTTTTAATTAAATAATTTAAATGTATTTTGTTAGCAGTCTTTGATTACGGGCAGAGGTCCATATGGCTTGTTGCATGGATTCTAAACTCACCCTTCGCACACGATCGGAATAAACCTACATTACAAGATGCTGAAGAAACAGGCGCTCAGCGGACTTCGCCAGTTTTCTTTAGCAAACAAATCCCCCTTTGTTACGAATAGATTACAAAGCTCTAAAAATGCATGGCTAAATGCCGCAAAATTTGCAAGCCTTAGATGTGCTTCCACGGAAGCCTCTAAACAGAACAAGGGTACCATTAAGCAAGTTATTGGTGCCGTTGTTGACTGTCATTTTGAGGACTCCGAGTCTTTACCCAGTATTTTGAGTGCCTTAGAAGTCAAGATGGCTGACAAGCGTCTCGTATTGGAAGTTGCCCAACACATCGGTGAAAACACTGTCCGTACTATTGCTATGGATGGTACCGAAGGTTTGGTACGTGGTACCGATGTTCTTGATACTGGTGCTCCCATTAGTGTCCCTGTTGGTCCCGGTACTTTGGGTCGTATCATGAACGTAATTGGTGAACCCGTCGACGAACGTGGTCCCATTGAAGCTGTTAAATACTCCCCCATTCACGCTGATGCTCCTTCTTTCGCTGATCAATCCACTGCTCCCGAAATTTTGGAAACTGGTATTAAGGTCGTCGACTTGCTTGCCCCTTATTGTCGTGGTGGTAAGATTGGTCTTTTTGGTGGTGCTGGTGTCGGTAAGACTGTCTTCATTCAAGAATTGATCAACAACATTGCCAAGGCTCACGGTGGTTACTCTGTTTTCTGTGGTGTCGGTGAGCGTACTCGTGAGGGTAACGACTTGTACCACGAAATGCAAGAAACCGGTGTCATTAAGTTGGAGGGAGACTCCAAGGCTGCTCTTGTCTTCGGTCAAATGAACGAACCCCCTGGTGCTCGTGCCCGTGTTGCTTTGACTGGTTTGACTGTCGCTGAATATTTCCGTGACGTTGAAGGTCAAGATGTCTTGTTCTTCATTGACAACATTTTCCGTTTCACTCAAGCTGGTTCTGAGGTGTCTGCCTTGCTTGGTCGTATTCCCTCTGCTGTCGGTTATCAACCCACTTTGTCTACTGATATGGGTGCTATGCAAGAGCGTATTACCACTACTAAGAAGGGTTCCATTACTTCCGTCCAAGCCGTTTATGTCCCAGCTGATGACTTGACCGATCCTGCTCCCGCCACTACCTTCGCTCACTTGGATGCCACTACTGTCTTGTCTCGTAGCATTTCTGAGCTTGGTATCTACCCCGCTGTCGATCCTCTTGACTCCAAGTCTCGTATGATGGATCCCCGTATTATTGGTGAGACTCACTATAAGCTTGCTGGTGATGTTCAACAAATGCTTCAAGAATACAAGTCTTTGCAAGATATTATTGCAATTCTTGGTATGGATGAATTGTCTGAAGCTGACAAGTTGACTGTTGAGCGTGCTCGTAAGATTCAACGTTTCATGTCTCAACCCTTCGCTGTCGCTGAAGTTTTCACCGGTATTGAGGGTCGTTTAGTTTCTTTGAAGGACACCATCCGTTCCTTCCAGGAAATTGTTGAAGGTAAGCATGACAACTTGCCTGAATCCGCCTTCTATATGGTCGGTTCTATTGACGACTCTGTCAAGAAGGCTGAGAAGATCGCTCAAGAGCTTAAGGAGTAAACAAACATGGAATAAACTTCAAGTATTCCATATGTATGTTTATTATGCTTATGCCCACGCTCATTTACCAATAAGGCATATCACGATATGTCCTTATTGATCAAATTAATAAACTAACGTCTGATGACTTCTATCTTTTAACAGATATCTGACTTTGATTATACTTTTTACTATCCTTCCTCTTCTCATCAGCAGCAGACAGTTATAATGCTTTTTTCTCTGCCCTTAAGAGTATTAAAAAATAATACTTATATTCAGAGAATTATGTTTTAAGTAGCGTGTTAGTAATATGAAACATTGTAGTTTATTTGCTTGATAAAAGTGTAGTGAATTTGCATTTTATTTGCTATTTAGTTTTGAAATATCTAAAATACTTGAACAATAGAATGAAGCACTATTGATGTTCGGGGAAAACGTCAACGTGGTTCGTAGTGCTTAAATGCTGCTGCCCAGCCGAACATCTTACCTTTTCCACGTAAGTATTAAGAAACCGTAAATCAAGGAAAACGAAAATGGAGAATACATTGCGAGGATTTTTAGGAAGCTCAAAAGAAGGCGAACGAGTTTTTGTTGAAGGATTACAGAATGACACGAAAAAAGTATGTCGAGTGAGTGAGACAAATCAGTTGAATTGCATTGAGCTTGGAGCTTTAGAGACTCAGTTATTTTCAACACTTCAATCTTTAGGGTATGTTTTATGAAATATTCATGTAGTGTTTGTATACTGACATAACTGTCCAGGTATATATGCACATTATCGGCAGACCCAAATCGACCACCTAGCTTTGATTGCAAAAAGTTTATGGATTGAATATCTATTACAGCTTTATAAAATAATTTCATATAACGCTGTCTTATCTTTTATCTCCCATCTCTCAGTCGGAATAGAGAAATTTACGACCTACATAATTCTTTCAGTCCTTAGTATTTATTCGATAGCATCCGAAAAATAACATGTCTGAGCATGCTATGCAATATAAGTTTTATAAATTAATTTGCAACTTGAAACTTGACGGTACAGGAGAAAGGTGAATTCACTATGCTTTACAAATAAGGCAAATGTTTCAGAAAGCTAAGAATGACAAGTCTCAATAAAATTCACAAAAACTACGTCGAAAAATGAAGAATGAATAACTATGACAGGAGATCGGTTAATTGTTAAATTCATTAAAGCAAACAAAATGGTAAAATTATATAAAAGAGGGGAATTATTAAAAGGACAAAAAATGAAACAATTGATAAAATAATATTGAATACTTTCCCCGGTGATGAAGAATGAAAAGGATGTGAAGGGATCGAAGTTAAGGGACGGAAGAATGCTTTAAGCCCACTCAACTGGATGATGGGTGGCCTCTATTAAAGCCTTATGGCGTTCTCCCTTGGGCTGATAATTGTAACGCCAAGAAGCATGCAAAGGAAGTGTCATAAGGATAGACTCAACTCGAGGATTGGGAGCTTGAAGGCCAAACCATGTTCCGCGGTCGTACATGACGTTGAATTCGGTGTAGAATCCACGACGAATGAGCTGAAATTCTTTGTCATCTTCGGTGAACTCCATGTCCTTTCTCTTTTTCATTATAGGGATATAGGAAGGAAGGAAGGTGTAAGCGCAATCTTTAACAAAAGCAAACAACTCTTCAGGGTCTTTATCGGACAAGTCGTCAAAGAAAATACCGCCGATACCACGAGTTTCTTTTCTGTGTTTAATGAGGAAATAGTCGTCTGCCCACTTTTTGAAACGAGGATAAAAGGTTGGATCATGGCGATCACAGGCTTCTTTATGTAATTTATGGAAATGTCTAGCATCTTCTTCGAAAAGAATACTGGGAGTCAAGTCGGCACCACCGCCGAACCACCAGATCTTTTTTCCGTCACTGTTGACCAATTCAAAATAGCGGTAATTCAAATGGGTGGTAGGGGCCATGGGATTGCTCGGGTGGATAACCATACTAATACCGGCAGCGAAAAAGGGCAATTCTTTAGCACTACGATCAATACCATCGTGATTGGCTCTCATTCTTTGCACAGCATCTTGACTTAAAACGCCCTGAACGATACTAGTATTTACACCTCCCTTTTCAAAAACATTTCCATCTTGAATCACACAAGAAATCCCGTAGCCGCCTTCACCTTTGGTCCATCTGTCTTGATAGAACTTTTGACCATCAATAGCTTCGAGTCCAGCAACGATTTTCTGTTGGACGTCGAGGATTAATTCTTCCATACGTTTACCGGTTGTTTCGACTTCAATAACAGGAGCCATGTTGTTGAAGCGACTTTATGATGGATTTTAAAGAGCAACTTGGTTTATTTTTCCTTTTCCTGGAACGCTTGTTTGTCTAACTCTTTAAGAAATAAATTCAGGTGCGAACGTGTTGAAAGGTAAATTTCTTAGCTTGGTGGAAAATCTATAGGAACAGCTGTACACTTGATGAGCCTGATTCTACGTGCGGTTGAGTGCTTTATATAACAAAAGTATGATTTCAAAAATCACCTTTTTCATAAAATCGCACGACTTTGTCCTGTCGTTCGACCTTAGGATGGAATACTCTCAACTTCCCTAAAGCTGCATTTTTTCGTCTTCGATGGTCATGTCTCCTTGGGCCTCTTACCCGTTCGTTAATAAACAAACAGCTGTATGTAAAAGAAATAATCTATTTAATATGTATTTGTTTATGATACCTCCTACTTTATTGGATTTGTACTAAAGAAGCCCAATTAATGGTTCTTTTTGAAAAGGTCGCAGTCAACTTATAGAGGAATTAAATCATCTTGTCGTACAGACAACTAGGATGTATAACAAGAGAAATTGCTTTCACAGTAGAAGATATCCAAAGGGAATAGATATAAAAAAATGATAATAATTAGAAGGTACCACTCATGAACTTTAAGCTTTAAACAAGGTATGATTGAGTAAGTACAGTTTCATAAAATTGATGGATGTATCCTTCTCTACAAACCTGTGTAGCTAGCGCATTTCCGATCTATCTTATTTTAATTTATTTTTCTTTACAAAAGCAGTAAACGTCCTTGCAAACAGAATGACTGTTTGGATGGATTTGAAGAGATGAAGTTTGTTCATTTAGTATGCCAAGGGTTACGATCTGAAGGTCAAACTAAAAGCAATATTATATACCTTACAGAATTTTTCCATTATTTGCTTTAGATAGCATCAGTTCTGGTTTTTTGGTAACCTTGAAGGCATGCTGTATTGATGCCAACAACACACCCTTATCCATACCTTCTTCACATTTGAAGTAAGAGAAGAAGAATTACCAAAAAAAAAAGTAGGGAATTATTCTCTAGTTCAAACTCAAAGTAGTAGCTTTTTCTAGCTATAAAGAAAAAGTTTGGTGAGGAATCGTTTGTTGTTTTTCACTTACAGCCATCCTTTCATCTTCCACTTTGACAACTGTGTCTTTGCCGCTGATTTTGTTTTCTTTTATCCAATTTTCTGTCACTTGTATCCCTCAAAGCTTTTCGTTCGGCTCTCAGCCCCTACACACATTTCTACGGTTTGTTTACGAACACTTGGCGTTCTATGTTTCATTAACATTCCTTTGGAGATTGAATTCAGTCCACCTTTTTATATCTCAATTTTCCTTTCTATAATACTCAATACAAGTTTGAATGACGGAAATAGAAAGCTGGGACGATGATCCGGATTTTGCATCAGATGCTGACAACGTTAGCCTGTTTGCTCAGTCCATAGCCACCACCACTACAAGCGCTGATACTACACCTGATGATGATTTCTTTGAAGGTTCTCTTGACAAGCTCAACTCTTTATCTCTCAACCCTTCTTCCAATTCTCCTCTGCTTAATAAATCAACAAATACTAAAGTCCATCAACTTGGAAACAATTCAAATAATAATGGAAGTTTTGAGGAATACGAAGATGACTTTGACTTATCTCCAGAAGAAACCGACTCCGAGTTTCAGACTATCCGACCAAGCCATTTATCTTCTTTAGACCAAAATCAAACAATACGTGCTCCAAAGTTGAACACTATTCGACCGAGTATACAATCTCTTGTCCCTGAGAATAACTACGAGCATCAAAGGGATGTGTCTGCTAGGTCTTTTAGTCCCTCGAGTTCCGCTTTATACGATTTTGATGATTTCTCATCATTTGAAAATGATTTAGAAATTGATCCCGATACGGATCTTGCTGACTTGTTGCAAAGGAAAAGTAACAATATCGATCCGAAATCTTCATTTTCTAGTGTTGAACAGTCGTCTCTTAGAACTCCTTCTTCTGCTAGAGAAGAAGATGATTTCTGGAATGACTTCGAACTTGATCCGACAGAAGAGCCAGAAACTATTTTCCGTAAAAAAGCTCCAGAAATTACTGTTAATCCAAAGCATCCCTATATTTCTTCTACCATCGCTTTTCATCCAAAGATTCCTCAGGAGACCAAGGCTTATCCCATGTGCAAAGAGATTTTTCCTTCTCTATCAAATGAACAGGAGGCATTCTCCAATACTAGAAGCTCTTTAAAACAACCTCCAAAATCCCAATCCAAGCATTTTCAGAACGGAGTTCCTTATGCTCATGACACGATTCGAGCTTCTCAAATTTCATCTTCTTCAAAAAAAAATTCGCCAGGATTTGCTACATGGAACCCTACTAGTTTAAAACAAGAGGCTCAGAATCCCGATAATCTCTACCTAGACATTAATGATTTGAAGTTAGCTGCAAAAACGAGTAAGTACAAAACTCGACCTAGACATGTGCGCAAATATGGTGATGGAACCGAGTTGGATGGCTTAGAAGATCTACCGGTTAATTATGATTATGAAAATGAGTATCAGGACAGGTTTCGTTCTCCGGTAAGGAATCACTCACACAATCCTGCTCTTCAATCAAGTCCCAGTCGTAACAAGAGAAATGAAAACTTGTTATCTAATATCACCAACATTCAGAGAAATGATGCGCGTTACTTTAAGGGTAATGGAAAAAGTACTGTTACACCTTCAAAGGAAATGACTTTGGAAGCTCTATCTAATGACCAACTAAACTCAAAGACACTAAAATACCCCAAAAAGAAGCGAGAGCCTACACTAATAAAAAATCTTAGCTCTCCTAAGACGCCCAAGTTGGTCGGTAAAATGCGATATAACCCTGCAAAGCAATGTTGGGAAGGTAACGATCATGCTATCAGAGACTTTGATGCTCCCCTTTCTCCTTCTAGGCCAGCTCTTATTTCAAATATTTCGGCTAAAAAAGGTATTCAAGTGGTGGGTAATATGGTTTTTGATCCGACTAGGTTTCGATGGATAAACAATGCCGATGCACTAGAGGAAGAGCCTGATCCCTTTGCTGGTCTTGATGACTTAGAAAACGAAGATTCTGTTTCGCAACTGGCAGATAATACCAATGATACCGTTAACAAGTCTATGAACTCACTCTACAGCCTTACTGATACAAGTGAAATCTACGACGTGGGCCCAGAATTTGAGAAGAAACAGTACGCGGAGGAGAAGCTTTGGCGCAAATGGGTAGATGGCTGGTATCTATCTACGAAAAAAAACAACATGAAGCGGCTTTGGGAATTGTACAATATTTTAAATGCTGAGCAGTAAACTTACTTTTTGGAAATATGCATTATTGGAAGCATTGCTATAACCAACTTATTTTTTTTATGTACATAATATTAATACGGCTAAATAAATACATAATTTACTCTGCATTTGCTACTAACTGAACATACGTAGAGTAAATCATAACGTAAAAAAAACAAATACTTAATGCTCATAACACGCTTAAACAACTAACCGATAATTAACCCATTTATTTTTCCATTAATTAATTAATTAACCGCAAGCCATTGTAATTATTGTGGTTGCCAAGGAGGCTGTGTTGCATAACCAGATGCAGACGAATAATTAGGATCGTAGTATGAAGAATAGCCTGGATTGTACATGTTTCCAGGCATAGCACCACCACCATTGGGCCAACCACCAGAGGGATCAAAATGTCTTTCTCCTTGGTGGGGTAAACCTCCACGGAAAGGCTTACGTCCTCGCATTCTATCATCACGTCGAACATTCATATCTTTACCACGTTTACTTATAGCTTTGGAACTTATGCCCAACCCAATTTCAATGTCGGGTTCGTCAACAGCAACACCCGGTGTTACGGGAACACCGCCAGTACCGCCGTATTCGGCTGTTACAAGCCAAGTACGATCAGCATCAGTCAATAAACGTATAGGAATTACACTGACACCAAAGGTAAAATCAGAGCATTCTCTTGGGCCAAAACCAACACCCCATTTAGTCTAAAAGAAGTTAGTAAGGAGTCTGAAAATAAGTTTACATGCTACTTACACGAATGGTGGTATCAGCAAAAGGAACATTTTCCATTGCGACCTGTGCCTTTTCGGCAGCCTCACGACGGAACATTTTAAGAAAACCATGTCTATAGTTGTGATTCAAAATGAGACTTTGAACTGCACCAAAACGTTCAAACATCGAACGTAAAACGGGTTCACGTACAGCGCGAGTAATACCACCCAGAAAAAGGGTACGACTATATACTGTACAATAGTTAGATACTAATTAAGTCAAGAATATAAAAAACAAACCTTTAATGGAGTCAGGAGGAATGGTTATATCCCGCTCCAATTTACGAGGCATGCCATCCGGAGTTGGCTTTGGCATCCCATTGGCCGGCATAGCAGAGGGAATAGACATTCGTGAAGGACTAGGCGTACGACCAGCTTGTTTACTGCGAGGACTAGGACTACGAGACCTATGCAAGGAATCCATAAGTCCTGACGTAGGGGCAGTAGCAGATAATGCGCTTGGGGGACCTCCTTGCAAAGGTGCACTATAAGAAGGAAAAGCGGCTTTTATGATAGTTTCGATTTGAGGAGCTGGGACGTTTTGAGAAGCCAAAACATTAATAAGGTTAATTTTTTGAGTTTCAGTATCAGGTACGGGAGCAGCTGGGTTTGGTGCCATCGCACCGCCCAACATAGAGGGAGGAGCACCAGCCATCGGCTGGTACATAGGAGTAGGCATTGAAGGAGCCGATTGAGGGGGCAGTGGGTTCAAAGCAGCAGCCGGAGGTACAGGGCTAATGTTTGCAGGTGCACCGCCTACCGGGCCAGAGTGAGAGACGGGATCTTGTATAGTTGGGGTGCCAGAAGCTGTGGAGGCTGTAGAGGGAGCGGGGGCCTTTTGGGCAAAGGCTGCAAGGGCTTCCAATATGGAGGCAGGATCGTTTGTCGAAGCAGCAGGGGGTAGTGAAGGAGCGGATGGCTCTGGAGCAGAAGCAGTTACATTGGAAGGATTCTCGACACTAGGCTGCGTTGATGAAGCAGAAGTGTCACGATTAGGAGAATTAACCTGCTCAGAAGAGCCAATGGCTTCTTTGATTTTGGAACGAAGAGATTCTAATTTGTCTTGGGGCAAAGTGGAAGCTTTGTCCCAGATGTCACAGAGTTTTAAGATTTTTGGCTACATGAATTGTTAGTAACATGCTTACAGCAGTCAGAAAAGACAAAGATAGCTAGAGATAGTTGGTAAACGGCTTAATACAGCAATACTGATAAGTAATTTCTCTCTAAACAGATACGATGAAGAGAAGCATACAAAATAGAACACAAAAAACATTCTAAACCCAAAGGGGCCAGTCATTACCAAAATAGTAGAGAACCTTATACCAATACCAACGCTACACATACCAAATGAGCAGAAGGGGCATGATGCGTTGCATCAGCAACCAAGCTTTCAGTAACTTCGGCAGCTTTGCACCAACCACCACTAAAAGAAGCATCCACTGGAGATTCAAATGATTCATTATTCTTTTTAGCGCCATCCTGAAAGCTACGTACGATGGAATCTAGAATATACAGGGCGCCTAACTTATGGGTATTAGGAGCGCGTTTCGCATACTTATACACACTAGTGATGAACTGAGCATTTTCGCCAATATTTTCCATTGCCAAATTCGTTAATTTTAAAATTTTCGAACCAGATATGCCTGTTTTAGAATGTTCGAGGGATTCTAACGTCCCTTCAAACTCTGAATTTCCTGACATTCTTTCTCTACTTTGTAAAAACTCCAAACGGATATTTTTTAAAAAAAGACAAAAGAATGTTTTACTTGGCTATATTTATCTGTAGAAATACAAAGTTATTAGCAAACTTTTGAGATTCTTAATTCCAGTTGTGGTGTTATGCTAAGGACAAGGTGTTTGTTCCCAACTGTGCCCTCTTATACGCCATTTTCTTGGCATATAGTGAGGCAACCAGTACCTTGGGGAAGGGTGATGTACTTGAGGATGTGCATAGATTTGGAAATTTAGTAACAATAACTATAAACTAAACTGTATATAAAAAATGAAATTTATTCTTTTCTATTTTTCTTTTCTCGAATACTCTTGATTCTGAGAATGTATGCACTTTCGAGTGCGGAATCAATCGTCCAATAAGTGTCCTTGATGACATGTATAGGGTAAGGGTTCTAAAAAGAGAAAAGGTATAAATATCTCTGCTGGAACTTCCTGTTCAGTATTCTCTCTTTGCCTTTTGGCTTAGATCAAGTGTAGTATCTGTTCTTTTCAGTTTAATCGCTGAAATCGCCTCACTGAGGTGTTTCCGATTAATCTTGTTTTTGGTATTTGCTGGAAAGCCTCTGGCTTGCTATGTTTTCCGGCACCGGTGTCCTTGCTATTGCACTACCGGCAAGAGACGCCGAATCATCTTTTATTGACAGATTTATGATTCATGGATTTGGCAATAAAAGATGGTTCTTTTTAGATGGTATCTGCCTGTTTCGAGTGTGGTAGAAAAAGATCAGTAGTTAGAATGAGATTGGCAGTGGTGTGTGATATCTTTATAGGTGGTATCTGGGTTTTAGTGAAGAAGGTAGGTTATTAAATGTACGTACAGTTGTGAAGGCATAAAAATGTTTCGTTAGAGTAACTTTTTTTCATTCTGTTTTGTTTTTGTCTATAAAAGTAAATGGATGAAATAGTGTAAGTAGGTTAGCTATGTTGGTATTCTCTTGTGAATCGGCGATGAGAAGGAAAAGTAGAATTTTGTAGAGCTAGCTGTATTTTCTATAGACAGACAGAGATGATGGGTAACTCAGTTATGTATGACATTCTTGAGTTTCATATATCTATATATGTATGCATCTAGTGTATGCTTGGACCTTGCCCTGCTGTTTTTGGACATAGAATTCATGGTTGTTCTTTGGCGGCAAACTGCTTTTGGCCACAACGCTATAGATCTTTAAAGGATATAAGGGAATAAAAAATTGATGGCGAAATCTCAAGAATAAATAAGAAGCAACTATCCTCGTTCGTTATAGAAGCATTTGAAGGTCGACGACGCTTGTAAGTGTGTTGGTGGACTTTTTTTTTTTTTTGGTTTGAATATTAGGGAAAAGACTTTTGTTGACTTGATCTCTGCTTCTAGTTTGGTGGAATTTCGAAGAACGTCGTTTGCCTGTTGAGTTTAGTAGAAAAAGGATTGTTGCTTCATCGGTCTTTCTTTTTTTTGGGGGATTCTTTTTGTTAATTTTTTTTTTGGTTGGATCTTTCATTTGATTTGATTCTAATTTCGTTTTTTGATTTTTTTTCTTATTTTCTTGCTTTGAGTATGTCATCAGCTTCTATGTTTTCCAGTTATGCTGGCAATCGTGACCCATCAAGTGCAAAGGTGCGAATTGGTGTGTTAGCTTTGCAAGGAGCTTTTATTGAACATATTAATATCCTGAATTCTTTTGAGGATGTCTTTTCCTTTCCCGTAAAGACAGGCGCTGATTGTAAAAACATCGATGGTCTAGTTTTACCAGGTGGTGAGTCTACTACGATGGGCAGGCTTATTGGCATAGACTCTGATTTGAAAGAAAATCTAGAGAGTCTAGTAGCTAGAGGAGTCCCTATGTGGGGCACTTGCGCTGGTATGATCCTCCTCTCCAAAAAGTCTCATGGTGGGAAATTCCCAGACCCATATTTGTTGCGAGCAATGGATATTGAAGTTACACGGAATTATTTTGGTCCTCAAACCATGTCCTTTACGACTACCATTCGGCCTACCGATTTTATGAGGTTTGAAACCACAAAGCGAATGGAAGCTTTTGATGCAACCTTCATCCGTGCTCCCATCGCTTCATCCATCAATAGCGACAGTGTCCGTGTTTTGGCCACCACGACTCACAAGGACCGAGAAGTCGTTGTCGCCGTCGAACAGGGTCCTTTTCTAGGAACCTCCTTTCATCCTGAACTAACCGTGGATGATAGTTGGCACCGATGGTGGGTCAATGAACGTGTCCTTCCTACCAAAAAGTAGGTGCATTCCCCCTTTTTCCTTATAATGTGTTCAAAATTTTAATATTACGAGAGAATATCCTTTTTAGAAAGCCCCGTCGTAGTCTAAATTCCAGGTTGCTACAGATAATTTCAATATAATGTACTACTAGAAGAATCCATATTTTCAGTTTGGTTATTTCCAATCAATAATTGCTACAAGTAAGCACAAGTAAAATGAAGAGAATACAAGTAAAGCTTAAAGAAACAAAAATACAATGATAAAATGAACTTTTGCATAAGAGTTGCAACAAAAAACAAAAATAAATTGTTTCCGTTGCGGGGAGTCGAACCCCGGCCGCGTCGGTGAAAGCGACGAATCCTAGCCGTTGGACCACAACGGATTTGTTAGTAGTCTATACTCGATTGCGTATTTGTATAAAATCGATTTCTTTTGCGTCCATGAAATAGCTTTACATTTTCCAATGCTTTCGTTCATAGAAAAAATGTGATGACTTGTCTACATAAATTTTATTGTTTTCATTTTTATACTTTTATTTTTTTCGAGTACAATCTATTCCATAGAATTTCGTCCGATTTATAAATAGAGAGACAATGATGACTATCCCAGAGGAAATACCAAATAATTAAACGACGGTCCATACCAAAGATTGAACCGGCTTTTGTAGTTTAATAAAACAAAAAAAATTTGTATTCTAATACACACATTTTTCCCAATATCTGTTTTCTTTGGGGTTTATTTATGTGTTTATTAAGGCAAACTACACGTACCTTCGTTAAGGTATCAAAAGAATGCCACAAAAAAAAACCTATGTTTACATCGTCTGAGAAACCTTCCAGAAACAGTATTGAAAAAAATACAACACTCTATAATTAACTACATCCGCGAGGCTATTTAAAGAAAAGGGGTCAATGTCTGTATTTGTCTTGTCTTAAAGGGTTCTTTCTCGTGAGAGTTTGCTGAAAGGTCTCAGATGCTGTATCACGATTCTGGTAGTTTGTCGGCCACCTCTGCTACAGATACTCTTGCTCTTGATCAAGCCCTGTCCTTACGAGAAGGTGGAAGACTAAAAGATATTTCTGCGAATAGACATGGTAAGTATCCAACACTTCAACAATCAAGAAGCTGTGCGCTCCTGTGTCTCATCGCTTGTTTTCGTGTCCAATGCTCCAATGCTAATTTTTTCTATATAGGAAGACTACTGTTCACGGCTTTGCTAGAAAATTTTTGTCGTATGTATACAATTGATGCAACTTAGCCAACGATGATCACTAACCAGGTTTGAAGAATTATATGATTCAGACCCCTCTCGTTCCAGAAGGCTCTTTACACTAATTTGTCAGACATTAAAGCGGATCGGAATTGTTGATGAGGAGTACATTGATGAACTTGCTGGGATCCGATCAACGTATCAAAGTGCTTTGCACCACCTGATTACTCAGGCTAGAGAGGTACTGTTTGAAGAAGATCATGATAAAAAAGTCCCATTGCCTATTAAACCATATGTTCCAGAGAGATCATACGAAGAACTGCAGGGAGCTCTTCAAAGAATCTCACTTTCGGAGGGTTCTAATCCCTCTAATTCCCCCAAACAGGATTCACAGTCCAGTAACTTTACGTATTATTCGTGGTTGCATACAAAGCATTCTCGATATGTGAATGATTTTGATGAGCTACATATGCTCGGTAAAGGTGGCTTCGGTGCTGTGTATCGTGTGCGCAACCGTGTCGATGGCGCTGAATATGCTATGAAAAAAGTATTTCCCACTTTTCAACAAGTGCCTTATACCAAAATTTTTCGCGAAATTAAAAGCCTCGCAAAATTGGATCACCCTAACATCGTGTAAGTACTTATGTTTTCGATAAAGCTATTGACTAACTTTTGCAGCCGGTACTATGCTAGTTGGTTAGAAAATGCCTCTGAAGTCGTGCCGAATGTACGTAATCCTTCTGTTTCTTCAACAAAAATGATACAGGGCTTGGAGTCTTTAGACATTAGTCGCGATGATTCCATTACAGTTGCAAATAACGAAGACTCGGTTTATAGTGATGATCGCTCAAACAATGACAGTATCATTTTTGCTGCTGACATATCAGGGCAGTCGGATAATATATACTTTCAAAAGGCATCACCCGAGGCTAGTGAAAGTGGTAACTCGTCTCATGGAGAGGATTCAGAGAATAAATACGGTTCTTCTTACGATGAGATTATTGAGAATCCAGGAAATACGAGCGCTCTCTACGCTTCTACTATAGCTCCATTAAATTGCTTTGTCTTGTACATTCAAATGCAACTTTGCACTGACGATTTGGAATCGTATCTTTTTCGACGAAATTCCAAAATTTCATTTCCTTTGTCCATTGTGGATACCCGGATTCATATACAATTATTTCGAGCTATTTTGCATGGCGTTGTTTACATCCATGAAGTAGCACATCTCATTCACCGCGATATTAAACCAAGTAACATTTTTTTGGCGAAGTCTCTTACTTTCGATCGTGGTTCTGTTCCTTTGTACAATTATCGGGATAACGCCAACAATGGGCTCAGTAACTATACACCAAAGTTGGGTGACTTTGGTTTGGTGATTGATAATGAAGGGAAAACGCTCAATTCAGTTTCTTTTTCCAAAGATCTGCAACATGTATCTCAAGTGAATGCAACTCAACATGTTGGCACCATGTCTTATGCTGCTCCTGAACTTCTTGATGCTCTTGCATCTCACAGCAATGTTCCTGTATCCGAGGCCATAGACATTTTTGCCTTGGGTATTGTTCTCTTTGAACTCCTTTATCCTTTTGATACGGCTATGGAGCGGGCTTTGAGACTTCGAGATTTACGACAAGGCGTTTTGCCGGATGAATTCATCGAAAAGCATGGTTGCGAATCTAGTTTAATATTATGGATGACCGCAAAAGATCCATCCAAGCGTCCGATGTTGTCTGATGTTTTGAAATGTGATCTTCTACCCTCATATTCCGAAGAAGTTCTTTCTGAAAAGGGGGAGATTTTGCTTTCGCCTTTGTCCGCCGCTACTGATCATTGTTACTGGGAAGGAATTATCCAGGAAAACAAGCAACTACGTGAAGAAAACGCTCGTTTACGAAATGAATTAGAAGAACTAAAAAAAAGGTAATGTAAGATAGGTCTGTTTAGGATTACGCGCAATGAAGGAATATTTATGAACAAAAACTTGTCAATGAAAGTATGACAAAGAAATTTTTGGTATAAATACAAGTAATTATTATTAATCAAATAAGTATGAAACAAAAACCATTTTCCTAAATCCAAAGAGTAGGCATTAAACCTGAACCCGATACCCAAAAAACCATTTTTTAGGAAACCCTTTACCAGGCATGCTGTTGCTGAACAGCTGGAGCAGTCTCATGTTCGCGTTCATATTCAATATGTATGTGAGGACCACGTCTCTTGCTAGACTTTCTATCTTCAGTAGACTTGCGCTTCTTGGATGTGGCGTCTTCTTCATCTGAACTCTCTTCATCCTCGTCGCTTTCAGATGTTGCAGATTCTTCAGAACCTTGATCTGCCAACCAGTCTTCTAAATCGGAAATTTCCTCCTCATCCTCATCTTCCTCTTCATCGACATATTCAACTTCGGCATCTTCTTGATCTTCCTGCTCCTTAGCTTCATCAACCAAACCTTCGCGAGCAGACAAAACCTTCTGCCAAATTTCTTCGTTTACGTTGAGAGGCTGGTCGCCATAAACACCACTCTTAAGCCGCTCAACCAATTCTCGCTCAATGTTTCTTTCTAATTTAGCAGCAACGAGGGCCTTACGTTCTCTAGTAGCTTCACGATGCTTCTGCTTGGGCTTTATAGGAATTAAAGTAGGTTGATGTTTAAGAGCAAGCCTCCTGGCTTTCATTAAGTACTGCGTGAGACGAGTAAGTCTTTGTTTGCAGCGATGGATTTGACGTCCAGGCCAATAAAGCAAATTTTGATTAATCTGTTCCAACGCTTTGGTATAGTTTTTGGAGAGCTTGATCCGTTGCCATAACTTTGCAGGCGAATGTGCTCTTTCGATTGTTTTCATATAAAGGTACAGCTTTCCGTTATCCTCTCGAACTGTAGCATAACGGGAATTTGCCAATGGGCATGATTGTCGATTACAAAGTCCAGTAACGTTATATTCATTTCTGCAAAAATTTAGGGCTTCACCTCTAAGTCAAACGTTAGTACTTGTATCCTTCTGATATCTCTTCACTTACTTTATCCTATATGAACAAAATTCATGACCAATAACTTGCCAAATGACTTCGTCTTGCTGCATTTTGGCAGATGGTGTTTGGCAAACTCTTTCTTTCCTGCAAATTCTGTGTGTGCACGAAATGCCGTAGCGTAGTGAAATCGAGCGAGACTTATTACAGAACGCAACGATGCTTCATCAGAAACTCCAAGTGCCTTGGTAAAGAGATGTGAGATTTTGTTTCTAAAAAGTCATTCTTTACTTTGGTGAATCTGTTTATTAAAGAACAACTTGTAAATTAGCATGGGAACAATCCAAATTTGTTAGTCTTTCATAAAAAATCTTTGGTAAGGGTAATTACATTAATTCCAGCTTCATTTTCTTTTTGGTGGACTATTCTATACGTTTGTTGAAGCTTTTGGCAGATTGAAACAAAAGTAAACTCGTCGTGTGAGATTCCTTTTTGTGGATAATTGTGTTATAATAATGAAGCGATTTGAGAGAATTTCTAAATTCATACCCACAATTTATGCCTTATCAACTCCTGCAGGTCGCGCAGCTCTTTCAGTTGTTCGCATATCTGGGCCTTCTGCAAGTACGGTGAGTAGTTCCTATTTCTCAGACCCAAACTAATTTATAAAGGTACTCCAAAAACTTACTGGAAAGATACCAAAGCCGCGCTTGGCATCTCTGCAAAGTATAAAACATCCTACTCGGTCTCAGATTGTCGATAAAGCCTTAATTTTGTATTTTCAACAACCAGCATCATTTACTGGAGAAGACATAGTAGAGTTTCATTTGCATGGTGGTAAAGCAATAGTTAAGGAAGCATTGGATGCAATTGAGCAAACGAATATCCCAAATTTACGATATGCATTACCTGGAGAATTTTCAGAACGGGCATTCTACAATGGCAAGACTGACTTGACGCAACTGGAAGGACTTGCTGATGCAATTGATGCCGAAACATCAGAACAGCTATATTCTGTCTCGCAGCAAGCACACGGCGACTTGTATCGTCTATGTTTTGGTTGGAAGAATAAGCTGGTTGAATGCAGAGCACTTTTAGAGGCTACCATTGATTTTTCCGAAGAGCATGATTTAGATCAGAAAGAATTTGAACCTATTTTTCAAGAAATCTTAGATTTGACGGATGAAATGGAACGTCATTTGTCCAAAGCCAGGCCAACCGAAATCCTCCGAGAAGGTATTCGAGTAGCTGTAGTCGGGCCACCAAATGCTGGTAAATCAAGTTTGGTGAATTATTTGGCTAAACGAAAAGTCTCCATTGTTAATGAACAACCAGGCACTACTCGAGATGCTATTGAGACCTTGCTGGATATTCACGGGTTTCCGGTATTCTTGACTGACACGGCCGGCTTTCGAAAAGGTTCGGATGTCCAAGAAATCGAAAGCATTGGCATAGAAATTGCAAAAGAAAAGGCTGAAAAAGCTCACGTTGTATTACTTATATTACCATCCGAAATCTGGACCGGGAAGTCTCTTGCATTGGAAAACCAGATATTTGAACTTGTAAAGAATTATAAAGCCAAAAACCAGCAAGTTCATGTTTTACTAAACAAAACTGACCTCGTTCAGGGAGCATCGGGAGCGGCAACCATGGTTCGTAAATACTTACATCAAGCTTTGGACATCCCAATATCACATGTCCATGAAGTATCTATCAAAAATGAAATAGGGCTTGAACAAGCGCTTGCAGCACTGGCGTCATCTTTCAGAATCATTTCCCATGTACAGACTGAGAACAACGATGACGGTGGGTATGGTTGGAATCGGCGTCAGAGAGAAGCATTAAAAGAATGTATAAAGCATTTGAAAATGTCTCTTAACTACGCTTCTGATGTAGTTATAACAGCGGAAGAACTGAAACTCGCAACTGATGAGGTTGGTCGTATTACTGGAGCAGTGAACGTTGAAAGCTTATTTGACATTATATTTTCTAGATTTTGTGTAGGAAAATAAAAAAAATAAAGAAAACCTTAATAAGTGTTTCTCATTTGTTCTGAATGAGAATAAAAGTTCATCTTGTATATCCGCTTTTCACGAGGTCCATTACATGAAAAAAGACTTATTCGTTTCTTTTCAAAAAGGCGTAACTTCTCTAGATATTTAGAGACTTTAAAACGTAGAAGAAACCAAACGTCCTGGTAGCAGCATCCCAAACCGCATACTCCATACCACACGAAAAGCCATGGAACAATCCGCATCAGTTGAGAGTTTAGATATTAGTTTACTCCCAAAACCATTTCGGAATCCAAACTATAAAGCACAGCCCAGAAGGAATCGAAATTTAAAGCAAATCTTGCAAAACGACCCAATTCAAAACGATCCCACCAAATTGTCCTACAGTTCAATAGAGGCGCCGCCAAGTATTCTTCCGCAACCAAAGTACTGTGATATTACTGGATTACCTGCTCCTTACACTGATCCTAAGACACGTCTGCGGTACCATAATAAGGAAATATATAGCTTGATTCGGGAACTGCCATCAGGCGTTGATCAAGAATACCTAAAGCTTCGTTCGTCGGATATTGTTTTGAAGTAATTAGTTGTCTTATAATTTTTAGGTACCTGTGCTAGAAATTCCAGACAAGACATGGAGGGATCCAAACACCAAACTTTGTCATTACTTATGCATGTTGTTGGTGCATAGCAATCAATTAACTATTATTTATTTTATTACAAAAACCGCGAAACGTGCTACTGGAAGTTTTATTGCTTTCAATGCTATCTATGAATGTCGAGATGCTCTTTCAAGCACAATCAAATCTCAAAAACCAAACAAAGAATTGAATTACTCTAATTAAAAAAGATACATACATTACTTTACGCGATCGATGAAAGGTATAGAGGATTAAAAGAAGCTTTTTTATGGATGAACGTTAGAGTTGAGAGATAACTTTGTCTAGTGAACGACTGGACTTTAATGCATTTCTCAAGACATTCTGAGCTGCAACGGTAGTAGACACAATACTCCCTGAACCGTCTTTTTTCTCCCTGGCTGTTTGTAAGACGCAGCTACCACGAGAATAATGGTTGGTGATAGACACTGTTTTTCCAAAATTCAAATGCTTAGTAAGTTCTTGGGCATGAAGACATGCATCCGTTAATTGAACAAGTGTTGATTTATCAGAAACTTCGGGGTAACACAAGACTTCTTGCAAATTATTGTCGGCAGCATACATGACGGTTTTTTCATTTCTAAACAATAACAATTAGCTTCAAATTATAAGTCTAAAATCGCGTATATAAACGTACCCTGCAATTTCTGCCAATTGTTGAGAAACGGACATTTCGAGTTTTTATAGCACTGTTCCAATGATCAACTAAACAAAAAGCGCCTCAAGAAAGGTAAATTGAAATGAAATTATAAAACTTTGCTAAATGATTGAGCTGTAATGGGAAACGGTGTGTAACTGTGTTACCAAACTAAGTCATAGCAATGCATCCTATGTATCTTGTTTAATGTGTATGGAAGTGTGAGACAATTGCGTTTCAAAATGCAGGAGTGTTAAGTGTATATTACGAAATGGTACGAAAATAAAAACACACGTTAAGGGCGTATAACAGTCTATAACAAACCGCTCTTGGTAAACAAATAGGGGAAAATCTAACAAACCAAAAGTAAGCCAAACTGTCTTTGACTTTAAGTGTAAATCTCGCAGTATACGAGAAAGCTACGAAGTTATAGGAAAGAAATTAGAAAGACTCTTAGATAGGAAAGCGATTTTGAATGGGAGCTTAAACGATGACGGATCTGGGGAGGTTCCTATTCACCAAGACAACTAGCATGCAGAAAAAGGTTAGGAAATACAGAAACTTGGAAAGAAATACATAGAACCTCTCTTTTGATTCAAGTATTCACGACAACATATCTTATGATCGGACCACCGAAACGCACATTGGAATTTTATCCAAAATTCATAAAATTCGTAGAGACCTTCCTCTACTAAAGATTCATTGAAAATATAGATCTTTGAGCTTTTGCAATATCGTCAGAAACCAGATTTTTCAACATTTGTTTACGCTCTCTAGGTGTTACTCGAATGTCACCTAATGCTGGAAGAAGCTTCGACACCTACAGAAACGAAACAGACCCAACTTTCGCCCATAAGGAACAACCGAAACAGCAGGTTCCTCGTTTGAAATTCATATACAGCCAACAAGATGTCGTTTTTCGGAATTGGAAAGGGTAATCAGTCTGTGAACCCTCAGAACATTGCTATGGCTGAACAAGAAGTTGAATTAAGTGTGGAGATTTTCAACAGGTATGTCTTGTTATTGCTCAAATAACGACATGAAATTGTGATAATCCAGGAGGTGAAACTCGTATTTTCTTTGATCTTGTGATAGTTTATTCGCAGGAACCTTTTAGTTGGACACGGTTATGCGTGTCTGTTAATAGTTTAGCGTCACAGTCAAGACTGAAGGATATCAAGTTAACAAAGGAAAATAGAATGGTCTCCTCTTGCCATAAAAAGTGCATTGCTACTCCTTACAAGGAAGCCGAGTTGACCAAAGGTGAAAGTGTTTGTATTGATCGTTGTGTCGCCAAATACTTTGAAAGTAGCAAGGTTCTAGGCGAGCATATGAAGAAAATTGGTGAACAAAATGCCCCCCCTCAGTAAATCCTTTATGATACAGATTTTTCCTAGCTTCCCATGAAACGATATCTTATCATGGAATGGAAAGGACAGCGTTTGTGCAATTTGTTTGGTTGTGGATGTTGTTCTTTCTCAAAAACATTCATAATATATTTCTTTTTAAATCTCTACATGGTTTTTCATTTCCTACTGCTACAGTTGAGTGTCTCGTCCTCGATAAATATGAACCTATCAAACCTTTTTGACTTAAAAGCTGGACGTTTCCTCTATTTTAAATCTTGTAGACGAAACCTTATTAACTTTATTAAAGTGCATAACTCACCCTTGTCTGATAAAATTGTTCGTTTCGGACTCTTTGAAACCAACCTTCTCTTTTGTACTCCTTGTTCTTCAGTCTCTTTGTTTTACTTTGAGTATTACTTACGAAGACATATAGCCTCAAATTCGATTTCAGACAATACATATTCTTTGTCTTTGGGTTTTTTGTTGGCATAAACTCTTAATTGTTTATGGGGTTGATTATCCATAGTTGGGTCAATCGTTTGCCATTCTTTCATGAAAGCAATTTCCAGAGAATGAACGATTTCAAGTACGTCCACTTTAAAGACATCAATCAATCTTTAAATATACTAGGTGAAAACTTAACTATACTAAGCCAAACTAAACGATACATCCGTTTCCTCAAAATCTAGTATTGGTCACTCAACTATTGATACGATCATGAATTCGAAACTTCCAAATTATAGTATGATCGTGTAACGTGTGAGAGTGAGAGTGCTTTACGCTAGTTTTACATGTGACATATTCCTGTTTCCTCTTGTCACTCCTTTATTCGATGAAAGTTCTATAATTCCAGTTTGTAGGGGCGTTTCGAATCTCGTTATTTAATGGAAATGATATTGTCTGACTTCATAAAAAGAGAAAAATTTTGTTAGTTTTTTTCAAGGGTTTAAAAAAACAGGTAAATTTATTTACAAAAGTCTTGAATTCGGTAATATTTGTACAATTTTACCGTTTCAAAATGGCATGACATAAACGGCTTGTAGGTGTACCCTCCCTTGTCGAGAACCATTTTAGTGAGGAAGCTCCATATTTTCTTAGTTCAGTTTCTACATTTCCTCCATCCTCTTCCTTTTGCCTATTTCCTTCAGCTAAGTGAATCATAGTTAAAGGAAGCTATATCCTCTTTATTCCAAAGGAATTATTCTAAATACAACTCTGTTAAATCACTGCTACTTACTTGACCCTACGTCCCGTTTAAAAAAAAAAAAAAAGGAATTCGTTGGCTTGAAAGAGCTAAGAGGATTAAACAAATTCTATAACTGTTTTCATTTCTATTAGTTTGGTATATAATCATTTTTTGACTGGTTCGATTTGTAGAAGGAAGTTGAATATTGGATGCTTGAATTGTTTATGTGGAATTGAGTTTCTTCCATACCTCAATTTGTCTTGCAGTTTCTATCGTTTATTCCTACAATTGGATGTTTTTTGTTTGATTTATCATTGTTGAAGGTACTATTTTTTGATATCCGCGGTACTTTCCAGCTAGGCTAATTTTATCAGCATCAAGCCCGACTGTTTATACAAACGCCAAAGCTTGTGAATTATTTTCTTTTCTTCTCTATTAAGTTGTATGATATTTCTTTTTCCCATTCTTTTTCTTTAACCCGTTATTGAGTGTCATTTTACTTTTACTTAACGCAACTTTTTTTCCTTAATATTTTTATCCTAACGACCATTTCTTTCTGATTGTTTCTCTTCTTCTTATTCCTCTTTTGATCTTTTCTGTTTCTCATCTTTCTTTCTTACTACCTATTTTTTTTGTTGTCTATTGTCTTCTATTTGTCTCTATTGCCAGTTTAAATAACCATGTATGCTACTGTGAAATCAAACGCAAAACTTTCTGATGGATTAAATGAAAACGTCCCTTTTCAGTTTTCTTCCGGATATGCGGATGGCCGTCCAAGCCTTATTTCAAGTGGATCTCCTCGTGAAAACAAACTTCCTTCATTGTCACCATATTCCCAATCTTCTGGAAGTGATGATCACTCCGACCACTCTACATCGTTTTTTAATCCATTTCCATCTTTCCAGAAGTTGTCTTTGAATCAAGACATAACAGACGGGGGATCTCTGAACAATTCTCACTCTTTCCGCAACAAACACCTGCCGAAACCGCCTCTTTCTTCTTTAACAAATTTACAGGACCCCGTGTTTTCTAACTATTTCGGTGGCGTTGAACCCCCGTTTCACTCCAAAAGCTTTGTTGATTCGAATAGCAGATGCAATGCACTTAGTCAAGATGCTACTACTCCCTCTAAGGTCAATATGTACGGTCAGCTTGGTTCTGATTCTGCTATTCGTTTTCCGCATTCATTACAAAACTCCGTTCCGCCTTTACAGACAGATTTCGGCAGAACCCTCTCCACCGGTATTTCTCACACACCTTCAAGCGGGATTTTACCCCGCCATACTCGAGCTCACTCTGATTTTTGGAAGCCTGTTAATCGACGGGCTGTCCGTCATATGTCGCACTCTTCCGTCGGCGATATGACAAGTATCACGCAAGCAGCTCCGTTAGGTACCTTGCCAAATTATAAAGAAAATCTGGATGCGAACTTTCTTTCTCCTCCTAGCAAGGTTAACGAGCGGAATTCGATTTCTGTTACATCCCCGACTCTTGCTTCTGACATTTCACCAACTGCGAAGTCCGATCGTACTTGTGTACCTTTTGTTTCGAGTCAGTCGTTCTTCCCCATCCCTAATTCATCGGTAAAACGAAATGTATCGGATTCTGCAAGACCTTATGTAAGTGTGAGCCCAGATTTTTCCCCAGCAGATGGTTTCGGTAGTATTTCATTTGATGGTAACCCAACTCCTTATTCAACCTTGAGTGTTGAGGATCAGTTTCCTAAGGAGAATCATGGATCTGCCTATATCTCACATTCAAAGTTGCTGCAAATCTTTCATAATAACAAAAAGAAGCGTTTTGAACTTTCTGATATATTAGGGAACGTTGTTCTTTTCAGCAGTGACCAATATGGTTCAAGGTTTATACAGCAAAAGTTGGCAACTTGTACTGAAGAAGAAAAAGAGGCTGTTTTCGAAGAGATTGTTTCTGATAACTGTTTACAACTTATGATGGACATTTTTGGGAATTACGTTATTCAGAAATTTCTGGAGTACGGAAATGCTGAACAAAAGCAGCTTTTAGTTTCTAAAATTAAGGGCCACACGTTTATTTTAGCCGTTCATATGTACGGTTGTCGTGTCGTACAGAAGGCTATAGAACACATTTCGGCAGAACAACAAATTGAAATTATTAGTGAACTTGATAGCCATGTTTTGGAATGCGTTTGTGATCAAAACGGAAATCATGTTATTCAAAAATCTATTGAATGCATAGACTCGGAAAGACTTGATTTTATTTTTGATGCTTTACGACCTCAAATACACGTGTTGTCTGCTCATCCTTATGGCTGTCGAGTAATTCAACGAATTATTGAAAAGTTTACATATAAACGACAACTTATTATCAAGGATCTTCTCCCTTATTCTTTACAATTGACCCAAGGTCAGTATGGCAACTATGTTGTGCAGCACATACTGAAAGAAGGTTCTGAGAAGGACAAGAAATTTGTGTTTAACTTAATAGCTAAAAATCTGCTATATTTGAGTTGTCATAAATTTGCATCAAATGTTGTTGAAAGATGTATCTCTTACATCTCCGAGGATGATCGTGCCTATATCATCCAGAAGACACTGACCGAGAAAGTTGACAATGTTAGCATTTTAATGTTGATGATGAAGGACAAGTACGCGAACTACGTGGTTCAAAAGCTTTTGGAGGCTTCTAACGATAAAGAGCGGGATTTGCTTATCTCATATATATATCCACATATTGCAACTCTTAAAAAATACACTTATGGTAAACATCTAATTATGTCTGTTGAACGATATCGCCAGAAAGCGCGTATTGATAATTCAAAGGAGTTAAAACATGAGAGAAGCAGCTAATATCGAGAGGCGTGTGAATATGAACGATTTCGGTTTCTTTACGTTTGTTCGGAAGCATTTTGTATATAAGTTAAAGGATTTTTGTATTTAAACGACATTTATGATACCTCTGCTACGATATTATGGATTTGGCTTATTTACGAGAACATAACTATGGTTATCACCACGAATACTCTTTATTTCATGTGTTTATATCACAATTTTTTTAGCATCATATGACGACGCCGCATCCAACTCCGATATTTCATGGATTCTTGCCTTATATACGATTACGAACATTAATTTTTTAGACAAAATGAATTGACTATAGTATCGAATTTTTTCCTTAGTAAATAAAAGTCCGAGTAATTATGACGAGAAGTACTCTTGATGGTATTTTTTTAGACAATGAGACGGCCATGTTCTTCCGATTCTAAATGGGCTGCGTCTCCAAATGTATAGATGTGTCCTGTACCTTCAGGAGTAACCTCAATTTCTGTGATGCTGGTGTTGACTGTAAGAATTTTCTTCTCTAGTTTAGTATGATCATATGTATATCCCTTTTCTTCCATAAAATGAGCGCGAAGAGCATTGATTACACCTCCATGGCACAAAACAACGACGCATTTTTTCTCTTCGCGTAAAGGAACGACTTTTTCCTCCCAAAACTTTACGAGTCTTTGCTTTAAGCTTGTAAAACCTTCTCCATAGTAATCAGGATGTTTGGTACCCATAAGGCGTTTTGCTTCAACCACATTCATCCCTATTATAGTATGTTAGCGACTTGCACGACCTTCATGGTCACTTCAGATAACTTCTGTACGTACCTTCTAATTCACCATAGATTCTCTAATAAAAGTTAGTAAAGTCTAATTATATTGTGTACTTACCTCTCTAATTAAATCCGAATATTCGATAGGAATCTCGGGTCGTAATTCAAGTAAAGGTTTGATGGTCTATAATTAGGTTAGTTTGCAAGTTCTGAAAATATAATCTACTAACCTCGCGGCATCGCTTCATCGAGCTGCAGAAAATTTGATCAATGTTCAGCGATGAAAGTCTGGAGCCCAGCAACTTTGCTTGGAGTTGACCGGTTTCACTCAAACTTGTATCCACAGATCCTTGCTGAAGAGAATGTTAGCGAACTGTCTTGAAGAGAGTAGACGAAGCCAATTCGTCTTTAAAATTCATCATACCAAAATCCCGACTTTGTTTTGTTCTGTCTGGCCGTGACGAATCAAGAAGACCTTCATTTTGGATATAAAAGATAAATGTTTTGCTGAGGGTTACAAATAGCTGCCAAAAACTGCCAGTTAGTATAAGCTTAAAGTATTGTTTTTGATTCTTTAATTCTTTTATATTTTTTAACAAAAAATATGAAATAGAGAAACAATATACTGATATTTACACGGAAACGGAGAAAAGCTTGTAGTATCAACTGAAGTTTGAACAGTGTTCAATGTTTATAATTGAACGAAGATTTTCCTCAGTACTCTCTCAGTGGACTTAAACAGATGCTTATGTCTTTTCTTTTCTAACTTACTTTTATATTTGCTGAAAAAAAGGCAGAGAATAAAATATTTAGTTTATTTTGGGCAGGGTGCGTTAGTCTAGTGTACTACCTTTCTATTACTTCATGACTGAAAATCAAAGTCATGGATTTTATGATTTACAAGATGGAATAGAGTGGATATGTAGGAATTCTGAAGTTCCTACGGGTTCAAAAAAAGCTATTTCTAATCGTTTGCGACAATTCCAAGGTTTGGCTTCTCAGGAAGGGTTGACAAATGAAGCAATTGAAGTGCTGCTCAATGTAATTCTATCCACTAATACAAGATTTGACAAAAGCCAACTGATTATCATTGTGAAAAGCTTATACCCAAAGCAGTTTGTGTCCCACTTCATCGCCGTCAAAATTATAAGCAGCTTGGATCCTTATGGAGTTCGCCATGCCTATGCATACCAAGAAAAACTATTGAATTGGCTAGCTCATATTTATGAGTTTTTAGAAGAAAAAGATCGTTTTGCACGGTTTTATGGTGTTTTATTTCATTTCCTGGACTATGTCACTCTCCGTCCCTCTCTTGTGCGTCTACTTATTTTGACAACCAAACATTCTTATATAAAAAGATTTAGGATTCATCAACTTCTGTCTTTATATCAAAAACCAGGAAACGCCAACGATCCTTATATACTCGAGCTACTACATACTTACAAACAGCACTATCCTGACGTTATTATTGGCTCCTTCCAACAAAGAGGCACTGTTCCATGGAAGATAGACCTTTCTTGGATTGCAAGAGTTTCAGACCTAATACATTCTTCGACGGAGCCTTCTCATCGTACACTACAAATGCCTGAAAAGCGAAAGAGAGTACCAAGCTTAATTCCAGAATTGTTTACTATGGAAAACAAACTTGAGAATGTTCCTTTGAACGAAGTTTTTACTGTTCAACAGCTTTCTTCTGCATTCGAAAAAATAAAACAACCAAACCAGGTTGCGGCACTTCTTCGTAGCAACGTTTTCTTCTTATACTATCGTCTCCTTAACAATCCAATTTTGGTAAATAAACTGACAGAATGGTTGTATACTACTCTTTACTCCGGATTACTCTTAGATTATGGAACACTTGAACAGCGCCTTGAACTTTTTCATTTCCTCAGTCGGCATTTATTGTACGCTAATAATTCGTTGTCATTCCTTTACGATTTTATAACACGTTACTTAATGAAGCCTTCCTTATCATTCAAGGAATACGAAGCTATATGCCATTTAATAACATGTTTAGATGTTGCGAAGAATGAGCAAGAATACGCCGTGTTTTTTAAGCAACTAGACCTCTACACTGAAAAACTATCATTAAAAGAGTGCCAACTACATTTAGATTATATATTAGTTTGGGCTTTGCGTCTCGTCAACAAAACGGATTCGAGGCAACAATCGGACTCAAAAGGTATTCTGTTTAAATACATTTTTTCACATTCATTCCATTTGCTAGATGTGTTTCTCTGGAACGAAAAACTCTTTGCTCCTTCGGCCTTAATTATGATCACTATTTTGAATGCAGGTAGTGATTTGAAAGTTCAAGTATGGCCAGAAAAAGTTGCTTTTGAAAAATTAGTAAAGCTTCTTTTTACCAAAAGCTCTCCTCATACTATTGAGACTAGTTTTCGTTTAATACAGTCAGCAGAACATAATTTAAGAAATGAAGACCAAAGAGACTTACGAGAGCAATTGAAAGTTATTAACAAGCAAATGACAAATTGTTTACTAGAAAATGCCAAAAAACCAGAATTCATTGATGTTATTTTTTTTGAATTGAACTTTCAATCGCTGGATAATTTTATGCCTAATTTTAACAATATGTGGTCTTTGACGTCTGGTGTTCAGTTTTCTTATTATACATTACAGTACTTGAAAAAGAAACAAGAGGAGGACCCTACTTTTATTCTGACTTCCTTGACGAATTTAACAAAACCAAAATACTTAGAACTTCAAAGGAACTTACATTTAGCCCAATCTTGGACGTCTTTTCAAACTGATTTAATTTCTGATTTAAAAAGGAAGTATTATAAAGCCATTTATCAATCATTATTCTCTTCATCCACTGGTTGAAGGGTTTTCTTATTAGAACTATTTAATCTGTCATATAACCAACTAATAATATCCCAAATTTTTTTGACTGCAATTTAGAAGAGCCGTCATAAACAAATACTTACTTTTTGCTACATGTGTTCTTCATATCCAGCTTTAAATTATAAAATAATTGCGAAATGTTCAACAACGCGTGCTAGAGCAAGCGTTCTTGAGTTGCCGCATGGTCCTGTGGAAGCACCTGTTTTTATGCCAGTAGGAACCCGTATGTTTATCATTTCTTTTAAATTTATTAAAATTCACTAACTTTACTTTTTAAGAGGCTTCTCTAAAGGGAGTTCTGCCTGATCAATTGGACCGAATGGGTTGTCAAATAATGTTGAACAATACCTATCATTTGGGCTTGAAGCCTGGAAAAGAGATCTTAGATACTATCGGAGGTGCCCATAAATTACAATCATGGAAAAGAAATTTGTTGACTGACAGCGGTGGATTTCAAATGGTTTCATTATTGAAGCTTGCTACTATTACTGAAGAAGGAGTAACCTTTCTATCTCCTAGGGATGGTACACCAATGCTGTTGACACCAGAGCACTCTATTGAATTACAAAATACAATTGGGTCTGATATTATGATGCAGTTGGACGATGTAGTACATACACTGACAGAGGATGTTCGAATGGAAGAAGCTATGTATCGATCGATACGATGGTTAGATCGTTGTCTAAAGGCACACAAGAATACAGAAACTCAAAACCTGTTTTGTATTATTCAAGGAGGATTGAATAAAAGGTTAAGGGAAATTTGCTGTAAAGAAATGATGAAAAGGGATACTCCAGGTATTGCAATTGGAGGACTATCTGGAGGTGAAGAAAAAAGAAGCTTTTGTGAAATGTAAGTATGCAATAACTTTTTGAGATGTGTTAACCATTTTTCAGTGTCCATACATGTACTGGTATACTACCTGAAAGTAAACCAAGATATCTTATGGGCGTTGGATATGCAGAGGATCTGGTAGTTTGCGTTGCTTTAGGAATGGATATGTTTGATTGTGTCTATCCTACTAGAACAGCAAGATTCGGGAATGCGTTAACTAGAAACGGCATCCTAAATTTGCGAAACCGAAGATTTAAGACAGATTCGAGTCCTTTGGATACAGAATGTCAATGCCCTTGTTGTATTCCAAAGGAAAAAGGTGGTTGGGGGATCACTCGTGCTTTTTTAAGTTCTTTAGTATCGAAGGAAACTGTTGGCGCTCATCTTATGACAATCCACAATACACAGTTTCAATTACAACTCATGAATGACATGAGAACTAGTATCATCAAGGATTGTTTTCCTCAATTTGTTAAGGATTTCTTTATCAAGTGGCACAAAGGAGATCGTTCAACATATCCCGAATGGGCTGTTACAGCATTACGCCTGGTGAACATTGATTTATTAGAGGACTAGAAGAAAGATTGGGTATTTAGGGTCTAAATGGTATTTGGAAATTTTTTATAAATAGTAGTTACGGTTTTTTTATATATAGTTCTAAAAAAGCTTGTTTGGATCATATTGTTCTAGTTTTTGTCTTAAAGTAATATTCAAATCATTTCTCGTAAATAATAGTTCATTAATACATATATCAAATATACTTGGCAAACACGTTTAATTGCTGTATATACTGGGACCGTTTAACCATCCGGCTCTACTGCTCGTGGACAACCCAATAATGTTATGACTGTTAACTCCATCGAAAGAGAACAGTTTGTGAGCTCTAGGCATTTGTTTTTATGGCCATTAGCTGAGGTTTATTTTCGAGAGGCTGAAAAAATCTTACAGCACCACGGGACTACTAGGGCTTTTGGCGATTTGCTGACAGGTGGTCTTCGCTGTCTTTATGCAGTTTTACTGGTTAGTCTTATTTCAAATATAATTACTTTTTGCTAATATCAGGATATTAGGATAACGCTCTTGAACCACGAGTTGAGTTAATTACTAGAAAACGCATATGCGAAATTTTGTTGCATCACACACAAGAATATGCAGATGCCGAGTCCATATTGAATCGAGCAATGTTAATTGCAAAGCAACACGTATGTCTAGGTTTGAGGACTTGCTTTTAACTTTCGTTAGAATTTCGTTGAAGAAAAGTTCAGTTTACAACTTCTGTTAGCGCGTATTTTTAGCAAAACTTCACCGAAAGCTGGGAAAGTCTTACTACTTCGCTGTATCCAAGAGGCGGAAGAATATGCCAAAGTATTGCAAATGTACGGTACACAGGGCATCGCCAGTGCTCATAAATGGGTATATGAATTTTATCTTTGTTGCTCATTATTTCAAGGTGTCCAACAGATTTCTAAAAACATATATAATTACGCAAAAGCATATAATCATGAAGAGATGATTCTTCTGGCATCAGTCCTAAGTCAAGATTTAGCAATGGAAGAAATTCCAACACGGACCCATCAAATAGCTATTCTTGTTTTGGTAACTCAAATTGTGAAATGTATCAGTGAGGGAAAAGTTTTGCAATCCAGAGAAAAGCTAAATACTGTACATATGCTTCTTGAATCCGATACTTTAAAATGGGAATCATCTCATGTTGAATTTACTATAGACGGAGAAATCTCCATCCGCCTAAAATGGCTTTCTATTAATCAGATTTATATTCTTGTTTATCTGATATCTGGCATTTGCTATTTACCTGAAACTAGTTCGGGACGTGCCAGTAGATTCCTTCAAGAGGGATTGCGCATTTCTGGAGACTTCGTACCTCATGAAACTACAGTGAATGAATCTTTTGAAACAGATCGATGGTTTCATTCTATTATTGATAATCTCAAGTGCTATTTAATAGCTGCTCACTTGAGTCGTTCAAAGTTTTCGAAGGCCGAAAAGCTACTATCCTCGAACGATGTTGAATCAAACATTTTTCGAACTTTATTAAATGGCATGCTTAAGCATAAAAAGGGAAATTTTGATGAAGCAGAATGTATTTACCGAAGGGTAATAAAGAACCCTGGTACTCCTAAAGATGTTTTCATTTTGTCCACCCTCAATTTAATCAATTTGCTGCAAGACAGTACTGAAGCAAACAACTCCCTAGAATGGTTAGAAAAATCTTGCAAAGAACAGAGAAATATAGTTTACAGTCTGTGGTGGATGATTTTAAAATTATCTAGAGAGGGCACACACGTTCAAAAAACAAACAGTTTACTAAAGCTTACGCAGAGTTCAGTAGAGCTTTCAAATACACAATTGCAATACGTTGTTTTCACAGAACTTTGTACTCGCTTAGGAAATTATGAACAAGCTGAGAAAATGGCTATTTCTGCGCTCACATTAGCCAGGAAAAGCAAGGATAACATTTGGTCTTTTTTTTCTGGAAAGAATTTAGAAGGTAAGTTATGAAAACGAACATTGACTATATCTGAGAAATGTCTATATGCAGTTGGCTTACTAATAAATTTAGTACTATACGAAGGCCTTCATGAGTTTGAAAAGTTGAAGCAACAAAAAGAAGAGAATGCATCTGTTTGGGAAGAAATCAAAAATTCCACTTTCTCGAATTAACAATTTCAGCATAGAAGGTTAGAATCAAAAAATATCATAGTGAAGCTATAATAATGTAAATAAATCGTTAATATACAGAATCAAAATGCAGAAAACCACGGATTCTTTCTGCTGTGTAATGGAATATGTATATCACTATAATGTTCAAATTACTGAGTTCACATTATATTTTGACGAACAACCATAACAATAGTTCTTTCATCATGGCCATTCTTCCGGAATTCTTAAGGGAAACACCTCCTGTCACAAGGTAAATATATATAAAAAAGAAATCGCAGCTGTTAACGACCTGCAGATACCTTATTTTTGGCACCTTATTGACGACTTTGGCGGTAGTACGTAGGAAATTGTAAAGCATGCAAGTTTAGCTAACCGATTAAGAATTTTGGGTATCTTAGAGAATTAAAAGTATTTTTCAATTGGAGGTTATTCTTATTCAAAGGAGAGGTATGTCGCAAAACCACTGTAAACCTTCACATAGGTTGAACAGTATAGTGTTTATTGGTGTCCAGAGGAAAACTAATGTAATTCAGTATTGGAGAGCTATTACTACATTTCTATATATCGGCCCATTAGGTTTGGAGCCTATTCTGTACCTGTCCTTTTTTTTACGATTTATGAGCATGCTTGAGGAAGCTAGTCCTCCTCCACGGACGAAAAATTTTATGAAAACAATAAGCATTGTTTGTGGATCGTTGTTAGTTTTAAGCTACTTTTTTCATATGCCTTTCGCGGCTTCTTACTTTTCCTTTAGCATGCTTTATATCTGGTCTTGGAAACATCCATTGTACAGAGTCTCGATTTTGGGGTTATTTGATGTAAAAGCTCCATATGTCCCTTGGGTTATGATTCTTTTACGCTGGTTTCGCAGTGGAAGCTTTCCTGTGTTGGATTTATTAAGTGCCTCGATTGGGCATATTTATTTCTTCCTCTATGACTTTGGTACTATTTAGAGAATTTCTCTTTTTATTTAAAAAATAATGGTGCCAGTGTCTCCGAATTTTGCGAAGAAGAATAAACTTAAAAGACGATGAAATCAAGTCGTCTGAATTACTTACTACTATCTCTAGCGATCAGACATTGTTTGATGAATACCCATAAAAACAATTATTTCATATACAAAAATAGTAAATTGCTTCTCTGGGAAAGTGATCGACCATAGTAGTTGGCGCATCAGAAGATGTCTCAACTATATGCATATTAGCATATGCCACAGAAACGAACTAGTTTGCTACTTCGTTCTTTATCTAATAAATAAACAGAGGAGTTTACATCTATATAGGAATGGTATTTTAAGATCTCATGTTCCTTCGTTTGTTGCCTATTGTCTAAACTACCCTTGTGGTAAATTTGGTACAATCGCTACTGTTGGTTCTCATTATAAGCAGAACGATTAACTGATAGAAAGGAATTATAACGGAAAAAGACTTGAACTATCATCGTATGGATATTTACTACTGTTGATACGCACCGAAGATAGCCAATAGTGTCTTAAACGTTCATCCGATACTATACAACTCTTTATATGTATGAATCATAATTATTTTTGCTTTGTTTGGAAGCAGCTGAATATTGGTCCACAGTAGGTTATTTTTTTGCTTGTTGGATATTTCGTGTTCAAGGAAAATGAATTCCAGTTTCTTGTCTTGATAACACATTGTTTTCATTACTCATGGGATTTTACGCTATTTTATATGCGTTCTATTTAGGATTGTGTTCTTAAAGGTACTATTCCACATTCTTCTTCTACCACCCTCACAATCCACTGCCTACCTATTAAGAGGCTAGCTAGATTGCCCAGCTAGCCAACAACGAAATGCTACCGAATAACGCTGATTTCAAGTCTTAATGAAAGCCTTCTCCTTCATAATATTTCAAGCGCTAAAGATTAGAGAACGTTTACTCTGTAGAGGGATAAGAGAATTGTGGGAAGAAGGTGTGATTGTATTTCAGGGAGCTATTTCTACGACCTTGTTTCTATCGATCATAAAAGCAAAAAAAAGAAAGATTTCCAATTGAGAAGAAGGTCTCTATACACTTATAGCTCTTCCTATCCTCGAGCTTCTTTTGCATAGAACCCCGTTAACATCAGCAGTTTTTATTCTTTGGATTTATCTCTATTTCTTTTTTAATGCGTTTTGTTCATTAGTAACAATTCTCTAGGAAATCATATTCCTATACGTCTGCTCGTACACTACTACTACCACTACATAGAGAATTGTTGTTCAAATCTCCCTGTTTACTAGTGTAGTGGAACACACTGCGTAATAAGAAAGTTTCGTCTACATTGAGTTTATTGAACGTAAACCAACCATCTCGCAAACAGAAAATCAGACCATTTCTTAGAGCTTCTTATACGCTGCCTCACAGCCACTGTTCTTTCAGTACTCTGCCAACTCCATGGATTATTTGCTGGATTTAGCCGATCATTATGTCTTGGATTCTGTCTATGATCAAGCGTATCCTTTAGCTCGCGACAATATTTTGCGCGAAGCAATTAGTTTATTCTTTTTAACATGGATGGGAGGTTTCCTATTGTATATAACATTTTCATCTTTGTCGTACCGCTATGTATTTGACAAGAGTTTAATGAAACATCCCAAGTTCCTCAAAAACCAAGTATGGCTAGAGATTTGGACAGCCTCGAAAAATCTTCCCGGAATGGCATTACTTACAGTGCCTTGGTTTCTGGCTGAAGTCCATGGCTATAGCCTGTTATATGATCGCATTAGCGATTACGGGAAAACTTACTACTTTCTTTCTCTTCCCTTGTTTGTGCTCTTCTCAGACTTTGGAATCTACTGGGCTCATCGATTCCTTCATCACCGCTGGGTGTACCCTCGTCTTCACAAGTTACACCATAAATGGATTATTTGCACGCCATATGCTTCTCATGCATTCAAGTCTGGCGATGGATTTCTCCAGTCTTTGCCATATCATCTTTTCCCTTTCTTCTTTCCCCTTCACAAATGGACCTACCTTGCTCTGTTCACCTTTGTTAACTTTTGGACAATTATGATTCATGACGGCAAGTATATTTCCAACAATCCTATTATCAACGGTGCTGCCCACCACAATGGTCATCACATCTATTTCAACTACAACTATGGCCAATTTACTACCCTATTTGATCGTCTTGGAAATTCGTTCCGTGCTCCAGATGAGGCCTGGTATGACAAGTCTCTTCGCACAAATGATGATGTTTTGAAGAGAGAACTTTCTGAGTATGAATTTATTCGGAGCCAAGTTGAAGGAGCAGATGATCGTGACTACGCTTCCGATGGCAAGAAAATTAAGTAAATTCGTTCTTTTTCTTTTTCTTCTCCTTTAGATTTATCTATGTTTTCTTTTTCCTCCTGTCTTTTCCTTTCTCTATCCTTCCTCTTTTGCTTTTTATACAATCCCTTTTGGCTTCAAACGATTATAGTATGTTGTTTTCTTGCCGATTGAGAAAATGCATCACCTTTTGTTTTTTATATCTGTTCGTTTTCAATGACTACTACATTACATTGAGCTAGCTTAGACTCTCTTTTTCTTGTGAACAGTTTAATTAGAACAAGGATGAATAAAAACTAGTTCTCAAACATCATTACCAGGAGAAAAACTCACCATGAATTGAATTGCTCTTTAACTTGCATATGAGCAGGCTCTCTTCAACCTTCGCGTTGATAGCGTTCCAATATTGCTTCGTTTAATTTATCGTTTTCATCCATATTCATGCTGAGGTTGACTGTTGATATCATGAAAACATTTTATAGTTTCATATGTAAAGTTCCGTTGTTTACCAATTTTAATATTTCATCCTTTTTCTATGTCAGATTTATTGTTACTAGCACTGCTGTTTCCATATACTTTCATTTCACAGGTGCACTACATAGACGACATATTCGTCAGACCGGTAAAAAAAAGTACCTTCATTTTTTTCCAGTAACATTGTAAATGTGTTAATACGTTTATATATAAATAAGTTTCACGAACAATTAAAACAGAAATGATCAATCAACAAATAGAAGTAATTGGAAACCAATCAACATAAACATTATCCTGTTCGTGATCATGTAGGTCGTCGTGTCACACATGTTTAGGATGCAATTAACAAGCCTATTACCTATTAACAACTTAATTCGCATTTTCTTTCCTTGTACTCTCCATAAAAATTTAGAGATAAACCAAAAACGAATTGGAAAAGTTTTGAAAGTTGTAGATAGACAAATCGCATTATAGTGAAATTTCAAAAGAAACGAGAAAAAATAAAAAGGAGCAAGACTTCACTGTTAAAGTGTCAAATAGAAACTCTTTTCGTTCACAAAATTTTAGAACAGCATTCTATTTTCACTTGCCTCTGCTTGTTCCTTTTTGCTCATCAGTCAATTTGAGCACGCTTTATTTCGACGGGAACAAAATTGTCCAAATCGACGGGTAAAAAGCCGCGAGCATGAGGAGGTATCAATTTTTTGTTCAAATCAGGACGGATAGAGAGTTCCAAATGACTAAAATTAAATAATTCTGGCAACGGACGAGGCGGACTTTGAGGGTTGCGTGAGTCCGGGAGTTTTGTATTTGGATCACGGAGTTCATCAAAGAAAGGATGACACATGGCTTCTAGAGCAGTAAGACGGTGGGTAGGAGTATATTGGAGCAATTTAGCAAGTAAATCGATGGCTTCCGTAGGTACGCTTCGTGAAAAGACTCTGGAGAATGGATGGGGGCGGATTTGCGGGAATCGATGTTCCATGTAGTTAGGATTCATTGTTTTGATTTGTTCCCGAGTGGGAGTACCTAAAATTTTTATGATCTCTACCAACTGGTCAATGCCGCTTTCTCCCGGGAACAAGGGCTGACCCAACATGAGTTCAGCCATAACACAACCAGTAGACCAGATGTCAATTGCGGTGGTATAATTAGTGGCGCCAAAAATAAGCTCAGGAGCACGATAATAACGAGAGCAGATGTAGGAAACGTTGGGTTCACCGGCTACAAGAATCTTGGCACTACCGAAATCGCAAAGCTTCAAGGCACCGGTTTCAGGATCCAGCAATAAATTTTGAGGCTTAATGTCACGATGACAAATTCCGCTGGCATGAATATAAGCTAGTGATCGTAAGAGCTGATAGATGTAAAGTTTAACTTCAATCATAGGCATAGATAATTTTTGACGACTATATAATCGGGAAGCTCGGTAGATAGTTTCAGGCATAAATTCTAAAACCAGGTTCAAGTAAACTTCATCGACCTTTTCACCGGTATTGTAGTAATACGCAATCAAGTCGACAATGTTGGGATGCTTTATGAGCCGCATGATTTGCAGTTCTCTATTCTGTTATGGTTAGTTTGAAGTCAAAAAAATCTAGAAAAACTAAAAAAGAAAAGAAAGAAAAAGCCATATTGACCATCTATGTAAGTCCGTCAAGGAACTCAAAATGTCTCTTTACGAGACTGTAGATTTGGCCTGGAAACCCAAGACAGAGGGGATAACTCTTGGTTTTCTCTTCTTTTAGTAAAACAAAGATAAAGGGAAAAAATCAAGTATACACACCTTGAAACGTTTGTCTTGTAAAACACGCTTGATGGCAGCTTTACTGTCGTGCTCAATAAGATGAACTTGTATAACAACGCCAAAGCTTCCGGAACCAACTACTTTGCTAGAAGTATAAGATAGTTGCTTTACTTCGCCGGTGGCTCCATCACGAGCAGTTTCCTTGATAATTCGGAATGGGTCCACAGGATCTGGGTAGAACCAAAGTTAGTAAATTGAAGCCAGGAAGAAAGAAAAAAAGACAAAATTTGAATAATAAAACAAATACGTACGATGCAGACCATGACTCATTGTGAAAGAGAAGATGTAGAAACACGAGAACGGACAATGAAACCTTCAAAGAGACGACAAACGAGAATCAACTTTCAGAATAAAAACTAGAGGTGTTCTTATACAGGAAAATCAATAAAATACAAGAATAACACGAAAAATACAAGATGGATCTCTGAAGGATTACGCTGGAGAAAGAAAGCTAGAGAAGAGGTCAGAGGAGGATGGAAGCAACGTGTCTGTATGAGGTAACAAATTGTGTGGAGACTAGTTTGTGTTACTTCCCCTGTCACTCCCGGTAACAATGTATGCTATTATCAAGAGAAGCACGAAGCCGCTTACAAGAGGCAGTCCATGACGCCGGCGTAGCATAGCATAGAACATATAGAATAAGCATATGGTAAGCGAGATTTTTATTGACTCATCCTTAAAATGAGAAAAAACACATGAAAACGCTTATGTTTTGAATCTGTAAACCTCTTCTTCTTTATTTATTTTTCTTATTCTTTAAGGATCTTGGTTTCGTTTCCTCCTTCTTGACGAGCGGGTTGCTGTAAGTGAATGCGACTTGACCTTTCCCGATCCAAATCGTTTGTTGCTTCCATAGAACCATTAATGGCTTGCTGCCTACAGATATAGCCTTTTAAGAAGCTTCGTTTTATGGATCGTTCATTTCAACATAAATAGCATATTCTCTTACGGTCCCTGGATACAGGACACAAATGTATGGTTTTCTTGGACCATGATGAGTCTGCAAGTGGACGCTTGGCGATGATTTCAAACCCGTTTTTAGTTCATAATTCATTAACAGGAGGACCTCTTTCAGGAAGAACCTGTTCTATAAGCTCTCCAGGTGAAACAAAACAGTAACAATCTCTTTGGGATTCTTCCTCCTTTTGCGTCCAAAGAGAATTTCTCTCGTTAGACATATTTATCCTGGGTATCGCTATACGAGTTTAGACATACTGTTCTAGTCCATTAACCATTTTTGTAGAGGGCCGTTTTCTTTCACAATCCAATCTGCGCAACTCGTTACAGTTTTCACTAATGGATGAATATGAATTGACTTTATTCATGTACTAACCTTGGTTCTTCATTTTTCTTTTATTTAGGTCCATTGAATTGTTTCCTTCTTATTTTGCTAGTTCAAGTTGCTCTTAAGCTGTTTGCTTTTTGTTGACTTTTTATATACTACCTCGTTAGTATTATATATTCGAACAATATAAGTAAATATGTCAGAATACTTATACCATCTGATTTTCACAGACAATTTTATAGCACAGTCATTCTTCCAACTCTTGTCGTTTTTTTAGTACAATTCATTCGTTTGCTTTTTCTTAGCTTACAATATATTCATTTCTTTCTTTGCAGACTGTTGCAGCCACGAAATAGCAGTCCTCCTTTAGGTACACCATTCCACCGTTCTTTGCTTGCTGCACTTTTTTCTGGCATTTATAACCGGAATCATTTTTGCTTTTTTATTTTACATCTTTACTCTTGTAAGTTCATAATGTCTTCGTCCCTCGCCAAGAACGTAGTTATGGACGAAGAAGCTGAAGAAGCCTTCGACCTCTTCGACGTAACCCATAAGGGTTTCATAGACTTTGAAGATTTAAAACGTTCCTGTTCCTTGCTTGGGGAAGACTTGACTCAAGACCAATTACAGCTTATGCTCGAAATTGCTGGTACGAACGGGAGAGTCAACCGCGAAGAATTCGCCCAGCTATGGCTTCATCTCTCTTGATAGTTTTTCTTGCATTTTTCAACTATTTATTTTTGCTTCCTTTCTCTCCCGCTTCCTATGTTTTGTATTTTTACACCTAGTTCGACTCTGCGCTTTTCTTGTCTAAAATGAGTCTTTGCGAACTCTGTGACTCCTTCTACTTTTTTATTATTTGCATGGATGAATTTCTTTTACTTGATTTTGTTTGGGTTACCGTATTTTATGTTCTATTATTTCATATGTTGTTCTATTCTTACGTCTCTCACTGATGCGAGTATATGGTGCATAATTCGTAATGACTGTTTTGTTCCTGTTTCCTTGTTTAATTTGCATATTTTATTTCTTTTTTCTTTTTTTTACTATTTATCATCTATTTTAGTTTGTTTCTGCATTCTTCTTTGTGCCTTCAATAATCCTTCATTACCTCTTTATCCATTCACTTAGGCTAAACTTCACATATATGAAATGCATAATGAGCCATTACTAGTAAACATAGAAAAACTTATGTTTTTACCACATTCTATAGACGCTAGAAAGGAACCTTAGAAAACTAAGTGTTCGTTTCTCAACTTCTCATATCCCAGCAAACTAGGCCAGTTTGCTTTATCCTTTAAAAGTACCTTGCATTGTCAATCGCTACCAATTATAACAGGTGCTATCTTTTTTAAGCCGAACCACCCTCTGAACTTGGGATTACGATGGGATAGGATACCTTGTTACTGTGTATCACCCATTTCACTCTATGTAAACAATATAAAACTCAATTAACAACTTGAATCCATCCATCACTGGGATGTATCTGTTCCTGTGAAACAAGGAATGTTCAACCATACGGTCATATATCCTCTATCCTCATGAACCCGTTTCACAACCCAATTTCATTCCTTTTACTTCCTTATCATTGCATTTACTACTTACAATTATTTCCTTTTTCCTTTTCTTTTTTAATAGAAATTTCCTTCTGACATAATCTTATTCAATTTACGAATTTTTATATTTTCTTGACAACTACTCAAGCTAGTGAAACCTACGAATCATAAGTCTTCTCCAAAGCTCCATATCTTGCAATGGACAATACTTCTTTTAAGGATATATATCAATTTGATGAAGAAAAAGAAAGAAAAATTTTGCGCGAAGCGCCATGGAAACACGAGTATGATTAACCAATGTTGCATATAATTTCCCATCTCAACGATGCACCAAAGAGATTCAACTAACCCATTGTAGTCCATTCTATTTCAAATCTGTTCACATTGATGCTGTTGCCCTTTTAAAAATGCTGCGACACGTGTCGCAAGGTATGCCATTAGAGGTTATGGGCTACGTGCAAGGAAAAGTAAAAGACAACAAGTTAATCATCTTGGATGCATTTGCACTTCCAGTCAAAGGAACGGAGACTCGTGTGAATGCCCATGAAGAAGCCGATGAGTATAGTGTCCAATACCAAACCTTGTGTAAGTCGGTTCATCGCTACGAAAATGTAATCGGTTGGTACCATTCTCATCCAAATTACGGTTGCTGGCTCTCGGGCGTTGACGTTGAGACGCAAAAGCAAAACCAGCGCTTTCAAGATCCATTTGTTGCAATAGTCATTGATCCTAAACGTTCTTTAGAATCACATTACGTCGACATTGGTGCATTTCGTACTCATCCAGAAAATATGAACAGACACAAGTTATCTACATTTAAAAACAAAGACGCGTTCCTCTACGAAAATCTACCTTCCGCCAAAGTTGCCGACGCTGGTGCTCACGCCGACGCTTATTATTCTTTACCTATCACATATTTTCATTCCCCAACAGAAAAAAAGGTTACTGAATTCTTAAAAATGAAAAAATGGTCCGAAACCATATCCAGTCCGTCAATCATAGAGGTATGCACTTGATGAACCTTTGCTGCATTATTGCCATATGCGAATCTATACACTAACAGTTTTAAGGACCCTATGTTTTTTAAAAGATCGGAAAATTCGCTTTTAGAATCAATTGTACAGGCAACTGTAAAACATCCAGCAACTACTGTTCATGCTTCTGAACATATGAAACCATATTACCGGGAAGCCACTTCATACTTATCTCAGCTAGAGCTGCAAGATCGCTTATTCAAAAACTAACATTTTCTCTACATATTCCTGTTTTCATATGCTTTTATGTACTTTAATTTTGAGCTATACTTTGACCTCAATTGATTGACTCGGGCGGCCTTGCCGTTTTCTTCCGCGGACCTCCCGAATACATCACAGATCAGTTTAGAATCATGTGTTTTAAACTTATCCTCTTTAAATGGCAATTTACTTTATTTCACACTGAAGTTTCTAAAATTTTGATCTTTTGTTTTAAAGAATTATGAGTATATTCCTAAAACGTTTGAATTTTGCCGTAACAAGGCCTTACAGTCGCTCACTGTTTACGTCGGCAGGTACGCCAGCTCTATGCTCTTTGACAAAAAAATCACAATATTCACATGGATTTTATTAGAAAGAACCCCAAATTATCCTGGTCATGTTCCACTGTCTCCTTTACAGAGAATATTTTTGGTTGCTGGTTCTGCAATAATGGGATTGAAGGCACCATGGCGTGGAGGTAAGGCTGCATTGGACTCGATTCTTTCACACTTGTTTGCTTAAAAAGTTGAAATGTTTCGCTTAAATGAAAACAATTTACTATATTGAGTCTCTTTAACTACTTAACCGATGCTAACCAAACACCAAAGACATGATTTCCATATTAGGAGACTCATCTGGTCAACCGTTTTTTTTACGGCGTTTACTAAATCAAATGCTTGCTGATGAAGTAGGCCGTCAAATCTTGATGGAAAAACCACGTATAACTTCAAAGTCCTTAAATCTTCCATTCTTACGAACGCTTCCATTAAATACATTAGGACGTATTTACGTCGACTGGATTGATAGAGAACATGTAAGCCCTGATACTCGTTCCCCTACGCGATATGTAGATGATCCAGAAGAAGCATATGTTATGCAAAGATATCGCGAGTGCCATGATTTCTATCATGCGCTTTGCCATATGCCTACAAATATTGAAGGAGAACTCGCTATAAAATGGTATGTGTACAGTCTTTAAGCAAAGATACTTTGAAATACTAACTGCTCTAGGCTCGAATTTATCAACATGGGTTTACCCGTCGGTGCTCTATCGGCTTTGTTCGGTCCTCTTCGGTTAAATTGTAACCAAATAGCAGCATTTCGTAAAGTCTACATTCCTTGGGCTGTTCGTAATGGGCTTGTGGCTAAAACACTGATTAATGTTTACTGGGAAAAAGAACTCACCAAAGACATCAATGAAGTCCGAAAAAGGATAGGAATTGAAGCAGCTCCTCCTTTGCGCTAACGCTACGGGTAGTGTCACATATAAGCTCGTAATTTTAAAATCATCTATAGTCCTTTATCTGCATAATACTACATATAAATATATTAATGAAGAACTTGTGAAGTCAAAGCTTTATGTATAATAAGATAAAAAAGATTTTTAAACTTCAGTTGAAATATATATAACCATAGTTCTATTACCCAAAATTATATGAAACCTATACCTTTAATAATCCTAAAGCATACTTCTACACAAAACCGTCTATTTACGTTTTTTCTTATCAAGACGTTTTTGTGCACGAAGTTCCTTCTTCATACGAGGATCCACCATTTTGTATTTACCTTTGACACCCTTTGGACGAGATCGGATACCTTTGTTAGCACCCTTAGCAACAACAAGTGCTGGCCTTTGTTTGGGCTTCGACTTCATTGCACGGCTCATAAGGCGGGCAATCTCCTTAGATTTTTCACTCTCAGTCATTTCACCACTCTCAGTGATACCCTCAGCCTTCTTAGAAACATTTTGCATACGTCTAATAGTACGCATCTTTTTACGACCCTGAGCTTCAAGGATCTTTTTGATAGGGCGAGCATTGATAGTCTTCATTTTCTCGCGCAAAGCCATAACGGCTTCTTTCGTAATGGGTTTATTGGGCTTGTTGTGATGATTTTCTTCATCAAGGAACCAATCTGGAAGTCCTTCCTTAGGCTGGAATGACCAACGGTTGTAACCATCATCGATAAGATCAGATTTTGACTTTCTATGAGAAGCAATATCTTGTGCTAAGGTCATTGCTTCGGCTGTTACGATGTCAACATTTTCGCCTTCATTGTCAGAATCAGAATCCCAATCGTCTTCTTTTTCTTCAGCGGCAACAGAAGGAACCAACTCAATCTCTTCCTTTCGATTTCTTTTTTCCTCACCGTCACTGTCATCTTCATTTCCCTTTGGAGCTGATCTTTGTTCTTTAGCAGCAGCATTCATGGTAGCGATTTCCTTGTCAGCATCGTCTTCGTCACCTATACCATCGAAAATGTCTTGGTCGAAAAATAGAGATGCTTTCTTACTTAAACCATTTTTACCTGATTCATTCTTATTAAGAGAAGTAAGAAGACGCTCATCATCTCGTTCTGAAAATTGTTCCGACTTGTCTTCTTCGTTGTCACTGGTTGGTTCCTGAATTCCTTCCCATTCTTCATCATCAACATCTCCTCTAGATCGTTTAACTTTATACTTAACATCTGATTCTGCTTTCCTAACAGTGTACTGAGAATACATAGAATCCAACTCGGCTTCAAGGCGTTCTTGCTCATCTTCACTATCGTATTCTTCTTCGCTTTCCTCCGAATCCTCATTCTCTTCTTCAGTAGCAACAATTTCCGGGGTGGAGGCATCAGATAATTTACTTAGGCCATGCTTTTCGGCAGTAGATAATCCGAACATGCTATCGTCTCCCATTTCGCTTTGTTCCATACCAATCTCCATGGGGGCTTCCATTCCCATTTGCATTCTGACGATTTCTTTTTGTTTATGTTTATTTGCCCTACGTCGCTCACGTTTCACTTTAGCGCGTTCAGCTTCATTCAAATGTTGTAATTCTTGATCCATTTGTGTTTCTTCGTCAACTTGGGGAATCTCTTCTACAACAGTTTTTTCTTCATTTTCAGGGCGTTTGCCTAGACCCAGCTCACTACGAGCTCTAAGTCGCCATTTCAGCAAATCGCGAAAGTCTTTCTTTCCTAGGACTTGTAAATCAGAGCAGTAGATCAGCACATCCTCATCGGTTATATCCAGGTTTTTTAATCGTTTAGAATCTTCATCTTCTTCAGGAAAGACAATTTCCGCGGATGTACCTAAGATTTGAATTGGATCATTTCCTAACACGAACTCTGATGCTGACACAGTTTTGTGAAGTGTGTAGTCATCGTCAGCATAACCTTCACGGTTTCTTTTTTTCTTCTCAGGTTCAAAGACCTTTGCCTCTACGTTAGGAGTTGGTTCTGTAACTTCTTCGAATACAGCACGGGGATCAGTAAAACGGGGATCCAATTTTTGTGGAGCCTTATAACCTCTGCATACAACAAAAATTTCTGCTGACACGTTACGCGAAGAAGGAGGTTTAGTAGCATCAACTCTGTTAAAGAGTTGTTTGAATACCCAGAGAAGGTTGTTGTAATCACGGGAACGGAAAACTTTAGTGACGAATGTACCGCCGGGAACCAAAAATTCACAGGCAAGTTTCATGGACATCAATACCAATTCCGCTTGACCGTAAGCATCTTGTAACCATGCGGCACCAACATTTGGAGCACCATCATGCAAAACTACATCGGCTTTCCATGTCTTCAAAATACCTCGTAATTGTGAGCGGCACTTGTCAGAAGTAATGTCTTCTACAAATGTTTGGCAGTTCGGAATAGCTCTGATAGGAGCCAAATCAACACCAACAAGTAAAGATCCAGGCTTGCAAGCTCTAGATGCTACTTGTAGCCAACCACCAGGAGCAGCGCAAAGGTCGATGACCACTTTAGCTTTTTCTAAGAAACTAAACTTCTGGTTCAATTGGACCAACTTGAACGCAGCACGGGAGCGATACCCTTGCTCTATTTAATATTAGTAATTAAGAAACTAATGTAATTCTCTAATCGGTATTGAGCGCAATAATTACTAATGGTTCAACACCGATTCTTTGCAATTCTTACCTTTGGCAAGCTTATACCACTTATCCAAACGTCCTATAACATGTTAGAAAAGAAAGATTATTAAAATATATACCCTTCGCCGACTTCTTTTGAACTTTTCCCATTTTATTTCTTTGGTGGAGGTAAGATGGTTAAGGACAGGAGGCAAAAGTTGATACAGAAAATCTATACACATTGGTTATAGCAAATTTATATGGAAATAATGTGTAAGTTGGTGTAATTTATTACTATTTAATTAGTTATTTCATGAATTTTCTGACGTTTTTTTGCTAGGGAAAAAGGAAAAAAAGTTAAGACATTAATTTAAGAGTATCGATCATTAAATTCTTTTGGCATACAGAATATACTAATACTGAATAAACATCATTATTTTAGAATTTCTCATCTTTTTCTATAAAGCCCTTAGTATTACCTTTAGTCGGGGTGGAGAAATGTAGCCCATGGATATTGTTTCTCAATTTCCTTGAAATTACGTCTTTAGAGAAAGAAAATGAATCCAATCGTCTACAGAGACGATCTTCTTCATGACTACTCATCTTTCCAAAGTAGGAATTGATGTCAGTGTCCTTAGTAGATGACATTAGAAGGTGATTCTCTGGCGTACTGGAGCCTGTGAAAGTTTCTTTTGGGGGAATATAAGGTCTAATCATTTCTCGCAATGAGCCAGATGGTGAAGGCATAGATGTTGACTCATTGATATTGTTGGCTGAAATGAAGTGGTTATACTGAGCTTCAACCTGGCTTTCGAGATCTCCGACATCCAAATTGTTCTTGTCAATTTGTTCAGGTGAATCTTCACTCTCTGGAAGATTTAATGTTGTATTGTTTGGAACTTTTTCTAGAGAAAGCTTTTCTGAATCTGGTCTCGTAGAAGGATACGTAAATCTCTTTGCAGATCCTGTTATTTTCGGACGGGATGCATTATATTTGAGACGAGAAGAACTTTTTTCACTTTCATTTATAGGATCCCCTTTCAGTTCATGCTGAGATGAATTGGTTCGAGGAGAGGACAAATCTTGGTCATCATTTGGAACATTCTGTCTTTTGCTAGGAGATCGCTGCAAGGGGAATGAATAGAACTGTAATCTTTCCGATAATGGTTTTCCAAAAACTATTATTTTTCTTTCATTTTCTTCTTCCCAATTTCTTAATGAATAGATCAAGTTTGCACGGGTAAGTTGAAAATCCTTTCTTAGCCTTTTGAGAGTAAATGGTTTTGAAGTAGGAGCTGTTGAACTCCTAACAGTTTGTGATTCTTTATATAATCTAGCTTCTAAAGCTAGATATTTTCGAATCAATGCATTGAGCTCACCTCGGAGATGGGTTTCTACTTCTAAACTGTGAATTTCCTGCTTAATTTTATTCAGAATTTCGAGAATGTCAACCTTTTTCCTATTTTCATCATTTTCAATAAATAGCAAATCCTTTTTTGGAATAAACAGCGATTTTGCAAGATGCAAATAACGCCTCAATAAATATTCATACTCTGCCCGGTACTTCACAGTCAAGGAAGGACTTGAAGGTTCTTTTTTTATCTAAAAAGTTAATTAGAAATTAAAAAGGATGATAACCTTACCTTTTCACTTGCTATACCAGGCGAGCTTGCGTTAGAACCAGGAGAATTTATGCTTATCCTTGAATCTGAGCGATTACTTAATCTGCTTGATGTGTTTTCTCTCCTTTGAGCCAAAAATTCCAATCTCCCTTTGTAATCATTAATCCGTTTCAAATAACCAGTTGATAAATTGTTGGTATCTATCTTGAATTTGGTCGAGACGTACTTTTCCAATGGTAGAATCTCGTTTTTCTTATTTAACAAGTTTTCTTTTCTTGAATGGTATTTCTTTTCCACTTTCTCTTGTATACGTTTCAAATGTTCAATTTTTGAATCCGAAACATCCACAAAAGAATTATTCAAAGAAAATTCTTCGGAATTCTCACCAAGGCAAAACAAATGATACGATAGCTTTTTTCTTATTTCTATCTTAGTTAGCAGAAAGAACTTTACCCTGATTTACGGTTACATGAAAGCATCCAATATCCATACCCTTTACTAGCTGAAGCTTGTTGTCATATTCCTTTCGAACCTTTGCATGTAAGGAAACTAGACGCTGGTAGTGTTTTTCTGAAGGCAATTCGTTTTGAAAGCTCTGCGTCTTTCCCAAGCACTTGTAAAGCTCAAGAAGCTGAGAGGAGAGTTTGTCACATTTTGTTCTTGTATTCTGAAGATTTTTCTTCAGTCCTGAAGAATGTTCTGATATTTTATTTAGAATTAGACTTCTAAAAATTGTCAGATCGAAGGGGATATCAAGATCGGATGAAAGTTGGTTTAACTCATGGTAGTAATTCTCAAGCGACTGTTGAAATTCATCATCAGTCATATTCTTTTTTAATATTATAAGGGTGTAAAGAACATCTTTGTAAAAGTCGTAGCCCAACCTTTAATGAATTTGTCGAAATGACTACTGCTATAGTCTTGGCAAGCAACGATATACAAAACAGAAGTCAAACAAAATTAATGTCAGCGAAATAAAGTATTGTTTTTTAATTAATTCTTTCTTTTTTTCTTTTACAATCAAATAAAAAGAGAAGTTAACTCGTTGTAAATTTAGAAAAAATTACCTCTATAAACGTACCAAACTTAACGATTTAAATTTACGATAATGGAAATGTTTTAAACAGAAATCAAAATCTATTGGGATATATATAAATAAAAGAAAGAAAATCTAGTATTAAAACAGTAGTAATAAAAATTCATGAAGACGTAAACTTGGAGTTTCTTTTTGTCGATAGATCCTCCTTAAAGCAATGAAAACTATTTGAATGCTATTTTCCATAGACGATTAAACAGACCACACAAACGCTTGTACTTTTCAAAAGGAAAAAGAAGAATTTAAGTGATACATGATTAGGTTGTTACCATAGAAAGAACGAAAAATTATTAGAAACCCCATATTAGTTTAAACATAAACAATCATCAAATTATGCAGAATTTATCATGTAGCTGTTCCTTCCTCACCCTTTTCCTCATGGTCCGAACCAATTTCCCACTTAAGGCCCTTATATACTTTTCTTTTGAAACGATTCTTTTTCGTTCTCGTTTTTTTTTGCAGCTGTTCGAGACGCCAAAGCATCTCTCCCATTCTTTTGCTACTAATCCAAACAGAGTCAGGTACTTTTAGCGGTAATTTTCTTCCAGTAAGATACTGATCTATTAGGAACATACCGACTATAAACTCCTCTCGGTTTAGCATGTGGATATGGCTTCGATCCACAAGACTATAAATGTAAGCCAATACACTTGTAGGAGCGCCACATCTTGACCATAGCTCGCGAACTACTATATCGCAAATATAATTTTCCGGATAGGCTACATCAGTGCCTCGTAGAAGATATCCCTTATTTGCTGCCCACAAACCTTCATAGACTTTTCGTCGGTTTTCATCAATAACGAAGCGAGGAATGTCGATGTTCTTGGAAATCTTCGATACTTTGGCATTTCTAAATCTTCCATTGCTTCGTTTCGAAAAAAACCTTTTCTTCCTACTTGGTCTCCTTAACGTATGGGGTGACGGTTTCTTCAGTGCTTTCGTTTTTAAGGGCGGTGGTTTCTCCTGAATAACAGGGAATGACCGATCTGCAATAGCTGCTGCGTGAACTGCTGATGAAGAATCCAAGGCTTCACGATGCAAATAGAACAAACTTGGTGCAACGACTTTCTCGGGTTGTAAAACACCTGATAATCGCCACTTCAGTGCTTTGGCAGTATCGTTTGAAAAATTTAAAAGTGAATTCTTGAAAGTAGAAATAGCCTTTTCCGTTAGATTCGAAGGCCTCTCCTCGGAACTCTCAGTATCGGTATAATTGCCTAATCTATCAATTTCACCAACAGCAAGCGTTTTTGAAGATTCCTCGGTATTATGAGATGAATCACATAACGCTTCTAGAGCCGTAGGGAAGGGATCTAGCGCATTTTCATCGTCAGCAGCATCATAAAAGACGTCCTCGCTAGTTGAAATCAGGCGATTAGACAATGGACTTGAATGACCATGAGGAGAACGGTTAGGAATTGATGTATCAAAAAGTGCCGCAACATCCTTATTCTGAGTAGTTATAGGAACCGTAGTTGTAGGATCGCTTGACAAACTTAGCCGTAATGGGATGTCCTTTTTTTCGTTTACAGCCTGATTCGCAGCAATATGAGCCGATGAATTAAAATTATAGTGGGATGTACTTTTATTATAAGCTGTTTCAACATTGACACCAGACACTTGACTAGCGGCGTGAAATGCAAAAAATAAAGAATTACTTCGATTAAAATGAGAATCCTTCAATCTTTGTAAGCTATGTTTGGCGGACATTGCAATTTTTCGGGCAGCAGCTAAAGGTAATGTATTGGGTATGGAACTATGATTTTGCGGCTGTATTCTTTTCATCGGAGACGAAAGAAAAGTTCCAACGGAAGCAGTAAACGGCATAGATTTTGATACTTCTATATCCTTCGTTTTAGAAATAAGTTCCTTTGGTGGCAAAGTACTGTATTGAGAAATATGTCCCGTAGAATCTTTCGAACCTTGAAATGTGTTAGATGCTATCACGGCAGCGTTTCGTACTGACGGCCGTATAGAAAGAGTATTTAAATTATTGCTAGATCGATCATTGGAAGCCTGCGTTTCTGAATTCACAGCTTTAGAAGGCAAAATTTTTTCATTTAGGTTTCGGTGCATTGAACGCTGAAATATATTTGCATTTAACAAACTTCGTTCGTCTTTTGATTTATTCATATCATCGTTACTTTCAGAGCGAGAGATAGTTGAGCTTATTTTAGCTGCTTTTCTGACAAAAGAAGAATTCAAAAAGGGGTTGCCTTCTTTGCTTTCTATATCATTGTTTGATTGGTGAAGAACATTCCTTGCTTCATTAGAATTAGTGTTATCACCAAAAAGTTCCGCATTCTTACCAAACTCAAGGTTTAGCTTTGGATATTTATACGCGGATTTAGATGCTCCAGAAGTGTGATCCAATGATTTGGACACCGAAGACATCGTTGTTTTCCTAATATGGTGTTTATTCTTCACAGTTGTATCTTGAGTATTCAAAAAAGAATGAGAGTTCGCAGTATATCCTATAGGCTTTTGTTGACTTTTAGTTTCATCTATCTTTTGATCGGTAGATGATACAGAGTTCGATAATACTTTGGCGTTGACGAGTGGATCCTTGACTCCGGAACGTGAAGTAATTGTTTTCTTCTCATGTTGTCTCCAAGTCAAAGGGAAGGCTTTGGTAGGCGTTCTCTTGCTAGATGTTCGTGTCGTCAAGGATTGTGAAGACGATAATCTGGATGCAGCTATCGCTGCAGCATTTGATACAAACCCTGACTTTCTGGAAGAAGATTCCAAGAAAGAGTTATGGTTTTTGCTATAACGATCGGAGGCTGATACACCAAACTGATTTTTTCGTCTGTTTATGATCTGTAAGTGCTCGCTGGATGAGGAAACGCTGGCCCTTGCAGCAGCAAGAGGCTCATGAGAATTTGAAGGATCCAGGTTTACATGAAGACGCTGGTGTTTCGGAGAGAAAGGCGGATTAGAAGAGTAATCACCATTGTGATACCGGACAGAAGCGCGTTGAAGTTGATGAAATGGGAGATGTGAAGCAGAAAAGGAGTATTTCTCTTCTATTGGAGACGATATGTTTGTGTCTCGTTCATCATTTTGCAATGACGAAGTATGAATACTCATAACACCCTTTGTCTCTGTCCGGCTCTAGCGATTAATGCATAAATCACTGATATTTGAGCAAAGACGCTCTTTAGACAAAAATAATAATGTTAACAGTTGTCTAACTTGTTTAGTCAGTTGGAGTTGGAAGAATTAAAGAACGAAACGCGAGTGTTCAGTTCGCCATAAAACTACGGTTTTCTTAAGTCGAAATGCAAATTTTCTAAAACGCATACGTATCAACTTCCAAAAGAAGTTTTTTAGGAGAACAATTTGGTAACTTATAATCGCAAAAAGGAAAAGAGTGCTGTGCGACAAGCTTGAAAAGGTTCCCTCGAAAACAAATAAAGTGAAAGCAATCCCAAAAGAAATATGAAAAAGGATATGTATAACAATGTCTTAAACAATTGACTTCTTATGTCTATAGGAGTAATTTGGGTAATGAAGTTGCGGTAGTAACAACTAGTACGAGCATCGTAAACAAGCTACGCTTGGAACATACGATATGTTAGAATATCCTATATGACGATTACAAAATGAGAATAACACAACGTAGTTTAAATAGTGAAACAAAACGCAGTACATTAATAAACAAAAGTCAGATCAAAGACAACTCTGACAAGACTAGGCTTTCAATATACAGTTTTGTGCCTTGTATTCTCTCATTAAAAAGCATGACGGAGTATTACTCCAAACGTAAAATTATAAAGTCGAGTAAAAAGAAAAACTATGTAAACATTGCGAGAGAATCAGCAAAACTGAAACAACATACCCCCAAAAGGGAACAGATGATGAGATGTCGTTAAAAAGAGATAATAAAACTCATGCAGAAAAAGCAATAGAGGATGTATAAACCAAGTTGTTGAACCCGCATATTGAATCATAGTACAACGTCCCCACTATACACAATCATTGTATGGATTGTATATTCATTCCTATAACACTTCAAAGCTTAGTTATAGCCTTACTGTCTAGGGGAAGTCCGGAGGGATCAATGTTGTTTTTACTCATCGTATCTCGAAGATAAATGAGACGGGCTTGATCGAACGAGCATTGTTGTTTCTTCATTATGCCCTTTATTTCCCTAGAGGATATCTCATCAAGGCCGGCCCGAGAATCCTGCGATAGCACGTTCTGGAATAGGTCAAAAGAATTGGACGTTAATCCGTTTTGAATATCAGACTCAAACGAATCGTGCACGGACGAGTATCGAAATCTGTGCAAACGTGGTCCCCAGATACTCCTTGTTGCATATGTAATGCCTGCAATGATTGCGAGGATAATAGTAGCGTAGGAAGCTAATAAATGAAAACTAGCCATCTCAACAAAAACCAACTAGAATGATATCTCGGTATTCCCTACACATGTAAAGACAAGCAAGCCGTTCGCCCTTTCAGGAACAAACCACTTGATCAATTTCAGAATACAATTCCTTAGGATGTAGGATAGGAAGCTAATATGAATTTTAACTACTAACAAATCTAACCTCCAATTCGTTTGTTGACAAGGAATTGCAAGTGACTAACAATAGATTTTGTTTTAAAGAAGAAGAGTCTTCCCCTATCACAAAAGAACCAAAATAAAATCAATTTGTTCTCTCTCGATATTTATAAGCGCTGGTTAAGTATGCACAGGATATACACTTACAGACTAGACTATACACAGGTGTAGGATGTGATTACGTGGAAGTCGTCGTCGTATCTTTAAATAATGAAAATAAAACGAAAAGGAAGTTTCTAATAACAAATTATTTCTATTGTTTGTTTGTATTTTAAACTAAACTAAAAATTCTTGTTTCCATTTCTTTGTTTTTTCCTAATTAACTTGCAGAAGAGTTGTAGTTCATAAGGATTCCAACACAATTATAAAGACAATACAAGTTCTTAATGAATTTAATATAAGAAAACAACCGTCCTTTAAATGAAAGCCTTGTATAAAATGACTCTTAGATGTGCTTTTGTTTCACCTTTCAAATCTTTGACTAAATTAGATGCGAGAGAAAAAAAGCTCTCCATAATAAACAAAAGTACTCTTTTCCTTAAAGAATAACTTCTAAAATTGTTTCAGTAATGAAAAAATATGCATTCGTCCTACACCTCATAGCACTGGTTTGTTTACTGTTTAGCGTGTATAATTTTAGTTTCCCTATATCTTTTAATGTATTTCAGCGCGTGTTGCCAAACCATAAAACACAGCCCTAAACTTTCTGGTGGACCCAAAAGACAGTCACACAAAACTAAATGTTTCATGCGTCAATAGTGAAACTTGTCAAGCACTCACACCATGTCTGTTAGCAACGATCTCATCTGGCAAGTTATCCGTGAAAACAACCGCTTCCTCGTTAAGCGTTCTGAATTCGGCGGCATCCAATTCAACCGTGAGCCCTTCAACGCTACCGGAAAGAACGCTCAACGTTACTCCGGTCTTAGCAGCGACCGTGCCGTTGGTATCAACGCTAACAGCCCTCGTGGTGTTGTTATGGTCACCAAGACCAACCCCAAGAACGCTCAAAAGCCCGCCAAGCTTTTCCGCACTGATGTTATTGCTAACAAGTCTTCTCGTAAGACCTACAAGAGCGTTGCTGGCCGCGTTGGCAAGACTGGTTACCGTCCTGACCTTTTGAACGTTGCTATTGCTCGTTCTTCTGCTATTCTTGCCTCTCAACGCCCTAAGAAGAACTCTGCTTAAATGTGGTGGTTGTAGAAAATAAAATCTGAGTTCATGCTTATTTACCTGTATTTGTTCAGTTATTTGTACCTTATAGAGTAGCAGAATAATTGTTCACTTTTAATATTTTTATATGAAATTCCCATTATCATTTCCCATATTCTAAATACGTTTCATTTTTTTCATACACAACGCCGTACCTAACATTTGACAATTCCATCTTGGTAAATTTAAGTAGGATTATTAAATGGGAAGGTAGTATGAAATTCTGAATCCCAATTGATTCGGTTATCTTCCTCTTCATTCCACAGCGGTCCAGCCGTCTGCGGAGGTCTCTGTTGTGTTTCTTGAATTTGAGGTAAGTTTAGCACTTGTCTACCTTGTATATCATCATAACTAAGAAGATCACGATCAGATTCCGGGATCGTGAAAGGTGGTCGGGTTGGAATGTTATTGTAAAGCATTTGCCGATTGGGTGTATAACTGTTTGACAACTGTGGCTCCCTGGTATTCGGCCTGACAGATGGTGAGCTGTTGGCGCGATCCATCCCCATCGGAGGTAGTACTAAGTCATTTAAAAGCATATTCGGAGGATCACTAGCACTGGCCGTTTGCGCTCCTGGCGAAGTATTATGCACCGTTGATGATCTCGATGACATGGAAGGATGATATAAGGCCTGACTGTCATCAATCGGTAAACTTCCTAAACGATAGCCACGTCTAGGAGGAGTACTAATGGGAGGAAAACTTATCCCTCTAGAACTTTGAAACGATTCCGTCGGACGTTTATTAGAATATGCACTTCTTCCAGGTGCATAATTAGGTTCGTAACCGTTGAAGGATCTCTGGAAAGTTGATGTAGTAGAGACGCCTGGTGTAGTGTTTGAAGGTGTCGAACGTTGAGAAATACCGTTGGCACTAGTCTGTGGTAGCATCAAAGTTTCTGATGGAGTCGAGGACGGAACGTGAGCATCTTTCCGAGCAGGGTTTGGCGATGTTGGCTTTGAAAAAGAGTTGTCGGTTTCGTTTGTTGTTGAAATAGTAGGAGAAGCAGAAGCCACGGGTTCTTCATCATCCGAAATGGTAAGATCAATTACCAGAGATTCTCGTTTCTTCTTATTTGTGGGAGCGGCAGAAGGAGGTGAAGCCTTACGTTTCGGTGCAATTGGAGGCTCACTGGTATTTTCAGGTGCAGCACTTCGCTCTTCGTCGCTAAGCTCTATAACCTGTTCCTTCGGCGAATTCTCTTCTTCAGAACTTTCACTCTCTTCGTCAAAAGTATTCATACTCCAATTTCCAACAGGATCAACAGTAATTGTCTCAGAGTTGCTAGGGCTATTTTCCAGGATGTGCTGCATAAATCCATCAACAACTAAATCAGGATAACGTATATGTATATTACACACAGGACACATCCATGAAGGAGTTTGCTGGTTCATTTCTAGAAATGCTCTGGCATCAAAGCACTGAATATGTTTGCAATAACTAGATCTTACTGGTAATGAAATTCTAGTAAACGACAGAGGGCACTTTAAGGAAATATCTGTAGAAGTCGCGATAATATCGGTATCTTCGTTCTCACTTTTTATACGATCAACAATCTTTTCTTTTGTCTCGATTTTTCGAGATTTGATATCGTCAATCAAATGATCAACAGAGTACATTTTAACAAGAGAAACGACAGCAGAATATCTTTTCGTGGCATTCATGTAATAAATAACAACATTATTTCCTGGAGGACCAGCATATTTTGTTATATAATCAGTTATGTCGGCTGGATTTGTAGTGCCACTTCTTCCTTTCAAGCCACGATAGTTTGCATGCGCAACTTGATTATTAGCGCGAAGCTCCATTTGAGGAGTAGGATACTCCATTAAACACTCACCGAAACCAATGGTATCTGTTGGCGTCGAAAAAAAGTATACCCTGAATTCCTTTGGGTTACTTAGCAATTTTGAAAGGGCCATCGGTGTCAACTGAAAAGAAAACGATACAGTATTACGGGCACCAACACATGCCGGTATAGTAAAGGGAGTATTAAACGGTTCCAGTATATCATAAAATGGTGTTTTCCGGAAACGGATCCGAGAATGGACAATAGGAGCAAACGGCCTAGTATAAGATCTATTACCAGGGTTATTAACAGGAGGTGGGATAGCCAAAGTCTGAGGATAAATTTGAGAAAGATTAGATTGTAATGTACAAATAGCACCAGCAATGTCTCCATCAACGGCTTTTTTTAGTGAATTCCATGTATTCATGTCATTATTAATAGCAATTTTCTCAACAAACTCTTTGATTCGAGCAATAAGCTCGGGTTTTGTACCTGACAGCCGTAGTCCAAAAACTCGTAAAATATCCTTCAACTGAGGTATAATAAGTCCAGATTCTAACCGTTTATATACATGCTAATAAGATATTAGTAAAAATAATACAAGCATATACTTTATACTTACTGGAAGCTCTTGCAAGAAATCTGCCTGGTTCATTGAGTTTCCGAAATGAAATTGAACTTCCTTGCCATCCACATATGCAACAGTATTAATATGAACTGAATAAAATGCTTGAGAAAATTTAAATACAAAATTTAGTATAAGAAAGACAAATTCGGATGAATTTCTCGAACTAGTACCTACGTTTGGATGGTGAACTTTGAAAAGGCATTCGTCAGTGAAAAGATTTTACCGCAGTCATTGCTACTCGTTAAAGTTTTGGGGAAAGAAAATAAAATAGAAATAAGAAACTGAACTCATAATAATAGATTATAATATACATTAATAAAGTGATTCTACTTAAGAAAAACTTCTGTTTTGACTCTATAGAATTAGCCTCTCAATTCAATCAGATTTTAAGAAATTGTCCATTGCTCAACTAAGCGGGAAGCTTGCTCGAAATGCTGTCTTGAAACAAAGTTGCTGGCCAAGCTTTTTGCATAAAGACGAGAACAGTTAATTTCAATAGAAAGTACTTTTTCGTTTGTCTGAAGACCGTCTCGCCTCGAACGGACATAGTTGGATTGAATGAACTCCAACATATCCGTTGGTATATCAGCAGTGCGTGTCCACATGTCAAGATAATTTGATAATCTTTCTATATCGTCTGATGGTAACGATGTCTCGACTGACATTAGTGTTTCGTCGAACTTGCTTGCGTAGACAGCATTCACGGGCAAAATCGACTTTCCATGACTCAAGACAACAATTCTTACATCTGTCTGTATGTTGTAACTACTAAACGGATAGGCAAATGTAATCTCTTGTTGGGAAAGAAGATAGGATAAAAATGCGACGTTACGGACGCCTGTATCATTTAAGGTACCGCTCGAAAGTTCGGTCTCATCTAATATCAATAACGTTCCTGGTGCCAATTGCAAACGACCAATTGATAGAGTGTCCCCATCACTTCTGGGATAAAGTGGCTCCTTGTTTAGTTCATTGACGTCTATTTTTTGTACAACCGTTCTTTTAGTCAAGGTTTTGATAAGGCTTATAATCCTTGACGCGTGCTCTGATGTGCAGTTCGTCAGGTTTAAACTAAAAGACCCAACAATAAAGCTGTCAGCCCTATGAACGACGTTGGAAAGTAAAGAAAGCAGCAGCGATTCGGACGCCACATTATCCCCCAATAATTTGTTAAATTGGGTAAGCAGTTTTAATCGTAGATGTCCAGCTTCTTCCTCAGATGGATACGTGACGGGAGATTGCTTGAAATCTTCAAATGTAATTAAATGAAGAATTGGGAGCCCATCAGAATATTCACTTGGCTCTTCGTACATACCAAGCATGTCAACTGCTTGACAAACACGAAGACGAGTTTCCATTCCACCATAACACTTCACACAGAAACCAAAATCTTCCTTTGCTAGTGTTCTATTTGAGTACTTTGCGGTAAGATCTTTATACAATTCATTCTCTTCGTTTGGTTCTAAAGAATTCGCTTTGCTGGATCTCAGTTCTCCAGGTATATTAGTTAAAAACAAAGAGTATCTCTCGTCAAGTGCTATTTTATTTTCATCCACAAAGGATTCATCTTCACTGTAGCTGAGAATGTAACGGCATCCTCGCCAATATTGATCGTTCATTTTAATTGCGCCTGCAAAAAACTCATGTCCAAAGTTAGTATCTTGAATCATTCCTTGTAACCGAAGCAATTGTCCGGATTTTAGCTCCTTAATATTACAATTGGGGTAATATGGGATCTAACCGTTAGTTATACCGTCTAGAAGCAGATTAAAAGCCATAACATACCTTTTGTAAATCATATTTATTTGCAAATATATCAGAAACCGCTTCTTCGATCCCTAAACTACCTTGGAGATCCGGTTTACCTGGATTTGACAGTGAGGCATCTTGTATCTTTTGAAGATACGATTGTGGGTCTTTTAAAAATACTTCCGATAATTGGGCTACCATGATCTCCTTGTCCCGTTATTTTAAATGGAGAGAAAAAGGGAGACCTAGTGGTTTTGAAAGATATACGTTTTGAGATTGTTCATTTTATTGCCCTTGCTTTTCAAACTCTTACAGTTATAAGCTATAGGTAGATTCGCTTATATAATAAGCTCAGAATACGCGAATTGAAGAAAAATAAACCTGTTCATGTATTTTATGTTTTAAATATCAGTAGATATTTCTTTTTATATTATAATAATAAAATGAAAAAAAAAATTTGAAAACTTGATGCTGTGAATTTGATCCTTTGGTGAAGCAAGGAACTCTACTACCCAATTTGTGAAAAAGCTTATGTAACAGTAATTCAAATCAAGTAAATAATGCCTTGCGTATACAATAAATACTCGCTTTTCTGCTTCTTCATTTGCTACGAATAAAGTTGACATCCTATTTCAATGCTGAGACTTGAGCGCGTCCACCCTCCACCGAATACTACATAGTCCCATAAATAGACGGTGCCTAAAAATGGGTGATTCGGTTATGTCTACTTCTTCAGGATTAAAAAATGCGGTGCGATATGAATTACCTTGGTAAGTTTGCACGGAAGAAGCGCATCATGTTCTACTACGATGGTCAATCTATCCAAATGGCAGCTTCGTATCATTGTGCGATGGTTCGAGATGTTCTTGGTGACAAATAGCTAATTCACACATATAGGGTTGAGAAGTATAGACCTGTAGTACTTGATGATGTGGTTGGAAATGAAGAAACAGTCGATCGTTTAAAAGTAATAGCTAAAGATGGCAATATGCCTCATCTTATTATTTCTGTATGTTATTTACTTTTCATTATAACTAATTTGTAAAAGGGGATGCCAGGAATTGGTAAAACTACTTCCATCATGTGCTTGGCCAATATGCTCTTGGGTTCAGGCTGTCGAGAAGGAGTATTAGAGTTAAATGCATCTGATGAAAGAGGTATTGACGTTGTTAGAAACAAAATTAAAGGATTCGCTCAGAAGAAGGTAAATCTTCCTCCAGGTCGTCATAAAATAATCATTCTCGATGAAGCAGATAGTATGACAGCAGGTGCCCAGCAAGCTTTACGAAGAACAATGGAAATTTATAGCAACACAACAAGATTTGCTCTAGCTTGCAATCAATCCAACAAAATTATCGAGCCTATCCAATCCCGTTGTGCTATTTTGAGATACTCGAGATTAACAGAGCAACAAGTTTTGCAGCGTTTGCTCGAAATATGTAAGTTGGAGAATGTAAATTATACAGATGATGGTATGGCAGCACTTATTATGACTGCCGAAGGTGATATGCGTCAAGCTGTCAACAATTTACAAAGCACAGTTTCGGGATTTGACTTAGTCAACGGTGAAAATGTCTTTCGGGTTGCAGACCAGCCTTCCCCAGTAGCCATCTATGCAATTCTTCAATCTTGTCATTCTGGCGACATAGATACAGCATTGGCGAAGCTGAAAGACGTATGGGGTCTTGGTTACAGTGCAGTGGATATTGTTACAAACATGTTTCGTGTTGTGAAAACAATGAATGAAATACCGGAATTTACCCGGTTGGAGATGCTTAAAGAAATTGGAACTACGCACATGATTGTTTTGGGAGGAGTGCAAACGTTGCTTCAATTAAGCGCACTCGTCTGTCGTCTAGCAAAATCGCAAATGAATCCACGGGCGTTTGAGATATAAATCCTTTCATTATGTTTACAAACTAAAAATTTGGGACTAGCACTTACTTAATATCCAACTTTACGAATAAAACATACTCCAGGTAATGACAAAAAGAAAGAGACCAGTGATGAGTAAAGTATAATACATAGTCGTCTGAAAAGTTGTTCCAAGTCTTCCGAAAAATACCGGAAGTCCCATGAAGTTGCAAAAAGAGTGAATTAGAAAGGTAGGCCATATGCTATGAGTGTTTAGAAATACATAAGTGCTATACCATCCAAACAATGTTGTATAGAAAAATTGCACCAGAAACTGTATCATTGCAACTACGTATGCTCCGGGGTAACTGAGTAAGAACTCGTAGGAATGATGAAAATGGGCAAACCCAAAGAGAAGGGGAGCCGAGAGGATAGTTTCTTTCTGAGAGTAGTTTGCTTTTTCGAATAAAGGAATTATGGAACAACGAAACATTACCTCTTCAGATAGAGGTCCCTAGTAAGTTAGTATGTGTCCGTAAAGAATTAACAATCCCAGTGATCACGTACAATAACTAGGTTCCGCCAAGTTGCTGGATTTTTTATTTCAAAGGACACCGTTTCTAGGAGGTTCTTATACACTTTATCAATAAAGATTGTCTGATATAATGGCCCCAAAAATAGTATTCCTACATGAAGCAGGCATTTTACGGTCTGTCTAAATTTTAAAAAAGCAAAGAAATTGACACCACATATCCAATTTGTAAATAGATAGGATGAAAAAGATGCAATGATTACTCCAATGCATCGTGTCAAAACTACATTTGGATCATTGCGAACCAAACCAGGCTTTGGTCTTCCTACCGCGAATATGTATAGGGATCCAATATATAAGCAAGTGTAACAAGTAGAAACAAGAAATGGATAAACCATGAAGATGCGTCTTTCTATAAGTCTGCGGTTCACCGGTGTTCAAGGAAGAGGTATTTTAGTAGTAAGAAGGACCGGCTGTATAGTAATAAATTAGAAAAGGGGAAATAGAAAACAATGAAAGCCAGAAATACAACATATTTATTCTATACTAGATACCTTATGAAAAAAATCACTTGATATGGGTTTGTTTGATACTGTTCGGACGGATTACGGAAAAGAAAAAACCATCGGTTCATAATACTAAGTGTATTTTATATTCATATTTAGAAGTTGCAATGAAGAAAACTACAATAATTCCCAAACAGTCGCTTTCAACCAAAATCCCAAATTATATTTGACAAAAACTAAACGATTGGTCCAATGAGGGAGACTGCTACACGCACTTGAAGCCAATGCATGTTTTACCTCAGTATCTTCCTCAAAGGAAACATAGGAGCTTGTTGCTTGCAAGCAATCTTAAGCGTCGATCTGCATAGATTGATCCTTGTTTTGAAGCTCCTTATTAAAAGAGTCTGTAACAACATCGCAAAGATCCATTAAATCATCCAATCCCTTCTTGAGTGCTTCAACCGCGGTTGTGCTAGCTATAATGAAAAAGGTTAGTTACGCTTGAAAATAATCGAGAAAATATCTTGAAAAGAGTGAGTATAACAAGAAACCCTCCTCCATCATCTCATTCTCTTTCAAATTTCTTTTCTTTTTTGCTTTAAAACTTACGAAGTGTCTGAATTCGAAGATTCATCTTGGCTTCTGATGGATGAGGTATAGAATAACCACAGAATTCGACCTCAGGGCTAATAAAGAAAAAACTGTTAGTACAAATTGACTGGAATATCATTCCTTACTTTTTCATGATCATATAGCGAAGAGAATTTCCTAGAGTATGATCTTCTTTTAAAACTTGAAATGTCACAGACGTAAAATCCGCGGAATGTCCAGGCAACTAGTAAATAATCATTAGTATACCATACGTTTTATACGCTTTAATTCATGGGTGTCTAGAACCATCTCCAGGCTTTTTCAATGCTTCTAGAGAACCTCATTCACGTACAATTGTGATCTTTTCGCTACCCAACTCCATAGCAACGGAGGTAGGGTCTGTAACATCTGTCATTGCTGCCATTTTTAAAAGAAAATTAAATTATAATGCCGTTTGAAAAGAAGCGTAGCAATATGCCAAGAAAGAGTAAATTTCAAGGTTTTTCATTTCGAAAAAGAAACAGTAACGCAATGGAACGCAGTTTTTAAAAAGGTTTACTGACGCTTTACTAATACATAGTGTATTTCATTTCATTACTTTAGTAAATAAACTGCTTGCTAGAAATGCACCTAATTATAAAAAAACATAGAACTGTACACTGCTCTTCATGCTTATAAGAATAAAGAAAACTAATTCTTTCTTGCTTTAGTAAATTATTTGAAACTACATTTATCTGTTATAAATACTCTGGAACACTGATTACACCCAAATCATCATTGAATAAAAGACATTCCTCAAATCTCTTCTAAATATTACAAGCTTACAGGCAATTGATTTATATAGTTAAAACCTAGCCTCAACGCTTAGATCTTGCAAGCGTTCTTCTGAAGGAAGAAGAAAACATACTTTTTTGGAATGTTAAAAGATTGCAAACGCAAGTGAAGCTTAGAAGCATACCAGTTGAAAAGAAAGAAAGGAATTGTTTGTCATACGAACTAATCATTTGCTGTTGATTGACTAAATGTTGTTTGTAGGGCAATTGAATATTTCTGTCGCTCATTTACTAAACTTGTATGTTTATAGAAGTGTCAATAAAAATAAATAAAGAAATCCAATAAGAGAGCCCCTTACTGCGGATAACCGCTATACAAATGTCCTAGGGATGTTCCCAATTCACCTCTACTACACACCCAACCTGAACATCACACGGTCATTAACACGAAGAGATGCGATGTTGTCTTGGAGCAATATCATATATATATTTTTATTATTTTCCTTAGTTTCTGTACAGGACGCATTGCATAGTGAATCTACGTCAATTGTTGATTTACTTTCATCGAGTCCGAACTTTTTTCTTTTAATAAGGCATCTACAGCGTGACCGGTTTATTCCTTACTTAAATCGAAATAAAGGATTGACATTTTTTGCTCCTCTAAACGAAGCATTTGATGATGATACTGTTGATCCTGTATGGCCATACCATATACTGAATACGACGGATTTCAATCGTACAGTCTTTGCTACAGAGTTCAAAGCAGCCGATGGTCAACCAATTGCTTTGAAAGTTACACATAAAGGAGAATCGAATAATCCTTTTGATCTCGTAAATGATGTTTACATTGTTAGGCCCAATTGGCAAGCCGACAGCGGCATTGTTCAAGTTGTGGATCAGCTTCTTCGCCTTCCCCAAACTGCTTTAGATATTCTTAGTTCGGAAAGCGAGTACAGCATATTTTATCGCTTATCTTCTGCCTGGGTTGGTGAATATGAATCAACTACCTTGTTCGTTCCCACGACTGATGTATTTATCAATACGTTTACAAATACAGAATTGAGTTATATGTACTCTATTTATGCAACTGAAGATGTAAAGACCCTCTTTAATCAACACTCAGTCATCCATGAACGAGTGTATGCTGATGACGTTGTTGAGCCCAAGAATTTTACTCTAAGAAACGGATTTGTCATGACAATGCGATACGACAAGCCAAATAAAATCTTATATTTTAATGACACCCCTTCCTATAACTTTGATTTAGTCACCCGCAATGGTGCAATACACGTTTTGCCAGATCTCCTAAACCCTGAGGTTATCGTGTTTACACCAGCAAAATATTTAATAGGCTTAGGAGCAACCTGGTTTAGTGAAAAAATTTCTCAAAAAAGAGAGGACGCAGCTATAGATACATCTTCACATAGAGGTATCTTTGCACCTACCAATTGGGCTTTTCGTGAAAGCTCTGATATCGATTATCATATAATGGAAAACTTTTATATGCCTAATATAAATAAATATTATTTGGCGAAGACGAATTCCAAAAGCCACGATGAACACAACGCTTTAATAAGAGTAGCTACGGATACAACAGGCGCATTATACGTTAATTTCGACTCACATTCTATAGATCGAGAGACCATCGGCAATGTAAGTCTGTTTCTTCTTGAAAAAGATATCGAACCCCCCAGACCATTACTCTCTCAGCTCATTTTATTGGATGAAATATCTATGAGTGTCCGATATCTAGCTGCGCTTGGTCTTGGAGAAGATCCGAATAGTACTTGGTTTTTAATTGAAAACGATGCTTGGATGAAGCTAGGACTTATACGAAAGGCCTTAGAGCATAATATGGAAATGATGCAAAATCTGTTCCTTGAGTATGTTTTCCAAGGAAAACATTATTTTGGGTCAAGCGAGGATTCTTGGACTTCTGGAAATTATACGACTATATCTGGTAAAAGTGTTATGATAGAAAACTGTCCCGAGAATAACGATATAATCTATATAAATGGTCTTCCTTACGAAGTTCAAACGCGTGACATGTTGGTCCAAGAAGGTGTCGTTCACATCTTGAACAGATTAGTCGTTCCTTTTCCTGTTTCCCAGCGCAGCATGATTAGTGCTGGAGAAAGAAAAGAGTTCTTAGAATTAATTGACAAACAAGGACTAACTGACACGTTAGATCAGGGTTTATCGATTGTAGTTCCTCCCCTATCCACTTCGGATATCAAATCAAAGGACTTTTCGTTCGCTGATCGACACATCATTGACACCACGAAGAAATCATTTGTTATTCACGATTCTCTTTTGTCAGTAGATAATGGACCGTGGGTACATATAGAAGATAGCGGTTTCTCTAGTTGCGGCAATGTCTACTTCGTGAAGTCTCCAATTCCTACAAGGCGAAACGCAAGCTGGAGAACATTTGGAGTTTCTCTCCTTGGTTTCTTTACTGCCTCCGTGTTTTCTGTTAGTGGTTATAAAACTTACAGAATCTATCAACAGAAATTATGGGCATCAGAAAGAGAGCCTTTGTTGATGCCAGCTAGCAGAGCACCATCCCTTCCTCGTCCTGGAAGTCCTGCTCGTTCTGTTTAAAATATCCCTTAAGGATCTGTATATTATACATGATGTTCAGCTAATGACAGTCAATATCTGGGGAATTATGGAAACATAACTACCCTTTCATGAAAGATTCTAATGACAATAAAAAATGAAGTTCTCGTTGAATTGAGTATAATGCTTTCTCCACTCATTTCGGATTCATGATACGATGATAACATATATTCGCAGAAATTATTAACTCCTGTTATGAAACGACCAGTGTTTGTAAATAACTATAAGGTGGCTATACGATGTATGTTTAGTACAAAATAACTGGAATTACAAACGCATCATAAATTATGAAATATTTTTCGCTATTTACTTTCAATGGATTCTTAGCATATTCATCTTCCACAGTAGGTATCAAGACTGAAAATCCTCAGGTACATTCTAGGAATGAATATCAATTTTCCGTCTGTACTAAAAAGTATTCAACTTGAGATTATTCTAATTCAATTGACCATATCATTATTCTCAACCATAAATCCTACCATCGATTTATCCTCGACATACAATTTAAATGAAGTAACAAAAGACTGTGGTAACAAACATAACACCGAAGAATCTGCACAACTTCGCTAGTCAACCCTAACCTACATAGAACTTGAACAGTCACAACGAACACTTTCACAATTGCCAAATTTAGCAAACCAAACTTCTCCACAATGGCTGTTGGAAAAAACAAGAGACTCTCCAAAGGCAAGAAGGGAATTAAGAAGCGTGCCGTTGACCCTTTCGCTCGTAAGGACTGGTACGACATTAAGGCTCCTTCCTTCTTCGAGGTCAAGAACGTTGGAAAGACTCTTGTCAACCGCACTGCCGGTCTAAAGAACGCCAACGACGCTCTTAAGGGTCGTATCCTTGAAGTTTCCCTTGCAGACTTGCAAAAGGATGAAGAACACGCATTCCGCAAGGTCAAGCTCCGTGTTGAAGACATTCAAGGTAAGAACTGTCTTACCAGCTTCAACGGTTTGAGCATCACTTCTGACAAGTTGCGTTCTCTTGTTCGTAAGTGGCAAACCACTATTGAAGCCGACCAAACCATCAAGACTACTGACGGTTACCTTTGCCGTGTGTTCGTCATTGGTTTCACCCGTCGTCGTGCCAACCAAGTTAAGAAGGCTACCTATGCTCAATCTTCTCAAATTCGCGCCATCCGTCAAAAGATGTTCCAAGTCATCCAAAACCAAACCTCCTCTTGCTCCATGAGAGAGCTTGTCCAAAAGCTCATTCCTGAGGTCGTTGGTCGTGAGATTGAGAAGGCTACCAATGGTATCTTCCCTCTCCAAAACGTTCTTGTCCGCAAGGTCAAGATCCTTAAGGCTCCTAAGCACGATGCTCAAAAGCTTCTTGAGCTTCACGGCGGTGAAGGTCAAGATGTTGGCACTAAGGTTACCAAGGATGTCGCTCCTTTGGAGTCTGTATAAACATATCCTATCGAAATCATTGGGGCTGCAAGTTGAAATTTATAGAAGAGCTAATGAAAAGAGCGTCTATTATATAATTTGTGAGTAATGTAGAGATGTGTAAGCTAGTATAATAAGTGTAATTGAAATACAAGAAAATACATCGTAAGAAGGGTTTTGAGATTATGATTTACTTTCACGATAATTCTTCTATTTCCAATTGAATTGTATTGTATTCTCTATCCGGCAACCAAAATTTTATATATAAAAAGGATAAGTATTCTATTAAAATTCGAGAGGGGAGTTCAATGTGTAAGACTTACTCGTAAGAGTTAAGTTGTCTTGTAATATATAATAGGCTACTTCAAAAAATCAACAACATGTCCAGTGAATTCTTGGGCTTTCTCAAAGTGAACCCAATGACCACAGTCCAGGGTTTCCATTTGATAATTTGGAAACATTTTTTTGAACACAGGTAAAGCTTCATCGGGTACAAAAGTACTGTGTTTGGCTTTAATGACCAAGGTAGGTCCTGTGTATTGATCCGCACAATTTTCGTTCACGGAGAATCCTGCTAAATCAGGGAGAGAGTTGTAGATGGTCTCAAGAGGAATCTGAGATTTGAAAACATTATCGGCGTTTTTTCTAATGTTAGAAAGTAAGAATGCTCTGACTAAAGTTACATCTTCGACCTCCTTGAGAATGTTATCTGCGCTGCTTTGTCTTTTTAAGTTTGCTTCGTCAATGCGCATTAAAGCTTTAATATACACTTTAGTTTTTTCTGGAAGATGGGTATATATAGGGGAATTATCGGCGACGACTAGTTTTTCGACCATGTCGGGGTATAGCAAAGCAGTTGCCATGGCAGTTTTTCCTCCCCTAGACAAGTGTTAGTATTTCAGTCATACTTCAGTTTATAGATAGACTTACATAGAATGACCGATGATAGAAGCCTTTTCAATGCCATGCGATTTCATAAAATGATGGGTATCAAAAGCTAAAGATTGGTATGACAGAGGACCAACACCAGGCGAGTCACCATGGCATCTTTGGTCGATATTGTATACATCTCTGTCTAGTTTAGAGACAAAGTGGTTTGACAAAGATTTCCAATTTTTTCTCGATCCTAACAGTCCGTGAAGAATAAGAACTGGGGGCTTTTTCGGAGCAACTGCAGAAAACTTTTCGAACGCTAATTGCACTGGTTTAAAGGTCATGGTACTTCTATAAAAATTTTGAAACTTTGAATGTAGTTTGCTTTTGACAGGATCGTTTGATATCGAATTTATAGAGGACTGCTAAATGACAGATAAAAATTTTCCCAATATACAACTAAAAAAAAATACATGAAATATTTCTAAATATATATAATTTTTACTTAAAGTTGTTTTTCTTTTGATCTAGCGTTCAAATTACGTTGTTAGTGGCAAGAATGAATAACATCAACATAAAGTCAAGGTATGTTGATGTTGGTAAGGTAAGTTGGTAAAAGTGAAATTACAATCCATCCAAAGAATAATAAACAAAAAAGAAATTATCAAAAAAATGATTTGTCATTAATTTTATCTAGCGAAACCCGAGGTAGAACCGCAGAGTCGCTTTACTTTCATTACATAGTAACGCGTTTGGCACAGAAGCTGTATAATAAAAGAAGCAAATTATCGGGAAGCGTATAAAGATCAATATGAAATTCGCCTCCTGTAAAGGAATTAGTAAAAGAGAAGAGAATAGCCATTCGTAAAACATACCTTCAATATCGTTACGAACGTACATGTCTGGAGTTTTGTTTTCATTTACCATCTGTACAACTTGCAAAAGGTCATCTTCTTGTAATTTTTGAAGACCATCGGCCAACTTTTCCATATCCACCTAAAGTACTCGGTTAGTATGAATGTAAGATGTGAAGAAGCATCGTCTCGTCCCATACAGGTTTTGCTTTTGTTTTTTTCTTTGCAGCACCAGCATCAATTTCAGGCTTTCGCTTATCCTTTCTTATTTCTTCGGCCTCGGGTGAATAACCAGGAACAGGGCCTGTTAGGGATAAAGCTTTAAGCAACCCAGGCCGACCCGCAGTTATTGTCTAGAAAGGAGTCAGTAAAAGAAGTTCATATAATCATGTATAGAATTAAAATTACCAAATCAATGTCTTCGTGATAATGCTCTTGCTGGAAATGCAGGTAGTGAGAAAAGCGATATTCACCGCCTTTGTCCGCATAATAAATTATGATTTCCATTTCAAATTCACCCCAACCTTGTTCCCGAATCATATAAGGAGGTTTACGAACAGCTAGAGCAAACGTCAGTAACCAATTCATGATTATCATCTAAAACATGTCAAGCGATGCTATTATTTTTTAGGAAACATACTCCTTGTGGGTTTGAAATGTAGGGTGTAACTTGTAAGTTACACGGTCAATAAAACTTGCGTCGACCTCTTCTTGTTGAGCGTCTAGGCAAACAAGCTTAATAGCCCATTCTCGCATAGCATAGCTTTGATCATTGAGGACAGCAGCTTCTCCTCCAGGTAAAATATGCTACAAAGGAAGGTTAGTAAAAAGATATATTCGTAGACAATGGAGGAAACAAGTTGTTGCACGATACAATCGGTATTTTTGCAGTTTCCTTTTCCCTCTTCAAGCCATGAATGAAACCATTCATAAAAAATCAACCTACCTGATCAGTAACTAATCGTAACGTTCTCTGAACAGTGGACATGATTACAAACAAAGAGAAACAGAAACCGTTTTTGGATTATTTCTAATGCAAAGAATGCGATTAAGGAACTGCGTATGTGAAGCAGAAACGACAAAAGATTTTTTTATACGCCGATAAAAGTCTATTCAAAGAAACCAATAAGTTACTTGGCTTTTCTAAGGGAAGTGTCAATGTCCTTTCTTTTGTTAAAACGGTAAGATTAGACTTAGTTGCGGCGAAGCATACAACGTCTAGGAACAGCAAAAATGAATGGGAAAATTAATCAAAAGTAAACTAGATTGCTCACGTTCACTGTGCGTTTTGTGGATTTATAACGTCGCTGCTGCTGCTGCTAGCCAGGAATGATCCAGCTGGAGTCAGCTTTCTTGAATAGTGAACTATAAGACACTCACAAAACTTAAATTGGGCGTTCAAGGGATATGGAAATAATTGCAGTAATCAACAAAACCATTATTAGAATTTTGTTTGTATTGTCTTTTCAAAAAAAAAAATAGGAATTAAGCTAAATGAAAAAAAAAATTGTACAATATGATAAAATAAGAATAAAGCTTTCTCATAGTTTACTGCGATACTACATTTCTAATGTACCGTTTCGTAAACGGAATATAATGTCACGCAAACTGAAGCATAAACATCCAAAGCGCTTTTTCAAATATAAAATAAAAACTTTTCTTTTACGTTCATGCTATCTGATTATAAGCGCAAGTTTTTCGTTGAAGATCCAGCAGCATTTCTTTCTTTCTTTTTTGTTTATTTATGCATAATAGCGAGCTATGCTATTCAACCTACCGTTTTATAAGAGACGTTCATTAGTAAACAATATTTGTGAATCAACTATTTCCAATTCTTAAACAGTTTGCTTGATGACTGTATTCTGTTTTCCTTTTTTTTATGTTTTCTATGTAAAAGAAACTGTTTAGAACAGACCTTACCATGTGCCTTACGTATTGATACTTACATGTCACTCCACCGGCTTATATATATGAAGCAACAACTTCTACGCCGAGATCTTCCAACGCAGCTGCATCAGTTTGAATTAGAGAACAGTTTGAGGTTTGCTTCCTTTCACGAAAATGAATGTCAATCGACGCGATGAATTGACTTGTTTAGGGATTTTTCCTCTAAAGGATAGAAAGCAACTGGAAGGTACCGTAACCCCTATTTTGCAACTTCGAACCAAGTTTTTAGTACCTCCTGAGCGATTTCACGAAGCATTGCTTTTGAATAAGGATGTCATAGATGAAGAAGAATCGAAGAATTTGAGGCTCTATCTAGAGCGTCTTAGCCCACAATTAGCGCTTTTTGTGAGGAAAGAACGCCCTGAAGAAGGAATTGATTCCTTCATTTTTCAAACAGACAAATATGAATTTGAAGTTTATTACTTTAAAAGTGATTGTTCCTTAAAATTCAACGGCATTTATGACCTACATGAGAAACAAAAGCAAAAGCAGCAAGAAGACGCTGTTCATGGGCTAATTGCAAATGATCAACCAGAACAGAACAAGGTTTCTCCCACCAGGCTGGAAGAAAAGGCGTACTGGGATCGCTATGATGTGGATCAACCTTTGGAAAATGAAATAGATGGTGGTTCACACCCGCTACCTCAACAGAGACGAAATCAAAAATACGATCGCCTCGGTCTTGATACACTGATTGTAGAGCAAACTTCCAGCTTGTGGAAGGTTTGTCAACATAATGGTATGTCAATAGACGAATTCCTGCATTTTATCCGCTTCGGTCTCGAGCCATTTCCAAGGAACTCCAATCACGCCTTGTCATTTTTTGGACGTTAAGTCAAGTTTTGTGCGAGACTGAAATATATCAACGCAAAGCTTTCTCGGTTTACTTCCTTCATAGTCTTGGGTGTTAAGTGAAATTGCCGAAACTCTTATAAGCCACTTTTTATGATTCTTAATTGTTCTTGTTTCATTCTCATATCTTTATTGACTTTGCTAGTAAATGCTTTTGTTTCGTGTCGGTCCGTGTCTCCAACAAGAAAAGCTAAGTCTTCATCAACGACTCTTAATGACTTTACAAGTATTGGTTCATGACATGAAATACTTATCCCGCTAAACAACCAGTACAAATTTGAAGATCCTTTATGAATTAATACACTTAAGAATACGTTAACAGTAAGTCCATTGCAATTTAGATTTTCTTACACTCCATACTCAATATAGCCTGCATCTAAATATCGTATTATGAAATTACAAGACAATAGCTTCATTGGTTACCAGAGTGTAGCGTAAGGCGCTAAAGCAATTTGTGCAATGCACCAACTCACCCATAATTGATCTTCTCTCGCGTCCACGAAAAGTTTGAACAGTTCTCTCTTACCTCTTTTTTAGTATGTCCTTAAAGAAAAGAGCTAGAGCGAATTCTGTGGTTCAAGAAAATGATGAAAATGCGTCACGCATGAATGGATCATACGAACCTGCAGCAGAAGCAACTCCATCTTCACATCTTGCTGAAAGTGGAAAGTGGAAGGAATCAATTGCTCGTGTAGTCAGGTGCGTTGTTTCTATCCGATTTAGTCAGGTTGCTTCTTTTGACACAGATGAATCTGGCACTGGAGAAGCCAGTGCGTTCATTGTGGATGCTAAAAATGGTTATATGTTGACCAACCGACACGTAGTGTGTGCTGGCCCCTTTGTTGGACATGCAATTTTGGATAATCACGAAGAAGTTGAGGTATATCCCGTTTATCGTGACCCAGTCCATGATTTTGGATTTCTGCGGTTTGACCCCAAACGAATTCGTTACATGAACGTTGAACAATTGGAATTACGTCCCGACTTGGCCAAAGTAGGAGCAGAAATCCGCGTAATTGGTAATGATGCTGCTGAAAAGCTGAGTATTCTTGCTGGTTGGATTTCCAGAGTTGATCGTAATGTTCCCGACTATGGTGAGTTAACGTACTGTGACTTTAACACAAACTATATTCAAGCTGCTGCCAATGCCAGCGGTGGCTCAAGTGGAAGTCCAGTCGTGGAAAGGAACGGGAATGTGGTTGCTTTACAAGCAGGCGGCCATATGATCGCAGCAACGGATTACTTTTTACCATTGGATCGGCCATTACGTGCTTTACGATGCCTTCAGAATAAGAAACCTATTACTAGGGGTAGTATTCAAGCCCAATTTTTGATTAAGCCTTTTGACGAATGCTCTCGATTAGGATTGGATACGGCTATTGAAGAACAAGTGAGAGGTCTTTTCCCCGGTGCGACAAGCATGTTGGTCGTGGAAACGGTGCTTCCAGAAGGACCTTCTCACAACAAATTACACGAGGGTGATATCCTTCTTCATCTGAATTCAAAATACTTAATCGATCTCATAGAGCTAGAAAGCATCTTAGATGAATCCATTGGTCAAGACATCGTACTTACCGTTCAACGTGGAAACAACAAAGTCGACGTCACCTGTCGAGTCCAGAGTACTCATGATATTGCTCCAGATAGATACGTAGAAGTTTGTGGTGCAAAGTTTCATAACCTTTCCTATCAACTTGCTCGTCAATATGCCTTACCAGTAAAAGGCGTTTTCATTAGTGAGCCAGCTGGTTCTTTCCGTCTGGAAGGTCCAGAGTACTGTTATTTGCTTGAAAGTGTAGCGTATAAACCCGTCCCCAACTTAGATGCCTTCATTGAAGTTATGAAGACCATTCCTGATCGATCACGTGTTGCCGTTGGATATCGTTTTATTCACGACAAACACTCTTTAATCACGGATGTCATTGAAGTTGACCGTCATTGGGCTAAAGCTTTTCGTTTAGCTACCAGAAATGACGAAACTGGTTTCTGGGATTTTCAAAATCTTGGTGATCCTTTGCCTGCAAAACCCAACGTTCCGTGTACCACATCTATCCCCAAACTAAATGTGGAGAATTTTGGCCCGACCGCCGATATAAATAATTGCTTTGTCAAGATTACTTATTATATGCCCATTCATTTGGACGGTTATCGAAAAAGTAGAAAACAAGGAACAGCCTTGGTGTTGGATAAAGATAATGGTATTGCTGTGACAAGTCGATGCACTGTTCCTTATGCTTTGGGGGATTTGACGATTACAGTTGCTGATTCTATACAGATTCCAGCTGAGGTTTTACATCTCCACCCAACCCAAAATTTAACTTTTATTAAATACGATCCGAAATTGTTGGGAGAAACACCTATTAAGGCTGCCGAGTTACGCAACTACTATGTCTCTCAAGGTGATAACGTAAATTTCTTTGGATTTAATTCCAAATCTAGAGTTGTTGCTACGAGAACTTCTGTCACTGACGTTATCACTATGGTTATTCCTCCAAATCCGATGCCGCGATTCAGAGCTGTTAACTTTGAGTCAATAACTATTGAATCTGGTCTGGGATCACAGTGTGGATCCGGTGTCTTAACAGATGACGAAGGAAAAGTTGTTGCTCTTTGGCTTACTCATTATGGTGAGCAGACAAGTCGCGGTACCGATGTAAAATATCATCTTGGTTTGGCGTCTCCGGTGGTTTTAACAACCCTAAAACGACTACAGAATAAGGTTAACCCACATATCAGAATATTAAATGTAGAGTTCCGTGCTATTCAATTAGCTCATGCAAGAAGTATGGGATTGTCTGCCGAACGCATTCAGCAAATCGAAACTGCAAACGAAAAGCGCCATCAACTCTTTATGATTACTCATGTTGAAGCAAACACTCCTCGTGTTTTGACTGATGGAGACGTTATATTAAGCGCTAATGGGAAGCCTGTAACACGTGTTCAGGATATTGAAGCCGAAGATGTTGAAGAAATTGAAATGGATATTCTTCGTGAAGGAAAAGAAATGAGTATTAAGGTACCGACGTTCTCTACGGAAAACTGTGAAACAAATAGGGTAATAATATGTTGGGGTGCTACTATTCAAGCTCCGCACAGAGCTGTTCGTCTCCAAAGCGAAGGTTTACCATCAAACGTATTTGTCACAAATCGCAGTAGAGGCTCGCCTGCTGATCAATATGATTTGGGTATTGCTCAATTCATCACTGCCATTAATGGTATTCCTACTCTGGATCTTGAGAGTTTCGTTCGTGAAGTTCGCAAAGTTCAGGACAATTCATATGTGAGAGTGAGCACAGTAACATTTGATAAAGTACCCGTTATTTTGACTATTAAAATGAATGAACACTATTTCCCCACGCTTGATTTGGTGCGTGACTCTAATAGTGAGGTTGGTTGGCGTGCAGTTCAATATGACGAGGGAGGTGAAGAAGATAATCCTTCAATGGGCTTGGTCATTGAAGAAGACGTGGATACCAATTCTGCTGCTGCAGATTAAAAAAAGTTGTGTTTTGTAAAGTTCATGCGCGAGACTCAACTACACTACCAATACGAATTTAAGTTTTTGTCATTTACCTAAACTTCTACTCAAAAAATTTTGAATAAGAGATTATTTATTTGGGCTCATGAAATATGAAAATAACATTTTAAAGTAAAGCAGAAGCTTTGTTTTCAATCAGTAGATCAACAACTGTTCCCATATTCTTGATGACCTCCAAAGCAGCCTCATAAGTTTTATCTTGTTGTGGTTCATCAAAGACAATTAAGATACCGCTACCTTGATCAAGAATTCCATAAAACACTTTGTCTAAGATCATTTGACTAAGCTTTCCTTCAACCTGTACGGTAGAGAGACCAATTACATTGGCAATGTGTGAAACTTCGATACGACTGTATGGTTCCACGACGCGAAGCAAGTTTTGTTCTAGGAGGTTATCATATAAAGTACTTAGGTGGGAACGGATGATAGGATCAGAGGCCAATTCTTGCTTGAAATCTTGCAAGGCCTTTTCAAAGTCAGCAAGAGAACGATTTTCGTGAGCTTGAGCAACAGCACGCATGGCCTCTATGTCTCTTCCGGAATATTTTGCAGAGTGCTTCCCTGTTAACAAAGATTTTACTTCAGAAATAGAGTTTAACATGATTTGAGAAAGTAGCATATATTTGAAAGAAGAAAGAGCCTTTTTCACGTCATCCAATGTATTATATCCTTCATAAGCTTCATAAAAGTAGGAGTAAGCGGTTTTGAAGTCTGCCTCTTCAGCATGTAAAATACCACTTTGCATATCTAGGCTGGCTTGAAGTGCAGCAGGACAGTATATGGCATTAGCGGCTGTACGGGCAGCAGTAAGGGAAGCACGGGCTTTGGGGATATTTCTAATGGCATGATAAACTTTAGATTCTAATAGATGAACTTCTGTGAGAAGCATTTTATCATCCATCTTTTTGAGTTCAAAAAGAATAGTATTCGTTAAATTGATGGCATCGGTATAAGAGCTGTTTTCGTAATATAAGGAAATAAGCTTTGTGTCTAAGGCTTGACGAAGGAAAGTTCGCTTTTCCTCAACAGCCCATTCTCTACAGCTTTTGGTGACTTCAATCTGCAAATGTAATGAACTTTTGGCACCGGAAAACTTGTCTATCAATGTACGAACTACGACCTTTGTTAATGACCCTGAGCAATTATTTCAAGTAACTTACTAATTTTTGCGGATTTAGCTTTCGAAAAATTCGACATCAGCGGTCTAACTTCTTGAACAAATTTGGCTAAATCTTCATGACGACTAAATCGTTAATAACATTTTTCATAATCCGAATTATTTATAATCTTACTTTTCAGCAACATAGAGATCGCTCAAGCCGACCATCGCTTGTTCTTGCTCGTTAATTAGAGAGTCATCTTTCTTTACATTTTTTTGAAGAATTTCTCTATAAATAGCCTCTGCTTTTGCAAAGTTCTTGCTTTTTAGCTCAGCTCCTGCTAGTTCAATGCTCGCGTTTGAAGGCATGTTGTTGGTAGCTGCTTGCTAATGCCTCTGCTGCTTATTTCATGAAGGAAACCTACAAGTGACAATGTTACTCAAGTGATTTGACATTAAACAGGAAAAGGCGATATAGTAAAAGAGATTTCTTGTATTATTGTTTTTATTTCTTAAGGAATTGCTGAAATAAATAAAAAACTTCTTCAATGAGGAATAACCACAGGACTTTGCAGGGTGCCAACAATGATCGTAAAATAATATCCTAAACGAACAAAATGGGTATTAAACTAAAGTAGAAAATCTCAATTATTTAAATAAATTGATTTTTGCTGCTAATTCTCATATGTTAAAAGGCAGACATGGATTCATTTACTCAACACCATAAGTTCTTCATAGCCATATTCATTCGTCCAACGATATAGTTTCTCAAGTATCAAAAAATTCGACCCAACCAGCGAATATAGTCATTGTTTTCATTTTAATTTAGAATTCATGTCGGGAAATCCTAATCTCAGCGAAAAAAGTAATGAGCGAGATACTAAAGAAGCAAGTGAGGTAAAAAAAGAGATTCGACTATTAGAACGTGAAATTCCTGAGAAACTTTTGGAAACTATACTGGAAGCAAATCAATATGTTGAATTACAAGAGCTTGAGAGACGTTTAGACTCATTAATTGTGCGAAAACGCTTTGACTTACAGGATTCCCTTAGTCGTCAGTCAAAGAAGACAAGAGCAATACGGATTTTCATCAGGAAAACTCTAGAAAACCAAGCTTTTCAAAGTCATGAAGAGAAAAATGATATCCAAATTAGTGATTTAGCTTCACTTTCTGTTCCTTCTTGGACAATTCATATGGAAGGAAGATTAATTCCTGTAAGTTAAAATATTGCTTGCGATTTGATTTGATTTTGGCTAACATAATATAATCAGGGAAAGGAAGAAGAAATGAAGCAATTGGATGAAATACCTTTCACCACATTTTTCAAGAAAATAGCTTTTCAGATACAACGCTCAGAGGAATTGTATCCAGAAAGTAACTACGTAGAATGGAATAAGCTTTCGAATGGTACTAACTTGGCAAATGAACTTAAATTAAAGCGAAATGGAGATCAAAATGTAAAAATAAACATACTTTTATATCCCGACGAGCACCCTGAGCGCTACAAATTATCAAGTGCATTTGCTAATCTCTTGGCAATCAAAGAAGGAACGCGTCCAACCATCGTCACGGCTTTATGGCAGTACATCAAGGTAAATTTTTCAGTTTAGTTGAATAATTTCATGTTCGTTTTTTTTCTATATACGCTAACATCAATATAGTTTCATCGACTTCAGGATATGGAAGAAAAGCGTTTAATCAATTGCGATAAAGGATTAAGAAATGTAAGTTCTTCTAAATTATTATAAACTCTGGTGTAACCTTGACACAATGAGAGTTTGTGCAAACACTTTCCACACGTAGTTGTTGTGAAGTCTTTAAAAAATGGGTTGTTAACATTTTCTAGCTTTTTGAAACGGACCGACTTTATTTTCCTAGGATACCAGAACTAATGAACAGGTTTTTGGAACCGGTCGATCCTATAGTTTTGTCGTTTGAATTAAAGTAAGTTTTTCGTACCAGATGATCCGTGACTAACACATTATAGTGTGAATGAAGAATCAGACAATCCTTTTGAAATATTTGATGTTTTTGTTAATGCAGACGATCCCAAACAAACCCAAACCCGGTCATTCTTAGCTAATGTGATGAACCAAAACGAAATCAAAGTTCTCGATGAAAAAATTTCAAGCTTTATTGAAGCTATTCATTATTCCAAATCAAAATATGATTTTATGCGGCAATTCTCAGAGGACCCTGTAATGTTTATTCATCGATGGACTGAATCTCAAAGTAAGGATTTGGAAGTTATTTTGGATGGCTCCGAAACAAATTTTGCCGAAAAGAAAGACTCAAAATACTATCAACAACCTTGGATTGAGGAAAGCGCTATTCATTATTTAAATAGACTAAATAGCAAAAAACAGCAAGAAATTCTTAATGCATCTACTAGGAAATAAAATATTATGGATTTTAATCAGCAATGATATATTAGGATGAAAATAAAAAATAACATAGTATTATAAACATACGAATGTATATTACACATACATGAAAACGAGCATGTAACAATTAGAGGAATCATCTACCTAACAAAAAGCCATTGCAAACACAGAACCTCATACTTCATAAGATTAATCTAAAATTGATCATGAGAACACTCTTGTAAGAAAAGAGAAATAAAAAGTTGATAAGACAAATCAAGCTTTTAATCCTTTAGACGAATGTATGCTCGCATCATCGCCCGAGCTCCTCTTCCAAATATGCGACCAGCCCCCTCACGATCCATTTCCAAAATCGCAAGAGCATCCCGGATGCTTATAACGCCTTTCTCTTCGTTCTGAACAGGCAATGTTCCATCACGCGCCATCATTTTATGAGTGTTATTTTCCTTTTTGCGAATACCAAAACCACCTCCGATAGCAGGGGCAGCCGGAGTTATGTCTGTGGCCATCCAAGAGTATTTCTTCCCACCAGAAGGTAAGGCGCTTCCAGCCATAATACTTGCGGTGGCATTCGTCATTCTGTTTTGAGCATCTTCGGATATGTTCTTTGCAGCAGCAGAAGAGCTTTGTTCTTTTCTACGTCGACTGGAAGATCCTTCTTCACTATTTGCATTCGTATTTAGCTCGGCAAGTCTAGCTTCATGTTCAGCTCGACGAACATTCAAAACAGCTCGTCTTCGTTCTTCACTTTCGTACTCCTTGTAAGCAGAATTCGCTAGTACTTGGCGAACATTATCAAGCTGAGAATAATTTTTCGTATCAAGTCGAGCGGTACGATGATTGCTTTCAACAATCATTCTCTGTAACAAATTTGCCATGTAATCACGTACTGCCATAGAGATGAGCGCATGAATATCCGTATCCATGCTCTTCAAACGATGCAAATTTACAATACTGCTGACTGTTTGCATCAAAGTGTATGAGTTTAAGAAGTCGCATTTCTTCGATCGATCTTCAGTTGAAAGTGCAAAGGTATTTAGAGATGCTGGATCATAATACGAAGTGGAAAGATTTAACTCTTCTTCTTTTAATTGAATACCACATGATATCAGAGCATCCTGCAATTGGTCTGCTTCTTGACGATCGCCGGTGGCTGCTGCGTTGCCGGAAGCACCTGAGGATGAAGGGACATTTCCTGGCCGAGAAGGCCCGTAATTTAATTTACCAGCTCCGGATCCAGATCCTTGATTGCCTCCAAAAGAAGGCTTTCTGCCGCTCACGTATGCTGGGTACTCTGGATAATCGTCATTTCTCGTACGCTTCACTTGCGGTGCCTCTTCATCGTCTCCATATCGTTTCATATTATCATTACTAAAATCCATTCAATAAATAATTGTAATTAAATGGTCGAATGTCAAAGCTTTCGCCTTTTCCATCCAAATTCTGATTCCCGATGCTTGCTGTGTTCAGCTTCACTTTTATTCAAATTTATTAAAAATTCTGCCTTACCCTTACTGCACTGAGTTCCTTATTAATAAAATAGCAAATTAGCTTAAATCTCACTAAAGTCCATTTGAACATGTAGGTGAACAGTAACCTGTGTCGATCTGACTACTGCAAACGCTCATTGTTGGCCGACTTTGAGTAGTTTCAGTGAATCCTCGAGGAAACTGGAGTCTCCCGTATCTGTTTTTGAAATTTGGTTTTTTGCAGGGTTAAGTTGCATTCAAAAGTGTCAGTGCGAGCTACACTGTTAACTTTTCATCCCTTCAATTCGCAAACTGTGTATTATACTTAGATTTGAAAAAGTGCTTTGAATGGCTGACTTTTCTAATTAAATTAAAAGACGATTTCCTTTAAAGTCGCTGATTTTGCTGTCAGGTTGGATTCCTTCACCATACCTTGTACCTTTGCTCGACTTCTAAAATTGAATTCTCAGGAATATCATACTTGATAGAGCTTGGGAGATTTTTGTTCATTCTTTTGGTTACTTGCTGGCTTGCTGGTGCATAGTTACTATCATACCTTCTTACTTTTAAAAACCGTTGTTTTCCGAAAATTCAACCGGATCTTGCGAACATCCATTGCCTTAGTGGTACTTTCTTTACTATCTCTTTTGTTAATTTGTCTTTAGTTTTTCATCATTCCAGAAGCCTGTTGACTTGTCATAAGTTTTACAGAAGATATCCGGACATTACACGTACCTATCTAAAGTGTGCATAAAAAGCATTAGAATTGCACCTACCTTTGAGTTAATCTAACTTTCTTATTATAACTTCTTTGTTAATTGCAATGAATACACAAGAGGCTTTATCAATTCAAATACAAGAAGAAGCTTCTCAGCTGTCTACTAGAGAGGAGCTGGTTTCTCAAGTGAAATCATGTTTGCATTTAAAAAAAGGCGTGAAACTTTCTTATATTAAGAATAATGCCCGAACTCTTCGTGACCCAAGCAAACACCTATGTCTACTTTGTGCCGTGAATTCAGGGACGAATGAGGATTATGAATTAAATCTTTGTACTAATTGTGGCTATCTATTTTGTGCTCATAATGATAATCACTCGATAACTCATTACAGAAAGAACAACAAGCACTCTGTTTTTGTTAACATCGTAACGTTGAAATGTTTCTGTTTTGCATGCAACATGGAAGTTCTTCCATTTGAGAAAAAAAACATGGTAATTCGAGACGTTTCTCAGTTTATCCGTGCCAACCTGGTATCTCCATTTTCTTCTGAGCAACAAGATAGTTCATTTAATTATAATTCTAAATCCCAGGAAAAGTTATCTACTTTTTCAAAACACTTTTCTAAATCTCCTCCTTCTCCTAAACTGCATATTATTCATCCAGGTTTGAAAAATATGGGTGCAACGTGCTACTTTAATTCTGTTCTGCAAGTCTTGTCTTCATCTGAACATCTTCACGACTGTATTAGCCGACGTCCATTCCGTTCGGATAGAAATCCGAAGTTGCATTTCGAAAATCATCTAGATTCTTCGTTGCTTTCTGCCTTTGTAAGGTTTATGAAGTCCTTCTACAGAGCAGACGGATCCGTAACCGTTTTCCGCCCAGGAATTTTATTTAGCGAATTTCGTTATCGTCATCCTCAGTTTAGTGAGGGAATTCAACAAGATGCGCATGAACTTTTGAGGTATCTACTTAATGATTTAATAAACGAGGAAAAAGAAGTAGCTAGGGTCGGTAGCACTATCGCGTCACCTTCGCCCCAATCACATTCTAATGCTGCTTCTGAAAATGGGCACCAATCAAACAATAACCATAAGCCTGCCAGTCCTTTGACTACTCCTATAAATAATCATTCCGTCTCGGTGGGTGCTGATATTGTCTCGTCATATATACATTCTCCTAATATTTCTCCTATTCCCTGTGCGAGCAAGGAAGATCACTCGATACAGAATGTTGACTCTAGTCAATTAAACATTGTTAACATTAGTGAAACAAAAGCAAATGAAAACTTCGTCATAACAGGGTCCAATAATCCTTTTAAAAAGGATAATAGACGAGATATTTACAGTCATTTACAGAAAGGCTTATCCCAAGATGGGGTTGACGAGGCAAATAATCACTTTCCAAATTTCGACGAGTTTACAGCATCTAGCACAAATGATTCTGATAATTCGATGAATATGGATGAAGAACATGCTCAGACAGTGATAGATTCTTTATTTACTGGTCGCCTTGTAAGTCTTATTCTATGTAAAAACTGCAAGGAAGTTAGCAAAAGCTATGAGCCTACACAAGATTTTTCTTTGTCTATCCATGCTCACTCAAAAAACTTGAGCAAGCGTCATCGTTTTCACCGCGCACTGCGGTCTCGCTTTGGAAGGTCGCCAAAGAAACCAATTGATGTACCAGACGTAAAAATCATTATTGATGATGTTAATTCTGTAAATGAAAAGAATCCTGACGAGTCTAACGAAAACAAACCGGAAACGCCAACTGAACGTGATGCTGCTGAAGATGAAAAATCAGCTGGTAATTCATATTTCCAAAGTTTTCGGAGGTTGAGTAATCGATCTATTCATTCTCGCCGGTCGCAAAAACAGTCTAGTAATTTATCATCTCTCATTTTCCCCGAGTCTTTAATTGCTGATAGTGCTCATATAAATGAGCCAAATACTATTGTTGACTGTTTACGCAACTTCACTCGCATAGAAGAGTTAAGTGGTGATAACATGTTTGCTTGTGAATCTTGTGGACGTAGTTGCGACTGTAAGTCAGCCTCTAACCATGGAAGTGTATCACAAGAAAACACCGAAGATGAAAGTACTTGTGATTGTTCTTTGAATTTCACCTATCGTGAAGCTTATAAGCGACTGTTGATTGATTCACCGTTACCGCCTGTGTTTGTGATTCATCTGAAAAGGTTTCATCACAATTTTTCAGCTGATGGAAGTTGCGACCCCAAAAAAATTAATGGGTTTGTACAGTTTGAACAAGAACTAGATGTCAATGAGTTTGTCATGCCCACAATACGGTCGTCCGAAGGAAATAAGTATAGGTTGTTTGGTGTTGTGGCACATTCAGGTACATTAAATTACGGTCATTACGTCGCATATGTGTTGTCTCACAAACATGTTCCAGTGGATAGATCTACATCTCCAACGTCTGAAACATCGGAATCAGAAACAGAGCCAGGAAGCAAAGAACGTCAATGGTTATACATAAGTGACAATATGGTCTTGAAAACTTCGTGGGAAGAGGTTTCTAAGGTGGAAGCTTATATGCTTTTCTACGAAAAAATAAAATGAAAAGCTATAGTCAGGAATACTTCGTCATTAGATGTACATTCTTTTATAAAATATTTATTTATTAATTCTTTAGGAGGATCTGTTTATTACAATATTCGTTTTGAAACCGACTGTTACCGTTCAAATGGTTTACAAGGGGATTATCTTCAAGCACTCTTAAGTTTAGTTTACTTATTTAGTTTTCTTTCACATAATACACGATGGATTTATTGTTCATCCTCATTCGCTAGTCTTTCCTTCGTTTATGAAATTGTTTTCATTTATAATCTGTACGATTAAAATTGCTATTTATGATGCGTACTTTTCAGCATGGTCTCATAAAAACAAGGTCTCATGAGATTTATCAAGCTATTCCTCTGTTTCGTGAACTTTTGGTAATCTGCAAGCATCCTAATACTAAGCTTTTAATAATACTTGTAAATATAAAAGCTAAAATATAAAGATAGAAATAAATAAAAAATAAAGAAATTGTAAACCATCGTGGGATCTTTCATATTTAAAGTAAACCAACGAACCCTGCGTTTTGGCAAATTCCTTAAATTCCAATTCTTCTTGTTACAAGTCTTCATAGTCCGCTTTCATGGTACTTTTGCTCTTATAATAAGCTGTTTATACAAACTCTAGACGTTTTACTGTGGATAAATATCAACTTTTTAGGCGACTATTGAATATAACGGAAAATATGAATACGGCTAGCGGTAATGTCAGTACTACCTTACAGGATCATGAAAGATTAAACAAATTACTTGAAATAAATAGTCATTTATTATGGAGATGTGCCGAATTACATCAAATAAAAAAGATGTACGCTAGTGATTCAGACGTACAGAGTAGAATGGCTATTATGCTTACAAGGTAAGACGAAGATGCTAGATATTTGCTTGAAAGATCTGGAGGAAGTTTGAAAGAAATAGAAATCTGACTAAATAATAGATACATGCGGCGCATTAAAGATAATCTTGCATTCTTGGCATCTTTGGCCTCTGGGCGGCAAACTCAAGCAGTACCTCCCTTAACATGTCCTGAAGGCATGCCTTACTTAGAACCTCATTATGAAGACCTTCGACAGATGTTCCAGAAGTTGCAACCCAAAACACCTGCATATGCAATGCAAAATACTGACTTGAATCCTCAAAACACATTTTATAGTCATTCAAATTCAACCAGTTCGGATAATTCTTTTATGAATAAATCTTTTGATAATGGGATGAATCCTAATGGACAACATGCATCGCCGGCAGTCGTGAATACCTTACGGTCGCAACAAGATTTAATGAACCCTTATAATTCATACCCACAAAACCATTATGCTATAATGAATCCTATGATGTCGCGAAACTCTACAGACATGCACCCTCCTGTGTCAGGTATAAAGACTACTCCTGATAACGTTCAACTTAACAATGCTCCGCAAAACATGTACAGTCAAGATATATATCCTAATGTTCAACAAAGAATACCTGACTCTGGTCAACGACATGTTCCAGTGTTCAATCAGTTCCAACAGAACATTTACCCAAAATAAAAGTCATGTATCAGAACGTAGTGTCTTCTTGTCTTCTTACTGTCTTGTTGGGTTAGGTTTCGCCTGCATATATTTCTGGTATTGCCAATCTTGACTTTTCCATCATGCGAAATGTTCCAGTGTTTGCTATTTATAAATTCAAGTGAGAAGTGATTTGGATTTATATTCGAGATATATAGTCAAAAAAGATAGGGAGTGAGAAACTGTCCATGCAAAAAATAATGAGTAGAATAAAAAGCCTACGGCATTTCGGGCCTTATTTTATGTTCGATGATACTGAATACTGACTTTGGGCTAATTTACTCTTATTGCAATGATCAAATGTCAAGACATTGTCATAAGAAAATATGTAATAAAAAGGATACTGTTGGTAAGGGACATGGAATGCGAATTTACTAACAAATTTCAAAGTTTGTTAAGTCCCTCGAAAATTTAATAATAACAAGCAATAAGAGACCCTAGCTATTTGACAAAATACAGTAACTCTTGGCGGACACTATTTCTTCTCTGTTATTTTGGTGTACTAATTTGCATATTTTGAAAGGGGCTCAAATTACTATCTGGAAACTCCATTAAAAGTCTAATGGCGTAACAAACTAACTTAAATCTACAAATCTCCTTAATAAATGCCTGTGGTTCTTTCTTCTCGTGCGTTCCGCCATATCCCTGCAAGTATGTTTTCAGTTGATTTGGATTCAAACAATTAATGTCATTCTATAGGTCAAGCATCAGCAGGAAAGTTCTGTCCGTCGATAAGTGGGACTCGTTTTGCATCCTCAAAAAGCATTGTTTACAATGTTTTAAGATGTCTATACTGAGGCTCTTTTCTTGTTTATCTTGGAATTAACCGTTTCTTTTTTTTTCAATATTAAAATAGTGTCGATATAAATAATTTCAACGTGCTGAACTTTTCCATCCAAATTTCTATTTTTTTCCCACGTTCTCTACGTCTTTTACTATGCTACGAAATCCCCACTGAACTTTCGAATTCTTGAAATCTTCCAGTTTCTCAGGAAATTGAGATTTACCATCTCGTAGAAATGCCTCTTTCTCGAGTTAAGACGCCAGTTTTTTGTAAAGGTTGATTAGAGCTGCGAAAGAATCATCAAATGATGGACCAAGTCCAAACGGGCTTTCTGACAAATTATGGTTCCTTTGTCGAACAGCTCATCGCGGTGATAAGATGAAGCATTGGTAGACTATAGCAACTTCTTGGTATATGAGAACATTGACAAAAATTACATAGGCTAACGGTTTTTTGCTATAAATTACTGTTAGCTAGTCTCCTCGTAAATAACGATTGAAGTTTACGATACATTGTACTGACTAATCCACTGTCGAAGGTGTATACTAGTACAACGTAATACAGCTTTAGCACAAGTTTGATAAAAGAACGGTTAGACATTACAGTGTCTTGACGACGTTCTTAGAATGCACGATATATACTAGAAAGCCATGAAGTTTAAAAACTTGCCGAAACATAAATATAGCGAGTGCTTTCCATTCCTGCACTTGGCTGCTGCTCCTGCTTGGTATGTTGTCCTGTATAGATGAAATTTTTCCACAAACTCTTCATCAAAGACATAATACATGTAAGCATATTTACTATGGAATCGAATCCTCTTTAAGAAACACAAATTGGAATGGTTATCATGGCTAGGAATATAAAAACAAGAATGTTTGCAGCCCAATAACTACCTAAATTGTGATCCATTGAACGCGCGCTAAACTCATGTCTCCATTAGTTGCAATAACTTGCAACCGTCGCAGCGGCGAAAGTACTTGGCACCAGTGTCCAATAAGTAATAATAAATCAACAGGAATAAACCTGGAAATTTTTTATAATTACTAATAAATAGTGAAAACTCCACCAAGCGAAGAACTGGTGTTTAATGATGCAACCGAGGTTGACGTACACATCTTTTCGACAATATCTGAACTTCTTATTGAATAACACTCGGACAAAATTGCTGAAATCGACGTGATAATGCGAGATTGATATAATTCTGTAGCAAAAAAACCAATTTCTTGGACTCGATGGATCATCAGGACCAGCCCAAGAAACAAGGTACTTAATATTTTCTATTGGTAAATATAGAATAAACAATAGATAATTGATTATTGGTAATAATCCCTCGAGTCGCTAAAATTTCGCCATCTAGCAATAGAAAGCAATTTATTCCCATAGCCTCATCATCATATACAAACCCGCTTCTTACTTTGTTCGCTAAGTCCGTCTCTTAAAACTCTTGGATTTCGTTTCTTTGGAACTTGTATACTATGTAGCAGTTCAGGTAGTGTTGTCAAAAGTCATTATTATGCTTTATTAAAAGGGGAGACTCCATCAAAAATTACTTATTTAAAGTGTTTCAGAACCGTTTCTTTGTTTTTGTCTTTTCTTTATTTTTTTCTGAATTTTCTAGGTATTTGGTAAACGAAACAGTAAAAAAAAAAAAAAAAGGCCCGCTGTATTATTTATGGGAGAGCCCGACCCGTACAGTTTATCATATATCGTGGAATATATAAATATATATAGTTTGATTTTCCTCTTTAAATACATATACAAGTTTGTATAGAGAGATTGGTTCAGTTCTTATGCAGCTCTGAAATCAATATGGGGATCCTAGTGATCTTGACTTCAAGTTTGTTTGGAAAGAAAATGTAACCAAGGGATGTAATAGAAGAGAATCGCAAACGTAAATACAAAAAGAATAAAATAAGTAAAAAGCCTACAGCATCCCGGATTCCCATGTTGTCTCCAACCATAGTACTAACGAGACCCTCAGACGCTTAACTGCAGTGATCGGACGGGAACTGGTGTTTTCGCCTAGGTGTGGCCGTAGACATTTACAATGTGTAAATAAAGGTATTTCTCCTGGATATCCTACTTCAAAATGCAATTTGTTCAGTTCCATCTGCGTCTGTTTACATGGCTGCATGGAAGTTGTAGTCTGATAATTCGTGTTTCAATTCATTTACTTGACTCCTAAGTAGACGACAATTTGATTCATTAGGTTACAAAAATCGGATCGTTCAGTTGAAAGATTTGTGCTTGCTATGCTGTAAATGAAATTTAACATTGACGGTAAGGCAATCACTCGTTCCCTACAAATCATGAAAGACATGTGATTACACCGCACAGTTTTGAGTTAGAATCGGTTGATTATTTTGCAAAATTATTGTCATAACAATTAAACAATCATTAAAAAGGTTGCTTTAACAAGGATGTTCATCAGAAAGAAAATGAACGATTCATAAATAACACTATTGCGAGACGAATTCTTAAATACATAAAAGAATGAACGTGAAAAGCAATCAAACCTGCCGAATGAAGCTGTGCTTACTTTTGTGGACAAGAATGCAGAAACTCGAGGGATTGCAATTGATATGAATGCTTCCAAGGAAAATGTGATTTATAGGAGGGATGGAAAAGATTCGTTAAAACTCAAACTTCAGCGCTTTGCCCAGCAAAAGGTTGAAGCTCAATTTCTTCGTTTTGAGATGCTTCGTCTCCTTGATTTGTCCCTTTTAACTTGGTTAATAATTGCTCTATGATAGGAAGCATTTACGTAATGTACATACCAAAAGCAAGATTCGCAGCATTTCTTATGCCATTTCCTGTGCCATTTACACCGTTTCCTATGCCATTTACGCCGTTTCCTATTCCGTTTCCTATATTAATGACTAATAATCTAAATCGTTCACGGGCAATTGGATTCACTAGAACAGTTAGAATATTTCGCAAGTTATAAGACATACTCCAAAATAAAACAAACAAGGCAACGTTAACAATGCAAACAAAATAGAAAAACCCTTTGTCCATCTTTTCAAATCCTATTACCTGCTTTACAAAATAATACACGGAATAGCAAGGGGCATTCAGAGAAGCCGTACATATTACTGCGACACACATGTTGGCACACATGTTGGATAGCACTGTACCAGTTTGCTTGAGCCATTCTTTAGGAATTAGAGACATTGCTAATAGTTAGTAAAAATAAAAGATAACGCCAACTTACAATAAAGAAATAATGATATCGCTCCAATAAATCCGCCAAAAAGTCCCCAAAAGTCTTGCGCCCTCACAGGAACCTTGAAATAAAAGAACATTACGAGAAGAATACAATAAGCCCCAATGTACCCAAGAGACGCAAAAAAAAGAGATATATGATAATAATCCACTTCGAATATGTCGAATCCGATCCAGCGTTGTTAGTGGACTCTTGGGCAGAATGCTGAGCAGATCCATCAGCCATTTCTAAATCAATAAATTTGTTCGGAGCTAATGAATGTATTAGTGATGAATGCTCTTGTTGTTTGAGAAAGGATAGAGCGTTTGTCAAGTCTGCTGATGGTAATCAACAAGTTTATTAATCTTAAACACAACAAGTAAACAAACAAACATGATTCTTCATCAAAACTGTTTTTAGCCTAGACATTTTCAACAAACATACAAAAAAACCAACCCTTCCTTTCTATTTCAGTAAATCTTACCTGAATACGGAGGAGGCGTAACCTCTGAAGAATGTATATCTGATTTCTCATCAATGAGCGTTTTAAAAGACTCGTCAGAGTCTGAAACAGGGCTGTATTTATTCTTCATTTTTGCAATGGCAAACCAAAAACCAAAAGAGCACCAATATCTATAGCTAGTTCGAAATTAACTAGAATTACCAAGAAAAGTCTGTAGAAATCGGTTCCACCTTTCAGAGATTAAAAAAAAAAAGGAATTGTTCCTTATTTCTAAAGAAAATCAATACCTTGAGTAAAATCTGTCTAAAACCAAAGATAGGAATAAAAAAAAATCATGGTAGTGGCCTTTCGCATGTTTCAATTTCATAAAGCAGCGACATTATGTCACCGACTGGGTCGGACACGGGAACAGGCCGAGCAGATCCATCAGCCATTTCTAAATCAATAAATTTGTTCGGAGCTAATGAATGTATTAGTGATGAATGCTCTTGTTGTTTGAGAAAGGATAGAGCGTTTGTCAAGTCTGCTGATGGTAATCAACAAGTTTATTAATCTTAAACACAACAAGTAAACAAACAAACATGATTCTTCATCAAAACTGTTTTTAGCCTAGACATTTTCAACAAACATACAAAAAAACCAACCCTTCCTTTCTATTTCAGTAAATCTTACCTGAATACGGAGGAGGCGTAACCTCTGAAGAATGTATATCTGATTTCTCATCAATGAGCGTTTTAAAAGACTCGTCAGAGTCTGAAACAGGGCTGTATTTATTCTTCATTTTTGCAATGGCAAACCAAAAACCAAAAGAACACCAATACTTATAGCTAGTTCGAAATTAACTAGAATTACCAAGAAAAGTCTGTAGAAATCGGTTCCACCTTTCAGAGATTAAAAAAAAAAAGGAATTGTTCCTTATTTCTAAAGAAAATCAATACCTTGAGTAAAATCTGTCTAAAACCAAAGATAGGAATAAAAAAAAATCATGGTAGTGGCCTTTCGCATGTTTCAATTTCATAAAGCAGCGACATTATGTCACCGACTGGTCACATCCTCGTTACGATTATTCGACTTTCGTCTTTCACCGAGGCTTCTAGTATAGATAATATTAACGAATCGATTATTACAAAAAGTAAACAAAAGAACCTTTCATCAAAAAAATACAGATTGTATACTTAGAATAATATATACACGAAATTGGAAGTAAAAATAACTTTATTAAAAAAATCCTTGAAGAAATCTGTCTATCTAGGGGCTTTAAACACAGTGAAAGTTGATGTAGATGGAAAGGAAATCTTTGGTATGCTGGGTCCGGTCTTCTGATTGTTCATTAGCTTGGGCTATGCTTGTTTTTTTTGCATATTATTCATTACACCGCTTTTCCATGACTATACTCTTGATTGGAGTCTATTGCTTTAGCTTTTTCGATATGCAAAACATCACCTAACTCAAAGTACCATGGCGATCAAAAGGAAATCCAAATGCAACACGATGCATGCATACGTTACGCTAAAACAGGTAAAAAAAAAACAAAAAAAAACGAAGGAAAATCCTACAGCACCCCGAATCCCCGTGTTGTCTCCAACCATAGTACGAAACTAACGAGGCCGTCAAACGTTTTCACCTGCTGCAGTGATCGGACGGGAACTGGTTTGGTGTTTTCACCTAGGTGTAGCCGTAGACGATTCTATTTTTCTATCAATCTACTTCTATTATAAAGGACTCGTCCAGTATTTCATTACGTTTGATGTCGTTTAAAAGCATCTCTACTCGGCTCTAAATTTTGGTTATTCCACGGCGGGATGGAGAATGCTTTCATATTATAATAATTATTATAAGATTTGTAAAATAACTTTTCTTTCTGTTTTTTACTGATTCACATTGTTGTAGAAAAAGCATCAGAATGAGTGTTTGGGTTTATGGGTTGAAAATGTTGTTTTATAAATTGGGTTCTTCTTGAAATATTTTATGGTGCGGTTGATTTAACTCTCTAAATGAACGATAGTCTAATGAGCTAAGCTACAGCAGACCTTTTGATCTGAAGATTCGTGCGTGCTATACTAAATGAAAATAGTAACTGTCGAAACTCACATTCATTCTTGCCAATTGTAAGACATAATCAATTACGCGACTCGGCGTTGAGTTAAGCAATAGTTCATTCTGATGGAATACTCGTTGTCAAAATCATGAAATAATCATCAAAAAGGATGTTCTATTCCGATTGCGAAGAAAATGAACGATGCATAAACAACAGTGCTGTGAACTAATTAGAAAAGTCGTAAAAGAGTGAATTACTAAAGCGATCAAAGTTTGCTGGATTTATCAGATTCAAGCTTTTGTGACAGCGAACACAGGGAACTTGGTGGACTGCAATTGACATGGATGATCCCAAGGAAGGATCGAAGGCGAAGTATACAAAATGAAAGCAGATTCGGTGAAACTCACACTCACATTCAAACTTCAGAGCTTTGCTCAGCAAGAGGCTGAAGTTCGGTTTCTTCGTTACGAGGTGGACCATTCCTTCTAATTCTGTTGTTCTGCAAAGTTAATGAAAAATCCTAGGTTAACAAAACTAAATTTACTTACTAGACGTGTAGTCACATGGTCTTCAACAATGTCTGGGTTATCTGGACAAGTTAGAAAGGTTCATAGAAAATAAAACCTTACGAATGAGAAGAACAAACAAGCATATGTTCAATACGGCCAAAACAACCAACACCATGGCTGAATGTATATATTCAATGCCTCCTGATAATTTCAAAACATAACCCCCGACTCCATTCAAACTTATCAGTATAATTAGGGCTTTACACACAGCAGGTGTGAATTTCTTTATAACTCTTCCAGCTTCCCTGTACCATCCTGGATACGTTACAAGAATCGCTAAAAATAGGTCAGTTATTCGAGAACAAGATATTCTTAACTTACTTAATAGGAAAATAAAAATAGATCCAATAGAAATGGCAGCAAGCCAATAAAAAGCTATTGAATACGGAGAAACCTTGTAACCAAAAATTATGACTAGACAAACAACATTATAAAAGAGTATAATAGTCATTAGTCCTACGAAAAAGTTTTTCCACCATTCTTTGTTCGCTGAAGAGTCCGACCTAGTATTATTAGCAGATTCTTGGGCGGAATTCTGAGCGGATCCGTCAGCTATTTCTAAATCGATAAATTTGTTTGAAGCTAATGAATGTATTAGCAATCGAAGTTTTCGTTGTATACGAGAGAATGAAGGTATTCGCCCTGTTTATTGACAATCGTCGACAAGTTTAAAATAGGATTCCTCAGTAATAACTCTCAATAACAAACACCATTACCTTTCCATCGCAATGAATATTACCTGAATACGGAGGAGGCGTACCATCTGAAGAATGGGTGTCTGCCTTTTCATCAGTGAGCGTTTTTAAGGACTCTTCAGAGTCTGAAACAGAGGTGTATTTATTCTTCATGGTTACAATGCCACATTAAATCCCAAACTAACAACTGTAATTACACTCTAATCAAAATCAACCAGAATCACCAAGAAAAGTTCTTAACAGTTGGTTCCAATTGGTGCAGAGTCTTCAAAAATAGGAATTGGACCTTGTTTCAAAAAGCAAACAAATCCTACAGCTTTTCTTTTTCTTTAAAACCAAAGATGCAAATTTAAAACTCTTGGTAATGGCTTTTCGCATATTTTAATTCATAAAAGCTGCGACATTATGTCACCGACTGGTCACATTTCTCGCTACGATCTCTCGTAATAATATAATCCAAAAGAGTCACTGTTTATTACAAATAGTAAACAAAGGAACATTCGGCAAAACAACCATGCTGTTTGCTTTGAATGATGTTAACTAGGTATTGAAAATGCGTATTTTTGATTTAAAAGGTTTTATGGCTGTGGGGAAACGGATTCTAGGAGAAAGCTACAACGCTCTCCATTTTCGTAGTTTTATTTTCAAATCCGTAAACACATGGAAAGTTTGTTGATGCGACGTCGAACTATGGTAAACAAAATTTGTACGGACAAGTGCATTTTCTTTTCATATTTATTAAATTTATGGTAGTTAAACGATAGAAACAAACAAAAGCGATTTCTAACTGTTCATTCAAATCATAATATATATAATAGCGTGCGCTTACTAACTATCGATAAGTCTCTTTAACGAACTGCATCACCCAGATGTCAAATGGGTTGGATGACTGCTTCACCTCTGCAAAGCTCTAGTCTTTGCCATTGCGAGCTTATTTTCTGGGTTTCAAGACTCTTTTTGTCATTCCTACTTTAACGTATAAACAAAGTTGATATGGAATCTTTTTGTTTTCGAAATTATACGCTTTTTGGTCCTTTTACTCTGTAATCAATAATTTTCGCAGTAACTTAGTGATCAAGCAAAGGTGATTAAGAAACTCTTTTAGTCACAGTTATTTTCAACAAAAATGAATGAAAAAGAAAAGGAAGGACATCAAAAAACCGTCGAACCAGCAAAAGTTGCTTGTTTGAGCTCTTCTACAAGTTCTGAGAGCTATTTACCGAAATACAGCGAAATCCCGTATTCTCATGTTGACAATATGGAGAAGGGTTGTTTATGTTTACAGTCCGATCCAGATCCAGTTCCACCATACTCAAGAAGACATCAAGAAGCTTATATTGGCATGGCGCAAGGAAATGGTCCCTCGAATTCTTTACGGGTCTGTAAGAAAATACTGTGGTTGATTTTCTTGCCGGCAAACATTGCGAGAATCCCGGAAGCACAGCGGAGACAAGAGAATGAAGCTCTTCGGCTTGGTTGGTGCCTTATTGGTTCCATTATATTGAACTTTTTCTTTTCTTACAAATACCTTGTCCCCTTTATAAAGGAATCAATGAAAGAATATGTATTGTTATGGTTTCAAATTACTGTAGCAGCTGTTCTTGTCATCGTGGCTTTCTACATGTTCTTATTTGTTTGTTCATGTAAGTGAAGTGGTGGATTTGTAATTTTATATTTTTACTAATGAGATGCTTTTAGTGTTGGTGGATTTTATCGTTCTACTTCTTTCTGGGATTATTACCTTTTTTTCTGGGATTATTACCCTTTTTTTTGGGATCAATAGTGCTGTTACGAGTGCTCTAGGTTTCAGGATGCCGTCAGAAAGAAACGACTTAACGGATGATAATTGTATCCCATTAAACAGCATGTCGTCAGAGCCTGAATATCAGTTTAATAATAGTAGTGATAATACTTTCGAGCAAGCCTCTTTTGAACATTCTGAGCAATCTCCAGGGTTACGCCGGGAGCCTGGTCAGTCTAGGAATGTGGAAAGTAGTGGGAGTTGATTGATACGTAAAGCAAAGCATTATTTATTATAATGCCTAAAATATTCGGTTGTTCTCCTGCGTGTTCGTGTTTATGTTTATTTCGTCCCTGCATATTTATTTTAAGAATGCTTATTACTGGATGATTTTGTCATTGCATCTATATAGTTAAGTTGAATTGCTTGTTTTTATTTATTCGTTTGATAATTTATTTTCTGATCGTTGTTGTTCGTTTCATTAGTCTAGGAAGATCTTCAGTTCTTTCCTTGAATGTAAGAGTAATCATTGCATTTCCAACTTCCACTGCTATTATTACCTTAATTAAAGGACCATGTCGATCCAAATGCCAGCCATGTGCTTTAACAAAGAGCAACAAACAAACGAAACAAAAAAAAAAGAAGGAAAAGAATTAAAAACGAAGCGGTAAAAAGCCTACAGCATCCCGGATTCCCATGTTGTCTCCAACCATAGTACTAACGAGACCCTCAGACGCTTAACTGCAGTGGTCGGACGGGAACTGGTGTTTTCGCCTTGGTGTGGCCGTAGACGCTCTGTTTGAAAGCTATAATGTTTTATAGTCGGACTAATTTACTCATTAGTTTGAACCCTTTAAACTCAAAAGATTTTGGAAGGTTAGATTCATAGTACTTCCTACATTGTTTCAAAAACTATATCCAGTAACAGCTTGCCTTTATCCGCTTATTCCATTGCAAATCAAATATTCTAATTTATTCAAACGTTCAACATAACGTCCGATGTACAAGTCTTAGTCTAATGATGAATTATATTTTATATCGTGTTACTGTTCCTAATACACCCGAAGGCATTCAATCCTACTTTTGGTAAACAACAAAAATTATTTATAAACCTAGGACGCAAAAAATAAACGAAGATAATATCCAAGAAACTGTTTAAATAGGGAGAAATCGACAATAAAATCCAACATCTTTTAATTAAGGTGCATGACAAAACCAAAATTTCCCAATTTCGAAACATCCATACAATTGATCCCATTAGTATATGAATGTTTGCATATATAATAAAAGGGAAAAGCTTTGAAGGAGAATTCCTTGAAGATTCAAGAAAAACTTCGTCAATTTAAGACTTGGATTTCTTAGACTTTTTCTTCTTTTTCTCATCAGAAACTTGTTCTCCATCTTCAGATTTTCTCTTCTTTTTCTTTTCCTTTTTGCTATCTGATGATTCATCAACATCTTTACTCTTGGAAGACTTTTTCTTTTTCTTTTTGGAATCTTTGTCCTTAGACTTCTCTTCCTCACTTTCACTCTCGTTCTTCTTATCGTCATCGTCGGCAGTAACGATAGTATCAGTGGCAGGATTGTACGCGGCTTCACCACTGATTTCATGCTTCTGTTGCTGAACTGAGGTAGTGGGTAAAGGCAATAATTTACCACCTTCAAGGGAACGAAGACGGTTTTCAACGCGGATGCGATTCTCCAAGCCGACATTACCATCAACAGTATTCTTGTCAGTCAAAGCATCAACACGAAGGGACAATGCAGCTTTGGTAGCCAACACTCTAGCAACTTTACCCTTGTTTTTGGAATTAGCTTGACCAACCAAGCTGGCGTGATAGATCAAACCGTATTTAGGAGTGCTGTGCTTGGTTTTTAAAGCACGGAAAAGAGCCTTTTCAGCACCCAGAATTTGTAGAGTGGAGGCAGGCTGCTTTGCCAAGTTCATCAAAGAGCCAGCATGAGCAATCAAACGAGCACCAACAAGTTCACCGACAAGAGCAGTCAAATTGGGAGCAATGGCGTGCATTCTGTTACGGAGATACTCGGACAACTGAGCTCTGTAAGCAGCTAATTCAAGAACTTGCTCGGCCAAGATAGAAATGTTCTCTAAATCCTCTTCGGTAATTTCAGTGCCCATAGAAATCTCAGCTGCACTCTTTAAAGTGGCTTCGACTTCCTCAGGAAGAACATCGCTGAAGTCCGTAGAAGAGCAGTTGGTGCGCATACCCATAGTTTTGATAACGCGGGCATATGCCAAATGATCTTGAACAATCTTGCCCATTTCAGGGAAATGCCAACCATACCACTCGCGAACACGCATAGCGTATGTGTTTAACTCTTTGTCGAGATCGTCAAGAAGAGCAATTGCCTGAACAATCATTGTGTCGACCTTGTCGGGAGAGAACTTAAGCTTATGGCGAGAAAGCGAGTGAGAAAGACCCAAAGACATAGCATTGAGATCAGTGGGTGCCAAGCCAGCAATCAAAGATGACAAATGTTCACGAATACCACGGTATAAGTCCTGAACGGAAGAGTCGGACATAACCTCGAACTCAAGGCCGGGCAATTTGTTGATGGCATTACCGAGCTTGGGATCAGCAACAACAAGCATATTACTTTTTTTCTCGGATAAGTCTTTCAAAAGAGATGATAGCTTAGGAGAAACCTTACCCTCAATAAGGGCTGAAACATTATCGAGGGCATCCACGGTACTTTCAAATTTTGCGAACGATTGCAACTTTAAGCTATATGTTCTGTTAGTGAATTCCACCATAAAATTTTTTATCTTCATACAGATTTGAAGCACCTTCAGCTGTTTTTAAGTCATCGACTAAGGCTTCACGTTTCTTTAACAATTTATCTTTTGCCTTAAAAACGGCATAACCGGCCGCAGTCTCTATACTTTGTTAATATTTTGTTTCCTTAATATTTCATAAGATAGAAGATTATTTACCTGTAAGAATCAACATTTCTGCGACTTTTCACGTTTTAGAACGTGTAGTATGCTTTGGTAGTTGTTGGTGAAGCGCAGAAAATTTATGAACGGCCAAACTTTGTGGAGCAGACAACAGCACTTCTGTAACTGGAATACCGAACTAGAACGTATATTTTGAAATTTGCAGTCGTAAACAAACACTGAAAATGTATACTTCACGTGACGAATTTGTACAATTCCTTCTTTATGGCTTACAATTTTTTAATTATTTTTAGTCAACAAATTCTGGTTTAAAAAAGCTTTATCTTTTGTACTGCAAACAAAAGGTTCGTGGGCATTGCTTGTAGTAGAAAACATAATGTGTAAGAGTCAGGTGTCATTCAATTTTACATTGGACTGATTACTTTTTTATTCATTTCGTAAGCTTGACTTTTACTTTTATATGTAAGTTGAATATGAATGCCATTTCAATCATAATAGTGAACGATACGGAAAGAACACAATAATAGATTTTTGAACTGCTTTTTGAAAAAGGAAATAATAATAAAGTAGAAGAATTAGAAAAATCATATGCTTCCTGGATTAGTTTTCCTGCTGTAGTAATTTATCATCCCAGTCCCGTATTTGAATTGGGGGATAAGCAAAACGCTAACTACGAAAACACTTGGTACATTTTGAAAGAGCAGAAAAGTTAGAGAAACTTCTATTATATCATTTAATTTAAATTATTCATAGAAGATATTCCATTCGCTTTCCAATATTAAAGCTCAGGCTCGAGGGCTTTTTTCTCGGTCAGCATTGTACTATGAAATGAGCAGTCGTATACCAAACGCAAATGATGTGTTGACAAAGCAATGCAGCTCTCCTTTAAATATCTATAACTTTTATATATATGTCCAAACTGAAGAGCGAGGAGTTGATTTTCTAGATATGTGGTTGGATATTAGTTTGCTCGACATCCTTACCAGAATCTATTATAAAGAAGTCGAAAACTCGCACTCTATTGCTACACAAAGTAGCTCTACCCTTGGCCTTAATGGTTCTCGAGCCCGGACACCCAATCAATTGAACATTACTTGTGGCTTTTTGGATGACTACTATCTCCCTAATTTTGGTCCATTATTTACAGAAGACATACTAAATATGGAGATTTTAGACCCAGCTGCTCTCTTTCAAAACAAGGATCGTGCATCTTATTTAAAAGAAATTCATCCATCTAATGATCCAAATCCGAAGCCTTTTCTTCCTTCCTTGGGAATGATCTCACAGAACCATTTGTCTGCATTTCGACAAAAAATAATAAATAGATACTTGACAAAAGAGTCCCCTTTTCGAGTCCCTCTTCCCTCGCACTTGGTGAATCCATTGCTGAATGCCTCCAAGTATCAACTGTCCGAGGATCCCCACATCTTTGCAGATGTTCATTCGTTTATGTTTCATTTTATACTCAAACCTGCATACAATCGATTTTTGGAACGGCATATGAAGCACAACATTCATTCGTCTAGCTATGCCATCAGATTTCTCATCGGATACATCGCTACCTTCGCTGCATATTGGCTTGGATTTTGTGGCATCTTTTTGGAGTATTCTAGAAGAATACGGATTTGGACTTTGCTTCCCTTTTTTATTGGATTTTATAATCTCATTTGTTCTTGGTTTTGCTTGGATCCTTTTCTGGCGTTCATTGGATATTTTGAAATCAAACCACTTCATTACTCAAAAATAAAAAACAGGAGGATCCTTCTTCATTTACAATTTAGGGCAGTTTACGCAGGTTTGCTTATCGCTGCGCTAGTAGCTGCAAACACTGCAATATTCAGCAGCGTGCCTTCCGTTCGATTATAACACCGTTCTTCATTTATGTTTGTTAATTTTATGACCACCATTCATTCAAAGCAAATCTACTGAACTATTTGCTATATTTATGGGTCTTTCATTTCTGTTTCATGGCAACAGTGAACTTTTTTGATAGTATAATATAATTCCTTTCAGCATTCGTTCTTTTTACTTTTAATACTCTCCAAAAAGCAGAAATTCAATCTATCACACTGAACCACCCGGCCAGTCTTTCAAATTAACGACAGAAATCAAACAAAAGATAAGTAAAAGCAAGAAGAAGCAATACACAAGTTATTATTCACCAACTGCATTAAGCATGCAAGGTAAGGTATATAGATTAGCAACCGTATTAACAATATTTTGCAGATAGAGAAAACATTTATGGAGACACTCTTTCAAGACATAACTAGAATCTTTCAACAATTAAAGAGGAACTACTATTTGATGGATAAATATAAATTCCTCTCACTCGTTATTCTCGGCGAACAAAAGTCATACAGAAACTCATTATAAAGAACACAAAAAAGCTAATATGGTTGAAGACAGAAATCCAAGGGAAACCAAGTAGACATAAAAAAATCACGGACCAGCCGTGAAAAAAAAAGCCATTAGAGATAAACGAAAAGGTATGAAGCCCTGCGTTTAGCTGGCCATAGATTCGGTAGGAGAAGTAACTTCAGTAGAGCTAGATTCGGGATTGGCAAGGATCGATTCATTTTGCTCTTGACGATTATCTTGAGCAACAGATATAGGAGAAGGAGAGGGGGTTTCAGAATCAACTACGTCTGAAGTCCCTAACCAAGTTGGAAGCTTCCAGACAATAGTGGAAACACTTCGAATAGAAATAGGTTTCTTTTCCCATTTTCGACAAGGCTTACCAGACCTGTCGAGAGCTCGCAAACCCGCATTAATCAAATTAGCATTTGCCTTGGGAGCAGAACGAGAAGCAGCTTGTGTAGGAGTCACGCTTCCAGAAGAAGGACGGGAAGGACCATTTGATTCTTCTACTGTAGTGCCTTGACGTTCCTTCTCGGCCTTTTCTCTTCGCCTAACAGCTCTGGGACCCATTCCATAGGGAGCTCTGGGCTTTTTCAGTTGTGTAAGTTTCTCTTGAGTTTTCGACGCTTGTGTCGGCGAAGAAATATGGGAGCTATCTTTCTCTTTCACGGAATCCACTATTTCTCGAAACCTTTCCGTAGGAAGTCTGAAGTGTAACACCAGTGTTTCCGACATAATTGCTAAAAACTAGACGAAGGGAAGCGGAGGAAAGTTGTGTTTTTGAATATATCTGTTTTCGTATTGTAAGATTGTCCAGCCAAATAAGCAAGGAAGCAAAAATGGACTACTCACTTATTTAATTATGAAAACAAATAAAAGCAACGTATCACACTTTTGCTATTTATGCTTTATATAAAAAAGTAACTTTTGTTGGTCTCAAAAGAAAGTGATCCACAAAATCTAAAAATAAAAGAAAAAAATAGCAAAAAGTAAAACCAGAGTCTTTTCCCGTTTCAACTGTATTACGAAAGGAAATATTTCTTAAATCCTTACTTGAATATTTTTTTCTTTAAATTACTTTTTCCAAACCTTCCAAGCAATGAAAATTCTTCTTTGATGAGGATGTGTAGAGAACTTGACTGACTGGGTTTGTCAAGTCTTGGAATATATGCAAGATGTAGTAGGACATTCATGTCCTCCCATGTTTGTTGTCATCTTGGCATTCCCGCCTTCCTCTGGTCATCCGAGGTGTCGTCTCGCATAAAATTTCGTATAACGAACACCTACATCCCAATACGGGATATAGTGAATCAAACACTTCTATGTATTACGAAATTTAAGGAAAAAGATCTCCATGTAGTGTAAAATTAACAGAAGTTGTTGTATTCTTACGTTCTGACTTGTACACTGAGAGGCAGAACCTGTATAGCAACAGGATAGAAAGAATTGTTTTTTGTTTTACGACGTATGATGAAGGAGTATATGCAACAATCTATGAATTGATATAAAAGAAAAATGTTGGAATAGCGAAAATGCAAGAACGGTCTGTCTGTTGGTACGTTGACAGAAAAGGTACTTAACAAAATCGACTTGTTAGAAAATACAAATTAAAGAAGTGCAGGGAAAGATACATATAAGAGGTGCTCGGTTAGTCTATATGCATTTGTAGAATGATTACATTTAGTAGAAGGTTTGTTTTTATAAATGATATCAAAAGATTTCCAAATCAAGAAAGCGCTTTTTTTTTCAGGTGCTGGTCATAAAAGAGCGGTCTGGTAAATGATGACGATGAAACATCGGGAAAGGAACCAAATTAGGGAGAAAAACGACGAGCGGTAGGTTTACTTGGTCCAAAAAGTTGAGAAGCCATTTCACCAGCACGAACAGCAGTCCAACTAAGCAAGGTCTCACCGATACCGTGTTGATAGGTCGAGATACCGATGACAAAGAGACGACTATTTTTAGAAGGTGAGTTTTCAACCAAGTAGTTTTCAGCAATATGGATATCACGGGGATGGGGAAAAATGGGAGAAAGGATGGTTTCGTAAGATGCATGGTTGTAGCCAGTGGCTAGATAAACGACATCGAATTTTTGAGTGGTCTTCTTTTCGTTACCGTCCAAATTGGAGGCTAAAGTGACGAGAATATGATCGTCTTTTTGTTCCACGGAATCCACATAGGTAGCGTTCAAGAAGTTGTGATAGGCCTTGCCGTACTTGAGTTTTTGCATATACTGTTCACGAAACATGTCTTCAAGCAGACCTTCTTTAACGACTCCGTAGTTGGTGGTATGGCCGTTTCTTAAGCCCTGTATACGGGTTTGCTCAGGGAGATTGTACCACCAATGAGAATTATGACTATCAAAGTACAAAGAGTTGACAAAAGGGCTAGAATCGCTGGGAATAAGAGATAAATTGCGGTACGCCAAGGTAAGGGGAAGCTTGGAATCAATGATGTTGTGGGTGTAATTCCAAATTTCCGCAGCAGATTGACCGGAACCGATGACAAGTACACCATGTTTCGCCGAACGAAGCTTGCACTGGCTATCATCAAACATAAATCCGCTGGAATGGATAACCTGAGGACTTTGTAACGAGGAAAAAGGCTCGGGAATATTTGCTTGACCACCAGTAGCTACGATGACATTTTTGGCAATTTTTTGGTGATCGCCATAAGTAATACGATACAGATCCAAAGATTGGTCATACTCTAATTTAGTTACATTTGCACCGTACTGCACGTAGTCCTTAAAATGACCAGCTGCCCAACAAAGATAATCATGGAACTCATAACGAGAAGGTTCCATGGTCAATAAGTTCAAAAACCCGGATAACCTTTCATCACCATGCTGATGCAAATAATTCAAAAACGAAAAGTAAGAAGTTGGGTCACGTGGGGTAGCCAAATCCTTCACAAACGAAATTTGCATATTTGATCCAGGAATCAGCATACCTGAGTGCCAAGAGAACGAGGGAGACTTCTCTAATACACATATTTTTTTGTTACGCAAAGGATTTTCCGAATGGTCATGTAGAGCCACCATCAAAGAAAGCGAAGCCGGTCCAAATCCAATAATCACCAAATCCAAAGTTTCTTCTGTTCCCATTACGAATGTCATTTTTTTGGATAAACAGTAAAACAATAATATAAAATAATGAAAATTTCCAAACTGATTTACAACAACTCAAAAATTAGACGCCTACTAGTAAGCAAAGGCAAAAGAAAATACTACAATCAATCTAGTCAAGCCGAAAAATTTCCAAACACACACACGCACGCTCACACACACAGACACAGACACGTAAATAGGTTGTTTAAATGAAGCCAAAAAAAAAAAAAAAAAAAGAAACCGTAGTTCAACTCCCTCCCTTAATAATACACTTTTTCGTGTAATATACCAAAGAAAAGTTATAGCGGTATGGAATTCAGTTATATATATATGTATATATATATAAGTGGTGTGGTACTACTAGGTATAACGTCGTTTGTCGTATGTGCAACAACGTATGTTACGTAACCGATCCGATCAGATAAAAATTATCCGATTAGATACGGAAGGTTTGTTTATGGCTCAGCCAGGCAAAGGGAAAATAACAAAAAGGACGAAATTCGTATGAATAATTTCAAAGTACAATCAAATTTCTTCTAGAGAAAGGTTATAGAGCAAACGCAACGCACCTTGTTACGTCTTTATGAGGAATCGGAGACGTTTTGATCGGTCGTACACCATGGGTGAGAATTTTCATCAAACCTTCAATCCGTTTTTTCAAGAAGAGAAAATAAATATAAATAAATACAACAGCGTAAAAAAATTCTTGAAAATAAATGAAAAAAAAAGAAAAATGCAGTGCCGAAAATAAATAGTATGATTTATCAGATGAAAGAAAATTTTAACACTCGCAAACGCTTGTATCACTAAAAGAACCACGAGCAACGTTCGCTTGAGAGTAGACACCCATTTACATCGGGAATTTGATATACAAATTATAAATATTCCTGCTAAACCTTTCGTTTGTTGGGTTTGATCTCAAGAGAAATCAAGAGAAACGCTCGAAACAAGACCAGGAGAAAACGATACGTAATTGTCGAGGTTTATTTCGTCCGACTCGATCAAGCAAGCCGTATGGACATCTATTTCTGTCCAAATTTCGATTCCCGGCATTATAGACCCATTTGATAAAATTGCGTGTTTGTTTATATCCCAAGTAACAAAATAATCAGATCTTATATAGTTACCCGTGTCACATCTTTTCTCAAAACACACTGTGTATTACCAACGCTTTACAAGACTTTGGTTCTTTTTTTTCTTTTTTTTTTGGAATTATCATATTTTCGTTTCATTCGTTTGGTTTTGGATCTTTCATCTTTTAGTTTGAGCTAGTTTTCATGGTGCGCTCGCTATATGACCAGATTGAACTTAGTGAGATTTCCCACTTAGGGCCATCTCGATGCCCTGAGACTTCACCTTCTTTTCAGGTTAAGAGCTATCCTTTGGATGCTTCCTTTTCCTTTTCTCGCTTTGTTGATTTATGGCACTGGGTCTTTTCTGGGCTAATCGGATCTGAAACCGCGTTTGTGGTATTTCCAAATTACGCCCCCTGCAATGGTTTACAAGCGATTCAATACGAAAGCTATGTATCGTCGACTGCAAACCTTCAACCATTCCCCCTCTCAAAGGTTGCTTCCCACAAAATCCATTGCGCTGTGTTTCGTTCTGATTATGAGTACTCTAATGAACAATTTGCTTCCAGGAACCATTCCCCTTTGAATTCTTTTCTCAATGGTTTCTCTGACTTAATGTCATTTCGCAATCCTACTTTTGACATTGATGTTGCTTTTGTATATTCTCCTTCTTCTTTAACTTTGCGTTGGGATTGCCAACGATTCTCTTCAGAAATCGCAGACTATATTTTCAAAATGATCACTCAAAAAGGAAAAAACAAAAGTTTACCTTTGTCTCTTCTAAATCCGGATCCAGTGGATCATTTAGAGTCGAAGGACTCTAACAAAATCACCGTGGATTCGTCCCCTTACTTACATGGGTGCTTCTATCACAATGTCCTGTCGAACCCAACTCAAGAAGCTCTCAACTTTGTCTATTCGCATAATGACTCCTCTTCTGATTCTACGTCGTTTACTTTTCAAGAGCTTCATTCTTTCGCATTCACCCTCTCAAAGTCCATCCCTTTTCAAGATAAAGTTGTCCCAATCATGATTCCTCATTCCCCAAGCCTTTTCATTGCCATTTTAGCTGTCTTGTATAGTTCAAATGCATATTGTCCCATAGACGTTGAAACAGTTTCGGATCGAGTCCAATTTATATGTAAAGATACAGATGCAAGCTTGGCAATTGTCGATCCAGCACTTGCAGAAAGATTTTCTAACTCCGTGGACCTGCTTCAGTTTTCCGATCAAAGTCTTCCCAGTTTAAAGACTATTGATCCCATACCATCGATTCGCTTTACGTCTTCTCCTGACTCTACCGCGTATGTACTATATACATCCGGATCTACAGGAACTCCCAAAGGTGTCCCTATTACCCACAGGTCAGCCGTCAATTCTATCTTTTCTCATTCTTTTCTTTATCCAAAGTTTGGTGTGTCTCGGGGCGATAAGTGGCTCCAATTTGCCAACTTAACTTTTGATGTTTCGGTTTATGAAATCTTTGGTAATTGGAACATGGGACTTTCTTTAGTTACCTCAACGAGACAAAATCTTGTGGGATGTTTAGAATTTTTAATTCACGATTTTGGAATCACTGCGCTAGAGCTAACGCCGACTGTTGCCAACGTGATTTCAGTCGAAGAAAATATTCATCTACTTAGAAATGTCCGCATGTTGCTTTCCATTGGCGAGCTTCTAACAAAACGGGTAATCGACTTTTGGGATGACCGACTTGTCAATGCTTATGGTCCAACGGAAGCTGCTATACATGTTACGCTCAATCCTTCGCAAAGATTTACTTCTGTATATTTGGTTGGTGCTCCCTTAGCTGCTGCAATGCTTTGTATATGTAACACCCAATCCGACTCATCAAGTTACCCTATCACTGAAGATGGATTCCTTGGTGAAGTCTGTATCGCCGGCCCCCAGCTCTCCAAAGGATACCTTAATAGGGAAGAATTAAACAAGAAAGCTTTCACTACTGCATTTGATCACAATGGCCGATCTTATTGCATATACAGAACAGGTGATTGCGGTCGAATCATTAACGGCCGTCTCTATATATATGGTAGAATTAGCGGTGACATGCAAGTCAAGATAAGGGGAAGAAGAGTAGAGCTGGGAGAAATTGAATCCAAATTGGCTCCTGCTGCTCAATCTTTGGCTGTCGAAAAAATTGATGAGCGTCTGGTAGCCTTTTTTGTCGGAAGTGAAGAGAACGTCAAAAACCAAGCTGAAACAAACTTGCAGGCTTGGATGAGGCCAACAGATTATGTTTCCGTTGAAACTCTTCCTTATCTTCCTAGCGGTAAAACGAACCGCAAAGCTTTGAAAGCTCTATTCTCTGCGCAACCAACCAAGGAACAAAACGATGCTTTATCAAATCAAAACGAAGAAGTAGTGGCGCAAGTCCTTAAAAATCATTATCATCGCAAGTTCCAAGAATATCCTAATGTCAACCGTTTTACTTCGATTTTCGAGCTAGGTTATGATTCATTAGATGCAGTTCAGTTATCGCGCTCTTTCTCCAAGTTAGGCTACAAAATATCTTTGTCAAAATTGCTCTCATCACATGTCGTTGAAAACATCGCTAAAGAGTTGGCCCCTATAATTCCTTCCGAGAATAAAAGTGCCGCGCAAATTGAATCAAGCGTATGTACCGATCTACAAAAAGGAATGCTGTACGAATCTTTGATAAACAACGGTGAAGTTTACGTAAATCATGATGTACTGAAAATCAATGCCCCTGTCGATGAAGTCGAAAAGTCTTGGCTTCAAGTACTAAGATGTCACCCTTTATTGAGAAGTTCATTTCATTTAGATGATAAACAAGGCTTTATTCTTCGTGTTCATCAAGAGGCTTCACCAATCCTTACATATTCCGAGCATCCATTCACGCAGACTCTAAACCATTTTGAAAACTTTAGCTTCACTGAAGAGTTTCTTAGTCGTGGTCCGTTGGATGCTCGAATAATATACAATTCAAGTGAGTGTTATTTGAGCATTATTTGGCACCATGCCCTATATGACGGTTGGTCTTTGGATGTCATAAGACAGCAACTTGAACTATTACTAAAAAAGAAACCATTACCTATTTACTCACAATTTGTTGAATACGTAAGGGAATTGCATTTTACCAAGCAGCGATCTATGGAAGAAAATATGCATTTTTGGAAAGACTATTTGAAAGGTTCCAAAACGAAGAGCTTAAAGCAGAAAACCAAGAACTCTTCTTCTGTTTTCGGGGAAACTAAACTTAAGTCTGCACACATAGATGATTATTGTAAATCATTGCGCATAACACCTTTATCATTTTTGTTAACAGCATGGTCGGCAGTGATGTCCAAACATACCGAATGCCTGGATATGTTAATAGGTACCGTCATATCCGGAAGAATGAATAATTCTATTGAAAATATTGATCAAATTGTTGGTCCATGCATGCGAACCCTTCCTGTTAGGATTGTACTTTCGGAACAACTTACACATCAGCAAATTTGCCAGAACACATTATCAAGTTTAACTTCAATTCTTGATCATACCTCAGTGTCTCTGGCTGATATACAAGATTTTCATGAGAACCCTGTCCAGCTAAATAGTTTGCTAATTCTACAACAATCGACTGTTACCCTTGACGATAGCATCGTCACATCCATTTCATCTACTAATAAAACCGAGTATCCACTTCTAGTTGAAGTGGAAAGGCATGAAAATTACAGAATAAAGATTACTGGAAAATTTGAGAATGAATTCTTGGAGACATTGGTACACGATCTCCAAAATAGCATAAACAAGACAATTTTACACGCTGATGCTTTATTCACTTTTACTCGTATTTCAACTGGTACTGATGGTACAAATGACGATATTGAAGCTCTTGATAATTTTGATGATGTATACGAAAATGAAGACTTAGTAAGGTCTACCCTGTCGAAACTTTTGAATAAGCCGTTCCATTTGGTTGACCGCTATGAGAATCTGCAGTTATATGGACTTGACTCTTTGATGCTGCTACGTGTCTTTTCTGATCTACGGAAACAAGGAATTCAGGATCTGAACTTCTCACAAATTGGATCTTACCCTTCCGTAACTACGCTATGTCGAATGATTAGTACAAAAAGGGTCTCTTCTATTCAAAATAAAAAATCATTGGAGTTTTATAGACCGGAGGACTTGACTGAATCTTTAGTAAGTAGTTCAAATATTGAGGATGTATTTCCTTGTTCCCCTATGCAGCTAGCGCTGCTTACCAGCACAGAAAAGAATGGAATGCATTTTTATTACAATAAATTTCTCTTTGACATTGGTGATCATTCATCTTCAACTGTGCTAGATATTTTTGGAAAGCTAACTCAAATGTTTCCAATCCTTCGAACTTGCTTTTATTTGACACGCTCTTCCAAATACCCTTACTGTCAAGTCATTTTAAAAAATTCTAATTTTGGTTATGAAGAAGCTTCTTACCTGGACAACCATTTAACTTCCTATAATGTAGAGCCTGTCCCAGTCGTTGATTCAGGAAAAGTCCCTCTGCGTCTCCAGTTTCTTTCTGGGTATCGGAAGAACTATCTTCTTATATACATGCATCATACATTATATGATGCATGGAGCTTCAGAATTATTTTTGATCAACTGGCCAAATTGTCTAGGGCGGAACAACTAACTGTCTCACCTTCAATGCGACCTTATATTGAGTATTTACATCTAACTAATGACGAAACGAAGATGCTTACCTGGAAGCGTATTTTTGATAACTTTAAGCCCGTTCCATTCCCACGCGGTATGACCTCTGATAAAAAAGAAAGTTACGTGAAGCGAGTACCGCTTGATTACTTAAAATTAAGAAACATATGCTCACAAAATTTGGTCAGCACATCTTCCTTTTTGCAAGTATGCTGGGCTAAGACGCTCTCATTGATTACTGGTAGCAAAGATGTTTGCTTTGGTAATGTTGTAAGCGGACGCAACATTCCAGTCAATGGCGTGGATAGCCTAGCAGGGCCTACTTTCAATTCAGTTCCTTTAAGAGTACTTTTTTCCGATGATGATAATCAGTTCATACCTATACAGAGACTTGAATCACTTAAAAAGCTGACTAAAAATTTGGAGCTGAACTCGGCCATTGATATAGGTAAACTGTTGGAGGTTTCAGCTAACGTGCCAATGTTTGACACAATATTTATTATCCAAAACGGTTCTTTTGAATCAAATTTTGAACCCTGGAAGCTGATTGACGAAGAACTACAAATGGACTTTGAGTATATGTTGGAATTATACCCGAATGAGGAAGATCAGGTTCTTTCTATTATGGTTACTGGAGATCGCCGTATCGTACATCGTGTTTGTGATCTTTTTGTGAATATCATAAACTTTAATCTATACGAAGCTAATGAGACTGCTCTCGGAAGTTATTTACGGATCAGGGAACTTCTTTCAATACACGAAGCGGATAATACTGCTGGGTCACGTCCTGCTAGTCTTTTAGAGTTGCTAGGTAGCTCTATGTCTGCTTATAGTAACAATAAGGCGATTCGGTATATTGAAACCAATGATCAATTGAGAAATATGTCTTATGCCGATTTAAACTTTTTCTCTAATCGTTGGGCATCTTGGTTACTAGCTAAAGGTGTTTCGTCAAGTAAGACCTTGATTTCTTATATGGAGAAGTCATTTGATCATTATTGTGTTATGCTTGCATGTATAAAACTAGGAGTCAACTTTTCTTCAGTTGACTCGTCCTTAAGTCATGGTAATTTATTGAAGTACACGAAGAAAATAAACGCAGGATTTCTAGTATCTGATAAGGAACTTGACATTATTGGCACTGTATGTTTGAGCGTATTTGAATTCAGAAGCCAACTCTCTTTCAGGACCGATACTAGTTTGCCAAAAAATAACAAGCATAACATGTGTTTTTATTTCCCAATTGGAGATAGAGAAATGAACGCTGTGTCAATCGATCATCGCTTGTTTTTATATGCACTTTTGGATTTTTCCGATACAAGCAAGGTAGACGAGACATCTTTATGGCTTCAGTTTGCTTCAAATTCGAATATCATGCAATTGTTTGACTGCTTTACAGTTTGGATGAAAGGTGCAACTCTAGTGATCGCTTCCCAGAACCTTCTTGACAATAAACTTCCAGAAGTTATTAAGAGTCAATATATAACACATCTTAATCTGAACTCTTTAACAGTGTCGAAACTTAACAAAGATATAACTCGATCTGTTAAACTATTAATATCGTACGGAGGGAGGCTTTCGTCTGAAGTGGTGGAACAATGGAATGGAAGACATGTCAGGGTTCATTTGTTGAAGAACATAAAGTTCCCATGCTTCTTAAATACTAATTTCTCGAATAATACTCGGGATATACTTGGCAGAATGATTGGATGCTACAAAGGTCTAATCGTTGATCCCCTTGCTAAGGATATAGTTCCAAAGTGTGGATTCGGTCAGCTTCTCTTAGCTCTAAATGCGGAATTGCTAAGCATCCCCATTGAAGCCGACTCTTTTAGGGTTGATAGTGAATCTTTAAATATTTATACTAATTCTGTCGTGCGATTGTTATCTGATTCTACTTTTCAACTTAAACAACTGATGGGAGAAACCGACCAGGATAAATGGGAGAATTTAATTCTTCAGAATGTTCCAGAGGTCAGACAGGTACATCGAGTTGTCCTTGATAAGTCTGGGGGTTCCGAAATTGCCTTTTTAATGGTTGATATGGATGTTGAAAAACTTGAAGATTTTAAGATTCAGTTATCTTATTTTTCTAAACACTCGCCGAATGTTATAGTGTTAGTCAAAGATTTGCCTTTAGATGTTAACGAAGAAGTCGAAGAGGTTTCTTTGATGGAAATATATAAGAAGGGTCAGTTCATTCATAAATTTAAAATTTCTGATCAACTTCATAAAATCAATGCATCTTCCTTTGTTGATGATGTCTCATCTTTAATTTCGAGCTTTTTCAACATTCCTTCACAGACTATAAAATTAGAAACGGAAATCTCTTCACTTGGACTTGATTCCTTAAGCGCAATTCAGCTTTCAAGGATTTTAAGGAAACAATATAGGACTAAAATCTCTGCTTTAGATGTTTTGGAAAGTACCACGATTTTTGATTTATCCAGGAAGCTACAAAAAAATATCGAAAGTCAGCCAGCGGAATATGATGAAATGATTGATAAATTTGTAGATGATATTAAAGAATCCGCGAAGCATCATTTGCTTACGCTTTCAAATATTGATTGTGTGCTTCCGTGTGTTGATTCTCAAAATTCCTTGCTAAGTCAATTTCAGTCAAGCGGAGGGAAAGCAAATTTGAATTATTTCGTATATCGGATGGATCATACACCATTTGAAGATTTATGCAAGCGATGGGAAATAGCCATTAAAAAGATTTCGATGTTGCGCACATACTTTGTATCTATCAGTAATCCACAAAGTCCGTTTGCCCAAGTTACCCTTGAAAATATAAACCCCCCATGGCACTTACGAGAGCAAATGATTGAGGTTGAGGACGCTGTTTCAATAGCTCTAGACAATTTAAAACAGGCATTATTATCGGATATCACTACTATTCCTTATACCTTGTCATTTATTAGGACTAATAAAAATGAAAATTACTTCATTTTGGTTATGCATCATGCTATTTTCGACGAGAGATCTTTGAATCATACATTAAGAATTGTGGAACATGCATTGGAATCAGAAAATAAACTACCTTCTCACGAAGCGATCACTAAAAAAATTCTTGCTTACAAATTACGTTCTAATGAAAGCAAGGCATTTTGGATAAACAATTTAGAAGGGTTTACTCCACTGTTATTTCCCAATCTCTGTGCTAATCGCTATTCGAGTGATGCCAGATCTATCACGACTAAACCATCTTCACTTGATATTTCCAAATTTAAAGAAGTCTGCGGGAAATTTAATATCAGTATTCAGACATTGGCTCAGCTTGCTTGGGCGAAACTCTTAAGCTCATACTGCTCTGAAGATTGTATAACGTTCGGTTTGATTCTCTCTGGGCAAACACTCATTGAAGATGAATCGGATGCTATATTCCCTACTCTAGCAACTATACCCTTTGCAGTAAACGTTTCTGGTAGTGTTAGTGGCCTTTTAAAAGATATACAAGAAAAAAATAAGGGATATCTTAAACACCAATACACACCATTGTCTCATATAAAAAGATGGCTTAATTTGGGTGGTAATGAAACATATTTTGACTCACTTTTGTCTGTGCAAGTCGAAGACGACACAATTATACCTTTGAAAATGTTCACAGATGAAATTGATAGCCAGTCTTTTTTGGAGAACACTGTTGCCATTGAATTGCGAGTATCGTCTTCAAGCTCTGAAATTGTTCTGAACTCACTTGACAGAAGCATTCCTAAGAAGCATGCCGAACTAATCGTCGAACAATTTGATGGACTGTTGAAGCTGATAATGAGCCATATAAATGAAAATGTTGAGACTCTTGAACGATTTTTACCTACTAAGCTTCTCTCCGTTCTTCCTGCTAGAGTTCAAGATTACCCATGCGAAGTGAAATTTCTACACGAGTTTGTTGAATATTACGCTCTTAGATTTCCGTCTAACTTAGCACTAGAGTTTGCTGACCAAATCTCTTTGAATGATTACGTGTCAACGAAATTTACTTATTGGGAGCTTAATTGCAGAGCTAATCAACTTGCTCATACCTTGAAAACATATGGATGTAAAACCGGAACTATTATTTCTGTCTATTTCGATAAATGCATTGAGGCCTTTATTGCTATACTGGCAATCCTTAAAGCAGGCTGTTGTTTTCTAGCTCTTGACGTGACGGCTCCGCTAGAACGTATAAAATTCATTGTTGATGACTCCCAGTCAGGTCTTATTATTTCATCCAACGATCAGCTGGAAAAACTTCAGTCGGCAAACGTATGTGTTACAATACTTAATGCCAGTGACCATGACATTTACGACCCTAATAGCGAAAACTTAATTCTAGATGATTTAGACGAATCAAACTTGGCTTATGTTTTATATACTTCGGGAAGTACTGGCAAACCTAAAGGATGTTGTCTAACGCATAAAAATGTGGTTCAAACTATGATGGCCTTCCAATACCAATTCTTAGGGAAATGGAATTCTGACTCGCGATTCCTTTCATTCGCGTCTCTGCATTTCGATGTAAGCGTGCTTGAGCAATACTTTAGCTGGAGTACCGGCACTTGTCTTGTTGCGGCTCCCAAGAATCTAATCTTGCAGGATATCCCTACTGCTGTTCGCGTTCTTAAAATTTCTCATATTGACTTAACACCTTCGTTAGCATCAATTTTAAATCCGGATAACGCACCTTATCTCCAAGTTTTCATTACCGGTGGTGAGCAAATTAGGCAAGAAGTAATGGAAATATGGGGTGATACGGGAATACTGTATAATTTTTGGGGACCTACCGAGCTGACAATTGGAGCCAGTGCCTACCGTGAATTACCCAAGAATGCTCGGACTTCAAATATTGGACCCCCTTTCCCTAATTGTAGTACTTACATTATTTCTCGCAAAACTAATTTGCCAGTTCTGTTGGGTGCCATTGGTGAAATCTGCATGGGAGGAAATCAAGTGGCTAAAGGCTATTTAAATCTACCGAAGCAAACTGAAGAAAAATTCTGTTTTTATGACCAGTTTAACGACAGGGTATATTATACCGGCGACTTGGGTCGTTTATTGAGTGATGACTCTTTGGAATTCGGTGGACGGGTTGATGACCAAATAAAATTGCGAGGTCAAAGAATAGAAATAGGAGAGATTAACTCTGTACTGAAGGCTTCTTCCGAAAATGTCCTGGATGCTTTTACTTTCGCTTTGGATCATCATGCTCTCCACAAGACTCAATTAATTTCATTTATCTATGTGGGAGGCAAGAATAATGATTCCTTATTTAATCTGGATAAGAGTTCTATGGAAACGATACAGATTGCTGACGAATATTGCAATTCTCATCTTGCAACATACATGGTTCCTACGTTCCTTATTCCAATCAATTGGGTTCCTCTTACTCCTACTAATAAATTCGACAAAAAGAAGATAGTGGCTGAATTTCAAAAACTTACTCAGAATCAGTTATCTCAACTCTATCAAAACAAGAAGACTGAGAAAGTGGAGGAAGAAGTTTGCGATCCTAAGATTTTGCAAATAATTGCGAAGTTTTTGAACTTAAGTATATCAGACTTCAAGGCCTCAACTTCAATTTTTGAACTTGGCATAGACTCCATATCCGCTGTTTCACTCGCAGCTATGTTGAGAGAAAATGGGTATCGTTCGGCTTCTCCCGTGCAACTGTTAAATTCTGTTAGCATATCGAAAATTAGTAAGTCACTTAATAGTAACTTCTCTGACAAAGAGACCACGGACGTTCCTATTGAAACCAAGCTTTACCAAAGCTTTGAACAGATCGATCTTGCTGAAAGAGTTATACCTTGTTTACCGCTTGTTGAAGGTTTACTATTTGAACTTGAAAGGGGAAGAAGAAGTTTGTACTTTAATACTTTTACGTTCAAGTTTCACAACGAAGAACAGGCTAAATTGTTTGAAAATGATCTAAAACACTTTATAAAGAAGGTTGAGGTCCTTAGGTCTTCTTTCATCAAATCCGAATATGGTTACTTTCAAGTAATATGGAAGCCAGAAGTTCTCAATACGGTCAATAATTTAAAAATTAAGAACTGTGTTTCTCCCGTGAAAATATTCGCTGACCACAGAAATGGGATACATCACATTTCTTTAGAATTGTTTCATGGAGTTTATGACGGATGGTCTTTAGACATTATTTTGAACGATCTTGCTAGGTTTAGTCAAACCCGAGAGTTACCTGAGCGTCCTTTGTATTCATCGGCTGTTCTCGAAGTCCTGAATCAAAGCTCTAAGTTGGATCATGCTTCTTTCTGGTCAAAGCTTTTCAGGAACGGGGTTAGTAAACTCCCTCAATTCAGTGATGGGTTACCCGAACCAATGGTTTTTTCGCATAAGTTATCTATGTCAAACCTACGACTCCAAAGTATCTGCAGATCATATTTCAAAACGCCGGTGTCAAGTCTTTTTTTAACAGCATGGCTATGTTTTCTTAATAGTCATTTTCTTGTTACTACGGTCGGTACTGTCGTTTCTGGCCGCTCGAATCAAATAAATCATTTGGATGTAATAGGCCCAATGTTTAATACCGTACCCTTCCCGTTCTTCATAGATAGTGAATCGTCTTTCGAAGAACTTGTCAGCTCAACACAGTCCGTTTTGTCTTCTATGCTTCCCTTTCACCATACATCCCTAAGAGAGGTAAAGAAATGTCTTCAATTGAAGGATCTCTTCAATGTTCTATTCGTTTACACACATCATGAAAAGGATACTCCTGACCAGAAGATCAATTGGGACATGGAAATAAAAAGTACCGGCACTGAATTTCCATTAGCCTTCGAAGTTGAAAAATCAAAGGATGATACGTTAATAATTAATTTAGCAACTTCTTATAAATATGTGGAAGGTCTTGAAACTTCTTCCCTTCTAGCCATGTTCGAAGAATATTTTTTGACGGTCATAAACGAGCCCAACACGACTTTTAAACCTCAAGAAGCTAATGCTTTAAAACAAAGTACTCTTGTTGAGTACGAAATCCCTGAACATTGGAACCCAATTTTACGACTTTTAATTGATATATTGTCTGAGAAGGTCAAGGTTTCCGTCGAAGATTTTAAAAAAAATACATACATATATGAACTTGGTATTGACAGCATTGACTTAATCTGGCTTTCCTCAAAACTTTCAGCGGCTGGATCATCTAAGTTTGACTTGGGCCTGTTTATGACTGATCCGACCTTGTTTCAAATGCTAAAGCTAGTAAATGATAACACAACAAGTATTAAACAGTCATCGGAGATTGATGTGAAAAAGAACGGCTTAGTGGATAGGACGAAGACATTGTATAACACGGATGATTATGAGGATTGTTACATGACTACTCATTTGCAAAGGGGATTATTAATGGAGACTTTGAATGACTCTTCTCTTTATCAGAATAGCGCAATATTCCAAATCGATTCCCTTAATATCGAACGCCTTAAAGAAGCATGGGTTGCGATGATCTATGACAATCCAATCTTGAGAACAAATTTCAAACTTACTGACATAGGTAATACCCCAGCAGTGATACAGGTAGTTGAGAAAGCTCCTACTTTTGATTATGAATCTCATATAATCAAGGAAATTTTCTATTTTGATGAACTAAAGGATGCCAAGGAGTATCTCAAATTGAAACGTGATTTTCCTAATCCATTTGAGACATGTCCTTATAGAGTTACCTTTTTTACTGTCAAGGACAGTCACTATATGTGTGTTGAAATGCACCACGCTTTATACGATGGATGGAGTTTATCCCTAATGTACGATGAGCTGTTGTGTCGTTACAGACACGAGAATGTCCCAACACGCAGACCATTTGGTAAATTTGTTGCTCAAGTCAATAATATTAGTTATGACTTAGAGTTTTGGTCTACTTATTTGAAGAACTTGAACGTTATAAGACCTTTGCGAAGAGTTGGAAATAAAGGAAGACATACTTGGGGGGCTTATTCTTCAGTATCTTACTTAAAATTGTTAAGTGCTTCCAAGGTATATGGGGTAAGTATTCAGTCTTTGATTTTCTACGCTTGGGGAGTCTACATAAGCCGTCTGTATCATTCTTCAGATATTATATTCCATACAGTTTTTTCAGGAAGAACTAAAATTGAAGGCGCCGACAGTGTTCTTGGTCCCTGTATGAATACTATACCCGTTAGAATAAAGATTGAAGATCAAAAAAAGGTGTTGAGGAAACTCACGCGCGAACTAATTCAACTTTGGAATCAGCAGCATACGCCCCTTTCAATAATTAACTCAAGTTGCCCACTTCTTCAAAATGTTCCTGTGCAAAGTATCCTTGTACATCAACGTTTACCGAAAGAGAGCGATGGTGATAATGCATTAAAACTTGTCGATGAATCAACAGGTATCAATTATCCTATTGCAATGGAATTTTCAAACACTGAGTCTCAGCTGGAATGGTTTGCCTCAGTGGACAGTTCTTTCGTTCCGCATCAAGATGCTAAAGATATGATTAATCAGGTTGATTTGATTTTGAGTCATATCGTTAACGGAAAACTAGATGTAAAGACCACTGAACCGACAGATGTAATCTCTTTCCGAGGGTACAGCATAAGCTATTCTGATTATAAAGAAGCTTTAATAGACTCAAGTTCGGAATTTCGACTTCTTTTGGTTGACGATCATACTTCCTTACTGTTCGTTCCTTTCGGTGAAGCCTATGATCAAATTTATCTACACTTGACCGATTCTACAAAGAAATCTTTAAAGAAAATAGCTAAGGAATGTCGGATGAAGTTACCACCTTTCTTGATGCCAAACTTCTTAGTACCTGTAACGGGCATCTCAAGGCTACCAGAAGAAAAGGTGCATGCTGAGCTTCTTAATTTATTTAATTCCTTTTCTGAGGAAGATACCGAACAATTACAGGACGTTGTGGAAGTTCACGATGCACGACTTGAATCTGTACTTATACACAATTTATCTTCGTCATTAAATATTCCTTCTCATTTAATAGATCGTTCAGTTACATTTATGGAACTAGGATTGGATTCAGTTCATGCAATTAAATTCAGTTCGTTACTGAGGAACAGTGGTATCCCGGTAACTGTTCCAAATATACTTCAAAACCCTTCAATTCAATTCCTTGCTCATTACATTTTGTTTGAGTTGGAGGATTCAACTGAAGATAATAATGTAATGGAATTTGGTAACTTACTAGATACCATTCCTGGAAGCTCGTCTACAAAACAAATTAGCATAGCTGATATCTTGCCTTGTTCCCCTGGTCAATTGTATGCTTTGAGTGCATGGTATAATACAAACAAACTCAAGTATTTTACAACCTTCCTTTATTTGACTGATAGAATGATAGACATTGAACGGCTTAAGGCTGCATGGCAGAAACTTGTGAAAAGCTCGGATATCCTTCGAACGACATTTGTGAAATCAACTAATGAAAACTTCCAGATATTGCAAGTCTTGAATCACGAAGGCGATATACCTTGGCAACATCAAACAGAAAGTGAAAAAGACGTTGAAGCGGCTTCTTTAGCACTTGTTGAAGAGGAGATGTATTTGAATACTACGCTTAATGAGACGCCATTACGCATCAGATCTATTATAATTGAAGGAAAGTTATTGTTAAGTATAAGCATTCACCATGCATTATACGATGGCTGGAGTATAAATATCTTACTCCAGCGTTTGTCAATATTATATGATAATCCACATTTGGTACCAATTGATGAAAGTTCATCTAAATCAATCGTGTCCAAAATTTACAACTCGAAATCCATTACCTCTTCAAAGAGCTTTTGGAGTAATCATTTGGCGGGCTGTCAGCCCTGCGTTTTACCAGAAACACTAGGAGATTCGTGTAATAAAGATATATACCTGTATCTTCCTAGCGTCTTTGACGCCAGTTCTTTATTAAAGAAAGCCCGATCGATGAATATAAGTTTACAAAGTATGGCGTTTACGGCTTTTGCATGCGTCTTGAATAAATGGACTAAACAAAATAACTTTACATTCGGTGTATATGTATCTGGAAGATCCCTGAATATTCCGAATGCAGATTCTGTGTTATACCCACTTTTTAATGTCATACCTTTAAACGTTAATTTGAACGAATCTGTTTCAACGCTGGCAAAAAATATTCAAAACTTCATTATTCAGACGTCAGGTGCTTTACAGCAATTGAGCGTTAAGGATCACCCTATGCCTGGACTAATTGACATAACTATCAACTTTTTTTCAGGCAGTGAAGTTACGGAACCAAATATCTTTACTCCCTACGAATTGAAGACGAAGCCACACTTCGACAAATCGCGCAAGATCGTCAGTAGCACTATAGATGGGTGCGATGTCTTGAAAAATCCTATGCCCAAACTGGATTTCGAATTGGCTGTTCGCAACGGGATGTTGGACTTGGGAATATTTACCCATTCCTCCATATTGTCAGAAAGCAATTCAGATAAATTTGTTAGAGATTTTCTTACAGTCTTAAAAGGTTTTTAGATTATTGATAACGAAAACCCAGCAATAATATTAATCTACGGTTAAAACACTTTGAGTAAATAAGGAGCCAGCCGCTTAGAGGGGCAGAAATATTTATTTAATTAGTAACTTGCATTTTAAATGTACAGATATGATATCTTATAATAAGTGCTCTAGATTTTGTGATTTTTAGTGAATAGGCGCGGAGCGATATTCATAGACATCAGTTCTTGGAAAAGAAGCTTAGCGGCATAAGGAAGATAAATTTGACTAAATCTCGTGCGGTTTTGACAAGATCGACACTCATAAGAATTCTTTTTATAGCTTGCAATAGCCACCAAGCCACATAGATCGCAAACCACGACCCTATAAGCATCTGAGCAGTCAAACAAACGCTCTCGCATAACACTACTGCATCCGTGAGAAATTTGACAATCTCGTTCCATTTCACCGAAACGTAAACCACCGTCTCGAGAACGTCCTTCGACTGGTTGTCGGGTTAGAATCTGAACTGGACCTCTAGCACGAGCATGAATTTTATCATCTACCAAGTGCTTCAATCGTTGATAATATGTAGGGCCAAGGAACACTTGTGAAACTAGCTTTCTTCCGGTATGGCCGTGATACATTACTTCAAAACCACGAGACTGAAAGCCATGAGAACGTAAAAGTTTTGAAACTGCTTCTACTGTAACATCTGTAAATGGTGTAGCATCACCTTCGAAACCTGACAACGCAGAAACTTTGCTTAGTTGACATTCAATTAAGTGTGCGACTGTCATTCGTGATGGAATTGCATGAGGATTGATAATAACATCAGGCACAACACCTTGGGCAGAGAAAGGCATGTCTTCGTGACGATAGGTCATACCAATTGTACCTTTTTGACCGTGTCGAGAAGCGAATTTATCACCAATCTGAGGGACTCTTGTACTACGCATTCTAACCTTAACGAATTTGAGACCTTCTTGATTTGTAGTAACCAATACTTGATCCACAATACCGCTTTCAGTACTTCGGAGTGGAGTAGAAACATCACGCTTAGCATGCAATTGAGTTCGTTGTCCCATTTCTTCATTATCCACAGGTATTGGAGCTGTTTTTCCGATAATTATATCATCTCCTGATACACGAGTACCGGGAGCGATGAGACCATCATCTTCAAGTTTGTCATAAGTACCATGCTTCATTCGAAGAGTGGTAGATCTAGCAGGACGTTCAAACTCTTCCATGACAGTCATACCAATCTTCTTTTCTTGATCTGTATAAGTTCGGTAAAAGATACTGCGGAATAAACCACGATCAATACTAGCTTGGTTCATAATGATAGAATCTTCTTGATTATAACCACTGTAACACAAAATGGCAACGATAGCATTCTGACCAGCAGGTAGCTCTCGGAATTTTAGATATTCCATAGATCGAGTTGTTGCCAATGGCTTTTGAGGATAATACAAAATGTTAGCCATTGTATCCATTCTAACTTGGTAATTGGTTAAGTAAACACCCATAGCTTGTTTACCCATTGCTGACTGATAAGTGTTACGAGGCGATTGATTGTGGTCTGGGAAAGGAATGATACTCGCCAGGATACCAAGGATCATAGCCGGATGAATTTCACAATGGGTATAAGTATGCACATGTGGGTTAGGAGCGGGTTTAACTCTTTGTGCTGGGTCCAACTCTTCTTTAACTTCGTAGCCAGCATTCATTTGACGAGAAGCTTCAAGGTCCTCTGGGGTCATAGCAATCATTACTGTTTCTTCTTCTTCAGCATCCAAGTATTCAATTAATCCACTGGAAACTAAAGCAGTCCAGCCAAATTTTTGTTCTGGATCAATATCGAAACGGTCACGATCTTCGATTAATTGCTGGACGTGTTCTTTACGGATAGCAAGTTCTCCCCTGGTTTCGCTGTTAGGATCGTTATCGACAATAAATAGTGGACGGCAAATACGGCCAGCATCAGTAAAGAGTCGAAGCTCCTTTTCTCTGATATCTCGAACAATACTAACTTCCGCTGATATATCAAGACGTCGACGCAAGCTTCTTAAAGTATCTGTCAGATGAGCTGGGTCACGATGGACACCCAACCAAACACCATTAACAAACACTTTAGTAGCATTCGGAGATGCGGAAGGATTAAAATCTTCCAAACTTTCTAAACCCCATTCTTCCAAAAATTCAATAATAGGTGCAGCCGGTGAGCCGACTGAGACGTAACTCATAAGCGCCAAGTTCTTTACCAAACCACATGCTTGACCCTCAGGCGTTTCAGCTGGACAAACCATACCCCAATGGGTATTGTGAAGCTGACGGGGTTTTGCGAGTTTCCCATCTCTTCCAATAGGAGTGTTGGTTCGTCGCAAATGAGATAAGGTAGAGGCGAACGTATATCTATTAAGGACTTGTGAAACACCAACTCTGTTCATCATGCTTCTCTTTTGATCACCCCAGTTACCGGTTGCTAATGAATAACGTAAACCGTTAGTTATGGTATTGGATTTGACAGCCAAAGTAAGATTAAATTCTCGGTTAGTTTCGACACATTTCTGCATATACTTGTAAACATCACGCGTCATTTTTCTAAAGAGCATTCTAAACAAAGATGCTAGCAAAGGACCAGCAAGATCTAGACGCTTTCTTCCAAAATGATCACGATCGTCGGGCTCACGGCGTTCCAGCGCACAAAGAAGCATACGATTAATCATATAACCCAAAAAGAATGCTTTTCTAGTTTCGAAACCTTCCATGGTCGTAATATGGGGTAATAATTCCTTCTGAAGAATATCATGAGCATAACGAAGACGTTTCTCTCGAGTGACACCAGTTGTACTTCCACGTTTACCGATAAAATCTAAAGCAATATCTTTGTCTTGAATAACAAAAGCCTCTTCAATGCAGGGTTTCATCATTTCCAGCATTTGTAAATCATTTGGATCATAACATATGTGTTCTAAAATATCACGGTCTGGTACGACGCCTAATGCGCGGAAGACAATGACGATAGGAATATCACTACGGATATAAGGTAAAGTAGCTCGAATAGTTTGACCGGAATTTTCCGCATTTCGAGCCATTAATTTGATTTGCATAGAAGAAATTAATCGACTGCCCCGTTCGACAGCAGACCTAATTTCGGCAACAAGAGCAATTGGACTAGGAGCAGCTTTACGAAATACCTGAACAATATTGGCAGCAGACCGTTCTTGTGCAATAATAACCTTTTCTGAACCATTAATAATGAAATAACCACCCTGATCGTATGGACATTCATTAAGATCATAAAGCTCGGCATCGCTAACACCGTTCAAAATACAAAAGGTGGAGCGTAACATAATAGGAATTTTTCCAATAAACACTTTTGAAGGATCTTCATCTTCTTCTTCAACGAGCCATTCTTCCTCACCGATAGGGACGTTTGAGTCGGCAGCTACCATGACCTTTTTACGCATATCCACGTAAAGAGGAGAAGAATAAGTAAGATTACGAAGTCGAGCTTCTTGTGGGAACATAGTAGTCGTACTGCCATCGGCTTCTGTCATAGTAGGTCTCGAAAGATAGATTTGTCCAAAGTTAATTTCGTAACGACGAGTAACATCGCCTTGAGCACCAGTATGCTGAGCATATTGATCTAAAGTCAATGTAGAGTCATCGTCGACAATCTCTTGCATAGTATTTTGGACAAATTCATCAAAAGAGAACAACTGCTGACGGGCCAGAGATGTCTCCTCAAAAAACGACGAGATCACCGTCCAACAATCTTCTTGAGTCAATGTCTCATTGTATTGATCTATTTTCTGTTAGTTATGCCTTTTTTTTACTACTTACAATCCTCATAAGACATTCTTTACCGTGATGGCAAACGCAGCAGGGAATGTTGGCGGTGAGGAAAACTTATGCTAGGGGAAGGTAAATCGCTCCTAGTTTACTAACACCAATTTATTCCGTGGCAATCCTCTTGTAAACGATTGAAAATAAATAAAATAAAATAAAAAAAAAAAATTTTCAAAGTTTTATGGAAAACCACTTTTTTATAGACGGTTTCTTCTCAACTTTTCTATTCAGGAAAGAATCCATTTAATAAGCGTGTTGCAATGCGCAAAATGCTTTTGCATACTCCATTGGATCTTATGAAATTCAACTAAGTAAAACGATTATTTATGGTATTATGTTTTGGGTCTTGCAGTGGAAGCTGAATAATTATATGATGAGTATAGGTCTGCTTGGTACTTTTAAAGCTAACGGCTTGTCTTATTTCATCAATGTGTGTCTTGTGACAAAAGACTTTGAGCATAGAAAAGCAAAACCGCTGCGACTTTCTGCGTCGCACCAAAAAGAAATGAACATTCTTTCGATTTAAATATCTTTTACACAACAGTTTTTATTCCAGTGCTTTAAGCATACTGAAAAAGTCACTTTTATTACCCGACAAAATTTTACAGTTTTATTTACGAAATAAAAAAACAAATACGGAATCCATATATTCCTCCCTTCTGAAGCTACAAACAAAATAGAGATACGCTTCTATACTCCTTACTTCTTGGGGGCCATACGACGAAGGTAAAAGTGCAACTCATCACCCTCAAGAATATAGCCATCACAGCGACCAGATTGGCCAGGGCGAGAAGAAACACAAGCGTACAAACGGCCAGCAGCGAATTGAGACTCCATAGCAGGATCAACCTTGGAGCTACCGACACGAGCACCAAGCTTGCGTTGGACGTGCTTGGACTTGGGGGTGGCAGTAGGAGTAGCCTTCTTACCCTTGCCGCCCATCAAGATGCCGTAATGAGTTTCATACCAAACACGGAAAGGAGCAGCATCAACTTGGACGATGGCAGACTTGGTCAAAGTGTTGGTACGAACCAACTCGTTGTTGGAAGGGTGGTAGGCGACTTGGATAATACGGGTCTTCTTAGCGACACCCTCAGAGCCCCAGGAGAAGTTACCAGATTCTAAACGAAGAGCACGGAACTTCTGGTTACCACCACGAACGCGGACTTCGTGAATACGCTTAGCACCAATACGAGTGTTGGCAGCTTGACGACCCAACTCGAATTTTCTCTTCTTGCGGTATTGAGCACGCTTGGCACCCGAAGCGGAGCGCTTGTGGCGGGAATCTCTGGTAATACCCATCCTGTTCTATTTGGATTAAGATTTGCTGTGGTTTCAACGGAGGAAGGTTTTGCTAGTCATCGTTTGTGTTGTGGTGTGACTGCTCTTTTGGGGTAGCAAACAGAGGATTGTGATTTACCGCACCATACAAAAAAACACTAAATGCGGTAAAACCTACTACCTAAAGATTCTTCAACTATTTCATTTTTTTATAATTTTTTTTTCTTTATTTTTTAGTTTCCAATTTTTTTCATTTTTTTTTAACCCTTGTAAACTTTTCGTGGTTTAATGTAGCGTAACGAGGAGATTGAATATTCATGAAGAGCTGAATTATCGTTTATATGCAGAGGAAACATTATATTTTCAATCAAATATTGAAATAAATACGATTTCTTTTAATTATCTTGAGAGATTTTCTTCATTCAGATTTAGAAACGTAAAACGAAATTTGTTCCAGGTAATTTGTATACCACCTACTATTACGTGTAGTATGTAAGGTAAGAAAAGAACAAATGCTTTCGAATGTTGTAGATGCTCTTTTGTATTTGGTGGTCGTCTTCTATTCGCAGTTAAAAGAGATATTCATATTTGAACGGATCAGAAGCTGGAAATCTAGGGTCACTTTTGGAAAGTCACCAAAAAAAAACAAAGAAAAAATATTTCTAACATCATCTCATTGTGGACTTTCCTTAAGAAGGGGATCTCTTTTTATAAAAAAGCCAACCTGTACAATCTTTTTCTAAGATCAAAAAATGTGTTATTTTACCAAGAAAAAACAAAAAGACACCATGTTTAGTGCTTTTTTCTCTCTTTTTTTTTTATATAAACAAACCGACATCATATTTTCCCTATTGGTTCGTTTATGAGTACTTTGTTTACGAAGCGAAACCCCGCAATCAACAACAGATCGCCGAGTCATTCATACCGCCTTTATCCCTTTCCCTTTCATTCATATGTGAACAACTAACCTCCAATTTCTTAGCTTCCAGACATATTTCTTCTAGTTTATTTTAGATCTTTAGAAACAAATTTCAGTGACCGGTAATTGTGTCCATTGAAACCATCAATTGTTCCTGTTGATTTACCTTTTCACTACTTTGTATAGTTGTGATTAACTAAAATAAATTTCTTCTTTAAGCGGAAGTAGGATTAATTTTACATGTCAAGCAGTCAAGACTGTAACCATTCCCAATCCGGTGATTCTGCAAAAACGATTACTCAAAATACAATGCACCCTGATACTTCCAATGGTACCAAATCCCACCGTTATGTGCCCAATGGGTCCATTTCTAGTGAAGATTTAGGTGATTTTGTTATGCCGGAAGTACACGAACCTGATTCTGGTAATGCGAACACATCTCATCCATATGGCTCACAGGAAGATCCGCGCCAAGCGAGCCGCGTCCAGAGAAAAATTTCATCAAACACCGACCCCGTAGGACCATCGTCTTCTTCGGTAGATAAAAACATTGCTTATGAATACCGTCCATACACGAGCCTAAGTATGTACCGTCCAAAACAGGATGGCGATTTCTACCCGTCGGCTCAGTCGCCTCATTCCCCGGATCAAAGAGCGGGACCAATGAATCTTTCAAAAGGACGTCAAACTACCTCTTCCGTCAAATCAGAAGAATCACTCAACCTGAAAGCCCGTCAAAATGCTATTAACGAAACAAGGGCTTTTGGTATTCGTCTTTGGAAACCTGCCCTTTACAAAAAGCTTCGCTCGGTAAACCGCGATGCTGAAATCGACATCCATGATGAACCTTTAAAGCGCCCTAGTAAATCTATATCCAATTGGATTTGGTTTACCTGTTTTGGGATTCCTCTCTTTTCTGTCATGTTCCTCTGTTTCCTTTTCTTCTCTTTACTTTCTTATTTTAATTTCCCTTACGCTATATTGTACAGGCGACTCTGTCGTGGTCTAATGTGGTACCTTTTGTATCCTTTTGGTCAGCATGTCCGTCATAAGGTTCGCCCAAGAATCGCCAATTCACCTACCCATGGAAGACGAAGAAGAAGAAGTAGCTCCCAACAAGCAGATAATCTGCGCCTGAATTTCTTGACCTTTTCTTTCTGCGAAAATCCAATGAATAGAGCTTTAGACTGTGATGCTTCTAAAGGCCCATTTAGCGTTTCCATGGTCATTTATTATACTTTCTTTTATTTACTTATTACGCCATCTCTTTTACTGGTCTCTGCTATTTGTATGTTTAGTATATTCTTTATTCCATGTGCGCGCACTTTATGGACCTTGTGGAAGCATTTACATACTTGCCCTCTAGCTATATCATTCAGGAACAATATCGCTCTACCAATCTCGCATGAGTCATTGGAGGTTGTGCTTTTGTGCGTGAAGCAAGCTGCCAGTTCCAAGTATTACAAGTATACAGTCGATGGAATCTATATTATTTATTATGATATGCTTGCTTTAATTTTTCCAACAATCATCGTTGGTTTTGTTGGTCCCAAGGGCTACTGGTTTTCATCTCCAATGGTTATATTTACAGCATCCTTAATCAGTATTATTCCGCTTGCTTACTTTATCGGAATGGCAGTTGCATCTATCTCAGCTCAAAGTAGTATGGGTATGGGAGCATTTATTAATGCCTTCTTTGGTTCTGTTATCGAGGTTTTTCTTTATTCTGTGGCCTTACGCAAAGGAAATGCTCAGCTTGTTGAAGGAAGTATTATCGGTAGTATTTTAGCTGGTTTATTGTTGATGCCTGGTTTGTCGATGTGTGCTGGTGCAGTAAGGAAGAAATTCCAATTCTTTAATATCAAGTCTGCTGGTGCCACTAGTACAATGCTTTTATTTGCTGTCCTCGGTGTTTTCGCGCCGACCATGCTATTTCAAATCTACGGTAGTTTTACATTAGAATGTACTAGCTGTGGCCCTGAATGCAAGACATGTACAAAACGATTTGTACTACTTAATGACGATTTTTATCAAGAAAGGATTCGCCCTTTTACTTATATTTGTGCTGTTTTACTCCTGTTGTCCTATGCCATCGGTCTATGGTTTACGTTACGAACACACGCTGCCCATATTTGGGAAAATATAAATGTCAACGAAGCTTCCATAATTTTAACGAAACCTGAAGACAATAATAATGAAGAGAATCATAATGATCATGAAGACAATGACGCAGAGTCAACCTCGCGAGAGCCTCTAGAGTGTTCCGCTGACTATACTTCTTCTGATACTTCTTCCATTCAGGAGTTTGGTAGAGCTCAACAGAAACCATACAGTTCCGAACCACTGAGCCATCTTGCGAAACAGCCCGAGGGACACGGTGAAGACGCACCAAATTGGTCTCGTCTCAAAAGTGCCGTTATCCTTTTGTCAGCAACGTTTGCGTATGCGCTTATTGCGGAAATATTAGTCCAAAATGTTGATACCGTGATGGTCAAGTACTCAATTAGTGAAAAGCTTCTTGGATTAATATTGTTTGCTCTTGTTCCCAATACTACAGAATTTATGAACGCTATATCGTTTGCACTTAATGATAATATTGCTTTGTCAATGGAAATTGGTTCAGCTTACGCGTTACAAGTGTGTCTGCTGCAGATACCTTGCCTTATGGCATACAGTGCCTTTGAATACCATAGTTCCGGTGCAACATTGACTTTCGAACATCTATTCACATTGATATTTCCCAGTTGGGACATGATATGTATTATGATTTGTGTATTTTTACTGACTTACGTTCACTCTGAAGGAAAAAGTACATACTTTAAAGGGTCTATTTTGGTACTTGCCTACTTGGTGTCGATGTTCGGATTTATGTTTTTTAATGTTTAAAATGATCCCTCTTACAGGAGTACTGAATTATAAGAAAAGAAAAAGGAAGCAAAATATACATGTATAGCAAAGAAGTAATATTGCGTGGATTTCATTTCATTTATCATGATTGTAAGAAGAAACGTCCTTTTTCTAGTTCTAAAGATAGACAGAATGAACAATTATTTCTAATAAAGGATATATCTAAGCTTGCTTGTATAGATGGTAGGAGCCAGCCTGTTGGTTAGGGAATACCAAAGTGTCAGCAATGACGACGCTAGGACGACGAGAAACAGTAAAAACAATAACTTCGGCAATGTCTTCTGGGATTAAAGGTTCGTAACCCTTGTAAACGTTGCCTGCTTTCTCGTGGTCACCAGAGTAGCGGACCATACTGAACTCAGTCTCAACTTGACCAGGATCAACCTCCATTACACGGATACCAGTATCGATGGTTTCCTTGCGCAGAGCGGAAGTAAATTGAGCAACAGCTGATTTGGTAGAGCAATAGACAGATCCTCCCGGATAGGATTCTCTACCTGCAATACTGCCAACATTGACAATGTCACCCTTGCCTTTCTTGTAGTAAAGAGGTAAGATAGCACGAGTCATAGCCATCAAACCAAGAACGTTTGTAGTCATCATACGAACGGCATCATCAACTTTAAGGTCCTTAACCCTGTCAACACCAATGGCAAGACCAGCATTGTTCACCAAGACATCAATATCGGCAAAGTCCTTTGGCAAGTTCTCAATGACTTTAGGAATTGATTCCAAATCCGACACGTCCAATTTGATAGGAAGAACAGAGACAGAATACTTGGAATGTAAATCTTTAGCAATCTCCTCGACGGTAGGAAGACGACGAGCACCTAAAATCAACTTGACCTTGGCAACCTTTGCAAATTCGTAAGCTGTGCTCTTACCAATACCGGAAGAGGCACCTGTTATGAGAATAGTTTTATTATCCAAGCGACTCATGTTATATCAACCTTCAACTTCCAAGAAGAGAGAACTTGGGAAAAGAAAGATTCATTATATTCCTTTCTTTTAAGCACACTATATGATATCATTTGAGATATCATATTGGGGTTCGTTAGATAGTAAGATAAATAATGGAGAACTGATAAATTTCTTAACAGTTGAGATGAAAGAATTAAAAATCATGTTTATTCTTTTCTTTTCTTTTTTCTTCAAAAAATGCGATTTTGATTGAAACAGGATCTTGAATATTACAAAAGCTAAGCATTACTATCGTTTACAATGAACAAATGGTACTCCATACCAAATTGGCGAACCAAAATAAAATCGTGCACGCCTAAGTTTTATGTCTGCATTAGAATTCCTTTCATTTAAACATTTTTCTTTTCTTTCAAAGCTTTCGGTTGAGCAATTTCAATTATTTCCAATGGAAAAAAACAGTACACAGATTCACACTACGAAGCAATAATTGAGAAAATATTTTGAACTTTTGTCTTGACGTACCTGGTACTTTTTATGTTTACCGTTGACATCTTTGAAAACTTGGAATCTGTCGCTAATAAAATAATGGTACATGTTTGTGGTTTTTCTTGACCACTCATTTAACTACATTGTACCTTTTCTTGGGAGATTCTTAAAGCCACCTTTTTGCCTAAAACACCCAACTTAAGGTAAATGAATGTTTCATTTACCTGTTTATTTATTTATTTACTTTATTGTGATCTCAAACACCAAGGCACTAAATAGAATAACGCGTTGCAAACCAAGACGCTAAAAACCTCCACCATGGTAAACTTGTGGTTTTTACAAACCATTCGTCTTTGGGATTCCTTCGTTAAATTTCGATTTCTCATTCTTTTAATTTAAATTAAATTAAATTATTTTTTGATTGAGCTGTATGCTTCGACTGAACGACGACGAGCATCCTAATGAATATGTAGTCTTCATAACAGCCGTTAAAGATGCACAGGAACGATTTGCGAAGGATTATTTAAATCGAATTGCTGCTATGGCATTTCCGATTATGAAAAACAATGGGTTTGGTATTACATCCTTGGATGAAGTGACCTATAATTCTCAGTTTTGGGGTAGAAATTGGAACAGAGGCGAATGTGTAGAGTTGGTGTTGCGAGATTCTCGCGGGAATTGGTTGCCTTTTGAGTTTGTTATGGATGTGTTTTTACACGAACTCTGTCACATCTGGCGTGGCCCTCATGATAAAACCTTTTATAATCATCTCTCTCATTTGCGCCAAGAGTTAACGGAGCTTTATGCAAAGAGCTATAAAGGCCCAGGGAAGTATATGACATGGGACTCATTTTCTCTTGCCAATGTCGTTGCGGGACTTCGCACAGTTGCTCATCGGGGGGTCACCTTGACATCCAGTACACCCAGTGGTATCGACCTGTGCGGTGGCTCTCTCCAACGAAAGAGAAACAAACGTAGTGCCACAGGATCACGAGTAGGAAGAAAGAAAAACGCAAAAACTGGTCAGAAACTTGGATCCAACTTGGACGAAAGGAAAAATATGCTTCAGTCCACCTCAAAACCCCAGGCAAGGAGTAATCGAGGAAGAGAAGCAAGACTTGTTGCTGCTGTCAAAAGATCTGGCCCCCATATTGAAAACCCTACTGAAGCTCCACCTGCAGCCAAACAAAAGACACTGAATAATTTTATTGTCATTGATTAAGTTTCATCTATATGTATAATTTCTTTACTTTTCTTCATGTCCCTGTCCCTGTCCCTGTTCCTTTTATATTACTTTAGTTCATGCTAAAATTGTTTCTATCATTTACTTTGTAAGATGATTCTGAAAAAGTTCGCTTGCTCCGATGACTCAGTTTACTTTACACTTTATGCATGCTTGCAACTATGGTTCCGGCGTTTGGTTTAATGTTGGTTAGGAAGTTCGGTCGATAGTAGGAAGAAAGAAAAACAACATAAGAAAGCTTTTATAATTTACAACATTCATAAAGACTCAGAGTGACTATATGAAGCATATGGTTTGAGGTATTTGAGTTTACGATGTCTCGTAACATCAAAACATTGTATATTAGAAAAGCACTTTCACTCAAATGAAAGAGATTTATTTATGTTTTACTATCATAAGTTATAACCAAGTGTATCTAATTTGATCATATGTAGCTTCACTTTTCACATTGTTCTTTTGACATATGTTCATCACAGATCGTAGTCTCCTTATTCTTTTACTTCATTCATAAATCAAGCAAGTAGATGTCCATTCTCAAATAGTAAAGTCTATGCTTCATCTAGAAAACTAGTAACTCATTTTCATAAATTAATAAAACATGTACAAATATTCACATTACTTTTTTCGTGGTTTCATGTACAATTTCTTTCGATTCCACTCCACCAAAGAAAAGTTATTACATGAGCGAAATCAAAAGTTTTGGAGAAAATGAGACGATAGAAAGACACATTATTCAACCGCCAATTCCTAAAGCGTTAAAAAAGTATTGGAACAACCGATACAATTTGTTTTCACGATTCGATGAAGGAATTTGGTTGGACTACCAATCCTGGTATAGTGTTACGCCAGAGTATGTAGACTAATATGCTTCTTGCTTTCTTGCTCGTAGGGAAGCAGCTCATGTGATGTCTTTTAAATCTGCCATCTTTGTAAAGCAGACAAACTAATGCCTGTTCAGACGAGTTGCGTATAACATTGCTCAATCTATATATGAATCTCATCAACCTGAATTGATTATTGATGCTTTTTCTGGTTGTGGAGGAAATACAATCCAGTTCGCCAAGTTCTGTCCAGGTATGTACATTCCTCCGTATTTCGTGTATTTCCGCTAATCATGTTGCTAGTTATTTCAATTGAGCTTGACCCAATAAAAATTGCTATGGCCAAGCACAATTTAAGTGTATATGAAATCCCTGCGTCTAGAGTCACATTCATACAAGGAGATGTATTAGAAGTATTAAGGTCCATTGACTTTGCTTCTCAATTTAGAGTACGTTTTTCTTTTTGTGAATCATGTTGACTAAACGTGTTTCTAGACAATAATTTTCATGAGTCCACCATGGGGAGGTCCTAGTTATTCAGGCAAATCTACATATTCTTTAAATGACTTAATTCCTTACACATTTGACATTTTGTATAAAGAGGCTGTTCGTATTACACCCTACATTGCCGCTTTTCTTCCCAAGAACACTGATATTGATGAATTGGCTCAATATAGCACCGATAAAAATCGCATTGTGATTACAAATTTCCTTTATCAAGGCTATTCTAAGGCTATCTGTTGCTACTTCAGCATGAAAAGTGTCTTGACTTCTAATGCTCTTCAACAAGTCTAAATCTAGAAGCTACACCATACTATATGAGCTTACACAAAACCATCAATTGTCCGTTCCTGATTCGGTATCATCCCAAAAATTAATTCATTAACTAAAAATAGCGATTAAGTTTTAACATGTCATAGGACACTTTTCGTAAATGCAAATAATAAAAATTACCTCGACATTAGTTTCTATCAAGCATGGTAGCCAATCCACCTTCAGGTCTTCCAAACAGTGGACATATCTTGTTGGTCTTCATATGACCGACTTGACCGCAGTTGCTGCATTTACGAGTAGTAGGCTTTTTGCCTTCTCCATTAATGGTGATACCTTCCTTAGCAGCATGACGAGCTCTTCTACGTTCCCAATTCTTTTGACTTTTTGCGAGTTCTTGTTCCAATCTTTTACGATTGCGTCTATCAATCGCTTCGTCTCCTGTAGGAACAACGGCATCTAAAGCAGTAGATTGTTCATCAATTTCTCTCCGCTTTTTCAAGTATGCATGGATAACAATAGGATCGTGAACAACCTCTTGTTTTCGATCCCAATTTCCATTGCGATCCTGGTATACTCGAACTATTCGAAGAACCTTATCTGTTGAAGGAGTTGCTTCCCTTGGAGTTTCCTCCGTTTCAAGATAATCTTCATATTTGTTTCTTATTTTATACTTCCTTGCCAATTCATCAGTGCTTGAAATAGCAAGGCCACGCTTTTGAGCGTTCCAAATCCTGTTGATTTCTTCTTCGTAGGCCTGCTGTTGCTTGGCAACATTGTAGGCGTGCGCGTTCTTCGTCTGTGGCTCAGGTCTATCATCCGATTCACCAGCAGGTTTGAAACCACCTTTCATACTAGTACGGATAAAGCTGTAGCCTTCGCCAATGCCAGTCGGATCTCCCTCACCGAAAAGGGTAAGCATGGCTTTTCCTTGTGTAGCATTAATGAAATTTCTAGTCGTTATCCATGGTGCTAATAGTTGCTCTGCAGGCTGTTCTTCTTCATCGTCATCATTTATCTCGTCAATTGTTTTACCATATCCAGCATCCTCTAATTGCTGAACACCAACTTGCATGCTCTCTAAAAGACATACAGTTTCAGGCGAAACCATTGACCTCGTACCAGCCTCATCAGGAACAACCTCATTCGATTTCAACTTCCAATAACCAGGTCCATCTCCCTTCTTCTTATATTCCATGAACTCTTTAAGTCTTTGACGAATTTGCATCTCATTCTGATCCGAAAAATGCTGCGAGAGCTGTCTAATAAAAAGACCCCCGGTTGGCGATCGCCTGATTAATCTAAACACAAGCATTTTCAAACGGTTCTTGCTTGCAGTAGTCACTTTTCGAGAATGTGGACCAGGAACATCAGTAACAGGAAAAGTTTGTCCACTCACGAAGATATGATTTATGTTTTTCAAATAGTACTTCGAGCCATAACTGCTAGAATTTCGAATTAAAATGAAATCGGTTGGAGGAAGTTCATGCTTGAACAAAGGAGCACGAATCATCTTATTATATAGTGTAGGGGTTATTTCTCCTGGTTCTACAGAACCAAAATTCCAAAAAGGACTTCTGTCCTGAACGTCTAGAACATGACTTTCACCAACTTCTAACTTGGGCCGCGATTCGTCCTGTTCGTTCTTTTTTCGATAATAATTCACAATCCTACTAGCCATTCCAACATTCGAAAGGACAGGAGGATGTTCTTCAGAGAATTCTACCAAAATAGCATGCGTGGTATCACCCATAGTCATGTCTTTCGTATTTGGAATAAGACCTCTTTCCGATTTATGTTTATCCTTGCTTTTCTTGCGGACATTCAAAGGAGAGAATACAATAGCAGCATTTGGCTTAAAAGACATAGTTGGCCTATGAAAGCTTCGCACAGCTCTTTTACTTAGCCTAGTCTTATAGTATGGGAATGTCAGCTTCTCAGCGAACGCGGCATGCTCAATAGCAAGCTGAGACAAGGTATTTCTAACCTTAGATTGATGATTTTGCTTGAGCATTTCATAAGCGCTATCGTTAGATAAGTTGTATTTCCAAGAAAAGGAATTGCGTAAATGTAAGTCGTGATATGAGCGATGCTGTTCATCCCGCTTTTGAGGCTGCAAAAGTAACTTGGGATCATTCAAGTTAAGAACTACCTTCGACCCTCCTGTTTCACCTTCGAAAATATTATCATCGATGTTCAAATCGAAATCAGCCAATGATTTATCTATGGAAAAGGAAGGGCGATCTAAGTTTGATAAATCCTTCTCATCGTAAATAATACCTTTCTCCCAATCATTGGTCGTAAATATGGTGTTCAAATCAAGTCCATCGTTTCTCTTTCTGTTAGCAGCTCTTTCCATGAATGTCAAGACATACCTGAGTAAGTCCACCAGTTTTTCGCCTTTTCGTGGATTGAGTTGATATAACAGGAACGATATCACGTTTTATGGGAACAGGCTTCTTAGAATTAAAAATGGCAGAATAATCCGGTTCAATTTCAAGAGTTAATCTGGACGGTACACAAACTTAAACATTAGCTTCTTTGGAAAAAAAATGAACATACCTTTCGGAGTTTTCTTTTTAGGAGGGGCCAACTTCACATGCTTAGGGCGGAATAATTCAGAAAAGTTTAACAGTACTCCACGTTGAAAGGAAGGGAAATAAGTTTTGACAATGTTCTCACGGATCTGATCTTCATTTTGTGTTTCAGCTGCAGTAGGAATAGCAGGAGCGGAAGGCGTTTCATTCATATCTACCAGACCTGCTGGTACAGAAAAACCAACACCACTGAGAACTTGACCCGCGGCTGCTTCACCCATTTCCTTAGCTAATAAACTCCTAAAATCTTCATCTTCGTCTTTGCCGGTATAGTTTACGGCTTGTTCTTCCTCAGGCAAATTGTCATCTGAGACATCATCTTCTAAATCATCACCATCGTCGATAGCTTTGCCAAAACCGAAATCATCTTCATAGCTTAAACCATCTTGACCATTGTCATTTTTTAACTCGGTTGGTTCGGACTCTTTAATCGGTTCAGACTCTAGGTTTTTCGTCTGTTCCTCTAAATCCATTGGAATCATATCTCCTAAAAAAGAATCTAGCATTCCCATCCCAGAATCATTCTGTTTCAGCGAAAAATCCTACTATTGTAAGCATACTTCGTAGTTGATATAAAACAACTTACATTTTCGGAATCTAGTAATGAATCTTTCGACCCAATTTCACCTTCTAAGCCATTAAAGGACATACTAATTCAATTTCTGAATTTTAAATAGCCTTTAACAAGGAGGATACACTAAAATACAACGTTTGGGCCTCAAGAAGATGTAGGTGAAGGGTGAATCAAGCATGCAGACAGCATACCCCAGAAGTAACGACATGTGCAAAAAGGTAACAGTGGCAAGCGACCACAAACTAGAATTATACTACACATATGAAGAATTGGTAAATATGCAATAAAATAGTTGCAATTAATATTATTATTTGAGTTTGTTTATGAAGGCATATTTAAATCGGATTAGAGAAATTAAAAGTTAGACATCTTAATCGAGTAACGGAAATGAAACTATATTATAGAACACAAAGAGTAACGTAACGAAAATGCGAGAAGATTATAGGACGTGATTAAATAAAACGGAGAACGTCGCAATTATATTAAGCTTAAGAGAGATGAGGGGATTTAGTATGCTTATACATGAACCATAAAAAGGGTAAAGGAAGAATCATAACAACCATAATGAAAGCATAAACAGCTCCGGGATCTGTAGTCATGGAAGTAATCATTGTTAAGGAAATCTGGCCAAAAAAGACACCGGCTTGAGAAATGAGAGAGTATAATGCAAAGAATCTAGTCTCTTTCCCGTGAGGAATCAATTGTGAATAAACAGAACGACAGAAACTATGGGCACCGCCTAATAAAAAGCTAACGAAAATAGTGGTCCTAAAGATATCGGCAGCAGTACATATACCGCCATCAAAACCTGGAAGGAAGCCCAACATACCATACATAGGTGCCAAAGGTAATATCATTACGATGATGATCACGGTTTGTAGATTGGTTAAACGAAAGTATTCAGTGAGATAAGGTAAAACAATAGTGCCCAACAAAGCAAACAAAGAGATTCCCATACCGAGTAATGCAACCTGGAAATTTGATAAATTCAATCTTGATTTTCCTATTATAATAGCAGAGGTAAGCGTGGTTTGGAGACCACAGTTTATAAATAAACGTGAAAATAAAAACAAACGAATGGGCAGGATGCTCATAGCATGCTGTAGAGAATGATAAGATTCTTTAGTACTGTCTAAAATGATCTTCCAAAGAGGATTAGCGGTTTGATTATCATTTGGAAGCTTTACAAACAAACAAAGGGGATTTGACAAGAGTAACCACCAGGTACCGCAAACCGTGATTGCAATGGGAATTAATAAAGAGTCGGGTGATGCTTTATACAAAAGTGGTACGAGGCATAATTGAAGAAGAATTGCTGATCCAAAGAAACAGCTAAATCCTACGCTCGATAATCTAGCAGCAATTCTGGATTTATCTTCCTCTTCAGCATCAACAGGAGGAGCAGACTCATTCAAGATCAGACTCTGCTCATTTAAAAACTGTTCTTCATTTTCGAGTCCTGCCGTGCTGTCTTCAGAAAAAGAGCCGTTTCCAATACTAGATGTCTCATCCTGCAACGCAGATTCCAACGTATACGGAGTATTCGATACAGGGTAATACCGTAATAAGATAGGCAAGAAGGAGTCGTAACAGGATTGAGCGATAATAAAGGACAGATCAATTGCAAGAAATGAAACTAGTTGGAAATTGAATAAATGAGAAGGGAGCCATGGTAGAATTATAGTACTCATTGAGCCAATTAAGACACATAAATGAAGGATATAACGCCGATAGTTGCCATAATCGCAAACTACACCTACGCCTGTCATCAAACACAATTGAAGGAGATTTGAAAATGCAAATGCGGCAAACAAGATAGAGCCCGTGTCAATCCATATGGAGTGAAGTATGCGTACAGAACACGATTCATCAGGAAAACTGGAGCAAGGAATTGTGTGGTCTCTTCTTAAAAACCCATTGGTTCGGGCGTTTTTCATGATTACCAATGGAACGAATACACCCATATTCGCTGTTGCAACGGGCCCTGCTCCGCCCGCGTACAATATCCAGCTTAAAATATGCCAAACATTGGTGCTAAAGCTTTTCCTGTACGAGGAAAAAGATGAATCCATTAGATTGATAAGCAATTCCTCTTTAAAATAACAAACAACGAATACTGAAACTATGTGAGAGTATTGTTCAGGTTCAATGAGTTTAGACCGTTCGTGGTGGTGCTATATATATTTCCCCCTCTTTGATTGTATCATCGTGCCCCTCAGTAAACAAACACAGCATAGATAAAATATTATTATCCACTTTACTAAATTCTTACTATAAAACAATGTTTTAATAAAAAATAAATATAAATGAATTAAAAACTAAAAGAAGGACTGTCTAAAAGTTCGATGAAAATTAAATGTCTGCCAATGCCTGTCATAATGAAAGGCAATTTATAAAGATCGCGAGCAAAAACTGACTTTCATGGGAAGAATTACAGCTTTGAATAAAAAGAAGGACTGGTAATCACTCAAACAAAAAGGTCAACTAATTAATGATCAGCTGTAATTTTGCCGAACCATAGGTCGAATAAATGAACTAGATGAGCTTGATGCTTTTCGAGGACGAGATTGAGAATTCGCTGGTCTCTTGCGGCGTTGAGGCATCACCCTTCTTCCACGGCTCCCTCTTGTAGAACGACCTCCTCGAGAACCACCTCTCCTGTACGAACTTGGATTAGAAGCATTCGTTGATTGAGAAGTTGGACGAGGTTCATATTGGGAAAAAGACTGACTACACATAAAGTTTAGGATATCGTTTTTTTGAGTAGCCGACGCTTCATCTAAAGGACTTGAAGGCTGATAATCGCTAAAATTTTCATCAACATCATTACCATCACCTTCTGGTTGAAAATCCAGTACATCAATATTATCAAATTCATCAACATTAATACTTTCGACTGTGGGGTCCAATTCGGTTCCAGCCAAATTTTGATCTTTTTCATCAATGTACTTTTGAATAATCTGAAGAAATTGTGGTCCAACTCTTTCTGCGCGTTCACCACTAACCCCATGTATCTCTTTTAATTCCGTGGTATTTCTGGGAAGCTTTTGGGCCATGCTATATAACATTGCATCTGTAAAATACGTACCAACTCTAGAATCATTCAACGCCATTAGATTACTTCGAAGAGCCTTTAATTCAGCAAAACAGCGATTCATAATGTCCATCTCATATTCAGACATAAAAGTGTTAGCAGAAAAATTATCTGGATTTGTTTGGCGACCAGTTATTATTTCACGTCTAATATTGTTTGGAGCTAATTGTGAATCGTAAATATCGTCATTTCCTAGAAACTGCTCGTGATTACTAGTCGTGCTATTCGTTTTAACTGCTGAAGCATGATTTTTTGTCATATTCGGCAGCGTATTACTGCGTGTTAAGCTCCGGCTTTCATTTCCAGAATTTGACGATTCCTGCTTAATTTCAAGTATGACTCGGTGTTTTCCAGCAATAACTGCATTTAACAGGGTCTGCCTGCCGGGGAATACATAAGCTGAAACAAACCCTCTCCGGTTAGCTTCAACTTTTTCAACAAAAATCCCTTCGGCAACCAATTGGTGGAATAGTCTTTCTGAATCTCCTCTGTTCAACGACTTTCCGTCGCCAGCGCCTTCTAGTCTATCCCAGCCGTTTTCGATAATTTTTGCTCCTTTACTACCACGAAAAACATCTATTAACTGGAGAAGAGTAGTTTTTCCGGATAGGGACCGTATCAATTTGATAGCTTTGGCGGCAATATCGGTCATATCCTTCTTTATGTAAGTAGCTTCTTCGCAACATATGTCACAACCCCGAGAACACTGTGCTCGGTCAAAACTTTCACCAAAGTACGCTAAAATCTGTTTTCTTCGACAATCAGATTTATTTTCGCAGAATTGAATGACTTGCCGAAGCATATGTCTCTGGCGATCTTTTGTTTCAGCATCACCATCACCACTCATAATTAATCGTTGGAACGTTACATGGTCTTTGTAACTATAGAACATTATACAATGCGCCGGCTTTCCATCTCTACCAGCGCGACCTGTCTCTTGATAATAACCTTCAAGAGATTTAGGGAAACTGTGATGAATGACAAATCGTACATCACCTTTATCAACACCCATTCCAAAAGCGATAGTAGCAACAATAATATTATAATTCCCAGCCTGCCATTCGCTTTGGATTCTTTGTCTTTCGTTTTTGTCAATTCCAGCATGATAATACCAAGCTTTCAATCCATACTCTTTTCTCAACTTATCCGCAACTTGCTCACAACTAGTCCTTGAAAGGCAATATATGATACCTGATTCATGCATGTGTCCATTACTGAGAAACCGATATAACTCGGTATAAAGGTCTTTCTTTGGTCGAATTTCGTAAAATAAATTAGGGCGATTAAAGCTAGATTTTAATTCCAAACAATGATCCATTCTAAGGGTATTTATGATGTCTTTTTTTACTACTTCATTGGCAGTAGCTGTTAAAGCCATCAAAGGCACACCCCGATAAGAATCTCTCAACGCTCCTAACTGCTTGTAGTCAGGTCGAAAGTCATGGCCCCAATGGCTTACACAATGTGCTTCATCAATTACTATGCGAGCAAGCAATTTTCGATCATAAAGATTCTTCAAGACTCTGGTTATCGCGCCGTTGCTTGCCAAACCTTCCGGTGTAACATAAAGTAATTTTACCATCACCTTTTCTGCCATAAGAAACGATATGACTTTTCGACGCTCATCAGCAGGCTGTTCACCGCTAAGAGGCAAGGACGGAATATTAATTTTTCTTAAATGTTCAAGTTGATCTTGCATCAAAGAAAGAAGCGGTGAAACAACCAGAGTAACACCGCGAGTCACTCCATCTTCAAGCACCGCTGGTAATTGGTAACACAATGATTTACCACCGCCGGTGGGCATCAAAACAAAGACATCCCTTCCAGAAAGCGTCCCATTAATAGCATCTAACTGGTTATTCCGAAATCCTTTAAGATGAAATGTGTGTTTCAATACATGAAGGAGCTCAGAAGACCATTTATGGTTCAAAGCTGGATCCGTTTTTGGAGGCAGTTGAACGAGATGATTTTTGTCCATATCTTCGTTTTTCGATTGTGTAGCATTATTGATATTTAGCCTGTCATTTCTAATCTCTCTTAGGGGGACATTTTCGAGTCGTGTTTCGTTGGTATTAATATTTTGATTGTCATTGGCATAACCACTGTTATCGGCATCTACCAACAAGACTTCATTAGGAGAACTAGGAATATCCTGGATGGGATCAGTTGCTGGAAAAGAAATGTCAGCGTCATTAAACTCAAAACTGTCGATATCTGTAGAAGATATATCCTTCTCGTAAGGTTCTTCTGTAAAGTTTCTCGGAGCTTTTGAAGTTGTAGGGGTAGCAGTAACTTTTTCATTAGTGAAGTTGCCACTGAAAGGTGGAGCATGTGGAAACTCTTTTTGTTTAATTACAGATTCCGGCACAAACGTTGAGGGAAATGTAGGTCCAAGTTCCCTTTCCTGCTCTTTTGAAGGAGTAGTAATATTAGAAGGCTGTAAAGGGTATTCTGTGTTTGATATAGCATCATGGACAAGCGAAATTTTACGGCTCAAAACATCCCGCTTGGGAATCCATTCTTTGAATCGCATCGAGGTTGGATCATTTTCCATCATTTCAATAATTCTATCGCTTAGCTCACTTTTCTCCTCTCTCAGGATTTCTAAATAATGCTGTAAATTGTCCCGGGGCCAAGAACAGAAGTCCAAAGAGATGGAGGATGAATTGGGTGTCGCGGTTAATGAACGCTGATTTTCTGGTATGCTAGATTGACGAACCGGGGTCACAGTATGCGTATTATTGTTATTATTGTTTTGATCAACAGGGGTACAATATGAGCCTCTTCCGTTCAGCAATTCATCATTGTTTCGTTGATTATCAACATGAGGTTTGAAGTTCGACGCAGATTCAGATAAAGGTGAGTCTTCAGCAATGGTTGGAGCATAGCCGGGTTGTTTTTGGAAAGCCTCCATTTCAGCAGCACGAAGAAACTCTTCATCAACGTCGTCAAATTCTTCTTCACTGTCGACAGTTTTGGTACTTCTAGCTCGCTTTGGATTATGTTTATCAGAATCACCAAATGATGACTGTCTTTTTAATAGGGGAGATTTTGGAATGTCCTCTGTTAAATCAATCGCGTCTTGTTCATTAAACATATCCAGTACGTTTGATTTTGGAGGATTTGCTGGCTTTATGGGTGCCAAAGTAGATTTCTGAGAACAGTCAATTGAAACATTGTCAAAATTAAGTGAACCAGAAGGTTGCTTGTTGTATTCTATTTTTTGAGGGCCATTACGAAAAAACCAATCAAGATGTTGATTCAGGTTTGTTTTGGTTACAACCATATTCTTCGATGTACTGAACCTAAGTACCTCTCCTCAATCACCAAGCATTGTTTCGTCGATAGAGGGAAAAAATTAGGTATAGATGACCGTCTGTCTGCAAAACCAATTTGGCTTATTTGTGTTAGTAAAACTTTGAAATAGGTGTATACGCGTCGCGCTAGTTTACAGTACTTAATGCACTCTACTGTGTTATGTAAAAATATTTTAAGAGAACATACTGACAATCTTTATTTCACAAAATCGAATCGCAACATACACCAAGCACGGGCTTTTGCCTATATTAGAAGATAGATAAAAAAATTGGTGAATTAGCGGGTATTCGCAGTTTTATGTGTATTATTAAGGGATTAATTGGGGATCTTTTTTGGCGTATTTAATTAATTTTGCAGGAAACGGTCATGGCTAGTGAAATTGAAGAAAATAGAGAAGGGACAACTGGTAAAAATTTGATGAATGGACTTAATAAGGGTCAACTATCATCGGAATCAAAGAAAATAATGAAGAAAAAGGCAAAAAATTCTTTTAAAAAAGGAAATGAAAGTGGAAAGCGGAATGGGCTCGTCAACTTTATGGATGAAGACGAAGACCGAAGTAAAGAACAATTTGATACTTCTGCATTTTCAAAAAGCGCTGATAAGTCTCCCAAGAAAAAAAGCTTGCTTGAACAACGAAAACAGTTACCTATATGGGAGGCTAAGGACGCCATTTGTCAGAAAATTCAAGATAATCGCGTAATAGTGATTGTTGGTGAGACTGGTTCAGGTAAATCCACTCAAATTCCTCAGTTTCTTAATGAATGTGAATATGCGAAAGAAGGATGTGTTGGAATTACGCAACCCCGTAGGGTAGCTGCTGTAAATTTGGCGAAACGCGTAGCTCAGGAGCAAAATACGCGGCTGGGAGACAAGGTTGGTTATTCTATTCGATTTGATGATTCAACAAGTCCAAACACGAGAGCCAAGTATTTAACTGACGGTATGTTGTTGAGAGAATTAATCAACGATCCTCTTCTTTCGCAATACCATACGTTAATTCTGGATGAAGCACATGAGAGAACTCTCATGACCGACATGCTACTCGGTTTTGTGAAAAAGATCATAAAAAAAAGACCTGCTTTGCGTGTCATTGTTATGAGTGCTACGCTGAATGCGGAAAGGTTTTCTGAATTTTTTGACGGTGCTGAAATATGTTTCATCAGTGGTCGACAGTATCCCGTTCAAATACACTACACATATGTTCCAGAGCAAGATTACATGGATGCTTGTTTGCGTACCATATTCCAGTTGCACGTAAAGCTACCTCCTGGTGATATGCTCGTTTTCCTTACTGGTCAAGATGAGATTGAGGCATTAGAATCTTTAATTAAAGATTATGCGAAGCAGTTGCCTTCCAATAAGTTGCAAATACAAGCTTGTCCGCTGTTCGCTAGTTTACCACAAGAGCAACAAATGCTGGTTTTCCAGCCTACTTTACCTAATCACCGCAAAATCGTTTTGTCTACAAATATTGCAGAAACTTCCGTTACCATTTCTGGAATTCGATATGTGATCGACACTGGTTTAGCCAAGGTGAAACAATTCAACGCTCGATTAGGTTTGGAGAGCTTAACCGTACAGCCCATTTCTCAGTCAGCAGCGAGACAGCGTAGTGGTCGTGCTGGTCGTGAAGCACCGGGCCAATGCTATCGTTTATATACAGAAGCGGATTATAATAAGCTTCCCAAAGAGTCTACACCTGAGATTAAGCGGATAGATCTTTCTCAGGCTGTATTGACACTTAAGGCCCGAGGTCAGAACGATGTACTTAATTTTGATTACATGGATCCTCCTTCCAAACAATCTCTTGTGCGTGCTTTAGAACATTTATATTCCATTGGCGCATTAAGTGATAATGGGAAGATCAATGAATTGGGGTATCAAATGTCTTTGATTCCTTTATTACCGTCTCTCGCTAGAGCTATGCTGAGCGCGAGGGAGCATAACTGCTTGAATGAAGTCATTGACATCGTTTCTTGTCTTTCAACAGACTCTATGTTTCTCTTCCCTCAAGAGAAGAGGGAAGAAGCAGCTGAAGCCAAAACGAAGTTTTTGCATAGTGAAGGAGATCACCTTACATGCTTAAATGCGTTACGTGTATATCTTGAAACAAGTTCGGACATGCGAAAGCACTGGTGTAACCAGAACTTCGTTAACCGCCGTGCATTAAAAATTATATTAGATATTCGTAAACAGCTTCGAGAACATTGTATTAAAGCTGGTTGGGATATAAATGATAATACCGAGGTCAATACTGAAAATATCCTTCGTTCTTTCCTTTCAGGTTACATTTCTAGCACTGCTTTGCTTCATCCCGATGGTTCCTACAAGACTACTGTGGGCAATCAGGTAAAGAATTAATTTGTACTCAAAGTCATCTAACGAATCTTCTAGATTGTGTCTATACATCCTTCCTCTTCACTTTTTGGTAAGAAGGCAGAGGCGATTATGTACCATGAATCGGTATGTTTGATACTTTTTGGATTGTACGATGTGCTAACTATTTTCTTATAGGTTTTTACTACTAAACCATACGTTCGCGGTGTCAGTAGCATTCGGTCCACTTGGTTATCCGCCGTAGCTCCTCATTACCTTGGCCGACAGCAAGTATAATAAAGAGAAAATAATATTCACAAATTAGTTTAATTATTTTGTTTAATTATTATGTTTTCTACTATTTCATTCTATTGTGTAAGAAAAATTATCAATCCGCTTACAACAATTCAAATTTAATCTATTCGCTTTTCTTAACCTTATATTATTTCGTTCTCATTTTTTGCACCGCCAAAATTCTCCAATTCAAAATTTTTTCCTGTTTTTGATACAAAAGCAAGAATACTAAAAATTATGGAAAATATATCAAATTATAATGATGGTCAGGCGACGCTCACAGGTGAAGAGTATGCTAGATACGGGCGTCAGATGATAATGCCTGAAATTGGTTTGCCTGGTATGTGACTAAAGAGTTCTTACAATCTTGGAGACAAATTCTTTAAAATTATGAAGAAAAAAGAAAAAACAATAACTAACTGGGTTCAGGTCAACTTGCGTTAAAAAATTCATCTGTTTTGATTATCGGGGTCGGTGGACTTGGATGTCCTGCAGCTCAATACATAACAGCAGCAGGAATTGGGACAATTGGCTTACTAGATGGCGATGTTGTAGATAAAAATAATCTTCATCGTCAAGTTCTTCACTCCACAAGTAAGGAGGGGATGTCAAAAGCTGAATCTGCTAAACAATATCTTCAAGAGTAAGTCTTACTTATAAAAAGTCACTATATTAATATAGCCAGTTTAAATCCAAATGCGAACATACTTACTTATGTGGAATACGCATCTCCACAGAACCTGTTTGAAATTATTTCAGCCTACGATATTGTGCTCGATTGCACGGATAATCAATTTACACGATATCTGATATCCGATGTCTGTGTTTGGCATGGGAAACCACTTATTTCAGCTTCAGCCCTTCAATTTGAAGGACAGCTCTGTGTATATAATTACCGTAATGGACCCTGTTATCGTTGTATGTTTCCGAACCCTACACCAGTCGTTACTAGTTGTTCTAAATCTGGAATCCTTGGACCGGTTGTTGGTACCATGGGTACTATGCAAGCTTTAGAAACGATCAAATTAGCATTGCATATGAAGGGCATAAACAAGGAACCATTTGTTCCTTTTATTTTACTGTTTCATACATTTAGATTTCCTCAATGGAAGCATATTCGCATCCGCTCTCGTCAACAGTCTTGTGCAGCTTGCGGTCCTCATAAAATGTTAACTCGTTCTTTCATTGAATCCTCTCCTTCTGAGTATGCTACTCTTTGTGACGCTGTTCCCAAAACCGAAAAGAATCTGAATCCCATTAAACGAATCACTCCAAGAGAGTTAGCGAATTTGATTAGAGAGTCACCCAGCATGACATTCTTAGATGTTCGCGAACCAGTTCAGTATGGTATTTGTAACCTTCCTTCGTTTAAGAATGTACCGTTATCTGAAGTTTATTCTATGAATGATCTCTCCGGAAAAGTATGTGTAATATGCCGAAGCGGCAATACGTCTCAAAGCGCAGTTAGAACACTTCAAGAACTGAATCCTGGTGCTGAAATATTTGATGTTATATCCGGTTTACAAGGCTGGTCAAAAGATGTTGATCCCCAATTCCCATTGTATTAAATATATAATAACTCGGTCCATCATATCACTCTACAACATCTTGCGTTTTACTAGACTACTAATTAAATTATTCACTTAATGAGACTAGGAATAATAATTTAAAAATCGAAAATCTAAGCTAAACAAAACAAATAAATAAAATTTAAATGATGCAGAGACTCCATAAATAATAATAAAGAACGTGAATCTCGAGATTATTAAAGCTTTTTGAATTAAAAGCATTATATGTCATACCGATTTCTTCGAAATCAGGAACCGTCAGATTCGCAATTGATGAACCCTGGATGGATATAGGCTGAGGATCCTTCAGAGGACCGACTACTATTTTCTGGATTTTGCTGATTGGATTGACTCATTCGAACATAGTATAAAGAAACGAATTCCATCGCTGGTTGAATCATTTTAGAAAAATTGTAGGCAGAAGTAAGCGTGAAGCAAAGAAGGGGAAAAATGACAGTGCTAAGCCAATAAGCCTTTCTTAAACTCATTAAACCCATCATCGTGAGCTGTAAAAGCAAGCAACCAAATATAATTCTCTCAAAAATAATACCCCATAACTTTCCAGTAGAGTGCTGAGGGTGCTCCATTTGATAAATGAGCTTATATTTGTATACTAAAAATCCGACGATAAAGTATATTAATCCAAAGATCAAAATGAGAGGAGAAATTATACTATAGCAAAGGCAAATCATTAAAATAAACATCGGCTGAGGTAAATAGATACCGATACTAAACGAATCTGGTTTCTCAAGTTCTCGATAGTCTTGCGAATGATTTGCAAATGAGCGACGTATAATATACATTGAAAGCTTCCCAAGTTGAATCAATTTTAATGGAAACATACCAATGCCTTGTAGTACGATAAGGTCAATAAAAAATTGGGCTTGATTCGGAAGTCTATTAGCAAGAAAATGAGCAAGCGTAGTAGTATCCTTAACTAATTCCCAGTAAGAGGTGGAACCTGCGATTATATAAACTAGGAAAAAGTTGACGAACAAATATGCGAAATTCTTTCCAACTGAATATATTTCTTCCTCACCTCGGGAATTAAAACCTTGCATTTTAGATAGCCATTGAAACAGGTAAGGAGATATACTAATAAACAAGGAATACACCAAAGTGGGAAGAAAGGTACGAAGAAGCGAATTCAAAAATGGAACGTCTTGGATTAGACGTCCTAATTCGGGCCAGAGTTTACTGATATTATCGAGATTTATAAAGACAGCAATTGCTCCGACAGGAACGGTCCAAAGTAAGATAATCATTAGCGTCAGAAGAGTAATCAGCCATGATCGAAAGAAACGATGCCATCGGCCTATGTAAGTGTGATGCCACTGAATATCATTTGACGCAGGTGCTAAAGAGATATGTAGACCCATCAAAGACTTCGCATCGATATGAATTTGAGCAACGATTTGGGCACTAGCCATAGACTCGAAAGTAACGAATGCCTCTCCCGTTGCAGGATGGTTCAAACGGCGGGCAGATTCAATTTTTCGATCCACACTTAGCAATTTTGCTGAATAAAAGTCAATGGCATCAATCTGCTGTCCAACAAGTCCAAAAAAATGAGTTCGAACCATGGGACGACATTCTAATTCACCTCTTGGCAACGACAACAAATACTGGGAAGTTTCAGTGTAGGGTACAGAGCCGGAAACCAAAGTATCTGGAATACTAGGGATCTGAAAACCATGAAGTAAGGAATTCTTTTCGTAAGCATGCCAATACTTTTCGAGATTTTGGGCATAAGCTTTACGCTTGGAGAGAAGGGAGTCTATAACAGTATAGTTACGGCAGATATTAACCTTAGCAACGTCGCCTATATCGAGCTTTTCTAAATAACTCTTCAAAGCTTCAGAGCTGCACAAATCAGGAGGGAGACCGGTAATAAAGACAGTACGATCAGCAAGACGAGTTTGTCGAGCAAGGTATGATTGTCGAATATCAGCTATCAGCTTTGTAGATGAAAATAAAACATAAAGCAGATAGATAGATATAACGTATGTAAATATAACATACAGATAAAGGAACCCATCACCAGGTCCAGGGAGCCCTGGAATATCTGTTAAATTACTAAAGGTATTTGTGGTTTGTTTCAGAGAAATGGAATCCTGATTCGTCAGTGGGGACTGTACATTTGGTGGTGACAAACTAGTGAGCGAATGAAAGCTCGAAGGAGACGAGGTAAAAACGCCAGATAAAGTTATATTTCCAAAGGCGTCACCTCGAAAGTGTTTATTAACGGGCATAATTACAGTGAAACCCAACAAGGAGGTGAAGGCAAGAAACTTTATAGCCATCTTAAAGAATAAAAGGAACACATAACCATCTAACCCAGCACAGTTTTGAAAAACATAATCAGGGATTCTTATAAGATCGACTAACCACAGATAGCTGGAAGACGAAAGTGTTGGAAGCTTCAATTCCTGTATAGAAACTCGTGGTGCGTAAAGCACATTCCATCGTCGGCGAAAAATGCAAAAAAACAAACAAGCAGAACTTCCAACTAAAAATGCTAACCAAAACTGAGTCTTCAAATCACTAGAAGGATCTAAAATTGGAGGAACTTGCGTATCTCGACCTGCAATATCGAAGTCATGCAAGTCAAGAATAGTCGCAAATCCATTTTGTTAGTAAACTAGAAGGAAAAAGATAGACTTAAAAAGAGAAACCACATACTTTTTCTAGGATCATTCTCTGCACCTGTTAGAGAAAGCATCAGAACAAAGGCAATGTTTTAATCCAGACAAAAATAAGACACCAGGAGGAATGCTTCTATAACTTGGGAATTAAATTTGATGAATATAAAATAGAAGCAATATTCTATGTACTTCTAAGTAAGAAGAAGGATCTAGCTCTTATCCGCAGATGCAATGGAAAGATGATAAATAGATGCAAAGGATCAATTAGAGATCGGAAGGACTTCACTTGTGATTAGGACGTTTTTAAGATTCAAACAAGCTTTAAATCTAAGAAAAACATAAAACATAAAGAATTGTGAATTGTTTCAACAGTTGAGGATGGGAAAACAAATAATAACCGGTAGGAGGAGTTGAAAGGTAACCTGGTATGACATTATGAAATATCATCATTTTTGACCTCCTTACGACGTTGTTTACTCGGTATAATAATAAATAATAGAAAGACCTTGATATATGGATAATAATATGAAAATCAAAACAGTTCGCCTTGAACTTGAAAGATGGTAGTAAACATAGAAAATAGTTATGGAAAAGCAATTGGAAGCCCAATTAAACTGGCTGGAAGGTATAAAGTCTAATAAAATCAAAAAAAAAAGAAAAGGAAAGAAACCAGAAAAATAGCTGGTCCTTAGAAGAGCGAAGTCATGTTTTGTACAGATCCATCGTGCGGCAAGAGGATCTCTTGATGACTTGTATGATAGCTTTTTGAGAATCTGACAATATCTATTTCTGTATAATATTCCATTCGTTTCCCAATTTAGTCTGTATGACCTTATTTTGCCGATTCATTCTTTGGATCGTTTCAAAACGATAAAGTGTAGGTGTAGTATAATGTACAGGCAAAATGCCTTTATATAGGTTAAAGGGTTTGATATGTTTTATTTTATTTTTATTTTTTAATCAGAAAAAGAAGAGTCCTCTCGAATTATGGTTCCAAGAAGAGAACAATATGTTCTTTCTACCAAACTATGCTCACAAATATTCGTTTAGTGAAACAATTGAGTAAATACATTTCTATATGTAACATTAAACCCTTGTTCCCACAAAATGTTCGTTTTATGCGCGCACAGTCAATATAGAAGAACACAATTTTTTCTCTCTAGAAAGAAAAAGTTGTTCTACACTGATTACGAAAGAATGGAAGGATAATTATAGAAAAGTAATTTTAATGAAAGAGCAACCAACGTAACCATGAACAAAGCTTTCTTTCCCTTACAATATCATGGTCGGTAGCAAAAACAACGAAGAAGAACAGCTTTTTCCTAATCTTCGTCTTTTAAAAATAATAATAAAAAAAAAATAAGTTAAGTAAAATTCCCAGTGTGTCTCTACGTTACTCAATATACATACAATTCTTTTCTTCCCATCATCCGGAAGGCTTCTTTTGTGTGCGTAGGAAAACGTAGCATCTTCTCGCAAAAGAGCAGTTAAAGAATATGCAAGGACAGCAAACAAGAATCGCAACGAACTGTCTTCGTCAGGGCTGATTGAGGACCGACTTTGTATTGCTGTTTGAAACAGATTTGTTGTAACAAAACTGGGATGATTTAGTAAGTTTCGACAAACACTTTGGAACTTACGGGAAATTATTACGTGGTTGTTTTGGAAAGAAAGCTGGAGGTGTTTTTCATTAAAATATCTATATCTATATATAATCATAATAAATAATCTAGAAAGGTTCAGAAACAATGAATTCAGAAAAGGAGGTTTGGGATGACTCGGAACTTCGAATCGCTTACGAAACAGCTTTGGCAGAATACAAAAAGTATCACAGTCTCGAAGCAGAAAAGTCCCAAACTCAGGTCCAGCCTCGAGATGAAACACTAGAAAAGCAGGAAACAACATTTGTGGATCACAAAGATGAGGATACTTCTCGGGCGGAATCCAATACAGATGTCGCAGAGGAGGGGCAAATAGTTAAAGATGAAAAAGACCATAGTCCCCAAGAAGCTGAAAACGGTGTTTTCAACACTTCCATTCCACCATCTGCAAACACTGAACAATTACCAACTATCCCCCCTCCACCCCCTATTCAAGGTTTAACATATGGTACGTTGAAAAGAAAAGCGTTTGAAAGTTGTACTAAAACATGTAGATGAAACTTACCGGAGGTTATTGATGAGTTGGTACTACGCTGGCTATTATGCGGGCCTTGCTCAGGGCATGCACCAAAGTCAATCATAAACTAGCAATACCACCTTTGGAATTGAATACCAATTTCCTTAAAGTATTATGTAATGGTTCAATACTCTTTCTTAGAATCTCTGTTCTCCAATTCTCCCTACCAACATAGTAACTCTAACATTAGCAATTTGTGTTGTTTACATTTGGAAAAGTTTCACGTTACTTCTACTTTTATTTGAGTCATGCTTTTTTATCTAGTTGTACTTTGTTCAACTATAATAAACTATCTTTATATAATGAAGAAACTCTGTTCTACCTAGTTACTTACTGAAATCTTTTCCATTTTACATGAAGGAAAAAAATCTAACTTTGTTTATTTGCATACTCTAAGGCAATATATTGTAACAATCGCTACATAGTACAACGAAGAATAGAGATCTCCCGTATTCTCGTCTAGGAATCCCAACACTTCGCTAATAATTGGAAAATGTCGGTGATGTAGTATATCTTCCTTCACTATATGTAGTACCACCACCGTCCTCCAAAGGATTCCATGTAACTTAGCGTTTACTTATAACCCGAACATTGAAAGGAAACCGTTGAAATACGGAAATTTGAACCTTTTAGGAAAATAAATCAAACTACAAACCTCAAAGAATTACAAGAGATTACTAATTCAGGAATGGGTCAAACATTATCAGAACCCATTACGGACAAAAATTCCAGTTATGGCATTAACAAAGATGTTCTGTATGGATTGTCAAGCATGCAAGGATGGAGAATTTCTATGGAGGATGCCCATAGTGCCAAGCTTTCTTTAAAATGCCCTTATGAAAACCAAGAAGTAGACTTTTTTGCAGTATATGATGGTCATGGCGGTGAAAAAGTAGCAAAATGGTGCGGAGAACGTCTTCCATCAATTTTGGAAGAAAGCGAAGAGTTCAAAAAGGGAGATTTTGTGAATGGTCTTAAGGCTTCATTTTTAAAAGCCGATCAGATGATTTTGGAAGGTATGTTTTATAGAGAAAAGGATTTGAATTATTTTCTCGTTTGTTTCGACGTTTAATGTGTTATGAAGGCTACTTTGAGTCATGGTTGCGTTTGATTCCCGTTGTCTTCTGTCTTTTTCATGATACTTTGAAGGTTCATGGAAATATACGTCTTGGATGTACAGATAAAAACACTTGAACTCGTCTTCTTTCACTCTCAAAGGAGCTGGTAAAAATTTTCTTTGTCTAGCCCTTTTTTTGTTTCTCTTAGTATTGTTTGCTAACCATGGATTTTTAGATGAGCAATTCCACACGGATCCATCCGGATGCACAGCCACTGTTTTACTTCGAGCAAACAACAAAATCTATTGCGTAAGTCTATATAATCACTCAGTTCCACTTATAACAACTAACGTTTTTAGGCGAATGCTGGCGATTCGCGAACAGTGCTCGGAAGGAAAGGCGTAGCAAAGGCCCTTTCTGTAGATCACAAGCCTTCAAATGAATCCGAAAAGGCGCGTATTTGTGCTGCGGGTGGTTTCGTAGATTTTGGTCGTGTCAACGGAAATTTGGCTCTTTCAAGAGCTATTGGTGATTTTGAATTCAAGAATAGCAACCTGGAGCCGGAAAAACAAATTGTTACTTCTCTCCCGGATGTCATTGTTCATGAAGTTACAGACGAGGATGAATTCGTGGTGCTTGCATGCGATGGTATTTGGGATTGTAAAACTTCTCAACAGGTTATTGAATTTGTACGTAGAGGTATTGTTGCTGGTCTTTCTTTACAAGAAATTTCTGAGAGTCTTATGGACAACTGTATTGCTGGTGATACAGAAACCACTGGCTTAGGTTGCGATAATATGACTGTCTGTGTCGTTGGTTTATTACAAGGGGATTCACAAGAATCTTGGTACAAAAAAATTGCCGATCGTGTTGCTGCCCATGATGGCCCTTGTGGTGCTCCTGAACTCGCGGAATCTCGTGGTCCTGGATTTTCCGGCAACGACAATGGCGAGAAAATAATTGTCCCATCGGGTTTCCAACAAATCAGAGTAAATAGAATTGAGGGACATGATCCAGATGCTGACGAGGATGATAGAAATGATGATTCAGCAAACGGTTCTTTGGCCGCCGGCTTCCGCTGGAAGGAGCACTTTTTCCCCGAAAAAGCTGAAGATGAAAAAGAAGATATTACAACTGAGGATCCTTCTGTTAAACAGGTCGAATCCGCTGCATCTTCCGATTAATATCTTGTACTCTTAAAATCGTTATCGCCCTTTTATATTATTCTTCCTTATGCTACTTTATAAATTTCAAAGAAATTAAATCACTTCATGACGAATGCTGCCCTTGTTCGAATTCATAGTTTTGCTCAGCCATACTATCTAGTTTTTCGGACATGTTCTATCTATATAAAAGTTTATGTCAACATATGTTGCAGTGCATAGCACGAACTTTAGGGTCTGCATCAATAATGTGCTACGTTTTTCGAATGATAGCCTTCCGTCAGTGAATGTTATGAAAATTTATCAATGATAGATGCTTTGGCGATTCTCTATTTCCTGTGCTTTGACCTTCTAATGTCTGTGGATACCTTACAGATGAATGCTTTATTTTATTTTTTTACAATTCTCATAGTCTGTTTAATATGATACTAAAACATTAGTTTTTGAACGTGCCAAATCATTAGAAATTCTGAACCTTTTCGCAGGAATCTGAAATTAGCCTTCGGCGCCAAAGTCCTTCGTAAATTGAATGTGCTTTTGTATGTCGCCAGCGTTCAAAGTAGGTTTCACTTTCTTAACAGCAGTGTAGAAATCACGTACACTAAGACGGGGTTCTAAGATATCACTACCGTTTACGTCCATCCATGTAGCTGCAAATGCTTCTGGATCTCCAGGGGAACAAGGAGTGACCATGGTACGGTTCAACGGCTCATAAAAGACCTTTTTAAAATGGGTAGCCGTGTGGATTTTTCTTACAGGTTCCATTATAGCATCTCGAACAACGATAGCTATATCCGAACCAGAGTAACCCTCCGTCATTCTTCCAAGCTCTTTGAAGTCCCGGGACTTCAATTCTGATGGAATATCGCCTATATTAAGTTCAAACATTCTAGAACGAGCGTATGAACTCGGCAACGGGATATAGATTCTTTTTTCGAAACGTCGACGAATGGCAGAATCCAATGTCCAAGGTATATTGGTAGCACCCAACACCAATACCCCACTCTCATCTTTTCCAACACCGTTCATTTGGACTAAAAACTCGGTTTTGATTCTACGAGAGGATTCGCTTTCGCCCTCACTTCTGCTACCGCAAAGTGAGTCAATTTCGTCAATAAAAATGATGGAAGGCTTTTGCTCTCGTGCCATTTCAAATAGTTGCCGAACAAGCCTTAATGAATATTAGCATACTAATGATTACAGAGCCATTTACATACCTTTCACTTTCACCCATCCATTTACTCACCAAATCAGAAGAACTGATGGAAAAGAATGTAGAGCCAGCTTCCGTAGCAACCGCTTTTGCTAAATACGACTTTCCTGTTCCGGGAGGACCATATAGAAGGATGCCGGACCATGGCTTTCGACTACGCGAAAACAACTGTGGTAATTTTATAGGAAGAAGAACCGTTTCTTTCAAAGCTTCCTTTGCATTTTCTAAACCAGCTATATCTTCCCAACGAACATTGGGTTTTTCAACTAAGATTGCGCTGGTAAGAGCACCTCGAAGCTTTTTAGCTTCCGAATCTAAAACTTCACTGGCAGCCGGAGAATTGCTTCCCTCTAATCCGCTGGAAGCACCACTCTTAGAGGCAACCTGGCTACTCTTTTGTTGAAGGAAGACTTTCAGTTTCTCCGCGCGATCTAAATACTCTAGAACCTTCCCTCTTATGATTTCTTTGGATTTTTCGTTTTTCTCATCTATGTTTATAGTTAGAGCTTGGACTAATGGATCAACTCAAAATTTCAAAGCAGCTTTCTGTCTGGCTTTTCATCCACAGATTATAGAACAGAAAATTTCCAGCATATGCATACATTTTAAGGCCATCATGAAGTAATCAAGAGCATTTTGATAATACTTGTAAGCATCTCCATAACGCTCAGCATTATCATGATCAATGGCGGTTTTCACCAAAGATATAGCTTTCTAAAAGTTTACATTAGCAAAGACTGAAAAAAGTAAATCAAGTACTATCCGCATACACTCAGACAATCCGGGTTTGACATGTAAATATGTATTTTCGTTGATTATGTTTTATATTGCTGAAACGAAAGAAGAAATAAAATCAATTTGTATTTCCTGATTATTTTTAGGGTATTATAGGCAAGGAAGTACACAATTCGTGAACAATAGAGGAATGTGTTACTGCTAAGATTTGTGTACTAATACATATGAGTAATGGAATTACACTTACTCCTTGGGTTACCACGAATGAACTAGCTAAGGATTCATCAAATACATTTCAAAGCGTTATCTTCATGAGAATAAAGAACATATAATTTATCTGATAATTTCTCGCATTTCTTTGAACAATTAAGTATCTAGGGCTAAATACGAAAGCAACTTCCTTAACTTATATTCGCGGAATTCTACAAAAACAATAGAGGATATTCCGTAATTAATCTCCTATCTAATGGATTTAATTGAGCTTCCTTTAAAAAACACATCGCCGCTTGATATTGAAGTATGGATTAAAGACCTAAGTGAATACCCGACTGTAACGAAGGAAAACCTGCGAAAAGAGTTAGAAGAGTACCAAGAGTTAAGAAAAAAACTTTGTGTTGATTTTCCTACTTTCCAAGATGCGCAATTAGCAAACGTGTACTACAGGATGCTTGGCGCTCTTGAGGAAAAGCTTGCAGGATCAGCTCCTACTAGCTTTACATGGAACTTTTCCTATTCTTCAAGTCAATTAGAAGAATATAATGATATTTGCTTTGAGAAAGCGAACTTCATTTATAGAATGGCAAATGTGTATCAAACTCAAGCGAAGGCCTGTTTGCTAAAGCAAGAACCTAACTTTGCTCAAGCTCATCAATTTCTACAATTTTGTGCTGGATCCTTCAATTTTATAGGTAAGTACTGTCTTTACCTTGGATCGTTGGATTTTGAACATTCTCTTATTAAAGCTTGGGAGCATTGCTTTCTGGCACAAGCCCAGTCTCTTGTGTATCATAAAGGACTACTGACAAAAAGTATACGAGATCTAACGCTTTCCAAGTTAGCAAATGGGATTGCGAAAATGTACGATGATGCTCACCATAGTTTTGAGAATTCGACAGGAGCTCAAAGTTACTTCGTGCATGTAACGTTTCTTGAATCTTTATACTACCGTGCAAGCTCTTATTTTTATCTTTCTAAAGATGCTGTTAGCAAGTATATGTATGGAAAGCAAGTAGCTTTTCTGGAACTTGCCGTGGTTTATTGCAAGAAGGCCCTGGCAAAGAGGTTTGAGGTACCGACTTCAATAAAAGTGTATGAAAACTTAGAAATCCTATTATCTGATTTGCAAGATCAGTTTCGACAAGCCAAGCGAGACAATGATTTCGTTCATCTCGAGCAAGTTCCTTCTCTACAGGACATCTCTAGTTGTGAAATTGTGATGATGGTTCAGTCAGCAATTCCGGATTATATTAGCAGTCTCTCAAATACATTTAGATATTTTCCTTCTATCGTTGATAATAAGGATCAAAGGAGATGGGAACAATTTCGGGACAAAGCAAAGATTATACTAAAGGCTTATGAAAATGATATGCTAAATTTAACTACAGAGGGAGATGATATTGTGGACAAACTTAAAAATCGCATTGCTTACTATTATTGTAATGATGATAAATTCATTAAAGATTTAGGGGCCACCGAGAAGAAGTACGACAAAATTAAGGAATCGGGTGGACAAGAGCTTCTGAGAACGCGGATTACATCTTTAATGACTTTATCCAAGGATGTATCAAATGTATTTCACCAATCTAATGATATTCTAAATAATGAACAAGAGAAAAATGATTTCTACAAATTGAAATATGGGACGGATCGATGGAAAATAGTTTCGAGTGAAATTGCATCCAGAGAACTTAGGAATGAACTGGAATCTTTGAGAATTAATCTCATTAACTTCGAAAATCTAGCCAATGATACCAAGAAACTTTATGATAAGATTAATCCCATTTACCTTACGACCGAACCGAAACTTTTGATCACCAATTTTTCATCCACGACTGAGACGTTGAGTCCCCTTGAAATAAATTTTCTATCGACAATAAATAATCAAATCCAAAGGTGGGAAAGCATTAAAGAAACAAGGTCATCAATTGGCTTACATGAAATTGAATCTCAATACTTTTCTAAAATGACTTCTTTGATGACTTCTGATCCAAATATTTTAATATCAGGATTTAAGGAAGAACTCAGTAAATTATGGAATACGAACGAACAGAAACAATCACAAACAAGGCTATTTGACTCGATTTCAGAATCAATTGACAATTTGGCCCGTGCATATGATGCAAGACAAAAGAAAAAATCCGCGACGCAGATATTACTAGATATAAATGAAATGTATGAGCTCTACTGGGAAGCTATGAACAGAAGCGAAACCGGGGTTACTTTTGGAAATCGGTTACTTGATCTCTTTACCAAAATTGAATTAGAATGTACTGGGTATGCCAATCAAAGGACGGAAGAGGCAGTATCACTTATAGAAAAAATCTCTACTCCTACACAGAAACTCTTCAATCCAAACATACATCAAATTAGATTCAAGAAATGAGGAAATGGAGAATGAATTTATATACAAAATCAGCACTAAAATGACTGTAATATCGTGAAGCATTTTAATAGTTATTACCATACAACAAAGGTCAGGATATAAATCCCCTTTGTAAGCTGTTGGATAACGCTGTATATTTCTTACTCAACCCCTTTCTAGTTACCATCCTTAAAACCTTTTACACCGTCGAATCCATTAGATGGTTTGGTTTGTAACGGATTAATGATTCCCTGATTTGAAAGACCCAAACCTTGTCCTTCATTCCAACCGAATTTCTTCAGGAGGATTTTGCCATAATTTTTCGTCGGTTTATATTTTGGTGACTCTATCAAAGAGTCAGGAATTTGGTCCGATTTAGGGACTGAAGCATTGGAATAAATTGAGTTTATAGTGGTGTCCTTTAGCAAGGCGGGAGGAGGACCAATTCCAAATTGAGAGGATTGAGCTAGTCCTGCATTTCGAGCTTCAGTAGCCAATGAAGGATTCTGCGAAACATATAAATCCCATTCATGTTCCACAGCTTTTCCATATTCGGATTTCTTGTAAATATCATAACTTGTAGGATTGAGAGGGTTATAAAGCTCTGACCATAATTTTTCGACTTTAAAAGAAGAAACCAACGTATCATGATTTAATCCGGAAGATGGTCGCTTCTTCTCTGTAGATTCATTTGAAATATTGAAGCTAGTAGCTTCATTTATAGAAGAAGTATCATTTGAAGGAATATCATGAACATTGTCGAGTACTGTAAGGGATGAAGGGACCGCTTTGTTTAATAGCCTGTTGACATTTTTTTTCTTATTTGGTTTATTCCGCCTCACCATAGGCAGAAAGTGTAAGGATGATAGAGTTTGGGTGGTCTTAGAAGAAGAGGATTTTGATTCCACTGAATTTGAGGGAGGAGATGTTTCATAGAGATGTTCAGAGCTTTTTTCCTTTTCTTTAGCCTTTGCACTCTCCTCAGCAATTTCATCAAGTGTCTTTGAATCTAAACCGTCATATAGAGAGAAAGACATATTGAAACAACTTACGTTCTTACAAAGTCCTGTTTTCTTATAAACCACTCAGAAAAGTTCTATCTTGTCTTCACATGAATTGCAAATTGTATATGTAAGTTCAACCTAGAATGCGATAGTAATAGGTGAATACACTCGTGGAATCTCAAAACCAAAGTTTACAGTCTTAAGATATTCTTTTGAATTGGCAAAGAATATGGAGACTTTAAAGTATGTTGTAACTTCTATTAGTTTCCGTGCTGTATCTGATGAAATTGCTGGAATCGCAACTCTACCATGCTGGGCATTGCTAAGATGTTATAAGTCCGGTACTCTTCTCCTTTACTTCAACTCGTACTTCGCAAGTGTTGGTACTCATAATATCGATCTTCAAATCCTATAGAATTATACATCTACAATTTGGTTATTTACTACTAGATATTGGGTTTCAATTGATCCATATGTGTTCGTTGTCTGAAGAATTGAGAAACAGTTGAACCGTGAATCGTGATACAAGCCTTCTAAGTTTTGTTCTTATTCAACTTTTATTTAATTTACCCAATTTTGATAAGAAAAGCGAAAAATGGACTTGAATCTTTCTGCTCAATCGTATTTTAAGCGAATGTTTCAGGAGGTCCCCGACTTGAAGGTCCTTTTACTAGAGAGAGAAACTACTAGAATAGTCTCTTCTAGTATAACTCAGTCAAATCTCTTAGAGCACCAAATTTATTTAACTGTGTAAGTTGGGTTTTTAGGGTACAAGCTAATTATGAACTTCCCTAGCCTTGTTGAAAACCAAAGAGAAAAGCTTAGACACTTGAAATGCATTGCGTTTCTGAGGCCAACAACTCAGACCTTACGTTTTCTATGTGAGGAGCTACGTGATCCAAAATATTCAGAGTACCATTTGTACTTCTCCAACATCTTGTCCAAAAGCTTTCTGGAGCGATTGGCTGAGTCAGATGATTTTGAGGTGGTTAAGAGTGTTCAAGTAAGTCCTTGTCTTTGCTTAGTGATTAACGTACTTTTTAGGAAATATTTTTGGACTATTTGGTAGTAAACAATGACCTCGCATCTTTAAATGTACCTCACATAATCGATAACACTCCAGACTCCTGGTTGGATTCTTCCTTAGAGCGTACTCAACAAGGCTTAATCTCACTTTTACTATCTTTGAAAAAGAAACCTTTGATTCGTTATGATGTAAATAGTTTCCTTAGCTTAAAGCTTGCCGAAGAAATCGGATACGTTACACAGAATGAAACTCAGCTATTTAATTTCCGAAAGTCTGATACTCCTACTATTTTACTTATATTGGATAGGAAGAATGATCCAATTACCCCATTATTAACGCAATGGACATATCAGGCCATGGTACATGAGCTTTTTGGAATAAATAATGGACGTGTCAGTTTTCAGAATACAAGCGTACCAGGTGAGACAACTGAAATTGTTTTAAACCCTACTCTTGATCCATTTTATAACGAAACACGCTTTGATAATTTCGGAAAACTTGGTGTCAAAATCAAGGAATATGTGTCTCATTTGCAAACGAAGTCTATGAAAAAGGCTAATGAAATTGAAAGTATTGCTGACATGAAACAGTTTTTGGAAACCTACCCTGAATACAGAAGGCTTTCTGGAAATGTAAACAAACATGTTTCCCTAGTTAGCGAAATCTCGTTGAAAGTTCAACAGGAGAACCTGTTAGAGATAGGTGAAGTAGAACAATCAATGGTTTGCAATGAAGCTGAAGCTATCAATTTTTCCTACATTCAAAGATTGATATCCTCTAGTATCTCAGAAAATACAAAGCTTCGTTTGGCTTCGCTGTATGCACTTCGATTTGAAAAGATTGACCCTGCGAAAGTAGCCTCTCTTCAAGGACTGTTGTTGGCAAATGGTGTGAGTCCTATAAAAGCTGCTATCATTCCGACTTTACTACACCTTTCAGGAGCCGGCGCTCGGCAAGGAGATATTTTCCCACCTTCAAACATATTTTCGAGAGCTCGTAGTGGATTCAAAGGATTGCGAGGTGTAGAAAATGTTTATATACAACACAATCCCTTCCTCAAAACAATTGTTGAAGACTTAATACAAGGGAAACTAAAAGAAAGTACACATCCATACTACGACGTTGATGTTCCGGCTCATAATGCTCATGAAAAACCTCAGGATATAATTATCATGATGGTTGGTGGTGCCACGTATGAAGAAGCGCGCTTTATTTCTGAAATTAATGCCACGCATCCTGGAATTCGAGTGGTCTTAGCCGGAACGACGATCCATAATTCTTCTTCCTACATTGATGTAAGTTCAGACTTAAATACCCTTATATTACTAATTCCTATCTAACCAAAATTTTAGGATATTATCTATATGGCTTCGAGAATTAAATAAACCTCCCTTAATGACCTGTCTATGTGAATCATGATTCTTGCCATTTTGCAAAACGTGACCAATTATCAACGAATCTATGGAACAAAGATCTTGTTGGGGCGTTCATTGATGTGGACGCCATGTGCTTTTCGTATGTGGATAAGTTACCGTAAACCGAATAAAACGCTTCCGTAAGGCGCTCCTTAGCATCCAGATCGATCATAAAATTGACCTGCAAAGAAAGGAACTCAATTAGAAGAAAAACGAAATGTTTCGTTGACGCTTTAATAAATTGCCTTTCACTATCTGTCAGTGTAGACGCTTTTTTATTTGAATCATGCATTAAATTTGGATTCATCCAAGTATTTAATAGCCTTGACATTGCTATAACGTTATAATCAGATATCATCATTGACGGTTTGAACCATTTCGGTGTTCTAATTACATTGTCAGCCTTGGAGAAAGAATTTGTAGTCTTTTTGAACATGCAGTGTAGGACTTTTTTAAGAATGCCAAAAAGTACATGAAAACGACCACTCATGTAAGAACGATGGTTATAGAGCATTCCTCTTAACACGGAAATAATCCTAGAAATAATCAAATTTTCATCGTAAGAGCAGCTTATTGATTTTCGCGAGCTTAACAATGAAGACAGGCTCGATATAATAAAATTGAAGGAATCGACGTTGCATACCTTGGAGCTTTTGTTTGCAAATACGTCCAACACGTCCAAAATTGAAAGAACGGTAAACACATCGTTTTCGTCACTTTGTATAAGTAGTCCAGAACAAAGACATAGTACCAAGCTAGTCATGTTTTTATTGACTTCAAATATATCGGAACACCTAGCAATTAAGGTAATAACTTTTAGTAAGATTGAGTTGTCTAAAGCATCTTGACTATGTAAAATGGTTGATAAAACTTCAGCAATAACACCGGAACAATCATCCAAAGTCAGCTTAGAGATAGCACTTGCGATATCTGCACTTCTTAAAGTAAATTCATGAAGTAATCTTCTGTAAAAGACTAACTGTGCAATCAACTTTAGAAAATCAAGTTTATCATTTACCAACAATGACTGGTACGATATCCATGTCTCGAGAAATGAAAGATTGAAGTCAGCAGCATTCAATGAAGACGCTGCGGCCTCAACTCTCGTCCTAACCTTATAATACAGCTCTTTCTCAGCTTCAGATGGTTGAAATGTACGCAAAAAGGAATTGCAACACTCCAATAATTTTGTCAAAAGTGCTATATGTAAAACTTCAAAATTATCCAAAGTATATGAAATCTCGTTTAAAACCATTCCCGAACAAAGTTTGAGCTTGGAAACGACTTCTTCATCGTTCGGTGCTTGTCGAATACTTGGAATATATTGCACCAATTCATTTAAAAAAACACTCACACCATACATAGGAACATGTCCCTGTTTTTCAAGTAAGTATCCTATAAGGTCATTCAGCACGTTAGTCTTATTCTCGCTGTCGATATGCGCGATCCAATACTTAATCGTCAGTTTCATATCTCTCTCGCAGTCTTCCGGAGTCTCTGAATTTAAGTCACTGATAATCTGATAGACAATTTGGTAACAATTATACAATGCAGCAGAGCAAGGAACTTGCACCAGCCTTGCCAGCACTCCGTATAATGAGCATTTAATATCAGGCTTGTCTACCAGTAAATCTCTTTTGAAAGAGCACATAATGTTCAATATGCGGATACGATAATGTTTCTGAATATATCTTAATGGAAGATATTCTAAACAATCCAAAACAAACCTAAGATTTCCTGGGGTAAATTTCACATTAATCTCCTTATTAGATTCGTAAAAACTGACTATGTCAGAGGTACTAGGGACATCCTCAGGATATATAAGGCGCGAAAACGTGCTCAAAAGACCATCAAAAACAACAGTGAGCTCATATGTCTCAGAACTTTGTAAAAAAAGTCTCCAGGCATTCAAAAGTAATATCTGATCTTGGGATTTAGGTGAAGACGAGTTTCGTAATAGTTTCTCACAAACTTTAAACAACCAACTAGTCAATTCATCCCTCGATAAACAAAGATTAACTGGTCGTAACCATCTTAGCAGTAAAGTGATAGTTAAGCCACAAGAAGAAGTATCGATAACTGGCAAGTCTACGGACTCTGGAGGATCTTGGGAATCCAAATACAGCATCGATCGGAAGATTGCAGACTTAACAACCGAGCAATATGTTTCATTGTCGAATACTTTTTCTGTATTAAAGCGTAATTTTTCAAAATAACATAATAGAACTTGCAAGGACCATGTATGGTCAGCAGATTCTTCCAAGCCACTATCGAGTGACCTTAAAAGGACAGGAGCAGTTTCAGGATATGTAGAATTTACATAAGAGAGTGACTTATCCATGTTGACATAATGAGACATTAACAGAACGTTTCTAGATTCTTTCTTCATATTCCCATAATCCGTGGATAAGCAAGGAAAAAACACCTGATGATAAAAATCGTAGATCTTCTCTTCAATTGATTCAGCGTAATGACGAGATTTAATACCACAAAGAATAGTATAATAAAGTAGAAGTGGATTATAGCGAGATTCTGAGGTTGCGTTCAAAACAGAAGTTAACAATTGTGAAATTAACTCATTTAAAGAAGAAGGAGTAAATGCTGCTTCCACCGATGCAGATACCATACTCGCAAGTTCGTGACTAAAATATAAAGTATGTGAACTAGTTGTTCTCAGTAATGAACTATTCCAACTAAAACAAAAATCCAAAAAGCTTCGTGCTCGCACATGGGCACTTATTAATCTTTTTAGGTACACAAGTATACTTTGATTTTCTTCCGGATGGCAGACATCAATGAAGTTCCAAAGTTCGTTCGACAATGGTAAAACTGAATCAAAATCGATATTCAATAAAGATGCAAAAATTCTCCATAATGTTGGTCTGTTATCACGTTTAGACAAATTATCCATGCACAGTCTGGCGAGAGTAACCAACATGTCGAAAGTCGTTTTGTCCGGATTCCCTCGATGAACCTTGTCAGATTCAAGCATTTCGCATAGCAAACGAAATGCTTCGAAAACCGTAGTATCGGGAGCTTCCACATGAGTCAATAAATATTTCATATGTTCGACAAATAGCTTGTAAGTGAGATCGGAAGCTTTTTGCTGCGAAATATGCTTTCCTGAATCAGACATAAATGAGGAAATAGAATCTAAAAAGATTTGGAAAAGACTTGGAACAGATTTTAAATCCACTTGATCAACAGATAAATTTTTAAGGAGAGAAAAGAGATTTTCATTGCTCTCCTTTTTGGCGACCAGTGCTTCTAGGGTAGACGGACTAAGTATGCAAGTTGTCAAAATACTTTTAATAAATTCGTAGTTCTTGTTTTCTATATCGACACTTGAGAGAAGCTGCAAGATCCCGTTTAGTGAACGACTTAGGAAATAAACACTGGCTTTTAAAGTATTGGACGTTGCTCGCAATGAAGAAGAAATAAGTTTGCAGAATACCTTTTGAATTTGACTATCTGCAATAGCATCATCAGCGGTGTTTGGATGCAGAGCAAAGATATGGCAGAATCGTGATAATAAATCAGATACTTGGTCGGGAAAGGATCTGGAAGAATATAAAATATCGGAAGAGCTATAGACAGTAACAAAGTTTTTGCATACACTCAGAAACACAGACTTGTCAAATCGTGTACTTAATACATTAAGCACATCAGTAATAATTGGAAGAATTGGTTGTCTTCGAACTGAATTTACCTTAAAACTAGTGGAAATCTTATCAGAATTCCAGACGAAAAATAACAAGTCCCAGTATTTAATGTTTAGACATGTTTCATAATGTCTGCAAAGATTAGAAATTAAAAAAACATTCTGCATGAATAACGTACCCAATCTTTGTGTCTTCTTTTAATCTGTCTAATAGAAATGTTATCACAAATTCTTCTTTATTAGGAAAGTAAGTCGGAATATTATTATGGCATAAATTGTAAGCCAGCTCGACTTGTTCTACGCGATTTCCATTCTTATCTCGAATGCTCTTTGTAAGGGTTTGTAAGCTCATTATTTTAAGGAATAATTTCCCCTTATTTTCAAAAATCTGCCTTTCGGCCTTCGTAGAAGAGAATGAAATTTGCGAAAATGTTTACGCTGAATTTAGAGGAAAGGTAACATTAAAGACAGGTAACAATATGTTGCAAAATACACGATATTTAGAGAAATGAAGTTGGAGTAGTTTTACTTTATTATATTAAATTACAATACGTCGGCGACTTATAAACTAAAATATTAACTCTGAATTCTAACATCCTATGTAATGTATTGAATACGCGAAAGATTAAAACCTATAAACGAGGGACGAAGTAGAACGTAAAGAGCATGCGGAAAAGCAATGACAATTATAGTAAACAAGTGAAAGCAAGAATAAATATGTCCAGTTATGCCCGCCAAAAATATTTAACGACCCAATGGGTTATGATACAAAGGAGGATTAGGCAGGGGATGAGCGATCCTAGAATGAGAGACAGGATTTTTTAATTTTGGGTTAGCGCCTTTAATAGGGCTATTAATTGGACTATTCACGGGCGTTCTTCTTAGCAATTTTTCTGAATTATTGCCTATGATGAATTCATGTCGTAAAGCCATTTCAACTGTTATGCGTTTTTTAGGGTCCCATTGTAAACATTTAGAAATTAAATCCAGGAATAAAGGGTTTTTGCAGCGGGTAAGTTGATCTAATCTTTTAGTTGAAGGTATAAGAGGACGGCCTCGACTATTTAATATTGGATGAGCCTGTCCATGAGAATCAAAATAGAGCTTTGATCGTGTCGATATGAGTATTAGCTCTCTAGGAGGAATACCCAAAACCTCCATTATGTAACCCAATTGTTCAGCCTCATTAGCACCTGGGAAAAGAGGTATACCGGTGTATAATTCTGCTAAAATACAACCAAAACTCCATATATCAATTTCCTTTCCATATGGCATTCCTAATATAACTTCAGGTGCACGATAAAACCTTGATTGCAAATAAGTATAAATCTTTTCATTATATCTGCAACTACTTCCAAAGTCAATCAACTTGACCCTTGCGTTTGTGTGATCACAAAGCAAAAGATTTTCTGGTTTGAGATCACAGTGTATAATTCGCTGTTTTTGAAGGAAGTTTAGGGATTTAAGTAGCTGAGCTGTGAAGCTTTTCACGATTATGAGAGGGAATCCTTTATAGTTATTGTCTCTTATCACTTCAAAAAGATTTTCACCCAGCAGTTCGGTCACGATACAAAGATGGTTTCTGAAGTTAAAATGATCAAAGTAGCGTATAATATTGCTTTCCATGAAAGTTTCGTCTTTCGTCAACCTTTCAAGGATTCCAGCTTCGACTAAGGCTTGATCATAGCATTTTACGCGATTCCGGATGACTTTGATTGCAACCAATTTACCATGTTTATAGTCAATACAACGTAAGACTTCGCCAAAACTGCCTTTGCCCACTTTGTCTACAACTTCGTACCGGTAAAATAGTTGATCTCCAACGTTGACTCTATAATCACCATTAGGATCATCAAATGCCAATTCTTCGGTACATCCTGGAGCTATGTTTTTACTCACTTTATCACAGCCACGAGATCCTATAAAGTATATTTCAGGAAAGGCTTTTACTTCTTCTAATTCATAAGGCGTAAGTCGTGCTCGTTCATATTCAGACAGTCTGTTAAGAGTCCTTGGTGGATATGGCCGAACACTTTTCTGAAGTCTCCGGATTTTCTTCGATTCCTGTATAAGTTTATGCTGTTGTCGAGAGGCTAGACTCTGCATTACTAAGTCTGCATCTTTTAAGATTCTGTCAAAAGAGACGGGACCAGAATTTAAATTATAATTAGTGGGTCGATAGTTCGCCCGAGGGCGGAGAGGTGAATTTGGAATCTCAGTATGAACTTTAGAGCCCGGTGCTCTTGGCAACCTTCTAAAAGTTGACGCGGAGGAATAGCTAGCCATTTTGCTTGTTGTAACAGGAATATTTCTTTCGTATGAGCACAGATCAGAGCGAAGATCGGAGAAATCCATAGTAGAGGAAAGGTCGTTTATTCCTACTATTTCCGACATTGGTGAAAAAGACCTACCAGGAAAGGGATTGTTTCTAGTAGAAAATTTTGGGGAATTATTGTAGTTACTCGTCCTACTGTAATCCGGACGTAAAGGTGAATGCTGTATAAATGAGTTTCGATTTGGCACAGACTGTACAAACTTGTTTGTTTCTAATGTATTAAAGCCCAAAGTCCCTGCATCGATATTCGACCTTTTTTCCTTTGTATGAGAAGTTGGCGTAGACGGATTATTAGCAGATAAATTATAAAAGGAGTGTTCCTTCAAATTGTAATCTTTTGGCTCCTTTTCAATGGCAGAATTTTTCGGAGGAAGAGTTTCTTGATATCTTTCCCCCAGAGGTGTTTTCACTGTGGAGCTTGAAGACGATGTAATTTCTTCGTTCGCTGCATTGCTTACAGCAGCATCACCCGAACCCGATGGCTTATAACTCAGTTCAGGTTGGACTAGCTTATCTAAAACGATTCTTCGGTTCTGAAATGAAGGAGTTTTAATAGGCTTTCTACTTTCAACATTATTTGAGTTGTTTTCCATAGGAAGTTCATTGCCGAATTTGGATTCAGCATCCTTTCGATCAGTATTCATTGCGAGGGATGGATTATTCGATTGAATTTTATTTTCATGGAGCATTTCATAAGAATTATCCTCCTTTTGTTTGACATACGTGGGAGTTGACGACGTATCTCCAGAGAGCTTAGCCTTTTGAAACACCTCAGTCAGGATCTTGCTATTTTGCGAAAACCGATGTTGCAAAAGCGGTCGCGAAGCACTAAGAGGATTTCTGTGTGCAAACGTTGGTAAATGACGATGAGAAGAGTCTTTCGAATGATTCTCAGACCGTAAACCTAGTAAAGTGATCGAAGGATGTTTACGGTAATTGTTGGTAGTAACTGGATGAGCATTTGGAATTTCCATAATAAATTGAAAAAGACCACGGATAAAAGATGAGAAAATGCTTGTGCATATGAGAAAGGCTATGGGATCGAAAAGAACGTATGCTGTTTCCCAAGGAACGAAGGGCCAAAAACTTGAGTATTAAATAATTCTTTAAGATTTCAGTTTTGTTTCTTTTGAAGATATGGGAGTACTGAAAAAACCTAACGGTTGAAACAAAGCACAGCAAGTGTTTTAAGTACGGAGCATTCCACACCTCGCCGAAGCTTCTGAAATCTCTAAAAGAAATACAGCAAATAAAAAATATCCGGTTAACAGATTATTTTCAACTTCTAAATGGAGTAAAAGATCGATGAACAAAGTTGAAATCCCAGCGTAGCTGTATCAGTGTGTAGTGTGTGTAGGTAACAAAGTAACCATCAATGTAAATAAATAGAAGTGAATCTTCATATTTTGTGAATATACAGTATAAAGTGAGATCTTTAGGATTGGAAAGTAAATTATGACACTAAAACAATTATAGGAAGATTTTCTTAAGCCTGTTGAAGTTCTACAGGAAACTTTCAGGCCTTTGTTTACCTACTCCACAGATATATCAAGTGAGTTTTTATATACGCGCGAATGTTCTTTCTGTCTTTTTTCCTTTATTCTACTTAACTTCTCAACCTCAAACTTAAAAGTATTTATTTACCATTCTGTTTCTATTTTCTAATTGCTCACAGCTGTATGAATATGTTGTTATACCGAACGAAAATGTAAAAATCAAAAGAAAAAAAACGCGAACCTGAATCAAGTTATAAAATACTGAACAATGGTATTCTATTTAAATAAGTAAACAATTGTAACGTTTACAGAGTAAAAAAAAATAAAAAACATCGTAGAAGACCCTAGCAAAAGTACAAGAATCACAAACCATTTATTTATTTACTAAACATTAAAAGAATATGTAAATAAACGAACATAATGTGGAAGAGTACGTTGTCCATCGGTATACCTCATTAAAGGAATTATGCACACACAGTAGAGGTCGAGCAACAAGAATTCATATCAACGCTCTGCAAGTTTGGTCGTCAAAGACAGTGCATGAGTTTAGCGTCCATGTCTTTAAAGCCCAAATACTATCAAAATGGTTTCGACTTGAACTTGACTACAGCCATGAACTCAATTAACGGATTGGATACTCAGATGGAAAATTTAGCAGTTGAAAATAGACGAAGAACTGAATGTTGCGCTTATTGTAACATATCGAATCCAAATTCGATTGTAAAATGCTTACATTGCAACAAATGGTTTTGTAACACGAGGGAAAAGTCTGGAGCCTCTCATATCGTTATTCATTTAGTGCGTGCTCGACATAAGCAAGTATCTCTACACAGCGAGTCTCCTCTTTCGGATACGACTCTTGAATGCTATAATTGTGGCACTCGAAACGTATTTCTTCTCGGTTTCATTCCAGCAAAAGCAAAAACCGTAGTAGTGCTACTCTGCCGACAACCTTGCGCCAAGTCTAGTCTTGCCAAGGATATGAACTGGGATTTATCTCAATGGCAACCAATTATTTCAGATCGCCAATTCTTACCATGGTTGATTACGCCACCTTCTGAAGAAGAGCAAAAACTTGCGTCTCCCATAACGTCTCAACAAATCATTCGTTTAGAGGAACTTTGGCGAAAAGACTCTCATGCAACTCTGGAGGATCTTGATAAACCTATTGAAGATGATTCTCTACCTTCTGTTGAACTTCGGTATAAAGATGCCCACGAGTATCAGGCCATCCTTTCTCCTCTTATTCACGCAGAAGCAGAATATGATAAAAGGCTCAAGGAGTCACAGACTCAAAAAGACGTTGCTGTTAGATGGGATCAAGCTATAAACAGAAGGTATACTGCTTGGTTTTTGTTACCTAAACTTGAGTCCGGTGAGATTCGACTCGCCATCGGCGATGAAATGAAGCTTACCTACGAAGGCGAGTTGAGACCACGTTGGAGTTCAACTGGTTATGTTATAAAAATTCCAAACAACGTTTCTGATGAAGTCGGTCTGGAGTTGAAGCGCTCTGATAACGTCCCTGTTGAATGCTTACACAATTTTTCCGTAGATTATGTGTGGAAGTCAACTTCCTTTGATCGAATGCAAGTTGCTTTAAAGCTGTTTGCTAATGATGGATCTCGTTTATCTTCGTACCTTTATCATAAATTCCTTGGACATGATATCTCTCCTTCATCCTTCAAACCAAAGTTTCCTTCAGATTATTCGGTACCGAACCTCCCCAAACTCAATGCTAGTCAACGTGAGGCTGTTCGATCTGTTTTGAGCAAACCTCTTTCTTTAATCCAAGGTCCCCCGGGTACTGGTAAAACCGTAACATCCGCTTCAATTGTCTACCACTTAGCTACTATACAAAATAGGAAAAGAAAGTCCCCTTTACCTGTTTTGGTGTGTGCTCCTTCCAACGTCGCTGTGGATCAACTTGCAGAAAAAATTAACCGTACTGGTTTACGCGTGATTCGTGTTGCAGCTAAATCAAGGGAAGACATCGAATCTTCGGTTTCGTTTCTCTCTTTACACGAACAAATTAAGAACTATCAAGGAAATCCTGAGCTTCAACGCCTTTTCAAATTGCGCGCTGAGAATAACGAGCTTTCTTTACAAGACGAAAAGCGCCTTCGAATTTTGATAGCAGCGGCTGAGCGTGAACTGCTTCGAGCGGCTCACGTTATTTGCTGTACATGCGTTGGTGCCGGTGATAAAAGAGTAGCAAAATATCGGTTTCGTTCCGTGTTAATTGATGAAGCCACTCAAGCATCCGAAGCAGAGTGCATGATTCCTTTGGTTCTCGGTGCTAAACAAGTGGTCTTGGTGGGAGACCATCAACAATTAGGGCCGGTTGTTATGAATAAAAAAGTAGCGCAAGCACGGCTTTCGCAATCATTATTTGAAAGGATGATTATTCTAGGAAATTCACCGTTTCGGTTGGTGGTACAATATCGTATGCATCCTTGTCTGTCAGAGTTTCCATCAAATACATTCTATGAGGGAACTTTACAAAATGGTGTTACGACTTCCGAACGTATTGCTCGACACGTTGACTTTCCATGGATCCAGCCTGACGAACCTTTAATGTTCTATGCCAACTTTGGTCAAGAAGAGTTGTCAGCAAGCGGCACATCATACTTAAATCGTACGGAAGCATCTACTTGTGAAAAGATTGTTACTCGTTTTCTGAAATGTAATGTTTTACCCGAACAAATTGGTATCATTACTCCATATGATGGTCAACGTTCTTACATTGTTCAATACATGCAGAACAATGGTTCTATGCAGAAGGATCTGTATAAGTATGTTGAAGTGGCTTCCGTGGATGCTTTCCAAGGACGTGAAAAGGATTTTATTATATTATCATGTGTTCGCTCAAGCGAACATCAGGGTATTGGATTTTTGAACGATCCAAGAAGATTAAACGTTGCATTAACTCGTGCTAAATATGGTGTTATTGTCTTAGGTAATCCTAAAGTATTAGCCAAGCACGCTTTATGGTATCATTTCGTTTCACATTGTAAGGACCAAGGGTGTTTGGTTGAAGGAACCCTAAATAGCCTTCAAAAGTTTTCGATGATACTGATCCCACCTCAAAAACCGCAAAACTTCAAGAGAGATCTTAATGTTCTTCGATCACTATCTCCGATTCAGGGAGCCCATAATTCCTTGTTTCCTAATCTTTCCAACCTGCAGAGCTTATATTCTCCTTCATACCTTGAGGAATGGAACACGTTTTCTCAGTATCGTCGCAGAGAAAGTAATGTTACAGACTATGAAGATATCCAAAGTCAAGTCGGTGATAATGAAAGCGATATTGGGGATTTGACACGATTCTAATGCTATCGTACATTTCGTGCATATTTATGAATCAAAATTATCTCGAGGGAACTTTAAGTGAAATATCAGTTAGCCCCGAGTAAACTATAGATGTGTTTATTCGCTGAATATACAAAATTTCCTTAGACAAACGGTTTCCAAGTCTTTACTTCGTTTGTAATACTTGTCGGCCACCGTTATAATAGATTGCTTTGTTTTCGATATATCTTTTTATTTTAAAATACACTAGAATGAGCTATCAATATTATGTAGACATATAATAAAAATCTTAAAAGTGAAATCTTGCCCGAAAAATAATTGGATAATGTACAGATTCATTAAGTATAGCGTTCAAGCAAAGTATTATGAGTTAAACTTGTATACCTAATACCAAGTAAATAGTTTAGTTCAAGAAGTTGAAGCCTCTCATTGGGAATGCAGGAACATTTCTCTAAGGGTCTGGGGCAATTTTGGGTGGTTTCGTCTTGCCATTAACGTACTCTTTACGGTAGGCTGAATCTCATCCATCTCACGAAGCTCTCCTGTACTTTTGTTTTGCTGCTGGACTGTATAAAGGAAGTCCTTAATGAGACCATCAACTGAGACCTTGTATAGACAACTGACCGGCAGTCTTGGAAAGTTTACGTAGTCATCATTAGATATATCTTCTTTAACAGCAAGCTGCCAACCTGACACCAAGGTGGGAGTATCAGAAGGCACGGTTTTGTCAGGTAAAGCGGGTGTACGTACAACAACGGCATTTTGAGGCATGCGAAGCCCATGCTTGCTAGCAACTTCATGGCGGCAAGCTTTCGCATGTTTAAAACATCCGGAATGGTAGAACGTGTCACAAACTTGACATCCAAAAACCTTGCAAGCACCTAAAGAAGGTTTACTACAGTGACCACAGTAAGCCAATGCAGTGATAGAGGAGTCTTTCGAAAGAGAAGATGATGTGTCTAAAGAAATGTCCTCTTGCTCTTCATATTTGCCAACCGAATCTCGACTTAACCCATGAAAATGATGAATTACTGCATCGGGTAAGTTATATTGGGAAACATTTGCCGAATCAACCCAGTCGAAAAGCTGGGACCATAAACCAAGAGGCTGTTTTGGAGGTACATGCTGAGTCATAGAACATGAAGTACAGTACCAGGATCCATCTGGAATTTCGTCTTCTGTGATCGGCGGATCCAAGCAGGACAAATGAAAACTTCTGGGACAAGATTCGCAACAAAGGAACAAACCGCGACCACCGCATGCGGAACAATAATCAACATTTTTTATGACTGTACGTCGTTTTCTTTTTTTGGCTACAGAACTTGAACTTGGATGTGTCATAGGATTTGGATTTTTCACACTTTGCTGGTTTTGAGATTCCTTAACAGGCGCTTTATTTGAATTGTCATCCGAACGACTCGAGCGTCTACTGCTTGTCTTTGGACTAGATCTTGAAGGAGTTTCTGACTTCATCGGCGAATATTTGTCGCGCTCCACCTTGGAGCTTTGGCCAGCGGTGAATTCCATGACGACAAAAAAAAAAGGATATCTCTTCGGGAAGTCGTTACTGTCGTTTTAAAACCCAGGTAGCCGATAGGCTATATAATAGTGTTAAGGTGAATCAGGAGGAATACTTGGGTTGCAAGTTGGAGACACAACTGCTTTTCTGCAAATGTTCCTTTAATGATGGTTTGGTGGAGAGGAAAAAATACTTAACAGAACAGTGAACAGTACTAGAAGCTAATGGGGTATAGAATGCAATGCAAATTCATCTAATATCAACTACACTAAAGAATGATTTTGTAAAGATTGCTGGATACATTTGTTATAAATCGTATAATAATTTAAAAAAAAAAATTGAATAAATGATAGAAATTAAGACTTCAAGAAATAAGTGATTCTATTATTTGAGATGAAAATCTTGTAAAATTAAACACATTTCATCCAAACCAAAGAGTACCTTAAAAAAGTAGTTGCCCGCTAGCAGCCCAACTGGAAAAGCCTTAAGATTGTAGATAAAATGCATACATATGTTACTACGTATATGAGAAGAGTAGCTGTTAAATTTGAAATCGAGATATTAGTGAAAAGTTGTACCTGATACAATGGTCATATCTTCATAGTGGCCTCAATTCATCAGCTCTCGCTCCGCTTCTAAATATAAAAGAAATTTGATCCATAGCTGTTTTTTTTTCCTTTTAAGGGTGGTTTGTCTTCGTATGCCTTTCAATGTATTCATCATATTCCTTGGCATCACTGTCACTCCAGTATCAATGGATCAACATGAATATGAAATGTGTATCTTTTATTTGAGAAAGTCTTGACAATTAAGCATAATTCTACCGCAACAAAGTTAGTATAGTAAATCGTAAAATCTGCAAACTGCTGTCAACTGTCACATAACCGAATTAGTAGAAAGCTGTATTAAAGAATATAGTATTCTAACAGAATTCTCCTATTAAGAGTCTCTTGGAAGGTAAATTAAGTAACTTTTGCGTCTTGACGTATATCTTGTCTCAAACTATCTCAGAAGAAGTCATGATGGCATTGAGACGAAGAGAATAATGTAAGATAGTATAAGGTATAAGAATAATCATCTTTATCTTCAGAAGTTTCCTTGATTTCCGCCAAGATTCCTTCTGTTTGCCATTTAGAAGCGCCAGAAGTATACAGCCTCAAACACTCTCCATTATGTTACTACCCCAATTTTGAGCAGAGTACAAATCTCTTACTTTTATTGCAAGTAAATACTGTTACATATTCGATTCTTCCAGTCGTTCATAATTATTTGTTAAGCTTGCCTTCATCTAACCCAGTGCTACTCACCACCATTTACTTGGAACAGCAAACACAAGAAAAGACTAGCTTCTGAGAGGAGTTGCGTTGAGTTAACAATTATTTCTTCCTTCCAAATATTCTTCGTAGAAACTCTTGCTTATTTTCATTTGTTTCTCCTTTGTTGTTTGCCTCTTCACCTATAGACAGCAAAACGGAAGATTCAGCAAAATGTTAAAGTCACAGGATTCGTATTCTTCTGAAGAAGAAGATGACATGTTGTGGTATGCTAATTGTGCTCTTTTGCAGGCCTTCTGTATAATCTTTTTCTAACTTGAAAATGTAGTCCCTTGTGTATGGAAGAGATTGACATATCCGACAAGAACTTCAAACCTTGCCAATGTGGTTATCGGGTTTGTAGATTTTGCTGGCATCATATAAAGGAAGACTTGAATGGCCGCTGTCCTGCTTGCAGACGTTTATACACTGAAGAAAACGTACAATGGCGCCCCGTTACAGCAGAAGAGTAAGTAACTATGCAAAGATACAGAAAGAAAATAGCATATTGGCTTTTTCCTGTACTATAGCATACGGATATGATGGCTTGTACTAACGGCTGCTTAGGTGGAAAATGGATTTACATCGCAAGAATGAAAGAAAGAAACGTGAGAAGGAAAGAAAAGAAGTGGAAGCTTCGAATAGAAAGCATTTGGCAAATATTCGTGTTGTCCAAAAGAATTTGGCCTATGTAAACGGCCTGTCTCCTAAGATTGCAAATGAAGACAACATCCATATATTAAAGGGTCTTGATTATTTTGGTCAGTACGGAAAAATAATAAAAATTGCTATAAATAAAAAAGCAGCCGCGAATTCTGCAAATGGCCACGTCGGAGTCTACATTACTTATCAAAGAAAGGAGGATGCTGCGCGAGCTATTGCTGCCATTGACGGTAGTATAAGTGATGGAAGGCATTTGCGTGCCTCATACGGAACCACTAAATACTGCACATCGTATTTGAGGAATCAGCAATGCCCGAACCCATCTTGTATGTACTTACATGAACCTGGTGATGAAGTGGACAGCTACACAAAAGAGGACCTTGCTTCTTTGCAACACACTCGTAGTTTGCCTGGAAAAGTGAACGGAATTGCAACCGCTAATCATTCTCCTTCTCCTTCCTTACACTTTAAAACTCCTTTGTTGCCTATAAATAAACCGCTGATCGACGGCGGCCCTAATGCCTCTGATGAACATCAACATTCAGGACAACCTTCGGTCCCGCATCCTTCATCCAATGTTACTGCACCTTATTCATCGGCAGCAGCAGCAAACGTAACTCCTGGACATACAACCACCATCCTCCACCATGAAGAGTCTTCTGCCCTGCCACCCACGGCTTCTTGGGCGAAGTTATCTCCTACCGTTTTGCAAGAACGCCTTCGTGCTGCCGTAAACCAACAGCCTTTAGATCCCTTAAAGTCACCATCTCTATCTTCTCAATTACCTACTGTACAACAATTGCGTTCCGCAAAGTTGCCCTCACAAAAGGAAAATTATGCAAAATGGTTAGATCTTGCCATCCGCGATTTAGCCACCCCTTTCAGCCAGACTTCCTTCAATACGAATGGTCTTGGCTTTAGTGACGATGACCTTGAGAAGATTAAATCTTTCCCACCGTTGTTTGTGTTTAATGCGCGTTCTGTCATTAACAAACAGTTGGGACAAGAACTTCAAGCAGTGAATGAAAATACTGCTCCGAGAGAAAATGAGCTGGCTCAAGTAATGCCTCCGCCTGGATTCTAAACCTTACCATGTTTGCTTTTCGTTGATTACTGACGCGAATTTGTTACTTTTTTGTAGATATAATATATCCTTATCTTCACAATCTATCCTCATAATATGTTCATACGCATACAATAACATAGCATTATAAATACTTCAATGACTCTGAAAGCGATACATGTTTATAATATTAATATTTTTAACCTAAACCTATTATTACCAAAAGGACAGATCACCTTACACCTTTAGCCAAAATTGATTTTAACCCTAAAATAAAAAATCTTAAATACGCATCGACTCGACATCATCCAATAGTTCATCAACAGATATGGGAGGAACGTCGACTTCGTCTTCCTCATCCATTTCAGCATCATTAGCTGGAGCCTTTTGAGCGTTGTTACTCTTATAAAGGTTAACGCCTTGACGAAGTTCAGGATCTTCTTCCAAGTTGCGCAGGAAGATTTCGTAATCACGTTCTTGACGGTCAACATCTTGTTTTTTAACTTCTTCAGCTTGTTGCATGCCAATAGACTTAAGCTTCCAATTACGGTTTTTGCTTTTGCGAGGGAAGGTCTTCTTAACTAAGACTATCTCAGGAATGGTTTCTTCCTTCAGTGAGTCAAAAATTTCATTATTGAAGTTTGTGACAGACAAATGATAACCCATAACCGTATCACCTGCATTAAGCAAGGAACCAAGATGAGTACGAGCGATATGAGTGGATCCATCAGATGACTTAATTAGCTCAACATCAGCAAGAGCATATTTTCCATTGGTGGCACCAAGGAAGTCAACGTCGGCTACAATAAATTCAGTAAGTTCAGTAAGATCGGCCAACGAAGGGAAGGGTGTGCGCCAGTAAGAAGCGGGCAACATATCTGCGGTATGAAGAGTAAAAGGATCCATAAAACGAAGAGAAGGACCAACTTTGATACACAAGACGAGTTGAGCAATATTTCCATGCGCCTTAGCAACAGGCTTGGGTAAGCAAACGAGGTCATCCTTGCAAATGGGTACAATCTCAGTGGAGTATGTAAATTTGTAATTGGCGGTGTTAGACTTAAAGTCTTCACTAATAAGTTCTTCACTAGTCTTAAAGCGAATTGGCACAACACTACTCAAGAACTCAATCATCTTTACTGCGTGAGCTCTTTGAGCAAAGTAAAAATCAATACCATCCTTGGTTTCTTTGATATTAACAGTTACCAAGTGTGCACGGTGCTTAAGAATAACCTGTTCAAGATACAAAAATGTACGCTTATGAAGCACCTTTTGACGACATTGAACGACTGCTTTCCAAATGTGAGGAGTGTATGTACGAGCACAATCAGGACATTGTGTATTGTTTACAACGAATTCAACCTGAAAAGCTTGTTGTAGAATGGTATTAGTAAAAGCTTCTTTTTGGACTGTAAGCTTGAGCTTTATTCTTCTTGAGTGAGGTTCGGTCCAAATGAAGTTAGCATCAATCAAACGGACCTGGTTTAAACCACGAAGTTTCTTCAAGCAAATGGCCATCAACTCACGGGATTCGTTGGGTGCCAAAATCCAATGGTTCGGAGGTTGCATGTAACGTTCACATTCACGGCAGTGATTGATAGTACCCTCACGAGTAATTCCGGTCGTAATATCGACTTGTAATTTAATACAGTCCATACACATAGCCGCCGCATTAGGCTGGGTAGGGACGCCACATTCACAACATAAAATTGAAGAAGCCGTGGGCTGTGCAGGCTCCATTGCATAACCAAAATTTCCACCGTCAATATCCATTTTTATTTCTATTTTAATTTATATAAAACCCCAATATTCTCAACTTCCAAAGGCAAGTTTCGTAAGATTGAGGTTGGCTAAAGACAAAAAAAGAAACTGAGAGCACTATACAAGTATATTGTGTCGTCGCTTCTTTAAAGGCAAAATAAAATTTTATTAAGCGAAAATATACTTGAAATGAGTCACCATTAGAAACATGGTTAGTAATGGAAAGAAATTGTATTCAGTTGAATACCATTTAAATATGAATGTTTTAATCATTTTATTTTCGTTTCTCCGTGACAATGAAAAAAGCACTCTGACTAAATGAGCATACGTTTTCAGAATGCACCTCTTCTTAAAAGTAGATAATAATTAATATTCTTTATTACTACAATTCGTATTTATTTGGGAAACCAAATCGAAAATCCAACCGTAGAAGAACTCTCTAGCCTGGTAAACGTGCACCTCTTTACTACACACCTCCACTCTTTCTACCACTTGCAAAAGACAGAGTCTTTGCTGCTTTAGAATTTCTAAATTTACTGCTTTCTTTTTCAAGCATATTATATAGAAAGTTAGAACACAAGATGCCACCTATTCTTCTTGGGATTATCGGAGGAAGCGGATTTTACGATCTTCCAGGATTTGAAGTGATCAACACAGTGAATCCTGTTACAGTAAGTACAAATGGATCTATTTGTAAAATGAAATTATAGAATTCGAATTCAAGTCTAACAAGATAGCCTTGGGGATTTGCCGCCTCCCCCATTTCAATCGCTCGAACCGCTTCTGGATTTTTAATTGCATTTTTAGCTAGACATGGTGTTGGACACACATATACCCCAACGGATGTTCCTGCTCGTGCAAACATTGCAGCTTTGAAGAGTCTTGGAGTTCATGCCATTATCTCTTTCAGTGCTGTAGGTTCTCTCCGCGAAGAAATCCCTCCCGAAGACTTTGTTCTTCCTAGTCAAATTATTGATAGAACACTCTGCGCTCGTCCAAACACGTTTTTTGAATCTGGTTGCGTTGCACATGTTAGTTTTGGTGATCCATTTGATCAGGATCTATATGAAGTGCTCAGCCAGTGTGGTTCATCGCTTCAAAATGGTGCTAAGCTTCACCATAAAACCGGTGCTGATGATTTGACCGTTGTTTGCATGGAGGGTCCCGCATTCAGCACTCGTGCCGAAAGCAACCTGTACAGAAGCTGGGGTGGTAGTGTCATTAACATGTCTGTCATTCCTGAAGCCAAGCTCGCTCGTGAAGCCGAAATTTCCTACCAAATGGTTTGCATGGCTACTGTAAGTGACTTATTTCTCTTTGAATACTAGCAAATTTTGAATAAAGACTAATGCAGACTAGGATTATGACTGCTGGCGTGTCAATGAAGAACCAGTCAATGTCGAGACAGTTATGAAACATCTTGCCAATAATCGAAATAACGCTAAGCTTTTGCTTTTAGAAGCAATCGACAAACTCGAAGGCCCTCTCTTAGCTGGCCATATTGGTAAAAATCTTCGCCAGACCGTTCAAACTGGTATTCAAACAAACTCGAAGCATCGCGATTTGAATGTCCTTCGTAAACTGCAATTCCTTTTCCCATCATTGCAGGCATTGCACTAAGTGGTAGTTTCTTTCATTTGCTCCTCCTATACCAAACTAATAGTGAAACCTTTCAATCTATCAATTCTTTTATATACCATAATTAAATAACAATGTACATATTCGTATACTACCAGATATTTTCGTGAACTTTCAATTTGTTAATCATCAACCTCGTGCTGTATGTCATAATTTGAGCTTGTCATTCCTATATCATTACATATGTAACTGCTGTGCTTTCGTATATCCATCCATCTTCAGCCCAACATAACAATCGAACATCTCCTTTTTTTTTTTGTTTCCTTACACCAAATATTCATAAATTTTCTGTAACCAAAAGTACAAAGAATGTCAACGCCAAAAAATGAAGTTGATTTTGTTACTACAGGTATGTCGGTTGCCAAATTTTATAGATGTATTTCTGACAAGGTAGGAATGTTTATTATAGATGAAATCGAATTTGATGGGGGAAAGAAAATTCGCGATGTTACAGGAGGCGGAGGCAGTTTTGGTAAGCAGTTAGTAACGTGTAACTAAAGCTTCAATGACAGAGATTTGTATGGATAAAGTGGAGACCTGTTTGAAGTCTTAGATCTGGAGTTTTATTTTACACCATATTTCATTTCATCAGCGGTAGAACTAACTATGAAAGCATTAATTGGCGCCCGAATTTGGAGCTCTACTGCTGAGAGCAAGCGATTGAGAATTATTGTGGACAAGGGTTATGACTTTCCTGAAAGCGTAAAAGATGAACTAGACAATTTGGAAGCAGGAATCGTGTACCGTGAAACCCCAGAGCGTAAAACCACTTACGGCTATAACCGTGTACATAACAGTGGTTTACGACTATTTGAATATCTCTCACCTAAAAAGCCCATTCGGGCAGAGGATTTGTTAGAAACTGGATCGTTTGATTCCAAAACCATCCACGTTATTACGAACCCTAAAAGCTTTATTGGCATGAGCGAAGAAATTGCTAAGTACGGATCATTAACAGATCGACCTAAGGTTATATGGGAGCCTACGCCTGAATCTTGCTTTCCTGAAAATTGGCCAGTATGCCAAAAGGCAATGAAGTACTGTGATATCTTTTCTCCTAACGAAGTGGACGCAGCAAATTTGCTTGGAATTGATGTGAAAGTAGCAAAAGAAAAGGCTATTGAGTGTGTATATGCATTTCAGGAAATGGAGATTGGCCGCAACGGACAAGGTTGGGTGGTTTTACGTTGTGGATCAGCTGGGTGCTTTATCGCTCCGTCTACAAGTCAGACTTCCCAAGAGCAGGATGGTGTAGTAGCTCAACGAGAAGCCGTTCATATCCCTTGTGTACCGATGGCTCCAGGATCCGTGATAGATACCACAGGAGCTGGTAACACATTCTGTGGTGCTCTTATCTTGGAGTATTATAGAACACAAAATATCGTTTTATCTAGCGTCAAAGCTACTGTTGCGGCATCCTTTACTATTCAACAGCACGGGCTTCCTAAACTTACCCATACCGAAAATGGTATTGATCTCTGGAATGGTGAATCGGCCTTCCAAAGATTGAAGCATTTCTATGAATATTTACAGAACCATGAAGTTGAGGCTGTCCGTCAAATCACCAAGCATGGATTTTAGTTTCTTCAGCCTTGCCAAAAAAAAATCAAATTTTTACGTACAACTAAGAAACAGTCGACATCATATTTTGTTCAGCAAATATACACTGATCAAAGTAGAAACAATGCTTGTAAGTTTAATTTTGGCTACTTGTGAGGAAAACGTGTTTTTTTTTTTTTTTTTTTTTTTTTTCTTCTTCTTCGACAACGAATACAATTCTATAACGCTAAAAATTTTACGACTACCTAATATATGACGATACTCATTCACTTCACCAAACAGAAATATTTAAATTGCTATTCTTCAATACAATGCTCATTTTGTTTACAAAACATTTCAGTATTTTATATGATCTCATTCAATTCAATGCGAACTGGATTTCTTTTTTAATTTCCCTTCATGGTTGGTTTCGACAATGATCTATTCTCTTGCCTTACTAGAACATATTAGAGGACATCCATGTAATCAAAACAATGTCCAGGAAATTATTTTCGCTTATGCTCAATATTCCATATATGAATACATGATGAATATAATTAGATTAGTACCTACTCTAGCTGCGATAAGCAGAAGGTCCAGTTAAAAACTATTGCAAAAATATTAACAATGTCCTTAATGTGAACTTCCACAATTAACCAACATCAACGAACTGGGTTAAATACGCAGAACCCCCCTTTTTTAGGGACTTTTTGTATTATTTTTTATTTAAAATTAGGTTTTCAGATTGTTTTTTGCATTGGAGTTGCAGACAATTTTTATGAACCACTCTTAATTATCCCCATACAAATTTAGGTCTGCTTTCTCAACAGAAAACGATTTTGGAATTCAAAGCATCTCAATTAAGTAGTAAATATCTTCATCCTAGTTCTTTTGTGCGTCTATGTTTGATTCTACAACCCTGTAATTTCTTAATAACCTTTTCATTACCGAATATACTTTCGCAGAATATCCCAATGTTTTAGGATTTTCAGCTATCATTTTTTTATATTTATTACTAAAAGAAATATCTTTGAAAACTTGGTTTGGCATTTTGTATATACATACTTCTCTACAGTGATTACTATAATAAGGCTGTCTTTCTTATCCTTTGGATTTTATATATGCTTCTGACTTCAAAGATATATTATTAATTATGAACAATTACCCAATGAACGATTCCTTCAAAAGGTCAGACTCACCGGAAGAGTACTTTGAAAGCCAGGATGTTTCCAATCCTGATGGACTTTTTCAACCAGAACTACTACCTCTATTTCAAGACACCTTTGAGTCCGAATTACCTCCTTCCGCTTTTCCTTCACAACGCGATTCGGTGCATCATCTAACCTCCAAAGTACCTATGTCGCCGAAAGCACATTCAAGCAACTATGCTACCTCCCAAGGAATACCATCAGCAGATCTAAGTGTTCCTTTTTTTAGCTTTACGAAATCAAATACTGATGCTTTTTTGGAAGGTTCCAGCTCAGATCCTTATATGTCTAACTCTGAAGTACATTCTTCCCCGTTTTCTCAATTTCGGACGACAAATACTATTGGGCCCGCCGGTAATGCGGACTCTTCACGATCTCCTGAGCTTTTAGCTCCTCTCCCTTCCAGATCATCTCGCGGTAACATCTATGAATTCAATACTAGTTTGCCAATTGGGGAGATTGATTCGTCTCAGTTTCTTTCCGTCCAGAGCAATCGGAGCGATTACTCTGGTTCTCCAATATCTTCACCTCGCTCAACTTCTCCCTTTTACACTCCAGTATCTTCATTTTCAGTTCCCAGCTCACCTTATTTACGTTCCCCAAATGCACTCTTTGATAAAGAGGATAACCTGAATTACGTTGACGTTATTTCTCAGGCCTCTGCTATTGAGGACGATCTTGAATTACCAGAACAACAAGACTTTTCTAATTTTGATATTTATGAAAATGAATACGTTACTGAGAATTTAAATATTCCTTCTGCGGAAGATATGCAATCCGGTGCATCATCTGCCTTTTTGAGCAACACAGCCGGTGTAGGATTTGCTCCAGCAGAACCTCACAGGGAAGCTGTTGGTCAAACCATCTCTCAGCCCTCTGATGTATTATCAAATCTTTCAACACCGTCATTTGTTCATGAAAACACATCTGTAGAGCCTTCAAATTACTCTCCTGCTGAAGAAGAATCGACAAAAAAATATCAAGCCGGGCTTGATCGAAATTCAACAGCCAACGATTTAGCATCGTTTCCTGTCATTCCTGCTATAGTTCAACCTACTGATTTCGAGCATTCTGAAAATATTGATGATCCTCATAATATTTCTATATCTAATTTAGGATTTCCTCAAGAAAGTCGTTCTTTTTCCGAAGAAAAAACCTCAGTAAAAAGAGAGTTTGAAGAAGAGCCTTCGTTTTTAGCACCCAGAATAAATGTCGTCCCGTCATCTCCGGCAAAATCCGTTGAGGATTTCGGTTTAGATCATAATTCTTTTTTGGCACATCGTGAAAAATTGAACGGTGCTCAGAATTACCCTTCCGTCCTCAGTGCTGGTACTAGTCCCACTTCGCCGCCCGGTATGCTTTCAGGGGACGTAAGACGATGTCGTTCCAACAGTGCAGGTCCACGGCTAGATGTTTACAATATGGATTCACAGTTACCAAAAAAAGATGCAAAGGATTCCATTGCTTACGAAGGTTATCAAGCCAAAAATTATGATATTAATGATGGTAATTCCACTAATCAAATGGAACATTTATCTATCAATACAACACGCCCTCGGAGCCGTTCATTAAACATCACTGGTTCTGAAAACTCAGTAGTCAAGGATTCGATAGGAAAAAAGAATTTTACAAAATCTGAAAGCAATTTTGTTTGTTCTTTTCCTAATTGCGGAAAAAGGTTTACCCGTGCTTACAACCTGAAAAGTCATATGAACACACATACAAATTATCGTCCTTTCCAGTGTTCCATTTGCGGTAAATCATTTGCCAGACAGCACGATAAGCGGCGGCATGAACAACTACATAGTGGTATAAAGGCTTTCGGTTGTCCTACTTGTCACCAGCGATTTGCTAGAATGGATGCCTTAAATCGACACTATAAAAGTGAAATTGGTCAAAAGTGTTTAAGGATTGCTGCAGACAGAGGTATCAATGTTCCTCCTGCTCGAAGAAATAGCACTCAAAAAATGGATCAAGCTCTAGATAAAGAGTAAAACAATATTTGGAAGAAAATGATTTGCTTGCTACGTTCTCTTTATTTCAACATAGAATTTTTCTGAATATGCTTTATGCATGTGTTCTTTTACTGTAACTTTATTTGAAAGACGTTTGTTCTACACCTTTTTGTTTTTGTTCATGTTCTTGTTTCTCCTATTTTTCTATTTTCCTTCTCTTCTCTTCTCTTTTCATTTGTTTTCTTCTTTTTTTATTTTTTATCCCCTCTTATGTTTGTTTGTGCAGCTAGTTTTCTATTTGAAAGTAGTCATGTTGTTTCAGCATTTGACTCTTATGCTGCCAAAGATTATACGTCGCTCGAACTAAATTTAATATGATGGTGCATTTTACTTCGATTAAATAGTAAAGCTTGTAAACGAAATTGGATTTCCTCTAATTTCAAGCTGTCTACTAAATACAAATTATTTTAGTAATCCTTGAAAAGAAAATAGTTAATCAATAAATCATGTATTTTATTGAATAAGAATTGAGTTCCCTCTAATGTAAGCTAGAAGGAGCAAGCCTCGTGGTTTCACTCCAGTTGTCTCACCACAGTAAGCGACAATGCAAAAATATCGAAAGTATGTGATAATATATGCCTTTTTATTATGTTTTCGATTTTGGATATCTCAGAGTAACTCATACATACATCCTGACGAGCAATTGCAATCGTTACAGATAATTGCAGGTAAGGATCTTAGACGTGCGCTTTGTCACTAATGGGTTAGGGAAATTTCTTAATTGGAAAGTCGAGCTTCCATGGGAATTCACATCTGAAGAACCAATTCGGTCCATGGTTCCTTTATATCTTATGCTTCTGCCTGCATTTTATACCGCAAAAGCTACTTGTCATGGTATGTCTTATGTTTCGTCACATAAACTAACAAATAACAGAATTTTGCAAACCAAATACTATTTATCTTTTAGCTAGATTCACTATGTTTTTATGGTCTCTGGTTATTGGTAAGTCAGGCTTGGTTAATTACCATGATAAATATTGTTCTTGTGCTGATCCATGATAAACAGATTTTAGCATATCCAGAATTGTACCACCAAAGAAAAAATGGAAGTGTCTACTTCTATATTCTATATCATATTTGGCTTGTAGCTTTCAGACGCACACTATCTCCAATTCTATGGAAACGGTGTTTATGTTTCTCACAATCATGTTTTTATCTAAATTGGCGGTTTCTGTATGTTGATTCTCCTAGAAAATTATTATTAACAAAATATGAAGTCGGTAAAAAGCAGGAAAAGTTATTTATTGTCAGTGGCAGCATCCATAAGCACCACAATCGGTCTTTTTACAAGAATTACCTTTCTCGCGTTCGTTTTCGTGCCTTATATCTACTATGGTTTTCGATGGTTAAAAAATAACAGACAAAATATGCTTTTGTACGTACTATCTGTGATGATTTTACTGACATATTAGGATTTTTAGCCATATTTTCTTAATGTTTTGTTCATGCGTACTAATATCTTCATTGTGCCTTTATGAAGACTATAAGTTCTATGGAAAGTTTACAGTTACGCTTTTAAACAATATTAGTTATAACTCTCGGTTTGAAAATTTGGCCTTACACGGAATCCATTCCAAGACCCAGCATTTTTTTGTTAATGTTCCTCTTCTATGTGGTCCGTTACTCCCTACATTTTCACTATGGAACATTCGAAATGCTCAAGCGTGGTTTTGGATTTTCCCGGTTGCTGTCCTTTCCATTTTTCCACATCAAGAAGCAAGGTTTTTACTCCCCGCCATCTCTCTTTATGTGGTTTTTGCAGCTCGGTATATAAGATCTCGTTTTCTCCTCTTGCTATTCATTATTTATTCGATTGTTATGTCGGTATTTTATGGGATTATGCACCAAAACGGAGTCGTTCCTTCTGTTGTAGAACTTGGTTCAATACTCCGTGATAATGGTTTGCTTAATCAGACCTCCAACAATTATTATCCAGCTACAATTTATTACTGGAGAACCTATACAGCACCAACATGGATGTTGGCACGTCCAAATTCCAGTCCAATTGATGTTGTCCAACTATACAACTATTCCAAGGAACAAACCTTATCCCTTTTTTGGGAAGATCATCACAATACTCAAAAGCTTGAAAAGGAATTCATAAATTTTGTTTCCTCAAAGACCATTTCTTTTCCTATATTAGTCTGTCCTATCGCACTTCTACAATCTGACGAGGATACGAAAGGCTTGCAGCTTTTAAAATATATACCTTATCACGTCGACCTTGATGACGCTGATGAACTTCCGTTAGCTGATTTAATTCGGAATCATGGAATAGGCATATATGCAGCTAAAGAAGTCAACATGGATCCATGAAATTAAGTAATGACCGTTGCAATGTATTTTAATACTAGATTTTTTAATTAATAAAGAGGAACAATTATAGCAAAGCCTTTTATCAACAATTTTTCCAATTGTCTAAGCACGATACATCATTTACTGGGGAATTAATATTTTAAGTATATATATAACCTTGGGTTTCGTATCACTTTTTTTAGCATGATTTCTTTTCTTCTCAGCGAACTAACATATGATGGTAACGATCGTGCATTGAAATACATAGATCAATGGTGATGTAGCCAACATCTAGGTGTCGGTCACCGCTGACTGAGTCATTTACTTTTATACGAACATGTAAATATAGTCATTCCCACTTCACGCAATTCATAGAAATCACCTTTAGTTTTCTCGTTTCGTAAACCCAGTAACAAACATACTTGTATGTAGGTAACAATGGTGCATCTGACTTGATTTGGGAAACTTCGCATTAGTTTGTATTTGCGAAGTTTGTTATACTTTATATATTTCGGCGGTTTTCAAATTTATACTTATTCAAGATATTAGCAGAAAAGACAGCTTCCATGTCGTGGTTGAAACCTAGGAATCTGAATAACCTTACTAGGGTTTGTTCGAAACCATTAGGATGTATACGCTATTACAGTCAAATAATCAACAATACACCTAAATTGTTAACACCAATTGGTCTCCAAAACTCTCCTTTGGATAGCACAGACACTAGTAAACAACCCAAGCTGACAGCTAGTCAACGTCAAGACAAAATTCTCAGAGAGATGAAAGGATCAATAGTCCAGGATATTTCTGAAGTCCAACAGAATAACGGAAAACTATTTTATTCTCCACCTAGGGTGTTCAAAAAGGAGGTAAGACCAACACAGGTTTAGGTAGTCGCAAACAAGTATTTTAACAGCTTTCAGGCCTCTCTTTGGATGTACAATTTTCAGGGAAAATCTTTGTCTGGGGAAAAGGTAAATCTATACAGAAACTGCTTGGGAAAACCCTCTGTAGTATTGCTTTTTGGGAATAGTTATGGTGAAAATCAGAGTAAACAGTGGATACAAGACCTCGATAAGATTAGCGACTTTCCAGTATTCTATTTTAACGTCCAGTCCAATATCATGAAGTACTTTTTAACGCGATTATTCTCGGGAAGTATCAAGAGTTCTCTTCCTTCTAAAGAATGTTGGGTAAAGTGCATTCTATTATGAGCTTGATTTAACTAACCGAAATAGAGTAACTATGTCATTTCGTTGAACAGAAGATTACGCTATCCGGAAATTCAATGGAACAATCGATTAGTTGGAAATCTGTTTTTACTTGATGAAACTTGCAAGATAAGATGGGCAGGGACGGGCTTCCCTACAAAAGAGGAATTGGAAAGGTTTCACGATGCCTGCAAATTTTTGAAAAGCCAGTCTTCAAAAGCATAATATTAAGCAGTGATAGATATGATGACTTCCATCCGTATTCCATGTATACATCTTTTTTCAGTGAAAAAAGAAAAATAGCAAAGTTAATGTGGAAATGAGAATAGAAAAAATAATAACGTCCCTTTGCTTTCTAGACTTTGTTTTTCGTAAAACTTGATTGATAAATGGTATAGTCAATGCCACACGATTTACACGATCAGAAACACTTTGAAGAACGCTACTTTGATATTCAAAGTCTTCACGAGTAGCTAGCGCTCGTTCAAGCAGTTCGTTCGTTCCCCTAATGGAGTTGTCCAGTGAATTTGCCTCTTGTAGCTCATACATATTTTCCATAGCTTTAACGTTTTCGGTATTATCCAACCCAGCAGAGCTAACTTCGTTACTCAAGACTCTCTTCATTAAGTTTTCATCACGTTTTAGACGGTCCAAATGAGATTGTAGACTGACCTTGGAATGCGAATCATCATCTTCAATCGTCGATATTGCTTGTTCTAACAGTTGTCGGCGTTCTTCCAGTAATTTTTCAGCTTGGTTTGGATCCTTATGGAGTACCTTTTGAAATTGAGAAGCTTTTTTGACAGAATCTCTTAAGAGCATTGACTTCATGTTTAGGTTTTGTTTCCACCAGATTACTGTTAGCAAATCCTCCGAATGCAACAAATAAAGTATTTTAATCAATAGAGATTTCAATATATTAATCAATGACTGTAAATGATAAGTTTGCAGTCTCGAAGCTCAATTGATTTTAGGGTATTTGGAGGTTATATGTTTACAGTAAAACTCAATTTATCTTACTGCCTTAGTAGGCCTTTAAACCGTCGATAAATTTCTTATTTATTTAACTTAAACAATCAAATAATTAAACTTTATATATTGATGTACAACTTACCAAGGACCTTTAAAAAACTTAGTCTATTCATTAAACATGATTCTAAAGACAATCAATATCGGTAAAATGCTACGGATTCAAAAATAAAAATATGCAAACATAATCACTCAACAACTAAGCTCACTACCTTAGGTTTTACAATGGCTCTTACAATCTTTTTGTCCTTTAACCAGTGTTGTGCATCCGGATGGGTCAAAACGGTCTTCATAATCAGATCCTCTTTTAAAGAATCACTTGAAATTTTCAGTTGAAGTCTCCATTTCCCATTTATTTGAACGGGAACAGAGACTCTTTTTTTAGTAATCGAGGGCTTTTGCATGGATGGCCAATTAGTATAGACAGAATTTTTATGTCCTAAATGATTCCAGAGTTCACTAGACACACAGGGAACAATTGGTGCAATGCATCTAACCAATACCTCGGCGGATGTTTTCAATGCTTCTTTCGGGGAGGCATTATCTTTTAGGCTATTGTAAATGGCATTGGTCAATTTCATGGAATCCGATATGATTACATTCAAAGAAAATATATTCTCGTAATTCTTTTCGCAGGCTACCATATAGTCATAAGTTTGTTCCAGTAGCTCTAGAGTTTTATCGTTCATTTCAGACGTAGCAGATACACTCGATTGCTCCATTTGTTGTATGTTTTCAACGCAAGTCGCTAAGCGAAGCAACCATCTTTCGGCACCGACTATTCCTGTACTATCCCATTGTAATACACCGTCTACGGGAGCCGAAAATAACAAATGTGCTCTCGTCACATCAGAGCCCCAGCGCAAAATAGTGCTAATCGGATCAACTCCATTATGTTTACTTTTGCTCATCTTAAAATAACACAATTCCACTTCATCATTAGGGTTCGCGATATTGACAAATTTACCTGATACTTTTTTTACCTGATCGGGCTTCAATATTCTTCCTGTTGGCTGACTCACATAAGTAGGTCCATGTACCATTCCTTGAGTTATTAATCTGGTAAACGGTTCATTTTTCAAATTACTGTTTTTCCAAAGCCCGATATCATTCATAACTTTTGAAAAAAATCGAGAGTACAATAAATGTAGAATTGAATGCTCTATACCACCAATATAGATGTCAACAGGCATATCCTTTTCAATTTTCTTTGGATCAAAGGGTAGCTTATTATTTTTAGAATCCAGAAATCTAAAGAAGTACCAAGAAGAATCCACAAAAGTATCCATCGTGTCTGTTTCTCTTCTCGAAGGCTTCTTACATTGCGGGCAATCAGTTTTCACCCAAGATTCCAGGTTAGCCAATGGAGAAGACCCTTTTCCATATATATCTGTGAGCTCAGGTAATTGAACCGGTAGTTCATGCTCAGGAACAGGAACTGCTCCACAGTTATCACAGTGTACAATAGGGATAGGAGTACCCCAAAACCTTTGTCTTGAAACAAGCCAATCTCTTAACTTATACTTCGTAACAAAGCGTGCTATGCCAAGGCTCTCTAATTTCTTTGTCATCAATTTTGCGGCCTCTTTATTTTTCATTCCTTTGTATTCCCCACAAATTTCTGACATCAAGCCATTTCCTGTATAAGGTGTTTCATTATTTACCGTTTCGGAATTTTGGGGAAGAACAGCATTAACTGAAGGAAAGGATATGCCATTTTCAGTCGCAAAATTAAAGTCCCTTAAGTCATGCATAGGAACTCCCATAACAACACCAGTTCCATGTTCATCAACTACGTATGGAGCATAATAGACAGGGATCGAGGCATTGGTAAGAGGATTATAGGCAACGATGGGAAGTTTAAATCCAAAATTATTTGCATCATCACTTTCCAAGAAAGTACTCAAGTCACCGTGTTTTTCAGCTTGCGATTGAACTAACGGATGAGACTTTGAAAGCCCTAGAAACGCTGAAGCAAATATTGTCTCGGGTCTTGTTGTATAAACTTCAAGGGTATAATTTTTATCGGTTTTAAATTGAATTTCTAAACCTTTGCTTTTGCCAATCCAATTTTGCTGCATCTTTTTAACCTTTTCAGGCCAAAAAGGTAGACTCTCTAAATCTTTCAAAAGCTGTTCGGAGTAGTCAGATATCTTGAAAAACCATTGGCAGAGGTTCTTTTTCTCTACGACAGCTCCACTTCTCCAAGAACGACCTTGTGAGTCAACTTGCTCGTTCGCTAGTACGGTACAATCGACAGGATCCCAATTAACCAAAGCATCAGCCTGATAAGCTAGTCCTTTTTTAAAAAGCTGAGTAAATAAGTATTGGCTCCATTTATAATAAGAAGGATCACAGGTAATGATTTCTCGGTCCCAATCAAAATGAACGTTCATGTACTCAAACTGATGTTTCATTTTCTCAATATTCGATTTTGTCCAGGAATTAGGTGATATATGATGCTCAATTGCAGCATTTTCAGCAGGAAGCCCAAATGCATCCCAACCCATAGGATGAATTACATTGAAACCTTTCATTCTATAGTACCTAGATAAAGTATCCGAGATAGTGTATACTCGTACATGACCCATGTGCAATGAACCACTAGGGTATGGAAACATACTAAGAACATACTTCTTTTTGGCTGACTCATTTACTGGAAACGGAGACCGTTTAGTCCATTCTTCTTTCCATTTTCTTTCAGTATCCAAAAGATTAAGCTTATAACCAGCTGTAGAAATTGTTTTCTTGGAACATAGAGTGTTAATTTTATTTGCAGATCGTAACAATTCCGGAACCACCCTGGAATTAGAAAGCTGCATATCGCAGGCAAATCATAGAAACAAAAAATTTTTTTATTATAATAACATACAAAAAGAAACAGAAGTAGGTTTTTTTAAAAGATAGTGTGAACTGAAATGATCTGTGGAATGTGGGTGCACACGCGTTAGTGTAGGTTAGTACACGGTACATATGGATGCCAGAAATGATGAGGGATGAATAGAAGTAGAGGAGCGGAATGGTTATAGTACCCATAATAAAGAGCTTTTTATCTTTTTTAATTATTGATCGAAAGCACCACCTCTAAAGGATTCGAAAACGGACATCGAAATCATACCTGACGGCATGATATAAGCCATTCGAAACATTAGACCACGAGTGAATCCTCCGAGTCCGCGCTCTTTGAAAAGAAGCCTGGCAACATCAGATATTTTGATTTTATTACTGGAAATGTTTGCGAATTCCGTTTTTTGCATAGCTGAAGAGGTAGCAACCTGATAACGAGTCTTCACTATATCTAGAGGAGTAGAAATAGTAGTTGCTACAACTGTACCAAGCGCGGAAGCAAGAGGAGCCACTAATGAAATATCAAAATTTGTATTTGCTTGTAACCATTTTTTGGTTTCTTCGTACATTACCCACCAGCTTACTGTCGTCGGTAAATAAATAGCAATACCCTAAAAAAGGTTAACAATTGTTTAGAAGAAAATCATAAAACGCTAGTGGAAATGAAAGCAACTAAATAAACCAAAGATATATCCGTTTTTCATGCTCGCAATTTCGTTCACAAGGAACCTCCTTACCATCCAGTAACCCCGATAAAATCCTTTAATCCCTTCTTGTTTCTGTAGACTCTTGATTGTCGGGATTACTCCATGCTGGGAAATTTGAGTACGAGCTTTGATGACTTCTAACGGGGTCCATACAAAACTACTAACCACTTCAGCTGTCATTCCGCAAGCAGAATACAATAAAACACCATCACCCAAGTAGTCTTTTAGCCTTCTCTTAGATTCTACATAAGTAGACATATATAGACATGTTGCAGGAGTAATTAGTGTCAAAGATATAGGCAAGCCACGATAATAAGCTTTTAAAGGCGTATTTCGAAACGAAAAACTCCCCACGGTTTGTTTATGAACGGTAATTGTGTCAATTGGATGACATATGACACGACTTGCAACAGATCCTGAACTAAATTTCATCGTAAGCTAAACAATGCTTTCAAAGGTGGCTCCAATTCGTACCTAGCTGCTATTAAAGTTTGTAAATCCATAATTCTGTTTCTTTCTCCTTTCGTTCTTGTTTACTTCACTTGGATATTAATACAAAAAAATTACTAGCATATAGAAATAATTTTAAAGTGCTATCCTCTAAAGTGTTACTAAAATTTCGACTTCGTTTATTGTTTGGTAGAGTCGGGTCCGGTGAACTTGCTAAGTTTACTAAAATAGCAATCCCTGACGACAGTAAACGCTTTGTTCACCTCAAGTTTTGGAATTATAAATGATATTGTGAATCTTTTTACTTTTTCTTTGAATTTCTAAAAGGTCCTGTGAGATAATATTATGAAAAGATTATGTCCTTCTAACAGTGTTGGAATTTGTGTAGACTCAGAACAAATATATGAAAACAAAAAAAAAAAGTCTTGATTTTGTATTTACAAATTTCTTCAAAACTACTTCTCGAAAATTGACCCGCAAATTCCTTCGCAATCTACAACAATTGATTATCACATTGAGGGTGGTTAATTGTCGAACAGAATAGAATCTATAATGTAAAGATCTACTCTTAGCATATGCGAGTATGCTGTGAAAGAATTTCGAGCTTGGAATGTATGCCTGACCCAAGAGGGTTCAGCGGGTCTTGAAAGAAAGTGTTTTTATTCATCAGTATCATATAGAAGTAATCAATACTTCTTACGGGAAGGATTACAAGGGCTGAATCATTCAGTAAAATTGATTTTCAGTGTTTATGTTGATTTATTATTAGAATCAACTTTTAGCATAATGACCTTATTAAGCTTATATAAAGGCGAATTATTAACAATATAGATGCACAACTCACCACCAAATATTCGTCAAAATATCAAACATTACCACCATTATTATAATGAAAACTTAAATCAGTGTTTAATAATAATCCCGAAAGTAATCATGGCCCCCGTAAGAAGAAGAGCTATCACAGAAAAAGAAAAAAAGGAACTTCGAAACTATTTCTTTAACAGTTCGGATAAACCAACGCAATCAGACCTAATTTCATGGTTTAGACAACGATTTGACAAAGACCTTTCACAACCATCTGTATCCCAAATATTATCATCTCGATACAGTTATCTCGACAGTTTGAACGACATAGACGGAGATGTGAAACGGAATCGACCTGCCAAATACCCAATCTTGGAGAAACTACTATTTGAATGGCAGCAAAGAGCTCAGAGTCAAAACCAGGTAATCACTGGAGAAGCCATCAAAGAAACGGCCAGTAAACTTTGGAAAAAGATTCCAGAATACAAAGATTTATCCACCCCCGAATTCAGCAATGGATGGTTAGAAAACTTCAAGCGACGCCATCAACAATTTCAAAACCATGCCAATAAAGAACAGCCGTACTTGCTTTTTCATGGAAGCATGGTTGAGACTGTCACCAGGATCTCGGATATTACTACTTTAGCAGAACCAGAAAATGTGTTTGCTTTATGTGAAATGGGACTTTTCTGGAAACTTACACCAAGCAAAATATATGCTGTAGAGGAAGCACAAGGAATGAAACGAGATAAAGCTCGCATTACCACATTGTTGTGTACGAATGCCACTGGCACGAGAAAACTTCCAATGTGGGCTATTGGCTATTCCCAAAATCCGAAAGCTTTCCGTGCAGCAGCAATTAAGCCAGAAGTGTTAAATTTTCATTGGAGGTTCAATGGTCGTGCTTGTTTGACTACGATATTGATTGAAGAGTGGCTTCTCTGGTTTGATTCTCAGATGCAAAAAGGTAAAGTCATACTTTTGCTTGAACGCTCTACTGCTGTTGTATGCGCTTTGCAAAACTTGCGTAACGCCAATCGAGACTTAAAAAACACTTCAGTTATTATACTTCCTGGGCAACAAGAAAAGAGCTACAACCCTTTTGATTATGGTATTACGTTTACTTTGAAAGCATTTTATCGAAAGTACTGGATCCGTTATATGCTTGCTCAAATAGAGCTTGGTCGAAACCCACACAAGACCGTCAATGTTCTTCATGCAATGCGCTGGTTGACGAAAGCATGGGAGATTGACATTTTACCAGCATCTATATATAGTAGCTTCTGTCAAAGTAGTGTTCTAAGAGACTTTGATCCAGTTGAACCTGAACTATCCTATCCTGCTGAAGTAGTAGGTGAAATCCAAAATTCAGTTGCTCGTTTTGATACCCGTTCAGCAGAAAATATTCATAGTTTTATTGATCCCATTGAGGAGCGACCTCAAGAAGTTGGAAACGATGTACTGACATATGTAGCCTCTCAATTCTTACCCGATCGTGATCATGAAACCGATGAAGAAGACGAACCTCACCTGCAAACAACTCTGAATGGTACATATGAAGCATTAGATTATTTGATAAATTTCGAAGCTCAGCGTGAGGGAGGTGACCCTTCTTTTATCATGACTCTCCTCCGTTACCAAAACACCCTAGAAGATTGGCAAACTAGGCTATTAAAGTAAATAGAGATAATACACTTAAGCATAATTTCTCCGATGATGAAGCTATGGTATTAAATGTCACTCAAAACACCTAAATGCGTAAATTCATATATTTTTGCGATATCAAAGCTTCTACGATAGGATGTATAATTAGTAATAGGCATACATGTTTAATCATATTTTGTCTACTTTTTTTTTTGTCATTATAATAATTAAGGAAAATAAGCAGAAAGAATTGCTACAGCAGAGATTGAAGTAGTAGTTGTACAGAACCAAAACAAGAAAAATCAAGTGTATTTTGAGAATAGATTGATAAAAATTTAAACATACGTAGCTTTCTATGGTAATTTCATGAATTGCAGCGAGAGATACTATCTTTGGTAGGCATATAAAAAGTTAAGAATCTATGCGGAATAGCAAAAGGGTGTTCGTTTGAGTTACGAGACACATACCTTACTGGCTACTGAGTTACGCTGCTATAACTCGTTTTAATTGATTTTCTTTTTATAGGATATATTAAAAAATAAAAGTCATTGATGATAGGCTCAGTATTTCGAAGAGGTCACTTTACAAAACTTCTTTCTACCAAATTTTCGCGCTTTTCATTTTCAACGTCAACTCCATACACTATGACTACTGAATTGAATCGGCAATTGCCGGTGCCGGAAATTTCCAATAAAAGAGCAAGAAAACTTTCAAAAAGACGTGCTAAAAAGCCCGTTGAAGAAGGAAGTGCTGGTCATGTATTACAATTAGACATCGAGGGTCTCCTAGAGCATCCCCCTTTGTCTAATATCCCTTTTGAAAGATTCCAAGAAATTGAAGTAGATATTGTGTACTTAAGTTCGTCTGGTAGGTAAAAAAGGATAGTTCAAGCTTGCCATATTCTGACTTCAAGCAACGAAGTCATGTTGCAAGTTTTAATCCTTATATTGAACCGAAAGTGTATTAACAACTTACATAGGAGATGGGATTGGCTTAGTTTTGGAAGGCCGTTACGCTGTAGTTGTACCTTTTTCACTACCCGGTGATAGAGTGAAAGCTAAATTGCACTTTTTGGCAGAGTAAGTACCAAATTTATTATATCGGGAAGAACTCGAAATTTTATTTGTTTTTCCACTATTCATACTCTCTCTTGTCCCTCGGTTCTTTTATTAACATTTCATAGGACATATGCTCTGGCTGATTTTCTTGAGGTGTTAACACCTTCCAAAGATAGAGATGACAACCTAATAGGATGTAAATATTTTGGAAAATGTGGTGGATGTCAATATCAGATGCTTCCCTATGAGAAACAGCTCCAGCAAAAGAAAAAGGTAATCGAGAAAGCCTTTCGATATTTTTCAAAATTGGACCCCTCAAAACTTCCACAGGTTGAAAGTACAGTTGGAAGCCCTTTGCAATATAACTACAGAACTAAAATTACTCCTCATTTTGACGTTCCTAAAGGTGGTACAAATGGCCCGTTGACAATAGGTTTTCAAGAGAAAGGTAGAAGACGAGTTTTGGATATTGAAGAGTGCCCAATAGCGACGAAGAAAATAAATGAATCTTACCCAAAGATCATCGGCGAAGTTCAGGATCGTGCGTCTACTTACAAGCGAGGTGCCACAATTCTCATGCGTGATTCGATGAATGACGATGGGGAACATTCAGTCATCACTGACCATAAAGCTATTGTTACTGAATCCTTTGGAGATTTCAAGTTTGTATTTCCAGCAGGTGCATTCTTCCAAAACAATAACTCAATTTTACCCGACTTTACTGGTTATGTTAGAAAACAATTGCTTAATCCTTTTGGCCATGAAAACTATCAAAAGCCAAAGTATTTTGTTGATGCTTATTGTGGATCGGGTTTATTCAGCGTCGCTTGCTCGGAAGGATTTGATTCTGTAATCGGCGTTGAAATCTCTGCGGATAGTGTACATTATGCGAAGGAGAATGCTCAAAGAAACAATGTTTCCAATACGAACTTTATTGTTGGAGAAGCAGAAAAGATATTTTCAGTAAGTGTTTATTCAGGCGGTAAATCCATTCGCTAACAGTTTTTAGAGTATTGAGACGCCCTCAGCGGAGACTGCAATGGTAGTTGATCCTCCTAGAAAAGGTTGTGACCAAGTTTTTTTGAACCAATTGCTAGAGTATGGACCATCCCGTGTTGTATACATTTCCTGTAACGTTCATACTCAAGCTCGAGATGTTGGATACATTCTACATCATGAACTTGGTAAAAACTTTAAGATCGATGAAATTCGAGGCTTTGATTTATTCCCGCAGTCGCATCATGTCGAAAGTATATTGGTAAGTTATTTTTGAAACATCTATAGTGATCCTTATTCCATTCTGCTTATTACGATCACTGATAAAAAAAAAAAAAAAAAAAATTATAAAACTAACTTTTTAATAGACTTTGACAAAACTCAATTAATTGAGTTATTTATCCAAATCGAGATTATTGATCTCCGTGATCCTTCCTTTTACCTCCTCTCTGGGCTTTCAGTTCATGATTTCCCTCTTGGTCCCTAAATCGAAAGCGAAGCAATGGAAGGATTATTTACAGGATCTAAATTGTTTCCCTAAATCAATTGGAATCGTTTCAGGCTCCAAAATATCGGCTTATTTGGATAGTCAGACAAGTGATGTTCCTTTAGACAAATATGTATTAATACCCACTTCTTTTGAGGAAAATAATTTACCAAAAGAAATATTTAATTGCTCTGAACTCCAAATTATTCATAATGCATCATTGCCAACGGATATGGAAAAAAGTTCCTTACAAGAACGCATCTTGGCTTGCGTAGCTGAAATAGTTGGAAAAAAGGTAACAGAAGAACAATTCATTGTTCCTACGAGGTTTGTTATATATTCCCCAATGGCTCTACTGTCTCCAAGTAGTTTCTCTACGAAAGAATGGGTTGCTTTTCTTCACCGGTATAGAAATACAGAAGAAGCGAATAGGCTTTTTTCGATTTTTGCAAAGGAATGGAGAGTTACTCATATTGCACTAAATGAGCCAATTCCGATAGATGATGTTATGAGAAGGCCATTGGCTTTGCAACCTCTTTATGGAGATTTTGGAAAACCAGTGTGGGAAGAACCGACTGCTGAAGATTTCAGTAATGCGTTTTGGGTTCATTGCAAGCAAAATGGAATCTATCAGACATGGGCTCCACTTTATACAATGTTTTCTCGGGGGAATTCGGTTGAGAAAGCAAGAGTTCTAAAGTTTAATAATATTTCGAATGAGGTTATTGCTGATTTATATGCTGGCATTGGGTATTTTTCTTTTTCATATGTTAAAGGAAAAGCTAAAAGTGTTTTCTGTTGGGAAATTAATCCTTGGAGCGTTGAAGCGTTACGTAGAGCTGCTATTGCCAATAATTGGTCTGTTTGCATCGTTCGGCATACTGAGGAGTACGATTTTGGAGTGGGATCTCATCAACTTGTAGTTTTTCATGAGAGTAATGAATACGCGCATTCGAGATTAAACTCTCTAGGTACGTCGGTGAGACACGTCAATCTTGGAATGCTTCCCTCTAGTAGAGATACATGGGACATGAGCACTTCTATTGTTAGGCGAGAACCTGGGTCTTCTATTCATGTACATGAAAACGTAACAGAGGATCGTATAGAAAAGTATGGTGAGGAGATAAACTCAGCTTTTACAAACAAATTAGGAATACAAACCACATATCAGGTTAATCGGGTGAAGTCGTTTTCGCCTAGAGTTTGGCATGTTGTATACGATATACAAACAGTTGATTAATATCATGGGCGCTACATTTTGGATAATTGGTTGCAAAATAATTTTTTTTGTGTATATAGAATGTATTAGAGATGTAAAGTACATATTTTATAAAAAACTCGCTTTGCAAAGATTATGAAGTATCCATAATGCTGGTAGTAAAGACAAATATACATTTTTAATATGTTAGATAAAGAATGAAGCAAAAATGAAGGCCTAGCTAATAATTATAGACATTACGGTTTTCATTAAAATAGGGAAATGAGTAAAGCAATTGTCAGGAAGGAACAAGACAAATTCACTGAAAATAAACTTAAAAGAGAGAAATGCATGTAAGAATATTTTAATCCCAATCATGATGTACAGTAACTGAGTTAAACGAAAGAAAAGGATCGTCTTCTTGGTCTTTGAGGTTAGATAGGGGAACTTCCACTGTCTGAGAATTTTGAGCAGAAGAAGTTATATCCAAACTCTTGCTTTCTTTCAAATGAGCAATGTTTGGATTACCCGATTCATCCGTAGGAGCAAGGCGAGGTATAATCGGCGGTTCAGTGTGACGCAATAAAGCCCACTGAACGTTTTTAAAGAATGGATGTAATTTCACGTCAGATGCACCTGCCTGCGACCCTAAACGATCGTTTTCATCTTTTAATAATAGTTTTCGAATAAGCGACTTGCACAGACTAGAAATGGAAGGAGCGTTAGAATATTCTGGGAATACAACTTCACGATGCAAGATATTTGAAAACGTCATATTTCTGTTTTTTCCTTTGAAAGGCGTAGTAGCATAAAGCATTTCATAAAATAGAATACCCAAAGTCCACCAATCCACAGCGCTAGTGTGGCCACATCCTTTGATAACTTCAGGAGCAATGTACTCCTCCGTACCGACAAACGAATTTGTGCGGAAATTAGCAATACAAGATTTAGTATCTAAAGCATAAGTACTTTGCGAAGATGGACTGCTATTACGAGCTTGAATAACAGTTGGCGAACCAATAGAACCTGACTGTTTGGAAAGATCAAAGTCGGAAAGCATAATATGACCAGATTCATGCAACAAAATATTTTCAGGTTTTAGATCACGGTAGATAAATCCCATAAGATGAAGGTATTCTAAAGCAGCTGTAACTTCGGCAATGTAGAATTTAGCCTCATGCTCTGCCAGACAGCGTCCTGGGCGACGTTGCAGGGCTCTAAAGAATTCACCACCCATACAGTACTCCATACATAAATACAGGTACTCATCGGATTGAAAAGAGTGATATAGAGTAACGATGAAAGGATGATTACTCGTAGCCAAAATTTCCTGTTCGGCAAATGCCCGTTTTATCTTATTTCTCTTAATCATTTCTTGTTTGTTTAATACTTTCATGGCAAAGAAACGTGTAGTCTTTTTCTCACGAACAAGATAAACCCGACCGACACCACCTTTTCCAAGCAAGAAAACCTTTTCAAAACTGGATGGTCCAACTTCAACATTACCAATCTTAACAGAGTTTGAAGAATACTTTCTCGCATTGGAACCCATCTTCTTCTTTTGCGATACTACCTTGCGTCCTTCCTCCGCCGGATTGATATTATTCACAGTGGTATTTCGGGTTTGATTTTCTGAGCCATTGGACTGACTCCTATGCTGGGGATTAAAGATAGATTTTGCACTTGGATCTTTTTTCTTCTTTCCGCCCTTAAAGAATGACTTTTTCAAGTCCCGCTTCTTAACATAAAGAGAATCCAGCCCCGTGGAACCCATAGGACTTGTCGAAGATGCCAAATCCATGTTTGGTGCATCTGTTGTATTCGTCGATGATGGATTGGTAGAACTCTGCATATCATTGTCAAACGAATGTTTGGCGTTTTTGTTTTTGCCATTCAAAACTGATGAAGCCGCACTAGAACTAGGGTCTGTACTTTCTGTGGGGGTGGAAAAAACATCCCTGCTACTACTTTCTTCTTTATTTATATACTCCTTGTCCTCTTCTGCAGATGCTTTTTGAGGATCCGACTGCAACGCTGCCTCAGAAGGGTTTGAGGGACGCAATTCCTTGTTTTTTTTCTTTGAAAATGTGAATTTTTTGTTTTCTTTAAAGTACAGTCTCATAAAAGATCTTATTTTTGAAGGTTTTGAGCTGACGGATGACTTGGACGATTCTTGATTTCCATCTTTCTCAGCTGTGAATTGTCCCGTGGATGCAACGTTTGTGTTCTCCTCATTTCTCCTAACATCCATCGTGCTCATTCAAAACTGAAATTGTTAGCAACAATTGTCAATTGAGACGAGTCAGTTGGTCTATTTTGAGCACCTGTACTTGGTAAACGGTACAGAGCAGAGTATTCCGATATACAAAAACCGTTGGAGGCCTGGAGTGGGTTGAGAACAACCGATTACGCAATTTATCCTTATCAAAAAATAACGATAAAAATTTCGTTTCGTTAACTAAATACGTGAAGCGAAATTATGTCTGTAACGAGTAAACAAACCAAAAAGAAATAGGAATAGAAGACAACAGTCTCATCTTATATTATTTTCCATTCCTGATTGATGATTAGCTTTTTAAAGATATGATGCGTTTCATTTGCTTATTTGGCTAGTCTAGTTTCAGTGATCGCTTCTTTATGAAATCAATGAGTAGGAGCATACGTTTATTGCAGGGCTTCTTTGATTAGCCATCTCTGATGAAAAAGCATAACATTTAATTAAAGACAATATAAGGATTCTGGCTGCCAAGTAAGTTTTACTTTGGATCCCCGGTCCATCTGTGCCCAACTTGAATTGCTGGCACCTGGAAAAGACCAACCCAATGGAACAAAGCAAAGCGATTATGAAACGTGATAAATGATTTGTGGTAGAAAATATAGGATGCATTCATCAATTAGTAACCCATAGTAATCACGAATCTAATATAGCAGCTTCAAACTTGGCAATCACGTACGTTGAGCAGCATGCATCTTTTAGGCACACAAGTCGTTGCAAACTCAATTTGAAACATTTTAAGAAGGCTTTGATTGGTTTTCGTATATAACATAGATTCCAAAAATAAATAAATGTTTTATTGAATATGTACATATAAATTGACAAAAGGATTAGAAAACACGCCAAGAGGAATCATTATCGGCAAATCAAACTCAAGTAAAAGGAAGCATTTATCTTTCGTCAAGTTGAAGAAGCGCAGCAACAATAACAATAATTCTAACAAATCATAATAATACATATATACAGACAAGCGGTAACTCATACGTGCCCAAAGAACCATCAATCATTAGCATTTCGGATGGAACACGAAACGAAACAAACAGGAAACATCAAAATTACTCACACACCAGGCTAAGGGTATATCTTTACTCAACGTCATCAAACGCTTCCTTTAGGTCCTTCTCTTCATAGCAATGACATAGCTCGCGTATGCCTTCGCTGCAAATCGTTCTCATGAATTTGATATTTCCATTTTTCGGCGGCGTTGTTTATAAAGGAGTCCAACTCGAATGGATAATTTCTTAAATCACATAGCAAGGAATAAACGGCAAACGAGGAATTGCATGCCATTATTTCATCTTTTAAGGTATAGATTATGTCTAGGGCTACGCGAAATAAACAAGGATATCCATCGCAAAAAAATAAATCAAGGATACGAAAACCCAGCTTAGTATTCACGGTATCCGTATATAAACTAAGAAACCAATGCAATGTAACAGCTTCCAAATCTACCTTCAGTGTTTCTAAATGAGAACTTATCTGAGGTAACAAAAGACTGACATATTCTTTCAAGACGATTTGGTCGGCTCTTGAACCTAGCAAATCTTCAGTAAAGTAATTTTTTGGGAGATAATTTTCGATAAGACTCATAATCAAGTAGAAGACATCTTCTTCGGATGCATAGATTAGCAAGAAGAAGGCGGCAATGACATTCATTCCTTGACAATATCCAACCTCTGGGTTATGTAAGCTATAAGCGAGCAAAACACGCCGAAGTTTAGGAACACCTGGGCCATTTCCACCAAAAAAGACGTTTCCAACAAGGGTTCGCTTTATATCCTGATCAATTTGAATTCGATTGGAAGGATCAGAGGTATCCGACTTTGCGAGCAGTTCATCGTAGTATCCAGGAACATGTAATTGGCGAGCAGCGGAGCATTCTAGCCAAACTTTAGGACGATAGGGAACGGGGACACCTTGCTTGACAAGCCGGCGAAAACGTTCAAACCTCTTTTTTGAGCCACGTTTTGTTTTTCCTAACCTACATTTTCCAAGTAAATCAGTACTGTTTTCATCAAATTTTCCATATTTGATAGAGTACTTTTGGATATATTCATCCCAGCGTTTCATCTGCGCGGCATCCTGAGGATTGTTGGAGAGGGAAAAGGTATCGGGTGGAGATAAGGTAGAATCGGGGTTATGGGCAAAGGATGAAGTGGCCACGGAGGAAGAAAGAGATTGAAGAGGCTTGAAGGTTTTGGAGGATGGATTGGAAGAGGTAGGAAGATTATTGATGAAACCGAATTGGTCAAAGGTTTGGTTGGGTTTGAGGATGGTGTGAGAACTCCAATCATTTCTTAAAGTAGGAGGAAGATCATGTTTTGGGATTAGATTGTCGAGTTCCATGGAACCAGGAAACGTGAGATTGGCGGCAGCGGATGAGGGAAGGTTAGAGGAGGGTGGATCAGCAAGGGGAGAAAAAGAGTCAGAGAGCTCGACGGCACTATGGGAAAAAGAACAGGAAGGATCATCGAGGTTTAGCCGGGCCATGGATGGGTAGGTGGGAGAGAGGGTAGGAGAGGGCAAGTCGGTGGTGTGGGTAGGTTTGGGAGATGGAAAAGAAGGGGGTGAAGGAGATCCGTTGGCAGTGGTATTTGGGAAGGAAACTGGAGGAAGGGTAGGGGACAGGGGAGGAGGAGGAGGAGGAGAAGAAGAAGAAAAGGAAGAAGAAGATGGGGGAGGAAGGAAAGGTTCATTGATGGCGGAGGAAATTTTGGACTGTAGAAAGGGTTTATCGTGGAAGAGAGGAGTAGGAGGTTCATCCAAATGGGAAGAGAGAAGAGGTACCGAAGAGGCGGGAGCAGAATTAGGAGGAGGAGGAGGGGCAGTAGACGGATGGGAGGAGGAATAAGAAGAAGAGAAAGACGGAGGAAGAACGGAACGTTGTTTTGCCAGTTTTGTATTAGCAAGGACGGGATCCAAGCCATGTTGACGAAGAAGGTCACGAAAGACGGCTTCGCGAGATTCGTAATGGAATTTGACATTGGAAATAAAAGCATCACGTTCAGCAACATCTTTGGCAAGTTGGCGAAGAAGACTGACGGCACCGAAACGATGGATGAGACGTTCGATGGAAGCATCGGAGGCAAGATGAAGGCTTCCTGGGATGGAATGAAGCAATTCGGGAGATTGGTTGTCAAAAAGAGGAGAAGAGGAGGATTGGGTGGAGGAAAGGGAAGGGCGTCTTGTAGTAGTAGTAGTATTAGTAGCACCAGCAGCAGCACCAGCAGAAGGAGGAGGAGGAGGAGGAGAAGAGTGTGATATGGGAAAAAAAGGAAAGATGGGAAAGGAGGTCATACGGGAAAAAGAAGAAGTAGAAGCAGAAGCAGAAGAAGAAGAGGAGGGTCTAATGGTCGTAGAATTGGATTTCGTTTTATGTTTTGGAGAATGAGGAGGAGAATGGTGTGAATCATGAGTCATGAGGAGAGAATAGAACAATAGAGGAATGAAATTGAAATGACAAGGAGTAACGAGTAAGAAAGAAGAGTTTTAAGGAAAAACAAAATATAAAAAAAAACAGAGCTTTGGAAAAGCAAAAGAAAAATAAAAAAAAAATTAAATTAAAAACAAGAACGATAACGATAACAATAACAGTAAAAAAAGGTCAAAGAGGACGTGTTAGTGAAAAAGCAAAGACATTGTCAAGCTAAGTACAATCCAAAAGCAAGTTGAATGCAAGGGTAAGACAAGGAAGACCAACAACAAGAAGGTCGGTCGAGTCGAGTGAATGTAGTCAAAGGGTCGAGAATTTAGCACAGTAGAAGGAGAAAGCAATTTCTAAATAGTGCAGCTTTAGGCGGTTTACCGATGCAGGAGGATTCTCTCACACAGACAGACGGACAGACAGATAGAACAGAGGAGTGTGTGTAAGAGCTGGGGAGACAAGAGAGGGTATGATTTAGCGAGACTTAGCACTCTTCATTGAAAAGGATAGTAGCGATAAGAGAGAGAGAGAGAGAGAGAGAGAACCAAAAGTTTTGGTGAGGAGAGAAGTGGGGAAAAGAGGAGTTGTAAGGTGACGGAAAAAATTAAAGACAAGGCTAGACGATGACAGTCAGCAGACGACGACGATAAGGAAAGTTTGAGAGAGGTGGGGAAGTCAACAAAAAAAAAGTCAAAAAATTGAAAAAAAAAAAAACAAGACTCGAAGAGTCTGCAGCGAAAAAAAAAAAAAAAAAAAAAAAAAAAAAGATTGGAGATTCGAAAGAGTCTTTTCGTTCTTTTTTTTTTTTTTTGTTCTCGTTTTGTTTAAATGATGACGGCTTTTCACCCCTCCCTCTCCCTCTATGTGTGTCTGTCACACACACACTCTCTCTTCTCTCTCTTCTCTCTCTTTGGGCTCTCTTTCCACCCGGGAAAAGGATCCGTTTCTATCTGTAAGCGTCGGTAAACGCACAATCGAATAACGAAGCCTGGGTGTTGTGATAATTCAAGACAAGGTTCAAATGGTTTTATCATGAGCCATCGTTAAAGGATCGGTTGCTTTGATGAGATACTTGATATGAGGTTGATTGGTCATAAAAATAGGTTCAGCATTGTTTACAAAATGTAGATACAAACTTTAACAAATGAGGAGATAAACCGAGAGTCGTTTGGCATTTTTTTAGTTTTTTTCCTTTTTCTTTTCTTTCCTTTGCTTTTGGGTGGGTTTCCCTGTTTTTTGTTTTTTTTTCTTCTTCTTCTACTTCTTCTTTTCCCTTGTTCTTGAAGACTCGAAGAGTCCCCCGCTC